GCCGACTCGTCTCGCCTGGCCTCGGCGTCCTCGGACAAGACGGTCAAGATCTGGGATGCGAGCAGCGGGCAGTGCCTGCGAACGCTAGAGGGCCACGGCGATTGGGTGGACTCGGTCGTCTTCTCCGCCGACTCGTCTCGCCTGGCCTCGGCGTCCTCGGACAAGACGGTCAAGATCTGGGATGCGAGCAGCGGGCAGTGCCTGCGAACGCTAGAGGGCCACGGCAAGACGGTGAGCTCGGTCGTCTTCTCCGCCGACTCGTCTCGCCTGGCCTCGGCGTCCGACGACAAGACGGTCAAGATCTGGGATGCGAGCAGCGGGCAGTGTCTTCAAACGCATGAAGTTGGTCGAGCTCTAAATCGAGTCTCTTTCAGCGTTACTGGATCTTCCCTCGAAACCGACATTGGACCTCTTCCTTTGAATGACTCTTCAGCAACCCGTTCGCTGTCCTGGACCGAGGATTCCGGACATACTAAAGGCCTAGGCGTGGGGGTAAGTGCAGATGGACTGTGGGTAACGCACGATTCCTCGAATATCATATGGCTGCCGTCAGAATATCGGCCATCGTGCTCACGCACAACGGTACAGACACTGGTAATCGGCGTCGGGAGCGGAAAGGTTTGGATGTGCAGTCTCTTTGGGCAAGAGATACCGAAAACACATTCATCTCTTTGAGTAACTTCAGTTCCATCTTCCCGCTGGCTACAATGGAAGGTTCCTCTCAATTGTATGTCATGGAGATTTTGACGAAACAGCGAAATCCGGGTGTAACTTATGCCGCGTTGACATCCACACGTTGCTCTGGACCTATAAAGTAGCGTCTTGCGGCATGCCCAGACGATCGACTTGTAGGGCTACATCACACAATCCACTGTACACCAAATACTGTACAGATAACGCGAAGGCAATTCTTCAAAGGAGGAAAAGGCATCGTCGCGATGCACAACAAGTTGCGCTTCACTCACTTGACAGTATATGAACGTGAGGACAATACATTGAATCTGGTATCTTGGAGCTCCCGTACGCCAAGTACAGATACCGAGGACAGGTTACAGCATTCTCTTCCAAAACGTTCTACCACATTCGTGCCACTGGTGGTTCCATGGTGCTGACTCATCCCCATCTGTGGATCTCTATGCTTCAACAGTATGCTCAGCGACTCTTGCCGTATTGGCTCATTAGCGGGTGATACGACTTCGGGGTCCGTTCCAGGTTGTGACATTGCATTCGTACCTTGCCAAACGGGTGTTGCCTTCCTCTTACTCCATTGAGCAGCTTCCTTCCCTGCCCGTTCCGCTCTCGCTTCTTCAAGATCCTCGAAGCTCATCACCTTTGCCTTACCCAGAACTGTTGATGCGGTTGCGCGTCGAACCTTAGCTTCATTGTCGGCTTGGAGCAAGAATTTGATCTGATCCTGTAACAAAGCGCCCCGAGCACATGATGTCTGGGCGGCTTTGGCGAGCTTATGTACGTGCCTGTCCAGGCTCTGTTTGCTCAAGCGGTCAAGTGAACGAGCATCGTGGTTGACAATTATGTCCTGCAGCGACATGAAAGCTTGCGCTGACACGGGTGTAATCGGCGTGATGGGTTCTCGTAGTGTCGGTTTCCTGTGTACAGGGTCTGCCCTGCGGCTCTTCGACTGTCGTCGAGTCGTCGGTAGGCTTGGGAAGATCCAAGAGGACTCTGTCGGGGTTGAAGGGAAACAAGCCAGCTTAGCTCCACCCAGCGAGGATGTTTCGGCGGGTGAAAGCTCTGTCCCTCGCTGGACGATACAGAGACACAAAGTGCTCCTTTCCAATCGCATTCACGCCTCCGCGCTCTAGTCGCTCGACGTTGTCACGGTACGCGGTTGACAAAGGAGCAAACACCGCGAGATCGCACGGCTGAAGTTTGTGAAAGGTGTGGGAGGGTAGGCGACGGAGAACGATGTTGTTGGCAAAACAAAACTCCAGAACCTCAAGCGCCTCGTGCGTGCCAAAGCCATCACAGATCAGCACACGCCGTTTACCGTTGGCCGTCTCCCTACCCTGAGGATCGAACACGGGCTGGAGCCACTCCCTCGTTATATGGGAGTCAGTGTATCCGGACTCGGAATGGGCGTAATGCCATCCCGGTGTAGGACACGTGGTCCAGTTGCTGCGATGAGTGGAGGCCGGCCATATGATCATGGGATGCAAGTACCCACCATCACCACTGATACATTCGATAGCGGTCACCGTCGTATGCTTGACACCTGCGCCGCGACAGTCACGCGCATCGTCCTTTCCTACAAGAACCTTGACCGAGCCGAGCTTCGAAAGCATGACTCCCGTCTCATCCATATTGTAGGTGTTTTCCGCCAGAACTTCTGGATCTTGCAACAGCAGTATCTAAAGGAAGATATGTCGCAGCGTATAGGACGCGACTCAACTAATGCTCGTCAAGGCCAGCGCTGATTGCTGCTTCGTCGCAGGCGAGACGCCTGCGCCTCGCAATATACGAGTGCGCTGAGTGCCGAGTCTCACGTGATCCCTTACGTGCTAGGCTCATCGTTGTCCTCCTGTAACACTGTAGCTTGTAGTGAGGAAATACTACTACCAAGGTAGCACTATAGTGTAGACCATTATAGACTGTGCTGATAGTCTACTACCATCCAATCTTGACAGCTAGAACAAGACAGCATTGCTGACTTATCCTTGCATGCACGTACCGATCTTTCCCTCGGTTGTCCGCTTGCAAGTATAACACCTATATATGAGTCCAATGAGGCAGGTATTATGGATGTCAATGCTTCCGCCCCGCCCCTCGGTCTAGTTGCTATGCTGGGTTGCTGCAGATCGCCATTACGACATCAGGTGGATGCTGCAGACTCCCTCATCAGCAAGCTACACGCGGAACGATATCGATTTCTATACACGCTGCCATCATGCCATACGACTTCAGCGGCAAGGTTTGCCTCATCACAGGTGCGGCGTCCGGCATCGGAAGGGCCACGGCGCAGAAGATGGCAGATTCTGGCTGCGACCTCTCACTGTGCGATATCAATCTGATGGGCTTGCAAGAAACAATGAGACAATGCGGCCGCAAATGCGGGCTGATGGTCGTCGACGTCGGGAACTCCGTGCACTGCAACGACGTTGTGCAAGATTCGATCGACCGCTTTGGCCGCCTGAATTTTGTATTCAATTGTGCTGGCGTCAACCCTACGGCATACCCATTGACTGACACAACGGATGAGTACTACGACAAGCTGATGAACACGAACGTGCGTGGGACATACAATGTGACTCGTGCTGCTGTACCCCATCTCCAAGCTGGTGCAGCCATCGTCAACACAAGCTCGATCATGGGAGTCACGGCTTCGGCCAATTACGCAATATACTGTGCTACGAAGTGGGCCATTGTAGGCTTCACAAAGGTAGGGGAACAAGCGAGCTCTTTCAACCCTGAATGGTGGATACTGACTATGCTGTGCATTAGTCTATGGCGATGGAGCTAGGGGTCAATCACGTCCGGGTGAATGCCGTTGCTGTACGTGTTGGTCTGGTCTGCTCATTCGCAGGAGATTGCTGATATGAATTGTCTCCAAGCCTGGCTATATCAATACTCCAACGAATGCGGGCGTATTAGCTGGTCCCCAGGCCATAGCGGAAGCAGAGAAGATGATCGCCTTCGGCAGGATGGGTACTGCAGAAGAGGTCGCAGATGTCGTGGCATTCCTCTTTAGGTGACCCATGCTTCCCTTCACCAAAACGTATTGAGTGATGACTGACGACATGGTTGCAGTGAAGAAAGTCGCTACATGAACGGCAGCATTGTTGAAGTGAATGGTGGGCGGTGAGCACGCGTGTACTAGGTGAACAAGACTCTTTTCCGCTCGCACTGCTGCTCGCTTGCATATCCTGAAAGGCACCGCCCTCACTGTCAAAGTCAGATCTGATCTGAAATCTACAACTTGAATCCACTTCCTCTCGCGTTCTTGCCACCTCCGCGGGCCTTATACGGTCCACCACCTCTCAAGAGCAGGTGATTGTCCCAGATACCTCTATCCCAATGGCATCATCCACCTCCCCACGAACATGGCGATGCGAGGTTTGCCTGGATGACCACAAAGACTACGCTTCAATCAATATTGATGACCACAAATTCTGTACAGCATGCATCAAGCAACTCTTCGACAAAGCATTGGCCCACGAATTCCACTGGCCAGCGAAATCGCACCGTACGGTCCTTCATCCCACACAGTTCCCACACGTCGTGTCCGTGGGGTTCATCACTGCCTACAAGGCCGATGAGCGAGAGTACAAATGCGAGAACTTCAGGAGAGGATACTGCGCAGGTAGTGTCTCAGCTGCAGATGGTAAAGGAGAAGCGAAACCCTATGGCATATTCGTGGGTCGCCTGCATTATGGCGAGGATCCGAACGTCTATGCTGTTTCGTCCTGCGCCTCCTGCAAACAGATGAGCTGCCTCAACTGTGGCCACGGCCTGGAGAGGTTGACAGATCTTGGCTATCACGACTGCGTAACTCGCATCAGCCTGGCTTTGGAGAAGGCCAAGAAAGAGGAAAATGTCGCATTTGCCGGGCTGAGGCAAGGCAGAGACTTCCAGATCTGCCCAAATGAATCATGCCAACGTCGTATTCAGCTGAGCGAGGCTTGCAACCATGTGGTCTGCGCTTACTGCGGCATGAGCTTCTGCTTCGTGTGTGGAACGCCACAGGCAGAGGACGGAGGACACTGGCAACGAAGCGGGTACCCAAGGTACAACTTGCCAGGCGAGGAAGGTGCAAGGCACGACGATCAGAGCTTGGCTGGCAGTGACTACGCCGAAACCCAGCCGGACTCCAGACCCCACTCGCCTTTTGCTTGGGGTAATGCTCGAGCTCTAGGTCAAGGATGGGATAACAGGCCAGCTCAAGGTAAGGTATAGGAACCGCCACTCCGCGAGGCATCGCCGCAACGGACTAATGCGGAGCTGGCTTTGTTGCAAGTTGCGATCAGGCCACAGACCCCTTTGAGCTCCTGCGTCCAGTCGACCACCACGTGGCCATTTGATCTGAACGAGCACCGAGGAAAGGAGTCGATCACGGTCTACAGTGGCACCAGGGAAACCGGAGTCTGTTCCACGTCAACGATCACATCAGTACTGATATAGCCTATGGTCGGCACCTGGATACGGGCGGAGGATCACTGATGAAGTCTGAAAGTACCTCGTTCATTCTCGGGTATTGTGCATCTGCTCCGAACATTCACTGCAAAGTCTTGCTGGTCTACGACTCAACCTAAGAATTCTCCCTCTACAATCGTGACCCATGCCCTGCCCTCACCCCACACTCTACTCATAACCGCTCTCGCCGCTCCCACCTGACTTAGGCCCCACCCCTCAATCTCCCGCAACCTGCCCATGAATATTTCCCTTTCCTCCTCAGTCTGTGCCTCACACCCAGCAGTGAACATTGGGAACAGCAGACAGCTCTCCGCCGTGCTGCCACGTCGCACTTTCATCAGCACACGGATGACCTTCTGCACGAGATCCTGAACCGTAGGGGAGAATGACTGATGGTTGAGGACGCGAGTAGCGAGGTGCAAGAGACCGGCATAGTGGTAGGCCTCGTTCACTGCGTATATCTCTTCGATATCGCGATCGGTGACTGCTTCAATTGTCGAGTGTGGTGATGAGATAGTGTTTTGCGTGTGCATGCATCCTCGATATACAGTCTTAGCACTGGCTTCTAGACGCTTTCGCAACTCCTCCGCCTGATTGCGAACATCATCACGAGGCTGCCAGCCCACCTTGACCTGTTGTGTTATGGGATCGATGCGCTGATTGTCGCACTGAGTAGACAATTCAGCGACCTGCGCGAGAAGTGCTATGCATCGTCCAGAGAAGCCGAAGAAGCAGTCGATCTGGTAAATCTCTTCATCGCTGCGATTGACCAGCCACAGACCGCCTCCATCCTCCATGTAAGCACCGTCCATTGGCTTGTCCTGCTTGCTGCCACTCAGTGAGCCGAGGACATCCAAGTATGCAAACCAACGACTCAGGAAGAAGATGGCTTTATCACGAGCTCCATCGGCCTGCTGTGCGAGATGGTGCAGACCACCCTTTGCTATGATCATCTGGCGAGCGACATTCAGATGATTCTGCCACGATATTGATACGGCGAAAGTATTTGGACTGACGATCTCTAGCGAGGCGAGCATGATTGCGGTGGCAAGGGGAGCCAGTGAAGATGGATCTCTGGGGTCGTGAACGCCTGGTGAAGCAGGTTCGCCGAGTGATCGACGAAGGGCAGGAAGTACATCGCCCATCCAGGCGGCGATCCTGTTAGCAGGCTCGGCGTGGCCCAGCAACCGTGCACGATGGGATGCGGAGTATGTCAGCATGAGATGCAGCAGTTGGCGATTCCGTACGGCCATCTGCGGCATGACGCCGCGGAAAGGATTCTCGGGACAGTCATGGGGCACCATAATGCGCCCGGTATGATTGATGAAGTGGTGGAAGTAGAGCATATTCATAGGATTGTTGGCAAGCTCATCCGGCAGGGGCTCCAAGTTTCGAGGAATCTTGACAGCCACCGGCTGAGCATAGTAGCCACCAGACTCGAAGGCCATCTTACTGGCGTCGGGTTCCGCGCTGGAATTACTGGCTTCGGACACCGCAGCGCTGGCTCGTCGTAGATCTGGAGACCTCGGCAGAAGCGCTTGACCATCGTCATTGCGCGGAATGTCGTGATCCGGAAAGCCATGGTCGAAGCCATAGTTCCTCTGTCCTGCACTGTCGGCTCGAAATAGGCGAGGCTTGTCGAAATCATCCGACGGATCCGACAGCAGTGACTTCACGGAGAGCCTCCTCAGATCTGGCGGATCTTGAACAGTGAGTGAGGGAGTCTGGAGGGGATATGGCGAACCCGAGGCGATACTCGAGCCGGGGGTTGCAGGTGTGTTGACTATGCTGCTGATGGTGTGCGGTGTGAAGTAGGTGGATCCCGGCGATGCATCGACTGGTGGCGGATACTGTGGCACCGCGAAGACTGGGTGAAGCTGCGCGGGCTGTCCATTGTGCTGTGTTGGGCTCAGCTTGACACGTTTGGCACTATGCTGTGGGGACCAGCGGAAGTCATCGTTCGGGGTATGTCCTTCCATCGGGCCGTGCAACTGAGGGAGCAGAGGCGTCTGCGGCAGGAGGACAGAGAGGTCGCCACTTGGGTGGCTGCGATAATGAGATCTTGCATTCAGCCGTGGGCCCAAGGCCGCTCCTTCTTCCGGCGTCACATCCGGGGTTGGGAGGTTGGTCGGATGGCTGCTCGGTGGGCGCTGCGAGGGTGCCGTAGCAATATGCTGCGCCGAGAAGACATGCTCGTGGCCGCTGCCAGGCCTGGCCTGAGCGCCTGACGTCGGCGTGGTCACGAAGGTGAAGCCGCCGTCTGTCGGTGAGCCCTCGCGCTTCCCTCGCCCACCCCAGTTCAGACGGATGCTGTAGTCGCACTGCTCCCCACTCTTCACGCAATTGGCGCACCCCGGCTTCTCCTCCCCACACTTCACTTTGCGCGCCTTGCATGGCCAGCAGCCAGTGCGACTGCGCTTCTTCGGCTCGGTGGACCCATCTTTCTTCGGACGAGGCATCTCTTTCCAACGCTGATGTGTCGGTGTGTCACGTCTCAGCGCATTTCGCCCGGTGATTTAGTGTCGTCGGCGCACTGGCGGGTCCTAGCGCGGAAAGGTGGTTACGCAGTCTGGAACAGGAAGGCACGAATCAAGCATGTCGCTACAACAGTACAGCGTGAATGGCAAACAGCGGAGGACTCTCGTGCATAGCTCGCTTTGCTACATTCGCATTCAGACCCCCGCGATAAGGCAGTGCGGGGAGAGTCGCCATTTGAGGATAGCTGCCGTCCTCCTTCACCAGTCCGTCTTCGACATACTACGGTGCTCGTCGTCTGTGTAGCAGCTCGGGACCCGTCCGCTGTTCACGTTGTCTGCAGTCTTGCAATGTATGCCTCGTTCGGTCGTTCCTGTCGCGGCATCTTCACCACTGTCCGGCGGCCGTCGGCTCACACTCGGCCTGCCACGTGCTTAGCGTCCCGAAGCATCGGGCCGGAAGCAGCAGACGCTGAGGCCACCATGACGCAGGAAAGTTTGTGAGTGGGTGAATATCAGGAACCAGTCCTCAGACTGTTTTGCTTATGGCTACCTCAATATCTCTCCTCGCACGTTGACGGTCCGCTGTCCGACTTCCTCAGCATGGCTACAGACTACGCTCGAGCTCTGGTGCGGCGGCATCCTCTCCAACGCCGGCCGTCACCGTCCCGGGGCGCTTCGGCACTGTTGCATGTGCGTGCCGTGTCTGCGGGAGATCTATATGTATAACGACCAATGCAAATGTGCTGATCACATGTCTAGGTGCTCGGTCTAGCCTCGTTCGCCTACAACTTCACCTACCTTTTCACCAACCCAAATCCCATGTATGGCGTACCGATTCCTCGAGTGGCCCAGAGAAGAGCCGGAATTTGTATCATGTCGCTGATACAAGTTCAATACAGTAACACGTCGTACGGATGGCACCTACAATACCTGACGATCATCGGTCTGTCGCTGGCTGCAGTCACGTTCTTCATTGGCCTTCTGGCTGATCTGACCATGAGCCGGTGGCTATTCGCGGCGAAGAACGCCCTGAGTGTCGCTAGTGCGCCGATGGAGTGCCTGATCAGCATGCTATACTGGGGCCTGCGAGCTGTGAGTGAGATGACATATACGAGCTTTTCGATGGGACGACGTTGACGTATGATCCTCCAGATCGACCCCAAACTTGTCCTTCCGGGCTGGACGCCTCCAATGGCTCTACACACCGATCTGGGCTTTCATGCGGTGCCCGCCATCGCCCTGGTGACCGATCTACTATTCTTCTCACCGCCATATACGATCGCCTTTGTGCCAGCGCTGGGATTGAGTGGCTTCATCGCTTTCGGCTACTGGCTGTGGATCGAGAGATGCTACCAATACAACAAGTTCTATCCATACCCGATATTCACCTTGCTGAGCACGACTGAGAGAATTGGGTAGGTCATGACACCTTTTCGAGAGATATCGCATTTACTCACGTGATGTAGACTCTTCGCAGGCTCTGCGGTGCTTATGACGCTCAGTACCGGTGCACTCATATGGACCTACCAACTAGTCAATGGCATTGAAGACACCGGAGTACATACCAACGGGAAGATCCGGAAGCCGAGAGCGTACAGCGGCAATGTGAAAGGTCAATGAGATGCTTCGACGTAGATTCATATACAGATAGATGATTGATTTGATGATGACAATATATGTGACGGCGTTCAGACGCTGAGGACATAACGTCCAACGACGTATAGCCCTCGTATTGGCTTTGTCGACCATATCTCGCCCAAGCAACATCGAGATCTACAATCTAGCTCTAACACTATCCAGCACTTGCTGGACTCCACGTCGAACCTTCTCCACAATTTCGCCGGCTCCCATCTCCTTCCTCACCAAACCCACACCCGTGCCCGCCCACATAGCTGCTCTACCCTTGCCATCGACGCCAAAGCCCTGGCTTTCCATCTTGACAGCTTCGGCATGTCTTCGTCTGATCTCATCAATATCCACTCCAGCTGAGTGATCCATGAAGCTTTCGCTCACGATGCATCGTCCGTCATAGATATTAGGCCATGCGTTAGGACCGCGTAGCTCGTCGAACAGCTTGGCTTTCGCGGTTTGGGTGCCACCATCTGACGCTGCCAAGACTGCTGAACGATAAAGGGGATGTACCAGAGCTTCAGGAGAAGAGAGAAATCGTGTGCCCATGACCACGCCTTGTGCACCCAGCGTAAACGCTGCAGCAGCGGACCGAGCTTCAGTGATACCACCTGCTGCTACCAAAGTAATACTGTCGAGCCCTGCAGCAGAAAGTGCATCCGAGACTTCAGGTAGGAGAGAAATGATACCAGCAGATTTCTCGTAACCATGACCTCCAGCATCAGAGCCTTGTATGCTCATTACATCTGGTCTGCAAGACTTGCCGATCTCCACAGCAGCAGCCACAGAGCCCACCTGGACCCAAATCTGAGGTACAGGCGCCTTGAGAGCACGGATCTGAGAAGTCCAGGTGACGTAGTCCGGTGTCTCCTTCGCCGCGAACAGCCAGACGACTGCTGGCTGGTATGCTTCGATGACCAGCAGTGCGTCCTCGAGCTTTGTAATGAAAGGTAGAAAGCCCACACCGACGGGCAGAACGCCATTATGTCTCGGCAACGCGTCTTGCACAGCGTCCAGGTGTTCGCGAAGTACATTCATGTCACCTGCGGAGCCGACCTGACCAAGGCCACCGGCTTTGTTGACCGCTATCGCCATCGCTGAGCCGGCTTGGTGGCCCATCTTTTGGACAGAAGGTTAGTGGTGCTGTCGGTAGAGGGGAAGATGTGAACTTGCTGGAGCGTTGATGATGAGTGGACTTCTCGTCCAGGGCAGCGTTCGTGCGAGCGACATCGTGATTGTGGCGAGATCCTACGACGCAATGAGTGCGAGACGGACGAGATGAGTGTATGCTATGAGAGTGGGAAGAGTTGTATTTAAGCTTTGTCTTGACGGGAATATGGAAGGACGATCATATGCTTCTGCTTCTCTACCTTTCACTGCTTTAAGCGTAGTCTTACAGGCATCACCGTTGCGAAAGCGACGGAGACTCGAAGGCAGCTCCATGCTGTGGACAGACGGTAGTATGGGATTCCAAAGCAATGTCAAAGCTAGAGGAAGACCAAGCTGAGGTGCCAGGATGGTGAGGATGATTGTGTCAGCGGGATTTCTCGGCAATCCACTCCCGCCAAACTCCACTTCCAGACGTTTCGCGCGAGAATGAGTGCGTGTCAATTCTTCACCTGCAATGATGAGTGGCTATATATGCATCTGCCTCGATCAGATGCAAACGACGATGACTCGCGGGGCTACGGGGAGACGGCCAGAAAGACAATCGGCGGGGGGTCTGCTCTGGACCAGTATGGATATCGCAGGAGAGATTGCCCGTACCACGAGGGACCAACAGCACAAGACGTCAAAAGTATAACTCCTGCTGGAGCCGTTGAACACTCGTGAGATGTCAAGGACTCGATAGGACGATGGGCAGTTGCTTAAACGAGTAGGCTCCTCGTGGATATGGTTATGACCAGTGGAGGTGAGCTTCCTCTTCATGTCTAGGTGGGACCAGTCTCTCCATCGTCACGGACAGAGAGCTCCGTGCGTTGAGCGATGGCATACCGGGAAGTCTCCTTGCGTGAAGAGGCTTCCCCACAACGAAAGCGGTGTACGATAATTATGGATAGTGAATAGAGCTGAAATCATGGCATGTCCACTGTGGCCTGTACACTTCTTGTGCTCAGTACGTCGCCTGCATCCTGTGGTTCGACAGTGCTTAGGCCACCAGCACACGGAACACCCTTACCTACTCCTCAGCGCAAAGCCTTCTTCTCTGCTATTCACTCTCGCATCGCGCATGGTCACGTATTCTATCTTCAGTATCAGTAGCTGAGCGAGGCACTCGTATCTCTTGGCGGCCCAGCATGGGATCACGTGAGGTTGGAAGAAGGGAACGAATGCTTCAGATGTGGGAACAGGGCACTCAGCTGTAGGGGCACGAGGATGGCACAATCTCCTACATGTCCGACTCTGTCTCCACCCCACCCAGCTGAAATATCGCCCCTTGTGCCCCTCAACCTGGGCGAGCTTGATTGGCGCCACACGTTTGAGACGATGTTGCAAGCGAGAGCTGCAGTGTGAGGTACCGATGGAGGACAAGACAGCAGGCAGAGGAGTCTGCAGGGTAGTAGCCTCAGCTTGCGGTATGGCAAGGAAGCTTGTGCGTGGATGTGGAGTCATAATACCAAGAAGAGCAGGGTGATCATGAGCGTTTGTCGAAGGCCGAAAGTGGTGGAACGATCTCCTGATCTACTGTACGTGAACAGTGCAAGGACGAACTCATATGATCAGTCGAACCGATGAGTTTCCGGCACTTTTCCTAAAAGTGGCCGCTTGACATTCCCTCCTAGGTGAGCTGGAATGAACAGTGCAGATCGCGAGTCGTATATTCCCCTTTGTTACTTCTAGTATATCCTACACCCCTAAAAGCTTGCCGTGGGGGTATATCCTACCAACGCCAGTACTCCAAAACGTCCCAAAAGCCTCGAACCGTTCTTAAGCCGCTTGCACCTCCGAGGCAGCCTGCCCCTGCTGCTTGCGCAACCTTATCTTCTGCGAAGCACGACTGTGTTTCCGCGCCCGTCTCGACTTCGCTAACCACCTCTCCTCCTTCGGATCCAGCTGTTTGTGCGCCTCAACGTCTTCTACCGTTACGGCAGGTGCGGCGTCGATTTCCTCCTGATTCTCCGAGTTCGTGACCATGCCAGGCATCTCGTCAGGACTACCCGACGAAGGTAAGGCGAAGCCGAGATCGATTTTGTCGCCCTCTCTGCAGGTTTCCTGTCAGTACTTCCTCGCATCGAAGTATTGCTGAGCCCACTCACTCCCTCGAAACGGATCTTGCCAGGGACCGTCTTGCGACCTCTGTAGCCACAGCCTTACTCTGCTTGCTCCTCAGTGCAGGCTTGTTGTATTCCTCTTGGTCCTCCAATTTGTCCTTTTGTTGCATCAATGTCAACATTTCCGCCGTGCTCGACCAGTTGATGTCTTTCGTCCTTGCTCTGCGCTCTGCCAGCTCGTGAGCTGCTTCTTCCGCTTTCTTCTTTTGGAATTTGGTCTTGTCTCTCGGTACAACACCGAAGCCAGGGTTCTTTCGCCGGGGCATATGAGACCGAGAGTTTATGATATGACTTATGCTGACGCTATGGGCATGCATCTCGAATTTTGTGCTTATGACGAAATTTGAAGGCGTTCCGGATGCTCGGCAGGTGGTTCCGAGTGCCGACAAGGCTTCCATTCATTTACCACCTATACGAGTGACGTTACTTCGATACTTCGACCTTACCGAACTGCATTCGGAGAAGACAATGGTTTCATAGCCATAGAGCTGGGCGTTTCAGTCTGTACTTGGCCGACTAAGCTAAGCAAGGCCGCACATGGCCAGTACAACCTTATCAGTACCTTTCTCCTCATTTACGTCGCCCAGATATCCCAGCATACCTCTCAAGCATGGGCCGAAGGCGGCAGGAGTCTGCCGACGATCGCCTACAGTATCAGGAAAGACCATCGACTCAGTATGGGAGGATGCGGTTGGCAGATAGATGGCGTCGGCACGCTCGACATTCTGCAGATGCAAGGCTTTCTGACTGTATGCGGAGTCGAGCTTGCTAGTATCAAACCGAGACATACTGTTGTTGAGGTGATGCGTCGTCCGATGGTAGTCGCCGCTCTGCCATGGGCTGCCAAAGGCCTGAAACAACTTCTTGATCCTGGGTGGCCGAGCGAAGGACGGAAAGTGCGCCATGAAGATGAGCGTCCCACCCTGATGGACGTAGTCGACTGCCATGTCGAGCATGGGAGCGAACTCCTTATTAGTAAGCGCCGCGTCGGTGACGAGTATGATGTCCGGTTTGCTTTGAGAACTGAACATTGCCCGTGCAGCGTCCTTCGTATTGATCTCTTTGACGTTGGCTCCTGCTCTCAGGGCTGAGGTGACTTCACTGAACATCTCGTCGAAGAACGACTCCTTTTCGAGAGATAACAACGTGATGTTTGGTCTACTCTGGCGAGCATCTCTCGCAGTGGCTGTTGTACTGGATGCGCTGGCGGGTCCGGAGAAGGTTGATGGTGTGAAACCACAGACCTGTTTGTGCTGTCTCCAGTCGGCTCGCTGGCACGTCCGGGAGCAATACTGGACGTTATGACAGTTGGCACATTGCCTCAGCATGACATTGTGGTCTGTCGCCGACGCGTTGCAAACGGCACACTGGCCAACCGCCAGACCAGGCAGCTCACCCGCATGAGGCATCGTCCATCAGATCAAATCACAGTTCCCTGATGAGGATGGAGAATAAGTCGTGCACAGCAACATCTTCTGTGAATGTAAGGGGTACGGCGTAGCAGAGTCTCTGATCTTCACTGTTGGCCATTCATACCACTTGCGCTCCACCTCGGCTTGCGTCACTTTCTGTTTATCGCCTCGCGTCTCATCAGGTCGGAGCACGCGCCGGACTTCTCGCTTTCTTCCTCCACAACCAGGCGAGCATCCGAGCAGCATATCGAGGCTCGCTCGCGATGGCTCTGCCCTCATCCCCACCATTGCTACCGGAGGAATACGATCTGCCCTCCGCCACGACACTCCTGCCATTGGCGTCGGGCTCAAGTGTGGCCATTCGCCCGCTGCACCGCAAGCGACAACATTCGGATTATGGCAGCCTGAGCAGTGATCCGCTATTCTCGGACACCACCGAGGAGGACGATGAGGGCATCGACCTCCAACCACCGCGCCGGAAGAAGCTGACTCGCGGTCCGTGGTGGAATGTTGGGCGACGGAGCAAGCATGATCTCAGGCGAAGCATGGCGCGGAAGGAGAAGATGCGCAATGCTGACAGTGGTGTGTGGATGGGGAGTGATGCGAGTGAGGACAGCATCGACAGCGTCATGTCCAGCCAGCAGCGCATGCAGGAATTGGTGGTGGAGGACGAGGGTCCTGCGGATGACACTGAGGCGAGTGATGAAGAAGCGCCTGCCTTGGACGCCGAGACTTATGCCGCTCGAATGGTACAGGACTGCCTGGACAGAGGCAAGGAAGTGGTGAATCTTGGCGATCTGGCATTGACTCGAATACCGGACGCGACCCTTCGACCACTGCATCAGCTTATCCGACCATCTTTCTCAGACCTCACTTCGCCGCCCTCAGAGGATGAATTCGGCCCGTTGACGCCGTCGATCACCCTGATACTGTCTACGAATCAACTCACAACCCTACCAACGGAATTGTTCAACCTAAGCAATATCACAGTTCTGAGTCTGCGAAACAATCATTTGACAGAATTACCACCCGCTATAGCACGACTCGAGAGGCTACAGGAGCTCAACATTGCTAGCAACAATATTCGAGACCTGCCATGGGAGCTACTGAGCTATTTCGAGCGTAACATCAGGATTAACGTGCGGCCGAATCCCTTCTATCAACCTACCGATCTCTTTGCGGAACCGTCACCTGTGCAAGCTGGGGCTAGCACGGACGACGATGGCAGGCCAGACGATGCGGCAAGTGCTGTGGACGACGTAGAAAGCTTGAGAGAGCGTTCTACAAATCACAAGGGCTTGCCTTTACGGGAGGTCCTTGAAACGAGGCTGAGGCTGGGCCGACTGCTGGTCGAGCAACAGTGCCAGACGACTGCGGAAGTAATGAAGCGATCCCTATCGGATGACAGTCTCATATATCTCGCTTCCTCAGCCATCCGGTTTTTCAACGTTGACGGCACGCAATCCCGGCAAACCGGCGCAGCCAGAGTCCAGCCCAAGGACTGGTCGGCTACAGTAACGCCTCTCGCGAACGCGCCCGACCTATCGGGCAGCAACAAGGCCCCGTCTTTGTTTGAGCTGGCTTTACGCTCGATACAGAGCACGAACGACATTTCGGAGTTCCTACCCGGCCATGGTAGTCACGGCCATGACTACGGCCTCTCCTCCTCAATAATGGCCGCATTGAGCAGAGCGGCCGTTAATACTGCGACCCACGGTAACGACACTTGCTCGACATGCAGGAAACGGTACATTGTCGCACGAGCAGAGTGGCTGGAATATTGGTCTCATGGCTCGCACGCCAAACCATTGGCTCCGGATTCTACGTTGCCATTTTTGAGAAAAGCATGCAGTTGGGCTTGTGCTGTGCCGACCGAGGTTGGCACGTTCAGATGATGAGACTCAAGGAGTGCTGGGCGCGCAATGTAGTGTATACGTTGTATAGGTATTCACACAACCTCTTCTCAACGACCAGCATTGCGAGCACGCCTTGAGAGGACATATAATTAATGTTCTCAGGTGCCTTGCGCGATGAGCAAGGAATAAAGAATGCTTTTTGCCTAGGTGGAAGACGGGATTAGATGGCTTTGTATACTCGTGATGCTCTATCAGGCTACTTGTGTCGCCCTCCTGCGAACACATACCATACTCAGCGCTTGTTCGCACTCGAAATGCATCTGCTTGCCTTCCTGGCGCAGACTACTATTGGGAAGCATCTCCTGCTGCCTGAGGCTGTACCTCGTGAGCTGTCAGGAGCATCATGTGACGAGGCCTCCAAGTACCACAACGCCGCGACCTGGACTTCAGCCACACTCAGATCGTTGATCGCTTCTGACCACTTTCTACTTCGAGGCTGTGAACAGGTTCCTGCCAGCCTGTACACTTGCAGCATAAGCGCCCTTCAGCCCAAACTGACTAGCAATGCCCTCGACACGGTGTGTAGAGTTGATGTTCTTGACCAGCGTGATCTGGTAGCAAGTGGCGCTACCTTGACGAGAGATGATGGTGGACCAGGCGAGGAAGAATTCCCAGATCTGCAAGTCACGGTCAGTACACTACTTCGGTCACCTTTCATGAATCAACCGGTGCTTACCCTGAACCATCTCTGGCCGTACTTCCCAACCACCTTCTCCTTATTCGCCATCCAGTTCCTGTACCACCTCCACAGAGTAGCCGAATAGTGAACACCAATCGTATCGATCCCCTTGATCTCAAACCCAGCACCCTCAAGCTTATCCACGAAGAAGCCGAGTGGTGTAGAGGCATCCGCACCAGGGAAGATGTATTTGTTCATGAACAGGCCCCAGACCAGATCCTCATACTGCCAGCTCTTCCTCAACCCCGCGATCTGCAAGAAGAAGACACCATCATCATCCAGCATGTCGTACACTTGTCGGAGGAAAGTACCGAAGTACCGCACGCCAACGTGCTCGGCCATTTCGAGGCACGTGATTTTGTTATAGCCGCCTTCAGGAACGGAGATATCGCGGTAGTCCTTGCACTCGATGCGGGACTGCTCTTCTGTGACACCAGCTTTGCGAAGTCCGTTGTTCCCCCATGCCGTCTGGTTGCGGCCCAGCGTCACACCGGTCACAGCAGCGCCATAATTGACCGAAGCGAACTTGGCGAGGGTGCCCCATCCACAGCCAATATCGAGCATGCGCTCACCAGACTTCAGACCGATCTTCTCGCAGACGACCGAGAGCTTGTTGTCCTGCAGCTGCTCCAACGACTCCTCCTTCTCGATGTCGGAGATGATGCCAGAAGTGTAAATCATGCGAGGACCCAAGAACCAGCCGTAGAAGTCGTCACCACGATCGTAATGATCGCGGACCTGCTCCTCGTCCTGCGACCGCGTGTGCATGATGACCTCAGGCATCATACCAGTCAAGAAGAACCAAAACAAACTCAGGGTGAACCTGAAATTGGCCCAGTCATGTCTATACTCCAGCGCCTCCAACGCATCCCCGTTGAAGTCCACCTCGCCCTTGAAGTACATCTCGTGAAACGTCTCCATCGGGATCTTGTTCCTCCCCCTGTACTTGGCCCTATCGCTGTCCTTCTTGAAGGTGAGGTAGTGTTCCATAGGTGCGCCCGGGTACTTGGCCTTCTCGTTCAGGCGTGGGGACATGGAAGAGGCGACGGTCCAGAAGGCCATGAGGATGGGGATGGCGGTGAGGATGGCGAAGAAGATCCATGTCAGCAGCCCACCCGAGACTTTGTAGGAGAAGTAGCCTGGGATGACGGCGAGGAGGAGGAAGAGGAAGGTGTTGTTAAAGTGTTCGGCGCCGGGGCCATCGGCGGGGAGAGGCGCATTTTTAATGGCTGGATACTAGGCATATGTTAGGGGGAAGGGTCATTTTGCTGTCTGAGGGGTTTTGCTCACCGAAGTCGTCCGCACACCGTAGTTGTTAGCTTCTGGAGCAGGCGAGGGAGCTTTGGGGGTGTCGATGAACTCGAAGGAGTCCTCTGACACAGTGCTAGACATGATTGTGACCTCACCACAATTCGGAGGTTGTGATGGTTGACTGCTGGAAGGAAAAGGAAAATGTGCGATCGTCTCCTCACCAACGAAACATTTATCTGGAGGGGCAAACCCTTGCAATTCTCCTGCAGGAACATGCTCGGCTGTCCAATGGCAATGCACCTCGCCACGTTTTCACTTTCACCAAGCACAGCAACATCGCGAAGAGGACAACGTGGTCAATGTCGCGATGGCATAATTCATGAATACGTGGTATAGTACAAAATAGACCTTCCGTCATGGCCCAAAGCCCAAAACGCTTCACTTCGCTAAAGCTAATGCAAACCCTCGACGCTCATCTTGGCGGCGATGGCATTACTTCGATCCCGCAGGCTTGGTGGCACTAGAAGATCGTCAGCATATACGGCTCCTGGAGGAGATGATGTCCTCCTCACCTATCCCAGAGCTGCCCAAGGAAACCCTTGGCCGGACGATGGGCGTCGAGGCTCTCCTTGCGGCGCTGGTAGGCATCCGGGTTGGCCTCACGCTTGTAGTCGGATAGACCCGCGAACATGCCGGACTGGAAACTGTCAGCATCGATGTTCTGGGCGGCGACGTGATGATGTCGCTGTACGCACGCTGCGTCGCCTGCCCGCTATCGGTGAGCCACCCACTGGCGATTGGGATTTCTTCGTGGTAGTGGAGTTCATGTTCACTCGTTGCTGGCTCAGAATGATGGCGTTGGTGGAAGTGCTGTAGATTGATTGACGAGCGGTCACAGGAAGGTACTTGGTGTGCAGAGAGAGAGGGATGTTGGCAGATTCTGGTAACAGGCGTATTCGAGCTCTATATACCACTCCAGGTCATGACGAGCCAGACCACTCGTCAGGCATCACCGCACCCACCTCCGTCTGGCGCATGTGCTACAAACGGGCCCTTAGATGCGATGGTGAAGGCGAGACGAAGCACTAATCAGATCGCCCACAAGCAATTGGACAGAAGGCAATCTATACGGGGCGATCTAACAGACCCAGATCGACGAGATCCAGATCTGACGGTAACGCCCACAGCATCGGCCGAGATCCAAAGGCTATGTACGATACGATGCCTGGAACATGCGTTGTAGAGTTGGTCCGCTCGCGTGTCAGCTGGCGGCGCTCGGTACGTCATGCATTGAAGATGAAGATCGAAAAGTCTATTATTAAGGCACGTGATGACTCGATCAGAGTAGCCAGGGGACGGTCGAATGACACCCCGGAAAAAGCTTGGTATGTGGGCTGGATGGCATTGAATGTTTCTGCTCAATTCCGCCATATCCTCACAGCTTTATCCTGTCCACCACTACCCACCCGCTGGCCGTCAGGCGCCCAGTCGACCGCGAAGACTTCATCCTGATGGCCGGGCAGATTCTCCGCGAGCTTGCCTGTCCGTACGTCCCAGGCTTTGAGTGTAGTGTCCTGTCTCGAGTCAGTGAAGTTCTCGAAATATGGAAGGCCATCGGCGACATACCTTCGACGCGCTCACCAGCAACCGACTGTCTGGCGAGAAAGCACACTGGTACACTGGTCCTACATGTCCTCGCAACGTACTGATGAACTTCCCATCCTTCGCATTCCACAATTTGACATGATTGTCGAATCCAGCGCTCGCTATCGTTGCGCCGTCGGGACTGAACGTGACGTGGTTCACCTGCTTTTGATGACCGACCATCCGTTGTAATGGTTTGTTGCTGTTCGATGGCTCCCAGAGGTACATTGTGCAATCATCGCTGGCGCTTACGAGTCTTTCCACCCCTCCCGCCGGCGCAAGTGCAGCATCGTATCGCTCTTTCGCTTTCTTGCGCTTCGCGTCCACGGTGTCTGGAACTGCCTTACGGCCTTGATGATCATGGTATGCTGTCCGCAGGACGTGATCCGTAGAAAGCGCAAGATGATTCACCCAGTGTGCATGTGCTGTAAGTGTGTGTAGAAGCGTGCCCGTTGCCGATGTCCATATCTTCACTGTCCGATCCTGCGACGCCGTGTAAATGTTTCCAGCACCTCCCCACTTCACAGTTGTAACCGAGCCTTTGTGGCCTGTGAGAGCCATATCTGTGTGACCACTCACGGCATCCCATATTCGCACGGTATAATCCTTCGATGCAGATGCCAGACGTGGTCGACCAGGTTCTCGTAGATGGTACGGCTCCCAGCATATACTCGTGATCCACTTCGTGTGACCTTTCAACGCTCCACCCAGCGGCGTGCCTTTCTCTGGGTCCCATAATCTCACGGTGTTGTCCATACTGCCTGTCGCCAGCACCCCATCATCCGGTGACCATGCCACTGCCAGAACCCACCCTGTGTGCCCTTTCAAGGTATGTAAGGGTGTGCCTGTATCGCAATCCCATATCCGTGCCGTCTTATCACCGCTCCCAGTCGCCAGTCGAGACGAAGTCGCAGGAGAGAACTGGGCAGACAGGATCGACTCGCCATGCCCAGATACACTCGCCGAGCACCTCGTCACGGCCTTGACCTTGAACACCGCCTCCGCACGACATGGAATGTTCAGTTGCAACTCGGTCGTCGTCGTGCCATCCACATATGCCTTGATGATCTGCTCTTGGTTGAACTCGCCATCGCCGAGTGGGTTGTAGAATCGGTAAGGTAATCGATCGGCTGGATCTGTCTTTCCGAGCAGACTGTTGAGCAAGAGTGACAAGTTTTGCGATCGCAAGTCCGCTAACGATACGCTGACCACTGGACCTTGTGCTGCGCCGGTATCTGCATCGCGGAATTGTATTCGCTGGAGGCCTTCGGGGATGGTGGGCTGTTCGACAGGGTCGCGGGCACGGGCAGCATCGTCTCGCTTCTGTCGCTTGGAGGGGGGAGGGAGGACGGTGGCCATGGTAGTCGATTGTATGTCCACAACGGTATGGGAGTTGGAAATGTAGATGTTGGTCCTGGGACACCGAATCGAAGGGCTTTCACGTGCTCGACACCAATAATTTTGGATTTCTGCCGCGATGATGGGGCTTCACCGCTTTCGGCACTGTGCAAGCCGAGGGGAGCGCAGCATACAGTACAACATCGATCGCACTCCTATCCCCTCTGACACATGTCAATCGCCAAACATCTGCGTTTGGGCTGTGGGAGATATCGATGTATGACCCGTACTGCCTACCGAGGTGGGCGAGATGGTCCGCGACATCTTTTCACAGCGTGATGATACCACGCCGTCTGAAGCCACACCGGCATACGGTATGTATCGTTGAACCACGGTTGCTACAGTACGCGTCTGAACTTCCGCCTCTCCAGAGGAGCAGCCACCACGTTACCTTGAGGAATGTCCCCTGATTGAGGTGGCTGTCGTCGATTGTGGTACGACAGCATGAGTTGCTAATCCTTCGCCCCCACGCTTTCCAGCTTCCTCAAGCTCGTTCTGATGCGACAAATACGGTATTGGATGCTCATGGAAAAACAGTGAGGTGGAGATGTGGTTATGAACCACGGGGAGACGCGTGCTGTGGCCGCGCTTGCCATTTGTGGCAGCTCAAGATGGGAGGTGACGTCCAGATACGCGTTCCACGACTTCATGTCTGCTTCCGCACCTTTCCTTTCTCCTTCCTCTCCCTCGCCATACTCCCACCCCGACGGCAACATGGCAGCTAGCAAGCGCACCAGGACTTCGTACACGACCGCTCCATCCGTAAGCCGTGGCTCGACGTCCTACAGTGGTGGTACCCAACGAACCATTACCAAACAGCTGTTCGGTACCTCCAATCTTCTGAACAGGGCGATCACTAGCACGACCACCCCATACCACACGACTAATGACTACGGGACGACAGACTCTCGGCCTCGCACGGGATACCACAGTACAGCAAGACCGACCACTGGCCGACCAAGCACCGCACGTCCCCGTACTGGCGTAGCCACCTTGGGTGCCGAGAATCAGGAAATTGTCTGCGCTGTCAGTGAATCTCGTGGGATCTCGCCAACTGTGGGCCTGGCGTTTATCAATCTCGATACCGGCGAAGCAGTTCTCAGCCAGGTCAGTGACAGCCAGACATATGTCCGAACGGTGCATAAGCTCATGGTCTTCAACCCGTCAAACATCCTCATCGTCTCTACGGCGTCCAATCCAAAGTCGAAGCTCTTCTCCATCATCGAGGACAGCCTTGGTGATATCGGCAGTAATCTGACCCTGTTGGACCGCCGTTACTGGGCTGAGACCACAGGTTTGGAGTATTTACAGCAGCTTCCCTTCTCCGAGGATGTGGAAGCATTGAAGACTGCAGTCAGTGGCAACTACTATGCAGTCTGCTGCCTAGCGGCAGTGCTCAAGTACGTCGAGCTCGCGTTGTCGAAAGTGTTCCCCTACCGCTCCCTTCGGATTAAGTATGAGCCGTCTGAAGGCTCGATGATGGTTGACCTGGCCACCATTCAGTCTCTCGAGCTTGTTCAGAATTCGCACAACGCGAAGTCGAGAGACTGCTTGTTCGGGCTACTCAACGAGACGCTGACGCCCATGGGCAGCCGTCTGCTACGAAGCAACATCTTACAGCCTCTCACAAACCCCGAGACGCTCAACGTCCGCTGGGAGGCGCTGGAAGAGCTCAGCACGAAGGAAGAGATGTTCTTCGGCGTCCGCACAGCTCTCAAGCCATTCCTTGACGTGGACAAGATGTTGACACAGCTCATCCTCGTGCCTCTTCAACCCAGCATTAGCTACACCGAGCAAGCCACCAATAATGTGATCATGTTGAAGTCCTTTCTAATGCTCATCAAACCTGTCTTCGAGGGTCTTACTGGCGCGCGCTCTTCGATGTTACTGGAGATCCGCAGCATGTGTGCATCGGACACGGTGGACCTCATCTTAGAGCTCATCAACAAGTCGATCAATGAAGACACACAGCATGCCAACCAGCCGCTCGATCTTCGCAACCAGCGGACATATGCAGTCAAATCTTGTGTCAATGGACTTTTGGACGTGGCTCGCATGACATACAAGGAGGCCATGACCGATGCTCTGCAGCACATTACTGATCTAGCCGACGAGCACAAGCTGGCACTACAGACGAAATTCGACAACACTCGTCAATTCTATATAAAGCTTCGTGCCGAGGAGCTCGAGGACCGCAACTTGCCAGCAGTCTTCATCAACGTCTTTCGCAAGAAAGACATGATCGAATGTCAGACCCTCGATCTCATGAAGCGCAATCAGAAGATCGCGAATGCTCACAGCGAAGTCTTGGTGATGAGCAGTCAGACCGTCGAGCAGCTGATCACAGATATCAGAGAGCACATGTCAGCATTGTTCAAGATCTGCGAAGGCCTTGCTATGCTCGATATGTTGGCCTCCTTCGCACAAGTCGTCACAAGCCAGGACTATGTGCGCCCAGTGATTAGCGAGACTCTCGCCGTCAGTGCAGGCCGCCATCCCATCCGTGAGAAGATTCACAACACTAAATACATACCCAACGATGTCTACGCTACACAGCAGACTCGCTTCCAGATCATCACCGGCTGCAATATGAGCGGCAAAAGCACCTACATTCGCTCAGTCGCTCTGGTGACGGTCATGGCGCAGATCGGCAGCTTTGTGCCAGCTCAATACGCTGCTTTCCCGATCATTCGCCAGCTCTTTGCGCGTGTCTCAATGGACGACAATATTGAGGCCAACGTGTCCACGTTCGCTGCTGAGATGCGTGAGACAGCTTTCATTCTTCGCAATGTCGACAAGCAGAGTATGGTGATCGTGGATGAGCTTGGGCGCGGTACGAGTACTCGCGATGGACTTGCTATCGCACTAGCCATTGCAGAGGCGTTGGTGGAGAGCAGAGCGCTAGTCTGGTTCGCTACGCACTTCCGGGACCTCGCAACGATCATGTCCGAGCGCAGCGGCGTCGTCAGCCTGCACCTAGCCGTCGATACGACCCAAGAGGATAAGATGGAAATGGCATACCGCATTGCTGCAGGCACAGTCCAGGAAGAACACTACGGCCTCAAGCTTGCAAGAGTCGTGCCCTTGCCAGCTGATGTAATACAGCATGCAGAGCATGTCGCCGCCACACTCGAAGAACATATGAGGCAACGCAAGAAGCGCTCGCTTGCGATTGTGCAAGCTCGACGCCGTAAGCTGCTGCTGAATTTGAAAGAGCACCTTGTCCAAGCCAAGAATGGGACTATGAGCAGCGACGATCTCGGACAGTGGCTGAAGGGCCTGCAGAAGGAGTTCGTGATCCGGATGACTGCTTTGGACGAAGAAGCGCGCAAGGCCGAGCTTGGTCTGGAGGATGACCAAGAACAAGACGAGGCGTGCAAGGATGAGATTGGGTCGGACGGCGGTGTTGTCGCTGTAGAGACGAGTGTCGAAACCGCTGAAAGGCAAGTCGAGCGTGCTATCACGTCCTCATCGCAGTTGGTGCAGAGCGGGAGTCTGCGGTATGTGGATGCAATCGAATCGGGGTTCTCGCGTGAATCCTGTGAGATGCTGAGCATTCATGGCTGAGGATGCAACGCTGATCGAAAGATAGTGGCGAAGCGGGAAGAGACCTGGGGGAAAGACGACAGTGGCTGGCTTCGCTCCGGTGTGCTCGTTGTAGCGGTAACGCAGCGATACATTATGCCCTCTTTCCAGTGCGCAATGGATTGTATAATCAGCCCTATTCCATCCATAGCCTTGCCATGGGAAATACCACTCTCCACACTCAATCTAAACCATCAGCAACATCCTAACCCTCTCCTGTTGCTCAGCCCGCACCCCACACCTCTCAAGATACTTCCCAATCCCACCATACTTCTCCTCCACCCAACCACACACCCTCCCCGCCCACCCCTCCTCACAATCAGCAAAACTCTCTGGTAGCCCAATCGAAGCAATCTCCTTGACCTTATCCTGCCGCTCAGGCAGAAGTTCCTTCTCACTGAGCATATAGTCTCGATCGATCGCCTCGAGCGGCACATCACACAACATCAACACCAACAACACCGTCAGCCCGGTTCGGTCCTTGCCCTGCGTACAATGGGCCAAGAGCGGATAGCATTTCTCGTCACTCAGCAGATCGAAGAGCGCTTTCACCTCGCCACCGCAGTGCTCGAGGCTGTCCTCCGCTAGACCTGAGAGGCCTCGAGCGGCCAGCACGTTCGTGCCGAGAATGGAGATGGCTTCTTTGTGGTAGCCGAGGACGTAGAGGGAGTAGAGCTTTGCTCGCTGTCGCCAGCTGAGTTGTTTGAGGAGGGCGTTGCTGTAGGGCTTTCCGTTCAGATCGACATCGACGTACTTGATCCCTTCTATCCTTAAGGTGGCGGGCACAGCATGGTCGCTGCTATCCACCCCGGGGTCAGGATTCAGTGAAGGCAGAGCGGCCGTCTCGCCCGCTGTAGGTGGTCCAGGAGGGCCGGATTTCTGTCTCGCGGCGAATTTGCCCTTAGCCTCGCTGTGTTCGGTTTTGGTTCGTAGGTCGATGATGGTTTTCAGTTTGATTTCGTCAAGAAGAACTTCTCGGTCGTGGTTGGATGCTGCGTCTGGTCTTGCACTCCTGTATAAAAGGCCTGGTTTCAGGATATCCCGGCTAGTGGTGTGGTTGATGAAGGTTCCGAGGTCACGGAAATTGATAATGTTGTCGAACGTATGGCCACCTGGAACGCTGTTGGGCGTAGCCATGATGTTCTGCCTGGCTTCCTCTGTATGTCACGTGCCGGTTGTTGAGTTTAGGGTGGTGTGGAAGAGATAGGAAAGCACGCAGCCAAGAAGGGTAATGGATGAAGCGGTCTAGAATCAAGGAAAGCCATCGCGGCTACAAACCTTGTGTCGATCCTCCACGTCGCGTTGACGGCGGGCGATCATTAGATGGCAGCAATATACTGTATGTGACAGGTGTTGGCATATCGATGAGATAGAGTTCAAGCAGCTCGCCCACGAGCGTTATATGTCCTGCAGATGCAAGTGATGTCTGGCAGGGAGACAGCCAAGGCCAGAAGGAATGGCAGAGTGGATGCCGGTCGAACGATTCGTCTATTATTATTGGCGCACGGAGTCCGCGGAGCGAAGGTTCGGGACCATGACGTACTGTTTTGGTGGCAGTGTGACGAAAGCTTTGAGCCGACGATGATGGCTGTTCGTGCCCTTCTCTCGTCTCCATGTGATGCGCAGTAACACAGTCTGACCAGGTCATTTCTCTCGACCCAAGCCGTGACAGTACAATTCGACACCGCATACATCGCCGACCACACAAGGCCATCTCAGCTCGAGCCGAGCTCCACGCCCCAGCGATCGAGCACGCATCGCAATGGTGAATACGACGCGAGCGGGTGAGATGCCCTGTCCGGATCCCTCGGCGCATGGCCACAGTCACAAGCTGTCCGAGCAGGCATCGACGGCGGCACTGTATGCCACCGATCCGGCGAGGCACACAAACCCGAGGGAGGGTGTTCTGGGTCAGGACGGCAAGCTTTCGTCGAAGAGTAGGTCCATCGTCATCACCATCTGCCTGACCTGCAAGCTGACACATGGCGACAGGTGCGGCAGCATCACTAAAGTATGCGCGGGCACAAGACCTTCCCAGCTTCCCATCTCGTGGCCTGGAAGCCAACTCGGCAGGAAAGGCTGCGTTATTGGCCAAGGACTACAAGATGGATGAGCTGTGGCAGCCCGAGCTGAGCTCAGCAGGTTCACGTGCCGCGCTGCTGGCCCACAATAAGGGTGCAGATTTGAACCTGTGGCAGCCGACGGCCAGCAGCGACGGCAACAGCGCTGCCGTTCTAGCCATGCGCAAGAAAGGCTTGAGTCCGGAGCTGGATCGTGGATACACCGTCGACGGCAAGAAGGGTGCGCTCATGGCTGCGAGCCTCTCCGTCCACCGCAATACCGAGCAGAAGCCGGCCGTGGAGATGAAGAACAGCTACCCCGATGCCAACAACGCCAGCTTCAATGCTCTGAATGCGGCGACGAGGAGCCACGGCACCGGGACACTCAAGGACAGAGCTGCGCCCGATGGGTGGAACAGCGATGCTATGCAGGCGGCTCGGGTCAAGAACTTGGGTGCGAACATGGACCCTGCCATGTTCACCGAGCGTCCACCAGTCGAGATCGAGCAGGAGGAGCTCCGACACAAAAACGCCCTCCAAGCCAGCGCCGTCAGCATGGCCAAACAGATGTATGAGCTCCAGAACCGGACGGCACTTCGAGCAGATCTCACAGGCGCGGACTCGGCAAGTGAAGCGGCTGCAGCACGCCAACCGGCAAGTTCGCAGAAGGATGTCAAGCAGGAGGCGTTGCGCTACATCAATCTACAAGATGCAGCGCACAAGCTTGCACAGGAACGGCTGGCCAAGGTAGACAAGAACTTCGAGGAAGCTAAGTACCGCGAGTACTATGGCTACCCAGATGAGAAGCAGCAGACCAGCCCGAAGAAACTCGCCGGAAACCGACTATCGATGCGTAGCCGTGGTCGTAGACGCGCAGGTAGCGATGCCGACCTGGATGATTCGGACGACGAGGAGCAGGCACGCAAGATCAGGAGTCAGATGACCCAACTCAATACTGGCCTGAGCGGCGTGGACGACAAGAAGCGCAACGAGGACCGTGCGAGACTGATGGCTGCCGCAGAGAAGAATGTTCACGGTCGCATGCACGATATGGATGAGAAAGTCTTCGCAGACACTGGCAAGGTCCCACCAGCCATGATGGAGGAATGGGAGACCAAGGCACGAAAGCGAGCACAGGAAAATCGCGAAATGCAAGCGCAGCACCCTGGTAAGACCCACATTGGCGGTGGTAAGTTCATCGACCAGAGTGAGATCGAAGCCATTGCTGCTGCTCGTCTGAAGCCTACGCTTGATGAGATCACTGCTACGGCAGAGAAGAAGCGCGCCCGTGATAAGGAGATGCAGGAGATGAAAGAGGAGCACGAAGCGAGTAAGAGAGAGGAGAAGCAGAAGCAGCGCGAGGAGAAAGACGAAAAGACAAGGTTGAAGAACGAGGAGAAGGCTGTCAAGCAGCAGGAGAAGGATAGGATCAAGAGGATCGAGGCCGAGGAGAAGGCACGCAAGGCGGGAGAGCAGCGCAAGAGCCGGGAGATTCGGCGTGAGCCCGGTGAGGTCGCCGCGGGAAGTGTTGTGGGCACTGAGGGCGAGGAAGACACGGTGGAGACGTCGAGACAGGAGAAGAGGCAGAGCACTCTTGGTAGACTCACGAGCAAGCTGAAGCGGAACAAGAACAAGGATGAAGGTCCGATGGATGAGGAGAAGGTTATTGAGCCTAAGCATGAGACTGCGACTACCACTGCTGCAGTTGCTGGTACTGCTGGTCTAGCTGCAGGAGGAGTCGTGGTGGCTGGCGAGGGCAATGCTGCGCACCCTGATGCAGCTGAGCAGTACAACGACCCAAATGTGGCCGCCGGGAACGAGTCGCGAGATGATGCTGTACCAACTATCGTGGAGCCTCCGACACTCGTAGCACCCGTCGCCGAGCGCCGCGCACCTCCACCAACCATGTTGCAGCACATGGGCAGCTACAACGAGCCTTTGTCGACAGCTCCTTCCGGCGACCATGCTGACCTCGAGCGCCATATTTCGCATATAGTCGACAGCGATCCCGAATCTGGTCTCGACGACGATGATGACGATGACGATGAACCACAAGATGAGCTCGACGTCATCTCGAAGCACATGGACAGATTGGGCTCCGCTGGATTGGCTAAGAACCATAATGAGCTTGCCGAGAAGGGCAAGCAGAAGGTTGCTTTGGACTCTGAGGCATTGGCTGCCGGTGCTGGTGCAGCTGCGCTCACTGGCGTAGCTATGCGAGACCATGAGGCCGAGAAGACACCTGCGGGCACGATTGACCAGTCCCAGCCTGTGACGCAGACTACTGGCTCGGTCCCGGCTAGCCAGGGTGAGCATCCTTTCGTTGCAGCTGGACCTCACACAACTCTTATGGGTAACGTTCTTGACCCGAATATCAGCTCTCCAGCAGATACTGCTGCCGGAGAGACTACTCGCCTCGCTAGCACTGTTATCGCCGATCCTGCTTCGGAGACCATCGGGCCACACGAAAGCAATGTCGCCAACGTGGTCGACCGTCGTGTGCAGCCCGAGCCATCGAAGCAAGTCAGCCGAAACCTCGGCGACGAGACAGGTCCTGCTCCCAACACAGCCGGCCCACACCAAAGCGACATAGCCAACGTCGTCGACCCACGAGTCAAGCCCGGGCCAGAGCAGCTCAAAGCTCGCGAGAAGCAAGCCGAAGGCAAGTCCGCTGTGAGCAACGAGCCCACCCGAAAGGAGCAAAAAGGTGTCCTTGGCTTCTTCAGCAAGTTCAAGAAGGATCGCAAGGAGCCGGGTCGTATCTCGGGCATGTCTGGCAGTGGAGCGGGTGCTCGTGAAGCCAAGCCGAGTATCGATACAGTCGGCTCTGGCTCTAGTAGCGGTGAGGTGCGTCCCACGAAGCCGGAGCTCGTGGATGCTATTCAGCGTTACAGCCATGAGGATCAAGGCCGCAATGAGTTGGGCGCTAGCACGAGTGGGACACAACATGCCGGACACGTAGGGACCGATGGACCTATCGGCGACACTTCAAAAGTCTCTGGCGTTGACGGCAAGGCTGGTGCGGTGGAGCCCGCGCTAGCTGAGCCGGTGAGCCCAGTCAGCGCCTCCTCCTTCCGACGCCACGACCACGAGTCCCGCGATCTCGACGATGTCTCCTCCTCTGGTCTAGAAGAAGAGGACCTCGACCGCGGACGTGGGGGTCGTGGTTCCAAGCCCAGCAGCGGTGGGGGTCTGCTAGGCAAGCTTGGGCTAGGCAAGAACAAGGACAAGGAGTCTACTGCGCCTATTGCTGGTGCATCTACCGCCGACACTGCCCGCAACAACAGTGCTGGGGAGACGGACGACAATCAGTTCGAGGAGGCGAGGGATCATTTCGATGAGACGCTTGCGCCGCCTCCGGCTTTTGGGGGGCAGATGAAGAGTTCGAGCCCCGTGAGGAGTACGAGGTTTCATGAGGAGGTATGAAAGGGAAAGTAGGTATATGGAGGGGCGTGGGAGGTCCTGGAAAAGCGGCGGTTGTGGTAATATCTGGTATTGATCTGTGGTGGCATTTGCGATTGCTTTCATGATCGCTTGGTTGTAACTAGGATACCATATGCTTGAGGCGTTATGTACCACTTTAAGTGCAGTGTTTCATCTCTTGATGTGACAAGAGCTCCTGTTGTTTGAGAGACCATTTCTTAGCTTGTGATGTTCAATTGGAGATCCAGGGAGGCTTGGATCTCAAATGAAATGGCTTCAAACTGTAGTCAATCTGTCGAATACTGTAGGACTGATATCATGTACAATGCAAGATCGCTGAAAATGCTACAAGATCTTCCCTTCTCTTTTCAATCCAAAGTGGAACTCCATGAGTATCATATGCATAGATTAAATCAAGTTTCAACCATCCAAGCCATGCCACAAAATCACGAAATCTAAGAAAGCATCGCCACGGCACCTGCTGCCAGACCAATCGCGGCCCCGAGCGCAGGCATCACGCTACCAGCGCTTGACGACTTGGTTGCAGACGCAGCACTGCCACTGCTGGTAGCAGAAGCCTGCCCATTCTTGCCAGTCGAACTTGCCGAGGCCGAAGAACTGGCACTTTGTGCGTTGGAATCCCCGTTGAAGTACGGGATGTTCTTGGGAGCCGAGTAGGTCACGTTCTCGTTGATGCAGCCGTTCTCCATGATCGGGAAGACGTATGTCGTCGGGTCAGAGACGTTAGACGGGATGTAGCCATCTGCTAGACCACGGCGGTAGGACCACGCATCAATGTCGTACTCGGTCTTCCACGCCCAGAAGTACCAGCCGATAGATGCCTGGCCAGGTGCATTAGGTGCATAAGCGGCGTTCTGGGCTTCGAAAGCCATGCGGAACCAAGTTCGTTTGTCTTGATCTTCTTCGGTCTGGGAGGTCGAGTTGGCGGTGTAGCCTGTAGACAAGCTGAACTCGCCAACGAGAGTTGGTGGGATGCCGCTGTTGTTTGTCTTGATGGTCTGACCGAACTGGCAGATGCGTTCAAGGATGGCTTCCTTGCCAAGAGTGTCAAGAGGCGGGAAAGCCCAGAACTGGTGGGTGTCGAGTGTCACGTACGGAGCTGGCGATTGTGCCTGGGAGTTGTACGGGTCGTAGTTCTTCCAGGTGGGAGGGTTGTAGAACGCATCGTGGATGGTGGTGTTGATGCCGCTGGAGTTGGCAGGTCCGACGACCTTAGCACCAGCTGTGTAGAACTCCTGCAGAGGCGCGTTTGCGAATATGGGCTCGTTCATGAGCTCAATGTTCGTCACCACGCCACCATACTGCGACTTCGTGAACTCTGTCGTCAAGTTCTGGAGCACTTTCAAACTTCGGTCCGAGTTGGATGAGTTGGCCGGGAACTCGATGCCTCCGACGATACCGGATTCCTCCCAGCCGTTCTGCGATCCAGGTACTCCGTGGAGATCGATCATGGCCTTGAGGCCAAGTTCGTTCGCCCATTGAATTGCCTGCACGAGGTACGGATACTGACCAGACACATACGGCTCAAAGTCCAGGAGATCCACAGCCCAGTAGCCGAGAGGAATACGAATAGCAGTCAATCCAGCCTTCTTGATCGCCACCAGATCATCTCGTGTGTAGAAAGTTCTGCAACATCGTCAGTACAGTGGCGGTCATGGTCAGTATTGGTGGCACTCACGACCAGTGGTTCTGCAATTGTGAGAGTGCTTCGTCTTTGCCAAGCGCGCTACATAACGCCCATTCGCTCGTGGTGTTTGTCTTCTCGAATACTGAAGGCGTCATCCTGGTCCTGGTCAGTATCATGCAGTACGACCGGCTCGCGCATCCGTTGCATATGCGTCCGGCGTACTCACCATGGTTCTGTGACCAGCCAACCACCAAGATTCACACCGCGCACAACACCATCCGCGACAGCCGCAGACGCGCATGCGAGCACAGCGCCCGCGATCCCCGTCTTGTACATGGCTGGTAGGTGCGGGCTCTGAAGAAGTCCGGAGTGTGTAGAAGAACGAGCGTATATAGAAACAACCAGCAACGACTGTGTGCCCACGCTGATACTTGTCAATACGAAATTGAAGGCGCGCCCAGCAAGCAAGAAGTGAATGTAGTGAAGAGCAATGGCGTTTGGTGAATCTCGCCTTCCATCGGCACCCCTGTGGAGATGGACAATTGTGGCGTGCGGTCCAAACGCGCGGCTCGTTGAATAGAAGACTACCGAGAGAGGAAAGGCGTCCGCCGAGCCTCACAATTCACCAGACATGATTCGCCAGGAACTCTCCGTGGAAGGGATCTAAATCAAGCAATTCCGCTTAAAGCGGCTGCGCATTGTTTCCGGGAACGCATGGCAACTTTGATCGTGCTAACGGCTCGCTGTGGCAACGATGCCAACAATTATAATGGAGATGACAGAAATTCTTTTTTATGCGTAACATGCCAGGCCCAGACCTAGACTCCCGTTAGCCGTGTCAGATGTCACACTTGCTGCACCTGCAGAGCGTTCCATCCTTCGGCTTGACTGATGTCTGCTCACAGCTGGAAGACATCAACCGTTTCTGCACTGTACTCTTCAGCGAAGAAAATTCCATATCTCGACATGTTATGAGGAAGCCAGCAAAGCGTGTGATCACAAAAGCAGCACGAATTGTTGAAGTATTATGAGCCAATTGTTAAGTGTCTAACTAATTACCTGAGGGAGCATAAGAGTTCTTATACCCGTCTAATCATGAGTCAGATTAACAAGCTAATGGTTAGTTCAATGGTTAGTGGTTCACATTGCAACACGAATTGACTGCTATGATGGTAAAGCAGCATTCCATCAGTGGGACGAACTACACTCTACGGGCCGCCTGCCGGAAAAGATACCTCGATTGAAGAGCGGATGAACAGTCCACCTACCGACCGTGTAACGCAGACGATCGCATCTGATAGTAGCGCTTATAAAAGTACCCGTACATGATCTGCGTCACTGCATCCCAAGACCGCAATGTCGTGACGGCCAGACACTCTCGGCTGCCCTCATGCTGTTCGACATTGGTGCTCGGCCCTTCTTGGACGTGTCTAGAAGTACCGGGTGCGTTTGCACGTACCAACAATGGACCTTCCAGAAGTGTTTGCTTTGAGGAGGCATCGACGTATAAGAAGCAGTGCTCCCAAAACTCCGCGAGCCTTGGCATATACGGCGGTAGCAGGATGTCCTCTATTTGCTCGAGCAGCTCCGTCGGGAGGCGGTCGCTGGCAATCTTGTTCAGCAGCATCTGCGTGCAAAGGCGCCTCTTCTCCGTGCACTGTTGTGTTCGTCTTGGCGACTCGTACCCGAAGTGTTTCAAGGCCTCTCCTGGCGTGCTGAGCTTACGTACGACATCAAGCGTCCATGGCACGCTACTCATTTGACGCCGGTTCAAGCAACGGAAAAGGGCAGCGGAGTGGAAGTAAGGGACTGCTCCACAGTAGAGAGTGAATGCTAGTGGAGGTCGCGTGTTGCCCTTTTCTGCTGACCAGACGCTCTCTATAACACTACCAGATAGGTCCTCGAAGGATTCGATCTTCAGTCCGTCGTTGTCAAGGCTGATATTGCGCCACATCTCTGCGGCGGTGAAGCTGTCTTCTGCATCCTGCTTGCTTGCGCTTCCCTCGCCACTAGCATCACTATTGATGGCGGGGCCTGGCAAGTCTATGGGATCGTCAAAATCGTGCTCGACATCATTGCGGGCGGCTGGATCTACAGCAGGATAGAGAGCAGGCGAAAAGCCAACATCATTCCTCCTAATCAGATCAGTCTGGGTCCATGTATGTCCCGCACTCCTCCATATCCTAAGCATTTCCTCATGCAGCTTTTCGGGTTGCTGGCGAGTAGCTGTAACAAGGTCGGTCGGAGACATCCGCGACACGTCACCAAAGATGTTCGCAGGATCGAATTCAACGACCGCCACACCCTCGGCTTCCCAGTCAGCTGCATCGATGACAATGATACAGCCTTGATATGCTTCCCGTGGTGGCGGACTCCACGTCTCAACGAGTCTAGGCCAGATGCCATTACGGTTGCGCCATTGAACCTCATGGCGTTGGTGTTCAACGCACTCTAAAGCGTTACTAAATCGGTGGCCATAGACTTCGTACCGGCAGTATGCATCTGTATCATTGACGGAGAGGCAGGAAGCAATCTTCGCCGCCAAATCATGATCGTGACCATCCCCAATCACATTTTGTAGAATATAGATCTGGAACGGAAACGATGGGATACCTTCGTGTAGCTTATCAGCTCGTTGTTGCCATGCTAGTGTGTTATTCGCGTCGGTGTGGTCCTTGATAATCGTTGTCCTTATGCCGTCAGGGTATTGCTGAAAATCTATTTCCTGCGCCGGTCCTCGTAGCCGTGTCTGTATCGCACGACGTCGCCTGACGTTCACCTCCATGATTTGCCGGGACCCTACAGACTATGGGTTGGTTCGCCACGGCTGATGGTGCTGTCTAGTGGAGTACAAGAAGTCTTCTTGCATAACTGCCTGTATCTGTTACGGTACGTCCTCGACACTACTCGTAAATCATCCCATTATCGATTCAGAAACCTGCGATGAGATATTGCCTCTGAAGATGGCAAAGGATGGATGCGTGGATTCGCATGAGACAGCTTTCGACCTTCGCTTGGTCAACCACATGCGGAGCTAGCGGCCACCCGCAGAGTCACGTCCGTGTTCGACGAAGACGATTTCACCGCGATATCGCGATGGCGAGCAGATGGTGAAGAACGCATTCTCGCACTGTAATCTAGTGCCATCATGGACTCCCCTCGCTTTCCTCCCCCCGGCGCACACCCAGGCACACTACATTATATACCTGACAACCTCGCAGCATTCGAGCCAACCAAATCGCTCTCGCAGGCTGGGAATGTCAACATGCTGATATGGATTGGTGGCATGTTTGATACTTTCCTGTCCGTTGCGTATCCATTCAAGATTGCTGAGGCCCTGCCGCCGACATGGAGCTTGATGACTGCCTCCCTAGGCTCGGCCGGGAAGAGCTGGGGTGTAGGCAGCATTGCTCAAGACGCAAAGGACATCGCCAAGATTGTAGCATATGTGAAAGAGCGAAGACCTGGTGGTAAGATCGTGATCATGGGCCACAGCACAGGATGCCAGGATTGCATGGAATATGTAGTCGGGGCGAAGGCAGGTGAGCGGCCTGCTGTAGAGGGGGTGATCTTGCAAGCTCCAGTATCAGATCGACAGGCTCTCGAAGCACAGCTGCCACAAGCCTTCATGTACGAAGCGAACCAGCTAGCTCTGAAGATGTGCCGTGAGGGCCACGAAAAAGATGCAATGCCAAACCGACTTACTGTGTCAGCATTCGGGCGGATAGCTATCAGTGCTCAGCGATGGGTCGACATTGCCTCACCAGGACCTGATCATGCCGGAGCGGACGACTATTTCTCGAGTGACCTACCAGATGCGAGGCTGAAGAGCACATTTGGCAGGTTCTCACCAACCACGCCGCTACTGATTCTGTACAGTGGCAGTGATGAATCAGTGCCCAGCTCGGTCAACAAAGACGAGCTCGTCCACAGATGGATCAACATTGTGCAAGAAGGTGGAGGCCACGTTGATCAGTACAACGGGTCTATCGTGCCCGACGCAACACACAATCTGAATGGCTGCGCTGAGAAGGTGGTGCGAGACCTGGTCCAGAGAGTCGTGGGCTTCGTAGCACGACTGGACAATGGAGATTTCAATCCGCAGAGTCAGGCGTCACGTATATGATGACCAGTACAGACGCAGTAATGATCGATGATGACTCTGACAAGCGCTTCAAATTCAGCTTCGTTCGGTTTACTCGATCTTCTCCCACCGCAGAACACCTCGCGTCCTGCTGCCGTCCTACCAAGTCAGATTAGCTCGACTCGCACGTACATGAGATAAATTGGCCTACCTCCATGACCATATCCCTCTCGGGCTGCAGAACCATGAAGGACTTCCCACCCTCCTCAGTCAACTCCGCTCTCCTGACCTGCAAACTTCCGGCCTGACTAGGATCCGTACTGATGTCAACTCTCGTCTCCCAGTACAGCCCCTTCTCATCCTCGAATAGCTTCAGATAGCCGCAATACATACTATGACCACGAGCTACATACGCCACCTCAGCATCCCCACCTTCTTGCCATGCTTTGCCTGATGGTAAGGATTTGACTCGACCAGGATTAGTGAGATGTGCTGAGAGGTAACCATTCCGCGAGATTTGTACCCGACCTAGCGGTACGTCGCCGTGAGGTTTGGCCACGAGCTTCTTGTCCGGTCCTGTCCCGTCGAAGACTTCGTAGCTGAGCAGTTTCCAGACGCCGGCGATCTTGTCGCGGTATGTCGGCCAGATGTTGTTCGACATGCTTGGTGCACACAATCGAGAACGAAAGATCAAGATCGCAGTCACAGTATTTGACGTGACATCGGATTGGGCGCGGGGTCGAGCATGACGGCCGAGGGTCGAGACTTGAGTTTCGTCGGTCTGAAGTGTGGTATGGTTGATACATCCATGGAATGCCGTTCAGGCAGTACGTCGTGCGCTAGGCAAATGGCTTCTGGAAAATAGCTCGAGGCCCTGTGACATGATCTCTGTATCGTTGGGTATCAATTTTCATCTTTACACTCATCCCTGGCATTTCAGAGGCCTGATATACAAAAGAATGATGAAACTCGCTGATAATTCAAGCAACAACCCGAAACAACGCTCATGCATCCGCTATGCCAACGAAAAAGTAGACATAGCCCTCTACGCTGCACTTTTGGCTGCGATCTCCACAGCCCACGCAATCTTCTCCTCCTTGAGCTTCCTGCCGACATACCAGAATGTGCCAGCTGTCCAGACGCCAGCCCAGATGAAAGGTACAGTCCAGCCGATCACATATGCAGCTTCCTTCTGGACCGTGAAGATGAGGATGGTGCAGACGACCGCAATGCCTTCGGCGCCGAAAGCCCAGAAAACACCAAGACGTCGCAGCATGGCGCGGAAGATGTGAGAGGCTTCGTACCGCCTGTTGAATGCCTCGCGATAGGCTGTACCCCCTGAGCCGTCCACGGCCACAACGTCCTCGATGAAGCTGTAGATGGCAGGTCGTAGTTGTGCATGGCGTGGGATCGAGGACATTCGCCACGGCGCTGGGACTTGGAAGTAGCGCATAGTGTCCACGACCAGGAGCTCCGTGCCGAAGACGTACAGCATACTTGTTACTGGCATAGCGAGGAGGCGGATTGGAGGATATGTCGGGATCGTGCCACTGTGGGTACATTAGTAGGAGTATAGAACTTTGGTCTTTGGGGGACACCTACATGATGAGCTCGATCATGACGACCATCCAGCCAAAGGTGAAGTTCCAATGAAACCAGTCCAGGTACATCCTCCTCGCTCCTATGACTCGGCATGTGCTGTTCTTCTTGAGCAGTCTTCGAAGACGCAGAAAATATTCTATTATACTGACGCCACCAAGAGCTGCCGTAACGATCGAGAAGACGATATTTGGTGATAGGTTCGTGCCGTACCATAGTCCAAAATATAGCCCAATGGGCATGAAAACGCAGTCCAACACAATGAGCGACCAGAAGAAGACGATATAGAGCTTTCGACTCCGCATGTTGTAATTCAATGCTGGTGGTTCAGGCTCGAAAGCCGCGTCGCTCTGCAGTTCCTCCAATGTTGGCGCAACGGGCTCCGATGGTTCTCCTGAATGTGTCTCACCCAGCTCTGCTTGTTGCCTCTCCTCTACTTGCTTCTCGCGCTCGCTGGGAGTGTTCGTTGGTAGAGTCGGCCGCCGATGCGAGTCGGGACTCATAGGCGACATCTTGCCCGACGACCTCCTCCTTTCCATAGTCAAAGACGGTCTCCCAAATGGTCCATCCAGTCGAGTGTCGAAGTCTCTGCTTGGCCTGCCAGCGCGAGAGATGTTCGTGCTTGTTCGCGGCGGGGATGCAAAGTCATCAGATTGCCTGCCTGCCTGCATGCTCTTTCGCTTTGGTGGTGGGCTCATCGACAGTGGGTCGCTATGTGTCTTCTTGATAGCGCCCTCAGAGCCTCTATGGAACTGCATCGATGTTCGAGGTGGATCGAACGGCCCATCGTGTCGTTGGTCGAAGTCATGCTCCTGTGGCTCCTCGATATGCGCTTTCGGGTCAATGTCGTCCATGGTGCGGGTGGTGGTCTATGGAGACCTTTGACTGCGCGAGGCCAGCTTGCTTATGGTCTGGTGGCTAATACCAGAGAATCAAGAGTCGAATTACTCTGTTCGGGCCAGCCGGATATGCGGAAGCAATGGAGTAGTTCGTAGTCAGCAGTTTGTAGTAATGGCAGGGCGCACAGGGTTCCCAGATTCGGTTGGATAATTAATACAGCACTACGAGGGAAAGGTCCAGCTCAGGTCAGAAGGTACAGTAGAGTAGCGACGAAGGCAGGTCGGTAGGCTTTTGCGGTTGCCAATGTCCGCCATGGCTTGAGGAGGACGCGAGTCGATGGGCGCGGACTTGGCACTAGCCGGCGTGATGTCACCAGTGGCGCCGGAACTTGCGACCAACATGTGACCGCATGCCCGATCATCATCGAAACATGAGTGACATTCCTCCTACAGTTCATACTGCTGATGGCCTGAAATGAACGACCGCTTAACCGGAGCAACCATGAGGCTATGGTAGGAGGATTATCCTTAACCACTCAATTTGCCTGTGTTTACTGGAAGGCCTCGTCGTCCCGCCACCGCCATCCCGCCTCTGAGATGATCAGTTTCAAAATTCGTTAGGCCGACCACCCCTGGATATAATGAAGTTCCCAGCATTACTCAGCTTTTGGATAAGTGTATGTGGTCTTTCTGCCTACGCCGCGCCTGTTGAGCAAGCTGTATCGCTTCGAAATGGCAATGGCTGTAGCGTCTCCCCAACTCTCTTCCTGGACCTTGAAGAGGCTGCTCGATTGGCGGACATAACCTATTGTGTCGGTACTGCCGGCTTGGGGGTGGGCAAACCATTTCAATGCCTCTCACGGTGCTCCGACTTCCCTGCGTTCGAATTGCTGACCACATGGAACACCGGACCTTGGCTGGACGACAGCTGTGGCTACATCGCTCTCGATCATGCTAAAGGACGAATCATTGTGGCGATCAGAGGCACCTACAGCATCTCTAGCGCTCTGGTAGACTTGGCTACGATACCGCAGGAGTACACACCATATCCTGGCGGCAGTCCTAACGAACCCGTCTGTCACAACTGTTCTGTGCACTCTGGTTTCCAGCGATCATGGAAGAACACTCGAGATATTGTACTGAAGACGGTGGAGGAGCAAAGTGCACTGCATCCTCACTACGACCTGCATGTCATTGGGCACAGCCTGGGTGGTGTTGTAGCCGGCTTCGCAGGTCTGGATATGCTAGCACACGGTTGGAATCCCACAGTGACAACATTCGGCGAACCTCGAGGTGGCAACCAGGAATTCGTGCAGTGGTTCAACAAACGATATGATCTGCTCAATACGACCCAAGACCGGGACGAAATGAAGTACCGCCGTGTCACGCACGTAGATGACCCAGTGCCTCAGGTCCCGCCTACAGAATTCGGTTTCCTCATGCATGCTGGCGAGATCTTCATTAGCAAAGAAGCATTATCACCCGACATTGTGGATCTCGAGCATTGTATTGGTAGCGCAGACAAGAATTGCATTGCTGGGCAAGACACGACTGTCAAGGATGATTTACTTGACGATATGATCTCGGACGGATCCGAAACGACGACGGGCTCGCCTTTCCAGATTCCAGCGAGGTGGAAGCTCTGGCAGATGTTGTTTGCGCATCGGGACTACTTCTGGCGGTTGGGGATGTGTGTACCACCGGCAGGCAGTGTCAATGATGATCCTACGAAATATGACCTATGATCGTTGGATGTCGCACGTCGCTTTGTTCTGTACAGTGGGGAAGCGGATCTTTTGGCGATCAGAAGATGGTTTGGCATCGTGGGTCGTTAGGTTGCATTTATATCCCAAGGAAGATGCTCTTGTTGTATGATACGAGTATGTGGTAATGTTTGTTAGAAGTGCTACGTGTTGGCGGAGAATAAAAGTACAGTCACCATTTGAGAACACCTATCAGCATACGTTTACTCCTACAGTCGGGGCAAAAGCTATGCTGCTGATCGACGATATGTCAGCTGATAGCACGATCTCCGGCCGTTATATGTCGGAATCTCACTACATGGATTCTTGTACCAGATCTATATCCCGATGCCTTCGCGCGAGATGGCATCACTTGAAGGTGACCTGCCGGCTAGTGACCCAACGTTTGGTTGGAATACTCGCGCCACGGGTTAGAATGAGAAAGAGAGTACAATATTGACGGCAACAAGAATCACAGCTTGCTAGATCTACCTGCACTTATATAACTCTGCTGGTCCTGCAAGATTTGTACACACTCGCTCACCATGTCCTGCATGATCTCCTTAGCAGGCTTAATCTCCTTGATCTCACCAGCGACTTGGCCCATGAGGAAAGGGATATCGACGTCTTTGTCGTCATCCATATCCTTCTGCAGTGGTACAACACCGCTCTCCGTCAATCGTTTGACCTCTTCTGGTCGGTCGAACTCCCAGGAGCGAATGTAATCGTTGATCCTGACTCGCAATGGTCGCCCTGATACTACGAGTGTGCGCATAGTGTCTTCGAATGATGCCGAGACTACAGCTTCCTTGTGCAGCTCGCTGCAGCCCGCCTCCTTCGACGCGACGAAACGGGTTCCCACCCAGGCACCTACGGCACCAAACGACAGCATAGCAGCAAGTGACCGACCATTGTAGATACCACCAGCAGCGATGACCATGGCCGGCTTCCCAGTCATCGGGCTCTTATACTGCCTCGCAACGTCCACGACCGAGGGGATCAGAATACTGGTCGCGATATCGCCAGTATGTCCTCCACCTTCTCCACCTTGAGCACACACGATATCGACGCCAGCTTTGAGAGCCTTGTGTGCGTGCTTCGGGTGGCCGACCATGTTCATGACGAAGATGCCTGCCTCGTGCAGTCTCTTAATCACATGCGCCGGGGGCACGCCAACAGCACTGACGAACAGCCTGGCCTTCTCTTCGATGACAACAGTGATGAGGTCGTCCAGCTGGCCATGGGTGTAGTCATGGTTTGTCTTCCTCGCACTGCCTCCGACTTGTGGGAGAGCCAGATCAACGCCGAATGGAAGGTTCTTGTCTGAGAGGTTGGACTTGATCTCGTGAATGATCGTCCTCATTTGGTCGGGTGTGTAGCCCAAGCCACCGATCACTCCCAGACCACCGGCGTTGCTTACAGCGGCTGCCAGTGGTCCGGAGGATGTGCGTGCCATGCCGGCGAGCATGATGGGGTACTCGATGCCCAGCACTTCGCATATTGGAGTTCGTAGAGTTGGTCGAGACATGGTGGCAGTTTACGTGGTTGCTCGAGACTCTTCTGGGCGATGATCAGGGTGGATAGTAAGCTGGCAACACGGGCTGTGACCTACACTGGCCAACCAATTCTGTTGTGGGCATTCAGTCCTCGGTCAGCCTCTATGGTAGGCATGAGTTGTAGGCACCTCGCTTGCGGCTTGGAAGTGTAGCCGAACATTGCGGAGACCCTGCATCCAGGCCGAGGCATGGATTTGGTTGTGAGATGGGAAAGTACGACAATGATCTTGAGTTCAGCCATCTAATAACCACTCTTTACTAGTCCTTCTAACCTACCCATACCACCTGTCTCTTTGGACCAGAGTTCTGCTGGACCGCGGCGCCTTGGTCCTACCCGACCAACCTTGTCCTTGCATCGCACTAGATTGACAAGATGCTCGTATTCATGTGAGCCCGGTCTTTAGGCTCATGTGTCACCCCTTTCACAACGATGCGATGATGCTATGGCCCTTCCCTTGTCGAAGCTGGAAACATGTCAATAGTGATCTATCTGTCAATCGTGCTCGGTCTAAGCGGAATCATGTGGGCGTAGAGATCAAGAGCTCTATCCTGATAGAGTCTAGTGGTCCGGCTCTCCTCTAGCCCGCAGTTCATCTTGCCATCTGCCGTGGAACAACTCATCTCCGGCTCATGCTGAGCTCGATGTACCGCAGATGGCGTGGCAGGAGGCCGAGATGCGATATAGCCAAGACTACCTCTGCTAATCAATCGTGGTCGCACCCAGATCGTCCATCTGACCCTGTACCAACTCACAACGTAGCATCCCAAAAGCGAAAGAATATAGAAATTTGACACGGCATGGCGTCCAAGAACGTCCTGAACTTGCATATATGCATCGTCGGTGCCGGTAAGCTCACCAGTTGTGATGAGCATGCAACAAATACTAAATCATTGCAGGCATGGGCGGCCTTGCCACTGCGCTGGCATTGGCGAAAGAAGGCTTCCAACACATAGACGTCTATGAAGGAGCCTCGACCCTCGGCTTCGTAGGTGCTGGCATCCAGCTAGCACCGAATATGGCGCGTATTCTGGATCGGATGGGCGTCTGGAAAGACATTGAGCGAGAAGCAGTCGACCTTCAGGATACCAGCATAAGACAGGGCTCGACAGACCAGGAACTGGGACATGTGGATCTGAAGTACATCCGTTCGACTTACGACTACCCACATATGGTAGGACATCGATCTTCGTTGGCAGGATCGATATATGAAGGGTGTAAGCGAGAAAAGACGATCAATTTCTTCTTCGCCACTGAGATCGAGGTTGTCGAGTCATACGGCCCTCGACCATCATTCAAAGCTCGGCCACGAAAAGGTGGCGAGCCCTATGATGTGCAGTGTGATGTGCTCCTCGCAGCAGACGGCGTCAAATCGACAATACGAGATCAAATGCTTCGGTTGGCGAACATAAGCGCCAAAATTGTGGATACTGGGCAAGCAGCTTATCGAATCATGCTCAAACGGGAAGACATGGCGAACGATCCCGAACTACTAGAATTGCTAGACAAGGAATCCGTGACTCGTTGGATTGGCGAGAAACGACATATCATTGCATATCCAGTGTCAAATAAGCAGATCTACAACATGAGTACAGTACAGCCCGACCTCAACTTCGCCGCTGCGCCATCAGCAACATACACAACGAAAGGCAGCAAGCCACAGATGATGGAAGTCTTTGGCGATTTCTGTCCGAAGGTGAGAAGGATGCTCGATCTAGTGCCCGATGGTGAAGTTTGTGAGTGGAAGCTACGAGTCCACGAGCCTCTACCTTTCTGGGTCTACGATCAGACAGCTCTGGTGGGCGATGCATGCCATCCAACACTTCCACATCTGGCCCAGGGTGCGGCACAAGCCATCGAAGACGGTGCGGTGATCGCTGTGGTTCTGTCGAAGCTGCCGAACACTTCTCCCGAGGCCATACATAAGGCGCTGAAGGTCTATGAGAAAGTTCGGATGGAGCGAGCATATACTCTGGTTGAGCTTGCGGCAGCGTCAGGTCGGGCCATGCATCTAGGCGAGGGAGCGGCAAAGGAGGAGCGGGATCGGCAGTTTGCTGCGCTCAAAGATGGCAAAGGTCCTGTGCCAGATAAGTGGGCGGATGCCGATGTACAAAAGAAGATCTACGGTACAGATGTGGTGAAGGTTGCGAAAGAGGAATTCGGGGCTATATATGCTAAGCTATAGGTGAAGACTCCGCTGATACCATGCAGCGATTCAGGTCAAATCAGATCCAGACTAATGGCCAGCGACGACAGCGTTGGCATCGATCGTTGTGCTTCCCCAATTGCGTCGCCTTCAACTCTTCTGACTGTTGCACAGGTGGCCTGCCGCTAGCTTTTTTGATTCTACGATGTCCATCTGGACTAGTTGCAGCAAGCCTCCCTCGTGATGTGTTGGTCATTCTGTCTTACAGAGGATGATTGCGGAAACCCGACAAGAGTTGGACGGGCAAAGCATACTGTTGACATGATAGAGTGCTTGCATATATGTACGAGCCCAGATCCGTGAGCGCGAGTAGCACAGCTTCGCCAATGGACCGCCTTGCTTCATCATGGTAATGCTCTACGTAACGTAAATGAAGTCAGGCTTTCTGTCTCCAAGCAACTCGATCTCACTCCGCGATAACCCAGCTGTCGTATGATCACGCTCGCCAGCCAGCCTCTTCTTGTTCTCGGCCACCAACAGGAAATGCGTAACCAAGCTGCCACCGAGCAAGAACAGGACCATATAAGCAAGCACAACAGCATGGCCAGGCCTGTAATTCGGCTTGTCCTTAGCACGGTAGATATTGCTGCTGACCACTCCATTCAAATTGCCCCAACCAATGACGAACCCAAGCGTAACTCCACGCTTATAGACACCTTCCGTATTACTAAAATTCAAGCAGAATACGTTAGCTGAATTCATCTCCGCGGTAGATTGGGAATGCACTCGTGTCTCTCGAACGCGAGAGCGCTAATTGAGGCATGCGAGGTCCTAGGTGTGACGCGTCTAAAGGTCGGTGTCATGTAAAGACAACTAATGTACTTACTATTGCTTGGTTAGCATATTTCCAGAGATGGACGGCTTTCTTCTAGCTCCACTCACCTTTGCACACCACACAATCGTGTTCGCAATACATGGGTATATACCCAATGCGCCAAGGAACGTTCCTGCGTACTTGACACCTGGGGCGGTAGAGCCAAGAAGCATCGAGAAGCCAACAATACCGATGCATGACACACCAACGTTGCACCAGCCACGTTGCTGCGTTCTGTCGGCAAGCCAGCCGATGAAAATCGTAAGTACTGCCGCTGCGGCGTAGGGCGGCACGGACAGCAGATTCGCCTTGGTCGAAGAGTAACCTAGCTCAGTGATGATAGTCGGCAAGAACAGACTGAAGGCGTAGAGTGCTCCATCACAGCCCATGTAGATGATAGCGAAGGCCCATGTCTTCCAGTCCTTGACTGCCGCCCAGAAGTAAGCCATCTTGAACTCCTCATGCTCGGCAGAAGATTGATTGTCGGCCTTCAGACGGCGGATGACTCGCACGCGGTCGGGCTCAGACAGGAACTTGGCATCATCCGGGAAATCATGGACGAACCAGTAGCTGGCGATTCCAATCAGTACTGTCGCCAGACCTTCGAGGATGAAGATCCAGGCCCATCCAGCTTTACCCCCAACGCCGCGCATCTTGGCGATCGCAGCAGCGAGAAGACCACCGAAGGAGCCGGCAAGTGCGGCGGCGGAGAAGAAGATGGCTGCTCTGATACCGATTTCCTTCCGCTTATACCAGCATGACTAGATCCGCTGTCAGAAGTTGTGCTCGGTCTTCGAGATGAAGGTACAAGCCTACCAGGTAATAGTTGACGCCGGGGAACAATCCAGCCTGTCATCTAGGTTAGCCCGGCGGACTGCGTAACATTGGTAAAGATCTCACTTCGGCCATGCCCAAGAACCACCTCGCAGCTGCGAGACCAGAGAAGTTTGTGACCAGTCCCATGCAGGTCATGACGATTCCCCATAGCACCTAGTTCAGACATTAGTCGCTGTGAGTCTCCATGGATTGGTAGACCATACCATGATGAGAGGTATGAAGACACTCGGCTTCAGGCGCTTGAGCAGGATGTTGGTGAGCGGCTCGAAACCAGCATACGAGACGAAGAACAGCGACAAGGCGGCGGCATATTGCCCATTGCTCATGTTGTTAAGATCTTTCAACAGGCCATCGAGCTTAGCGTTTCCGATGTTAGTTCCTATCGACAAATATCAGCCGCTTTCTTCTGGTTTTGTTCGCATATGGTAGACTCACGGTCAAGGAAGGACGCCAAGTAGAGCAGAGTAAGCCATGGAATAAGCTTCCAGTCAAGATGGCGGACGAGTCTCTTGTCCTTTGGCAAGCATTAGCAAAGGCATAACCAACACATCATTCAGTAGACTTACAATGCTCGCTCTCTCGCCTTCGCTGAGTCCAGCATCAGGATCTGGTAGACCTATTACGGCATCCTCCTTCATTGATGCGGTACCAACATCCTTCTCATACGAAGGCGGGCTGGGCGACGCATCGCTACTGAGCTTCTCGGCCATGATTCAGCGATTTTTGAGTCCGATAGATTGTGCGCGTGCTTCTGTCTGTGTTTGTGCAGGTGAGGAAGTAAGAAAGTCCACCCTCAGTACGCTACCTTCCTTGTACATATATGCATGCATGACGGCGACGCGGGTGCCGCATCTTCCTCGACGATGCGGCTGTCACACTGGGCGCATTATTCGCCTCGGGATCGCGTGCAGCAATGATTTGTGAACGGACGCCAGTCTTGCAAAGATGAGCGCGCCAAGTGCAAACCACTCTATCGCCGTGACATGAGTGGCTGGCCACGGATGTCGATCCCTCGTGCAGCCGTGCTTCCCCACGTGTGCTGCGGGGATATCTGGAGGCGCCGGATATGGTAGGTGGGTGTCACTGCAAACAACAGCGAGCAGGAATTACCGCAATACATCCGTGGTGAACGGTAGAGGTTCGATGATGTGTACGATGCTAGGATGTACGAAGAAATGCTCAGCTAGTCGGAGGCCAGTCCACCGCATCCTCATTCGACACCGTAATGTTTCGCCATAATCAGATGTGTCATGGCTCACTCCTTTGAGCGCAACTGCCTCCATCTGAACTAAGAATTACACCCAACCTGGTTGCATAGAGGCAACGTTGGTCGTAGAACAGCATCGAGCGATGCGATCCATACTCGCCTCTTCCCAAACCACTCGCTTCGTCCTCGTCCGCACAGTGCTGACCTCATCCTCACGTCAACATCACCGCCTCTAACCCTCAGCAACTCTGCTCTGCAAGCCTTCCCATTCAGCTGCCCTCTTGGTGAGATCTTTGAACCCCACCCGATATCCCGTCCCAAAGCCCGCAACATTGCTAGTCTGGCATAGAGTCTCCACCCACCTTCGATACCTATCACCCAAGCCACGCAAGAAGAGAAAGCACAAAGTCTCTTCGGGCAAGACGTCTGCGCCGGAGCCACCAGGAGTACCACTCGACCCATGTTGAAGCCTTGTGCTCGTAGAGAGTTCCACACGATGGCGTCCAAGAGTATCGTGAGGGACCTGCTGACTGCGCTTGATCTTAGCAAACGCATGCCATGCGGTTTCCAGACGACCAATATACTCTTGCAGATCGTTGCCACAGGTCTCGAGGTTCGTGTCCGTAAGCTCTGAGAACTTCTTATAAGCATGCTCTGAGCCACGAGGAGAGCATATCTCCTCCAGCGACGCCCAGGCGTCAGCGGCTTTCTTGAATCCTTGCACACGGGTACGGAAGGAGGGTCCGAGAGCAGACCATAACGAGCCGAGTAGGAGACCATTGCGTCGATTGAAGATGGCTTGCTGTTTGATATACTCGTTCCAGTCGTCTACATCAACCTCTTCTTCGTCTTCTCCCACAACAGGAGCAATCGGTTCGCCCCTCTCGCCCAATAGCGTGTCGTAGAGATTCTCCTTCTGGCTCGCTTCAACGAACGCTTCGCTAAAAGCGTCCCAGTCCTTTGGCAATGTCAGTGTTGGCACTTTGGTGTAGCTGGTACCACTCCCACACGACGACTGAGCAAGAATCTCGACGGAGCTGCTTTTCAGGTCCAGCCTTTTGGCTTTGACATGCTCGCTCTGGAACGTGCGGAGGTCGTTCAGGATCTGCTCCGCCGCAGCGCGATTGCGGCTGAGTTGCGTTTGACCTCTGCTACCAGACGTAGGTGTTTGCTGGCTCGGACCCTCCTGCTCCACAATGGAGATGTCCATGTCTGTATCTTGATCGCCTGCAGCTGCGGTAGCACGGATATCATTCAGCAGGTTCGGCTCGATAGTCGTCTCCTTGTCGTACACACACTCTGCCTTGTCGATCTGGCACTGCTGGCACGTCGGACGAGAACGATCGCATTTACACTTCTTCTTGCGACATCTGTTGCAAGCGATCGTGGCGCCGAACGGCCTGTCCCCAGATCGTGCATGTGCTTTACCGTGGGTGATGCAGGTGCCGAATTTCTTAAACTTCAGCTTCATGTTGGCGACATCTGTCCGGGTGTAAAGGCCATCCTGATTGGTACGCTGCAGGAACTGCAAGACTTGTGTGGTAGGTGTGCCGATCTGGAAGAGACCATCGATAGCTTTCTCCATGCCGCCCTGACGAGCTCGGCGACGATGACCGGTGAGCGCCACAGCTTCGACAGGACCATGATTATGGTGAGTCTTCCTATGTCTTACCTGCCATTGACCATTCGAATTGCTGGGTTCCAATGCCACGATCGCCAGACTCATCGGACAGCCCTGCCGGTTTGTCTTGCGAGGTTTACGGACTCTTGTTGCATCAGTCAATTTGCCAGTATTGGCCAGCTTCCCGTACTTCGAGCAATGCAGATAGCGTTTGTAAATCTTCCCATTCGCATTCTTCTTGCTAGCCCGTCGCACCAGCTCGTAACCATGCTCAAGTGACCAGGAATGTACTGCTTGCTCTAACTCGGCCTCGGTCGGGTATGTACCCTCGGGTGGTGGCGGCAAGTTGAAGATGGGCTGATCCTCATCTTCTTCTGCCTCTGCTTCCTCCTCACCATTGGAGCCTTCTTCGGCTTCATCGCCGGCCTGTCCGCTCTCGCGCTGCAATGCTGTTCTCAGCTGTTCTTCCAGATCATCAGCTGGTGGTGCGCCAGGTCCTGTTGGCACATTGTCCTCGACCCGGGGCTGCTGTGGAACATTATTCGGCAGACGGTACTGAGAGGTACCAGATCGCTGTTGCGGCGTCTGTTGCTGACTTCGCGACGCAGCAGGCTGTTGGAAAGGTCGAATGAATTGTGCTTGCTGGGCCTGGACCTGATGCGGTGCAAGCTGCTGCTGTGGTGTCGGGTATGCTGGATATGCGTTCTGCTGCTGCGTCGGGTAGGGGTTGGACGCGTAGCCGTAATGGTTCTGTTGTGGCGGTGGTGGATATTGCGAGTCTGTGAAGTGTGAGCACTAGTAGCGAGCACGAAGGGATTCAGACATACAATTACTCTGTTGTGGATTCATCTTGGAGCACTGTAGCTCTCGGCATATGCGGCGCGGGCAGGTGGTCTTCTCGATAGCAATCATCCGGATGCTCGAGATGAGGTGAACGACTGACTAGCGCCCTTTCCTTCGGAAGCCGCCGCTTGCCATCCATACACAAACCAACCCCATTCATTCTATCATTCAATTGTGGCGATGATGACTTGACGAGGCTGCCAGCCTGTGCTCTCCTCTGGAGAAGGCAATGGGTATCATAATGCACCTTGTCGGATCAATCCACCTGGCGGACATCTAGCACTGCGGCCCGGTACTTCACGTGGTGCGGCCGTTGAACAGACCTAGGAAGTTGTTCTTACTTGAGCACACTGATTGCATGACTATTTATACTATTTGGCTGAGTAGTTGCAAGCCACTCTGCCGCCCACGCCTCTCCCACCCCTAATCTACGCACAATTCCTCTTCACTGACCCCTTGAAAGATCTCGCCGCCTCAAGATCACCGAAGCTGCTCCAGCTGGCTGCGACCTTGGCCTCCGGTACAGTGAGCATATTGGAGGTCACCACCGGACCTTCTCACGGTGACGACATCATCCTCACGATCCGATAGCCCAGGATTGCTAGCTTCAGCCGTCTCAGACAACGTGGTGTCCGAAGATCGATTTTCACTAACCCCTCCAAGCAAGCTCTGCAGCGGCCTCTCGCAAGGATCCGGCAAGAAGCCTTTGCCAGCACCGCCCAGATCCCAATGCAAGCTCTCCATCGCCTGCTTGGTGATGATGGCGTCCTCGATACTGGCGAACTCGAAGAAGAGCAACCCATCGTCGTTCTTGCCCGTACGAAGTGGAAGTGTGAAGTAGCTCGGTATCGTACGCTGTTCGAGTGTTTTGCTGACCATAGTCGTGACTTGCTCCGCCGTCTTGCTTCCATCGTCGTTCAGATAGAGCACGCGACTTGGACGTTCTTGTGGTGAGATACCGAACGAGATTGGAGGACGGATGGGCGTCTTGATATGCATGACCTTGATCCTCGAAGGCTCCGAACCGTCCTTGACCTCGAGGAAGACCTTGTTCTTACGACAGAACTCCGCATATGCATGCGCTACGTCCGCGTACAAGAATGTCACCACCGCAGCATTCATGGCCATCATGGGCTTCGTGCGCATCTGGCTGAGCGGCAGATACTCAGCAGAGATGATCTTACCACCACGGACCATGTCGAGCACATCTGCAAGGCTTGCACCCGGTGGAATATTACTTATCACCGCAGTCCGCATCGTGCTAGGATTGTGGGAGAAGTTGCTGTGGAGAAGCTGCTGGTCGTCCCGTGGCCAGTGGCAGCACCCCGGCCGGGTGTCGCGATCACTGCTAAAGTTGCACCTTGCAGGTCTGTTGTCTGGACGGTCCACATGTCTGCTGGTGATGCTGGTGCTTTCTGCTTCGCTGAAACTGGAGGTCGTTGAGTCGTGCACGTCTGGCCCGGAATCTCGTTCGCACGTCTTACCCTCTCCCACTTCTATGAATCCGGGGACCGCTGGCTTTGGTGCAAAAGAATGAGACCCACGAGCACTCTCCGATTGCTTGTTGAGCTCTTCGCAAAAATCATCGACGCTGAGTAGCTCGATATGCTGTGTTGTCGAGTGTACAGGTGTAGTTACATCGCGATGCGAGTTGGGCTCTGGTTGGACCACCAACCCTGCCTTTACCTGGGGCGCCCATCGAGAAGCCATCAGGCCGTGGGAAGGAGCCAAGGTCTCCGAAGCTGATGGCGTGGTCTTCGCTCGTGGCGAGTCGTGCTTAGAGGCTGGAAGACTATCGAGCCCTGGGCAGCCACTATCTCGAGCCGCAGACTCGGTCATCTCAATCACTGGCACCAGCACATTCGCCGTGGCTGTCGTAGCTGGGCCGAGGATCTCATGCCCAGCTGCCCGGTCGTCTCCGACAGTCTCGACGGGCAAGAGATGCTCCACATCCTTCGAAGTAATCCCGCCCTCCTCGGAAAAGCTTCGGTCGACCATCGCAGCCGCCTGCTTAGCCTTGTATACCGGCCGAATCTCCTTCTCATAGTACTCCTGCCACTCTTCAGGACTGTGTCGCCCTCTACGCTTCGCCACATCGACCCACTTTTGCGTATAGTCTTCGCTGTCCAGATCCTCCAGGAAGCACGCTATTCCAAGCAGGTAGCTGCGCTCCCACTGCGTAAAGCAGTGCTGGGCATGAGTCCTCTTCGGCGCGTCCACGAGGTCTAGTTCATCCAGGTCCACTAGATCAGTCTGTTGAACATGTTCCTGGCCTATGTGGCTTCTGGATTCATCCACCACACGACCCTCTACGGTATGGAAGCCAGACTTTGGGAGCCGGTAGTCTCCCATCGCCAAAGACCCACCCGACTTACCAGAAGCTGGTGGTGTTGAAATACTGCTAGTGTCCACGCCCAATCCACCATCTCGGGATGCGGCAACCCAGCCATCGCCCGCTCGTCCGGGTCCATCCCCCTCGAAGCTAAGCAAATCATGCCTCCCAGCCCAGCTCACCTCACTATGGATTTCGGGGCCGACCCTGGAGGGTGACCGTGTGCTTGGGTAACGCTGTACAGGTCCGGCACGATCAACGAACGGATCGTCGAGAGCGAACGCAGGTCGATTGAGATCAAGTAGCCGTCGCTGTCGAAGGAGGCCCTCCAGCCTTACAGTTTCCGCCCGGGTCGATTGGAGCTGTGCGCGTAGATGATCAGAAACATCGTGTTGAGTCTGGATCTGTTGCTTGCCGATGATGCCGACGAGATGAGCCGTGGCGGTTTGTGCTTCCGCGAGCTGCCGCTTGACGAGACGGAGTTCTGTCGTTAGTGCTGCGTTCTGGAGTTGAAGATCTAGTAGTGGCTGAGCCATAGTGGTGGTGGTGGTGGGAGTGGTAGTGTAGGAGGAGAGATGATTGAGTGGTAGATTGGAAGTGGCAAAGGGAGGAGGTGTGGTACTTATACGACTGTTGCCAGTGCAAACACTCACCACTGAGCAACAACACCATAGCTGAGTGAGTTTTCGCGCTGCTCAGGTGTGAGGTCTCCGCCCCTGAATGTTCCGCTCAAGGAGAACGAGTGAAAGTTATCGGTAACAATCATGCTGTTCATCTGATGACCATCACCATGTACTGAGTGCAGTCGTCCCACGGCTTATCTCGACATCAGACCTTCAAGACAGCACAAGGCCCAGTGCGATGATCGGCACGAGCCCTTCGCCTCGACTCGCTGCTCGGACTGATACTCTCTAGACTCGTTGGCTTGACAGTTATAAAGTCGCAGCCGAATTCAAGCAGCAGAGAAAAGGCGAAATATGGAACTGACCTTCCTCAAGACAATTTTCAGCTGCAGAGAAGAAGCGGAACACCGAACCTGAATTTCCTGGAAGGCAATCCAGCTCATCGTGCAGCCCAGGTATTATTGTGGTCGTAAATGGGGCTGCTAGCCAACATACACCCAAGGCCAGAACGTTCAAGCTATACCTCACGGGCAGGGGGCAGAGGATTGCAAAAATTATGAATCGGCATGCTCCAGCATGACCACTTTAAGATGGAGCTCATCCCTTCTTTCTCAAAGTCAAGCAGCCACTTTTAGTGACAAGGCCGGACTGTTTGTAATCGCCCCAAAGCTCGAGCATCGATCGTGTTAAGTTCCAGCTCACGAGCACCAGTATCTCCATCTTCCCAAGAAACAGATGTCATGCATTTGTATGATTCCTATAAGCTGAGCATGAAACGCTACATCGAAAAACATGCCCATCTACATATCTATTTCGCTCAACACCGCCGAGGGAACCCCCCCGGTCCCGATCAGCTTAAGCCTTGTTCTTCTGTCTCCTCTCCCAACGCACAACCGCCGGCCGCTGCGGCTGACTAAACAAACTACTATAATCCGTCCCCACGACCTCCTTCTCCCCATCCGGCGTCGTAAACCGAAACTCCCTAACCAAACACCCCAAAATGGTCTGCAACTGCACATAAGCAAACTGCTCCCCAATACAACGATGCCTCCCGGCGCCAAAAGGCAAATACGGCGACGCGGCTCCCTTGCTAATCTCTCCGTACCCATAATCCTCCTTCTCCTCCGCCACGGCCTCCTTCAAATGCTTGGGGGCGAGATGCGCATATTCCGGCGCGGGGTGGTCGTCCCAGCGATGCGGTTCCCAGGTCATGGGGGAGGGGAAGTGTTCGGCGCTGCGGGCTGTGACGCCTGGGGTGGCGAGGAGGGAGTGGGTGGGGGGGATGACGTAGGGGGTTCCTTCGATCGGCATGGGGGATTTGACTTTGCGGAGGATGGAGTGGATCGGGGTGTGGAGGCGGAGGGTCTCCTTGACGACTTGGGCGTGGAGGGGGAGGTGGGGGAGTGAGTCGTAGGTGAGGTCGTTGAGGGCGCCGGAGGAGGGGTCGGTGCCGAGGGCGTGGGTTTGTTCGGCGAGGAGTTCGTCTTGGATTTGCGGGTCGGTGGCGAGGCGGAGGAGGATCCAGGAGGAGGTGGAGGAGGAGGAGTGTTGGCCGGCCATGAGGAGGGCGATCATCATGTGGGCGACTTCTTTGTCCGGGACGGGGGTGCCGTCTTTGTAGGTGCAGTTCATGAGGTTCCAGATCATGTCCTCTTCGCGTTCGTCCGGGTTGATGTCGCCGGCCTCCCGTCGCTCCTGGATGATGCCCATGTATGTGTCCGTCATCTTCCTCTGGGCGATGTCGCGCTTGCGGTTGTGGGGGAGGGGCACGTAGGGCAGCATGAAGTTGATGGGGGAGAAGCCGGCGTCGAGGTCGTGGAAGGAGTCGGCGAAGGAGGAGTCGAATTTCTCGCGGACCTCCTTGCCCTGGAGGGAGCGCGAGGCGGTGTAGATGGTCAGCTCGGCCATGGTGGGCGGGACGTTGAAGCTGCCGGTTGTGGAGGCGAACTTCTTGGAGGCGGCGTCGGCGGAGAAGAAGTCACGGACCTCGCGGGAGATGAGTTGGACGTAGGAGCGGAGGGAGGAGGAGGTGAGGCCGAACTTGACGAACTGCAAGTCATATCAGTGGCAGTCCATTTGTGAATGTTGATAGTAGGGACGCACCTTCTTCTGCTCCATCAATTTCGAATTGGGACAGTCATACACGACATCCTTCCCAAACACCGGCGTCGTGAGTGGCGAATAGATCTCCTCGGCGTTGACATCCTTCAGCTTCCCGTTCAGGATGAAATCATTCCCCTTGGTGCCCAGACACACGGTCGTCTTCTTGCCCAGCAGGATGAAGGTGAAGACGTCGCCGTACTTGGCCTGGCAGGCGAAGAAGAAGCGGTAGGGGTCGATGCCGTAGGTGATGGTGCTGCCGATGAAGGGGACGAGGTGGAAGACGATGGGGGGTTCGTGCGGGTTGCGGGCGGTCAGCTGGAGGAGGATGTTGAGGAGGATGGTGGTGGTGAGGAGGGTGAGGAGGGCGAAGAGGATGGCGGTCCAGGAGGAGGTGAGGGGCGCGAGGGCGGTGGAGAGGGTGTTGAGGAGGCCCATGGTTTGCTGGCAGTCCTGTGCTGTGACTATGAGACAGAGGCTGGTTGGTATTCTATAGACACGACATGGACGGAATGGCGCCACTACAAAAAAGTGGCCAACGTGCGACCAATGGCGAGTGGTCTGATCTTTTTGCTGGGCCCTGATCTGCAGGCACCCAGCGGTAGCGCCGACCTTATCCTCTTATGGCGTCATCTCGCGTGGCCTCGAGACATTATCCATGGCGGGGTAGAGATTCACGACTCAGGATTAAACGAACAGCCCATCACCATTGTACGGGGAACGGGCAGGCCCAGCCATGCTATCCCTCACCAACGTAGATGGGGGAGCTACTAGTATGCGCTCAACCACCACCACAACATTGCCACGCGGCACCCGAGTCCATCCGACATGACTGCAGCATAGCGATGCCGGCATTGATTGCCGAAAAGTAACAACAACACCACCTCCGTTTCATCACTTCCTGCTGGGTGATATCCCGAATAGTCCAACCGCCTTCCAAACAACCCTCACTTCCACTACCATCCCATCCTCCCATCCTCAAGACAGACACCCACCATGCGCATTCCCTACGCCCCCACCTCCCCCATAGACCCCACGCCCGAGAACGAAGCCATCTACCAACGCATCCGCGACCGCCGCAACCTGCGCCCCCTCATCCCCCTCGACCTCGCCCTCCTCCACAACCCGGACATCGCAGACGGCTACAGCAAGTTCGTCGGGGCCATCCGGTCCAAATCCTCCGTTCCCTTGCCACTAGCCGAACTGGCCATCTGCTACGTCGCAGTCCTCAACAAGGCCACCTACGAATGGACGGCCCATGCACCCATCTGTCTCAAAGCGGGGACGAAGCGGGACGTTCTGGAACTGTTGTTGGAAGCAGGCAGTGATATCGCGGCGGTGCAGAAGGCGAGTGTGTTGAGTGAGGTGGAGAAATTGGTGTTGGCGTTCACGTACCAGAGTACCAAGGAGATTGTGATTCAGGAGGATGTGATGGAGGAGTTGAAGCGGGAGTTTACGGATCAGCAGGTCATGGAGTTGACGATTACCGTCGGGGCGTATAATATGGTTAGTCGCTTTCTGGTCGGGTTGGACGTGACGGAGAGTAATGGGAGGGCGATGGAGATGCCGAAGGAAGCATGACAAGTGCGGAACCAACCATACGCTCACATTTCCTTTCATCCTTTGTAAGGATGGACCTCCAACCAATATCGCGCAATCTCCTCCCTCGTCGCGACCCACACCCCTTCCTTCTGGCGAATATACTCCACGAACTTCCTCACCGCCCCTATCCGTCCCGGCCGTCCACTGATACGCGCATGCAACCCTACGGACATCATCTTCGGACTTCCCTCCACCCCTTCCGCATACAACTCGTCAAAGGCCGCGACGAGATAGTTGTAGAAATCGTCCGGTGAGGACCAATTGTGCGGCATCAGGTACTTGAAGTCGTTCGTGTCGAGACTGTATGGGAGTATTAACAGGGCCTTGTTCCTACCTTCCCCATCCCCATCCCCACCCGCACCAGCATCACGCGAGCTCAGGCCCGTTTCCAATTGTGGAAGGGATTGATAATACGGCAGATCATCCGCGTAAGAATCCGACATCCACAGCAACTCGAGCCCTCTCTCCCTATACATCTCCAAGATCAGAAGCTGCGACCGCGGCGACAACCGCCCCACATACCAACCGGTCGGCGCGCGCCCCGTTTGATCCATGGACAGGTCAATACACCTCTCAATCTGCGCCCTCTCCTCCGTCTCAGGAACATCATGATAGTCAATCCACCGCCACCCATGACACCCAACCTCCCACCCCATCCCCGCACACACCCTCCCCACCTCCGGATTCAACTCCAACGCCCTCCCGACCCCGAAAACGGTCCCCCTCACCCCTTTATCCCCAAACAACCGCAAAAGCCTCCAGATACCCGCGCGGGAACCGTACTCGTACTCGCTCTCGATATTCGTATTCCGGGCTCCATGACGGGGTAAGCCTCCGACGATCTCGGAGAGGTAGGTTTCGGATCTGGTGTCGCCGTTGACGAGGGAGTATTCGCCGCCTTCTTCGTAGTTGATGACGAAGGAGAGGGCGATTTTGGCGTTGTTGGGCCAGTGGGGGTTGGGCGGGTTCGGGCCGTAGCCTATCAAGTCCCGGGGCGGTTGGAGGTCGATACTGTTGTCATAGGCGTTGGCCATGTCCATGATGGTGACTTGGAGAGAGATGTCCTCACCCGGGTCGAAATCCATAGAGCATGGTGACGGATGATAAGACGGCGAGATCCCAGAAGCGATATCGGTCTCCACGAGTGGCGAATAGATTGTGCTTCGTGGTTGAGGCAAACATGAGGAATCGCGTCGTCAGAACCCTACCTCGGTCGTGTGGCCACTGTGACCGCCATGGAATTCATTTCATCACGTACGATCGTTTGCTACATACATATACAGCAGTCCATCCCTCCACAACCCCAATCTCCCATCATCGCAATCCACGGCCTCCCCAGCCTCTTGCTAGAACAGACACAACCCCATCCCGGCCACAAAAGCCTTCTCATTCATGCGGATGCACATCTACTCCTGCGGCGCCCCAGCCTTCATGGTCGCATCCGGATACCGACTCAGATCCGCCTCGCCAAACAAAACCTGATCCCCCTTGCCTCCCATCTCCACAAACTCCCTCGGATCCCTCCCCGCCGCTGGATCGACCTCGATCTCAACCGAATGCTCCGCCCTGCCCTCCTTACCATTCTGCGCGGCAGCCTGCACCTGCTCCGGCTTCGACTCCGGCTGGCCCGGCGAAGCAGTCTCCGTATCGTCGAAATGCGGACCCCGGTTCTTATCCCAGACCACCACGTCCGGTTTATCCTCCGCCTGCGTTTCGACGGTGCGCTCGACCTTGATGTCGTTGATGGAGGATAACAGTGTCCGTTCGCGCTGGGGCTTGCGTTTGCTAAAGTCCAGACCGGCCAGGGCACCCGTCAAGCCATCGGTGCTATCGGTGACGCTGGGGTATTGGTTCGTGGTCCATGGATGCTCGAGGCACTCGTCGATGGTAATGCGGCGTTCGACGTCGACCGTGAGCATCTTGTCAATCAGATCCAGAGCGGGGTCGCCGACAGAGTCCCAGTATGGTGATGGATAGTCAAAGCGGCCCATTCTGATCTGTTGGCTTAGAGTGTAGGGGTTCTCTTTGGAGTAGAGTTCATCGGAGAAAGGTGGGAAGCCGCAGAGGCAGATGTAGAGGACGACGCCGAGGGACCAGACGTCGACGGCGCGGGTGTAGCGGCGACGGTTGCCTTGCTCGAGGATCTCGGGGGCGACGTAGGATGGGGTGCCGCAGAGAGTGGTGGTGAAGGACTCCTCGCCGATGATCTTGGCCAGGCCGAAGTCGGCGAGCTTGATGCTCAGGTCTTTGTCCATGAGGAGGATGTTCTCGGGCTTGATGTCGCGGTGGACAATATTGCGCTCATGCTGCTGCAGGTCAGCTTCATGTTCGTGACGCGCGCGATACTTTCGGGCTTACCAGATACTTCACACCCTGGAAGAGCTGTATGAAGATCTTCCTCGTGTCCACCTCCGACAACTTCGACTTCGTCACAATGTGATTGAAGAGCTCGCCCTCCGGCGCAAGCTCCAACACCAGATAGACCGCATCTACCTCATCGAACGTGGACTTCAGACAAAGCATGTTCGGGTGGCTCACACCCATCAGCACCGCAATCTCCTGCTGCAGCCCGTCAACTCTGCTCCTCTCACCCGGTCCGCTTCGCTTCTCAAACTTCTTCACGGCATATGATGCTCCTGAGCACTTCTCCGTCGCCATGTAGACAGTCGCGAAATGTCCTTTGCCAAGCTGTCCGTTGATCTTGTACTGCTGCATGAAGCCATTCCCGTCGCGGTTACGAGGGTATCGGAAGATGAAGCGTGCCTGATCCAAAATCGAGATCTCATCGCCGTCGTTGAGCTCTCGCCGCTTGTTCCGCCCGACCAGTGCATCGTTCACGTACGTGCCGTTGCCACTCAGATCTTCGAGTACAGCCACCACGTCACCATACCTGTTCTCCGAGAAGAGCAGACAATGCCGGTTGCTGACCGTAGGCACATTGAGCTGTCGGTCACACTCGGGATGTCTGCCGATCAGATAGCCCTCGGCGGGTATGCCGTTCAAGCCCTTGTCTACCTCGTACTCCTCCTCCTTCTTCTTCCAGTGCTTCTTGGACACTTTGCCTTTGCCGGTCTTCTTGCCAACCATGCCCGAGGGGATTGGACACGCGGCCCTCTTGCGGAGGACCAGAGGGTTGGCAATCCCGGTCACAGGGACCATATATCCCCATACCCCTTCGCCCACCTCGTCCTCAACCTCATAAGCTATCGGCGCCGGGATGAGGAACTGTGAGTAGGGCTGAGTGTCATCTGGTGGTGACGAGAGGCCATGTCGTTGCGACTGCGGCGGTGGACTAGAAACAGGCGTCTTCGGCCCAATCTGCTGACTCGGCGGCGTCACGGTGCCGGTTTTCGTGGTATCAGCGTCTCCATCTGACGTCGCTCCTCGCGTCACGGGTGATGGGAGCGGTGCTTGTTTCAGCTCTTCGTCGCCGGCATTGTCGTCCACAATCGAGAGACGATTGCTTCGACGCGGTTTCTTCGGCTCATACTCTTCTCCAGTCGAGTGCTGGTATGCGGTCAGTAAGAAGTCGCTCGGGCTTGAGGATGACTACCCACCCTTCCACGCTTGAGTGAGCTTTTCTCCTGTTGTGGTGGCATAACGTCTTGCCGCTGTCGGCTTGCAGAAGCGTGATGGTGCGATTGATATAACGCGCGGAAGCCCAACTATGGCGTCGATCGGTGAAAGTGGCCGCAATGGTATAGAACGGTGGAACTGCTGCCACGAACCTATCCTCTGGTCATGGTCATGATTACAGGCATGTCACCGTCCGAGCATAAAAGTATATATATCGAGTCCGAGCGTTGAACAGGGCTTGATCTTTCGAGGTCGTGAATGACCTCTTCTTCCCGTATGTCGAGGGCAAATATTCAGCACACGCTCGGTCGAGCTCAGGGGGGTACTATATTATTCCGTTGACTATGCCACCTCCGATACGTTCCTGATGTTGCAGTGCGACCTGTCAATAATTGCTTAATCTTCATCCGTGCTCCACGATCCGAAGTTCACGATCGCTGTGGGGTCATCTCAACGGCTGGAATAATAGGTGGATCTCGCCCAGGCATCAGCCGTATTGAGCAGGCAGAACTACCCGACTACCAATCATGAAACGTGCCCTCAAGCCTACGACTAGACTCCAGTAAAGATGTTGCTACAACGTCAAAGCCATCGGTCAAACAAAAAGGATGCCGTGGTCTCACCATTCACACTCTGGCCAGTTCTGCGGGCATGCCGCCAACACACTGGAGGAAGTGGTGCAGACGGCGATCAAGAAAGGCATGAGCATTTTCTGCCTCACCGAACACATCGCGCGAGCAATCGAAGACTTCTACCCCGAGGAAGCAAAACGTCACGATCAAGCCAGTCTAGCGAAACTATACGACGACTTCTACCACGAAGCCAGACGACTACAAAAAGCCTACGCCGACCAAATCATCATCTTCGTAGGCTTCGAGGGCGAATGGATCCGCGAAGGCTCCCTCACGATCATCCAGGACCTGCTGGCCACTTACCGGGTCGACCTGTTCGTGGGTAGTGTCCACCACGTCCATACCATCCCTATCGACTACGATCACGATATGTACTACAAAGCTCGGGATGTAGCTGGTGGCACCGACGAGCGGGTCTTCGAGGACTACTTCGACTCGCAGTATGATATGCTCCAGGCCTTGAAGCCGCCTGTCGTCGGCCATTTCGACCTCATCCGACTGAAGAGTGATCAACCCGATCGAAGTTTCAAGACCTGGCCGAATGTATGGAAGAAGATATTGCGGAACCTGGACTTCGTCGCTGCTTATGGTGGCGTGCTGGAGCTGAACTCGAGTAGTCTGAGGAAGGGCATGAAGGAATGCTATCCGCAAGTCGAGATCATGGAGGTAAGGACTATCGGATTGCAATGACTTTGGAACCTCAAGTATGCTGATTGTGCTCTCGCAGACCTTCCATGCCAAGAGTGGTCGCTTCACACTATCCGACGATAGTCACGGTGTTGACCAAGTTGGCCTGAACTATGGCAAAGTGGCCGACTGTGTCAAGCGTGCAGGTGTGACAGAGATGTGGCATCTTGCGCCAGCCACGGACGTCTCGTCGCACTTTGACAAGCGTTTCCCGACTGTCACATGGCGGTCTGTTGCCGTTGCGGACCAAACCATGAGCGACTGAGCGGACGTTCGATTCTAGTAGCAAGGACCGTCTTCGCGCTTGGCTAGCTGGACCGATATTACATCACTGCGCCACGTAGTCGTTGCTGGCAGACCGAATCACGACAAGTGCCGTGAAGTGGATGTACAGGGTATATCAAGACCCCATCCATACTTGTAGCACAGACACCAGACTACATATGTGACATGCGAGTCGTACTCCGAGCCGTGTCCCAATCGATCGACAGCCATGCTGGCATATAATGTGAAGATCTGAAAATCTCCGTCCGGGGCAAGTCATTGGGTGGCGGAGTTGTGGATGGAATCACAGGGGCGGTGAGGCTGTCCTCCATATTACACATGACATTTTGTGGCGAGACAGGGTCTGCGAGTCGCTGGCGCGCGTGGCGCGATAATCGTGGTAGTCGTGTAGTATCCGCTGTGTGAGACTACATGGGTCGGGGTTCGATATTGGCGCATATCGGCTGAAAGCCATGTGCGAGGTACTGCAGATCTGGAAATAATGATTCCTTGCTGTTGTACAGACAAAAAGCGCACTGGCTCCGGATCGTCACCCTATGGTGTGTAATGTATTCCATCATGCTTGGAGGCGGTGAGGTGATTGTCTTATTGCCCTCCAGGCCGCAGATGATAAGGCAGGGTGTTCCGTACTTCGGCAATGCGGTGAAGCAGAATTAGTGGTTGGCCGTGACAGCAATCGATGAAGCACGCATTCCCGATGCCCTACCACCATCTATGGCTGCGTCGCTCCCGTAGATCAATATGGTGAGAGTGTTCTCTCGGAAGCATCCACAACGTTCTCCTGCCGGAGTCCGGCAAGTGATGCTTACAGCGATTGCCATGCAGGGCGTGGTTGAATGATGCTGCCCAAGATGCTAGCGAGTAGAACTGCTATTCGGGTGAAGTTGGGATGGCATGGTGTAGATCGTTTCCTATAGCACTGTTCGGTAACAAACTCGGCTGGTTGCCGATGTGGATAACCGGCTGCAGACCCGATTGCTTGCTGGCTGAGTTCACTCGTGCTTCCGCAACCGCAAGGCCACAACCTCGAAAAGGTAAGGGTTTCCTTCTGAGGTATATTAGTCGGCAGACCCAACGATTTGCTGGACATCATTGGCGGGACTGCTTGGACAACGGTAGTGCAGATTTGGCACGGCCCGATCGCCAGATTCCAATGCTCTGGTCGCTGGGGCAAGCACTTTCTGCAGGGGCCAAGTCGCTTCGAGCTGTTCCGAGCGCGCAAGCCGCGGCACCCTGCTTTCTATGGTTTTCTCGCTCTGAAACCGCTCTGCTGCAAGTCGCGTCGCACATGCTCCAACGGTTTTGATTCCAGGATGTGTCGATGGGCAGTACCAGGAACGACAGGGTCCATGAAAGTCTGGAGTGAGTGAGTGAGTGAGGTTGAAGTGGGGAGAGCCGGCTCGCACCGATAGGATGGATGTAAGGTTCTTCATTGACTTCCATTCCAACCACAGTTTAGTTTTTTTTGCGTCACCTGAAGACACCACTTCCTAACTTCACCTCAACACAAACCCATCACTACATTCACAACCATGGGCGTCATCAAGAAGCAGATCACCCCCGGCAATGGTGTCGACAAGCCTAAGGCCGGCGACACCATCACCATGGAGTACACTGGCAACCTCCAGGACACCAAGGCTGCTGATGGCAAGGGCAAGCAGTACGCACGCCCAATCAATTTACGATTGTGGAGGGGACTGATTGAACAGGTTCGACTCCTCCGTCGGCCGCGGCGACTTCAAGACCAAGATCGGTGTTGGCCAGGTCATCAAGGGTGAGTGCTCATAAACCTAATGAGCAGGCCCGTTGCTGACACGTGGCACATTCAGGTTGGGACGAGGGCGTCCTGAGCACTGATGGCGGTATGACCTTGGGTGAGAAGGCCACCCTCACCATCACCGGCGATTACGCATACGGCGACCGTGGTTTCCCTGGCCTCATTCCCGCGAATGCCACCCTCATCTTGTAAGCTCCGAGCCACCATCAATTCGAAGCTTGTACTGACAGTGGTTACAGCGATGTGGAGCTCAAGGGTATCAATGGCAAGTCTGCTTAGGTGTTGATGATGCGGTGAGACAAGACTTTCCTGGCTAGACGAGCCGGACATGATCTGCGATCGGGCAGAGCGACTTAGATGAACTCTTGTCAGATGTCTACGCTACACCAGAATCAAACTATCGACATATTCCAAACCTCTCAGATGTCTACCACTCTCAGCCGTACACTTGGATGATGCTAGCCACCTGTATGAATGCTGCTTACCCTGCAGAACAAGAATGATTCCGAATACCGGCTCCGTCATTCGTCAGGCTCCGCCGGAAAAGTTATATTACAACCGTGGGTTAACACAACAAGAAACGCGTTAAGTAATGTCCGCACTGCGGCAGGTACACCGAAGTAGCGTTGATCAACGGCAGCCTAGCCGCTATTCAGAAGCCGAGCAGCGGTCACCCTAGGGCTATCAGATCATACCGTCGTAGTGTTGCTAGAAAATACATGCTTTGCCTTCAGGCTACACTACTGCAGGTGAATCTCACACAGAAGAATGCCATCGAATCGAACCTGACGCTTAGCTTACCACGTAGTGGGTTGTGGCGCCTGCCTTCGACGCAGATATGCTTGGCAAAACGCAATTTCTGGCACGAACGGCTCAAAGTGGTTTCCGAGCTTGCAGTTTTCGGAGGATATCATTGTGATCTCTAGGGCAAGTGTGCCGGAGTCGGTGCAACGGAGTGTGGTACACTAGGTTCGGGCGAGGTACACCTGGATGGGAGACTGGATCCGACAAACTCTCGCTTGACTAATGCCGTCCTAGCACGCTGCCATCTATCTGACCCATGTACTTGCAACAGATCATGACGATGTCCACCATCCTGATGAAGAGCACGATCTTGCTTCTATTCCTGCATTACAAGTTATATCTTCACACGGTAGCATTTGCGAGGACGTGCTCCCGAGTGTCACCCACCCTCTCAATGAATGAAGTGGCATTCGTGGCAATCACGACGGTCCAGCAATCTGAAGTCCGCAGTGGGCTTCTGGTCAATGGCGATCCGGGAGAGGCACATCGAGAAGTCCTTCCAAGAGTGCCAGATGGTCAAGATCATTCTCAAGGACAACTCGCTCCGCACCATTATCATCAAGCGTAAAGCCATGCCACAAGAAGATGCCAATGGTGGCTGGGAGACCAAAGGCAGCATACACCAGAGGATCTTTAAAAGCGGCGATTCTACTTATCAACGTGTCCCGGAAGAGGGTATGCAGTTCTTTGGCCTGAGCGTAGTGTATAAAGTGTGGTCGCGGCGCGTTAGGTGCTGCATATTGGACGTAGCCTAGAGTATGGTTTACGATGTGCACCGTGATGCCAATAGGTAGCATCTCTGCCTCGTAAAGGAAGTCAGCAGGACCGCGCGCGTCCCATTGTTTCCGGATCGAGCACCATATTAGCAGGCTCGAACGTCGTGAGCACTGTTTGTACAGGCAGGACATCGAGCTTGCCTGCAGCCGCCTCAGCCCAAGCCCATGCAGCTTTCTCACGTAGAGCTGGTGTCGGTAACGAGTGCGCGAGGATCTCCAGACGAGTCACGATGGTGCTTCCAAGGAGACCAGTACATTGACCCAGGCCACCCGGCCGACCATTTGCGCTGGCCACGAAACCGATGGCGTAGTGGTGAGCGAATGTGCGCAGATAATTTCGCAGCCGTCGATGAGAGGCGGCATCTAGTTGAGGCGTACGTGGCAGTACCTCACTAAGACGTGAGAGGCCATGTTGGTCTTTCCCTTCTGGATGTGGCGGTGCGTTCGCTGTTGCACCGTCCTGCCGCCTCGTGAGTGGGCAATATAGGTGCGCGAGCATTGCATCGGTCACCAAGAGCTCAGTTTATGGTCGGTAAGCATCATCTGGCTTAGCATGGGACAACTGCTCCGTACTTGAAGACATATAGTGAGCTCCCAATGATCGGTTGTTCGTTCGAGAAACAGGTCGCGCGAAATAAGAAGGCAAGGGTATCTTTTGGCTTTGCTCTCTGCTAACTAGCCAGCGCGCTAGCCAGTTTAGGATGCCGTGCTTGCGTCATTTTCGGCGCGTCGCGTCTAGCGAAGACAAACTGTATGCAACAGACAGATATGGGATTGCTAATATTCCTGCCTCAATGGTCGCCTGCCCAATCTGTCAGAAGCCAGTGAAGGAAGCAGCTATCAATCGACATATCGACTCCGAGTGTCAGAACTACCTCGAGGAGCCGAGCCCACCACCTACGCAAGCCAATGTCACGAAATCGAAAGGCTCGAAGGCTGCGACCTTCTTCACACCAGCTGCGAAGCGCAATGTCAGCTTCAGAGATGAGGCATATGAGTCGGGATCATCGCCGATAGTGCAGAAGCAGTATGCCAATACACAGCAGCCGGCAGCGAAGCCACCTTCATCGACAGCACCCGCTCCCACGACTAGTGTCAAGCGGCCTCTGGAGTCACATAACGATGTCTCAAATCACGATAAACATACAGCGGAACCGAGTCTGCCAACGCCAAAGAAGCAAAAGCACGCTCACGCTCCGCTGGCAGAGCGTATGCGACCACAAACCTTGGACGATGTCGCAGGACAAGAGCTCGTAGGATCGAGTGGAGTGCTGCGCAACCTCATATTGACAGACAGGGTGCCATCGATGATATTGTGGGGTGGGCCAGGCACAGGAAAGACAACTATAGCAAGACTCATTGCACAAACGGCAGGCACACGATTCGTGGAGATCAACAGCACTTCTAGTGGTGTCGCCGAATGCAAATCGCTGTTCGCTCAGGCGAAGAACGAATTAGCTTTGACGGGAAGGAAGACCATCATATTCTGCGACGAAATCCACCGTTTCAGTAAATCTCAACAGGACGTCTTTCTAGCACCAGTCGAATCGGGGCAGGTGACTTTGATTGGAGCCACGACGGAGAACCCGAGCTTCAAGGTGGTCAATGCACTTTTAAGCAGATGCAGGACTTTCACATTAGCCAAGCTGTCTGACGAGGATGTCCTTGGAATTCTGAAGCGAGCGCTAGGCCGAGAGATGCCAGATGCGACTATGCCTGAGCAACAGCCGACACAGGACGATCAGGATGATCACACAGACCCATCGACCTCCCAGTCTAGCCACCACCTTCTGTTCGATGAAGATCATGCTCTGCTCCGCTACTTAGCAGCCTTCAGCGATGGTGACGCACGAAGTGCCTTGAATCTACTCGAACTCGCACTGGACCTGTGTGAGCGGCCTGGTGTGAGCACCGTTGAGATCAAGTCCAGTCTCACACAAACACTTGTATATGATCGGGCTGGCGATCAGCACTACGATACAATCTCGGCGTTCCACAAAAGCGTGCGCGGCAGTGATCCAGACGCCGCACTTTACTATCTGGCCAGAATGCTCCAGTCTGGAGAGGATCCTCTGTATGTGGCGCGGCGGATGGTAGTCATAGCCAGCGAGGACGTCGGGCTCGCGGACAACAGCATGCTATCTCTAGCCACTGCGACATATACGGCGGCTCAGACCATCGGTATGCCTGAGTGTCGGATCAATCTAGGTCATTGCGCGGTAGCGCTAAGTATGGCCCCGAAGAGTACGCGGGCCTATAGAGGACTGAAAGCTGCATTTGCCGCCTTGAGTGAGCCTGGTAAGATATCAACGGGTGTGAGCCTCATGGACTTGTCTGGGACATATGCTGACCTTTTGCTTGTCCCTTTACAGGTATAGCCGGCTTGGCAATTCCAGTGCATCTGAGAAATGCTCCCACCAGACTCATGAAGGAGCTCGGCTACGGCAAGGACTACAAATATAACCCCGACTATGTGGATGGCCGCGTGGTGCAGAATTATCTGCCTGAGAAGCTGGAAGGCCGCAGGTTCTTAGATACGAAAGACCTTGGCGACGAGGTCGATCCCGAGATAGCGGAGTTGGGCGAGCAGGTCCGAGCGGCAGCCGTCTGCGAGCCGGGAGACGATATATTGCTGAATCCGGACGGCGATTGAGAGCTTGACGACATGCCTGGGAAGTGAGAGCCTGGGAATACACCTGCGTTCCATGGAGGAATCTTAGCACCAGCGACTGGGTCATCTGAAAATGGACGGGTACACAGGTCAGCAAATTTGTGAGAGACAAGCTTACAGCAAGGCATTCTTACCGCAGGTCTCGCTGGTGGGATGCGGCGCACCATTCTTCCAGGGATGCTGCTTCTCGTGCTGATATAGTGCGATTTGTGAGAGACTCTTCAACGTCCTCGGCCTGTCGCCGATGGAGGGCGGACTAAGTCCTTTGGTGAAGACGCTATTGCGTACAGCACCGACCCACTTCGCCTGCTTCCATTGGCCGTGGGTGGTGAAGTGCACAGCAGCGGTCCGCAACGGCAGGAAGATCCCGACATGTCCCGTACTAGAGCTCATGGGCTCACAGAAGTAAGGAATGGTCTTGCATAGGTGTATGCAGTACTCATATAGCTCTTCTTGAGTGACAGCCGAGCCTTCTGTAGGATACCAATCGCTATCCAGATCGTGGCATAGCTTCTGCAGAGATTGGACCTCGTCGCGTAAGAAATGCATACACATCCAGTACATCGATGCCAAGTACGCGACAGGGAAGCTGGCGAAGACGTAGGCCGACTCAAACGTGCGATCCGAGACCAAGCCAGCAAATGTCAAGAACTCATCGATTGGTCGCTCATCATATAGCAAACCCCCTTGCATCAGCGTACGCATGTCCCAATCAAGCCACCATTGTCTAAGACCAGCCTCGATAGTCTCACAGTCAGACAGGAGCTCACTCACCTTCTCGAAGCTGAGCGCGACTGTATCGCCAATCTGATCGAACCTCCCCAACAATCCCGGAATCTGAAGCGCCAAGTCGTAGAATACGGTGGAGCTGTCTTGTATGCATGAGGTGAAAGCCAGTTCTCGCCACTCAGGCTTAGCCAGATAAGGCGCTTTCCGCTCGATGAGTGCCCAGCACAGTGCACCGTGCCGTGTGTTCGAGAACAGTAGTAGTGATAGCTTCGACTGCAATGACTTCGGTCCTCGGGCAGCAATCAGCTGCTGACTTCCGTTGACGTGCTTGCCCCAGCCATTGTCGTGACTGCCGATTGTATCGTACAGTGCACAAGTAGCCAGGACAGATGTAGCCGCGAACACCTCGTCACTCTCCGCCTCTCCAGGTTTGGTTAAGGCTCTCGCCAAGCTCGACAACGCCCTACCGTACCGATTGACAGACTGATTGAGCACCGCCTTATCCTTGTGCAGACTCCCCACAGCAACCAAGCTCAACGCATCCAGTGCCTCTGTGAGCGCGGGCTGCTGTGTCGGCAACGCGGCCAACGTCTGGAAGAAACTGAAGTGATCCAGATGCGAACTATTCTTAGGCAGATAGACATCCAGAAACGTGCCATAAAGCTGTAGTCGCTGGACAGCAGGACTAAGCACATAATCCGGAAGATACCGTCCCGCCACCATCATCTGTCCGGTCAAAAACTCATCTCCGATCCAGTCCACAGCTGCCGTCTGAGTCGGGATTGGAAGACCGAACGTGCTCTCCTGCAATGGTGGAGCGTTCTTGCGAACGATGGCGTCTTCCTTCGCCCGATAGCCGTTCTTGGCCCGGGCCATGGTATTGCGAGTCTGGTCCTTGAACTCGATCCCACCGAGTCCGTCGGTGCGGTAGCCAGGACATGCGACGCCATGGGTAGAGCATTTCTTGCATTGAGGCCTCGTCTCATCGCAGCGGATCTTGCGTTTCCGGCAGGTGAAGCAGCCTGTCGAGCGGAGAGGCATGGTCTAAGAAGTATCCGTGGACTGTGCGGTCCCGTTCCGGCTGTGGGAGTCGCAGTGGTGGCAAGAATACTGCTGGTGGCTTAAAGTGGCAGGCACTGCGAGGATGCCTCCAGTCCAAGTAATCAATGTCTTTCTACATGTCATCAGCTGAGTCAGGCGGATAAACATCACATGCCACGTCTTGATGTACAGTAGGTGACCAGCATTAGCCGCCCAAAACTGGTTGGAGTTGGGGGCTGAGTCGCCACGGACATCGCGGCTTGTATTGGAGATCGCAACTCCACACGACTCCGGCACGAGGTACAAAAAGTCAACGAACCGAACACCACAATCGCTTTTACTAGCAGCCGACAGAATTAGCGAGAACACAAGGACATACACAGCATCACAAACATTGGCGATGAAGGAAATCGGCGAACGGGCATGTGATAAAAGCTAGCAAGATATGGTGTTATATACCAAACTCTGGCTGATTACTTTGCTGACATACATACACTCGAGCGCAGTCGTACAAGCGAATGCCTTCGTGCCCATGACCTGCTGCCCTCGGCCTCCATGCTCTCCCGTCTCTTGCGCCGAACCAAGCGCCAGCCTCCCCAGTATCGCCACTAAGCAGCACACATTACCACAGAAGATATCCGTAATTGGTAAGAAGCACATCATATCGATCAAAGCTCATAGCTTTTGCTCCCTCATGCATCGCTCAATTGCCTCAAATTTCGCTACTGAAAGTGGTATGACTTACCGCAGGTCTGCACTGTCCGTCACATAACCATGCCGCACATCGTACAAATCATTACTCTGGTCGATCGAGACCAAGGAACTAGCGCTCGCGTTCGCGCTCACGCTCGCTATCTGGTGGCGAGACAGTAGCCTCTTCGTCCTCATGGGGAGTCGCTTGATTGCTGCTGAAGAACAAAGGGTTGAGCTCAGTACCCGGCTGGAACCCGGTCTCGACACCATGGACAGGACCAAAGTCCGGGCCGAAAGCCGCGAACGCATCCCAGGGAGCAGCAGGGGCGGGCTGTGAGCGAGGCTGGAACATGCCGCCATTAGCGAACGACTGTTGCGCACCTGCACCGTATTGCTGTTGGAAGGCCGCCATCGCCATAGCATTGCTCGAGGTAGGGAAGGAATTGTGATTGAACAAGGTCTGATGGTTCAGCCCGCCGAAGCTGGCGAAGTTGGGTCCGCTCATGCTGCCGCTTGAAGGGCGGAAGGAGCTGCCGAAAGTGTTTGCAGGACCGTATGCTGTGAACGATGGCAGGCGTTGATGAGCTCGTTGCGTGGGAGCTTGGTTGTAGAAGCTCTGCGTGCGCGGGGCGCTGCTCATCTGCTGTTGATACGTATTATTGCGGAAGCCTGAGTTCAGGTGTGCCATAGAGGCAGGATTGTCGAATGTGATCTCCGGTCCAGAGTTGTCACGGTGGATGCTGATCCCAGTCCGCTTCTTCGGCCGTGATGCTGCGTACGTGAGGTCGTCATCATCTGCACCAGGTCCATCATAATACGGGCGCCTTGCCGGGCGTGCTGGAGGAAGACGAGCACTGGCAGGGCGATTGCGCATAAGGCGGCTAGTATTCCGGTTCTTCTCCACCAGCGCAGTCCTCGGACGTCTGGCTACACGCTTCTTCGGCAACTCAGGCTCAGGTTCGACCTCACCCGAAAGGAGGCTTTCATCGTCATCAATCTCCGGATTACCGTCAATGAGACGTTGCCTCCTCAAGTTACCCTCGGTGTCGAAGACCATCTCCTCAGGCTCGACGACCACGCTTGTAGCCATGAGCTGCTCGATGACGGAATAGTCCTTCTTCTGGTTGCGCTTGCGTCTCATCTCTGGCGTAGCTGAGTCGAACATGGCCATGCCGGGCCACACCAAACCCTTCAGCTTAGCAACATCTGATGTCGTCTCAACAATCTCGTCCCACTCCTCGTCAACAAGGAACGATTGAGAAGTCCCGTCGTTGCTGTCATTGCGGCGACGGCGTGCAGTCGCCATACGTCTTGGCTGAGGTGCAGGCTCGAGCACGAAGCTATCGTCCTCATCATCCGAAATGCCCTCGCTGCTGAACGACTCTTGCTTCATTGGTGGTGTGCCTGCATATGGTGACTCCGGCCAAGCCTGAGGTATGTATCTGGTCGTGTTGAAGTAACCCATCTGCTCCATGGAGAATGCAGATCCAGGAGTGCCAGGACGCGAGATGGGCTCCAACTTGATCCTTGCATCCAGCTGCGGGTTAAGCACGCTGTCGCGCAGTGGTCTCATCGTACGCCGGGCAGTCGGAGCAGCTGGGGTGCTACGAGACGAAGTGGAAGTGGTGACTTCGCGTCGTGCGGCGTTAGCTCTTCTCCTGACAGCATGCTTTGATGTGCGTTTTGCACTGGACTGACCTCCCGAGCCACGACGAGGGGGCGGACGAATATTGCGGCCAGCCGTGCGTTTCTCCTTCTGGTCGATACGCTCGGCCATGAGGTCGTCGATACTGTTCTCACTCTCCCATTGGTTGTACTCCTGCAGGAGCTGGTTGATATGGCCATCGGTGGTGGCTTTGACCTTGAGGGTGTAATACCGACTCTGGTGTGCCTTGCTCTGGATGTGGGTGAGCAAATGGCTGACGTCCGAGAAAGCTGGCTTCTTGGGACAGATGGTGCACTCAAGTGGAATGCTGGCGTTGAGTGCAGCCATTCTGGCTGTGGTCGTCACTGTCGCGGTTTGCGGGAGCGGGTGATGCCAGTGAGGGAGGGTGCAGGAGAAGTGAGGTGTGAGCTTGCTGTGCAAGCGGAAGATTGCTGTAGCTGAAAGAGTGACTGTCGAGTCTCTGGAGACCATTAGTATTAAGGGGTGGAAGCAGCAGTTCAAGGAGTGGGTGAAGTAGAGTGGCGGGAAAGCAGAAAGCAGTGTGATCGATCCAAAAGGAGTGACGAAGGACGAAACCAAGAGAGGGAGAGGAGGAGGTAGAGGGTCGTTTGTTCGTGCTGGTTTGTGTAGTGCTGGTGGAGGGAAAGGAAGAGACACCCCAATGCGTACGTCAAATTGACCTCCAGTGCTTGCCGTTGCAATGCCTCTGTGGTTGCCGTCGCCTGGATGACGAGATATGAATGCCGTGTCGCAGTTGCTGCTATTGTGCTTCTGTTGCGTCAAATTGTCGAAAAGGAATGTGCGACAAGGAAGTAGCGGTGGTCTCATAGCAGTGACGTTGGGAGCGTCGAGGCAGGCGCGCTCTGGCCAGGCGCCAAGACGCCGTCACGTCTTTCGCCAGGTCACATGCACAAACATCACATCTCAATGGGAGGAGGAAGGTAGCACAATGGGTGAGATGGATGTTATTTTGATCCCATTGCGCTTGGCTGTAAATATGGGACATGCTGCGAGGTGAACTAGGCGATGCATTGGGCAAAGTCTTACCCCTGAACGCAGCTCGACGATGCGCAGGAATATGCTGAAGATCTGCTCACAGCTTCAAAATCCTCTTACACCATAGCTCGGTCTCATCGTACGCTCAAGTTGGGTTATGAGGGTTGCAGAGACCGAAGGCACAGCATGAGGCGTACCTTCCCCTGAAGACCTACCATCCTTGTCGTACCCAAGCCGTTGGGACCGGTCGAAGGTGATGCGGAGGACTTTCAATATGCTGTGTACGTTACGAAGGCGAAGAGCTATGCTTTGGCTAGTCTCGCAGTGATGTGCTTAGGCATACAGCTGCGATATAGTCAGACTACGTGCATCCTCTGCATTGGAATGGCCTTCGCGAGAACTTACTAAGCAGGGTCCACTTCCACCAGCCCAGGATAGCCAATCAGACTCAATCCAGCAATGCCGAAGACTGTATGAAAGACGTCCACCATATCACCGGGTCTGTCGGCGATGCCTCCCTCCTCCGGGTCCTGAGATTGTAGTATGAATGCTGTGAGCTTCGCCTTGTCAATCCAGTGCAGGCGGCCGATCATGGCAAGACTACTCATGACCCACCAGCTATAGCAAACATCGACTAGCTTCTCTGGCCGGCCGTTCAGTCCACCACTGGGCAACTGTCGCTCGCTCAGCCAGGCTCCCAACCGATCTTTGCCTACTTCGCCAAGGTACGAGTCGAGCTCGCCAGCTATTGCTAGGGCGCCACAACAGGTGAAGACCTGGCCGGAATGCGATTCTGCTCCAGGAGCGACACCAAAGGCTCCGTCGAAATTCCGGCAAGCTTTGATATGTGCAGTCGCCGCACTGACATCGATGATTGGTGGTTCATTCGGATGTTGGTGTGGCATATAGCCAAGAAGCGAGAGGGTGTAGAAGGCGCTGAACAGGAAGCGAGTGTCTGTCTCACCCCACTCATCACCAGCAAACCTGCCGTCTGGCTGCTGCAAGGACGCGACAAAGGCCGCAATCTTACCGTTGCAATCTGGCATCTTCTTCTCTAGCTCGTCGAAGCCATCGATCATGGTCAGGATCTGAACAGAGTAGCCAGTATATAAGATATGTGCGTCGTGACCAGGCGCAGCCCCAAAGCCTCCATTATCGTGCAAGCACGATAGGACATACTCAATCAGGCCTTCCCGTGGTAGTGCATCAGGCCGCCCCAGTAGGTGTAGTGCTGTTAGGCCCCAGTAGATACCTCCTGTGCGCAGATGCTCGGTCAAGTGGTACTCAAGCTCATCTCTACGCTACTGTGAGCGTCAGTGTCAGCTCGATATGTTGCTATATTCATCTCCTACACATACCGTATCTAAATCCTGGATGTAAGAAATGTGTTTCTCAACAACCAGATTCAGCTCGTCCGGCAGCTGACCCACTGTGACATGCCCGCGGCCGGGCCCGGCTGCGAGAGACATGATATTGATTCCCACCAAGTCAGGCGACGTAATGCTGAAGTCGGATTTGAGTTGGTTTGTTCAGTGGTTCGTAATTTCACAGAGCCAGACTTGATATCCAGGAGTAACAGCCCAAGATTTGGGCTGTCTACAGGTGGCGTTGGAGCTGCCGTAGCAAACGACCTCGTTCTACAGGTCGCTGTCACGAGATAGAGGCTGATTGCCATGTGACGAGGCAAAATATCCGGTCCTCCTGGCTGAAGGAGATGTTGTTGTCCAGGATGACCACGAGCCCGTAGGGTAGATAGTTAGCGTGACGACCCGGGCCAGAAGTGGGCCCCGGCATCGCGCGTGGAGAGAATCCCCCTAGAGATGACTTGCAGAGGGGAACCCACACGAGACTGCTCTACTACTGTACTATAATCTCCGTTGCGCCAGCAGCTAGCAGTACATGTGATCAGACTTCGACGAATACCATTGTCGCGGGGGTGTCTTGACAGGAGTCTTTGCAGTATAGCTTATGCAAGAGCTCGGCACTTGTAACGGAGAAAAGGGCGAGATAGAGTTCCTTCAGGCACACTACGCAACACTAGGAACGTTTCATCGCCCAGGCACCGCACACGACCCACCACCTCGAGAAGAGCCCCAGACGGAGCAGTGGACACTCTCGCTGGCGTCGAAAGTATACGTACACTATACGAACCAGGATAACGACTCGGGACTCATTATTATTGCCATCCGGCTACCCGCATAGCCGCCAGGCACATTGAGCCGCCTGTCAACATACGCACGCCTACAACCATTCACGACCGCCCGCAAGCGCCAATGCACATTGTACTGCTCGGATAGTGAGACCTACAGACGCCGAAGTCGACACCGCCGCCCCGAAGCAACCGTAGCCGGTTCAGGCGCACACAGCAAGGTACGCTTTCTTTGTTCTCCATGCTCACACCACATTGTTCGCAGCCGACACTGCAAATCCCCTCGGGTATTATTGCGCCTTGTACACCGCGACTGACCCATGTGTGATCGCATGCAGCACTCGCCCGACCCACCACATGCGCAATTGAGCGACCGGGAAGCTGTCTGCGACACAGAAATCCGGCCCTGCTGCGGGCGCTGCCCCGAGTGGTAGCAGCAGCCTCATGCAAGGCGCGATCTCCGCGTCTTCGCGCACGGTAATCATGCCACCAAACAAGGCTCGGCCCACCGACCTCACCATCAACCTCAAGTCCGCCGCTGAAGCCGCGCAGTCGTCCGCTGGACCCAACAGTAGCCCCATCAACCTTGAAGGCGTCGACCTGTCCTCTTTCGGCGGAGACATTGGCCTGGGCTCGAGCGCGTCCCCGCCATCCCTCCCTCCGCTCCCGCAATCTCCGCCGTCGTCTCCCCGGCATAATCGCGAACCGTCAAAGAACATATTGCGGCATCTTGGCAGTAAGAGCTCGAAGGTCGAGCAGGAGACATCGCGGGCGCCAGCGCGGCAGGTGAAGGCGGAGAACGATGTGTATCGGTCTACAACGAGCGGTGTGGCAGCAGTATATCAACTCAAGAAGAACGTCGGGAGCTCTCCGGAGCTGAGTTTGGTCGGCAGCATGGAGAATATCGGAGTGAACCCCAGCGAAGGTGAGTCGATTCTGAGCTTTCCTTGCTACCCAGGTGGTGCACGTGGTCGGTATCAGCGATTGCATGACGTATAAGGCAGCAGTGTGAGGTTTGGCAAGCTTCACTTGGTTTAGATTTGCCCGCGAAGCAAACCACCTTTGAGACACATGTCGCATCTGCACAAAGACCTGGAATGCTCGCCGAATCGCCGCTGCCACTCGCCATCACGTTCATATTGTAGATGGCCATTGGTACTCATAGCTAACAATACTGACATAGCCAACGACACAGCAGACACAGCACGGCGGCCGCAGCAAGTACCGCACCACAGTGAAGACAGCGCCGCGTCGAAGAAAAGCAGCCTTCCCTTCCGAAAACAGCTCGGCCGGACCAAGAGCACGCGGAGCAGTTCGAACGGATCAAAAACGCGACCCGAGATACCAGAAGCCAGAACAGCAATCGAGCCAGCCCCACGAACAGCACCACTCCCCGCGGAACAAAGATCCGAGATGCTGCGAGCTAAAAAGGACAAGGACAAGAGTCGTGGGAAGTCAGCAGATAGGGCTGGGGCTAGTGAGAGCGACGACAATGCTGTGGTGCCACCAGCAAGACCGGTCACGAAAGAGAGGGAAAGCCATAAGGACAAGGAGAAGGAGAAGAGTGGCTTCATGAGCAGCAGCAAGCATGCTGTGTCAAAAACGACGAAAGCGAGCGGGAACTTCTTGACGAGGCTTGGGAAGATTGGCAGGAGTAGCAGCAATAATGAAAAGGAGGTGCCCGATAGTGAGTATGTGCTGAAGGTCATCAATCTGCCATTGGTGGAGCAAACGAGGCTCACGAGGATAAGCAAGGATTTGAGCAGTTGCAGGGACAAGACTGAGTATTGGATGCCTAGTCTACCTTGGAGGTGCATCGAGTAAGTCCCTTTTGAATTGCATATATACAATTGATTTGCGCTAACTCTAAGCAGCTATCTCAACCTCAACTGCGAAGCCGAAGGTCTGTATCGGGTGCCAGGCAGTGGTCCACAAGTCAAGCGCTGGCAGCGCCGGTTCGACACGGAGATGGATGTGGATCTTCTGGACGAAAACGAGCTCTACGACCCGAACAACATCGGCAGTATGCTGAAGTCATGGCTTCGCGACCTGCCGACTGAGATCATGCCCAACCATCGTCAGCTTGCACTTGGTGTAGAGCTCGAGAAAGAGAACCCGGACTATGCCAAGATCGGCCAGCCAGCACCGCAGAAACTGCGGGATGCACTTTCGGAACTGTCGCCCTTCAATTACTACCTCCTCTTTGCGATCACGTGCCATCTCAGCTTGCTGCTTTCGCACAAGGATAGGAATCGCATGGACCTGAACAACCTGAGCATCTGTATTGGACCATGTCTGAAGCTCGAGCGTTGGCTATTCAACTACCTCGTTGGTGATTGGAGACACTGCTGGCAAGGTTGCTTCACGGAGAAGGAGTACCTTGAGATCGAGAAGCAGCACGAACAGGGCGACAGCTATCAACCACCAAAAATACTATCGACTTCGAACCTGACGAATGATAGCTCGGCTAGTACTCTGCACGGTGGCGACGAGCGCGTGGTACACAGCAGCGGCAGTGAACGTGTTGATCAGCGCGAGGACTCGATTTCGACCTTGTCAGGTGACAGCATGCAGCGCAGCCGCGAAAACAGCAAGCCAGAGACGTACAGACCAGTCGGAGCACGTGGGCGAAACAACGACAACGTCTCGACACCACAACGTAGCCCCACCACCGGGTTGATCGAGAGCAAGCGACCAGCTACAGCAGAAGACCGCAAAGGCAGCGGCGACGACACACCCACCAACTCCACGCCTCGACCGTACACACACAGCCGTAGCCGCAGCGACGTGGCGACCACACCGGTCAAGGGCGACTTCGCATTCCCTCCTCTTCCGACCCGACCAGCTTAGGTGGCTCGCTGAGGGAAGGAGTGGAGGACGATGAAGACAATAGACCACGAAACAGAAGCACGATTGCATTTCACGCGAGCATACGCCATCTTCCAACTGGCGCGCCGTGCTTGACGATACCCTTTTTTTGAACTTGCGTTGGCGTTTACTGGGGTTGGGGGAAGACGGGACAGAGAGACGGAGGGCGGAGTGAATTGCATCGCGGATGGGGAGGATCATCACGGGAGGGTTCTGGCAGAATGCGAAATGCTGGGTGGTTGAGTCGTGTTTTTCTCTCTCCCTCCGCTCGCTGTGACATGCTCGCTGGCTGAGCCCAGATGGGCTCATGCAGTGACTGGCGAGATTCACGCGATGAGAGGGAGAGCTTTATACCTTGTGTTATTAGATGCGACGAGATCTTGTACTACTAGCCTGCTGAAACCATTCCCATGACTGCCTGCTGCTTAGTCTCACCGTTCGGACTAAATGTTCTTACAAACAGAAGGCCGAAATCTTGTGCCACTGTCACAATACAGGCCGGACACCGCAGAGTAGGAGGTGGAGACACAGTCTTTGAGCACAGCACAACACAATGTTGTCACCACTACATACCTGAGCAACGATAAACATCTGTCTCCAGAGCCTTAGTCCGCCATCCCCTTGACTCTCACAGGGAAGCAGTTCTGTTAGCCTGGAGCGACACCCCCCTATCAGTCCGAGCAACCGCGAAGGGTTACCACGAAAATATGCATGGAGAGTGCCATTTGTTCTTGCGCATATGCTAGTGACCTCACCGTATTAGAAAGGTATTCCGGGTAGGAAATGTACGGTGGGCGTGATCTGTTTTGAAGCAGCGCATTTCACCTCGTGCATATCTGAATATGGAGGGAAGGGAGCACGAAGCAGGGTTTTGTAAGCGGGAGGAAGGGGCGGGGGCACGAGTCGTGCGCTGCGCTGTAGTCATTTGGACCTGACCTCACCTGTCCAATCGCATCACATTCCCCAGGATTGTCGAAAAGGAACTCTGGAAAAGAATGCCTGCATTGCGTACAAGGTATATCAATGTCTCCCCCCGGTCCCATTGACAACCGGCACCCCATTCGCCCCTCTCCCCCTAGAAGAAGGCGCCGCGGAATTCCCATTCACCAACCCTTCCTTCCCGGTGGTAGCAGGAACCTGCTGAGGCGGCGGCGGAGGCGGCGGGCCAAACGTCCTGGGCAAGACACCGATCTCCTCCCCGACTTCTTCCTCCTCCTCCGTGTCTTCATCCTCGTACTCCTCGCCCTCTTCATCCTCCTCGTATTCTTCCTCGTCCTCCTCGTACTCGCTTTCCGTGCCTTCGTCGCCGAACTCCTCGTCCACGGAGGCACCGACGCCCACACCACCCTGCTGTCCGCCGACCGGGACACCCTGCTGCGCTCCCGCCACGCCACCTGCGCTGCCATACCCACCACTCTGCATAGCCCGACACAGCTTCTTCAGCTTCTCGTTCTCGCGACTGAGCTTGTCAATCGCCTGCTGGCTCTGACTCCTCTCCTCCGCCATCTGAAAGATATTCTTATTCGTCGCCTCCTGCTTCCGCGTCAGATTGAGATTCTCCTTCTCCAGCCGCTTCGTCTTCTTGCTCATCTCCTCCATTTCTTTGCGGAAAGTCAGGAACAGATCGTTGCTGTTGTTAAGTGTGTCTTCGACCTGCTGTGGGGGTCAGTCAGTCATCTAAGTCAGGATATCCCGCATACAGGAGAAAGTAGCAACAAACGGGTGTGTATAAGTGGGGTGACTAAAGAGTGAGGAGCTGCCAACGTACCTGCTTAAACTTCTCGACATAGACATTCAACTGGCCCCTAAGCTCGTTTTCCGTCTGGCTGAAAGTACTCACTTGCCGCGTGAGCTGGTGGCTCTTAGACAGCTCGCTCTCCTGCGCCTTCTTAAGCTGATCATGCCGCGCGGTCTGGTATGCGATCTCTAGATCCTTCATACGAAGCAGAGACTGGAATTGCAGTTCCCGAAGCTCGTACTGTTGCAGGAAACTCGTGAACTTCTCCCGAAACATCCGATCCTGCTCCAGTTCTACGCCTTGCCGGTCATGTTGCGCTTGCCGTGGCGACACCACTTCCTCCACATCGAGGACCAGATTCTCGAGTTTCCGATGTAGCTCCTCGTTCCGATCGGCACTGTTCTCCTTCATATCTCGCAGATCCTCCTTCAGCTTCTTGTTCTCTCTCGTCAACTCACGACTCAGCTTCTCCAGCTTCTCCTTTAGCCCTTTCTCCCTCGTCCGGTCTTTACTCACCTCCTCCTTCTCTTTCTGCAACTGGTCACCGCGTTTCTTGGCCTTCATGTGGTCACGCTCCACCTTCTTCATGTCGCTGAGCAGCTCGGTGTAGCGTCGCTGTACGATATCGATCTTGCTGTTGTGCGGCTCGAGGGTACTGAGAAGTTGAGAGAGTTCGCGGTTCGCCTTTTTCACTTCCGCCTCGATCTCGGCTTCCTGCTGGGCATTTTCCGTACTGCTGGCTTCGAGCTGGGAGATTTTAGAGAGAAGGGCCTTGTGGGCGTCGGCCGGATCATTGCTAGTGCTCGCGGCGCCTTTCTTGCCCTTCGCCTTGCCCTTTGCCGGTGCTGGTGCAGCTGTGGGAGGGGGCGGTGGTGCGGCAATGGAGTCATTCGAGTTGGAGTAGTCCATCGAGGCAGGCGAGTTGCGCGCATTGCTCATGAGGGGCGCCACGGCCGCCATAGATGTCTGTCCGCTCTATGACCAGCTGGCACTGCGGCGCTTGCTGTCTGGTCTCCTACTCGATCTTACTAGCTGGGTCAAGCTGTGTGCCAAAGCCGACTGATGTTGACGATCCTGCACACGGTCCCTGCGCTCGTCTGTCGCCTTCATTGGTCTTCCCCCGTCCAGCTCAGAACCTACTGCCACCGTCTCTATACTCTATGCTGACTAATCTCCCGTCGTCCAGATGCAGTGAGAGTCGAAAGGGGAGATGGTGACGGGGAATACAGTAATACCGTCAAGTCAGCGGGAGGGAGGTGCAAAGTCTGTTTCCGTGGCGGATGGGTCCAGTGAGGCGATGATGCTGCTCTGTAAGATGTATTGTGGTCCTGCGAGATGGGGATGCGGGTGGTGTGTAAGGCTAGCTTTTCCTGTGTAGAGCAGCAATCGTGCATGCGGAGGCGCAGATGGTCGAAGGAATGGCACCCGGGAGGCAAGCAAGCCCCACCGCTGATTGGCCGAGAGAGCTGTCGCCGGGAACGAGTCAGTGGTGCATGTCATCTATCCTGTGTAGTCGCGTGGCCATGGCCGATTTTCATCCGTTGTGTATATCGCATCGCAACTAGCATTTCTGGCGCTGTGCATCTTGCTTCGGCGTTGGGGATGATTTCGAGCTTACGCACGTCGCGGCCTCTTCGCCATGCGGCGACGAGGGCTGGACTGAAGTCCACCCGACGAAGCTATGCATCAGTGACCGACCTCGCCTCCCTTCCACAGCAGGGCACCCAGCATCACGGCTTCACTTTACAACGGACGAAATATATACCCGCCCTGGAGTTGTCGGCATTGCACTTCAGGCACGATAAGACCGATGCCGAATACCTTCATATAGCAAGAGAAGATAAGAACAATGTCTTCAGTATCGGGTTCAAGACGAATCCACCCAATGCGACGGGTGTGCCACATATACTGGAGCATGTTACTCTGTGTGGATCGGAGAGGTAAGCAAGAGCATAAGTAGATTGTCCAGAGGTAGGTGAGTGTAGGCTGATAGAAAGGTAGGTATCCGGTAAGCGGCCACCTTTCATGTCGATGTGCTTTTGTCCTCTCACGACTGCTAACTATAAACCTCCTTGTCGAAGGTCCGCGATCCTTTCTTCAAGATGCTGCCGCGCTCGTTGCAGAACTTCATGAATGCCATGACCAGCTCAGACCACACCACCTACCCCTTCGCCACCACTAACGCACAGGACTTCAAGAATCTAATGTCCGTCTATCTGGACGCCACCCTACATCCACTGCTGAAACGCTCCGACTTCGTTCAAGAAGGCTGGCGCATTGGACCAGAGAACCCGCTCAAGGAGTCAGACGAACAGGGGACCAAGGATCTGGTGTTCAAGGGCGTAGTGTACAACGAGATGAAGGGTCAGGTTTCTGACGCCACTTACCTCTTCTACATCAAATTCTTCGAGCAGATAATTCCGGCTCTGAATAATAGTGGTGGGGACCCGCAGAAGATGACCGATCTTACCTACGAGCAATTGCAGCGTTTCCAGAACGAGCATTATCATCCAAGCAATAGCCGTATCGTTACCTATGGTGACCAGTCAGTCGAGACTCATCTGCAGATGCTAGGCGAGCAGCTCGCCAAGTTTGACAAGGTGAACATCGACAAGGACATCAAAGGACCCATCGCACTTAAAGGACCGCAGACTGTCACTATCCCTGGGCCTGTGGATCCTCTCGTACCACCAGAATCGCAGTTCAAGACATCTACGACATGGGTCACTGGCGATCCGAGCAATGTGGATGAGTCGTTCGCTCTACAAGTCATCTCGAATATCCTCCTCGATGGCTATGGCGCACCCTTATACCGTAGTCTTGTTGAATCAGGGCTAGGCACGGACTTCTCACCCAATACTGGCTATGACAGCTCAGCCAGCAAAGGTCTCTTCTCCATCGGCCTGACAGGCGTAAGCGAGAAGAACGTTCCAAGAGTCAAGGAAGCCATCTCGGACACATTACTCGAGCAAGCAGCGAATGGATTCGAGAAGCATAAGGTCGACGGCCTCCTGCATGTGCTCGAGCTGAAGCTCAAACATAAGAGCTCACGCTTCGGTCTGGGTGTAGCGCAATCTGTGACTGGGAGCTGGTTCAACGGCGTCGACCCTTTCGCTTCGCTGGACTACGAGCACACCATCAGCACTTTCCGCAAGAACATGCAAAAATCACGGTATCTGGAGAAGCTGGTGGAGAAGTACTTGCTCACGGACAATACTCTTACGTTCACCATGGCGCCGAGTGCGACTTTCGGTGCGGAGCTTGAGGAGGAGGAAGCTGCTCGGCTCCAGACCAAAATTGCAGAGGCGGTGAAGCAATTCCCGAACGAGCAGGAAGCACATAAGCACCTTCGTGAACGGGAGTTGGAGTTGCTGAAGGAGCAGGATTCGGGCAAGTCCGCGAACGTGGACGTTCTGCCTACCTTGCGTGTGAGTGATATCGAGCGGACAGGGCAGCAGTATGAGGCCCGGGAAAGCCAGCTGGACGAGAAGACGAATGTGAAGTGGCGGGAAACTGCAACGAATGGCCTGACTTACGTCAAAGCCTTGGCTATGTTCAAGGATCTGCCAGACGAGCTTCGAATGCTTGTCCCACTGTTCTGCGACAGTCTTATGAGAATAGGCACGAAAGATAAGTCGATGGAGGAGCTGGAGGGTCTCATGAAGCTCAAGACTGGCGGTATACGGTTCGGATACCATGCCACGACTTCACCTCACGACATCCTCAAAGCCGAGGAAGGGCTCTCGTTAGGTGGTTATGCCTTCGACAAGAATGTGCCAGCCATGTATGAGCTCATCAACACGATCTTACTGGGCACGGACTTCGATAGTCCGAACGCACATGGCATGATAAAAGAATTGCTGAGAGCTGGTGCAGACGGAGCGGTAGATGGGATTGCCAGTGCCGGGCACATGTACGCCAGTCGCTACTCGAAGGCTGGCCTCAGTCTGCATGGTGCGTGGGGTGAGCAGACAGGCGGTCTCAGGCAAGTCAAGCTGATAACCAGTCTGGCTTCGGCAGAGGAAGACGCAAATGCTATGGCTTTGTTGGTGGAGAGGCTGAAGGCCATCCAGGCTATCGTGGTCGAAAGCATGCGCACCAGCTTCCGCGCCATGGTAACCTGCGGCGCCGATGCCTCCGGGAGCAACGAAGCCGCCCTCCAGTCCTTCATCACAACCACCCGCTCCTCACCCCTCACGCCACCAGCCCCCCTCACCACCACCCCCCCACCCACCTACCCAACTCTCAACCAAAAAACCCTCTTCCCCTTCCCAACCTACCAAGTCTCCTACACCGCCCTCACCCTCCCCACAGGGCCCTACACCTCCCAACAAACAGCGCCTTTCGCCATCCTCGCCCAACTCCTTACCCACAAACACTTACACCACGAGATCCGTGAAAAAGGCGGGGCCTACGGCGGCGGAGCCAGTTCCTCCGGCCTCACAGGGACGTTCGGGATGTACTCCTACCGCGACCACAACCCCGCCAACACTTTACGAATCATGCGCGAAGCCGGGCGATGGGCCGCGGAGCGCGAATGGAGCGAGCGGGAATTGGAGGAGGCGAAACTGTCATGTTTTCAGGGACTAGATGCGCCGATCTCGGTCAATCAGGAGGGTGTGGATGGATTCTTGCTTGGGATCGATGCGCAGATGGATCAGCAGAGACGGGAGTGGTTACTCGATGTGGACGCTAGGCAAGTGAGACAAGCGGCTGAGGAGGTGGCGAAGGCGTTGGAGGGGAACGGGGCGAATGTGGCGGTTTTGGGGAATGATAAGGGTGGGTTTGTGAAGGAGGGTGAGGGATGGGAGGTCAGGGATATGGGGATTGGGAAGTGATGTTTGGCTTGGGATCTAGCGGCGAGAACTCATCTCTTGTTGTGTCATAGCGTCGGGACTGTTGTAGGATAGATTTGTGCACCTCACAGCAATTTGGATGAGGGAACATCGTGGTGCGACAATTTGTCACAAAGAAATAAGCAAGCAGTGGCAAGATGTATGAAGTGGAGCACCATGCATTTTGATACTACTGCGAAGGAGCTACATAACAAGCTTCTGATGAGCTCGCTCAGTGCAAAGCTCATTGCAGCGTTATTCCGCCATGCCTCCGTAGGCTCAGCGGATTACGCTCCCATATGCCATGTCCCTCCCGCACTCATATCTCTATCAAGGTATCGTTGTGAAAAGGAATCTTTGCAGCACCAGGCATTGCCGGCCCGTAAGAAGCATCATGTTCCACGGCAGCAACACAAGCCACCGTCGCAGCGCCTTCCACGCGACCCAGTGCAAAGCTTAGTTCACTGCGGCATTTTTTCTCGCTCCAAACGCTTGCAAAAACCCCCACTCGCTGAAAAGAGTCCATCCCGATCCCACCAAGAAAAGCATCCATCTACTGCTGAAAACGCCTTCGCGATCTATTAGAGCAGCGCGACAGCATGCCCAGAAGCAGCCGTCAAGCCGAAGTCGTAGCTGATCGAGTAGCTCAAAGCGCCATGCCGTGTAGTAGGCAAGAGCGCACAAGCCGCTCAATCTATTGTTGAGTAAGAGCGCCATCTCTTTCTTCCCTTAAGCGCCGACGCAATGCTTCGTTGCCGTGAGAAGAAAGAAAGAAAAGCAGCGCTGTCTATCATGCTGATTCGGGGGTATAATGTCGTTCTGTCGCACAGGCTCATCATGGTCGATCCCGGAACGTCTCGTCCCTCCGGAAGAAGCAAGCCGGTAAAGCAACGCGCAACGCAAGACGCGCCAAATGTTGTACAAAAGAGAAGTCGTGTGGCGTCGGTGGTTAGGGCGTGTTAGACTCGAGTCTACCACCAGCTGTTGGCGCCAGGGCCGCTGGGGTTGCCGTAGCTGCCGCCACCCATTCCACCACCACCCATGCCGTAGCCGCCGCCGCCGCCGCCTTGTTGGCCGCCGTAACCGCCTCCCATGCCGCCACCGTATCCACCACCACCCATACCCATGCTGCCGGCATAGGCTGGACGCTGACCACCGCCGAAGGAGCGCACATCCTTCATGGCGGCAGAACCACGGCCGCGACCACCAGAACGACCGCCTCGGCTGCTTCCACCACCACCAAAGCCTGAGCTCTCGCGCGCGATGGTCTCGAGGAAGCTTGGGACTTCCTGATTGGCCTCCTTGAGCAGATCGAGAAGGTCACGCACGACGCCACGGTTGCCACGGTTGAAGAAGGCAGTCGAGATACCGGTGTTGCCGGCACGACCAGTACGACCGATACGATGGACATAGTCGTCGATGTCGGTGGGCAGATCGTAGTTGACAACGTGCTTGACGTTGGGGATGTCGAGACCACGAGCGGCAACGGCTGTAGCAACCAGAATAGGGCAGCGTCCGTTCCTGAACATGTCGAGAGCACGCTCACGCTCACGCTGGGTGCGGTCGCCGTGAATAGAAGTGGCAGGGAAGCCTTGGTTGATGAGGAAGTCAGAGAGCGTGTCGGCCATGCGCTTAGTCTCGACGAAGATCAGGGTCAACCCAGCACCGTGGGTGTGCAGGATATCTAGAAGCACGCTACGCTTGTCGGCGTCCTCGACGTACTCGATCTTCTGGGTGATGTTCTCAGAGGTCGAACCGACACGTCCAACCGAGAGGAAGATATACTCTCGAAGGAAGTCGCGAGCGAGCATCTGAATGTCGCGTGGGAAAGTGGCAGAAAACATGAGCGTTTGGCGGTTATCCGTGCGCGGCATGTCCTCACCTTCCACGATCCGGCGAATTTGAGGCTCGAAACCCATGTCAAGCATGCGGTCGGCCTCATCGAGAATGAGGTACTTGATGTTAGCAAGCGAGATCCTGCCTCTCTCGATCAGATCCACAAGACGACCAGGGGTAGCAACGAGCAAATCACAGCCGCGCTCAATCTGGCGAAGCTGCGAGCCGATATCGGCGCCACCGTAGACCACGCAAGGCTTCACCCACGAGCGATAGGCAAACTTGCGAGCCTCGTCGTGGATCTGAGAGACCAACTCACGCGTCGGGGCGAGGATGAGTGACGTTGGGTACGCCTTGCGCTGACGAGAGAAGCCACCTTGTTGAGGGGCTGCATTGGCCGGGCCGTGCTGATAAGCCTGGGACAGGATTGGGAAAAGGAATCCACCAGTCTTGCCTGAACCTGTCTGAGCACAAGCCATGAGATCACGGCCAGACATGACAATCGGGATAGAGTACTTCTGCACAGGTGTCGGGACCTTGTAGCCAGCCATCTCGATGTTGCTGATGAGGTGGTCATCGAGAGGTGGGTTTGTGAAGGTCGTCACTGGCTCTGGCACGCCTTGACCGGAAGCCTCAACAGGGATGTCGTCGTACTTCTCGAAGTTGATACCGCTGGCCTGCTTCGAGGGATCGTTGGGGTCACCGAACAGCTCACGCTCGACGCGAGGGTTCGAGGGACCCGGGATGTGCTTGCCATCTCTCCACTGCCCATCTCCTGCGCCTGTGCCCTGGCGGCCGCCGGAGCCACCACCGGAGCCGCCGTATGCGTTGCGGTCGAAGCCACGAGGCATCTGAGGCGAGTTGTCCCAGTTGTTGGCTTGGCCTGTGCGGGGAGTGAAGGTCTGGGCACCAGCGTTCCAGTTGTTGCCGCGTGGTGGGCCGGTAGGGTAGCCGTTGCTACAAGTGGGGTCAGCATCTATTTTCCACACCTTAGGAGGTCTATGCATACCCTTGAGGCGCCCAAGCGCTGCCGTTCATGCCTTGAGCGGCTGGAGGTCCGCCGGGGCCATCTTCAAAGCCGCCTGGGGGTGGGCCAGCAGGACCGCCGGCGCGAGGTGCTCCCCTCATGTGTGGTGGGATGTAAGCAGAGCGCTCACCGAAGCCATTCTGCTGCGGAGCGTGCTGCGAGTCCTTGAGAGACAATCCGTTCATGTTGAGCTGGTCTGCCATGATGTCACTGGTGTTGTGATATTGAAGATTGTTTGGATGTGCGTGTGTGAGTGAGTGAACGGCGGTCGGTGAAGAGCGTTCGGTGTGTTGATGTCTGATGCGTCTCAAATGCAAGAACACCTGCAAGAAACACAAGAAAGACGAAAAAGTGGTGTATTAGAAGATGTGAGGATGGTGGGTGGTGTTGTGATGTGGTGTTTGTCAAAAGACAGGCGTGAGAGGACAGGCTGCACCAAAAAATTACAGAGTTGATCGGGTCGCGCTAAGCGGGTTGGGACTAGCGCGCCTGCAGTGGCAAGGAGATCATCCTTCAACCACCTGCATGATCCAGTGCCGCCACATCATGTTTTGAGTCAAGAAGTGCTGTATGACTCTATATGGTCATGGCTACGTCTTCATTCTCTGGAGCCTTGAAATGGAACTCATGTTGCTCATGAAAATTGGACATAACGCGATTAGACAGATAATATTCCTATCTCAATTCTAGTACAAGACCGTCGTTGATATAGCCTTATCCTGATCCAGCAGCCCACCCGCTACTTTACTTGACTATCTTGCACACGAGATCCTGGCTGTCCACAGAGTCACCCTCCTTGACGCTGAGACTGCCAATCTTACCGGAGTGTGGCGCACTGATAACCATTTCCTGAAAAGCAACAAGTCAGCATACATCCAGCTTAGAGTGTCCACCAGTTGGAAAGTGGGATGACTCACCATCTTCATAGCACTGAGCACAGCAATAGGATCACCTTTGCTGACCTCGCCACCATCCTTGACTCGGACCTCAACAACCACACCACTCATTGGCGAACCGACTTGAGATCCATCGCTAGCATCCGCCTTCACGCGGCTCTTGTTCTCGATGGCCGCTTTGTTGTCATCCACGGTAACCTGTCTCACCTCGCCGTTCATCTCATAGAACACCTCCCTCTGACCAGTCTGCTCGCTGAGAGGGCCGATGGCCAACATCTTCAAGATAAGCACCTTGCCGCGCTCCAGCTCAACACTGAATTCCTGGCCTACTTCGGGACGATTGAGGAAGTATTTCGTCGGCAGAACTGACAAATCGCCATACTTCTGCGTGAAATTCTTGTAGTCCTCGAAGACCTTGGGGTACATGGCGTAACTGGCCACATCTGTCTCGCTGCAGCCACCGAACTGCTCCTTGAGCTTTTTACGGATGGCGTCAAAGTTGAGAGGATCGAGGTAGAGACCAGGGCGCTTGTCCATCTTGCGGCGGTCACGGAGGGCTTTGGAGCGGAGGGGCTCAGGGAAGCCTCCGTAGGGCTGACCCATAAGGCCTTCGAAAAACTCGAGAACGGAGGATGGGAAGTCGAGCTGGTCGGCTTTGTCGATGGTTTCTTGGTAGGTGAGATTGTTCGAGACCATGAATTGGGCCAGATCGCCGACCACTTTTGAGGTGGGTGTGACTTTGACGATGTCGCCGAGGAGGTCATTGGCCTGTTCGTAAGCTTTCTTAGTCTGTGCCCACTGTGCGCCGAGGCCTTGCTGCGAAGCCTGAAAGATGAGGTTGGTGAGTTGGCCACCAGGGATTTCGTGCTCGTAGACTTCTGGATCTGGACCTGTGAGGCCGGCTTCGAAGGGCGAGTAGATTTGTCGGACCTGAGCCCAGTATTGGTCGAGCTGGCGGACATTGTGATGATCGAGGTTTCTTGACAAGCATTAGCGAGGGTTCATAGAGGCTCCTTGCTTAAATACTTACGGATCATGTTCACTCCCCTCAAGCGAAGCCAGAATTGCTCCAATGCTGGGCTGGGAGGTCATGCCCGACAGACTATCTGTGGCGGCATCGACAGCATCGGCACCAGCCTCAGCACAAGCGACCATGGAAGCAACGCCAGTGCCCGCAGAGTCGTGAGTGTGCACATGAATCGGCAGCTCGGGGTATTTCTCGCGGATCGTACCAACAAGAAGCCTTGCAGCCTTCGGTTTCAGGACGCCGGCCACTAGAGATTCCCATTAGCGAGAGCTTTGCCCGATGAGTGTAGGAGTGCACCAACTATCTTTTAAGCCGAGCACGTGGGCTCCCATGCCCACGATCTTGTCGACCACACCCATGTAGTACTCGAGGTTGTATTTCTTCTTCGGGTTCAGCATGTCGCCTGTCCCGTAGTGTTAGCACACCTTCCCCGAGTCTGAAGCAGAACTCAACATACCTGAGTAGCACACTGTGCCCTCACAAATGCCGCCCGCCTTGAGGACAGCCTTAATGCCGACTTCGAGCTGCTCTACATCGTTGAGCGCATCGAAGACGCGGAAGATGTCCATACCGTTCTTCTTGGCTTGGTCGCAGAAGTGGTAGATAGCATTATCAGGCAGCGACGAGTAAGCCACACCATTGGCGCCACGGAGGAGCATCTGGAAAGGGATGTTCGGTACAAGCTTGCGCATCTTGCGGAGTCGGTCCCATGGGTCCTCATACAAGAATCGCATAGCCACGTCGAAAGTGGCACCACCCCAGCACTCCAAAGCCCAAGCATTGCTCAGAGCGTGGCTGGTCTCCTTGGCAATGTTGCAGAGGTCGACTGTTCGTACTCTTGTAGCGAGCAGAGACTGGTGGGCGTCACGCCATGTAGTGTCCATGATCAAGCAGCCCTTGTTCTTACGCACGGCCTTGGCAAAGGCTTCTGGGCCTTGCTCTGTGATCACGTTCCTCCAGCCTGTCTTGCATGGCTGGGAGATGTCAAGCTCTTTACCGGTCGATGGGTCGGTGAGTGTTGGCATGAGCACATCGCCCTTGAATTTGGAGTCCCCAATCTGGCCCTTGATCTGACTGCCATTGACTGCGAGGTCTCCAAGGTAGGCAAGTAGCTTCTGAGCTCGATTCTGGCTACCGATGAGCGAGAACAGCTCGGGTGTGTCGTCGATGAACGTCGTCCAGCAGTTGCCATCGATAAATGTGGGATGCGTTAGCAAAGACGCCAGGAAAGGAATGTTCGTCTTGACACCACGAATGCGGAACTCGACGAGAGCACGGAGCATCTTTCTTCGCACAATCTCGTATGTGGAGCCATGGCAGCTGCACTTGACCAACATGGAATCGTAGTGGGGAGTAATGATGGCGCCCGCAAAACCATTGCCACCTGCGAAATGTCAGTCTGGCCACCCATCCACGGTTTGTGGGCAATATACCATCGAGGCGGACTCCGCTGTAATAAAAGTCAGCATCTATTGCGGGGATAGGTGGAGAATCATGATATACTCACTTGCCACCCGCCGAGCGATATACTTCAATCTTGCCAGTATCAGGCTTAAATCCCTCACTCGGATCTTCTGTGGTGATGCGGCACTGGAAAGCAAAGCCTCTAGTCGAGATCCTATCTTGTGTAAGGCCAAGCTGCTGGAGGGACGCGCCGGCTGCGATCTGGATCTGAGCGGCGACAATGTCGATCCCCGTGATCTCCTGACAAAAGCGTTAGCGTCAACCCAACGAGATCCCAGGGGGCAAACCTACTTCCGTAATCGTGTGCTCGACCTGGATGCGAGGGTTGATCTCGATAAAATAGTAACGGCCTGACAGCGACAGTTAGCACCCATCAGCGTCTTGATAATCGTAGGTATTTGCTTACCCTCTTGATCAACCAAGAACTCCGCAGTACCAGCATTGCGGTAGTTGACAGACTTGGCCAGCTTGACAGCGTCGTTGAGAATGTTATCGCGAGTCTGCTGTGGCAGGTCCTTGGCGGGCGCCAGCTCTACGACCTTCTGATGTCTTCGCTGCACGGAACAATCACGCTCGTATAAGTGGACAACGTTGCCATGGTTGTCACCCAGAAGCTGGACCTCGATATGCTTGGGCCGGTACAGGAAGCGCTCGACGAAGACGGTGCCGTTGCCGAAGGCTGACTTGGCCTCGGATGTGGCTCGTTCGAAGGCATCCTTAAGCTCCTCTTGCTTCCAGACGACACGCATGCCACGTCCACCACCACCGAAGGCTGCCTTGATGATAACTGGGAAGCCGTACTCATCTGTGAATCCCTTCACGTCCTCGAAACGCTCCACGGGCCCTTCAGTTCCTGGTACGCAGGGGCTTCACGGGGAGTGGTGTTAGTGTAAACCCAGCTGTGTCTCAGATATGGGTTGAAGTTATTGTACTTACACCTCACACTTCTTGGCTAGCTTACGAGCCGAGACCTTGTCACCGAGGGCGTTGATAGTCTATCCCCAGAATCTGTTAGCTCTGTGACATGCCGCAGCGCCTGTCAGCTATATAGCTTCGATAGCCTCACCTCGGGATCTGGTCCCACCCATATGAGCCCTGCTGCCTCGACCTTCTTCGCGAACTCGTAGTTCTCACTCAAGAACCCATAGCCTGGATGCACGAGCTGAACATCTAAGGAGAGTGGACGTCAGCATATCCCGAGCGCATGAACCCAATCTCAAGGTATTGAAGTCCGACACAGTCTCATGGAACCTACCATGTGCGAGTGCGATCTTGATAATCTCCTCGCCAGCCAGATATGCCTCGACTGGCCGGTACTGTCCTCTCTTGCCGATCAGGTACGCCTCGTCTGCCTTCTGCCTGTGCATAGATAGGCGGTCCTCATAGCTGAAGACTGCGACTGTCTGCAGCGACAGCTCGTGTGCGGTACGGAAGATACGGATAGGGATCTCGCCTCGGTTGGCGACCAAGATCTTCTTCAGCTGCATGATCGAGCTGTTCGCCCGCAGTCGCTGGTGGACTGTGTTCTTGGTCGAGTGGGTATCGCCATCCTCGTGAATCGTTCCATAGTCTCCTCCATTCGTGGCCGGTGTCTCGACCTGCTTCGTGGCTGGAGTGTCCGACATTCTGGGCTAATGATGCTTTCGTTGTACAACCGAGAGTGAGGAAGGATGGTTGCAGAAGAGCAGATCTGCGGGTATAAGACGCCCAAACTATGTTGCCAGCCTCCCGGGCTCCCCACGGTTATGCTTGCTCACCGTCTTGTCCTCGAGCATTGACCAGCGAGACTTCAAGCAACCAGTTGACAGACGATTGTAGCAGCTTGCCAGTAAGTGTGGGACCCAGCGCAAGCTATTTGAACGGCAGGACGAAGATTTTGTTATTGTATTAGCAGCTTCTAGCACGGATTATGACGCCGGGGAAGCTCTCTGGTTGAGCTCAAGCCTTTCCTCAGTGCCCCGCATGCGCGATAGGCATTATTATTCTTTTATCGGCCTCGGGGACACGCTATTGGAAGCAGAGCCCGGCCGCTCGGCTCACTGGAACTGTTCATCCCTCTGCATTCACACGCGATGCATTCACGACTCAAAGCTTTCGAGCATAAGTCGGAGATTGAGGCGGACAATTCCGGATCGTTCTCGTGACAACGACTCGCATCCACTCGAACCTGATCACGAAGTCATCCATCTCGCAGGCGGAACACCCGTTGATGGCTTCGTCTTCGGCGCAAGCAGATTGTCAAAGCTTCCTTCACACCGCCGTGGAAAAGCAACACTTTATCGCTGTCCGCATTGTTTTGGGTAACGAGAGCACGGCCCGAGACAATATTTCGACCAGGTCTTTCATGCAGGTACAAGCGCATGCCTGCCTCGCGCGCTGCCGCGCATCGTGAGGTGGACAGCTGAGCATCATAGGAGGCAGCGAAGTCGTCTAATAACCCAGCCCGGTAAGCTGATAGTTCTCACCGTGTCATAACCGTGGCAGACAGTCGACATGCCTCGCCGCCTTCGATCTCCCCGGCCAGTCCATCGCCTGCTTACGTTCGGCTACGTGGAATGATCTTAGACTGCCCGAGGTCGCATACAGAAGTCTCGTAGGCAGATTGCAGAGCTGCAGCACTATCGAAACTACCAGTCAGTCTCGGCACTATTGAACAGAGCACATTCAAACGGTGCGTTCACTGCTTTCGACAGATCGCAGCGGGATCTCCGTGCCTGTCGAAACCATCCTGCAGGATTATCAGGCCATGAAGACTCCGTATGTCGGCAGCGTCCGCCTTGCTGCCGCCAAGGAAGCCAAAGCGCATCTGGGTCTCATCACGCCACACCTGTGTCGCTGTCAAAAGCGCACAAATTTGATCATCTGGTGTCGCCTTGTGTCTGTCTGATAAATTTCGGTGCAATGCGCGGCTCCGAGTATTCTGAATAGGTAACAGGGCACAAATCAATTGCACTGGACGTCTTGTCAGGCGCTCCTCACTGAGGCCTGCACAATGACATGCTAGGGCTGACTGTTCGGCTAGAATATGGTGTGCCAACGCATATCGCAGCTTAGCACTTCGCTTTTGACTCTGCGGCACGCACGTTAGATAATAGTTCTGCGATGTGCACGTAGGTGTCAATATGCACGCCACTGACACGCTGCAAGTGAGGCACCGGCTATATATACGAAGGCTGCCACCATAGAGTGAATTATGCTACTACCCGTCTCATCTTCCTACTTGAATCCTACCGTACCATCATAGATCCCTTCGCCTACGATACTGCTGACCGAGTACGCTCAATGGCCGGACGATACTCACTATGTCTGCTTCTGTCAGCCACAGCAGCCATGGCGCATCCTACAGCCTGGTCGAATCATATGCCATCCCCAACGCCGTGTACAACCACTACGAACACCCAATCTTACACTAGCAGCATCGGGCCTGGACCGACTGGCGTCAACGAAACGCCTCATTTTTCTTACGATGAGCTGTGGGATATTCATAACAACTTCCTCAAGGCATTCACATACCCAAACAATGTCGAGCAAGCCAAGACAATCAATTCAACGTTACTGGCACCTAATGTCATCGGTAGAGTTGATGTGACCCGAGTCTTCCTCGGGCAAGAACTCAATACAGAGTATCTGTGAGTCAGCAACTACTGGTGGTGACCACAGGCGAATGGACTGTAGCGCTGACAATCGACATCCAGATTCGGGCTCTTCACGGGCAACACCCTGAATGCCGGTGCAGCAACATTGCTCGGCATACCATTGGAATACAATGTCATCCACTTCGCAGCTACCGACTACGTGGTATCCTCCGCCACGGTGCACAATTTCAATTTCTCCAGCATCATCTTACCCGTCGAAATCGTTGGCTTCTTCACGTACGACTCCAACAAGCAGATTTCGCAGTACGATGTCACATTCAGGCGCTTCGATCAAATCGTCGACATCCTGGTGGCGAATGTGGCGCAGCAAATTCATGTGAATACCAGTGCACAAGCCGTGTCATTCTTGACCAATGCTCTAGCATCGACCATCTGTAACACCGAAGTCCAATACTGTAACGGCAGTAACCAACAATACAGCGATTTCCAGTCTTGCTTCGCCTTCCTCACACAAGACATACGGTTTGGTACCGCTTACGAGCTTGGCAGAAATACTCTTCTGTATGCTATGCATTCAACATGGCTCTTGTTCTCGATTGCTGACTTGTTGCTCATAGGTGCCGCAATATACATCAATACATGGTCCCTTTACGACCCAGCACTCACTGCCCACACATTGGACCATCTGGTGGCGGATACTGCAGCGATGATCAGACATATCCACAAATTGTCCAGCAACCACTTTTCACAAATGCACCTTTTGTGCCTGAGGGCAAGCAGAATGCTAATGCTACTATTGCGGCGTGGTAGAGTAACATAATAATCTAATCTCACAGACACTTCAAGCTCACGTACAGTTGCTACTGATAGGTACGAGTGAGATGCCTCCAAGAGCTGCCTTGCACATGCATCGCTAGCCTCATGCCTTCTTCGTCTCCCCACCACTTCTCTCACCCCTCATCATGGCCTCGACGTCCCACGACTCGGCACAAGCTCTCTCATCATCCTCATTCCATGCCCTAGGCAATGTAGCAAAGACAAGATAACTCGTATGCGTCTTGACCTCAGTCTCAGTCCTATGCACCAGATTACCTTCCTTATACAGCTTCCTCTCCTCCGCATCGCGCTTAATCTTATCCAGCCGATCCGCTTTACTCTGCACCTTCCGCCCCGAACCATTCGGTACTGCGCCACCAGCTCCTGCCGCATTTGCTTGTGCGTTTAGTTGTCTATCGATCTTTGAGGCGTGAAAGTCGCCAATCTTTTGTTCGACGTCGCGGAGACGGAATACAGCCTCGTCGACAGTCGCAGCACTGGCATTGACTCCTCGAAGACCTTCGTTCTTGAGACCGACTTGTTCACGGCGGACGTCCATGCGGCGGTTGTGGACTTCGACCATGTCAATTTCGGTCCAGCCATTCTTGCGTAGGTAGGTGGTCGTGGCTATGACTTGCTCTATGCAGGGTGAGAATGTGCAAAGTTGGACTGGCGATGCTGGGTCAAGTGGTGACGGACCTTCGAATGGTATGCGTGTGAGGTGGCGAAGCGCTTGCCAAGGAGCTGGGAGGTCTAGGAAGATTGCGTTGGCGTTTGGTGATGGTCTGTCGGGTGTTGTAAGGAGGAAACCATCGTTGCACACGTCGCGGTGAGTGAGATGCACGATATCGTCAAGCCCATGTTCATTGATCTCTTTCCGCAATGTCTCAACACGAGGCTCGTGATACTCATAGCTGTACACTTTACCCAATTTTCGCTTCTTGGGGTTCTCAGAACCAGGATACCCGGAGAAGACTGCTCGTGCAGCAGCATGAGTGAAGCTGCCACTGCCCGCGCCTGCTTCAATGATGGATTGTCCTGGCTTTGCACGTATCCGCTGCAAAATATAGCTATAGTCTGGGATGTACACGACCTGCGTTCGGTGGTCTAAAGATGAAGTCCAGCTTTCCGGTGTGGGCTGCAAGAGATGTACGAAGCCGGAACCAGCCTCTAGTGGTGTGACTGTTGCCACGGCAGCACGCTGTACGGCAGTCGAGTCGACGCGATCACTCGCAGTCCTCAGCTTCTTAGGTACAGGGTGTTCCAGGCGTGCTTCCGGCTCCAGCTCTTCCGACTTGCGCTTGTTGTTCAAGTGGGCAACTGGCTCTGCAGGTTGACCAGGGCTTGTAGTGGTCTCTTCCATGCTGACAGCCACACCATCTTGCCTCACTTGTTTACCTTTACGCCCTCGAGTACCCGTGTCAACCTTGCTCGCTCTCACCTGAGCACCCCATTCTAAACCGATCAACGTGCTGTGAGGAAAACTGCCAAATCTGGTATTCGTCACCGCGCCTTCCGCATATCCATCGTCTGCGGTGCTCCGTAGCGTAATGGGCGTGAGTGTGTCTCGCTTGAGATGCAGGATCGCCAGATCACCATCCTCAGCCGTCGCTGCTGTCTCGAAGAAGGGACTCATTTCACTACCCACAAGAAAGGCGAAACCCCTTCCTCGCGTGCTCTTCCCTTCTCTTCTCGGCCTCGTCCGACGGCGGCAACACTAGAAAAGCCGATGATGGTGCAGACGATCGATAGAAGGCACGACACGGGGTGGGCTATCGTTGCTGTGGCGCTTGCTGTAGAGGTTAGCCTCACTTCCTTCGGTCCCTTGTTTTGATGCGATTATTGGCGCATGAACGCTACGGCTGAAACTAGCTGTATGTACTCGGACGTGTTGTCCTCATCGAGGTCCTCAAATTCGAGTAGGAGAAGTTGGGCAGCTTCGAGGTGAAGTTTCTTGATCTTCTCTTGGCGCCTGGAGAGGGCATGAACTGCAAAAATACCCTCAAAGGCTTTGACGTCACCCTCCGAGAAGCCCAGCACTCTGTATACCTGGTGTACCCGCTCTTCTCGCTGCCTCTGTCCGCGGCGACACCACTAGAGGACGCCGACGACAATGCAGGCAATCAATGCAAGCCGGGACATTCGGTGCGCTTCTTTGGTTCGAGGATTGCTCCTGAAGGGTGTGTGGGATAGAAAGCGATAGCGATAGCGATTAAAGTAGTCGGCCCTGCGTCATTTCGAGAGTTGTTTGCTATTTGACTGGATCTATGCTGTGGAACAAGGTTCGTGAACGAAAGTCCATTTCCTTATCGATTAGGAAGGCACAACCTTCGGCCTCGCGACACACACTGTTCATCAATCCTAACACTACAGGGATGGCCTTACTCACGGGGCACCGAGCCGAGATTGTGGCACCGATCTTCCCAGCCTGACATTTTCTGCTTGTCTGGGAGCTCCTCCCGACGCTCATAGGGCCGCGACAGGCTGATCAACTCACCTCGCGAACATCTCGCGCCTCTACGTCACCTCGTGCACGAGCAAGCTCAAGGAAGCTGGCAGACGCTTGCACGCTATGGCGGTTAGAGAACAAGATCCGAGGTCAGGACACGTTCGAGCCGCGAGATCTTGTTTGCTATAGGCGGGTACCATGCAGTAGTCACTCCTAGCAGTCAGCCCCACGCGGCACCTCAATGGCGTAGGTCGATCATGAAGAGCTTCAACTTCCTTCTTGACAGCTCCCTGCACCACTGTTGACTCCCGAAATTATTGCCAAGCAGAGAAGCATTCATCGAAGTCCGAAACCATGGCGAACCTTATTGAGAAGCTGACGGCCGAAGCGCCGGGGGAACAGGCAGGTACGTAAAGTCAAAACCTCACTGGAGCTCTACAGACTTCCCGCCTCTTGCCAAGTCCATTCTCATCTCGAAGCCCGCATACCCACAGCATAGGTAGGAGTGAGGATGTGTGCCAGCTCCATGGTTTGCTGTCTAATGTCGGCCGTTTCATTCAACCTCAACGACATGGAGCTCTCAGCTGGTTGGGCTAGCTCACATTCATGGCCCTCTATTCATGGTGGGACGTGGCCATCGGCTAACAGCTAGGTCGTCAAAGTATTCCTTAACGACATCATCAAATATCTCTGGCCTAACATCAGAGTGGCTGGTGGCCAGATCATAACCGATACCGTCAACCCGATGTTCCCAACCATGTTGCCAAAGATGCTGGCCTCTCTCCACTTCACCAAGGTTGATCTGGGTGACGTCCCAATTCAGGTGTCGAATGTGCTTGCCACCAAGACTGCTACCCGTGGCATCAAACTGGATATGGATGTCCTATGGTCGGGCAATTGTGATATCCAGCTGGACGGAAACATGATTCCACAGCTGGGTGTGAAGAGTGTCGGAATGATTGGAAGACTATCAGTGTTGCTTTGTCCCTTGACAAATGTCATCCCGCTGGTTAGTATTGACCTACAGATATGATCAAGAGCTTAGAATACTAACCATCTCAAGATTGGAGCCATCCAGCTCAGTTTCGTCAACAGTCCGGTAAGTCACTTGACACGGGGAGCATTCCATTGATCGACCATGCTAACATCGTGATAGTAAGTTGGCATGTTTACACAGTAGTAATCACGATTTGTGTTGCCATTACTGATCCCATGTTGCTATTCCGAACACAGTTCTTTGTTTGTCAAGATGATTGAACTAGCTAACATCTCCTCTCTAAACTTATAGGGAACTCAAATTAGACTTCACCGGAGCAGCCAACGTTGCAGGTAAGTGAGATAAGTCTCATCTAAACGTGAGAAAGCCGTGGATCTGAACTAACACTTTTCTTGAGATTTCTCCCTCATCGACAAATCCGTCCGGAACGTCATTCTCAGCGTCATCAACAGCATGCTCACCCTGCCCAATCGACTCTACATCAAGATGGACGTCAACAACGACTACTTCCTATCATATCTCGAGCCTCTAGGCGTCATCCGCATAACAGTCGACAAAGCTTATGGCTTTGCTGAAGAAGCAAAGGGCAAGGTTAAGCACTTCTTCTCCAAGATCACTCGCGCGGCTCCAGACTGCTACGTCAAAGTCGAGGTTGGTGCTGAGCCGGAGTGGAAGACGACGATCAAGAACAATACCACAAACCCAATATGGAACGAAACACACGACTTCGTGGTCTCTGATTATGACCAGTGCATCAAGCTCGATGTTGAGGACCAGGATGTCGGCGGCGATGACGAAGTCGGTCTCGGTGCCACCACAGTCGAGGAGATTCTTCGATCTGGAGGCCGCAAAGAACTCTCCCTCCTCCGCAAAGGCGAACAGAGTGAGGGAAAAGTTGCTCTCACCGCGCAGTTTTTCAAGTTCGAACCCGATGTCACAAGCTTCTCTGCGCCTGACCACAACGCTGCGGGTCAGGTATGCGGTGTAGCTGTCGTACTTATCGCCGGCGCCTCTGGTATCAAGGGACAGCGCGAGCAGCTCCATCCAAGTGTCAAAGTCACCTTGGGCCAAAAGCATCATTTTCAGACTGCTATCTTGGCCGATGCGCCGGGTTCCGATATCAGCAACCCAGCCTTCGATTCGAACTTTCGCATCCCCATCACTAGCGATATGGTCGGTGCTGGCGCGGAGAGCTTCCGGATTACACTGTTTGATAAGGAGACAGAGATTGGGGCTGTGGAGGTACCCTTCACAGATGTGGTGAAGGCTCCGAATATGATCTTGCAGAACAAGTTCGATGTTGGTAATGGGACGTTCGTACGTGCTAGCGTCATGTTGAGAGGCTTGCGAGCGGCTGCTATCGAGGAGCTTGAATCTCGCGGGAAGTAGCATCCCCCGAGACTAAGATCCCAGCCTCCGCCCCAGCGGCCACACGTCAGTCGCGACCTCAAGTAGCCATCCCTAACCATTCCTGCCTGCATTCGATTAGTTGTGGTCGGAGAAGAATCTAGACAGCTTGAGCCCGAAACGCCGGTGAACGGTCTCCGCGACCCGAGTCATGTGCAAGATAGCCAGCAGCAGAGAGTGAAGACGAACTTTTCCTTCAATACTTTGTAGACAACGAGACGTTCGAATGTAGTAGTATGCTAGCAGAACGACGCCGAACATCTATCAGACCGTGTCGTATCACTTGACCTCCCGCTATGCTCCCGCCAAGCCCACCACAGCCGTGAACGCCATAACGCTCCTACAACCTTATACATCTCAATCGAATGAATGCGCTCAGGCTGTCTGCGGGTCGAGTGTAGTACCAGCTTCAATCGTAGCCCACCCAATCAAACGCCAATGCTTCTCAATTCGTCTACTCAACGCCACCTTTTCCTTGATCTCTGTGCAGGCCGGGCTTGTCAACTGCAGCTTTGCAATATCGGCCTTCACAGCGATGACCTTCGCACCAGTAGCAGTGGAGCCAATGTTGACCATCAGCACTTCGTTCTTCGCCAGCTTCGCAACCTTGGCTTGTTTGCCATCGGCCGTCTTCACACCAAGCAGGCGTCGAAGAAGGAAGTAGTTGACTTCCAACTCAGTATAGATCTTAGGCAGCTTGCCCTTCAGCCCCAGTACAAAACCGACTAAACGATCGGCACGGCAGAGTGTTGGATCAATACGGGTACCAACACCAATCAGACCTCCTGGGACAGCGAACTTGAGACTGTTGTTCTCGGCGAAGAGGGAGATGATGCGGGAGTAGATCGGGCGGCACTGGATGTTACCCTTGTCGTCGCGCGAAACGATACCTGGTCGAATCTCGATCTCGTCGCCCAACTTCAGGATTCCTGTCAAGATGGAACCACCAGCTACACCGCCTTGCAGCTCTTCGATCTCGGAACCGGGTTTGTTTACATCGAAGGATCGGATGACGATAAGATGCGGGTCGTCCTGGAAGTTGCGCATCGGTACTGGGATCTTGGTGCAGAGCATTTCGTTGATCGCATCGATATTGAACTTCAGCTGGGCGGAGATGGGGATGATCGGAGCATTGTCCGCGACCGTGCCGCGGATGAATTTCCGGATGGATTCGAAATGTGTCGCGGCAGCCTCCTCGCGCATGAGATCGACCTTATTCTGCAGGATGATGATGTGACCCAGCTTCATGATTTCAATAGCGGCCAGATGCTCAGATGTTTGGGGCTGTGGGCAGGGCTCGTTGCCAGCGATGAGTAGTAATGCGGCGTCCATGACTGCGGCTCCTGACAACATCGTGCTCATGAGAATGTCGTGGCCTGGGCAGTCGACGAAGCTATACATGAATCAGCATTATTGTGCTGAGAATTGTGGAAGGAAGACTTACGAGACATGTCTCTCAAGCCTGTACCTTCCCGAACATCCTTCCCTCTCACATGGTGGGTCAACCTCCTTGTCACTCTTAAAACTCCTATAGCACGTCGGTCGCGGGCAAGCCGGGTTGTCACACTTGTACACCTTCGCGTTCGCATAACCCAGCTTGATCGTGATATTCCTCTCCAACTCGTTCTTGAACCGCACAGTCTGCACCCCCGAGATAGCCTTCACCACTGTACTTTTACCGTGAGCCACGTGACCGATAGTTCCGATATTGATTGTTGCCTGGCGCGCAATGATTTCTGGTGAAAGTGGTGTGAGGCTTTTGACGTCCAAGTCTTTCGGGTCTGGCTGCTCGGGGAGTTCTGGTCTTGATGCGGCCATGGCGGCTGCTTGATTGCTCTTCTTCAAAGCCGAGCGTGGCAGTGGCGCCGCGCCTTTTTGTCTCTCCTCGATCTCATCGTCTGCTTGGGGCTCGAGGCCAGGGGATTGTGGTGGTGTGTCGTCGTCGGATGGGTAGTCGCCGTTAGTCGCCATGATTGCGGTTGGCTCGAATCTCTTCCTGGAAGACTCTTGATTTGCTTGCAGGAGATAGGCCTTCGTTCAGTGATGCCTAAGTTAATGTTAAGCCTCGTAGCAGGCAATGTGGTAGTTTTTTGTTAAGCGATATACACTGCTTCACTCCCACCTGCAATGACTCTTGAAGCTGCCCCACCGCCAAGATTTCATTCATCGCTCGATGACTAATACATAACGCTGCGCCACTTCGACTTCAACAATAGGGGTGCGTCCTTGATCCCAAACCTGGACAATTCGACGGACAACAGCGGAAGATCGATAGTGCTCTCATCCGCTCGTGATCAGGCGCAAAGTACGACGCCCAGAACTAATTGGCTGATCTTACTATGGCGCACTAGTATCAATGCTTTGAGATGATGGAAGGCGACATCTTGCTACGACTGTTAAGCGGCTGCCATATTTAGTGAGCTTTGCCACGGGTCCGTGTATGCATTCGACATCTCAAGGCCTAGCTTAATTCGATGGTATCCTCACTGCGCGGCAATATAGCCACATGAACGAGCAGCGTCTTGCAGAGGAGTGTAGGCAACCTCTTCAGCCTGAGATACTTCGGCAGCACCAATCCATGCCTTAAACCAGATCTCGGCCCTCGAAAGCCGTGGACGGATGAGGAGAGCAAGAAGTTGGTCCAGTTGCATAACGAAGGTCACCTCACTCCTGAAATTGCCGCACTGCTTCCCAGCCGGTCGACTTACGCAGTCGAGGCCCGCATTACACGCATGAGGCGCAGCGGATTGATAGCACAATCACGCGAGAGTCGACCGCCATACACCTCCGCAGAGGATGATACTCTCACGCGGCTCAGAGCTCAAGGTCTGACTTTCCCAGCCATGAGCTCGCACTTCCCGGAACGGACAGCCAAAGGTCTATGCGCCCGTCACCAGAAGCTGGCCAACGAGGGCGACAACAGTGTCTTCACCGCTGACCAACGCGCACAGCTACAGCATCTGCGTAACGAGGAGCGTCACACGTGGGTCGAAGTCGCGATGCGTATGCCGAATCGTACCCCCCAACAATTGAGCAGCTACTATTGCAGGAAGACGCCGCTGAAGGACAGAGTGAACGTTGAGCCTCGGTACCACCACAGTAAGGAGACCTTGGACAGGGCTCTACGCTTGCGTCAAGAAGGTGTACCACTCAGCGACATCGCTCGCCGATTGTCCATTGTCTCGACTCGGGCGATCCGCAGCCTGCTGTCGACCGCCCAGTCCGGTGTGCTGAGACAAATATTAAGCGCACGTGAGCCATGTACGCGTAGATACACGGCAGAAGAGGATCTCGCACTAGTGCAGCTGAAAGCTGTCACGAGTGCCTGGGATGATATCGTCTTACACTTCCAGGAGCGAAGTGCCAGCTCCTTGCGTAATCGCTTTCAGAGGTTGAAAGAGCAAGGCGATATTGTCAAGGGTTTTGACGGCACATGGAAATTTCTGGACAACGCCTGAGTCGTGCAGCAATCGCTCTCGAGTGGGATTGAGGTATATGCTCAGCACCGGTACGTGCCGCCGTGCACGATCCCATGTAACAAGACAGGAAGAGTGGCTGTATATGCTGTGGCAATCAGCTAGCATGCCTGTTGGATCTGAGCTTTAAACGAGGACTCAAATCCGGCACGATACATTGCCACGACCCTTCACGAATGGCTCATGCGGCTGACCAGACTCGCAACGTGTCACCGGCCGGCGGGAATTAGGAAAGCAAGTGGTTTCCACCGTGTCGAAGCCCAGGCTCATGCTTGACACACAGCCGGCCAGCGTTCAGTACTATACCGTTGCACCTTGAGGCAAAACAGTCGAGCATGGCAAATGGCCCTTCAAGACCCGACGCTTTGCTGTGCAATACAATCGGGACTACAAGACCACGGTACAGTAGTGTAGACATAAATAGACATACCAGAATGCGATTGCATCACGTCTATACAGATTGCTTGCTCGCAAGGGGTATCATGTTCACGCACTGTCCAGCCATTCCATCACCAATCCACCCCTATAGCCACGAATCAAACCTCCGGCCAAACATTTAAGCCAACGAATCGCCTCTCAACAAGTCCCTCAGAAGCTCGCCACCCTTGCCTTCGAGCGAAGCCTCAAGCTCCTTAACCCCGACAGCACTAGCAATCCTCTTCTCGTCACCAGCCCCAACAACTCCAAATCCACCTTTGCCCTTTCTCGAGGGTGTTCTCGAAGGCGTGATTGGTAGTGCCAGACTCCCACTCCTTCCATCAACAGCAGATACCAAACTCAACGTTTCAAGCCCCGAAACCACATCCCGGAACTCCACACTGCTAAGAGGATGAAGTAGCTTCTCTCGGTCGCAAAGGCCGATATATGAAGTGTACAGCTGTTTGACCGTGGGTGCCGAGGGGTTGTGTTTTGAGGGAGTGGAGAGCATGGTGCGCTCGACCTGTGCATCGCGCTTCGACTTCTCTAGTGCTGCGAGCGCGCATAGGACGGCTTTCTGTTGCAAATTGAGTGTGCTTAGGCGCTGAGCCATGCCGTTGCCGAAGACTTGTGCTGTGATCTTCGCCATGTGTGCGATCGTTGCCTTTGGTGCGCTCTCGAGAGTATATACCACCATTGGCCTGTTCTTCGCAAGCGATTTCGATGGCGATCGAGGTGTCACTGGCGAGGACAAGTTGATGTTATCCATGAGTGGTGTCTTGGACGGACTCATCTCTAGCATAGCTTGAGCGTCCGTCCCCCGAGTCTCCTGTTCCACCACGTCGATAGCACGTCTACAGATGTCGAATGCTTTGCGGAGATCGCCAGTCTGAGCAGCCACTTTCTTCGAGCAGAACTGAATCGCCGCCGGATGCAGAAACGGTACCGTAGTAGATCCTGGAGCCAGAGTCCTCAGCTTCGAGGTCAAGACTTCTGCGATTTGTCCGGCAGAGTACGGCATGAAGGGGAGAAGCTCTGGCTTCAAATTTCGTGCCTTCAAACGTGGCAGGAAGCGATCTGTCAGGTCCAGTGCATTCGCAATACCGAGTAGGATCAGCCGAGAGGACTCCTGCATCGACCACTCGAACAGACTGTAGAGCAACTCCAAATCCATGTCGACCAGTGCGTCCACCTCATCCAAAATTATCAGATACTTCTGTGCGTCTCGTGCGTTGCCTCGATCGAAACATGTCCGTAGATACTCAAATCCCGAGTTCTCTTTCAAATCCAGATCCTCCTGCAGTTTCTGCGCCAGATCTTTCGCATTTCGTACACTCATGCAGTTTACCACCGAGATTTTAACACTCATCTCATCCTTGTATCTTTGGCAGACCTCATCAACTAATGCACTCTTTCCCGTTCCCGGCGGTCCGGAGACATACAAGCAGCCTGCCGACTGCGATGCTATACAGCCTTCCACGAACGTGGACATCTCCTGCCTCTCACCGTCACGTCCAACGAGCCTTCCAGGGTTCGAAGAGCGGGAGAAGAGCTGACGTGCTTCATTGTAAATCGCTGTTGATGCTGAAAGTGGCGAGGAAGGCGTCTTCGGTGTGCGCGGTGTCGCTTGAGCACCGGCAAGTAGCGTACGATGTCTGGGCGTGACTGCTACTCTGCCAGCGGTTCGGTCACGATGCCGTGGTGTCTGAGGTTCGGCTTTTGCATCGTTCTTGCTGTCTTGATATACGTCGATACTCGACTTGGCAACCTTGAAGTGGGCATTGATCTTGGCAGGCGAGACCTCAAGACGTTGTTCGATGGTGCCACGTTTAGCAGGCACAGTTCGCGTTGTCCGCGTTCTTTTCACGGGTCTAGAGTCTTCTTGTACACCGACACTTTCTTCCAGCAAATCCTCATGGTGAGATATGAATGGGTTCCCGTTCTCATCGCTCGGCTCGTTGATCACTATGCGTCTCTTCGATCTTGTCGTGATCGCGTCTGCATATTTACCATTAGCTATCAGCGACTTCGAGGTGGATTTTGAGGACGCGCCTGTTGTTTCTGTACCTCGAGAGCGCTTGCCCAACATGATCGATGGCATGGTTGCGATTGCTCCTTATCGTGTAGAAGATACCGTACAGAAAGTCGTGATGGGTGGAAATATAGGTAGAGGAAGGTGTATGTCTTCACATGCGCGAGAGAAGTAACGCGTCGCGTACGCGCCCACGAATCTCGAAGCTGCGGGGTGGCTGACAGCTAATCAAGGCGAGGCTTGGCAGCTTGAAGCCAGCGATCGTTCATGATATGTGAATGGTCGTGCGTGAATATAGGATCAACTTCCGTACACAGTCACGATACTGTAACAGCTTGCTATTGTCCCGAATGCAACCATCATACGGAGCAGCCTGACTCAGTCGCGTATCCCTTCGGAAGTGAGAATTTCAGCACCAGCGATCTCAACTCTCTCACCATCGCCGCCAAACGTGCATTTCCATGCGAACATAGACTAGGTTCTGGTCGTCGCCTGCTACGACTGAAGCCAAGCAGGACTCTCTCCAAGGATAGACCGGCTTGTTCGCACATTGATTCAAGAGGATGAGAAAGGACCGCATTGGGTGTGAGGCGTAAGCTCTGGAGCTCTTCGCGGTGAGCCTCGCATGTCCATCTGTACTCAGCCTCAGCCTCACTACTCGTACTTTGCGGAATACAGAATCCTTCGTCCGGGATCTCTCCATAAGCCCTGCAAAGCCTTCCAGATCTCTCTGTATGCGTGACGTGTCTCACCATCAGCTTGGGATTCCTCAGCCTCTGCGGTTGCTTCGCCAGAGAACAGGCTTGGTGCCAGCCGCCCGGGCATGTCAGCACTTAAGCATTGGAAGCCTTACTGCGTGGTTACAAAGGGTTTATGCTGACACGATAACGCATCTCACGTCTCGCAGCCTGACTACATATGTAGGTAGCTCTGCTCGAGCTCGGCGGAAGAGCTGAATTCCCTTAATTGCCCACTTCTTTTCTCACTTCTCCCATCCGGTTCAGCTCTGCTACTCGTGTGAATAGGACAACCCACCGTGAAGCATAGGAGAGAAATGTCCACGGAGGAATCAAGCTCCGACCTGGAAGTCGTCTCCAAGGACATGGCCGGTTCAACGTTGAGCGAGAGTGTAGACAGCAAGTTAACCACTCCCGAGGAGAGCCCAAATGTACTACACGCAGACTCGGATACTAGAGTCTACTCTGAGAAGGAAGTCACGAAGCTCGACGCAGCCGCCACGAATGGAGATTCTGGCGACTATCTCAACGGCACGGTAGACGCAAAGACCAACGGAAGTGGTACGATCTCCCAAGATGACGCAAGTATAGACCCCATACTAGCCTCCGCCTTGATGAGTCCACTATATGAGCCTCTCAACCTGGATGCGGTCCTATCCGACACCGGCGGCAGAACAGGGCTGCAGCGTGCTCCCTCCATCTTGCAGCGAGCACACGATGTTGGTAACAACTGGGAGCTATACAGACGAGCCGGCCCACGCTACCCGACTTCTCTGGAACATCTCATCATGAAGTACCACCAACACCACAGCAACTCGTGGCAGCTCGCTCATGACCTTGGTGCAGGATCTGGAGTCTATGCTAGCACGCTCGCCAACTTCTTCCGGCATATTCACATCTCGGACCCGACTGCCTCAGGTGTAGCTACATCCCGGAAGTTTCTGACCGAGTACAACGCCAAGCATCCAGAGAAACGTGGACGATTCACATTCTCGTCAAATGCGCCGGAGGAGGCAGAAGAAAGCTTCGCAGATGGCTCCGTCGACCTCGCCATCATTATGGAGTCCGCACACTTCACCGATGCGGAGAAGACTGTGCGCAGTGTAGCCGCTACACTCGCACCCAAAGGCACCCTGGCGATAGTCACGCATCGTCCAGTCTCTCGCGTAGCAGGCAATCAAGATGTCGCCGCAGCGGTGGAGCGCCTCTTCACAGCCTGGGGTCGCCGACCATGGGAGATCGCGTGTGGGACTGATACCAAATCCCAGCAGCAGTTCAACCTCGGTCTCGACTTCGTCCCGGTCCCGGACGACCTTTTCGCACGCGAGAAGACACGACGGATCACCATCAACGCCCACGCCAAGCCACGAGACTTCTTCCGTGTCCCCGGCTTGGACGACGAGACCTCGCACCATGAGAATGGAATGTCCACTCTCAGCCACCAAGAAATGTATGACATTCCTTGCTCCCGGGTCGATGGAAAGGAGAAATGCATCGCATACGACGGCGAGGATGAGCAAGCTCGAGGCTGGAGATTCGAGGTAGGCTGGGAGAGTTTCAGGACGAGGATAGCGTTGCTCGACTCCCCCGACACGGTCAGGAGATTGGAGCCGCACCTGAATGAGGTGAAGGAGTTGATCATGAAGACCAGCCCGAATGGAGTTACCGTGGTGATTGAGTGGGCTGTTTCTGTCATCTTGGCATCGAGGAACTAGATCTTGAGGGAGGACGGACGAAGAAGAGATCATGAGATTTTTGATACGTTGCCATGTCGGCTTTGCGTGCTGTCCGAAGCCATCTACGTTCTACGCCCGAATTATGCGCCCGCTGTCACGTAGCCATGATACATCACGACTTATGATATCACAACTTGACAAAGCAGATCTAGATGCCGAACAACTCCTTCAGCTGTACCATCGTCTCTTCCGGATTCTGTACAGTATGACCGATCGTCCTCGAGTCCTCAAAGATCTCGTTGTCGTTGCCGCCCTTGAAAGTCTTGTCGCCGAAGAAGTGAATGGTAGTGTACTCCACGCCGCCGGGTAGGTTCTTCTCGTTTTCGACGTGCTGCAAGCAGTATCTCTTATCCCAGCCCTTGGGAAAGATGTCGAAGGAGATTTGGCCACCGATGGAGTAGCTGCAGATCTTGTCAGCAGGATACCACCTATATACTTCTGCTTTATACTCACGTCAACCCCAGATCCCCAAACTCCTTTTTCAGCGTCTCCACAAACGTCGTCCTGATATTATTCGCCAAATCAAACTTCTCATAATCCAACCTCTCCTGAATCGAAGCATTCCTCCCAATCGGACTAACATTGATCATCCCGTTCCTGAACTCCACAAATGTGCCCCTCTTGACCGGGATATCCAGATCCGCGACATAATGCAAGATGAACCTCACCAACTTCTTGTAGTTGTCCTCGCCAATCCACTTGATGAAGGAGTGCGAGGCGAGGGGTTGGCCCATCCGGTAGGCGGTCAGCCCATTCTCGGCGAAGCAGAAATCGAAGAGGGTTGTGACGGGGATCTCAGCGGTGCCGAGTTGTTCTTGTTGTTTGGCGAGGTCGGAGCCGCCGACGAAACCGATGGCGACTTTGTGGCGGAGGGCGGAGAGGAGTTGGAGCATTTGGGGGGAGACGGGCTGTGAAGAGTATCAGATATGTTGTTGAGCGGTCTCAGTGGGTTGTCTACTGACCCGTCTCGCAGGCGTGAGGGTGCCATCGACGTCGAAGAGGCAGATGGTATTCTTGATCGGCCTCTCTGCCAATGGCGGGATGATGCTCGCGGCGGCGGCCATTGTGGGTTATATTTCTTGTTGTAGAAGTTCGATGAGATCTTTCAGTCTTTCCACGACGTTCGTATGCTGCTACGTCGTGCTGTCTTCACCGAGCGAAGTCCGTGTCGTTTAAATATGTCTCCTGCTCGTGTTGTTGCTCGGCCGTTGAAGGTGACACAGTATCCCAATGGCAAGAACGCGCGTACTGTTCGATGAAGGATTGAACACGTCTACAACAACGAAAACGAATCAGCAAACCTACCTCTCAATAATGCCACAAATATATTCTTGAAGCTTAAGCTCCGGCGGTGAGATGTGGCTGTCGCTCGTGTTCTCGCCCTGCATGTCCAAAGGTTCACTGGTGTTCCGACCCCACCATTGTTGCCCCACTTCGGGTGGGAGATCAGGTACAGAGTGCAATAATGATATGTGAAAGGAGAGGCGTACGTTGCTAGCTCGTCTATTTGATATGCTGTATACACATCTACAGCGTTATGCATACGTGGAACCGTCACCTCTGTCATTGTCTCATTGCAGCCTTTACATCCTCTCCCTCTTCCTCGGTGCTGCTCTGATGATGTTGTCCACCCTCAGCAGCAACTCCGCCGCCTCCGTAGCAGAATTGACGACCGCACGCTTAAGCTTATAACTCTCCACCACACCCAGCTCCCGCATATCCGCAATGCCACCGCCTGGAGTCATGAGATCCAATCCCGAACTCGACATACCCGAGTACACCGCCTTCCGCAACCTCGCCACAAGATCACTGGAGTCGAGACCAGCATTGTCAGCCAGGATAGTCGGTAATTGTCTCAAAGCCTTAGCAAAACTGTCCACAGCCAACGCCTTCTTGCCTGCCACGTTCTGAGCGGCCTGGTCCACAGCTTTCGCCATCACCATCTCCGCACATCCACCACCAAGCGTAATCTTCGGGTTGCCGACGGTTTGCGAGATGACCGCCAAAGCATCGTGGAGACTCCTGTCCGCCTCGTCGAGTAATTGCTCCGTAGCACCCCGCAGCACAATCGTGCATGCCCTTCCCGCCGCCACGCCAGAAAATCTGATCAACGTGTCCTCACCAATAATGACCTCCTCAATCAGATCGCAATGCCCAAGCTTAACATGCTCGGGATGATCGAACGTAGACGTGATCTCCGCCCCCGTTACCAGCGCCAACCTCTCCACACCGTCGAAGTCCGCATGCTCAATACTCGCGATCCCAGCATCGGCGAAAAGCTGCTCAGGCCAATTGTAGATGAGTTGTCGATTGACGAAGCAATTGATCCCGTGGCCCTTGATCCTCTCCACCTTCTGCTTCATCTTCTCTCGCTCGGCCTTCTCCAGCTCGGCCAGCTTGCCCGTCGATTCCACCTTCAGCCTCGCGCCGAAGATCTTGACCTTGTCTGTGTCCATACCCGTGTTCGCAACCAAGATTTTGGCATTCTCGATTCGTTTTGGCTGGTTCACGCCGAACTTCTTGTCCAGGATGAAACCTGAGTCGAGGTAAGAGTCGGAGAGCTTTCCACCCGCTTTCTTGATGATTTGGATATGTGTAAGATCCGTGGAGCCGCGCATACGTAGGACAGCGTCCGTGGCGAGGTTGGCGAAGTAGTCTCTATCCTGCGCTAGGACCTTCGAGCTGAGCGTCGTTCGTGCGATGGCGAAGAGGTCGTTGCGGAAGCGTTCCTTGTCGTTGCTGTTGTCTACTGCCGTCTCTTCTAGCGCTTTGAGCGCCGCTGCACTCGCTATCCGGTAGCCTTCGATGATTGTCTGCGGATGTATCTTCTGGTTCACAAGCTGCTCTGCTTCTCTTAACAGCTCTGCGGCCAAGACTGCCACCGAGGTTGTGCCGTCTCCCACTTCATCGTCCTGGACCTTGCTGATGTTGACCAGGACTTTCGCGGCTGCGTTATCGAGGGCTATGCTTTTGAGGATTGTTGCACCGTCATTTGTGACCAAGATTTCGCCTGTTGACGCTGATTGCAGGATCTTGTCCATTCCTTTGGGTCCTAGGGTGGATTTTACGAGGTCGCCGACGGCGATGGCGCCTACGAAGGCTGAAAGACGTGCATTCTCGCCCTTCTCTTCTATGGCGCCCTCTTCGAAGATCTGGGTGGGGTTTTCGAAGGACTGTTCGCAGAGTTAGTTCACGTGAAGATCCACTGTAAGCACAAGCTGACATACCATGATCACCTCTGAGGATCTGTTGGCGTCAGTGTGGTGTGAGATGGAGTTTGTAACCGTAAGCTCGTGTGCCTTCTAATTTCTGTTTCGTCACAAAAGTTCGCGCGTGGTCGCGTCGATGTGGTCCGTGCATCGAAGCTCCGGCGATGAGCTTCATAAGAGCAGCTACATGTACCTCTTCCTTCCATCAAACAACCAACGCAGGGACAGAGGACCAGCAATCATGTTCCCAGCAAGACGAATAGCATTACAGCGCATATCGCGACTACCGATCACCACTGTACGAAGACAAGCGACCTACCAACCACCAGATCCTCCTCAAAGCCAACAGCCAAACCCACACAGGAACTTCTACAAGATCTTCGGCAGACCGCTGGCCAAGACTCTTCTCATTGCCGTGGCTACTTATCAAGTTCTGTACTGGTCTTGGGCAAAGTTGGAAAGTCTGGAGGTCAAGCAGAACAAGGAGGCAGACATGCGTTCACTTGAGGGAGAGCTCAAAGGATTGGTGGCTCGAGGGCAGAGCGCGGAGACATGAGCGTTTTATTCACGATCACGGCCTGGAGCTCGCGCTCGCGATTCCTGTCTGGACCCACAGACGTCATAGCCGCATTGTGGCCACATGGACGCCACAAGATAGATGCCTTTGGCTTATGGATTACCCCAGTCAAGTCCTGAAAGACTGTTAATGCCCGTTTAAAAACCTACGTACAGCCATTGGTCAATCTGGTATGCTCGAACATGCGAATGACTATGGTCAGACCGCTGCGCGGGAGTTTCCAGTAGCGAGGAGCTCTTGAGCGAATCATACAGCGATTCCAGAGGATGCTCCCCAGACGGTATTGTGCTACTTCTCCGTCATAGCCAGATCTGGAGGATGCGGCTGCCACGCTCCGTCGTCTCTGACAAGGCACACTGCCCAGCTCTTCATTGGGTTCCCCAAGTGTAGCCTGAGCTAGCGATTCACAGGCCCCTTGAATCGCGCCAAAGCGACGCAATCGTCGCCTCGACGTATCTGAGTCGAAGATCAAGAGGTGGCTTTATACTGTAGCAGGTGCGTGCGGCTTCTGGTCTGCATGACAAGTCTTGGGAGAAACAGGATGGCTGGGGCAGGTGCACTGGAGCAAATCTCGTATTGGCGGTGTACCTCAGTATGGTTAGATCTGTCTTCTGTTTTGATATTGTCTACGGCAGCGTGTCGTTCGGAAGCCGGAGACTGGTTGGGTAGTGAACAAGGTGTAATCATCGGTATGACTGAAGCGACGCGGTCCGTCTCATGTCTCACACTTTGCACGTTTAGAGGCATACGCTTCACCTCGCTTTTCCCACACGTCGCATTGTGTCGTGAAAGGAGGGAGCAGCTGGCCCGTGCATGAACGCCTCTCCACTGTATACATCTATTGGCATTTCGCAGCTTCGAAGTTCTTCCCAGCCAGTCGACATCACCTCGTTGATTAGCCACTTGTGCGACACCGTGTCGTATCGGTCGCGTGAGGATGAATGTTGCTCTCAACTCTCAGCTCCTATGCTCATGCTTGCCACTCCGGCATCTACCACGTCTCTCGCAACCCTCTTTTGCCGAACGCGCCCTTCAATGCGAAACCACTAATTCGATATTTCCGCGAAAGCAAAGGATTTTGGGAGAATCAATTCAGAAAGCCGTGGACGGAGAAAGATAACGAACGACTGATTCAACTACGACGTGGAGGCAATTCTCCGTCTACCATTGCTCCACACTTCCCAGGACGCACTGTGGTGGCTATCAGGAGTCACTGGAGCATATTACTCAAGCGCGACAGCGAACTCGGACGTTTTCGTCTGGGCACTCCATGGACTGAGGAAGATAGGTCGATGGTTCTGGCCATGCGAAAAGCAGGTAAAAGTATCGTTGAGATCCAGCCAAACTTCCCTGGCAGATCGCGGGCCTCTTTCTGGGGTCTCTTCAGTCGAGAGGCTACAGACCCTGATTCTAAGAAGGGCAAATACCAGCCCAAGGAGGATGCGGAGCTACTGGAACTCCGACGAGAGGAGGGCCAGAAGTGGGCGCAGATTGCAAAAATGCTCTCGCGCAGTACCAGCTCGGTCGTTGGCCGCTATCAAAACTTGATCCAGAGGGAAGCGGCCCGACTCAGGTCTGACTCCCCTGCTCTAAGTAACAAGGTCAATGCACCGCATGCTCCACCGGAAAGAAGACCGCGTTGGCTTCTCAAAGACGATGAACGAATGATAGAACTCGGAAAGAACGGACTGAGCAGCCTGCATATTGGAGCTCTACTGGACCACCCTAGATCAGCAAGCTCGGTCAGACTACGACGCGCGCGGCTGCGACAGTCTCCCTGGTTGAGTCGCATAGATCGTCAAGCTTCTAGGTCAAGCTGAGGCTCTGACCCATGACATGCAGTCTATGAATTGCGAACCCAGATGTTCAACAGAGCCGAGATCGGGACGAGGACAAGAATGACCAGGAGACGGTCGCGCATCAGCTTTGTCGAACGTGCGCCTCCATACGATGCTGTAACATCAAAGACTCCTTTCGGCTTCGCCTCGCAAGCCCAGCACTCATTTTGCGCAGAGCACAGAGAGCTTGCCTAAACGCCACAGAGTATCCATTCTCCGAAGAACGTCAATTGATTTGATTATCGGGATCATGATGGTGTGCTGAACCCCGCCGATACGCCAGTCAACGAGGGATTGATGCAATGCGCGAAGGATTCGTCCGCTCACATGACAGTATATCGTGCAACTAGCAGCGCGAGACGAGAACAATCGAACAAAATCAATGCGCTTGAGGTCCGACCGACTCGATTCAAGTTGTCTACAAGCGAATTTTTCTGCGATCCGGGATGGCATATGCCATAAGCATAGGACAGAACACTTGAATCCAGCCAAGAGGGTCAGATGTCATGCATAGTCTTCCGACCAAAGACCAAGTACTTGACAAGACAGCCAGAGCATGCCAGTACAGTAGTGCGTACGGTCACTTTCGTCTGCACCTTTCCGGTTCGTCACTTCGTCTTCAAATCGTACAAACGTGCTGGCATCTCTATGGCTTGCAACGAGCAGACGGTGTACTGAAAGTCAATAGGGCCCACATGATTCTACGCAGAATTAATGCGGGCCGACAACAAAGCCCTCCATGCTCTCAGACGTATCGCTTGGCGTTTGTGGTGATGCTTCTTCGGACGCGCTGATCTTCGCTTTCTTGCAATGGTTACACAAGCTAATGCACGAAAGTCCCAGTGCCGTGGGACCGCCGACAGACGTCGTTTCGAACATGTCTGTTTTTCAACTGTGACCGGCTACGAATGTTAAGACCCAAGATCCTTCACACTTTTACCATCCGACAAATCGTAACAAAGATGATGTTTAGGCTCTAATGGTCTGCGGTCACAATCAAGCTTACTACAACCATGGTGTGCTTCCCTCTCACATGTTCGTCGAACAATACACTCAACGCCTTCGCTGCTCAGCGACAGGAGATCACGAGGCCCGCCGAAGACTTTCAACTAGACATCGGAGGAGAAAGAGCGTTTCCTGCAGCTATACAATGCCGATGTGAGCTTACCGAACATGGTTGAATTAATTCCCGGGAGGACGTATTGTTCACTCTTGTATTATTACTCATCGATGCGTGAAGCACTCCCAGATCTCTTCACACGCCGCATTCTCTGGAGTCCAGCCGAGGACTCGAAGCTCCTGGATATGGCAGATAAGGGGTACTCGCCACTCCAAATGCTACCAGATCTGCCTGGTCGTATCGTCGGTTCGATCATAGCTCGCCTACAAGCTCTTCGCCTTGCCGCCGACGGCGTCAGTACTGGCCCTCTTACGGCTGACGAGGATGAGAAATTAATTCGACTACGAGAGACACCACACTTTATGAAGTTCGGAGAATTGGAGACGATATTCGCAAGAAGTCGACACTCCCTCAGTTCGCGTTATATTCGTCTGACTGGGAGGAAGAGTAATACACAATTGTGGTATGAACATGACGATGAAGCATTGGCCCGTGGCCGACGTTACTTGGAAGGAAGTTCGTCATGGGCTCGAGCCGCCAAGAACAGAGGGCAATATCAGATACCGTCAGAAGTATCTTAGAGGACTCGAGCAGGCGGGAAGAAGGTATACTACCTACCCAAGAGGCAGTCCTGATTGCTTGATCGGGCGATCTCGAGAACCGCCGGAACTCTAGAGGCCATGTGGAGACAGCTTCACGTCGCCCGTGGAACACCTCTACGCGATCACCAGGTCAATCATACCATATAGCGTTCATGCCAAAGCCTGGCTCCTTAATGTCCAGATGCGCCACCCGACCCAGAAACTCATCATGCCATCGATACATCTCAACCCACCCTCGCTCATCATCGCACAGAGCCAGCCATTCATCGCTCCACGGGCATGGACTCACTGCATTGCTATGCCCACCACTGGTCGGAGTAGGGTTCAAGCATATTTGCCTCTCGACCTTGCCCTGAGTACCGAGCTTGAAAGCAGCAATGTATCCGGTCAGCTTCGGACTGTTCGATCGAGATGTGGCAAACAAATACTTCCCAGATGATGAGCTGAAAACGACATCAGAGCGGTACATTTTGGGATGAAAGCCGTCCATGCCGGGTGGTATGAGTGGAAAGTTCTCTTCTGTGTAGACAGGCATATGGGTCTTTGGGTCTATGGTGTAGACGCAAAGGCGGTTTCCAGCCTCCATGAGAGCATATAGGTATTGGCCTGAGGAATGCATTTCGACCCATCGAGGATGATCACCCGGCGATGGTGCATTGATGGCTCCTACTAACGTGAGAAGCCCAGTGCTCGTGTCCTACAGTAGCACGTCAGCCAATCGGGTGCTACAACGCACTGACTCGGTTTCATACTTTCTTGTGGCACCAGATCTTGTTCGCCCACATGTCAGCCGAATACAGATACTCTTCCTCAGGATCGAACACCATGCCATGCACAGCCGATCGTTCGTCCAGCTCAGCGTTTTGCACATTCTCCTTTAGCGATCCTTCAGAGTCGACACTATGCACATTGATGAAACCAGCATGATCGTAGAATGGATTGCCATATACTAGGTATGGCGCCTTCTTCGCCGCTAATACAAAGATCGCTCTCGTCTTCGTGTCAGAATCATTAGCTCGTGGATGGCCACCCATGGCTATTGATTCTGTGTGGTTGATTTCTGAAGGGTTCGAAACAGAGTAGGATCCCCATTTCTTCATGCCAGCTCCGTAGATGGACTTGCGATTGTGATTGAAGGCTATCCATGATATGGGCTGCTCTTGGGGTATAGTTGTTCGTTTGACCAACGAAAGTTGTCGTGTTTCCTCGTCGAATTGTACTGTGAAGATTGCTCCTGGTGGCGTCCTGTATGCAATCAGCACACGCGAGTATCGTTCAGCAGTCTGGGACACTGCTCGTGTTACATGATCCGTCTGCTCTTGCCACCTCCGCTCCTTCCGAACATGTCAATGCACAAGTAGGTGAAGTTGGGACGTACCATGTTCCGATCATCAAATGGTGCTTCATCTTGGCTTCTGCTCGCCCAACCTGAGCGGTAATAGCTTGCAGTCTACTTGCGCCCTTCTGCATTGGTGACACCCAGTCCTTCTACCAAGCACTGGAGAGGCAAGCGTGAAGGAAGACATTTCTTTCCACTCGGGACGATGTCTTTTCCGCCATCATGCTATTCGGCAAGTCGAGGCGGGACCATTGTGGAGGTGGAGTGCACGGCCACAGTTCACGACAGGGTTTTGTCCCTGCATTGGGGGCGGACGCCTTACTGCAGCGGTGCTAGCTATGAGGAGACCCCAACCACCTTTCCTGCGGTCAAGCATTTGAATGATAAACCTACTGGCGACCTTGGGCAATTCCAGCAGAATCGCGAGGCAGGTTTTCCATTGCTACTGGACGACGACCTAGACAATTTTGACCTTGGCCGTCTAGTCGACGGGCGCATAACTCTTCAACCACTCCTGGCAAGACCACATCAAACCAATCATGTCCTTCTTCGGCGGTAGCAGTAATGTCGGGCGTTCATACAGCGATGGCGAACGCCCAAAAGCACACCACTCCTCACACTCGCACACTCGCGGTCATTCACCAAGTCGAAGCACAACAAGCGGCTACTACGTCCGACCAAGCGCGAATCGCAATAGTAGCAACTCATTCTTCGGAGGTAGTAGTGGCGGTGGATATGGCAATTTCGGCTCCTCACGAGGCATATTCAGTTCAGGTGGTGGAGGTGGTGGAAGCTCCTACTACAAGCGACGGCCGAGAGATGGGTACATAAGTTACCTCATGCATAAGCTCCAGCGCATGATCAAAGAGCTTTGGTATTATGCGCGGCGACATCCCGTGAAGGCATTCTTCGCGGTCGTAGTGCCTTTGGTGAGTGCTGGCGGTGCGATCCATGGGCTGTTGCGACAATTCAACGTGAGGTTGCCTTTCATCGACGGTGCGACGAGCTATAGCCGCGGCGCAGGAGGATATTATGGGAGCTCGGGATATGGTGGCGGTGGTGGAGGTGGGCTTGGCAGCTTAATGGGAGGAGGAGGCGGAGGCGGTGGTGGGCTGATGGAGAATGCTGGGAGCCTCTTAGGATTAGCTAAGGCATTCATGTGAGAAGGAAGCGGTGTGTAAGACGACAAGGAGCCATTGTCGCACGAATGATGCAACGCTACCTATCTATGCCATAGATAGAGACCTCAGACCATGGAATGACACGCCTAGAGGTAGCTTAGCACCTATTCAAGCTGGGCAATACTGGCGAGCAGACCAGAAGAATGCCGGCGCAAGCCAGTAGCGACTGGCGTTGCCGAGAGTATCCTTCTGGACGAAGACAGATTGACGAGATGTACGACGGTTGTTAGTGCGACAGCAGTCCACTTGTGTCTGCGTACCAATCTGCAGATAAGAATATCGCGTGGCGGCCAGCAAGTACCCAGCTTGCAAACGAGCTGACACAACGAATCTACCATATCTGTAGACCATGTATTACATTATCCTGTGTAGATTGACAGCCGAGCAATCCAGATCAGTCTCACCGCTCCCACTACTTGACCTTGAACTGGGCAGCGAAGAGCATGTATCCCCGCTTACGAACTGGCCTTGTTAATCTGCAGCTGTTTGTCCTCACCAGCACTGACAATCCCGATCTCCCTATTCCAGCACACATCGAATACCTTGACCCCTTCCCCAGCAATTGGACGTCTGCCTTTCGCGCTCTCTCTTTCGATAACATACACGGCCTCGCCCACCCTATCCATAGCTTCACTTCTCACCGACCGGATATCCCATACACGACAGGTGCCATCATGACTGCCAGACGCCAGCTGATGGCTTGACATTGGATCTCTTGCCAAGGATGAGACGAAGTTGGCGTGTCCTCGTAGTGTCATGGCGGAGACGTTCGTGGCTGATGCTCGCGGATCTATAAGTGTGATATGACGTGCTGAGGTTCCAGTGGCTATTAGTGACGATTTAGGTAGATGGCAGATGCTGAGAAGACTCTGTGCTGTTGTCCTCGTATCGACGCATGTCGCCGTTGTCAGATCCCAAGTCTTGACAGAGTGGTCCATGGAAGCGCTGTAGCCGACTGTTGCGTCTTTCTCGTCGAAGCACACGTCGGTGACTTGGCTCTGGTGGCCCGGAAGGATGCTCAGGGGCCCTCTCTGCGTCACAGGCTTCGTGTTAGAAAGCTTGCGCCGCTTTGCGTTGGGTACAAGCTCCTCTGACGCTTCTGGGGCTTCGGCCTTCTTTGTACTCCACACACCGACCGTGTGGTCAGCAGAGGCAGAAAGAATACGTGATGAAGGAGCGTGAGCAGCCAGGCCGTCGATAGAAGCCTTGTGGCCATAGAGCTCTAGAGTAGGCGTCAACGTAGTCTCATCGCATTTCCAGAGTCTCAAAGTTCGATCCATGCCAGAACTGGCTATCTGGGTGGGTGAGACATATCTAGCAGCTTTGATCGAAGAGGTATGGCCTGACCCAGTTGCGACAACCTCAGATGATGTGTTCCATATCCGCAACACACCGTCGTAGCTCCCGGATAGAACTCGTTGCGTCGACCCATCGTATCGATTGCCAGCCCAGGCAGCGGCTTGAGAAGATGCAGAAAGGACGTCGACCGAAGAGACCCAATCGTCATGCTCGTAGCTTGCTACGTAAAGAGGTGGTATAAGAGCCTTGACGTACTCGACACTGAGGGTAGTCTCTGCACTTATACCATTGCGAGTCAGAAACTCGTCCAAAGATGTGCGTAGGAATTGCCCATTGATCAAGAACTCGAGAGGAACAGGTTGTTCGGTTTCCAGTAATCGATTGACCAGGGTGGAGAGTTGATAGCGTTTCAGTTCTGATGAGGTATTAGCACAAGACTTGGTCAATTCCTCGATTTAGCGCTGGAAATAGAATCCGACGGTGGGTCGGCGCATGAGCTATTGATCGCTGAGCAGGGGGTTGGAGACTGTTCCGCACATCAAGCTGCTCTCACGTGCTGCCTACAAGATGCAGCTTCGTGCCAAGACTAGATCGTGCCAACTGCGACCGCCTTGCAAGCAGTTCTCGTCGCCAAGAGTCGTATGACTATCGCCCGAGACGGATGATCACACCACAATCCGGCAGAGATTGCATGACAGCACAGGAAACTTACCAGTGGAGACGAGGATTGGACCGGTATCCTGCGGGAGCTCAATATCGCCACTTCTCGTGTGGAGGTGGATGCGTACTTGAGACTGCTTTTGCATTGCGGACACATCGGTCATCGTCTCGGTTGCCATACCGTATTCCCTCCGCCTCTATCAATGACAATTGTTGTGATAGAAAATCTTCAATGCATATGTACTTTCTACTGTCACATGCAAACCACAAGAAAAGTTCGCGACGGCAAACGGCCAATCCTGCTTCCGAGCCGAAGCCGAAACCTTTGCTGGAGCTCGAGCCTCGTTCACATGTCTGCAAACCATCCCACAGCAGAAAGAGATGACGGCAAGGCTCCACTGTCTCGGACGGCTTACCACCTCCCTCACATATACATAGCTTTACTGCTGCTGCATCTTTCATGTAGGTGTACTGGTGCAATTTCTGCATCCTTAACGCTATTTTATATCGATCGTCTGATCTTCGCCTACTTTCAGCCGCATAAGAAGCCAAGGCACTAGGCCGAACGCCAGCAAGAATTGTCCGAAAGCCCGCGTGATCGCCTGCACCATGAGCCATCCTGCTTCCCACAACAGCAGCACTATTACCAGCGACGACGAGAGCGAACCGATGATGCTCAAGACACGACCTAGGAACAAGCCGCTCGATCTTACGAGTGCGCCTTCGAGCACACCTTCTTCGCCGTCCGAACCAACATCTTCACAAACATTAGGCCCGGGCACAGCAGCTCCGACTGAGGGTAGTGGGACACCAGCACGCACGAAGAGCATCCTCAACTTGACAAGCTCAACTCTGTTCGGGATCTATCAGCCTACAGGCTATGCAACGGACCGCGAAGAGCCAAGCACACCATGGGGAACCGGTGCTGAGACGCCCGTCGACACCAGCCCCAAGGCATCTTTCGACTTCACAAGGACGAAATTACCCGATGTCTCCGAGAAGCGAACGTCAAATGGACATCTAAAGAGGAGACGACGAAGCACAATCACGCCTGCGACAGCACATCGACGGCCACGAAGAGGGTTCAAGAGATATTTTGTACCCTTGGCAGCACGTCTGTTCACACTATTCGGGATCGGCGCACTGTACGGCGTGCTGATCAGCCATTTGCACGACAAGCAAGAAATTGCTCCTGTCAAAGTGGAAGGCGTGAACAGGCAAAGTGGATGGTATTTGGTTACATGGGGTATTGCTGGAGTCCTGCTAGGCGAAGCTCTACCATGGGTGGACAGATGGTGGTCTGCTTCGAGCGACGACTCGGATATCGAGGATATGGACGCGCAGCCAAGACAAAGTGGAAGAGGTTCGGGAGACTGGTTGGATGTTGTAAGAGCTATTGGTGCTTTCGTGGGCGTTGCTTTTGCCATCCGCAAGACGCCTTGGCACTCTACTTTGCAGCTATCTTTGACGCTAGCCTTGGCAAACCCAGCGTTGTGGTACTTGCTCGATCGTTCGCCGGCTGGCTTTGCGATGTCGACTTTGGTCTCCTTTGTTGGCACGGCAGTACTTTTGGGGATCAATCCTGCTATGGTGCCCTCACCACCAGCGCAGACGCAGGCCTTTGCTGGAGCAGATGGCGGTATTGGTTCTAATGGGACCATGGGTATCTCGGCGAACGATGCACTGGTGCTTGGAGTGTTCAGCCAGGAATCTGTGGGCGTGGCAACTTGGATCGCAAGTGTCTTGTTCGTGAGCGCAGTGTGTTTTGGTAACATTGGGCGGAGGCTACTTCCGAGAGACGTGTAGGACCAGCACGGTCGCTCTTATAGCGGTATGTCTGCGATACCAAGTACGGTGCATTCTGTCAACGACGTCCTCATGCGCAAGCCTCGCGTGCTAGCCCCAGAGCTTCTAGCCAGAACAGAAGGTCAGACTCAGCACACGGTAGCTGTGAGGTCGGTGTCATTCCAGCGCGACGACCAGCATAGCATTGTTGAATCAGATTGTTGGCAGATCCGTCAGGATAGAGAAGATTTCTCGCCGCCCATGGGAGTTCCTGAGATCTTAGATTGATCAATTCCTGTCTCAGCTGGGTATCGGCTGGACCTGCACCGTGCCTGCTAAGGTGACAATAGCTGTTCAAAAGACCACGTAAACGCTGCTTTATGACTTCAGCTGGTCAGCCTTTGAAGTAACGTTGTAGGTCATTCAGACTAGATCCATTCTTATGCAGCTAATGTAGCTTTCCGTTGTCTTCTTTCGACCATAGACCCTGTCGTTGACAGGTGGAAGTCGGAAAGAGGCTTGCACGGGCTTGGTCACTAGTGGCAAGCTCAGCGGCACATGCAGTATTGTAGCTTAAATTTGTATTGCTGTAGGTGTTATGGAGGGCACAGAAGGTTCGCTAGCGTGCCGTCTCGCATGCTTGAGACGATAGACCTGCCGGATGACGTGGGTTGTTTGGTGGTTTGCAGGGTGGGGCTGTGGGAGAAATTTGGAGGAACACGATGACTGTTATTGCACCACCACACCTCTGTCGGTCTTGTCCCTTGAAAGTATCTGTCAAGCTGTAGAGCTTTCAAAGCCGAGGAGATACACCGCTGACACAAAATGGCTTCCGGCACGTCGCAGAAGATCGGTAAGTCCTCATGGCAGAACGTACTCCAGGCTGGCCTCTGATAGTCTGTAATGTAGCCATCCTGTCTGTGTACGACAAGACCGGCCTTCTCGATCTCGCCAAAGGCCTTGTGAAGCAGAACATCCGTCTCCTTGCTTCGGGAGGTACGGCGAAACTCATCCGCGAAGCCAACTTCCCAGTCGAAGATGTGTCGGCCATCACCAAAGCACCGGAGATGCTCTCTGGCAGAGTCAAGACACTGCACCCGGCTGTTCACGCTGGCATCCTCGCCCGCGACCTAGCCTCAGACGAGAAAGATCTCGCCGAGCAGAACATCAACAAGGTTGATTATGTTATCTGCAATCTGTACCCGTTCAAGGACACCGTCGCCAAGATCGGCGTGACCATCCCCGAGGCAGTCGAAGAGATCGATATTGGTGGTGTGACCTTGATCAGAGCGGCTGCCAAGAACCATACTCGTGTCACCATCCTCAGCGATCCCGAAGACTACCACGACTTCTTGCAAGAGCTGGAGAAGGGCGAGGTGACGGTCAAGACGAGACAGCTATATGCTCTAAAGGCATTCACCCATACTGCTGACTACGATAATGCGATCTCTGACTTCTTCCGGAAGAAGTATGCAGGTGATGGTCTCCAGCAGCTCACGTTGCGGTATGGCACGAACCCACACCAGAAGCCAGCCTCGGCCTTCATGACCGATCGCGCGCTCCCGTTCAAGGTGCTCAGTGGTTCGCCTGGCTACATCAATCTACTCGATGCTCTTAATGCCTGGCCACTCGTCAAGGAGCTCAGCGAATCATTAGGATACCCAGCAGCAGCATCTTTCAAGCACGTCTCGCCAGCCGGCGCAGCTATCGGCGTGCCCCTGAACGACGTCGAGAAGAAGGTCTACATGGTCGATGATATCGAAGGTCTGGACCAGTCGAGTCTCGCTCAGGCATATGCTCGGGCTCGAGGAGCAGATCGCATGTCTAGCTTTGGCGACGTGATTGCTTTATCACACGAAGTAGATCTACCGACCGCAAAGATCATCGGCAAAGAAGTCAGCGACGGCATAATTGCGCCTGGTTACCAGCAAGAAGCGCTCGAGATATTGCGGAAGAAGAAGGGAGCAAAATACCTCGTCCTTCAAATCGACTCAAGCTACAACCCACCTCCGCAAGAGCACCGCACAGTCTATGGTGTGAACATGACACAACACCGCAACGACGCGCAAATAACACCCCACGGCACATTCCACTCGATCATCACACCAAAGGAAAGCCCACCGCTCCCGGACTCCGCCCTCCGAGATCTCACCGTCGCCACCATCGCACTTAAATTCACCCAGTCAAACTCCGTCTGCTACGCTCTCAATGGCCAAGTAATAGGACTGGGAGCCGGCCAGCAATCACGCATCCACTGCACCCGTCTAGCAGGCGACAAGGCAGACAACTGGTGGATGCGCTTCCATTCGCGCGCCCTCGCCATCAAATGGAAGAAAGGCACGAAGCGAGCCGACAAAAGCAACGCCATTGATCTCCTCTGCTCCGGTATCGTGCCTGCATCCGGCTCGGAGCGGGAAGACTGGGAGAGGAATTTCGAGGAGGTGCCGGAGCCCTTCACGCAGGAGGAGAGGAAGGAGTGGTTGCAGAAATTGTCCGAGGTGGCTGTTAGTAGTGATGCTTTCTTCCCGTTCACGGATAATGTGTACAGGGTCGGTAGGAGTGGCGTGAAATATATCGCTGCGCCGACAGGCAGTCAGAACGATCAGGCTTGCTTCTCGACCGCCGAGGAGTTGGGTATCACTTTTGTTGAGCAGCATACCCGGTTGTTCCACCATTGAAGCGCTCATGATGGAAGGAAATATTGAATACAACAACAGACCGCAAGCTTGGGCAGGCATAGTCGATTCAACATCTGAACGACCTAGATAGAAATCACGTGAACACGACGTACACGGCGAAGGAAATATGGACAGTCGCAGTGATACACCTCAAGCTTAGCCTTTATTATACAGCTTCGAAATGAACATGCTCTCGCTCTGTGCCAACGATGCCATGAAAACCCGACGATCAAAAGCAAGCAACCTGATTCTTGCCCGCTGATTTCGTACCACTACAACAAGACATACATGCTTCACCTCACCCCAAGACGTGCTTCCTCCTCATCCCCACCTCATCTGAACCCACCATACATACCCGTCCCGTTAGTCTGCGCGTACGGCGCCTGCTGCGCACCCATCCCATTCCCCATCGGCCCCTGCGTAAGCATCAACCGACTCTGGCCCAGAATCGGTCGAGTGTCCTCCTCACCCTTCCCCTCACTCTTCTCTCTCGCCTTCCGCTCCTCATTATCCTTCTTCAGAGTCTCGATGGTAGCGGCTTGTTGCGCGAGGTAGTTGATCATGAAAGGCATGGTGAAGTCGGTGAGGTTGTTTCGCCATGAGATTTCCATGACGGTGTGCATGGGGATGAGGTCGTGGCAGGCGTAGAGCATGCCTACGTAGCATTCTTTGCTGCCGATGTCGACGAACTGTAATACATGTTAGTGTCTGACGAACTGGGAGAGCTTGGTGGTGTCCATGACTTACGTATCGTAGAAGCTCCTCCACAACCTCTGATCGTCCACTGATAGCAGATGTCTCGATAGCGTCCTTGTACAGCTTGTCCTGCTTCGAAAGCGCGATACTCTTGTCCCATCGCTTGTTCTTGCGATAAATGCTGGCAGCGATTTGTCGGAAGAATACAAGATCGTGCTTCTCCAGCCTCTGTGCAAGCGCCACCGCCTCGTAGTTGTCGAAGTTCTCCACGCTATCTCGCAGCTGCTTGTGGTCTTCTTCCTCGATTAGCAGGTCGTTGATAGCATCGTTGACTGCTCGCTTGTTTTGAGATTGGACATTGAGTAGAAATGGCTTAATCAGAGGGATGTTGTCGGACTTCTCGAACATGCGTACTACTCGGCTGACATCGATTCGTGGCGTCAGTGCTTGTAGAAGATCCGTGATGAGTGATGGCTGTTCTTGGAGGTAGAAGTTGAGAGCTCTAAAGAAAGGTCAGTTGTGTATCTCGGAGCAGTGGGTGTGGCCGGATAATACTTACCGATAATAGATCTCGAGGTTGGCCACTTTGATAACGGTCTCCTTGAAGGTGTGGTGTTCCCAGGCATCCGAGGCGCGTTCCATCATAGCAAGGGAGGCGTTGTCGAACTCATCGTAGTGCGTGTAGAGGAAAACGAGCTCTGGCCACAAGTGTGCTTCCTCGCAAGCCCTAATCATCTTCGGAATGTTGATTCTCTACAATGCAAGTCAGCCATGTCTGATATAAAGAGGAGAGATTCCACTTACGCCCCAGAAAATCCTCAAATGCTCCATCACCCGCTCAGGATGGTACTTGCTGAGCGCAATGCCCAACTCAGTGAACATGCCCATATGCGCCCTCTCTAGGCCCAACCCGGCCTCAAGGACCGAAATCAACTCATCAAAATACCCGTTCCTCTCATACTGCCTCACCAAATCCGCCAACTCATCCGCATGCACAATCAAGTTCAAGCCACAAATTTGGGCAAGCCGGAACTCTTTCTTCTCCACACACGCTTCATTGACTTGCTTCCACACCTTGACGCTGTTCGCTTTCCTAGCGCACTCCACCGCGCCCTGGTAGTCGCCCAGATGCACAAGGGTGGTAGCCAGTTTCGCCCAGTTGGAGATGGAGGTGAAGAAGATCTTGGCAGCTTCGTGGTAGCCCTCTGCGTAGGCTTTGTCGCCGGATTCCTCGATATTGGCGACGTTGGTGCCGCGGAGGAATTCTTCGAGCTCGGGGAGTTGGTTTGTGCGGGCGTAGCAGAACGCGAGGCCGGTGTCAACTGCGGGTTCGCGGAGGGTCTTGCGGGCCATGCGAAGGTATTTGATGAGGTCCTCGTCTTTGCCGGCGTGGGTGGCGGTTTCGATGACTTCGTGGAAGTTAGATGGGTCTTGAGCGCGGATGTAGCTCTCGGTGGAGTCCGTGATGCGAAGGCCATCAAGTTGGGCCTTGGCTACTCGGCTCCAGACTTCCGGGAGGTCGACTTGGTCAGCGTACTCTTGTGCTCGGTCAATGCTGACGACGTGATCGACGAGGACTTCGGAGGCCTTGTAGTGCTCGTTGGCCTTCTTGTAGATCAAGAAAGCCTCCTCGAACATGCCAACTTCAATGCACTGCGCCGCGATGTCGTCAGGACTGTATGCATCAAGCTGCTGAATGTATCCAGCTACCCTGCCCTTGTCTGATTTGGCAGCTGTGAGCATAAGCAGGTTCTGGAGGTTAGCATTGTCGCTGAAAGAAGATGGTTCGAGCACAATCTTCTCGAGCAGCTCAATAAGTTCCAGAGGCATATCACTATCGATAAAACTTTTTACAGTTATGCTGACCGGCTCGGGATTCTGCGCTTCTGGTACGGCAGTGGCGATGACCTGGTCAACCAGAGAACGGCGATGAATGTTGTTATCCGAGAGCACGTAACTCCATACCTCCGGATCGCTCCTTTCCACAAGATATCGTGCCTGTTGTCTGAACATACTGTTCTCATTCGTGACGTTGATGAGCTCCAGATCATTCTGACCCTTCGAAAATGCAATGAAAGCCAGGTTAGGATCGCGAGCCTTGCAATAATTGCCGACTTCAAGCGTGTCGTAGAGTGTGTTCTCCTTCAAGAAAGCCTCCGGGTTGTTGTTCGAATCGATGTAGATCTTGGCCAGCGCATTGTAAACAGCTTGCTGCTGATTGCCAGCCGCTAGCGTGCTCTCCAGGAATGGCAGGAGCAGCTTCAATCGATTCCTCGACTCGACTTCTGACACGAGCTCGTCTATCGGTATTGACTCCGGCGAAACAGAGCTGAGAAGGCCCTTGATGATGTTTTCGTCACAGTCGACGTCGAGAAGGCCGCCAACGACGGCGGGTGTCCGAGACGGGTTGACGCGCTGGACGTAGACCTCTATGGACTTGAATTGCTGGTTCTTGTAGAGGTAAAGGACCAAGTCGTGGATCATGTTGAAGCGGTCGCAGACGATGATGAGTGGGAGCTGCTCAGTCAGTTTCTGCTCCTTCAGGAAGTTCTTCACGCGTTCCGGGTCATATGCGTTTGACTCCCGACACACCCTCTCAACTTCCTGCAGCTGTCCCATCCTGGTCGCAGCCTCGATATACTTGAACGTAACATCCTTATCCTCACTAATGTTGACGATGCCTCCCAGATAGAAGTACAAGCCCTCAGCAGTCCGGTACTTCTCCAGCAGATCGATGATATGTGTTGGCCCGAAGAGATCCGAGTACTTCTTGGCAATATTGATGACGGCCTGGAGGTTCTGGCGGATATTAACCTTGAGCATTTCGTCCAGACACTCGAGGGCGAGTTCAACGGTGAGGCGGCCGAAGTATGTGATCAGGTAGTCCTCGGCGATCTTGTCGGTCTGCACGATGACTCTCTTGATGCTAGCAGGATCGTCGTAGTGCTCCAAGGCTCGAGTCATGAGTCCGGCACCCTCACAGAGCTGTGCGACTCTCGCGCGGTCGTAGTGGTGGAACATTTCATTACCCAGGATGGCATCGGCGACTTGCGGTGCGTTGGTCAGGTTCATCTCGAGAAGCCGTGTCTGCAATTGTGCCTGCTCAGGCTTGTCTGCCTGAAGCACATCCAGTAGGAAGGCCGTTGCTTGCTGAACCATGCCTTGGGATTGGAAGATGTCGACAGCTAAAATTTATGGTCAGAATTCATCAATGTCTCATGTATGGGTCACACTGATGTTTTACTTACCCCGATCGACATCTATCAGAGACGCATCTTCGCGAGCGATGTTAGTTGCGAACTCGGCAGCTTTCTCAGGGTTGACCCTCGCGATGTGCTGCAATAGTCCGTTGAAATCAGGCGTATACCCCACACTCCTCGAGTATGGCAAGATCTGATCGAAGCTCCCAGACTCGGCCATAGCAGCGATCACCTTCTGCGACGCACCCGCCTCCTGGTAGATCTGCTGCGCGAGCGCAACGTCGTGCACCCGTACCAGATCACCCAGCTGCTCGGAACATCCTAGCTTACCCTCCTTCATCCATTTCTCGAGGAGGTGCTTGCGGTTCTGCAGCAGGACTGGTCGCGCGAGCTCTAGAGTCTCGTGCTGGTTAAGCTTGCCCTTGTCGAGGAGCATGCCGAAGTACTGGAGGATGACCGAGAGCTGACCCTGCTGCGCGGGTACCGACTTGAAGCGCTCGATCGTTTGCGGTGTACGGAGGAAACCTTGTGGAGAGTTCGCAGCAGTCTTTGCGGCATTCTGGTAATCGCCTTGGTTGAGCAGCTGCTCGAATCGCTGCTGGTATAGGCTGTCCGCTCCCGGAAGACCTGCTCTTGACGCCAGCTTGTATGCCAGCTCCGCATTCTCCGAATTCTGCAGAAGATAGGGGATGATCGTGCTCTCGTCAACACTCACAGCGAGCACCTGGCCCTTCCTGTTCACGCCAACGATACCCGCGCCTTCCGAGTCGCCCGTGGTCGTGAAGATCGTGTCGCTCGAAATGCGGTTCATGAATATGGTCGTGCCGGTCTCGAGGTCGTAGATGTGGATGAAGCCGTACTTGGTGACCATATAGATGACCTTGTATTTGCTTGACACCTGCATAGCCACCGGGAAGTCGTTTGTCGCCTCCGCTGGAAAGTAGATGTCCACTGCACGCTTCTGAAATACCGGGTTTGGCTGCTGGTGGTCGACCTCCACGATGTGTAGCTTTGCGCCAGATGCTCCACGGTTCGCAAAAGTGAACAGCTTGGTGTCCGCCGGCGCGTCCTCCATGCGAAAGGTCCCAAAGGCAGCAGCATGACCTTCGATAGACTGACTGATGCCTCTCACCTTGCTGTAGAGCTGCATGCTGCCAACCACGCGGCCCTGCTGTTGTGAGATGCCCACCACAACCATCCACGAATCATCGTCGCTGACGCGGTAGTTGATGATCTGGCAGCCAGAGAGGTTCTGGTTGCGATCGAAGACTTTCTGTGGTGCGACTTGTGCAGGGTCGAAAATGTTCCAGTGATAGACGCCGGTGTCAGTAACAAGGCCGAGCGATGTCTCGTTGAACCATTTCCAAAACACCACATCCTCGCTCATGGTAGTGCTCTTGATCTTGCTCTTGGCCGCCAGGTCGAAGATTTGGAGGGTCTTGCCGCCGGCTTTCAGGGCGATGATCTCGCGATTGTCTGTGAGCTATCAGTCAGCGCTCTCACATCCCATCAACAGCATAGCGTGACAAGAATGGAGTAAAGCATGAGGATGGCTCTTACAATGCATGATGGCACTATCGGCCTTGATCGGCCGCCGCATAACATTGTTGCCATTTTTGAGGTTGACAATGAGCACCTCAGGCTGTGCATTGCCTTCTTGTACCTGTCGCACACAGACGAAGTTGTCGGATTCGAGTGTGCAGGAGTTGAAGCCTATTGATTGTTGCTGTTTGTTTGTCTCCGTCAGCTTTCCATCCTTAACCACTTTACCAACAGTTTTGATTGATGATTACCTGTACACCGATCGAACTAAGCTGCAACAGCTCCGTGAACTTGATGGGTAGCGGCGCCATATTTGAAGAGTGTATGTATCGCCCAAGCTCTTCTCATGAAGTCACGTTTCTGCCTTCCCGCGTGCGCAATGCCTGCCAGGCGAACGTATTTGCGGGTCTCAATACCCTCGCTCGAGACCGCCGGAAGTTGGCGCAAGAATCGCAGTGGTGTTGACTGCGCACTGAAGGAGCGTATGAGAGTCGTGACGGCGTGATGGGAACGGTGTATTAGAGGTTGGTGGTGATAATGGAAAAGGAGCTGGATTGTTTCCCCAATCAACCCATGTCGAAAGTGACGAGCAGCAGCCAGCACGCGCGGAACCTCTGCCAGCTTGCGTCGGATCATCGTTGCGGCGGGTCCCGTCCATATCGCGGGAGGGCCCGTACAGCTTCGCGCGTCTGATGTCGCCTGAAGCTACTTCAGTGCTTCCATCATCATATCACACGAGCAAATCCTCAAATCACATCCCATCCGCCACTGCCACCAATCTACCGACAGCAATTCCGTGTGAGGAGGACCAACAACAAACTCGACCGCAACAGCACATATACCACAACGATGAACCACCTCCCTCAAGCCTGGGGTAGAGTTAGTATCACCGAAGAGCATCACAAGTGTTGCATTCTCGACCCATTGTACTAACATGATACCTAACAGCCCCGTGACGACATCTACGGCGCCTACGACCACTCCTACCTCCCCCAAACCCACGCCAACACCCACCCGACAACCCACACCCAATCACCCGTCGTGACCGGCACATCAGTCCTCGGACTCAAGTTCAAGGATGGAGTAGTCCTCGCCGCCGACAACCTCGCCTCATACGGCTCCCTCGCCCGCTTCACCGACGTCAAACGCCTGAAACCGTTCAACCGCAAAGCCGTGGTCGGGTTCGGGGGTGATGTGAGCGATATGCAATATCTCGACCGCCTATTAAACAGTCTAGACGTGCAGGAGAATTACAGTGGCGCAGCGACAACGGAAGAGGATGACGGTGAGGCTCCGGCAGCAACAGCGGACGGAGAGGGAGGTGAAGACAAGCACAAGGCAATATTGGACGCCAAAAACCTCCACACCTACCTCAGCAAAGTCCTCTACAAACGCCGCTCGGACTTCAACCCCCTCTGGAACGCCATCCTCGTTGCCGGCCTCACCACCCCACCCCCACCCGCACCATCAACATCAACATCATCCCCCAAAGACACCACCACCTCTAAACCCACCGGCCCAGCACCCTCCCGCAAACCGATCCCCTACCTAGCCTACGCCGACCTCCTAGGAACAACCTACAGCTCCCCCACCCTCGCCACGGGCTTCGGCGCCCACCTCGCCGTCCCAATAATGCGACGGGCCGTGCCCGACGAAGCGGCCGCGGCGAAGTTGAGTCGAGAGGAGGCGGTGGAGATTGTGAAGAAGTGCATGAAAGTGCTTTTTTACCGGGACGCGCGGAGTATGAATGAGTATTCCCTGTGTGTGATTGATGGGAAGGGCGTGGATTTGCAGGAGAATATCAAGTTGGAAGGGGAGAGTTGGGCGTTTGCTGAGGGGATTAAGGGGTATGGGACGCAGACTGTTTAGATCAATCACCAAGGGGCATCGTATGCAGTAGGCGCTTTGGCGAGACGATCCCCGCTAGGTTGTGGGGAAAAAGATCCGAGTCGTCCACGTTCCGTGTGTGATGCGAAAGGAATGCCATGGGATTCGCGGGCGTAGCGAAGCATGACAGCAGAACTGTACTATACTACAACACAAGCATGAGGCTGTACGAAGAATAAATCATCAATCCTCAAAATCAATTGCTCATTGCTCTGCCCTCTAAACTATGGAGAAGAAGAACGCTAAGCTGCAGTTTTTGCCCGTTGCCAGACCCATCCATAACCCGATCCATAAAACTGAGAAAGAAAAAGGAATTTGCCACGGCACCAGTCCACGATCCGACTTCATGCGAGGAGAAGCCATCATTCCTCGGCCCATGATATCTCCTTCAACCTCGTTTCACAGTTCGTGTCTCACATAAAATCACCACTAAAATCAAAGGTCAGCTGAGCCCATCCCACCACATAAAGGATAAAGAAGAAGAAAACTCACTCATCAAGCCCCCCATCATCATAAAGCGCCGTATCCGCACTCCTCCCCACATCCCTATTGGCCACCAAACTCGTCTTCGTCTTGGCCGCCTTGGACTTCTTGCCCCCCTTCTCCGCCGCCTTCTCCTCCTTCATCTTCTCGTTGGACAGAGTATTCAATCCCGCGCCGATCTTCCGCACTTGCTCTGCATTCAATCCACTGCATAGCGCTTTCGTGAATTCAGGAAGAAAGAGCGCGTACTGTGGCTTTTTGGCGTTGGCTGTGAGGAGGCGGGTGAGGGTTTCCCGCAGGTCGTGGAATTGTTGGGGCGTGGTGGGGGAGAAGAGGGGGAGGTTGGAGAGGTCGATGGCGTTGCTTGAGTCGGCGTCGGAGAGGACGGTGACGGGTTTGGCGCCGCGGTTAGGATTCACGCCACCGACGCCGCCGAAGAGGTCGCCGGCTACTTCGAGATCGGCTTCCTTCTCGCTCGCTCGCGCGCGTGCTCGTCGGGTCGCGTCGTCGTCGTCTTCGTCGTCGCTATCCAGTTCGAGAAGGGAATCCTTCTGTTTCCGCTTCTCTTCAATGTGCTCCTCGATGCGTTGGCTCTTAGACTTCTTCGCCGCTTTCGCCTTGGCTTCGTCTGTGGCTTTTACTGCGGCGGCTTTCTTGGCCTTCTCGCGCTCGACCTCGCTGTCTTCCTCTTCCTCCCAGTCGTCCAGGACTTCCTCTTCCTCCTCGTCTTCGAAGCGGCCACGTCGCACCACCGGGGCTGAGACGGCGGGCGCATCCGAGGCGCTGGAGTCGCTGTCTTCGTCGCTCCAGCTCGTTGCTGGGGCTTTAGAGGGAGCCATGATTGCGGTTAATCTTTGTCTGTCGCGTCGTACTTCTGTCTTATGGTTATGTGTGCGTGTATCAGGCTAGTGGTTGTAATTCGTGGTGATCGGCAGATGACGTGCGGAAGCGTGAGATAGTGGCGTGTTCGTCTTTTGGTGAATGTTGGCTGTATGTGAGGCGCGGTATATACGGTCGCTGGTATGTGTGGAAGAGGTGAAGGGCGCAAGCAAAGTCAGGATGAGATGCGCACAGCCGCGTGAGAGTCAGAAAAGGGAGTAAATCATTCATCGTGAACAAACGGCTGGACGGGCGACCGAGTTCGGAAGTGGGGCGCTCGAAAGTGTCACACACGCGCTTTCACTTCTGATTCGCCTCCCTCTTCCCCTTCTACTGCAAATGCACGCAATCGGGCGTTGGCGCGAACATGTCCGGTGATGATATAGTCTGCTGTAGTCTGCTGTAGTCTGATGTAGTCCCTCCCACTGCATGCATCTTGCATATTCGCCACGCCACGTGCTGGAGAGATGGGCATTGGGGAGAATGTCTAATGTGAGTCATATTTTAGTTGGACGACGTTGGGCAGCATGGCGGAGGGGCAGATTGCTGCTGAGGCGCTTGCGTGCTGGGGAGACCTTGCGCGATGGACATACTGTACAGTCTCTACCTAGCCGAAGTCAAGGCCGGACGGGTGATATCATGTGAAAGGGTCGTGTAAATAGTGAATGCTTTTGTCTATGTAAATCGATCGCAGATGACGAATTCGTGCATATCTTTGCACGGACCATGATACAGTATATTGCGAGAAAGTCGTGGTACCTGCATGATCCATAACAACTCCGTCAGTCAGTGTCGTTCTTTGTTACTGCAGACATGAGTGCGCTTGTAGGCTACGGCAGTAGCGACGAGGAAGAAGTCGATGATATTAGACCAGAGAAGCCGGCCAAGGTAGGATGCTGCTATACAACCTCGACTACTAGGCACAGATGCACTACTAATCATATGAGCACGCCAGGTAGCAAGACTTGACAACGATGCAGCATTGCAGCAAGCGGGAGGAGATATCAGCGGTAAGAGGCCTGGGCTTGGTGAAGTGAGGAGAACAGGATCTGACAATGTCGAAGCGCATACCGCCATTCCATCTACCGACAACGATGCCCCAAAGAAGAAGTCATCTACAGCTCGCGAGGCAGCTTCAGCTTCAGCTTCAGCACCAAGACCGGATCACAACAAGCAAGGCCCACGCCCAGGCCCATCTCCAGCACCACCAGTAGACGACAACACCACAACCACATCACCCACCTCGGGCCCCACCTCACCTTACACCACCGAACGCCTCCTCATCCGCAACCTCACCATGCCACCCATCCCCAACTTCGACATCCCCGACGAACCACCCACACCTCCTCCCAACAGCGAAGCAGCCGCAGCCCTGGCCGCTCGCACCAAGAAATTCGAGCACTTCCTCGCGCTAAAGAAGAAAGGCGTTCACTTCAACCAACGATTACAGGATTCCTCGTCTCTGCGAAACCCGGGGCTATTGCCTAAGCTGATGGAGTTTGCGGGCGTGAGTAGGGAGGAGAGTTATGCGAGTGCGATCCCGGCTGAGGTGGGGGGTGTGCCGGGGGTTTGGCCGCAGGGGTGGGGTGTGGAGGATTTGGTTAGGGGGAATGAGAGGAGGGAGAAGAAATTGAAGGGTGAGAGGAAGGAGTTGAAGTTTGTAGGGGCTAGGGGGAAAAATGAGGGTGCGAATGGCGGTGGAAGTGGTGATGGGGCCGGGAGTAAGAATGGCACGCCTGGGAGGAGTACGGGTGGGAGGAAGAGTCGACTTGATCAGCGATGACATTTATGATTCGGAGCCACGCGGTGAAATGGGTCCTGATCTCGGAGTAGGAATATGGTCCCTTTGCATAACGACACAGGGCGAGGTACAGGCAAGCGCATGTCGTCTTCAACACGCTGATCGAACCACTTCCGTCCGCACCCCCGGGCTCTGCTCACCCAAGTCTTGGCTTGACTCGCGGTCCCAAGACCCGGATCGAGCCGAATACGAGCAGTTTTGGAAGCACTTCCGAGGGCCGGACGAGCTGCCTTGCTTCGGGCAGAGGAGCCAGCGGCGACCTCTTCTGGGCTTGCTCCCTTTCAGCACCGTGGCTGATTCCTGTGAATTGGGCAATGATGGACCGCGGAAGAGGATGTGGGTCGACGTCATCGAGCGTGGGTCGCTTGTCTGGTCAGTATCCATCCATGCTAAACCCCCGGAACGAATCATCACCTCGATGCTGGAATCCGAGTTCTCCGTGCTACAACGCTGCCACTTATTATTGTAAGGATCCACTCCGCTCCTCCCCAGTTCCGTCTCCAGCTTTCTCTTCGCCTCGGCAGTTGCCGTCAATGTTGCCCTCCATCATGGGTGCATACCGCTCCGAGCCTAACGCTGTCAGGAGTTGAAGTTGATAGTCTTCCATGGGCCGAAGCAAGCCCGCTGTCTGAGTATGTGCACCGTCGCCGCCTGTTGCTCCCGCGGGCATGGCTGCTGCCAGATCTGTGTTGGACGGCCCTACAACACCATAGCCTTGACCTGACGGTGTGTGATCACGATTGTCGCCAATCTGAGCTGATCCAACGCTGCTTGATTGGCCTGGGAGGGGAGTGAGGCCAGGAATTTACGGGATATCGTCATTGATTGGACTACGGAAGAGAGACTGCCACTGACCCGGCGGGGTGAGGGAGGGGTAGGCAAGCCCAGGCAAGCCTTCACGACCAGGGTGAGGGGAGAGAACCGTCAGAAGAGGTTGAAGAGGTCGAGAGACCGGATGTGCTTGTCCAGGAGGTGTAACGTTGTAGAGCTCGTCGTAATCATCTTCTTGCTGGGAATTTGCATCTTCCTCCATCGATACGTTGTTATGCTCTCCTACTCCTTGAATTCCAGGATTGGCCAGTAGTACACCGCCCTGTTGTCTGGCAATTCCAGCCGTAAAGCCATACACACCTCCAGTATCGATGGCTTGGTTAGGGTTGGTGAGAGTAACGACTCGTTGGGACCGGTCAAGATCGGAAGCAAAGCCTTTCGCCAGCGCTTCTCGTATAGTGACTTCATTTTCACGCCGGCCTTCATCGCCGGGTTGACCCCACCTATGATACAAATCAGCAGTCATCTCCATGACTTAGCGGTATGCATGGCTAACCAAGGAATACTTGGAGGAAGCACCTTCCAATCGGGGTTCCTCAACCAGCCTTCTTCGCTCAAATCTTTCAAAAGTCCAAGTGGCTTGCTTCCGGCGTCAACGACTTCCCAGACTAAGGTCGGAAAGCTCGATGATTCGGAGTTTGGGCCGTCGGCTACAGCATCACCAAAGAATATAGTGACAGATCTTAGTCGCTGCAAACCAAGGGCTTTTTCAGCCTTGTGCTGTATGGGCAGCCAGGCAACACTTGGACCAGAAGGCTGAGCGAGGGGTGCAAAAAAGGAACCTGCGAGGCTGATGTCAGCTCATACAACCAACAGGAACAAGCGTACCTTACCAATGACCAAGCTGATATGATTGGTGACTGTTCCATACGGGTCTGGGGCACCCTCCGCCAGATCTCCACCGCGTGCCTTCAAGCATGAAGCTACCACATGCAGCGTTTCCTTATGATTCACATTCTGAATGACGACGTAATAGAGAAAGGCCCCCCTTTCCACCAGAAGCTGAGGGTGGAAGGTGAGTTTGGTGGGAACACAGAAGAGCTGCAGCCGGACGCTGGCGGGCGTAAGAGAGCTTGTGGTACATCGTGCTTGCTGACGGTCGAGCTACATGACGTGATAGAAGCTTGTGCTTTGCCTGCTGGTCTCGATGAAAGACAACTGACAGCAGATGCATACAGACTCACTTTGATCCGACAAATATCAGCAAATGCTTGTAGAAACTGCGTAGGTACTTTGGTCAGACCTTACCAATACTGTCGTACCGACATTTGTCGATAGCATCGTGCCATAGGGGATTGCATGAGCATCTCCCTAACAGACCGAGCAAACGAGAGCATTTATTGCGATGCGTACAACGGAATTGGCCGATCTGGATCTTCTAGTCATCTGCTCCTACGTATTCCTCTCGTCGCAAGTCCAGTACTTGCCAACATCGAGTAGAGTTGATAATGGTAATGTGGCCAAGCCAAATTCATTAGCATGTTGGATTGTATCATACGGTGGTCAAACTACGTTTACATGACACATTACTGGGTTCATACCTGACGATACGCTCACTTATACCTCATACCTCCCACCCATCAGCTACCCGGTACGCCTGCGCAAGCCTCCTTTTTCCTCCGTGCTTTCCGTGAAGCACGGCCACGACCGTTAAATGTCATTACTCATTAGTTTGCCTGCGCGCCTTGCATTCCCTGCTGGATCCAGCCAGACGCGGCCAAGAAGTTGACACCGATTTGGGTTGGAGTAATAACCCATACATTGCTGTGTCCTAGGTAGTCGATTTGCGGAAGGCTCAATGTTGATATACGTTGCGGCAAGCTGAAGTTCCAGGATATGCTTGGGTGCTCCTGGGCACTGAACCGAGTTTAGTGGTCCTGCTGGATATTGGTCATCCGGGGTTCCAGCTTGCGGTCGTCCAGTGGAGATGATGGGTCGTCCAGTGGAGATGATGGAGTGGTCTGACTCTTTCCGACATCTATGCTCCCGGATAGGCTCGGTTCGCCGTGGTGCGAATCATCAAAAGACTGCCCTTGCGGCCTGATAGAAGAGATTTTCGCGAAGTTGTGTCTCTCATTTTTGCGTCGTCGAAGTCTGCTGCTGTTGCTCTTGCTGCTGCTGTTCTTGCTTTTCCTTCTGTGCAGCCGCAGCATTCAATTTCCGTATCCGTAGCCTCTCCGAGCATGCATTACAAGTAGCATTATTCCTGTTCCTCCTCATGAACTCATCCACCGGCTTCTGCTTCCTGCAACCCGTACATGTCTGTAGCTCTGACATCCCTGTCGTGACTGTGTCTTTTTCCGTGCCTTCCTTTTTCGGTAGATTATGCGGGTGCCTATGTCGAAGGTGTAAGTATAGGTGATGCTGAGAATTTCCAGAACTTGGATATGATGAACGCAGTGGTGTGGTGTGAACGACAGAGTAAGAATGAAGACGACTAAGAAAGCGGATCGCTGTGGTAGGTAAGCGGTTAGATCCCGCCCGTGAGTGGGGCTCCCTGACAGAAGCGGGTCATCGTGACTGCCTCTTGCGAACATCGTGCTGGACTATTGGTTGGTGCGAACATGCCCTTTTCGCCATCACATAAATCGCATTTTATGATGACCGAGTCCTTTTTCAAGCACACGGACAGCATCATAGCTATTGGGCATGTTCATGCCCGCGTACTTATTGTACCTCCTTTCCCCGTGGATTTCGACCTTTCTTGTGGGGACGAAGTCGCGCTCCTGCGTCTAAAGGATGGCCCATCACTTGGACATGACATTATAGCATGAGACTTTGGCCAATCCACAGCTGAGACGATAACTATCTGCTCACCTGTATAAGGCCTCACAAGACGATGGCCAGGAGCATGAAAGGCTTGCTGACTACATTATGCGACAAAGATGATCCCTAAAGCTAAGCTGTCCCTGTCTACCATGGCCTGAGGACGCTACTCTGTGTTAGTTTAGCCGGATTGGAAGTATCCTACAACCAGTGCATAGATACCTGCTCTATGTTGTGAAAAGACAACACTAATCTGCTGCTGCTATGATGCCTTTACGTACTCCGCCATCGGCGACGCTACCGGTCTCCTGCTCTGGATAAGCCGCTCTGTCTGCACATACAACCCATCGAGATATTGCATAGCAGGCGCATCTTTGATGATCTTCGCAACCTGCAGACCCGAGCTGATGAGCTGAAGGATATTCCTGTCGTCTTTCAATGGTCGTGATTGATGCTTCGCCGCATGCCTCATCTCCAAGCTGTTCTCCAGGATCGTGATGAGTTGTTTGATCTGGCCATTGTAGAGTACACGGGCTGGTATACGGCGTTTAGTGGCGAGGCGCTTGAGCAGGTAGACCCATTCTGACCACTCTCGGTCACCAGGTACCCGTACAGGTCGCTTGTCGGCTTCGATGGGTATCGGGAACTGGTACTTTGCAACAAAATCATAGGCACATCGTGCCAGACGGTCGTTGACCTTCGACAAGATCTCGTCTTGCTCTTGAGCATATAAGGTGACCGGTAATTGTGGCATGTCCTCTTCCTTCGGCTCATATGCTACCTCACCAACAGGCTTCTCCAGAAGCTGGGAGGGACCATCGAATTCGTCACGGTTTGACGGTCGACGCTGCGGATGAGTGGGCGCTTGCAGACCGCCTGGCGACCCATCTGATCTGTAGTAATTACCACCGTACGCACTGAGGGGCGCATCTTCTGATGAAGTCCGCCTTAGTAGTGGCGGTGGGTATGAGGTCTGCCAGCTGGCATGTGAGGCCCTGTATGCATGGTCACCCACAGACATCAAATCTGGCGAGTATGCACTATGCATTGGTGATGCTGGCCAAGGACTGGTCGGTCCTTCGTAGCTGGATCTAGGCTGCCGGCTTGCCCACTGAGCCTGTGGCCACCCACTAGTGGAGTTTGACATGTGCTGTTTCGTGGAGTAGCCCGATAGTGAGACACCAGGAGGCGTTCTGCTGTTGCTCGACGAGCTCGTTATGTTGGAAGGAACCGGGTATGTTTGTGCATATTGTTGAATCTCTGCATGTGGTGCCAGTGCCCACGGGTCTCGTTCGCCTGATCTCTGGAGTCTTTGTCTGTGCCATGTAGTCAGCATCGTACAAATCCAGGCACTCGTATGAATGTACGTACTGTCTAGCAAGCGGATCTTCAAATCGATTCGGCAATGCTGTCGCTCGTCGTGCTTCGTTGGCAGCGTAAGTGATCTTCGTTATGTCCTGCGGTGGTCCGGTAGTCATGATGTGTCGATCTGGAGACAAGCAGAGATACTAGTAGTGCTGATGGCTGTTGGGTAGGATGCAGATCGACAGAGAATGCGGAAGACCATAATATGAGGCTGCAAGAGTGCCCTACCTCAAGCAGGCGCCATGCCCGTGTCGACATTCTCATTTCAAGGTTCAGTGAAAGGATGTCGGGAGACTTGGCGGGAGAGTAAGGCGGACACTTTTAGCTAGATTCCCTGGTGCTCATTGCTTGGTGGTATTGCAGTGGGAGCCCGATGAGGGCGTCTACGCAACCCTCTTGCATGGTTTCCCTAGCCCTCGATTCACACATGGGAACAAGGTTGTTTGGAACGAGGACATGCCAAAAGAGGGCCGAAGCACTGGCGACCAGCGACTTCGCCAGGCTGCTGACGACTCGATAATCGCCGGTAGACAAGGGAGTCACGGATCGTTCCTGGCGAGCCATACTATCCCGGCATCTCGACGGAAACACTCGGTCTGCCTTTGCAGCTCGGGACACATACATCCATCGTTGAAGCGGTCGCAAGGTGAAGCATCACTACTTTCCCACGCACGCCCGACCAATTTTCAGGTTTCCGGACGTTTCGTCCCTCTGTGTCGGCTTAGTAGCCGAAACGGTGTGGCTTTAGACCGGGCATGAAGTGCCTCGAGCGTCACTTCTGCAATGCTTCCAGAAGAAACGCATCTCGATACGGCAACACCGCCATCAAACCAATTAGGCATACACACATAGAGCATTTGCCGACATAGTCTTCCAGATAATTCGCGAGGCGTTTAGTGTTGTAGATCGTGTCCATCGTCTCGCCCTGCCCTGAGATGGTCAATCTAGTAAATGATCTGCAAATCCCAATGGGCTATCTTTGGGCATCAGATATATGGTTGGTCCCAAGCGCGTGCGATCTTGCGGCCTAAGGGCATTTTCGCAAGCATCTCGGGCATCAATCAGTAAAGTGAGGTATTCGTATCCTGGCGGCAAGACACCACATATCCTGGTAGAGTGCGGCAAACTGCGTCGTCTGACGGGCACGTGAGATAGCTGTGTGTTTGACGCAAGGATTTGTGATTGCCAGTTACAGGTGCCATTACTCGCACAACCACAAAGACGCCGTTGCCAAGTTGGCATGACAGACAAACCATAACATGGCATCATGAAACGTATCGGCGACACTGGGTTCAGAAGATGAATCTTGGTGTGGAAGTCAAACTAAATAGAGCTGTTCGTGTGTCGTCTGTTTGGCAGCGATAGCCGACCGTAGCTTTACAGCCATCTAAAAGTGTTCAGGATCCTCTTCGCCATTGCACCGTTCGTATCCGGGCCTTTATCGAAGCATACAGTCTGCACGCGATCGCAAGGGCCATGGTCGCTCGGTTAGATGAACGTCCGACATGTCAACGAAGCAATCACTTCGAATGAGGGACGATTCTGCCTCAGCAGATGCACGCGGTCAATATAGGGCGAGGCTGCTGAGAGATCTGAGTAACGATATGCTTTCCAACCAGCTAGTGTACCTCATCGTCTGCTGGGAAGCGTTGTGACTATACGCCAACCATGCACGAACCATGCCTACAGCTATCGATGTCCCTGGTTTTACTCCTATACTCTTCCTCGCCCTGTCTCCTCGGTTGTCCAACGCTGAGTCGATAAGAAGAATAGCACAGGAGGAGATAGACCTCACAACTACAACTATGGCTACTCACTCATAGAGCGTCAGATGAGGATCGTGCTCCGAACCTACACGTACCAGCTACAGTTATAACACCGATATTCTACCAGCTGCCTCTCGAGGACGATAGTCGCGACATGTAGTGCTCAGGTATGGTAGAAGAAAAACGTCACAGATGGATTCTCCGGGTTGCTGCCGCATCGTCATCGTCTGGCGAACGTTCGCAACCTTTCATCAGCATTCGGTCGTCTATGATGCATGGGAAGCCCCAGAGAAGTGTCTTGATTCTGTCGCATCTTGCCCTCCAGAACGCTCCAGTGACGCTTTCATGAACGACTCGAAAGATACTGGGTTTGAGACTTGCAATGGGCTGCACAGGTGGTACTACGCCGACAAGATGGCGCCTCGCGAGAGGCTTCTGGTCAGGTGTTTCGAGTTCTGCACAGATGGGCTTGACATTCTGCTCCCTGCCGGTATTCTGATGCCGCACGCAGTTTGGAGGCCAGATGTTGGGTCTGCTGTGGAGAGCGTGATATTTATCACACATCAACATGGTAGAAACAAAGTCGCATAGCCATTCCCAGGTCCGGAACGCCATCGCTAGACCCATTCAAGTAGCGTCTGTGATTGATACTCCTCAACTAAGTCTCGGTCGCTAGCTTGCTCTGTAGCCCGTATTCTGCATCTCATACGACTGGTTCGCAGCGCTCGCCTGATTGTTGTACATCTCTGCTTCGCCCTTGCGGTGTGCCGGATGACTTACGACTGGTGGCGCCGTGTCGTACGACATAGGCTCCTGCCTAGCAGCTGGGTTGGGAGAGCTCGCACGACTCGTGTCTCTGAACGGGTTGGGAGGAGCTCCTTGCGGGTTATACCCAGCATAGCTACCTCTGGGCGGACTCTCATAGCCACCCCATGCCTGAGAAGAAGGTTTCACACCTGTGTATTCTCCACGCCCAATGAGTCCCTTTCGCTTGCGATGCATGATGACGGATCCGTAGATAAGTTGACCCAGAGAGCAGGCGAAGAGTGGTGCCGAGAATATGATAGATGAGGCGAAGCTGCCTCTACCCGAAATGTTTATGATACTGGCAACGAACACATACGTCCAGAAGCACATCTTGATGCACTGGAATACGAGAAAAGTGATCGGGTTGAGCCTGTGTCTGGCGAACAAGACGATGCTTGCGATGACGAAGGCCATGCTGATGATTGCCATGGCGAGAAGCTGGGGGCCTTGTTAGTATGAATCCAAAAAATCTCCAAAGGGTCTTAGCCTATCGCACTTACAACTCCAGTGCCCAAGCTGAGAAGTCAGTCAGTGACGTGTTGAGGTTTAAATGGTGAAGGTACGTACAATAGCGCTTTGATGACACCTCTGTAGTAAGTCGGGTAAGAGGCCTCCTCTTCTGCGAGTGTGGCAAGACTCAAGCTGCCGAAGATAATAATCACCAAGAGAAAGCCGAGCTCAACGACCCAGAATGGTATGAGGACCTTTTTCAACCATACTCGGTCGTGCATGTTCGTCTCGGTGTGCAGTCCTGGAGCAAGAGTTGAATGATAACGTGCAGCCTGGATACGAAAGGGATGTTCGAGTAGAGATGAAATATGCTATTCTGTCTACTTGTGATGAAAGAGCGCCCGGCTGAGCCTTGAATGCACAAGGCAAGCTTTCATACATGTAGGTAGGCATTGGGGGCGCAGTCAGGATGCACAGCGTGAAGAGGTCTGCGGCTGCAGGAGATGTTCGATTGGAAGGATGCGCTAAGCAATGGCTCGTCTAATCATAGCAGATTGCGGCACGGCTAGCCCCAGCCCTAGCCTATTACTAACCGTGCTGTTCAAAAGTAGCTAGATTAATTGATCGCCTCATCTACATTGGATTGCTGTTCAACGACTCGCATGAGGCTGTGTTCTGCGCTTCCATATGCTTCAGCTTCTGCGTGACTTGGTCGTGCCTCAACTGCCGTGCATCGCATGGAGTGCTCGGTATGTGGTTGTAATACAAGGATGCAAATCACTCCATGTGATGCCGTTCGTAGTCTGGAGAAGACGTTTGTAAGAGGAACACCAGTGGGCTGCTCAGCTGGTTTCAAGATACTGACACACCAGAGATATGGCAATCTGGGCGACCGAGTCCTGCTATGGTCCGGTGCAATCGTACTGTTAGCTCTCATGATATTTGTCCGCGGGGTCCTTAGCCAAGAACTCTCTGGTGCTTATTGCCCAGTTGGCGGACGCCGTGGCTCATATCAAGGACCCGCTGAGCCCATACGAGTAACGATGCCACATGATGCTACGTTACCTAAAGTTGTGGGAGCTGGATTAGACGACATCGGCAGATTCAATGGCCTGGATGGCGAGAATGCTGGTGATGGCGAGATAGGGTGGACAGATTCGTGTAGGCATGTTGCGCAGTGGACGGTGCGTTTGACAGATGTCTCGTTGCTACGACGACAGTATATCCTTTTCAGGCGAGGATACTTCGTCGCAGAGTATACCCTGAGTGCCATTATGATTTCTTGTGGCATATTGCTCATCTCAAAATCCGCTCTTTGCCTGCGAGTATGTTGCGGCACTGTACAGTCGATCCATGATCGTTCACAGACTGTCTTGCTCAGCCTGGATCTTCTCGAGACGCCGCCGGGCAAGTTGACGGCGCTCGTCTCGAAGATTCGTGAACACCTGACATCGTTAGCCCTCTTATCGTGTACAGCCTTGCGCGCATCTGAGATACCCAGAACCAAGCGGCCAGCTCCATGAAACCCCATGCAAAGACTAGACTGTTCTGTAATGGCTCGCCTATGCTCCCCCGTGCCGCGGTAGTAGGACCAAGCAGACCTCCGGGCTTGAACAGGTATGTGTAGCCAGTCACCGTAAACAAGACCACCATTCGCACAGGCACGTTCGCCAACCAGTATTGCATTGCTACCTCCTCGTTCATGTTCGCGGCTGTCAGGTCGGAGACTCCAAGCAGGACCAGTATGAGTGCGATCAGGGCTGAGGCTTCGCTAGGCTTGTCCATCGTCTCGATGTGTGGCTTCAAAGAGTCAGCAAACCCTGCATTAATAGTGTAATAAGATGCCATACCAGTTTCATCGACTCGCCCAGCATGAAGACCACATTTTGGTCGACAATTGTCTTAGGCGAGACCAGGAAGAAGTACGCCGCGGTGATGTGGAACAGCGATATGGCACGAATGATCGTGTACGCGGATATGATAGCCATGTTAAGGAACAATCAGCTTTTCCTTGCGGGTCTGTTATGAGAGTGAGTAATATGCTTTGCTACAGGAAAGTCTAGCATGATTCGGAGATTCGGACTTAAGCTCATGCACGTTAGATCATCAGCCTCCAACACAAGATAAGATGGATTTGTTACCTGTCCACTTTAATACCATCTTCCACACATGGATATGGAGAAGCAAAACGTGGGCGGCCGTTCTCCGGCCGGTGATAACAGTACTGCTCAGAAAAGGTCGCCTCGACACACTGCCGTATTCAAGATCGTTCTAGCCGTTGGGTGCCTGGTGTTCATGCTATGGAGAGGAGTCTGGCCTTCCCACCAGTCGATTACGAAGACTGGAGCCGCCAAAGTCCTGTCTGATAGCCCGCTCATTGATGGCCACAATGATCTCCTCATCCTCATTCGAGCTATATACGGTAATAGAATCTACGACAAGAACTTCACTAAGCCAATGGAAGATGGCGGTATGGCCGGACACTTCGACTTCCCTCGATCCGATACCGGCATGATGGGCGGTGCGTTCTGGTCAGCATGGTTGCCATGTCCAGCAGATCCCTTTGACTTCTCGGACGAGGTCTATGAGCCGTACGTGCGCGCCACGCTCGAGCAGCTGGACTTGTTCACTAGGCTCTCGAGCAAGTATCCCAAGTACTTCACGCTCTCACGCAGCGCCGCGGAAGCTGAGCAAAACTTCTACAAAGAGCACAAGCTCATCTCACCTCTTGCTATTGAGGGTCTACATCAGATTGGCAACTCCTTGTCCACGCTACGCCTCTACCATCAGCTAGGCGTAAGATATGCTACGCTAACCTGGAATTGCCACAACAAGTACGCTGATGCTGCGACCATCACTATCGACGGCGAGTACCAAGCGACTAAGCCCTACCACGGTGGCGTAAGCAAAGCCGGCCACGAGTTGATCACAGAGATGAATAGGCTGGGCATGATTGTCGATCTGAGCCATGTCTCCGTAGACACCATGCGAGACGTTCTAGGTGGTAGTCCTGAGAAGGGCTGGAATGGCAGTATCGCACCTCCAATTTTCAGTCACTCCAGTGCCAAAGCCATTTGTCCTCATCCGCGCAATGTGCCGGACGACATCCTGCAGCTGGTCAAGGAGCGCAATTCTCTGGTGAGTCGTACTTGTGCAAAGCCATAGTGCAACATACTAACATTCCTCGTAGGTCATGGTGAACTTCTCGCCAGATTTCATCAGCTGCAAAGCAAACGATGACTCTAACGGCATCCCAACATACCTTAATGAAACGAACACTATCGAGCACATTGTCAAGCATATCATGTATATAGGAGAAAAGATAGGTTACGATCATGTCGGAATTGGCAGTGATTACGACGGCATCATGAGCACACCACGAGGGCTGGAAGACGTGTCGAAGTTTCCTGACCTCATCCAGATGCTGCTCGACCGCGGTGTACGTGAGAAGGATGCCGGTAAAATCGCCGGAGGCAATCTGTTGCGTGTATGGCATGATGTCGATGCAGTGGCAGCAAGACTGCAAAAGGAGACGGATCCGACTGAGGATTTCTTCAAGCCTGGTGTCGGCCCTTTGTGGGAGCTGGAGAGTGGCTTGATTGGTGATCTGGCTATGTGAGCTATTCTCTTTCGAGATATGATGGAAATTATGGGTATCATGAACGAGGCAAAACTGCAATCTGTAAGTGAATGTAAACTGAAATCATTGATAAGTCACTACGCTGCATATCCTCGGACTGAAGTCATCAACGCTCTACCGACTGGTCGCAGGTGTCATGCATGGCCACTTCAAGGTTCACGGCTGTTGCTCCAGCTCGTCCCCATGACCAGTCGGGCCACCAACAGCATCAACGACCTCGCCACCCACAGTCCCTGCAGCCTCAACTTCATCAGACTCACCACCAACTCCAACGTCCGTCAGCATTTCAGCACCCGCGCCACCCTTTGATAACTCCAATTCAGCTCTGACGCTCTCAAGATCCGCAGTCAAGGCTCCAATCCGCTGGTCGCGACGGCTGGCCATGTTCCTCAATTCAAAATTCGCACGTTGCTGGTCCTTTAGTAAAGCGGCAGTGTTCTGAGCAGCATTATACTGCACTTGCCAGCGTTTCTCCTCCCTTTCCACGCGGTCCAGCAGGTTATCCTTCTCGTAATCATGTATACTGGTAGCACTGTCGAGCTCGATACCCTTCGCAGTGACGTCCGCTTGGAGCGCAGCGACCTCCATCGAGTTCTGCTCGATGGTTGCCTCCAGGGCCTTCTTGTCGCTCTCAAGAGACTTGATGGTATCTTCGCGGGTCTTCGAATGCTTTTGGGACGCGTCCAAGTTTGATTGCAGCTGATGAAGCTCGGACGATTGTTTCTTGATCATGGCATTCTTCTCTTTAACCGTATCAGACTGCTCTGGCTTCGCTTTTGCAAGCGCTTCCTTCAGTTCGGCCTTCGCAGCTCTTGTCAAAGTGGCGTACTCCTCCTTGATCGCTTTACTTTCTGCTGCTTTTCCTGCTGCAAACTTCTTAGCGTCAGCGGCGACCTTCTGGCTCTTCTCTCTGTTCCAGCCCATCTTCTTCTCGAAGGCCACCTTTTCAGCGGTCAGAGCTTCAGCCTGCTTGGACTTGAATTCCTCAATCCTCTTCTGATGTGCTTCCTGCTTCGCCTGAATCGCCTCTTCATGCTGATCCTTCAACTCGTCCACCTTGTCCTGATAAGACTGATGCTTCGCGGCGATTTTGACCTTAAATTGGGCTTGAGCATCTGCGAGTCGTCCCTCGTAGACCACTTTCTGTGCGTGAAGCCTTGATGTCCACTTCTCTTTGTTTATGTTTTCGAGCTTCTTGACAGCGGAAGAGAGTTCTCTATGCTGTGCCTCATCGCGCTGGAGATCAAGTAGCTCGAGACGTGATATCTTGTCGTCCCATTGGTACAACCTTGCAGTCAACTCGTGCTGGTGGTATTCGGACTCGTCCAGTTCTGTCTCTAGCCTCTGTACTCTGGCTGCCTGCTTCGCGGCCACCTCTCGTAGCGCCGAGGCATCAGTTGATACCGTGCATGTGGCGGGAGAAGTGAGATTGTCTTCCTCGTCTTCGCTAGACACCTTCGGCCTTTTGGCGGGCCCACGCTCAAGGTCTTGCGAAGCCTTACGCTTGGGGGCGACGGCATCCATACGGAGTTCATCGTCAACCGCCGGGACCGTACTGCCGAAGGATGTGGCAGGAGTCTGTCGAGCGAGGTGAAGCTCCAGGGACTCTTGCAGATGGATGAAGCACATCTTGATGTTGAACTTGTTGCTGCAGGGGATGGTTGAGAAAAGTAGTGTGGCCGTTGTGGCGGTTGAGTAGTACTTGTATATGAGTTAGGTCGTGGCGGAAGATCACTCAAGAAATTGAGCTAGAATGAGCAGATGAAGTGACGTTGATGTGCAGTTGGTGAAAACTACGAGTTCACTTGTGGCATGTGATCACGGGATTGATGTGAGCAGCAGTCGCGGAGCGGTGTGAATGCACCGTGTCTGTAGTCGGATACACATCCTAAAGGACTTGATGCGAGCCTGATATGCGATCGGCCCCGTTATGACAATTTGGGTATGATCTTCTTTCTCTGAAAGGTGCCGTGAGTTCGATCCTGCGAGATGTCAATAATCTGTGCCGGCTAGGGAGCAGCCTGGTCTCGGTGTTCGGAATGTATGAACCAGCCAGTAGGACTCAGAGCATGCTGTTCACACAGAGCTATGAACACGGCATGACTTCTACCCACCAGCTACAATCTGACTATGCTACCAAGACACCTCATGAGTCCTTCGCCAAGAGACGCTTGATCAAAGCCTGCTGGTCTTGAGCAATCTGCTGAAACTCAGCGGCCTTTGCTACCGCCGCCTCCATAAACCTCTTCTCCTTGAGAGTACGCTCTCCATTGCTTGCCGCATCGGCCCTCAATTGCTGAAGCTCACCCACTGCATTGGCGAGATCCTTCCGCGCTGCTTTACTGTCAAGCTGAGCCCTACTTCCATCTTCTTCCAGCTTGGACCTGCGAGTCTTCATGTTTTGGACAAGAGTCAGGTGGACCTGTGCTTGTGCCTCAAGTGCTGCGCCAGTCTTCACGTCCCACGATGCTGCATGCGTCATTGCATAGATCTTGCCTGTGAGCATAGAAATGCTAGCGTGAGCCTCTGCAAGCTCCCCGGAAAGGGTGGCGATACGAGCGGCTCGAATGGAGATGGTGTCCTTGAGGTTGAGGCGTTCTTCGTGAGCTCTTCTCTGAAACTGTGTGGCAAGAAGGAGTGCAGTGTCTTGTTCGGCTTGTATGTCCTCCATCTCTGTGATCTCGGCGCTGCAGATCCTTGATCTTCTTCTCCTGAGCAAACGCGCGTGCGTTCATCTCAGCCGCCTCTTGCCTACCACGAGTGTTCAGCCGCTTCCGCAATCTACCTTCCCTCCTGTCCATAATGCTGGGGTGGATGATGGTCAGTGTTCGGCAAAGAGAGATAAACCCAAGTTGCGTTTGTGCCTGCCGTCTTTGGCGGAAGCTGCAGCGGCACGATCCGTAGGTGGGTCACTACAGGATCATACCATGCGTAGCTCATTCATTCACAGCTTTGTAAGCTTCTCTAAAGTATCTCAGTGGCTCACAGAGTCATGCATTAGAAGTGGGACGTTTGTCCCGAAGACTTGAGCAGACGGTAGCATGAACTCACAGTGTCCATACCGTGAGATTGAGGATGTTGGCCGTGGCCTTTGAGCATATGTCTTGTCGCCTTTGAGTACTCTATACAACCGCTCATGCAAAACGTTAACGCCAACGCTAAGTCGCCACACCACACAGAGAACACTCAAAACTTCACCTGGAACCTTGGGTGAGTCCGCAACTTTTCACCGTACCAGTAGAAAAGCCATGGGATCGGACATAGTGCCAACGAGATAAATGCGATCAAGGAGTTGCCCCAGCCCAGACCGAGAGCGTTGTACCTGAGAGAGATGTCAGCAACACGGCATCAAAAACGCTAGAGGGTGGTAAGCTTACATCTGAAGTGCGAACAACGGAAAGACTGCGCCAAGAACTGATCGTAGGATTGTGTTCGCCGCCATGGCTGAAGCGGCATATCGTGTGTACGTGTCGATCAGGTACGTGTTGATGCACATGAACGCCGCAATGAGACTGTCAGAAGTGTCAGCTGTATCCTCCAACATTCTGCACATATTCACAATATCGGTGCTTACCCAAGGCCGACCAGGAGTGTCCCGAAAAGTGGTACCGCCCACTGGATATGGTATTGAGTGGTCCATCCATATATGAACATCCCGACCGGAATCGTCGGACCAGCATACATCAGCACCGGCAAACGGTATTCCGGCTTGAGCTTGCCACCATTGTGCTTCTTCGCCAAGTACTTCATGATGGGGTCGGATATCTTGCCAAGTACAGCGAGTCCGATCAGATTACCGACACCACAGCCAATGTATACCAAGCCAACTGTGCTCCCAGAAAAGCCGTAGTGCTCTTCAAACACGAATGTGAAGGTCGTGAAGAGCAGGTACATGATGGCGTAGACAATAGCCATGTACAAGCTCATGAGCGCACAGATTGGCGACAAGAACATGAGCTTCATTGGACGAGCAATAGCTTGTACGAAGAGCTGTTGCGGCGGGAGGTCGATGGCCAGCTTAGATCGAAGATTAGGATTGCCGGTCTCCTTACGAAGCTTCTTGGCCTTGCGTTCGAGCAATGTGGGCGCGTATGTCTCGCGCATGACGAAGAAGCCAGCGATGGTAACGACGCCGGTAGCGATAGCTTTCGTAATCGTGTCAGTCTGTTTCTTCGACTGAACGGAAGAGTGGATGGTAGCACGAGGCAAGCATCGCCGACACCCTACGTTGGACTTACCTATGACCCAGAAAATCCACCGCCAACCTTCTGCTTCTGCAAGGAAACCTCCTGCAACAGGGCCAATGACAGGGCCAAGGAGAGGACCTATAGCCCAGATAGCCATAGCAGATCCACGCTGCTCGGCAACCATTAGGTCTGCAATTGTTCCTCCACCGTTGGTTATTGGACTAATCCCCCAAGCTCCAGCAAAGAAGCGAAAGACAATGAGCTGGTTCATGTCCTTTGCCAAGGCGCAAGCAACAGTGAACAGGATGAACCCAACGTTACAGACGTGGTAGATTGGTACTCTGCCGTACAGCTCGGACAACGGGGCGATGACGATTGGTCCTGCAGCAAATCCTAGAAGATAGACGGAGACGACGAAAGTTGCCAGAGAGACACTTTCTGTGCCAAACGTCCTTAGTACCTCAGGCACGCCTGGTGCAAACATTGACGATGCCAGAGGTGTGAGTAGTGTCAGGGCCGATAGCACAAAGATGTTGCTCCATTTCTTAGTGAGTGACCAATTTATGGGGTTCGCAGGGTCGTCAGGTCCGTCCCAGTCAACTATGTTCGGATCTAGTGGTTCTTGCTCTTGCTCAGTTGCCTCGACACGAGCCTTCTCCAGATCGCGCTCGGGCTCATTTACTGACGAGGTTGATGACCGTTCGTGATCCTTCTCGAATTCGGCATAACTTCCCTTGCTTCGAGGAGCTGAGGTGTTTCGTACTGCGCCCGCGTTGCTACTGATGTCTGCATCATGGCCCTCTTGCACGGCTAGTTGCTCTGCCTCTGGCAGATCACCGCCAAGGAAGGCCGGCGCAGTGTGTGCAGTCATGCTGCGGGTGTGCTAATGGCCACGCCATGTCAGCGTCGTGTTTGGGCAGTACGATGTCTTACACTGTGATATGGTAAACCATGTGAAGTTCGCTGGTGGTAGTGCGGCAGTACGGTAGTGGGACGCTGCTTACCTTGACTCGAGGATCGCTTGGGGCCAAGGATCCGGGTTCGGCTGTTCAAGAAAGTGGGAGGCCTTGCGGACTTGAGAGAGATACGATCGAGGGACAGCACAATATAGATACATGCGAGCTCGCCATGCCCATTGTAAATGCGGTCTTTCATTACAGTCTCCTGTGCCGTTGCACGTCCACAGCCGAGAGCAGTTCCATGCCGACCACCCGAGCATAGAGTGTGGAATGCGCGATCCAGATTATGCACAAGTGAAAAGGCCGTCTGAGCCCGAATTGTGCAAGCATCATGTGGCTGCTTCCGGATGGCATTGGACGATCAGCCGAGGAGGGCTTGAGTCTATGGGCTAATGCGTCTATTGTGAACAAGTACTCTGCATCCCGTCCGTATCATGAAGAACGCCACTAAGACGTATCGTAGAAAGACACGGCGCACCTGGACTGTCAGCCTTCTGAACGCAGGATCAAGCAGCCCTCGTCGCAGCCCTCGTCGCAGCCCTCGTGGCATTGCCAATGCATCGACTGGCCCCTCCGTCCGTCTATATGGCGTGATCAAGTGAGAGCGACCTCTGCCAGGGAAAGGTGCTATCTCTGCGCAAATATTTGACATCGATGAGATCGAGGTAACCACTGGCAAAGTCGGTGCTTGATTCCGTGCGGTGCCACTGGAGTCGACTAGAACTGGCCGCACTCGCGCAAGGACCATCGCAGGCACTCGTATTACGCGACCATGTGCTCATCCAGCTCCCTTCGCAGAACCCATCCAGACATAAAGAAGCAGTCGCAAAGATGGAACGCCGGATAATTGGAGAGGAATTGTCTCTGTGGTACAAAAGTGAGGCCCAAGTCGAACTTTTGTGATCTAGGAACACTCGAAAAAGAGCTGATGATCTGATTGAGATGTAATGGAAGGCGTGTTGGTCCCATATCAGGCGCACCTTCCATCTGAGACGCACTCGCCCACAGTAATCGATACTCACCATCTACAAGCAATGCCACGTTCGCACTAATCACCATGTCGTCGTATTGATAGGGGCGACAATGACCTCGAAGAGAACCACCATGCTACTTCCCTCGCCGATCAGAGGATGTCAAAGTCGTGGATCACGAATCGGCTAATGGATGGAGCATGAAATCCCGTGAAGTACAATTGAAGGGATGCGACTGGGGAAGCACGGCGGGTGTATCGAGATAGGTACCGTGTGCGACGATTCCGAAGAGTGCCGCATTCTGCAGATATGCCTAACAAGCAGGGTCCGTGGAAAGATGATGCTGCTCGTCTTACGGCTGCCGTTCAACGAGCCAGGGAAAAGGGCAGACGTCAGCAAAGACAGCATTTTAGTACGCTGAAGCAGAGGCGTCTATGTCTGGGCTCAAGAGTAGCGATGGATCAGGTCGATTTGCCGCCGGTCAGGAGAGGGTGACGATATCTGCCCGATGTATCCTACGATGATGCCGAGTGGGAGTAGTGTGTATCAAAGACTCCGCCATTCGGTCGAAGCCGCTTGACTTGACTGTGGCAGTCATGACGAAAGTGCAGCTGCTGAAGATGCTACAGCGCAAGATTGAGCCTCCATCTAGGGGCCGAAGAGACCAGCAGTCGATGATTTGGAACGACTTGAGGTGATTCTAGGCTGAGAACCAGGAGAGCGGCCTTCACCAGTGTTAGTCGATCGCGATGTTCCTGACAATCCAGATCGACTACGCGAATTGGGGCGACTCGAAGCAGTGGACTGCTTGCGTGAGTTCAGACGAAGAAGGCTCAGGAGAAGAGACGCTGGACACGTCGTGGTCAGCATGATCACCATGCTTCAGGAGAGAAGCATAAATGCGGCCTTTACTTCACCTTCACAGCGCGCTTGCCTTGAACATTGTCGCAAGCACATGCTTCACTCCGACTTGAAACACTAGCGTCTCCACTTTCCAGGATCTCCATTAAGATGAGCAATTTCTGCCTGAACCTTCTGCCTGACTGCCATGGTGTTGTTTGTTTGAAAACTTCCGCGTTCTCAATCTTGACACATCCACACCTGCTGGCCGACCTCACTGGATTCCGCTACGGTCATGGCCCAACCCACTAACACACACAATGGCAACCCTGCCGGAGTGCAACAGACGAGCCCACTTCTCCGCCTGCCACAGGAGCTGCAAGACACCATCTACGCCCTCGCTTTCCCTCGAATGCCGCGCACAACCAGAATCGTATTTCGCATGAATTGGGAGGCTAACGAGATGCACAACAGGAAACTCGACAAAGACTACGTCGTCCAAATTTTTCCACAGCATACTGTCAATCGCTGGCTGGTCAACAAAAGCTTCTTCGTGGGGGCAGCTCGTGCTTACTTTGGTAATCAGAACTGGTGCTTCGTCAGCCGTCGCAATGGCTTCATCCATCTCTGTCACCGCGTCGAGTCTCGATTCCTGGCAGACCACTCTGGGCTCTTCTACGGGTATGCCACGCAAGCTACCTTTGCAGGGCTTCATCTCCTCTCTAAGGTCTCGCGCTGCCGATCGATTGCCAGCCTCGAAATTACGCTCGGTGAGTCGGATCTTCGAGACATGGAGAAGATGATGTGGTATGAAGAGTGCCACGGTCCAGACTTTGAGCATAGTGAAGATCTCCGAACATTACTCGCACTGAAAGGACTTCGATCTGTCAAACTTGTCGCAGGTCATAACGTGTATGCCAATACACCGGAGAAGCAGAGAATGTGGGAGGCGAACGTGCACCGTCTCGAGAGCTACGTGCGGTCCGTGACCAGCCGCCAGAAGCGTACTCATTCGACCACATCCCGAGGTCTCGCTGGAGGAACAAAGCACGTGACCATGAAGTCTACGCCTACGCGCCTGTATCTCGGGTCCCAGGTAATGCTGGAGCAGAACGCCCTGTGTGAAATGCACAGGAACTACTCCTCCGCCGACCCTTTCGCCGAGGAAAAAGAGAACTTCCTGAGGTATCCACCTTTCTTGATGCCATTCGAGATACCTACCAAGCTCGAGCGCGAGGTGCCGGCATACACAGCTTTCTCGAAGCACTTTCCACCCGTCGGTAAGGCTGGACAGGGCACGTCAAGGCTCAACCCTCTCTCCACCCCCTTCACGACCTCCATCAAGCCTGGAATGGGGATGCCTGCGCACACATCTGCCCGATATCACTTTCCAGCCACCCGGCGAGCGGAGACGGTGCAAACGGTCACGTCCACTGGTGGTGAGACACCAAATGTTACGCCGTACTATCTTATCCCGATCAAACCTGCGCCTCAGCCAGCCCACACCTATCGGCCAGGTCATGCACTACCTTCATCATATCCGATCATCTCTGCGGCGCCACCACAAGCAGCTCCAACCAGCGATATGGCAACTAACATGAGCGACTTGTCCTTGAAGCGACAGAAGTTTGGAGCTAAGGGAGGCGTGGTAGACAAAGCTCATACGCGCAGAACAGCGAGTATGTCGCGCGATCTGAAATCGCTCAAGTTCTTGCTTACGGCTGCGGATGAGGTGGTGGAACGGCTCCGTGTAGGGATGGGTGAGATGGGTGAGATGGGTGAGATGGGCGAGATGGGCGAGATGGGCGAGATGGGTGAGATGGGTCAGGTGGGAGAGGGAGCAACATTGTCCCGCGGTGCGTCAACGTCACGCCTCCGCCACCAGACGGTCTTGCCATGCGTGCCTACAGTATCTGACTTCTCGTTAGCATTGCCCTTGCGCCCACCGGCGTGGTCGGGTATCCCAAAATACATCTCGTCCGTACCGTCGTGGGCTAAGCTCTCACTGACGAAGGAAGACGAGCTGTTTGAGCGTCGTCCATGAAGGAGGGATGAGCGGAAGGAGGAATAAGTGGGGGAGGGAGGATGACGGGAGGGGCAATGAGCGCATGAAGGATCGAGTGGAAGGGGTGTACAGGAACGGGGGGCTCGATTTTGGTTATGAAGACGTTGCAAAGCCTGCTAGGGCGGATGATTGGGCGGATACTGGTGCATGAAGACGAGGAACTCAACGCTGTTGTTGAGATGGCAAGCATAGCGAGACCTGCTGGGGCAGGTGACTGTTCGGGTACTGCACCTTGCTGGAACAAGGACGGCGTGTTATCATGACTGAAGATGGCTTTCAATTGGTGCTAGACACTGTAGCCACTTTGTACGCAGAAACAGAACAGATTCTGTGTTCGTGCCTTTTACACATGACACTTCATAGCTGATCAAGTGTTCTGAATGCCGCCCAACTTCTCTTGTGTTGTCCGTGATATGAGTGCTTGGTGAAGCCAGCTCGACCAAATCCTGTCCTCCACCTACAGTCTTCCTAGCCATTTACAACTCGAGGCAACACCATCGTCCTCCGATCACCGGCACCGTAATGCTCACTGCTGACCTTTACTCTCTCTCCTCTTCACCGACATGCCAATTCGCTTCGCTCCGACTGTTGCACCCTGCGCAGGCCAAGACAGGTTCCAAGCCACACGGTATGCTTCTTCCATGGCACCACACTCCTGGCTGGAAGATATATCCAAAGCGCTTGTGCGAAACCTCGCTACCGTCAATCATAGATATGGTCCTAACTCCACTGAAGAAATGCGGCTTTCACCCACCTGCACCGCTTCGCTCGGTCTCTGCTGACCGGTTCACTCTCCGTGACTCGCTGATCGTCGTCGTAATTACCGCTGGCCGTAGGGCACGGACTTCTGCTGGCAGTACAAGTAGTTTCCACCTTTCCGCCATCCTTTTCATCCGTTCCCTTATACTTACCTTGTTCTGAGGCGGGCGCTCAAGAATGCCTTGCCTCTGACGGAGACTCCTGCATTGCACTGCGCGGCGAGTCACTGCCACCAGTCTCTTTCGGGGGCCTGGAGAGCGCAATTTTTGATGGACATATTTTGCTTCGGCACCCTCTTTCATCAGTCGTCGGGCTTCGTGCCTGACATTGGAGAAGGTGATGCAGTTGTCGCCATCTGGTCGTGGTCACATGAGAGCGTGATACAGTGCACGCTGATAGGTATCACATTGCTTAAGCTCTTGCTTTGTGGCCCCATGCACTGCAGACCCTCGTGGCACTTCCAATTCTCGCGTCTGAATTGCGCTAGAGGTGGGACATCAATCGAGCCGCCGCCGACGAGGACTCTGGTAAAGGCCAGTAGTGATCGTTGGATGCCCCATCAAAGCCGCGGCTAGATGCTCGCGATCGAGTGACATGACTTGGAATTCGCAAACAAGATCATAGTCTTCTAGAATTCTGGCTGACAGCTTTAGACCAGAAATTCGTAGTTGGTGGGTCCATATCGCTTGCCTTCGCTCGAATGACGATGGTGAGGTAGCCTCCATACAAGTAGCCTGTGTTTCATGGCCACGCGTACAGTGCATTCAGCAGGAGGCGTCGGCGTGGTGCTTGGCCTGCTGGGACTAGACATCTGGACTTGAGTCAGCTCGCCCGCTTAGCCACGGTGATATACACTACCTCCTAATGAGACATCGGCGGCGACATATCTCTTGGCACAATTGGAGATGTATCATGGCATACACTAGACCTTTATACGTAGAGACGAGGTCACGTTGAACGTCTCTTCACCGACAGCCTAGGCTTCGGGCTCGTGGCAACAGCTTGGGAAGGAGCGAAAGATACAATTTGAAACGGATGCAAGCTGGTATATCGAATGATTTTGATTACTCCTTTATGCTAGGCCGCCCGTCTCGTAGGCCCCTTTGCGACCAGCGAAAGTCTTGCTGCGCTTCCCATGGTACTGCACCCAGGCGTAGCACAGTGCAAGCAATACACCTGCCAGGAAGATTTTCATGAGCCACGACAAGCCTTCCACAGACCCGTCACCACCCTCAGCAAGTACTTCACCAGCATGATCTTGCAACGATGACTTGTGTGTTTCGCCAATATTCTCCTTTGCTTCCGGCACATGCTTGTCCGCACCACTCATTGTCTCCTCATCGCTCAACACTCCCACGGCCTCGGCGGTCCCAGGTAAACCTAGAAACCTGTTAGCTTTTGCCCACACCCATCGCAAAGCCAGTACGCATGTTTCAGTACCTACGTACTGGTTATAGCTCAGCTCGAATACCTGTAGGACTGAGATTAGCTTGTGCCTTGATCGACAGGAAAGGAAAGGCTGTAACCAGAAGCACGCATCGCCAACAGGACACGTCCTCATGAACCACCGAAATGGTGTCTCTGGTCGGTCGGACTAGCCTGAGCATGTGTCTTCTCTATCGCAATACTTGCTTCTGGCTCCGACTATTCATAATTTCTTTTCACGTACCTTCGTCTGGAACCTCAAGCTCACCACTCTTCACAATCTTCACCGTCTTTGCTGGTTTATCGCCAGCTGCTTTCGGGAAGTTCTCGATCTTATCTATGAACTCGTAGCCTTCGAGCACTTCGCCGAAGACAACGTGGCGGCCGTCTAGCCACGAGGTAATGACAGTGGTGATGAAGAACTGAGAGCCGTTGGTATCCTTGCCAGAGTTGGCCATGCCTGTGTCCGCATCAGAGAGAATCTCACATCACATCCTCTCATCACACGTACTGAGCAGGCCCTTCTTGCTGTGCTTCAGCTTGAAGTTCTCGTCTGGGAACTTGGCACCGTATATGCTCTTTCCGCCAGTCCCATCGTGGTTGGTGAAGTCACCTCCCTGGATCATGAACTGCTTGATCACACGGTGGAAAGTAGAGCCCTCGTAACCGAAGCCCTTCTCGCCAGTAGCCAAGGCACGGAAGTTCTCAGCGGTCTGCCATGATGTCTCAGTAAAGGTCTTCGCTTCGAAGGAATGTGGATAATACATACCTTTGGCACAGTCTTGCCATAGAGACCCATGACTATACGACCGATATCCTCATCGCCATGCTGAATGTCGAAGTAGACCTTGTGGGTGATCTTGGGACCCTTCTGGGCGGACACATTCTGGGCGAAGAAGATGAAGGCGAAGGTGAGGATCAGCAGGGCGCTGATAGCGACTCGCTGGAAGTTGGCCATGTTGTCGAATGCTAGTGAGAGTGCAAAAGGCGCAATTGCAAAGGACAGGTTTGGCTAAATCGAATGGCTACAAGGGACATCGAGCTCCACCAATGCGGAAGTGATGTGGGATGACTTTTGCACGTGACGCAGATCGATAAATGCTTCGCGAATGCGGTTCAACTTCAATCCATCGGATAGTTCGAGAGCCTTTATTGCATTGCTGCTTGTCAGTCTTCATCATGGTATGACAGTCTCCGAGCGCTGCGCGATTGTAGCTAACACCATCAGGTCTTCATCTACGGCATCAACTTCCAAGAATCGCGCCTTGTCTCCCGAGCCCTCACCTCCTTCTATGGCATCGGCCCTAATGTCTGCAAAAACCTGATGGCCAAATTCTACATCCACAACACAGCCAAAGTCGGCGATCTAGGCGACAGACAGATAAATAGTCTAGCGGAGGAATTGAGCACAATGACACTGGAGAATGACCTGCGGCGGCAACTGGTAGACAACATCAAGCGATTACGAGACATGAGCAGTTATCGAGGGCGACGGCATGCCATGAGTCTACCAGTACGAGGACAGAACACGCGGACACAGGTGAGTCATGTGCTTCCGACGTTGAGGCCGCACACGAGTGAAGCTGACGTGTCATCCAGACTATGACGGCGAGGAAGCTCAACAAGGTCGAGCGGCGTGGTTGATGACTCCCATCTCTTCTCATCTATGCCTTTAGCGAGCATCGGACGGCGTACTCACGGATCGCGCATACCATGTACAAATACGAGCGCCATCAGACAGCATAGATGTGGCGTCAGGCGGAGTCACGTGCTCACGATGAGTAGCATAATATCCGCATTATAGATTGGCTAATGTTCGATCAGACGAAGCCGGCTCGCCATGTAACTATAGCAAAACGAATACAAAAAGCTGCTCAAGACAATATGGTATCATTCTGTTCATCCTGGGATGCTGCCTCCTGTCTATCCTGGCCAATGGAACCTCTTGGAAAACGCCATGCTGAAACGCTGATGACCGTCTATCCCGTGCTCTCATGACCCAGACCTCGCTATGCGTCAAGCAATAAGCACGCTGCTGCCTCCGGAGTATATGCCGTATCCAACCAACCAATTCCGGAAATCCCAATAAGCGCCATACGCCTTCTCAACGCCTCTCGCACGGCAAGTCAAAGTATTCCCATTGGTCCAGTCGTAAGCGGCGTGCGGCGCAAAAGCGAGCTTCATCCACACCGCCGCTGCTCTAGGACACCTATGTTCTAGATACCTACGAAGTGTTAGCACGTGGCTCTGACTACGCAACTATGTTCGATAATCTATAAGAGGCTCGACGTACCCGCATCTCGAGGCTGTGGTTTCCTGCCCACACGTCCAGGATCTCGCGGTTGAGGATCGCTTTGCTTACTGCGATAGCCTAAACCCGTTACACCATTCTTCCCATCGTCCCTTGGCTGAGGCCCACGATACAGCTGACGACCGTGGCCACCATCTCTTGGATGAGGCCCCTTGCGACCTTCCTCATCATCATCGCCAGTCAAAGTGGCCATACTAGCAGCCACCAGAAGGAGCGTACGACTTTGTCCGTCGTCTCGAGGTTGTACGGGGTTTGCTGGACGAGGACGATTTGGTGACCTGCCGTTCGCCGTACCCGGATCTCTTGGCTGAGGGTCTACGTTGGCTATCATGCAGTCTTGAGATGGTATGCAAGATGCAGCTTTGGTCATGACAGTGCTTGTGTGGTAGCGGCGCTTGTTGGTATGATTGGGTGGTGGTTATGTTGATCTGCTTGCCGAGAAAGATTGCAATGTCTTTTGAAGGATAGGTATTCGGTAGTAAACTCTGATATCGATTGTGATCTATGGTTTCAGAACTGTGCTGTGATAAATAGATTGTCGTCGTAGCGCACATCTTATGTATATTGGTTTGGAGGAGTGAGGACGCACCGCAGGCAACTATTGTCACCAGGTCGTAGGCACAGTCACGATGTGACTAGCGGCCTCAAATGCTACCTCGACATTGAGGCCGACCCATGTGGATAAAGGGCTACTAAAAGCGACCAGTGCCCTTGCCCAGGGAGACTTTTCTTGATCATGTTACTGTGATAGCCACCTTCTTGCCTTGATCTAAGATTCATACTCTTGCCCATGAGGTGTCAGATAGGGTGGCGAACACATTGAGGCTATGACCTGGAAGGCAAGAGGGAAGGATGAGACGCAGGGAAACAATGCCAGTAATGGCTAGATTAGGCAGGCCATTGGGTGGAACTTTGAGTGCGCCAGAAGGGTGAGTAGGCGACATTCGTCACGTCCGTTTGCAAGTGAGAAGCATCAGTGCTTCTGGACAACTATTGGTAGGCGTTTCTCATAACTTCTATGCCTTGGAGCCTGGCGCGGCCAAGAGGGTATATCTCAGGCAGCAGTCTGGTGAAGGACCTGGGGTCGCCGAGCGTTGGTGGTGCGATGACTCGGAGCTTGCTAGTGGACTAGCATACACTGCGCGAAAAGGCGTCAGTTGGAGGAAAGATATGATTCATCGAGGCGCAAGTAGAGCGTGACATGAGTGAGGTGAAATGCCTCTGGCCGGAAGGCCTCGGTGCCTCCTTTCACCGGCCACTAGCGTCGATCTCTCTTGCCCAATGACTTTCTTCGACTACATGCCGTATTGTGCCGGCCGCAATAACGAAATTCCTGCGGCGCCGTGATGTGCACCACACCACCACCACCACCGCGCTTCATGCAGGTACACTGCATCTGAGTGCAGCTCATGCAACATCATTCTATCAAGCCTTACAGCATAGGGGAAATGTAGCGTGTGTGTAGCAACAAGCAGCACCGAGGGCGCTGAATCTTCCTGCCCTTTTTCCCGTGCCAAGTCTTAAGGCATCCAGCTGAGAGGACTGCGGCTGTGAGCTGAAAGGTTGATAGGACTCATCGTTGTTGCATGCGAACCACGAGACAGTGCGTGATTTTCTCCGCCGAGACTGCCGGGTGTTCTTTGCGACCTTCCAGCTGCCAGATGCCTGGGCTGAGGCGGTGTCATCGACAGAGCTTCATGCAGCCCTGCCGTTTGACACGCCTTGCCTCTGCATCGCCGAAAGATCATCCGCATGGCCATACGGTCACGTTGCTTTGAGCCTCTCGTCACCGGCTCTACTAAAGACACCGGCCAACTAATGTTACCGCCTCTACGAACGACACCGGCTTTACTAATGACACCGGCCGGCCTGGCGCAGCTAGGTTGAGGCCGCGAACCCGCCAACCACCAAGGCGGCTTTGCTCTGCTCCACACCGATGACTACTTCGCGCATGTAGAGCCGGGCAAGGCAACACACAAGATCACAATTTCGATCTCGCTGAGCAACTGCCGAGTGACAGCCTGCACGTTGACACACGCTAGGCTGCGTGGCGGCTGTCAAACATCTTCTCGAAGGCTCGTATTCACTAGCGAAGATTGTGGCATGATTGGTACACAATATCAGACGTCTATACGACCGAACCTGCTGCCCAATGATGCCTAAGCTTCCTCATCGCCCTCGTCACTCTCAGGCGTATCCATCGCCTCGTCCTCGTCATCCTCATCTTCGTCCGCCGCATCAATCTCCTCCTCCTCGCCCTCTGGCGCAGCCAGTCCATAATCGTCCTGGAACGAATCAAGTGTTCGGACCTCAGGCTTGAACCCAGCCTCCTCAAACCTCTTCACCAAGCCCTCCTCCATGATCTGTGCACAAGTCACGGCCATATTGCAGGTCTCCGCCTGGAAAGCCGGGACCATATATTTCCTCATTGCTGCCATGATTTGCTCCGGCGTGACCGCACGAACCTTCGCAAGCTGACGATGACTCCAGTCCTTGTCTACGCCTCGCATGACCTGGTTGATGAAGCTCGTGTCTGCTGCTGCGGACATACTGGGCTGTTCGCTGGCCATGCCGAGCACGATCTCGCTGATTGCGCCCTCAAGTGCGAACCTGTCGAAGGGCAATGTGCCACTTGCATAGCCTTCGACTTGTTCCTTGCAGATCGTCCACGCCTTGTAAGAGTCTGGGGCGCGGTAGATGGTGAAAGTCATGAGGCCGGTGTCGATGGCGTAGCGCCAGTAGGTACCGTACGCAAGACCTGTGCCCCGTACGCTGACCCAGAGCGGACCTTCTACAGCATCCATATAGGCGGAGGCAACTCGCAAAGCTGGCAGGTCTGGGTGGTCCCAGGCGTCCGGTCCTTTCGTGGACAGCATAGCGAACGATGAGTCTGTTGCTGCCATGGGGACAATGAATGCGGTGTTGCTGGGTCGTTTGCCGATGTCGCTGAGATGCGCCTTGCGATCGTCAAGCGGCTGCAGAGGCTCGTTCATGTCGAAGCCCTTGGTAAGTACATCCCACGCCGAGACCGGGTTCTTCAGCTTCTCAACGTTGGCAGCCACGAAGACTCTGAAGTTCGCAGGCCGGTGAAGAGCTTTGCATAACTGAGTAAACTTTCGTACCATGCCTTCCTCATCATCCTTGAGCATCTTGCGAGTCCTCCGCAGGTATAGAGACTTCGCCAAGGTACTCTGCGCTCTCACTGCTGATCCACGTCCCTGCTGCAACATAAGCAGACATTGCGAAGCCATGCTGTCTGCACTGCGCTTCTCATCCGGTACATCAGCCAAGACTTTTGTTAGTGAGGCATACAGTCGTGCTGGATCATGGACAGCGTCAAACAACATCGTCCTCACCCACTCGATGATAATCTCGTAGCGGTCGACCTCGGCTTCCAGAAAGATGTAGAGCATATCGGAGTTGCCGGGTGCACGGCTCATCGAGTAGCTGACTGTCTCCCTCTCGAGGTCGAGCACCACGTCTTCGAACTCGATGCGTTTGGCTCCTCGCATAACAGGCGTTGTGAAGAAGTTCATGAGGTATAGTGTCAGCAAAGGCTTCAATTCTGTTGGGACCGTGCTTGTGCCGATGATGAGCTGGACGCGGACGAAGTTGGACGGAATGTGTTCGAAGTGTATGAATAACGGCGAGCCGTTGTCGTCTTTGTCGACGATGCTCTGAATATCATGGCTGAGCTTGCCCTGCTTCCGTGCAGCACCGGATCTCGCGGTCGTGGTGGATATGAAATGTATTGAGTCTGTGCTCGGGACCTTAAACTTCTCTAGCAGCGACTCGGGAATCGGTCGATCGTTCTCAGCCTGAGCATCTTTTAGCTGTTGAGCAAGCTTCTTCATGCCCTCCTCGCCAAGCTCTTCCTGCTGAGCCTTGACTCTGGCCTTTTCATACTTGGTCACCTTCTCAGAAAGCTCCTTTGACGGCACACCCAGAATAGAGACACGATTTGCGTCTACGAGCCATTTCTTGTGGAAGTCGAGCCATTGCTGCTCTGTCCACTTTGAGAGTATATCGAAGTCTTCAAGGTTTTCGACATTCTTCAAGTCACTACCTGTACGATCACCATACAGGTGATCCTCGATGACAATCTGAGAGAAGAAGTCGCCAGCATTCTCACACCTCGAAATGAGTTGTCGCTTCAGGCGGCTGATGCAGTCGTGCATGTACTCCATGTCTAGTGGCTTGCTTGCCACTTCCTTTAGCAGACTCACGAAACGCTGCTCCACTTCTTGCAGCCGATCTGTCTTGACCGAGGTCATGTAGAAAGTAATGGTCGAGTCGGTGCGGTCTTCAGTCGAACAGTAGACCATACTGCAAAGTTGTTCGCTCTCAACCAGAGTATTCTCCAGAACCGAGATCGATGAGCCGCAGAGATATTGAGAGAGAACAGCGATAGCGCTGCCACCGATAGTATCATTGTACGGCGGACCAAGATAGCCGATGACGAGTTCACCGGATGACTCGTCTTCTTCTGGGAATTTCACAGTCTTCACAATACTTTCTTGAATCGGTGGCGTCCGCTTTGAGTCAAACCATGGCCGCTTGAAGGGTGCATCGACGCTGGGTACATCTTCTAGGATGGTCTCCTCGAAAGCATCTACGATCTGGAGGAGCTCCTTGTGGTCGACCTCGCCAGTGATGACCAGTCGCATATTCTTCGGCTGATACATCTCCTTGTGATAATCTCTTATTCTGTCGGCAGTGAGTACTCTGAGTTGCTCCATCATGCCGCCGGTCTCGTATCGGAAGCCGATGTCTTCGGGATAGATGGTACGACGCAACGCAAGGTCGATCAGTTCTGGGCCTTGGTTCTGTGTCGCCTGCATTTCTGAATATACGACCCCAGCATTTTCGCCAGATCCGTTGATGTGGTGCACCTCAGTATAGCATCCTGCGTCATTCAAAGTGGGAACAATCAAATGATCCAGATAGACTGGCAGCATCTTTGAGAACGCCTCCCATCCTGCAGTGTCCAGTGTGTACGTCGTAGTCTCAACAGCAGTCCAAGCGTTGGTTGTTGAGTACATTCGTGTTGCAAGCTTGTCCAGAAGGCCTTTGTAATGGTAGGCTTTGGAGCCCATAAAGCAAAGGTGCTCGAGCGTGTGAGGGGACCCGCTGTCATCATGTATCTCGGTCGCCAGTGCGAAATAGCCATTAACCTTTGGACCTTTCTGATCGACGACAGCGACTCGCATGCCAGTCCTAGTGGACTCATACTGTGTGATGGTAATCGGCGCGTAGTCGAGTTTCAGCTCTTGGATTGTCTTGAAATGCGGTGATGAAGCCTCCGTGGTGGCCATGATCCGGAGGTACAATCACAAGTGAAGTGCTCGTCGAACAACTGATGAGAGTTCAGGCGAATGATTGCGTAGGAGACGTTGGATTTGTGTCTTCGATGCCTCAGGCGTCAATGGATTCTGGTAAGCGTACAAAGCAGATCGGAGCGTGGGAAAGAAAAGAAGACCAAGATATCGCCGTGCTCTAATAGTGTGTACAGGCATGCAGTGAAGAAAGCGATGTGTCAAAAATGATAGATCGTATACCGGGACTGTGGTCACGCTCGTGCTTTTGCTGGGGTGGTTTGGGAGACTCTGGCAGACATTGTCTTACCTAAGCCCAAAATGGCGCCCACCTTCACCAAGAAGCTGGAAACTTTTATATGATCAACGAGGATTCACTCACCAAGAACGTTTCTAGTACGTATCCCCAGTGTCGTCTTGGTGTTGTAACAGGTCAGTTTCCAGCAAGATGTATCTGCTTTTACGCGGAGTAACGTGGTTGGCTGACGCCGTACCAACGTTCTTGGTATACTGTATCTTCTCCACACAATAATGATCGGGAGAAAGCTCGAGCCGTGTTGCGTTTACGAGTGCGCCACTGAGGGCACGTAACAGGCAATGGCTGGCAAGATAGCTTTCTCACGGAGGTCAGCAACTGTACCTCTTCAACCCACCACTTTACTACATGTTTCCGTCCACCCGCCTGCTGCTGGTATAGCTTCTATTGATGATGTATGTTGCTGTGATTGATGAGATGATTGAAGACCATCGATGAAAGGCAAATGATGCTGCCCGTTTGCGACCACCCGAACGATAAGCGGTCTTTTCCAGACAAACGCCTACAATATGAGTGCCCTAAAAGACATTTTGGCTCCGGAGCCAACAGAGACCACTCTTGCCGTCCTGCCATCGTCGCAGCCCGATGTCACTATGGCCAACATGCCACCTCCGAAAGCATTGCCCAAACCGGACGAGACAAACGCGGACACGCCAAAGGAGGAAGTAGATGATGCGACAAGTGTTGGAAATGGCAATGGTACACGGCGCAATGCGAACGGCAGTGTGTCATCAGTGTATTCTGGCAACAAGGTGAAGCATTTGAAGAAAGAGGACGGCATACCGTTATGGCGGAAGGACATCCAATACGACTTTTTGCACCTGATCTTCTACGACCAGACGAAGTGCTTTACCAAGTACAGCGACGGCACCACAGGCTGGACTTTTGCCGAAACATACATCGATGCCATGGCCAAGAGTAGCAAATGTAGCAAGATACTGAAAGAGAAGCTGCTGCAGGACACGGAAGGTGCAATCGCAATGGCCATGGTGTGCCTCTTGGTCAACGTTGGACGTATGAACACCACATTAAATTGTAAGTATATCGAGCTATCTATGCTATCGTGACTGTATGACATGCCGCTGACCACTAACAGTCTTCCCCGAGATGCGTGCTCAATTACGCACATATCACAGTATACCAGCACTGCAAGCCAATCAGGATCCAAACGCCTACAAACAGCTTCAGGATGCTCCACGACTGAAGTCGATATTGAAAGGCGCCACCGAAGACGAGCCGCAACCCAGTACCATGGACGAGTTGCGCACAGCCAAGCGACCTCGAACGAACCCGGTCAATCTAATCTTCGTCATGAGCCAGTACGCTCCCAAAATTAGCGAAATGCATTTCAATCCACCTCGGGACTTCTTCGATCTGGTCATGCGCGGCAGTCTCAGCAGTGTCAGCCGAGCAAAGGCTTTCCTTTGGCTGATCTGGTGGTACCTTGAAAGCGACTACAGCCTTGAGGACAGCCAGCGGAACCCATTTGGGAAAGGCGAGTTTGGAGAAGGCGAAGAAGGCACCGATGTACTTCCGCTGAAGGTGCCGGCTCTGGAAAGCTTGACCGAAGAGCAGGCGGCACTTGAAAATATCGACACGGAAGATGAGCAGAGATTTGGTGAGACCAAGCGGAAGGAGCGAATCGCGATTCTGGCAAGCGAGCCTAGCCCGGCGATGACTGCACTCAAGCGTGCTCGTAAGGAGAAAGGCCTCACATCGGCGCGAGATACTACGCATGTCTCGGACGATGAGATGAGCGAACCTGGGTGGTATCGGAGGGACGCTGGTAAGTGCGGCCACCAGTCAGTATCATTCTGAAATAGCTAACAATCTCTTCCAGCCACATCGGCCGTTCGCCCTGCAGGCTCACAGTTCGAGACTGGCAGCGAATATACGAGGTCGCCATCGCCCGCAGCAAGTCGTGGCTTCCAAGCCGTGAACGCAAGCAAGCCACCTAGTGACATGCGCATCAATGACCTGCTTAACCACGAAGCGCCACCTGTAGAATCGCCCTCAGCTACAACCAAGAAGGGTCCTGGACGAGGCAACTGGCGACGCAGCAAGCATAAGCAGGAAACCGTGCCATTGGCAGTACGAGGCACGGAGAGCGCACATCATGTCCCATTGCTGCCCAACAACGTCCCACTGAGTTTCGTCAACGAAGCTCCGCTCTCATCAATACAGCCAGCCACTCCTGGGTCTGGAGGCTTTGGCGCATACAGCAACGGCATGTCACATATATCGCCACAGCAGAACGTTCCTTTCCATGCGACTGGACGCGATCATGTTCCAACACCATCCTACCAAGCTCAGAAGCGCAATCGTGGCGTTACGCAACACCAGTCTGCGCTCATGAGTCACCGCAAGGCGCAGATCGATTACATGCTTGATCGACGGTTACGCATTGAGCATGCTCGTGCACGGAAGGTTCGCGAAGCAGAAGGCGCGATCTTGCGAGCCTGGAAACGGATACGATACATGCCGGCTGAGTACGACAGCGAAGAAGAGATCATCCGTGTGCGTAAGCTGCGAGATCGCTCCGACAAGGACGATGACTGGCGCATGATGCGAGGCAAGGATGTTTCGGAAGCGCTCGAAGACATCGAGACTTTGCGCAGGCCAAAGGTGCTTCTGGCCGGCATGGCAACCGTACGGGAAGGCGAAGCCGGTCTCGACATGGGTGAGGAACCGAAAGCCATGGCGAAAACACTTCGTAAAGCTGGTAGACGGCTCGAGCGGTGGCAAGACAACTCTCTGCCCGGACAGGCCATGATACGGCGGCGACATCTGCAAGCGCAAGGGTCTTGGCAGCCGCCCCAACGGAGACCAGATCCGAGACGGCACTCCGGCGCGCATGAGCCCAACGGCCTGGATAACGGCCATGCACCTAAAAGGAGCATGCCAAAGCAACGGAGCAGTACAGGCCGGGCGAGCGAACACAGAGCTATGCCTAGTCAGGACATGGATGATCATAGGACCGGTGGATATGAGCCCGACGATGACGATAGAGTTGGCGAATTAGACGAGGAGGAAAGAGAGCTTCTTGGCGAAGTCGACGCAACTGACGAGGACGAAGACGAGGATGAGGAGATGGGGGAGGATTGAACGACTTGTCCACATCTCTGATCGCTGAACCTCTTTCTCAGCTCGACTGTATAGATTACTTGTACATTGCAACAGAGATATGACCCGAGAGCGTCGCGTTGTAAATGCTTTCGAACAAGTTCGAGGCCCCCGTGCTTGGATATCTATCAAGGCCCTTGTGAGTAGCTGACCTCTACTGTCCTCTTGATGATCAGGCCAGTACTATCGTCGCTGGAAACACTCCGCTCGTCCGCTCGTGGACTGACGATCGATGATTTGTGCACGGCTCCGTCTGGTCGGATCTTCATATGTCGCTGCGGCCACATTCGCGTTAGCAGACTGTACACCCAATTGCTGTCCTGAGAAGGTGTCATGGGATGCTTACCTCGCTATCATCCTTCGACTTCACGTGGCTGCTCTTCCTCGACTGCATAGCGTAACTTCCACCTGCGTACTGCTGTGAGTCTTGCTGCGTTTGCGCCAGGATCGTGTCTGGTGAGAAGGCTCCCAGGTTCGTGTTCAGTTTCATCATGAATGGCATCAAACAGGGTATTGTAGCCATGACCAGACTCCAGGAGAGCTCGATTTGACTCCAGATCACCGCGTCAACCCGGTCGAGGTTCGGATCTTGTGAGTTCACTAGGGAGGAGAGAGCGGCAAGGCGGTAGGCGGCGAATACTATCACTCTGTTGGTAATGATGGGTCAGTCGAGCTGCGCAGATGCTGAATTGGTGGTGAACATACGGTAGCCGTAGACCGAACACGACCAAGCCTTTCAATTTGCTATGCCACTTCCGCTGCACTTCGACGAATACTCTTGCCACGATGACGAAGATCGCGAGCTCGAGAACGCAGCCGCAGACCTCGACTGTCACCCATCGCTCGTACTAGAGTTCTGTGAGTAGCTTTATTCGCAAGAATACGGAGGGATGCTTACCAAGCTATCACACTGCCCACTCCACGGATGCGTGGGATTGCAGCCGAGTCCTATCATGACGCTCGATGCGACTATTAACACCAGACAGAATCCCAAGGTGGCTTTCGCAGCTATCAGGTGGAATCGCTCAGGGCTCAGGCGCAGTGCTAAGAGCACCATGGAGGATTTCGACAGCAGTAATGCCATGATATATGCAAGATCGCTGGCATAGACCAGCTTTGTACTGTCAGTCGCTGTTTTCTGCCTTATTGTGCGCCTCACGCACCTGTTCTAGGATGGTTATCCGATCATTGTTGAGTAGTACTTCGGACCTGCCGAGTCCTAGATGTGCTGCGACCAGTATAAGGCTGCTTTGCGCTGAGCTGATCGCCTGTGAGTGAGAAGTAAGTTTCTAACATTACTGTATGTCCAGGACCGTATTGCGTACTGTAGCCGTTAGGAGAACGATATCATCGCTCGAGAAGGCATTGCGGAAGGGGTATCGCATCCACAACCTGATTACAGCGAATAGCAGAATGAATGTCAGGCTGATGCTGCTGGCAATGACGGCCCATCCTCCACGATCAGTCGACGAAATGACATACTCCGGCGCAGAGTATCCAGATGGTAATGGAATTGGTGCAGACATGGCTAAGTCGGCAGGCTAGGCAGTGGTGGCAGCGGCTGGCTAAATGGGACTCGGAGTATGCAGCACAATCTGGACATACCGACAGGAAGTACCCTCCGACAGTCCAACGCCTCACGACTCCAGATGATCGAGGCACCGGGGACGAGAAGAGGCATTGCCAGCCACTTACTCTCAGACAAATTTGCTGCGTACAAATCGGATGCTGCTGTGCTATGCTCTGTCACAGCAAGTGTAACGATCTTTGCTCCCCAGCAGGTTCCGGGGCAGAGCAACATGGTGCGTCAAAGCTTCAGATGCAGCCCTTTATCACGTACATATGTTTGCTGCCGGTACCGACACAGTTCGAAGGTGCAGGGTGGACTCGAGGGTTTGTCGTCGATCAGAGGGTCTGCTTCCATAGAGCGCATTGGTGAGAACGCGAAGATGGACAGCGTTGCCTTTCTGTGTTTGCGACACACTCGCACGAAGGAGGTGCCGGAGAGAAGATGATTCGGCCGCTGCTTGCACCTCTCCCGGCCCGGCTACCTGGAGGCGAAGGGTGAGAGTCCCAGCCATCCGGAACGAGCTCTTGCATTACGAACTACACTCCTTGCTTCGTCCTAGATATTGGAAATCTCCTTTCGCGATAAGCCCTCGGCAGACTGGATTCCGGATTCTCATGTCGACCGCACGCCAGACCATGAGCATTTGGCGCGCTAGAGCGGACATTACGAGATGGTGTCACCAGACCGTCAGCCTGCGCGTTCCGTAGACGAGCGTTGCAGTTGAGATGGCACGACAGCGCTCGGTGGGGACGGAGACTGCTTGCTGCACACGGACGAAAGCATGTTGTGTTGCGCGCCTGCTGCGACACCCCGGCGGATCCACTGTTCAGAGACAACGCACTTCTGTCTCAGCCCATGTGTTGCCTTGGGCTGCTCACATCGCTAATGGACTACACACGGGCAGATGTGATGGTAAAAGGATCGACAATCCCTATCTTCTCCGGCACTGCCGCCCGAGATGTTAGCGGCCGCCAAGCGATGGCGTGGTGTTGCGTGGTTCACTGTGGACGTTTGCGCCGACCCCTTTGATCGACTGTCATATGCACCCCATAACTCAAGCACGTGTGGCGACCTCTTCGATCTCGCCCCTTCGGCTCTGCGGCTCATCCATCGATAGCAGCCCCAGCGATCATTTTGCACCTTACCTGCTTCGGCATGATGACAGTGGGCTGCATAAGTGGCACTATACAGGATAACACACCGAGACAATACAGTATGGTCGTCGACAGCACTATCCAGGAGGGGGACGCAGGGTTGACCTAACCATCGCGTGTCCCCGTATGTCGTGTAACAGAAGAATAGTCCCTCTGCTCTGCACCTTCTACGTGAGGTGTTCCTTCCGTTTGACTGCATGCTTTTGTCATAGTCCGCACTTTCCCTCTGCCACTATCTCATCCTACCTTATCGCAACTCCCCTCAGCTCTCAAGCTTGTCCTCTGCGCTGATCCAACACCATGCCTTCCGACATGAAGAGTCCCATCTCGCTGACGGCCGAAGACAAGGAAATGAACATGGCTGCCGCACATGTTCCCGAGCGATGGCGAGGAACTGAAGAAGACAGACTCCAGATGAAAGTGCTTGGCCGAGTGCAGGAGACGCGCCGCATGTTCACCTTCGTCTCAATGCTCGGCTTCGGCTCGACGCTCATGGTCACTTGGGAAGCCATCCTTGCCAACATGCTCGCCATCCTCACTAACGGCGGCACCGCTGGCTTGTTCTGGGGATTCGTCATTGTGGTGACTGGCTACATCTTCGTCTATCTCAGCTTGGCCGAGATGGCTTCGATGGTAAGACTCGTTGTATACGATATCCAACACGTCAGAGCTCAATTGACTTTCTCGGCAACAGGCACCGACATCTGGAGGCCAATACCACTGTGAGACGATCGACGACTTTGACGTTTGACGGTACGACACTGACACGAGCACAGGGGTCTCGGAATTCGCGCCTCCACGCGCACAAAGGTTCCTGTCTTACATAGTCGGCTGGTTGTGCTTCACGGGTTGGCAGAGTGCAATCACTGGCATCGGCTTCCTTGCTGGGACGATCATTCAGGGTCTCATCGTGCTTAACAATCCGGACTACGACTTCCAGCGTTGGCATGGAACACTTCTCACCATCGCCGTGGTGGCTTTCTGCGTCTTGCTCAATACCGTGGTCGCGAGGAAACTGCCACTGATCGAAGGCGCTCTAGCCGTGCTTCATTTCGCAGGCCTGTTCGTGGTCATCATCATCCTCTGGACCTTGGCTCCCAAAAATAACGCTCACGATGCGTTCCTGGTGTTCTCGAATAACGGAGGCTGGTCATCAGATGCGGCCTCCATGCTGATCGGGTTGTATCCATTGACGCTATGCCTGCTGGGTTTCGATAGTCAAGTCCATATGTGTAAGTTGCAATGAAGAAGCGATCGCATAAACAACACTGACCCTTTCATAAGCCGAGGAGATCGAATCTGCCTCTCGTGGTCTACCCCGTTCGATCATGTGGAGTACATACGCCAATGCTACTCTGGGCTTCATCATGGTCATCACACTGATCTTTACCTGGGGCGACATGAGCGAGATCATTCAAACTCCGACAGGATTTCCATTCCTTGCAATGTTTTACAACACTACCAACAGCCTAGCAGCTACCAACGTGCTCTCGCTCCTCATCATCTTGCCCTTGATTGGCAGTGTGACAGCTTGCGTGGCGACCGCTTCCCGCCAGATCTGGGCTTTCTCGCGCGATAATGGTGTGCCCTGGTCGAGCTTCATTCGCCATGTAAGCAGACAGAAACCATAGAGGAGCAAAGTAAGATAACGCTGACACAACCTCACGCAGGTATATCCAAAGTGGAACATCCCGCTCAACGCCGTCCTCATCTCATTGGTCGTCTGCGTGCTTCTGTCGCTCATCAATATCGGTTCGACCGCAGCCCTCAATGCCATCCTCGCACTCGACCTTGCAAGTCTGCTCGCGTCATACAGTATCTGCATCGGCTGTCTTGCACTGAAGCGCATCAGAGGTGAAGAACTACCTCCTAGGCAATGGACACTCGGTAGATGGGGTAAGCAATACTTTAATACGTTCTATGCTTCTTTACTGACGAATCCATGCAGGCCTCACCGTCAACATCCTGGCCCTCCTGTGGCTTCTGCCAATCTTTGTGCTCACGCTCTTCCCGTCCGTCACCCCGGTCACTCCCGCCACCATGAACTGGGCCGTCCTGCTGTTCGTCTTCGTCGTTGTGTTCGCCATCGGGTACTACATGATCATAGGAAGGCATGTATACATCTCACCCAAGGAGCGTCTACGCAGAGACATCCAAATGGATGACACCAAGTGATCATCGAGCTTGATGTGGTCTAAGGAGTTTTCAGAAGGTGGAGGATCTGTACCATATCGCACTTCAAGGTAGATGTCAATATATACTGTACTACTTGCGTTGAGCTCGACTTTTAAATTCCTCCTAGGCTGGCGTGCTCCCCTACAGTAGTGAGCGAAAGCTCTTATCTTGACGATCCAAGCCCAGAAACTCCATGACCTGTCCGAGATGGTCGAACCCCTGGTTAATGATTATCGTCAGCATAAGAGTGGCGACAGCGAACCCAGCACGACAGCAAGGAGAGACATCCACTCACCCAAAACCCTTCCTTCCCTCCCTCCGAATTCGTACAAACAAACCACGGCAGCCCAAACGCCCCCGCCTCAAACGCCGCCTCCGTATTCCCCTTCAACCCCTCTTTCGCCTCCTTCCCCCCCGCCAACCTCACCAATTCCGCTCCCTCCTCCGCCCCCAAAGCATCCTCCAACGCTTCCCCCCAAACCCCAACATCCTTGATCGTCTTCCCCTCGACCCAGAAAGCCTTCCACAGAGCATCTAGACACCGATCCAATTTCTCCTGGTCGTGCTGCACATTCCAGATCGCGCGCATAGGGTTGAGTGTTGATTGGGGGAAAGGGGAGGGTCCGGATTCAGAGATGGGGATGTTGAATTTGTGGGCCCAGCGGAGGCGTTCGGTTCCTATCCAGCGGTCTTTGTTTTTGATGTTTATGGGGGCCGTGTTGGCGCAGGCTTGCATGAGGCCGCCGAGGAAGATGGGGATGGTTTGGATTTCGACGGATTTGAAGGCCGGGTTGTTCTGGCGAGCAGGAGTTAGCGTCGTGTGCTTTCCTTATTGGTCTTGAGGGTGTAGAGGGTGAGAAGTGGCCGGAGAGCTGATGACAGATGTGTTGGGGCGAATGCCAGCACCGAGGACTTTTTTTTTCGCCACCCAGTTCGCCCTTTCGGAACCTGAAGCAACGGCACTGAAATTGTTGATGGGTCGAGCACTATGGACCCGAAGAGTTCCAGGTCTAAATTTTTTTGGAAAGAGTCGAAGGAGTTGAGAGAAGGAGGCAAGAAACATACCTTCAACATCCACCAAGCCATATAAGCAAACGGACTGACAATATCCACATACAGCACAATCTTCGGTCGTGCCATTGCAGCGTCGAATGTGTTTCAAGTTCCGGTTGATGCGATGCGTTGGCGGGCTTATGTACCTTATGTACAGGTACTGCACGGAGACAATCCCAAAGCCTGGGGAGAAAGAGGCGAGTAGTCGTTTTCCCGGTGAGACAGTAGTGTGTCTGACATCAGACGGAGGTGGAGGAGGTGGTTGCACCAACTGAGTTTTGTTTGGTTGGATGCCGAGGTACGAGATAAAGTCAAAAACAGCCGTTGGGATGTACGAAAGTTACACAGAACAGCATAAGAGCGCACATTGTCTGTTCCTGGATGAATGTGTGTTCAAGGCTGCGTATGCACATTGAATGTACACAGTAGGTAGTAGAGGAACAAGCTATACGTACAGCACCCGCGCCATCAGCCAGCCTTACACCTTTCCCTTGCCCTTGACGGCAGCCCCCTTCCGCCTCTCCCAAACCATAACAAAACTCTCCCTCGTCCCCAACAACTCCTCCTCCACGCGCCGGACGAACAAATCCTGCATCTCCCACCACTGCCTCCCCTCCCCCCCACTCCCCTTCCCCTTCCCCGTCCCCATCCCATCCCCTACGCCTCCCTCCCTCACCTGCACCTTCCACACCCGCTTCTCAGCCTCCCCCTCCACGCTATCATCCCTCACCTTCACGCCCTCATAGGTAATATTCGCCACCAGCTCATATATGATAGGCTCACCGCCTGGGTGGTGTGACGGGTCCGGCTGGACAAAAGGCGATAGATCCAACGCCCGGGGGTTGAACGTCACGATCGTCGGATTCCGTTGAGCCTGCGCGAGGAATTTGTTGGCTTGGAAACGCTTGATGTGCATGATTAGGTACGGGGGGAGGGGGTGGAGGAGGCGGTAGCGGAGTCTCTTGTCTAGTTTTTCTTGCGTCGTGGTGCCGTTGTATTTCTGTAGGATGGTGGTGAGGGGGATTTGGGGGATGATATTTTTCTCCGTGTCGTCTTGGAAGAGTGGGGCGGGGGGGAGGTCGAGGGTGAGGATTGTGTAGGGGGTTGTTTGGGTCTTGATTGAGCTGGTGTTGTCGTCGAAGCGCATTTGGCCGGAAGCTGAGGTGCCGGATGCTGTGATGGGTTGGGATTCCAGGCGCAGGGTGCCCTGGAAGATTTTCTGGATGAGGGAGGAGTGGGGTTTGGTTTTGTGGCCGCCGAGGGTGAGGTGCAGGTTGTTGAGGAACCAGCTGAGGAAGTCGACGGGGTCGCCTTGGGAGGTGAGGGTGAATTTCTTGTTACTCCGTAAGCTGATCTCTTGCAGGAGTTCGTGGGGGCTGACGTGGTTTTTGAAGGCTTGCGGGTTCCAGAGTTTGCGGATCAGGGTGCTGAGGCGTTGGGGGAGTTGGGGTGCGGTGGAGAGGTCTTCGCGCATGAAGAAGTTGCGGAGGGGCGGGATGTGGGCGAGTGCTTGCACGACGACGTTGAAGTAGTCGTTTGCTTTGATGTTGTTCAGGCCGACGAATCCGGGGGTGTATTTCCGTCCCAGCAGGTCCCAGCTGGGCTCTTTCCGCCTGTCCAACGACTTGACTTCTTCCGCGGAGAATGTCGGGTCGACGACGAACTTGATGTCGTCCAGGCTCTGGCTCTGCACCTCGTAACTCTCCGGCAGCACGTACACCTTCTTCGTCTCCATATTCACGTAGACATGGTGTCCCACTTCCAGCGCATGAAAGTAGGCTGGGGTCTTGGCTCCCCGACCAGCGAAGTATTTGCCGCATACTAAGCAAGCGTAGACGTTGATGTTGGAGAGGGTGACGGAACAGAGCTTTTCAAAGTCAAAGTCCATATTCTTGCGCGAGATGGTGTCGAGGTAGAGATCCGAGTAGCGCGCATCGGGTCCTGCGTTGCGTGCTCGTTTGGCTGGCCGAGTCTCATCTTCATCTTTCTCGTCATCATCATCATCATCATCATCTACCTCCTCGACCATACTATGATGTCCGTTTTCGTGCCCGTTGGTCGCGACTCGCACTTCTTCTGCTGGTGCTGGAGGGGGAGGAGGCAGGTCTTTGTCCGCCATATCTTGTATTCTTGCCTTCTTCGACGCCGGCGATCCCGATGACACGTCCAATGCCTCTTCTGCTGCTCGTTTCGCCATGATGACAGCGATTATAATAGTTGAATGGCTTGAATACTACAGTCTACAGAGCTACAGGTGCGAGACGCGAGTCATGTTGCTCACAACCGTCGCAAATACTATAATACTGTAATGAGCCTCATTCGTCATCGTGCATTTTTGACAGATTCGCACTTGCCGCCAGCCGCCTTCGTCACCAGCGAGACTCGGAAGCGTGAGCTGATCTGATCTGATCTGATCTGATCTGATCTACTTCTCTACCACCACACATGACAATAATCACCCACTTCCTGCAGCCAACATGCCCCTCACCAAACACAACCCCAGCAACTCCCACAGCGCCCGATCCTCCCCCAGCCGCAACTCCGCCTCCGGCTCCGGCTTCCACCCCTTCGGCGGCCGCGTGAGCCGACGCTTCGGCGACCAGCTCTCCCCCGACGACGCCTACCTCTCCTACTACGACGTCCGCCTGACGCGCGAAGACGTCGACATGATCCGCACCGACTGGCTGACCGACAACGGCATCGCCTTCTGGGAGGAATACCTCGAGCGGGAGAAACTCGGCGACTACCCCAAAGCCAACATCGTGCTGCTGCGGCCCAGTATGGCCTTCATGCTGCTCCAGACCCAAGACCCACTCTCGCTCAAGTCCGCCCTGCCGGATTTCGGCAAGACCACGCATGTTTTCCTGCCGGTGAACGATTGTCGGAGGGCGGATATAGCGGAGGGAGGCAGCCATTGGTCGCTTTTACTCGTCAGCACGATCGATGGGGTGGCTTTCCACTACGATAGCATGCACGGCCACAACATCCAAGAAGCCAAGCTCGTCGCCTACCGCATCTCGCAATTACTGGGGAAACCACTCAAATTCATCCACCTTGAAGACACGCCGCAGCAGGAAAACGGGATGGATTGCGGCGTCTATGTCTGCTTACTCATGCAACATCTCCTCATCTCACGATTACTCAGAGCGCACGCGCAGGATAAGGTTAGTATGAGTATGCGGGGTAAAGAGGTCGATGCGAGGGGGGGAAGGAGGGAAATGTTGAGGATTATTGAGGCGAGGAGGGCGGAGGGGGAGAGGAGGCGGAGTCGGAGTCATAGTCCTTTTGTCGGTGGTGGTGGTGATCATAAGAGTCGGAGTCCGCCGAGGATTGGGGAGGAGCAGAGTCCGATGCCTGAGAAGGAGGCGTGAAGGGGGGGGGGGCCCTTGCGGTGATGGGTTGGTTTTTAGCGTGGGCGTTGTTATGGGATGATGGGATGATGGCTGGTTTTGACGAATGGGATGCCGGTTTCACAGCGCATGGTGTGTTGAGGGCCTTTGCTTTCGTAATCGAGCGAGCATGGCTCGGGATGAATTCTGTCAGAGATACGCTTCGGCATGATGACGAGGATTCGCATGCTTCTTTCATGTGCTCCCGGGTTAGCATTGTGGTCGAAGCGGTTTCACACTGAGGTCGATTGAGGGGAGAGAACCGGTGAAATGTGCAAGCATTCTTCCTGGTCAGTACACAAGTAAGTGAGTGAATGAGTGAATGGACCCACTCCTCGTTGACGTCCCGCCTTGTTCACGTGAAATCATGCATTTCCTCTGGTGCGTTACTTATTCACCATCTTGCCTGCGAACTCGCCACAATCCCTTCAATCCATTTTCACTTGACCTATCGACCGGACATATACCATACAAAGGAAACAAAACAATACATCTACACGACCCAGAGACAAGCTCTCTCCGTAGCCCGCCTCCTCCCAGGGCCGCCACTTCACTATCGAACATGAAAGACCGAACAGTCAACAGTAAGCAAAGGCATTCTCTTCCTCAATTCCGATATCTACCCCGCGGCCACTGCTTTTGGCAAGGAAGGCACTAAGATGGCTATGGCTATCCGAGTCAAGAAGCCGCGGGAGAAAGGAGGGTAGGTGGTATTCGGTCTTGGAGTCGTTGTTCGAGAAAGTCGGGGGGGAGCGAGGGAGTGGAGATGCCTGTGAAGATCAGAGGGGGGGGGGGTTTTGATGGAGTTGGTAATTTTAGGGAGAATGGCGCGAGCGTTGAGAGTGCTGGGGATGGTAGTGGGAGGGAGAGGGAGGTGGTAGCGAGGGAATGGATGAGGATCGATCTTGCGATGGGCGGGATCCTGTGGTAGCGGGCGAAGAGGGGACTCGGAAAGGGCTGGCAGCAGTCGACTCGGTCGCTGAACAAAGGCATCTGGATGTGTGGCGTACCGAGGGGTCATGCTGAGCACCAAGACTGGTTGACCGTGGCATGAGGTTGAGTCTTGCGGACTCGATTCAGCCCCTGGAGGGGATGGGCTGTGGTTGAAGTCTAAGCTGCTGCCAGGTTGGTAACGCACCGTCTCCAGGCATTCAACTCACGATTCGACTCGACGCTATCTCACTCCTTCTCGGAGCCAAGCGTCACCTGTGACCGTTACTTCCTTTTTCGATTATTCCCATCGAGCAGACCAACGAGAGCCGTGCAAAGGCCCGACAGCATGAAATGCCGTCCATTGACTTACAGCTCTATCTCACTCATACACTGTACGACGATATCCGAGCACACACACCCATCACAGTCGATGCGTAAGCCGAGTCGATCCCCCTCCTCAATCAAACCCAGCGAAATCCTCCTTCTCCGCACCAGCCTCCACCCCATTCGTTTTCACACCCTCCCCTCCCAGCCCATCCACCTCACCCGCAGGTGCCGAGACTTTCCTAGGCACCTCAAACAACACCAACGCATTCTTCCCCTCGTGCATCCGACTCCACCTCCCCAATCTATGTTCCTTGCCCACGGCCGCGGCAACCAGTACACCCTCCTTGGCCCTCTCGCCCCGATCGATAATCGCTAAATCCGAGATCACGCCGACAATCGGTTTCTTGCCCGCTGGCAACTGTGCCTGCGACTGCGGCTGCGACAGTATCTGGCTCTCAAGCAAAATAGCCTGCTGCATTTCCTGCGACAGCTGCGCGCCAGGCGACTCCGCCGTGGTGGGTGTATTCGGCACGGTAGGGACATCCTGCTCATTATTGTCACTGTGCCTACCCAGCGGACCCAGAGCTTCGATCCGCCGTTTATCCTCCGTTATTTGCCACGCGCGAACCACGCCGTCCCAGCTCCCGGTGACCAAGACATTACTAAACGGTATGGCTCGTAAGGCCGTGATCCATCGCGGTTGGGGTTCGCCTTGGACTTGACTGGCGTCTGGATTCTCTTCCGCGGAGAGGAGAGTGGCGGACAAGGGTGGGTCGAGGCCGTGCGCGAGCGGGTAGGTGAAGACGGCTTTTTTCTTGTGGATGCTCCAGAGGGAGAGGGAGCCATTGTCTGAGCCTGTGACGAAGGTGTCGTCGTCGAGACAGGCGACGCGGTCCATGGAGCCTTCGTTGTAAGCTTTGTTCTCAGCGGACTCGATGCCGTTGGGTTGTGCTGCGTTGGCCGAGCGATCATGCTTGTTTCGTCCCCCCGGTGCACCACCGCCGCGGAAAACGAGTTGGGATTCCTCGACTACTTTCCAATGTCGCGCCGTGCGATCCCGGGCGCCGACGGTCACGCATTTCTCCTGTGCCAGGGCGCTGACGTCGACGACTTCGTCTTGGTGGCCGAAGAGGGTCTCGACATAGGCGAGTTCGTCGAGCGACCAGATCTTGACGGTGCGGTCGCGACTGGCGCTGAAGAGTTGGTTGGTGCCGCGGCGGAAGGCTAGGCTTGTGACGGCGTCGCGGTGTTGGGTGAAGGCTTTGAGGGGCTTGAGGGTCGCTGCGTCCCATATTAATAGCCTTTTGTCCATCCCACCGGTCGCAACGAACTTTCCATCATCTGACGCCGCGATGCACAAGATGGCATTGCTGTGGTGGAGGAAGTCCCGATCGTTCTTTCCTTTCCTGTTGCCTCGCGTGTACTTCACCCTCTTCGGCTTGCTCCGCTGTCGTCCGATTTGCTTTCCATTAACAGCAGGCATCTGGTGATCAGGCAGCTCCCACTTGCTAATCGCCATGTCCTTGTCCACTGTGTAGATATACCGACCCTGCATGGCGACGCTCGTCATGCTATTGCCATCCGTCCTAGCCACCTTCTGCTCAGCCCGACCCCAATCCAGATCGTTCGCCATCCACCTATACAACTTTCCTTTACTCTCTGCCGTATCCTCCTTCAATCGATCTCCCATGCGCTGTGCCAGATTCTCCCTGTCCACATCCGCCGCATCGAAGCCAGCATCGTCGAGCACTTCTCGTTGTGTGTTTAGTAGATACTGCTCGGCCAGTCGTATCCGCTTGGCCGCCGGATCTTCATTCTGGTACTGCTCATCCTCATCCTCATCCTCGGAGGCCTCGAAGAATCCATCGTTGCGTTCTCGTCCCGCCTCATCATCTGAGCCTTCGCTGCCTGAGATGGACTCATCCCGCTCTTCCCTCCGCTTGGGAGGTGCTGTACTCTTCCCAGCATGCTTCTCCGCCACCTGCGACCGCTTCCGCTTCCTCTGCGACGCCGGCAGAGTGAAAAAGGACGACATGGACGGCGATGTCTTCTATCTCGTGATCTGCCATTAACTTTTCGTGAAGCTTTCGAAATTCTAGCCTGCATAAATCTATGCACAGATCAAGCACAATTTCAGCCACAATTGACGTCAAAGTGCAGATCGAAGGTCAGGTAAGCTTCGACCAAGTAGTAGTGTGGATGGGTAAAGTTGCATGTGAAGGCAAAGCAGATGACAGAGTCGTCGTGTCGTGTCGTGCAAGCTGCTCGCCGCCATGTCAATCTTCTACAGCTTCTTCGCCGACCACGACGATGGGCCCGACGATGATGATTTGGGAAGAGTGTACGGGACGGGCAACCCGCGCGACACCACCATCCAGATCATCATCTCCCTCGCCTTCGGCATAGCGGCTTTCCTGGCCTTCTGCTTCCTGCGCACGAGATGGCCCGGCTTGTATGCGGCGAGGAAGAAGCACAAGAACGAGGCGACCACCTTGCCTGAGCTTCCCGACACCTTCTTCGGATGGATGGTGCCGCTATGGAGGATCACAGAGCAGCAGGTCTTGGCTTCGGCAGGTCTGGATGCCTATGTCTTCCTGTCCTTCTTCAAGATGGCCATCAAGTTCCTGGCTGTCACTCTGTTCTTCTCCCTGGTCGTCATCAAGCCTGTGCATGATACCTATCCGGACGAGAAGCTACCCAATGGCACGGATTATCGAAGTAACCACACGCATCACAATCAGAGTGCCATGTTCCATCTGCGGAGGTCAATCAATCTGCTAGAGAACAAGCACAGCAATCATACCCGAAGCTCGTGGGAGGACCTCGAGACGGACTACCTGTGGATGTACGTCGTCTTCGCCTACCTCTTCTCCGCCATTGCCATCTGGCTGGTCATATCCGAGACGAGGCGAATCATCGAGATCAGACAAGAGTACCTGGGCACACAGACAACCGTCACTGATCGGACGATGAGGCTGTCCGGTATCCCACCCGACTTGCAAGACGAGGAGAAGCTGGAGGACTTTATTGAGTCCCTGGATATTGGTAAGGTGGAGAGCGTGACCCTATGTCGGCAGTGGAAAGAGCTTGACCGTGCCATGGACGAGCGTATGAACACTTTACGAAGGCTGGAAGAAGCATATACAATACACTTTGGTGTGCGCACGATAGAGAGAAATCTCGAAACACTACCAATAGTCCAGCCGCCACCACCACCGGGGCCGACCATCTCATCAGTACCGGACGAAGACGACGAGGAGAGCGCGAACCTGCTCGGTGCGAACGGACAACCTCACATCGCACCATACGACCGTGTCCGACCTACGACGACCATCCGCTTCGGACGCTTCAAACTCCACAGCAAGCGCGTAGACGCAATAGACTACTACACCGAACAGCTCCGCCAGATAGACGACCGCGTGCGCCGCCTCCGCGGAAAAGAGTTCGCCCCCACCGCCCTCGCCTTCGTAACAATGGACTCGGTCGCAGCCTGCCAAATGGCCATCCAAGCCGTCCTGGACCCCTCCCCGCTCCAACTAATCGCCAACCAAAGCCCTTCGCCCTCCGACCTAATCTGGCCCAACACCTATCTCTCCCGCCGCTCCCGCATGATCTGCCAATGGTCCATCACGATCCTCATCGTCTTCCTCACCATCTTCTGGACCGCCATCTTCGTCCCCATCGCCGGACTTCTAGGCGTCGACACAATCGGTCGCATCTTCCCGCAAGTCGGCGAGTTCCTCAACGCGCACGAGAATATCCGCTCCCTCGTCAATACTCAGCTCCCCACCCTCTTCGCCACGATCTTGACGGTCATCGTGCCGTATCTGTACTACTACCTCTCCTGGTACCAAGGCATGATCGCCCAAGGCGACATCGAGCTCTCCGCCATCTCCAAGAACTTCTTCTACACCTTCTTCAACTTCTTCGTCATCTTCACCATCCTGGGAACAGCGTCGAATTTCTACAAGTTCTTCAAGCAGTTTGATGATTTGACCAGGGATTTGAGGAAGATTGCCTACACGCTTGCCGAGTCGCTGCAGAAATTGCTGAATTTCTATGTCAATTTCATTATCTTGCAAGGTGTCGGGCTCTTTCCGTTCCGTCTGCTGGAGATTGGCAGTGTGATTATGTACCCCATCTTCCTCATGGGCGCCAAGACACCACGAGGTAAATATCCCCCTCCTTCACCTCCTCCCACCACAAATCCTTGGACCACACCGCTAACAAATCCATCTAGACTACGCCGAACTCGTCCAACCCCCAATGTTCAGCTACGGCTTCTACCTCCCCACCTCCCTCCTCATCTTCATAATCTGCACCGTCTACTCCGTCCTCCGCTCCTCCTGGATGATCCTCTTAGCGGGCCTCCTCTACTTCCTCCTCGGCCACTTCGTCTACAAGTACCAGCTCCTCTACGCCATGGACCACCAGCAACAATCCACCGGTCGGGCCTGGGGAATGATTTGCGACCGCATCTTCGTCGGCCTCGTCTTCTTCCAGCTCACGACTGCGGGACAATTAATCCTCAAAAACGAAGTCGGGAGGAGTTTGGCCCTGGTTCCGCTGGTCGTGGCCACGATTTGGATTTCGGTCGTCTACGGACGGACGTACAAACCTTTGATGAAGTTCATCGCGTTGAGGAGTGTGGAGAGGGGACAACGATACAGACATAACATCACCTCTTCCCCGCCCCTGCAGGAGACGGACGGGAGCACGGTGGGCAGTAATAATAATGAGTTTGTGCTTGACCGCAACGTCTGGGCCGATGCGGATGGGGCGGCGGGGAGGTCGAGGAGGGAGGCGAGGAAGAGGTTTGGACCGGGTGCTGCGGCTGATGAAGCCGATGAGCATGGGTTGAGATATGTGAATCCGAGTTTGGTGGCGCCGTTGGAGGGGGTGTGGATTAAGGATCCGAGTCTTTTGCTGGAGCAAGAGGAGGGGGTGGATGGGAATGGAGATGCAAATGGGACGGCTGAGGAGAGTGTTTGATTTTCATCTTTTCGGTTTCGATGCGATGGGTGTATAGTTCTTGCATGACGATACCCTAGCTTGCGAGCGTTTTGTGCATAGCGTGGGGAAAAGTACTAGCATAGCATAACGTAAGGAAGTATTGACAAGAGGTTCTGCTGGCCATCTGAGGCGGTTCCTGCGGTACGATCTAGATATGGGTGGGCACTATTGTGCTGATGCACCAAGTCCTCCAGCAGACTCATACCTGCGCTTGCTTCGAAACCCCTCGTGCCCGCGATGTGTCACACGTGCCAATCGAGCTAGCTCACGCCTGCATATCACAGAAGCCGCTGATCTGGAGCAGATGGCACAGAGAGCAAAGATATCAAGGACTTGTACCTGGACAGTGGGCTCATGGGGCTGTGAGAGAGGGAGGACGTTGAAGGTTACGGAAATAAGGCCTGGCATCTTTGTACATACAAACTTTGACCTGGAGTGGATCTGACGTCGCCGCTCATTATACCCCGCCATATGAACAAAGCAGAGCACACGATTAACATCGGACGGCAGGAAATCTAGACCCCAATGGCGCGAGGCAAGTAGAAATAAATGTGAGGTAAGGACTCCATCAACCACCATTTCGTCCCATTGTTACCTCCCGCATCTCTTACGCCGCACCTGCCAGCACGAATCCACAAAACACGGCACCATCACCCCATTACACACACTTGCTCTCCCCTAACGGTCACCCGTCAAAATGGGCGCCGAAGAGATCCCTAAGAAGATGAAGGCCGTCCAGGTCGTCGAATACAAAAAACCCTACGAGATCCGCGAAGTCGACGTCCCCTCGGATCTAGGTCCGCACGACCTCCTGGTGAAAGTCGCCGTCGCGTCAAACTGCCACACGGATTCCATGGTCCAACAAGGCGTCTTCGGTACACCACTCCCGCAGACAGGCTCGCATGAAGGCTCCGGGACCGTCGTAGCGGTCGGTGGGGAAGGGGCGGAGAAGCTCGGCTTCAAGGTCGGCGATAGAGTCATGGTTGGGATCCCACTTCATCCTTGTGGCAGTTGTGGCGATTGTAAGGGGCCGGAGGACCAGAGCCAGTATTGTACGAATGTCGAGGGGATGGTGGGCGTGCATATCAATGGATGCTTTGCGGATTATGTCAAAGCCGACAGTCGGACGACTACCCCGTTGCCGAACGAGGTTAGTTTCCTGTCAGCGGCGCCTTTGGCTTGTGCTGGGAGGACGGTGTGGAGGGCTGTTTTGCAGGCGGAGCTGAAGAAGGGCCAGTGGCTTGCTATTGTTGGGTCAGGTGGTGGGTTGGGACATCTGGGTGTGCAGTTTGCGAAGGCGCAGGGGTTGAATGTAATTGGGATTGATGCGAGGGATGAGGGCTTGGCGCTTAGTAAGAAGCACGGCGCCGACCACGTCGTGGATGCGAGAAAGGGCAAGGAGGAGGCGGCGAAAGCGATACAGGATATCACTGGTGGCGAGGGCGCGTACGCCACGGTCAATCTCTCGGATGCTCCGACGGCTGCGGCCCTCGCATGCGCAGTGACAAGAATGCACGGTACGGTCATCCAGATTGCTCAGCCGGATGAGATCAGCGTGCCTTTTCCTGAAATCATCTTCCGGGATATCAGAATCAAGGGCAGCCTGATCTGCTCGAATGAGGAGAGCAAGTCGATGATGAAAGCCATTGCTGAGCATGGTGTAACTGCGAAGACGGTGCCGTTTAAGGGTCTCGATAAGATCTTCGACTTGGTGGAGGAGGTGCATGGCGGTAAGATCTCTGGTAAGGCGGTCATCATTGTGGATGAGAAGCAGATCGAGGACGAAAAGAAGTTGGGTGCGAAGTTCTAGAGAAGCTTAGCTCGGAGAGTGTCCAGATCAACTTGGTGGTCGTGAAGCATGTCCATGACGGAGAGAGCAAAAGCCCGCAGTGGAGATTTTGGCATATCATGCCTGGTATGTCTGCTGTTTGTACATATGTCGATCAGAACGCCATGCTTCAACCTTTACCCGTGCCACGCAAGTACATCCCCAAGACTCCATCAGAATGCTGAGTACTCTCAAAACAAATTCTTATTCTTCTTCAGCTTGAACGCCCGCTGGTCCTTCATCCATCGTCTGTAGTCCTTGACGCTCGCGATCTTCTCGCCGTAGTAATCGGGTATCGGATTCTGCGGGCTCGACGACGACGGATCCGCACGTTTCTGCCTGATGCGGTCATAGAACGATTTCTCCTTCTGTCACTCTGTCAGTATGTCCGTCTCGCTCATCTTCCGACCCGGGATGGATGCACATACCAATTGGAAAGCCTTGCTCCAGCCCCGCCGCGACACCCACATCCCGAACGCACCGCTTCCAAAACTTGGTCCGCAAAGCCAGCCCCCTCCTGCCACAGCCAATGTGCTCAGGCCCAGCACGAACACTGGGTCCATGCCTGTGAGCTGTGCGCCCCATGTGTCGATGTCGGCGGAAGCCAGCATTGGACCTGCGACACTGACTGTCGCTGCTGCTGTTGCTATCGAGGCCGCCAAGTTGACATATCTCCTCTTCTTCCGCAGGTCGAAGAAGCGGTTCCAGGTAAGCACATCTGTTGGAGGTTCGGCTGTCGTTGATGCTTTTCGGACGGTCACGGCTCGGATGGTTGTATTGTGGGGAGGTCGGCGGCAAGTGATCGTACGCCTGGTAGTTTGTTGGACTGTGTTGGGTTCTCGTAATGGCACAGCTGAGCTGAACGCTGCCTTGGTCGCATTTGGTGATGGCAGTAGGGACCTGGTTGATCTAATCATAGGACGCAGTGGTACTGCTCGTGGGCAAAGTGAAGCGGCCATGATCTAGTTGTTGTGGTGGTATTGATAGGAGCTTCTAGCTACGGTACATGTGAACGAGAACGCGGAGGTGGAGGTGAACAGACGCTCGGACCATATAGAAACTCATATGAATATCCTTACAGGAGAGGCATGTTTGGTACTTCTTCTTGTACAAAGCAACAAGCTCTCGGCGTCGGTATCAAGTCTTATCAATAACATACACTACATTGTACAATATAGCTAGCTACATATGCATCGACTCCCCAATTCACACATCTTGCCTACTATTAGATGATGTAACATCCATTGACGCTCGAACGCAAGAACCCATTCTGCCTTGCTCCCACACATGCAGGAACTCTACGAACAAGCACTCCACTCCTAGTCGAAGTCCATCGCCTTATCCTGCAACTGCACGCCCGCGCTCGCCGGGTGCAGCTCCTCCGCCGCCTTGGCCGAGTCAACAGGCGACTGGGTATAACTCCCACTATCAACGCTATCCCTCTTACCCATAATCAGACTTTGTCTTGCGAGACCTCCTGTTCCTTTCCGCGGCGGGTAGCGACCTTTGCTATCCCGTTTCGCGGCAAAGGCATCGGTTGTCCCTGCGACGGGAGAGGAAGCACGCTCTTCGCCGTTGTCGGGGTTGTGGATCTTGTACTTTGAGATTGGGGGAGGGACTTTGGTGGCTTCGGTGCTGAAGGTCGGGGCTGTGGGAGTCAGAGCGCCGGAGTCGATGCTACCGCTGTAGTAGTGGCTCGGTGCCATGAAATCTCCTGGTCCGTTCATGGAAGCGGAGAGAGCGGGAGGTATGGATTGGCGTTTTGATGCTTCAGTCGCGCTGCGCTGGCGGCTCGCAGATTCGGCGGGCGTTTGCTCGGTCGGCTCATCGTCAGCTGGCGGTGGCTGATGGAGGGAGCCGTTCGTATGATGCGCGTCGTCCTTCCTCGGTGGTGTTGGCGGTGATGTGGACGAGGACAGGCGGCTCTGAGGTGGGCTTTGTGGCACACTGAGACTGTCGCGTTGACTTGAGGACACTGATGTGGTGGGTGACATGACGCCTTTAGTGGAAGGACTTGCAATATTCGCGGTAGATATCGGGAATCGTGTGTCTGGACCTCGACTCCTGTCCCTGCGATGTCCAGCTCCATCAGATACGGAAGTCCTTGCGCCTGGTCCAGGACTTGGCTGGCGCATCCTACTGCTGCCAGCCTGGGCCTGCTGAGCTGCCGCAATGGCGCGCTGTCGCTCCTCCATGTGCTCTCTCCTCCTAGATTCGTCTGTGCTGACAGCTCGTGTTTGCCTCGTGGCTCCGGAGTTTGTGTGTGTCAGACTGGACTGTCGCTTAAGTTCACCAAAGATGGCATCCTTATGCGCGAATAGGTCGCGTACAAGCCGGATGTTGTACTTTTCGGTCATGCTGAGTCCTGATTCCTGCTTGGGCCTTAGGATGCAAGGAGCTAGCACGGTAGCCAGATTCTGCACAAATGCATCATCTGCGCTCGTAAGCTCAAGCAGTCGCGCGAAATGCGTGATCAGTGCGTCAAGCGTAGCAATGTTGGCTAGTCGAAGCTGTCCGAGTGTGGATTGAATGACCTGTATGCGAGCTCCTTCAGAAGCGGATTGAGCTGTGGTAGCGTAGATGGTTTTGACGATCTCATAGACATGGGCGCTGACAAGGCTGTCAGGCAATTCGAGCAAGTAGAGCTTCAGAACAGCGGCGACAATGGGCACCTCGTACTTGTCCAGAAGCGATGGCTGGATGGCCTTTCCAGTATTGATCTGACTCCGGAGATGATGCGTGGCTGCTAATGGGACGTCCACCACCCAGATACTTCTTCGCGCTTCATCTCCTTCCAGATCAGGGTAGTGGGAGTCCAGGAAAGTCAAGATGGTCGTCACAATCAGTGGTACACGTTTACGATCACTTCTTGCACGGGCCTCAATATCTACACCAAAAGTCTGCTCGTCCACCTGATTGTAATAATTCTCATATGTGACAACTTTTGGTGTATAGCTTCCAGTGCGATAGTTCTCCAGAAGGTAGCGTAGATCGCCAAGTGGCTGGACCGTCTCTTGGAACAACATCATCTTATCGACAGTGCTCTGCAGACTTGGAATGACGTTGCTGACTGCGCCACTGAAGTCCAAGATAACGCTCTTGATTGCTTTCAGCCTGTCTAGTTCGCAGCGTTCCATGAACTTCAGATGATCAATCATAGCCTCTTCTAGATTGCAGCGCAGGCCATCAAGCTTGCGCACAGCAACCTTATAGCGCTCGTCTGCATCGCGGGCTTCTCTTCGTAGCTTCTCGCCTGGTGTTTCATTTGGGTGAGCATTGTTCAATGGATTCCAGCCTCCAAGGTATTCGCTGACACGGTCGCCGATCACAGGGCTTCCTGGGACAGACCCCTCTGCTGAAGAGGCCAGGGTTGTTGTCCTGCCGATCAGCTTCGGCCGCTTCTCGGGAATACCAGTCAGCTGAAACGCCTTCGGCCGCCATTGGTAATTCATCCTGCTGCTGTTCGCAAAGCTGCTTCCCATATTTCCGATCAGCCTCAAGAACCCATTATTAATGAGATCCTGCCCGATCCGCTCGGCATAGGCCACAGAACTACCGCCCATGTGCTGTTGTATGTATTCTGTTATTTCTGCGCCGCTCGTTACGTTCTGGTACGTGCCAAGGATTGGTACCTTCGTCTCGCCCAGTCTGATGTTGTTGAGAGCATGCGTCAAAATCTTCTTCACCTGCTCTGGCTGATAGGTCTCATCACCAAGCTCGACTGGCTCAGGCTCCTCTTCTGCTTCGTTCACATTGATACTAGGCACGCTTGTCGGTGTAAGCTTAGGCGATCCCACAGTAGTCGCTGCTGACGAGCCTGGGTCCTGGAATGCCAGCTTCTCCTCCTCGTCCAGATCCTCAACTCGACGGCACTTATTGTAGTATGCGCTCCGGTATTGTCTAACGGTCTCCGCCTGCCTGTCGTAGGTCTTGATCCGGCCTTGCAAATCAGCCTGGCTGTTCTGTATGCGCGCGGCGTGCTGATCGCACCACCTCCCAAAAGGATTCACCACCAATTCCCGAATATTAGAGCCAATCTTCCTGTGATTACGCGACGCCTCGCCCATCTCTGTGCGCACGCCCTCGTAAGCTTTCTTTACACTAGCACCGTCGTCTCGTTGAAACCCGCCGTCGATCCTGTTAGTAGCTGCCTCGATATCTCCCAGCTTCTGGCCATAGACATCCTCGGCATCAGCGCGCATGCGCGAGACTGTGAGGATCTGCTCATTCTCTTGCACACCCTGCTGCAGCTTGCCGAAGAGTACGCCGAGTCCTGCTCAGGGTCAGTAGGGTGGCAGGAGATCATGCGTGGTAGTAGCATACCAGCAGCATAGTCGGCAGACCAGAAAGAACTGGAAAAGGAACTCATGGCGGGTGTGCCAGTATCGCTTTGTTTGTTGCGTTATCTGCTGTCAGGCGTATGTTTATGGTCGTCCTGATATTCTTGTTCGCAGGCTCGAACCAATGTTGCACATGCGCTATCCCGTGATGGAAGCCAAATCTTGACCCAGGCGCATGCGATAGCTCGTGATCGTCGTGAGGTCGTCACTCGTACGCGAAGCAGTACGCAGATGACAGTGGCCTTAAAGCTGGGAGATGGGAGAGATCAGGGGAGTCGAGTTAACTTGCGGCTGTAGCGTTCGACAACTTTGGTCGGCAAGCTGGCAAGCGCCCTGAAACAGCACCCTGCATCATCGCGGCTCTGCCCGCTCAATGGTGCCAAGCCCAATGTTTGTCAGGAACGCGTGAATAGGTCGCGTCCCACGGTCTTTCAGTGGCAACCTCAGACTACACCTCAGGTCCTGGACCCATCACTTCAATCGAGATACCATCGTCCTGTGAGCATGGCATATCCTGACACACCTGTCTGTTCCAGCTAGAGTTTCGCAGCAAAAATGGCATCACAAAGCCTCGATCTGCTGGACGCCGAGCCGTCCCAAGAATCCCAAGGCATCGAGATACCGAACGTGCAGAAGAAACTTGAGCAACACAAGCTTCGTGTCAGTGCCTGATTCAACATCGGGCACATCAATGACTACCTCAATACTGACCATCGAGGACAGCTCAAGCAACGCCGAAAGCAACGAAACGAGGCTATCGCCCAAGGCCATCGGGCACGTGTGGATAAGCTGAAGGCTGATTACGAGAGTGCAAGCACCAGACATGCAGAAGCCATGTACGTCTTCGCATACTTCGCCCAATGTACTCCAAATAAAGTGCTAATTGTATGCTGGCAGACGAGCGATTCGGTGCCCACAGGCCAACCACCTGCTGGATCTTGTTCGTCGAAAGCGGCAACTGGTCACAGAGCTTGAGAGCTGCCTCGCGCGGTTGCAAATCGCATTCTCAGCAACTGCAGATAAGATTAAATTAGCCATTGATGCACGCCTGGCCGCTTTGTCTGAGTAGCTCTAGGTGGAGGGCAGACGCCACCTCCTGCACCAATTGCGGATCAGCTGTTTGTTGGGCGACAGCCGCCGGCGAGGGTATCTATGGAACGACGATTCTGCGAATGATTGAAGGGAAATGCATGTCCTTTGACAAAGTTTGTCAACCAGGGATGATTTTCATGCATACTCTAAGCAGTGCATTTTGCCACGGACTCATCTGATCATACATTCCATCTTCCCCTTCTTGCGTATTCTACGCTGCAGTCTGCTGCCACTGACCATTACCCACGCCATCGCCGTGCCACGAACCTGTCGTCCAAGGCATGTCGGTATGCATAAAGGCATCTACTGATAGAAGTGAGCCCAGGCAAGGTAACAGTACTACGTCAACGGTGGAAATGCATACCAACAGGCGACATACCAGGCCCGCCTTGATTCACCGGCGCAGGTCTGTGAAACATCGCAACCAGCCTGCGACCCACATTCGGCTCAAGCTCTGTTCCATCGCGCGCGATCTTGACTTCACGGTTGGCATTCCAAGGGTTCCGCAGACCTCTGGTGCGGAAGAACGGCAACCTTGCTGTCGACACCCATTCGATGCCGAATTGACGGCCCCAGTGCTGTCCGCTACTAACGTCGTTCCCCTCCCTCACCGGCGAGTCCTCCTCGACATCAGAAATGTCTGCCTCCCAGAAGATCGTACCGCGAGCAGAATCGTCAATGATCCGGCCCTTGGGCGCGAACTCGGTGGCTGGAGTCGAGATCGACCGTGGCGTGCCAGTCGTCTTCGCTTCGTCTGTCTCTATTGAAGAGCCCAAATTGACCGGCTCACCGGAAATTGGTGATGACATCCGAGCGTAACCAAAGTATTCGCCAGACTTGTTTGCTGAGAAGATCAGGTAGACGTTCTCTGCTTCGCCATAAGCACGACTCAGGCCAGTCTCGTTGTGCGACTGTGTCGCCCAGGTGCCATTTCGTACACTTGCCTCCAGGTCCTGCACCGTCAGGCTCTTGATGATGAAGTACTTCTCAGGGACCTTCGTGGTGTCAACGGATGGAGAAATGGCAGATTCGTCCGTGGCCACCCCTAAGCCATCAGCGAGTTGTGGGGTGCCTACGATTACGGGGCTCTCTGGAGTGGCTGATAGCATGACTCCTGAGGGTGTTAAAGGTTTCTCGCTCGAGGGGCTAGGGCTCGATGTCTCATCGACACTTTTGGCCAGAGCCAGGATTGTGGTCGAACCCCTGCGCAGGCGACAGACCAATCGCACACCGTGGAAGCGAGAGTCGTGAAACCTGTTCATCGCGGCTGCGCAAGCTGCTTCGCTTGTGTAGTTCACAAAAGCACAATTGCTCTTCGAGATCAAGAACAAGCTTTCGATGTCCTTTGTTGCATCTCTCGAGAAATGATCCTTGAGGTCGGTGACGTTCGCGGCTGGTGGTAGGTTGCCGACCCAGAGTGCATGGCCAGACTGCTTCGGCTTGCGCGGTGGGCCCCTAGGGAACGAAGGCACTGGAGCGGGCTCTGTGACTCGGCGAGCAAATTGACCTGATGTATTGTCAGTAAGATATGCCATACATTACATGGCACATCTACCTTACGTACCATAGTCGTGGCCAGCTCCGTTCATAGCATAGCCAGGTGGGCCAAAGTGGCTGTTGACTGGCGAGTACTGTGGAACACTCATGCCAAAGGCGAATGTGTCCATGCGTGGATACTGCGGCTGGGCCCTTTGTCCATTCTGGCGCGGCATTTGAGACTGCGGGGCAAAGAACTGCTGAGGCTGGATATGCTGAACCCCATGCTCGCGAGCTGGACCTCGCTGCCCTCCATGTTGTGCAGAATGCTGCATCTGGAACACTGAAGCAGGTGAGAAGACATCCTGGCGGTCGTTATCGTACATGCTTCGAGGTGGCAAGGCATTGTTGAGGCTTAACAGATCGAAGGAATGATCGCCATACTGCGGGTTGCCTCTAGCGTGCTGTGGGTGTTGCAACAAGTAGTCAAGTTGTGCGTGGAATGGCCTTTGAATCATTAGTTACCTGGTTGTCAGCGTTGAGCATTGCTACGTACATAGATTGCTGGGAGCTCTGCATGTTGCCCTTTGGCATGTCCTGTAGGTGTGGTACAGAATGAATTGATGCGACGTCGCTCATGGTTGCGGTCTGCGTGTGTGCCGGTCTTTTCGAATGTGGTCACATACTCACCAGCCTTTCAATCGATGTCCAGATGAAGTCGCGTGACAGAGCAACAGATGGATTGAGAGACGAAAAGAGATGTGGATGGCTGCAGTGGACACCTGCTTTTAGCTTATTTTGCCATGCTTAGAACCTTGTAGACAACTGCTTTGGTCGTGAAATGCCGATGAAGTCGATGTCGTTTATGATCGAGCGGTATCGACGACCCCTATCAAGATCTGAAGGTTCCCGGGCTCCTCGGTAAGCTTCCTTAGGCCTATTAGCATCTGGATGGTCTTTCACGAGACATTGGAGCAGTCTGGGAAGCGCGGTCTCCTAGTCGAAAGTTGCCAGATCAAGGTTCTCCAGACGCACTTAGGCCAGCCGAGCCAGCCGAGCGTGTCTCTAAGCCAGATATGATTGATGCCGTAATGATCGGCAGATGTTACTTGTCGCCGGCACCGTGACGTCATTAACCTAGATCGGAAAGCAACGTCCCTAGATATTAACAGTCGTGGCGCCTCAAAAACTTGGGACTTAGATCCGTCGCCGAGACGGGTCCGCATTCTGCTAATGGTCTGACAGGCATGTATTCATGTTCACACGCCATTACGAGCATTCGATTCTGGTGATATTGCTCGGTTGTCAGTCGTGAAGGTGCTCTCGCCACGAGACACCCTCACAGCAAGCACACTGGAGCGTAGAATTTGATACGGATTTCCCTTGCTGACACTGGGCGGTATAGCATGATCTAGTTCCATGCTGCAGTAGTTATCAACTGGCTGTCAATATGATGCCAACAAAAGCCACAGACCATATGGATATGCGGCAGCTCATCGCATGATCGCGATCGATGTCATCGATTCGACGATAACGCGTCGAGTATTGTCAGCACAGCAGAGTTGTTGGTCAAGGGCTGGAAGGCTAAGATGTCACCTCGGACCCATGTCCGAGTCTTGCAGCGCTGCCATGTGCGTTCCGGTCCCCCTCACAGTACAGCATTTCGTCTTTGGAAGGCAACTTGCTGCCCGGTTTCCCGGAGGCCCTCAGGGCTACGTTCCTACTTCATATCGTCCCGGTGCTTTTTATATGTAATCGTATAAGGGTGACCTGGACATGGACTCCTCTGGTATGCCAGGCATGCCTTACAATACAGCAGCGGCAGGTGATGATAGTAATGCTTGGAAGTCTGCTGCAATTGGTCGAAGCATCGGTGTGCTTGCATCATGCCGTGTAATCTTTGAGGGCTCATCGTAAATGCTCATGGATATGTATCGGAGACAACGCCGTCACCGCGGCGGACATGCGAGCCGTGTCTCAGAAGGCGTCGACCATGCGGCTGCTGGATTTGAGAGCCAGCACTGCTCTCCACGAGATGTTTGGGCCTAAGCTCAAAACACCAGGAGAACGAGAACTTATGCAACAACGTGCTGGAGTGTTTCATCGATGGCGAGAGTAGAGCAAGTAGTCCAAGGGCCAAATGTAAGGAGTGAGGTTGATCAGTCATTGGGACGATAAGGGAACGGAAGAGACGGCTGAAGGCGGGGTAGAAATGCACGTGCAAGATGTACAGAAGTTACACCAACAAGTACGATATACCCTGATTTTCAGAGGGACGAAGACAATAGAAGAGACGAGCACACCGCGCAATGCTAAGAGGAGGCCTCTATGTTACATCAACATGATGTTCTTCACAATCTTCGTCCGTCAACCTATCAGTATGGGATGCCGTTCGTCAAGAGCTGGTAGTAGTCATAGACACCAGTCGAGTAGCTGCGCTCACTCCAATGAACAAGCTTCCGAACGAATTGCGCTGCCTCGCGATCCGACCTGTCAAGCACGAAGCGCTCTCTGAAGTGCTGAATGGTAGTTGGCTTGAAGCATGGTAAGCCAGAATCAAGCATGGTCTGGATGACGTGTGCCAATTGCTCAACATACTGCCTCGATGCCAGGAAGGCCTTGACACAGAGTTCCTCGAATGCCTTGAATGGCTGTGATTGTGAAGATCCGCCCATGACTGCTACCATCTCAGGGCTCAGTTTGAATGGTGCCCGCTCAAACTTGACGCCTCCAGGTACGATGTCGAAGCAGAAGCCAAAGTCGATATGGAGGATGTGGCCCGCATCGTCAACCATGATGTTGCCATTGTGCCTATCCTTGAATTGCAACAAGTATGAAATGATCGAGTATGCGGCCATGCTTTTGATGAAGTTGCTGCGTGCTTCCTGGAAGCGGATTGAGTCCTCGGAGCCGTACTTCGAGACAAAGTACTCGTACAGGCCATTCACTGCCTCACGGCCAAGCATGTCGCGAGAAATGGAGTTCGGCAGTACATCGATAACACCGCAGCCTGGCGCAGTCGCTGTGACTCGATACGGAAAGACGTAGACGTCCAGACCAACATTATTGAAGATGCCACGAAAGCAAGCAATGAGCTGGAGTGCGAGCACATCTTGTCTGCAGTCGTCGCCGACCTTGAAGATTGCCGACTGCCATACCTCGTAAGTCTGACGTTTCACAACCTCCTGACCATGCGATGCGACCTGACTCTCACCAGGCTCGACTTCACCTTCATCCTTGCGAATGCGGAAGGTGGCCATGAACGGTGCCTTGGCGTGACTCTGGAGTGGTTTGCCAGACTTACGGTCAATGCCAATCAGTACACCATCAGGGTTGCTCGGCAAGTATACTCCGACGTCAAGCTGGATCTTGCGGAGCTCTTCTTCGATTTTGGCTTTCTTTTCTGGTTTCGGTGCCTTAATGAATGGTTTGAGGGTGCCCGAGATGCCAGTGACCTTGCCAAAGAAGTCGAATTCCCGCTCGTAGAAGCTTTTATCTTCCGTAGAAAAACTGGCAATGAGTGCACTCGTGACTTTGTCGAAGACTGGCTTCGCTGAGTCAGGCTCTTGAGAGTCTTCGTCCTTGTAAGAATTTGCTTTGATGTTCCAGATTATCTGATGAGCGAAGAGCTGCGAGAACTTGGCTGTCTCCACAATGTATCGCTCGACATATCCGAGTGCATCATAGCGTAATGTTTGCACGATCTGTGGTACATAGAAGAACGTAATGTCGACGGCATGAGCCTCCAAGGCTCGCATAGCGTATTGCACTATGAGTGGGTGGTTGCGATAAGCTGGCATGGAGTAAGTGACTGCGGCCATGGGGTTAATCGGTGCCCAGTATAGCAGATATCTGAGTTGGCTGTGAATGTCTGATGGCAGCGATTGGCCCAGTAGAATATTCAGTGCGTCTGCCTCGCCAATGGCCTTCTCCGGTTCCCTCATCAGGAGCGAACGCACAGCCTGCTGCATTCTGTTGGAGTGTGGAAAGCGTGTTGTCAGGTGTACCGCGATGCGAGGGTCTTCCTGCCAGGCAGTGGCTACTAACGGAGCGAGACTGGTCTCCTTGGACATGCCCCCGCTGTCTGCAGCTAGAGGCGTGTTCCATACGACCAGGCGAATAACTTCCTGTTGGAGAAGGTGAAGAAGCAAATCTTGCCTGGACGCTGTTCTTGATGTCGATGTGGAACGTGAGCTCAGTGTTGTTGCCTGCAGCATGGCTGCGACGTCTCCCAGCAGTCTGATCTCAGCCTTGACCTGCAACCTATTGCTGCCAAACGACCATCTTGGCGCTACCGCAAACCAAGCCAGGCCAGCAGAGAGAATTGCATCTTTCAACCTCCTCTGAGTTGAGGTCTCGATCCTAGTCGAGTAGCGTAGCACGGTGAGGGCAAGCAATACAACGTGGAAGTGCACCTCTCGAGCAAGAGGCTGCGTGACTGCATGCTTCATCGCGAACATCGTGATGCGCATCAGACGGATATACGCACGGCCCACGGAAGGCGAAGTCAACCTGGTGGCGTTGAAATGGCTCGAAAGCCATTGTGTCAAGCGGAGATGAGGAGCGATGAGGTTGTGCGCCAGCTGCTGTCGTTTAATGATGGCGGGCCACTGAGAAGGCGCAAATTCCTCCTTGACATAGAATGGGTCTTGATGGTGGAAGGAGTCATAGAAGAAACCTTTACGCAGGCGAACAGTGCTCTCCCACCCGGCTGCAATCTCGGCAAGAATGCGTGTCTCTAGCGCTGGGTTCTCTTTGATCAAGCCGAGCCACAGTGAGACGCCTAGGTTGATGGACTGTTTCGTGAAGACAGCAAAGGGTATTCCGACCAGATCGTGTATTAGATATGATCGATCGTCAACACTGCCGCTCAATACTGCCGCAGCGTCACGAAGCGTCTCCCGCAGCGCAGCGAAAGGGACGACTTCGTGCCTGCGCAGCCTATTTGCGAGCTGACGGAGCGCGGTAGCTTCGGGACAAGTGTCGTGACCGTCTGTGATAGCAGCGACATGCGTGCTTCCGTCATAGTCTGCAAAGGCCCAGTCGCCATCGGTAGAGGGCACGTCGCCGGACTGCCGATATTGCTGCCGCGTTGTGTACTGAGCCATGAAGTCTGAGGCAGTATTGACGCCGACCTCTCTTTGGCGATCAAGGCTGATAAGTCGCTGGTCTGTGCTTGGGATGATGGATCCCATGTCAACGGCAAACGAACGACCGAGTGCAATGTGTCCGTAAGCGCCATCGTCCTCGTAGTCCTCGAGAAATGCTTGGAGCAGTCCCTTCACATCCAGCGGAGCAGCGTCGATGGCTTTGGCAACCCACAGCTTAGCACGCTTATGAAAGTTAGTCAAGGTGGTTTGTCTGTAGTTTATATCATCAGAGAGTTGGAGCGTGACATTAGCTTTCGTGGACGAGTATGTCGACTTCCAGTCATACTCGTCGGTCTCAGCATCGAGACAGCTCTGCCACATCAGGGTCAACAGCTCGAGCAGAGCGAATAATGAAGCTCGCTGGCACAGTGCAGATGGTATGGCAGTGGTGATGCGGTCTGCGAAGGAGACAGCAGCATGCTGTACTTTGGAAATTCGATGGCAGCAGCCTTCGAAGATAGTCGCCAACTGAAGTGCAACCTGTGGGGCTGCGAATTGTTGCTGCTTGCCATTGAGTGCACGCTCAAGATAAGCCTCGACACTGCTGAGCCCGATAGCTAGCATGCAACTTCCCATAGCACTGGTCTTCACCTTGCTCTCTGTAAAATATGGTAGGACTGCGGTGCAGTCACCAGCACGGGCACGCATAGTCGACACCAGCAATGCAGCGTTGAGAAAGACGCATTCCTGGTATGACAAGCCTCGAATATCAGCCTCGCAGCGTGGTAGTGCAGCATTTAGTGCGTTCTTTTGTTCGACACTGCGCTGAGAATGAGAGCCACGTCGGAGGACAGTATTGAGATCAATGCCGCTCTCCGGTAGCTCTATTCGGTCTTCATCGACAAGAGGTAGTGTATATTGTGCTAGAATCTGAAGGTCACTAGCATTCTCTTTCACAGACGGAGAAGTGAGGGTGAAGCCGTGCACGACAAGGTTGAACCAAGAGTTGCGGCTCAAAGCCTTGACGTCCTCGACGTTCTCGAAAGTCGGTGTATGCTCCAGGTCAGATGAAACAAGAACCGCCATCGGTCTGAACAATTGTGCGATGGTATGTGAGGTCAGTACGATATCCACGGTGCGCTCTCCGGCCGTGTCGCCGCTGCCGACACAGAGACCAAGCAAGTGCACTAGATACACCTCGTACAGAGGGGAGTCCTTGCGGATCCATGAGGCAAGCCTGATGCGGGCTTCTGTGACAGCATTGATGAACAGCTCGTTGTGCTTGACAGTGGCATCGCTAGCAACGCGATTGTATAGTCGTAGCAGAGCGCGTAGCTCACTCGGCCCACCAGCAAGACCAAGGGGTGCAATATCCTTGATGATTCGAGCATCCACAACCTGATTGATACGGCCAATTTTCTGCACCAACATCGAGATAACCAGTGCCGTAAGCTGTGCATCCTTACGCGCCACAGCAATAGAGACAATGGCTTCAACAATACTGCCGGAGACAACTGCGCTCTCCTCCTCGTCACTGATGACCAACGAGATAGAACTGCCGAGGGCATGTTGCGAGCCGTACGGCACGGTCGTGCCATCGAGGCTACCAGCGCCGTTAGCGAATAGTCCTGTGCCACCAGCCTCAGACCCAGCGTTTGTGCTAAGAACGTTGCCGAGACTATAAAGCGTGCTGATCACTATATCTTGTGGTTGGCTTTTCAGAATCCGACCCAGACAATTGCCAGCCAGACTTGCGGTGCTGGCAGTCATCTTGCCCTGCACGACAAGACGAGGTAAGGATCGAGTGAGATTCGACGCCATGGCGGGAGACAAACGAGCCAGTAGTGCCATGCAATTGAGTACTGTCTGCGCCAGCACATCATCTGACATCTGCACCTGATCAGCAGTGACGCCTTCCAGCCAAGCTAAGAGTAAGTCATCGTCTGCAATAGTTTCATCAACCAGTGTACAGCAGAGAAAGCTGCGCAGACTCATAGCTTTCACGTCCAGTGTAAGGCGCTGCTGCCAGCTTGAGCTGACCTGCAGGTAATCCGCGTCCGCTTCCAGCAAGCTCATTTCCTCCACAATCAGCTCGGCAAGGCTCTCGAGCAGTTCCGACGACGGCCTTGGGCCGGAACGATCCACTAATTGATCGCGCATCATGAGTACATCCAGCATCGTCTTACCAGGGATTGGCTGTAAATGAGATACGAGTAGGACCGAGCTCTGCTCCACGATTTTCATAAACGCTTGTTGAAGCAGCATAGCACCCAGTGGCCGGGCTTGGGCAGCGTAGTGACGAACCCATCGTCGCCACTCCTTGACAGCTCTACTGCCAGTAGAAGCATTGCGCACGGCAGAAAGAGCTCCCTCGAAAGACACCATAAATTTCTCAGACAACAAGTACCGGAGCCGTTGAAGAAGCGCGATACGTTGCTCCTGGGTCCATACTTGCACATGCTGCGCGAGGGCTTCCATGAATCCGAGTAGAGACGCACCCAACAGTACCGCTGGCAGACACTGCTGGGCAACATCCGGACCAGTTACGCCGTCCGCCCGAGGTTTCATCCAGATGGCCTTACCTGTGCTGGTCGTGAGCTCTTCGATCGTGGTGTCCACACATGATAGTGCCTGTTGCCGAAGGGATGGATGGTGCAATCCAATAGACAGCACTGCACTCGCCAGATCGTGTGACAAGGTCTCCCACGGTGGCAGGTGCTGCTGTAGCGGCGAAGGCTTTAGTGTCTGCTTGTGGGCCTCTGAGAGATATGGCGATAGCTGATTCAACAAGTGCGCAGCATCACTTGTCACTCTCACTGCTGGCGCGGCCCTGCACAGAGCAATCAGAACCTCCAGTTCTCGGATACTCATAGGTATAGCTGCTGCTCCTTGACCCTTGACATCTCCACCATTCCTCCCATTGGTCGCATGTGATTCGGATGGCCGATGTAGCTGACACAGCTTCTCGATGTCGCCGTCATGGTCTGCATGTACAGATCCAGCTGTCTGCGCCGATAACGTTGCGAGCTTGACCAGAGCATCGCGGCGGGTCGCTCGGCGAGTGCTGTATATGTCGCTTAGCATTGTTGTTGTTGCACTGTCAGGATATGCGAGACTTACAAGACCATACTCGCCCGCAACGCAGACAATATTTGTTGCTCTTGTATTGTATTTCGTGCTCCCAAGCTGAAGCGAACGAATTGGGAGGACGTGTAGGCGCACGCGCCATGACATGCGGAGAAGCTGTATTCCGAGCCTTCCACGCATGACTTCTTCCTCCCATATCGAAGCCCTCGGTGATGGTCGCTGTTCGCAGACATGGCTTCGCGACTTTTACGGAAACATTTCGGCCGCATAGTTTCGAGGGCCAGGGAGGAATGCCACACATCCCTGTGACGAAATGGGCAGGCAGCAATACTTGACCAGGCTCGCGCTGGGGCGATCTCCTTACCAGGAACCAGGTTCGGAGCCGATTCCAGATGGCGAGCTCCTCGAAATACTGGGGTCAAGCTCATCCAGTCGTGTGCCTGTTGCTACTGCACCTGATGGCCAGCTGTATGACGCAAAGGGGCGTCCTGTCAATCCTGCGGCCGAAGCCCGCAAAGCTGACATAAGGCGTTCTTACAACACCATAATGGCCCTCGCCGGCGTGGTAGAGAAGCGTGAGAGAGCTACCAGTAGGTTGCAAAAGGAGTCACGCAATCTACGGCAGCAAAGGCATGATCTGCTTGTCGATGAATCCGAGACCGGCGACATCATGAATGGCCTGGCGGTTCAGTCTCATGCCATTGCAACATGGTGGCCAGATTCTCTAACCAAGAGATATTTGGCCGGCTTGATCGATATGCACCCTGCATTTCTAGTCACCATCGTGAGCCACTCTGCTCCCGTACAGCATGGTGTGCTTGGACTTTTCAGCTTGCTATTACCGGGCATCACTGCAAGACTCATATGGACATGCTCAAGATTCGGACTGCTCACTGGGTTGGAGCTCGTTATCGGACTACTATCCGAGCGTCTGTGGCGGTCAGCTCGAGACAAAAACGCCCAGCTACGAATCGATGCAGCCCTCCGACGTCTGGAGAATACAGCTCAGTGGATGTGCGACATACTACTGCTCCCGCTTGAGTACTATATAATCGCTCAACAACTTGGCGTCGCGCCATATACTCCATTGCTCCTCCCCTTCAGCCCGGTTTCGATTCACAACGTCTACTCAATGTACACTTTAGTCTGGACGCCAACATTGTATCTGCCCTACAGTAGCCTTCTGAGCTCGCCTGCGGCCTTCCTACTTTCGTTCGGTCTGCTTACACGGGTCCTTAATCCGCCCCTCCAGCTCGAGCCCCACGACTTAGCATCGACTTCCCAAATCGCGCTCGGCGACTTTGCCACTTCGACCAGTGCATACCAGGCAGCCAACGGTCTGCTGCCGTATCTCCGAAATCGCATCTTCTCCTTCCGCATGCCCATAATGGCGTGGCTGAACTACCGCCCTGTCGCGGTCGCGCAAAGCCCAGCTGAGCCAGATCAGGACATTGTACAAATTGCTACTAAGCATGGCACAAGACTGGCGACTTCACATCGAGCAGGTTCTCTAGCTACTCAAGTGCCGAATTTCCTGGCTACGAATCTGGATACACTGCTGATCAGGCTACTTCTGCTACCGCTCGAGGGGATGATGCTCCGAGCAGTGCTTACCTCGTACGCCAAGTCAAACCTACCAAAGACTCTTATTGGAAAGCTTGTCGCCAAAGGACTCACGACGAGCATTGGCAGCGGTCTGTCGCATCTCCCAAGCCCAGGCTCGTGGTCCGAGACCATAGCATACTACACGCTCCGCGCCAGCAAGGTTGGATTAGCCATGACTCTTCAGAGTGCTGTGGAAATGTCGGTATTTGCTGGATGCTATACCATTACCCGATGGCAAGGGACTCGCTTCTATGGGTGGCGTGCACGCACTCGTCGAGACGCCGGCGCCAAAGAATAAATTGCGACCGCTGACCGGCGCTACTCTGTCTGCTACATTCCTCACTGCTTCGCCTTTGCCGCATCTCTTCGACTAACGACTACTCCTGTAGCCAACATTGACGCTGCACTAGCACAGAGCATACCAAGAGATATCCCGAAGCTGACCTTGTATGTTGGACTAAACCGCGATAGGTAGATGTGCGGGCCGACGATGCCTGCGAGGTCCATCCACGCGGACGTTATACCTATCGCTAGCCTATGTTCGGATCAGCATGACAGTCAAATGATGTTTGCAGTCATCGGGGACTGACCCGGTGGCAACCGTGCCATTTGCTGTACGAATCCTTTCGGGAGCTGAGTAGGTCAGTATCGCAATGACCTGGGTTTCTCCTTGGAGATCTTACTGATAATCGGGTAGACAGAGACTCCAAGTATGCAAGACAGGCAAACCAGAACCTGCAGGTCAGGGAGTTATGAGTTAGTAACTAGTCTGAGACAGTATGAGAGGGCAATGGCCGCAGTTTCCTCACATATCTGGCGAGCCCCTGCTTGACGAATAAGAGCAAAATGTAACAGCAGCAGTGAAGGAGCTCAAGGCAGATGGCTGCCACCCATGGCCTTATGCATTTCTTGTCTACCATGCAGGAGCTAAGTAGCACTGCTGGGATCGAAAGTGCGAAGGGAGTCCTAGTCGATGGTCAGAGACGATAGTTCAGAATAGTGGTGAGAGGTGCCTCATGTACTTACATGGCCAGGAGCTGGGTGTACGTCGCGTTCTTGAGGTGAAAGGAGTACATTACTGATGGTAATGCCATCTTGATCCCGTGGGCGCCCACTGCAAACCAAGAAAGGCATGTTAGCTGACTTCGCCACAACGGAAAGGTGAGATTTATCGACGCCTATTGTATCGTACAAGCGGCTCCTGTATCAGCGCAAAGAGGGACATTGTTGTAAGCCGATCTTATGACAGGATGGAGATGGGTCCCGACTCACTGTTGCTTTGTCAGCACACTCGTGACTTGGGATCTGTTCGACCAAACTACTGACCATGCATGGAAGATAACGATTGAAAAGAACTGGCCCAGGGTGTCAGCAATAGACTGGCTATAGGAGCGGTGAGCCACCAGGACGACAACTCACGAGGTAGCTTAGCGGGTCGCTCAACAGCTTTTTGACCTCTGGCCAGTTCCAGAACCCATCGTCAGAATGCGGCTGCGTCGGTGGCAGTGCGGCCAGTACTACTTCCCTTTGTTCCATCGTGAGAAAGGAGGCACTCTCAGGGAACCGGGGATATGCAATCATGCATACGAGGCCTACCAGGACTCCTAGCCCTCCTTCGAAGAGCATGAGCCTGCGATATGTATCAGCTGAAAACTCGAGTCATGTTGCCAATTCGAGATGCTATCAGTCTCACCATCGCCAACCTGCAAGGCCGCTCACACCATTCATTCGAGTTGCTGCAAAGGCTAGAGCACCCGACAGAATCCCGGACAGCTGAATGAAGGATGCTAGACCTGCCACCCGCATAGTCATGCGGTGGGCTGGAAAAAAGAACGTGAACCCAAATAGTATGCTTGAGCCTATACCACACTCGACAATGCCCAGCATGACCCGACACATCAGTAAGCCAACGAAGTTATGCGTCGCGGCTTGGCACATAGAGATCATGCCCTGATGGAGTGTCAATAATCTCGACGCAAGCACCTATCATCAGCCAACGGAGCTTACCCAGCTTAGCAAAACGGCGGTCATGTAGTTCCGAGGACCAACTCGTTTGAATATGATGGTCGACGGTCCCTCTGCAGACCACATGATTTGCAGTCAGTAGATGTCTCGGATGATATCACAAGGCACACACCAGTCTCTCTTACCAAGAAAAAAGTGCGAGACATTCGCCACCTACAGCGCCAGGTTTAGATAAGTCAGCCGAAGTCACCCCAGCGAATTCTGGCAGCCTGGATCGTCCGAGGAGCCGAAGAGTCCCTCTTTTGGCGGACAAGGACCCAATAAGACGATTGCGGGTCGAGGTCGTGGAGATGTGCTAACTTACTGAGATAAGCCATGCAAATTGCTCTCCTGACAGATTACCCAGTTGATGCTTGATGCCAGTGCCTTGGTCCCGATTCATGATTGATGTAGCAGGAAGATTCTTTCCGCCCATCGCTATCACAGCCATTGCGCCGTAGGCCAACGTGAGCAGGGAGATGTCAATCTTGCGGTACGCTGTGCGCAATATCGCATCGGGCACAGGTGGAGGTGCGGCAGCAGTCGAGTCCAGCGGCCTGAGTTCGACAGTGATATCCTCTTTCGTGACCGATGCGGGTATTGACTCTCTACGGGTGGCCATGATTCTTCGCAGACAACCACTGCGTGTCCTTCTGGATATCGATGGTGTGAAGGTACGACACAAAGACGAGCAGACTAAGTTAAAAAGGATATCGCACAAGTTCAGTGTGTGCAGAAGGTGCCGGACAGCTGATCCGCAATAAGTGATAACACCTTGTATCTGTTGACCATTCGGTTGGACATGGACGATGGACTTTTGGTTGCAGACTCCACCTGCGAGCTTACTCGACTCGGTCAACCAATCGAGTGCACTCCAATTTGCTACTCATAGATCTGGTGCTCTCAAACACTACCGGCCCTCTGAATATTACCTCCAAAGCCTGCTGCATTAAGAGAGCTATGTATCCTGTGCATTATTACTTGTCTTTCGTCGGTTCGTCAATGTAAGCGAGTCCTCGCTCCGTCCATCTGGAAGGGCGGCTGCCGCGACAGAAATATTCCAGCAGCTAAGTCGGGAGGGGACAGGCTCTCCTTCAACACGGGTCGTTGCAGAGATCGATATACGTGCATAAACGGCCAGTGTTGGCATTCATCAAAATTCTGTGTACGAGTGGACATGGCTGACATCTTCGTGATTTCACTGCTGTATCCTGATGTTCTTCTTATTGATGTTACTGCTGATGAGATGATCGACTTGGATTATCCCGATCACAGCCATACAATAATCAGTATACTAATGTCCTTCCTGGCAGCTCGCCATTAATTCAAGCTGCGTTCGAAAGTTGAGCAGTGAACCGACTTCCTCGAATGTAGTCGTCTCTGAAGCTTGGCATCCAATAAGCACGCAAGCAGCACGCCATAGCTCGAGGTACGTACTTCACGAGCACATCGAGTAGCTTTGAGAGGGGCGATACAATTCGTCGGGTCTCGGGTATGTGGTCATGGAAGGAGACATGATAAGGCTCGTTCATCGTGTTAGCAACCTCTATTGCATCAACAATACATATCGCGACGATGGCCACCATTACGCAAACCATCTCAGACGTGCCTCGCACCTCATTGCCGCATTACGAGGAAGTACCTGAGACCAGCCAGGATTTAGATTGGGCAGATCTGATCACGCTTGACCTGTCGAAGTTTGACCATCCGGGTGGTAAGGAGGCCTTGGCAAAGCAGCTTCAAGACGCTGTCCATGTAAGTGCAAGGCCGCAGCTATGTATGAGGCGATGACTGGCCTAACTAGCCATTCCGAAGAACGTCGGCTTCTTCGTAAGTGCAATGAAATCAGGGCGGAGTACTGCGACGGAATTGACGCTTGGTGTGTTAGTATATCACAAACTTCGGGCTCTCACAGGACCAGGTGAGCCGACAATTCGCTGTTGGCCAAGAGATCTTCAAGCTTCCCACAGAGGAGAAGCTGAAGTACAGGGCCGATCTCGAGCATGGTAATTACAATGGATACCGACCAAGAGGATCAATCGAGTTATTCCCTGGTTTGTTCGACAATGTTGAGATGTACAACGTCTTCAAGTTCCTTCCCGAGCTCGAACGTACACAGCCGGCGGTCATCCAGGAGAATCGAGCAGAGGTCGAGGCATTTCAACGGTATGCGTATCGTCTGGTGATGTTGCGGCATAGCAAGCGTTCTCCACAATCAAGGCACCCCTGATATCCTCATTTGCTGGAAGCTTTCGATGCCTCTGGTATACTTCGTGCTTACTCCCTGTCACAGTTCATAACCAGAGTATTCCTGCTCCTGTCCGAACATCTGTCTGACATAATTTGACAGGCATATCGCGGAGGATGTGGCGCAGAAGCTGCTCACCCTCATTGCGATAGTTCTTGAGCTTCCAGAGGATCATTTGACCAATGGGCATCGATACAATGACCTCAGTGAATGCCACCTGCGCTACATGGTTGGTTGTCGTACTTGTCAGCGTGGCCAGCAGCTTCTGACCGTTGGCCCCAGATCTATCGCCATCGCACGCCCGAAGAGAATGCAAAATTCGACAATCTTTACTCTCGCGGTCACACCGATGTGAGTGCGAGAGGCTGGAGTCGTCTGTGAGGTTCGAACTTGGACTGACGCCGTTTAGTTCGGTTCTCTGACCCTGCTGTTCAAACAACCAGTCAGCTACGAGCCTCGTGATGCTGCCCAGGATATCTGCTGACACAGGCATTCATCGATCTTTAGATGGCTGCGTTGCAGATACTCACCTCCAAAGGTGAATGGAAATGGGTTCGCCCATACCCAGGAAGCATAACTGTCAAGTACGCTTCATCTCTGTGCGGGTTATCGATTGGCAGAGTCTGACAAGTTCCAGTATTGCGGACGTTCTCCAGTTTTGGTCGGCCGGGTATCTTCGTAAGATCTCCAATTCATGACTTCGTCTACTGGTCTTATAATGCTGTACGATACATTTGCTGACCCTTGAGTCCGTGGATTCACAGGTAGCTCCGTCCATCGTGTTGTTGCGCCGCCTTCGGATCAAGCTCATCGGGACCGCCTGGGACTGCTGTACTTCCTGCGTCCGGCTCAGGACCTGAATTTGAAGACTCTAGATAGTCCTCTCTTGGCGCGTCTAGGACTCAAGGGGGATGACAGCGCAGCCAACGTGAAGGCCGGCGACTGGGTGGTAAGTGCTGCAGTCTGATTTCACTTGCGAGGACCCTGATTGACCTTTGCTCAGCGTGCTCGAGTGAAGGGAAACCTTGACAAGGCTGTCAAGGGTGGCCATAAAGAGAAGGAAGTCCTTGGGGGGGTCAAGGTCAAGTACTACGACTAGAGTAGTACCAAATAGATCAATTTCGTCTATGGCTGTTGCCGAGTAGATCCAAAGTCGTTCATGGCTGCTGCCGGACAGATCCAGATTCACCATTGTCCACAGCCAACAAGACGTCGAACGTACCCTCAGTACTTGTCGCGGTAGTGGTATAACGCGATGACAAGCGTTATTTCCCGTCAGTTGCCCAAGGTCGGGTTTTAAGAATGACTGCCATATAGCGGAACGTCACCGCAGTCGCGTCGCGTCTCACGATTTCGGTGCTTTCCACAACCGTTTGTATTGTATTGCAGCCGAAATGGGCCGTGTGACTCGTGGATCATCTGACATGGATCAAGCACAGCAACATTTGCAGCGAGAAGGTCGTGCCTGCTACAAGCGGCAGAACTATGAGCAGGCTCTGGGCCACTTCAATCGTGCAATCGGACGAGCTCCGTCTGCCTCACTGCTTGACAATAGAGCTGCCTGCCACGAGAAGCTCAACGACCTCCCTGCCGCGCTCAAAGATGCCAAGAAGGCCATCCAACTGACGAGAGAGGATCCCACTGGATATCTGCGTGCTGGCAAAGTCCTCGTCAAGATGGAGAAGCCGTCTGTCGCGCTCGAGATCTATGCTCATGGCTTGAGGAGTGTCAAGCATGCGGGTCAAGGCTATGAGGTATGACTGCCTACCAAAATGAAAAGATCGCGACTGACGGGTGATACAGCTTCTGCGCAGGGCGCAAACTGAGCTCCGAACAGAGATGTCGCCTACAAAGAGTGTTGATCCGCTGACCGTTCTTCCTCGCGAGCTTGCCGAGATCATACTGGAGTATCTTTCATTCCAACAACGCATGAATGCATGTCTGGTTTCAGCACAATGGGCAGGCTTCATACGATCGTCTCCAGACCTTTGGCATCATCTCGACCTTAGCACCTCACGAAAGAAAGTGAGCACCAAGTTCATAAGTCGCGCGATCAACATAGGTCAGCAGAGAATGACGACGGCTTCCTTGAGCAATCTGTACGACCTCGATAAATCATTGCATGCATTGACACGACACTGTCCAATCACAGCGTTGACGCTGCTCAATGTCGGTCTACAAAGCGACAACCTACTACAAGCCCTGAAACAGGCCAAGCAGCTGAAGGTGCTGCGATTGACTGATGGTGTCGAGATCGGCACTCAGACAATACAGCTACTGGTGTTGCAGCATGCTGCCACGCTCGAGGAAGTGCAATGCCATCCGGTGACAGCCATGAATGACTTTAATCTCCTGGAGGGGCGATATGATTGCATGACAGCTCTGAGTGTTCGAGCACAATCATTCGCATCGCGGCCGTCCTTCTTCGAACGAGTCACTGCAAGCATGCCATACCTGCGCTCCCTCACAGCAATCGCGACTGGTCGTGCAGAACCGTTATTGCCACCGGTACTACATCTGGAAGGCATGAACTATCTTCAGTATCTTAATCTCGAGATGGGTGTCGGCTCTGTGGGCGGCGTCATCCTACCACCAACGATCGCGTCACTGCGGTTCGCATCTACTACCGCCCGTTGGCTACCACGCTTTCCGGATAGGTCTAAATTACCACTGCCTAGCTTGAAGCGCCTGACTCTCCACCTGCCCATCAAACAGAATGTCCTTGTGCTCAGACTCTTGATGAATAGCGATGAGAAGCGACTAGAGCACAGTCTGCTTGAGTATCTCGACATCGCTCTGCCCACGATCTTGGAACTGCTCGATTCTGAAGATCTACCCACGTTCGTTGAGCTTCGTCACCTTTCCTGCAAGCAGCTAGACACTGTGAGCGAGGAGGATATTGCACGCATCGTCAAAGGCTGTCCGAAGCTACAGACGATCGATCTTAGTGGTAGTACAATCGATGGAGTGATGGTCAAACGATTGGTACTAGAGTTGAGAGAACTGCGCCATTTGATAGCAGACGATTGTCGTCTGCTGGGTAGAGATGCTGTTGATTGGGCCCGATCGCAGGGCGTTCGAGTCGACGCTAGGAGTGCTGATGCTGTAAAGATAGGCAGGAAGGTGAGGTATGCTGTGTAGAATGTTTCGCCTTCACAAAGCAGTAATATGTGTCCAAGATGGCTTTCGATTCCACTTGCTGCCGTCTACTGCTGTCTCACCTCATCGAACCGCGGCGATTACAGCGTCGCAAGCACCGTGGTCAATTTCGGCGTCTAGGAGTTCAGGCACCTGTGCAAGCTAATCGAAAAACGCTTACTTCGAGGCGGCCATAGCTCTTCGCAGGCTGCTATCGCGGTGCGTGGTATGAGGATGCATCCTGGTATTGTGTCCGGCGAATTTCGATGTGATGCGATCAAGTCTGGTTTTGATCATCAAACAAGTCTAGTCCTGATCAACGAGGCCACATCAGGCGGTACACACTTGGCTGGCACGCCAAAAGTCCAATACTTTACAGTTTTTACTAATCGGGTGTATAGCATCTGCGATAAGGGAAAGTGGATGTAGAAGGGATTAGTGCCACTGCCAATGTGGAGGGCGTAAGTTGCTGGGGGGATATGCCATATAGATTATGTAAGACTGCCAAATATGTGATACATAAAAGCAAGATGTACGAAGCATACCTTTTTGTGTTACATCTCTTGCACAACCTCGTATCCCGAGATATCAACAGGATGTAGATGACATATACGAGACAGACTTCTTGATATGTAATCGTGGAATCATTTGCTAAGAACACAATCGTGGCTCCAAAGGTCTCTGAAAGGCTGGGCAAAATTGCATTCAGCTTACGCTACCAGACGACCAGAAGTCACCCTTCATTGGGCCACGATTTTGATGAGATGTGCTATTGTGTAGAGGCGAGATCTACATGACACTCTCAGTCCGTCGTTTGATCATCGCTGGCGAGGTTCACAACGTTTCGCAGCATTGTGGAAGCATGGTAAGCTGGAGCAGACAACATGAAGAGCGATGTCTGGCCTGGTGACATAGACAATTACTACAGCGGTCGCCGTATGTACATTGCGGCTCGTACATGAGCCCGATGAAGTCGAACCTGTAGTGCTTTTGACCATGATCTCCTTTTGCGTACCCCAACGCCCCACCAGAACGACAATTGTAGCATGAATCATCCCCTCTCCTCCCTCACGCATGTCCATTGACACCATTGACTTCCTTTACAGGCCCCAACTTCTCCCGACGCAGACGAGAAGCCTCCGCGAGCTCAGCAAGTACGGCTTCCGTGTCTTCCCAGCCTATACAAGCATCCGTGATCGAGACACCATACTTCAGACCCGCCTTCCCCTCCTTCGGCACTTTCTGCGCTCCCTCGTTGATATTCGACTCGATCATAACACCCATGATGGCATCCTGGCCCTCCTTCATCTGCTCTGCGATCGCATGGGCGACCTTGGGCTGGTTCTTGTGGTTCTTCTCGCTATTGCCGTGCGAGCAGTCCACCATGAGTCTCGGTCGCAGCCCCTTCTTCACCAGTGCTTCCTTTGCCTCATTAATTGAGTGCGAATCGTAGTTGATGCCTTTCTTGCCGCCACGGAGAATGACGAAGCAGTCTTCATTGCCGTCTGTGCCGACGATGGCGACGTTGCCGGGTTTGGTGACGGAGAGGAAGTGATGAGGGTGCTTGACGGCGCCGATAGCGTCGATCGCGACGTCGAGTGTGCCGTCTGTTCCGTTTTTGAAGCCTACTGGGAAGGAAAGACCAGATGCTAGCTCGCGATGGACTTGTGATTCAGTTGTCCTTGCGCCTACAGCGCCGACCGAAAGTAGATCGGCGGTGAATTGAGGGCTGATAGGATCCAACATCTCCGATGCCAGCGGCATGCCTTTCGCCGTAAGGTCCAAGAACAATTGTCGGGCAACACGTAGACCCTTGTTGATGTTGAAGGTGTCGTCGATGTCGGGGTCGTTGACCAGGCCCTTCCAACCGACGGTCGTCCGAGGCTTCTCCAGATAACTTCTCATGACAATCAGGAGATCCTGCTCGTACTTTCTCTTCAGCTCCAGGAGCCTATCGCAGTACTCCAATGCCATAGCCGGGTCGTGGATCGAGCAGGGACCTATCACCACCATCAAGCGTCTGTTCCTGTCCATGCCATGTACGACATCGACTGCCTCTCTTCGAGCACCCGTCACGACCTCTTTCGATTCTGGTGTTTGGCGGATCTCGTGCTGCAAGAGGTCGGGTGGCGTCAAAGGCGTCATGCCCCGGATCCGCCAGTCCTCGACGCTGTCGCGGTTGCCGACATTACTGTTGGGCATGAAGAACTGTTGATCGCGTACAGTCAGCAGCATATTGGAAGTGGTGGTTGTGCTGTAAGATGCTTCACTTACTTCAGACATGTTGGCAAGTCCTCCAGTAGTAGCAGAGTTGATAGGGTATAGGTGCAGAACTGTTGTAGAGAGTGGGTGTCTTCACCTCGGTGGCATCGACAACTTTTTTTGGAGTCATCCCGAATCTGGAGGGGTCCAACGAGGGCGCGGATGTGTTCCGTCGGCTAAAGTAAAGCCAATGGCTTTGGCGTCTGGCCACGACTCAAAACTGCCGAAACAACCACGACATCTCTTCCACTGTTGCAGCGGATCATAATGTCATCTTGGCTTAATTAGGCAGGCACGCATGTCTACCACTAGAAGCAGCTGTCATTCGTACAGGATCAATCCGACATTGGCACTGTGAACGCCTTAGCACGAATGGCAGGCCTTCGCCGAAGCTTCTGGGATAATGGAGCTCCCCTCTGGCCTCTGCACAAGCGACGTCATCATCCTGTCAATGGCCGCTCGATATCATTGTGATGTAAAGGTGACCTGACCTGGCACAATCACGACCATACCATTATCGCCAATATGGGAGACCTTCGGCTCGAAGCTATGCGCTTTTCCATGGGCAATTCATCCAAGACTACCAGCAAGATGTATCTTACCGACCTGGACAGCATCCCGCTATGTTATGCCTCCGTATCCATCGGCTGCCGTGAGGAGCACACTTTGCCCAAGAAACTCGAGGCAATATCAGCAGCAGGGTTCCAGGCTATAGAGCTTGGATTTCCTGACCTTGTCACCTTCGCAAACCAGCATCTCCGACCGAGCGAGCAGGATACAGGCCCAGACGAGATCACCAACTACGACTATGACAACCTCTGTGCCGCCGCAAAGGTCGTCAAGACAATGTGCGATGCCAAAGGTCTGAAGATCCTGATCTTACAGCCCTTCGCCAATTTCGAAGGATGGCAAGAAGGCAGCGAAGAGCGAGCCGATGCATGGAAGCGAGCAGAGGGCTGGATGAGAGTCATGGAAGCCGCGGGAACAGATATGCTGCAGGTCGGCTCCTCCGACTCGCTAGAAGAGAAGATTGGAACGGATAGGACTCGATTCGTGAAAGATCTGCAAAAACTCGCCGATATGTTAGCCACGAAGAACTTCCGCATTGCCTACGAGAACTGGTGTTGGAGTACCCATGCGCCGACTTGGGAAGATGTCTGGGATATCTGCAAGAAAGTTGATCGGCCGAATTTTGGGCTCTGTTTGGATACCTTCCAGTCCGCTGGGTATGAATGGGCGGATCCGACGACGGGGACTGGAATGGTCGAAGACGGTCGGAGTAAGGAGCAGGTGGAGAAGGACTGGAAGGCTTCGTGCGATAGGCTCGCCGAGACTGTTCCGAAGGAGAAGATCTTCTTCCTGCAGATCTCGGATGCGTATAAAGTCAAGCCTGGTCCGCTGTCCAAGGGAGAGATCAAAGGTCTGCGGCCGCGTGGCTACTGGAGCCATGCATATCGTCCGTTGCCATTTGAGGGATACCTGCCTGTCGTCGACTTCGCCAAGGCTGTTCTCCAGACGGGCTCGAGGGCGTGGTGGTCGTATGAGATCTTCGATGCTGGCGCCGATGGTAAAGGGAAGGACTATGATATGGACGTCTTCGCTCAGCAGGCGATGACGTGCCAGAAAAAGTTGCTGGAAGAGTGTGCGAAGCCGTAGCAGAACGGGTGAGCTAGGCTGAACGGACGGCCATGTCGAGCATCCGTCGAGATCCCTTCGATCTGCGTCGGTACCTGCAAATTGGCGCACCGGGGATTGCCGTGGACAGCACATCTTCTTCTGGCTGGACGTACAATGGCGAGGGGAACGAACGCACGTCCCTCAAACAACGTCTCTTAACGCTTCATGCTGTTCACCACAGGCCGAAATTAGGTCGATGCAATCTAAGTGGGATAGATATGTACTGTCGAGCTACAGCGGTTGGTCTGACCGGTTCGTGACGGGCACTGCAAGGCCTGGGTGCGCGTGTTCGTGTGCAGCAGTTCCGATGAAGCGCGCGACCAGACAATCAGCTCCGCTTGTACGCCACAGCCGTGGGCATCTTGCAAAGGTCCGCACTCGTCGCGATTGGCAAGGTACGACTTCCAGATCAGCCTATAGTGAGCAGCAAGTGAGAAACACTCATTTTCTGAAACGCAGGCAGCCTAAGCATTGATGCGAAGGCTATAAAAACCGTCGGGCCGTTGAAATTGAGTTTGCGTCTAACGGTGCCGTCAAGTGAGACACCTTACGCCATTTGATGTTTTGTTCGTTTCCCGGCATGTCAAGGAACAATCCACGACAACGCAGGTGTCTCTCCGTTCCAGTAAAGCATCGTGACCCATGTAGGGATGCATGCACCCGGGCGTTGCAATTTCCCCCTTGAAAATGACTGACGTCGCTGGCCACTCCACGCGCCAACTGTCCCCTTCTTGCGCCATCCTGCAACGACATGGAAGCCAATGTAGAAGACTTGCCGCTAGATCTGCAGATTTGACCGAGCTTACGGCGCTAGTAAGAGCTCCTGGTCTGCCACACATTTCGACACGCGGACTGGGTGCGTCCTTGCTACCCAACACTGGTGGGCCAGCAGCAGGGGAAATCTGGACGTTGCGCGAAAAGACTTGCTCGAGTATTTCCTCACCAGCGGTCTCAAATCGTCATCCACGCCCTACAAACGCGTGTGAGCCATGAAGGAGAATCATATGCGCACCATATAATAAGAGAGTGAAGTCACGCGATTACCGTGATCGTGGAACCGTAAAGTCGAAACCTTGTTTAAAGTTTCGCGCCGAGGCATGAGCACGTTGTGGGTCTCGAAGCACAGCAGTCAGCGTGTGGTGGTTCGGCACTCTGCCCTGTAAGTTCCAGAAAACCTGGACTCGTCTTGGTCTTGCGACGACGAATCCGGCGAATGCATTGACTGACGAGCCAGCCACACACCTTGTGAGACCAGGGTACCCGGTCCCATGTGAGGCGGCACAAGGATCTAATTGCAAGCCGCAAATGGCGGGGCACTCGGCGAGATAACATTGAGCGATACAGCCTTGCTACGTGCCTTCTACTTACTGCTTCCAGTCTGACAGTCTACTAAAGCCTCGCCTCTCTGACCAATAAGTCTATTCGCGACGCACGATTGGCGAAGCTTGCACCGTGCGGTCAGTAGCTTGCTTCTCACCGCTAGGGCTTGCAGTCTGTCTGCCGCGGCGACGAAGGCTGTCAGGTCCGGCTAATTCGCTGCGGCCGTGCAGGAGAGATACGAGCCAGCAATCGACCTGATCCAAATCTGCTCTTCGCTGTCGTCGTTACTCTATGCTGACAAGTCGTTCGTCCTACTTCAAGGCCCGCCCTGGATCGCATCTCGAAGCTTGAAGTTCCCTGACAGGATCCCTGACAAGCTTAAGAGCGCATGCACTTACCAGTACACGGTGAGCATGTCGATCCGCACGGATGCACGCATTTACAAAACGCTGGTGCATGGTGTCACGACCTTCGGTATCGTTGTCCCGACCGAGTCGAGGATTGCCGCAACAACCCTCTTGAATGATGCTATTGGGGCAAGGTCTCTGTTACACAGGATTAATCTCTTTTGGTGAAGACAAGGGTGGTGAATCTTGAGGTCAACCGGAAACTAGACGTGTGCAGGGGCGGTATGGCTACGATGAAGATGGGACAGCCGCGTAGAGACACACTGCCCATAAAAGAATCACGCACTGGTCTTTCACAGTCAACCCCCATATCTTCTCCAGCGCGCGCATACCTTTCTTTGCAGGCCGCTCGTGCTCACATTCTCACTTTCGTTAACGTCCACGTGCGATGTTGAGCATCTATTTCGAGTACACAAGCTACATACATTCCTTCACCAGACATCGGCGTTCCCCTTTCCTCTCCTTCGGCCACACTCATTCGATCATGTCACCAGAGCACACTTGTCAGGGGGCCCCAGTAGAAGCACGACAGCCATGCCAGGCCTGCTACATCATCATCTCGAGACAGATGGAACTGGATCAGTCATCAGCTGGGCTTCAAATAAACCGCCCAATGGCAGGCGCCGAAGCTCTCCTATATCTAGCCCAGTTGGACGTCCAACTAAGTTCGTCCTAGATATCCTCGCCTTACATCACCCCAGCGATGAATCTGACCTGTCGTAGCGCAAGCACAGCAAGATCTTCTTCAACCATGGCCGGGGAATATCCAGCCCGATCGGAGCAACGAGAAGCGTTACTTAATAGCCAGACAGCAGGCTTTTGGTGAGTAGGAATGCCGGTGCACGAGCTATTGCTGACTGTCATAGGCCCAGCACCATCAAACTATCGCTATCCCTTGGAACTTGATGTCAATGGTCCCACCCCGGGTCCATCGATGCCACCAGCAATCGATCCGCACACTAACCCTTGGACTGTACATCAGCGCCGCCAGGCCGCCAGCAGTAACAACAGCTCATATGATCTGCAGCAGCGACCCAATCGACGTCAACGTCCGCCGTCTGGTCAGCCAGAAGGCCAGGGTTGTACGGACACCCCTCGCACAGATCCACCAATTCAAGGTGACGACGCCCGACCGACAACGTCGACCACCACAAGCGTTCCTGCTAGACTACTACCAGAAGAGCGACGTCAGGAATAGCAAGTGCGCCGTTCGACTGGTCGCAAACGCTCCACGGGAAGATCGTGAGCAACGGGGGACACATCGGGGTCTTTGCGGTAATCCTTTCGAAAGACTTGCAATGCCTTTTAATCGTCCAGAATCAGTACCGGTGTACATGAGATACATTGCGGCGCGAAAGAGACTCTTATATATTTGTACTACTACGGGTTGTTGTGGTCGATAGTATGGGTGCGAGATAGTCCCGTAGAAGTCGATTGTTGGGTTAAACGTGACGACGGACGAGATTGCCGATCTGGTCACGTTCTCCACTAGATCTTGACGAAGGACGAGAGCATATTGGGACGAATCCGGGGACAGGCCAAAGACACCAATATCACGACACACTCTTTCATATCATCTTGGCCCGAACTTCCATACAAACGCTACATAGTCAGAACATATCGACAGTACCATTGATCAGGTCAGCTGAAGGCCGCTACATATCATCTTTATCCTGAGGCCGAACGGAGATCTCAACATGCTGCACGTGCTGGGGTGCAGGAACCACAGCTTCGCTCCAACTCGTACCTGCCATGCTCTCCATGCTCGACTATTTGGCCCACGTTTGGCATCTTGCAAACTTTGGAGATCGTAGATGTCGTTTTTCGAAGGTTGCGTATGCTCATCCAATCGCACCACAAAGCCAATCACGGAACCTCAACTCTCTGCCACGACAGCGGTACCATTACAACCAGCAGAGCAAGTACCAGTACCGCGATTGCCGCACCAATCGTCACATACGTTGTTGCACCAGTCACGCGTTCGATTGGAGGAGCCCGCGACGTCTGCTCTACTTGCAACTCCTGTATAGTCTTAGGCTGCCCACGTCTCCGGGTATTTAGTAGTGCCATCTTCGCATCGCCGGCTTGCAAGGAAATGCACATTGTGGCCGAGTGCTCGCCATTGGTAAATGCGTTGATACGCACTTCATTGCGTGCATATCTGCGCAATGTCCTGAGAAAGTCCCTGTATTGCCTTAAGCAGTCCGTCTTGGTTCCGACGATGTTGAACAGGTAGTTGTTGTATAGGTATCCACTTGTCTCCTGGTTGAGAGCTCGGCAGACGCGCAGTAGCGCCGTGGGTATGGCTTTCTCGGACGGCAGGAACACGCCGAGGTTGTCGTCCAGTGCTTGGATATATAATTGAGCATCGTTCGGGAAGGAATGTGTGTAGATGACATGCCTGATATCGTATGGAAGAGCCAGAAGGCGACTTTGAACGTTCTTTTCCTGCATTGCTTTATTTTGTAGAAAGGATGAGGCGTGTGATTGTAGAAGATAAAGCAATATCTTGTAGAGCCTGGTACTCACCACATCCAGAAGAGCCACATATCCTTCCGATGGTGTCTGCCTTAAGCGATCAGCAACAGTCTTTTTTGTTGCGACAGTCACACCCACCAAGCACAGACCAAGTCTTGAGCTAGGAGACAACGTGGTAACGATGAGATACGGTAAATTCAGAAACGTGCTTGATCTCTGTCGTATTACATAATTATCACGCCCTGCGCTGTCCGGGGGTATCACGACGACAAGAATTAGAAGCAAGTCCACCTTATAACGCCTTGCTATGATCACGCTTCAACAAAGCAAAAGATCATCATTCCACATAGCGTAGAGACCTCCCCTCTGCGTCCATCTCTTCCGATGAGATCCTGTCCAATGCTCTCGAGCGACGTCTGCCCCGTATCTGCTCCTCCTCGATCTCACTGGCCTGCTGTCCGCCTTCGGCATATGATGAGCTTGCTGTCGATTTGATCGATTCCAAACTTGGTCGCCTTTGCTCGGAGAGCTTCGATGTTGGCGTGTAATGTTGTGCCCTTGGCTGCCCGGAAGGTGTATAACAACCTCCATGAACACTACTTTTGGCCGCGCGGGTGCTAATGGTGGTGCCAAAGGCGAATTTGGGCTGCTGATAGCTCTGTCGTCTGGTCTCGGGCGGAGACTCATAGATAACTGGCAGTGACGTTGGCGAGTCGAACATATGGACTTCGCTATTTCGCTTACTGTCGTCGCTGTCCCAACACGACAAATCAGTTGCCGGAGAGTCGTACAGATCGGAAGAGAGCGAGTGTGTGGAAGTTGAGAAAGCGCTCGACTTGGACGCCGTTGAGCTGTCGGAATTGCTTCGTCCCAGACTTTCTGCGGCACACTTAGCATGCATATCATCCTCCAGTAGGCCATGCAGATGGCATTCATCGAGGGATGGCTCTTCGGTAACATTTGCAAGACCGAAGTCGAATGCGGCAAAAGCAGCAGTGTCGGACGCATCCGATGCGCTGGCCACAGACAGCACACTTTCCCGGAAGCCGGACTCTCTTTCGGCGTCGGCGCCATTGCCGTAGCCTTCTATCATGATCTCGCAGAAGGACCCAGATGAAGGCGTCTTGGACAATGGCTGTGCTTGGGCAGCGGGTCGGATACTATTATGTCTTGACACGCTGCCCTTGAATGATCTTTGCAAAGCATTGACGCCAGAGTGGACAGTAGATCGTATAGAGGCTGTTGTAGAGAGCTGCGTCGTGATCCGCAATGGTGCAGGTGTCATATCAAAGCTCTGCACAGATGCTTGGCGTGACACCGCCTGGCTGGAGAAGTAGTCCTCAGCATTATCAGCCTCGCAATCCGGATGTATGGAGAGCTTCTCCTCGACGTCTTCCACAGTAAGTGGCTGAAGCATGGTCGAGTTGGCCACAGGCAGCTTCACATTTCGGGTTGTGTCCGCAGCAGTCTCTGTCAGCCAACTCGGTCCCCCAGCAGTAAGCACGCATAATGGGTAAGATGGTCCCTCAGTATCCCGAAGCTCCTTTGGAGCACGTGTGATGCTGATGAGCATCTGCAACACGCCATAGATAAGAAGCCAGCGCACCTTGCGAGCCTCGGCGGGTGAGATCTTCTCTTCGAGTCTTTTTCGCTCAAACCGTTGGTACTCTGCCACGAGCTCACACCCCATCACCTCTTGCACAACAGCGTTCGTTGCATTCTCCAGAGTCGCTCTGGTGCTGGCGTGCTTGTCCTGGTATGAGCTGGACCGCCCGAGCTTGAAGCCACGAAGACCTCTTGGCTGTTCACAACTTGCTTGCGGCAAAAGTGGTAGTGGATGTGGCAGAGGTGTGTAACCATGTCGGGCGTCAAAGGCCTCCACATTCTGCACGACGCAGATGCCGCCAGTCATCCATCGAGTGTCGACCGCGTCTGGGTCCGCCTCGTTATCGACCAGAAAGACATACAAGGTCTGAAAGGCGTGGTACATCTTCGTCCATAAGCGTTTGTTCCAAGGTCCTTCCTCGTCAGGTGGGAAGTATCCCAGCTTGTCAACATAATAGTTGTGCAGAAAGCTTCTGAAGCGCTCGAGGTGATCTCTAGCCGGCTTCGATAACCCAAGATTCTCCAGTCCAAGCTCTTCTTCCAAGAATGATCCGAGAGCTCGTGTGACCCGGGCGATGTGCAGGTCCATCTCTAACGATGCTCTAGTGACCAAAGCTTTCGTGGTGTTCGAGAGGACTTCGTACTCATGACTGCTGCTCAAGCGGTCGCGCATACCAACACAATGCACAAACGATTCCACCCACAGATCCTTGAATTTTGCGCTCTCGGCAAGATGAAGGCATGCTAGAGAGTGACCGGGATTCTCGGTCATATCCGTGTAACCTTGGTCCTCACAATAGCTTGTGAAGTTGGCGAGCGCCGCAGTCCTAGGCAGCCATTCTCGTACGCGCTGGAGCAAGTCTAAAAGGGCAACACCAAGCTTCTCACCAACGAGTGGTTGTTTCGTAGCGTAGGCGAAGAAGTTCCTCGTCGTCAAGTGGTATGCGAATGCTTGATCCCGAGTGAGGTTGGCAGGGGCGGGAATGTATAGATCGCATCGGTGCGGACGAGAGCGGCTAATGTGTGCTGCGGCACATGCGCTGTCTGAATCGCCAACGCCAACCTTCGACGGGCTTGAAGGTTCTCGCACGAAGAGGCATTCGTCTTGCAAGTAGTCACAACGCAGAGCCTCGATATCAGCGAACCAGAGACGAAGGCTTGGCCCTCGTTGCGATCCGCCTAGAGTGTAAAGATGTATCAAGCAGTCCGCATCGTCAAACCATAGCTTGGTATCCTGAAACAGTGTCAGTGAACTCCGCCTTGACGACCAGTATATGTCACACACCTTGCGAAGCCCATCCCACTCGTTCGAGGACTTCTCGGCTCCATTGAAGTGGCGTACGGACCCACGTCGTCTTGATGGCGTCGTGGGTGGGGATGATGAGGCGAGTCCGGTGATACTGCCAAGGCTTTCCATTGTTACTGTTCGGCGTCCAGCGCTCGTGTGAATGTTGGTGGCTAGTAGGAATGCTGTCCCAGCATATATGAGTCGGTTCTATGCAGTCGGGCAGCCACCTCTATCCTCCACGCCTTGATGAGCACTATGCAGACAAACGCTCATGCAGGATTACCCCAGAGGCCGAGAGCTACCACATGTACCAGCATAGAAGGGTGTGACCAGGCTCCAGGCACGGCCTATAGGAATGTTGATGCGCTGATGTACGTATGCATACGCAATCGCAACCCCGAACGAAGGGTCACTGTATACGTAGGTGACGCGAACAGGGCCGGCAGCCACGATATGGAGGCGCTCGACTCGACAGCTTGACCATGCCGTACCCTTGCAAACCTGCTGAAGCCGGCTGGCGCTCGGGCAATGATGCACTTTACAGTATAGCGCGCCAATCCCAACGGCGTTTAGGAACGAAGTGGCAAGGCTCGAGCGTGGAGTAGCAAGCCGCAAGCCACATCGTTCAGTGGCCCAAGAATAACTTGATTTCTCCGCACTTTGGGATCGACATTCAGCGCCATGGCAGCTCTCAAGGGCATTGTTGGTGACGGTTTTCAGCGCCTCGCAGCCCAGCCTTGCAGGAGGACTTCGGAAATTCCAGTTGAGGACCGATGCACGCCTTGGTCGGCTTGCAGAATGGCAGGGATATGGATTTGAATGCAGCACACTAGCGCCCGTCCAGTGCCCGCTTTCTGGGAACTGCTTTCAGTGTGCTCCCTTTCGCGCCAGCCTCAAGTAAAGCATGATGAGGATATGCTCGCATTAAAAGAGCTGTTGAAGGCGGCCATTGAAATGTCGGTATCTGGCGGGGTGATAGCGGGCTTGGGGAAGTTATCAAACCCAGCATCATACGTTGCTGTAGAAGACGACTGCGAACGGGCCACCTCGGAGTATTTTCATCGCTTCGGGCGAGCTTATCTCGCCCAAATGTACGAAGATGGCAGAATGGGGCGTTCTCATGGCGCTGGCTGGACGATCGCGGGCTGAATCAGGCTGGCTGTCACGACATCGCTACCAAAGCCATAGCCATGTACAATCGAAGTGTACTTCCACGATCGCACATGGAAAGGTAAAGTCGCCACTTCGATTCGTTCACACTCGGAACTCTTGACTCCGCGATGTCCATATCCGAAGCAGATTGTCCGACGAGCGATCGTCCCGACCTGCATGAAGCTGCCGATCAGTTCGAAGCTATGAATACCAAGCACGCCGATCCGGTATGTGCCAGCTGCGTGCACACCATCGACCTGAGTTGTCCATCTGCCCAGCTCGAGATTTGGCCACGAAAGCCTATCGACATTTCTGCAGGTCATTCGAGAATTGCAATGCGCGCCCGCTCCCGCCTCCCAAATTCACGTTGTCAGTGCGCGGCTCAAGTGACATACTGACTTCTGTCACCTCGAATGTCGGCGTCACGATAACGATATAGATAAACTCATGCTCGTCATCAACGAAGTGGAGAATCGACGGCACATCCGCGCGGCAGGAAACATCGACATCTCCACTGTCGGTGCAAACGATGCGAAACCGCCGCGATTCTGAAAGTGTATTTGCCCAAACAAGTCCCCGCATAGGATTTGAGTCATGTCGGCAATACACGTGCAGCGCGAATACTGGTTATAGGAACTGCAGGTCGCACTTGCGTCTGGTTGAGAAACGCTTCTGCCTCCTTTCCTCTTCCATACGAGGCTGTCCTTGTGCCTGGATATCATGATGGACATGCACAATGCCATAGCAAGCAAGTGCACACTACGAATGCAACGTCAGGACGAACAAATCTTGGTTGACTGCAGCTTGCCGAACTCGCCATGATCCTTGGCCATGGTATCGGGATGGACTGCTTTTTCCCGACGACAGCACATTCGAGAGCTAGCTGGAGTGGTACACTGCACCACTGGTGCAACGTGATCTCACGTGCGATGTGAAGGACAGTGCGTGATGCAGACCTTTGGGTCAACGTGTACAAGGTGCATTTCACATGCTCTTCTTGCTGGTACAGAATCGCCATACTCCTCGGCTCTCTTCGATGTGCCTGTGCGCTTTTGCATCTTTAGCATAACTCCGACCAGCCTCCTTGGCTTGCGATCTTTATCGGAATTTTCGCCGTTGATGAGCTGGGCCCGACTACGTGGAGGCAACCACTTCGGCCATTCCTGGTAGCAAGCTCGCTAGTGATGTGTAACGAGCTGTTCTGGCTGATACAAATCAAGCCTTGGTGTTCTGACATCAGGGCTAGATCGAGCTTGCCAATCACGAAGCAATCAAAGAAGGACTGTCAACCAGCAGCCGATAAGCTGCACCACGAGCACCCATGCAATGAATTCCACAGCCAAATGGACTCGAAACTGTTAATGCCGACTCAAATTGGTCAATAAGGTCTGTATTTAAGCACGAGGAACGAATTCAAGACTTCTAGTTGTTCCGCTACTTCCTAATTCTTGCAATGGGAAAACGACTACGAGTTGATGTACTATGCAGAAAGGATGGTAGAAGCATTGTGTGCATTGTGCTAAGTGGTGAGAACTAGCTCATGAGCACGAAGCAATCAAAGCATTCGTGCTGCTTGACCCCGTGTGATCTTGTTCAAGAGTTCGCATCAGTGTCAAAATCAGATCGTTGACCACGGCGCTGTTCAAAACTCTCTTCAGCTGTTCGAGCTCGAACAAATTGTTGTAGAGAGCAGATCTTAGTGATCAAAGTTGCCGTTGAATAAGCCTCTTCTTGCCTGGACTGCGTACGAGCGCAATGGTACAATGCTTCGTGTGAAGCTTCCAGTCGATGCAGGGTGCGCTATCCAGATGCAGTTCAGGTCCTTGGTGTCTTGGGTGCGTATGTATAAAGCTAAAGCACTCCTTGGTCCTCCTTGGCGCCTGCCTATAGGAGTATGTGAAGGCCATACACTGCTCGAAGCCGCAAATGCCTAATGTAGCCAATGGGCGGTGCCTGCCACCGGGCGCCAAAGCTTTATCTACACTTCATAGCAGGTCAAGGTCTCTTCGCTTTGCATTCTCCGGTACACGTATTGCGTGCATGACTCTCAACTAATTGAGCATGTCTTTTGGCAGATCAGCGTCGAGAGATTATAGTATCGCGCAGGGGCAGACTAGAGTGTAAGGGGCAGAGTCTGTTGGCTTGGGCCCTGACGCAGTTCGTGTAAAGACGTAGGCCTAGGCTGCATCCGTAAGGAGAGCATTCCGGTAAGCAGGTCGATGTCATGTTCAGGGTCGTACCATATCCATCGCCACGGTGTCGTGCTGGAAAAGCTCAGAGATCAGGTAAGATCCACCAGCCAGCTCCACCAGATCTCGGTGATGGCAGCTTTGACAAGCAGGAATCCTCCGCATCAGGTGTAATTCCTCGGCAGCAGAGCGCGGTCGTCACGCATACATAGCACCCACTATGACCCTATCCTCCCAACCCCAGCCCCGGGAAACCTCCTAGCACTCAACAATACCCCTTTCACACCTCTAATCTCCTTCTTCAAATCATCCATAGCGGTATGCTCGACAGGCTTAGCAGCCGTCTTCGTTGCATCTTCCGAATCGCCCCATAGACTGCTCATGGGACTACCGTAAATCATCATGTCAAGCTGGTGTCGCAGCTTAGTCATGTTGTCCTTCCTCTCGATGTTAGAAGACTTCGAGCGTTCCAGACCTTCGGTCAGTTCGTTGAGATGAGAGCTGATGCTGCCCAAGTCTTTGACGTGGTGCTCAACGGATGTGACCTGGCTAGCTGTGCCAGCACCGTCAACGAATGGATCCGAGGATCGTCTGGATGGTAGTGGTGAGGTTTGAGTCCCCATGTCGCGATTATAGAGCTCTGTTGGATCCGAGGTGACACTCTCGACATCGTCGGCCTCAATCTCTGGCGTCGGTAGCGCAGGATGAGGTTCAGGTACCTTGCTTACGATCTTCCTCAAACGCTCGTTGAATTCGTCTACTTTGCTTTGGCTGTGATTGGCGAAATCATGTCGTGCCCCGGTCAGGCTGTCTGTCATGGGTTTGACGAAGAAGTTGCTTGCGCCGTAGAAGAGAGTGGCCAGTCCAGCAGCAAAGTAAGTTGCGCCGATCAATCTTCCTGGCGTTATCAGTGGTGGTGGTTTGTGTGCCTCGACCAGGAATTCTGGGTAGGTGATAATGGGAGGTGTGTTAGCCGAAGCTTGTCGTTGCGCTGCAGCTTGTGTGGGTTGACCTTGTGGTGGTCGACTTTGTTGGAATGACGTGAAGTCGGCTGTCGTGAAAGCACGGGTGGGTGTACTTTTCGGCTTGATCACCTGGTCGATGGTCTCCACCGGTATCTGCTTGCTTTCCAGGAAGGCACGCTTCTTGTCCACGGACTCATCTTTGACCTGTGGGTCTGCAAGGAATGCCTCGACCATCTCGAGTTGTGCATCGCTGTGCTCTGGCGGAAACGAATCTTCCATATCTGTGGACTCATCTACTTCAGCTACTCCTTGCTTGTTCTCATCTCTAATGTCAACATCTTCCACTCCGCCATTTGCTTCCTTTGCCGACTCTTGCTTCGCTTGCAATATGGTCGACGGCTTGCCTCGTTGCCATGATGGAATGGATGGTTTGCCAGAATTGGCAGGCATGGTGTTCTATGGTGGTCACGACTTATTACCCACTCGTAGCCCTCTGTCAAATTACGACCCCCTCCCGAGATGCATCCAGTATGCCATTATTGAGCACTCAGAAGCGAATACGTTATGGGAGAGCTATTGCATGTGAACCTCGGTCCGCGACGCCGATCACGACGCCGGCCAGTGAATTCGGTCCTCGATCTCATTCGTCGCTGGATGTAAAGTACATGTAATGCAGGAGCAAGACTATGTTAATATAGCCATCCTCATCTGTCGCTGCACATAGGACGACCCGGCGACCAGCATGAACTATCAGGACAGCAACAAGCGATTCAAAGCAGCCAATGGCGCGCCGGTACCCATCAAAAGCCCAGCAGCAAACTTGCCGGCATATCAACCACCAGCACCTGTAAGCGTGGGAGGACGCGCCAGCAGCAGCGGGTGAGTAAGCCATTCATTTTCCTCCTCCAGTGTGCCTTGCTTGGATTGGATGTCCTTCGAGACGTGGTGTTTTGGGTCTGTCGGGGTAGGCAGCCACGTGGTCCCAGTCGTACTGCGACGATGACGGTAGGCCGTTCCTTCCAACACAGCGGTCGCGCAATCTGGGACGCGGCAGAGTAGGAGCGAGGCACGCGTGACGTACATTCATGTGTATGGTCCGATTGGAGAACATTCCACGAGCAAGCCACGATCCAAAAGAAGGGAGCACCTCACAGTCAGACCCACGACGACAACATACACCAAGAGACCACAGCTATGCCTCCAACCCGCCGGTCCACTCGCACCGTCTCTTCGATCAATACTCGTGCAATAGCGCAGCCATATATAACACATACTAACACACGTACTAGCAGCACAGCCAATCTTTCGGCCTCCGTCGACCGCTCCAGCAACGGTGCTAAGCCAGGATTACGTTTGACCGTCAAGGCACCACCAAGCAAACTCCGCCAAGCCACGTCTAGCTCGCAACAAGCTCCCATACCACCCAATCCATATGCGGACGGGCTCAGCGAAAGTGATGCCACACCTGCGCCTGCCACAAGAACAGCCAGGAGTACCAGGAACCCAAAGGCAGTCATCGAGCCAGAGAGCGAGGACAACGACGAAGATGCCGAAGACGAGGAGGATGACGTGGAGGTGGAGGACGACATCGATCAGGAACTGCTAGCAAATGAGGACGATGACGAGGACGAGGACGTCGACGCTGAGGGAGACGAGGACGAGGAAATGGAAGATCACCCTCCGCCACCCGTGATCAAGCAAGTCATGGCTCAGAACGGCAGACCGAATGTCACAGTCACGGCACCTTCAGAAGGCCCGCTGAAATCAGTTGAAGCCAAAGAAATGGATGACGACGAAGACGAGGAGCTTTCTGAACTCGAAGAAGGCGACGTGAACGAGCTCGAAGGTGATGGTGATGAAGATGACGAGGAAGACGATAGCGGTGATAGTGATGACGATTCAAGAAGTGCCACTCCAGATCTCACCAAGCTTACCCGACGCCAACGTGGTCGCTACGAGGAAACAGACGCCAGTCTTATGGCTTTGAGTAATGAAGCGCTGAAGAAGAAGCATTTAACTGCCGAGGAACATGCTATGAGGCGTGCCGAGATGGCAAGACGGAGGAAGAATTTGTCCGAGAAGAGGAACGAAGAGGAAAAGGTATGTCTTCCCTCCTTGCCGAATGTTAAAAACTTATATTGATTGAATGCGCAGGCGGATACAATCAACAAACTTCTCTCGAAGCCAGCCCCGAAACGCCGTACCAGGGCCGAGATCATCGCGGCGCAACATGCGGAGGCTATGGGTACGCCAGGAGCTGAGAATGGCGAGTATGAGAGGCCAGACCCGCTGTTCACAAGGTATGTGCAGGATAGGAGTGGGGCAAGGCTCGGTGTGCCTGAAGAGTGGCTAGAAGCACCAGTCGGGCAGATCTTCAGGAGACTTGGGGGAGGCAAGATGGTTGAGGAGGTGGCTTGAATCAATGGTCGGCCTAGTAAGTAGAAAAATTGGGATGCAGGCCGTCCTGGTAAAGTTGACCTTCGAGTCTGTACAGCTTCCTTATACCCATATACACCGTCTGTATAAGCTCCAATCAAGGCTACGCTCGTGTCCAGTAAAATGTAAAGCAATAACCGCATCCCCCAAACCATGACACGTAATGGGCTCGGTTGGCGAGTTTAGTTGTACTTCTCGGTGGTCGTTCTAGTACGGCAATATGACAGACAAGTCCACGATATATCAGGAAATGCAGTTGATTATCCGTTCCTTCTTTTGTTATGAATGTGTTATGAGAAAAGAAGAAGAGATCGTAGTGGAGTGATGCTGGTGAAGACTTGCGACTGCGGGCGCCAAGACGGAGATGGGGCCTGTGCGCTTTGCGGATGTTCAATCGAATTTCTTCTGCAGAAGTTCTGAGCATGAACATCAACATGCAGTTGGCCACAGGAAACATGTGCAGTATGCATGGAGCACATACCCAAGCGACCAGGGCACAGAATGACTCTGGTACAAGGCTCAGACTGTAATGGTAGGTGATAGTCCCGGACGTTCAACGAACAAACACAAATATATACATACCACGATTTGCCTGCTAGCTGGCTCCTGCAATAGCCTTCAATGCATACTTCATCAATCAGTGGAAGAGCAACCCTCGGTTCTACGGGGCGGTGTAAGCAGCACCGCGTCTTCTCCACCCTTCTGCGATTTGATATCTGTGATGCAGGAGGACTAAATATATGACGGACACTCAATTGAAATTCATAAAAAGCCGATGTTCTGGTTGGACGCAACGTTGAGCACTGCATGCTCGTATGATCATTTTATCGTATGCTATCTGCTAAATCTGTTGGCTTTGAGGAGCCTAACCTAAGTAGCGTCGAGTGTTGTGGCGCCATTGCGAATGGCGGATGGCACCGAGCGAGTCGTCTAGCAAACTGTCGTATCTTTCATCCCCGACCCATAACGTCTTCACCCTCCCACCTCAGTGTTTCTCCGCGCTCGCCGGCATACTTGGCAGCTCTTTCATACTCTCCTCAATAATCCTCAGCGCCTCTTTAATCTGTTCCTCGCTGATCACAAGCGGCGGCGCCATGCGGATGATGTTCTGATGCGTAGGTTTGGCCTGCGAAGAAGACGCGTCAGCGTCTTGATCCAGCAAACTTGTTTCTTGAACCGCCCCGCCAGAACCATGTCCATTGCTGGTGGAGGAAGAGGTGTTCTTGACGTGGGCGATCTTCAGGGCGCGGCCTACCAGTAGTCCTTTCTCCTTCATCAACATGCATAGATCCCAGGCGCTGTGGCCGTTCATTTTCGTCTCGTCCATTATCATGGCGTTCAGCAGGCCTTTGCCGCGGATGAGTTTTATCATCGGATCGCGGGACTGGATGTCCCGGAGACCTTGGCGGAAGAGTTCACCCAACTTGTCCGCGCGCTCGGTGAGCTGTTCCTCCTCTACGATTTCGAGGGCTTTTATTGCCACGGCACTGCCGAGAGGGTTGCCGCCGTATGTGCTGCCGTGGGTACCGGGCTCGATTGTGAGCATAATGTCTTTGCGGCCGAGAACGCAGGAGACGGGGTACATGCCACCGCTGATTGCTTTGCCCAGGAGTACGAGATCGGGTTTAATGCCGCTCCATTCGTGGCATAGTAGTCGGCCTGTTCGAGCGATACCGGTTTGGATCTCGTCGCAGATCATGAGGACGTTGTGCTTGTCGCAGAGTTCTCGTACGCGCTTCAGGTAGTCGTCGTCTGGTACCACAATACCTGCCTCGCCTTGTATCGGCTCGACCAGAAAACCTGCCGTCTCCTTGCCGTGTGCATCGAATGCCTCCTCTACTGCCTTGATATCGTTGTAGGGTATCGCCTTCTTTGTTGCTGGACATACCGCACCCACACCTGGCAGATATGGGCCGTAGTTGTCTCTGCTTTCAGGGTCTGTCGACATTGTAATCGCGGCGAATGTCCTGCCGTGGAAGTTTTCCTGCACACTGAACACTAAAGCCTTGTCCTTGGGAATGCCCTTCACCTTGTAGCCCCATTTTCTTGCGATCTTGACACCAGTCTCGACAGCCTCCGCACCAGTGTTCATGGGCAATACCATGTCAAACCCCATCATCTTCGTGATCTTCTCGGCAAACTTGGGAAAGACATCGTTGTAGAAGGCACGACTGCTAAGTGTTAGACGGCCAGCTTGCTCAGTCAATGCCTGGATGAGCTTTGGGTGACAATGGCCTTGGTTGACGGCGGAGTAGGCAGAGAGGAAGTCGAGGTAGTGCTTGCCTTCCGGATCCCATACTGAGCATCCGGAGGCCTTGGCGAAGACGATCGGAAGTGGATGGTAGTTGTGAGCAGCGAACGAGCTCTCGGCCTCCATGGCGGACGTTGAAGAGTCGGCATGATATGCGGCCGATGAAGTGGAAGTCTGGGAGCTGGGCGTGAAGGCGGCTGCTTTGGCATTGAGTGTGCCGTTGGCGTTGCCGTTGGTATGCTCGTCGATGGCGCTGGGAGCCATGTTGACTGATTTCCGTATTTTCCTTGTTATTGTGTATGCTGTATGTGTCAGGTTGAGAGTCTGATATGATTGACTATCAATAGGAAGTAGTAGGAAAGACGATACAGGAAAGTAGGATAGAAAGAATGTGATCTTGACTTTCCTTTACGATGCGCAAGGGACTCGCCTACCCCACCAAGTGAGGGTCGAGATATCCCGCCACTTCTTCCACGAAGGTTGGACCTGTACTTAACGGCAAGGCGTGGTGCGTCTAGTGATATTGATTGAAGCTTATTGTTGAAATGAGCCGCATTATCTGGCCTCCGCTTATAATCGGCATTGCGAGTACAGTCATTGGTCTGCGACTGTGCCATCTTCTTGGCATCGACATTCGCCTCTTTGACCTCTGCTCTAGGCACATCACTCCGTTTTCGGCCCCGGCGGACGACTGCAGGAACGTTCGCAGGCGGATGTCAAAAGCGTCGTTGCCAACACTCATTACCATCACGTCTGGCCAGTGTCTACTGCTCTTGCAGAGTCGCATCGTGGCAGCTCAGCTCCAGCAAGTGTCATCACGTCCCGGCTACCGTACGACATCGCGACATCACGCTGGCTCGGTGGCAGGTCGGAAAGATAGTCGTGTGCAGACGAAATGAGAAGTTACCGTCTGCTAATGTCAAGGATAATGGCCGCGCTGTTTCGTCGATCACAACGCCGTGCTCGTATGGTCATGCGAATCCGAAGGGCTGCTTAGGCCATAGCAGCTGGCGAGCGGCCTCACCATGATTGGCTGGACTCCGTTCGATCGTATACTGTCACCTTCACCAGCTCACATGGCGCCGTCAAGAGTTGATGCCACACGGTCTACCCGCAGCCCACCCCAGACCTGACATGGATGCTGCGCCAAACAGTCATAGAACAAAAGGTAGAATACCACTCCTTCTTTGCCCGTCTCTACCCAGCTCTGTTCACAATTCCCGTGCCGTCGTTTCAGATTACCACATTGGTCGCATAACTATTAGAAATATCATGCCTGCCCACAACGACCAGAACACAATCCTGGTGGCCGAACACGAAGTCCACGGCATTCGAACTGGCGTCCAGGCATGGCTGGAGCGCCGCAGGGAGGTTGCAGGCACGAGGCGACGGCCCCAAGACAAGGCTATGGCCGTCCGGGAAGCCACCGGCGCCTCTCTTATGCTGGATATGGGCGCGGCACCCGATCCTGACCTTGTAGGAAGACCTTCTGGCCAACCACTGAAGCCTTTGATTGTGCTCGATCGACCTTACGCACCATGCGCCAGCGATGTCCCTGATTTGAAGCCTCTTAGGCTTACAGAACTGCGAATGGAGACGCACCACCGAGGCTTTTACCTGGAGGCCAGGCGGATCAGTCCTGTGGTGTCTCTTACCGTACGATCTTGGATTATAGCGCAGGATGAGGATGGTGAGGTCGAGCGTCTTGAGGTCTACTTACACACCGGAGTTGACGATGGCAATATCCTGGAATCTGCTTCTGGTTTCTTCATCAAGGAGCCATACCTCACTATCAATCGAGAAGGTCATACAGTGTTGAGAATCGATCATCCGACTGATCTGATAGCATATGAGCCTCATGGTGAGGCGTACGATGATTATCCTGGACCCTCGCGCGCGGACAGCCCGAATGAGGATTCTGCCGGCACAGAGGATGTGATCCTGTGGCTCAAAGGCAAAGGTAATGCGGCTCTCAAGCAGCGGGATCTTCACAGCGCACTCACGCTCTACTCGAACGCTTTGGCAACGAGCAGTGACTCGCGAGGAGCAGTCTTGTCCAGCCTCACGAACGCCATCCTCCGCAATCGTGCTCATGTCAATCTGTTGACAGGTCGATTTGAACAAGCCAAGATGGATGCCCTCGCCTCCTTGGCAGCAGCTCCCGATGAGATGGACAAGCATCTGAACGCAACGGCTTACTTTAGGGCTGGATGTGCAGCATATCGGCTCCGTCAATTTGAGGAAGCCACTCGGCTGTTTACCGAGCTACAAAGGCTCACGCCTGACGATACCCAGGCCGATTTGTATCTGCTAAGGATTGCGATGCGTCTCAAAGAACAGGCGACCGGCCTATACGGTTTCGGCCGTCTTCGAAGTAAGTATCGGGGCGCCGCAGAGTTGGTCGATGCTGCGGACTATGTTGTGCAGACCGTGGTCCGACACAGTGCTGGCAAGGGACGTGGCTGTTTCGCGAAGCATGATCTTGCGACTGGGTCCGTGGTGATATGTGAGAAGGCATTTTGCGTTGCAAGACCATGCTGTGGGCAAGTCAGAACTGCACTCACGTACGATACGCGGGATGACCAGATTCGTGCTTTCCCCGTGGGTTTGGTCAAGGTACTTGCCGAGAAACTGGCGAAGAATCCTAGTTGCATTGCCAAAATCATGGAGCTTGTGGGGGGACGCTCCAAAGACACAGGAATGCCCGTGGTCGACACATTCAGATTACATGACATCGTACGATACAATGCCTTCGCTGTTCCCCAAAGTGACGGTCAATCGAAAGAGGCCAGTACAGGGCTTTGGAGACATGCTGCGATGATCAACCACTCTTGTATACCCAACATTGAGCCGGAATTCATAGGTGATCTTATAATCTTTCGTGCTACTCGACCGATCAAGGCTGGCGAAGAGGTCCTCCATTGCTACGATGCTACGAGGGACTACAACACACGACGGACTGCCTTGAAGACTACATGGGACTTTGAGTGTAGTTGCGTGCTCTGCATGGCAGAAAGTGCAGATGATTTGGAGGTGAGGAAGCGAAGGGAGGAGCTGGCGAACAAGGCTGATGATTTTGTGCAGAGGATGTCGATCCCCGCCAAGAGACTTGCGATCGTGAAGGCGAGGCGCTTTATGAAAGCTATCAATGCCACTTATCATGAGGGGAGGTACGTTGGGCTACCTCGCACTGCTGCGAAAGCGATTGAGGCTTGGCTGGCTGCAGCTATAGCATGATGAGACAAGATCTTTAGCACATGTTGACGATATTGAGCCGAAGCTTGCAGCAAAGAAGCCTGCTGAAGATCGACAACGGACATGCTCAACGCTACCAGTGATTGAGCAGCCTTCGAGATTATGTGAGGGAAGCTGAACATCGCTTATGCGTAGATAATCTTCGATAATATGTACAAGCAAGCGATCGTGTAGCTGATTTATTGTTCTATTCTAATTCGATCATTACTCTTGATCGCATACATCTACAATTCCCTCTGCTCGACCGAGCCATGTGATTTGGCACCAAGGTCAACTGTGTCAAGACCACCCATCTCGGCCGCGAGCTCCCGTGATTTCTCAGTAGCAACGTCTCCGCCAAGAATAGCATCCTCACCATCGAAGTGCTTGCAGATCTCCTCGAGAGGAGTGTAGCGAGTCTCGATGTAGAAGAAGTAGACGACGCATAGCTCGACGGCGAGCCAGACGCAGTAGACGATGTAATACTTCCACTCGATGTCGTTGAGGGCGATTGGGTTGACGTACTGGTTGAAGAAGAGGGCGATGTCGACCATGAGAAACATGATGGTGAGACCCTTGGCACGGATGTTGTACGGGAGGATCTAGAATTCATGTCAGAACTCGTAGTGCAAAGATCGGGGAGAGGAGAGCAGTGAGATTGTTGGTATGGTCGTTAGAGGGCCTCGATCAATGGCCACCAATGAGCCTGATCCGGGCGCGGGCCTGGCCGGGTAGACTTCGGAGGCCCAAGCCCGGATAGTGCCGCGTTTGGCGTCCGCAGGCTATGGGTGACCATCTCGATGTTGATTGTGAACCATACCATGCCAACGAGCTCAATAAATGAATGAAACTTACCTCAGCACCATAACCGACGAGCAGCCCAGACCAAGCCATGTTATAGAACACGTAATAGATGTAGATCATAGCAATAACGGTATTACCCTCCGAGGCGATGTGATTCTTGGCAAACTCGCCAGCACACGCAGTCCAGATGATGAAGGCGCCGAGCATACCAGAGGTCGAGACAAGGAAGAGTGTGCGGCGGCCGAAGAGATCAACGACGAAGCACTGGCCAACGGCCACGATGAAGTTGAGGATCTGGAGGCAACCGTTGATAACAAGTTGGGTGTTGGAGTTCGTGATGCCGTTCTGCTTGAGAACCAGCGAGAGGTAATAGCTGGCCAGTCCATTCCCAGACCACTGGGAGAAGAGACCGAGCGTTAGCAGGATGAGAAGACGACGACGGTTGCCCTTGGTGCGGAACAGTTCCATCCAGCCGTTGCTCTCGTATTCCTTCTCAAGCATGATGGTATCCTTGATCTCCTTCAACTCAATGAGCACAACCTCGTCGTTCATGTCGCCGTTGGCATGCACCTTGGCGAGTGTGGCGTGAGCCTTCTCGACGTGGCCCTGAGCCACCATCCATCGAGGAGACTCGTCGACGAACCAGACGAAGGTCAATTGGAGAAGAGATGGTAGGGCCTGAATGATGGAAGGGACACGCCATGCCCAGTTGCTGCCAATGTGGTTGGTGCCGAAGGTTAACCATGCGGCGATGATCGATCCAGCATACCAGGTGGTGTTGTAGATCGTGGTGAAGATTGCACGATGCTGCGGGTGAACTAACTCAGTGATGAGCAGAGGCGATGCACCGTGGGCAATGGCGACACCGAAACCAAGGAAGAAGCGGGCGGCAATGACTAGTAAGACCATCAGTATGAACGTAGCAGGGTCTGGTACACGGGATACAACTTACACATGCGAAAGTTGACCGAGATGCTCTGGAGTACCACACCCAAGATCATGATAACACAACCAATGATGATACCATAGCGACGTCCCAGACCATCGGCGATGTATGGCACGAATGGAATAGCGCAGATGGAGCCGACGGACATGATAGCAGAGAAGAGACCAAGCATGGAGCCAGTTGGGTGGTGGAAGTAATTCTGCCACACATCCAGAGATTGAAGCCCGTTGACCATGGAGCCATCATAACCGTTAGTTGCAGACGTGAGGACTACAAACATCAAGCAGATGTAGTTGTTTCGCAGGCCTTTGTTGGTGTACTGTTCAACTAGTCAGTACCCCATCCCATGCCGGATTTGACGTCGTGGAATGCTCACCCAGGTGACAGCAGGAAATTCTCGCTCCGCCAAGCGGAAGGTACCCTTGGTAGGGCGATCCATTGTAGCAGATGCTGGGTAACGATCGTTGAAGGAGGACGGACTATCGTCCTGCGGGCGAAGCGATGGAAGGTGTTGAAACGAATGGAACTCGATGGATCAGGAAAGTATTTGGTGGTGAACACAGCATTTCATATATGACCAGACCATCGTCAGCATTTAACCGGTCCAAGCAATGCTACCGTACTCAAGGACTTTACAAACAAGCTCGCGGTACGGCGCCACCATCTCGACTGTCAGTAGCGTGGCCGTCAGCACGCCAGTTCCGTCTGGGCACGGGAAGTGATATCGTCTCGTTCGTGAAACGACTGCACGAGATTGGCTACAGGGCAGGGCAAAAGATGCCGGTCTCATGCAGCTCTCTTTCATTCGGCCAGGACTAGCCGTATCCGCTATAGCACGATATTGACTCCATTACTCCGAGTCTCCATTATTCTCCAGACCTTTGACCTTCGAGATGGGTGATTGATATCCACTTTTATGGCGACCTTTTCTGTTGTCTGAGCGTAAAGCTATGGCCGGGTAAATTCCACTCGCTTTATCCAGCGGTACTGAAATTGTAGCGACGTCGTAAGCTCGCAGCCTTATCGGTATCAAATTGCGTGATCCGTAACACACCCGCAGCGAAGTGAGCTTTGTTGAGACAGCGGATAGCACGGCAAGCAATCGCTTCGACAAAATGTCCTCACGCGGCGCAGTCAACGAAAGAAGTGCAAAGTCGTGCCCCATTGATCGGCTGACTGGAGAACTTGGAGTATCTCCGTTATGGTCCCACTCTCCAGCCGCTCAAGAAGCGGGTCTCGCGAATTGCAAGATGCGAACAGACCCGCAACCCACGTGTATCTGGAGTAGTCGATACAGTGGAGCAATCCTAGACCGTCAATATCTCGCCACCAAAGCTCTCGTGATGGCTGCCCGAATCTCGTTGTCACCGACATGGACTTCTACGATTTTTGAGAGGTGAAGTCACGATGCTGCGGCTCAAAAAAGGTTTCCAGAGTGCCAAGATTCTCGTTTACGCGCGTGGGAAGGCTTGTGCAAGCCACTTCCGTGTGGTTGGGCTGACGGGAGATGCAAAGTACCTTGGTACCTCATAGTTCTATGACAACTGCACAAAAGCACCTTGAACCTTTTAACCACGCGCCTCGGCATATGCGTAAGGAAGAAATGATCTTCGATAGGCCACAGACCCCACTATCACGGCTCGTCCGATTTACGACCATTTGATCCGTGAGTCAGAAGTCGCCACTCATGGTGTGAATGATGTCCATAAGCAGCACTTGCCTGGCGGACAAGCAAAATGGGCGAGTTCCAGAAGGTCTCGTGCCTTGTATGCATTCCAGGACCTTACGAAAGACAATGCATGCGAAGTCCGAGAGCCTCTTTGGTAAGGCCCACAAGCGACCGATGTCCAAACAATACAGGCTAAATCGAGAATTGTACTCTGGCGCTCGTGCAGTACATGCCACTCCTCGATGTGAGCTTCTAATCTCTGTAGTGCACACCCGCACTGCGGATCCTGTAAGCTCTACGCAAGGAATTGGCCACTCGCCCGGAAACGAGCATGTTCTGAAGTTCTTCGTATGCTCATTGACATCGCATCCCACACATCGCATCCTGTTGTGCTTTTCCCAGAATCAGTGATGGCCAGGTTGTAATTGTGCGTGCACCGCTTGTAGGGGAGCGATCTGCGTCCTGTGCCACCCTATAGATATGGTGACAACGACGACTTCCAGATTGTGAACCACGGCGCAATCTGCTCCCAACATCAGTACTTGAATGGGCCGCGGTGCGTGTATTGCATACGCTTTTGTTGCGCATCGGCACTAATCATAGCACCAGGTGATGATGTCGTACGTTCACCAGTAACGTACCATTATCCGGTGTATGAACGCCGAGTAATTTGGCGAAAGTGATTGTGGTGACCAAAGCCAAGTCCATATCGGAATAGCTCACCAGGCGCAATAAGTATCACACGTTGCAGCATAGGATCTATTTGTGCGTACGCTACTTGCTTCTGCTTGCCTGTCAATCGTCCTCTATCGCTTCCTTCTTAACTGTTGCACTTCCAGGCATTGAGCTCCTGCCAGTCCGATGACTGGTGATAATCTTCCGTTGCAGTCTTCCTCCAGAGTAGTAAGTACGGTTAGTATTGAGCTCGCTAGGCGCTTCGACCAAAGCAAGATCGCCGGTCTTACCAAGTGACATGGCGGATGCTTCCTCCAAAAGTATGCCAATAGCTAGAAGAGCAGTCTCATCCATCGACCGCTCATCTAAACTATTGGGGCTATCCGGGTTGGCTTTGTAGAAGTCAGCCACATAGGCATGCACAGCTTTAAGTAGGTCAGAGTCCGGGAGCTTCTGATCTGGTTGCAGGTGGCGGTCCGCTTCGTAGACATCATCCTCAGCATAGCGTGCGGGCGCGTCTTTTCGTCGGAACAGGGCCTCTTCCGGTGGTATGGGCACGAGTGTAGAGCTCGTCGTATCTCGATATTTTGAAGACTGCTGCTCCGTCAAGAAACCTTCGTAGCCGACACGACCTGCTACGGCGTCGTACAGCGTTGTCTGTTTGCGCAAGCCGTCTTGGGGCGGCGACATATTTTACAACCGGTCCAGCAGATCGCTCGGCTTAGGATGAGTGGTTCACATTGACTGTTGTATTGGACGAGGTCTTGTGGTTTGACGCACAGGATATACGCAAACAGATTCAAATGTGGCCCGAGCTCTCGAATCGACCAATCCACTTCGCAGCGGACATCGCGCCATATTGTGAGCAGCATCAACATGCGAATGACCCACGATGAATGACCACAAAGTCCATCACTGCCACATTGATTGAGTTGCCATTTCGTGGGTACAAGGCCATGTTGAACCCAGATGAACTCGTATCTGCTGAATAGGCAGCTTGGCACTATCAGCCATCAAGGTCTTGCGAGAGCACAGAACCAACGTCTTCTCGAGTCACTGCAGGCAAATTCGAAGGTACAATTCCGGAATCGGGGGAGCAGTGGCAATCAAGGTAACACAGCACATGCTGCCGGCGTCGCCAGCATTGCCATAGACAGATTCGAAGGCCGATAGTAAGGGCACATAGAGCGCGCATTTACTATCACTAATATGTTGCAGCTTATTGTCAGGCGGCGCAGACTCGTCGGTATCTATATGGGATCTGGAGGCCGCGCAAGCGTCCGATGACGGGTCTTTTATCCATACACCACTGGCCAAGGCCTTGCGGACATCTACCACCGAAAGCTTGGGCATCACACATGTTTCTTTCTATCCCTTCGACTCTCTGGCCTTCTTGACTAGTGGCTATGACCGGACGCTGAAAGTCTTCTCCTCAGAAACCCTGCAGGCCTCTGGCACGTTTGACCTGGGCTCAACAGTATACTCTCATGCCACCTCGAACATAGCCAGCCACCTCCTCATAGCTTGTGCTTCGCAGCATCCGGCTGTGAAACTTGTGGACTTGCAAAGTGGATCAAGCACGCATTCGCTGGCAGGTCATGCAGGGTCGGTGCTGTCTGTATCGTGGCATCCGAAGAACGAGCATATACTAGCCTCGGGAGCGACAGATGGTACTTGTCGGCTATGGGACATTCGACGTAGCGCAAGCAGCCTCGGAGTACTGGACTTTGACGACAGCGTCGGATTGGGAGGGTACGACGCTATAGGTACTGGTGCGCGGCGCAGAGAGCGTGGTAAAGCGCACAATGGTGCCGTCAATGGGTGAGTGCACTGGGGGAACTATGTGAATGAAATCGGGGCCAACCCGCTGACACTTTTCTCAGGATCACTTGGTCTGAGGACGGGCGCTTCATGATTACGATGGGCCACGACGAGCGCATGCGAGTCTGGCAGATGACCACGGGTGGAAACACCCTTGTCAACTTCGGACCTTCGCTGAAGAACACATTGACAACCACTCTCACGCCGCTTATACCGCCGGCGTACTTGTCGGCTCCAGGCACAGATACTATATACTACCCAAATCCCGGCGAAATATTGGCGCTTGATTTACATAACGGACGACTCCTGAAGAAGCTTCGTGCGCCTGCCTTACAGAAGCCACAAAGCGGACGTAGCATAGGCAACCTAAGTACGCGCATTACTTCTATGGCATGGCGTGCTCACACCGTTGAACTGTACTCAGCGCATGGCGATGGCACTATCCGTGCTTGGTGTCCTTGGACGGACGATGATGACGTGGGAGACAGAGAAGGGGTTGAAGATGATGATCAGCATCGAGAAGATGATGAGACTGCTGAGCGGAAGAGAAAACGAGACGAGCTTGATCATATCGTACAAGATTTGACGAAGAAGAGAGTGACATATAGCTAAATTGGAAGCTAGTCGTTTGGCACCTTTTTCGCTTGATATCTCAAGAATCGTATATGCACACAACCAATGCCGGTCGCTGTTGTCGTCGCCAGATTAGTGAATGGGTTATGCGATTTGTGCTGCTGACTCATCGTTGTAGGAAAAGTTTATGCAAGCGCAAGCTTGATGTCGCAGCCTAGAGCTTCAGCTTCGATCTTTTGCAACTTTCACCGGGATACGCTCACACATCGCGCATCAGTGTAGCTATCTGTCTTGCATATCCTCGAGTTCGACTCACGACATCTGCGCAACCGTCCAAAGTAGTGCGCTGCGGCGCGATTGCTCCCAGCCATGGCCGACTTCAGCTACACTGAAGACCGCGAGCTGCATGACTTGAATCGGCAAGTGGTATGTGGTGCATCTCTTGTCGACTGCTACGCTACAACATTGCTAATGAAGATGTAGAACGATGACCCCGAAGAGTTCGAACACTGGGAAAAGCTCGTTCGCGCATCCGAACAACAAGAGGGCGGACTAAATCGCAACTCGAGTCCACAGGCCATCGCCGCCACAAGAGATGTCTACGACCGCTTCCTCACACGCTTTCCGCTGTTCTTTGGATACTGGAAGAAGTATGCGGACATGGAGTTTGGCATTGCGGGCACTGAAGCGGCGGAAATGGTACGTCTTGCGAAGAACGGGAAGAGAGATGCGCGAGTACACTCTACTGACACCACATCAGATCTACGAGCGTGGCGTTGCCAGCATCTCCATCTCGGTCGACCTCTGGACAAACTACTGCAACTTCAAAACCGAGACCAGCCACGACATCGACATTATACGAGAGTAAGTTTTCAGGGCACCCCTTTCTTTCCCTGCCCTTAACGGTGATGTAGCACGACCTGAGCATGACGTACATGCCTCAAGCCACATTTGATGGCATGGTGGTGACGTTGGTGAGAGTTCCTTGCCCTCGAAGGTTGTGATGCGAGTCTCACGTCTACCTGCCAGACTTTCAACTCATCTCTGCCACGTACCTTGAACGACACACCTGCTTGCTGCTGCTTTGCCGTTCTCGATATTGGACTTACCTCACGATCTTGTTGGAGCTTGTGAGCTCGCACGCACAAAGTTCGCACACCCCTCACCTGCGTTGAGACCCTTTCTAGACCCATGGCAATACCGCCAGTCTTACTGACATTGATAACACAGACTTTTCGAGCGTGGAGCAGAGAGTGTTGGCCTGGACTTCCTGGCTCACCCATTCTGGGACAAATACATTGAATTCGAGGAACGACTTGACGCAGATGATAAGATATTTGGCATACTCGAACGCATCATCCGCATCCCACTTCATCAGTATGCGCGGTACTTCGAGCGCTATCGAACATTGGCTGAGAAACGTCCGGTCGAGGAACTCGCACCCCCCGAAATCATTGGCCGCTTGAGACAGGAGGCCGAGGTGCAGTCGGGTCCAAAACCGAGGAATCCAGCAGAAGGCGAGCGTGAGTTGCGATCTCGCATCTACGCATTTCACAACGACACCTTCCAGAACACGCAGAACGAGACTACGCAACGCTGGACATATGAGCAGGAGATCAAGAGGCCCTACTACCATGTTACTGACCTGGACGATGCGCAGCTTGACAACTGGAGGAGATACCTCGACGTCGAGGAGGATGGGCGTGACTACTCTCGCGCAAAGTTCCTCTATGAGCGATGTCTTGTAACTGCTGCAAACTACGAAGAGTTTTGGCTACGCTACGTCAGATGGATGCTATCTCAACCCGGGAACAAGGCAGAAGAAGCCCGCAACATCTTACAGCGTGCTAGCTACGTCTTCGTGTCGATAGCTAGGCCATCCATACGGTTGCTGTGGGCCAAGTTCGAGGAGTCCCAGGACCAGGCGAACATTGCTGGTGACATCCTTGAAGCAGTGCTCATGGTCTTGCCAGGGCATCTGGAGACCATCCTAGCTCTCGCCAACCTTCATAGACGCAAGACTGGCCTCGATGCCGGCATTGCCACACTCAAGCGTTTCACGGACAGCCACGAGATCCCACCTTATGTCCGTGGTGCTCTGGTAGCAGAGTGGGCGCGCATGGTGGCGGATGTAAGTGGCCGCCGAGACGAAGCTCGCAAGATCTACAACAACTACCAACATCAGTATCTCGATTGCCGACCTTTTTGGTTGAAGTGGTTCTTCTTCGAAGTCAATCAGCCTGCAATAGGTACGGAACAGCAGAAACAGCACTACGCTAGAGTCAAGGCTGTCTATGAGGCGGTTCGGAAAATGTCCGCTTTACCATCTGGTACGATCAAGGACCTCACAGCGTATTACCTGACGTATCTGCAGGAGCGTGGGCCAGCAGGTGCCATGAAGGAACTGGTTGATCTGGACAAGGAAGTCAATGGACCTTTGTCTGTGCAGAAGAGCTCTAAGCAGCAGATCATGCACGACGGTAATGACAGCGTGGTCAACAACGAGATGCTCATTGAGAAAGGCTTGGCCGGCGCAGGTATGCACGAGGCTGCCTCGTATGCTTAGCAAGTTGATCGACGTGGTCTTCCTTAGACTGCTGTATGTCCTGTGGCTTTCGGAGGGCGGCTGTGTTTGTACAGTAAAAGGTGGCAGGGTTGAGCTTGCGTACGACCGTATCGGAGGTCTGAGACGATCGCATCCTCAATCAGGATGTCATTGCAACTGTATATTACGCCTCGAGCATTCGAGATGGCACAGCATACATAACGGCATATGTATACTATTGATTCTCGAACAACTCCAGCCTTGACTCACAGTCGAACATCCTCCCGCCGCTTTAGGATGACATTGTATTTCTTGTCAGGCTTCAGGATTGTGAACTCCTTAGTCTTCAACATGAGAGTCTGATCCTCCAATTGGACGTCATACCGCAACAAGACTCTGGCCATCATCTTCATCACGAACTGCGTCGCTACTCCTCGACCGATACACTGGCGACTGCCGTACCCGAACCCCAGGAAACAATTTTTCATCAGAGCTAAATTTGTGCCTTCGCCCTTGAACCAACGATCTGGGTTCCAGGTGTTGGGGTCTGGGTATACAGTAGCGTCCCGGCCTATCGTCGCAGCTGGTACGCCTACAGAGACGCCGCCGGGTATATAGATGCCACTTATTATTGCACCCTTGGGTGGTGTGTCTCGTGGCATTGCGTAGCCGATCGGTGGATGCATACGGAGTGATTCGATCTCGGCATGCTCGAGCAGACTTAGATGCTGTAGCTGGGTGTATGGTAGCGAATCATCTCCTGTCTTGTTCTCGGGAAACATATCTTCGAGCTGTGTGATTATACGGGACTTAATTTCGGGGTTCTTGCAGAGGTAGTAGGTCATCCAGTTCATGGTTACTGAGCCTGTGCTTGCTCCGGCGACCCTAGAACACTGTTAGTCAATGGTTTCGAGATGGGGTTTACGGTACGAACATCAAGGACGATGTCTCAGCTCTGAGCTCATCGAAGCCCATCTTTGCTCCTGTTTCTGGGTCTTGGCCGTCAATAAACCGTTGCATGATATCCTGCCTGGGCTTGCCACTGATTCGCTTCTCGCTTTTTGCATTATCTGAGAACCTCTGCTCTAGTGCGACCTTAGCATAGTCCAGATACTCGAGCCGTGCTCTGTATAGATTCTGTATGTATGTCGTCGGCACCCAGCTGAGTATCTTGACATTCCACTTGCCGAATGGCAGAAGACCAGACGTGTTAGCAAAGCGTTGTGACTGCTCTACTAGGGTCGAGTAGCCAGCTGGCTTGCCGGCCACAAGGACACCGAAATTGTTTCCTAGAGCGAGTTCGCCCATTAAGTCCATAGTGAAGAGCTCATACCAGAAGTAGATGTCGAAAGGATGGCCAGAAGCAGCGAATTTGTCCATACGTCGGATGAATCTGTCCAGCGTCTTGTCTACGTACGGCTCGAATGACAGCAACGACTGGGCACTGAATCCATGTGCTACCATGCGCCGTTTTGCCGCATGTCTCTTCTTCGATCGAGTGCTAAACAGAGATTCGCCCGTCGTGCTGAAGGCATCGTACCATGAAGACTTGCCGAACTCATCAGCACCCTTGCCGTGACCTCTAAAACTGTAAGATCAACCTGCCTAGCACTGACAGACGTATGAAGCTCACTCACCATAGATTGCCTTGACAGCCTCGGGGGTGTTGAACGACACGGACCAAGGTGCTGTCCGCACAGCCACCGCACCAGGATGTTGCTCAAACAGCTCATTGACCCATGCTGTTCGACGTTGATCTCTCAATGCATTAGCCTCCGGAATGCTGCTGATGCGAGTCAACCATGGCCCTGGGAGTCTGGCCAATGGCGACAGGAAGAGGCGAAATACGAGCAGTCCAAGGGGAACAAGATAGGCGAGCAGAATCAGCAGAACGATGACTGGATTGTCCGAGAGCGAATATAAAGCAGCCATGCCAATCGAAGTCGAGTAGTGCACGTCAACACTGTTCTGCGGCCAGCGATAGTATGGCTTTGTTGATATTCACCGGCTCAATGAATGGACGAAGGTAACAGACATGACCTCTTCGACCAGCCCCGCTTGGGAGTCGGCAGGCCGGCAGTTGATACAGTAGTCAACAACATAAGCCATCGTCCTGGGGAAGAACGACGCGTTGCATAATTCACTTTTTTGAATTATATGTACATGAAGTGGTTGTAGTATGCTACATCGAAATCGTCATCTAGCCAAAGGTCCACCAAACGATACGTATATTCTTTCAGCCAGTCTCTTCATGTCGATCGTGATGCCATTTGAAAGCATTTCATACAGGTTGTACCATCAGATGGAAGTTTAGCAGGTAGTAATGTAAGCTCCAATAGGACTTGGGTTGAAGTCTTGGAAGTACTCCAGATCAAGTCCACCAGTACTCTCAAACTCGAAGGCGACTCTAGCGCCAGCAGCACAGGCAAAGCTGGACACAACATAGCTATTGCCAGGCTTGACGCTCGCAATGCTTCCAACAGGATGGAAGCCAAGCTGCTTAGCACTGTTGTAGGTTGTCTGCTCTGTAGCGGCGAAATCAAGCTTGCCCACGGTAATCCCTCCCTGAGCGCTCAGCGTATACGCACTTGTCTCTAGCGCCGCTTGCTCAGGGAGAAGGAAGACGAGAGAGCAAATCTTTCCCGCATAGGACTGAGGGAGATCGAAGTTGAAAATAGTGCTGATGCTTGGGCTGATAGTGCCATTGTACTGTGTGCCGTAGGCCTTGTCGGGCATGGCGCTGTTGACCGGGACGATGAAATGCGGGTATTGATATTCGCCGTTGAGATTGGCCGGGCATACGGAGCCGGAGGGAGCGGCAGGAGCGGTTGCTACGCTTGATGCAGGTGGGGATGCAGCAGTGCCACTGGATATCGGAGTGGTGGCCATAGAAGCTGTCGAGGTACATCCTTCCGAGCATGAGGTAATCGTGACCAGGGTCGTCTGGTAGGTCGTGCTTGTCTTGCCCGCTACAACGGTGGTAGTCATACCAGTCATAGCAGATACAGTGGTTCCAGGGGCGCTGCCAACCGAAGTGGCTCCAGAGCCGGCCGCAGTGGTTTGCGACAAGGTAGCACTGGCTGGGGATGTCTCTGGTCCAGGTGAAGCTTGAACTGATTCCGTGTTGGGACCGGCCGAAGAGGCAGGCGCTGAAGCAGAAGAGGCGGTCTTGGCGGCGCGGCTCGAAGTGCTGGAAGAGGGGACTGGCTTGTTTCCGTTGCTGCAAGTCAAGTTGTATAGCGGAGCAGAGTTGATATCCGAGCCGACGATACCGAAAGAGGGGCTAGGGGTTGTTGGTGCTGCGTCTTGCAAGACATACCACCATGTATTGATCTGACCGAACAAAGCACAGCCGACGTCTTGCCAATATATCTCGGCATTATCAACAGAGGCCACCGCTTGGTTTTCTTGTGGACCTGATACTGGCCATCCAGTCTCGGTGACCCATACACTCTTGCCCTGGGCGACGGCAACTGTGTTGTCATACGCCTCAAAGAACGTCGAGTTTCCGAGCTCGATGGAGTTGGCAATAGTGTTCTGGAAATACGGATAAGCATCCATTCCGAGCCAATCGGATGCACTGATAACTGCAGCATTGGACCCGTTCACCCAGGCAGTCCAGGTGTCGACGTGGCCGACGCTGGCGGCGGAGGCAGCAGTTCCAACCAAGGCGGCCTTAGTCTGGGCAATGTAATTTGCAACGACATCAGGATCTACTCCCTCGTTGGCCTTGTTAGCTGCGATCTGGGAAGATGTCAGCGTGAGCCCGCTAATGTCTCATTGGTGGGTTTGCATCATACCCCTGTAGGGCTGTTGCGGTAGAGGTCCTCGCTTCCCACCGAGATGCCAACAATCAAGTCCGTGAAAGCAGTGCCTACAATATCGGGTCAGGTCCAAACGTAAAGAATGGTATATGTGCGTATCCCCTTACCGTATTGGTTGATTGCACTGGTCAGAGCTGTCAGCTCGTTGGTAAAGCCGGCCTGATCGACGGATGCCCATAATCCGAGTAGCAAGGTCGTCTTTGTGTTAATGGCGGCGGGAATGGCTGCAATTGGGGTATTCGCAGTGCCGCTAAAAGTGTCAGTAGGAACCCGCCAACATATTATAGAAAAGATTACTCCACGGCGCTTACCCTTGGATCATCGTGTATAGACGGGCGGAGGTGAAGTGCCCATCAGTCCCAGGTAGCGCTTTCGCTGCATTGAACTCGGTCTCAAAATCTGATTGGACCTTAATAGCGCCCTAGCCATCGCAGTCAGCACCAAAGGCAAGTCATTCGAGCATGGTTGTAGTCCTTCCAAACCCACATCAGTAAACGTATTGCCAAAGTTGAAACCAATGACTGCAGCGTGAGCAGTGCTCACGGCCAACGCCGTGCTCAGCAAGGTGAACTTCATGGTGAAGCGAATGTGGTGGAGAAAAGATGAGAGCTCAGGACTTCAGATACCGCAGGACTGTACAAGAAATTTGCAGGATTGGGAACTGATTCCGCAGGACTGTGAGAGCAATATGTCCGGTAGTCTCGAGACAGAAGATGTTGAGGCGAAGAAGATATGGAGGCAAAGTACCATATGGATGACGCAGGTACAAACCTTGACAGCGATCAAGAAGGACCTCAGTGGTCGACCTGTCGTTACCTTCGCAGATGTGCCTCGTAACCAGTGCCTGCCGCTGATTGCCGACTGGCTCCATACTTTTCGAGATGTCAAAGTTTGCAGGAAGTACGTATGCCTGTGGTTCTATGTCCTGCGATGACTATTTTGAGTCCTTCTCCAACGGGCCGCGGGCGGGTTTTCTTCAAGTATTGGCGACATGATGTGATGGAGGGGTGGAGAAGCGTGGGAGCATTTTTGTGTCACTGCACACCACACTGTTTGCCAGGTGCCCGGATCCTATGTGCCCGGATCTCACGGTCTCCACGGCGGCCAACATCATGGCACTCCCAGGCAAGGACAGACCTGGTCATGCTGTCTGCCGCTGCGGTGACATTTGCCACGTGAAGCTCGCGGGGAGAGCGGCTTCGTCCGGGGCTAGGTAATAAAAGGTATAGATCAAATCAAAGTAGGACAGTTTTTGTGTGCAGACGCACACGAGCAATATGAACATTAATAATAAATGCAACCTACCCGTCCTATTCCAGGATCCGATCGCCGCTCGTGAGCAATGAGTTCAGGGCATGATATGACGCAGCAGTCACGTTTGCCAGTATCGTATTGGTGGCGGCAGATATGGCAAACGAGCCCAGGGCTTCCGATTATTATGCAATCCTGGGACTGGAACAATATCGACGTGCCGGAGAACTGGAACTCGAGGTCATCAAGCGTGCGTATAGGCAGACACTCTTGAAGTTCCATCCCGACAAGAGTGCCCCCGCACAACTAGTCGAAATGGAAACCGAGAAAGCAGACCATTTGACAGTAGACGAAATCTCACTCGCATACAAGACCCTGTCTGATCCGAAGCTCCGAGCTGAGTATGATCAGCTCATCGCAGAGCCTGTCAAGGCTACTTCGACCGGCGAGCGAATTCATCGGACAGGCCTCGAGACTGTCGATCTTGACACACTGGACTATGACGAAGAACTTCAAGCGTGGACCCGCGCCTGCCGATGCAGCGATACTCTGGGCTTCGTGGTTACGGAGACCGAATTAGAATTGAATATCGACGTCGGCGAGCTCACGGTGGGTTGCAAAGGCTGTAGCCTTTGGCTCAGGGTGTTGTTCAGCGTCGAAGATGATGGATGACCGGTGCTCGACTCTGCCATGCCCTTACGTCGTCAAGCTGTTGACCAGATTATCAGGTGAGTGGCGGTCAGACGACTTCTGCAGGATTCGGCGAAGAGTGATCAGGTGAACCCGCTGGCTTGATCAACTCCTTGCTTGCACAATTAATACACACTTCTATTATCTGTCAGCAAGACTGCGTATATCAATACATCATGTTGCATCCGAGGGATGATTTATGTTCGTCGATATTCTAGCTGAAGATGAGATCTACGTTGACCGGCACGGGCCGCTGGCAGTAACGAGGCTGCATGAGATACGCATATGCCTATTGCACGCCATCAACCTCGACTTCTGCGCTCTTGCCAATGTTGGACGTTACTCGGTAGATCCGCGCTCGAGGTGGCGTTGCATGCCAAGCAAGCCATCTAAGCAGAGGGACGGTTTCGGAAACAACACTGACGCCGCAAGGACAGCTTCAGCTGATCACTCATGGATCTTACATGCAGCCACACAGCCCTCACGCAACAACGATCATATCGATGCGAGATGTCTTGCATCTTGAAAGACAGTCCGTACAATATCATCGGTATGCTGGCCAATAGTGGTCAGATTACTCATGGTGTGATTCGGCTTACTGTCAGCTTACAGCTTCAGCCCTAGCGTCCGAGTCACATTCATCCTAGACCGAGATTTGTGGTGGCCCATCAACATTCGATAAGCATGCAACCGTGTTGGTACTGTCCAGCGGGATGATCGTCTAACGGATCACTGTCGTTTGGTGATCACCTTGAACACCAATGTTGCAACCTACGTACAGACCACCTCATATTGATTGCTTGGCATGCTGCACATAATGCTGCGCCATCAGCTCACGCAGCTTCGCTTATCAGGCGACCTGAGTACCACGTACCTCAGCATCACTGCCTGGCCATGATGTACGATCAGCCCGGGTATCCTGGCCCCATATTAATGGTGCATAAGCGACGTCGAATGATTTCGACAAGATGCTGAACACGCAGGCTCAGGGGGTGAGCTACTGGTCTCGCGAGTCCTGGACCGATGTGGGCAGTACTCGTAGACTGGATGGCGGAGCAAGCATGTGCCCGAGCGGTCTGGCTACGCGGACGATCCTTTCAGCTTTAAAGGACCCCTGGGTCATACTGGGCGACGTCTATAAATGCTGCGTTCCTGAGCGGCTCACTATTCCTTCGGACTCTAGCCTCCACGACTCAAAGACCAAACGGACTTCCACCACTACACATCATGGCATCTCAGGTCGTTATGCACCAGCCTACCGAAGCTTCCCACGACCCAGAAGCATCCATCTCCCTCAACAACTTCAGGTGGGGAGAGGTCGACAGTAAGCTTCATACACAGACTACCGCCGCAGCTGCCGCCCCTCCGCCGCCTCCATTGGGTGTCCTCTCTGCCTTCCATGGCAATTTCAGCGGCACAGGTCTGAACATGATCTTCCGCCCGAACAGCGGCCCACCTAAAGGAACCACTTTCACCAACCCAATCACCCCCGCTGCGCCAACTCCACCAAGCGAGAACGTCTTGGAAATCAACCTTACCACAGAGACACTCAAATTTGCCGACACCCTCGGCAGCGTACCCAACAGAGGTCTCGAAGGCCAACAAGATATCTTCCTCAATGGCGTCCCATACTTCCAGTCCGTCAACGATGTCACTAATTTCGACACTGGCAAAGCCGATGGCCAACCCCAAGGTATCCATGCCGAGCCGGGAGTGTGGATGCATGTCCCTGCCTCCACGGATCCAGCTGTGGGTGCATCGCTCGTCCGTATGGGGTCCATCCCACACGGCACGACCATCAACGCGCAAGCTCTCGAGTCCAGCGTGATCAGCGTCAATTCCGGGCCGATTTTCCCAAAGGTCGACATCACGCCCTTCATCATCGGGACAAACCCACCAAAGAAAGTTCCAGCCGGCACGTTCGTGGCCCAAACGGCCAAGAATGTCAATTCCCCTCGTATCCCGCAGGACCTGACGAAATTTATCGCCGCCAAGACCATCACTCAAGAGATCCTGGATGATCCTAACACCGTCCTCGCGACCGCGAACAAGGGCAAGAACATCGTCAAGACACAAGTCTTCACCGTCTCCACGGACCCCACAAACACCATCCTTGGTGGCGGAACGGCAAACATTGCCTTCCTCTCCGACCCAGGCACCAAGGGCCCTAATGCCAATGCCGCCAGCATGACAGCAACCTTCTGGATCAACACCGTACAATCCATCATCCGCATCCCAACTCTACGACCAGGTCAGAGCGTGCGCATCGCGGGTGCTGAGCCCCAGCCTGGTGCACGCGTACCTACATTCGCCGTCAAGCCGCCCACCGAAGGCAGCGCTGTAGCGCCTACCACCGAAGCAAGGCAGATCGTGGTCACGCATACAGAGATCCAGTATTCGCAGCAGGTGAACCTCAACTTTGCGGGGCTGACCTGGCCACACATCTCTGTCGCCACGCTCGTTCCAACGACGGATCAGGTCGTGCCTCCACATGTGCTGCATACGCCGAATGGAGATATCCCACTCCATCAGACTGCTCCTGTTCATAACGGCGCTGATCTTCAGCAGCCTTTGCAGAATGGCGGTGCGAATGGCGCTGATGATAAGCGGCATGTGCTGCACACACCACACGGTGATGTGCCGTTGCATCAGACTGCTCCGCCGCATCGTGGGCCGGCTGTAGATGAACCTATGGAGGATGCGCCAGGCGACGAGGGTGTGGAGGGTGTGGCCGTTAAGGCGGGGGTCACTGCCAAAGAGTAAGCTGTATCTGGCCCCTCGGCCCTCGCCAGTCGCCTTGAGTCGGAAGGATTCATGTCGCTCCTTGTCTGCATGAGGTTATGAGATGTCACTATGAGCTTGATTAGTATTATCACGAATCTTATAGCGGGTATGGTGTCCATTCGCTCATAGTCCTGTTTAGGGACAATGTTGTGTTCCGTGCTTTCGAATTTGTACTTGGTACAGACGTGCTAGAGCCGTATCGCCAGTCCCAGACTAGTCATCTTCACTCATGCTATTCGCCTAGAACGCCGCTCCATGCCTTCCAAGCACAGCATATTCTGTCATATTATACACCTTACTCTGCATCCTGACGCCACCCATCTAATCTTGCCTGCCCTTCAACAGCCTCTTCGTCACCTTGTCCTTCTCAATGATATACACATGCGCACCCCAACCAGACAACGCATCTCGATCTACAGCGTTGAGGAGAGCTTGTGAGATTGTCTCGAACAGATCCTCAGGCCCGAGGTCAGGTTCCCACAGCCCTTCGCAAGTACCGAACAGTTGATCAGAAGCGGTGCCGGAGACGATGAAGTCCTTGGCGAAGTCGATACAGCCTATGCTGTCGAATCTATCACGTTACCCTAGGTTAGCACTGTGCATATTCACCTTAGTAGGATGGTAGGAAGTACAACTCACCCGCAGATGAAAGGCTCCCCACTCTTGGCCTCAATCCCCGCTACCACAGGCCCAACAAACCACGGCCCAAACCGCCTCTCATACAGACTACTGCTCACCAGATTCGCGAAAGTCTTGGGCGCAATATCCCTCTCCTCCCGTAATCGGTACATATTCACCTTATACCGAAACAGCTCTGAGACGGTGGAGACGTCGGTGGCGAGACCCGTGAGGCCGAGGAAGGTGCTGGGGCCGTAGGAGAAGATTTTGGGGAAGTTGTTGCTGACAGTGAGGGCTTGGAGGCCGAGGCGGAGATCGCAGGCGATGGCTACGCAGTCTTTGCCTGCCATTGCTACGCAGGCGCCGCCGTCTGTACATCTTCATTAGCTTACGTATGTGTGATTGGTAAGTGGTATATCGTACTGATGGAGAAAGGCGAGGACATGACTGCGGTTGTGGGTGGTGTTTGTAGCCTGTTGGCTGAAGCGGACTGGTTGTGCCTTCTCGATTCGGTTCTAGATCTGGCGTGATGTTCGTGAGGACGTCAGGTGAAGTCGTGAGCTTGTATTGAATGTGTAGTGCTGTGATCGTGTGCGTGTCCGTAGTGCAGCTGTCTGTGTCGAGAGCTAGCTAGGCACGTAGTCGATGCGCGTAACGTCCGAGCTCCACGAATCAACAACCTCAGGCACACTTCCGTGCTCCGCAACATTAACATATGCCTATCCATATCAATGCGACAGGACATTTCGTGCCATCTCGATACTACACAATGGCGACAACAGCAGCACTAGAGCACGTGGCTCTCGCCCAAGCCCTGCCACCACGTCTCCTCCACTTCTTCAAACGCTTCCCACCACCCCAACTAACCACACCAACATCCACGACCACCACCGAAACATCGTCACCCCGCTGGAAAACCAACCCCTTCCTCGCCTCCAAGAACCCCACCACCGGCGCCTGGCATTCACCCCACTACTCCCTCCGCCGCCAAGCCGACCTCTTCCGCCTCGCCATCGACCACAACGTCCTAAGTCTAATGCCCACCTCCCCCAAACACCCCCTCGTAAAAGAAGCCAAACGCATCCAGCACGGTCTCCGCGTCAAAGGAACTGGAGAAGGGCAGAGGGTGAAGGGCAAGTACTGGGAGCGGACATTGCAGAGTAGACTCGATACGAGACGGCAGGCGATGGAGAGTATGCCTGACATGATCCAATTGTGGAAGGAACGGGGACATGGGAAAGGGTGGAAGAGGTATCCTAGGGGTAAAGGGAGGGCGGACAGTAGGGATGATGTGTTCAGTGCGGATGGGAGGCATAAGTGGGTCTTTGAACGGGCTGCGCCTAGTACTTAGGTGCCTTTGGTGTGCTGCGAAGGGATGATGTGTGGTCTGGGATTAGCGAGGCGCATTTGTTTCGAGTTTAGAGTCTCCGGGGTGGGACGAGAGGTCAATACTGTACACTGCCATGAGGACTGCGAAACATTGGATATGGAAATGTGATTATAAGCATTGACAGGGTTTTACGAGCTAGGCAGCATGTCGTGGCGACGAAAGACGAGACGGCATTGAAGCCCATCAGGACTCAGATCATCATCGAGGGTGTGCAGCCCAACCAGCTCTGGTGGAATCCCACGATCGAGCGCGTTTGCACCGTATTCTGAACGAGGTCCGTCTATAGTAACAGGTTTCGATTCGCCACCATCCCCTAATCCTTCTGACTACATGCCAGATATACCTTCCAAGCCTCACGGTAGTCCTCAAATTCAATGACTCCTGTTTGCAAACAGGACGTGTTCTCCCATATGATTTACGCCTTCCCATCTGCGTGATACCCAACGCTCCACCAGTGAATGAGAAAACAATTGGCTGACGCATTCTCACATGCACTCCTTGGCTTGCTTGGTCAACTTGACATCGGCTGATGAGCTTTGCTCATGATTCTCGTAACGAGGCAGAAGGTTTGCAAATTGATGCTGTTGCCACAAATGGCCAGGGCGTCGTCTTGCAATGCTTATTGATGCTAGGCAGGATGCATCGCGAGATCTCCGGTAGGATATGTGGTAGATCGGGCAATGCCGACAGTTATGATTGCGAGATCGAACTGGTGGCCGCAGCCTTGCTGAGAACACGCGACGATAGAGGCCCACGTCATCTGCTTACATGTGTAGACCGGCAGCGCTACGGCTCCAGCAGCTGACGGCCTTCGCATGCCATACAGCAGCCGAGGCCGAATGCGCGACGCGGCGGAAAGCTGAGCGTTATTGTGATAGGCTCGTTCGCCCTCGGTCCACTTTCATGTCGACCAGAGAGAGTGTTCCGAGGGCGCAGCAGCGGCAAGTATGACTCCGAGAAGGAGGGTTATAAACAGGCCTCCATCACCAAGTAACCTATTGGTGAGAATCACGAGAGCAGTCGTGAGCACGTAGCTTTCCGGCCACGACCTCGCGATCAGGATCAGATATAGGAGCCCAGTTACAAGTATAGCGAGGAAGGCCACCGCGCTCACGTCCAACACCGCTCGTGGTGCTGCTGTGTCATTGTGGACAACCTCTCGCAATCTGCAGTGGTCGAGTCCATTGCCCGTGGTACTAACGTACACTATCCGTTCGATTCCTACACGGATCTGCATCTTCGATCGCTTGCGAACCGAGTGTCGTACTACCCTACTTCGATACCAGGATCCTTGGGTATGGCAAATCATCAGTCGTATACGACTCTGCATGTTGTGTCTCTGGTAAGACTTCGCTGGTCCCGCCTCGTAGCAGTCCAAGTCAATGGCATGTTCGTCGTATGCGGAGCCTTCAGTCATCGAGACAGCGGCGCTCTTCAAGAATTCCATCCGGAATACTGATCTTTGGTAGAGGGCAAGACCTTTGGGAGTCAGATTGTAAGGTGTCCTTAGCAAGACTGCTCCACTTGGGTCATGTTTCACGATGAAGTGGCAATCCTTGAAGGCTCGTGGGTGGTCCGCTAGCACGCCGGATAGGTGGCGTCCATCCTCTTTCAAGCCCCATGCCAGGACTGACTGATCATCAATCCGTCTCAAGATCTCTTCTTGAAGGCGCAGGAAGGCTTTGCTCCCCTCGCCATAAAGCAGTGGCATATTGACGTCGAAGATGCCAAGCATCGAATAGGCGACATCTTCGATACGATGAGTCGTCCGTCGAGAAGCCCAGCTCATGCGTTGAGCCACGCTCGCTTTGGCGATGTCTTCTCCCGCGAGGTAGCGCTCTTCTATACCTGTAGCATGGGATAGGAGTACCACTAGATCCTTCTTCGTCCCAAGGCAGGCGTAGTCGCTGTTGTAGACCACTAGCGAGCTCGGTGCGACCAGCTCTTGCAGGGTCCAGCCTCTGGTGAACCATCTGTCGTCAGTAAACGTTTCCACATCTTGAACGATGGCGCGATCGAGCCCCTCCTGCCACCGCTCTTCTCGGTCGATACTGTAGAGCGGAGGTAGTTGCATAACATGGCAGTTGTTCATGAACACGTAGCAGACGACGGCATTCTTGTACCACGTGAACATGGAGTTGATGCTCTCAGATAGCTCCGCACTGCTGCTCTTATCGATGCAGCAGGTGTCGATCCAGGTGTATCGATGGCCAGCGGCTTTGGTCAATTCGCAACATTTTAATATCTTTCTCCAGCCTGCACCTTCGACATCGTAGTCCAGCATGCAAAAGCTCCGGTAGTCGACCTCGGGCGTCGTTTCGTCATGGCTCCAGCAATGTGAGAGGATCGTGTATTCGACGTTGATGTCACCAGAGAACTCCACAAGCCGGATGCTGTCGAGGTTGTCCACGTCGAGCAGCCGCATTCCCGGCTGTTCATGGACTTCACGTACTTCCATGTGCCTGCAATATGTGTAAGAAGAGTGTGAGCAGCCTTCCTCGTATATGGTGTGAGGCTGTGAGCGCAATACTGCAGTCCCTACGGCACAGAGGCTTCCTGTGAGGCCAGCAGCCTTTCAAAGACATTTCACATCTTTGAAGAGGGCTCAGCACATGACTTGCGATGCGGCAGGCTCGCCGGCCTTATGGTACTGAGTGTGGAGCTATGCAAGCTGCACGCCACCACGCCCCGCCTCAGCCTGGCGTAGAGCTCTGACGAATGCGAGAGCTCCTTGCAACTGGTCCATATCGGTACTAGATGTGCCAGAAGACTGTCATATAAGCTGTTATATGTTTCGCGACGTGGTTTGGAGCATCGAACCATGGGTTCACGATCTCGGCTGCGGACTCCGAATGCGAAAGGGCGAAACATGTGTATCGCGTTAGAGTTCGTAACAGAAACTTGATTTAGACGCTTAAATGAGCTTGGCTTTCCTGGGTAACGGTGGTAACGCTCGGATCCTCCTCATCAATCACGCCTTCAATCGGCTATCATTACTTACGGCCTTGCAAAAGCATCTGGCTGGCAGGAAGTAAGCCAGGCTGGATCCTGCTTGTAGCGCGACCCTGCCGTACAATTCCAGGTCTAACCCACATCGCCACAGTTCGAGTATTCACTGACACCAACAAAATCTCCGATTAGCCGTGCATCCGGCGCATCGTGGGGCCGCGGGCAACAGACGCAGACGCAATCCTCGAAGACATGGCAAGCACAATGGACCAACAAGACTCTGTACGACCGAACGAGAAGGCTCACGAGCATATCCATAACAATACGCAGAACACCAACAGCTGGCCTCACGATGCTGAGAAGCAGGCTAAACAGCAACAGGAACAAGATGCGCCTCCACAGGGAAAGGAAGATAAGAAGGCCGAAAAGAAGAGTGATCAGCCTGCAGGAGGTTACGATGCTACACCCTTACCCTCGCGATCACCTGGCTATACCCTGAAGATCACCATCCACCGTGCGCACAATCTGCCCATGGCCGATATCAACACCTTCTCCTCTGACCCCTATGTGCTTGCTCAGCTCGACTGCGATGTTCCTATGCGGCATAAGGAAGACCCACCACTCCGGTTTCGTACACCTACCGTCCGACAGAACACGGAACCGGAATGGAACGAGGAGTGGGTTGTCGCAAACGTGCCTTCTTCAGGTTTCAAGCTCAAGCTGCGGTTGTACGACGAGGATCCGGCAGACAAGGATGACCGACTCGGCAATGTGCATGTACACGTCCCATCTTTCAACGAAGGCTGGACTGGTCTCAAAGAGCAACCTTACGAGATCAAGGCGCGCTCGGGTAGTAAACGGGCGTATATGATCCGTGCAGTGGCTGTCTGCCTCCATCGATCGAAGCACATGCGAGGAGACCTGTTTGTCAGTATCGAAAACCTTGGCCGTACACAGCAAGATGGTCAGAATGGACGATTATATACTGTTGGGCCATGCAGATGGTTTCGACATTATGATCCAATGCTTGGTCGTCTGGTCAACATCAAGGAACCGGACGAGGACGACGATCAGCCGAAACAGAACGAGGCTCCGAAGCAAGACCAGAATCAGCAAAGTGGTGAAGGCCAGAGTAAGAAGGACAAGAAAGTGCAAAAGTACAACTTTCAAGCCAACCAGATCCAACTCGAAGGACCTATCCCAGCACAGCTCTACCACCGCTTCGTAGAATTTAAGCCTTTCGTCAAACGCATGTTCACATCCACAGGCGTTCAAGGTTTTATCCTTGGCAAAGCACTACATCATCAACATAACCGCGTCTACAACTTCGATAAAACAACAGAATGGGGCCACTACCCGAATGGCCCATGCAAAGAGATGACACAGAAATTCCTCGACCTCGTCCACTACGACAAAGGTGGCCGAATCTTCACTTACGTCCTCACACTTGACGCCCTCTGGCGCTTCACCGAGACTGGCAAAGAGTTCGGTATCGATATGTTGAGTAAGCACACAATGCACAGCGACGTAAGCATCTACATAGCCTTCTCAGGAGAGTTCTTCATTCGTAGATTGAAGCACGCCCACCGTCCCGAACCACCGGAGCCAGTGGATGAGACGTCCCAAAACCATCCACCACAACATGCAGAGAACCCAATGCACCCCAACACAGACCTACCCGGTGGTCCTCCTTCCGACGAACCGCCAACTGATCCAGCACATTATCAACTAGTCATCGACAACGACTCCGGCACATACCGTCCCAACGCCAAACTTCTACCACTTCTAAAAGACTTCTTCGCACGTTCCCTCCCAGGCCTCCACATCCAAACCCTAGACTGCCAAAAAGACGAGGAGAAAATGAATAAAATGAAACAAGAACAACGGGATCGCAAGAAGAAGGAAGGCGATCACATCGTTTATACACAAGGCGACGACAGTTCGTCGGTCTCGAGCTCGGATAATGAGGATCTTGATCGCATCGAGGCGGGGGTTGGTGGGAGTGGAGGGTATGAGCATCCTGGTGGCATTGTTGGTCAGGCGGCACGGGATCAGAAGAGGAAGCAGCAGGCTAAGTGGGAGAAGACGAAGGGGCAGTATGGTGGGCATGGGCATGGGCGGAGTGGGCATAGTGGCGACGCGAAGGCGGGAGCGGAAGGTAGTGTTTCTGGGGTGGCCGCGAGGGAGGCAGGTGCGAATGGTGTCTAAGAAAGCCTTGGCAAATTATTCTTGAGCGTTTCTCTTTGCTTCGTTTTGAACATACTCGGATGATACCACATTTGCTTTTGTAGCATACATGTTATATAGTCATACTTCAATCTTCGGAGACGCTGTACACATTCCCCTCCTGCCTGCGCCATCGCTTGGGTAAGAACACAAACATAACATTCACTTCCGATCCGCACCTCGAACTGTTCCGCATGCCATGTACACATACCACATCACGAGCCCGAGACATGGCCTGCCGACTTGTAGCAACGTCACAGTATTTACACCTCCCTCGATCTACACTTCCGTCTCTATACCAGGCTGTTTGGTATGCATCTTAAGCAGATTCCCAACCTTCTGGCCAGCATGCTCGACTTTATGGACACCCCATTGTGCAGTCCGCGGAATCTATGATGATAGCCCGTCAGCACACTTGAACAACATTACGACACACTTGGGAGATAACTCCTCACCTTCCACTGCATGATGCCGTGATGCCGTCGATGCTCACTCTTCATATGTTTCTTGTAGTCTTTCGCCGCATCGATTATATTATGCTTCTTCTTCGGCTTGGACACGTCTTGGACTTGTCCGCCGCCTTCTTTCCCCTCGTTACCTTTGCCATCGGCAGCAGCGCCGTCCTTCTCCTCGCCCACAAGGGTCACGCCGCCACTCATACGTTCACGAGGGTTATGACCCGGATGTTTGCCCTTGCCATCCTCACCATTGTGCTGCTTGGATCTGTCCTCGTCGTCATCGTCGTCACTGGAACTGTCACTGGAGCCACTCGTGTCTTCTTCGTCCACAATACCAGCCTTCTTCGCCTCGCCAAGACTTTCCATCTGATCTCTCGAGACTTGCAGGACTTCCACGACATCTCTCATAGCGGCATCTTTGGACGCCCATGAGCTATGCGCTCCGCCAAGTCCTGACCAGAACGTCACTCGTAATTTTATCGTGCCGATCTTCTCGCCAGGCTGATCAAGACAATTGACGCGTGCGCGTGCAAAGTTACCTGTGTAGACCGGCAGATCTATTTCCTTCTCCACTTCGTCGGGGATCTCGCGAAGCCAGTACGTTGCAAAAGCTGCCGTCTTATCTTTCGCAATACCCTTCTTCCTGAACTCCAGCGCCAAGCAGCTCGCATAGCGCTTCTTATATGGCAGCTTGAGACTTAGGTCTCTCTTCGTATCCCAGTGCCCATCCCCCTTCGCCGGCCAGATCTTCGCATATGTGATATCGCTGTGGAATCGGATCTTCATCTTGTTATACTCGTGTGGTAGATCATGACTCTCCACCCCGGGATGGATCTCTAGCGTGCCGTAACCCCATCCAAGCTCTTGTGGCGGAGCTTGGAGTTGTACGCTTCGCCAGACCATCGAGATGCGGATTCGGCCGTAGCCAACACCACCCATCAGAGGGTAGAAGCCATTGACTTGCGATCGATCCTTGAAGACTTCAGAGAGCGGAAGGTGCACTATACCGAGTAGAGGGTCGTCTTCCTTCACCCTAGCGTCTCGGACGGAGACATAGACTTCGCAGTTCTGCCAATCTGGTATGTAGCGTTCCACACCCGCATTGTAGAACGGCCTTGCATTCTTGGGCTTCGTGCGGGTCTTGAAGACCTTGTTGTGGTTGATGATCACGGTGCAGTAGGCAGAAGGTAAGTGATCTCCCTCCTCTTGTGACTCATGGTCGTTAATGTCCTTCTCCGTCTGGTTCTTGTTCGTCTTCTCCAACTCCAGACCAGTGATCTGATGAATCTGGATACTAAAGACGCCAGACGGATAACCTTCAGGAGGCGGGGCAGAGATCATCATGGCGTCTGTCTGAGCCTTCATCTCCTGCGCTTTCTGCTGCTCTAATTCTTGTTGGTCACGACTGTGGCGACCTTTTTTAATGTTGGCTTCGCGTAGCTTGTTCTCACAAGTTTTATCCACCTTCTTCTGCAGCTGATCCATAGATCTGATGGAAGAATCGACTGTCTGGCGCTCGAGCTGGCATTTTTGAAGACGAGCTTTGCTGTAGTAGCCCACATCCCACTCCAATTTACCAGGCATGTCTTCACCAGCTTTCAGCGCACGGAAGCCGTCCTGTCTGCGTTGCATGCGGCCATTGGTTTCCTCGCCTCGCATCAGCTGCTTCAGATCCAATTCAATCCTCCCAAGATCATCATCGGCTGTGAAGCGATCAGCGTCCCACAGCTGAACTCGAAGTCGTTCGTTCACGTTGAGCTCCTCTGGTGTCACGAGCAGGTACGTGCACTCATTCCACACAGGCTCCATATTCTTCTCAAGCAATCTCGTGCTCCACATAGGTTTGCCAAACTTCGCCCACCCAACGGAGACATATGGATCAGAGCCGCCTTCTTTGATCAGAGGTATACCAGGATCTCCAGCCTGAAAGTCATAGCCGCGTCTGATGTTGACCACCAGTACACCCCGAGCAGATGTGTCTTTCTTCCAATCATCGCCTGCCAGCATGTCCTTGAGATCGAGCGTCAGACTCTTCGGTGCCACGTATTCTGCCATGGCTGCATCGACCGAAGACTGCACAAAATTCGATATCAGCGGCAAATCCATCAAGTTAATTCCGCTCCTGATTAGAGGTGTACAGCTGATATCGACCTTTGGCTGGCCGAGGAAGGTGAGGGTGCAGAGCGCGAAGAAAGGCGGGTCGGGTGCCAGCTGTAGTCTTAACCGTACAGTGCCCACTATGCCACGTAGATCCACCCAGACCGGTACCTTGAGATTCCCAGGCATATAGAAAGCTAGGTAGAGATGAGCATCCTTCGATCTTTCCTTCATGGTCTTCATGTTCGAGCGCGCTCGGTACGCGAACGACACCTCCAGATTAATGAAATCGCCCTCTTCGGCCTCCATGCCTTCAGCTTGTTCGGCTTCCGTGCCATCCTCGTTGTCGTTATCGTCGTCGTCATTTCCAGACTTCCCATCTTTGTCCTCCTTATCGCCATCCTCAGCATCATCGTCTACCTCCCCTTCACCGGGAACAATACGATCGTTCGTCTTCTTGCTCTCCTCTTTAGACTTCAGCTTACCATTCTTGCCTACAGATCTTGCAGCAGCGCCGGTTGGTAGCCATTTAATGCCAAGTATCCGCAAGCTCTCACTGCCTTGCCCAACGTCATCGACACTGACCATCTGCACTAGACTCGGTAGTGAAGCTTGCATGACGTCCTCTAGTGTATCTGCCAAACTTGTGAAGAGGTCGGGGTTGACGAGAGGCCAGACAGAAGACATCAACGCATTCAGCCAAGATACTGTCTCGGTTTCATGAGCTTTGAGACTCCGCTGCTCGCCCGCCCGATTGGCCTCCCAGATCTCGTCGTCCCATATTCCGTTCAAACGCCTCTCCATCCAGTCACGCACGCCCTTCCCCAAAGCGAACGTTGTACCGGCCGTCAGCACGCCGAGCACCGTCCACACGATACCATGTGAGATATAGGGTCTGGTATTGTGCTTCTGGTCCCACTTCGGAAGGACAGTCGACCTCATGAGCTTCTCCAAACCGAACGCAATCGTGACTATAAGCATAGCGCCGACAAGCCCAACTGTGGTTCCGAGTTTGTTGATCTCAGCTAGCTCCTGCTTGATTGAGCTGTACTCCGGAGGTGGAAAGATAGCTTTCGTCGACTCCCTGCCGTGCTCCATTTCATGAAGCTCCTTCTGCAACTGCTGATTAGTCTTGTTCTTGTTGCTCAGGCCAGTCGCCGAACGCTGTGTGGTCCCCATTGGCTTTTCATTCTCCGGCACATCCTTCAATGCTTGAGATGTAAAATCATGTATGGTGACAGGTAAATGTGTAATGGGATCGGTGACCTGACGCTCCGCAGCATCGTCTTTGCGCTTTTTCATGCCCTTACGCTTGTCTTTGCTGTTGGTCGGTCCGGCCTCTGAGGTATCTACCATAGGCTCTTCATCCCGGTAGTCCTCGTTCTCTTCCTCCTCTTGATCGGCACCGCCTTTGCTCTCGTCCTCCTCCGGCTTCTCATTCTCCTTGTCACTTTGCCAGTATTCTCTGGCTCGGTCGCTCCAGGAGGACTTCTCATCGTCGCCATTGTTGGTACCGCCTAGTGCTTTCCGTTCTTCTTTCTCCTGTTGGTATTTCTGTATGGTCGGAATCTGATGCTTCGGCGTATAGGGCGCCTGAAAGCGTCGCCGGTTCTCGTCTGCATCATCTGTGCCGGACATGCTCGCAAACACGCGATCTAGCCGCGGAATGCCAGGGATAGCCACTTCACCGGACAGAAGCTCACCTTGTGTTGTATCATGTATGCCAGCGAGCGCGTCCGGTGAACACAGTCATGTGACCCCAAGACCGGTGGGCGTCTGTAAGAGAGGTGATGATTGAACAGAAATCCACAAACCTGCTTTAGATTGTCCTACACATAACAAGGTGTCTGCGTACGCTCACGGTTCGTGCGCACTTGCTGGTTGTTGGTCGCATAGTGGGGTCTGCTTTCTATCCAAACTTGGCCAAGAGCTGGGCAAAGGCGCGTCATCAGGGGAGGAGCTTGCGCGCACGTGAGAGCATAAATTGCAGCGCCGTTGTGTCACTCCAGCATTATTATTGAAGCAACAGTCATGGAGGAGCTGCTTTGCCTGACCGGGTAATACCGTCGCATCGACAAGCAAGCAAGTCGAACGTGATGGACGACCGCAAATGCAATCGTGGTCTTGGGTCCAGCCATTGTATTGGTATCAGTCGCACAGGACCATGTTTGACGCCTGACCGGTGCTTGACCGGAAGAGCATTTTTAGTCAAGAACGTCAATACTGTCAGCGTCCGATGTAGGACCAGAGGTATGAGTGCAGGCGCGGTCTCGATGTCGCGGTACGGATGGTGGCGGGGCTTGAGTAGTTGCAAAGGGCGCTCAGCTGCCCAACCAGAGCTGCAGCACAGCACAGCCTCGCACCTCATTCCGTGCGTATTATTATTCTTTTCCCCATCCGCGCCCTCGTCGACTTTGATCTCTTCGCGTGGCCGCCTTCTGCGATGAACTCTATATATCCTCCTGATCACATCTCGTCGCTTTTCGCCACTGTTCACCGGTCACGGTGCACTGATCACTCCCTGACCCTGTCGATCGCTGACCGGTGTATAGTGGGGCATCATCACTGCAAGCCCACCAGCCTTACCACTTAACCAAAAGCATCGATTCGGAAGAACTTGCATGCGGCTCAAGACGACCGATATGGTCAGGACTCTGGCAACAGATATTTGACGGTTCCACTGGCGCACCCTGGGCTCACCGGCCACTGGAGCTAGCCGGCCTGAGGCCACCACTCTGCTAAGACCTTCAATATGGAGGGCATCGGTGTGGACGCGACACCATTTGGCTTCGACGCTGGGCCCTCCGTTTTCACCTCGGAGGACGACCTCACTGCCTTTTTGAACAACATGACTGCTGGAGAGCCTGAGACATGGCCACCGTTAGATCACAGAGCATGTGATCTCGACTCGCCCATCGAGTACTTGTCCAGCGCGGCCTCAGACTCTTTTCGATCGCCTGGGAAGCAACTTCAATACCTTCCGAGCCTTCATGGTGCCTCGAGCTCGCTGTCGCCGCGTGACAGATCTACCATCCTGACTCCCACTTCTTCCTTGGCCCTACATGAGTTCGTTGACGTGCTGCAGGTCGAGGACCAACCGTCATCGGAGAGTACGACAAGCACACCCGAGAGCAGCTTTAGCCCTTCCTCTGGCGAGTATGTCCAGGTCCGGCAAGACACCGGCCGATCGCAAGGCAGATCACACCTGACGTTACGGCCCCAGCCGATGCCAGGCTCAGGGGCGTCGACCTTCTCCGCGCAGCAGTCGCACCTTCACAATTTCGCCACAAACACGAGTCATTCGACATCCTTCGCGACAACATCTGCAGCTACTGGTAGCTGGACGATCGACGATATGGACGGTTCAGGTGCATGGGGTGAGCTCGATCCTTCCTCGTATCCTGCCCAGATTGACACCGGTGTGCCTGCCGAGCTTGCAACCTTCGATGCGAGCCACCTTGGGAGCACGCCGTCGTTCAATCAGTCCACTCATGCATATGACAATGGCGCAACCTTTCGTTCCTTCGGCAACGATGTACACACCTTCGACCATGCCTCTTTCACGCCCAACTTCGATGCGTACGCACTGCAGACGCCGATGCAGATGCAGGCCGTGTCGCAATCGCAAGGCGCATCAATTACCACGAGAGCGCCCACTGGGCAAGCGACGCCGCACTTCAACGTCATGACTCGACAGCCCTTTGCCAATGTCCAACAGTTCGTACCAATGAACAGCATGCCCCCGTCTCTGTCGCAGCAAACACAGCTTACCATGCGCGACCATGGGCAGCTCGGCTTCAGGGCAGGTAACAACGTCGCAGCCCCAACCAACTCCCTTCCGTCCGTTTCTCAACCTCAAAGGGTGATGGTCGAGAACATCCACACCACTGTCCAAAACCAGGCCAGCGTACAACAGGCAATTGCGCAACGGTTAAGGAACGAACCGACGCCCTCGCAGCAAGTGCCTCGCGATCATCAGCACGACATCAGAGGCTCTGGACCGGCGCAGAGCCGACAACTTCGCGCATTACCGCCAGGATCGAGTCGTATGAAAGTAGATCCATTACAAGCTCCACGTGCGAAAGGAGGTAGAAAGAGGAACGAGCCCCTGACCGAGAGAGTGAGGCAGAAAAGTGGCAATATGCGCAGGACTGTAGCCTGCTGGCGATGCGCCCTTCAGCGGGATACTGTGTGTCCAGCAATCTCGAAGCATACTTTGACTTGGCTGACTTTTCATAGTGTCCTGATGGCAACTCCCCTTGCGCTCGATGCGTGACAGCATTCTCAGACGGCAAGCTCGTTCACTTCCCATGTACCCGAGCCAAGCTGCCGATGTTTGTGCTTGACTTCCTACCTCGTGAGTATCAATTTTGTTGCCTGACATCAATCGTTGCTAATACTCTATAGCATCCATGACTGGCATGCACCAGAAACAGTCGATCGAGGATTACATGAACGCAAAAGTCTCCCACTGGCACAAGGATACCGCCACGGATATCTACCTCACCTGCGGTCATGGCCCGGCACTACGCTGGAAGCTCTACGAGTTCACTCCAATTGACGATGAACCCTGCTGGCAGTGGCAGTACCTCCAAGTCAACGGTCGATCCGAAGCACGTCAAAAGTACTCACCACCCTTCGCGATGATCAAGTTCGACATGAGCGACGAAGCTCATATCGATGAGTTCATGGACGAGATGCTTCAGCCACGCTATCTTGCGGACTTTGGCTGGACATGCTTCGAGGAAGAAACTCCTATCAACGACTTTCAAGCCCAGGTTCTCCAGGCCATGTGTGCACTGTACACCGCGACCCACGACCCTGACCTCAAGGATGTCCTCCGCAAGATTCTTCGCATGACCGCTCTCACCTACATAATGGGGCACACCTTGACCTTGCTCGAAACTACCACTTTCGGCGTCCTCCGTGCGATGAAATATGCCAAGATGCCGTCTCCGTCAGCTGTGCCAACTCAGCACGTCTCGCCTCGCCTCGCTAATCGGCAACTCAAGCTCTTCTTTTCTCTCCACCGCGAGAAAGTGTACAAGGAACTCCTCAACTGGCAGCAACAAACCCTGCACGCAAGCAAAAGCAAGGAAGAGTGCTGGTTGCCCGCTTTCTGCGTCACGTTGGGTCTCGCACTTGTGCTAGAGGAAGTGCAGAGGACGATCTGGGTGCAGGCTGATGCTAAAGTGAAGAAGGATGAGACCGTCACGCAGCATGCGGCGGAGACAGAAGCATACAATGCCTGTTCGAGGATTGACGAGAGGTTCGAATTGCTCGGGAACCTATTCAGGGCGAAGTATCGTGCGAAGAAGTGGAGGACAGCGGCTCCTGGGTCATTCGGCCCTGCGACACCGCATTTACCGGAATACGAGGCGCAGAACTTTTTGAACGATGTCTATGCGTTGCTGGTCAATAATCGTAAGTCTACGTTCAATAACAGTGCTTATTTGAACGCTAAGCTAAAATAACCTGCAGAAACCCATCTGAGGATACGGCAAGACGTGCCGTTGTCTTCGGAGAACCAGTGCTTTTACACGTCCCGATTGGTGGCGCGATTCCTGCTGCCGTTCTTGGATAATCCGATGGCTTAGGCTGTTGATGTGATGAATGACGAGTAATGAGTTATGAGAATAATGAGACCACGATCGTTGCATGATGGATGCGGCTGGATGTGTACAGGTCGTGTGGACGCAGTCTGAATGATCTCTGGGTTTGGCTAGTAGGAGGATGTTTCATCAAAGTCTTCGTCTAATTGTATAGGTCCGTCCTCATAGCTGTACATGATGGAAAACGATCGGACCACTGACTACATGGTATGGATATCAATGATGTGTCCCTTGACATTCTTGGCCATAACATATCGTCACATTGTGCCAAGCAGAGATCGCCAGGCACAGCCCGCAGGATCGTTGGCGTGTTCCACATTGTGACTCCAACCAACTTCCCGCGGAGACGGCATAGGCTGCTACCTCGATCCTTCCTGCGGATAGTGCATTCTATATAGATTCACTCTAGCCACTAAGTACATTACAGCACCTTTCCTCACCATTCTGAAAGACCTTTTACTCGACCATAGACCGTGCCGCTCGCTTACAGTATCAAGGCCTGAACGTCACCCAAGAGCTAGTATTTTCAGGATCTGTCCAAGATGGAACCCTTCACGCTGGTAGAAGAGACGCAGCGTCCAGGACCCTTCCAACTGTTTGACGATGTCGTCGACCTTGCGTCTGGCAAGACTGCGGATCATGACCTCTGCTACCTGAAAGCGCTGCGCGATGCCAATCCTGATACCATCGGTGAGCTTCACCACTATCGGCTTCATGACTACGTTACCACTTGATACCATTAGACAGGGCTGACGCACCTCTAGTCACCGCCATTCCCACGTACAACATCCCGCTACGTGCTTTTGCAGCTGCCGGCTTTGCCACTTGCACCCGGGACACTACTACAGATTCATATGCCTCGTTTCGAGGCTTCAACGGTCCAAGATTACGACAGAACAAAGGTAGTCTTGCCGAGAGCGTCCACTTCGCAAAGTATCGCTACGTCTGGAACCAGACGAACTTCATACTGTTCACGGTGCTGAATGTGCAATATGTCCTCATTGAACGGCGAGATGATGAGGATGTGCTAGGACCAAGCAAAGTGGTCGACCAGCTCATTCAAACTGTTGGCGACTGGCTGCTGAGTGATCAGGAAGTTGTCTGGGTCTACGTGAGTCTGCTATCCTCCACTTCAGTATCCCTACAAAGTTCTGAGACATGGTGCTCCATCTTGTAGGACAGGTACTGGCAGCGCAACAAGCAGCTTTACCACGAGGTGATGAAAGCGACGTGGGATAAAGTCATACTGGATGAAAGGCAGAAGAAGGACCTCACCAATGTCACCAAGAAGTTCTTCGAGTCCAAGCAAGTCTATGAAGATCTGGGGGTGCCATGGAAGAGAGGACTACTGTTCCGTTAGTACCAATGAAGCACCTGTGTGCCCGGATAGTCGCTTACAAGTGCTTGCAGACGGACCGCCCGGCAACGGCAAAACCATCTCGATCAAGGCTCTTATGCACACTCTTCTTGATCGAAAGGATCCCATTCCTGCACTATATGTCCGTAATGCTCCAATGACATACGACATTCGGAGTGTCTTTGTGCAAGCTCGTACGTACAAAGCTATACCAGTCAATGTGAAGATAAGCTAAGACATCTATCTAGGGGCATTGGCACCGTGTATGCTGATCTTGGAGGATGTCGAAACGATCGTCACTCCACAAACCAGATCCTATTTCTTCAACGAGATGGTAAGCAGCAATGCCATAGGGCCTCAACCATAATCTAATTCTGCTTCCAGGACGGCTTAGAGAACAACGACGGACTGTTCATCGTCGCATCGACCAACTTCCTGGACCGTCTTGATCCCGGACTTTCGAAGCGTCCATCCCGTTTTGACCGGAAGTACTTGTTCCCATTGCCCAACGAGCACGAGAGGACGCTATACTGCGAGTTCTGGCGACACAAACTGGAGAAGAACAAGGACATTGACTTCCCAAAGAAATTATCTCCAGCCATGGCGCATGTCACTCCTGGATTCTCCTTCGCTTTCCTACAAGAGTGCTTCGTTGCTACACTCCTAATCATGGCTCGGCAGGAGGAAGATCTGAACGAGACGCTGAAGGAGGACCATGATCTCAACGAGTATGAGCTCTGGAGGGTCTTCAAGGCTCAGGCCGATATCCTTAGGAAGGAGGTTGAAGGCCAAGATGGCAATATTACCAGTCGATCCCACCAGAGTTCAGGTACGAGTGAGTTGCTTGACCTACAAGCCTCTCAGGATTCTCAGGCTAGACCAGGTAGCACCTATCGGGTGTTGAGACAACCATCTGCCACAGAGCTGCAGATGCAAGCCGATCTGCCCGACCTCGCCGCCATGCAAATCAAGGAGCGGGAGCTCCCAGAGTTGTACCGGTAAGTCACCCCGGTACGAGGGCATATGTCATCACCTTGTCCATGCTGACTCGTCAACAGTAAGTTGACAATCAGTCCCAATCCGCCTCAACGCTCTGCCTCGCATACGATCCTGTTCTTATCTGATCACTAAGTACCGAGCGTCCATGAAGTTCACTTTTCCATAGACACGGATTGGCTGACATACCTCCCTAACTTTTAGCGCAGTTCAACAAGCATCAGATGTTTAATCCAATGGCATTCGAAAGACGAGTTTGAGGTACCGGCGAGATCGTCGAATGGGAACATGGAGCTGCATTATCTTGGGCGGTCGCGGATGTCAAAGGTAACGATGGACTAAGCATTGCAGTGAGTCACTTCTACACGAGTCTCTGAAGAAACGTAGGCATTGGAGTAGTCTGCTCGCATGATTCAAAGATTTCTCTTCTGCCTTGCATCACTTCCAAAAGTAAAGAGTTAGAGAAGAGGACCGAGGGTTGGTTGTGCTGTCTTATCCCTACGGCGGTCAACACCTGACGGCAATGCCTGTGAGTTTCCATGATCGGGGAACGGCATGAGTGGCAGATATCCGACGCCAGAAACCTGCATCCACCTTTCCGTGGAGTGCTGCTTCGCAGTCATGTGCCGTACCTTCGGTGTTAGCAGTGCAGTCATGCTTGCTTGCTTTGATCTGCATAGCTTCACGGCTATCGGCAAGAAGTCAGGAATTGCCACCATCCTCGCACGAGGTGTGGATCTAGAGCACGCTGCAGCCATGCGTTCCCGAACTTCACTGCACCCAGAGCGTTCGTCAGCACATTCATGACGCGTGTGAGTGGTGCCTACAGAGCATGGAGAAGTCTTCAAGCAAACATCGTCCAGATCTTGGTTACGTGAGCCATCGAGTCATCTGTTAGAAGAGCCGCTAGTAGAAAGCTTCTTCACGCAAGGACGATGGTTAAGCCGTTTCCGTGTCACATCTGATTCGCTGGACCGTCGGGCGACATGTAAAATGTGCTGCTCGGGGTTAAAGATAGTCTACCCGACGTGGGCATCATGGATGATTTACTACGGAGTATATGCGCCTCGGTTTGCCGCTCAACGGTCGATGTTATGTATGTTCGCTCTTCCTTTCTGCTTCCGTCCGTTGTAGGTAATTCGTTGTAAGTCTGCGCGGTGATGGCAGACCAGGCACCTATACCCGAGAGCAGATGGGCCTCCAACTCCAGTCCCCAGGATCCCAATAGTGCCGAGCCTGTTGCCGAACGTCCACTCGAGGTTGTGAGTTCCGAATCTTTGGCCAACGAGGAAAAGATTGTGGACAAGGAGGCCGTGGAGGACTATTCGTCGTCGAACTCGGAAGATGGCAAGGACAATGAAAAGGTTCAGGTTGCCAAGAGAGGGCAATTGGAACGGACAGCGAGTACATGGACGACCACAAGTGCAGCGACTTCAGTTGCTGTGCCGGCAGAACAGCCACCTCGAAAACGAACATGGGGTGAACGAATCAACCCACTGAAAAAGAAAGTCCTTCCTCCAATACCGACGGAGCGTGCGCAGAATCGCGAATACAATGCCAGTTTCTTGAGCAAGGTTTACTTTCAGTGGATGGCGCCTCTGATGAGCGTCGGTTACCAACGTCCTCTCGAGCTCAACGACATATGGCATGTCAATCCCAATCGAAGTGTGGATGTCTTGCAACCTAGGTTGATGGAGAACTTCCAAAAACGAAAGGAGACTGGCAGCAAGAACGCTCTACCCATGGCACTGTACGACACATTCAAGAAGGAATTCATAATAGGTGGTGCTTGTCAATTGACAGCAGCCTGCATGCAAGTGCTTTCGCCGTTCACCATGAAGTATTTGATCGCCTATGCTGGACAGTCTTATGCAGCAGCGCATGGCCAAGGACCCAAACCTGACATCGGTCATGGCGTTGGTCTCGTCGTCGGCATTACATGTATGCAACTTATCCAGTCGCTCTGCACAAATCACTTCATCTACCGAGGCATGACAGTTGGAGGCCAGGCCCGTGGTGCTCTGATCGCTATCATCTTCGACAAGGCTATGAAACTCTCTGGACGCGCCAAAGCTGGTGGCAAAGCTCGCGATGCTCAACCTGAACTTCCGGCTGGCATTAAACCTGGCAGTAAAGAAGAGAAAAAGTTCTGGGCAAAGCAGCTGAAAGGCGCGAAAGGCAAGAGTGGTGTTTCTGGAGATGGCGAGGGCTGGAGCAACGGTCGCATCGTCAATTTGATGTCTACAGACACTTATCGTGTTGATCAAGCTTCAGGCATGTTCCACATGGTCTGGACATCACCTATCCAGGTCATCCTCACTCTGGCCCTGCTTTGCATCAATCTGACCTACAGTGCGCTTGCCGGTTTTGCCTTCATTTGCCTTTGTATGCCTCTACTTGGAAAGGCTATCAAAAGTCTGATGGCTCGTCGAAAGTTCATCAACAAGATCACCGATCAGCGTGTCTCACTGTCGCAGGAGATTATTTCATCCGTTCGATTCGTCAAATACTTTGGATGGGAGACTGCATTCCTGGATCGTTTGGACGAAATTCGTGGCCGCGAGATCAACAAAATCAGCTTTCTGCTATCTATCAGGAACGGTATCATGGCCGTATCGATGGTGATGCCAATCTTCGCATCCATGTTGGCATTCATCACATACTCGCAATCCAATCATACGCTCAACCCCGCGCCAATCTTCTCGTCGCTGGCTCTGTTCAACGCCATGCGAATTCCGTTGAATTTGTTACCTATGGTCGTGGGACAAGTCGTCGACGCAAACGCTTCTCTTGGCCGTATCACGGAGTTCTTAGAGGCTGAAGAGGTCTCTGACGAAGCGGCATGGAATCTCGAGATGAAGAACGCCGTGAGTCTGAAGGATGCGGACTTTACTTGGGAACGTACGCCATCTCAGAACACAGATAAGCCAGGTCAAAATCCCAAGGGCATGAAGCAGGCCAAGGCTGAGAAGAAACAAGCCAAGAAGGATGCGAAGGAGGAGAAGCGTCGGTCCAAACACATGGACAGCATACCTCAGACGCCCACCACGCCTACAAGCCCGAGCGACGAGGACGAAGAGAAGCCTTTCAGCATCAAAAACATCAACCTCGATATTGGCCGTAACGAGCTTGTTGCTGTGATCGGTTCTGTTGGTTCAGGAAAGAGCTCGCTCCTTGGAGCCCTTGCGGGTGATATGCGACGAACTACTGGCAGTCTGGCCCTCGGTGCCAACCGTGCTTTCTGTCCGCAGTATGCCTGGATTCAAAACGCAAGTGTGAAGGAAAACATCGTCTTCGGCAAGGAATTTGACAAGCGCTGGTACAACGAGGTCATCGATGCTTGCGCTCTACGACCAGATCTCGAGATGTTGCCAAGTGGGGATGCGACTGAGATTGGTGAGCGTGGTATCACTGTTTCTGGTGGTCAGAAGCAGCGCTTGAACATCGCTCGTGCTATCTACTTCAACGCAGATATCGTGCTGATGGACGACCCGTTGTCTGCTGTTGACGCGCACGTTGGTCGCCACATTATGGACAATGCTATCTGCGGTCTCCTCCGAGACAAGTGCAGAGTGCTCGCTACGCATCAGCTCCACGTTCTGCACCGTGTCGATCGCATTGTGTGGATGAAAGAGGGTGTGATCTACAAGGTCGCCACATTCAATGAGCTGATGGAAGGCGACGAAGAGTTCCAGAAGCTCATGGAGACCACAGCTGTGGAAGAGAAGACTGAAGACACTGTCGATGGCGAGGAGCACGCAGAGGAGCAGAAAGACTCGGACAAGAAGAAGGGCAAGAAACCACGAGGTGCTCTCATGCAAGTTGAGGAACGTGCTGTCAAAGGTGTTGGCTGGGATGTCTACAAAGCCTACGTCGAGGCTTCTGGCTCCATCTGGAATTTGCCTTTGATTATGCTGATCTTGCTGCTCTCGCAAGGTGCCAATATTGTCACCAGTCTTTGGCTCTCATACTGGACCTCGCAGCGCTGGCATTTGCAGCAGGGTGTCTACATTGGCGTATACGCTGCTCTGGGTGTGGTCCAGGCGTTCTTCCTCTTCATCTGGTCAGTCGTCCTCACAGTGCTTGGTACCAGAGCCAGCAAAGTCATGCTTCATCGTGCTATGGCGCGTGTGCTTAGGGCTCCAATGTCTTTCTTTGACACTACCCCTCTTGGCCGAATCACGAATCGTTTCTCGAAGGATGTCGACACTATGGACAACGCCCTGACAGACGCCATGCGTATGTTCTTCATGACCATGGCCATGATCTTGTCCGTCTTCATCCTGATCATCGCCTACTACTATTACTTCGTGGTCGCGCTGGCTCCACTCGTAGTGCTGTTCCTATTCTCCGCCAGCTACTATCGGGCTTCGGCGCGTGAGATCAAACGCCACGAGGCTGTTTTACGCAGTGCTGTCTTCTCACGTTTCGGCGAGGCCGTCACTGGCGTCTCGACTATCCGAGCCTATGGGCTGCAAAGCCATTTCGCGAAGATGGTGAACGAATCGATCGACGATATGGACGGCGCGTACTTCTTGACGTTCGGCAACCAACGCTGGCTGTCCACTCGTTTGGACGCCATTGGTAACCTCCTGGTGTTCGCTGTCGGCATTTTGGTCGTCACTGCTGGAGGCCAGATCAATGCCAGCACAGGTGGACTCGTCTTGTCTTACATCCTCACCATTGTGCAGATGATTCAATTCACCGTGCGACAGCTTGCCGAGGTGGAGAACAACATGAACTCGACGGAACGTATCCACTTCTACGGCACTCAACTCGAAGAAGAAGCACCTCTACACCTTGGTGATGTTCGACCTTCATGGCCGGAGCATGGCGAGATTAACTTCGAAAATGTAGAGATGCGATACCGTGCGGGCCTCCCCCTTGTGCTCAAGGGCCTGACCATGAAGGTCAAGGGCGGTGAGCGCATCGGTGTCGTTGGCCGTACTGGTGCGGGCAAATCTTCCATCATGTCAGTCCTCTTCCGTTTGATCGAGCTGTCCGGCGGCAGCATTAGCATCGATGGTGTCAACATTGCTAAGGTCGGCTTGCACGATCTCCGTTCGCGATTGGCCATCATTCCACAAGATCCTACCCTGTTCCGTGGCACTATTCGCAGTAATTTGGATCCATTCAACGAGCATGAAGATATGGAGCTCTGGAACGCGCTTCGTCAAGCTGATCTTGTTGGCGCGGATCAGACTATCGAGGACGAAGCTGGTCGCATTCATCTGGATACTGTGGTCGAAGACGAAGGCCTCAACTTTTCTCTCGGTCAGCGACAACTGCTTGCACTCGCTCGCGCACTCATACGTGGGTCTCAGATCATCGTCTGTGACGAAGCCACTTCATCTGTGGACTTCGAGACAGATCAGAAGATTCAGAAGACCATCGTGCGTGGCTTCCGAGGCAAGACTCTTCTATGTATCGCCCACAGGCTGAAGACTATCATTGGGTATGTGACTTCCCTCGCTCTCATCATCTTTTCCTGCTAATACTTTCACAGCTACGACCGTATCTTGGTCATGGATGCCGGCAACGTGGCCGAGCTCGACAGTCCTATCAACCTCTACGACCAGGGTGGCATCTTCCGCAGCATGTGTGAGCGTAGCGGAATCAGACGAGAGGACTTCTTCAATTCTCAGGAGGCTCACTTTGATGAGCCTAGTCCAGCATTACAGAGGACGCAGAGTGCTGCGCTTGGGCACTAGATTGGGCTGTATATTTGGGTAGCATCGCGGCGCGTGGCATAAAAGATGTTATAAACGGCATAGCAAGGCGTCTCTGGATATAGTCATCAAGTCTGAACATATTGTGTATCTACAAAGCACTCGATACCGTTGCATATAGCGTCAAGAACGTCTTCGTAGTACATGTCGAGCGTACTTGATGTCGGCTAAGACGATCACTTCTCCAGCATGTCGATGAGATTTGTATATCGAGGATCCCGTCACGCTATACAGGCCACGAACACACAAAGAGTTCGGTCTCTGTCGAGTCATCTCACCATCCACGGCCTCCAGTATCGCTCGAATGTTTAGGTTGGGATCCTGCTTGGAGCGGAGGAATCACGTTGCAACCGAGGCGTTTTCGTGGCGATTCCAGCTGGAGCAAAAGCACATCATCAATACGGAAGGTGGCTTAAGGGCTATCATCGCCATGGTACCATGTCTTGACATTACCTTAGCTACATATGTACATCATACTACTTCATGACTTTGTGGCTGGGTCCATATACGCCTAGATGCCTCCCTCTAAGTAGTAGTTGATGGAGTAGTTGAGGAACGCACACTGAGCAAGGTCAGGGAATGTCACTGTAGGAGAAGGCCTGTCAAGAGTGTCAGTCTAATGGTCAATATCCTACGGTTGAATACACTCTATTGCGACTCACCAGTCCAGCTTCTTGGTCGGGCCGGTCTTGCTGTTGACAGGCAGCCATGGGCCTGACTCGCGGACACCCTGAGTGGTCTGATGGGTGTTAGCAAGTACAGAGGCTACGTCTCGGGTGTTAATGACATACATTGGTATAGCCACGGACTTGGAGGTACTGTGGGTTGGGGTTGGGATTGCCGTTCTTGGCAAATTGTGCGTAGTATCCAGAAATAAGCTGGACGGCCTTGAGGTCGTCGGCATCGCGCAGAGGGTCCAGGCCGTAGGTGAAGCCAAGGTCAGCGCCGTGGAGGCGGAAGTATGGCAGATCTGGGTCACCGTATGGGAAACCTGGCTCAACTGGGCCTCGGGACAGACCGCTCAAACCGAGGTTGTTGGGGTCGTAGCCTTGGTAAGTGCGGGTAATGGTATAGTAGTACGCGCTCTTGAACGCTCCTGAGGTGGCACCGGCGTAGACGGTAGCTTCGTCGATGCAACGGAAGGTGTTGTCAGTGGCAACACGCTGAGTCACGTTGAAGGAATCGAGGGTGAGGTTGCCCGTGTCATAGAAGGGGAACAGGCCACTGTCGATGATTTGCTGGGCGTAGGCAGCACTTATACCAAGACCTAGCTCAAGACCTTGCTGCTCGGAAGTGACAGTGACCTTGGGGTACGTGGAGAAAGAAGCACCGTCGTTCTCGGTCGTACCGAAGATGACATTGACGTCAGCGGTGCTACCGTTCTTGTTGGTAACGTCGAGTTGCTCGGTGTTGACAATCGTGCCGTCCTGCACAACGTATCGCGCAACCGTTGCAAGATTGACAAGGGTCAATGCAGGAACTGCCTTGAGGCAATTGATCTGGTCGGCAAGCGTGGTCTGATTGCATCCCGCCTCCTGGAAGATTTGTTGACCAGCCTGTGCGTATGACTGGTTGATCGTCAGGTAGCTGGAGTATGTGGTACCGTAGTTGCCAGTCAGACCAAGATCGACACCTCCGCCCAGGTTGGACTGTGCAACACCACCAACGATGAGGTTGTTAGAGATGACCGGTGGCGAGCCAAGGAGGGCACGAACAGATCCGGCGCCAGCAGACTCGCCAATGATGGTGACGTGGTTTGGATCACCGCCGAAGGCTGCAATGTTCTTCTTGACCCACTCAAGTGCAACAACCTGGTCGCCAATACCGAAGTTGCCCCTGATGTCGGTGCCGGGAATAGCGAGGAAGCCAAGAGTGGAGAGACGGTAGTTGATTTCGACACCTACGATGTCTTCGCGGGAAGCCAAATTGCCCGAATCGAGGCCACTGTTTGCACCGCCGTTACCGCCAGTGAAGCCACCGCCGTGGATCGAGAACAGCACAGGCTTGAGACCCTTGTTGGAGCCAGCTTTGGGGATGTATGGGGTCTGAATGTTGATGAACAAGCAGTTCTCAGCAGATGCTGCATCGTATGCCTGGGCACAATCTGAGCCGTAGGTGGTAGCTTGGATCGTCTGGCCGGTCTTGTTATAGATAGTCGAGTACTCGAATCGTGCAGGCTGATTAGCGTAGGGGACGCCAACAAAGCGGAAAGACTTCTGGTTCCTGAAACCAACGTAGTTGTTGCCGTTGGAGGCGATCGTCAGCTCATTGGTGGCTGTAGCTACGGCATTGCTGGCACCGTTCTGGTTGCTTGACTGTGTGCAAAGAATTGGTAGCCTGGTGTTGCCATATGGCTTAGGTGGGTAGACTAGGGTCTTGGCAGCCTGGTTCACAGACACGACACCGTTCTGGATGAAGAACTGCTGCCCCGGAGCAGCCTGGCCGGAGAACTCGAGGTAGGACAGCGAATGAACAAAGTCGCTGCTGTGATTCTGGAGAGCACCCTGGGTGAGTAGAGTCTCCCCAATGGCCTGGCAAGCAGTGGCGCCCGCCGTCAAGGTCTGGGAATCCAAAACAATGGCGCCAATATGGTTGGCATCGTCAGAAGCATTGAAGTTGTTCTGATAGATAAGCGTGAGGGACGTCTGGGAGTTGGAGAGGTTTCCAGCAGGCGCAGGCGCAGGCGAGTTACCGTAGCCCCCTGGTACACCCCAACCTTGTCCGCCGTAGCCTGGAGGAGCACCGAAGTGACCGCCATGACCCCACTGTGCTGTGGCACTGGCGGCCAGCGCTGCTGCAAGAGCGAGAGTATTGAGACCCATGCCGTGAATGTTTGGAAGGAAGACGGTATGAAGCCTTGCCAAGAACAAAGAATGCCTGTCTTACATGCTTGTGAAGGATGCGGGCGTCCTTATTATACTCCATGGGGTTGCCCCAATGTCATCAAGCAGATCTGTGTACTAGCGTGTCATTCATGCTGCTCACACCAATCTCCATAGATGAACAACCGGACGGTATCCATCAAAGTCCTTGCAACAACCCCTGCATCCGGTTGAATTGCTTCAGGTACACGATCGCGGCTAATCTGACATACATTCTATATGCCGTTTTGCCTGCGGCTCAAGGGATCGAACCGTATCCTTCACGCCTTGTCCAGACGTGGCGGGGGGGGCATGGTTCACTCTATTGCCACGCGAGACCATGCAGATGCGGCTTGTATATCATCCACAGATCCGCTGTGGGCTATATGCTCACGAAAGCGGAGCAAAGTAGCGAAGAGTGGTGCGGAGAGCCAGTGCGGACCAAAGGCATTTCGTATCGTGCGTGTTGATGGTCTGATCGCAGCACCGTGCTCAAGCGTGGTCCTTACAGTTGTATGGTCATGACTCGACCATGAATCAGGATCTGGTTGTCGGTGAAAAGTCACCGAGCAGAGACGACTGTCGTAGTCCATTCAGGATCGTCCCCGATCTCAGCCCTACAATCACGTGGCGGATTGCCTCGGAGGCGGCCGACAGATAAGGAAAACAACAAATATTTTGTTCATCATGGAGCCTTTTGGTTTGGGCTTTCTCATTGTGCTCCGACCTCGTCAACATTGTAGCGGCGACTCTGTCCAGATGACGCTGGTATTGACCGCCGTAGGATGTTGGCTACTGTTTGATGATTATGGTTGAACTAAAGCCAGTTGGATCGGGTGTGGTCACAATGGGCGACAACACGATCTACTCGTTCAGCGATCTTCCGATTGATGCGAATTTGGGGGAGTACGACATTTATATTGAGCGTATGCGGACGATCCAATACCCAATGCTGAAAGATAGCCTCTACCTCGACCACGCCGGAACTACACTGTATCCCAAGTCCCTACTTGATAGGTTCCATCAAGATATGGTGTCCAGTCTTCTCGCCAACCCGCACTCTGCTTCTCCATCAAGTCGAAACGCAACGGAGATGGTCGACTCTGTTCGTCTAGAAGCACTGCGGTACTTCAGAGCCGACCCATTGCATTTCGATCTAATTTTCGTGGCCAACGCTACTGCTGGCATCAAGCTGGTCGCTGAGGCCATGAGAGAGCAGGAAGGAGGATTCCGGTACGCATATCATGTAGACTCTCACACCAGCGCTGTGGGCGCGAGAGAGCATGCAGTGCACCATAAGTGCGTAGAGTGTTACGAGGAAGTACACTGCTGGCTAGAGAATGACTCTCACGCGGACGATATGTCTGCATTATTCACTTTCCCGGCTCAATCGAACATGAATGGTCGTAGACTGCCACTCCGCTGGTGCAGAAGGGCTCGCGAATCCCTTTATGGAAGGACCTACACACTTCTGGACGCGGCCGCTTTTGTCTCTACATCTGCTCTTGATCTAAGCGATGCCAGTAGCGCCCCTGATTTTACGACTCTCAGCTTCAACAAGATCTTTGGGTTTCCGGACCTGGGTGCTCTCATTGTCCGAAAGAATGCAGCTCATCTGTTTGATAGGCGTCGATATTTCGGCGGCGGCACCGTTGAAATGGTAGTCTGCTTGAAAGAGCAATGGCATGCCAAGAAAGCCGGGCCTTTGCACGAAAGGCTGGAAGACGGCACACTGCCTATACACAGCATCCTTGCTCTGAAGTCTGCCATAGAGACGCATTGGAACCTGTACGGCTCCCAAGACCGAGTGGCAAAGCATACATTAGATCTGGCCAACCGACTTTACGAAGGACTGGCAGCACTCCAACATGGTACCGGCGAGCATGTCTGTACGATTTACAAGCATCCCGAGTCATCCTACGACGAGCCTTGTACACAAGGTCCCACGGTAGCATTCAATATCAAAGACAGCAAGGGTACATGGGTAAGCACGTCGGAGGTCGAGAAATTGGCCGTAATCAAGGACATTCACTTACGGACTGGCGGTGTCTGTAATCCTGGCGGGGTGACACAGGCATTAGGACTCGAGCCATGGGAGATGAAGGAGAATTTTTCTGCGGGGCAGCGGTGTGGTGGAGAGGATGATATCAGGAATGGCAAGCCCACGGGTGTTGTTCGACTTAGTCTGGGCGCCATGAGCACAAGATCAGACGTTGAACGTTTCTTGGTCTTCATGGATGAGTTCTTTGTTGATCGAAACTCAACGATGAGGGAGTGGTCATCGACAGCCGCTGGACCAACCCCCACATGGCACGTTGAAAGCTTGACTGTGTATCCGGTCAAAAGTTGTGGAGGCTGGCAGATTCCCGATAATATGAGGTGGGAGGTCCGACGAGAAGGCCTAGCGTGGGATCGAGAATGGTGTATCGTACACCAAATCACTGGCAAAGTATTGTCCCAGAAGCAGTATCCTCGAATGGCTTTGATACGACCAGTGCTCGACTTCAAGGCTGGTCAATTGTGTCTCAGTGGACCAGGAGCCAAGCAGAAAATCACTGTGCCTCTTTCCCAGGATCCAAGCTATCTGGAAGCGCTTGACCTTTCGCATATAGACACTATAGTCTGTGGTGACCCGATCAAGGCACGATCATATAGCTCGTCTGTGATCGCAGACTTTCTCAGCGGAGTGCTTGACGTACCATGCACTCTTGCCAGGTTCCCAGGTTCCAGCGGCACTGCAGCCTCGACAAGACATAGCAAGGCGCATCTGCAGACTGGAGTAAGGTCGACCTCGATACCCCGGCCAATACGTCTGAGCAACGAGTCCCCGATCCTGACCATTTCCCGATCCTCGCTAAACCGACTCAATGAGCAGATCAAGGCCAAAGGTGGCAAGGCAGCTCACCAATCCGCGTTCCGTGCTAACATCATCCTGTCCGAACGACCAGCATCTCTGTCTATTAATGAAAGCCCGTGGGCCGAAGACTATTGGTCGGGAATGAAAGTCGGCAGTGAAGACGGACCTGTTCTGGACTTTCTTGAAGGCTGTAGGCGTTGTCAGATGGTCTGCATTGATCAGATCAGTGGAGAGCGCAATCAGGAACCTTTCGTCACTCTTGCGAAGACGAGGAGGTTTGGTGGGAGGGTGTTGTTCGGTGTACACACCGCCTTGGCAAGTGGATCGAAGAGTAACATGATCAGGAGTGGAGATGTGGTTGAGGTTCACAGTTAGTCCTGGTAGATGTGCTTGCGTGAAGATGGTCGCTTGACATGCAGGAGTCATTCTGACATATTAGCTTATCCTAGGGTGAGGTAGCCGGCGTGCCGCATTTCATCTAAAAGACGTGAAGCATCTATAAGACATGAAGACTGGCGATCTAAAAGTCATGATATTCATTCCCCAGAGATATCAAGCTAGTCGTGCCAGCCAACTACTGCTTCTTCTTCCCATTGCCCCCACCAGACGAATGCGAATGATTCGCCTGTCTCGCAGCCTTCCGATCATCACTATCCTTCTTGTCCATAGCCTCCATCTCCTCCGCCTCCTTCCGCTGCGCATACCACTGCCCTGCCTGCAAAATTAAGACACCCGCCAGCACGAGCGCCAAGATGGTATTACTCGCAGCCAAGACCCGCAGACTATCCTCCCTGCCGATAATGTCTCCGTCATTGACTGTCGCACCCGTTGGCAGGCCATCTGCACCATAAGCGCCGGCCGTCACGGTCCGTAGTCCCTTCACGATGTTGGCAATGTAGACTGCGATGCCGCACATATACAACACCAGGCTCGCGCCGTCGAAGAGCATATTCGCTTCGCTGGGTTTGTAGAGCTTCATCATGAAACCTAGTAGGCCCGTTCCGATCACGATGTGTAGGATGCGGCTGATGAGAGGTGGACTGGCGTGCAGGAACTTCAGGTGGTTCTCCTGAAGGGCGAAGTATTGGGTCAAGGGTGGGATCGTCATGTCAGAAGCGTGTTTGTAAGCTGTCGGCGTTGTCCAGAGGACGTGGTAGTCGTAGGGGAAGAGTGCGAAGAGGATGCCGAGGAAGAAGCATGTTGCTAGACAGGATTGTTAGTGTGCTGGAGGACTTCACCATGTACGATAAGTCTCACGGCCAACGATGAGAAAGGTTGCGAATGGTGAGGTGCCTTTGAGTGGCATCGTTGCGGTTGTGGTGGGTAGCTTGCGAACAGGGTGTCGTGCCGAACGTGATGTGTCTCGACTTGCAGCGATGGAGTGTTCAGGACTGATATTGCAGTATGTTCCACATCCCAGCTTGCCGCATATGTTGATCGTTGCAGACGCTGTCGAACGTCGTTGTGGTTTCTCGCAAAAGGCAATGAAATTCGGACGCGGCTTTCAGCTGAAGGCTCGGAGCCCAAAAAGCTTGGATGTCACGAAATCGCGATGAGAACAATTCACTAGACTATAAGAACAGATTGATGCAGGTATGTGACAGTGGAGATGTCTGCGTTACACAGTAGCGCAGGCGGCAGATCTGTGATATGTGCTTGGGTTTATGACCTCTAGTCTACTCCGTCAGCCCCATAGCAATGGCTGACCCTCTTCAGTCTACGACCTAAGCAGGACCATGATGATTCGCGTCTGATCATGTCCTCGATCGTGCGCCGCGTCGTCGTCACCCGTGGTATCATTACGATCTTATGGCTGTTCACGCAGACAGCATATGAAGTTGACATACGTTGCGTAGTCGAAGCCTCTTAGCGGGTGCTGCTCCAGCATGAGATTCTCGTTTTCCAGCCCAGGTACAAGGTCTTAGTGGTCTTGGAGTTCCGTCGTCGAGGACAGGGATAGTCTCAATCCTCAGTCCCCTCCGGCATGCCGCCTGGTATGAGCTACGCTATCATTAGCTAGATACTGGAGAAGCACATAGCAGGTCCCTGTACTTGCCATGCAGACATTGTTGCCATTGAGCAGAATTTTCGGAAGCTTAGTACCAACGCCTGAGGAGTCACTATCACAGGAGTCAGGGAGCTGTAGAGAGCATAGGCAGATGCATCCTAGACATACAATTCGGTAACATCTTCGAGGACCATATCTGTGTGGATTTTAGCCCACAAGGCCATTGAACCGAGAGACTTAAGTTCGATACATACTGACGAAGTCGTCAAAGCCAAGTAATGTGCCACTGAACTCTGCTTCTCATCAGCATGTTGTTCGTTTGCCTAATAGAGCGTTTGATCATACCCTTGTCAGTCTTCATGATGACCCGAATCGGCGAGCCAACACATCGGTCTATAAGCTCCAACGGTAGTAGCTGCGATGCCATGCTGATTGTTGTGATTGTCAAGAAGATAATCTTTCCTTACCGAAGAAGTCGAGTTGCTATACAGAACACGAGTCAATCGACTCACGTGCAGACGTGCTCGGAACGGCGAGATCCGCCCTGCCGCCTTGCACTATCAAAGCCTAAATCGGCAAGCAGGCGGAGATTCAGTGAAGTCGAGCTTCTATTCGTTCCAAGACCTGCATTGCCGCCTAGTTGTGGTGAACACAAGTCGCTCTATACATATACTACTCTTCCTATGCAATGGATCGCAATGCCGCCACAGCGTGCCGTCACCGCAAACACAGCGGCGGTAGCAACAGCGACTACACGGTTGGTAATGGCTCGAACCGCCGGCAGCATGGACACACACAGCACGACCACTGTTCATGACAATGAGGATGGGGAGTATAATGACGGCCCGGATGTAATTGTTCGTCTCCCTTCCATTCGACCTATCGACCAACGGTGGGATCGATCTCGAGGAATCGTGTTCGGAAGCGCACCTCGCAATCCAGACTCGACCCGAGTTGCGCCGAATAGCATTACCTGTGGTATCCGATCCACCCAGACTCGACGATATGCACAAAGGGCTTTACCAGCATCCAGGCCTTACCAACAGCCGGCCACCTCGCCAAAGGCAACGACACTGTCCGACAACCCGTATCACACTCCTACGCCCCTTCGTATAGCATCCGACAGCCAGAAGATGATTGATTTGGGCAAAGAGAAAGATCACTGGAAGGCCAAGGAAGCACAGGTCGCGTTGAAGCACAAGAAGGCTCTTGAGGTTCTCGAAGACCTAAGGAAGAGGGCGCAGGCTCGTGAGGATGATCTTGAGGCTGACCTTCGAAAAGCTTGCGCTTCCAAGGAGCATCAACAACGGGACCACACCCGTGCCCTAGATGAGCAACGCAAAAAAGTGCTAGAGGGAAGCGAGACCACCATGTCTCGGTTGAGGGGGCAAGTGGCATCTTTGACGCAGTTGTCAGACCACTTCAAGAACAAAGCGGCGGAATTGGAGCAAGACATGAACACACAGGACGAGGAGCATAAGCGAGACTTGGCAGCCCAGCAAAAGAGACTTGAGATGTCGCTCAGTCTACAGCTGGCGGAGCAAAGGCGGCAAGGACAGATCCGCAAGAACGAGCGAGCGACCTATGAGGATTATCGTAAAGTGTACAATGAGCTTATTGAGGCTGTTCGAGAATTTTACAATCCTATCTTCTCCATGGAGAGGGCTCTTTTTGCTGTTATCAACAGGAGAGGATCATTGAATACACATTCTGACGGAATGAACAAGATCAATCCTATAGTTCTTGTTTCGAGAGGTAAACTTTTCCGACGCTTGGACGAGTGTCAACAGGCACTGGTTGCGAAGCACGAAGAGGAGGGACAGTCGCTTCAGTCCCTCCGAAACGCGATGCAAGAGAAAGTCTCCAACTTTTCGAACGCAGCGCATGAATCCAGGACCCAGTCGAGATATCATCGGATTGATCAGACGCAGACGAAGATGGAGACTGCGGACGTACTTCACTACGTCGCCAACGATCTACCCGTCCGACAGGAAAGCCGAGCGGTCGAAGGCGAGATGAAGAGCCTACAGGAATCTATGGACCGTGAACAGGACGAGACTGTAGTAGCCTCGCTCCAAGCGCAGTACGCTGACCTGTCGACGACTCGGACGAGTCTGAGTAGCCTGATAGGGCTCTTCGCCAGGTTACGTGACATCGCCGCACTCGAAGCGTTGCTGTCTGACAATATTGTGGAAAAGGAAGTCTTCGTGGCTTCATTGGAGGCACAATCGCGCATTGAGCAAGCTGGCCGCATGTGGATTCAAGCAGTCGCCAAGTCAGCATTCGTGAATGCAGAGAGTGACGTATCTTTCGAGGATCAAGCTTCAACACGCAAAGAATACACGCGAAATCTTCGCCAGACACACCAACGACTTGACGAGTACAAGGAGAACGTGCGGAAACGTGTTTGGCTTCAGCAGTATCTTGGTCTCACAAAGCCTGGTCTGGAAGACGAAGCTGATGCCATTATCAAGGAACGTATCGACATTGCGCGCGTGGAAGAACGTGGGCTGCTCAAGAAGTTCGGAGTGCAGAGGATGAATCGCAGCAGTTCTTTCGCGCGAGCAGTCTCTCCTACACGGTCAACGAGGCGCGTGAGAAGAATGGAAGCGCGCGCTTCGTCCGAGCCGCCAAAAGCATCCACCGCTATAAATAGCACAGAGTCCACCACGGCCCATAGAGCCACTGCATTTGGTCTACCTCTCAGATCCATGGAGCGCAATCTGTCAGAGCTCAAGCGACGCCTTCTACGCTTGCCAGAAGGCACAGAGAAGGTCTGGGTTGCTGCTGAGACAGAGTCACTTCGTCGGAAAGTAGGCAGTATTAATCTATCAAACTTGCAAAGAAATCGGGAACTGGCGCGCCAACCGAATAACGAGGATCTCCCTGCAAGGTCGACCGGAGCCAAGTCTGTGCTGGCTGATGCAACGAGCAAAGGCCCCACGACATCAGCCAATGCTGTCGTGCGTCGCTCTCCAACCAGGGCCTCTATAGTGAGGACATCCGCATCTACATATCCTAACGGGACCAGGAGTGCTTTCCGGAGGACGTTCTCGTCTGGCTGCCGCTCTTCGTCAAATCCTGGATTGATGTTGGGGAACGTCTCCGATGACATGGCTGGTTTGGATGGTCTTGAGTCAGCTATGCAGCAGACAACCATATCAGGATCACTCAATGACACTTTGTCTACCTCGTCGAATCGCAGCCCATCAATTAGTCCAGGGCTCAAAGCTAGCAAAGACGGGTCGACACCGATCGGCTCAGCTCCAGACATGAGCGACCCAGGCAACTCCACTAAGCCAGGCGAACAAGACGGTGGTGTCGACGACGTTGAATCGACCTCCCAACCTCGATTCCGCATACCAGACTCAGCGTACCGCGAAGCTGCTCTCGCTTCCCCTAGCAGTAATGCAGCCTACTGGTCCTACAGACTTTACAAAGACGACAAGGGCAGGTCACCATCTGTACACTACTGTACAAATGCTCAGCAAGCCGAGCGCGAGCTCCAGCACTTCATTGGCAAACCACTTATCGGCTTCGACATGGAATGGGACAGCACAGCCAACAAGAACTCCCACGCCAAACGCAACGCCGCTTTGATACAGATTGCCTGCGAGGATCGTATCTGCCTGATTCACATCGCTCGCTTCCCAAGTGATGATCCAGACCAGCTTGTCCCACCAACACTTCGCATCATCCTCGAGTCTACTGGGACGATAAAAGCAGGCGTCAACATCCAAGGCGACGCCCGACGTATGCGCGAATACCTGGGGACGGAAGTCCGCGCTCAATTCGAGTTAAGCCACCTCTACAAAGTCGTCACGTTCGACCGCGCGGACATCAACAAGACTCTGAAAGGCGCTAGCATGGCCGTGCAGGTTCAGAAGATCTTGCGTCTGCCACTCAAGAAGGACGATGTGAGGGTTAGCGCATGGACCCGGCCACTGAATCAGGAGCAGTGCGATTATTCTGCTTCGGACGCTTATGCAGGGTATCAGCTGTTTAGGGAGCTGGAGGTCCGACGAGAAATGATGGATCCCCGGCCGCCAAGACCGGCGTGGCAAGAGCTCAAGGAGCCGCTTGTGCTAGGCGATGGGACGAAGTTGAGGGCGAGGCCGAAGGGTAGCGCTGTGAGTGCTGCGAAAGCTTCTACGTCTACACCTGCTGAGGAGCTGGACGATGATGCCGAAGAGGAGTTCTATGATGCTCTTGAGACGCAGGATGCGATTGGAGCATTGGTCGTGCCGTTACAGGGAATCAGCATTTCATGTCCTTCTCTGCCTTTCGGTAGTGATGATGCGACCGCTTCATCAAAAGATCCAGAGCTCCATGCCACGACAGCCGCGCCCGCCATTCAGGACAACATCGTCCCAGACAAACCTTCTGCTATCATAACTACAGAACATACCTCATGCTCAGAACTCGACCAAGCAGATTCCTGGATAGCCCGATACCGCACCTCCTGGCGCATCCAGCCGGGAAAGTCCCGAGCCAGCGTGCCCAACCTCCGAGCCCATCATCTCTGGCACGAACAGCGGCTCGAAATCGCTCAGGCAGCGGCTTTGCTACGTGATCCTCCCTTGTCGATTAACACCGTGGCGAGCTATGTTCTTGAGGCCATTAGGCATGAGGATTTGCCGTTCAAGGCTGTGCGGTTGCGGGAGGTGTTGGGGCTGATGCCGGAGGTTGTGAAGGTGGGGAGGTATAGGGGGATTGTGGAGAGGTTGCAGCAAGTAGAGTGAGAGGTGAACTGATGGATGAGAAGAGCTGATTTGGTGGAGTGATGCTTGGATTCTGCATGTTGCATAGCGCAGCGTGGTTTGGGTCACATATATGGTTTAGCATTCGTAGCATATCAGCGGTAAGGAGTATCTCTACTATCATGTGTACGTCTACAAAGATGATCACCATGATGAACGAGTGGTAGCCGTGGATGTGACGCATGATCCACTCAATTCGGAAGCGCAATTGTAGCAAGACATTGGATTGGAGCGGGAGGGATCGGTCAGGTTGACATTTCGGAGTTCTTGCTTTGCTCTTCGCTGTCCGTCCTCGGAAACGCGTGCGGACGCCATGCTATGCCCACGCACAATCCATATGATATATATCATACCGCCTCAACACCCGCCTTCATATCTTACATCTGCCACAATATCCATGACTACTCCTCCATCTTCTCCTCCTCCTCATCGTCCTCATCGCCCTCCATCGACTTCTTCGCCAACTTCTCCGCCTCCTCCCTCAACGCCTTCGGCACCTCCTCATGCCTGCCCTTTGTTGGACCCGCCACAGAACTCACCCACGTCAATTCCAGCTCAAAATCCTTGTCCTTGTTATCCTCATGCGCCACGTAAATAATCCGCGCCGCCTCCTTCACCCCTTCCTCCAGACTAATGCACTCCCCATCCTTCGGATCAAGCTTCAGCTTCTCCAGCTCCGACTTCGCCGCCTGCCTGCCTTTCCCAGACGCAGCACCATAGTAACCCCAGTATGTACCCGACGGTTCAATCATATACAGATATGGCCCTCCCTCTTTCGCGCCCTTGGTCTTGCCCCCACTGCCGCTTTTAGGTCCGCTGCCTACTGCGCCGTCGACGGAGAGCTCGGTCTCGGCGTCGTAGCCGCCGATTATGGCGGTGATGCCGAAGGGGCGGACAGAGTTGTAGAGGGTGTAGGCCTGGACGTAGGAGCCCATGCGGTTGGCGAGCGAGGAGACGGGGATCGGGGCTTTGTAGGTGCTGCGCCAGCTGGAGGCTTCGTCGCGGGCGCGCGAGACGAAGTGTTTGCCGTCGGGTTGGAGGCCGGAGTAGACCTGCAGCGCGTACATGGATTAGACGAGGTTTCTCGATGCTGGGTGGGAGGATTGACTGACCACGCCCATATTCCGGTCTACTGTCGATATTCGCTTGTTGGCGTCCTTTTTGAGTAGTTTGCTTGATACGAGCTTCTCTAGACCTAACACCACGCCATCCTTACACCTGATACCGATTGCTGTCCCACCATTCTCCACGGCTTTCACTGCGTACTCGACTTGGAAATTGCGGCCATCGGGGGAGAAGACGGAGTTGGAGAGATCGTAGCCGGTGCCAATGGACGTCTGTAAGAAGGTGTTAGGATATATGGCGAGCATGCAGAAGATGAGGCTCGCTCACCATGGCTGATGGCTTTGTGAAGGAGGCTGCTCAGGCAATACCAGTGGTCGGTATATCTATCGGGCTATATTGGTCGGGTGAGTATGGATAGGAGCAAGATGGATTTGATCTTGTGTACTGCAAACGACCTGGAGCTTTGAAGGCAGCGAGCTTATGCGCGTATGTTAGTGAGCTACTCGCGACCATCGGGCCGTGTCTCGCTCCGAGATGCCTGACCATCAAGGCACAAATATAAATGCTGTGGCGCTCAAACATTAGTCGATCAACACGGGATACATGACATGAATGTCTATGGTCATAGGGACTGGTGCCATTCCCGTTCGATATGACTAGCTATCTAGGAGGTACTTCAATCAGCTTTGCTGCCCAAAAAGCTCTCCCTATCCCACGAATAACCTCGAGTCGTGCCTGCTTAGCGCGCCCACAACCACCCACTACCCGAACTCCTCATCACACCGTCTTCCATTTCCATATTCTCCTTCCGTCTTCCACCTGTACATAGCTTCACATAATCTAGGTACTTTTACAATAAAACCGCTTTGTCTGTCAAAGAAAGACCAGACGATCATACGCCTCCCCGCCGCTCCTTTGACTCGGGTTACTACCCTCGTTGACGCACTCGTTGAGGAAGCCTAAGGAGGTCACATTCACGAGAGTCGTCACAGGCGCAGACACACGAGACAAGCTGCTGATTTCTCCCTTTTCTCTTTGTTGCCGAGGCTTTGAGGAGGATAGACAGCATAGGGCTTCTTGACACTCACAACAGCTACTGACACAGTCTAATGTACGGGTGGCCGATGCTAGTGCATTTCTGCGAACACTGTCGATACAACACACCGGTGTCCTACTCTGCAGACGTCTGGAAGGCGGAGCACACCTGCACGCATGCAAGTCTGAGTTCCCTGTGCTGTTGAGAGAGTCGTGGCTGACCTGGTGACCAACAGTGCGGCATAAGCTCGCCAGGAGCAGACCTCGCTGGTCGTAACGAAGCAGTCATGAACTCTACTCAGCATGACGAGCTGGCGCAACTCTTCGCACAGAACATGCAGCTTTCATACCAAGCTGCAGCAGCTCAGCAACAGCAGCAGCAGCAGCAGCAGCAGCAAGAGCCTGTGCAGGTCCAACACATCCCGCAGCTCTCAGAGAAGCAAGAAGAAGCGCCGATAGCCTACATATCCACGCACTACACTCCCACCGCCCATCTACGGCCAGATACAACATCTGATGAGCCGTCCCGCAGCCCACCACCTCCCTACAACGATGACGGTCTGCACATGCCCGAAGCCATGGCGCAGACCCTGCGAGACCATTCCATCAATCCTTCCACCTTACTCCCCAACCAGATCCAGCTCTTCGCTAACGCTGACTACGAGCAGAGATTGCGATTGTTAGAGCTATGGAGGATTGCGCCTCCTTCATACCCGATGGAACAGTTTTCGCGGGGACAGACGGGTGAGTGGGCACCTACCAGTGTGCAGCAAGAGGAGGACGAGGCCAGGATGCGGTATGAGCAGAACATGCACGGTCGTGGCTTTGCAGGGCACGAGGAGCATATGCTAGATACATACATTCCCAACGATGCAGTACCCATAAGTCCCATCCGGGAGGCCGGAGAGACTGCCTGGCCTCCAGCAGCAAGGATGAGAGCGGCGTCCATAGCAGCAGGGAGGAAACTAGGCGGTGGTGGTGGCGGTGACGCGAATGCAGAGCCGTATATGAGCAATGGCTACCAGTCAGCTCAGTCAGTGGATCCGGTCTATGCGGCCGCGGCAGGGTTGTGGCAGGCTCCGAGTTATGCGCAGGCGATTCAGCAACAGCAACAACAACAGCAACAGGAGCAGGAGCATCAGTATGGGATGTTTGAGCAGATACGGAATCATGCTGATTGGGAGGCTATGAATGAGAGGGTGGCGAGAGAGAAGTTGCAGGGTGTGCAGGGTGGGGGTGAGGGTTTGGATGAGGATATGGAGTTGTGACGGACTTTTTGGCTGCACTTGGAGCAAGGAATCTATTTGGGGTTGTTGGTGGCAAGTTTCTCCGTCTGGACTTGTGAAGGTATATACCCGAAGGGCGATGTGTGCACAGCATGTATAGGGAGTATATAGGAGAACAGGACGATTTTACTTTGACCCGCCGCTGCATTCACCTCGATGATACAGTATCTTGCCAATTTGACATGTGAAATCGTGAATCGCCCTGCGCCTTGGCAGATTAGTCAGCGAATAATGTCTGCTCTACGTCACTGTGGTCGCCTTCGAGACATCTGCAATGCGCAGTCCCGCACGCGTTTTTGAGATTTCACAACAGCTTCAAGCTTCTCCTCCGCCACAGACTTTGGGCATCGATCTAGTGCAGCTTGACACTATCTTCCCCACTGATATCACCCTGAGAATCCCGAGCTGCGTGGATTCCAGCAGTCACCTGACCCTTCCCGACCACGAGCACGCCTTCGAGAAGCTTTCTTGACCGAACACAAGCCGCTTGTGGACTGCCGAAAAGGCGAAGGAAGTCCACTTCACTCCTCCCACACCACTGCAGAAGTCCGCCACACTCTGCGGTACCCACCATCATGGACGACCAGATCGCAGCCTTCACAGCGTTCACGGGCAGTGATCCTGAAAAGGCACAACGCTACCTCACTCTCACCGACGGCAACGTAGAACAAGCTGTCGACCTCTTCTTCTCCAATCCAGATCTTGGCGCTGCCGTGCCCTCACAACCCACCCAACCGTCAAATCGGGATGATCCCATCAACATCGACGACGAGGATGATGAGGTGGAAATGACTGGCAGTGCGCCTGCAGGAGGTCACTCATATGATGACGATGAGGCGATGGCACGGCGGTTGCAGGAAGAGATGTATGGCTCTGGTGGTGGCGGTGGTGGGCCAGGAGGCGGAAGAGATGACTTTGATGAAGAAGGCGTGCGAGCACCGATGGCCAGGACTACCGAGACATTGGTGGGACCTGGCGGCTTCGACGATCCTAACGATATGAATGCGGCCATATTCGAGCAACTTGCACAGAGAAGAATGGGCGGCGCGCGGAGAGGACAGGCGGGGATCTTCAATCAGCGGGAGGCTTCGATCTGGGCTGGTGATGATCAACCTGACCCGGATGCGCGAAGAGAAGCATTATCACGAGCTACGGGCGGTGCATCAGATCAGTCATCCAAGTCGAATTTGTTAGCTGAGCTGTTCAAGCCACCATTCGATCTCATGAGCAGACTGCCGTGGGGTGAGGCACGCGATGAGGGCAAGGAGGGATTGAAGTGGCTCCTCGTCAACGTGCAAGACCCTTCGATCTTCGACTGCCAAGTGCTAAACCGGGATATCTGGAAGAACAAGGAGATCCGGGATACCATCCAAGAACACTTCATCTTCCTGCAATACAACAAGGATGATCCGCGAGGTCGCGAGTACATCCAGTACTACTTCGCCAACATGCGTGACTCGGAAGACGCATACCCTCACATCGCTATCGTGGACCCTCGGACTGGCGAGCAAGTCAAGACGTGGTCTGGATCACCATCGCCAAAGGCGTCGGATTTCTTGATGGATCTGCACGAGTTTCTAGATCGATACAGTCTCTCCCTCGAGCGCAAGAACCCGGTCCAGACGAAGCGGAAAGAAAGCAAGAAGGACGTTGGGCAGATGACGGAGGAAGAGATGCTGGAGATGGCAATGCAGAATTCCCTTGCCAATGGCGGAACCTCCAAGGATGAAGATCCCGACTCCTTGACCCGCTCGGACGCCGCGAACACGAATGGGAAAGGGAAGGAGAGGATGAGTGTGCCAGAGGCTATGGATATTGCGGATCTGGGCCCTGTGATGTCGCATGCTGAGAACGGTACCGCCCAGCCTCAGAGTGGGTCGCTAGCGAGGAAGGAGACGACGGACACGCCTTTCTCCCGCATCTCCTCCACTTCCCCACACGCAGAACCCACTTCGACGGGCCCAGAAACCACACGCATCCAATTCCGATATTCCGGCGGTAGGGTGGTGAGAAGGTTCGCTCTCACGGAGCCTGTAAGCAGGATCTACGAATGGCTTAAAGCGGCGCCGTTTGAGGACAAGGATGGGAAGGAGTTCGAGCTGATTGCTATGGGGAAGAATTTGATAGGGAGTCTCGAGATCACGATTCAGGAGGCGGGCTTGAAGAATGCGACGGTTATGGTTGAGTTCCCGCAGGGTGAGGATGAGGAGGAGGAGTAGGACGCTCGTCTTATAGATTCTGCCTGCTTTGTTGGTACTACCCGGGCGATGTTGTGCAGAAGGGGATAGAGTTGATCATTATGGGGTATGATGCAGATGCAGCTATGAGCCACGCTGCCATTGAAGGTGAAGGAGGGGGGGACCATTGTCACAATAGAGCGACAACGGCGTCAAGACGATGGGTGATATATTGCTTGACTTGGTAGCTGGTGGCTACAAGCTGTAGTATCCCACCCTTCGGGCAGATATCTCCTCGTTGTGAGTGGATTCCTTGATCCAAGGGAGGCCTTCACAGCAAGCTCGTGGTTTCGAGCCGGACCTCGGTCCGTTTTCAAATGTCGAGTCGCGAGCTTCATTTGTTTCCTGATTGACAGTCGCATCTCTCACAGCATGGCTTTTACACTCTCAATCTGATTTTGCGTTCGTAATCACAGATAGCATGTCATGTCCACCTCAGCACGAAAACCTGCGACTGGTCCCGGCCAGGCGCAAGCGGAGGTAGTTCTCCTACCACACCTCCGGAATTGTTTGCTCAATCTTCCTGCTGCTTTGGTAGCGGTGCTACTGAACAGTAATACCATTGCGCAGAATGTGGTCGTGGAGCTTAGCTACAGAGTTTCTGGCTCAGCAGGGGCAGGAACGGATCAGAAGCAGAAGCCGGCCGGCACCACGAAATCACTCTTCCTAGGATGGACGGGCATGCAGAGTCAGAGTCGACTTGCGGCGCCGGGGTTAGGAAGAGACGGAGGTAGAGGGAGCAGTAAGGAGCAGACTACTGTCCCGGCTGTTGAGCTGGACGCTACATTCGGACGCTTACTTGGCTTGAGTGAAGGGATGAAGGTGTGCTTTTCACGCCACACACATCAAGGCATGTGGAGTACGCAGGAGCTGATAGAGTAGATAGGTCGGCATAACACTTCATCTTGAACCCCCTCAAGCCCACACCGTCAACATCGAGCCTCTCACAGCCACAGATTGGGAAATCATAGAACTCCATGCGCATTTTCTGGAGATGAACTTCCTCTCTCAAGTCAGAGCTCTACCTAGTCCTGCGGCTGGGCAACCGCACCCGTTGACGTTGCATCTGACTCCGACATCTACTGCTAATATCCTGGTCACTTCCCTCCTCCCTGCTCCGTCGCAGAACCAGGCGTTCGTGAAAATCTCACCGGATGCAGAGGTCATCGTGGCGCCTAAGACGAGGCAGTCGGCTGCTGCTGCGAGATCTTCGGCTGGTGGTGCGACGACGAGGGATAGTCGGAGTGTGGCTAGCACCAGTCGACGGAGCGAGGGTGGGAGGAGTGCGAAGAGCACGACTGCGAGGCATAGGAGTACGCACGATGACGAAAAAGCGCGACCACCTCTTTACTTGCGGGCTGTCACAAGATCGCTGCAGAATGAGTGGTTCGAGGATGGCGGTGATGAGATGAGAGACGAGGGCTTGAAGGTCTGGTTAGATCGGGAGCATTTGTATTGCAAGACTTTGAGAGGTGTGACGTTTGTTACGGTTTCGATCATCAGGCCGGCGGGGTTGCAGGAACCGATTGATCCTCTGCATCAACCGACGCCTGAATCGCTACCAGCGCAAAAGGTCGTAGCGAAGCTGGCAGCATGGGACGATGCGCCGGACAGTCGACACGCCGCACTCTCCAGCTCGCTCTGTGCGGTACTAGACGCAGATGGTGTCGTTGGAGGCATCGTCCGCATCGATCCTGCGCCGTCCCCACTACCAAAGACAGCATCGGCGCTGAAAGACCACTCGCAGCAAGCAGCAAAGGACGCTATAGTCAAGAAACTGCGCATCACACCATTCGTCCCCACTCAAACGGCCAAGAAAAAGCAAGCCAAAGGTTTCAGCTTCGGTGGTGAGTCGAAAGCGGAGCGCGAGGAAGCTGTGCAGCGGATCCGAGCTGTCTTTGGTAAGACCCTACTTGAGGGACCACTGACGGAGGGCATGCTATTACCTGCTCAAGATACATGGCCGGGCGGCATCCTAGATTTCGAGCCAACGCCATCAGGTGATCCGCACCGAGGTCGGGCGAACTGGCTTATCGGCGGGGACAGGAAACTCGAGATCGTGGTTCAAGCGGAAACGGCACCGTCGAAGCTATCGCCGCTGCTTCCGGGCGAGAATCTGGCAGCGGAGTGTCCGACTATGGTTGGGATCGATGAGGTGATAGCGCAGACGAAGACGAGTCTTCTGCATTCTTCCTCGGTACTGGTGACTGGTACTTTGGGTGCGGGCAAATCGTCCTTGGCTCAACTCGTGGCGCATCAGCTCCGGAACGAGTACCTGTTCACTCCGCTCTACGTCTCCTGCCGGAACCTCGTGAGTGAAGAGACGAGGGCCAAGACTATCAAGGAGCATCTGCACCGGCTCTTCGCTTCTGCACAATGGGCTGCTCGGCTTGGTGGTCGTGCTTTAGTCGTTCTAGATGACCTGGATAGGTTATGTCCGGTTGAGACGGAACTACAGGTCGATGCGAATGGACGAAGTCGACAAATCAGTGAATTGCTTTGTAGTATCGCGAAGCAGTTTTGTGGAAGGGATAAAGGTGTTGTGCTGTTGGCTACTGCTCAGGGTAAGGAAGCGTTGAATACTGTGTTCGTGGGTGGGCATGTCGTGCGAGATTTCTGGGAATTGAAGGCACCGGGTAAGGAGGGGAGGAGGAAGGTGCTTGAGCTGCTTGTGGGTAATAGTGCTGCTGGTGCTCAGAAGATGGCCGAGGGGAGGGCAAGCAATGGCGGCATGGGCAATGCATGGATGGAGGGCGATGAAGGCAGCAGACCGACTTCTGCTGATGGCCCTCCTCGTACCGACACCATCAAGATCGACCCCGAACTCGACCTCCTCGACATCGCTGGCCAGACTGATGGCTACATGCCAGGCGACATGCACCTCCTCGTCTCACGCGCCCGAAGCGAAGCCCTCATCCGCTCCCTCTCCTTCACACCAACCACTGACAGCGACGACGCTGTAATCCTCAATGCCTCCGACTTCGCCTCAGCACTAAAGGGCTTCACCCCCGCCTCCCTCCGCGGCGTAACCCTCCACGCCTCCACTACAACCTTCGCCTCCATCGGCGGCCTGACCCAAACCCGCGCCACTCTGCTGGAAACACTCCAGTACCCAACAACCTACGCCCCTCTCTTCGCCAAGTGCCCTCTCCGCCTCCGATCCGGATTGTTACTCTATGGTTACCCCGGCTGCGGCAAAACGCTGCTCGCCAGCGCCGTGGCGGGCGAATGCGGATTGAATTTCATCAGCGTCAAGGGCCCGGAGATTTTGAATAAATACATCGGGGCCTCGGAGAAGAGCGTCAGGGATTTATTCGCGAGGGCGCAGGCGGCGAGACCTGCTGTCTTGTTCTTTGATGAGTTCGACAGTATTGCTCCGAGGAGGGGGCATGATAGTACGGGTGTGACGGATCGGGTGGTGAATATGCTGTTGACTATGATGGATGGGGCGGAGGGTTTGCAGGGGGTTTATGTCCTTGCGGCTACCTCCAGACCGGATTTGATCGATCCTGCTTTGTTGAGGCCAGGGCGGTTGGATAGGAGTCTGATTTGTGATATGCCTGATCTTGACGAGCGGCTGGATATCCTGCGGGCGGTGGGGAAGAAGTTGAAGGTTGAGGAGACGGTATTTGAGGGTGTGGGGAGGCAGACGTTGGGGGAAGTGGCGGAGAGGACGGAGGGGTATAGCGGGGCGGATTTGCAGGCGGTGTTGTATAATGCTCATCTGGAAGCTATCCATGACGTTCTGGGCGCTGATGCGGGAGCACAGCAAGATTTTGGCGGGAAGAAGAAGAATGGTACGGAGCATGGTCGGAGAGGCAGGGCGCAGGATTTCACGTACTTCCGCCTCCGAGACGACGACGACGACGATAATGCCGGCTCGACTCCTTCTCCCGCCGCAGTAGCAGCCGAGCGCGCCCAGATCGCCGCCCAGCTCTCCGCTCTGCACCTAGCGCGCCGCAAAGCGAAAGCCGAACGGCATGCTTCCCAGACACGGCAGAACCAACGACCTGGATCTTCCGCTGGTGCCCCCATCCCCAACGGCTTCCAAGCGATGCAGAAAGAAGAGGACAAACACCCGCGGACCGCCGAGCCGATAATCATATGGCGGCATTTGGAGAAATCCCTCCAGACTTCCCGCCCTTCGATTAGTGGGCAGGAGAGGGAGAGGTTGGGGAGGGTGTATAGGGAGTTTATATCTGGTCGGAGTGGGGAGATGGCTGATGGGCAGGGACCGACCGAGGTTGGGGGGAGGACGAGTTTGATGTAGATGTTAGATGTAGATGTAGATGTGATGGTTGTGTATAGGTATACATTTGCACATTAACCTTAACCGGTTGATATACAGATAGAGCCCATAGCGGTGGCACACCAGCGACGGTACAGTCGTATCGTCCCGGCTTCCCACGGAACCCCCCTAAACGCCCACGCTGTGAACGCTACACAAAATCAAGATACCCCAGCAAAGCCGATCGCTGGTCATTGTTCATCCTGCTGCTGCTGCTGCTGCTTGCCCTCTACTTCATTTGCAGGACTCGCTGCCACAGCTTCAGTGTTCGTATGCTGTGGGAGCGTAGCAGGGTCGTCTTCGTCATCTGTCGGTAGTGGAGTAGGCAATTGACTCGGCTCTTCCACAGAAGCCGAGGCTTCCGGTGTCGCTGTGTCTTCCTTACTCCGCGACTCCTCTCCCACTCCCACTCTCACTCCCCCCTCCTCCTCTTCTTCCTCCCGCAGCCCCCTCTCCGCCGCCAACCTCGCAGCCTCCCCCCTCTTCCGCTCAACCTCCGCCTCTTCTTCCTCCGCCAGCCGGCTTTCTTCCTCCTTAAGCTCATTCAACGTCGGCGTCGCCGCCGCGGGCAACCCCTCACTCTCCTCCTGCATCTCAGGTCGCCGCTCCTCAACAGGAGACTGCAGCTCACTACCCGTCCGACTCCTGCCCTGTCGTCCCCCACCAGTACTACTCCTCCCACTGCGTTCCGACATGGTCCGCCGAGTAGACGTCCGACTCCCCGCCGACGGCCGCTTGCCTCGTCTTGTATGCCCGGATGAGCTCTCCGTTTCGCCTCCCGAGTAAGGGTTCGTGTTCCGTCGTTCTAGCACCATTGCGAATTCATCATCCAATGGTATCGCGTCTTCTTCGTCGGAGGGGAAGATGTCGCCTCGGCTGCTGTAGCTATCTGTCGTTGTTCCTGAGCCGGCCGTACCAGCTGTTCCACTACGTTTCCGTCCATGCTTTTTACTCCTCACCAGACCTTCCTCTTCCTCTAGCAAAGCCTCGCCCTCCGTCAAATCCCGCCGTTTATCCCGTCTCTGACCCGGATGTTCCTGCAGATCCGCAGAGCTGGGTGTATATCTCAACGCCTTGCCACCAAACATCCTCCCGAAGAAGCCCTTGGAGGCCGAGCGCGGTATGACGGTCGGATCCGGCTCGATTTGCGCAGCGCTTTTCCGTCTGCCTTTCGTATAGATCATTCCGCCTTGGCGTTGGGAAGGCTGCTGCGATACAGCCCCATACCCCGCCGTCCCTGCCCCACTACCAGCTAGTAAGCGATCGAACTCGTCACTCCAGCCTAGCAACCCATCTCCCTCCCCCTCATCCTGCAAATCGTCCCAGTCATCATAGAAATCGAAACTGAGCTCGGCCCGGCCTCGACTCCGACCTCGGCCTCGGCCGCCTCGTTGTCGCCGGATGCGGTCCCGTTGGCGGAGGTTGAGGGAGGGGCAGGAAGCGTCTACGCAGGTCGTGAGGCAGGAGGTGACGGAGTCGAGACAGGGGGAAATGTATCGCTGGCCGAAGATGTAGAGGGAGCTTTGGGCCTGCTCCGTCACATTCTCCACGCTTGCCCCGAGCTCGTTTAGGCGGCGGCGGAAGCGGGGGTCGGAGGTGCGGTACATGGTTATGGTTGGGATGCGCGCGGTATAAATGTCACTGTGTTGGGGCGGGCATCATACTGTATTGTTGCCATCGACCGACGTCAATGGCGCGATGGTCTGATCTCGAAGCTACTCCACTAGGACTCTAGGAGCAATACTGGGGTAGGGCTCAGCGACGGGTCATGTTCGGGTAATCACTAGATAGACTTTCCTCGAACACGTGACCTTTCCCACTCTCGCCCACAGACCCGAGGCAAGGTCGTAGCCATCATGCATTACAGTATATAACCACCCGCTGACCACGAGGACAACGACGACGACGACTTGCTAACACCCTCTCAGTCCGCTTCCTCAAACTCCCCAAAGCAGAAGTCAAACCCGGCACCATCCTCGTCAAATCCATCATAACAATCACCACCGACCTGGGCGAAACCTTCTACCCTACGGACCTCGACCTCATCGCCACCCTCCGCTCAAGCTCAGACGAAGGCGAAATCCACCTCCGCCGAAGAATCCCCTGGCCCGCCCACGCCCGAAGCCTCCCCATCACCTTTTACCTAAGCCGCCAACAAGACGTCGACTGGCCCGCCTGCGTCCACGTGGCCGTACAAAACCCCACCACCACTGGCACAGCCAACCCCCCGCCAGGCTTCCTCCCCGAAATCGTAGACATCTGGTCCGGCCTCCTAAACCCACCCCAAGGCCTCCTCGACTCCGGCCAGCGAGTCGAGCGCCGCTTCCTCTCCCTCGCCGAACGCAGCGTCTCTTTGCTCGAAGACGCGGGGGACAGCATCGCCCGGCATCTCTGGGACGGCAGCCAGGTCCTAGCCCAATATATCGACCACACCATCTCCGTACAAACACCGGCCAGTCCCCTCCCGCTCCTCGAACATGTCCTCGTGTCCGCTACTTATCGGCGTCTGCATGTCTTGGAATTAGGTTGTGGCTGTGGAAGTGTAGGGATCAGTGTGGCGCAGAGTATCCCGGACTGCGACGTTCTACTCACGGATCTGCCCGAAGTCACAGAGCTGGTGGAAGCGAATGTCGCCCGTATGAAACCGGCAATGTCGTCGCAAGTTACTTTCGCCCCTTTGGACTGGGAAGTATCACTCCCAGAGACATTGCAGAACAGGACCAACGACCTCATCATCGTCTCGGAATGCACCTACAACACCGACACCCTCTCCCCCCTCGTCACGACCCTCGTCAACCTCCTCGCCCGCTCCCCCAAAGCCGTCATCGTCGTGAGCACCAAGACCCGGCATCCCTCCGAAGCCGGGTTTTTCGACATGATGAGGGATGCTGGGATAGTGGAGGCGGGTGCGGCGAGATCACCGCTACCGGGATTACCAGGGGATGGGTATGCGGATGCGGCGATGGATGTGGGGTTGTATGTTTTCTGTGGGGAGGAGAGGGGGTTAAGTATGAGTCCCAGGGGTGGGGGTGAGAGGAAGGTAGTCGAGGGGGGGCAAGGTGGGGAGGAGGACGAGGGTGAAGTAGGGGGTTGTTCTCGGTGTCCGTTTTGAGTCGACGCGTTATCTGGGCGTTTTATGTTGGGGGTTGGGGATTAGGGTGGGTAGCGTGTATGATATGGTCTTCAGAATGGATTGGCCGCTGGATGGATGGATGGATGGATGGACGAATCATTGCATATCTGGCGTTTAGGGAGGATGCAGTAGGCGGCCCCAAATCAATTTAGCTTTGTAGGTCGAGATGGACAGGTGCTTGGTAAAACTGGGACGGTGAAAAGTGGCAGGACGATTTACTCGACTCTGCGGAAACGCCGTGATATGGCTGGGCGACAGGCGCCCTGTGGTGTTTGTTGTTTGAATGGATTTGAGAACTGTTAGGTGTTTCAGCTGACAGATGGGCAACTAATGCCCTCCCGTACAAGATGCAGCTGCCAGGCCCAGAGGATGCTTGTATGCTGCTTGCCGTCATATGTGTCGTGCTTCCACGAGGCAGCAGGAAAGATGTCGGAGGGTATATAGATTCCAGTCGTCCTTTTGGCGAGCGAATTGTGATTTGAGAAGGTTTGTGGGGTACAGGAAAGAAGACAGAAGCGTGGTGTTGGGTATCTAGACAGTAGGCTCATAAGCCGAACCACGACTTGCCCTCTTTCCGTTTCGCTTCTTTCATCTCATCCATCTGCGATCAGGTCAATGAGAAACAATCCTAGGCGGACCCCAGAATGAGAACGGATTTTACATACCCATTTCTGCTTGCAATCTTTGTACGCTTGGAAGTAATCTGTGCACATCCCTCGATCCCCACCATTACGTCTCAGGCATTTCAGACTTCTGTCAGCAGCCTCCTGGCATGGGTCGAAGTATTCACTGTTACGCTTGCTATGTTAATGTTAGCTCGGACGGCTTGATGTCGAGGGCCACATCGATTGGATACCCAGTAAAGCGCGAGCCACTCTTCTCCCATTCCGTAGACTTTTCGCCTCCTCCCTCCGAGCTCGACATGGGAAGTTTGGGTGGTGTATGCAGTATTGACCGGGTTGATGTACCGGAACGCCACGTTCATATGGTCACTTCTCGACGTCGGAGTTCGGAAGAGCAAAAGTCTTGGGATTTGTGATTGGCCAAGGAGTCGCTTAGCAACGACCGCGTGTTGACTCCTTCCGCTTGCATGAATAACCATCTCTCGTCATACTGAGCGGATATCTATTGCAGTTACTAGGTCTCGGGACATCACATACCTGGAACAAGCATTTTCAAGGCTTATCAAACCAATGCAAATCTCGACCACGGCATCAATTGCTCCTGACACACGTCTACCACCATAGCCAACTCCGTTCATGGACCAGGGAGAACCTACAGTCAGCGGTAGCGAGAAGACTCCATTTCTACAAGGCAAGTCGAAGCCGGTAGCGTTCTATCAGAGACACAAGGTCCTGGTAATCGGCGCCGCAATCATGATATGCCTTTTGCCACTTCTGGGGCTATTGGCCCTCAGGAACCGTCATGCGCATGCCATGAACTGGACAAGTCCCATCACATATCCCTCGCCACAAGGCTACGGGGCCGGGAACTGGTCAGCATCCTACGATAAAGCCAGAGTCATGGTCGGCAATATGTCGCTCGAGGAGATGAACAATGTCACACTCGGCGTCCCGGACCCCAGCAATGGCTGCGTCGGTGTCAGCGGTGGCGCACCAAGACTTGGCTTCCCCGGATTCTGCCTGCATGACGCTGGTAATGGTGTCCGCAATACCGATGGCGTGAGTGGCTTCGCTTCCGGAATACACATTGGAGCTTCGTGGAACGCCACATTGGCGTACGAGAGAGCGGTTTTCATGGGCGCGGAGTTCAAGCGAAAGGGCGTGAATGTTGCGCTTGGTCCTGTGGTGGGACCGATTGGACGGGTAGCAGAGGGTGGACGGAATTGGGAGGGTATGGGTGCCGATCCGTATCTGAATGGTATTCTGGGAGCACAGAGTGTCTTGGGGTTACAGGAGAGCGTCATTGCTTCGGTCAAACATGTGAGTGCAACTCGCTGGAAATCCAGCTGTGAGATGCCGACGGGCTCATACTGATACCTTTGCTAGTTCGTCGGTAATGAACAAGAGACGAATCGCAATCCAATCTCCAACAATGGCGACACCATTCTCAGCCAAAGTGCCAATCTTGACGATCAGACGATGCATGAGATGTACCTTTGGCCATTTCAAGAGCTTCTTCGTGTAGGCGCAGGCTGCGTAATGGTCAGTACGATAGGCTGAGCCCATCTTGGAGACCTTCATGGGTTCACACTAATACCTTTATTAGTGTAGCTACAACAGAATCAATAGCACATACGCATGCGAGAACAGTAAAGCTATGAATGGCTTCCTGAAAGGAGAGATGAATTTCCAGGGCTTCGTGGTCTCGGACTGGGCGGGTCAACATAGTGGAGTTCCGTCAGCTAATGCAGGCCTTGATATGGCCATGCCTACGACAACTTACTGGAACGAACGGCAACTCGAGAATGCAGTCAATAGTGGCGCTGTGAACAAGACACGGCTAATAGATATGGCTACGCGAATCATCGCCACTTGGTACCACTTCGGACAGGATCAGGCTCTGCCTCTTGGTGGTGGTCTGCCGGCTAATCTGCTCATGCCACATAACTATACTGAGGCGAAAGATCCAGCATCTCGATCATCCTTATTGCAGCAGGCCATCGAAGGGCACGTCCTCGTCAAGAACATACGAGGCGCCTTGCCGCTCAAGCAGATGAAAGTCATCTCGATTTTTGGCAGCGACGCTGTGCAACAAACCTCCTTCGTACCGAACGGAGGCCTATTCCCGCAAAACTGGGAGGCGATTACCCTGCAAGGACCCATGCTCAATGAGATTGCTTCAAACTCACCATTGAGCAGCCCACCCGGTACCATGAATGGCACGCTTGTGGTTGGTGGCGGTTCTGGTTCAAACACACCGCCATATATTAGCACACCGTTTGACGCCATACAAGCGCGGACATACGAGAATGGAACAGCAATCTTCTTCGACTCTGCGTCTACAGACCCTGCTGTAGTCAGTAGCTCAGAAGCCTGCTTGGTCTTCATCAACGAGTACAGCTCCGAAGTTTGGGATCGTCCCAGTCTAGCAGACGAGGACAGCGACACGCTTGTCAGCAACGTGGCAGCGAAGTGCAACAACACCATCGTCGCCGTTCACAATGCGGGTATACGCTTGGTCGACGCGTGGATTGACAATCCGAACGTCACAGCCGTGCTCTTCGCACATCTACCTGGTCAAGATGCTGGCCGAGCCTTGGCTCAGATCCTGTACGGCGATGTTAGCCCCTCTGGTCGTCTGCCCTACACAGTAGCGAAGCAAGCATCGGACTACGGCAACCTGCTCGGCCCATGCCAAGCACACGGCTCGAAGTCGCCACGATGCGACTTCATCGAAGGCACGAACATTGACTATCGTGCCTTTCTCGCCCGCAACATCACACCACGCTACGAGTTCGGCTATGGTCTGACATACACGACCTTTGTGTACACCAACTTGCAATTTAATGTCAATGCGACTGCCACGCCCGACGATGCTGTCTTTCCGGTCTGGACGAACGGCACAACAGACCAAAACAGCAATAATCCCGCCATCGGCTCGGGTGGTCTACAGTCGTTATTCGATAGCGTGGGCATAGTAACAGCAAGCGTCACAAATACTGGCAACATGGCTGCAGCAGAAGTGGCACAGCTGTACTTGCAGATACCCGCCTCCACCAGCAATTCGTCCAACCCTCGCACGAGAGTGCTGAGAGGGTTTGAGAAAATTATGATCGAACCGAATTCTACCGAGCAGGTGACTTTCGATTTGCGGATGAAGGATGTGAGTTACTGGAATGTCACCAGGCAGGCATGGATCGTGCCAATAGGAGAGTTCAAGGTGTTTGTCGGCAAGAGTGTACTGGACTTGCCGCTGAATGGGACTTTTAGCACACAGACATAGACATAGACTAATGATAGAATGCCCCTTTTCGTATTATGAATATCCTGTCCTGGTTTAAGAGTCAGTACAAAGTAATGCTGATATGACTAAATCGACCTTGACCCATCATCGAAATACCCTTTGAACCTATCAGTGTTTTGGATGCCAGCCTCATGGATCACCATATAACAGATCATCAGCAGTCGCGGGAACCTGTCGGTCCAGTAGGTGAGGTAGCCTCCAGCCAATGGACCCACACGACGCTTGACATCGTCTGGCATATCCTCGTAATGATTCTTCTTGTTGCGCAGAGCACGAAGCAAATCCAGCAAACGGTTGCCACTATACTTCCGTTGCTTGCCAAGCGTGTCGACGAAAGAACGATCGAGCTTGCTGAGGAAGTCGTTTCGTCCGATGACTTCAGGTGCTCTGTCCTCCAGTAGACCTAGCAAGAGTCAGTACATGTTCAGATCATGAACGAGCTAGCACATGACTTACGCAAATCCTCACTATCACCAGCATACCCATCATCCACAACCCCTCTCACCTCTCGTTCGAAATGATCCGAACAATCGCACAAGAAACCCAATCGCTTCTCACGCGACCAGAAGAAAGGATGGTTCAGCACCTGCAGAGCCGTAGGTCTATGCTCTGGTAGCTGCGCTGTCATCCAGTCAACCAGCTGGCTAGGCTCATAAGCATCAGACCACTGCTCTAAAGCACCCATGTTCTTCTTGCCGCGCTTGATGTTCAGCTCCCGTAGCCCTTGCCATCCGGACTCGTCTTCGTAAGGATGAGTGCCGGATGTCAGAACCCAGAAGAAGAGGCAGCCGAGCGAGAATATGTCGGCGGCTCGTTTGATGCCGCTAGTACCTGTGCCTGACTCGCTGCCGTTGTTGGTGTTGTGGCTTTGGCTGTGTCTGCTATCTGTATCGCGAGGCTGCGAGATCAGCTCAGGAGCTTTCCAGCCAGACGTCCCGGCATTCATAGTGGCATCGTTGATAGTGCTGGCGTTCTCCGGAAGGTTCTTGCCAAGGCCAAAGTCCGAGATGACCAATCTTGGTCCTGCCGGCTGGCCACGCTTTGGGAAGGCCACGAGAATATTTTGCGGTTTGATGTCGCGATGGATGATGCGGAGATTGTGTAAATGGTATAGGCCAGCTGCGAGCTGTTGAAGAGCTCGCGGAGGGTCTTGCTGGATAGCCAACTTCAGAGCTCGCAGCTGTTGTTGCCGTTCCTCGGTCTTGGCGCGGTCGTAGTCCCATACATCGTATAGACTGGCTTGACAGAGCTCCACAGCAATGTAGAGGAAATGATCGTCCTTTTGCTGGCAGAAATAGCGCACCACATTTGGATGATCATCGGACTGCTGCAGGAACGAGACCTCTTGAAGTGCCAACTCGTAATGCTGTGAAAGCATACGCTTCACAGCCACACCGCGACCCTCAAAAGAGCCTTCGAACACTAGCGTACCACTGCTGCCCTGGCCGATCAGCTTGTCTTTGTGAATGACCAGGCTGTTGATCTGGAGGGGACCAGCCACTTCTGGGCTTTCTGAAGCAGTGACACTGATGACCTCGCTGGGCTGAGGCACTTCTACGGTCTTCTTTGCCGCCTTTGCTTCTGCCGATGCTTGGTCCTTCTCCTTCTGCTTCTTGCCACCTCGCTTGCCACGTTTGTGCTTCGGCTTATTCTCCTTGACATCCTTTGGTGAATCTTCATCCTCCTCTGCACCCTCAACGGTTTCTGTCCGAACGAGGGTGTCGTCTTCCTTTGGAGGGCTATCAGACACATCTGACTCCGCTCCATTGAGCGGAAAGATGACCTCCATAGCGGGCTCATCCTCGCGTACCATAGTTGGCGTTTCAGAAGCAGCCTCTTCAATTGTTTTGATGTCAACAAGAGTCGTGGTGATTTTTGGAATAGCTACGGGCTTCTGAACAGCTGACTGTAGCTTCTCGCGGTACAAAGCACCACAAGCCGTAAGGCTGACAACGAGGATAGCCATTACGAAAGTAGTGACTGAAGGCAGGTTGTCCCTCCACGTTGGCTGCTTCCGTGACAGAATGACGCTGCTACTGTTCTCGAATTTGGAGTCGTTTGGCGGTGCTTCGATGCCCGGATAGTCTGGTGCACCGATCAGAGGACTGCCAGGTCTCTGAGCAATCGGAGAGAGCTGGTGGACACCCATGAACCTATCTCGGTACGCCTTCGTCATTGGAAGTATCGGCAGAGCAAAGTCTCCTTCATGGTACAGTCTGGCGGGCTGAGCACCTTCGGTGACTGCCGGGTAATTCGTCTCGCTCAATGCGTACCAGCTGCCCGATTCCGTGCAGTTCACGAAGACGTTCTCGTAGGCATCGTCGTCAAGCGCGGTGAGCTCGTCCAATGCTGGCCCAACCGGCTGAGGTAACACGACAAGCGCGGCATTGTCAGAGGTCTCATGTTTCTGCCTGACCAGATCGAATACACGAACGACAGGCGAAGCAAACTTCTCGCGGTATACAGGCTTGTTGGCTGGGACGGGTTTGTAACCGCCACTGGCACTGCCTAGGTCCAGCCCAAAAACAGATCCATCATAGCGAGAGTAGACGTACTTCCTGTCCATAGTCGTGGTGTACTTGCTCTTCAGGTCTTCGTCTCGATTATTGGGACCCCACTCAAAGTATTTGATGGTGCTGACAGCATCACCACCAAGTGACTGCACGCCGATAGTGTATTCGGTTCGACCAAGTAAGAGTGTTCCGATCGGCTCACACTCGTCTTCCTCCTCTAGGCTCTCCAGCGGATTCACGCGTCGGCAAGAGCGATCGTCATTCGATATAGCACCAGCAGAGCTGAAGACCTTCAAGATGTTGCCTGTTGCAGCGTCAATGGTGTATAGCGTGGTCTTCTTCTCCGCGTTATAAGCCATAGCCGGCTGACCTTGCTCTGCAAATGGTCCCATATCTGCCAGCTGCTTCACCGTGAAGCCCATCCGCTGCATGCCAAGTCCAGAACCCGGTGCGTACAAGTAGATACTGCCATCCTGGCTAGGCTCCACAATCCAGACTGGATCGTCCACTTCCACGCCGTTCTCATCTAAGCTTCTGTTATGCCTGTGATACACCGTCTCCACCATTGGCGTGTCCACCTCAAGCTGCCATCGTGCAGCCCCGGTCGTTCTATCTCTCGCGTGAAGCTTTCCATCAACAGTCGCCAGGAGTACTATATCCTCGACTCTCCAATCCTGCAGGGACCGCGCCGGTTGTCGCGAAGTCAAGCCGGCCGTAGCCGACGACCTGGGTGCAGGTGGTGCTCTCACAGCTGGGTCAGATTCAGCTGCGGCATAAGTCGCAAGGGCGCGCTCGTCTTTCGAGGTCCGCTTTTCCCGTGATCTAGAGCGATCACGATCATCATTGCTATGGTTCTGTTCTGTGTAGGTGTTCTTGCGACCACGTCCGCTCAGACCCGCATCGAGCGAGTCCTGGAAGCGTTCTGCCACAGACAATCGGTCGGCCACGGCCTTGGAAGGTAGTAAGGCTCCATCGCGCGACTGCTGCTGCAGAGCGGCCGCGTAGATGGGTGCGAATAATAGGCTCCAACATATTATGTCTTTCAGTCCCAGGTTGTTCCGCGGCTGCATATCGCCGAGTAGTCGTTCATCGATGTAGTATTGTGCCAGTAGAGTATGCAAAGAGTTGTTGTTGTTGTCAGAAGTGAGACGTCAGCACCGCACCGCCGCTCCCTTGCCCTTGCAGCCCGATTTTGTGGCTTGAGGGTTTCTTCAGGAGTTGTGGGGATGTTTCACATCGCAGACGAAACGTGTGATGGCGCGATCGAGAACAAGATTTGCTGGCTTCTGATGATGACATATGCGGTATGTTCATACAGTACCATAGTCGAGAGACATCAAGCGACATGGTGTGGGAAGCGTGCGGAAGTGCGCAACAAGTCTCGGCAGCTCGAGCCCATTCACGTTGCACGAGCACATCCTCCTTGCCTGTAAACAGAAAGGGATCGATCAGATGAGACACTAGAGCGAAAGACGATGGGAACATCAGCCATTGGGCCATTCTGGAGTGACAGGGCGCCGACATGATGCTTGCACCGTCCACAGTCTCTTCTAGGTAAATCCGATTTTGTCAGATATACGGACTCGATAGCTGTACCACCACTTTCGCCTTGATTATTATTGTAGATGGCGATGTCTCTGAGAGGACCCCGCGCGCTTTCGCACACACGGAGTAATACCACAACCTCGATCAATAATCAATACCCGGGTATATCATTCAGCTTGACATAGATGATCAGTCTCTCTTTCCTCGCCCTACTTGTTGATTGTCGCAAACGAGTATAATTGCCTCCGCTGAAGGAAGATCATCACATCAGTGTATCATGTCAAAGTAAACCGCCTCGCCTCATAGGCATGCTCACGTTGACAAACATCAGCTTACATTGAACAGTCTCAAGCAGCTCGCCATCAAACTCGGCACGGACGGGCCTCATAAAGTCCTGCCAACACCGAGGCTCATCCAGCTTTTGTTCAACGGTCTCTATATCGTCAAGACGACGGACGCCCGATATGTCTGGGAGCATCCTTTCTACCCACAATTCTACGTACCAGCGCAGGCACTTCACGATGCCACCAAGTCTGGCCAGCTTACGATCACGGACGGCGAGACCTACAAGTCCGACAACGGCGACACGATCGGCAAGCAACTCGTCCTCAAAGTCGGCGAACGCACTATCGACAAAACCGTCTCCTTTGACTCGGCACTCGCTGGACCAGCCAAAGACCTCGCTGGTCTCGTCAAGATCGACTTTGACAGCGTAGACCAATGGTTCGAGGAAGCGAGCCCCATCTTCGTGCACCCGAAGGATCCGTTCAAACGAATCGAGATCATCCAATCCACTCGGCCGATTCGCGTGTTGATCGATGGACAACAAGTGGCCAAGACAACAACATCTCAGCATCTCTATGAGACTGGCTTGCCAGCGAGGTTCTACCTGCCGATGACAGATGTCGATCCTGCCGTGCTTCGACCAAGCAAGACGAAGACGAAATGTCCTTACAAGGGCGAGGCAGAGTACTACTCTGTTGAGGTCAACGGGAAGCTGCACGAAGATGTTGTCTGGTATTACAACCGTCCGACGATCGAGAGTGCTCAGGTCGTTGGTCTGCTGTGCTGTATGCATCTCACCCTTCCAGACACCCGAGCAGAAGCTGATATATCGCAGTCTACAACGAGAAAGTCGATATTGAGCTGGATGGCAAGATCCTTGAGCGTCCAAAGACGCATTTTGGCAAGCCGAGCGATAATAAGAAGCCATCGATAGGCTGAATTGACGTATTATCATACGCGGGTGCATGGGAGATGCTATGTGCAATAAGACTTGGAAGATTCTCATTCTCCTATTGAACACGCCCTTGGGCGCTCAACGGCACGCACTAAAAACACAAAGGGGTATGATGCTAGAAAGAACGCTCAAATAAATCCTTCTCGTGCACTCCTTGGCATACCATGCCATCCATATCGCTTTAACCATTAAACAAGGCATATCCATATATCCATGCCTCCCTAGTCCTGCCCGTACGCTAAGACTTGCGCACCGGCTCCAAAAATGCCGTCGATGTGTTCTCCACATCATATGCATGTGCTCATGCCGAAATCGTGCCAAACGCAAACTCCGAAATCAAGGTAACGCCATCAAAACCTCGCACCCTCCTGCTGCTCTCGCAGTCGGGACATACTGGTCTTCTTCTGCGGACCACTGGAAGAAGAAGGATTAAGGAAGTTCAATGCACTCTCACGTCTCTTCGTCTTGACCTCTCGTGGTGTGGGGACACCATTACTCGGATTCGTGCTGTACAAGCCAGGCGATCGTAAAGCGTCGTTTATGCTTCCGAAATTACCTTCGCCTTGTGGTGCCATCTGGTAGCTTGCGTAGCTAGGCTGTATGGGTATCATGCCCGTGTCGCCGTGCGACACACCAGTGTTGTGGTGGAAAGTAGTTTGGTTGTACGCTGGTGTTGGAAGATCAGAGAACATCTGCTTACGTGGCGAGCGGAGATCTGTCGATGTCATCTGTGTCGGCGCTGGCTCTGTCGCTGAACGAGGTGACTCCGCTTCGTCTAGGGCGAGACCGAAGATATCGGCGCCGTCTTCGACGAAGATGGAGATCAATGGCGCTGGGACGTTAAGTGTGGGTGCGAAGACGATGCCAACTGTAACATATTAGCTTCAATCATGCTCGATAGAAAGTTATGGCGCTTACCATTGCGAACATTCATCTTGTTAGTGTCCGCATTGCTGACAATAGAAAGCAAGAACGCCGACAACGCCTCCAGCAAGACACGATTGGCCTTCGGTAATTTGTTAACCAGTATGTTGAGCGCCACCACTTTGTCCTTGCCGTGCAGCTCTAAGCACGACAGGAACTCTAGGTGCAGATCTCGGGTAAGAATGCTAGCCGGCAACTCACGCAGGTAGAGTTTGAGCAGGCCGGCCACAGCGTGGACATCGTAATACTGCTCGTCAGCCGCAAGATTGACATCACCCTCATTGTTGAAGCGATCTTTCAGCGACTTAATGATAGTGTTCGAGCCAGACAAACGGAAGATGCCTTCCTCCTTGCGAGCTTCCTTGATCGTCAAGTACTCGATGCAGCGATACACAACAGCCGGGAGGTGCGTACTGACTCCAGCAGGATGTGCGGCAGCCACGGCTTCGGCCAAGGGTACACCAAAGACAGCACGGCCAGCGCCGTTGCCACGATGATCCGGTGGATGAGCAGGCGACATCAAGCCAGGTGCCAAATCAGACGATGAACGACCTCGGAATGCCGCAAACATGCTACGCTTCTTGTCCTTGGTGTTATGTTCTTTGGCCTGAGGCGTAGGTGGCATTTTCATACCCCAATCACTACCGCTCGAGATGACTTGCAGATTGGTCGGACCAGAGATCGTAGGATTTCCATGTTGCTGCGTATGTTCGTGCAGAGCCAAGTATCCATTCTCGGCTGGTGGCGAGGGCGTGTCGGTCTTGCGATTTGGCTGACTTTGGCCACCAATAACAGGGGCGTCTCCAGCTGTGGTATCGTTGTAGTTGACCGATCGAACATGATCTGGCATTTGATGCGGAATTTCTCTAGACCGTGACGGTGGTCGCAAATCATTGAGCGACTTCTGTAGTCTTGGGCTCTTCGCACTGGTGTTGTCAGGCCTCACAGACTGCATGCCCTTTGCCGCGTCGTCCTCCCCCTCCTTGAAATCGACATACTGCAATAGTGCATCGACCCATGCATCTCGCTCCTCGTCGCTTTCAGCACAGAGGACATGCCTAACCAGACTCGACATGTCTTTCTTCTTCGGCTCCAGTACTAAGAAAGCATGCCTGAATTGATTCTCTTCGTCTTCTTGTGGCGCAGCGTTGGTCTGTGCTGATTGCTTGCCAATCTGGGCATTGATCAACTTGATCGATCCCAGATGTGCACCCCCTGGTGCCTCAAAGTATTTGAGATTTGGACCATCCAGCACGAAGTATCGTGCTTTCCACCCGCCAAAGTTCTTGCCGCGCTTGGTCAGATATCCAGCTTTCTGCGTACGCCCTTTAGCAACAGGTGTGTCTGGTCTAGCATCGACAGCGGCGCCAAAGTAGTCTCCACCTTCCGCGCCCATAGCATCGGTCGACAAGAACTTACATAGCACCTTCGCGGCTGTTTCGGTCTCCAAAGAATCCAGCATCCGCTCGAAATAGACGTCAATGGCGGTCCGGCGAGCGTCGATCTTCACCGGGGAATGACCAGCAAACAAAGTCTTATCGGGTAGCCTGTCCCGGAAGGAAGAGACATGCTTGATCTGCGTATCTAGCAAGACCAATGAAGCCACTGTCTTCTCCACACGCCACAGTTGCTTCCGATCCGACCGTTCGTGTACAGCAAGAGTGATGACTGGGCTCTCGTTATCAGTGAGTTTTGGCGCCAGGTAGCTCTGCCGTGAAGGCTTCATTCGTGATGAGGAGGTCCTGATGTAGATCGAAGGTAGCGCGTTGGGAGGTAATAGCAAATCAGGGTACTGCTCGACCACGAGACCGCTGTATACTTCACCTGGCGACTTGGGATTAGGATCCGAAGACGTCGAGGGCCTACTGTGTTCTAGGCTGGGCTCAGGTGATGGCTGCAACCGATCCGCAATAGAAGCTTGCTGAGATTGTGCCTGCTGATGATACATCTCAGCTCGCGCCAAGTGTGGCGACGCGAATGTAAGTGGTGTCTGAGGAGGCATCGGCAGAGGCTGTCTCGGCGCTCTGGGTGATAGCGGTAAGCCGACTCTCGGCGACATGGGTATCGTGCTGATGCCAGTCTTTGGTGCGCGTGGCATGGGTGAGTTGAGTGGCTTGTCAATGGGTCGTGGACTCATGGGCAGGCCGGGACTCATCAGCGCCGGCGCCGTTATACTCTTCGGCAGTGCATTGCGTGCGTCCGAGACAGACCGTTGTCTTAGCATCGCAGCTGGATCAGCCGTTGACTGATACAGCTGAGTTTGGGCAGTCTGAATAGCCGCAGGTGGTACTACAGCCTGCTGCGAAACATTAAAGACACTCAAGCCAGACGCGACCTCACCATGTTCCGTAGGAGGTTTGCTTTTGCTCTTCTTTTTGTTGGACTGACTTCGATATTCGTCTTCCTGCCTCGCGACTTCTTCTCGTTCCGCGTCATCCTCCTCGCGTGTTCTCCTACGACCACGAGAGTTGTACTCATCACGCGCACTATCCGGATCATCCTCATACTCCGAATCAGATGCATCAACGATATTATTGGCTATGCTCGCAACAGGTCCGACAGCCTTCGGCGATAGTTGCAAGGGCGCAGGGGGCGCTTTCCTGTTTGCTGTCTTCGGGCTAGACAGTGAAGGTCCGTTCGTGTATGCATTGAGTGGCTGGGGTGTCTTGGGAGATACAGCGTTCTGCGTCGACGCCTCGAGTATTCGTGACGTATTGATCGGATTTGGTGTCGGTCGAGACATCGTCTCCTCAGGCCGTCGCGTGCTATTCTGGTAGAAAATGTCGCGTGCCATCATGCTCCCACTCCCGGCACTACCGGCAGAGTGTGGGGAAGATGGCAGCGTGCCAGATGATGGAGGATTTTGCGGTGTGTCCGATCGTCCTGGACCTAGCGAGATCACATCTGAGGCGTCGCTAATCTTGCGACCATCGAGGCTCACTCCACTCATGCCTCCAGACACCATCCCTACCTCTGACCCAGACTCCTGAAGTGCCGGCGATTGACTGCTCTCCCGAGTCTCCAGCCCCTCCACAGCTTGAATGTTGGTGGGCAGGATTGGTGCTGACTGCGATGCAGCCAAACTTTCCTTCACCTTCCTCCTATACCTCTCCTTGTCCTTCAATGTCTTCTCCAAATCCTTGTTCAGACCCAATATCATTGCTCTTTGCTTCTCCACTAGTCTCCATAGCTGTGCATTATGTGACGCTGCCTGATTCTTGTCGTTCAACAGCTTCTGTATCGCTGCTTCCGCGGAACCCGCCGTTGCGATCAGAGCAGCCACATCCTCAGGCGCTGTGGACTCGTGCGATACCCTATATGACGAGCTGCTCCCGTGTGACTTGTGCAGGCTTGCATTGGCCGTCGATCCGGTAGACACTGTCGAATCTATCGAGGTGGTGCGCGGCATCGTGGTTCGACCGTCTATAGAGCGCAACTCGGCATGATGTGAAGGTCTCGTAAGCTGTGCGGAGATCATGGTTGGCGACGAGGGCGGAGAGTGCTGTGCAGGAGCAGAGACGTTTCGTGACTGGCTACTTGCAGAAGCAGATGTTGTTGCAGCTCTCGCCTGGGCCTCCTCCTTCAAGGCGTCGGCAGTCACGAAGTTGCGAAAGCTCTCGATGGCGGGTGATGTAGGGGCCTTCTTGGCGGGCGCCCTCGCGCGATCGGCTGGCAAGCCGGTGTAGGTGGTAAGGACCTGTTCCTGTGATCGAAAGGCGTTTCGTGCGTAATCGTTCGGCGCGCCCGGACTACGCAGCCCACCACTGGCATCCGAGTTGGACCTAGCAGAGACAGATTCCTGTAGTGGCGACGGTACTGGGCGATTGGCAGCTCGTCGTTTGCTTCCGTGAGAAGTGGTGGAGGTGTTGTGCGATTCCAGTGCCTGTCCACTCAGATGCGGCAGCGAGTTCGACGACTGCAAGCCGGCAGCAGTCCTGGAACTCGACATGGCCCACACCTGTGATGGGCGAGCAGGAGGTGCCCGCAGTAAACGAGTGCATAAGCACAGCGCACACTTATCCGAGGGCTCACTACCGTGATGAGAGTCGTCCTGTGGCCTTGTACAGGTTGTGAGTGATCGGCTAGCGTCTCGCTAGCACGGCGGCTACAGACGAGCCTCGACTGAATCTCAAACAAGGACTTGTCACTGGCTGCGAATGCGAAAAGAAGTTTTGCGTTGCCACCACAAGTGCGTCAAGCAGGCGTACGTAAGATGCACACGACTTTCATCCACGCAGCTGACCTCATGGCCTTCATGTACGAGACCTGGAACTGCCTGTTCCTAGAAAATACCGAACAATAAAACGATATGCACTATGCACTGCAAAGAACATGACCAGTGCCTGGCATCCGTGCAACGCCACACCCGCACCCACATCTGTAAAGCTGACCCACATCAGCCTGCTGTTGACACTCATCCCCCCGGAACATGCGAGCTCGTCACATTACAAACACCAGTTTCGGTTGGATGTCTAATCAAATTTCGCCAACGCAGCAACGCGAGGAAACAGCCCCGAAGAAGTTGATTGCAATGAGAATACCGGGCTGCCTCTCAAAACTACTCTTTGTCATGAAGACTGGTCAAGATCATGAGATAGATGATCTTACCCTGCTCTTCGGAAGGAGCCGAGATACGCTGACAGGGGTGTCCAATATGTAATATACTCTGCTGCAGCCCTGTTCACATCGAATGTGTTTCAGGTCCGCTATACTGCCTGCCCATATGGCCAAGATATTGAAGCTCCCATTTTAATCCTCACCATATAGCATGGTCGATGCCTGGCAAGCTACATCCTGTTGCACATCCTTCAGCGGCAGATGTCCGCAACTGGTTGTGTAATCTTAAGAACAGGTGACATAAAACTCTAATGGTCGCGCCGGTAGTAGTGCACCATTTTTGGGTTGTCTGCCGGCCCTCCGTTGTCCAAAGCATCGACAACGGTCATAGAGTCCGGTTTTGGCACAGATGCGGTCGGACGATAGTATTGAAGATGGCGCAATCCTCTATTCAGATTCATATTGGACATTCATGCAAACCTCCATTTGGACAATATCTTGACTAAACCCGTGGAATCACGAATTAGGAAATGTATCAGGGATCAGCACAAGGTTTATTGTAATAGCTACCATCATCAACCAAAGTTTGCTCTAGAGGAGAATATCACATGCGGACCGTACCATGTGTCATGTGTCATCGAAGTCGGCAGCCGTGGAGACCATGTGAACTCTCTTCCATCATGACTTTCTTCGTACCTGCAGCATCGAGGAGGTTTACTAGTCCATGCATCACAGCGTTATTTAGGAATATGCCGCCAAGTTAGTCGCATGTGTGCGTATGCCTACACGGCGTAGGAGCACAGCACAAGATCAAAACCTTGATTGCTGAAGATTGAAGAAATGAAGAAAGTACTGTTAAGAACTGGTTCCACCGCAACTACCTACGTCCACTCTTTCTCCTGCGTCCTTCGTTGCCGGCACCCGCGTTAGTAGCAGCTCGATTGATAGAGTACCCACCCACTGCATCTGGCACAATGTCAACCTGCACACCTTGGTCCTCGCTCGAAGAACTGCTCGTCCTTTCCAGCTCCTGACCCAAAGAGCTTACCCTCCGAGCAGGATCCGAGTACGCATGATGTTGTGCTTCGGGTCGCGCAAGTGGCGATGACGAAGGCGGAACACGTCGTAGGCTCGCATAGCGCATTTCCGGGCTGGGCGCCCCACTGACGTTGCGAGGCCGTCCCTGCGCTGCAGGCAAGGTAGTCTCGTAGTCGTCAACGGGTGGTCTGTAGCCAGCGTACTGTGCGTTGGACGTGGAGCGGTTGCGAACGGGAGGTGGCGTATACCACTCCGCGTCGTCCTGGAAGGACCGATTTGAGCTTGAGGATGCTGGGCGCGCACCCGGAACGTAGTAACGGGCCGGGTATTGGCCATAGGCGTCGGTCTGCTCAGGTGGCGTGGACTCTCGTCGAGAATGTTTAGATGTCGACCGAGAACGGGGTCGCGCAGCCCCAGGCCGGGCATAATCAAGGCTCGACGGCGGGTATGACACATTTGGCTGGAAGATAGGTACACCATTCGGTCCTGCAACCATATATCCCGGCGTTCCAGGCGGGTAGAGGACATTCTGCTCCGCTGAAGGTTTCCGGTCTACCTTTGCCTTCGAGTTCGACTTGGCTGGTGATGGCGAGCTGATACTACCCTTCTTCTTTGTCTTCTGGTTTGCAAGACTAGTCGAGCTGCTGGACCTGCTCCCAGATTTGCCTTTTGGCGTTTTAGCTGGCGTGGCGGGTGGAGACATTAGTGCTGGTGCTGGCTTGGGAGATGGGACTTGCTCCGGCTGCTGGCCACCTCGCCTGCGCTCGAGAGCTTCCATCTCCTCCACCGACAAGTTCACATTTGTCTTCCCACTCGACCTAGCCTTCGCAATTCGTGCTAAAGCGGATTGCACCAGCAGTTCTTCCTCACTCCTCTTTGCTGTTGGACGACCCGCAGCTCTTCTCTTCAAATACTCTTCTTCAGAATCATACTCGTCTCCATAGTCATACACCTGGCGCCTGCGCTGTCTATCCTGCCCAACATCATAACCATCAAAATACAAGTCGTCGCCAGCAAAACCGCGCTGACGAGCATCCCGCAAAGCATAACCATTCGGATCTAACAAAACACCTTGACCATCTTCCTCCTCACTGTCAAGCTCTTGAAAACGTGGATCGCTCATGCGACCTTTTCCTGCTAAATTTCGAAGCTCCCAATCTTGTCTTCGCCGAACACTGTCAGTGGGAGCTCCGGGTGGTCTTCCCGTTTCATAGGGCGAAGAGTGCGCGGCCGACCGATCCTTAAACCGCCTCCCTGTAAATGTGTTAGCGAAGGTCGTTCTTCTTGACATTCCTTGATTAGCCGTACTCAGAGAAAGACGCCTCTATAGGGCGATCCATTAAGCTGGCATGGCCCAAAATAGTGACTGCACTCGCGCCCACAAGCCACAGAACAGTGGTTATAGGCGACGCCCAGATACCCAAAGGCACAGCCAAGATCAACAGACCAGTATATAGTTGGGACGAAGTGAAGCGCGCGAAGCCTAAGTCCAGATCCGAGCCCTGCAATTTCGAGATACCGAACATGCCACCAACCACGAGTATGATCACAAACAGCAGGAGGAGGTTCGTGAGCAGGCTGTAGATACTGAGCATGACGAAGAGTACGGCATAGTTGCTGCTGAAGTAGGACAGGTTGTAGTTCGCCCTGGTCTGTAGCTCGCTGAAGTCGCGTGGTTTGCTAATTTGCTTGATATTGAGGAACTCGCCGATCGGTTTGAGGTTGGCGAAGCGGTTGGCAATGGACTGAGAGCGGACGGAGTCGAAGCGGCCGGAAAGATTCAGGCGCGAGGTGAGCGCGTCCAGAGGCAAGTTGATGCGTGCCATGTTCGCGACACCGCCTACTGTCCAGCAAGAGTCGTGGGAGCACTCGATTTATCTAGTTGGTCTCCTGGCGAGGAAGCTGGAGCTGTAAGCCTTGTATGTGAAACCTGTTAAAGGGGTCAGAACTCATAAAGCCAAATTCGCGCTCCAGCCTTTCACATGTGACAATATTTCCCTCAGCCCGTCTCGTCTGGCTTGTGCGGGAAGCAGCTGGAACAGGGTCGAGACATATGCTTACGAGAAGTGCTGGACAATTTGTCAAACGAGTGGATCGAGGTGAGCGTATTGCAAAGCAGATGTAGAGGATCGAAGGTGGTGCCTTGAAGTCTTTCCGGCGACTTGGTTGTAAGGTGTTCTTGTGAGATTTCGAGAGGTGCTGAGGAGGTCGTAGGGGTAGCAAGGTTCGGGCCGGAAGCCACCTAGCCAGAAGAGGCCATCTCTGTTTCTCCAGTCTCCACCTCCAAGCACAAGAGGTTACAAAACAATAACAATGATATCAATGTAGAAGGTCACGAGGGCTTTAGAAAAAGATAGGTCAAGGGCCCGACGGTGAGCAAGTGACTCGGGACAGCTTGTCTTAAGCAGCCCTGCAGACTGCATTGCTGGCAAGCTGCCGTCACGACCCACTCGCTGCAGGTGCACCGTCGTGGCGGTATTTTTGCATTCAGGCTCATGCGTGACTAGCGTCTTTCGCTTACCAGCTTTTATTTGCTGTCACTGGCACACCTTTCTTTCGCATTGGCACGACCGAAAATGATAGGGCTTACTCGGGCAGCAGTGCTGCTGGTCGTCTGTCTCATCACCTTAGTCGCCGCCTGGTCGAAAGAAGACCACGAGATCTTTCGCTTGAAGGACGAGGTGCAGGCTTCCGAGGGGCACAATGTGACTTTCTACAGCTTTTTGGCCATCAAGTCCAACGCCGACCAGGAAACCATCAACAAGGCTTACCGCAAGCTTTCGAGGACGCTGCATCCGGACAAGGCAAGAAGCAACTTCATCGCCAACTACAACAAGCCGCCACCGGTCGCTTCGAAGCCGGGTGCGAAGCCCACCGTGCATGTGCAGAAGAATAAGCAGCCCAAGCAGAGTGAGCTTAACAAGTTCAACAAGGAGGCTAGCGCACGCTTCGAGCGACTTTCGTTGGTCACTAATGTACTTCGTGGGTCTGAAAGGAAGCGCTACGATCATTTCCTCAACAATGGCTTTCCGAAATGGCGAGGTACTGGCTACTACTATGAGCGCTTCAGGCCCGGAATCGCGTCAGTCCTGATTGGCCTCTTTGTGGTGATTGGTGGTGGAGGGCACTATGCTGCACTATATGTGAGCTGGAAGCGTCGCCGAGAGTTCGTGGAGAGGTATATCAAGCATGCTCGTCGCATGGCTTGGGGTGACGAAGGTGGCATTGGTGCGATCCCAGGGCTTGGCGGCTCAAATTCTGGAACTAGCACACCGCAGCCGCGATCAGGCACGCCGGATATGGATGACAGCATACAGTGGAACAGGAAACAGAAGCGTGCAATGGAAAGGGAGAAGAAGAAGGAAGGCAAGGCTCCCGTGAAGAGCTCAAGGTTGGCTCAGAAGGCTAAGGACGAAGGCATTAGCACGCCAGTCGAGGCCGAGATCACCTCTGGGCCAGTGGGTGCGAAGAAACGGACGGTTGCGGAGAATGGCAAGGTCTTGATTGTGGACAGTGTGGGTAATGTCTTCCTGGAAGAGGAGACCGAGGAAGGCGACAGGGCTGAGTTTCTACTCGACGTGAGTGCTCGACATTCCTCCGAACCTCTTCCTAGCATACTGACTCCTTTCGCAGCCCAACGAAGTTCCAGTCCCGGGCGTTCAAGACACATTCCTCGTTCGTGGTCCCGTCCACCTCTACAACATCAGCATCGGACGTCTCCTCAACAAGCAGACACCCGAGCATATCGAGTGGGAAGCCGCTGGCGGCGACGACCAGGAGGTCGTGGACGAGGCAGAGGCCACTCTAAAGTCTGCTTTGCCTGCCAATGCGAATGGGGAGAGCAGGAAGCGAAAGTCGAAGGCCAGGTCGTAGGCTTGTACCATACAACAAAAGTGTCTTCCATGCGGTATAGGTGTCTTGCATGGGCACCAGGTGTGCTTGCTTGCTTGCTTGCTACTTTAGATGGGGTATCAACATACTCGGTCTGTAATCAGTTGCACAGCTCTGTCGCTTCCTCCGTCTGCTTTCAATCCATTCCTCATCTTACGCCGTACGCCAGCCCAATGCTGTCGCTCGAATTGACTCTAGATCCTTCCCAACCAGCACCTCGTCGTCTGTTATCCCTAACCAAAGAATCCCGAAGCACCACTGAAGACAATCCGGAGCAGTTCGAAGAGGATACCACCGCAGATGACGAAGAGCAGCAGATCTATGAGAAGACTCACATGTCAGCTCACCTCGAATTTCGTGTTGCTGCTGCGGTCGTCTAGAATTGTATGGGAAGGAGAGGACATCACGTACAAACCCAGATCTTAGGGATCGGTGCCTTCTCGACCTTCTTCTCCTTCTTGATCGAGCTCACAGGCTTCCCCCGTTTTGTTTCTTCGGCCTTGGCAAATTGTGCGTTCGCGCGTCGTTGTTGGGGTGTTTGCGCCTGTGAAGCATTTGTTAATACTACTCTGGTGGTTGCTGGAGCTTGGGTGCTTACCATATTTGTGAGTTGAATGCACTTTTATGCTGAAGCAGGGACGAGCTGGTAGGGTGTAACCTCGTATGCTTTATATATCCTCTCGCTCGTGTGCGTGTGCTTGTGAGTCAGTCGAGAGGAAGGTGTCTCGTGTCCTGTAATTGTAATATACGTTGCTCAATAATGGGATGAGACCCAAAAGATGCCGAGCATCCGACGGCACCATGTGGCTGTGGCTTGCGGGCGCCACGGTCCACTTGAAGTCAATAAAGCTTCGTGGTTTGACCTAGACATACAAGTAATAGGCAACAAGTACAAGTTGGTAATTAAAAGTAGCTACCTGACTTCAGTACGGCGCTATCGACTTTTGGAGGTTACTGAGATGGCGTCAGGAAAAAGATAATAAATGATTTGTGATGAGCAAGTCACGAAAGAGCAATATGGCTCGCTATCCGGAGTTCGAAGAATGTGAGAAGAAAGGCAACTTCGTCGACGGCATTAAACGTTGCGACGATTTACTCAAGAAGACTCCAAAGGATATCCGACTACTCACGACCAAGCTTCAATTGCTCCACGCCACTGGACGAAAGGACGACTTCCAATTCATTTTAGACGAGCTACCAGGCTTGCAACCACCGATCCAGGATTTGCAGGACCTCATAGCGATAGAACAAGTTGTGGTCGACTCTCAAGAGGATGTGTATCCTCGAACTTCCACTGCCGGTCCAATACTGTCGAAGCTATGGGATAATGCCATCAAGGCCAGCTCTTCCAGTAATCAGAAACACGAACTAGTATCATTGCGCTTCGAACGAGCAATTCTTGCTAACCGCTCGATTGATGCACAACAATCCCTGATCCTGCTCAAGGCCTTGCAACCAAAGAATCGGATGGTGTATATGGCACATGCAGCCTTTACCCAGCTGATATCAAAATCCAACGATGATTTGCAAGCCAGACTTGCTATTGGCCTTGCACGAAAGGCCGTCAACGAGAAATTTGATGACGACAAGGCTCTGGACTGTCGGGTGCCTGGTCAAATATTTGCTGCCCAGGAATCGAGTAAGGATCTTGCGAGTGTTGAAGGCAGATCTTTTCAGGAGAGCAAGCAGGTGTTTGATGCTCGACGGGAAGCTGCGGAATCAGAGGCCAAGAACGGCTATCCTGCCACGGCATCGACTCAGTCAGCTTCAACAGACAGCAGTGATCTGCAGAGTAGAATCGAGGACAGCAAGACCAAGTTTGCGGCCATGACCAAGTCGGATGAATCGTTAGAGACAGTGCGACCATTCGCCACCGAGGCCATCGGTCTCTTCAACCTATCAATAAAAAAAGGCACTCGACGACAACCAGCGGATGCATGCTTTGTGGCAATTTCTGCACTCGTGAGACCTTTCGAGCTGAGTGACGACGCTGCATATTTACTACCCGCTGCGTACCTTGCCGAAACACTGCTAAAGCACAATCAACACATCCACGAAGCTCGACTGATACTCGTATATCTTTATATGCGTCTTGATTTGGGCAGCCAAGCAATGCGATTGTTTGACTCCCTAAGCGTCAAAGAAGTCCAGCACGACACTGTAGGCCATGCGCTGTTCACACGGCTCTCGAGCATCCATCCGCATTCGACATCGTGGTCAAGGAAGGTTGTTATGGATCCGCTGAAGCGAACTTCACATGCTCTAGGAGTCTATGTCCGCTGCGAAGAGAAGCTCGTAGACTGTGAAGCTGGCGTGCTGAGCTCCGGCCAAACAGGGATGATCTTTGATCTTCAGGAGTTGCGGGATAGTCTGCGGACTAGCTGGTCAAGACGCATGATCTTGCTCGAGCAACGACGGATCGAGCGTCTGATGAAGGGCACGGTGGATGAAAAGGACGCTGCTGCCGAAGCTATGGGACCCATGGTCTGCGAGAATTGGTTGCAGACGAAGGATAACCGGGACTTTGACGCCGCGTTCGACTACTCTTACAATGTCGAGAAAGTACTGCATGATCGAAGTGGTGGCGTACTTCCCGGGACAACATGGATACTGTATACATTGGCGGCAGATTGTGCCTTCAGCCTTGCCAATGCGAAGAGTGCTCTTGTCAAGAACCCAGAGGATGTCGCAAAGCAAGCGCAGACTTTGACATCGGCGAGCAAGACATCAGACTCCAGTAACCAGTCAGCTGCTAAATCAGACCTGACACCTGCTGAACGCCAGGCGGGCGATATCGCTTGCACCACGATCGATGTCCTGCTCCTGAACAGCAAAGCGACCGCTGCCAGCGAAGAGCTGTCTACGAAGCTCACCTCTCTCACAGCTATGGTCGAAGACCTCAACATCACATCTCTGCTCAAGGACACAAAGACACTGACGTCCCATCTACAAACGTCCTACATTTACACCGACATCCTCCGCACAGTCGTCCTCGCCTGCCGGCATCTACGCCTCAAAGCCGGGACCACACTCGGGAAGGAGACCCAAGAGCTCCAAGACAAATGCAAAGCTGACATTGCTGCTATACAAACATATGCCGTTGAGCAGCAAGCGCGAATCAAAGCTTCAGAGGTCAGACAGATGATGGCCAAAGATGAGGAGGTGTGGAATGGGCTCAGTGCGCTTGGGGAAGGTGGCGACGGTATCGATGACTTCTGTGAGGCAGTAGCCAAAGCTGCGAAGGAGGGTTGGGAAGGGATTGGAAGGATAAAGATGCTGTAGATGCTGGACGAAGCAGTTCAATCATTCTTAGACATCTCCTGACATGTCGCAGATTGTGAGAACGGGAGCAGAAGTGCACGCATCGAAGCAAGTGGCCGGTATGCCCATTACGCCAGCCTCTGTCTACGCCGCGGTACACCTGTAAACACCCTACATAAACCACAAGCGCCGTCGCGAGCCTCCGCGAGCCACTCGCGATTCTACCAGTCTAGATGGAAAGCTCCTATCCCATAAATCAAGCACAGTCCTAGATTGTCTCCCCTCGCACGAAAACGCTGCAAAGCAATGGGTATACTCGCAATCAAAGTACCAATATGCTCGGACACGCCAGTGCGTCAAAGAGAAGAGCCAGAGATGTGAAGAAAGTCTATATGTTGTGATCAATCCGTCTAGGTGGGTAGTCGGGAAAAGTTAAAAGAGGCGGTGAAGAAGAGAGGAAGCAGTCCAGACGCCGTCGTTTCGTCGTGAGCTGAGTGAATGGATTGTATGTGGATATCACCAGTGCGTTTGACCTGGCCGTCCAATGGGGTCGTGTCTGTGTGGTTCTGCAATTCTCATGCATGCCACTACGTTAGTGAGGCAATGGCTCCACAAGAGCAGTCTGTCCCTGCAGCTCTCATGTCCTCTAGCTCTCCGCCTTGATAGTCGCCGTGCTGTCTCCAGAGCTTTCGCTCAACGACCGGTTCGACATCGTCTCGCTGAGTGCTGCCCGTTGTTGTGCAATGACTTCTCGAGCATAGAATTCCACCAGCATGGTCCCGTAGGCCTCAATCTCCTCTACTGGAATCGATAGTCTGAAGTCATTGAGCAGTAGAAATTGCAGTTCTAGATGATTCAACTCTTGAAGTGGCAAGCCGCCGACCTGTGATGATCGTTAGCTTTCCATCCCGATCCTTTCTGCTGTTCATCCGACGCTCACCTTCGCATATCTCGAATTGGTGTAAAAGATGTCCGAGAAAAACTTGCTCGCACACGTTACACCTGCAATCACCAATCGATGTATATTGAAGCTATCTACCACGAAGAAGTGTGCCAGATTGTAAGGATCCATAGCAGGCTCTGCTAGTATAGACGGTGATTCTGCCTGGTGTGGTCTACTGTGCGGGGTTCCTGGTACACCTTGCTGCTCGCCTTGCTCCATGTTTCCGGATGCTGGAGGTGTAGCAGTCTGGGTGCCCGATGGTGTAGTAGCGGTTACACCCTGCATACGATCAGAGCCTAAAGAGTCGGAGGGACTGCTCGCTGTGCGATTCTGCTCGAATGCCTGCTGGTTGGCTTCTTTCAGGGTCTGCATCGGAGCTGCGTTGACTCGCTCCGTCATGCGATCAAAGTACACCAGTAAACTCAAAAAGACCTCGTAGCTGGTGGGACAGTACTTATTTATTCTGCTCAAGTAGCTCAAGATGGTGATGCTGGGCACGTTTTTGCCATGGAATGCCAGTACACTGCTCGTCTGAGCGGTCAAATGCGACGCCTGCTCCAGATGTGCTGGTTGTCGGTGCAAATGCTCGTGCTGCTGGTCGTTGGTCGTGGTGATTTTCGTCAGAAGGCCGGCCACCATTTCTATTATGTGCTCAACTTTCATCTCGCTAATCTCATATTGTGGACTATCGTCTTCTGCTCCTCTTGACCCTGATCTGCTCCGACTTCTGATCTCAGAGAACGATCCCATATCCTCGTTCGCAAAGCTCTGGATATGCTCCAAGTCTCTCACCTTGATTTTTCGTGGTCGTGATCGTCTGGTTTCCGCCGAGCTCGTGGCAGTGGAGGCTTCACTCTTTACAGGCGCAGGAGGGCTCAGACTGCTCGCGGAGGGCGGTGCAGCCACGGGGCCAGCCGCCGGTTCGGGTGGTGGTGGTCGTGACGCGCTTTGTCGAGAGGACTGAGATGGCGCGCGTGGCGTGCTGTTCGTAGCAGGAGCATGTTGTGCCGTCTGCACACTAGAAGAGCTGGGTGCTCTCCGCGCAGAATTGGACATATGGTGGTCGGATCGGGAGGAAGCGCGTCCGCTTCGAGACTGAGGGCTAGGATTGTGTTGCCGTGGCGCGTCGGTGTAGGCGTAGCTATCGTGGCGCTGTCCGAAGAAGCTATTCACCGTGTCTATCACCACCGACATTCTCGGTCGCTTGGCAGAGGATGAGTCTGTCGGGCGGGAGTATTAGTATGTTAACCTCTGCTGTACTGTAGCCGTGCTTGTGCTGTGAAAGTGCGATACGCGCGGGTGATGTGTGAGTAGTTCTTCAATTCCAGTGCAACCGGGGCTTAGGCAATAGGCCGTGGGGTGTGTTTCGTAAAGGAGTCGCCCTCGCAGGAAGTGCCAGGCTTGCGTGGGAGAAGCATGGTGGTTGTTATTAGACACGATGAAGCAGCAACGAGACTGGCGGTCTGAGCCATCGCACGCGATCCCGATCTACGAGCTCCTGTCACAAAGACACTGATCACAGCTACTCACCTTGTTCATGGACTCTGCCTGCTTCCACCTCTTTTCTGCGCTGTACACAAAGCAAATTGGACAGCGTAGGTTGTTGCGTCTGCCAGAGTCCTCCGTTGCAACATAGGATTGTGGAGAGCAGTTCGTGTAATAATCGGCCGGTCCCAACATATTGTAGCCCGTCAGCCTAGCGACGTCAATTTGACTTTACACCAGCCCGGGAAGTATACTAGCGTCATTGAGGACCAATCTGACGAAACTATCCTCGGAAGTTCTACAGATTGCTATATTACAGTGCGCAACCCGGGTTATGCTCGCTGCTAACAATGCAACACGATGACCGCGCTGATATTTCTGACCTTCGCCGATGCGCATGCCGTGAGATAACACCCCCGGATCGTCGCAGCTTGGAGTACCCTAGCTAGTCGTGCATGCTGCGCCCGCTTGCATGTGCCAGAGCTGTCCGAGGGACTACCACGCCTATCGAGCTCCCGCCGCAATAACGCTTTTAAGGCGGAGCACGCGAGCGACCATTCCCATGCATCACTCGTCATGGCTTGCCCGTACCAGGACCAGTGTAATTGCGATCAGGCAAATACAGATGCCGTATCGCACCTGCTGCCGTCAGCACCACCATCCTGATAACACCACCCGAGCTACCATCCCACTTGATAGCCTCTTGCAACGCTCCCTTCACAAACTTGATGCCTTCCTCCTCGTCCATGTTCTCCTTCCAGTTCGCATCGCAGTAGCCGTAGATGTACGTCGAACCCGAGCCACCAATCGCATACGCCTGCTTGTGTAGCGAGCCGCCAAGAGGAATGCTGTATACCTGCCCACCATGCCTCTTGTCCCATCCCGCGATGATGATGCCCGCACTCAATGCATCCTTGTTGTCGTAGCAGAGCTCCTGGAAGATTGCCGCGGCGGTCTGTGTGGTCGGTGGCTCGTCGTTCGTGATGCCGTACATGCCAAGATGGTATTGCACAATGTCGGCCACCGCTTGTGTGTCGGCTGCGGAGCCTGATCGACAGCACCAGATCGTGTCGTGTACTTGTGTGAGCTTGTCTGTGACTCTGTTTGCGATGTATGCGCCTGTTGTTGTCCTGCTGTCTGCTCCCAATATCACACCATCCTTGAAGTTGATGGCCATAATCGAGGTTCCAAGGTTCACTTCGCCGCTTTTGAGGTGGTTCATATCGATGTGGATGCCATCTGTGGAAGCATTAGTATTGCAGCTGTTGGTGATTGGGTCACTGTTGCCATACCTTCACCGAGCATCCCAGTCTGTCCATTCATCATCATCACCATTTTGAGGGATCTAGTGTTCAAGACGTATTCGGATGACGGTCAAAGATTATGTCAAGCTGGGCAAGGTGAAGTGTGCCGCTGTGTGGTTGAGCAGTTCACTTCAAGTGCTAGTCCATCGTTCATCAAGGCTTCAAAGGCACGCGTGTCGAGCTTCGGAGGTCCAAGCTCGCAGCCGAGCCCCGAGCCGCGCTAGTGCAATCGATAGGCTACGTGCTACTACACTTCTGTTGCCTCCCTCCGCACCTTCACTCCTTCATGCACACACGTCGCCTTAAGGCGCGAGCCTATCATGGCGATCACTAACGAGTACTCCATTGCGCGAGTGAGCTCGACTTGTGTCAAGTCAGCCAACGAGCAAAGTGTTCTGGTCGAAGCTGGAGGGTTCGCTCCCATCGAATACTTCTTGAAGCACTCGGCGTCAGGTATCGCCACACAGGAAGACGACACAGAGCCGCCACGGAAGCGACAGAAGTTGCGACAACAGAAGACGAAAGCAGCGCACACTGCCTATTCACAGAGTAAGGATGACAGGATCCCGATCCACAAGGTTATCATCGATCTAGTCTTCCCGCAGTCACTTCAGGGCAGTTCCGTGTCTTCCCAGGCGATTCAGCAAGATGCAGACTTCAAAGGCGCAAAAGCGATCGATGTTGTCCCGTATGGCATCGATCCAGAGGACGATAGCGACGTTCTCATGCGCTTCACGTTGGCCGAGCCGTCAAGTCCTGTCCTCATCGTCGAAGCAACGGACGTTGCAAAGGCTGCGCAGGATGCTTTGAGACTCTACGCACTTCCAGGAGCTATACGGGCGACACTGAACGGGACTCGAGACGATATGCATCCTGCTAGTGTGGTTCGTTGTACACTGACCAGATCGCTGGGACAGCTCCATACTGTTGTCAGACTGGAGGTGACAGTATCTTGGCGCTCTGGTGTTTCTGCGTTCCCGCAAGGTGTGCCAGTTGGGAAGTCCAGAGTATACGACGATTACGATCTGCTAGCTGGAGCGTATCCTGATGCTAGTCGAAATGACATCGATCATAATCAGCCTTGGTCGCCACAGGACTTCTATGAAAGTGTGCATGTGCCACCGAAAGACGGTGACACTCAAGGTATGTATGACCGCATTCTTGAAAGTGAGCTATATCCTTTCCAGAAAAGAGCATTGTCATGGATGCTACGAAGGGAGGGCGTAGAGCATATAGATGCAAGATTGTGCAAGATTCCGCAGACAACCAACACATCTCAAGGCCTCTGGAACACTGTAGAGGATGCCGAAGGTAATACCTGTTACGTCAACTTCCTTCAAGCTACGATTTCTCGCGAACCCTTGAACCAAACAAATTTGTCCGGCGGCCTGCTTGCTGAGGAGATGGGTCTCGGCAAGACTGTTGAGCTCATGGCCTTAATCGCATCACATCGAGACGAAGGTCATCAAGCAAAGTCGATGTTTGATGCGCTCTCTGGAATGACAGTCACAGCTTCGAAGGCTACTTTGATCATCACTCCACCCTCGATCATGCAGCAGTGGAAGTCTGAACTCGCACGACACGCTCCTGCCTTACGTGTGCACCAATACCGGGGCATTCCGGCGGGCCGTCAAAAGCCAGCTGCCCAGCAGCAAGTCATCGACGATTTGTGCTCAGAGTATGACGTTGTGCTAGCAACGTATAGCACTCTAGCGCACGAGGTGCACTTTGCCGAAGATCCTCCTGATAGAGACATGCGACACGCACGAAAGTTTGAGCGCAAGCGGAGTCCTCTCGTACAGATTCGGTGGTGGCGAGTGTGTCTTGATGAAGCTCAGATGGTGGAGTCGGGCGTCACAGCAGCTGCTCGTGTGGCTTGTCGCTTGCCCCGTGTGCATAGCTGGGCTGTTACGGGCACACCTTTAAGGAAGAATGTTCAGGATCTCCATGGTCTACTCATCTTTCTACAATATCAGCCTCTCAGCGAGAGCAACAAGCTTTGGAGTCATCTCATCACCAATCACAGGCACAGATTCCGCAGGATATGGGGAGACATTGCACTTAGGCATACGAAAGCATATATCCGGGACGAGTTGCGTCTGCCGCCACAGAAGCGGATTGTTCTGTCTGTACCGTTCTCGACCGTAGAACAGCAACACTATGCGACCATGTTCGAGGATATGTGCAATGCAGTGGGCCTGGAAGCAGACGGCTCACCAGTACATCCGAGCTGGGACCCCGAGAACTCACTTACAATAGAGGCGATGCGTTCGTGGCTGGTCAGATTGCGGCAGACGTGCCTGCATCCACAGGTCGGAGGCAAGAATCGCAAAGCGCTTGGTCGTGGCAAAGGTCCTCTGAGAACTGTCGCTGAAGTTTTGGAAACGATGATAGAGCAGAATGAGACGATGATACGAACAGAGGAGCGCGTACTGGTCGGAACCCATCTCTCGCGAGCTCACATACTTGGCAACAATGGTGAGGACGCGCATCGCAGCGAGAAGGCTCTTGGAATTTACAAAGCTGCAGTGGAGACCAGTGAGGCACTGGTACGTGAGGCTCGCCAGCGCTTAGCAGCCGCGAAAGCTTCGATCGCAATGAAGGGCGAGCTTGTAGTGGATACGGAGGATGAAGAGTCCTCCTCGGAGTCGACACCACTACTTGGTCAGCTGAGAGGTCACCTGCGCACCGCTCTCCAGCTGCAACATGCCTGTACTTTCTTCGCTGCAACTGCCACGTATCAGATTAAAAGCAACGAGGCACTCACGATGTCTGAGTCGGAAGACTTTGCGAAGCTTGAGGAGCAGGAGTCAAACATGTATGATGCTGCCAAGCAGATCAGGAGAGAGCTGTTGTTGGAGTCGTCTCGGAAAGCAGAGTCGACAATACGTAAGATCAAGGATAACAAGGTCATCAAGCTGCCAACCATAAAGGCGTTGGAGATGGTCGGAATTGAAGGCCGCAAGCTAGTGGATAAAAGTGACGATTTATTTGACGTGATCCGGAAGCTAGGTTCACAAATCACAGCTATGCGTAAGAAGATGGCAGAGTATCTGATCAAGCCGCTGGTGGATGAGGAGAAGGATGGCCAAGAAACCACAGGCGACGAGTACGAGAACAGTACGAAAGAGCAGGATGAGCTTTACGTGTACTTCGATGTCGTCAAAGCCATGCACGCCGACTTGAACACATTTGTCACTGGCGAGGACGCTCCACTCATCGATCACGAGATGAAGACGCTCGTCCGTGACGCTATGTGGTATCTGGATCCGGAGATTGAAACAGATAGTGTCGTTCATGCGCCGGAGCTGCTGCTCAAGCTGGTGGAAACACGGAACAAGCTTCGGCAGCGCAGGAACGAAGTAGGCTCAGTCCGAGGGTTGATCCAGCAAGCGCGTGGCCTTGAGGGTGCTGTCGAATGGAAGGACAACATTCGCGCCGAGCTCGAACGTACAGTCATTCAGCAACACCTCACCGCTCTCCAAAAGGTGTTCAATGACTACACAAAAACCTTGACCGGCCTGGAGAAAGAGGTAGATCTGTACAGAACCGCGCAGAATCAGCGCCTAGAGTTCTACAGACAGCTGCAAGAGCTTTCTGATGCAGTAGCGCCGTACAAAGACGAACTTGACGCCATCTTGGACTTGCCGGCGCTCGAGGATGTGATGGAGAAGGAGGAAGCTCAAGAGAAGACTTTAGCCCAGCACAAAACCAAGAACCGGTTTCTGGTGCATCTGCGCGACGACAACCAGGGCCAGGAGAACTCGCGGATCTGTGTCATCTGTCGGTGTGACTTCGAGAGCGGTGTTCTTACGGTTTGCGGCCACCAGTACTGCAAAGAATGTATCCATCATTGGTGGCATCAGCATCGCACCTGTCCTGTCTGCAAACGTCGACTGCACCGCGTCGACTTTCACGACATCACCTACAAGCCACAAGAGCTCAAGGCGCAAGAGGAAGTGCAATCTAGCTCGTCCTCGCCTGGTGGTGAAGGCTCACCATCTGCATCCTCGATCCAGTCATCTATCTATTCTGATGTGGACAGCAAGCTCATGAACGAGATCAAATCCATCGACCTACCTTCCAGCTACGGCACGAAGATAGATACTCTTGGCCGGCATCTCCTCTGGATCCGCGAGCACGACCCAGGCGCCAAGTCTATCGTCTTCTCACAGTACCGCGAGTTTCTGGATGTGCTGGGCACAGCACTGCAAGACTTCAAGATAGGCTTTAGCAGAGTCGGTCAAGCTGGTACGATCGAAAGGTTCCGTCATGATCCGAGCGTCGACTGTCTGTTGCTGGATGCCAAGACCGACTCTTCTGGGCTCACACTTGTCAATGCTACCCACGTATTTATTTGCGAGCCTTTAATACAGACTGCGGTTGAACTCCAGGCTATCGCTCGTGTGCATCGTATCGGTCAGACACGACCGACGACAGTATGGATGTACCTCGTCAATGACACCGTCGAGGAAGCAATCTACGAGATCTCCGTCAATCGTCGATTGGCGCACGTGCAGTCGAGGCAACAGCAGCAAAGACATGGCAAGTCACGCTCTACTACTCCAGCACCACTCCAGGAAACGGCGCTCGATGCCGCTAATTCGGAAGAGTTGCAGACGGCTCCTCTTTCGAAGTTGCTTGTTAGTGGTAAGGGTGGTGGTGAGGTAGTCGGGAAGGATGATCTTTGGCAGTGTTTGTTTGGGAAAGCGAGGAAGAACGAGGGTGTGGTGCAGAACAGTGTCGAGGTCGAAAGGGAGATGGGTCGGCATTTGAGAGCTGAGGCTGCTGTGGAGAGGAGGGGTGGTGCTGCTTCTTGAGGCCTTCTGATATTCGGTCGTAGATTACTCAGGAAGGTTGATACTGGTAAGTACTTGCCATAATCTAATATCCAGCTTCAGGGTGGTCGTACCAGATTTTAGTTGCTGTCTGAACACTATGCCTCAGCCTCAGTTTGCACATGTCTTCTCTTCGTCGCCTTGTGAATGTTATCGCCTGCGGCGAGGTCTTTTGGCATCCGGATTCTGACATCGTCATTACGCATATGTATGTAGCATAAATTAAGCTTCTTCCCGATCATGCACCCCAGCATTTGCCAGGGGCAAAAAAGTCACTAACGAATTGTGAAATCGAACGATAAATCCGGAACAAAGGTAAAGTACTTCTCAGCTGACGACATGTTCGCTGCGGTCGCAAGAGCGTACACATACAAGGGGCGGCAGGCTAGATCACAGGTTGGCGATTAAGCAAAGGAGAAAAATCATTGCGCATCTGTGTAAGGGACAATTGCAAGCGGCGAGGATCTGGCGCAAACCATGAATGGCGTACGCTTCGAGAAAGATTCGCACGACCAGACGAAGAGCAGTGGACATGTGAATGGCACGAACAAGGAGCTTCCGACGCATCGCAAGGGTTCGCCTGCCACCAACGGCGCGCCGCGACCATCGATACACAGTCGCAAGGACTCGAATCCTCTCGCTCCACCCTTCATTGTCTCCGCGCCTGGGAAGACAATCGTCTATGGCGAGCACGCGGTCGTGCATGGCAAAGCCGCCATAGCTGCTGCCATAAGCCTGCGTTCTTATCTGCTCTGCACTACCCTCACGAAATCTAGTCGGACTGTTTCGCTACAGTTCCCGGACATAGGATTGGATCACACATGGAGCATACCCGAACTACCATGGCATGCTTTCCGACGAGAGGGCAAGAGAAGGAGGTACTACGATCTTATCACAAGCCTCGATCAGGAGCTGGTAGACGCTATGGAACCCTTCATCGAATGCGTAAGCACAGGACTCAAGGCACAAGTTCGGGAGAGACATCAACAAGCCGCACGAGCCTTTCTCTACCTCTTCCTCAGCTTAGGCTCCGAGTCAAGTCCGCCCTGCGTCTACGCTCTCCGGTCCACCGTCCCGGTAGGTGTCGGTCTGGGCAGTAGCGGAAGCATCTGCGTCTGCATATCCACCGCCCTCCTACTCCAGTGCCGAGCCCTATCAGGACCTCACCCAGACCAAATGAGTAACGAAGCCGACGAGCAGCTGGAACGCATCAACCGCTGGGCATTCGTCGGCGAGCTCTTGATTCATGGCAATCCGAGTGGCGTCGATAATACTGTGGCGACGCATGGACATGCGGTTCTGTTCCAGCGGACGGATTATGCTAAGCCGCCACAAGTACAAGTCCTGAAAGACTTCCCCGAATTGCCGCTGTTGCTTGTAGATACTTGTCAAGCTAAATCTACGGCGGCGGAAGTGGCGAAGGTCGGGCATTTGAAGACGGCGCATCCGGAGGTCACGGGATGTATCTTCAATGCTATCGACTCGATCACGCGCTCTGCACATGATATAGTCACCAGCGAAGACCCTGGCTCCGTCGAGAGCATTACGCACCTGGGCGAGCTCATGACGCTGAATCACGGTCTCCTTACTAGCCTGGGGGTTTCCCATCCTCGACTGGAACGCCTGAGATACCTAGTCGACCAATCGAAGGTTGGCTGGACGAAACTCACGGGTGCTGGTGGAGGTGGGTGTGCGATCACTTTACTCAAGCCAGATGCTACTACCTCACCGTCACAGACCAATTATGATGGCAATGGGCCATCGAATGGACATAGCACAGCACTAGAACAACTGGAACAGCAACTCGAGGAAGAAGGTTTTGTGAAGTACGAGACCACGCTCGGAGGTGATGGCGTTGGTGTGCTCTACCCAGCCGTCATCAATGGCGAAGAGATTGACCAGGATATCTTTCTTGGCGTGGAAAGTAGAGAGGAAGTCGAGGAATTGGTAGGTGGGAAGAATGATCGGGAGGCATGGAAGTATTGGCGGCCGTAGGGCGTAGGGCGTGCATGCACACCTCGTACGGTTCGGGTTGCCCGGGGGTGTGTTTGGTCTTGACTCTGCGATTGGCGAGGTGTTTGGCGTAATGTGGAATTGGGTATCATGGCTTGGTATTGTTATAGGGTAAGCTATAGGGTAAGAGGGTAGTTGATATGGGGTAATGCTTATGTCACTTTCGAGAGGGTTTGCGCAAGCAATGAAAGTAAATGTTGTCGTAATTGGATAGTCGTCGTGGTATCTCACGCTTACTATCGGCTTTGTGCACTGCGAAACCTTCTCTTCCCTTACCATTGCTGTCCGATTTGTTCGTTCCGCATCGGTTCACGTCGAGCGGTTACTGCGGGATACCTTGCCCGTTATCTGCACAGAGTAAAGATAAGTATCTGCTGGTCCTTCATGCCGACGCTCTGCGTTTTCCCATCATCCTTTCGCCTCAGCTTGTCTTCCCCAGTCATCTCCCTCTCATCATGGCAGCAGACAAGAAATCAAACATGTCCACCTCCAAGAAACCCTGGCGCAAGACGCCCTTGACTGAGTCGACCAATCTCTCCAAGGCAGCAGGATGGTCCGTAACATTACGCCGCTAAAGTCATCGTAGCATTCCAGTAACTCCAGATGGCTGATCAAGAGCAGCAGAATTTTCCTCAAACACGAGCACCTCCAGCCCTCCGGCTCCTTCAAATCCCGCGGCGTGGGAAACCATCTCCTCTGTGCCCTCCGCCGCGCCTCCCACCCTGACCGCGTGCACTTCTTCTGCTCCAGCGGAGGGAACGCTGGTTTAGCATGTGTCCATGCCGCCAACACTCTTGGACGACCAGCAACGGTAGTAGTCCCGTTGAGCACGAAGGCCATGATGGTTGCGAAGATCAAGGCGGCGGGCGCGAGGGAGGTGGTGCAGTATGGTGCAACGTGGAAGGAAGCAGATGGGTATCTGAGGGATGTGGTTCTTAGGTCTGCCGAGGAGCGAGGGGAGGAGGGAGTCTACGTTCCTCCATTTGATCATGAAGACGTTTGGGCGGGCAATGAGAGTTTGATCGAGGAGGTCGGAGAGCAGCTGGCGGAGTTGGGCGAGGGCGAACCCGCCATATTGATCTGCAGTGTAGGTGGGGGTGGACTGTTCAATGGAGTTGTGCAGGGAATTGAGAAGATGGGTTGGGACAGGACGACTGTTTTGGCTCTCGAGACTCGGGGTGCACATTCTCTTCACGAATCGCTGGAGCAAGGAGAACTGGTTACACTTCCAGGTATCACATCACAGGCGACGAGTCTAGGAGCAACGAGGGTCAGTGAGAGGACTTTCGAGCTGGCGGGCAAACACTCTGCTACTGGACAGGTGAAGAGTGTCGTCCTGACCGATGCAGAAGCGGCGATGGGCTGCTGGCGATATGCAGACGATGAGCGCACTCTGGTAGAACTTGCTTGCGGAGTCAACCTTGCTCTATGCTATGGTGGCAGATTGGAGAGAGCACTAGGGCGACCTGTGAAGAAGACCGACAAGGTCGTGATTGTGGTCTGTGGAGGGCAGAATGTGACCACCAGCATGGTCGAGAGCTGGAAACAGGAATTTGGTGATCTTGATCAGAAGGCTGGAATCAATGGACACAAGACGAACGACGTGCCAAGTGTAGTGACTGCGCCGAATGGTGCTTAGATGACAATGCTTGAACGCTAGACTAGAAATACAATAGACCTCAGGGTATCATTTCACATCAACGCCATGCCACATCTCCTTCCTCCCACCAACCCCTTGTCACTCTCGCTAAGCAGCGACAACTGCCTCGGGTGTACTGGATTCCAACCCGAGCTGACTCTTCCTATATGCCCAATAGTTCTTCCGGATAGGATCATACTTCGCAGCCAACAGATCCAACGCCTTCCCAGCCTTGTCCTTCCCACCTTCCTCTTCAGCAAAGATATCAGCCAACAAATCCAGTGCGAAGCTCGACCGTACAGAGTCTGGCCTGTCCAGACTGGCATACTGTTCCGCAAACTCCTTCAGACTAGCAAGCGGTACCCCGGCAGTCCTAACAATCGCCCTCAGATAGTTCCAGGGACTCTGGTTCTGCGGCGTCTTGCCCACCGCGTTCTTCGCAAAGTCCAGTTCCCGCTTCCGAAGCCCCTCGTCCCACTCACCCTTCACACCTTCAGCTTCCCGCCCATTGACGATATACCATCGATGATTCCAGGCACTGTTGTTCCTCACATCCTCCCTTAACATCCTCTCTGTAAACTCCAGCTCCTCCGTCTCCCACAACCCAAATCTCTTAACCAGCCATTGGCGATAGCTCCAAACATGATAATTCTTCGCGTCCTTGACGAACATCTGTTCTACGAACTCCGTCTCGCCCTCACAATCGTCCAGTCTATCTACTATGAGGTTCCGATGATGCCAAATCTGGTAGTTCTTTTGGTGTTCGAGGGCTGTCTCGTTCAGCCATTCTAGCTCTTCGCGGAGGTCTTTGTCGAGGTGGAATAGCGTTTTGGCGCGGTAGAGCCAGACGGTGTAGTGGGCGGGATTCATATCGATCAAGTCTTCAGTAAGTTCCAGGACGCGATCGGAGTATTCATTGGCGGCCATGACGGCACGCATGTAAGACATTGTTTCCTCATATTCTTCGCTGTATGCTATGGCGGCTAGTGGGTTGGGACCGCCTTCGTCCGTGGGCAATGGTTCGATATCAGCCCAGAGAGGGTCTTCGCTGTACTTGCCCATGATTGCCTGAAGTATTGGTTTTGGGAGATGGGTTTGGCTTGTGCAAGTGCAGAAGATAGTTAAGTGTTTGGTGGGGTCGTAGTGGGGAATTGGAGAAGGCACGCAAGAATGCTACTGCAGGAACAATACGAAGCGAAAAGCAGCTCATATACATGCTCACGCCTTTCAAAGGTATTGCAGGTTGAAGCGAAATTACAGAGTAAATACCAGCCACCGCACGAACACTACCGCCACCATCGCCATGTTCCTCAATCACCTCCTAGCCCGCTTCGATGTACGTACTGCATTGTGTGCCGTGACAACACAGCCAGGCGCATCACCCACTCGTTCGCAGCAAGTCCAGATGAACCCATCAGCATAGCCTGGTTCTTCACCGAGAGTCTGAGGATCACCGTGGCAATCGTCGTCGTGATCTTCCCAGAGATCGCTCTCATAGTCGACTGCCTTCTTGCCTGCGCGCTCGCAGTTAGTAAAGTGTACACATTCTATCCCGATGTGGGATTACATAATGGATGCAGTCGCCAGTACGATTGCTGGTGACATCATACTCGGCCATACAATTCTGGCATGTCTCGTGTCTCTTTCGCTTTGTTGTTGCACCGCTTGGATACCTGGTCAAGAGCTTCACTTCCGCGATGGCCTTGGCTTCTGCATTGTCTTCACAGATCTCTACAAGGACTGCTCGAAGTCTATCTGCAGATGCTGTGGCGATGGTATCCTCGAGGGACGAGACTGCTGGTGCAATCGTCGGCCCTGTCTCAGCGGAGGCGCGTGGCGACGTTGGGTGTACCATTTAGATTAGATGACTGTTGGATTTCGTCGACTGCGTATATACCCATGTACCCATTAGACATTTGCTTTGGGAGGTGTGGGATCTCATATGATACAGTTTGACCCGGTGCTCGTCAGCGCGAACACAGAGATGGTCACGTCTTGTGGGACCTAAAATTAAGCGCGGTAGAATGATATGATATTGAAAGTCCTACGGATTGTAGTTGTCCACATTTCGTGACCTTCCCATCTGACAGAGGCGTAGCTCGACTTCCCCACAACGCGTGCGCAGAAGCCATGCCGTCTGTCGTCCTGTTGTCTTGAGATCATACACTGTCTTGAATGCCTGCAACCAGAACGACTCCAGTGTCGAGGTAAGCGCTGATACAATGGACGATCGTGTCATTCGAACAGTGCTCACAGCGTCGTGGGCTTGCGCGAGTGTGATGTTCACTCTGTCTGGAACAGAAGTCACGTTGTTTCGCATCTGATAAAGTCCACGTGCCTGAAGGTGACTGATTCGCCTTTTGTCGCCTTCCTGACGCCTAGCGGCAGGCTACTAAGATGCGACTTGGCGTCAGAGCCTTGCCTCAATCCTGCGCCGAAAATCCTGGTGCAAAGGATAGACGTGAAAGGTCGTGAGCAAGGCGGATGCCATGTTCATCGTGCCACATGCTGCCTGATGAAGTCCTCGATGAAGTAGAAGTATCCTTGCTCGGCAACGGAATTGTTGTGATCGCCGTTCGGAAGCTCCTTCCATACCACCGTCTTCGATTTGCAGAGCTTGAAGAGTTGCTTCATATGTGCTGGTGGCACAATCTCATCTCGCAGTCCGCTGATCAGCAGGATGGGTATATCAGTGATTTGGGGAATCATGTCCTCAGATCTCCAATACTCATGGCAAAGTGGCGTGAGGTAGCGAGCAATAGGCATGACACTGGGGATCATCTTCGCAATAGATAAGAATGTGTTCTCCAGGACCAAGCCTTTGATATCGCCAGTGCCCTTGTTCTTGGCCACGAGATCGATGCTTACTGCTCCGCCGAGGGATTGGCCATAGACCACGATCTTGTTGCCTTCAAGGTCCTTCCTTTGCCTGACGTAGTCGAGAGCGGTTTGTGCGTCGATGGCAAGGCCTTTCTCGCTCGGTGAACCGGTGGACAAACCGTAGCCCCGATATTCCACCATCAGAGTGGTGCACGATAGATCGTTTGCGAGCACTTTGGCAACAGGAAGGCGATGTCCAACATTGCCGGCATTGCCGTGGAAATTAATAATGGTCACAGGTCGGGCGGTAGATTTGTTCTCGGGCTTGATAAGAAAAGCACTGATAGTCTCGCCATCAGGTGTAGGCAGCATGAGCTCCTCATAGTCTTGTATGCCGAACTGTGGCGGCCGGGGTACGTCTGTCCGAGCGCCTGGTGGTAGGTTCCGCGGGTAGATGATTTCACTGACGAATGTCAGCATTGTACGTCAACTATATTTATGTCGACCAAGGTACTTTTGATAGTAATACAGCGCACTGCCGGCGACTGCTGTCAGACCACTACCTATGTAAAGTGGTAGCCTGGCCCATGACCATAAGGCTGCCGCCATAGTGAACAGAGAGCGCGCGAGATGTGTGACAATCGAGTACTACTCCATTGCCGAGACTTCCCTATTGCTTGCTTGGATGCGTGGCTATTCAGGAATTAGTCATAGGGTGATATGGATGGCCTTCATGATAATGTAGTGTATTCGTGCGATGCTATCTCGCGATTCGAGCTTGAAGTCGAGATTCTCATCATCAAGAATCCCGAAGCTCAGCAGCGCCAGTGCATCACCACGACTTCGGACCCTGGTCAGTTTCAGCATGATTCACCCAATCAATTGCGTCGAGTCTCGCGATTGTCCGTGTCAGACCCACCTCAGCGACGGCACATCACGCCAGCTTCCTGGCACGACTCCACCCAATCCACCTCGCCTCCGTTTGACAAGCGAAGATGCAGACCGCTGCACGGCGTTGACTGGACAATGCGTTGTCGTCCTGAAGCAGACTTGCGTCGGATCTTGCATCAGAAAGGATGCAGATACCCGACTCGTCGACGATGCTGGTCGCAAGCCTGTTGAGTGGAACAGACGGAAACGTTATGCTTGTAAGAAGCTGGGCAGTGCTGTCGTACTTGCATCCTCTTCGTACTTCGGGCAATCGGTGGGTAAGCTGCTGCATTAAGGTTCTTCTCTTGCGTGCGTACATTGTGCATCTCTCCACTGCTTGGTACGAGAGCTGGCTCTCTCGTGGGGCTGTTCACTTGTCCCTTCTCTCCTTCACTCGTTTGCACTCAGGTGAAAGGATAACAGAGAAGAGCTAGGTCGTTTGACAGGTGTTTGGAATCTGGAAGGGATCCTCTCTGCCGGGTTGGATGCAAACGGATCGAACGCCGTAGAGGAACGACCAGACAGAATCCGACAAGCATCGCACAGGACTTCAAACGAGACAGGATTCACAGGATGGTGCCTTCCGACCACGACAGCAGTAGATCGTGACCACCATTTCCTTCTTCATCAATTTCACCTGCTGGCAGGACAATATCTGGGATCACAACTTCACATGAGCGAGGCTCATGCAATCGATATTCAGGATGCGCGACCGTAGAAACACCAGTCTTTCGGTCTCCTCGGCTTCATCTTCATGCAGCAACAGTCCCTCCGAGAGGTCGAGCCTTCACGAGAAGCGGTATGAAATATCAGCATCATCTTCGTCAACTCTACCAGCCCCAGTGACGAAGGAGAATTGGCACAAGTCTCGAGCAAGCCGGCCACTACTGCTGCGCCTTCTGGGGGCTGCTCTGCTTTGCATTCTGGTATGGTGGAGTCTTGTTAATGTGGTCTCAACATCATCCCGCCTGTCGTTCAAAGGCGGCTCCTCGGATAATGATCTGGTCGGTGCTCATGACCCGCCGCCGCATCCGACTGCTCTGATAGTGTCCGAAGCCTGGGCTAGCAACAAATGGACTGTATCAATACCGCACAACGCCGGCTTCCCACTACGGCCCAAGCAGTATGCGGATATATGTACAGAGAGCCAGACCTTGCAAAAGAAACTCATCGCAGGATCGCGTGCAAGAACTCTCAGTGGCCTTCGCCGGCAACCTACTTATTACACTGTGGACCACACGTTCGTGGATATTGGTGACGCCGAGCAGCGCGGCTTCTTACCCAGCACGCTTGACGCACCTGATAACATGTGCACCACCAGTCTGACGTTTCTGCTGGACACTGAGGACGCAAGCTTTGGAAAGTCTTTGCTTATGCTCTGGCTCAGCTATGGTCTGGCAAAGAAGGAAGGTCGGGCGTTCTTTGTGGACGATACACGCTGGCCGTATGGAGAGTATACGTTTTTCTTCATGCCGCCTCCAGACCAGGACTGCTCGCCACCACCAGCACACTACGTGGTACCGTGTCCACATCAGGCCAAACATTTGGTGGTGTCTGCTGCTACTGCTCCTTGGACATTTGGACCTCTATTCGAGCGCGAGTACAGTCGCCAACGGTATCCCGGAATTGAGAAACAGCAAGGCATATTTGACCTCATATGGACAGGCTATGAGGATCTTTTCTATCTTAATGATGTGGATGCTGGCTATGCAGCGACTCATTCAATGAAGCTGCGAGCTCAAGCCAAAGCTCATGGCGGCTCTGTCGTCGGCATGCACATCCGCCGCGGCGATCTACATCCGCGCGAGTATCAGTATAGCCGGGACTATCTACCACTGGAGCGATATGGCAATGCAGCCAAGACCTCATTCCGATCCCTGTTGCCCTCGGGAGAACACGATAGCAATGCTACCGGTGGCTCGGGAGACTTCAATGCCCTCATGGCATACATGAATTCGCCTCTAGTACTGGCTTCAGACGACCCAGACATCATCAGCACTTCCGAGTTCTCGTCTGCCGTCTCACCTTTCAAAGCACAAAAAGCACAAGAACGGATCCAGCTAGCCACCAAAGCTACACTCGACCTTAGCTCGCCGAAGAAAGACCTACGGGAGCCTGGATCGGCATATGTTAAGCACGTGGACGAGAACTCTGGCTGGGAAGGCGGCTTCTTCAGCGCTCTCTTCTATTCCATCGGGAGTCTGGACAAGACTAAAGATACTGGTGATGAGCAAGAGATACCGGAGCAGGCCTTACGCATGCGTGAGCTGGTCGGTCGGGCATACCTTCTCGACCTTGCTGTGCTTGGAGAGAGCGATGCTGTTGTCTGTGCGGTTAGTAGTGCGGGTTGTCGTGTGCTGGCTGTTATGATGGGCTGGGATGCTGTCAAGGAGGGACGATGGGTGAATGTAGATGACCACAGGCCCTGGACCTGGACATGAGGTGGTTCATGCAAAGGTGGGATATTGTTTATACATAGCATAGCGTCTGGCATAGCGACTGTTCTCTGCTTTTCTCTGATCTCGTATATCTGAAGCAGGTGATCACTTGATCTCGTCCTTCTCGCGCTCTCTCCGGGCTTTGCCTGTCTCGGAGGCCGCCAAGCGGGAGACCATCCTCAGCATGAATAGCATTAGATCACCGAAAGGGACGGCGAAGACATGACCAAGAGAGCAGGCTATATGCGAGAAGATCGAGACTTCTGACAGTGGAGCCAGGATCGTAGGCGGAATCGTGCGTTGGTATGCTTCGACACTCCGTCTTTCTGCGATGTACTGCGCGTGTACATCTGCCGAGAAGTCGTCTCAATGCTTCCACTTGTGCTTTTCACGAATCATGCCGAAACCTTTGTAGGGGGGCCACGTTATCAACGTGCCAAACGCGCGAGCTGAACTAGCCCAGGCGGCTGTAAGGTCCTCGCGCAGCTTATGGCGATGTGCGGCACTGCCATAGCGAGGAACCTTGCTTTCGGTCTCGGTTTGCTCCCTGCGTTCTATCTGTGGTTGCCATTGTGAATGCTTTCCCTTGTCGTCTAGCTGCAAAGCAGCCGCTGCGCAATCAAGCCTACGTTTTCTTTCATCCGCACGTGCCGTAGATGTCTTACGTGTAACCTTCTTTCGTCGTTGAATGACTACTGGAATCCGTGTGCCTGACGATGTCAAGGGACCATGGTGGAGTGGCTGCAGGATAACGCAAGAGCATCGTGCTGCGAGATACAGCGTTGCGAATGGCATGGTGAGTATTGAGTTTCGGTAGATCATCGGCAAGCACATATTAGGGTCGCCCACTCCAACACGTCTTTCAATGAAACAAGAGAGAGAGTATCAGATAGGCGATCCTCTCGGCAACACCAAGCTGACTGTTCGAGCATTCAACATTACGATTATGAAGATGCTAAGCGAGCTGTAGCTTGACGTTCCGCACGTAACACAAGTTCTTGCCACCCACATCAAGAACGCAAGGCAACGATCCTGCATACCAACGATAACAGCCCAATCATTTTCTGTGAAGCGAGTGCAATGCACGACCCTTGCCTCAACTACTTCGGCGCCGCTGTCTTCTGGTTATACATCGCCGCAGCTCTAGTCTTTACAGGCATAGTCATATCCACACTCTTGAGTTTGAAACCACCACAGGATGCCTACCAGGATATACGACTAAGTGCAACAAGCCGCTTTTTGCTGCTGGCTGGGCTGAGCTTTATCACATTAGCATTCAACATGCTCAGCGTCCTGATACAATCATATATACTATGGAGTAGACAGAGTGGTCTCATCACGACGAACGACTTCACCAGCATCGTTCGATCTGTCTGGACTTGGTCAATTCACTCTACACTGTTTCTTGACTTTGGGGAAGCTATCGTCGCGGATCCAGCGAGGTTCTTGTGGGTCATGGCGGCACTTTTTGCTACGATGGCTGTATGTATATATATGGGCGTCGAAGGTAAACCTCACTATCGAGCAGGAGCTCCGACACGGAAGCTGATGATCGCCAGGTTACCGACGACAGATTCCCAAGCTGTGGGCGTTCTTCGCACTTTCACAAATTCTACCAATTTCATTCGCCCAGAACCTATTCTATCTGGCCCTCATACGTTCGCCACACCAGAGCCAAGCTGTTGCCACAAGGCCATGGATCTCTGCACTCCTCCTGATCGCCTACTCGTTTGGCATTAGTCTCGCTCCACAAACGGCAGGAACAGCAGCGCTCATGCCGATGATCATTGCTGCAAGACTATTGCTCTTCGCACAACTAGCGCTCGTCAAGATTGGAACGGGATCGCCTAGCGGCGGTCTTGCACAACAGCTGCAGCAACCTATAGCAAGTCTGGGTGTTATACTTACTGCTCGCCAGGCTTACTCGGCACTGCAGTCATACACCCCTAGTGAGATCATTGCGGCCCTTCTTGGCCACCCTGCGGTCAGTTCGCTAGGAATTGACTTCCTGCTAAGCGCCTTTAGCTGTCTCACCTGGATGGGTGTTGAGCTGCCCAATGATAGAAGAGTCTCAATCAAAGGCGAGAAGGATTTGTAAGAAAGCTGGACGCAATAGATCATGGGACTCTCACCACCATATTTATGCTACCTATTTAGCATTCAAGTTATTCTGCTGCTTCTGCAAGGTTCCACTGTCACCGCCGATAGCCTCATACCTACGGAAAATGGTCAGCCTCGTCTCTCAGGATAAAGGGCACTTTCTAAGTATGGCTCACCACTTTGGATCTATGTTATTTAACGACAGATACGGTGAGCAATCAGCACCTTCTGGTCCCAGACGGTTCTCAGGAGTCCACCCCATTCCTGTCGAGAGTATCAGTGCCAGCCCAGCAACGTGTCACAGATCGGTCCACACAATTGCGACTTACCAAGATGTGCCCAAGGATTCTTGTCACGATATTCGATGTGGAAGTCCTCATATCGAGGAGTCTCGATGACTTGTTGATAGTGCATTGAGGAGCCTGGCCAGACGGCATTGACTCTGCCAGTCTTGTTGTCTTTGTACCAGCTGCGACAGTCTTCTTTCCAGACTGTATGCTTGACCCACTCTTGGACGTGGTCGTTGAAGAGATCGGTTTTCTGCTGGTCGGGCACCCAGCTCTTGATGTTCTCGTTCTGCATCTTCTTGATTAATTTGATGGCGTAGTCCGAGACCGAGTGCAGAGGTCCCATGACACTTCCATTCTCTGATTGAAAGTCAGCTCATTCCAACCTCACTACTCGTGATCCCTGCAGTCCATACCGACTGGCCAAGTTGGCCCAATGAAAGTCAGAAAGTTTGGCAAATCAGGTACAGCAAGACCCAGGTAGCTCTCTGGGCAGTCTTTCCACTTCTCTCGGAGATCGACTCCACCCTTGCCTACGATGGGGAACCGTGGCTTGTATGAAACATCGAAGCCTGTAGCGCAGACAATCGTGTCGACCTTGCGCTCCACGCCGTCGCCACCGACCACTCCATCCTCCGTGCAGCTCTCGACAGGGGTGAAGTGCACGTCCACGTTCTCCTTCTGGATGGCTGCCATGTATGGATCTCCAGGCGTAATCCTGCGACAGCCCACACCGAAGGTCGGCGTAAAGCCTTTCAGCAGTCTCTTGTCCTTAATGTGCTCGGCCATCCTGTTGCGGAAGAGCTCTTGACCCATCTTCTGTGCTTCAGTATCTGAGTAGAACGCACCCCACAACCCATTGACTTGGTCTTCAATGTCTTTGGCATGAGCCACAAGTGCTTTGGGGTCGTGACGGAAGGTGTCGCGCTCCTTTTCATCTGCGATCGACAAACGCGAGGATCAGTGGAAGTTCGTAACAAGCCTACAGGGCTCACTGCCATCCATTTCTTACCATACTCCTTATTCTGACCGTAATTGTTTGCGATCTGTACGAACCACACAGCGGTCCGAACAAATATGTCCAGGTGCTTGGCATGTGGCTGCATGGTCGGCACTGTCTGAATCGAAGATGCACCTGAGCCGATGATGGCAACTCTGTCGTTCTTCCATTCGTCCTTCTGGTAATTAGAGTCCCACCTCGCAGTATGGAACACCTTGCCCTTGAACTTGTCCTTGAGGCCTGGAATTTCCGGCTGCAACCAATGTCAACACTGCGTATACTTATGTTATATGATAATTGGTACCAAGACATCTGACCTACCCATTTGAAGTTGTTAAGGATACCAGTCCCATGCAGGAGCAGATCGCAAGTCTCGCCGAACTCCCTGATGGTCTCACCGTTGCGTGTCTCACGAAGCTGTACCTTCCATTCGCCCTTGCCTTCGTCCCAGTAGCAGCCGACAATTTCGGTGTTGAACTTCATATACTTCCTCAGGTCGAAAGTGTTGCACACCTTATTTAGATAGGACCAGATGTCCGGGGAGTAGCTGAAGAACCTAGGCCAGTCCTACCACACAGAATAGAAATGTCAGCCAACCCTGGTCCGCTGACAAGTAGCATTAGGAGACCTCTAGTGCGTGTGTCACGATACGAGTCAATGGTAGCAAGGTCATCGTGAACTTACTGCTAACCCGTTAGCATGTCAGATGAGGCATGTTCTTCTTAGCAAGTCCCTCACCTGGGTTGAGGGCGAATTGATACGTGTATGCATGGCTTGGGATATCACAAGCACAACCTGGGTAGCGATTCTGCCGTACAAGGTCAACATCGTACGAAGCAGTAGGTGCATGCAACAAGAAGTACCTCGAGCCATGTACCCCCGATCTGCATAACACGAAACGTTAGCATCTTTACAGGCCGCTGTGGAATCTGTTCCGAGGACACACATCCGCGTTTTTCTCATATATAACATGCTCAACGTTTTGGCAATGTTTCTGGATTTGATACGCCATCAAAATCCCCGTTACGCCGGCGCCAATGGTCAACACCCTAAGTTTGCGATTCTTAGGGTCGTTGTAGGTTATCTCGGGATCGATATTGTAGCCCGATGAGCCTGGCTGCGAGTAGTCCCATTGCCCATCGCTGGACACGGCATTCAGATCTGGAGCCATGGTACTATCTGTGGCGATCGAGGAGGTGGAGTTAGTGATGAAAGTGTCAAGAGGAAGATGAAAGCTTGATCAGGAACCGCGAAGGGCTTGAGGAACTGAAGATCAGCCGAGGTTTTGAAGCTGAAAATACAAACCTAAAACGGCAAGTGATGCGTGTACCTACATCGGGGCTAAGATGGACCATGTATTCGTACTCGCAATCACTGATTAGTGTCGTCGTTCTTTCGGCTGGTCGGTAGGTCTGTCCAAAACCCCGCTCTCCTACCATACGAGGTGATGTGGGGTAATGCCCATAGAGCGCGCGTATGATGGGGCTAGGCAGTATGCGAAACCGATGTTTCGACGGATGAGATTCGTGTCTAGATGCAGTATTCTGACCGCGACAGCATGTGCTCAAGGCTGAAATGAGAATTGTGGAATGAGAGGCTGACGAGCGCACAAGAAATCAAGCCTCCATATAGCCGATCAGTCAGAAGCCCATATGATGTGTTGCTGAAAGCAGCGCAACAAGTAGTCGAGATGTGGAATCACCATGCGCTCCTGCTGACGTGTGGTCCTCCCATATCCAACCCACTCGATATGTGCGCCCCTTGGCAGCGCATCGACGTGAACGACCCACATCGGTGGAAGAGGCAATGGTGTAGCATCCCGACCGCTCATCATGGCCTGCGACGGCCGCGGTATTTGGCCTCGATTTTGCGTTGCATGCCAAACATCGAACTCCTCGTCTTCGTTATCTTCATCCGTGGCTTGGTCCACTGGCCGGTGGTATGCCGTCCAAGCACGGACGGCCAGAGCAGCAAGTAACTCTGGGTCCTCCTCGGGTGGAGTAGCAACGAACACGAGTACGGCTGACCATGCAGCCACCTTCATGACGTCGCCGATACGCTTCATATGTTGTAAGGACAGAACTGTTTGTTCTGCGAACCTCGTCCTTGTGTCGGAGAGTCTATCGTATCGTAATGCCATTGAGGCGGGCTCGAGTGGGATCTGTCCTGCGACGTAGACCAGATTACCAGAGCAGCTCGGGTCCTCGCAAGGTAACGTGGTGGCCTGCGAGTACGGACCTATGTTGGCTGGTGCCCAGTAGGATCTCGACTGGACGTGAAGGCCATCCTTGTATGCTAGAGCCTCCTCCGAGCAGATCGTCACACCCAACATGACCTTGGCATCTGACGGCATCACACTCGCACAAGCTATGGTGGCACGCGCTGGAGGGATGGGTTCAGTGAAGTAGCTGCCATAGACCTTGTTTACGGCTGCAAAGTCTGCCATATCCTGCAGTATGATTGAGGTGTACACAATACTGGCCGTCGAGGCATGCTGGGCATTTTGCGGGAGATGTGTCAAAAGCGCGTCCACGATCGACGCCGTCTGCGTAGCGGCATCAGATCCTGAACCCGTGAGTGCATAGTATGAGGTCTCGCGTGTATCGATATGATTCTGATCATCAGTCGACGCAAAGAGACGAATGGGTTGGATTTTTGCAGTCAAGTTATCATTCGCATCGTCAGTTAGCAGGTCCGACAACACACGGGTGAAGTTAACATCAAGTAGAGCCGGGATTCTCAGGTTTGCCGAGTCGCCCTGATCATCCGGAGGTTCAGCCAGAACGGGCGCATGCAAACGAAGACTCGAGCTGTCAGCTTCGCCTGGTAGCACAAAGCGATGTGTATCGTTCACCTGGACATATGCCTTCCACAAAGGCTTGGGTCCTGCAACAGCAAGAGTCTCATACTCACCGCCTTCGCCGAGTATCGCACCGTCGTCAGGCGCGCCAAATCTCTCCGACGCCCGAGTGAGTCGGGCTACAGTGGTCGGTGCAGCTACATTGGACCAAAGAAAGCTTTCGTCCAGCCCGCCAGAAGCTGCCTTGATGATACGCGAATCTTGCCCTACAGCTGCCATGTCCTCAAGGAGAGAAGCTTGGGTGCCTGGTGGCAGTCGCGGCCACTGCCACAGATATGACAGCGGTGTGAAGCCAAGCCGCAAAGCCACTGACTCGACTCTGGTACGTTGGTAGTCCGACATTATGGCCCCAGTACTGACGGCGTTCACCTCTGGATGGGCTCTTTTGACCCTGAGCAGTAGCGGAACGAGGTCCTCCGTCTCATCAAAATCGATTGTTCCTGCGCCGCGAGTTGTACCGTACGCTTTCGCCTGATCGATCGCTCTACCGGTGATCTCCTGGCGAAACAATGGAAGGCCGAGGGCCTGTTCGTACAATGGGATGATTGCATGGCCGATAGTCTGATACATAAAGCTGTCGATGTCCTCACTATCATTGGCGCCAGCCCGTGATGGCGGATACAAGTTTGCCAATGCCACGACCTCATGACCATTTGCGGTGCAGTGTAAGATTGAGAACAGGGAGTCCTTGCCACCAGATATCAGGGCGACCACCTTCAGAGCCATGGCGCAGAACTCTTGTAGCTGCAGGTCAGAAACTTGCCAATCTACCAGCGAACCTTGCTCACCTGTACACGGGAAATAAGGAGACTGAAACAGTACTACCTCGTATCAGAAGAGATGGACATACTCCTTTCAGTATGTCTTTCGTACATAAAATATGTTCGATCACCAGCGCGCCGTCAAGGCCATAGGTAGGGCTCACAAGTCGGAATTGGCTGACGAACGAGTGCAATTGTTTCGCTCTGTGGCGTGAGGGACGCTGTATATGCACCACAGGGGTTTTGGTGATCAAGCAACAATGGAAACTCGTAAAATCTTATCACGCCGCCGCACGAAGAGAAAAAAAGAGGTCTTTGATCAGGAGCGAGGCGAAGTTTTGTATCGCAGCGGCTAGCGAAAGCTTGGCATAAAGCTTTGGCCAAGATGCGAGACGGCGCCTCAGCATCTCGAGGACATTGAGGGAGCCTCTGACGCCGACCGTGCTTGCTAACAACATACACTTTCCTTCGCAACTTGCGGCTATTGTCGCAGAAGCCGGGTCTGTTAGCACACGAAGATCGCCAGGCACCCAACCATTACTGGAAGGAGGAGGTAGCTTCGGCTTATGATGTAGACTCCCATTCTGACTGCATGCGGGGAACGTCGCATCGCACTGAAGACTGCGGTAAGGAGAGTGATGTATAAAGCAAGTAAATCGTGCCTCTCGGTAGACAAATGCCTTAATCACCCAGCCTAGCCATGCCATTCCCCAGCATCTCCTCCATCTTGGCCGGTCTGGTTGCCGCCGGGGCAGCATCGCCACTACACAGCACGATCGCTCGACGATCTAGTAGTATCGCAGTCACCAGCGAGGCTCCAGCATCATATGGCATACCACTCGAGTCGTTTGTTGCGTTCTCCATCGAATTTTCCTCATTTCCTGATTTCGCGGGGAATCTGTCAGCTCCGAACACATTCAGCAACAATCTCCTGAACAACCTTGGCAACCTCATAGGCACCAAGCCTTATATCAGAGTGGGCGGCAATACGCAAGACTATGCAGTATTCGACAGCACACTGGACCAACCGCTAGTCGGCATTGTGGACCCAGCGAAATCGCCAGACTACCCTACCACTATTACCATTGGCCCAGCATATTTTGAGTCTTATCTTACCTGGCCTGGCACGAAGTACATCCATGGATTCAACCTTGGGCGAAACAGTACCGCTGCTCGTGCTGGCCTGATCGATTCCGTGCGATATGCTTGCAAAGCGCTAGAGGACGGCAGACTGCTGTACTGGGAGCTTGGAAATGAACCAGACTTGTTCAAGACTTCTGCACAAGGGCCTGTTCGACCGTCGAACTGGACGGAGCAAGACTAGTAAGTTTCGAGAGAATGATTGCGAGATCGTTCCGCTGGGCTGATTATCCGGCTTGTAGTGTGGATGAATGGCTGCATTGGTCCCGGGCCATCAAGACCGCTATGGAAGAGCCATGCCCAAACTTGGCGTCAAACGATAGCTACAAGTACTATGCTCCTTCCTTTGCCGGGACCAGCAATAGTCTCAACCCTATCGTGACTTGGCAAGATGGTCTTGATACAGATAAAGACATTGCTGTCATCACAACCCACAAGTAAGTCTAACGTCCTCGATGAAGGCCTTGTACATAGCTGATATTTTACAGCTACATCAGTGGGGCCACAGTACCCGGCGTCACGCTCCAGGGCACCTTGATGAATCACTCTTCGAACATTGCTTCCATCGCCAAACAGCTGAACGAGTCTCGCCTCCTCGCCGCCCTACCATATGATCTCGAGCCAGACCTGCCATTCATTATGGGCGAGACGAATTCTTTGTATAATCAAGGTCGCCCGGGTCTCAGCAACACCTTCGGAGCTGCACTATGGGGCGTGGACTTCAATTTATGGTGCGCCACCAACAATATCAGCAGAGTGCATATGCATCAGGGAACGAACTACAGGTATCAGTCTTGGTAAGTCAAGTTATGTAGCATACTTGTGTACGTTATGTGAGAGCTGATCATGTAATCTCCAGGCAACCAATCGACACAAACATAACAAGCAAAGGCACGAAAGCGCCCTACTACGGCAACATCGCCGTCGCAGCATTCCTAGGCGATATCGTGACCTCAACCCCAAGCGTAGTGAACCTCCCACTGTCAAACGAGGAAGAAAGCGCCTACGCCGCCTACGTGAACGGCAAGCTCACACGACTAATCGTGATCAACATGATGGAATACAACAACACAGACTACAACAGCAATTACACCGACGACTACCCGAGACCGGTCGAGCAGTATACGTTCCAGCTGCCGAGAGAGTCTTGTGGTAGCGTGGGTCTGCAGAGACTCATGGCTAATGGCAGTGATGCTATCACTGGCGTTACCTTCGACGCTTATAGCTATAATTACGAGCTGCAGAATGGGTTGCCGGTGCTTATGCATAATGTTACCAGAGGTGAGACGGCAGAGGTTGGGTGGGATGGAGAGCTTTGTGTTGGCGTGCCACGGAGTAGTGCTGTTATTATACACTTTGACGAGGAGAACCATGGTCACGGCTGGATGTAGGGCGACAGCACCGCAGGACGGCTTTCGCAATTGGTACATCAGCTCGTGAGGTATGTTGATTTACGGCTGGGCCAGTGAAAGATTATCGAGACTCTATTACAACTCATATTTCCAAATCATATCATCTGATACGTAAACACCCATACATGCAAACTGTCTCTCCGAACGCCAGCGCTAAACCAAAAATCGCTGAAATGATCCGCCTCATACTGTTACAAAAGATCCTCTCATCTATCTAAAAGTTCCTCGAGGGAGCTACAACGCCGCTTTGAGGTGGGTTGTACAATCCTCGCTGGGCCACGGGTTGCTGACTGCCATAGCTGTCCGTCTCGCCGCGCTGGTATCCACCATTGCTATATACAGGACCACCGGTCATGTTGCCGGCTGCTTGCGTGTTCATGGCCATCTCGTCGTCTTCGCGACGGTGAGGAGGCAGGAAGCGGTCCTCCTTGTGCTTGGTATGCACGGCTGGTAGGAAGTCGATGATGAACTGTGGTAATTGATCAGCAACTGTTATGAAACACATCATGAGATTCTACGACTTACACTCCAAACGTAGCAGATGTAGATAAGAGAGATGATCCACTCCAGGATAGCAGATTTGTTGTAGTGCTGCTGGTATTGCAAGACGCCGAATGCGATCGCAAGGGCCAGTTCGATGAAAATGAAGGTAAGCTTGATCCAGAAACTTATGCGCAGGATGCGGTGCTGGCGGAAATGAATTCCCAGTCGCTGGTATTCGGCGCAAATGAAGATGGCAGAGATGATGTAGCCGGCAATGAACACCACAAGCATAGCATCATGTACCTGTGGGTACTTCTTCGTGTTGAAGATCGTGAGAAAGACGAGTCCAGCTGCTCCAATGATCGCGAATACGATGGCGAAAACGCTGAGGATCTTCTCGGTCTTGTTGTAATTGTGGGCCAATCGTCCCTTGTGTCGGAGCCATCGTTCGGAGATGAATGCGATGTCGAAAACTACGACTGTCACAGCGCTGCCCGCGATGAAGAGAGGGTAGCCGAAGTTGGACGCGCCAATGTCACTGATGTAGGTGATGCTTTGGTCGGCGTCTTGCCAGGCGTAGTGTGGTGATCCTTGAGCCAGCCATGTGCCCAGCATGGCAAGGAGAGTGCCTGTGAAATCATGTGTCAATACCTACAGCGCATTATGTGGTGATCTGAGCGTCTTACCTAGCCAACAGCATCCTGCAAACAGTGGCAGGAACCAATATGATAGCCCGAACATCTTTGCGCAGATTGATGTTCGCTTCCTGGATGTATCTGTCTCAAATGCGCCAGATACGTGCTGCTGTCTTCTTCACTACGTCGCAGCTGAACACGACGAATGTGAGTGATATGAGTAGGATATATGAAAACGATCAGGAGAATGGCGACAGCGAGGAAGCATTCATACCACCGGCCACTAGTGACATCTCATCAAAACATAACTGTGACGAAATCCACTCCGCGCTTGCCCGGCTTCACCAAGACCCGAGTGACGTCGTCGTTCGTGCGCATTTAGACTTTGCCGCAACGCTTGGTTGGGTGAAGTCAGTAAGGTCATGCTAGTGGCTGCGCAAAAGCGTATCACCGTGCGCAAGGCCCGAGATGTCACTACGGAACGAATCGTGAAAAACAAGAGCGAGATGCTCGTGGAAAAAAAGGTGTAGGGTGTGGGAAAATTGATTGATCATCCTTGCTTACGCGAGCGGCTGAGGCGGCTTTGGGGCTGGTGAGAGTGGCGTTGGGACGTGACAGAGTGTGCGGTGGCAAATTACTTGCATGACTCGGCAGACCACTGACTTGGGGCGAAGTTGAGTAAGACCATCTCTACAAGACTTCCTCAAGCTGCAGTCCACAACGGTGCCAGCATTCTACGATTACTCATTAAGCCTCTGTGATTTCCGCAGTCCGTCACAGGGTCTGGTAGTCAAGCTGCGTTCCTAGGTTGACATTAGGCAGTCAGACCAGCATCTACCGTGTGCACCGCTCCTGTAATGTAGCTCGCATCGTCGCTCAAAAGGAATGCAATCAGCTTCGCTACCTCCTCAGGATCTGCCGATCGTCCCAGAGCAGTCGTCTTGGCTGCCTCGAACATCTTGTCCGTCACCACATCACTTACACCTCTTACCATGGGTGTGTCGATGACACCCGGAGCAATTGCCTGGCACACATCATGATTAACGACTGCTGGACCCCGCATCTCAAAACAGATGGACTTACGTTGATCCGAACAGCCCTATGCCCAACTTCTTTGGCCACTGACCTCGTGAGGCCAATGACCCCATGCTTCGAAGCACTATAGGCTGATCCGTTCTGGGTTCCTCGCACGCCTGCGGCAGAAGCAGCGTTGACTATACTGCCGCCATCAGAGATGACTTTCAGCTCAGCTTTCATACTGTTCATGACGCCCTAGGAGCTGAAGTCAGTATTGTAATATCCAGGTAGCGCAGCTTTTGGCAACGCACGGTGAGGTTCACACCAATGATCAGATCCCACTCATCCTCGTCCTTCTGCTCGACCAGCGGTACGGTGCCGAAGTTCTTGCCAGACACTCCTGCCATGTTCGCCGCACCATCCAGTCTCCCGAACTTCTTGACAATTTCGTCGAGCCATGCCTTAGTTTGACCAACATCGCGCACGTCAAGCTTGTAGGTCGAAATGCTCTCTGCGCTGGCTCCTGCAGATTCAAGAGTCGATACGGCGGCTTTCAAAGCACCTTCTGTCTGGTCAGATATACTCAGCTTAGCCCCTCGTTTGGCGAGCACTTTTGCGGTCGCGAGACCAATTCCTGAGGCTCCCCCGGTTATTGCTATGACTTTGCCGTCCATATTGGCTACCCTGAGGGTGACAGGCGTGGTTTTCTTCGAGAAGACCAGGGTCAATGGGAGTCGATCAATTGTTGCTATTCACGGCTCGCTGCTTGCTATATGCCTTCCAGTGCGGAGAAATTGAATGGTACAAGATTACAACAAGGCGGATGTGGAATCAGAGGTGGACACTCCTCGCGACCCATGCCATAACCACACGGAGCACACGGCAGCACACCCGAGGCTCCAGATGAGTTCCTCAGCTGCATTGGTGCGCCTTACGATGCGTCTATACAGTCGCGGGGTTTCCTGGTAAGCACAGTGTAGCTCACAGCCTCACTTGTGCATAACCGCGGTTCAGAGGTTCCTCGTTCCTGCTCGCATTCTAGCCGATCAGGAGCTCGTTTCTCGGATGTCTTGACAAAAGATTGGTCATAGTGCCAGGCCAGGTACTGCGTGCACGTCAGCTGTACGATCGTGTGCATCTATCGTGGTGTAGGGGCCTTTTCGTCTCAGAATCTAGTACAGTGCTGGACTGATGCACGGTCCAGCTTCGGCGCGGCAGCACTATTTTACCGACGTCGCTGCCAAGACCACACTTCTCGATTTGCTTGCCGAAGTTTAGCGCAGACGAACCTCCACTTCGGAACACGACATTGTCGATACCAGGCATATCGACAAACACCACAACCATGCCGAAGGAAGTGAAGGAGAGAAGCGGCCTTGCCGTCGGTCTCAATGCCGGACACGTACGTCTCAATTACCATCCCATGGGCCACGATCACGCGGGCGAAGAAGAGACTGTCGCCGCTATCATGATGGTGGACAAGAGACTAATGGATATATGATGTACAGAAAGTCACCGTCCGTCAGCCGAAGCCGCGAGTATCGCGCATGAAGGGCCATTTGAGCAAGAGGACCGCATTTGTGAGGGACGTCGTGAGGGAGGTTTCTGGGTAGGCACACATCACCATCCGGCGAGGAGAAAACCCCGACCACTAACACTCCATCTAACAGCCACGCGCCATACGAACGCCGCGTCATCGAACTCCTCCGCAACAGCAAGGACAAGCGTGCACGTAAGCTCGCGAAGAAGAGGCTCGGCACTTTCGGCCGTGCGAAGAGAAAGGTCGACGAGATGACCAAGGTCATCGCCGAGAGTAGGAGAGCTGGTCACTAAGCGGGTGCTACCTGGTGATGGTGAAGGGGTGGAGATCTCGCTGAGAAGGCATGGAAGGGCGCATATGGCACGAATGCTTTCGAATACGGCGATCACTTGCCTATGAAATGGTTCGCTTACTGCTTCACATACCCATTCAATGACATGCTGTGATCGAAGTCCACTCATCCGCATCGCTGACCTCAAAATTCACTCCTGTAACCCTTCGATCATCCACAGGCATTGATATGTCAGGAAGCAGCATTACTGACTTAGCAGATTTCGGATATAATTTCCTGCTCATTGCGACAAGCCAACTACCGTTCATAAAGCATCTCGACTCGACTATCATCACTGCCATGACCCTGTCTACATACAAGCTGCGCTCACCCTGGTTGTCCTATTGCTTCAGTGCAATCTCACACTTGTGCCCTGCCGGTGCTATCAAGAAGAAGTTCTCTTGCTCCATACACGCATCCGTGGCCGACGGCGCAAGAACTGCCTCGTGTGAAACGTTCCGGAAGAATTCCACTGCTGCCAATCGGAGCTCGAGATACGCCAGATGAATACCCAGACAGGTGCGGCTGCCAGCGCCCTGTAAGTAGGCAGGCAGCAGTCAGCTCATGTTTAATCAGGAACGCGGAGAGCGCCACTTACGAAAGGCGAATATGCCGCCCTGCCGTTTTCGGAGATACTGTATGGCTGATCTTTGCTCGTCCATCGTTCTGGCATGAGAATTTCTGGTGAGGGAAAGAGGTTTGGATCACGGTGGAGGCTGTAGCTTTGTGTCGTTACTGTTGTGCCTCCTGGCAGGAAACAGTCATTCAAGGTCGCTCCGCTTGGTGGCACAGCCCCTTCAATGCCAAAGTCAGCCAATGACAATGCACCCTTACTGCTGGAGGTACATGACATGAGTGACTTACGTGGTAGAGCACCTGGTGCTGCGCCGTACAGCCGCAGAGTCTCATCAAGCACCGCGTTTAAGTATGGAAGACGTTCGAGGTCTACATCCTTGTAGTCTTCAGATAGTGCTCGCACCTCCTCCTCCAGCTGCCGCCGAACCTGCGTATGGGACATGACCGCCCAGACCAGATACGTCAAGGTGATAGCTGTCGTGTCAGTCCCCGCAACGATCAGATTTGTCGCCTCGACCTGAATATCTAGATCATCAATAGATTCTCCCTTTTCAGCTTCAGCCATGATATTAGCGAAGACGTTCTTCCCTCCTCCAGCAGCTTTCATATTACGCACGGCCGCCTTTCCGTAGTCCAGCAGCCACATATCGTTGCCAAAAGCTCCTTGGAAGCTTGGATGGGAAGACGGCGGAAGACGGCCCCAACTATTGAGAGCTCGTTTGCGATACCACTTCCCTTTAGAGTATTCTGCAGTCGGCGGATATACTCATTCGTCTCACCGTGTTCCAGAGTGTGGAAAGAATCCCCAAACATCAGCTGGCTGGAGATATCAGAAGCCATGAGTGTCCACCATTTGAGTACATCTGTCGTTCCTCGCGAGTGCAGCTCATTGCTCATGGCTGAAATGGCGAAAGAGACTTTCACACGCACTTCACCCTCCCAGTGCTCCCGCAGATAAGTCTTGCTGAACGGCCGAGCAAGAAGCCTCCGCCGCGATGCGTGTGCCTTAGTATCGACCATATTGAAGACGCCTTCGCGGTCTAAAATGACACTGGAGGCATACCATTTGTCCTTGCAGAACCCGGAACTGATGCCGTGGATCTGCTTGAAGGACTTCAGGTCGTTGACCGCGATCTCGTTGGGGGCGATACGGACGAGTGGGCCGTACTTCCGGTGCAGAGCGTGGACATGGTGGATTCGTCGGCCTGAGATCACGGCTAGTTTGAGAGGGAGGTTTGTCCAGCCTGCGTACCATGGTCCTGGGACCTTGCGTAGTGGGTTACGCAGTCTTTTAATGACAGTCTGGTCTGAGCAGTATTGTGTCCCGCGTGGGTCGAGCGTCGACTTACCCATAGCAATACCCCAATGGCCAAGAACACCAGGAGCACATGTGGAGAAGTCATCACAATCACGACAGGGCTGGGATGTCGCTGTCATGCTGTGCGCAGTCTCCCAGCGACATCTTGAACCTCATACTTGTAGTCAGGGCGTGACCTATTTGGCCCGGAAGACGGATCTTGCAGCAACGGTTGCTGTTACCGCGGTGTGCGTGCATATACTGTACGATGGGTGATGATGGGGTAGGCTCGTGGAGTTCCTTATGGGGTACCAGTGGCCTTGCGAGTCTCGGATATGTGGAGGAGGATATACCGAGCGGGCACAGGAACATGCGTTGCTTGATCGTCAGATCTTGGGTCTGCTGTACAGAATGTTCGATCAAAACTCCCTGCGACCTGCAAAGCATCGAGTGTACATCACAGAGCTGTAGGTGCATGCGGCTCTGCTTGTTCGACACCAGTATCTTCGTGAAGAAGAACACAGATCGAGTGCGTTTCATTGTCATGATACAAACTCCTAGCATCCCACGCTAAAGCACTGAAAGAAGTGATGTTGAGTCTGGTTGAAAGCACAAGCTCAGGCTTCCGTCTGGATGTATGGTATGCCAGTGAGTTTCCAGGCAAGCTCGCTGACTACCGGCTTCTTGCGTGGCTGCCAAGTGTTGTGGGGGCATTCTTCGCCATTACGCTTGACTGGGACAGCGCCGGGTGGTATGATGTTCTACAGACTCAATTAGTATCGCTGTTATCAAAAGTGGCAAGTACAAAATTACTCACCAAACCTTGCGGCCAGTGTGTAGTGCCACGGCAGTTCTCAAATGCTTCCTTCTTCAGACGAAGTTGCTCCTGGGAAATGTCGGACAGAGGGCCCATACAGACGTATGTACAGAAGCGTGGACTCTCGCCGGTAGGTGGCAGATTATAGTGTGGTGTGCGGCTATCCCATCTGTGCGAACAAACGTGTTAGTCGTAAGAGCAGCAATGTTGGTTCTGAGCATACGAACAGAATGAGATCGCCAGGCTCAGCGCATGGCTTGACCCACTCCAAGCCCTTCTTCTCTAACCACTCCATGCCTGACTTCGTAAAGCCGTACCACTCTGGTGTCCAGCTCCACACTTTGTCAACTTCGTCGCGGAACTCGTTGTGGAACTCCTCAGTGAGCTTGTGAGCACCCTTGCAGACAATCAGGCCGCCATCGTTCGCGCCATTGGGAAAGATGTTGACGAGACCCTGCATACATCGGAAGTTCCAGGTCTCTGGGTGCTGGTCCTGATGTGGCCATGGCGTATTGGGCTGGGCATCCTTGCGATTTGGCCATTGCATGTTCATGCTGTCAAATGAGACCATCAGGTCGTCTGTATCATAGATGGTCGTAAACGCATTGAGAACTCCTGGCTCTGCTCGAATGTCCCAGCAGAACTGCTCGTGTTGCGCGCCGTAACCCAGAATCATGCCCTTCTCGTTCATGATCGGAAGGTGCTTCTCCAGCACGGTTGTCGGATCATCACGTTTGAAACCTTGACCGCCAGCGCTGTGAGATGGTTAGTAAGAGGTAAGCCGATGCCTCGGGTAACTGCAAGGTATCACGCACAATGTTTCGAGGTAAGAGAGCATATCATCTCGATAGTTTGCAGCACGTTCTGCAGGAACGGCACTCTTAATTACAACATAGCCGTCGCGAATGAGGTCGTCTCGCCAGTCTCCGTGGACTTTGTCTATGTTGCTGTAGAGCGCGTTTGGTCCCGGTGGTTTCGCAGTCAGACCAGTAACTCGAGTAGGCTGAGCAGGCATTGCCTTGGTCTGTAGGTCTCGAGTACCACCTGTCCCCATCTCGACACCAGTGCCGTTTGCGACCATCCTGTCCTGTGTCGATCTATAAAATCGATCTATATGAGAGCAGTAGCTGCAGCAGAGGTTTGAGGAGTATCTAGGTGTTTGGGTAGAGCGGCCAATGATCAAGATTGGAATATGGTCGAAGAGATTGCTATTTGACTAGAGGAAAGTCATCGTCAATACTCCCTTTCGGCACGGTCAAGCTCAAGTCCTGGAGCCCCATGAGCTGGCTAGATCGGAAGAATCATGCTTGGTGTCTTCGGAGACGTGCCGTAAGGTAGACTTGTCTTCGTCGGCTTGAGTATGGTCAGAGCAATGGGAAGGCCGACAGCTCTGGTCGGGAAGCCGTCTGTTTGATATCCGAACCGTCTACACGGTTCGGTTCGGCTGATCACTTCGAATTGGGTCTGGACTTTTGGCACATCTTCACTTCCTCCGTTTCCGTCGTCAGCATCAGAAAGCAGAGTGGCTGACTAGATGCGATGATACACCAATTCCCTCACCGTTAACGGATTGCTTGTCTTCAAGACGAGCAAAGACAAATCACGTGAGACGATGCTGCAAACCTACACATAGCGGCATTGAGAGCTGCAACTCGGTTCGGCGAGTCTTGATACTTCCACGTCCCTGACCGAGACGTCGCTGCATTCCTAACCGACGATCCACACGGATGCTTGCAAGGCCACGCACTGTTGTTCTCCAGCCCAAGCCTCGGACGTCTATGTTGACTCGCAGCCATGCAGATTCCCCACCCAGCAATGAGATACGGTCTCGTGTGGCCCATGGGGTAACAGCCACGCGGAGAGCTGCCGAACCGTGAGATATGGTCTGTTACTATGTGCCTTGCGGTATATGTACTGTGCATGATCCATGCTTGGAGAGACTGTGATTATCAAAACCTCAACCTCCTCTCATCAATCCAGGTCGCCTCATCAGACCTTGCCCGCGATCATGGCCGACAAGATGTCAAGCGACGTGAAAGTCGAGAATATCAATGGCAAGCACATTGACTCGAGGAAAGCAGTCACTGGAAATGCCAACCTCTTCGACGGCAAGGAGACAATCCTCGTTCCCACTCCATCACCTGATCCCAATGGGAAGTAACGACAGACATGCATCGTGGCAGGGCGACAGCTGACAAGCGTATTTTAGACCCTCTGAATCTTCCCGCTTGGCGTAAATGGGCCATACTAGTCCTTGTGTCTGCCTACGGTTGTACTGCAGTCGTTCTTGCATCTGGTCTCGGGCCCATCTTCACTCAAGTCCTAGCATCATACCCGGGCCAAGAGGGCCGAGCAAATGATCTGCAGACCTACCCTACCCTGTACGTCTGCTCCTCTCCAATATGCAAGCACATAATCTCGCGAGAAAATGCGTCGACTTGAGATGCACTGGAGGCTAACATTAGCTCTTCTAGCTTCATGGGTATCGGCAACCTCATGGCCATGCCTCTCGCCTTGACGATCGGGCGACGACCAATTTTCTTGTTCACGCTAGTCGTACTAATTGCCGGTGGTATCTGGTGTGCCTGCTCAAAGGACCTCGGCAGTCACATTGCTGGACGTGCCGTCATGGCGCTTGCTGCTGGTAAGCCAAAAACCGGTGGGGGGTTTGTGTACGATTAGAAGAGTTGCTGACGAGATATCCCATCAGGCCAAAGTGAAGCACTGGCGCCCATGATCGTGCAAGAGATCTTCTTTTTACATGAACGTGGCCGAAAGTAAGCAGTTGACGGCTGTAAGCCTTCTGGTATTGTCTAAGACGTCAACTAATCCTTGCCTCCGTCGATTTATAGGTTGTCCTGGTTCATCTTCATCGAGACTGTCACTCAGGGTACCTTCTTCATCGTCTCAACATACATGGTCTCTGCTTGGGGCTGGCGATGGTGGTACGGCTTTTACTGCATCCTTAACGCTGTCGTCTTGGCGTTCTCCTTTGTCTTCCTATCGGAATCCATGTACAGCCGGCCAGATGATGCTCCTACGGGTGAAGTACATCTTTCATTAAGTGAGTAAATCATAAGTGTGGATCTCCGAGTAAGACGTAGATGGACGCTAACTATCACTTTCAGACGACAAGGGTGACATCGAAGAGGGAGGCGAGATCCACATCATCGCAAGGGTTACCACAGCACACGGCGTTGTTCTCGAGCCAGAAAAGTTTGGCAACAGGACCTGGAAGAAAGACCTTCGCATCTTCGGCATCAAGCCAGAGTGGTCCAATATCTTAAGCACCTATCTTCATATTGCTCAGGGCTTCTGCATACCAACGCTTTTCTGGCTACTGCTTATGAACGGCGCGTGGCTCGGCATATACGTCTTCGAAGCCTCGACCTTCGCCACCATCCTGATCCCGCCTCCTTACAACTTTTCGTTCAACGCTCTCGGACCAGTTCAAGCAGGGCAGGTGGTGGTCTGCTTCATCTTCTTGCCCGTCCTTGGCTACGGCAGCGACTTCATCATCAGGTTCATGTCAAAGCGGAACGGTGGTGTCTTTAAGCCGGAGTATCGCCTCATTCCGCTATTCATCCCTGCCATCGTGGGTTGTGTCTGCGCCATCATCTACGGGCAAGCGGCATCCTACAAGGCAACCTGGCCGGCGAGCGCGATCGTCGTTACTTACAACGCTAGCTTTTTCGCCTTCCTCGGCGCCAACCTGGTCGGCATCACTTATGCCGTCGAGAGCTTTCCACTTCGGGCGGCTCCTCTATTGGTCGTACTGTGCGCTGGCAGAGGTTTCATCTCATTCGGGCTCAGCTACGCAACGCTTCCAGCTATCCAGAGCATCGGATATTCGGGAGCCATGAACGCGGAGGGCATCATTGCTGGTGTCCTGTCCTTGCTGGCGATCCCGGTCTACTTCTTTGGGCCACGGATTCGGGCTTGGGCCCAGAGAGTGTTTGCCTTTGGCGGTTCGAAGGGGTCAGATTAGCTATCAAGTAACGCATATAGTGTGGGATGAGAAGTGTACAAAATCTGGGCAATCGTGCATTATCATCGTCTGCTCATGAGTTCCGAGTCGGCCAGGGCATCACATTTGCAATGCTCATCATCTTCGAAGCCTGCCATGGTTAGGATTGATATCGCTCTGATGGAACTGGTGTTGGCACATTGGTCATATGACCATCAATAATATACAGTATCATAAGTGATTGGGGAGCTCCAAGAAGCACATGTATGATGGGTGGCTAAGGCGAGGAGGCCAGAGGGCGACTTCGCGCCCGCGATCCTTGAGCTAGTGGCAAAACTTCGCAAGCGAATCAGTGCTGTTGAGTCTGTTCCTGTTCCTGTTTCATTCTTGCTTTCCACCTGTTCGATTGTGAAGCTTATAAGCACGCCTCCTTGTTCGGTTGAAGTAGTCTCGGTGACGCTATTTAATAGCAGGGTCGACGGGATGTACAACTCATCGTGCAACCCCCAGCTGTATGGGCCGCCGGGCCGCATGAGTTGTTCTGATGACTGAAAGGCATCTACTACTCTAGCCGTCTGGTCTTGATTAAGTCACCAGATCTGTTACAGCATGATCAAACAATTTCTGGTCCGGCCCATTACAGGTCGGAACGTCAAACGATTGGCGGCCAGGTCCTTTATGTTTCGTCTTTGCATGAAGCCGACATATAATAATCTGGATAAAACGTACTACAGCAGAAGCCTTTGGCTTCGAGACCACTTCAAGCGGGATATTGGTAGTACAGGCTCATCTCGAAGGCGGAACATCAAGATGCTGAAATCTGTTTGTGAACGTAAATATACTGGATGGTAGCTGTAAGTGCCAAGCAGATCATTTCCTCGCCATCGCTCGAAACAGTCATAATGCACATTTCTTCGCTCCTTCCACTCTGCGCTGCTGGTGCTGCCTATGCGCAGGCAACGTCAAAATGCACTACCACGATCACAAGGACGACAAGTGTGCCGACGTCGACAAAAGGTAGCGCCGCTGGACCTCCCAGCACACTTCTACCATCATACGCCTGGATCCGTGCAGTAGAGACACCGAACTACCACAGCTACCTCCAGTCCAACCCCCCTCTAGCCACTGCAAGCGCTATCCTCGGCCCCAACACTTCCGCAGGCCAATTCAAGCTCGTAGCAGGCCAGCTCGAGTACGCTCAAGATGGCTCCGGCTCGAAAGTCCTCTACGCCAGCGTCGGCACACCAGCCAGCGCATCCGCCACGATTTTACCCGTGAGCTTCTCGTCTCAGCCAGGTGCGCATGGTACCTTCGCGTACTCGGGCGATACTCTGCAGTGGACTACTTCGGAGTACAAGAGACCGAACCCTGGGGCGTGGCTGGTGTGTGCCAACCACAGCTTGTTCATCAATCTTGGGAATTATGGGTATCAGACACCAACTGGATGCAATGATGCTACTGTAAGTCTTGCTTAGCTTACCACTGCATGTTCTGATCGAGCCCTGATTGACATGCCGGAACAGATTCATTCCTATGGCAACTCGATTGCCGATGTTTGAGTTTATTGGCCGGCCAAGATAGCAATGTAGTGCTTCAAAGCAGTAGCGTTACCATGCTCACTACGTTCCACGTGCCGATATGTTCTCGTGGACAGGTACGAGTGCTCTTCGTAGCCCGAGTACTAGGTTGGCCCAGACAACCACCACTCACAATACTCAACCGGCAACTAAACGTCCAAGGCTCCGCGGGCTCTTCTGAATGTGCTTTGATCGCGCGAACGTCAATGTTGACACAGCGCTCTAGCGTCGACGCGAAAGATGAGAGTCACAAAAATGCCATGGAAAGCTGGCACGACTCTGTCGCTGTTCCGTATATAATCGTCTATCGTGAGTGAGGGACTACGCCTAAGCTCGGCCCTACAAATTTTCGCTACCACAGAATGTGAGCCGAGAATGTGATCTCAAGAATGCAAGGGATCCACGTTGGTGGCAAGCGACGCAATAATCACTTCTTCCCAAACCCCAAAAACTTCTTCATCTTCGCCTCAACATCGCCCGCTGCCTTCCCCTTGCCCTTCCCAACGTCTTTCTTCCCATCATCCTGCTTACCCATAGCCTCCTTATGCGCCGCCTGACCCTGCGCCTGCTGCGACGCAAGCTCGACCTTCAACTCCTTCGCTCCCGCCATGAGCTCCGGCTTGAGGACGAGATTCTGCTTTGATTTCGCCGAGGATCTTGCATTAGGTGCGAGACGCACCAGGACGCGGCCGCGGAAGCCTAGATCTTGGACTAGACGTTTTGAGGGCGAGGTGGGGAGGTTTTCTTGTTGGCCTTTGGCGCCTGTGAAGCGTAGGTCAAAGGGTTCGTCGGGTGCTTGCAGCGTCTCTTGGATTCGGGTGTATAATCCTTCCGCTGTTTCAGAGGCGGAGACAGTCAGCTCGATCTGATGCTGATCGGGGTATTGCACTCGCACAATCACACTCCGCACGGTGGCTAGTTGCTGTTGCCTGGCGCTTTCCTCTTCGGCCAATTCTTTGTCTGATTTTAGTCGTGTGTTCGTGCCACGAGTCTGTAGGGAGGCTTGTAGAGCTTTGGCTTGGTCTATGCTTGGTTCGAACACAGATGGGTCGTCCGGTGCCAGGGCAGCGGCAGGTGTGCTGTTTGAGGGTGGTCGGTAGACTGAGATGCCGTTCGTCGTACTTGATGATTCTCCGGTTTGTGAGGGCTGAGGTTGTGACGTTGATGTTGAAGTGGTATCTTCGGGTACTGAATCTGATGTGCCGTCCATGGTGTTGGGTATATCATCCCCTGGCGTTCGTACGGAAACTCTCTGCGTTTCTGTGGGACCTTCGGCCATAGTCTCATCGCTTACAGCACTGCTGTTGGTATTCGCCTTGCTATCGCCAGCGTTCGCCAAAGCAGCCCCGCTTCCCTCACTCGCGCCACCAACCGCAGCAAAATGCCTACTGATCTCTGTCATAGCTTCCTCAAGGGGCTGCCCACTACTTTTAAAAGCCAGCCGAACAAGCACAGTCCCACCATTGAATCCCAACTGCCCCAGCGTCTTCTGCAAATCCGCAAAGCCTTCTACACTCCTCCCCATAAGATTCAGACAAGGCTGCTCGTACAGTAGTCTGCCAGCTCCACTGGAGCTATTACTCGGCGCAGCCCTTTGTGTGAGATTCAGCTTCTGTCCAGATCCAGCGACGCCCTCCTCGAATTTCCGTAGCAGCTGCCATAATGTTGTCGTGCTCGGGAATTTGTCTGATAGCCTCGCGCCTCCACCTTCACTTTCTGGTAATTGTAATGCTACACTCACGACGCCGGGACTCCGACTGGCTTGTGTAAGCTGTAATTTCGCGCCTGCCGTAAGCCCGGATAAGCGAAAGGGTTGTGACAGATCCACAGGCTTATCATTGGCAGTCTTGAGAGTATAATTCTCCGGATTCAGCCGTCGACTCTTGCACGCCTCCTCCAACACCTCCCTCAGATATCTCCCCGGCGTGACCTTAATCTGCGTCCTCTTTAATGTCGAGTCGACGACGATTACGTTGGACATATCGCCTCAGATACTGCCAGCCTAAGCTGCTTGCTGCCGCTCTCTTCGCCCGTCCCTCCTCCCACCTTCCTCTTCTTCCTCCTGTATCTGTCTCCTCGCTTCCGCTGATAATTGACTCAGATATCGAACCAGCTTCTTGCCGTTAGCCCAGAAGAGTGGCGCACAAAAGACGTAGGATAGGGCGACGACGATGATGCGTTCGCTCTTAGTTAGCTGGAGGCCGTGGAGGTCGGACATGTGTACATGAATGGTTAATCAATCGATTGACTGGCTGGTGATGTGGATATGGTGGTTGTGATGAGAGATTAGTCATGGATATGAAAGAGTGCTGCTTCGAGATGCTTCTGTTGATTGCAGGCAGTCGCCTTGCTGTGCCTTCCCTTGCCGCCCCGCATTTTGAGTTTCGAGGCACGTGAAACCGAAAGTGTTCAAGTGTTCCTACACGCCCGAACGTGCTGCTTACAGTACATACAGTATTTATACACATGAGCCATACTTCGCTCATACGGCTGTGTCGAGGCAAGTCCGTCGAACGACTGTGGACATGGAAGCAGATTCGAACGTAGATGCCTTTTGGCTCGGCCATGGGCAAGTGAGCCTATCTACAACCTAGCCTTCTCAGGGATAACCAAATAATCATAGCTCAGCTGCACCTGGATAGGAGCAAGAATGAAGAGAGCCTCGTCGGCTGAAAAGGGCAGTCCAATCAGCAGACTACTCAGCTTATCGAGATGGAAAGCATGGAGGGAAAGTTGAAGTAGAAGTAGTCGAATCACGGCGACTCACCACCAACATCCTTAGCAAACTCCGGATCGGAAGCCACCTCCATCCAATCCTCCATACTATCGACCCAGACTTCCGCGATCCCATCATAGTCAGTGACTGGAGCCCCAAAGGTGGCTGCTTGCTGCTTCAGAGTAGGGGTGATATGGACCTTTTACGTTCACGCCACATTAGCACACGAGTTTGTGGTGGTGAATTACGAGCTTTTTGTTCGTCATCTTCTTACTTGATTGTACTTGCGCGTCTTGGCCACGAAGGTCTTGTTCCGCAGGGCAATGTCGGCATGTGGGCCTTTCCAGTGTTGATGGAACTGCTCGTCGCTGAGGTGTGGTTGCTTTTTGAGGAAGAAGGAGATTTTGAGGTAGCGCTTTTGTTCTGGTATAGTCATTTTTGAGCCGTCGTGTGCTCTGGACAGCTTTATAGGCGTGGACTGTGTTTGATGAGGTATTTGGCCATGGTCCTGTGGTCGACGCTCTGTCGTTGATATAGCTTGCTTGATAAGAGTCGGGTAAGCTCATCCAGGAGGAGGCAGAGCTTGATATAGCTTCGGGTATCCTCTGAGGTGGTCTTCTGTCGTAGCCCTCCATCACTTCACATGGTGGCGAGACTGTCATAGATGTCAAGCTTTCGCGCACAAGACACCAAAGAGTAGGTCGGTGACCTTCTGCCAGAGTTCAGACCATGATGAGTGTCATGACGCTCGCGTTGGTTGGATATGATGCAGAACAGCGCTACGTGACGACTCTGCGAAGACTCTCATTGACTAACATCACCCTCTTCGCTTGAGGTGCCGTGTAGCAGTCAAACCGAACGGCAAGTCCTTGTGAGGATACACGATGTACACCTTTTTGTTGACGCTGCGGACTGTTGAACGCCGGGTTTTGCGGCTGTGCCTTCCTCTCTCCACCCCGCGTTTCGACTTTGACGCAGGTGGCATGTGAAAGTGAAACATTCGCCCCCACATGCCACTCACTTAACGCCACAACCACGAAGTTCTGACACGAACCAACAACAACAACAACAACGTCTCGTCCCCACCAAAACAAACTACCACTTCCCGCTGACGAAACACCACCGTCACCATGGCCTCCTCATCAACCACCTCGACGCCAAGCAATTCCAAAACCATCCCGATAACCTCCGCCCACCACTTCACCACCACCCTCTCCTCCTCCCGCCTCGTCGTCGTCGACTTCTGGGCCCCCTGGTGCGGCCCCTGCAAAGCCATCAGCCCCGTCTACGAACAACTCTCCTCCCAACTCTCCCGACCAGGCGTAATAACTTTCGTAAAAGTCAACACGGACGAGCAAAAGGAAATCGCGTCCTCGTATAATGTTTCCGCCTTACCGACTTTTATGATTTTCAAGGCGGGGAGGGAGATTAAGAGGATCAAGGGGGCGGATCCGAGGGGGTTGAATGAGGCGGTGAAACAGTTGGCGCAGGAGGCGGGGAGGGCGGATGAGAGTGGGGATTCAGCAGGTGCTAGTGGGAGTGGGAGTGCGGGGGGGATGTGGATGGGTGCGCAAGGGCCGAGGGGGTATGTGGATATCACGGATGCGGTGGATCTCCTCGGGCTGGATTTCCTGAACGTGGATGATAAGAAGGGGGATAAGAGGATCCTGTTCGACGGTGGTAAACCCTCATCACTACACGCTGGAGCTGGAGCCGGCAAGTCGAAAGAGAAAGGTGAGGGCGAAGGAGGCAAGAAAGCAGACTGGCTGGAGAGCGACACAGACGAGCAACTCATGCTCTTCATCCCCTTCCAATCTACGGTAAAACTTCACAGTCTCCACCTCACCTCCCTCCCACCCGCAGACGACGAAGAGCCCTCCCGACCCAAAACTATTAAACTCTACACAAACCGCAGTACCACCCTCGGCTTCGACGAAGCGGACGATATCCCTTGCACACAGACCATCACCCTTTCGCCCTCAGACTGGGATGACAAAACCGGGACAGCGAAAGTCGAACTCCGGTACGTGAAATTCCAGAATATTAGTTCGCTGGTGGTATTTGTGGTGGATGGGGAGAGCGATGAGGGAGAGAAGGTGCGGATTGATCGGGTGCGGTTGTGGGGGGAGACGGGGGAGAAGAGGGCGATGGGGAAGTTGGAGAAGGTCGGGGAGGACCATTGATTGGGTTGTGAGAGATGGAGTCGTCAAAAGGTATGGTGGCGGTATGGGAAAGTGTATTGCCTTGCATTGCATGCGGCGTCCATGAGACTTGCGGAGCATGGAGCAAGACATGGCCACGGAGATGTGACCACGATGATAGAGCCAGAGGAACGCCATAACGTACCCAACCACCCAAGCAGACCCAGGGAAACATTCCCATGTCCATGCATCATCTTATGCAGCCTACTCAAAACAACCGATCACACCACGCTCCACTGTCCATGCCCTGGTCCACCCCCGGTATAATCATCCCCTACTGTCCATGCCCACTCACCCATTCACCCATCCCTACCCCGATAAAACCCCTCCATCTCCGCCCTCTGCTCCCTCCAAATCCCCTTCAAAACCGCATCCAGACTCGGATCACCGCCGTCCCAGAATTCCGCAGTGAAGCTGTGCGCGCCGCCTGGAAACGTCAACAAGAGCAAAGAGCCCAATATCCTTCTCTCCTTGTCCTTGCAGAACGCAGATCTCAGTCCTCACCGTGACAAGACATGCCATGACATAATAGAAGAAGGATACACGGACGGAAAACCCCGATCAAAGGGAAACCCGAAATCGAATAGATGGATTGAATGCGATGAAAACAACGGCAAACTCACCTCGCCAATCCCCCTCCCCCGGCCAGTCGATATTCCATCCATACCACACCGGTCGCCACGGCATGGCTCCCGCACGTCTATGCGCGTGCTTTAGCACTTCCTCCGCTGGATCTTTCGCTCGCGACCACGCAGTCTTCTGATCTTTCAGCAAGCTGAGGTAGTACTCGAAGACCACTTTCCCCGGAGCGAGGATATGGAAAGCAGGGATGGAGTCGTGCTCGTCGGCGTAGTTGGGTGGGTAAGGGTGCGCGTAAGATTGGGTCGAGGCGTGGGAGGCGAACATGTAGGTGCGGGGTAGTGACGCCGTCGCGGCATCGGGAGTTTGTTCTTGGGTTGATGCGTCTTTCGGTGGGAGGGTGGCCGTGGAGGCCGTGAGAGTCGCCTCATCATAGAAGATCTTGTCCAGATTCCGCGTCACCAGCGTACTAGGGTCCAGATACAAGATCTTAGAATACTGCGTCAACTGAAATATCCGCAGACGGGCTAGGATATTCTTTCGCTCCTCGTATTCGTGGGTAGGAGCAAGATCTTCTACCAAGATGACTGTGGCGCCGTCCTTCTTTAATCTTTCCCATTTCGCTTTCAAGAGGTTCCGGGTGCAGAGGATAAGGAAGGGGATGCTATTGTTGGTGCCTACGGTTTGGGAGTGCAGGAGTTGGTAGGCTAAGATGCGGGCGCTGGTGAAGGGGCCGTCGTCCTGGAGTGGTCGCGGATCGCCTTCGTTCTCGTTCCCGGTGGCGGGGAGGAAGGTTGCGTAGGCTATCGTTGGTGGGAGGAGGCTGTGTTGTCCGGGTTTGAGGGAATGGGTGGACGGGAACCAGGGGTTGGTGTGGTGGTGGTTGGTTTTGCGGATGGTGTAGGTTAGGGAGGCAGAGAGGAGGAAGGCGGCGATGCAGAGGGCGATGAGGCGGGGGTTGGTTGGCATTGTGGAAATGGTTTGATATGAAGTTACGGGATTTCCAGGAAAGAAGAGATGTACTTAGCCTGGTAGGCACATTCCGGGATGCTCAAGCAAGGACGCGTTTCTCTGATATTTCCATTGCAGCTCACGATGGCGTATGCTTGGGTTATATAGTTTCACATCCATTGACAGTCTCGCCAAATGGAAGCAGCTGTCTCATCCTCATGGACAGTGGCTGGGGAGCTCCAAGCTGATGTGCTGGTCCTGGTCCTCGCGGATGGCAATGGGAATGAGAAGGTAGACTACTACTCCTGGTTGCACTCCGCTCTCCACGTCAGCCACGCAGACGAGTGGCTAGTGTCTAGGGCAAGGCCATGCAGGAAAGACTGAGCAGATTTGACCTTTTTGTCCTTGGGTGTGTCGTGGCAAGGCTGCGATGATGCTGGATGGTGGCCGCCTCATAGCCCGGCTGTGGCTGTGGCTGTGTCACAACCTCATTCCGAAGCTCGCTCTTAGCAACCTCACATCACTCCTGCCGTACCATCTTGACATTCACCTTGATTCATAACACCCTCTTGGCCTAAGATGTTAATATTGATAGCGATCATCGTGCGGCACAGTGTTGAAGTGTGTCGGTCGCGCGGGATGTAAGCGCCACATGTTCGTTGGATTCACCCCCCCACAGCCAATCACCGCCTCCAACGTTGCGCCCATCACGCTTTCGCTTGTCTCGCGATGCCGCAGTGGGACTACCCAAACCCTCGAGCATTCGACCACCCGAACACATGCCGCAGTGACAGTATTATGTCCACTAAACTCCGCGGCGACGACGAGCCCCGGAGGCGTCGTCGCAAGGAGGGCAGTGAACAACGCGAGCGAGGAGAGGCTGACAAAGATTCGACGAGCTCGCGGGACAAGCAACAGCACCGCGGCAGCTCGCACAAGATCAGCTCGTCTGGCAAGGCATATCGGAAGCGATCGACGAGCCGGGAGCGGGAGAAGGATAGGAGTACTGCTTCCGAGCGCGGAACGGCGACGAAGAAGAGGGTGGAAGTGGTGCTGCCAGAGATGGAGCGGCGTACGACCAGCAGCAGTTCGGCGTCGGGCATCCGCTCACAGACTTCATATCCTACCTTCAGCAAAGCACACAGCAGAGAGGCGGTGCACAGTCTGGAGGATGTGCGGTCGAAGCCCATCACACCTGCCACGACAGATGTCAATGGCGAAAAGAGAAGGAACTCTACACCTGCCAAGCCACCCGTGAATCCACCGCCAAGCCCACCACTTACCGCGGATAACCCTGATATCCGCCGGTCAGACAGTGCTAGCAGCATCCGACGGGCGGCGGATGAGGCAAGAGCGAACATGAGTGAGGGGAGGCGAAGCACGGAAGGTACACCTCGAACAGCGGTCAAGAATGTCAAGAATTTAAAGTCGGGCGGAGGTCTACGGCGCGAGGCAGTCTTTGGCCAGTCGGAGCTATCGAGCATGCCTGGTGCTTTCCCCGAGGATGAGAGAAGGACGACGCCTAGTAGTGGCTTCCGGAGGACCGTCTCGACTGCCTCCCAGCCTCAATCCATCTTGACGCAGAACACGCAGAATACCGAAGACACGGGCCGGTCGGAATCGACCGTCGACTCGGGTGCTACCACATTGCCTCCCGAGCGGAAAGCACATGCTCAGAGGCCGCCACGGATAGTGCCCGTGTTTGACGACCTACCACAGCCGCACGAGCATGTGCATGAGGTGCGGAATGTTTTACCCAAGAAGCCGAAGATCATCGATGTTAGTGCCGCGAACCTGTCAACGCCGCAGTCGTTTGGCATGACACCGATTACTGCGGTCCCACCCATGCCACCACCTCCGCCTCCGCCACCGCCAGTAGCATCATCGAAAGAGCCACCTCGAGTTGACTATCTACTGAAGCACGGCGGTCTCCCAACTATGGTGCCAAGGAGATTGGTACAGATGGCACCGTCGATACAGCAGTACAGCATGTATCAGTCTCCTGCTATTTTACAGCAAGCCCCGCTCGAGGAGTACTCCAGGATCTTCTCGTCAATTCACAAACGACTGGACGACTATCTACAAGTATTGCGGACGAGTGGTTCGCTTGCTGTAGCTACCGGATACAAGTCTGTGGCGAGAAGACTCCTCGACAAGTTGTCACAGGTGTTTGCTCGTGACATTTCCTCAGTAAGGTGCGATTGTGTTATGTGCAAGACTACCCCACAGCCTGCGCTCTCCGATGAGGAGGATTCGGGCATCAGCTGGGGAGAAATTCTGGAGATTGTGTCCGGGCGACGAGAGCTACCACAGTGGCCACCGTTCAGCATTAAACCTGATGACGGTGGACTTGGCATATCTGGAGTCACACAAGCACCCATGCAGAAGCTCGACATCGATGTGCCGGAAGAATACAAGGACCACTACATACGACAAAACCAGAAGACGAAGCGTGCGGTGCAAAGCTGGCTGTCTATGCAACCAGACTTTCCGTCCAGCCCTCCTGAAGAAGCCGACGAAGACACACTCATGTTCGCCATGATGACGAAGCTGGACATGGAGCAACGAAACTTCTTCATCGCCCTCATGCACGGCCAAAGCACCGTCCACTCCTCTCGCGCCCCCACCCCCGCCGAACGACCAGCCACGGCCTCAACCGCCCTTCAACGAGCCCGAAAAGCCCTCCAACGCCTCTACCGTCTCGACCGAAGCCCCCGCGACTGCGAAAGCGCAATGTACCTCCTCAACAACGCCCCCCTGCACGGCATGCTCGCCACCCTCGCCGAAGTCAACGAAGCCGAATGGGACATCCTCGTGTCCGGCCGCTTCGACGGCTTCCTCTGGTCCGGCGCCGAAGCGCCCTTCCCCGCCTCCGCCTCCCAATACGCCTCCCCCACCGGTTCCCGCGCACCTTCGCGCGGTATGGCGGGCAGCCCCTTTTCCCGCAACATGACGCCCTTCAGCGGCATGTCCGGCGCCGGACCACCCCAACCTCGAGGCAATACCCCCTTCAGCCCACTCCGCAACGCCATGTCCCCCTCCGACACCACCCCGCCACTCCATGGACAACAAACATCCATGTTCCCCTCCCGCAACCCCACCCCGGCTCTAGGTCTAGCAGCGAACGTAGGCACCCCCGCCCCAGTCCAAATGGACGAAGACACGGAAATCGCCGTCCTCGCCGAAGTCGAACGTAACCTCTTCAATGACATGGAACGCTTCGAAGACGCCTTCGAAGTCCTCCATTCGCGGGCCGAACTCGTCCGGCAACTCCTCCGCGAGCGCTCCGCCGGCCTCTCCCTCTCCGCCCAACTCCGCCGGGGCTCAGGTGCGGACGCGGCCTTCGTGCGACTGGATACCCCGGCGAGCGGGATCACGGATTTTGAAGACGAGGACGATGATGGGTTGGGGGATACGGCGTCCTTGGCCCCGGATGATAGTGCGAGTCAGATTTCGGTTAACAGGCGGCATAGGAGACGGCAGGGGAGGGAGAATCGGACGCCGGCGCCTGTGGTGGAGGAGGATGAGGGGGAGAGTGTTTTTGAGGAGGAGAGAGCGGAAGCGGTGAGGAGGGGGATGGGTGGTGGGGGGAGGAGGTCGAAGTATTGAGTTTGGTGAAAGAGTTGCTTTTATGAATCAACGAAGGATCGGATGACGGTGATGAACATTCCACGGAAGCATTTATAGGGCTAGCGAGCGTAATGTAGCATTGAGCGTTGGCGTTGCTGTGGCGAAGAATTGCTTGATCCTTTTCAAAATCATTGTGCGAGAATGGCTTCATGGGGGACGGTAGGCATGACGGAATGTGGGACATTGTATGCCATGAGAGAATTCACTGTTTGACGGCTGGCCAAAGAAACACATGGGATGATATTGGCGCTGCTGCTAGTTTCCTGCTGTTTTCATTTTTATCGTGGCGTGACGTGGCGTGAAAGGGGCGAGCGATGCAATGCGGACGTGGGTTTTCTGCTCTGCTCTGCTCTGCTCTGCTCTGCTCTGCTCTGTTCTGCGAGAATTGGAGGAGTTTAGTATCATGGTGTGGAGCATGAGGTCCTACTGTCTCCTATCGTTCGCGGTGGCGATGCGAGTCCCTATCCCGATCACGATCGCTATCATGCCGCCGGGATCGTTCACGACTCCGATCATCGTCTCGATAACGATCCCGTCGTCTCCGCTCTTTCTCTTTCCGTCGTTGATAGTCGTCTTCGCTATCCTCTCGCCGCCTCCTATCTCCGTCACGGTTGCGATCCCGATCTTTATCTCCACGACGATCCCTAGAATCAGGATCTTCCTTCTCCCGCCGTCTCCTCTCCTGGCCCCTCTCCCTGTCATCCTCCTCACCCCTCCTCCGCCCCTTCTTCTCCCTCTCCCTCTCCCTTTCCCTCTCCCTTTCCCTTCTCTCAAATTCCTCCTTAAACCCCTTCCTCTCCTCCCCCTCCTTCCTTTTCTGCGCCTCCTCCTCCGTAAACATCTCTCCCGTCCTCTTATCCCTCAGCAAAACAGGATTATACACCTTGACCTCTCCTCCCTTCTTCGCCGCCGCTTTTCCCCACACACCCATCTCCTGCGCCACCGCCGCTTCCTCTTTCGCCCCGATTCCCAGCAGCGCAGGTCGTCGGGCAGGGACCTTGGCCTTCTCCAGCTTTCGGCCTTTTTGTGACCCAATGCCCTGTCCTTCTACCCAGCCCATACCTCGGAGTAAGCCGGCACCGAATTCTTCGACAGGCACGCGGTCGTAGTCGGAGAGGGTTGGGCCAGAGGGCGCGGATTGGATGGAGGAGTTGTAGGCTTGTTCTTCTGAGACGGCAGGGAGGACGAGTTCGGATTTGGTGGTGTTGCCCAATAGTGCGTCTAGGGCTAGCTCGTCGTCTGTCTTTTGCTTGGCTGGAGCTTCTGCGTCTGGCTCTGTAGGCTGCTGTTGTGTGGTCGCTGCTCCTTCTGCTGGCACATCGTGGTCTTCGGTCGTGCTTGCCCCATCGCTCGTCTCTCGTTTCGTGACGTTCAGACCGAACCCCGGTTTCAGTGCCTCGAGCTCCTTCTCTCGCATCGCAGCATCCTCTACACTCTGCCCACCGTTCCGCGCTTCCACAGGCAAGCCATTCCGTCGTCGTTTCCTCTTACTCGCATCCCTCCAATCCCGGTTGGCTTGTGGTGCAATCACTAAAGGACCTTTCTCTGCCGGCCTCGCCCGCTCATCGATCGCCCCGCCGGCGGATCTGTCGAAGTGCGACACTGTCTGTTCCCTTCCATGGTCGAGCTGGTTGTCATCGTCCTCGTGCAGTGCGGCGTGTGATCGCTTGACACCGTTTGTGGGCGCTGGTTTGCCGTTAGGCTTCTTGGACCCGCCGAGTGCCAGTGAGATCTTGCCCGACATTCTTGTGTGAACCTCGCAGGTAGCGTAGGAATCAAGGAAGGGAGAGGAACCAAAAAGTGGGCGAACATTATGCGAAACTGACTCGTGCTTGGAACTTGGTGACTTATCATGACTCGTGATGTCGGATGAAAGATACTCCATATTCCCGAAGAACGAAAGTATCAATTGGCGAGATGACGACAGCATAGAGAGCTACTGCTCGATACAGTAGTAAAGCTCCACACAAGGTAGGCACGCAGTAGGCGCTAGCAAAAGAAAGTACCATTGTATAGGACAGTACTCGTAATCTTCTTGAAACTGCTCCACCAACCTCCTTCTTTGGATGGATCCAGCCAGTCACTACCTCGTGAACAAGCATGGAGCCCAATTACTTCACCTGCACTCTAGGCCAAGCTGCTGCTCTTGGAATACAACAAGACCACAAGACGATCACTGGGCTCGTAGACTACTTAGCCAAAGACCATGGCGACCTTCCAGCTGTCGGTTTCCCACAACCTGGCAATCGACCAGGCGACCCCTGGACGAACTTACTCTTCACCTTTGGCGATATTGCTCGAGGCTCCGAACGAGTAGCCAGTGCTCTTCTCCAGAACAGCAAACAACATGGCACGAAACTCTTGAAAAGTCAAACGGTCGGCCTCTTGTGTCCAAGCACACCAGATTTCCTCTTCACATGGCTAGCTCTGATACGGCTGGGACATGCCGTTTTGCTCATAGCTCCGCAATGCCAGCCAATAGCTATAGCGAACTTATGCCAGACTTGCGAGGTCTCACTCTTATTCTACGATGACGTGTACAAAGACCTAGCGCAGGAGTCGTCCACTGTGGCGAAGGGATCATTACAAGTCGCAAGCTTGCCATTTTCAAGCATCACACAACTGGAGTCGCTCGAGAAAATCGGCGTAGAAGATCTCCCCGCGCGGCAAGCGGCGAGTGAGGAGGACGTCGCATATCTCCACCATACCTCCGGCACTTCCTCCGGTATGCCCAAACCAATACCACAAACACATCGAGCAGGCTGCGGAGTCCTTCCGTCATTTCACGATGGCCGTGAAGCCGCGACATTCACAACCACGCCACTATATCATGGCGGGATAGCAGATCTCTTCCGTGCCTGGACGAGCCGGGCACCGATCTGGCTTTTTCCGGGGAAGAAAGTACCCATAACCGCATTCAATATCGTGAAGTGTCTCGACCTAGCCGCAAGTGTACATTTAGAAAGTCAGGTGGCTCCTGTAAAGTACTTCTCGTCTGTACCATATGTGCTGCAGATGATGGAAGGCGACAATCGAGGGCTTCGGTATCTGCAGTCCATGGACATCGTTGGTGTCGGTGGAGCAGCACTACCTCCTGAGGTCGGCGATAGGCTAGTCAACGAAGGTGTAAATCTGATATCGCGCTTTGGAAGCGCAGAGTGCGGGTTTTTGCTTTCCTCACACCGCGAGTACGAGAAAGATAACGAGTGGCAGTACTTACGAGTAGCTTCCGGAGCAGAGAAGTATCTAAAATTCGAATCGCAAGCGGCGGATGATGATCAGGCATTATCAGAGCTTGTGGTGCTGCCTAGCTGGCCACACATGGCGAAGCGGAATCGGGAGGATGGATCGCTCGCTACGTCTGATCTTTTCGCCGCACACCCGACTATTCTGAATGCGTGGCGGTATCACAGCAGAGCAGATAGTCAGCTAACGCTCGTTACGGGTAAGAAGTTTGATCCGGCACCTCTAGAGGCTTCTCTGGCGACTTCTGAGTTGCTGGAAGATGTGCTTATTTTCGGGACTGGACGGCCTTACCCTGGTGCGCTACTCTTCAGAAGCGAGAAAGCTAAAGATCTTGACGATGGGAGATTACTGGATCAGCTGAAGTCGGAGGTGGAGAAGCTGAATAATGGGAGCCAGGACCATGCACGAATACCAGTAGCTATGCTCGTGCCTATGCCTGTACTCCAGCAGCCACTGGAGAAAAGCAGTAAAGGTACACTGCTGAGAGGAGCAGTCGAGAAGCGCTTTGCCGAGAACATCGAAACTGCATATGTGCAAGCAGACGACGGCAATGATCTCGGCGATGTTCCTGACGACAGACTCCCGGAAGTCCTCAGAACCATTATCACAGGCGTGAAGCGGAAAGGTAAGGATCTAAAAGATGATACGGATCTATTCAGCTATGGCATCGACTCTGTTGCTGGGATGCAAATACGCGGGAAGCTAAGACGATTGTTACCGCCCGATGCCAAGGCCCTGCCTATTAATGTGGTGGAAGATTGTGGCAATGTCGAGAGGCTGGCGGGATACATCCGGGCGAGAAGGCGTGGCGACGCGGAGTCGAGTATGTCTTCCATTGAGCAGGATCGTGAATTGATGAAGCAGCTGGTTCGGGATGAGGCTGGGAGGTTCATTCAACCGGGAGAGAAGGACGATGCGGTCGTCATGAATGGCGAGTGGAGGAGACCACATGGCGATGTGGTAGTCTTGACAGGTGCTACGGGGGCGCTAGGAGCACATGTCTTAGATCAATATCGACAGAAAGACTCAGTGAGCAGGATATACTGTCTCGTACGCGGAGTGGATGAGCATGCCGCCTCGGAACGAGTCAACAAGGCTCTTATTGCACGCAAACTACGACCGCTCGACCACGACAACAAAATCACTATCCTCCGCGCCCGCCTCGGTGACCCCAAGCTCGGTCTCGACGATCAGACATACAGGACCCTTGCTCGCGAAGCGACAACAATAATGCACATAGCCTGGTCCGTCAACTTCCGAATGAGACTCCGCTCCTTCGTCCCCGACAACATCCGCGGCGTCACGAGCCTCTTAAACCTCGCCCTATCCTCACCAAACAAGACACCACCAAGATTCGGTTTCTGCTCCTCGGTCGCCAGCGCCATGGCCTGGACCGACTCCGATCCAGTTCCCGAAACCATCATAGCTCGGCCGGACGTAGCGACTGAGCTGGGATACTCGCAGAGTAAATGGGTCGCTGAGCAGATCTGTCAACGGGCTGTCGTGCGGACGAGGATGAGAGGACGGGTATGTATTTATCGTGTTGGGCAGTTGGCGGGAGATTCTGTGCATGGGGTGTGGAACGCTAAGGAGGCGTGGCCGATGATGTTGAATGCGGTGAAGATCACGGGTACTCTACCTGATCTAGGCGAGGAGGAGAAGTTGGACTGGTTACCTGTTGATTCTGCTGCGAGGGCGTTGATTGAGGGTGTGGGGATCATGGTGAGGGAGACGAAGGAGTCGCAGGCAGTGGTCTACCATATCCTGAACGAAAATACCACACCTAATTGGTCAGAAATGCTAGCCTGGCTCAAGGAAACAGAGACCTTCGACATCGTGACCCCTGCTGAATGGGTGAAGAAGTTGGAGAGTGCTGTTAACGCGGGCTCGACGCATCCAGCTTCGCAGCTTTTGGATTTCTGGCGGAAGGCTTATCTTGAGCGGACTGGGGTTGAGGCGAAGGAGGTGCAGGCAATGAAGGTTAGCTTTGACTTGAGCAGGACGAAGGAGGAGTTGGGGTGTATGAGGGCTGTTGAGCCGGTGGGGAGGGAGTATTTCGGGAGGCTGTGGGGGTGGATTGGGAGGGAGATGTGAAGAGGCGGAACAATATACACGCAGAGCTTCGGTGATGAAGTTGTGTAGAAATATGTCCCGAATGCAAATGTGAAGGACTCGTCATTCTTCTCATCTTCACATTCTCACTTTGTGACTGACACGTTTTGGTTGGGAAGATATCACTCATGTCTTGATAGCTAACAATAGTGGCTTGTTGTGAAAGGTGCCAGCTTACTCCAAGCTTAGCCAAGACCACTCTGTCCTTTCGGGCATAACGGATTAGTTTTCCCATTCTCAAAAATCGTGGAACTACCTCAGACCGTGTGCAGACCCTCGTCCATGTTCCACGCGAATGAGTCTGGCTGAAATCCTACCTCGAGATCATCGAGGCCAATGCTCCATAAATCAGCAAAGTGGTCGAATTCATTGCGATCATCGGGTTGAGCGGTGTTTGGAACAGGCTGTGTCACTTGATCTTTGGGCAAGGGGAGGTCGATTCGCGACACTGGTGTCTCCAGTCCCAGGATCGGCTGAACTCGTGCCATCGCGTTGCCATCATATGTGGCAGTCGTCTGGGCATCAATCTCCATAGCGTGCCGCTCCGGGGTGACTGCACCCGATGCACTGACACTGCTCACTAAACGGCGCTTGATAATGTCGATACTGCTTCTGACACCGGGTGTCTGTCTGACTTCGCCTTCTAGCAAGCGTAAAGCTACTCCGAGTCGTACGGTCGCTCTCTCTCTGGCTGCCACGCTAGGTGAGGACATCTCATTCACATCAATCATAGCTGCAGTGTATACGCAGTAGGTGACCAGATATGTCATATTCGACCATTCGAAGGTCGCTCCACATAGATTGAACAGCTTGTGCATAATCTCCGCCTGCTCTACACAGGATCGCATCGCTATCCTCCGTATACCAGGCTCACCACTTCGGGCGATGCTAGATCGCGTCGTGAGAATCTGCAAAGTGTGGTATAGTAGATTCAAGCCCAAGATGTGTATCGGTGGGCATATATGTAAGTTCAGCTTCCCAAGCTTGAGGAACGCTGGTAAGCGATCATACCAATCGTGAAGTCGACGTTGCAAAATTTCTGTATGATGAGATTGTAGAAGATTCTGATTCGCCAACGATAGATTGGTGAACACTAACGGTACGATGACACTCAGACTGCAGAAATGCTGGAAGCAGACGGTAACATAGGAGGGCATTGGAGGATAAGCCGGGTAGTTGGGTGGAATCCACATGTGTTGATCTTCCGAGTCATCGAGAATCTCTGCCAATGTTGTGGGCAGGTTCAAGATCAGGGGAGGCCTCCCAAGACATAGGCTGAGGGTCTTGTCCCAGGTGAAGGCAGCCATATAGACTCGTCGCCGGACTTCTACTTCTGCCGCTGTGAGCTCTGCGTCCAGCATCTGCTTCTGGAGGCTTAGATGTAGACCAGCATCTGTGAGCATGTGAAAGGCCATACCGGCGTACGTCCAGCCCTCTGATATGTTACCGACTGCACACTGGCGCCCGGACAAGGTCAGCAAGCCCTGGATCGTTGTGATCCTTGGCTTCTTCTCGCTAAGCTCAGCAAGAAGCAATATCTTAGCTTGTGCTAGATATGGCTCTCCTTTGTCTATCTCATCGTGATCGGGCCAGTTCGTGGATACGTGACGTGCTGCTAAGGCGTACATGCTAAAGAGCAAGAACTGCGAACAATATTGACCACCGAGTGCAAAATCCATAAGAAAGCCTGACCGTAATCAGCATGGTCTTCGCTTGTAGAACCGTGCATGCCTTACTTGGCTTGTGAATGCAATTATGGAGTGGGTGTTGCCAAGCCCAGTAGTAGTCCAGCAACCGAAAAGCGATGGCAGTGGGTATGCCCGGATCATTTCTGCTCTTGGTCGCCAACAAGGGCTGCCAAACACTATTGACCAAATCGTGGTTACGTCGCAATAAAGGGCCGTGTTCCTGACGAAGTCTATTATTCAGCTCGGCATCACTCTCCAATCTGCCAGCGCTGCCATGGAGTTCTTCTGCTATTTGGAATCTTGACGTGGATCCATGAAACGCTTCCGTCGAGTCAATGAAGGGATCGCCTACGGATGTCGCGTCTGGTATGAGCGTTGCCACGGAAGTTGTTCCTACACCAGAGCCCTCTGCTTGCCGTCCTGCAAGGCCAGCTACAATGGCATCAGTCGGAGATGCCCGTTCGTTATTCTCCAATGTACACAGCCGGCTCTCTAGCACGCGAATTCTTTGATGGGCTTGTGCGAGCTCCGTCTCGGCAGTCTGAGAAGCATAGACGCAGCTTTCACCAGCTTTAATACAAGCCTTACAGCATGGCTTGGCTCCGTCACAGCGAGACTTTCGTTGCCTGCAGCTGCTGCAGGCGAAAGCATATTTCCGAGGTGTCCTGATGCCGCCCAATGCCCGTTTCCGTGTTGGTTGTCGAAAAGATGGCGAGCTTGGGGTCCGATCTTTCGTTTCTCTAAAGGCCTCCATAGCAGCGAGAGAGCAACATCTGGCGGAAACCTAAGTCGAGAACCAGTGGCTGATGCAGAGATTGAGAGCACTGCTTGTTCGACGACAACTGTGAAGGAGGAGTCAGCAATGCTCGAAGGAACAATTGCCTACGAACGAGATTAAATGCGGAGAATCGTGCTGATTAGATGCATGCGTGCGACTGCTGAACCACACGAAACCTGTGGCTTTCCCACTCGATACTCATCATAATTGTACGGTGTAAACACAGTTAGCTTGACTATTCGCTTCGAGGAGACGAGATTCCGCCTGCTGATGGACGCCGCTTGAACTACCGGTATCATTCCGAACCACCAGCCATCGGAAAGATGCCGGCGTCAGCACCAGTACGGCTTGTGAATGTTCGCACAGCACAATAAATTTCCGAGGCATGGCAGGCATTGGACTACATAAGGGCGACGTCCAGGAAGGCCATGGCACATACTCCATCAAGTCACCCACAACAAGTATTTCCTCTATCCCCGAAATCAAACATCACTGCGAAGACAGCTCACGCGTGCCGGGATGACGACTACGACAACGACAGAATCTCGGCCCGAGGGACTATCGACTGTCCTGCGGTGGTGGCTCCCTGCAAGCGAGGGTGGCTGCGACTCAATGGAAGCCCACACCGCGACTGACCCAAGCATCAAGTGGGACCAGCGAAAGACCACGATCATCGATGTCAGAGGTCGTGAGCAAGACTTCACCCTGGACAAACAGGGCTTCTCCCTCCACTCGTCTGCAACGACCTTCAAGGACTTTGACAATGAGGAAGCCATCCGTGCGGAATACTACAAGGACGTCGAGGAAGTCGCCAGAAGAATGTAAGCTCACGATGTCCTCAGAAGATTTGTAGACCTGACTCATTGTTTTCGCAGCACTGGGGCAACGCGCGGCCACGCATCCAGCCATGTCAAGCGCATGACACACACGGGTGGCCAGACACCTCCCATCGACAAGGGTAGTCCAGCAATCATGATCCATGCCGACTATAGCTACAAAGGCGGCTTGCAACGCTTTGATGGCGAACGGAACTCCGGCGAGATACCCGAGGACTGGGAGAAGCTGAGGCAGACCAGATGGGGAGCACTTAGTATCTGGCGTCCGATTGGGAAGGTGACGAGGGATGCACTTTGCTTGGCGGACAAAACAACGATCACGGAGGAGACGCTGCAGCCACTGACTTTCACACGCTCCAATGGTGTAACTCACGAGCTTTTCACGCTCAAATATGCACCAGGACAGCAATTCTATTACAAGAGCTTGATGGGTCCAGACGACCTTATTGCTATCAAGCTTTTCGACACGCATGAAGATGTGGCGAGATGCACACCTCATAGCTCGTTCCAGTTGAAGGAGGACTATGGCGAGGCGAGGAGCAGTATCGAGACCAGAGTCTTGGTGTTTTGGGCAGACCAGCCATTGCACGGAAACACGGACATGTAGACCTGCACGCAGTCGTGCATGAGTAGGGCTTAGAAGCTGTCACAGGCTGCTGCATATGCAGAGTATGAGTTGTTGAGGTGTTATGAATCGGCTTTTCTGCTCGCATGTCGGCTGTCTCAACTGCTAAGCGCACGTCCATCCGATATGAGGCTCAAGTACTCCGTGCAGGTTGAGATGCAACAGTAGTAGGAACATGTCTCCAAAGTGATGCTGTACGTCATGCGGATGCAGAGCATGAGCAGAACGTTATAATCCTGACTGCTTGACGTGAATCGCGACTCGGATGCTATCCACTGAAGAAGGTGAAAGTCGCGGTGTTGATGGCCCGGTCTGAACATTGTGGAGTAGAAGCCGTCAAGACAAATCACTCCTCTGCAAGAGGGTCTGGTGAGTTTGATAAGCTGTAACGGTCGTGCAGACACTGCCTTGTATAGCAGCCTCGGTGATGATGTTCTGGCTCTCCCCATCTGAGTCGCGCCCGACTCGCGTCAAGCCAAGGTTATGCCCATCCATGCCCAAGCAGGTGCATCTGGAAAAGAGGGTACAGCTGAGTTTGCGGGTGAAAGTCACTATGGTGTTGAGACAGGACAGTGGGAGCGATAGGCTCGAGAAGACCCTTGAAGCAAGCCTTCCAAGATCGGTTGGCACGTGAGTGCACGCTCAAGCGAGACAAGATGGAAGAGACCATAGCTGAACGCGATTCAGTCCGTCACAATCAGTCAGGACATCGGAAACCTAATAATGATCGTTCTCGATGCAGCAGCGGATCCCGGCGATGAACGGCACCAGAAGCAAGTTGCAACGGCATATCGACGAGGCGTGAAAGACTTTCTCAACGATGATCAGCCACCAGATTGTCATTGCTATATTTCGCCTGGGCTTCGTAGGCGTGGGCTGACATGCGGGCTTCGGAACGGTCTTCTAGAGGTAGGTTCGTCGTTCCAGAGCCGTGGGCGAACTGGAGACGCCACATCACCGAGAGCGTGGGCTTGGTATTGCCGAAATGGTCATAAGCGGCGATCATGCTAGTCGCGATTCCGTGGAGTAGGTTTAGTGTGGTCGAGAAAGGCAGAACGGGAGGCTTCTCCCCGTTGATAGTGCTTGGAGCTCGCCGTCGATGGCTTTTGTTGGCGGCCGCGTGGGACAGGCTAGAGGTTCGCACCGTGCACACTGGTAAGGTCGAAGTCCTGCCGGCCGGCTAGCCGAGACGGTGAAATGCACGATGGTGGTATGAGACCACACGCAAAGGCGAAGTGGGATGGAAAGACGGCAAAGATGCAAGAATACGAGCATCCCGCGACCAGCAAGATAGAGACAAGGTGAAACACATCCTGCAGGTCCAAGATATAAGGCCTGCAGCATTCGACCTGTACCTGCAGTAGTCCGGTGGGTACAAGAGGAATTACAGAAGACGACGTACTTTGTATTCAGGTACCATCGACCTGCACGACAGATACCAATTCGAGCCATTTTCGTTCTTCTTAGGCGGCCGACGGCGTGGCTTGAGACTGCATAAGCTCCTGCAAGATGAGCTATTCTCGTGAAGTGGGCTTAGCGCGCACCTTCATGCCGTCACACAAGTCATTGTCATTTTCGAGCTGAAGCTGGCGGCAGCATGGTATACGCTGTAAACACGTATTTATTCAGGCAGTATGATGTGCACTTGTGAGGCATATTTTCGCGATGTACGAGGATAAATTGTTTCGAGAAGGAAATGCTGCCGTGGTCTCGTCTATTTGCCGGGAGTACCATCGCCTCGGTGCTTTTCTCGAAGCTGCCAAGGTTACATCGTGAAACAGCCAGCCATGGGGAAATGCATCCGAGCGACCAGGGTCTGCCGCGCCTCCAACATACCCATCTAGGTAAAGGAAGAGATCGACTGCTCTGGAAAGCTGGCTGTCTTCGGTGGAGCCCAAGTGGAGGCGAATACATCTCGTGCCTGCAGTAGTCATCGACACTCTGTTTCATCACACCTTCCGCTATCGAAGGCTCTGCGACAATGACGAAGTATCCCGCGACGCGTCGAAGCAGCCAGGCCTGTTGAGTCGTAGACTGTCCGACACCAAGTCAGTCACTTCGGGGGTGGCGAAGGTGGTACATGCCCAATGAGAGTACGCAATAATATACCTTGAAGCGTCTCAAGGCTGAGCGCCAGCATCTTCTCACGAGAAGATACTGGTAGCGCTATTGGCAGTGAAAAAGAAGATCGTGTGTGTGATGGTAGAAACCAAGCGAATTGTCACCGAGTGTTGGGGATGGTCATCACGGCCATATGCCGTACTGTTTATCGGTTGGAGGCGTTCCGCAGCCGGTGGCGTTCGTGTTCAACCATACAGCGCTGGCAAAATCGGCCTGGCTGCATGAATGGATGTACGGGTCGAAAAGCAGACAATAGATTCTTCTGCTCCAGCGCGAATAGTCAGCTTCGCTACTGGTGGATGCATATATCATGCAGCCATCAGCACACACGAGACAGCGGCCACGATTCGTGGTCTATGGACATGACGCAGCCCGATGCAAGACCGGCGGGTCTGAAAAGCGTTTGCAACAACGACAGAGCATCTCGCGATAGCGCGATCAGCATTACCGCAGCACCATACAGTAGCAGTCAAATGCATAGCAAGCCGACGCGGAAAGCTCACTCGTTCGCGTGTTGCAGGGCCGTACAGTAGTAATACTGCTGGTACGAGGCACAGCCTCCAATGCATAGAGTGAATAGCTTTTCAGGACTTTCGCCGCAGAGACGCGACCTCGTGGTCGCTAAAAGGCGAGCCTATCACGATCCGTCGGCCATGACTTTCGGGCCTTGCAGTAGTGTCTTTGCCAGGGTGTCGTGTTCCTGCAGCTCGGACCAGCTGAGACTGGTCGGGTTCTTGATCTTTGCTCCAATTTGGCTTCAGCGTCCGTCCCGAGTGCCCCCATGCGCTATCTCACACTAACTTCCTGTGCCTGGCAGCCCACGACTAGCTACTTTGGCGTACACTTTTCGCCGTCGCGTCGCTCTTTATCCCGCCCGGTCCCATCACACTCACTCACCTTTCCGCTGGTCCAGGGTTTTATCAACTCGATCGTCCATCTCTTCGACCCAATTTCCCTTCATCGTCATCTTGTGTCTCGTTTTCTTGTTATCTTAGGTCCCTGCTCGATCTGTGCACTTGTACAGCATTGACAGCACCAGACATTCCTTTGGAACCCATCGCTACACTAACTTTTTGTGCGACCATCGACCGAACACTTCGACCGGCATCATCATATCACCAGTTGACAGCAAGAGACAACCTCCACTTCTGTCGTTCAGTCCTTCAATCGACGATTTTGATCGGCTAGGTCTCATATCAAACTATACTGTACAGATAGCAACACTGCACTCGCAGCAAATTAATTACGCGCAATCCATCGACATTAGATGCTACGTTGAACAGACATCGTCGACACTAACAATCGGTCAGTGCGAGAATGATGCATGCCATCAAGGTTGGCTTATAGACAGTATTGCTGATACTACGGTTCAGGACGACCAGTTAAAATGGACTACATGCACCAAACACCACCAATGGCCCAATCACCTTTCTTCTATTACAACCCAGAGCCTAGCCCGGAGACCAAGCAACATGGTCACTTCACACCACACCCACACGGCATGCCCATGGCTGTTGTGCCTTCCAGCCCGGAATACATGATGCAGCAACAGCAACAGCAAATGTACCAGCGCCCACACTCGGCGAATGCGGCTATGCACTACAATCCGGCACCAGCATATATCTCCCAGGCCTTGCTGACACCCGTTGCATCTCCTCGCCCACACAGCCAAAAGCCCACCATCCTGGTACAGCATGACATGCCTTGCTTGATGCCTTTGAACACCGAGATGCACGGCTACTTTCCAGGAACGCCAACACTTTCTGCTTCGGGGTCTTTCAGCTCGATCGACAGTTCACCACAGAGCTGCGGTGTCATCCCAACACCCATAAATGGTGTCTTCTTCCAGCACCCGCAGATGCCCGTGTACCCCGCTGTGAAAGAAGGGTGCGAGGAGGAAGTCTTCCAAGAAGTGTTGGCTGCTAGCCAATGGGCACGACAGACTTCGCCTCCTATGTCCCCGGTCTTTCTTCACCCCGCATCGGCCGTCGCTCACGATGGTTCTTACCACCTTGCCGCCGGTTCTTGCCCTTCTCTATCTCCATCACCATCGCCCATCCCACGTTCTGTGGCATCGGAGCAGAATGTATGCGACCCCCGCAACCTGACTGTTAGCGCTGCTCAGGTGGACTTTTCGTCCATGCCAACTCTGCTGCCACAACACGATCTCAAGCCCGAATTCGTCCACCACGACCACGTACACATTGCCTCTGCTGAGATGCTCAACTACGGTGGTCTGCCTGTCTTCGAACCTGTCTTCGACTTGGATGTTGAGGACGACTTTGGTGCGATGTCTGCCTACACTGGCGCTGAGAACATGCACTTCCATGGCAACAAACGACAACGGCTTGATATGGCACCAGTCATGATCGAGGATGATGGTTTCTTCAGCGAGGAGAGCTACAGCGATGAGGAAGAGTTTGCCGCTGCTGCAAGCTTCTCGCCCTCGACCTCTGAGTTCTCCATCCCTGAGCACTCGGCTGCTGCTGTTGACAGGTCGCCACGCAACCGCAATCCCTGTGACGCGGCCACCCCACGTTCGGCCTCAGCGCGCAACGACTCCACTACCTCAACTTCGACTACGGATAGCAATGACTCGGAAGAGCAAAATGAGTCTGCTGCTTCCACACCCACTGCACAATCCGGCAGCGCTGCTCGTCGTGGCCGCAAGCAGTCCTTGACTGACGACCCATCCAAAACCTTTGTCTGCACACTCTGCAGCCGCCGCTTCCGCCGCCAGGAACATCTTAAGCGTCACTTCCGCTCTCTTCACACCCACGACAAGCCATTCGAGTGCAATGACTGCGGCAAGAAGTTCTCTCGCTCTGACAATCTCAGCCAGCACCAGCGTACTCATGGTGCCGGCACCATGGTTATGGGCGTCCTCTCCCAGCCAGGCGAGCACCCCATGTCTCAGCCTATTGAGAGTGTCAACGGTGGCGAGGCCGGTAGCTTGATCGCGCCCAAGAGCGACCCATACTCACCTCAGCCCATGATGCCTGCGCCGCGCCTCAGCCCTGATGCTGGCCAGCTCGGCGCCATGCTCTTCGATGTCACTGCCAACGTCTCCGGTGGCTCATCATCATCAAGCTCAGGCTACTCGGACAATGAGGTCAGCCCGTCGCAAGACAGCAAGTCCCAGCAGAAGAAGAGGAAGCGCGGCGACTAAGCCATCCCTGCACGACTTCATTCGTTGACGAAGAAACGCACTAAACGAAATTCACGCTGTCATGTCAGGGATCATAGAGGCCAGGGTACCAAAGAGGTCGGGAGGTTGGACCACCGGGACACCAGCCACAGGAAACACCAGTACACACGAGGATCACATTTTGTCATTGCCGCGCCTTCTTTCGCTGTACCTATTATTCTGGATTTGGATTCATTCGACATTGCGACTTTTGATTTGGTTTACTGTAAAGATAGTCTCCTATGTTCTTGCGGTTCAGTTGACGGAGGAATGGACATGCTGTAAAAGTAGCTTTCGCTTGATATTCTGCACGCTGGTCGTGGAATTAAACTTCTTTTGGACACTGTTTTTGTCTGTATTCAGTGTAGAATAGAGGGCTTGTATCAGGAGAAGGAATCACTATCGTTCAAACACTTTCACTGTTCACGAATGTGCAACTCTCCGACCTTCTGAACATAAAGCCATCTGGATGATGCTAGTCAGTACGGTACTACTTGCACTTCGCGCCGCACTGTGTATAGCATAGCGAGTGACGCGCGCGCCTGACAGTTGTTCAGGCGCCTACATCATGATCGCGAAGCAGGTACCGATCAAGCCCATGTGACCCTAGGGCTCTTCCAGCTGCGCCTAGTAGGCGCCGAGGTCTGTGATAGTGTTGTGGCGAGAGTCCTCACAACCTTTGCTCACATGCTTCTGCTGTTAACCACTTCCAGGGCGACCTCGATCCTGGGCTCGGGAAGGTATTGCATAATGTAAGGAGCGACACATTACCGCTATGAGTTTGTACGCAGATCGTATTGGGCAGCCCGAATTTGCAGGTGCAAGAGAGTGGCCAGAGTAGTGATGTGGTCGAGGTCCGTACATGCCAGATCTAGTGGTGCGGCGGCTGTGCTTTCGTAGTCTCTGATGACTGAAGAGTAACAAGTTTCATAGCCACTTTACTTCGTCCTGTGCTTGTGACGGACTTCGGGTTGATCTCTGGCGATGATGCGCCTAGCGACACCTTCGAAGTGGTGAATGTTTGAGCTATTGCCAGGACCATGGGCGTGGCGAATCGACATTACATATGCCACCCTTCTAGCTTATCTTCCGTACTGACGGCAACGTAGCGAGGCAACGCGCTCCAGCTCCCGAATATTTAGGCTTGCGATTCTGTTTCCCGATACTTCCAGCGTGTGCCTTGGATCGCATCTGCTACGGCGTGTGAAGCACGAGGCATTACTCAAGGGATCAAGTATTCGGCCAGGGACTTGTGCTAGGTGTCTAGAAATTGGCAGACATTATACAGTGATCTGCTGTATCTGGCGAGCGAAGTCCAAGAGGGCCAGTGGGGGGGGGGGGGTATGATGGCTCGCTCAAGGGATGGCCCTTTTAACGCGACATTCGGACAGCGACCTGAAAGTCTCCCAGTAGGTCGTTGGCCGATGTGGAGACTCACAAGAGCGACATGATTTCTGCTCTGGTTGCAGGTCAGGCTTGGTCGTTCAGCATTACCTTATATACGTATATACGTATTGTAGTGTGGATGCAGTGGTGAGGGAGGCGATAATGGGGTCGCGTCTCAAAGTTCCGAGACGCGTTATTTTAATGACGTGTATCGAACGTGAACATCGAATCGTGAGATACACTCAGACCACAACCAAATGTGCTACAAATCTGCTTGAAGATCTTCCATGGGGTCACAACGAGCACCGGCGTTGTCGCAGACGGCGTCTCAGAAAGGCCAGCAATCTATATCGAGCTTCTTCGGCAAGACCGCACAAGCTGCGAAGCCGAAGACAAGACCACTACAACACAACGCCCCTGTCATTCTAGCAGCACAATCTACGAGTCTGGGTGACGCTGGGATACTCGACGGGGAAATTTCGAGCGGTGGCCAGGGTGCCAATGGCCACAAAAGAAAGTCAGACTCGTTGAAGAGGACATTAGACGTGGAAGGCAAGGAGGACGACCTGCCAGACGCGAAGAGGCTCAGAGAGACCGTTGAACCGTCGAACGGGGCCGCAGCGAGTGACAATGCTGCTCCTCCGATGTTCAAGCGACCGTCTCTGATTGCCGCGTCCGGTAACAGCAACGATGGCACACGTAAAGAAAAGACAACAGGACGGGCGTCCAAGTACCTCTTCTCTAGCTCGCCAGCAGCAGCAGCAGCACAAGATGAGAACGTGGACGAGGAGCTCGATGACGTGGAGACGCGTAAGCTCAAGGAGCGACTGCACCAGAAATTTGTGAAGCGCTTAGGCAAGCCGGACAGTATCGCAGACATCAAGCGGCGGAATCGTCTCATCACGGAGGAGACTGAGGCAACGGAAGACGGGGCAGAGGACGAGGAAGCTGAAGACGAGCCAGACCCGGCACCACCTCCAAAGTCAAAAGGAAGGAAAGGTGCTGCTGCGAAGAAGAGCAGTACGAAGCTCACACCACTCGAGAAGCAGGTATTGGGTATCAAGCACAAGCACCCAGATACACTGCTCGTCGTCGAAGTTGGCTACAAGTGCCGCTTCTTCGGTGAGGACGCTCGTATTGCAGCAAAGGAGCTCAGCATTGTCTGCATACCTGGCAAATACAGATTTGACGAGCACCCGTCTGAAGCACATATCGATCGTTTCGCCTCTGCCAGCATACCAGTACATCGATTAAGTGTGCACGTCAAACGTCTGGTTTCTGCAGGCCATAAAGTTGGTGTCGTGCGCCAGCTGGAGACAGCTGCGCTGAAAGCGGCAGGCACGAATAGAAATACTGCTTTCGAACGTGGGTTAACAAATCTATATACGAAGGGTACATATATCGATGATCAGGAGGCACTCGATGGTGCTTCGCCTGCTCCAGAGGTACAAGGTGCTGCGCCAGCCACTGGGCACTTGCTATGTCTCACAGAGACACGACCAAAAGGCTGGGGCTCAGACGAGAAGGTGCAAATCGGCTTAGTAGCAGTGCAGCCCTCTACGGGCGACATCATATACGATGACTTCGAAGATGGCTGGATGCGCAGTGAGCTCGAGACGCGACTACTACACATTGCACCCTGTGAATTCCTGATCGTTGGCGATGTATCGAAAGCCACCGACAAGCTTGTGCAACATTTGTCAGGCAGCAAGACAAATGTTTTTGGCGACAAAGCTCGTGTCGAGCGAGTTGAGAAGCCAAAGACCATGGCCGCGGAGTCGTACAGCCACATCACTAACTTTTATGCTGGCAAGATGCGATCGGATGCGCCATCTTCTTCCCAAGTAGAGTCGTCACAAGAGACTGGAACCCTTCTGGATAAGGTCCATAAGTTGTCAGAGAATGCTACAGTCTGCTTATCTGCCATGATCACTCATTTGACCGAGTATGGTTTGCAGCATGTGTTTGATCTGACGAAGTATTTTCAATCTTTCAGTGCAAGGTCGCACATGCTGCTGAATGGCAATACTCTGACGTCGTTGGAAATCTACCGGAATCAGACAGACTATGGCGAACGTGGTAGTCTGTTCTGGACACTGGATCGGACACAGACCAAGTTCGGACAACGACTACTGCGGAAGTGGGTTGGCAGGCCTCTTCTTGATCGCACACGATTGAATGAACGTGTAGCTGCCGTAGAGGAGCTGAAGAATAATGCATCCACAGCTGACGTGGATCGGATCAAGCAACTGCTTGGCAAGACCAGAAGTGACCTGGAACGTTCGCTCATTCGGATCTACTATGGCAAGTGTACACGACCTGAGCTGCTGAGTGTCTTGCAAACCCTGCAAATGATAGCACAAGAGTATGCTCACGTCAAGTCGGAAGGAGAAGCCGGCTTCACCTCACCCGTACTGCAGGACGCAATCTCATCCCTACCCAAGATCGCTGATGATGTCGTCGAGTATCTCGAGCGGATCAACACACAAGCCGCCAAGGACGATGACAAACACAGCTTCTTCCGGGAGGAGTACGAAACCGAAGATATCACCGACCACAAGATGGGCATCATAGCCGTCGAGCACGATCTCCAGGAGTTCAAGGCAGTGGCGGCTGAGAAGCTACGAAAGAAGAAGATCGAAACTTATGTCACAGTCGCCGGCATCGACTTCCTCATCGAGCTCGATAATACTCAACTCAAGAACGTACCAGCCAGCTGGGCCAAGATCAGCGCCACGAAGAAAGTCTCACGCTTTCACGCACCAGAGGTTGTCAAGTACATCCGAGAGCGCGACCAGCACAAGGAGGCTCTCGCAGCCGCTTGCGATGCCGCTTTTAAAGCACTTCTTGCCGAGATCGCAGGTAAATATCAAGCCTTCCGCGACTGCGTTCAGAGTCTAGCATTGCTGGACTGCCTCCTCTCCCTCGCCGAAGTGGCCACGCAGCCAGGATACAGCAAACCCAAATTCACCGAGACCATTGGTATCGACATTCAAGGCGGCCGACATCCCATGGTCGAGCAACTTCTCCTGGATACTTTCGTGCCAAACAACATCAGCATATCCGGAGACTCGACGCGCGCCCTCTTGGTCACAGGTCCGAACATGGGTGGCAAATCCTCCTACGTTCGCTCCGTTGCCTTGATATGCATCATGGCACAGATCGGGTCTTACGTACCGGCCGACAGCGCGAAGCTAGGTTTACTCGATGCCGTCTTCACGCGCATGGGTGCGTTCGACAATATGATGAAAGGCGAGAGTACATTCATGGTCGAATTGAGTGAGACGAGTGACATTCTCAAACAAGCCTCGCCTCGCTCGCTCGTGATCCTAGATGAGCTTGGAAGAGGCACGAGTACGCACGATGGTGTGGCTATCGCGCAAGCGGTCCTGCATCATATGGTGTCTAGTCTGAAGAGTCTGACCTTGTTCATTACACACTATCAGTCTCTCGCTCGCGTAGCGGATCATTTCAAGGAGGGGGAGTTGAAGAACGTGCATATGCAGTTCACAGAGCAGGAGAATGAGCAAGGCGGCATGGATGTTACCTTTCTCTACGAAGTAGGGGAGGGCGTGGCGCATAGAAGTTATGGATTAAACGTTGCCAAGTTAGCTGGTCTTCCTAAAGGTGTCCTCGAGAGGGCAAGCGAGAAGAGTGGTCAGATGGAGGAGAAGGAAGGTCGGAGGAGACTGAGCTATTTGTCGAGAGTACTGGATGATGTGGTTCAAAGTGGCAGAGTGGAAGAGCTAGAACACGCTATCGCTGGTATCGAGCAGCTGTGAGGAGAATTTGAACAGAGTTGTTCGCTTAACGCTCCAGACCTTCATATGTAGCACTTACCAGCGCACCCATATCCCTCGTACTGCTAGCTATGAGATAGCAGTCCATGCTCTTGATCCTCCAATTCGTCGTACTTGTCTTATCTTGATCGTCATTGCAGTCCGTGTCGTATCATACCGTCTAAATCCGCCAGCGCCCTTCACCGAACGTTCATCTCCCTTTCCTCATTGGTGGAAGCAGAGCAAAGACCTCCCGGTGCGACTCGCCGTTTGATGGAACGTTGTAGGGCCATACGAATGCCCGTCAAAGCCATTTGCGGGCGCCATATTGATCTGGGTTGTATTCGGTCCAGTCTCTGCCAATTGGCGTACTTCGCTGACAGATGGCTAGCGATGAGGCACTACCAAGTCCTGTGATTCGGCGTAGTGGCTCTCCATGTCGATCATAGACAAGGGGACGGCTCTCTATCGTGCCCTCTTGTACCAGTGTCGGTGGAGATGTCGCTTGACCTCGAGCGTCATTAGGTGACTGTTTCCTTCATACTCCTGTGGTACCAATCCTCCAAAATGTGTATCACGCTTCACATGCGTGCTTCGTGGTAGCTTCAAGGTAATTTAGGGGCATAGCTAGTCGGTCCTCGCGGCATCAAATGTCGAGGCAGAATATGATGCAAAAGCCCATCTGCCATCCGCACATGCTCCCGCTTCTCCACATCACGAAGCTGTATGAGGGTGCTGGGCCCATCATAGTAACGCAATATGTTTCTGCCCGTAAGCTTGAGGAAAGGAGAGCCGAGCTTAGCGGCAAGGACTTCACAACTTGCTTCGAATTCTGCATCGTGGTCAGTCAGCGCCTTGCCGAAGTCATCGACTTCGTTTTCCTTCTTCTCATCCTCCTTCGTGGCACTTTCTAGGTCTGGTCGCACCAAGATACCAAGGTATGCATGTAGCATCTCGTGTATGAGTAAAGCAAGAGGTTGGACCTTGCTTTCGGAAGCATAGCACATGATCTCCGCACTGAGGTATATAGCCGGGCGCACGCTCTGACTTAAGCGCTTCGGCGGCACGACCGTAGTGGCAAGAACAGTTGCCAAAGGCTTCTCGTGGGCTGATCTGAGTGTGTCGAGCCTTCGAGTATATGTGCTCATGTTGATCCAGTGCACAAGTATCCTATTTCGGAGTGCACCACCGAACAGGATCGTATCAAGATCATTGACCATTTTGATCAACAGGCCCGGCGACCTCGTCCCGTGTGGCGATCTATGCGCTTCCAGTAGCCGTTGTCGAGCAGCCATCTGCGCCCATGTAAGACGCTGACCAGCCGCGTGCTTAAGCAAAAGATGTGCTTGCGTAAGCGTGACACGCACGGGTAAATCTCGCCACTCTGAATCGTCTGGTCCAAACTTCGGATCTTGCAAGATGCGCAACTCGTCTTCAGGTACAATGTAGGGCGTGCCAGTATTGGCGTGAGCAGCCATTCTTTCCCAATCCGGCTGGCTGCGAGCTATAGCTGTCGCATATTCGGTACGCTCATCCACAGGCTCCGTGAGGCTGTCCACACGTTTGTGCTCTGCCACAGTCATGATGAGGGTAGTGAATATGTTTCCTAGGTTGCGAATGAATCGTGTCTGAGAGATGAAGTTGTAGTGCGTAAGCTGTGGCGAGATCCAAGCTCGAGTCGTCTTTGTTCGGTCCCGCCTTGAGGACAAAGAATTTCACCAATCAGCGTCTTCGTCGATCGAATGCTGGTCTTATGATTAGTTGTCCTTCTGTAGCTTCTGTATGGCAACGTTGGTGCCTTTGACAATCAACTGATGTTCGTGTTCGTGAATCCTCGTTTGGAGATCGGAAAGTGATTGACAGCCTTGAATCGGTATTGTTTCATACACAATCGGCTCTCCCATATCAACTTCCTCGATAACGTAGTGGATCATAATACCAGTCTCGGTTCGCTTCTCAGCTTCGAATTCATCCCAGGCGCGTTCGATACAACCAGCTCCGATGAGGTCTCCAGGCTTCGACGGATGGAGGTTGATGATGGGAATGTTTTCTGCCTTCACTGGATCGAGGAAAGCAGTGGTCAAGATACGCATGAACCCCGCGCATACAACGATATCAGGCGTTCCCGAAATAACCAGTCTGGCGAGATCAGCGTCGTAGGCTCGTCGAGCCTCTTGATATTGTGGCTTCTCAGAGCTGTCCGGGTACTGCTTCTTGAAAGGCACGATACCGTGGTACGACGTCTTTATCCCGACCGCCTCAGCACGCCTCAAGCCGTAAGCGTCTTTACGGTCTGATATCACATGCGTAATTTCAGCCTCCGGTAAGGCCGATGCGTGGCGTGCGTCGATTAAGGCTTGAAGATTACTGCCGCTGCCTGAAATTAGAACGGTGATCCGAGCAGGAGAGTCTGCACCGGGAGTGCTCCTATTCGTAGTGGCAGTCATCACGGAGAAAGAACACGTCCTTTTTTCAGAGCATTGGGCGAGCTCGAACAGCTTGCTTAGCGCTGCGTGAAAATAATGGTGTGTGTGGAGGGGAACGAAACCTCGGAACGATCTCCGCTCCACGCCAGGAACGATTGCTAAGTTTTGGGGAAAGCTTAGATCTCCGTATTAGGTATGTCCATGACGTTGTCGTCCGTAGTGAAGTGTCTAGAATTTGACGTGCATGTGATATTGTGTTGTCGTCCCGTCTCATCAACTTCTCATTGGACAAACTCATCATCTACGGCCTCTATACTGTGACTCGATCCTACTTCACTAACAGTCTTGTTCCAACGATCACCTATATCAACGATGAGCAACCAAAAATTGGCAAGGAATCTGGCCCTGGGAGTGGTTGGAGGAGGAGCGTTGTTCTACTTCTTCCCCCGTGCAACCGCGAAGATATCGCCAGGGTATGTCAGGCTGTGAGACTGGCAAGGTATTTCTTGGACTAACCGACGCAGCAATGTATTTGAGACACCAGCGGTCAAGTCAGTCGCAGACAGGTTCGTCGACCCTGCACGGCCCTTGCTACGATTATGCTAACGGCAGTAACAGGCACTCAGCTGGCGGAGCGACGACTACATCAACACCCGGGGTAGCGACAGAGCGAGGTACCAAGACCGATTATCTCACACTCGTCAATCCACGCTGATAGATGTAAACAGGAAATGCGAGCCAAAATATGTCAAAGCAGATTAATCCGAAGGGCGTCGACACCCTACACTTTCAAGAGAACCAGGCATCACAGAAAATCGGCGAAGGACCATCGGCTGCTTTTCCTCCTGGGGCTCAAGAGGCTTTCCACAAAGCGCAATATGGCGAGATCAATTCTAAAGGCAAATAGGCGGATGAATGTTTGTGACTGTGCAGCAGAAGAGGCTTAGAAGCATTAAACCATGGGATGCCACACAGCCTTTGTACAACTAGATGAGAAGTCTGAGGAATGGTAGACTACAGTGTAATACAGTACTCAACTTGTCTGGCCCACTCCCGATGCGGCTAGCCAGGACACGCTGTGATGAGCGTTCACATGCTCTGATGAATGTCGAATTCGATCCATATGAAGTGCATATATGAGATCAAGCGCCGCCTAGCGCTCCGGCTTTTCGACCAGCTCACACAGGGCCTATTCAACAAGTCTCAAATCTAGAACAAGAACATCAACATCAAACGCTGGTCACTTTGGCCTTGCACAATGCCGATCTCCACCAAGCGCAAGGCCAATAAAACAGCCAAAGGCAGCGAACAACGACGAGCGACCCGCAAACGTGCCGTTGAACGTGAATCCAAGGAAGCGAATCGCACCACTCTCTTCTCCTTGCCACCCGAGCTCAGAAACAAGATCTACCTCCTTGTCCTACCCTCCGAGTCCCAGGTGTTCCGTTTCAGCCTTGGCGACCACGCTACTATTACTCCGCTGCTACAGGTGAATCGGCAGATCCGTAGTGAAGCGCTTGGATAATACTATGTCCAAACCGCCTTCGACCTGATCGTGCATCACAAGCATTTCTCCCCTGGCCGCACGTGTGCTCAATCGCTTGGCAAGGAGTAAGCCAGATCTAGAAAGTGCGGCTCCATCTGAGCGATCTAATCTGACAGGGAGATAGTGCAAGAACACAACTTCTCCAAAACGGACGCATCAACATCCGCGTCGTCTTCGATAAGTTCCACCTCGACCACGGTAAGATCACGAAATTTCTTTCCACGAAAAGCTTTTTATGCTGGTACGGTAATGCAAAAGGTCCAGCCGGCTGGTACGGTATCGCCACACCTGTGATGATGGAATGAACCTCACTAAAGGATATGACGTGCATCTCAGATGCTAGACGCGAAGCGGGTTTTGCGCGAAAGTCGGACACCTACTATGCTAAGGAGCGCGCGGCTCGTGTTCCTGTCCCAGAGAATGCACATGCACACGGTCATACGGCTGCAGCTGCAACAGCAGCAGCAACACTAGTCGCGGGTCAGACGAGTGCATTGGAAGCAGAGAGACAGCGGGCGCAGGAGCTCGAGGAAGTGCAGAACACTATACATCGGTCGATTGAGAGCGCGATGGCTCGATTGTTTCAGGCTCTTACGCTTGATCTTGCCAGGAAGACGTCCTGCTCGAAGGTTTCGCAGGCTCATGCGGTGTTGGAAGGTGTCGCGGTCTGTAGACACTGTTCACGATGGATCGGCATATGGTCTGAAGTGTTGGGCACAGTATCACTCGCTGCACAGGCAGGTAGGGCTCATCACGGATACGCATCTAAGGTCGTTGTCATTACACGATTGGGCGAAACCATCACTTCATGGCTCCGAAATCGATCTTCCTCGCCACTTTGTCGGCCCTTCCATTCTGCCTCGGTAGCTCTGCACCCCTCTGCGTCAAATCCTCCCCCATCGTCTCGACGCCACCACCCCTCCGTGGCAAGTCCTTCAGCCTACTAGGCCTTGGTTCAGACGTCCAAAACTCGTGCCTCAAGACCCCCTCCGCACTCAACCTCTGCCTCGGATCCAACGTCAACATCTTCACCAGCAAATCCACCCCTTGCTCCCCTATAGTCCGAAAACTCGCAAGCCACTGATCTCGAGGGCGTAACGGTACGAACTCCGTAGGCGTCACATAGCCTCGTAATTTGCTGACACCAGGCCAATTCTCCTCCGTCGGCGTCCCAACCTTCTCACATATCATCTTCACCATGTTGATCTCCGTCTCTGGCCATGCCCGAAACATAACCTCTCTCGCCACGAGTTCCGCAAACACACACCCGCAACTCCAGACGTCCACCTGACCACCGTAATGCTGCGCCTGGAAGAAGAGTTCCGGTGGTCGATACCAGATAGTGATGGTGTTATACGTCATCGGTTGGAAGGGATCAGCCATAGACCGAGCAAGACCAAAATCTGCGAGTTTTATGCTCCCGTCAGCGGCGATGAGTAGATTGTTGGGTTTGATGTCGCGGTGAAGGATGTTGTTCTTGTGGCAGAAATGGGTGGCGCGGAGGAGCATCAGCATCCAGGATTTGATATCGGCGGAGGTGTATTGGACTCCGCCCACATCTTGGATCAACTTTAATAGATCTCCTTGGGGTAGATGTTCGAGCACGAGGTTGAGATTTTGGTTCTTCGTACTGAAGACGGCATGAAGTTTTATGATGTTCGGATGATCTAGTTCCTGTAAAAACTTGATTTCTCGCAAGGAGTCGTAGGAGATGCCAAATTCTTTCACTTCGGGCCCGACTTTGATCTTTTTGATGGCGACGAGTTTGGTTGGGTCCGAGACGAGGTGGGCGGAGAAGACGTCGGCGTATTGACCTGAGCCTAGTTTGGCTCCTTTGACGTACTTCTTTCGTTCTTGTGCGTCGAGCTGTTCGGCTAGATCTGCGACTTGGGTCGTGATGTCCGGAGGTTCGGGCGACACCTTTCGTCGTTTGAGTGGTGGTTCTGCAGGGACGTCTAGAGCTGGGGAGGTGGCCATTTCGCACTACGATATGCCGTGATGGAAGTACCCAGAATTAGTTATGCCAGATTGGATCTTGACTATGTGTCCTCGCAATGTACCTCACGGAGACGTATTTACACATGTCGATGGCAATGTCGTCGTGGCGGACGAATGAGGTCGCGTGAAGCCCGGGGCTGCTCGGGGGTGAGTCTTGGCAATGGGTTTCCCTACTGCTGAGCAGACATATATGCAGGCACAAACAACACGAACGCATTACCAGCGCTTGTCGCTACGACATCGATACCACTCTAACCCAACTTTCCTTCCGGAACTACCATCTCCAACATGGCACTAAAACGACCCTCAGCCCTACTCGCCTTACCAACTTCATCGCGAACACTCACCTGCAACCAATGCCGAGCTCTACACAAGACCACGATCCGCATCCCCAAACCAACCCCATTCGTGCCCGATGTCCCAACTTTTCTCACCCTCATCGGCCGAAATCTTTCCCAGCATGCCAGCAAGATCCCAAGCTGGGAAGCCCTCTTCTCCCTCACCAGCCAACAGCTCCGCGAATCCGGTGTGGAACCGGCACGAGCACGGCGGTATCTACTTTGGTGGCGAGAACGATTCAGGGCAGGCATCACGGGTATTGGAGGGGATGTGAAGGAGGTCAAAGATGGTATCGCGGAGCTCAGGCTCGTGGAGGTGCCTAGTCAGAGGAGGATTGATGCTCAAGCGACTTTGACGAAGAGTGCGGGAATGAGGAAGATGATCATCAACGTCACGCCATCGGTCTCGTTACCAGCGGATCCTGCGAATCCTGTCAAGGAAGGCGAGAGTGAGGATGGTGTGCCGCTGGTTGTCATACCGAAGATTAATGTAAGCAAAGCACAACTTGTGACGGGGGTGAAGATTGTGTCTGGAACGGCTATTGGCGGCACGGGTGTGGAGAATGTGAAGGGGCATCAGGGCGTGGCGCGGCTGAAGGTCAAGGAGGGGTTGTGGGAGGAGCGGAGAGGACATAAGGTGGACGGTGGTGAGAGGCGGAAGGCTGAAGTGCGGTATAAGCGACGGGCACAGGAGAGGAAGATGGCACGGTAGAGTCAGTCGAGTAATACACGTTCAAAGTCACCGCTTTCATCAGCAAGCACAAGCCTAGTTGCCATGTTGGCAGAAGTTGGTGCGTTGTCTGTTCTTATATGCCTCTGCTGATCGAATAGTACATAAGCATTGGTCCGGCCCCTGTGCATACCACAACTTCCTGGACTTTCGCCAACTTCCTCCATCGAACATGTCTAACCTTGCAAGAAGACGCATCTTGGTCCAATTGCTTCCTGTCTGTTTCCTGTTCCTGATCCTCTGCATTGTTCTGAGCCCTCTCCTTTACCATGGTCTCTCACCCAAGTCTGTCCGCCAGTATAAGCAGGCTCTCAATGTCCTACCCAGAGCGGCGGACATGCCTTTACCCTTAACACAGCTTGACACCAACACTAATAGCACCCTCCACGCTCGAGTCCCAACACCAGATACCTACGACGATGCTGTGCGCAAGGGCGAGTTCAAAGCCATGATATTGTCCACAGGAACCATATCCAGCAACAATCAGTTGGAGTCACAATTCACAAAGTTCAGCGATCTCGAGACCCACGGCTGGCGCCACGTTACTGTGAGCAGTCAACCATATGAGGCACGAACCCAGCCTATCAGGAAATTGATACGCGACCTTATGATGCATTGGCGTGAAGGCATCGGCATGTCGATCCAACCACCACCTCCAAAGAAACCCGGACAGGGTGTTGGTATACGTGAAGCATGGAATCCGATGCTAGCGTGCATGTTCCGAAAATAACTTCCCGTAGATGGTGCAGAACGGGTAGGCAACAGACACTCTACACGCGCCCGCCGCGCATAAGTCAAAGAAGATGTAAGCTGACCAACAAATCCCAGCGCATCACTGGCGGACACGTCTCCTCCTACAATATCTACAACGGCATCCTCATCGCCTACAATAGTCTCTCACCCTGGCAAACTAGGCATCCCACCAAGGAAGACACTAATCCTGCAGGCTACCCTGACCTGCACTACTGGTCCGACGTCTCCTATCTGGTCTGGATGCAGCAATGCGAAGCCTATCTCAAAGCCGAAAGCAAAGCGGCCGCAGCTTGTCAGCGTGGTCCCAGTATCGTGGTGCAATCAGGAATCGACAATCCACTGGTCACAGACTTCCTCTTCGAGATCTCTCGCCGCTGGGGCAACCAACCTCCCAACCAAGCCGTCATTCCAGCCTACGAGTTCCGCTATATCTTGAAACTCCAAGACGCGGTTTACAGAGAAATGTACTTTGCTGCGCTCGGCACGGTACTGGGAAGTGGCGTCACACGCCTCTTCGTGAACCATGTGCACGACTGGGGTGAGAAGCAGATAAGCGAGATTTGGATCTATAGTCATCAGGACAGAGCCGAGCGGCTTGACAGGCGGGCAGCAAGGCCGACTGTTGTGTTCGGGATTGATCCTGTGGAGAAGCAGGGGCTCAGTCCCACGAGTAGTCATGGGGATGCGGAGCAGGAGATTGAGGAATCGGATGGTGCTTTCCCTGCGCATCGGCCGTCCGCCGCGGCGCAGGATCCGTGGAAGTAATGGGCTTGCGTTGGGTCGAGAGTCTGGTAGTGTTTGCGAACAAATAGAGAGGCTAGGCCGCCAGCGCAGGTGTTGTTGTCAGACACAGTCGATCTGCTATGGGGCGGTTGGTGTCGGGGAGGTGACGAGCATGCTCTTGTGAGGTTTGCGAACCACGTGACAGTGAGATTTTGGGACTACACCTTGTAATAATCTATGACCTGATGCGAGGATTTTGGACTGGTAGATGGTAAGGTACAAGAAGTTCACTCAGCTGTCCTGCCACCATGAAACAAAGTTCGACCAAGCTTTCGCTGGTGCAGTCGTTGTCGCTCTCATACCCACTGTCTGCGATGTACTCACCGCCTGTGGCGTCTGCGGCGTCTGCGCGGGCTGAGAGGTAATTGCAGGCGGCTCCAGACTCTCTGGTCTTCTTGGCGGCGCCCATGCCTTCGCATGCTTCGTCCCAGGATCTTGGAGATCTATCTCGTATCGGTCCGGAAGTTTCAATCCTTGCTTAACATAGATCTCCATGACAGTAGCACTCACGCCATCCTTGAACAGCCATGGATCAGCAGTCTCATATTGCCATGCCTCGACCATTTGTCTGCACCACTGCAGGACTTCTCTATACTCCTCCTGGTGGACAACACTAGTCACCTCATCTGGGTCGCGTTCGAGGTCGTATAATTCCTCTGGTCCGCGGAAGAGATACTGCTCTAGTGGTCGCTTACCGATCACGATCGGCTGTGGTCCGTCTTGGTTTCTCACGCCTTCCCATGATAGCGACCCGTACAGATCAGCGGCGAACGGAAAGTCGAGACGGTATGCTATGTTGCGATGGTACTTATAGCGATGTGTACGTATGTAGCGAGTCGGCCAGTAGTTCTGCACCTCGTGAAAAGTGTGGCTTCCTGTTACATGGTGTTTCCACTCTGAAACAGGTATCAGATCTGTGTCTCCTAGTATCGGAAGCAGACTGTTGCCCAGTCGTGTTGGCGACTTCTTGGTATCAATCGGCTCGTCGTTGATGAGCGGTGGATCTTGCGTGCCTGTTGTCCAGGCTAGCGAGGTCGGCAGGATATCTAAGAAGGACGCCATATTCGGGTTCACGATATCAGAAGGCTGTCCTGGCTGACGGATGATGAGTGGCAGTTGTACGCCCGCATCATACATCGTGGTCTTCGAGTTGATAAATGGGGCGCCATTGTCACTCATAAAGACAATTAGAGTACTCTCCTCTAGCCCTCTTTCCCTTAAAGCTTCCATGACGAGTCCGACGCCCAGATCCATCCGGCTGATAGATTTGTAGTACTGCACTAGCTCGGTCCTCAGCTCCGGCACATCTGTCATAAATCTCTGCACTTCGACTTCGTTCAGACCATAGTCGGGCACCTCCGCATCCAGTCCAGCATCGATGACTTCAGGGAAATCATTCGCAAATCCGCCTCGTGTCTCATCACGGTGGGGATCTGTCCAGCCAATCGTGAGATGGAATTGCTTGTCCTCGTCACTAGCTCTGTCAAACAATGCTGCTGCCCGTTCCGCCACCCACTTTACGTTCCGACTCTGACTACTTTCGAACACTTCCCATGGATATGCTCGCCTTGGACCTACGTGCACTTTGCCTATAATGCCCGTCAGGAAGCCAAGGCTGTTGAAAGCTTTTGGTACGGTCTCGATGTGTTCGTGAGTCATGAAGTGGTTCCAGTCGTGCTCCAAGCCATATTGGCCGTTCTGATGTGTATGAAGACCCGTGTAGATTGTTGATCTGGAGCCAGAGCAAGAGGCTGTTGAGGCGAAGGCTGAGGCGAAGCGAGTGCCACTTGCGGCAAGTCTGTCAATATTGGGTGTCTTAATTGTCCTGTTGCCATAGCACGCTAGGTAGTCCCGCCCAAGGTCGTCTGCTACCATCAGCAGAACGTTTCTGGGCTTGTCATTGGCGCTGGTCGCCATGATCAGAGTTTCTGCCTGCGTGGACCTCAAGGACAGCGCGAGAATCTATCAGAGCTAGAACAGTACTTGTTGCGCCGGTCAGCGATGAACGATATTGCTTTGTCGTTACAAAATCACATCTCTGGCGCTGCGAGCATGTAGCGATCGCACGTGGCGAGCTCTGGTAGGCTACTACGCAAAGTAGCGATGCCAGACCTGGCTGAGTGGAATCGGTAGAGAACGACGTGTAATGGATCGGCTCTCTTGATGAGGACTCCAATGCAAGAACAATGTCACGGTTCCGTTATGGTCTGCCATAGCACAGCATCGATGCATGAAGCACGAGCTCGGCCGCTCGGGTGGAGCTCTACACGTGACCTGGCCGTCGGTCAGGTCAACTCCGATCGCCGGCATCATCTTCACATCTCACCTTTCCAATTCCAGACGGCATCCTGCGAGCAATGCAACGCCATGGATCCTCCAGCTTGTACGTGAGTGGAGTCAATGTACTTTGATCAACACCGCGCGGACGTAATATTGAACTCGCCCGGCGTCATGAGGAGGTATAAGTATGGCTGTTCACGTTCACAGTATGCTCCATCGCGCACAGCAACTTCCCTCGTATCACATATCGATTCACAAATCAAGACAACTTACCCCCTGGAAACGCTCTCACCATTTGCTTCACCATGGAACACATCAGATTGCCATACAAGTACGATGCATACGGCAAGCCGCTGTTCGCCCAAGTGAGCTGGTCAACCTCGTCGGCCTCACCGAAGCCAATAGGTATGTTCCATATCACAGACGATCCGGTGTAAAGTCTGACAGACCTAGCTCTGGTCTTCCACGCTGGCGGTCTTATGGTCGGTAGCTCGAGCATCGTGCCTAAGACTCAAATCGACTACCTATGCTTACTCGGCTTTGCCGTCGTGATACCGAACTACCGCCTCGCACCACAAGTCTCCGGCAAACAGGCTTTCGAGGATTGCGAGACAGCGTACGATTGGGCTATTTTAGACCTTGCTGCCGTGCTCGAGAAGCATGGTGTTAGCCTCAACACGCAGCAGGTCGTTGCTATGGGCCACTCATCTGGTGGTACATTGGCTTTGCACATGGCTGGCAAGAAGCAGGTGAAAGCTGCTACCGCTTTCTATCCCTCCCTATATGGCTCTGATAAGACCACAACCATACATAAGCCTACTAATGCGCCACCCTTCTGTTTTGCAAAGGACTTCGTTCCGAATGATGAGGACAGAGCAGCGATAAGTCCGCCCGACCACGAAGTGTCAGAGTTTCAGCTGGGGGCTCCACCAGCTATACCGCAAGCAAGAAACAAATGGCAGATGCATGTAATCAAGAACGGCTTGTGGGCGGAGATTGTTCAGCCAGATGGCAACCTCGCGGCTCTGGACCCGATGACTAGAGTTAGCGCACACTGGGCACCGCTTATGATTGTCCAGGGCGAACTCGATAGTGTGCCTGGTAGTGATCGGAGTCTCGTGAAGAGGGCGGAGAAGGAACTGATGGCAGCTAAGGTGGACTTTCAGTTGGAAGTCGTGCCAGGAGAAGGTCATATGTTCGATCTCGCTCCAATTGTAGGAAGCACAGATTTGGGGCCCAAATGGCAAGCGGTGGTCAGAGGGTTGGACTGGCTTGTAGCTCATGTATCAATGTAGCCGAGACACGCAGCGAAATGTCTCACCCAACTGCCATTCAATGCAATTCAGAGGGGGACAGAATTGTGTTGAAATATAACGACTTGCTCTCGCATGACTTCTGCTCAAACGTAGCAGGCAAGTCGGTGGAGCCGCAACGTACGGAGCGGGTGGTAGGACGTGTTCAACCACACCTGGTGTCGACGCAAGGGCCTCTGCCATACGCATCGCACGTGCTCGAGCCCCCCGTCTGCTTGCCATCAGCAAATAGTCCTCCCAGCACTCACCGAGCTCTGCTGCATTTACGCGTCGAGTAGGACATACCAGGACGATGGCTACATATTTGTGTTTGGTACGGCCTTGGATCCGGAATCAGGTCTCGCGCCAGTCGTCCTATCGTGTACCGCGATCGAACGAAGATACGGCAATACTGCAGGATCATTATCGAACACTGAGCAGATACAGCAACAATCCTAACGGCGGTCAAACGGCCAAGCCAGCTCCTACGAATGCAGCACTCGCGGGAGCATCGTGGAAGCGTGTCCTTTGCATATGTCAAGCGCTGGCTGAGGAGATCTGTAATAGAGAGCGCAAGGCGAAGGGCGGCGAGCACAGGGAGATCAGAGAATCTGGGCAGTCGGCCCAGTCGAAACTAACGAAATGCTTCATGCATCTATCGGCAACGAGACGGCAAGAGGCCAAAGCGCTGGAGCAAGCTCGGAAGGCAGTCGTAGGCCTAGATGAAGCAGGTCTGACAGTGGCGGCCGCAAACATGGTATTCGAGATCGCGAGACGGGTTCCGAGATTCGCCATGACTTCAATGGTGCGCAGACGGTCTTTGTCGACTGCGTCCAGCAGTGATAGTACTGAAGAGCTGCTGTGGCATAAGAACTTGGAGAAGTGGGTAGGAGGAGGAACTCGAGCCCCATAGTGTGAGCCAACGGATATGCTCGACCAGAGACGTACAAGAGCAGGCTTACGGTCGTTAGTATGGGACGGAGGCTCCCTCACAAGACTGAGGTCGGAGGTGTGCCGATGGAGGCACAAGGTAGCCAGAGGGGGAGTAGCTTAGTCGAGATCCACCATACCTGAGCTTCTACTTTGATCAAGACCCTTTCCCAGACTGTTCGGCGTTGTCGTCAGTGGTGAATGCAAGTGAAGTTTCAGGACATGCTTTGAACGAACACGTGCCTGCTTCCTCTTCTCCATCACGAAATCGACTTTGGATTGCCTCCTTGGGATTAGCCTGATGCACTTCTCCGCACTGATCGCACTGATCCGAAGTCGGCACCCGCAAAAAGCTAGCCCGGTTCTGTACCTGGCCTGGGCAAAGTGAGGCTTTCGTCATTGGTAGGGAAAAATACTGCTTCATTACATTGACTCTTCACTTGACCGTTGACTCACTTGCGTTTACCCGCAACACTACAAGAGCTCCAGACCACATATCTCCCTCCCAATAACCACATAGCCGTACCCCTCTGGCCAAAATATACAACGCTCGACGATTCAAAGTGATACATCAGTAGCTCAAGATGTGTCCAGTACCAGACGGTGAGGCCGCGACGAATGGCCATGCCAATGGCGCGAACGGACAGGCGAACGGCAATGGCACGAACGGCCACAATGGCTTCAGGTAAGTGACACATTACGTCGAACTCGACATACGTCACAGCCTGCTGACTGATTGGGAACAGAGCCATCGAGACACACACTGCCCCCAAACCACCCTCAAGCAACCCATACGCACCCGTCCAGGACTTCCTGAGCAATGTATCACAATTCAAGATCATTGAATCGACGCTTCGAGAGGGTGAGCAATTCGCCAACGCCTTCTTCGACACCGAGACCAAGATCAAGATCGCCAGGGCGTTAGACGAATTCGGTGTGGACTACATCGAACTCACATCGCCTGCTGCCAGCGAGCAATCTCGCAAGGATTGCGAGGCTATTGCTAAGCTCGGTCTGAGGGCCAAGACGCTAACTCACGTGCGATGTAACATGAGCGATGCCAAGATGGCGGTGGAGACGGGTGTGGATGGTGTGGACGTGGTCATTGGCACGAGCAGTCACCTTATGGAGCACAGCCACGGCAAGGATATGACGTACATCAAAGAGACGGCTATCCAGGTCATCGAGTACGTCAAGTCGCAAGGCAAGGAGATCAGATTCAGCTCCGAGGACTCCTTCCGAAGTAACTTGGTCGATCTGCTCTCGCTGTATCAGGCTGTGGACAAGATTGGTGTGAACAGAGTCGGTATTGCGGACACAGTTGGGTGAGTCATATGGTATGTGAGATTTCGCGCATCTTTACTGACTGTTTCTAGCTGCGCAACCCCACGACAAGTCTACGATCTCGTCCGAACATTACGCGGCGTAGTCAGCTGCGACATCGAAACGCATTTCCACAACGACACAGGATGCGCCATCGCCAATGCTTACTGCGCACTTGAGGCAGGTGCTACACACATCGACACATCCGTCATCGGTATTGGTGAGCGCAACGGAATTACGCCCCTCGGTGGCCTTATGGCACGGATGATCGTTGCCGACCGCGACTATGTCAAATCCAAGTACAAGCTGGAGAAGCTGAAGGAGATCGAGGATCTGGTTGCGGAGGCAGTCGAGGTCAACGTGCCATTCAACAACCCTATCACCGGATTCTGCGCGTTCACCCACAAAGCTGGTATTCATGCCAAGGCCATCCTCAACAACCCATCGACATACGAAATCATCACACCTTCCGACTTCGGCATGAGCCGTTACGTACATTTCGCTTCGAGATTGACGGGCTGGAACGCTATCAAATCTCGTGCAGAGCAGCTTGGCCTGGGCATGAGTGATGCGCAAATCAAGTCGGTGACTGTCAAGATCAAGGCTTTGGCTGACGTGCGACCGCTGGCTATCGACGACGCGGACAGCATCATCAGGAACTTCCACTTCAACCTGAACAACGACAAGGCGCGGCCACTACTCGAATTGTCAGAGGAGGAGAAGAAGGCCTTCGCCAAGAAGGAGCGAGAACTCGAGGCCGTGAGCGAGAAGAGGGAACTAGACGAAGACGCTGATGCTGAGGCAGGCGAGCCGGCTGTTAAGAAGTCCCGGAACGCGACTGTCGCATAAGCTTCATAGTCAGATGCATATTGGCGAAAGTCCGGCGCATCTGACGTAGAGTTGGGGCAGTATTCGGGAGCGAAGCATTTTATGCCAGAGCATTAGCGCATGCTAGCAGTAGATATCACAAGTATCCTACACGTGTACCCAAGCCTTCCTGTGCAAGGCGACAGGACTCCACAATCTTCGTGATCGGCATATGATGAATCCACAGGAGAGTTTATGGCCTCATCCTTCGAACTCCGCAGCTTGCATTGCAGATCCGGAGTACGGTGTCGTATTATGTTGACCTCAGATTTCATGACGGCTGCAGATGAAATCTGAGAGACTCCCATGGCAGAAGTGAGAATCATTGTGCGCTCTTTTTGCAGTACTGTTCTCTGATTGATTTGAGCAAGGATGGCTACTGAGACGGTCACCCTCGAATTGTCGGATATCACGCCCATCGGAGGACCACAAGCGGCTGGGCTGGCTATATCACCAAAGACATCGAAGATCACACGGCCTCTGCACGACAACGAGCCAGCCATTGAGCCATACGAACCCGAATACCCAACTGGAGCCAAGTTCTATGCCATTGTCCTTTCGCTATGCATGGTACTCGTCCTCTGGGGCATGGACGAGACAATCGTTGGGACTGCCGTGCCAGCCACATCGGACCACTTTCACACCGTGGCCGATGCAGGCTGGTACGCGTCGGCGTACCGTCTAATGAGTTGCTCTTTCCAGTTCATGTTTGGCAAGCTATACAAGCTATGCTCGGTCAAGCACGTTTTCCTATCGGCAATCACGATATTTCTGGTCGGCTCCGTCTTCTGTGCTGCAGCCACATCGTCAAAGATGTTTATCGTTGGCCGTGCGATCTGCGGTCTCGGTACGTCGGGGATGTCGTCTGGATGTTTCACACTCTCGGTCCATCTATTTCCTCTGAGGCGGCGGCCGATGTATCAGGGCTGCTTTGGCATTCTCGAGACTGCTGCTGTGCTCATGGCTCCAATACTCGGGGCCGTGCTTACCGAGAAGTTATCTTGAAGATGGTGTTTCTGGATCTCACTCCCGCTGGGCGTGCCTACTCTTCTGGTTATGGCGTTTTCCCTGACGAACCCACGAGTCAAGGGCGGAGAGGGCATGACCCGAAAGGAGCTGATCAGCCAGCTGGACCTCATCGGAAATATCTGCTTTGTGCCCAGTATCACTTGCCTCTTTGTCGCACTTGGCTGGGCGAACGTCACATATCCGTGGTCAGACTGGCGAGTCATTGTACCTTTCGTCGTCTTCGTCGTGCTCCTGGCTGCCTTCATATGGCAGCAGCGTCGCAAGCAAGATGCCGCAACTATACCGCCTCGCATCATCAAGCAACGCAACATCATCGCCTCTATCATCTTTATTTGCTGCTGCAACTCCAGTCAGACCGTCATCCATTACTACATACCCACGTACTTCCAAGCTGTCCGCGGCTTCTCACCAGCAAAGTCTGGTTATATGCTACTGCCGTTCAACAAAAGTTTTTCTGTTGGGATGCTTATGATCGGTAGTGGCACAAGCATGTTTGGTTACTTCACGCCGCTCATGATCTTCGCATCCACCATCATGCCAGTGTCGACTGGTTTGATGACGACGTGGGCATTGGACACACCTTTGGTGACGCTGCTTGTCTACTCAGGTTTCGTCGGGTTTGCAAGCGGTATTGGCTTCATGGGACCGCAGAGCGCCGTGCAGAGTTCCCTGCCGCCCTCAGACATTCCATTGGGCATCGCGATTGTCCTTTTTCCCCCAGAACTTTGGCCCTGCACTGTTTTTAGCAGCCGCCCAGTCTATATTCAAAAATCAGCTGGTAGAGAATCTCAAGGGACTACCAGGACTCAGCGCCGACATGAGCGAGCATACAGGTCTGACTGAGCTGAAGGCAACAGTCGGTGGTGAGATTTTGCAAGCAGCGTTGCTGAGCGTTGACAAAAGCCTGACACAAATGTGGTATTTATGCGTTGCTCTGGCTTGTATGACCATAGTAGGGTCGTTGCTGATGGAGTGGCGGTCCGTGAAGCAGAAGAAGACTTAGCCAGTCCCCTGTGTTGTACGAAGGTATATAGCAGTGATGTAACGACGGCACTATAAGTGCAGAGTCTCTCACAGCGGTATTTCAGCGAAGCAGTACTTGCGATTGCCCAGCAAGCTGCTTGACGTGGGACAAGTCGAGGGGCTCATTTTTAGAGTCGCCTCCGATAATCCAGGACATAATCCCTCATCATCATTTTCGCATCCTAACCAAAGATATTGGCTTATGCTTCAATGTCCGACTTCGAGTATGGAGATGATCTCGTATGTCTGCGGCTAAAGTGAGTATCTTGCGTTGTCTTCGCTTGTCTCTCAGACGATCTGACCAGGCCTGGACCATTCATCGATGTGCTTACGCCATGCGAACCTGCTCGTTTCCCGTCGAGCCAATGGGTTTAGCATGCGCGCTACCGCCCTCTCTGCACTCGGCGCCGAAACTCATCGCTCCAACGCGCCAGTGCCCCGATGCGCAATAGCACTCATCATGCAGGGCACTGAAGCGGCACGGCCGACAAGGCTGGTGGTCTGACTGCAGCCAACTTTGGGCCTCACGCGACGCGACAGCTTTACTTCTCCTCCTCGTTTCCAGACTTTGATCGAAGCTAACACGGAAAGAAGCTCCTGCCTTAAGCGAACATGCATGACTACAACCAGCTAACTCATTCCCAGGTACCGAGTGACCGTGACGTTTCATTAGAGCTGGTCCTGCACTTGGGGGCCCTCGTGCAGCCGCGCTCGCCTGGTCTACGCGAGTCTTGGAAGACTGGTCTCACACGATGATGCTCAAAGGTAGCTCGGCTGGTTGCTCAGCTCGCCATTACCATCTGCCAAGTCACCTAAAATGACTACCCAAGGCTGAGGTTCCGAAGGACGGGAAGCTATATAGTCGTAGGAGCCCTCGCGAACGCCTGATTGTATACAAACTCCCTTATCCGACCAAGTTTCAGTATAGACTTCCTCCAACCTTGTAGGGCCTCACAATGGCTACCAACGGCCACACTAATGGCGTTGCTAAGCTTCCAGCATTATCCAAGTCCGCAGAGGACTTTGTCATGCATGAATACGACTACATCATAGTGGGAGGAGGTACTGCTGGGCTTACTGTTGCTGCCAGGCTGTCCGAGAATCCAGATGTCTCCGTCGGTGTTCTCGAGGCTGGCGAGAACAAGCTCGGTGATATGTTGGTAGACACACCAGCTGCTTTCTTGCAGATGTTTGGCAAGCCGGAGTACGACTGGAAGTTCATGAGCGAGCCGCAGGTATGGTGAGCTTTTAGACATGGTCATATCACCCATGCTGATCTCAGTATAGAAACACAACAATGGTAAGGTCCACCACATCGTGCGCGGAAAGATGCTAGGTGGTAGCAGTGGTCTCAACTACATGATGTATGTCCGTGGTTCTGACGCCGACTTCGACGACTGGGCTACGATCACCGGCGATGAGAGCTGGGGCAGCAAGAACATGAAGCAATATATGCGCAAGCATCAGACTCTTGAGCCGATCGAAGACACAGTTACCGACCGCAGCGTTATGCCTTTCGTGGGAGAGAACCATGGAACATCTGGACCTGTCCGCACGAGCTTCAATCCAACCCAGATGCCCATCGAGTCAGACTTCATCAAAGCCGCGGATGAGGTGACAGGCATGAGCAAGAAGCCCGTCGATCCATGGTCCGGCGATCATATCGGATTCTATAACACACTGGGCGCCGTGATAAGGACGGGACCAGACAAGGGCAAGCGAAGTTATGCTGCTCGAGGATATTTCGCCGCCAATGCTCAGCGGCCGAATTTACATGTCCTCTGCGAGGCACCCGTAACAAAGGTCGAACTCTCCGAAGGGAAGGCGGTCGGCGTGACCTTTGCTTGCGGTGGGAACAAGCATACAGTCAAGACGAAGCGTGAGGTTATCATTTCTTGCGGCGCCATACAGACTCCGCAGATACTAGAGCTTTCGGGCATCGGCGACCCAGAGGTGTTGAAGAAGGTAGGCATCGAGTTACAGGTCGAGAATAAGGCAGTCGGCGAGAATTTCCAAGATCACCTATTTGGTGTAAGTCCATGGCGAACGGCTATTATAGGGCATATATTCGTGTACTTGCTAACGACTGAGCGTCCAGATTCATGCCTGGGAGCTGGCTGCTGGCAACATTGGCATCGACATCTTGCACGCGCCTGGCGTGATGGAGGCGTGCCAGAAGCAACTTATGGAGACAGGTAGCGGTCCTTTGACATGCATCTCAAGCATGCAGGGGTTCTTCCCGTACAAGGTACGTACCTGAATCTGCTTGCTTCGCTGACGGTGTTCTGACATATTGCTAGCTGTTCGCGAGCTCCGATGAGCAGCAGGAGATCGTGCGCCTGGTCGAGGATAGCATGCCCTCACTTACACCTTTCCAGCGCAAGCAGTATGAGTGCACCTTGCAACACCTCAAAGCCGACAATTCCGCGAACCTACAGTTTGTGGCTGTACCTGGTACTGGAGACTTCGAGCATAGTGTCGGAGATCAGTCAAGGATCTTCGTTCCGCCGGCCAGCCCAGAAGCGCTTCATCAGGCCGCCGCCGTCTGTTGTTTGCAGTATCCGCTCAGTCGAGGTAATTATACACACAAAGGCAGTGACAGGACCTAGTAGCTAATCATGGTGGGCGACAGGTAGCATCCATGTCAAGAGCGCAGACCCGCTCGAGCACCCTGCTATAGACATGAACTATCTCTCACATCCAGCAGATACCAAGGTGTTGGCAGCAGGACTAAAGTTCCTGGATGCGATGGCATCATCCAAAGCCCTTGATGGCAAGCTCCATAAGCGTGTACAACCACCTCAGGACTACGATATGAGTGACCCGAAGCAACGAGAGAAGTGGATCCACGACTACGTCCTCACGGAATACCATCCGTGTGGTAGTGTGGCGATGGGTGATGCCCTGGACTCTCGCTTGCGGGTAAATGGTGTCAGAGGGCTGAGAGTCGTTGATGGCAGTGTGTTCCCGAATCATGTAAGTGGCAATATGGTCAGCGCTGTGTATATGGTAGCCGAGCGTGGAGCGGACATCATCAAGGAGGACTGGGATTATGCTGCGCTGTCTAAGGCTGCTGGAGTGTAATCTGTATCTATGAAGGGTGACATTTTATGTAACGTTACGCCATGCGTGCCTCCCAAGCTAGTCGTGACTTGACTTTCATTGGATGGACGATGAACAAGAGGATTCTTGGTGGTGCTCCTCGGACGCCAGCCGTTAGCGCGTCTAGCTGTACCGCCAATCATAATTGGTTACATCATCATCAATCAGACGTGGCTTTACGCGACAAATCAACATACAGCCCAGCCACTGGGTGTGAGAGAATTTGGAGGACTGCAAAGGCTCAGAATGGCTGTCGTTGGTGTGACGCCCGCTGTCCTACAGTACATCGACCATAATGCCTTTCCCGAGGACTCAGAAGTACAGTCTGCGGATCTTGGCCCAGAAGTAATCTCGAGTCTACTTCACGAGCTGCAACGCGAACAGGACCTGGTTAAGGACGAGATCAGGAGTTTGAGCAAGGGTACTGCTCCGGACATTGACACCTGGATTTCACGAGCCAAGGAGCTGCAGACGGATCTTGTGAGGTCGAGAGACACGGCAAGACAGATCGTTGCTGAGCATGAAGCTGGAAGGAAGCGGAAGGCAGAGGTAGAGGATACGAGGAAGAAAGTGCAATTGCTTGAAAGGGAGGTGGCTTTCGAGGAGACATTAGCAGGGACATTGGAGCATATACGATATGCTAATGGCGTATTGAGTTCCGTGCAGCATGAGGCTGTACGAGGTGATCTGAGAGCCGCGCTGAACCATCTGGAGCAAGCTGAGGAGAGTATTGGTGGTCTTGATGGTCTGAGGGATACGAAAGCTTGTGGGCTATTGCAGGGTCGAGCGAGGCAGTTGAAGGAGAGCCTGCAGAAAGCAACGACGGAGCGTTGGCAGAAGCTGATTAGGATCGATCACGAAGGGAGAAAGGTTACTATTAAGAAAATCATTCCTACGTCCGACGATTCTGATCCAGCAGCCACGGATCTCGATATCGAGAGTCTTGTCGTAGTAGCACAAGGTCTGGATATTTATGATGGCTTCATCCAGACGTTAAGCAGAGATCTTGAGCGGACTCTATTTCGGCCCTGCCTCTTGCTGGACGACAAGGATCAATTGGGGACCGTCAAGGTATCCGGTGAGACACTCGCATGCGATACACGGCAGCGAGACATCACGAACGATGCACTCTTCACAGGCCTCGCTGAGATCGTGAATTTCCTTGTTGAGCGACTACCTAAATCTGCTACGAACCCACTTTCACGCCTTTTAGTGCCAGCATTCTCGAACCGCCTTGAAGATCAATGGCTGGAGCCTGCTGTTCCGCTCGGCACGGAGGAGATGCCAGCATTCCAAGCAGTACTTGGACACGTGCAACGTCTCGCTGTGATGATCGATGGGCACGGATGGCATGGTACCCGGCAGCTGCATGATTGGGTGAACAACGCACCACGTACTTGGCTCACGAAGCGACGCGAGGCTGTCCTTGGTGATGTACGGAATCTGGTCTTTGCTGGCTTAAGGCAGAAAAAGACTGTTGAGCGGATCGAGACTCAGATGCTGAGCAAGGACGATCATCAAGTGCTGCAGGGAAGTGTTGAGCAAGCTGATGACGAATGGGACACTGCGTGGGACGAGCCCGAGGAGGAAGTTAAGGCCACTGCATCAAAAGCCACAGCAGCGCCCGCCGCCAGTGCTGACGGTGATGAAGCAAGTGCATGGGATGCGGATGATCTGGACGCAAAGCCGATCAATGGTGGAGATGGCACTAACGAGGAAGGAGAAGCGTGGGGGTGGGGTGATGATGAACAGCAGTCATCGAGCCCAGAGCAGGTGAAGAAGCCTGCACCATCAGGTCCGAACACCCTCGACGGCAGAAATCAGCGGTCAGCACCAACCAAAGAGCGGGAGATGACGTTACGGGAGACGTTTACTGTCACTGCAGTGCCTGATGGCGTTCTCGAACTGATACAGCACATCATCCACGATGCGCAAACGCTCGCTGATCCAGCTGACCACGATTCACCGATTGCTCCAGCGGCGACAGCCCTGTACACAATACCCACCCTCGCACTAGCGATATATCGTGCCACCGCTCCGACCGCGTACAGCAGGCTACCAACAGGCAACATGCTCGTCTACAATGACGCTTCGCACCTTTCGTCCAAGCTGCGTGACTGGCAAGCAAGCGAACCACCTGAATCGCGCCTTCGCTTAGACAACGATGTCAAAGCTCTCGAAACCTTCGCGAAACGTGCCTACAGCTCCGAAATGGAAAGCCAGCGCACCATACTCCGTGATCTACTAGATGGTGCACAAGGCTTCAGCAGTGTCACCAATCCACCTTTCAAGCAAGAGTCTGAAGACGCTGTAGAGCAGACTGTGCACCGCCTACGAGAAGTCCAACGGCAATGGAAGGATGTTCTCTCGGATGGCGCCCTGCTACAATCACTCGGTTCTCTCCTCAGCACCATCACCACCAAAATGATCACCGAGATCTGTGAACTCGGCGACATAGGCGCAGAAGATAGCCATCAGCTCCGTGCGCTCATGGATCGTGTCAGCGAGGCCAAAGACATCTTCCTGCAGCAACGTGAAGGTGGCGAGCCGGCGGACATGACCTTCATCTACTGTCCGAATTGGTTAAAATTCCAATATCTGGCCGAGATCTTGGAGAGTAGTCTGGCGGATATCAAGTATTTGTGGAATGAGGGCGAGTTGAGTCTGGAATTTGAGGCGGAGGAGGTTATGGAATTGATCGAGGGGTTATTCGCAGACTCGGATATCAGACGGAGGGCTATTAACGAGATCAGACGATCGGGAAGGTAGAGCATTACATAGATGTGCAAGCTTTTTAACCTTGGCCACGTCCACGTGACCCCTGTAGACACTATCCGAAGCGGCGCTTGCGACGTGGCCGTCAGTCAAACCCATACTGCTGACGACATGCCATATACTTTGCACTACCTCACGAGCGATCACGCTGCGGTCTACCCATGCATGCTCTAGCGCCAAACGCCATGCCACCCTACTCCTTCCGAAAATCATCTACTCCATATCGAGCGTCAGTGGCTGATTCCTCTGCCTTCTGTCTGGTCTATAACCCTGTCCGCCCCTGACTTCCGGACCCGCGAGCTCAGCCTCCTTCTCCTTCACGAACTCTTCCTTCTGCTGCCTGATGACATGCAACACATTCGTCAAGCTTGCGCGCCAAATATCAAGTCTGCTCGCCACCTCACGCCACTGCTTCTCACCAAACGTCCTGTGCGTCGCGCGGTGGATGAGGAACTCCTGCTTCTGTTGCGAAAGCTTGCCTTCAACCAACCCCGAGCGGATGCAGTCGATCACCCACATCTCGGTTTCATCGTCGGGTACTCGCAGGGCCTTCGAAATCTGCGCGTACGAGATTGTGCGGTTTTCACTTGCTTGTGCGGCGAGAGTCGTAAGTGTGAGGAGGCGCATCTTGCGATCTAGAATATCCTCGTTCAAGCTGTTGTCCGTGATGAATGTGTCGTTGCCCTCCTTGAAGTCAGCCAGGTCCTCGAATGACTGGTCCACGAAGACATCGAGCAGCTCAGACCATGTCTCATCGGATTTGCGGAGCGATTGAATGGTGTCGAGCGACGTGAGATCCTGGAAGTCAAAGTGCTTCTCGCTCTGCAGTGCTGATCCTAGTGCCTTGAGAGATAGCTCTCGCGCCTCCGAAGTCGATGCTTCCTTCTCCAAAGTACGTAGAGCTTTCAGCAGATAGATGTAGCTCTCCTCGGGGTATCTTGCTGCCGCCGCAGACTCGGAAATTGCAATGTACAGCTTTCGCGCTTCCTTTGGTTCCATCTCCCACTCATTGAGCCATGAATCGATGCTGTTGAGTTGAGGTCGGATCGTCTCGTAGCTTGCGCTTCGCTTGACCAACTCCACGATGGACAGGAGGACGTGATAGCGGGTCTCATCGTCGGGCTGAAGGGTGTTGAAGAGTGTGCCTAATATACCAAGAGCGATGCCGGTACTATTCTGCGGGCTACTGGTGATGGGAGATGTGAGGTTCCGGCATACTGGTGGTAGGTAGTTCTCTGGGTCTTCCGACTGGCTGATGAGGTGAATGAGGAGGTTGTATGCGGCTTGCAGTTCTCTCTCTGGTGCCCCATTCAACGCCGATGATGCCGTTACCAACTTCTTCAATACGGCATCCTTGTCTGTGTCTTTTGAAGGCGCCTCAGCCTGCTCGGGGTCGGGTGTGATGAGTAGTGGTGCGATGTCGGATGCGACTGTGGAACCTTCGCCTTTCAGTGTGTCGAGATACGTTGCAAGCTCAGATGCGAGCTCTTCAAACGAGCCCTCCACAAGAGAGAGCTTGGGAATACCAGGCATGACAGGTGACCACTAGATTTGTGTTGTAATTCCCTCGCAGATTTGTGACTTCCTCTTTACTGCTCCTCCCCGTCTTGTGGTGCTAGTCAGGTGAGGGTTGCGCGGTCAAATGTGAGAGCCTCTTGGGTATCTTTGATCTGATTCGAAGTTGGCACCGGACGTGGAGTAGAGTCTTGCAGATATGACTGTTGATTTGAGCAATATTTTGTCGTTGTTCTCTTGCGCTGGCTTCGTGCCCCGCCAATTCCATGCCAAGATTTCGTAAATGCCTGAGGCTCAAAATTGTCGAAAGCATTCACCTCGCTTCGCGCTTCTGCTTAGTGTGTCTCTTGCATCGGCCAATGGCGTTCATCTCCTGCCAACAGAAGTTCATCAGCCTACCTAAGGCTTTACTGCAATATGGTCCAAACACGAGGGGCAGCGAAAGGCCATGAACAGAACAAGCAGCATGTACCAGAGAACGAAGACCAGGACCACAAAGTGAAGCCTCGTGCCGGCAAAGGCAAGACCAGCGACAAAACCCCGGGCGAGGATGATAAGACCTTCACTATCCCATTTGGCGACAAGCAAATCACATGCGAGCGCCGTGGCGAAGAAACCAGACCGTCCCTCATCTTCACCCATGGAGCCGGTGGCGACATCAGCACACCAGCAACTAGCGAACTCGCCTCTGGCTTCGCAGAAGTGGCCACCATAATCTTGTTCAACGGCTCTATGAATGTCAAGAATCGAGTAAAAGCATTCGGTACCGTGGCGGACCACCATGGCTTCGAAGATGCTTTAGGTGGAAGAAGCATGGGTGCTCGTGCAGCGTGCATGGCTGCTGTTGAGGAAGGCCGTAAGACGAAGGCACTAGTGCTCGTGAGCTTCCCACTTGTCGCTGACAAGAACAAAGAGAGTCGTGAACAAGTACTGTTGGACCTGCCTGCGGGGACGGATGTCCTGTTCATTAGTGGTACGAAAGATTCTATGTGCGACCTCGAGCACCTTCAGATTGTTACCGAGAAGATGAAAGCTCGAGTCTGGGTTGTAAGGGTGAAGGATGCAGATCATGGAATGTCGTGGAGTTACAAGGATAAGGATTCTATACGTATGATGCGACAGACCACTGGCACGATTGCCGCCGAGTGGTTGCAGGAACGCGATGCACGCACGCGCTACAAGTCAGTACACTGGGAAGCTGAGACTGAGACGTTGCATTGCAGTGGCTGGTCAGTCAGTAGTGATGAGAGCGATATTACGCAAGCCAACAAAGTGGAGAAACCAGGAGAGGATGAAGCACCTCCTGCCGCGAAGAAAAGGAAACGTGGAAAGGCCTAATTGCGTGGAAAAGTTGTTCGTATGGACTGTCTTACCTACTATGGATGTTCAGCCTTGCTAGGCGAAGCGTGCGTCTCGTCGAGCGCCAGGCTCGAGACGTCGCTATCACTAATCGTCCTCTGAGGGAGCAGACCTGGTAGCTGCGGCTCAGGCAGCGGCACCGTCAGGCCCGAGTTACTTACCCTACCATTGACCCTGGCACTACCGTGCCAAGCATGGTACAGGACACTCCTGTCACTCTCCCTCGAAGGACGAGTGAGAGTAATTGAGTCTGGCGGCACAACGGGTGCGGCCAGTACAGTCGGCACAACCATCTCCACGTCAAGCTGCTCAGCAGCTGCTCTCGCCTTTCGTCGTCGTGCTCTGATACATCGGAAAGTGCCCAGAATCCCGCCCAGGACTATCACCACAACAGGGACTGGGACTGCGATGGCGTAGAGCAGAGGCATGAAGGTTTGGGCAGACAGAGTCGGCGACGAGCCGGTCGTCGGGAGAGACATAGTCGTCTTAGTGCCGTCGTTCGTTGTGCTTGGGAAGTGCTACGAAGATGATCATGGGAAGTCGTTGAGGGCTTCTATATTTAGATCGTATGAGACAATGCTTTGTTGAACACGACATGGGGTCAGATGTGAGACAATGCATTGAATGGCATGTTTCTGAATGAGCACGGCTTTGTCTATTCAACGTGACAGGCAAGTGTCTCTGTTCTTTGGTGGACCTTGATGGGCGTGGGAGGTGCTTTGCCAGATGGACACCATGGCAATCTTGCGGCGAAGGTGACGCAGCCAGTCACAAGCAATTATCCCTGTTCTTTGGTGGCCGATTTGGTGGGGTGGCGGGCAACGTGCCAGCTGAATGCTGTAACGGCTTCGCAGAGGAGGCGGTTAAAAATTCACACGCGACTCGTGGTAGGACCCATCGTCCTCAAGCGGCGGCCCAAGAACGACCATGATCTGATCCCAGACCTCGCCTAGCTCACGATGCAACAACGCCTTCCCCACATCCTTGTGCTTCACAGCCTTCGCAGCCAGCTTATCAGCCTTGACAACGTCAGCGCCCTTCTTCTCAGTAGCCTTGGTCTCTGCAGCCCTTCTAGCCGCACGAACTTTCACCCGTGCAGCCTTGGACCTCATCTCACTCACATCCGCGCGCTCGAACTCGTAGTCCTCCGCTGTGATGTAAGGACCATGATGTTGGTATGCATACGCGAATTGACCCATCAATTTCGTGATCTCCTTGTACCACGGGTGGTAGTCGTCGTAGATGACGTGGACGCTGACGTTCGTGTTGTGTAGAAGCTGCAGCTGTGCCTGAGCATCCAGCCCATCGAGGTAGCGAAGCAGAGCGCCTAAGCCACGCCAGTGAATTATGAACTCGAAGTGTGCTGAGCGGAAGTAGATGCACAGCGCCTCGTGTCGGATCTGCTGGCAGACTTGGAGAACTGGTGGGTAGGTCGGATAGTGGTGGAAAGAGAAGCGGAATTCTTGGACCTCGTCGAGAAGGACTAGACCGTAGATGCGATTGCGAAGCTCGGGTGGCAGTCTCAGCAACCTCGAGTTCTGCACAACGGTGACAGGTCCCAAAGGCCTCAAATTCTGCAGGATGACGCCCGGCGGTGGCAGTGGTAGTGATCGCGGTGGTAGTAGTCGTGGTGGCGGTGGTAGTGCGATGGCACCGCGATGGACTTGCGGACCCAAGACGAGGATCGCCTGAACGGCCATGACCTTCATAGACATGCTGTGCAGTGGTTCCTAATTGTTTGTAGTGTTGATGTTCGTGCGAAGGAGTTGCTGACTTTCTCGCATAACTTAAATATCCTCGCGAGTAAGCTAAGTGAAGCTGCTAAATAGCAGCAGGTGAATGTTTGGAAGACGTCTGTCCTTGGTGCGACGTTTCCGGTTCTACCCGCGGTAGCTCGCATGCATTCACTTTTTAGGAAGGCACGACCGCGCAGATACTGTGTGACCAGGCAGGCACAAAGCAATCGCCAACCCACTGTATGTCAATATTCGATACCATTCATCCCTCCTCAAAAACCTCAAACTTCACAACTTCAGGTACCAGTGTCTCACAGTCCAGCAAGACCAGCTCACCCGTGTCCTTGAATTTTGGCACTGCCACAAGCCTGACTTGCTGACCGACCGGACCTTCAATAACCACGGTTTCGAATTTCGGCTGATTACCCACGATGTACACATGTGGGCATTCCTTGAGCACAAACTGATCGCCGTCTTGAAAAGGATAGCACCACAGCGTGTCAGGAGCTGTTGGTGCCGTCAGTCTCCACCGCAGCATGGCCTCCATCATCTCGAGTCGCTCTTCGCAATCAGGGAGGTACTTGTAGACATCATCAACTGGCTGACCTCCTGTGGCAAGTAAACGCCACCCATCGACGCTGCATTCAGCCGGGTTCGTGGTGCTGTCAAACCAGCCTGCGCCTTCGTTGGCAGCTGGTGCGTTCATGTACGCTCTGCTGTGTGGGAACATGGCAGCATGGATAGGCTGCTGTGGCAAGCTTGTCGATGTCGGGTCCTGCTCGCCAGGTAGAAGTGTGATTGGCATTGATGGCAGTAGCGAGGCAAGCCACTGATCCAGCCGATCTGTCGGTGCTTTGTTGTATGATGAGCTGTCGTAGCCATAAGTCTTCCGGCCCACTTTCTTTGCCACGGCTGCCATCTCCTCTCGCGAAGGAATCGGAGAGCCGTGCGACAGACTGTTGCCGGCGATGATCAGTCGCGAGATAGCAGACGCATCTTCTTGACTACCTGGCTCAGCAGACTCGCCAAGCAGATACTCCATCAGCATGTCTAACGATAATGTATCGCCTTCGTCGCCAGACATGCCAAGACCAGACACGATTGCTACCTTGCCCGCCTTACTTCTTTTCTGCGACGCTGACTTGCCGTTTACAGCTGCATCTCCATCTTCAGTTTCCCATCTCGGCGGCTGTCGTGGCAGATCCGGCACCCGTATCTCTAGTACCTCAAAATCTCCATCCGCATTCTCTGTGCCCACGACAGCCACGATAGCACCCGTCACTAGCAGTCCTCCTTCCAGATAGCTCCCTGTCAATCTCAGCCTACCGGATTCATCTTCCAACATAATCTGTGCCCCACTTAAACCCTTCCCTCCACCAGCATGAGCACCATGCTCAGAGTCCCCATTGGCCATTCCACTATCGTACTTGACCCTCGGAGGAGGCGCAGCAATCCAGTGCTCTTTGCCGATGTCCTCTAGCACGTTCGGCTTCAGCGGCATCTCCATGTAGACTGTGCCTATCACCCAGCACAGTTCACCTTGCCGCACGTCCAGCACTCTGTCCTTGCGTAATGCTTTCTCTCCAGCAATACCGAAGTCCGCCCATGCTTCGCTCGCTATCTGCTCCACAGCCGGCTTGATCTGCGCGAGACGAGCAAAGTACATGTCGGCATACTGTTGCTGGTAGTGTCGATCCTCGCCTTTAGGTAGCTGGTATGTGGGGAGTGAGGTATAGGTCGACTTGACACGATCAAGAAGCGGATACTCGGTGTCACTGGGTGCGTGCAGCATACTGTCATCGCCTTCGTCTTCCGTGCCGTACTGAACAGCCATGGTGACATGGCATGGACTTGCTCTCGAAACGTCGTCTAATACTTTACGCGTGGAGACGCGTTGCGCTACTGTAGCGAGGCAGGTCATCTGATTAGCTTCCAATCATGCGAAGCTAGTGGGTGGCTTCCGCTGAGCACCACCAGAATCCTGTTCGGCAAGGATGGCTGAAAGTCACGTAACAGGACACAAGTCCAAATGAGCACAGAGGATGCTTCCCTTGACCTTTTCATGAAGGTCGTATGATCATGTCCCAACGAATTGCCAGAGCAGACAGTGGAACGAATACTACATGTCTATATTCAAACCTCATCAGGCTATCGAAGCACACGCGCCATAACACCATGCTAAAACCATCCATCGTAGAAATCGTGCTTCAGAACCTCTCCTTCATCCTCGCACTCACCGTCCTCAGATTCCCATACACCTTCCCTGGCGGACTCCCCAGAATCAAACTCACTACCGCCTCCCTCGCCACATGGATATTCTTGAATCCACCCAAGATATGCACTTTCTGATCCGCAAGCACTATCCTCGTCCTACTCGCATTCTCGATCGCGAACTTTGTCTTCCCATCTTTGCCCGCTATGCGGCCAATTGCACGACTCAAGTGTTCGCCTTGCAAGTTCTTTACATCCTTCACTTCAAAGGACTGGATGTAGAGGTCGTCTAACCGTAGTAGTGCAATGGCATCGTCAAGATCGAAGCCAAGACAGAACGCTTGTATGAAATCGGCGCCTTTTTGTATTGCGCCTGTATCTGCGGTGTGAGAGGATGTTCGAAGCTCGATGGCCTTCTTGGGTATATTCATGCGAACTTGAAGTCGGAGATGCTCGACAAGCGGTGGGTAGATCTTAGGCCAGGATGACTTGAGGGGTGTCATGCGGTGGGGTGGGATGCGGATCTTGCGTTCTTCGACTCGGTGGGCGAGGCGGGAGGGGTTCTCGGGTGCGAAGAGTGGTGTTTCTGTTGAGCCTTCTACGTCCATGGTCTGATTGAGTTGTGTATCCGGTGGTGCTTCGCCCTCTGCTGGGGCTGCGACTAGAAGCATTTGGTCTTCTGTTGCAGCTGGTTGTGGCGCATCGTAGACTGTCTCCTCGCTTGCAAGTTCTTCAGGCGCTCGCTGCAATGCTGTGGGTGCTGGCATGATGATGATTGTGATCCAGCGTGCTTTGGCTCTTGTTGGCTGTGTGACTCTGCGTGATGTTGTAAATATGTTGGCTGCTAGATACTCGGTCCAATTTTCTTTGCCGGCCAAGTCGAACTCTTGGCGATCACATGGCGATTAGCTCGCTTAGATCCGAGAACCGGGGAAGGGCCAAAAGTATGAGCACGGATGATGGCTAGATGCCTTGGAACGTCCAATCTTGAAATGTCTTTTGCTCTATCGCATTTCTCTACCATCCTCGTCCGACCCTTTCGTATACTGAAGATGACCTAACATGAGTCGTCATGCAGCAGTAGCAGGCGTACGAGGACTATCATCTATACCACCAACGCATCTGGCGACTGCGACAACGCTGGCTTCTGCCAACCTCCTCCTATCATCTACACTCTCCACTCCAGCTATAAGGCTTGGCCAGTATCGAGGTCTTGCCTTTGGTCCAGCGCACCTGAACAGAGGCAGTGCATCCATACAGCAACATGTTGCAACAAAGAATATACCAGTGCGATGGCCTAGACCGACGGCGCACACGGCGATAGTGCCAGGAACCAGGCCGCATACACAACTAAGCCGATACTTGTCACCTCCAAGCAACGCCTTGTCGCGGGCTTTGATAGAGCAGCGACGATGGAAGCACGAGGACGTGCGTTCAGCGAAGGCGAGCGTGACAGAGCAGATGCGCAAAGCCAGCGAGCAATATGCAACGAGAGGAGGAGGAAGCAAGCAGCACAACTTACTCGATCGTCTACCGCATCTGCACCGTCCGACGAAAGAAGAGCTTCTGGCAGCCGCGACTGGCTTCTGGCATCGTCTACAGATCCGGTTCAAGTGGTTCTCCATACGAAGTGCTCGGCCCTTCAACTCGGACGAGATATTTGCCTTTGTCTCCTGGATCTTCTGGGGTCACGTCATCTGGATCATCATCGGAACAACGACTTTCGTTTCACTCGGTATCTGGGCGATCAACACGGTGTTCGCGCAGGAGACACTAGCTGGATGGGTTGGGAATTATCTGACCAAGTCGTCTGGCGTAAAGATTGTTTTCGAGAGCGCTATCGTGCCGACTTGGAGAGATGGTGTCATCACATTCAATAACGTCTTCGTGTCAAGACGACCGGGTCAACAAGATCGTCGGCAAAGATCGGTCAGTAAAGGATCGTCTACTACAGCAGCAGCTGCAGCAGCAGAAGCAGCCCTTGCCGAAAAGCGGCGAGCAGAAGTCGGTGAGAAAGTGGACGACGGAAATTACAGCCAGTTTGACGTCACGATAGACAAGGTCAATGTCACCCTATCCTTCACGAAGTGGTTCAACGGCAGAGGACTTCTACATGATGTGGAAATACGCGGCGTGCGAGGAGTGATAGATCGCACGCATGTCTTTCCAACTGGTGAGAAGCGTGATCCGAAGAGCTACAGACATGAACACCACATGGGAGACTTCGAAATCGACAATTTCAAGGTGGATGACGTGCTGCTCACAGTCTATCAACCGAAAGATTTCCGGCCTTTCACGGTCAGCATCTTCAATTGTGAATTGCCAAGACTACGAAAGCAATGGCTGTTTTATGATTTCATGTCAGCTACCAACCTGAGTGGATCTTTTGACGATTCGCTCTTCACTATTCACCCGAGGCAGGTGCATGGTATGAGTGGCGCACAGCTTGTCAATGGAGCAACAGTGGATGATGCTGAAGAATGGAAGAAGCACAGTCGATTTCGCATCGATGGTCTCAGTATCGACCACCTTAATCGTGGGGTCGATGGTCCTTTCTCCTGGATTCAAGAAGGTAACGTTGACATCGTCGCCGATATTATGATCCCGCATGATCAGGACGACAGCATAGCGAAAGTCGTCCATGACCTCTACGATCGACTGGAAACCACAGTAACGACAGCAGCACAGCAACAACCTTCCGGCCATCGTAATCCAGACGACAACATCATTCGCAACGATCAAGTCGATGTGAACGAGGGAGCGAATCATGAGGTATCAAGCACCCCACAAGCCGCCGAGGACGATCGCCTCTTGATCATGGACCTCCGTGTCCACCTAAATGACGTCCGCGCCACCATTCCCCTCTTCAACAACAATCTCTCCTACGTCAACAACGCTCTCGTCCGCCCGATCGTAGCCTACATCAACGGCCGCCACACTTTCATCCCCATTTCCTGTCGGATCGTGAAGACACACTCCGAATTCGACGGGTCCTGGACGGTCTTTGATAGTGGTCTGATGAACGATTTGAGTAGGGAGACGTATGGGGCATTTGTGAAAGATATCCATGACCAGAGGCAGCAGAGACGGAGAATCAAGAAGGTAGGGTTTTGGGGATTGAGCGTTGTTGCGCAGGCTCTGTTTCTGGGCTTGGCGGGCCAGTTGGCTTGATGGGTGGTGCTTGTATGATGTGTATATTGTATTGGGCATAGCGAGGGCGTGACTTGGCGTTGGGAGAGGGTCTGTTCTTAGCGGCTATGGTATACAGCGCTAGACGGTGGAACGTGTTGTCTCTACGAATCCGTTGCGAGTGGTGGCATTGCTACACACTATGTAGCAGGCATGCAAAACAGCCAATCGCTCCTCGCCAGAGTGCTTGCAGGTATTCTTCTGTAAACGGAACATTACGCCTCAGCGACGGAGATCCTGACTGCACAGCCTGTCCTCTATTTCCAGTTCTCATGATCTGGCAGTCAAGCTTCACTTCTTGCAATGTGCGAATGAATTCAGCGCCTCTGACTGCCTTTTATGCTGTAACAACTTTCGCCTCACCAAGTCCTCTCAATTAGGACCTCCGAAAGTGAAAGGTGAGGTGCCGTCGCGAAAAGCACGCGCTAGTGCTTCGCTGAGTCATCGGCATTGAGATGACTTACAGAATTTCTGTCGTGACTCGATATCCGTCCTGAACATGGTCTGTTGTTGCACACTAAATCTACAGTTACAATGGCGACAACACTACACGTTCGTGCTGAGACGAAGCCTCTCGAGCATCGCTCAGCTGTCACACCGTCCATCGCAAAGAAGCTGGTGGACGCCGGCTACAAAGTCAACGTCGAGAAGTCCCCGTTAAGCATATTCCCCGACTCAGAATATGAAGGCACCGGTGCGAAGCTGGTTCCAACGGGCTCATGGACCGATGCTCCTGCAGACGACATAGTCGTGGGCCTCAAGGAGCTGCCAGAAGAGGATTTCCCTTTGAAGCACGTTCATGTCCAGTTCGCTCACTGCTATAAAGGCCAAGGTGGTTGGGACACCGTGCTCGGACGATTCCCGCGAGGCAAAGGCACTTTACTCGATCTAGAGTTCCTCGAGGACGAGAATGGTCGAAGAGTCGCTGCCTTTGGCTACCACGCTGGCTTTGCTGGAGCGGCACTAGCACTGATGGCATGGGCCTGGCAGCTAACACACGACAAGAGTGAGCCCTTACCCGGTGTGACTCCGTACGAGAACGAAGGTGCTCTGATTAAGGATGTCAAAGACGCTGTTGAGAAGGGCAAAGCCAAGGCTGGTCACTTGCCTCGAGTGCTGGTCATCGGAGCATTAGGGCGATGTGGCAAAGGAGCCGTGGATCTGTGTGAGAAGGCTGGCTTGAACGAAATCTTGGTGTGTATTTGTTATGGGTGTCCTGCGACTGTACTGATCGTTCTAGAAATGGGATCTGCCAGAGACCAAGGCCAAGCCTGGACCATATCAGGAAATCGTGGAGTCCGACGTCTTTGTGAACTGCATATATCTCTCCGCCAAGATTCCACCCTTCATATCGCCTGAGTCGCTTTCCCAAGCGAGCCGTAAGCTGTCGGTCGTGTGTGACGTCTCCTGCGATACTACCAACCCGCACAACCCAATACCGATCTACGATATCAACACCACCTTCAGTGAGCCGACGGTGCCGGTCAAGCTCCCTTCGGGCTCCACCGATCTACCCTTGAGTGTCATCAGCATCGATCATCTGCCTTCTTTACTACCTCGCGAAGCATCAGAAGCCTTCAGCGGTGCGCTACTTCCAAGCTTGCTGCAGCTCAAGGACTGGAAGAACGTACGGGTGTGGCAGCAAGCTGAGAAGCTGTTCAAGGACAAGTGTGCAACTCTACCTGATGGAGCTGTAGATGGGCATGCAGAGCTCGTGGCTGGTCAATCATGATGGTGAGCAAAGCTTAGTGGTCATCAGAAGCAAGATGGATTTCGAGAGTGCTGTAAGCTTATGAAAGTCACAGGCTGACGCTGAATGTTTAGCGTGATAGTCTACGTGGCAGAGATGTGCCTGCCTCACAGATTTAGGTATCGACCATCCACCCACTTCCTATCTTTGTGCACCAACTCTTCATCATCTCATCCGCCAATTCTGGAGAGATCGTGAGACTTCGCCATCGAGATTATGTCCATGGCAGTGACACGACAGCGCACTACCGCACTCATCAAATGCCTTCTCGTCGCATCCCTGCTATTTGCACTACTTGTGCTACACCATGAGATCCTGCCTGCTCGTCTCACGACCGTGATACAGAAGCGCGGTGACGAAGATCTTATCTTGCAGTCAACAGGCGTCGTTGAGCCGCCAGACGAGATGTTGAGTGCATGGCAAGCTAACTGGCAGAAGGCACTAATCAAAGGAAAAGCTCGCTTGCATGAGCTTTATGATGCTGATACAGAACAGTCTGCATGGGAGGAGTATACTGACCTCAAGCGATATGGGTGGGAGTGTCAAGAGGGCACTCGACCTGGTGTACATGCAGCAGTACGCATACCATTGGGGGTGAGCGAAGATCTTGGGGGCTTGCCGGGTGTCGTAGGCACCGGAAAGGAGGTCTACTGCCGTCACGAGAAGCCTAGCAGCAATGAGGAAGATGCCTCACAGCATTACAAGGTATTTACCAAGATTCGAGAGATGCCCTGTTGGCCCCTGCTAATCCCATGCAGCCGACGATGGGCTACTTCCTTGGTATCTATTGGCCGGAGTCCGGAATCATCCATGCTCAGAGATCGGTATCACCGGCGACTATTGCAAAGGGCACGGCCATCGATGACACCCGTCTGATCAATGGCTTCAAGAATGCTGGGGGCGGAACTGTCGTACCCCTTGCCACACAAGCCGATGTCATGTTCCTGGAATGGCAGCACCAATGTGCCAAAAGTGGACATGAGAATGCTGCCAGGAACTTAAGACTATTCTTCCGCGGACCCGTACAGAATGATGTAGCGCAGGGCATCATTCTCCAGGCTTTGCGTAACAAGGGCTCCGAGACTGGAGCGCCCCCATGGTCTAAGCGAGTGCAATTCGATATTGACTCTCAGGATGGCCAAGCTATTCTTGGTAGTCCCAACGGGCAGTCCGTAGCTTACTTCTTGTCTCAACATCGTCAGCAGCTTGGCTGGAAAGTGGTCAAGTCTGTCGAAGTGTTCGATAATCCTGAGTCCACGGTGATGAACGAGCGATTTTGGGACAGTCAAAGCTTGTGTCTGGTCTTTTCGATCTCTGATCATGGTCAAGCTCAACATGAAGCCGTGGAAGCTGGTCCAGCGGGCGTGGAACAGAAAGCGTCCAGTGACCTTGCAAGATCGGCGATGGTACCGGCCACACTGCACAGCGTGAGCCACAGCGAAGAACAACAGAAGGCCTCGGATTCCAGGAGGACCATCAGGCGCGGCGACACTGATGCTGCTACAGCTGGGACTGTTGGCTCTAAGCTGCCATCGAACCAGCTAAAGTCGATCTGGGCAGCTGATTGGGACAAGGCAAGGGTGCACGGCCAGGTCAGACTACAAGAATTGCTGGATCCGGCCCCTCCTCAGTCACCGTGGATCCAGTACGATGAGCTCGCAAAATATGGACGGACCAAGTCAGAGCCTACGTGGTTTATGCCGGGACAAATCAAGGAGGCCGTCGTGGAGGGTAAGAATATGCTGGGGGGTACGGGTAATGGTGGTCACAAGGTTATTTGGTCTCATAACGAGGGAAGCCAAGGCATACCAGCTGATGGCAAATCACCGCAATCTTATGAGGTGAGCGCTTTGGAAGGCTCATGTGAGTAGTGATACTGAAGTATGCTAATGTGTACCAGGCTACAGATGCATCCTACACCTCTGTATACTGGCCACAGGGAGGTGCCATTCTGTCGCAGTATTCTACCTCGCCGAAATACGCCATCAAGGGGCGTCCGTCCAAGGAAGATCAGCAACTGGTCCCTCTTGCAAGACAATCTGATGTGCTTGCTCTTGAATGGTTCCGCCAGTGCGATGAAGCGCAGACAGACCCAAGTATGCTGAAATACTTTCTCAGAGTCTTGATCAGTAATGACGAAGTCATCAATGTAATTATCCATGTTGCACAAAGAATACTTGGAGAAGGGCAAATCATCCCCGAGTGGGCGCAGAGACTGAAGGTCGACGCTGCAAGCCCAGATGGTGAGGCACTTCTGGGAACCGTGACTGGCCAGGGTGTTGCTCGCTTCCTGTCACAGCATCGAAAGAAGCTTGGCTGGAAAGAAGTACGATCTATCCATCTCTTCAACTGCAAAACTGCGGCGGACTTCGGTGCGGACACGGGGTATTGGCATAAAGATACCGCGATACCAGGTCTTCTCTTCATCATCGGCGATCACGAATCTCGTGCGAGGGGAGCTGATGTCAGAAATGCTGAGGGAACGTCGACAGTTGTTGCAGGAAGGTCCTTTGTTAGGATCGATTCAGGTTTGCGTTACGATGCAAAGGCACGGCATACGTCCAGCAACGTGACCCAAGTACTCCCTCGGAGCTCATCGGAGCTCCCAAAGCATGGTCTCGGCACAATCGAACCACCAACTCTCAAAGTGCCGGACGACGACTTGTTACAATCTTGGGCAACACTTTGGGAAAAAGCACGACTCAAAGGAGCCGAACGGCTAAGTGAGCTCCTAGATCCAAGGCCTCAACAGTCCCCATGGACCGAGTATGGTGAACTTGAGCTTTATGGATGGAGGAAAAAACCAGTCATCGTTCAAGCATTCGTGGCACAATTGAAGGTCGCCGTGCAAAGACTAGAAGAGGAAGCTGGGCTGAAGGAAGGCACGAGAAACTATGACAAGCTCGCTTGGAATCATGAAGTTCCTAGTGAGATTGGTCAGGGTCATGGCAAGCCGTCTGCGTCGTACAAGGTCAGCGCAGTGTTGTCCAGGAAAGCATAAAACGTCAATAGCTGACTCTTGGTAGGTGACCGGTGCTTCTTATACCGCCGCATACTCACCAAGGGCTGGACTAATAGTCTCCCAAGACGCAGTGTCGCCGACGGAGGGCGCGCGCAGACGAAAATTCCCACCCAGTGAGTTGATCGTACCTCTGGGCAGGCAGTCCGATGTTTTGGCACTGGAGTGGTTCCACGAGTTTGAGATGGCAAGATTGCAAGATCAAAACAGAAATGACGAGCAAGCGAGTAAGGATGGTCGAACAGATTCGGAGGAGAAAGCAACGTCCGGAGTGAAAAATTTGAGATGGATCGTCCGGGGTCCAATAGCCAACATCGAGACAAGGGCTGTGATCTTCCAAGCTTTGCGCAATCAGCCAAATAGCAAAGAACGATATCCGAATGGACCACCGCAGTGGGCGGAGAGGGTAAAGATTCATATTAAAAGTGAAGACGGTAAAGCTCTACTTGGCACAGCGAACGGACAGACAGTGGCACGTCTCCTCTCCCAGCACCATACACAGCTTGGCCGTAAGACTATAGACTCGGTACATGTGTTCAACGCCAAGAACTTGGAGCACGACTACACGCAAGGTGGGTATTGGGAAAAGCACAACAGCATGCCGGCCCTCCTCTTCGTGATTGTGGACTATGATTCATCACAAAATTCAGGTGGTGATACCGCTGGGAAGGAGGAACAGACTATAACACGTGGAATTGGGTTCGCCAAAGCAAAGTTATGACATCTCGAGGAAACAGAATCGAGACCATCTACGATACATCTTGGACGTGTCGGTGTGTTTTGAACACACCAACGGCTCCTCAGATCGTGAGCGCATGGCTTGCTACGTACACAGCTCACGGCCTTTCGCATAACACGATGTGCCGATCGAGCAACTTATCTCAATGAGCTTTCATGAATTGCACGACGTCTTATACAGCCTTCAGGAAAGAGGCACTTATCCGCCAACACATCATGCGTGCATGTACGAGTTAGCGACGTTGCTGGCGATGATGTGGCCGCTCATATAATAGTATCATGAGCAACGAATAATGAGTATATAGTTGATGCCACTACTTCCGAACCTTTGGCAAAGCATTCTAGTCTACTACAGCAAGAATTCTAACTTGCTGCTTCTCAGCACTATACAATAGAGCCATAAGTGTACATCATATCATTAGCTAACTGACTACAGCATTCATCTACAGAATTTAAGGAACCTCAATCTAGTTAATCGAGGAGACAGCAGCAGAGTTATCTCAGACGAACACAAAGCTGATAGCTCAACCATGCAGGTGGCACAACAGCGTCGTATTGAGGCATCACCTCTAGGGCCGGCAGCTTCCCTTACCTTCCTTGTCTACGTGTACGCCAGCCAGCTACGTGTTGATACAGCAACGTTCAGAGCAGGCGAGCTCGAAAGTCGACACCATGTACTTTCATAGGAGATGGCTTTCCAGATCAACACTACTGCTCCAAGCCGCATAAGCGGTCGAGCCCCTTTGACAGTTTGACCAGCGGCCTTAGCAGTGATGCCCCCGTGGTAAGGCAGGACTGGAAGCGTGCGCTGAGGAAAGGCAAGGAACTCTACGATCTGATGGGAGATTTGGCTGCCACTCAATCTCACTGGGATTCGTACGAGCGATTAGAAAAATATGGTTGGGACAAGACTGTCGCAAGCCAACCAGAATTTCCCAAGGGCATGGATTCTGCCTTGAGTGTTGAGCAAATTGGAAGCATCTTGGAATCGGCCACCGAACAGTTTGAAGAAGTGACTTGGAGCCATCTCAGCAGAAGTGCGGCAAAGGACGATGAAAACCGGGTCTCCAAGCCGTACAGTGTAGGTCTCGACACCATAGATCCAGTGTACGTGGACTGATATACAGAGTAGCCAACCCGGGCACACTACCGCGCTCTATACTGCCCTCGTTCAGGGGCGATTGTCAGCCAGGATTCAATCTCACCGAAAGTAGCCGTCGAGGCGGAGTACAAACGCCGGTATCGTGGAGGTACAGTGGTACCTCTCGGTCACCAGAGCGACATCTTGGCTCGGAAATATGCCCATTTCGTGAAGTGTGTCGACGGTAAGCCGTCGAACTTACGATGCTTCTTTCGATCGCATGTGGGCAACACGACGACCAACAACGTGCTTTTCAGGGCCTTGGAAGAAGGAGACAGTCATTCAGGACCTCCAAAGTGGCTTGGTCGAGAATTTCCCCCCGGAGCATCGGCAGGTAAAGGCATTCTAGGAACACCGAATGGTCGTGGTGTGGCCTTGATGCTGGCAACTCGTCGTGCAGAATTTGGACTCAAGACTGTTCGAACAGTCCGAATATTCGACGATGAAATCTCCGATGAGCAGCGCAAAGAGTATCAGAAGCACAGTCGGCCAAGCTTGATTTTCGAGATCATGGAATGGATACCTCCGCGAGCACACAATACCCAAGCAATGGCGCGTGAGACAGGTGGCAGTACAGTGTACAGAGCTAGGCTCTGAGAGTATCTGTCATGGGTGGAAGCGGAGTGCGGCAGCATCACAGCATTGCTTCAAGAGAAGCGTCATTAATGTTTGCTCACGCGTGGTAATTGCGACGACGTAAGATTTGAACAGCAGTCCGTACACAGTCATACTTATCATGCTTTACTGACTTACCAGCGATATTTTGACTAGATAATATCAGCATACGCCAAGCAAGAGAGTGGTATCAGGGCGAGTTCGTCAGCAATGTACACATAGCTCGACATGTGTGCAGCAGATCAGCAATGCCTATCAAAAGTGCCTCTCCCTCTAAAACGTTCATTCCGACATCAGCTCATCCTTCTCTCCCTCATTGTATGTGCAGTGGCGTCCTGATCAGCGACCAGCGACATCTTACCATCATCATCGTCGTTCTTCGACTCGGGGCTGTTCTCAGCTTCCTTTATCGATCCGGTGTCATCTTCGTCGGAAACATCGCTATCTTTCGAAGCATCCGGTTCATCCTCGCTTTCATGTTCAGCAGTGTCTAGCGCCAGCTTACGACCCATCAGCGTGTACGTACTTTCCGTCTCCATGAGCTCGACATCATCTTGATGATAGATGCTATACTTATTCTTGGTATAGAATCTGATCAGCTGCTGCTGAGTTCTGGCCAGCAGCTCCTTTGAAGGTTCTTCACCCTCGTCACTGAAAAAGGCTGGTTGCAGTATAATCGTGCTCTCGGCGAGCCCATAGCATTCTGGGAGACCTCGCAATTGCTTATGGAATGCGCTCAAAGCGTGGGTGCCCAATTTGGCGCCTCGATACTTGGGCTCGATGTATATTTTGTTGATGTATACGAAACGATCAGCTTTCAGTTCCGTGGCCAAGGCCTTATAGCAGGGTCTGCGACGTCCAGCACTATCGTAGAAGATCCCAGTGAGCTCGCAGAGACCCAGAAGAGGATCCTCGCTGTCCAAGGTTGAAAAGTCCTCTACCCAGAGCTTTCCGCGAGCTTCGGAGCGTAAGGATTTATCGATGATCCAACCTTCTATCTGACCAATGAAGACTGATTTCTGGCCTTCTGGTGCCCACTTGATGCGTACAAAGAGATCGGTCAAGCACCTGGAGACGGACACTGTGTCAGTCTCAAGTTTTAGCTTCAGTTGGCCAGGCTGCTCTGGGTTCTTACATTTCTTGCTCGCCGTGAAATAGTTTTCGTTGGTACTCGGATGCATGTCGTGGTCTAATTGCGATGGTGGTTTTTGAGTTACAGAGACCAGCTCTGGCAAAATATCGAATGTTTATCGTTGCGGTAACGAACGAAGCCCATTGTCGCCGGCTACAAGTATGCTTGAAATCAAGGGACAAAGGCAGTCCCAGTTCGCACCAGCACATTGTTGAGATGTGATATATATAGACAGCACCTTTGTTGGTCATGGTCCAAGAGATTGGTCAAAGAGCGTGCTGGCAGAACGCTGTCTGGATAGTGGTGTAGACAGATTATGTGGATACATAGGTCTGGTACATCGGAACGAGGCGCAGAGAGGTCCAGATGTCGACTCTCATGTCGATGGGCCATGAAGCCAGGGGCGAAGTGCGCCATCGTGCTCAAAAGGGATGTGATACAGCGTAGGAAAAGGAGTGCGATAAGGTATCGTTGAGAGTGAGCCTACCAGCCCCGGGATGTGACAGAAGACTTGTGAGCAAAGTGTGTAATCCTATCTAACTATTCATGTCAGCATGTGTCTTGAGACTGTCTCGACTTGAGTATGCCTTGACTGGATCGCAACTACTCGAGAGACGCATATGCGTGTCTCGATAACAAAGGCACAAGACAAAGAGATCCGCAGGATGGATATGGTCGCCGCCCGCAAATCTGGACATATGTGTATGATGTGACAAGGTAGAAGATACCTAGACAGTCATCATCCTTTCAACTCCAAGCTCAATCCAAAACGTGTACAGACCCGCTATCTTCACTTCACCTCGCCATGACAAGCAATGATCGTCAGGTACACAGCCGAAAGGAGATTCTCCGTTGTTAGGACACAGACAAAATCCACCACGCTCGTCCACAGTGCCGTAAAAGCCAAGCCAACAGTACGAGATAAATGTGCTATGATGCCTGTGAAGGATGCAACGGTACAGTATATCCGCAATAGCGAGGTAACGTTCACCGACATGAATACCACAGTAGGATCCGATTGTGGTGAGTAGGATGAGTGGTTTATCCCACCTCTCTTATCATTATTCAACATGTTCAGCTTTTGCCTTCTTCTAGCTGGCTCCGTGTCTTTGGTCTCTGGCCTGTCACCAAGCGAATACGCCTCCTCCAATGGCATAGGAAGGGCGGGCATAGGCAGCGTAACCGCCATTGTCCCAGTCAACTCTGCCAATGCCACGACCAGGACTTCTGCCGGTGTACCACCATTTATCACATCGCCGGTGTCCATGAGCACATTCACGGAGACAGAGAAGCTCACCAAGTATATCAAAGTGACCAACACTACTCTTACTTCGACAATCACACTTGGAGTCGAGAACTACACTGCGACGACGACGGTGCTGGCCATATATCCTTTCACAACCACGCTCTTCGATGCAATAACTACCAGTACATATACAGAGGCTCCTGCCCGTGAGACGACGACCATCTGCACCTCAACAGATATTTCGTACGTATTGTATACTATCTCCCTCCCCACACAGTCTTCCACTAAGTTGCTATGATAGCTCGCTAGAGAGCACAAGTACAGTCTACACTGGCACCTTCACTCCCAGGAGCCCTCGTACCGCCTGTCCAACGCAATAAACCAGTAATGATTTACAAGCCTACCTTGATAGCTCATCAAGCGAAAATGCTCACCAAATCATCTTACCCATAATCCTATCAGCCTTCACGATCTCAACAAAATCACCCTCCGCCGCCACATGATCCTCACCCACCTCACTCCAAGCCTCGAACCCGTTCTGCTAATAGAATCTGATCAATCGATTCCAATGCCGATGAAACCTCTCCTCCACCCCCAGTACGCTAAGACCCTCAGATCGCGGCCTGCGGAAACTCGAGTCAATCTCCGCAGGAGTCAGAAAGACTGGACCACGAAAACAGTCCGGCGTAGGTATATTCGACAGGGTATTGAACACCATATCCAGCATTCGACTTCCAAACCCACAGCCTCGGAAGTCTCGCTCGGCGAAGATATAGTCGATGTAACATAATTGTTTCCTCGCCAGTACGCAAGCAGAGAAGAGCTTACTCTTCTTCGGTCTGCCATCAGTTTCGAAGAGTAAGTCCAGACGATAAGGCCTTAGAATTTGTATGCCCTCAGGCTCCTCCGTAAGATCTGCGCACAGATCCTGCGTACTGGTAGGGCGCGCATCATACTTCCAGCTACTAAGATCTCCCTTCCACGCTAGATCGGTGATAGTAGCTGGACCATTAGTAGTCTTCTTGCCTCGGCGCTCAGACTCAGGGACAGAGTATACATCAGCAATGGTCTTATCGATGATACTAGCAACGACGACACCGACATGCCTTTTCTCATTAGCGTTCGTGCGGCTGTCGGCGATCATAGGCCAGAAGTCGCAGTTTGCCGTGACCTGTCGCAGACACTTAGATGGATGACGGTGAGGGCCAATAACGAGTGTCATTGTCAGTTCGCCATGCCCGAATCGACTGCACTCGAATTCCCGGCTCACTATTACCTTCTGGGTGAGTAGTCTAGGGTCAATGCCCTCGGTAGACGTTCCCGGCATGATCGCGTGTTGTGCTGTTCTCCGGGATCTGATATCATGACAGAATTGTCTTGAGTAGCTGATGATTCCCCTCGCTAAAAGTCCATCGCTTGCGAGGCCAGAGCGCATAGTGATGGCAGATTAGCAGCCAGGTGCACAAAAGCTATTGTTGGAACTGGAGAACAAGGGCAAGATAAAGCTGTCGCAAGACATCGTATGTTCGTGGCTAGGTGCGGTACAAAGCATGTCGAGGAATCCATGATCATGGGCAGCGGACAGTGACCACGGCGTGTACCGGCCGCAGTCACGGGTCGGATAGGTATACGCCAGTGAACAGGCCAGACTTGCTTGGTGCGCCGTAGCTGGGATGTCGCCAAGTGCATGCTATTCGTCCTAGTTGATCAGTGTGCTTCCGGTATAAGGCTTCCGGTGTGAGGCTTCCGTGCCACTGTTCAGGAAGTCACCACCATCATACCTGACACGAGACGCAGGACTAGATATGGGATGGAACCCTGACTCAAGTACGGCAACGCACCATATGCATTAGTCTTACCAGAAGACTACCAATTACTCCACCCTCGTCTGCTGCCTCGCTATCATGCAAGATAAGTTATGCTCATATAACGCTCGAACGCCAAGCAAGTCATCATCATAACTCACACAAACAACACAATCTCACCCCTATCGTTCCTCCTCAACCTGAGCGACTTCCACAAATTCTTATCCTCTTCCTCCTTCTCGCCACTCCGTGTATCAAGCTCACGATGGAATCGCTTCAATGCTTTATTAATCGACAATCCTCGTTCGCTGTCCGGTCCTTTCGTGATGAAAGACATGAATAATTCGGCGTTGGAATGATAAGCAACCATTTGATTTGCTGAAGAAGGTTGGACAGACTGTGGGCGATCCGGGTAGTCGATGGCCTTGTACTCTCGCTTCGAGGACCTATGTCTGCTTTCTGGCGAAGAAGAGGAGCCTCGTCGACTCCTGTGGTGATGCTTGGACGACTTGCTTTCACTTCGATCCTTACTACGAGCTCGAAGATGTTTATCGTCCGAGTGCTTGCTCGACGTCGATTTCGCCGTGCTGTAGGATGTGTAGCTCGACTTGCGTCGCGCATCCTTGATATCTTTCTCGTGCTTGGAGCGCTTCAGCGGGCTTATCGGCGTTGGTCCAGCATCGATGCGATCCTCATAGAAGTCCGGGTCGGTCACAAGTCGTGTCAGGCCTCCAGTCAAGCCAGAATGCAGCACTCGTCCTGCCGGACCATGGGATGCCGGGTCCAAAACCATCTCATTACCTCTCGAGCTTGGCCGCTTCGAAGAAGACAAGTCCAGATCCTCAACATGCTGCCTCTTCCTCTTCTTATCACTCTTCTCCGATTTGCGCTCCTTCCTATCAGGCCTATCGCTTCTAGGCCCGGGAGTCGTGTACGGTGGTGGTGGCATCAATGCCTGTGAGCCTTGCGAGTCTGTCATATTCTGCCAAGAATCGTAACGTTCAAATGTTGCATGCACCGGCGCATTGCCATACGACCAGCCGGATTGTGCAAACTGCGATCCATCGCCTGTGGAGAATTGCGAGTATTGCGACTCGCCGTTGCCGTTGGCATAGTGTACGCTCTCTTGCACCATCCTGCTACCGCCTGGCGCCTCTAGCCCTTTTCGTGATGCAGTCGGTGTCGCATCCGTAACCAGAAAGTCAAAAACATTGATATTCTCGGGCAAGGCCTGATGCGCCGGTGGTGGTGTAGGCGCTCTCGGAGGCACATCCACTATCGCCACAGCCTGGCTGTCCTCGCCTTCTGGCGCATCCTCCACATATGCATTCCTTGGTATCATCGCTTGCGAGTCGTCGTTGTCCTGGTGACCGTTGATGGACTTCCGCTTGTTACCACCCTTTTTGTCCCGGTAGAGTGCGCCCTGGTACTTCTGTGCTTCGCTAATGCATGAGGTGTGTGATCGATATTCCGTGCCGTAGAAGTGTACCATGCAGTCAAGACAGGTGAAGGATGCGCCACGGCATTGATTTCGGTGAGGATCGAGCTTCTGTGGGTGATGTTGGTGATTATACTGAGTATGCCATATGCCTTTCATCGCTTACCTTCTTGGTCAGGACATCGCCGCAGTTCTACATGGCGCATAGTCAGTAAGTCTGTTCAATAACCATTATTCCTCTAAAAATCCATACCTCGCAAGAGAACGACACCATACTGTCGTCTACTCCCTCTGGTCGTGATCGCCACGATATATACGCGCGTCTAAAGCGATCAGGAGGTGTGGACGGCGTATGCGGCGTTGATCACGTTGACGACAGTGGGTAGCGCGAGGGTGGGTGAATGGTGAATGGAGGGGTGTCGCGACAGAATGTTTCAGACCAAGCAATCACAAGGCAGACACGGTTTTAGTGCCTGCAGGGGTAATTCCGTGTCTTATGCACGTGACCGCTCTAGCGTGCAGGGGCCACATTGAAACACATCTTCATGCGTGCAAGGGCTGGGTGTTCTTCATCGACGACTGAAGATGTCATGATCATGATTGAAGCAGCCTTCTTCCTGACCGGCTCGACTAATGATATCGTGTTAGTATCACGTCGGCAGTTGCGCTCGTCTTGTAGGTAGCCTGCGTATTGTCGTAATCCGTGTCATTACCAGTTCGGCACCTTGTGACCGCTCGAACACTTCCGAAACCGCTTTCAGTGCAATCAAGTGGGGTAGGCTCTGGAAACATCCCTTTAGACGACGTCGTCGACAGTCATGGTGGATCAGTCCATGGAACGTTCAAGTCCAGACCAAAAGATGAAGTATATATGCTTCACGATTCGTGAGAAACACCACTCAGATCCTTACCGCTCTGACCCTGCACAGCAGAGCCCCAGAGTTCGGCATGTGTTTTCCCGATCAGGAATCCCAACGGCCTCGCAGCATTAGCTCCATCGACAATGCCATGTGCTGTGGAATTGACAAGCAACGTCCTTGCGATACTCAGAGCCAATGGGTCCGTAATCTATCAATCTAGACTTGATATTGCCACATACTGTAGTACATAAACCCGCCGCATGCCGCAAATTACGTTGGACTCTCTTTCCAATATGCACTACTTTGCCACCCAGTGATGCAAGTCGTCTGGTACCCAACGATGCTACATTATCACCCTCACCAAGCTAGCACTGGTCTGTGCACAATACCTCCTGTCTTCTCGAAGGATGCTCGGTCTCAACGATGGCGGCTCGATGCCTAGTGCAACTCTCGTTATTGGCTTCGAATTACTACTGTTGATATAGGCGCTGGCCGCGCTATCCGTCTGTGCCAGTGCCGCAAGCCTGGGCCTCCGATACTCTCTGATGACTGGAGAGTAGTAAGGTGCTTTCTGTATCTGGATATCACAGCAACCTGCTCGCCGGGAGATTGCTCGTCGAGGGTGTCAAGGAGAGCCCGGATGGTATCGACGGTTCGCCTGCTCGTCATCGAAATCGCGGCTGCCCATCGATGTATGCTGTATGCTTGCCCAAACGCCGAGTACCGATATTATGTGGTATCTAATGCAAAGATGCAGTGCTCAAAAACAGACAAGTTAAGGTACTATCACCGCCGGCGCCAGCGCCGACGCGTGAAATTCGCTGGTGATTATAATGCTCTGGAAATGATAGTCTCGACTCGGTGTGGTGTTCTCGCACGTGTCGGCCGACTTGCTAGGGACTTGAGCGTACTCCTGACTCTCCAGGAACCGACCGCGGTCAGCGGGACACCTCCTTTTAGCTGCATGGATGACCATGTCATTGTGATGGCCTCCTCAAACCACCGGTAAAGCGCATCGGAGCCGGCCGAGGATGTGCTGCACCGGTCGGAAAGGCAGCACGGTCAAAGTAGATTCTTGAACCTAGAAGGCTCGAGCCATTGGCATCAATCCACAAGAGTATAGCTTCCAGTAAGCCTTCGAGGCCCAGCTGCGGCAGGCCACGTCTCAAGCTGACAATCCGCAACAGTCCAGTCATATGGGTGTTGAACACCGCTTGATCGCCGTAGAGAACCTCATAGCACGCCATCATAGCCACGGCGATAATGACCTGATCCTGAGTCGCCCGGGTCTCGTCCTCAAGAGCACGATTGATCTCTCGGATAGCCATACCTCGTAGCTGAAGGAGGTCGATTGCATGAGAGCGAGGCCCTCGTATCCGACCAAAGCGTGTTGCTGCTACAAGCATCACGGCATGAAGAGACGCGGGATCTGTCATTACAAAGGGACCGAACCGCGTTTGCAAGCGTGATTGGATTTCTGTTTCCGCTATGCCCGGGATGTCGACTGCCATGTTTGACAAATAGTCGTCCTGCAAAGCATTAGTGGTGTCAATGCAATATGTTCGAGGAAAGGAGCGTACCATAATCTGTGCGATGTAAGGATGCCACAGCTCGGGATACAGTGCATACGGATCGATCTGACGATCGCTGAGATGTGTCGGTGAGGATGCAGCAGAGGACATCTCTGGGCTGGAGGGTCCTGCACTAGTACCTGTAGGCAGCTCTAAAGTAGTCGGTCGCTCCGTCGGAAACGTCTCAGCATGCGGTCGTCGTGATAGAGGCGTGGGCTCCAAGTCGGCAGCAGCAGCAGAAGAAGAAGAAGACGAAGAGCCCTGAAAGCTCTTCGCTCGCCGTTCCTGTTGCAGCTTCTGCTCCTTTTGGTGCTGCTGTTTCGTGACATGGCTCCGGACGGCTTTGCGTGCGTTCGATGCTTTGGCATCTTGCGGGTGACTGAAGTTGAGGAATTGGAAGTCGATCTGAGTCTTCTCTGTAGGCGACGGCGCCTTGCTTCCTGCAAAGAAGGTTACCTGATTAGAGCAAAGCCATCGCAGTCAAGTAGGGAAGACGACGTACCACTGCTAGTCTCAGAACGGTCGGGCGCCGGCGACGTTGATCGGCTTGCTCCAGCTTGTGTCCTTGACAGCTCGGCAGTCCGTCTGTTGGCCATGTTATATGTCTCACTCTGCAGAGGTATATCCTGGAAACGAGGGCACTATGTTGGTTAGGCAGGAACATGGAGGCAAATATGGCCTGATATATGACTTGACATGCAGTACCTCAATGGGCGGCTCCGATCTTCAGGGGAACCTTTTTTCGTTCCAAATTGTCACGACATCAGTGATTGCTGAGCACTGCAGTATGGCTTCGACACCTTGTGTACCGTATGCTATTGGGAGGCCCGGGTGGCGACACTGCGATATTCAATGCAAGACCTATGGCAGCGCCGTTGCGCCAAACAGGCAAAACGAGACCGCCTAGGTAGTGACCATTGGATGAAAGACTTTCCAATGGCTGTGGAGTCCATGGCGCTCATCTGAGACCGTATGCGCGGCGACTCGCGCATTGGCTCCCGGGCAGTATTGCGTTCAGCTAGCGACTGTCGTTGCTTGAGGGTGGTCCACTGAAGGTATCGGAGGTGCGCGCCACTCGCCGTTCTTCGCTCGTGTATGCCAGCAGTCATTCTGGTTCCAGAAAGGTTAGGGCCAACGGTACTCATGCAAGCTCAGCCTCAGCCGTCTGTATAGGGACGAAAGAGGAAGGTATCAGCATGCATTAGCACAATCGGTCGTAGGAAGAGTGGCGCAAGAGCTGAAGCACAGATCGTGGATTCGCGGTACATCCTGATGACATGTCCGCTGCATAGCATCACATCAGTAGCCCTATTCGCCAGTGCGAAGAGTGCATTGGTTGATCTGGAGTACTCCTAGGCCCTTGCATAGCTGGACTGCATTTGGCGCTTGTGCTGCCCGAACCTAATAGGAGCACCGGAGGCATACAGTAGCTCGAAGTGGACACACACAGTAGCCCGAATAGAAGCGTGCATGAACGCCTTCGAAAGTCGAAAGCCAGTGGAGACGGACTGCTTTCCTATGGAACATGTGCGAACCCCAGTTTTTCTGGCTTGGCAAGCGTGTTCGGTGCTCGCGAGATCATCCTCCGGCTCATCAGCCTACTGTGTCAAGTTGCACTCGAGCCGAGCCTCAGAGGCAATGTCTGCACCACCACGACCACGACCTTCGGCGGTCGTGTGGGAACAAGCGGTCGTGTACATCGGCGATCGACTACACACGCTCAGCTTACTCTCAACTGCAGCAGTCAAAATCGGAACCTGGTCGATGCCGAAGCCGATAGGTTCTCCTGCTGATGAGCGAAAACGGTTCTCGTACCGATGCGTGCCGGAGGACATTTCTCCGGCGACGCGAGTTATCTTGATGGCCAACCATTTCCCACTGTGGCTTAACTATAGCAACCCTTCTGTGGCTTGATCTCGACGACACAAGAGGTGATGTTGGCATACAGCAGGGACATCCGCACTGGCCGCTCCCATTCTTGGAAAGCGTGCTGCAAGTCATTCGCCTGTGCTTGTACGACATACCCTGTACCATGGTTCGGCAAGGTCGAAGCCGGCGCCGCAGGAATGGAAAGTGAGGCGCCCGGAAAAGCCACCATGCAGCTTACCCAACCCAGCGGATCGGATCCAGGCGGATATGTAACGCATCAAACACAGGCACACAAAACGCTATCAACGATATTCAGATGTCGTAAACCTGTCGAGAATCCCAAGGCAATTGACTCTCGTCCTACTCTACTGAACGCAGCCTCACCGCCACACCGCCTGTTCGATGGCGACATCTGGTGACGAGCGTGCAGCCACAGCGTTGCACAAATCACGACGAAAAGGCAGGCACCAGGAACAAGACCAAGCATTTCTCGCTCTTCGCGACGACGCAACTCTGCTCCCCGACCAGCCATCTCCGGCTTACGACAGTCCTGGGCCCACGCAAACGTCACGGTCTCTACTGATAGATGTAAGGATTCCCGGGTACTAAAATATGCATATACCAGGTTGCCATTTAGGCTGACAAGCCCCTTGTCTCAAAGCTCGTGCTCACGCCTCTGAATATGATAGCCATGGTACTATCACTATTCTTAGTCGATCACCAACAACGCCAATGGCGCATGTACGTGGCGCCTGTCACCGAGAAGGCAACCGAGGTCCTGGGTTATGGCCATGTCTTACATTTCGCTAATAGATTGACGCCTCTTATGCAGGTCACAACACGCCGCAAGTCCTCAGTCGCTGTGGGCCAGATTGAGCAGTTTCCTAGACCCGGATCCGTACAGCTCGCAGAGATCGAGTCATGCTGGCGACGCCACTGTGCCTGATTTGGATGGCAACTCGGATCGTCATGGGTCCTATGTCCGTAAGAAGCATCGGGCCATGGCCAAAGTCGAGCTCAGTGATGCGCTGGCAGTTCGTAATAGGGTCATGGTGGCCTTGATAGCTTGGTCCCTTTTGGCGTTATGCTTGATCGTTTATGCAGTGCGACGAACGTATCTTTGGGTAGTTGCTTAAACAATATGCTGGTTAGTGATGTATGTTTATTTGTCAATTGACAGTATTTGCAAGAGTGCTTGGGAGGGATAGTAGATGGTAGGATTCATGTCTCCATACGCAGCAAGAAGTACATTGCTGCAGCCATAACGCCGTGCGCACACATCATGCTGCTCCAGGTATCGTAGCGACCATATCCGTCTTCTTTCGCTTGCTACAGCTCTCGTCCACTCAAGCGTCCTCGCCACGATCCATCCACCAATCTTTCCTTGAACCATCTATCTTAGCCTTCTAGCCTCACGCTCAGACTCGAGCAAGCAGAGGATATCATCCTCGCGGACTGCAACAGTATTAGCCTTTCCACTCTTCTGTTGGAATGAAATACCCGGAGTGCGATCCGTACCTGGGCCCTTGACGTTGCGGATAATGCTTCGGGTGGTATCGTCCATGAACTCTACGCGGACCTGGGTCACACCACCACGAGATCCTGCCATCGATTAGTCTCCCGTATCCACGTCCGTTTCCTCTTGATCCCATATCTTCACATACCAGTGCGGCCGAGCACACGGGTGACCTTGACGAGCTTGACGGGAACTCTGCGCACGATATCAGCCTTCTACCCTACTTCATGCCACCGATGCCACTTCCCCACTCACTTTGCGGACTCCATGTTTGCGACTTGCGTTCGTCTGTTGGATGTAGGATTGTGTGGAGGTTGTTCTAGCCGTGGGAATACTTGATGTCGTGCTGGTCGAAGTGCTGGATCTCGCTGGCCCAAATTTGCTAGCGTGCGAGGAAGTCTTGGCTTTGCACTTTCTCGGCGGCTCTATCCGCTGCTTTCCACATCGGGCTTATCAGCTTGCTGAGGAAAGACAAAATCCGGGGAAACAGCCAACATTTTTTGAGACGACTCATTGCTGGAGTATGGAGTTGCCTATAAGGATATAAAGATACGAGTCGACAGAGAATTGTACGAGAGGCTCAAGTCGAGGACTATCACATCCAATACGCTCATAATGTCGCTCCTTGAACAGTAAGTTGACCTTGAAACTCTTGTGGCGTGCATCATTCCAAGCCATTGGCCACGTATTATATGTGCAACAAACCACAGAATAGCATAACAAAATACTAACACACCGCACAGACTAAACGGCCGCCTCCTCTTCGCAGTCCCCAAAAAAGGCCGCCTTCAAGAAAAAGCCTTCGCCCTGCTCAAAGGCTCCGACATCCAATTCAACCGCCCCGACCGCAGCGACATCGCCTTCAGCTCCAACACCCCCGTCGCCCTCGTCTTCCTCCCCGCAGCCGACATCCCCGCATTCGTCGGCCGCGGTAATGGCGCCCTAGGAATCACAGGCTCAGATTGCATCCAAGAGTACGAAGCCCGGGAACCTCCTACTTCCACGACGGGGGTCGAGCATGTGCTAGATTTGCGGTTCGGGGTGTGTAAGTTGCAGGTGCAGGTTCCCGAACATGGGGAGATCCAGACGCCTGAGCAGTTGGTGGGGAAGACGATTGCGACGAGTTTTGATGGGTTGTCGCGGAGGTACTTTCGGGAGTTGGAGGGGAAACAGGGTGCGACTAGTACTTTTACTAATGGGGAGGGAGGGGGTGCGAATGGGGAGGCCAAATTGAAGACTAACATTCTACATTTGAGTGGGAGTGTGGAGGCCGCTTACTCGCTTGGCATGGCGGACGCCGTCGTAGATCTCGTTGGTATGTTGTTCGCCACCACGCCCCATCCACTCCACTGAACAACAAAACCCTTCGCCAACCAAACAGCTAACACCCTCTCGCAGAATCCGGCCTAACCATGCGTTCCGCCGGCCTAAAACCCATCGCCACAGTCCTAACCAGCAGCGCCACGCTCATAAAATCCAAACACCCCTCGGACCCGGCCTGGGTCTCCAAAATCACCGCCCGAATCCAAGGCGTCATCACAGCTCAACGCTACGTCCTCTGCTGCTACAACGTAGAGCGGACGAAACTGGAAAAGTGCTCCAAGATTACGCCCGGGAAACGGGCGCCGACGGTGAATAATTTGGAAGAGGAAGGATGGGTGGCTGTGCAGGCTATGGTTGAGTCGGGGCAGGTGGCGACGGTGATGGATGAGTTGAGTTTGGCCGGGGCGCATGATATTCTCATTATGAAGTTGGAGAATACGCGGCAGTAGACTAGCTGACTTCACATGAGGCGGCCGTAGCACGAGAAGCTCACCGTCGACGCTTTAGGCGAAATAGAAGGAAGTCCAATGATAGACCACGCGCGTGCTTCGTTATGACACACGCAAACCATATTAAATCAAGTTTCACAAAGTAGTTCGAGTACTTATCTGAGCTATTCCAACCCACCCACCATTGCCATTGGTGGAGAGATCATGGCAACTGAGTAGGCATCACACTCCCATTCGCCTTCCCCTCCACCTTCCCGGGTTCCTCAACCTCATACTCCCCCTCCCTATACTCCCTCACCCGATCACACCACCCAAACTCATCCTTTACCTTCCCCGCCTGAATCCCCTTTAACTGCGCCAAAAGCTTCACCACCACCGGCCCGGCCTCCTCACTCCCGCCATTATACTTGAAAGTGTCATTCCGACTCCTCATCGTAATACTCTTGATCGGGACCAGGGCCGCCGCGGTCCCTGCCGCGATCACCTCGTCAAAGGAAGACAGTTCCTCGTACTTGATCGACCGCTTCTCCACTGTCCAGCCAAAACTCTGCGCGATTTCACAGACACTTATCCCCGTCACCGACTTGATCACGTTCTTACTGTCCGGCACCACGAGCGTACACCCCTTCTCCGGGCTCCCTTTAACCCCAATGAAAGCCGAAGTAGAGAACTCGTCAATCTCCGTCCGTGTCTTACTATCAAGATGCAACGTAATCCCAAACCCCTCCGCATAAGCCCGCTGACTATGCCGCAGAACAGGAGCATAATTCCCTCCGATCTTCGCCGACCCGGTGCCCTCTGGCGCCGCACGGTCGAAGTCCTCTAGGATTAGCGCGGCGACGGGGTGGGAGCCGTGGTAGACTCCTGTTGGTAAGACGTAGACGACGAAGGTATACTCCTCCGTTGGATTTAATCCCAATTGCGCACTCGAGCCGAAAACTAAAGGACGAATATACATCGCCGCCCCTGTCCGATGAGGCGGAACGAACTCGCTGTTCAGACTCACGGCCATCCTTACACATTCCAACCAATGCTCGGTGGGGACCTCGGGGATGGAGATGAAGCCGGAACTCCATTGTTGGCGTTCGGCATTCTGCTGCGGACGGAAAATGTTGATGGTTTTGTCGTCCGGGGCGCGAAAGGCTTTGAGGCCTTCGAAGGTTTGCTGGCCGTAGTTGAGACCCGGGGCGAAGCCGTGGATGCGGAGGTAGGGGTCGCGAATGAATTTGGGGGTCGTCCAGGTGTTGGTGGATTTGGAGAAGTGGGATTCGATGTGGCCGTTGACTGGACAGCACTTGTTAGGATGGAGAAGGGATGTGTAGTGGTTGGATGGGTTGTTATGCCTTCTCGAACGCGAAAACCTATGTCATCCCAGTCTGGTATATGATGGTTAGCTCGCGTGCCTGGTGGAGGATGCTGCGAAGCTCACCAATCGAGGTCACGGGCTCTTTCGGCCATTGGGATGCCATGTTCCGTGATCAGAGAGTATGTTCGCAAACCTTGACTCCCGAGTATTGTGTTTCTATACACTTTAGAAGTTGGTGTCGTCTGGTTTCACGTCAGACGCAGCAGCACACGAATACATTTTCCGTCCCCACGTCCGAGGTCGGTGACGATGCAGGAACGCCGTAAACCATGCTCCGCCCCGCATTTCACATCCAAGTGGCGGGAGCAGCCGATGAGATACAGTAGGCTTCCAGGGTCCAGATTCGTTCCAGATAGATGCCACGTGAAACATGCGCTCTTTGTCCCCGAGTGAGAGGACAACATCAAAATCACATTCTCATATATCGCTCCTCGTTCGCGATACCACCACCAAACATGACACTACCACCACCACCATCTCCCCGATAACAGCCCACCATGCCACAAATCCCACCCCGCCGCTACCTCCTCTCCCTCCTCGCCATCACCGCCATCACCTTCCTCATCTTCCTCTCCTCCTACAGTCGACCCACCGACCGCACCCCCTCCGCCACCCCCTACACCCCACCTTCCCACTCCGCCGACCACATCCCCATCGACAAATCCACCCTCACCGGCAACGTCATAATGTCCAAACTCGGCAACGAAACGGCCAAAGCCGAACTCGGCCGCTCCGCCTGGAAACTCCTTCACACAATCATGTCCCGCTTCCCCGACACTCCCTCCCAAGACGAACAAACAGCACTAAAATCCTACATCCACCTCTTCGTGCGCCTCTATCCGTGCGGGGAGTGCGCCGAGCACTTCCGGCAGATAGTCGAGAAGTACCCACCGCAGGTATCCAGTAGGAGTAGTGCGGCGGTATGGGCGTGTCACGTGCATAATGAGGTGAATAAGAGTCTGGGGAAGGAGGTTTTTGATTGTTCGAAGATTGGCGATTTCTACGATTGTGGATGCGCGGAGGATGCTAAAGATGAGATGAGTGAGAAGGCGTTGGGGACAGGGGAGGGGAAGGCGGAGATGAGTGAGGAGGCTAAGGAGAGGTTGAAGGGGAATGGGAGGGAGTTTGATTTGGGGTTGGTCACGGGAGGGTTGGATAATGTCAAGGTGGAATGATGCGATCAATAGCTTGGTTCCAGGAGGGACATGACATGACAATGTTCGGGTGAAAGTACTGGCGACTGTACTGGATACATTGGACGTGACTTATAGTATACTGGAACCGGGTGAGACTCACGACGACGGGGGCGACAACTATCGAGAGGAGCCGCAGCTACGCCACTGCCCAATGGAGCACAGGCACGCACTATGCGCGGTAAAGCATAGCATGTGGAACAGCCTACCCTCGAGACATAATCTGAGCCTCTACGAGACGACGGACAACTAGGAGACTACGAAGACTTCCATGAGGAGACAGACCTAGGCCAGACGCTGGGCCAGGCGATGCATAACACACACCTCATACACAACTCCACCTACAACTCCAAGAACTTCTTGACTTCTCGTATAATACACTCCGTATCCTCCGCCGTCCCACTCCCACCCCCAGCCATATGTCCCCAAACCGTCTCAATAACCGCCAACCGCCCATCCCTCAAATGCTTCACCTCCTCCTCACTATCCTCCGGCGGGAAATACGTATCCGTCCTGGAAGGGAAAACCAAACACCTCGCCTTAATCCTCCCCAACGTCTTGGCCAAATCCCCTTGATCCTCGGGATAATAAAGCGTGATATCCCCCTTCTGCCACGTCCACAGCAACCACAGCAGATCATTAGCATCCACTCCCTGCCCACCGGACCAATTCGCCGTGAGATATTCCTCCAACGTCTTGAATCCAGCTTGCTCCCAGCATTTCTGCCGAAACCACCCCTGACTCAACGCCCACGGCGCATACACCCTAAAAAACGCCTTCACCCCCTCATTCGCCGGCTTCGTATAAACTCCATCATGATAATCCCGCGCCGTAACAAGCGCATGTCTCGGCCCTTCCAGAAAACACCAATTATGCGCGCTCGTCCTCGCACTCCCAGCCAGACACACCATATTCTCCACAAACTCCGGGAACAGAGCGGACACGTGATAGGCTTGTTGCCCACCCATACTGAAACCGCAATAGAGATACAATTTTTCCACCCCGAGCTCTTCGGTGCAAAGGGCGTGTTGGAGCCGGATGTTGTCTTCGTATGTGACGTGTGGGAAGTTGGGGCCGGAGTGGGGTGCGGGTTGGTTGGAGGGGGAGGAGGATTCGCTTCCACTTAGAAGTCCAGTCACTATGATGAAGTATTTGGACGGGGGAAGGATTGGATTCGGACGGGCTTCTTCATCGTAGAGGAAGGGGAGGGTGTTGGCTAGGGTTCCGCCGTAGCAGGATGGGAGGAGGACGGCGGGCTTTGATGCATCGCCGAAGGTCCAGTAGGCTAATTTGGCTGGGAAGGTTGTTTTGGCCGGCTCGGATTGGGGGGAGAGGGCGAGGTTGTGGTGGAAGTACTTCGTTTCGGGCATATTGACGAGGTTGGGCAGGGTGGGAGGAGGTGGAGGGAAGCATGGTCGGCGTGTGGTGGGAGGATATGGTTTTGGATGGACAACATGATGATGATAGCGGGGTGGGTTTCCAGGCCGAAAGAGGAAGGAGGGGAAGGAAAAGGGAAGGAGCTATTATGTCAGCGGACTAGATCAAGATCAGTAGTCCCATCTAGCCTTCCTACGGCTTGTGCAGAGGTATCTTATGTCTGGGTGGGTCGTCTTATGCCTTCAGCCTATTCCGCTATTCCCATGATGTCCATTCACTTGTATGCCGGTCTCATGTCATCCCCGTCTAAAACCGACTGATATCCCTCCCAAACACCCAATTAACAAACCAATAAGTCGGGATAAGGATCCTATTCCGCCAGCTCACCTACAACAAATATCAGCATCGACCATGAAGTCCGACAAGAACGAAACAGTTACTCACACTCTTCGCCAAATACGCTCCCCTCCAAATAAACCACGCGACTCGCCCGGAAACATTCCCTGCCCCGGAAGTCTGCAGAATAGCATTCCAATTGCCCACATAAGCCATAACCCCCAAATCCTTATACGTAAACTTGTTCCCCTCAATATCACCTTTATTCAACCGCTTAGACAACCACGTAGCCTTCTGATTCGCGACTTGAGCTGTAGCCGGGTATGCCGTTCCTTCGAGAACAGCACAATCACCTAGAGCATAGACATCCCGCATAACACTATCATCCGGCCGCTTGACCTGGAGCCGCTCATTGGTCATTATCGCGTGCGATTTCTCGTGCTGCTTGACCTTTGTACTGAGTGCTTTCTCCACGAAAGGATTCGTCATGAGGCCGGTGCTCCAGACGCACATCCCCACCCCTACCTCACCATCTTCGTCTGTGTTAAGCGTATAGCAGGTCGTGTTGTCCTTGACATCAGCGCCACCTTCCACTACGCCCGGCGCACCTTTTCGTAGCGACTTGACATGATGACTAGTTTTAATCTCAATCCCCTCGCGCTTGAACGTGTCCATGGCGTACTTCGCCAGCTTCTGATCAAACATACTGAGGACCGTAGGCGCGACGTCGTAGACAGTTATCTTGGCGTACTTGACGAGCTCCGGGTAGAATTTCGCCATGTCTTCGCTTATGATATCGTGGAGTTCAGCACTCCATTCGATGCCTGTTGGGCCGCCGCCAACGACGGCGAAATTGAGGAGGTGCTCGCGCATTTTCGGGCTAGTGGTGGGTAAGGCTGCCGTCTCAAAGCAAGAGAGGAATCGGTTTCGGATTCTGCGGGCGTCGCCAACGTCTTTCAAAAAGTAGGCATGTTCTTTCACGCCGGGGGTGTTGAAGGTCTGGCTGTAGCAGCCTACGGTGACGATGAGCTTGTCGTATTTCATCCGGAAGAGCTTGCCCTTTTCTTTCCTGGCTTGCTTCTCGCTTTCGTTCTCAGCCTCGCCTTGACCATCAACTAACGCCATAGATTGCATGGGATCCTCGACAGCTTCCTCGATCTCCAGCTCCTTCTTCTCCAAGTCCACCGAGTCAGCCCATCCTTGGAAGAAGGTCGCCGTAGCATTCCGACGGCGTATGGGCTCCAACGCTGTTCTGAACTCGAGTGTGCCTGTCGATGTGCTGGCGAGCAGAGGAGTGAAGACGAAGTAGGAGCGCGGGCTCACCACCACGGGTTGATATTTACGATGGTCCAGCTCACGTCCTAGTGTGTAACCCGCCCATCCTGATCCCAATACGACAACCCTCTCTCGACCATCCTGAGCTTTATCTAGTTCTGCGATAGTGATCCACCGTCTTTGACCTTGCGATAAATATGAATGCTTGCAGCTTGCACGAGGGAGAACGGCTCGTGGTATAGCCAACGCCGTGCGAGGAGAGGGTGACATGATCGCCTACCTTGAGCGTACAAGACGCTTTGCTATACATCTTTATTCACATGCCCATGCTAAGACTCCAGTCTTTCTTGCTTGCAGTACTGTTAGCAACACGTGACATCACAATTGGTAGCAACGCGACATGCCTCGGGCCAAGGCGGAAGGAGATCGTCGGAGCGCATCGGAAGCTGAAGAGGCAAGGATGGAATGCGCAATGGTCACAACATCTGCGGCTTCAGAAAACCATCTGTCACCATAGAGGGATGCAGAATTCGAGCGACAATCTCACGGAAGAAGTGAATGTAAACCGGAGCGGATATCTAACTAAGATGCTTCTTGAACCACTCAATTCCCTGCTTCTCCGCATCATCCATAGCCTTCTTATCCTTCTCACTACTCCAATCGCCCCTCAACGCAAACCCATGGATCTGGTCCTTATAAATCACCACCTCACTATCCGTCAACTTCTCCCCTTGCTCCCCACTCTTCTTCTTCTGCATCAATTCCTGGATCTGTCCCACCTCCTTCTCTCCTAACAAGCTATCCTTATCACCCAACGCCAACGCAAGAGGCGCAACGACCGGCTCGAAATCCGCAGGGATGGAGACGAGGGACGGATGGCAGGCGTAAGCTGCATTGACACCTTTCCCTGATCCGGCGGAGTTGGAGTTCGAGAATGGTGTTCCAGCGGCGAGGATGGCATACCGGCCTCCCCAGCAGAACCCAATCACGCCAACTTTGTTCGTCCCCGGGATGAAGCGCACCTTATCGATGAAGTTCTCGATGATCGGCCTCGCCACACCCTCGCGATGAGTAGCTAACCAGGGACCAAGCGTGGCACCGATCTTGGCCGTGGCAGTCGCCGTCTCGACCGTAGAGCGGGCTTCGCGTTCAGGGAGAGGAGGCTCGACGGTGTTCAAGAAGGAAGGGTCGATACTATCGCCTTCGTGGACGTCGGGGATGTAGGCTGTGAAGCCCGCGGCGGCGTATTGGTCGGCTAAGAGGCGGGTGTTGGGGAATTTCCAGCCGAAGACTGATGGCCGTGTCAGTATGTGATGGAAAGCTTAGGGTTTGGTATTGGCGAGACTTACTGTCGACGAGGAAGATGACGGTCTTGCTCTTGTCGCCAGACTCGGGCTCGGCAACGTAGGTCTGGAGACCGGCGATTTCTTGCTCACGGCCCTTGGGCTTGCCGTTGTGGACTCTGCCTGAGAGGCAGCAGCTGGACATTCCTACACCTGTAGACATCGTGGTGGTGGTGGTGGTGGTGGTATTTTGTGTTGTTTCAAAATCTTTGCTGTTGGTCACCTCAAGTGTTTGCTTGCAATACTGCCGAGGGATAGAAGTAGCTATGTACCTCGAAATAAATAATTGTTGTTGTCGCCGGCAATCGGATGAGGTCATATAAGCTGTATAGCGGGGCAGGGCTTTGGAATTGGAGAAGCTGCATGTTCTGGGTCGGCAACAAGGATCCAGAATGGACATACTTTCGAATCTGTCTCGTTGCCCGTCGAAGCATATAAGCGTGTTGTGCATTAGTCTCCCAAGCAATTGGCAAAGTCTTACACATACCCAGCACGACATCGCCGATGGATATCAGACAGTCTGCGGCTGTGGGATGCCGGCTACACTCTCCTCCCTCGCCTCGAACAGCTTCCTGACAGCATCTTGACCACCAAGCCATTTCTCCATTGCAGTGTCCAGACGTCCTAGCTCCTCCTTCTTCGCCAGCGTCTCCTTAGCCAGAGCCTCTTTTCTCTTGACCAATTCCAGCCTCTGCACTTCTAACTCCTGCCGGGCAAGACGTTCGTCCTCGATACGTGCGATAGTCAAGTCGTGCTCGGTCGCGTCTACCTGATCAGGGTGGCGTGAAAGGTATTCTTCCTCTGAGACCATTGGGAGCTGTCTGTAGCGATGACTGTAGACCACATTAGCGCCGTCTAGGTCAATCACAGCCTCTACTCGTATCGGATTTACTCACTCATACCCATCACACCCCCCAATCTCACCTCTCAAATGCCTCTGCTCATAGTACAAATTCTGCAGAGACAGATGCAGACTGTCAATCTCCTGCCTCGCTTCCGCCGTCTCCTGTTTCGTCGCCCGCACACTCAGAACAGCCTTCCTGTTAAGTCCACGCACTTTTGCCAGGTGAGTATTGAGGGTCTTCTGCTGTTTGGAAAGGGCGAGTTGATCGTCTAGTAGAGATTCTGGAGTGGTCTCGGTATCGCGTGCGTGATATTGTTCCAGCAGGTCGAGGATGGCGAGACTTTGTTGGCGAGCCTGTGCTGCTGCTTGCAGGACGGAGAGGAGCGCTGGCTCCGTGATGAGGTTGTCGCTCGTCATGTTGAAGTGTGCTCAATTGTGTTCGTGTAATGCTTGTTGTAACGCAACCGGCATTCATCAAGCAATCTTCAAATGTGCCCATTGGTCGATATGTGAGACACACTAGCGCTCGTTCGCAGGGCGGGTCCGTCACGCCCGCCCACTCACGGTCACATGACATTAAAGTGGAGCCCACTCATGCTCTGGTCTAGAATAGCCTTTCAGACTTCCCGAGGTGCACTTTGTAGCTCATCGTCATGTCTCTAGAAAAGGCTGCCATGATGGAGGAGTGTACACGATCGACTCGCCTTCTCCGGCGTGTTCGAGCAGTGTGCATTGGCAGCGGCAATGGATAAGCTCCAGCAAGACTACCCATGGACCAAACCCCCTCTCATATCATGTGGCCCAATGCGCCTGATAGCACTGTCCCAGCTTGCCACCGCAGTCTCCAGCGCAGGAGGTCTAGGCTTCCTAGGAGCCGGCAGCGACGTCTCCACGCTTGCCTCTGAGTTGGACAGAGTAAAGGACCTCGCTGCTAAAGATCCCACATTACGAAAAGTGAAAGACGTCCTCCCAATAGGCGTAGGCTTCCTCCTCTGGGCTGGCGACGACCTCCTCCAAGCCACCCTTCCAATACTCAAAGAATACACACCCGCAGCAATCTGGTTCTTCGCGCCCTCTACACCCCAACAACTCCAACGATGGACGGAAGGATGTCGTCGAGCCACATCCAACACCTCCAAAATCTGGATCCAAGTCGGCACAGTCGCGGACGCCGTCTCCGCAACCAAAACCTGCAACCCCGACGTCCTAGTAATCCAAGGCTCAGACGCAGGCGGCCACGGCCTAATGAAATCAGCTGGTCTCATTTCCCTCCTCCCTGAAGTCTCTAATGCGCTGCAAGACCTCTGCACAACCCACCCAGACATCACGAAACCGACTTTGATAGCTACAGGCGGGATCACGGAATCCCGAGGCGCAGCCGCCGCACTCGCTTTAGGCGCTGAAGGAATCTGCATGGGGACTCGGTTCCTCGCTACTCCTGAAGCGAATATCAAACGCGGATACCGAAACGCTGTTCTGGCTGCTAAGGATGGCGGGGTGAGTACCGCTCGAGGTCATTTGTATGATACTTTACGCGGTACCACCTCGTGGCCTGAACGGTATGGCGGGAGAGGAGTCCTGAACCAGAGTTGGAGGGATGCGGAGAAGGGCATGAGGTTTGAGGAGAATAAGAAGAAGTATGAGAGTGCTGAGAGGGAGGGTGAGGATCAAGGTTGGGGGGAGGAAGGGAGGATGACTACGTATGCTGGGGTTGGGGTGGGATTGATTAGGGAGGTGAAGCCGGCGGCGGAAGTGGTGGAGGAGGTCAGGGAGGGGTGTAGGAAAGTACTTGGGCGACTAGGCAAGCTGTAGCGGAGTTGAGTATCCTCCGTATACACAATTTGAAATTGTGCACCATTCATACGAGGTAGGTTGACAACGCATGAGTTATACTTGAAGTAAAGACGAAATCGTGTCGTGCTTCTTGCTCTCGTGATCATTGTGCAAGAGACTATACAACACGTATGCACCACCCATGCTCTTCATTCTTGTCATCTGTACACAATACACATTCCATGCAGAAGAATCAGTGGTAGCCAACCCGACCCGCCCAGTATGTACCCAAACGAACGCCCGCAATGCCATCTGTACACCCAAAAGAGAGCGCGATCCAAAACGAACGCCTATATTCTCTTGACTTCTCATGCTGCATATCTCAAGCACTCCTCGCCACCACATCAATCTTGCCCGCATCCCTAACAGCAACCATAAACTCCTCTTCACTCCCAACATCCCAAACCCCTTCAAACCCCCACCCAAGCAAACCTAAAACCTCCCTCCTCGTCCCATAAAGCCTACTCTCCAACCGCCCCAACACAGCGACGGCAGCCCTCACAACTGCACCATCCTCCTCAAGAACAAAAACATCCCAAACCCTTGCCACATGTCCCGCCGGCAGACCTCTGGCAAACAGCGGCCGGAGCATTGGCTCCAGAATCTCCTCAACCTTAAGATTGATCTCCTGCGCACTAAGATGCTGATACAGCCTCGGAAACTTCGCCTCCAATCTCTGCAGCACGGCCTCATAAACCGCACCCATGGCACTCTTATCCCCGACCAGGAATCCCAGCGGCAGTGGTCGATTGAGCAGATTAGCAAGTACCACGAAAGCCTCCGGGGCTCGCATATGCAGACACAGCACCGCAGCGATACAGTGCGTGCCATAGACGTACCCGACGTCGCGACGGTACATGGCGTAAGCCATCAAGACACCCCTCAGCGCCGCGGGCACCGCACTCTCTTCATCCGAGAAAATCTCCAGATCCGGGAAAGCGGTAGGGACATCACGATCAATAGCCGCGAACCATGCCGCCTCAGGCGTACGTGAGCGTTCCTCCGCCGACATCTCCGCGATCCGTGTCTCCAGTTCCTTCGCCCTGCCAAGCGCGGCTTCATAGCTCGCAGCGGAGAGCTGGAGCTCGTTGCCCACTGCTTTGCTCCAGACCGCTGCTCGGCTCTCGGGACTCACACCCTTCCACCACAATTCGCGGGTCTTGGGCTCCTTGACCACGCTATCCCAATCAGGCAAAACATGCTCCTCCCATATCCTCGCCCTACCCAGCGCCTTCTCCTCTTTCGTCTCGGCGTCTTTCTCAAGCTTCGCGGCCTTCTTCTTCTCCTGCTCAGCCGAGCGAGACATCATCTGCTCCCATTCTTTGACATGCTTCTTCTCTTCTTTTTGGTTCTTCGGTGGAAGCCAGGAGGGTCGAGTTCGGGTGAGGACGGCTTCTTTCTCTTTGCTGATTGGCAGAGGGTCCAGGACGACGTTGCTTTTTTGGAGAGGTGGTAGTTCGACTGTGCTTGTTTTTGTTCGGGTTTTGCTTAGGCTAGGTCGGGCGGAGGAGGAGCCTGCAGTCTCGGGTGTTCTTATAGTGCTGCTAGTGGCGGAGTGCCGGCGATCTGTCGATAGATGCTCTGTATACTCTTCCAAGGCTGCAGATAATTCGCGCGCTTCATTATTGAGATGCTCGGCCCAAGATCGTGAGCGGTTCTTTTGGCTGAGAGGCTCCGGTGGGAAAGATGTTACTGTCGCACTCTGTGGCATCATTGGTGGTCGACCGTGGCGAGGTGATCGCGGAGCACCGTACTGTCCATTCGGCATGATTGTTGGTGCGGCTGGTCGCCGCGCATGCTTTGGCACATTTGCAGAGTGCAGCCGATGTAGCTCGGGATGTGAGGGTTTTCGTTGCGGACTCGGTGTCTTCATGCGTGGTGAGCGGTGTGGTAACGGTTGTAGCATGCCCACGATCGGGATGTTCTCCAGTATCGCCTCATCGGGAAGCTCGTCGTCACCATCATCGTACTCGTCTTCCAATTGCTTCGCTGTCTTCTTGCCCGGCTGCCATGACATTCTACGCACGAATGATCCATTTGGATTTGGTGACGGCGCACTCCAGGAAGATCGACCAGTGGTGCTTGACAATAGTTGTGGAGAGCTGCCATTTCTATTGATAGGAACGACAGGCGACGGTGACCTGGACGGTATCCTCTGTGGCCCTTTCATGAATGACGGCGACGATGGGCTAGTGAATCCTCGTCGCATACCACGTCCTTGCGGCAGACCAAGTGAATGATCCTGCAGCACACCGGTGACAGCACCCTTCAAGCTAGGATACCTCTTCTCCGGCCTTTGTGCCTCTTGCCTCACCGGCTCACTCCCACCAGTCGCAGTCCTCTTCGTAGGTCGTCTCAACGTCGGTCGACTTTCAGGCTTCACATTACACTCCTCCAAACTACTCCGTTCCCTCTCCTCCTGATCCTCCAATCCGACCTCATCAAAATGCCCCAGCTTATCGGTGGACACATCATTCTCACTCGACACATCGCTCGTGGATGATTCATAGGAACTCTTCGAGCTTTTGGAGAAAGCCAGATCCGGCGGGCTCGAGGGCGCGGTAGTCTCGGTAGTGGTCGCCACGTCCTCCTCGCTCTCCTCAACCACAGCCATACCTAGCCCCTTCTCCGCCATCAAGGAGCTATAGCCAGCACCTCTCCTTACACCCACGCCTCCAGTAGTCGTCCCAAGTTCCGGCGACCCAACACAAAACACCCTCGACAAGACAGCAGCCTGCTTACGCCCAATGCTAAACCCCGCTTGTTTCCGATCTCCAGCAATCAACGAGCGCAGATACTCATGCTGCAATTCCAGACCACCCTCTTCGCCACCAACAAAGAAGTCAGTATCATCAGTGTGAGTGTTATGATTGTCGTCGAAAGAACGTCTCAGCCTAGCCGGTGCGAAAAATGCGGTCATGATCGCGACCGTTTTCCGTCTGCCCTTCAGCACTGTTGAATTAGGGGTAGATGCTCGGCAGGGATCTGCATTCGCTTTCAAGATCCTAGCGCATTATTATCATCCCGGCTGATGGTTCGGTCGTGGGTCTTTGTTCGGGGTAATTAATAGCAGGACTCAGATGTTGAAGGACGAGGAGGACGGTCAATCTCACAATGCGATCATGCGCCTCGTATCTGATTGTGCATTCTAACACTGCGACTTCCTTGAAACTGGAAATAGCGTTTCCAAGCATGCGGATGGTGGGTGGCAGGGTGGGGCAAGAGTGGCTGAAAAGTGGGAATCCAAGCATTCAAAGTTCGCTCTTTGTTCAACGGCGTTGTTAAGCGCGCGTCTAAGCTTTTCTTTGATGGACATGAATGGACAATATGAGATATGCTCCGTGGCGACAAGCGTACAGGAGTGTAGGTATGATGGCGAATAGCAAGTCGACGCACGACAGCAGCATGGTCGACGTTGAACGACGCGGTGATCAAGGACAAAGGCACGGAACCCCCGACCATGTCCTCTACAGTTACATTCGAGAGGGGCAACTACCACGTGAGCTCTTGCTGCCCGATCATGTAGATCTAAACATCATATCGCCGCCTCATAGTGCTTCACGACCCTCTCCAGCATTCTCCTCTGCAATTTGACATCCGACAACTCTAGCTGTCTCCTTAACCACTTCAACACCCCGGAGAACTTGCTCTGGCGTCGTTGAAATACGCTCGTAACAGCTGTACATCCGAGCCTACATCATGTCATGTCAGCTACATGCAAATAAGAATGCTCCGATCCTATCAATCGTAAGAGTGGCACAAGAAGCGTGCATGAAGCTCGCAATGCGGTGAAATGGTGGCACCAAGCAAGCAGCAAGCAAGAAGCCGCTCATGCAGCCAGCCGAATGCTAGTGCCTTGTACTCCTGCACGCCAAGGGCGAACCACGCCCAGACGTCTTCGCATGTGCAAATCATGGTATTGCTGGTGGTAATAGTGAAGTATGACTTACCATCTTGTCTGCGCATGGGTGACCGAGCACTCGTATGGCATGGCATCTTTGCCAGTAGTCTTGCGATGCTTCATCAAAACGCAGGCCAGCTTGATCGTGTCGTCTATAGTTTCTGCAGCACAATGAGGGTCAGCTAGCTCGCTCATGCATGCTTGGAGCTCTGCCGACCAGCTACGGCAGATACACAGCACTACGCTGTGGACAAGATGCAAGGTCTCGTGCTAGGAAGCTGTTGACTTACTAATAAGCAACTTCTCACCAGGCTGCTTAGTCGTCTGTAATGATCTAATATAATGATAGCACTTCTGTGCAACCTCAAGGAAACCATGATAGATATTCCCATACACGGTTGCCAGGCTGTTGTACTTGGTCGATAACAGCATAGCATGCATGTGCAGCTTCAAGGCATTGAGGATCTTGCGATAGAATGCTTGTCCGGGCAGATTAGTGTACTCGACCGTGACCGAGTCAGCCATATTACTCTTCAGTCGCCGTTCTCGATCCTTACGAATGTCCAATGTGACAGTATTGATAGCGTTACCACAATACGGGAAGTCGCTCTGTGCAGGAAGCCTAGCGATATCTCCATCACGAGCACGAAAGTCAAAGTTCGCTCGAGTCTTCTCAGCTTTTACTTGGACGCCATAATCCGGTAGACCAGCAAGCATGACATGCAAGAAACGGTCGGCAATCTTTTTATCAGTGCTTATAACCAGGAAGTCGTCAATCAGACGTAGTAGCAGGGTCTGGCCGTCGTTCAGGAAGCCCAAAGCCGTCCGCTCCAGATCTGCGTAGAGGTAGCTGCAAAGCAAACTTGAGACAATAGATCCCTGGGCAATCCCCTCTTTCTGTCGATAGTATCGCTTTCCAATTCGGATCAGATTGGCCTGGACGTGTTCCTCGAGAGTATCTAGTATGGCTTTGCGACTCTCGCGCCTCTGTACCATACCATCAACAAAGACCGTCCTCGTGCGACCACTTGCGGCATCAGCCGCTGACTCAATGGCGAGGTCATGTGCCGTGTCTGAAGTGCTTGCCTTGGTCAAGAACCTCCACGACGGACGCGCGCCGAAACCTGGTGTTTCGGTGTTTTGTCCTCCTAGCATCTTCGCCCGAGCGTATTTGGCTATACTATAGCCGTCCTCGCCGATGATTGATCGAACGAGAGCCATGAGGCGAGCTTGTGGTATAGTGTCGAAGCACGACTGCACATCAACCTTGGCAAAGTACAGTGGGATCCCGCAACCACTCTGCGTGCGAATCCGTTCTCGGAAACCCTGTAGGCGTGGGAAGATGTCATCAGTCGAGAAGAGAGCCGAGCCGAGCAGATCAGGTCGCTGGGCCTTTTCGAAGTTTAGAGCACTGAACATCGGCGTCAAAAGACTGTTAATGCTCCGTCCCAGTACGACCTCGCCCCGTTGTAGTCGTTGCACCCGTCGACGTAGGTTGATTATTGGACGCATGCCCTTCTCCTTGGGCATCAGGCGGATCTGGCTGACTCCAAGCGATCTCTGAGCTAACATACCTTTGATTGTAGCCGGGCCGCACACCTCCATCATGTTGGCTTTCAAGCACGTGAGTGCAGGCGCCGAAATGGCCTTCCATGTGTCGTGACGGAAGTAGAACAGTTGGTTCCGATGTGCGCCAGATTCCGTGACGTGGAAGGTATTGCGGATCAGAGGTATTAGGAAGGAGTCGAACATGTAGTACATGAACTCACATAGCAGCTCTCGTCGTTTGTCGAAATCGGTCGCACTAATGTTGAGCTCTGAACTGATTTTCGGAGGCTCAAGCCAGTCGATGTCGAGTATCGTGACGCCTTGAAGTACATCGTGCAGGCTCACACTTTCGTAGCGCCGAAGTCGTATGAATCTGTCGATGCTTCCCATGATAGATATTTGGTTGGCTCGTCCCGCTGTACCGCTACCCCAAAGCTCGCTAGGGAAGACTTTTTGGATAACTGCCCGACAGTAGGACGAGACTTGTCCAACAGGGGACGCACAGTCAGTTGTGCCAGGACTTGTATCAATAACATCTCGTCTAGGACAATGGTGTTCAAGCAGAGCGTCGAAAGGACATCTGGCGAATCTCCCACGAAGTCTGCGTACCAGCTCGAATGGTTGACCCCTGAGTCGCTTCGGGAGTGCGTCTATCTTCGTACTTCGATTCTCATTGACGTTGTAGTAACCTCTGCGCTTAGCCTGCGCCCGTACTGCTGCGATCTCCTTTTCTCGCAGCGTATAGTCCTTGAAAGGCTGAGCAGTATCGGTATGGTCGGTGTCGGAGGTGAAGACATTGTGTAGACCGAACTGCCTCGGAAAGATATACTTCATGCAATGGACAGTTTCTGCATGGCTGTTGAAGTCACGCATACAATGGAGCGCATGTACATGAGATAGTCCTGGCCGAGTCTGGCCTTTCGAAGTCATGGATGGCCTGGCGTAGAACATCCGATGTCGCACGAATTTGATTTCTGACAGTCCACGGCTTCCTGGACGAACATTGCTCTTCGCTTGAGCCTGGTCTCCGTGGTCTTCAGGAGGTGCTGTGGGTCCGGATCGCAGGACTTTCAATTCGCTCATGGGGATGCCGCTTATCTGACGTGCATTGCTGGTGTCCCCTACAAGTAGGAAGATACCACACTCCATCAGCATATTACTGATGATTCTCTCAGCCTTTCGTCCCAAAAGGGCCGGCAGTCCAGTCCAGGGATGTTGCCGTACAGACTCAGCATAAGTACTTTGGCCGTTGGACATGACGCCAGGAACGCTAGGCACCGCTCTTAAGATGACCCCATCGCTAGCAGTGGTTGAACGCTGGTAGCCACGGCATAAGAGATGAGTGACACGGCTGTGGTTGCTTGATCGATTGAACAGCTTCCAGACGACAAAGCTGACGATCTGAGAGACCTTGATGTCAGTATGTCCAGAGCCTCAAGGAAGCGGTGCTGCGGATGAAATGGGAGAACACGGCCGCGTCACCTACCTCTGCTTGTTTGAGAGCGCCCTGAGTCGGGCTAATTTCAATGGTAGAGTCTTCACTGATCTGCTGTGTATATGTGGCGATCTCTCTGCCCACATCTTCGATGGCTTTCGCTTGGACAGAAGTGCCTACTAGTGTTGTGTCTAGCAGTACCGTAATTTCAGCATCATGGTCGGCATTGTCATGGCGAGTGAGCTTTTGGTCATTCCGTCCATACTGTGCTACAATGCGAGCTCGCCTCTTCGAGCCTGGTAGCTGCGAGCAGAGATACTCCCGGAGCGTTAAGACGCGACTGTAGTACTGGGAGAGCAAGGCAACTGTCGGGGGTGGCCTGGTACCACGGACACGCTTGTTCGACGAGACGATCTCAGTGTTCTTCCGCTTGCGCTTCATGGTCCATATGGCTGGTCGACCAAAACAAGTCCATGTGCGAGACGCGTTGCAGTGACGCGCCTGCAAAAGCCCCTCGATGTACGCACGGACTAGCTTATGTAAGCAGTCTTGGACACGCCCGGCCTACAACATCACTTCCACTCCAAATGTCCGGCAGTATTATTGCACTGCTCCTCTTCGCCAGGGTGGAAGTCCACTGACGTCTCGGACGTCGGTCTCATCGAAAGTGCGGACAATGGGCTACGCCATATAGGGCGTACAAGCTCCGTGACCATGACATATTCGACCCCACCTCTGCATGTATTTAACTGCATTTAGAACTGTACAAAGAGCATCAGCACCATATATACTCCAGGCCAGTCCGTTCGGCTCTGTCGCGTACCCTCATCCATGAGATCAGTCCTCTATCGTGCTCGACGGACTATACAAAAGCACAGCCCGGACCGTATAAGGCACAATTATCCTTACACAATGGCAACAGCCAGCCATATTCAACTCTCCTCGACTGAACATCCCGAATACTTCCGCGTAGGAAAATCGCAGGGGTCTGTCGATACCGCATCGGGGCTACTGCAGAAGAACCATGACGATTTTCACATCTTCTTCAACCAGAAAGGTCTTGTTAAGGTGTACCTTGACTATTGCATTGTTCGCTCATCACTACTACAGGCTTCCACAATCACACTGCACATCATATAATCACCCTGTGGGCTCTTGGAGCTAGCCCTGATCAGCTCGAACAAGCATACAACAACCATGCCAGCTATCAGAGGGCGATGGGCGAGCCTGATGCAGCGGTCGTCAAGGACATGAAGGATCCGTTGACATTTCGTGAGCACATCAATCAGGAGCAGCACTACACTGACTACCTTGCCTTGTTTCAATCGGAGATAGAGGCTACTAGCTGGCCGGCTGTGGTCAAGAAATATCTCCTAGCCCGTGACGACAGGGCTGACGATCTCTTATGTCGATTTTTTGCCGGCTTCCTCCATCCTATCATCCACGCAGGTTTTGGTATTGAGACGAAGCAACCTGCAATTGTCGCCGAGGGTTTAGCTATGGCTGCAGTGTCGTCGGGATACATGAGTAGCTATTTCCTGCCCATCGAGAATTTGAGTCAGAAGAACAAAGACGAGCCCTCAAGAAGCATAGTGGACTTGCTGGACATCATCCACGAAGACATAGAGCTTCGCGCAGCACCACACTGGGACGACGACAACAAGCTTCGTGATGGCATAATTGCTCGCGCAGGCGATAAGATGATCTCTGTTGCTTCACAATTTCGGGTCAAGTCAGGAGAGCTAGAACGCAAAACGGCCGAGATGACCAATGCTGCAGTCTACTATACCGCGGGGGCCCAGCGCGAGACTCACGAACGCAAATACGACTTCTACTACAGTACGCATGCTGCCCATTATCTCCACAGCGAAGCTGACGAGCATAGTGCACTGTGTGAACTGCACCATATTCTACTCCGCGTTTCTGAAAGCAGACTGGCTGAGTGAGGCCAACAAAATCCGGTTGCTCGAGTATAAAGTATGGTGAGTTGATATGGTCACCATGTTTCGTCCGCAGCCAAGTCTGAAAACATGTGCAGGAATGATCTCGCCATGTACGCCTCTAGAAAGTCGCCAGACATCAGAATGGATCTGGTCAGACAATACAAGCCCAAGGTTCCATCTGGTTGGGACGGTATCATCGACCGTGTCAATGCAATGGTCGACGACGATGGTCATGCATCGAAGCTGATCAGAGCGCTCGCACATGGCCAGGAGATATGTAGGCCATACGAAGACCGTCCAGAGTTCCGTGTGAAACAAAGTGACTGGATCCAAATGGGACATATGGCTATAGACTCGACAGAAAACAAAAATCCGACGTGGATTCGAAGCGCAGGGTTTGATGAGGTACGCAACAATGTCATAGCACTTTTCGGGTTATGCTAACGTCATCAAGGCATGGGAGAAGATACCGCTCTTAAAGGCACAATTGTAATGGGCTTCGAAGCTCGTAACTCACATATGTACGATGAGCTTGTATTGATCATTCTTTCTGTACTCGCTTCATCGGACCGTACGTACTGGTCAGGACGAGCACCGGCTTGCAGAAGAAGTATATGGGTATGGCGAACAGTAGCAGTGCCCATTGCAACCCGGCCATGGTACCGAATACCTGTGTTAAGTCAAGTCAGCAGCTGTAACGAAGCGCTGTGAACCATAACGTCTTACACGCATGAGTCCGTCTTCCTGTATCCATTGGTTGCTGTAAAAGCTACAGACCAGCGCAATAATATTCCGGATCACGAACACAATGACTAGTGCTTCCCCAGCATATGCCTGATAGCAGTCCACGGCGAAGGTCACAGCGATATTGCTTACAGCTACGAAGCCAAAGGAGTGCATGGCATATCCAAATGCCGGTCCGACCCATTTCGTCCTATGCGCCATACACTCGCCATAGATGATCAGTCCAACCGGAGATATGACGAAGGGCAAAAGAAGCGCAATGAGTCTCTTCTCTGGTTTCGGCATGATAGTGTGATCATGTCTCCTCGCTTTGTTTGCTATCAGATCAATGAGCTTGCCGCCGAAATAGAACGACAAAACTGTCCCGATCCAGCCAGAGATGGAAAAATTTCCGACCTCGCCCAACTGCCATCTGTACGGTGGTTTGACGAAGCTTTGCGACGCAGTGACCTGTATTACAATCGTCCAGCCGACGAACAAGCCTGCGAGACATCCTACCCAGAAGATTGGTGGGTAGAATGCCATGAGCAGGATATCTTTGAAAGTTCGTAGGAAGCGCTGGACTGGCTTGTCATTGTTGTAGCCAAGGGTCAAGCTCAGCCAAGATATGTAACCTCGTTCCGCTGGTATCTGATCGTCTGGCCACAGGCGGCGTTCGTGGTGATACTGTGGTTCGCGGATGAAGAGAAACGCCAGCACAAAGACGACTGCTCCAGCTACTGCGAGCCAGCCGCATGACCATCGCCATGAATGCAGCTGGACCACATATGCGTTTATGAGAGGTCCCAAGAAGATACCAGTTGCGAGTGCAAAGTGGAAGAACATCATGCAGTGCCCTCTCTGATCCACAAAGAACATCTCCGCGACAGCACTTGGTACTGTTGCATCGGCTGCTGATGCGCCAAATCCTGCTACCATGCGCCCACCGAGCAGACTGCCATATGTCGTTGCTTTTGTACTCCATGCGTTCGCTGCGATGAAGACTGCCAGTGCAAGCAAGTACACTGGGCGCTTGCCAACGATGCGAGACAGCGGAACCCAGAGTAGGTTGCCCAGCCCAAACATCAACACATTGAAGCCTACCAGCCATGTCGCGCGAGTCGAAGTTATGTGAAAGTGCTTCTCAAGCGGAATGATCGCGACGGTGAAGTTCGACCCGTTGACATTGGCGATGAATGAGAAAAGGCAAATGGTAGCATATGTACTGATCTTGGCCGCTGTCGACCAGTTCAAAGGATCGTTCGGGTCGTTGCTCGGTATTGGATCTCAGAACGGATTGTCAGTACGACTCGCGACGCAAGTGAAGGAGCCGTAAAGCTCACATCGTTTTGGTTTGGTATCCGGGTGCTGCTTGAGCTCATCCTCCGCTAATTGAACGTCCGACACCTTCCTCTCTCGCCCCATCTCATGTGACGTTGGGGAGGGGGTGTGATCCATCATGTGCCAGACATAGACACAATCTGAACACTTTTGCTAGATGATGGAAAGGGGAGGAGTTGCATACGCGATCGCAATGGCGTACCACATCTTTTAATCTGGAAAGTCCCTCGGGCTGCTTCTCGCTACAGTAGCAGTGAGGTGCTGCACGAGCTCCCATGTCGTATTTGTATCATCCCACGGGCAATTCCATCTCGCCTGATGCACACCATTTGTCACGGACAGGAGCCGCACGAATCAGAAGTGCTCGTTGCGCCCTCTCCGTCGGCCCCGCAAGTTGGCTGTGCCCTCGAAGCCACGAGGCCAAGGGGGAGGACGCAACGTGCTCCGATAACTAGGTCTGACAAAGGACCGATAATGCACGCCAAGGTGGCCATCTCGTACACCACTCGCGAGAAGGGCTGATCTTCACATCATAACTCTAGAGACGTAAGTATATTTCACACAGCGATAGCAAAGCCGATATGTGCTGCCGATGCTCTGCTGCAGGCAATCCTTTGTCGCAGACCAGGACCATTGGGCACAGGACGGAAAGCTGCAGCAATACTCGCATGCGCTCTACCGACTGGTACGTAATGAGGGATCAGCGTCATCGGAGACGTTGTACACAAAGCCGATTTCAACACATGTATACGATGCTTGCTATCCACTAAGAGGCGTCTCTCGTAACGCCGCGGTCGTCTCCTCCAATGCATCGTAGCCATATAGCCACGGTTGGACTTCCGGACATTGCCAACGACTCGGGAACTTGCTCGAGATTCTTCCGAGCTGCGATAGCATCAGCTCATCACGTTTTTGCTGCTCCGGACCATCTTGCATATGGAAATCATGCCGCTGGGCAAATGTCTCCTTCACGATCGTCTCGCCTCGCTTCTTGCGGAGCTTCTCGTACAGCCTCAAGGCGGAAGGCAGCTGCTCTCTGCTGGACATCGCACCTAGAACATTACCCAGTACTGCTCCATCCTCGATCGAGCTGTTTGCGCCTTGTGCCAAGTACGGTACTGCATGAGCATCAATAGCCGTCGTTGGCTTTCCGCGAACTACATTTCGACAATAGCACTTACACATGGGATGGGCAGAGTCTCCAATAAATGCGAAATTCGACTTTGGCGAGATCCAAGTGTTGAGCTCCGGACGATGCATCAGCTTCCACTTGTCGACGCTCGATACGCAGTCCAGGAACCGGGTCAGTATCGGGTCCCAGGCACTAAAGATGGATTTCATTTCTGGCAGACTTCCTGGCTGTCGACTGACGCCCTCCGGCAAATCGTCAGGTACCAGTAGCACCAGATTGAAAACCTCACCATCACGCAACGAGTATGCGACCACATGTGCACCTGGCCCGATCCAGAACTGGCAAGATGGCTTTGAAATCCAGTCTCGCAGCTCCTGATCTTCCACTTCATGGAGATTCAGCACTATCCGATAAGCCAAGTCCCCAGTTGGTAGTGGACTATCGCTCTTGCCCATTGTAGCCAAAAAATTCTCTCTGCATTTCGACCACAGCCCATCTGCAGCCACGATCAGATCTGCCTCGACCTCTTCGCCGTTCTCAAGCTTCACGGACGGCTTTTCGAAGTCAATATGGGCTACTTTAGATCCTAATCGCAGCGTGGCGCCAAGTTGCGTTGCACCTAGAAGCCATTGTCAGTACCAGCTGGGATCTCACCACTGGCAATGCAGTACTAACGGCTTGCGAGTGCACGTTGCACATCGACACGATGTAGATCCCAGAAAGGAGCGCCATACTTGCGTCTCATTTCGCCATTAAAGTCGTCGGTCCTCGACAATACCTTTCCATCTGAGTACCGTCGTACTTGCAGAAATGTAGGTTCTGCTGCTTTTGACTCTAGAGCATCATATATATCGAAATGTTGAAAGATCTTGCTTGCATTTGGCGTGATCTGTAGGCCGGCACCGATCTGGTCGGATCGTTAACGATGCTGTCCATCGACATCGGTGGCCATAGCTGGGCGACGATACCTCTGCAAGCTCTCTGGCTCCTTCCAGTATTTGCACTTCATGACCTGCCAATGAACATGATATTGCCGCCCTGAAGTTTTAGAAATGTAACGTCAGTCAAGTCTACTTTTAGGATAGAGTCAGGTGTCCGGACAGTTTATGTTCAGACCATGGTAGTCGGGAGCATGCTGAGGGATGACTTACTACTGTTGTGTCAGTATCGGCGTATTATATGTCCTGTCTAGCAATGCTTACCGATAAACCAGAGAGCCCAGCCCCAATGATCAACACTTTGATTGGGCATGGACTTGTCTTTTTTCCTTGTGAACCAGCCATTTCCTCGATGGATGACTTTGGGATCGTATCAGAGACAAAGAACGAGTCTTGTGCTTTTCGAACACCATCGCGAACCAACTATAGGATGATTGCGTCTAGACTCTATGCCGAAGCACTTGCCACCATGGATGAGGGGGGGGAATCGAGCGATTAGGGCTGTGGATCCGGGTTCCGAGCACTACTGCCGACATTTGGTCCCGCCATTGCCCTTCATCCAGACTAATCATCAACGATGTTGCAACGTAATTTAGACACGATCTTCCGAGTTCTGATAAGCAAGCGTCTACTGGAACTGATCGAGCGTCCACCGTAAAACCAGCTTGTTGGCAACATGGCGAACGATCCGTCCGAGTCAGCGAAAATCGTAGAGACGTCGGGTAACTTCCGGGACTACTTGATACCATTGGATCATCCACGACTACATCCTAGCGATCGCGATGCTCGGACGCATGCCAAAGGCGTATTGGGCAACGAGCAGATCTTCTTGACGCCTGTAGCGCGAGGATGGGTGGAGAACTATAACAAGCCGTACTGGGGCTTCACAACTAATGGTGCTGTCGTTCCGGATCTGTGGCATTATGATTCCGCGGCCAATGGTCCTACGGCTGGGATGGTCGATGCTGCGACGGGAGTAATCGCTACTGCCACCGAGCAAGAGAGCGAAAGCTTTAAATATCCGGTCGATGCGAGGGAGTGGCGGTCGTGGTCAAATCCTGAGGTACGCTGCCATAACATTTGGTGCTGCTCGATGTTGTCTCTTATATTGACTTCGTAAAGGTCATTGTTGTTGACTCGGGCCTTCGCGTGGATGAAATGTCTGCACAATTGCGTGAGGCGGTGCACAATCTACTTAAAGCGAGTTTATCACCTGAAGGCTATAAAAAAGTCTGGACGGCCATGCTCATGAATGCGTTTCTTGGTGATCTCACGCGACTCAAGAACGTCATGAACGAGCACTCCTACCACTTCTGTCTGTTTGGCGAGCCTTCCGAAGACAGACCATGGGGTTTCAACATCTTCGGTCACCACTTATGCCTGAACATCTTCACACTTAAAGGCGAGGTGGTAGCGGGTCCTTTCTTCATTGGTGCAGAGCCGAACATCATCGATGAGGGACCAAACAAAGGTCTTCGTATGCTCAATAAAGAGGAAGAGGCCGGACTGGCCTTCATGAAATCGTTGTCAACAGAGCAGCGGACCAAGGCAACTCTACGAGGCGATATCAACGATATCACTGGCGAGACGATGGACGCAGGTCGCTGGAATCCAGCTGATCTGCGTGGTCTGGGCGGCGCACATCAAGACAACCGCATAGTGCCCATGGAAGGCGTCAATGCCAAAGACCTGGAAACAGCACAGCAAGAAGCGCTTCTCGACCTAATCGCAATCTTCAACGAGCTCTTGCCCTCAGGACCAAAGGAAGCTCTCATGAAACGAGTTCGAGCACATCTGGGCGAGACGCATTTCGCTTGGATCGGACCAGTCAACGATACCTCACCATTCTACTTCCGCGTCCATAGTCCGATCGTCATGAGCGAGTTCGATCACCACAATGGAGTCTGGCTTGCGAACGCACTACCGAAGAAGTATCACATCCATACTATCCAACGCTTGCCGAACAGAGGTGACTACGGTACCGCATTGTATGAGGAGTGGCTACAGCAGCAGAGCAGTGTCAGTGGAAAGATCTGATCAAACAATATATTATTGGAACCAAACGTAGCTTCAGCACAAACCCAAGCTTCGCAGCAACGTATCTAGTTACCAGCATGTCGTCCAAGCAATGGCTGACTGCAGACCGAGGCAGCAGGCGAGATTTCAAGGAGATTCTACCAATCGCTTATCCTCAGAGCAGATTAGAGGGACGCCCATAATCACACAAGACTCCTCCAGTTCCTCCCTCAGTTCAGCCCATACTGAAAGCCCATTCTTCTTATAAAAAGCTACCAGCCTCTCCAAATTCTCATCTTCCTTCCTCTGTATCAGCGCCTTCCTCTCCGCCCCGGCCACGCTGAAATACTCATCATCCGGGACATATAAATCCACGCTACCTGGAGTCAACCAGACTGGACCCGAGAAGCAGTCATGAGACTTCAGTCGCGGCAGTGCAGAGAGCAGGAGGTTCAGAACCACACTGCCAAGTCCCGATCGTCGGTATTCACGTTCGAGGAAGAGGTAGCTAATATAGCAGAGCTCTCGCCTCCGCAATGCGCGAGCAGAGAACTCTGCTGATGTCTTGGGACGACCGTCAGGGTGGAAGAGCATGGTCATGCTGCGAGGGGCTATGTCAGTGCTGGGTTCGGATAAGTCAGATTCCAGGAGATCCTGCTTCCATGCTAGTGTTGGTATGGACTTCCGAAAACGTTTGGTGGCTCTGCACCGCTTACCTTTACTCTTACACTTGCCTCCAGTTTTTGGACCGCCTTGACTCGGCATGTAGGTACTAGGCATAGTCTTATTGATGATGAAAGCATCGATGTGGCCGATTTGCAAGGGCCACGCATTCTCGTCATTCATTGGTATGGGCCGCAATGACAACTTCGCTGTCAAAGTCTTGACGCTGCGGAGAACGATATCGGGTTTGATATTGAGCTTCATGGTCAATTCGCCGCGACCCAGCTTGGTGTTGCACAGGCAATTGGCTGTATAATCTCTCTCCAGGAGAGATATCTTGGCAGACATTGAGGGGGCGACAGGAGACTGTCAAATCTTGTCCGTGTTTGCAATATTGCTGTATCGCTGAGGTGTGTTGTGCTCATCGCACAAGCCATAGCCATAGCTTCAAATATCATAAGCGCAGTCACAAAGCCATTGTTAGCCTCCTTTTGCGTCAGTGAAAGAATGCCTTATGAGGGTAGTCCTTTGTTTTCCGAGCAAATGTGAGACATTGAGCACTGAAAGAAGCTCGATGTGCCGACCGATCCACATTGTGTTCATCACGGTCACAGGCTTAGTATTCTTCGGGAAGCTCTTTGCGGTCCACGGACACCAGAATACACTGCCGAGCGGTAGGCGGGATATGCTGCCACAATGGTGCATGTCAGCAAAAGAACCTGACCCCGTCTTCAGGATAAAACTGTATGAAAACCAATTGTTCGGAAAGACGCCTGCTCAGCTGTGATTTCACCTTGTAGCGCAGCCTGTAGCCTGGGTATCATATAATCAAGACATGCCCCGCCATACTAAAGCCGTCGCGTGTTGACGGTGCACCCGCTTTTAAGAACGCCATCGCTATGCATAAAGCAAGCACTTTTCCCTTCTTTTCCCTTCCTCCACCCAATCGCCTTTCGACCAACCCACTACACTCACGCAATCAAGCATTGGCAGTATCAGCAATCTTCTTCAACTCCCACTCCTTCGTGAACTCCTGGTCCAAACTCTGCAGCTCCTGCACCAACTCATTACAAGCCTGAATCACGGCATCTTTGGGCGCGATCTCCCCGTCGGTCTGCACGCGCAGTTTGAAGACGGCGAAGAGGGGGTGGGGCACTTGGTACGCGGCGAAGAGGACGTGTTCGGAGCGGGAGAGCTTGTCGCGGAGGAGGTTGCCGAGGGTGTGGTCTTCTTTGTTGAAGGTGAAGAGGGCGGCGTGGGGGACGCCTGGTGTTGGGAGATGTGTCAGTGGTGGTGTTGTGGTGGAGGTGAGGTGAGGTGAGGTGAGGTGAGGTGAGGTGAGGTGAGGTGAGGTTGGAAGTAGGCTTACGCGTCTCTTGCTCGAATGTTACCTTCTTCTCGCCTTCGCCTAGCAGGTAGAGCTCGTATCTGTCGGGCACCGTGTCAATGTCTAGATTCTGTGGCCCTATATTTGGTCCGGTGCGAGGGTCTTTGACGGTCGAGTAGCCTGCATGATAGCTGGCATGGCCGAACGGAAGTTCGCCACTGCGCTTCTTCGCTTGGCGCGGCATGTCACCCTCATAGACGATGTCGTTGGCCATTCTTGCGTGCTTCTTGCGATATGTGTGCGATGCGGTGCGATTGTGGTTGTCTTTGGTCTTTTGTAGGGATTGAAAGTAAGAACATTTCTATAGCTTACCTGTCTGGTGCATTCATGGCGGGAGTGTCGCGACACGAGATTGCGTGTCTGGAGCAAGAACGCTGCGTTCGTGAAAGAAGAAAGAGCGACTGTGAAGCTCGCACATGCAAGTCACGCTCGGTGTTGAAGCCGCGCAGATCTGATAACGGGCCGAGTCGGGTATCCGAAAGCTTGATAAACGCGGGACGAGCTCCGGCGCTAGTATACGAGAGATAATGAGCGATTACAAATGACGCTCGTAGGTTGATGTTGATGTTGTGTGCTGTCGTCGCTGTCATGACCAAGGGCTCGCTCGCTCGACCGTCCTGTGATATAGCACAAGCATCATGAGCTGCAGCAGAAGAGCCACTGCAGTAGCACTTGAATGCAGCTATGCATCTCCTTCCAGCATAATTCGTCGAGTGAATGGCACAAGGAGGGGCAATACGTCAACAACCATTATTAAGCCTTCGTGCATTAGCAGAGCTCAAGCTACACCATTTAAACCATTCATTACCTGCCCCTCTTACATTCACTCGACCAGCACCAGAACATTCACAACCACAACACCAGCCAAGATGCCTTACCAAGCCTACACCGACGAGACGCCCGACGACGTCAAGAATGCCAAAGGCATTCATCTCGTCACCATGAGCACACCCAACGGCCAAGCGGTCCAGATCTTTCTCGAGGAGCTCAAGGACGCCTATGGAACTGAGTGGACGACTACAGTAATCAACATCATGACCAACGAACAGAAGAAGGACTGGTTCTTGCGTCTGGATCCTAATGGACGCATTCCACTTCTCATCGACAACAACCAAAAGCCTCCATTCCCTGTCCACGAAACGAGCGCCGAGATCTTGTATCTGCTAAAGCAATACGACTCGAAAGACCAGTTCGGCTTCAAGGATGACTTGGAGCGTAGTCAGGCGTTGCAATGGGTGTTCTTCTGGCATGGTAGCGGAGCTCCGTAAGCACGTCCATCCCAGCAGGTCCCGAGCAATGACTAACACCCCCACAGCTACCAAGGCCAAGTCAACCACTTCAGCCGAGCAGCACCAGAGAAAATCGAGTACGCAATCAACCGTTTCAAGAACGAAACCCTCCGCGTCTACGGCGTCCTCGAGATCCAACTCTCAGGCAAATACACCGGAGACGGACCTCGCGAGTACCTCGCCGGCAACGGCAAGGGGAAGTACAGTGTAGCGGACATCAAGACATGGCCATGGGTCAGGGGCTGGTAAGTAAACAAACAGTGTGAACCTGTACGCGAGACATTGCTGCATCCTAACAATCACTCTTAGGGAGCGAACGGGCTTCACGAAGCAAGAGATGGAGGCTTTCCCAAGTCTGTTGAAGTGGATCGATCGTATTGCGGAACGTCCGGCTGTGCAGAGGGGGATTGGGGAGGCTTATAATATGAAACAGTAAGCTAGGGGGTTATGCATAAGGGCTACAGTACGCTGCCAACAGATCTGTAGGGAGTCGAAGTTTTGATCCGAGCCATTTGCAGCCTGATGTGCAGCTCAAGCGAACCACGATCGTAGCACCTCCATGGTATCGCACCGTTGTTTGCAGTAACTCGTCTAGTTTCCACTGCTCGACTCAAGGAGTACAACCCTTTATTTATGATCTCTTGTGCATCAAAGGACTGATAAGAAGACAACGGAATCATATACAATAAGCAAAGATGTCACCATCACCTGATTCTCGTCAGTTCCCGGGACTGGAGCGAGATATGATAGATTATGAAAAAGAGAACATCATCGAAATGAGGTAAGATTCTCGTCGTACGGAACTAACAAAGCACACAATTTGGTATCATCTCTCGCTCGCTATCCAGCCGCTCAAGCAAATCAACGCAAACGCGAGAACCAGCTCTGATCGCTTTTGTGCTGTCGCCGCTACCTCCGTCTTCCCAGCGCCAGCGCCTCGTATTCACCTCCGCAATGCACACCGTAAACTCATCTCATCGTAACGCCGTAGCCCAAGAAAGCTCCAATCACTTTCCTAGAATATGCTTCGCCAGAAGAAAATAAAATCCTGCATCGTTCCGAATGGTATCTCGCAAATCTTCCATCGCCCAGAGAACTCCGTACCGGCCGTCGCAATAAATGTAGGTGCTCACTAGATATTAAGGAGATTCAGTTGACATAAGGTAAATAAAACAAATGAGATTGACATCCGTTCAACCACATCGCCAGAAGATCAGATATCGTATCTCTCCCGTCAAACCAGAAGAGGTGAGAGCATGAAAGACCCGCGTAGCACGGGCGGAAAAGCATGCCTCTATGACCATTGCCAGACAAAGATCCGGCACCAGTGAGAAAAATCGTGTTCGCAAGAACAGTAGGCTGAGCAATAAGAGCAGGGCCGAAGTGATCACATAACAGCACATGCTGTTTGATCACCATGTCCCTGCCCACTACCACCACTACGACTACTCCCACTAGTGACAGACCTCCGTCTGACAGGATCAAGTTTTTCATCATCTTTTTTTGACGGCCTGGCACCCCCGCCTATCATCCACGCAGTCAAGGGCGAAATATCCTTGCTGCCTTTGGTCTTTGACGAGCCTTTGGCTGGTCGTCGAGAGTCCTTGACGTCCATGACAAGTGGTTCCATGCCCGGAAAGTCGGCCAAGGGATCTGGAGGGAAGATACCAGGTGGGAAGTTCGGGGGCGGTGGCATAGCGCCGTGTCCGCGGCCGTGTCCGCGACCTGGTGCTGGTGGAGGCACGTCGATGATTGGTGATGTGGATTTCTTCTTCTTGCCGTCCTTGCCCTTCCTGGGCTTCTTCGTGTCGACCCCTGGGGGTCCAAAGCCCAGGTCACCGAACAGGTCGGCAATTGGGTCGGAGCCGTGGCCGTAGTGGATCTCCTCTCGCTTATCTTCTTTGGGCTCAGGCAAGGGCCACATGTGCATACTGATGGTCCAGTCCGGCTTGACTACAGTTTCCCAGACTTGTGGGAGGATGATCTCACCGTCTGGTCCTTGGAGGTCGTAGTGGCCTTGCATGACATGCTCACCGAGGACATCGATGTGCAGAAACGCTTGCCGAATGAGTGTCTCCATACCTTTCCAGGTCTTGCAGAGGTGCCATGGAAAGCTGAACGTCCTGTTCACTGCATCCCTGAACTTGATTGGCAACTTGTCGGAGTCCGGTAATGGCGCATTTTTCTTCACAGCCTCTTCAAGCTCCTTCTGCTTCTTCTCGGCTTCTTCTTGTAGCTTTTTCGCCTCTCCCAGCTTCTTCTCATGCTCCTCTTTGGCTTTCTTGGCCGCCTCCTCAGCTTTCTTCTCGGCACCCTCTTTGGCCTTCTTCTCGGCTTCTGCGATCTCCGCCTTCTTCTTTTTCTCGGCCTCCTCCTCGGCTTTCTTCGCAATCGCAGCAGCCTCAGCAGCCGCTGCTGCTTGTTCATACTTCTTCACCATCTCCTGCAGCTTCTTATAGTCCTCCGCTGCTTTGGCCTTCTCGGCCTCATCTTTACTTTGCAAATGCGCCTTGAGCTTATCGTTCTCTTCCGCGAATTGAGCCTTCAAGGCCTCCAGCTCCGCATTGATCTTTGGCTCACCTGGCGGTGCAGGCGAGCTGGTATGAGATATCGAAGGAGGACCTGGGTACGGCCAGCCTGGCACTTGTGGGTACCCATACGGTGGCATACCCATGCCGGGATGCGCAGAGTATGGGTAGGGTGATACAGCGAGCTCAGAGCCATAATGTGATGGTGCAATGAATGACTGAGGCCGCTGTGGTGGGCCAGGTCGATGGAGGTGTTGAGGTGCAGCGGCATGGCTCTCGGGAAAGTAGCTAGTCCCACCAGCAGAGCTCATTGGAGAGAAAGGGTTTTGCTGGGGACCCTGCGGCGCGAATGGGTTGGCTTGGTAGCCAAAAGGGTCTTGGCCCTGCATGTGCACTAATGCTTGCTGTGCTGCATAAGGGTCGCTGTATTGCGCAGTACTCACACTTGGCGGGAAGCCACCATGGGGCGGCGCAGGAACGTGTCTGTATCCAGAGGGGTGCGGATAAGGTGCACGAGGTGGTGGTTGCGGTGCGCCGCCATGGTGGCCGAAAGGGTAGTCCTCGTAGGACGCCACGCTGGCAGACTCGTCGGAAGGGGTGCGCCTCGACTCAGCGCGTAGGTGTCGACTCGATGTGTGCGTTGCTCGTCGGCGGATAGGCGGCGGCGAATCCTCCTCTCGCTCCTGTACCACACGGCGAGAGGAGACCCGCCGTTGGGGAGCAGGACGAACCTCCGTCGTGTGTCGCCGTGATGATGGTTGGCGAGACCGTGACGCCGAGTCGGATGGCTCGATCTCGTCGCCACCTAGATCACTCCAACTGTCTTCGGTGCTTAAGCTGCGGCCGCCACTAGATGTGGGTGAATGGATGGATCCGCTGCGACCAGATGATGTGCCGCGTCGAACCTCGACCACACGCTCGGAACCTGAACTGACGGTAAATGTCGTGCTGTTCGAAGCAATCGGGTCAGCAATGCGAACCGATTTCAGGGCCGGGTCTTGTTTCGTGAATGGTATCCAGCTGAACATGGCGGGCGCATGGGAGGTGGGGCAATGTGATATATGAACACAGGGAGTACGAGGTACTTACGGCATGAGTCGTCCTGGTAATACCGCACGCGCTCAAGACCTACCCTCACAACGTGCAGAGGGCCGGCAGAGGCGGCGATCAATAATGTGGTGGTGTGTTGAAGGTCGTTGCCGGGGGCACGAGGTGCCAACAATGTGGATGCGCTAGGAAAAGTATTATTAGTTCGGGAAGCGGCTTTCGTCTTTGCAGGATCGCATACGTCTACGGTATGCTGGATGATGAGAATGATGATCTTGCTATCGTTGACGACGAGGAGAAAGGGTAGTCGACCTTTGCGGACAGCGACAATGGTCGAGACAGTCAGGGGGCCGACGTGTTGGTCGCGCGTAATCGATTGGTCGGGCTCTAATGTGGATATACTTTGGGCAAGCGCTGTCTCGTAGAGCTGTGGCTTCCCCAGGTCTCAGACGAAACAGCGAGGGGCAAGTCGATACTCGAGACTGTATCGGATATGCTCGAAATGTTTCGGCTTGAGTTGTTCTCAGACAAGCGTCCTGGAACACTCTCTGACCGCAGGTATGAAGGTGTGCTTTGGTAGCTGCACGACTCCGTCATACAAGCGCGAGATGGTGGGCGAGTGTGCAGGGCTTCGAATGGAGGGGTCGGCTGATCGTGATCTGTGCCGGGTTCGTGATAACACGGGCGCTGCAATTTCCCGTATCAACTCTCGCTCCTGCCATCAAACAACATCACCTCGTCAGCCAAATTGTATCAGATGATGTCGTCAGCAGGACGAGAAACGACAACTTAGAAAAAATAAGTTGCCTCGCGTTGACCCGGATACCGACTCCGTTATTGGGCAGATATGGGTCCTTGCAGTAGCGCTGCTGCAGACGCAATGCCGGAGAGGAAGACTTACGGATATTTAGAAGCGATGGCGTTGATGGTTTTGAGGGATCTGCTGATGATGGTGAGGTCGAAGTGTCGAGTGTTGGGAGCTGACTTCAGAGCTGATAGCTGCCGGCGATGGGTATGACAGGAATTGTCGTCGTCAGGTAAGTGGTTGCGCTCAGCAACGGTCTTCGCAGCTCAAATGCAGGGCTTCCGCCCACGAGCTCTGGTCGATCGCAAGATACACCGCAGACACTATGGCGTTGCTTCGATAATCCTGCAGTAGTCGTCGACGATGGGTATGCTGCTCAGCCTCTTCCGCGGTCCGGCTCTCTCAATCTGCGTAGTTCAGTGTCGGATTGCAAGCGGAAAGACATTGGCACGAAAGCAGTAGTGGAATTTTGATGAAATCCGGCGAGTGTGTGCTGCAAGTTGGCGAGAGGTGGTGGAACCACACTTCGCTGCAGGCTGCCTGTTGATGAGGGGCAAACATTCGTCACACAGGCGATGAAGCCGATATTCTATATACACCGACCGAGATGATGGAAAATGCACGTGTACGATACGTGTGAAGGCTTGTAGACTCATAGTACAGCAACATCTTCTTGGGGTATCAGGACTCACCGCACACTGGCAGTCCACTCTCAGGCAGCGGCAGCAATAAGCCATTCGCAAACAAAGCAGCGCGTACAATAACGAAGTAGCCTGCTGCGGGTCACTCGGCAACAAGCATCGGCGGCGCATCACATTTGGGCAGGAACGCTTCCCAGTCTGCCACGTCAAAGTCCAACGGCGCTAGCCGAGCTCTGCATAGCACTAAAGCAGCGACTGCATGCAAGTATCGATCGAAGCATTGAATGTGGCGAATGATGTTCGATGGCATGCTACGGTACTGTGAACACTGTCAACGGATCGTAGAGCCTCCTGGAGCGGCCCGAATGCATGGTGTCTTCCAGAAGGCTGTCAGAACCCGTGTGACCCCTGATGCGAGCATGGGAAGACTAGCAAGAAGGACGTGATGGGCATGAGGTCGCGAAAGGTGGACTGATTGGGCTCAATGATGCCTAGAATATACATAGCCACGGGTCATGCCCTCGCTCAATTTGGGTATCAATGTATTCGTTAGCATAAGCAAGGCCGTGCAATTCTTGACCGGTAAAAGATCGAGGCGGAACTCGGACTCATGGTTGTCGGAATATGTCGTTTGTGTCAGCCTCATCCGCCCGGTACGACACTCTGTCTCGCATGTTTGTTACAATCAAACAACACGTACGTCGATGCGGTCAAGATCGCCTATCTCGGTGTCTCCAATCGTCTGCTTTGGATCAAGCTGCTCGCCGTCAAATTCTAGTACGATGTTCTGGTTCTCTGCAGCATTGAATGGTTGCTTGCAGGCACACATAACCTTGCTTATGGTCGTCGACTAGAAACGACCGTTAGTATGGCTCGATTCGATGGCTGCGATTTTACGTACAGGCCTGACTTTCAGCTTGAAAGGCTGACTCCTGTCTTTGGACGCAAACAACAGACGAATAAACTGCTCTGCTTCATGGGTGGGCGCCTCCTCTTCACCACCATCGGCCTGTTCTTCCTCAAGACCTGGCTGCTGCTTTCGCTCTTCAGCTTTCCTCTCGGCCCTGATTTCCTCCATGATATCGTCTGTCACTGCCTCAAGATGAACCTGATCTACACCATCGATGCCCTCAGCGCCTTTCATCGTCACTTGTCCTTCTGCATTGACGTCTAGACCTAGACTGCGGCAAGTCGTAACATCAAAGACTTTGTGCATTCGATGCACCAGATATACAGTCTGCGCGAATTCTTTTGAGAAGCCTTGTCGATCGCACCAGACCTGTCGGATCTCCTGTAGTCGTTGTGATAGCTTGCGATACACCATCAACGGTTTTGTGTTCTCCATCCGTGAAGTGATAAACAACTTGATCGGCGGGTCGAGTATAGGCGGTGTTGGATTTATAGAGCACTCGACCGAGTCCTGGCCTAGCGTAGATGACTTAACATCAGGTGTCTGCGATTTCTTCGTCGAGTTCTCCCGAAGCTTATTTCGTGCTCGTGCCTGTCTTGCCAGCTCCGCGAACTCATCATCCGATTCCTGTTCCACCGGCGATGCTTCTCGCTCGTACTGTATCTGCACATCATCGTCCGAAGCTGGATCGTCTCCGATCACGACCACAAGCGGCCCTAGCTTCGAGGCTACTGGCTTCACACTAGGCCGATCCTCGAACCTGTTCGATCTTGGTGACCGACGAAGCTGCAGACCCTCGTTGCTCGCACTACGAGGCGACTTGGATTCTTCCGCCTTGAATGCTGGCAGACCAACGCTTCCCAGTAAATCCTCACTCTCCTCGAGCGTTATGCGCCGCCGTTTGGGACTCAAGCTTGGCTTCCTGTCTGCACTTTCCTCCTTCTCTCGCTTCGCAGATATCTTGCGCTCCTTTCTTTCCTGCTTCGCTCGAATCTTCTCTTCTCGTGCTTCTCGTCGACGTTTCTCGTCTACCACAATATCCTTGTATGCATGGCTGTGGCTGAAGATGCTCTTTCCGCTATCTGCTTCGGTGCTTGGTTCTGTACTCGCCCAAGCCGGCCTCTTGAAAAGTGACATTATTTTACATCTGCCAGAAGAAGTGTCCTAAATTGAAGCTCAAGGCTACTCGAGGTTAACGTCGAACGCGATCTCGAAGTCGTGCACGGATGCTGTTCTCAAACGCGGAAGTCACGCGGCCCGTTTCCACTTTGCATCTTGTGCCACAGAAACTCTTCTATCGGTCCAACACCCGCCACAAGGACAGAATCGACAGGCATGAATGCGCCAGCAGTAGCTCCAAATGGGGCAGCAGACGCACGCGACCCATCTGGCTTCCTGAGCGAAATTATTGGCGCGCCTGTGACCGTGAAACTGAACTCGGGCGTGGTTTACAAAGGTACGGGGCCATTGGTATGTGCTGAACATCACTGACACTCGGCAGGCGAGTTGCAATCAGTCGACGGATACATGAACATCGCTCTGGAGCAGACTAAGGAGTATGTGGAAGGCAAGCTTAGACGAAGCTACGGTGATGCGTTTGTCAGAGGCAATAATGGTAGAACATTGATCTAAATCTGTCACCGAATGTCTACTGACTCCAGTGCAGTCATGTACATCTCCGCCGACGCATGAAGGTTGTGGGCGATGTAAGCTAGCACGCCCGGTCCATTACCCCTCGGGACTCGATGCAAGCGTTATGCGGTCACTTCGACCGCCAGCATGATTCCAATGGCCTGGCAAGCTCGTTGTACAGATGAACACGAGTACTTGGGCCAAGTCGCCGCCGCTCTACGCACCAGGCCGCTCGACTTCAGTCAAAGACGCACGGCCATCTCCTGGGATCTTGCTAGACCATACAATATAGGTCAAACCATGAACAGCAACTTCACCCTTTTCATTCGTCTCGACCTCAGAGCTGTTCAGGGCGTCCATTACTGTCTGCTTTGTGCGCTTCGAATATGATCAGTGATGTTTCTCAGTGCTGAGAGCAGAATCACTCACCTCACGCTCCTCCCCCTCGAGCACTGCAATGTGCGAGATGGTTGCATACCGCTTCCAAATCTGCTCCTTCGACAACCAAATCTCAAACTTCTCCGTGTGCTCGCCCAGCGGCAGAGCGAAGAATTGATCAGATGCTATGATCAAGGAAAGAGGGGTCGACTTGCTTTGGTCTTCGAACACTTTCCTCCACTTCTTGTGTCTAAAGCGGGCTTCCTCGTCCTGAAAAGTCCATGTGAGGTCCTGCACCTTTTTCTCCCAAGCAGTAGGCGGATCGCTTTCTTGCGGTGCATTGTAGTATTCGATGTTCCAGATGAGACCGAGCACACCATGTGGACGGAGCACACGGTGAATCTCTTTCAGGGACGCCTCATCTGCGAACCAGTGGAAGGCCTGCGAGCACTTAGCTCGAGTCCGACGACGTACGAGGGGAGGAGAAAGAAGAGTGTCATGGACCACCTACCTGTGCAACAGCAACAGCATCTGCACTTTCATCCGCCAGAGATATAGCGTCAGCTTTCCCAGATTGGACGGTTGTATGTGGAAGTCGCTTCTCCTCCAGTACTTTCCGCATACCATCATGAGGTTCCACAGCGACAATCTCATACTCCTCTGATCTTTTCGCGAGGACTTCGGTGAACTTGCCACTGCCCGCAGCCAAGTCTAATATTTTGGCATGCTTTCGCCCAGAGACACGACATTGCTGCAGTAGTTCTTCGGTGGCAGAAGCGGAGTACGAGGGACGATGCTTATCATACTTTGCTCCGTTCTCAAAACCCTTCTGCGCGCGATCTTTGATCCCACCGTGCTGTGATGTAGCCATTGCCAAGATCGCTGCTCGGGACGCGTGTAGGATAGTGGTACACCGCTATGCACGTGATGTCTAGGGTGAGAGGCGATGAATCAGCGGCTGGAGAAACTCGATGCAGGTCGCGGAAAAGGCTGTGAAGGACACTAGAGTTGAGGTGGTGAGATTCTGAAACAAGACGAAATTCAGCCTATCATTTGCTGCGAAATGCAAGTGGTACATTAGCTCCGGGAATTTGGGTTCATGGCGTACGAGATGAAGTGGAGAGCTTGCGCACTTGTTTGAACGTGGAGGTTGGGCAAGATCAAGACGGTATGAGTATACGACATGAATGGACGTGAGATGCACGTGTAAACGTTCCCACGTCGATAGTGTATCTGATGTGGCGGTCTTCGTATGGAGTACGAAGTTACGATTTACGATATAATAGTAATGTAAGCTCGAGCATCTCGAAAATAAGAGGTTGGCTGTATCCGGTTCGCAGGATGCTGATCCACCTGCAGGAGGGGTCTAAAAGAGGAGAATGCGACTCGATCGAGCCAGCCCTTCCAGATGCCCTTGAGAACTTGGCGACACCCACAGTCTTATTGGCAGCAAAAGGCTGGGAGCCGATCGATGTGTACCACCGTAGAGGCGAGGAGAAGAGCAGTAGTGTGTATGCAGCCTATGAGACAGAGAGCTCTCGGCGCTGTATAGCCTGCGTTGCGCCTCTCACCCTGCCGGAACGACGAATAGCAGCATCATCTCGTCCACGCGTATGAGGTCCATGCGGCGTAATAATAATATCACTATTCTGTCCGATATGTCCGTGTCGACGCGATGTCGATGGCAGGATCTCAAACTTCTTGCAGCGGTGTGCAAGGCGAATAGCACTGTGATGTATTGCAGCACATTAATATTGCCGCTCGTGCGATGACATTGTGTCCATCATAAATGCTGCTTGTTGCTGTTGCTATGCTTCAACGCCACAGTTGGCTGAGAGCTTAGAAAGTGGAGCTATTCTTGAAATCGGCTTCGGGAGTGCCGCCCCTCCGACCTCCTCCGCCATTCAACATCCCGAGCGTCTGGTGAGCTTGCAGTGCATTGCGATTTCTTCGGTCACGACTGTCCACCACAACATCATACAATCCAGCTTATCAACCTGCCTTTTGAGGCCTTTCATTCGAGCAACCGACACCAATATTTAGACCACTTCGACTATATTGTTACATTCACCAATAGCCCTTCTCGAAACACGTTCCGGCGGCAACGCAGCACAGCAGAGCCGCGCAGGGGAGGCGAGGCGAGGCATCCGCTGCACATACACCTTCACAGCCTACCTTCCCAATGTTTCGCTAGCGACGAGCAAACTAACACAACACCGTCTGGATGCCGAACCTGAAGATTTTCGCTAGGAGAAAGAGTGGAAATCCCCTTGAAGATCTCTCTCCCGACACACAACCGTCTGGAACGAGTAGCTTTCGAGTCCTTGAACGACCTACCAGAGCAGCGGCACACGTCTACGATGGCACTCCGCAGAAGCCTGTGAGCAGTGGAAAGTCTTTCCAGTCACCGCTGCAACAGCTTCGTGGCAAGAGCGCCGACGACTTGCGGACAGGCTTAAACAGGTTGGTGGATGGACGTCAACTGCTCGCTGCGAACGAGGCGCTAAAGCGCGACAGGGGAAGTGCCGGCACCACCAACTCGGGTTCTAGTGGGTACTACGAATCATCTTCAGCATCGGCCAGACATAGCTCTTCATCAACACTGCCTTCCTCCGTCGACCAGGAGCGCGAACGGGAAAGAGACAACGAGGAACTGTACCAACGCAAGCCTGCGTCGACACAAATGAAGCAGCTAGTCAGCGCGGACGCTGATCAGCCGCTTCCACCCCCGCCGTCCTTCAAATCGCGTGCCGGCCGAGCGTTCTCTTTTGGTCAGAAGCAGAACAGGAATCCAGCAGTACCGCAGGACGCGCCACTACCACCTCAACCATACAATGTCTACGAGCCCAGCAATGGCCTTCGAAGCGGGCCAGCTTCTCCTTCGAGTCTGAACAGAGATCGAGCGATGACGTCCAGTAGCTATGCTAGCACTGCCAAGCCACCTCCGGCAAGCCAAGATCAAGACTTCAGCCTGGGAAGTTCCAACTTTGGCGATGATTTTGGTAACATGTTCGCGGGGATTGGCAAGCCGGCCGCTGGTAGTAGGGAGGAGCTGGCGCTGCCTCCAGCTCCAGGTGGCTTCCACCGAACGGCAAGTGCAGCACATGCACTGTTCCATCTTGGAGACCACGCTAATATAAAGCAGGAGTCCGAGCCTATGTTCCCGCCTCGAGCGCTTTCCCGGCAGGCACTCACACCTTCTCCTGGCCCACGAAACGCGCGAGAGAATGGTAACACGTTCTACTCGCAGAACGATCGCAATTCTCAGGAAGGGCTGATGTCCAGCTCTGCTCTGAGCTCACCACGATTAATAGATGAAGGGCCGTCATCACCTGCACACAACAGTGGCATCGCACCAGCGTTCATGGGCCGTGGCAAGCCAGGATATTCACTAGTGACTGGGCGTGGCTCGCCAGCATTGGAGCGGACATCGTCCGACAGCTTGACCAGCTACATTTCAGAGCCAGAGAAGGACAAAACTCGAGGCTACAGTAAAGTCCAAGGACGAGCGTACGATGATGGCCCAAATAGAGGTGTGCAGCTTCATGACACACTACCGAACAGGCCAGTGCCGCCTGCGCATAAGAATCCGATGCAAACGGCATCGACGCTACACGCCACTCCGCAAGCGACAGCCGGTGCTAGTAGACTGGGCGCCATTAGTCCTACCAGTGATGGAGGCAGTTCGCTTTTCGCTGAATCTAGCAATGCCACACCGAAAGCCACAAAGCTGGTGATACACGACCTATACGAAGGAGGAGCACTCTTCGATTCTTCACCACAAGGTCCACCGAGTCGTGCGATCAGACCTAGACATCAGCGGACAGAAAGTGGAACACCGAGGAAGATGACAAAAGCGCAGTTCGAGGCACTTCAAAGGAGTGGACCAAACAGCCTGGAAGCCAGTGAGGATGAAAAGCATGAAGAAGAGGACGAGGATGATGAAGACGAGTCGGAGCGGAATGAACAAATCAGACGGCAGAGAAAGAAGCAGCAGGCGAATATGGCGGTATACCGGCAGCAGATGAAGAAAGTCACTGGTGGTGGACCCTCTGACCTTGCGCCAGTCCGCCCTTCGATGGACCGTGGTACCAATAGTGCGCCACCTGCTGCTGGTGGTATGTTCCATCTGGGTGGCATGGGAGGTACGCCTCCATCAGCATCCGTTCGGGGCAAGCCAAGCGACGATGAAGACGATGAGGTACCGCTCGGCATCCTCCAAGCACATGGCTTTCCTGGTACTGGCAGACCTCCTACCAGCATGGGCGAGAACGATCAGCGCCGTATGTCCTCGGCTGGCTCGGTCGTGAATGGCGGAGCTGGACAAGGCAACCTGCCACCTTTCGCAAGACGACTGCCAGCCGATCCTTATTTCGGATCCAGCTTGGTCAATCAATCGAACCGTGAATCGCTGGCTTTCAGCTCTGCACAATCAAACTATGGTGGCACACAGCAAATGCAGCCTGGAGCGGGTAATGTTGGTGGACTCGTCGGTGTGATTGCGAGTGAAGAACGTGCCAAGGCTTCCAGAAGGGGTAGCCCAAACCCTGCCACTGGCCAGTACGGAATGCCGGTACCAGGCCAGATGCCGCAGATGCCTCGTACTATGAGCATGGGCAGCATGGTCAATCCACAGGTATATACGCCAAGTGGCTACGCACCCGGCATGCCGCCTATGCCAATGATGCCAGGTATGATGCCCGGTATGATGCAAGGACAGGACCCCAACCAAGCGGCGCAGATGCAGAACTTCATGGCAATGCAAATGCAGCTTATGCAGAATGTTCTTGCGATGCAGCAGCAGCACATGGGTCAGACACCACAAGGCCAAGCTCCAGCACAGGACTACCTTGGAGTGCCGCTAGCTTCTGAGAGACCAATGTCGATGGCAAGCCATACACCGAGCTATCAGCCGACTAGTCTGGCAAATACAGGCCGAGCGAATACCATGATGGGTCCACCTCCAAGCTGGAACTATCAACAAAATGGTCTGCGTCCGGGAAGCGCGATGCCGCCCAGCACTTACGCACCGTCAGGATATAATGTTGGCGGGCTGGGCCCAGGCTACACACCATCGATTGCGCCAAGTGAGCGTAGCAATGTTGGTATGCCGAGCCGCTACAGGCCAGTCAACACTGCCGTGGATCCTGCCACCGGACGTTCTAATAGCATGACTTCGTCCATGACTTTGCAGGCCTTCACGAACCAGCAGCAGCGACCAGAGAGTCGTCAAGGACAGCTGAAATCTACTATCAGGATCATTGACAAGCCGAAGGGCTCACCTAAAGTCAACACTCAGGCTGGCAATGGAGATGAAGAGGAGGATGATGGATGGGCGGATATGGCGAAGAAGCGCAAGGAGAAGAAGTTCAGCTGGCGAAGGAAGGATAACACGACCAGCGAGCCCACGGTCAGCGATTTGTACGAAGGGCTGAACTGAGGGCTGTCGCGACCTCTCGACGACGACAAAATAATGTATATGTTCACCACACAAATGGGACCGGCCGCAAAAGTAGCTGAACAGAGTGAGGAGTACAGGAAATTGTGAGGATTGTCTAAAAATGTGCATTGCGTTGGATATTAAAAAGGACTGGGTTTGAATTATTTCGAGCGGGCGTTTCGGTGTATGGACGTGGAAACAAAATGTGTAGAACAGCAAGCCTGTCCGGCTTTGTGAATACACGTGGTGGAAATGCTGTTCTGTAGTGCTATCATTATGTAGAACTTAATCGAGGGTGGTGTGCTCGAGACAGAAGACTCCTTGCACCTCTCCCATTCACATTCCTGTATAGGGCTTGGCGCGAGCTATGATTTGTCCGTGAACTTTCTCTTCGACCTCAAAAATGTCTTACTGCCACAACCACACAGGGTAGTATTTGGTACAGTGCGAACATGAAGCTGCTAACGCTGAACTTCCTCACTTGCGCTCGCAAGACGTGCAAATCGAATGCCGCTGCCTTCCCGCTTCATCCAAAGGAAGCGGAGCTGGAACAAGTCGAAACAGACATGAATCCCCTCTTCATCAAGAATATTTTGCCAAGACTGGACTGGGAAGCTATGAAGACGCTGACTACTGAGGTGCGTGACCTTTTTATCATGTTAGACATGCACGTAGGATCGACTCTAACATATGAACAGCTCGGCCTACCAAATCTACCAGCCGAAACACCATCAGATGAGGAGCTCGCCACCGATGGCGAGCCGTCACAGACAGCAAAGGATCTGCATACTCTGCTCATGGAGACGTCGATTCAGAGCGGCAAGCTTGTTTGTGGGAATTGCGAGCACGAGTATGCTGTGAAGGAGGGGATTGCGAACTTTTTGCTGCCGAGTCATATGGTATGATCGAAAGGTCTAGCATTCACTAAATGTCGCGGGCGACGAAGTCATCAATCAGCCTAGCGCTGCTCTGGCGCCAATCCGCGACACGTTGATGGAGAGACTTCGACACGAATACCGACGGTTATCTAGATCGAGAACAGCACGAGCGATATGGCCGGATAGGTTCCTCAGTCCAGCTATTGCATGGCATGAGGGTCTACATCTTGGTTTTCGAGTGCCCAAAGCCACGCTACCAAGGGTTCTATATCGGCCGGACGTACTACGTGCCCTTGATTTGTGGCCAGGCACAGGTGGTGTCGCAGTCATGCGGAAAGTGCAAACTGTATGATTACGAAAGGCGCAAAGGAGGAGTCGCATGGTGGCAATGACTGGTATACAAGCATTGGATGTATCTACAACGAAGCAGAGATCTCATAATGCTAGTCAGCTTCATGCTTCTTCAGCCCCATGAAAACATGATTTGTTTCTTTCCCTTCTTGCCTTTGCCCTTGCCCGCGACATCTTCAGATGTCTCATTGAAAGCAGGAGTAGACCCGGACCCAGCACCACCACTGCTACCGCCCCAAGCATTCACTACTTGACCGCTGTTAGTTCTAATAACACCTGCACCAGTATAGCCGGGGCTGAAAACGGAAGATGTAGGTTTCTTCGCCGCCGGAAGCGAAGGAAAGGCATCGCCTCCTCTCGACAGATTCGCCGAAGACTGGGTTCGCGAAGGTGCTGGAGATGCACGAGCAGAGCTAGTATTCGAACTCGCGGCTGCAGGGCGCAAAGCCAGCCAGCCAGGTGTCGAAGCACCGCTAACGTTCGCTGACGCGCCGTTGCGAGCCGCAGGCAATGATGGAAACGATGGCCCGGCAGCGCCGCCAGCTCGATTCGAGGGTCCAGATGTGGCGTGCCAAGTTTTCGGAGTGGCATTAACACTCCGTCCACTCTGCGCTGTTGAGCTCTTGAGCTTCAACACCCTGCTGGTGCCCACACCTTGCCCCAAGACTCCAGCTGCCGTTATGTTGGCGCCGGCTGGTCCAGGTAAAGAAGGATAGTCTTCATTGACCGCCTTCCAGTCGGCCCAGGCTTTCAGCAATGCATCACGTTTGCCTGGAATCTCGAATATTTCAGCCAGCTCCTTGATCAGCTTGCCGAGCTCGGCTGATGATGTGTCGAAGAGGGCAAAGAACGCGTCTATCAGATCACCTGCATTGATAGTGCCTATGCGATATGAGGATATGCGCTCACGAAACTCGTCGAGCTTTGTCTTCTCATTCCGAAGCAAGTTCGCGGCTCGCTCTGTCACAGCGGCATGTCGTAGACGACGTGCCTGCTCCGCAGGTGTCAGTGCCTCAGCCGCTCGGGGCGAAGTTGGCATACTCGTCGGCTGGCCCAATGACGGGAAAGCAGGCTGTGCCGGCTCGTTCGGTGGGCTCTGGCGTGCCGGCCTGTGCGCTGTCTGTGTTGGCGGCTCCGCCTGCGTGAGACGTCCGCCAAAGGTTCGACCAGTGACAGATTGGGCACTCTGAATCTCTCGTTCTCGTTGGTGTGCAGCTTCTGCTCGGCTCATGTGTCCGCCTGTAGGAGCTGCCATCGACTCTGAGTTCGGATCTCGACCTCTTCCTCCTCCACGTCGCCCATCGCGTCCACCATCCCCACGTCGTGCTTCCTGATATTGCTGACGATAGTCAAAGTTCGACAAGTCAACTCTCCTCGCCTCGCGACCCTTTGTCAGCCCATTCGGATGCTGGTCGATCTGATGAGCCTTCAAGTCCATCTCCGAGTCAAACACAACGAATTTCTTTTCCTGGCATTCCCGGTCCATGCAAGGGTAGTGGTCGCGATTGAAATGCTGCTCGAGCGCATCGTAGTTGACATAGTACTGCGGATTATTGCCACCGGTCTGGCGATCACAAAGATGGCACCGCTCGTGCTTGTCGCGACAATGCGCATACAGCTCGTCATCACCATAGAACCTTTGTCGACAGAAGCCACATTCCGGATGTCCTTTGAACCCACTTTGGTCGATCGCGCCTGGGTTATCGTCACCGAACTTCTCATGCTTGCGCAGGTCTTGGTGTGTGAACAATTCGTGCTCGTGCGTGAAGACCTTTTTGTTTCGGGTGCACAAGTCGCACATCACTTTCTGGTGTACACTCCGTACATGGCGATGCAGATCAGGCCAGCCCATACAAGCAGCGTCGCAGCTTTCGTCCGGACAATTGTACCTCAACAACAGAACAGTATCCTCGAAGATCTCGGGCTTCTCATACCTGATACCAAGATTGGCGTCCGTCCTTGAGAAGTCTTCTTCCTTGTACTCCTCATATCTCTTCTCCGACTCGTCCGTGAAGATGACAGTCGGAGACTCCGCCCTGCAATGTGCGCACGCTTTGGTCTTGTATAAAGCTCTGAGTCGTAGTGCGCAAATGTGGCAGGTTCTGTGGTTACAGGGCGCTACACTGTGATGCGAGACTGGGGAAGCACAGATGAAGCACACCTCTGCCTCACCTTCTTCTCCTCCAGCCTCACCACTTACTGCTGCACCCTGCTTCGTCTCGCCTGGGAGGTTTGTTTCGGCGTTCTTGGTCAGGCGATTCCCAAGAACGCCACCTCCACCAGGCTGCGGTGGCGGGTGTACGTTCGTTGGATCCTGGGCGCCTGTGAGTGCCGTTGTCTGAGATTGACTTTCTGCTCTGTCTCTGCCCCCTCGTCCACCTCTCCCCCGTCCTCTGCCCCTGCCACGACCACGAAATTCCCCGCCTCTCGACCTGTCCTCGCCTCTCTCGCTCGGAACACCGCCGCTCATGCCGTTCCCAGGATTGCCGCCCCCACGCTGGCCCCCTCGTCCTCTTCCTCGAAAGCTTCCTCTCTCTGCTTGGGCAGCTTGTGCATTGGTATTTGTTGTCATTGTGCTATCTGCCATGGTCCTTTTGGTAATGTAGTCTTGGTGGGTTCAGCTGTTAGTCGTGGTATCTGTTCACAGCGAAACAGTGTGTTGTTTGATATCTAATCTCTGTCTCTCACAATGAGTAGTGATGATTATAGTGGGGTTCCTAATTCGAGGGAATGACGTTTCGTGCCTGACTAATTCGTGAGGCGCTAGCGCCCATTCACTGCAGAGCGGTAGAACAGACGAGACGATGGTATGACATTCGATGACTTAGGGGAAGCGTATTAGATCAGTTGTATGCTCTCATCAACGAGAGTCTTGACGAAGGATATGCTATTGTGCTATCCAAATAGCCAGCCATCGCCACGCTTATAACAATAATACACGAAGGCCAATTGCCAGGGTCGCCCAGCCACCCAACCAAAGCCAGAGAATCATTGTCTACCTGGCCATACTTGCTTGCATCCTAGGACTTGCTTGAGAGCCAGGGCTTTGCACACCATTCGGCATTCCCATTGCAGCTCCAGGAAGACTGTTATTGCTGCCCATCCGTTGCAATCCTCCGCCAGGCATACCGTTGTTGCGACTCGGAGGACGCCCGTTTGCGCCTTGACCCATCTGGCCGTTAGCCATGCCAGCATAGGCCATCGCCGGGCTTGCAGGTGCCATGTTAGGACTAGCATGAGCCATGCCTGGGCTGCCATTTAGCTGAGCATGCGTGCCATTGGGTGAGCCATGCATACGCAACATCTGCGCCTGCTGTCGCTGGCGTATCTGGTTAGCATACGCTGCCGCAGCTTGTGGATTCTGTGCCTGAGATTGTGCGTTGGCATTATCTCCACCGTTCATGTATGTGGCGTTCCCGTTAGGAAGCTGAGCGTTGCTCTGATATGCTTGCTGGTTATGTCCATATGTCTGCTGCATGTTATTCGGCATCTGATGGTTGGCCTGCGGCTGCGCGGGTATGCCTGCAGCAGCATTCATTGCATTCTGCCTTGCTTGAGTCGATGATTGGGTAGCCGATGCAGACTGCTCGCGGAGAGCATCGGTCGCAGCTCGTGTCAACTGGTCGTCTGACAGATGTGGATGTTTAGCTCGTAGGTTGTTCTTGATAGCAATGAGTGCCGGAACGTGCCCAGAAGAGAGCTGTCCAGGCTGTTGCTGCTGATTGTGCGGCGTTGGTGGTGGCGGCATGCTCGGCGAGTTGGACATTTGCTGATGCCCATTCGTTTGTGGCGTGGGCTGATTTTGAGGGAGTTGCTGTTGCTGTGCACTCATCTGCTGTAGCAGAGCCTGATTATGTTGCAGCTGCTGAGCGGTGGTCATATTACTTCCAGGGCTCGCCATCTGTCCGTTCGTGGGCATCTGGTACGGCTGGGTTCCGTACTGTGCATTTCGCTGGGCGTTAGCGTGTGCGATGCGCGCCATTTGCTGTTGCTGTTGTGGCGTCATGTGGTTCACGGTCTGCATCTGAGCTTGAGGGATGCCCTGTGCATTGACCTGTGGCACAGCAAGATGACCATTTCTAGTAGCCATAGGGAGTGGTGGTCGAGCTTGCTGAGGGAACTGGCCGTTCATGTTCGGTTGAGGTTGACCCTGAGCTTGCATTTGCGCGGGTTGTGGTGGTACAGCCGTGCCAGGACGCTGTTGACCCGCCACACCTTGCTGATGAGCTGCTCGTGCCTGCATTAGTTGTCGTTGCTGAGCCTCCATCATCTTGGTACGATGTTGTCTTTGAGCTTCAGCAATCTGCATGTCGCGTTCTTGTCGCTTCTGGCTGAACTCTTGTGGGGTCAATCTGGGACCATTTCGAGGTTGGGTATTGCCTTCGTTTGCAGACTTGCGTTGAGCAGCGGCGCGTTGCGCTTCAGCTTGCTTATAAGCATTATTCTCACGCTTCTTCGCAAGCTTCCGCATCGCATCAACCAGCCACAAATACCGCGTGCTCTTGCGCTTCTCGACGCGGGTCGGTATTGTACGCCTGCGTTGCGGCACATGCACTTGTTGGCCACTCTGTGCTTGTGCCTGGATTGCCGCGACTGAGGCTTGGTAGCGTCTGTCGGCAGCCTGTTGACTTTGCTCAAGCCGCTGGAACCAAGTCTTGAAGTACATCGTCTTGCGCATTTCTGCTGGCAACGTCTCTAATTCTACCCAGCGTTCAAAACACTCCCATGGCGTTCTGCGCTCCGCCGAGCTCTTATACCGTGTGGGCAGAGTCATCTCATCGGCAATCAACGACCAGTTGAAGGTGTATTCTTTGGCAAGCTTCCTGAGCTTCTGGTCGTCTTCCCATATCCACTGGGATCCGTTTCGGAACTCATAGAAGGATGTTGCAGGCATGACAAACTCAGATGGCGGACGGAAAGCATTATTGGCGTGTAGACGGTCGCGTATAGGTTTGTTCTCGGGATGGAAGAGAGCAGCCTCTTGGTCCTCCGGCGCGAGATCTCTGTCGGGTCGTTGCCGCTTCGAGTCTGGTTCATCGTCTATTACTTCTGCATCGTCTGCGTAGTCATATCGGCTGCGCTTCCGCAGTGGACCCGCTGCGGCCGGCAAAAGCTTTCCAGCAACAAGCTTTGACACTTCGTTAATCGATGTCGGATTGAAGTTGCATGACTCAGGCTTGAAGCTAACGACAGGCAGACCTTGCAAAGCTTTACCCAGCTTTCCAGTCTTGTGCAAGCCGCAGACCAGTCCTTTGAGCTCTGGTGCAACCACAAGATTCCTCGGGAGACCGACCTGTGAGACTGGCGGTAGATCGTCCTCCGGTGCAGACTCGCCTGAGTTGTCAAGGTCCGGCACTACATCAATCGTCGGCTCCTCACGGACATGCTTCGCAGGTCGGACCTTCACTTGCATATTCCTCCTTGCTTCTGCGGATGCGGATAGCCACTCCGAGCACGATTTGGCAAGCCACGCGCATACACTTTTCTTCATCTTGCGCTCAGCCTTGAAGTCTTTTCGCATCCACTTCATCTCCGCCGTCAGGTGATCCATGTGCGTTGGCATCGTATCAGGTTCAGTAGTCTTTTCCATTTGACGTAGAGACCACTTGTTCGCGTTCTGCAGTTGATATATTCGGCGGAGGATACGATAGTCCATACGTTCATGCAACGTAGTGAATTGGTCTTCAGTCGAAAGGTACTTTTGGGCCGACTTCACTAGTTCTGGTAGGGGTTTAGTCTGCGAATTGGGCGAGTCATGCGCCTGTATGCGGAATAAAGGCTCCAAGTAGTCTCTTTCAGTGTCTTCAGCCGCGCCTTTCAGCGGTGCGAGATCGCGTATCGACCTAGAGGTCGTGTCCGAGTCGTGTTCAGCTGAAGCACGAGGTGTTTTGTAAGGTGTCTGCATGATCGCAGCAGGCGTCGCGTTAACGTCACGGCGAGGATACCTCACAGTCATGGGGGATACAAGGTCTGGCGTAGTAAGGCTACGACTTGACTGTGGCTCCGCTCCTGCAATGTCATCCATGTTCACTAGAGCGGAACTGCGTCGAGCTGGCCGGTTGACAGAATAACCAAGTGTTCGTGGCTCCTCCCCACGGGTCGTGTCCAGAGGAGGCAGTCTACTCCGAGGGGTAACGGTAATGTTGTCGCCATCATTCTCCACCGCTGATGAGCTTACTCGCTGGACAGCCTTTGGCCCAGGTGCTGGTGTTTTCTCGTCGTGACTTGCCGCAGGCGTGATCGGTAGCTGAGAGGGAGCCATGTTATCTTGCTCCAGTACATCAAGTACTTCGTCCACCCCTAGCTCACTCGCGCTCCGAGCGTGCTTCACGTCAAGACTACCGTTAGCATCTCGTGCTTGCTTCTCTTCAGCGTCGCGCGCGGCGGCTTCTCGAGCTTCGAAGTTCAGCTGATCATCCGGCGTTGGAGCACCGAACGCCTCCCTCCGAGCGATGTCCTTCTGCGCCTCTAGAAGCCGATCGTGTTCCTCCCTGGTACGCCGTTGCTCTGGCGAGGGTCTCAAGTCTTTTGGAGGCGGCAACATCGCTTCATCAGCCATCTCGGAGTCTGGCGAAGTGTCTGGTGAGTCTTGTGGTGGCATGGGCGTCGTCGCGGAGTAGGCGCCAATAGTTGAGGATGGTGAGGAAGCCGCCTCTGCAAGAAGATGCGACGGCCGACCCGGCTTGTCACCGTCAGACCGAGAACGTGCTTCCTCCTCTGCTTCATGCCGTTCGCGGAGATGTGCTTCTTGTACGTCCTCGGGCGGAAGATGGACGGTCTTGGCCGGTCGCTCCGGCGATGCTGAGCGAAGATGATCTTTCGTAGCAGGCGACAGGTTTGCTTCGTCCTCTGCAGTCGGTGGTGCAGCCAGCGCGGGCGAGATGGCTTCAGTCCTCCTCTCAATGTCGCGCTCAGCAGACTTCCCCACAGACTGATCTCTCCCTTCTCGCTCGCCGTCTGCAGCTTTCGGTCGGCCATAGGCAGCCATAGGTCTCGCGGGCGCGGCAGACGAGGTCAAGGTGGCTTTAGTAGCAAGCCCATCAATGCTGGTGCTTGCGTGAGCCAGCTGGGGAGGTTGCGTCGAAGGTCTATTGGGTTCCGATGCATATATGGAGGTGTCATGGTGTGGTATGGTGGGAAATGGAAGGGTGGTCTCGTCGAAGTGACGTCCGCTGGTTCACATGTGAGCTGGGGTCAAGCACGTCTGGACGACACGCGACTTACGTTAGGAGAGTGTTCGATTGCAGAAAGTCGTTGTTGGTGGCCGGAGGTATTGTCGTACTGTCGTTGATATTGTTGAGTATTGTTAGCAATTCGGACAGGCCAGTATTGTTTGTGAGCAGTCTGGTAACTGCGTGCAGGTCGCGAACACATTCATGATGCGCCCGGGTGATGGAGCTGCGTCAAGAACCATCAGCAACATGATCATATATCGTCTTTCCATCAAACAAAAGTCATCTCCACGTGCAGTCTCGCACGATGAGTACTTCTGGACATGTGTATGGAGAGCAACTCACGCTATCTCGCTCTTGCGCTGGTTGGACTCATCGTCTCGAAAAGTCACATCCAATAATGAGGACATGAAAATTGTCGCCTTTCTCGACCTGCATCTGTCATTCCTCGAACAACAGACGCGCTGTGGTGCTGATGGCAACTGAGCGTGTGGTTGTGGATGTTCGTGGCGTCGTCTGCTGTGCCAGCGTACAGTATGCGTCGCTCAAGCCCGAATTGCTGCTTACCACTACTTCGCTGTTGCTCGAGAGGGGAGCCCTTGGAGATACCGCCGGTGTGGGGTAGACGCCGATGCTCCGACTTCAGGTCCTGGGCCAAAAATTTGATGTTTGCTTCTCGAAAAGCCACAAAGTGAGTGAAGTATAAAATCGGCCTCACTACTGAACACTTTCACGCTTGACCGAAAGATACTTGTGAACTTCTGATCACAACTCTTCAGCCCACACCGGACATTACCTCGACTGATACAATCGATCCTCGGAGATCTGGCCGGCTGAAAGAGCCAGTGCTGGATTTGGCAACCGAGCATGGCGACCGCAGCAGTGCCGACCGTGAATGGGAAGAGGAAACGCGAGGACATACGTCCTGTCTCTGGAGCCAAACGCCCTGCTAACCAAGTTGCTAAGCAAAAAGTCGCGAAGACTCATGTCGACCAGACTGTGACACAAACTCAGGCCCAAGATCAGCCAGCGGAGTCTGAAGCCCAACGAGTGACAGAGACCAATGCAAAACCAACTGCCAATAGCATTAAGCAGCCGACCCAGGTCACTGCCACAGCTACACCTGCCGGCGAGGCCGTTCACGTGCAGATAATCACTGGTTCATACGAACGCATATTGCAGGGCGCTGCGGCGACGATACCTCGCCATCTGCTGGAGCAACCTAGTGGGACCAATGGAGTCGCTGAAGACCAGGATGATCAATCTGTGACATTCTCCGACACATTTCTCTTCGCCGCCCACGCATCAGCAATCCGCTGTCTTTCCATTTCTCCCTCTACCGAATCCGACTGGCGCTACGTGGCTACCGGAAGTTCAGATGAGCGGATCAATGTCTATAGCGTTTCGACCGCGCCTCCAAACACCTCCGTTAACGCCAAGCTACCCTCACTCTCCTCGAATCAGACTGCGGAGAACCCTCGAAACCGATCCGTGGGATCACTCATCCATCACGATCGCGCGGTCACATGTCTACAGTTTCCAGCTAAAGGCAAGCTTTTCAGCGCTGCGGAAGACAATACTGTAGCCATCTCTCGGACACGAGACTGGATCATGTTGTCGTCAATCAAGGCACCCATACCGAAGCCACAAGGACGACCCTCGGGTGACACTGCTGCCCCAGGACAAACTCCAGCCGGCGTCAACGACTTTGCGATTCATCCTAGCCAGAAGCTCATGCTCAGCGTCGGACGGGGAGAGAGATGTCTCAGATTATGGAACTTGATGACTGGCAAGAAGGCGGGCGTACTAAACTTTGATCGAGATCTACTTAGCCAGGTCAGCGAGGGTAAACATAGCAGTGGCGAAGGTCGGAACGTGCTTTGGGCTGGCGATGGCGAGTCCTATGTCGTGGGTTTTGAGAGAGGTGCTGCAATTTTCGGGGTCGACTCGCAGCCGAGAGCATTGATCAAGCCTTCGCCATTGACAAAACTGCATTGCTATCGTATGATGCAGTCTGCCGACGGGCAAGAGATACTTGCAGTCTCCACTGAGGATGGCCGAGTCCTGTTCTTCGACACTACGGATACCGCGACTGGAGCTGCGAAGGGCAATCTTCCGATCTGCAAGTGTGTTGCGCAGCTAGGTGGCCGTGCTGCAGGCATCGTCGGCCGCATCAAGGACTTCGAGGTGGTCGAGCTCCCCACATCGGTCAGCTCAGCACAAGAGACAGCATTGCTTGTCACTGCTAGCAGCGATGGCGCTGTGCGGATATGGACTGTGCCTCGCGACCTTGGCAAGGACACTAGTGCTGCTCAGCAGACTGGACGACTTTTAGGCACTCTAGAGACTAGCAATCGAATCATATGTCTGGGTGCATTCGTGCTAGATGGCAAGAGCGGCGACGCGGGAGCTGAAGAGGAGGAGTTTGGGGGGTTCGAGGAGGAAGATGATGAGGCTGCGAGTGGTGAAGAGGAGGCGTAATATGGTCGCATTGTATAGACTACATGTATCACTACACCATCACCATCAGAATGAGAAGTCTTTGGTAGGATTCTTCTCTCACACTGCCAGCAACCTTCACGGAAGCTGTGCCGTCGATCACAGTGCTTGCACTACAGGTCGCCCATGAGAGCATCCTCGCCCTCCGCATTCCCGTTTTTGCTTCCATTTGTGTTGACCTTCACCCTGAGCTCCTGTTCAACAGCGGCCTCGAGTGCGGAAATGGCATCCTGCAAAGAGATTTGACCTCCCCATGTGTACATCGCTAGTCCGAGAATTGGCAGACGACGCAGAGTCCTGCCGCTGAAACCCTGGCACTGTTGTGCAATGCTCCATACCCGAGCTCCAGCAGACTGCACGTCGCTGAGATGATACAATTGAGTCTCTGAGAAAGTGGGCACGCCGGTTGTAGTGACCTTGGTCCACGGCTCGTCTGACTTGGCATCAGTCCCGCCTTTGCGCTTCTTGCTTGCTTTCTTTGGGACGATAGGCATGTCGATGAGTGTGATGCGTATCATCTCATTCAAGCACGAGCGCAAGATCTCGTACACGGCTTCTGCTGAAGGGCTCGGGATGTGCTGCTTGATGTCCACGCGGTCCAGGAAGGCTTGGTCGATCTCGCTGATAAGGTTGCTGGTGCAGAGCACAAGCACATTCGGCAGGCGGCGGATGCGGTCCAGAGCAGTTAAGAGCTGGTTCGTAGCACGCAAACCATCGGCACACTCGCCGCCTGACGTGGCTCCCTCTCGACGCCCAGCTATCGTCTCGATCTCGTCCATGACCACGCAAACCAAGGTGCGCGAGTCTGCAGCTGTGGTGCAGATGTTGTCAAAGGTGTTCGTGATGAGCTTGCCACTCTCGCCGAAGTACTTGCTCAGCATACCGTTGGTATTGATCTCGATGAGCACCGACTTGGTAAAGGTTCCTCCGAGCCGGATGCTGAGCTTTTGCGCCAAGGCACGACAGAGAGTACTCTTGCCACTGCCTGGTGGCCCGTGAAGTAAACAGAGGCGGTTCCAGTTGAATGTGGCGAGATTGAGACCCTGCTGCTTCATCATGGTGACCATGCGTGTCAGATATCGAAGTAGACGAGGAGGTAGAGCGTCTTCGAACACCAGCGAGTCCCATTCATCTTTGAGAGCGGCGTTAGGCAGGGCTATGATGCGAGCTTGTGGCATGTGTGCATCGCTGTTCTGTGCGATTGTCCGGCGACCGTCACTGCTGTCCTCCGGTCTGAGCACATAGACCTGCAAATCGAGGTCGAGGTCGTGGACATTGTGGTACCCTGTGCCGTGTATGGGGCCAGTGTAGTCTGCCACATCGACCTGCGTGACAAGCGGGAGGCCGTATATCTCTTTTGGGAGGGCTGTCCGACCGAGTGTGACACTTTCGTGGGTTTTCGCGAACCATACCCTGAGGTCTCCTCGTAGCTTGTCTAGCTCATCTATCTTATTTGGTAGGGCTGTGGCTGCAACCTCGACATGCAAGGTTGGCCGCAGCAAACATGTGTCAGCTGATGATGGCTTCGGCATGGTGACTTGCGATTGGAAAAGCAGCAGTGAGAGAGGAACATAATTCAGAAGACATGATGAGGCAAGGAGAGATGAGGTGTGGTTGGGTGAGGTGAGGTTGAGTGAAGCTCGTGTTTATCACCACTTCATGTGTCAAAAGTGGCAGGCGCGATCATCTTTCCTGGCTTTCCTGGCTTTCACGTTTCATGATCTCATGCGAGTATAAAATTTGCCACCAGTGGTCTTAGTGACATTTCTTCCCTCGTTGGCGGATACTTCATGAGCAGCGATTCGTATTGGGCATCACTCTTGGATGAGTCTAGTCCCCCGTGCTTTGCGAGATACTGATGTATGAAGTGCTCTTCCTGCAAGACCTTGGGTTGGCAGACACGGGACGAAATGGTTGACAAAGACCTCATCCCACCTCTGCATCTTCGACTTGACCTCAAAGAGACCAGTATCAGCTAGAAATCGTCCGCGGAAACGGGTAGCTCGATGCGGATTCCAAGCTCTGTGGTTATCTTGGTGTAGACTGCTTTGTGCATTCGTTGGTGGAGACGGCGGCGATACGACCGCGATGCGACAATTTCTCTCGATCCTTCTCGGTCCTCGATTTACAATTTAATTTGCTGGGGGCTGATATAGCAGCTTAAGGTACCCATTGGGCGATGGCAACATTCGGACTGGCACCATTGCCTGACTTGGTTGCCAAAGATGTCTGTTCGTGTTGCCGATCACAAAAATATGCACCTCGTTCTCCATTCCCGACTGACCAGTCGACCTCCCGCGGACCGCTATAACAGCTGAAAGTCTTCATCGTGCCATGAAGATCCTGTACTAGATGTCGCTATATAGTTGCGTTTCAATCTATCTTTGTTTGGGTTGCCAGTGTGAGAGTCCTCCGTGCGAGCTTTGCACTTGCCTCCTGCGCTGTCTGGAGCCCCAGAAGCATCCTGGGAAGTTAACAGACTTGTGCTGCCTCTTCGAGACATCTGCGTCGCCCGTCATATCGCTAGTGGCACACTGCTTGCGCTTGACTCTCGTTGAGATTCCGTTGGCTCAGGAAACGACCTGTTGCTCTGTGGCAGCAGAGACTGAATTGGCTGGGGTAGATAGATACTTGCCCGGTTGCAGGAGTATTTGCGTCGCTCGTCTCAAATACTCGCTCCGGTACTCCCACGGCACAATGACAACATGGTTCATGATTCTTTCCGGCAGCGATTACGCCTGTGGGCTAGCTACAGTTTCGATTGATTCGGCTGTCTGAGGCCGGCTCTCCTTGCAAGATTTTCGACTTCTTCTTCGCCGCCCAGCATTCGCTTCTGTTTTCTCCATGCGTCGGGCGGCCGCACGAGCGACATGAGCCAGCAGCTTTTCCTCTTACGTGCGTACCAAGGTCAAATTTCGAGTCTTGATGCGACGATTGTTCCGTCGTCTGGGGAGATGGACGTCAGAGTGCGGTATGTCAACGGGCTCGTCGGCTTCATGGCTTGTGGCAGGAGCGTCGCGCATGCCATTCCCCGATGCAATGGCCGTCATAGAACCATCGAGCACACTCCTTCTCAGTGCTTCGGTACTAGTGGGGCCACTTAGCATATGACTCATCACTGGTGTGGCTTCAGCAGGGTCGCCAAGCATACCGTCGTCGAGCAGATCGGCCGTTGCGAGCATCTTTCCCATTGCCGATTTGACTGTTCCATAGTCATAGCCAGAGTCAAGATAGATGGCGCCCCATGTTGCCTCTACAGTAGTACCTTGCTCGCGAACATTGGCCCTGGAATTGTCGACCTTGATCTTAGCAAGAAGGCGTTGCAGTCCACAGCGTTTGCCAACCGAAGCCAAATAGGCATTAGAGGCAATGATGTTATACCTGATCCGCATCTTTTTTAGATTATCGTCAGTGTGTGTGCTCTTGCAAAGACAGCATCAGGACTGCGGACCGGGCATTTGCGTTGGAAAGTTCTGGATGCCATACACCACGCGCCACATCCCGTCGCCAATGAAGGCCACATGATCTCGTCCTGCGTGAACGCCTGGCACATCCGGATGCGGCTCGTCTTTTGGCCATGCTATGAGTTTCACATACGTCGAATCTTTGAATTGATAGCCAGTTGCGTGTTCGATGATATCAGTATTCCGCTGTATAGCAAGTCAACACTTCGCCTCAAGATGAATGCTTGGAGAGCTACCTTTAGAGTTGAGATCGTCGAAGTAGGATTACTGCTCGGGCGAGTACTTCTACATCGCCCGATACAACGTGTACCCTGGGCAATCAGTCCACTGTGAAGGTGCGGACCACAGGAAACATGAGGCCTGCTCATGCTTCTCAGAGCCGCGCCATGAGTTTGTTGACATAATCGATAGCATGATTGCATGCGCAGTGGCATCGCACGCTAACTAGCGAGATCTCCCCGCATCAGTGGACTGATCTGTACCGACATGCCGTTATTATAGCTTTGCTGCGTTCCGACGCGAATGGAAAGTCAGATGTGCTATTGAGAGATGGAGAGCTCTATTTCCATAGGCTAGCGGCTCGAATCCCCATCCGAAGCAATTCGCCAAGATCGAGCCAAGGCTAACTCGCCATACACATTCATCGAGAAACTTGACCCAAAAGACATTCGGTGAGTCTAGTCCACACCAAGATGTTGCGACACTTGGCCATGGCTGCTGGGGCGGAGCGGGAGGGAGGCGTACACGATCGCAGACGGTGAAAGCATAAACTCATCTGGTCGCAAGACGGAGGCTCAAGCACTAGACGAGTCGACCACGCATCTGCGCACCGCGTCATCTGCACCGCCTCCCTCCCTCCCTCGTCTCCTCCTGTCCGCCATGTCGGATGTTCGACTTGCAACCATACAGCCACTGCCATCACCAGCACCTTTATAATATCGCCGAAGAGTGGCCGATCAACGCTGACAATGCGTGTTGCGCGCAGCTTTCGATCTTACCGTCCCAGTACGACATTTCATACTTCAGCGACACTTCGGCCTGCATATGTTGCACGTTTGACTTCGCGTCGCACCACGCAGGCAGGCAGGCCCAATGTGTGCGGCTGTGCTGAAGCATGCCATCCGCCGGTGACCGTACACCCTCAGCGCTATCTTCAACTCTATCAGGCCGGCGTATCATCTCCCGAATCGCCTCGCCTTTCTCCTCCAAATCGCGAAGCATCGGCGCCTTCTCCATCGATGTCACTGATCCCCACCGACAATACTCGCCTGGCGATGTAGTCGTCGGAAGTGTACGACTACGCATCTTGAAGCCCTGTCGCGTTACGCATATCGTCGTCTCGCTGCATGGCTATGTACAGGTGTTCAAGAATCCGGGATCACCTGGAGAGGGGTTTCGAGCAAACAACTCGTACATTGGCACGGGCAGAGGAAAGAAATCTGGCGAATACTTTGGTAATGGCTTTGCATCGCTGTTCGAGGACGAAGTCGTCCTTTGCGGAGACGGCAGGCTCGCAGAGGGATCATATCAGTTCAACTTTGAGCTACAATTTCCGGACAAAGATCTGCCGAGTAGCATCGATGTGAGTATGACCCTGCTTGGAAAACGCCCATCATCAGCTAAGCTGTGTGTTAGTTCGAGCGCGGAACCATTTCCTACATGATATCGGCGACCATGACGAGACCAACGACCATGTCACCAACCATGGTCTGCGACCAAAAGGTATATTTCGTCGAAAAGATAGATATTTCACCTATCTACCCACCGAAACCACGGACCATCATGCTGGAGTCTGTGTCAAAAAGGTCACGTGCGAGACACCAGGCTCGCAAATTAGTCGACAGCTCGGAGCGCCGGAGTCGCAGGGCCGAATCGAGTTTGCATAGCGATGCGGATCGCAGCAGTATAGCAACGAGTCTACGAACCAATCCGGAGAACCCTATCAGCCCGACTCGTAGTGAGATCAGCTTCGATAGTGCAGGAAGCAGCAACGGCCAGAGTTCACAGTTCGACGCCAACCGACCGTCTCTAGTCGGAAGTGATGACAGCAAAGCCACTGCTCCTGGCTCACATATGGGAACCAAGACCATCACTGCGACTGTTGAACCACTCACTGGAGGATGTCTTAGAGGTGATAACATTACCATTCAGGTCAATGTCAATCATACAAAGCCCATCAAAAGCATATATGGGGTCATCGCAACACTATACCGCCAAGCTCGAGTCGACATGCATCCTGCCATACCTCTTGGGCCGACGGAGAAAGGCACAGAGAGCAAGTACGAGGACTATTACCCGAAGTCCATCACTGGCTTAGGAGGCCTTTCGTTGTCCGGAGCTGGTTCAAACCATTTGTTTCGCAAGGATCTGACGCAAACCATGGTACCACTTTACATTGATCCAGGCACTCTTACAGCAGAAGTCAGCCCCAAGGTCCGTGTCCCAGACGAAGCTTTCCCGACGATCTCATGCGTACCTGGCGCGATGATCAGTTTTAAGTACTTTGTGGAAGTACTTGTCGACATTCAAGGTCGCCTCGGCAGTCAGGATCGAACAATTGCTGGCCTGGGCCTGAGTAACGGTCGTTCGACCATGAATGTGCCAGAGGGAGGAGAACAGCCTTCTACATCGTTCGGCTCTGCACTTGTGGACACTGCACCGATTCGACGAGATAAAGGAGTGCTCACCTGCACTTTCGAGATCGTCGTGGGTACGCGCGACAGTGCTCGGAGAAAGGGCAAGCAAAGAGCAGAGGCTGCGCCCGAGCCTGAGGCCGAACCGCAGCAAGGGGCGCCCCAGCAAGACCAGAGAGTGGCGAACGGAAGCGCCACACCAGCTGCGACTGCAGCGCATCCGACGCACTCGAACGGGCAGCACTATGACTATTGGCACGATCATACCGTACCATACGACCAGCACTATTGGCCGGAAGAATATCACGATGGGTACCACCAGCCCATCTATGACCACACGTACGATGGACAATACCACTATGCGGGACATGAGCCTCCGCCGCCTGCAATACCCATCCCCATCATGCCAGACGAATCGCAAATGTCTGAGAAAGAACGCATACGCCAAGCGGAAGCACGTTTACTACCCAGCGCGCCACCAGGTGTGTCAACCAGCTCGGAGGACAACATCTATGACGAGGCAACCGCACCAGATCTATCAGACGACGTAGCCGGTCCTGTTCCGCGCGAACAAGACGTCTCAGCAATGCCACGGTCGGCGTCGATCGCTCCAGCGTACGAAGGACCTAACGACAGGCCAGCCATATCACCTTCTGCAATAGGCAACGAATCCCACAGCAGTGAGCTCGAGCATGAAGCTTCCGCACCAAGTCTCGAAGACATGACAGGCGCTAGCAACGGCGACGTAACTCACACAACACAGAATCACGACTCTAATGCACCTTCTACCATTGACAGCCACGCAGACGCCGCAGGCTCTTCGGACTTGCCACGATACGAGCGATAGTAATCTTCAGGAGTTATAGGGGTGTGACACTTAGCATACATGGTGGGGCGTTTCAGCGTTTGCTTTTCTGGAGGCCGGTATCTGAATTTATTATGATACCATCACAAGCGTCAAGATACGTGGCTTTGAATTTACGATATAGCCAGTGATCCGTTATCGAATATGTCGGACTCAGTTGTCATGAGCTGCTCGAGCAGTACAGAGGATAGTTTTAGCAGCGAACCACCCAAAGTGAGAATCCTGCTTGTCAGTGAACTTTACTAGAAGTTTTGACTCTCGAGCAAGCTTCGTGCAGGGTCGAGACTGGCCCTTTCTGACTACGATATTACTGCAACACAGATTGATTGCATGCCCTTATCGAGTCGTGTACGGTTACCTTAACATCCCGAATTGTTGGAGCTTTTTCTGAGCTCAGTGGTTTGCTCGTAGTAAGCTAAGATAGGTAGAAGAGCGAGAACTCTCAACGACCGAGCATCACGATCAGTTCGAGTATCCTGGGGGGATAGCTGGGCTAAGAAAACGATGTAGAAGGCCGACTTCAGCGGAAACCAAAACACGGTCGTAGGCCGGAGGAATGCACCGAGAATCTTCTAGGCAGCATTAAACGTTCCAAGGTATCAACTTGTACTACGGTAGCGATCAGTGGCAAGGTGTTCTTCGGGAAGCAGGACACGACCCTGACAAGGTTCGACTTACGACGGGCCTTGGTAAGCTTTGGCTCGCACGGTGCCGCGCCATCGAGTGCCTATGTTTCAGCCCTGCATAGTGGCTTACGAGTTCAAATAATAACGCGGCGATAAGGACGTCCATTATCTCTTTGGACGGAGTGCTATCATTTGTTGAAGGCGTCGAAACTATGTATGCCAGCAGGAGCAAGAAGCGTTCACAGTCGGGTTACAGCGCTGTGGTTGATGCAGCTTCCGATGTATGGCCAACAAACTGTCGTGATCGAAGCAGTAGTGGGCCTGGGCAAGTCATAGGTGCCGGGAGCCGAGTCTAGACCAGGTCAGATCATCGATTTACGGACGTGCATTACAGAGTAGCATTGGCACTTGCTACTCTGAGGCATAGTCGAGAGCTTCCATCGTACACGTACCATGACACGGTCATTGCTCCACCGTCTAGGTGGAAGCTATCGCATATCAGTTCGAGAGGAAGAACGATCGCCATTAACACATCACCTGGACGTTGTGAAGACTGTCGCGCCAACCCCCAATATTACACGCTGACCAACCACACTCGACGTGGCCAGATCCGAGTACCATCTGTGGGGGCTGCTTTCAAGATCAACGACGTTCTGCCGTGGTTCTACGCTTTGGTACTATCAAAGTCTGGAACCTCGAGTGCGATCATCTGGGCCTGCGTAGTGGCGCTCTCTTGTGGTTGTTTGCCTTCTGGCACCCTTACACCACTGGATCTGTATTTCGACTTCGTATTTTGGACACTCTGTTGCTGGCTATCTCGACAGAAACCGACACGATTGACATATCACTATGGAACCGGCATCAGCATGCTAGTAATGGATACATGATGATGGATCATATTAAACCGGACGCCATGGAACGACGAAGTATCTGCTTCCCAGAGCCTGGCACTCAGAACGTGTTACACAATGGCGACAGCAAGTTCGGGCACGAACTGGGCCGGCTGTTCGCATCATCCGAGAACAATGCGCTGGAGGCTCTGGTCGCACTCAAAGCGAGGCTTCGCGGAGTGTCCACCGAGAATTTCTGGCAGGAAGTCACGGAAGGCATGTCAAGCATCCTGGGCGCTGAGATGACTCTCGTGATCAAGCGAGTACTGGTCGACGACCAGAACGCCGCTGTGGAGATGCCACCGATAGGTGAACCCGGCTCGTGCATAATGGCCGCAGCGTTTCACTGGTGTGCTCGAGATGGGACGAAGACCACTATGAAGGAATCGCGATTTCATGCCTGGGGCTGTCCCTGCGCCTATATGCGCCACGACAAAGTGTTCGTTATCCCGGAAGACCTTCCAAAATTCATCACGAATAATCCTAATAAGCTACCGACACCTGCTGATGCATATATCGCCGTCCCTCTCTTCGCCGAAGGGAAGTGCTTCGCCCACTTTGGTGCTATGTGGTCTAAGGAGGCCATGATGCGAAGGGATCTATCATGGGGTTTCATAGAAATGCTGCTCCACTCGCTTGAAGATATGATCCTGGAACGATTTCTGGAAGGCGCTAACTTCGTGAAGCCGGCTGCGATGCCACGAACAAGGTCGAGGATCATACCACACGATGCTGTAACGCTTGCACAATCCCTCCGACCATATGCACCGAGTCTCTCTCACGAGCTGAGGACGCCAATGCAAGGTGTGGTCGGAATGCTGGACGTCATGTACGCCACCGTGCAGGAGGCTGTCGAGTCACAGATCGACCCCTACCTGCGAAAAGTTTTCCAAAGCTTGAAGGAGAACATCGAAGTCGTTCAGGACAGCTCGAGACGTGCAGTCGAAGCTGCTGACAACTTTGTTCATGCTGCTGATATGGATCTGACTGTGCCCGAGCCTGCTCCTATGTTGCCAAATGACGAGTCCATGGATTCGCCGTCGTCAATGACAGCCGCAGAAAAGCGACCTGACATTTTAGTTGCGGGCAGCAATTTACCATTACCGAGACCAAACAAGCGTCGGAGAGAAGACAACACGTCCCGAAATGGTAGCAATGCAAGTGCCTCGAAGGCGCCTCGAGTGGATGGAGCTGCATCTGTGTGGGCACGAACAGTCGAGCCCAGCATAGAAGTAGCGGAAGGCCTTCACGAAGCAGAGAACGTGCTTTCAGGCCACTTCGCTGATGGCTCTTCTGTTGACGTTCCTACTATGAATGACGGTATACCCTGGATTAATGGAGGTGTCGACAATCATAGCAGACTTATAGCACCTGGCTTACGGCACACAAACATGCGTGAGATCTTCCAATACGTGATCAACGAAGGACTAAAGATGGGTGGACGCCCCGACTCGGCCATAGCACAGGAAACAGAGAATGGTGAAACGATCGAGGTGCGATCACGAGGATCGGACGGCACTATCAGCTCGAAGACTATCGAGTGGAGTGTCGACCCTGGTCTACCACAGACTATGTTCATTGACGAGAAGGACCTAACCAAACTCATCTCCTGCGTCTTCTTGAACGCCATCAAGTTCACTGATCAGGAGCATGGCTATGTACGCTGCGCAGCCAAGATGAGCGGACGAGGTCGCTACATAAGTGTAAAGGTGGCTGACAATGGTCCCGGCATATCTGCTGCGTTTCTGCCAAAGTTGTTCAAGCCTTTCTCGCAAGGCGATGGCACGACTACACGACCGAGCGAAGGTCTTGGACTAGGCCTCCTCGTAGCCAAAGGAATTGCTAGAAAGCTGGGAGGCGATCTGATGTGCAACAGAGCAGAGACAGAGGGACCGAGTCATGGCAGCGAATTTGAGATCAAGGTGCCGGTCATGGCAGGCGAGACCGTCACCCGGCCTTCGTCCCCCTTCAGCTCGCCGAGACCGAGGACAGCCCATATGTCGCATGCCGACGCACGTGTGGCACCGCCTCCAACCGCGCCACCAACACAAGAAGCACCTGCCAGCCCACAACACCTCAGTCGAGCACTACAGGACATTGTTGCTGGCGCACACATGACACGGAGGTCCAGTCCCCGGCCTCTGCCAACGCCGACTACCTCCGACGAACATCAGCCCAAAGTCAATGCCAAGGACCTACACTACCACTCCGGATCCTCGCCCTCCACCTCTCCACCAACAACCGTCGTACGCCCAATCCTTCGCCACTCTGTCTCCAACCCCATCATAGACTGCCAGCTCGCCCAGAAATACCCTTTGCGCTTCCTCGTTGCCGAAGACAACAAAATCAACCGCCGCCTCCTGGTGAACATGTTGCAGAAGCTCGGCTATAAGAACACCCTCGAGGCCCACGACGGTGCCGAAGCTGTGCGTCAGATGAAAATCAACCTCGCCCGCACCGATGACAAAGCCAAACAACCACGCATCGATGTCGTGCTGATGGATCTCTGGATGCCATTGATGGATGGATACGAAGCCACACAGAAAATCTTCGCCTTGCACGATGAAGTCTGCGGTTGTGCACAGAGGCCTACCGTCTTGGCCGTGACGGCCGATGCCACTGATGGAGCAATCGAGAGGGCTGGGAGCGTGGGCATGAAGGGACTCATGACGAAGCCGTACAAGATGCATGATTTACAAAGACTGATCACAGAATATTGTGCCAGCCAAGCTGTGCAGCAGGGAGGTGGACAAGCAGGACTATGACGCTTCCGCCTTCGAGCTTAGAGAAGAGCTTTATATTACACTAGATAGTTGGCAATGGTCGTTTACATGTATACTCTAGCTAGGTGCAGATGTCGTCGAAGACACAAGACATATTCTTATTGAGTGAACTCTGCAGAACCTTCTTTGGCGGGGATTTGATGATGTGGGACCTCACTTCCTTTTTGCCTTTTGACTCACATATCGATGCGAGTCACGCAGCAAAATGTCCATACCAGGTATGCGATGTTTGAGATCGAACTGACTTTCTCAAGGTTTTATTGAAAAGCACCGCTGCAATGCTTTTAGCTCTACTCGTCGCCGCCGCGACGAGCTTCCTCTCCTTCGTTGTCCATCGTGCTTTCTACGGACCTCTAGGAAACATACCCGGCCCACTAATTTGCCGCCTGACATCCTTTTGGACCTATTATCACAGCTATATCGGAGACGAATGCACACAGATCAATGGCTTGCACAAGACGTATGGCTCTGTTGTCCGCATTGCTCCGAACGAAGTTGTATTTTCGGATGGCTTAGCTTTGGCGCCCGTCTACTCTGACAAAGGCGGATTCATGAAGGCACCGTGTTACTCCAACTTTGACATTGAGGGTCACTCGACCATTTTCAGCACACTGGATCCGGCTCACAGGTCAGTACGCAGCAAGGCAGTCCTTCCCATGTTCAGCCTGGGAAACATCCGGGCCAATGGCCAGGACAAGGTCGAAGAGTGTGTGGCTAGGTTCATCGCACGATTGAAGACTGAGGCACATGCCAGTAGAGGTGCTGCAGGATCAGAGCCTGTGAATGTGCAGAATTTGACGCGCGCTCTCGCACTGGATGCTGTAAGCTCGTACCTCTTTGGCGAGAGTTATGGCGGCATTTGCGAGCAGACCGACAGGTTGTCTGCCACTGCTTTCGTCGATGCTCTAGTTGCCGTCGGTCGCTTCTTCTTCCTGCCAAATTGGCTGTTCCTCTCACTGGAGCTGGCAAGGACAAAGTTGTGGCCCGATCAATCAGAGCACGAAAGTGCCACAAAGGTAGACTCGTTCACTGAGCAAATCGTACGAGAGGCAGAAAGGACCGATACGACGTATCAAGGTCGCTTACTCAGAGCTGGCATATCACAACATGAGGTTGAGGTACAGTGTAAGGACCTGATCTTCGCAGGCACAGATTCGACGGGCACCAATCTCGCCACGATAATTTGGCACCTGGCCAAGCGACCTGACATGTAAGTACATAGGCATTCAGCTAAACACAGACAGATGCTGACCAAGATGGAGATATAAGCAACTACAGCAGGAGATAGCCGATGCTGACGCTCAAAGCCTGGATTACAACCCGCAGAGTGTTCGCATGCTCGATGCTGTGGTCAAAGAAGGCCTACGACTTTCCATGGCAAATCCTACTCGATTCCCGCGCACAGTATCGCCCCAGGGCTTGCACTTCAAGGCTGAGAACGGTCCGGAGTACTTTATTCCTGGAGGAACTCAAATAGGGCTACAGTAAGCATAGCAAAACCCTCATCAGACACACTCTACTCATACGAACACTGCCAGAGTCTTCACCCTGCACCTCAACCCGGACACTTTTCCAGATCCTTATGCTTTCAAACCTGAACGATGGCTTGAGAACGTCTCGCCCAAGATGCAGAGAGACTACATACCATTCGGTCTTGGCTCGAGACAGTGCATAGCAAGAAACCTGGCCACTACAGAGCTACTTCTGGCAACTCGCGCTCTCGCTCGGGAAGGAGTCCTTGAAGGCGCTAAGGCTGTGAAGGAGCGCATTGAGCTCCTGGAGTGGTTCAATAGCTCGGTTGTGGGTGAGAAGATAGAGATCGTGTGGTGATATTAGACTGTGCCCTTGATTGTTGGACTATAGGAACATATATACATCAAAATCATCACAACGCCTCATGCTCGTGAATCAATGCCTATGCTCGAACGCTGGAGAGAACCGAATGCACACACGCCACTTAATACACCGAGCACCCGATTTCCGCGCGTCGGAAAGCCTCGCCAAAGAATCGCTGCATAGCGCTATAGTGAAACAGGATGCCGCCAAGAACAGCAAAATGCCAGATATTGTGACTCGCGCCAATGTAGTCAAACCACCCGGGCAGGAACCGCTCAGGTACCTTGCCAGCGTACAGTATCGCCCCAACAAAATATACAGTAACGGACTTTGTGATCGGTGCGTAGAAGTATGCCGTCTCATCCCAGCCACGCTCGTACGTTAGCTGCAGCACAGGGACGAACCCGGTCAGAGCGAGTGTAACATAGAAAGCTACTCGCAACCATGACATGTCCGCCCGGTTGAAAGTCGGGTGCCATGGTAACACAGTCCCCGCAGCTCCGAGAACGAACGTCGATCCAAGATAGATCCAGCGGCTGATGGGTTCGCAATAGAAAGCAGTATATTCTGTCGTCATAATGCTAGCCGCTACAAGTAAAGATATACCAGTGTAATCAACGCAGGCGAAGCGCTCCATGAGAGTCTGATTCGAGATACTGCTCATGGCGTGCCACATCGTTGAACAAATTAGACATTTGCAAGCCGCGAAGAAGAAGCAGCCGGCGATGAAGATGTCGAAGTTGGTCGCTGCCGTGAATGCCTTGGTGGATGGGTAGACCCAGAAAGCTATTGCTAGGACGACAAGCAGGCCGAGTGCGTGGCTCCAGATGTTGACTGTCTCGTTCGACAATTGGAAGCAAGAGCGTATACAGTCGAGTTTGGTTTCGGAGAAGCGGTAGCCCGATAAGATGTGTGGATTTACCCTCCAAGGCTCTGGGAGAAGCTCGAATGTTATGAGGCCGTGTTCACGAGCGTGAACTACAGCGGCCTCGACTTTGATCTTGAGCTTCTCCTTCGCTCGGCGGGCTGCGTCTGCGCCTTCTGATACTATCTCCGTGGCTTTCGTAGCTGCTTCTTCAGCGTATGCTACACTAGTATCCAGCATGTCGTGCGCTGCAGCCGCTATGCTTGTCCTTCTTGAGTACGCCTGGGCTTCGAACTCGGTCATCATGGCCTCGCACATCTTCACTCCCTCCCGCACGCTCTGCTCCAAAGTCTCCTTCCGGGCCAGCGCACCCCTATAGTGCTCGTCCAACGTCTCTACCAGCACGTTCGCCCTCTTCCGCCCGGCGCCTACGATATCACCACCGACCTGCATGCAATTATCATGCACATCGTGCAGCGTGTCGTACGCATACTTCATGCCTGAATCTATTTTGATATGGCCATAACTCTCAATCATCTCTAGTCGCCGGCCCAGATCTACCAAGAAACGGTCGATAAAGACCTGCATATTCTCCCTTTCCATACTCCATGTCCGTTGCTGGTAGCTGGAGTGGCGTCGCCTCTTCCGTGCTCTGTCTACGTCTATTTCGAAGTCTGCGCCAGAGGTGGCGCCTAGTGTGGGCTCCTCATGGGTCTGGATAACGTATGTTGAGGAGTATCCTCGCAACATCATCGGACAGTCGTGGTGGCAAGTGGTAAGTCTTGGTCTTGCCTTGGATGGCCAGTCAGCTATCGTATCTCGAGTTGCTCTGTTATGCCGTCATAGGCCTCGTTGTGGTGGCGTAGTGGGCCTAAACAACGTGGCAATAGTCAAAGAATGTATATACCGAGTCGATAAAGACTGAGAGTACGCTGGCGACTATCGACAGCAGACACAATTTTCGTGGACGTAGTAGAGGAAGAAGTGGAGACCATGGGCACGTGTGTGAATGGGCTGGTGGTGACGAAGGGGGATGTTGGAGGCGGGAAAATGTGGGTCCACTGTGCCATTGGCGAACGTTCGCGCCGAATAATGTCATCACAACAGTCACTCGACACTCGTCTTCACTTCTTCGCTCCCTTGGCGCGTCTTAGTGCTATGGCACGAAGACCTGGGACAGACTATACTCGAATGCCAGGCTGCAGGCCGGTCAGTGCTGTGATCGACCCGAACCTGCTGCTGGCGAGTCGCATACGATGTGAAGGCGCTTCTGGGAACGTGGCGAAAGCACCATGGACCCAGATGAAGGCAGATAGGATACATGCCTAGCTGAGCGGCTGTCTGCATTTGCACGGTCCAGAAGGCCAAGGGCTACATCACCTTACCTAACATGGCAGGCAATATTCCCTATTAACATTCGGCAACAGTCCTATCAAATGCAAGCGACCACAACACTTCGACTATCAGAGGACCAAATTCTCATGTCCAACCACATGGTGCAATCCCCGGGATGGCCTCCAGATTGACCAGGAACGAGCGTCAGGAGGCAAAGATCGACATCCAGACACCTGGTCTGCCCACTGAGCTCGTGCAATGCATATATTCCTACTTGGGCCCATCGGACTTCGATGCTGCGCGACAAACGTGCCGGCGATGGAGAAGTGCAAGCCTCGACACTACTTTACTGGCTGCTCAGCTCAAGCGAGGAGGATGGTGGAGTAGTAGACTCGTTGACTCTACCCTTTGCCAAGATCGCCTGCTGCAGCAAACACGATTGAGCAGGATCCTGGCTCGAGAGCGTGCGCTCTCCGGTTGTGTGTCAAGCCAAGAGACCGAGTCGAGAGGTCCGCTCCAACGCACAACCTCTACCCAAATTCTTGGAACTTATGCGCTCGGTGCAGTAGATGTAGTGGACGAGGCAGTTGTGTTCGCCACAAGTATATGTGGCCAGTATTGTGCAGTCGCAAACGGAACTCAGATATACGTGTATTGTCTTGAAATTTCGACGCTACGCTTGATGCACACCGTCGAGTGCAACGGAGACGTGCTGAGCGTTTCCATGCATGCTCAGCCTGGAAGGCCTCCGGTTCTGGCCGCTTTACTCTCCGGCCGTATGGGAGCATTCGTGGATCTTGGTCGCCGCGAGCTGCGTGAGCTAGAGTCCGGTGCATGCCCGCCATTTTCAACAAGATCATCGTACGAGCATGGTGTGACGGTCGACGCAGAGCTCGTGCGCTAGGAGACCGCTGGCTCGTTAGATCGAAGCAGTGACTCTGCAGCCGTGCTGGACATGATTCGTCGGCCAGAAGAGGTCAGTACGCTACGTAGCGTGCGATCCTCTTGGCCGAGCCGCACGACGTTACATAGCGGTGCTTCCCACCCAAAGCGACGAGATGACACTGGTTACGCGGATTCGCATGCCTGTGAGAGGTCTGTGCAACCACAAGCAGTCTATCGCAGTGTCTGCTTCGGCAACAACCCACCTCTGTCCGTAGCAGTGAGCTCAGCACGACAATGCGTCGCATTCGGCTCTGCTACAGGAGTCGAGTTCTATTGGGTATAAACTCAATACTACTCTGATTCGAACAAGAGAGCTGATCCGTAATTCTAGCTGGATCAGACCACCGGACAGCGCATGAATCGATGGTTCACACTTGGGCGAGCCAGTGACCACCTACACTTTTTACCACCACGTCGACACACAGACAATGCTCAGAAGCTGCGTCTGATAAGCAGTGCACGCTACAGCGCGCCTTTTGAAATTACTGCTCGAGTATTGAGAAGCGAAACCAGAACCATCAATACGTTACGTGGCAATTGGCTCACACTGACCGGACCTTGGCGGCTACCTGCATGGCCTCAGCGGCGTAGTTATGGGGACCCATCTGACGACCATTGTCATGCCATACCTCTCAGTGATGGCCACCATATTTTGTTCACGGACGAAGAGACCGGTACGTTATGCCTTGGTGCGGATCAGCCCATCGGCAGCGCGCGAAAGCTGTCCAGGAAGTTCGTGCTCCAGCCTCCACATCACCTTTGGTCCGACGAGCAAAGATCACCGGCGCCTATGGTATACGCTGCCGCTTACAACCTTGACAACGGTACACGGGTCATTGCTGCATACGGAGACGCTATCGTGCTGTTCAGCGTGCCTACCGATGCTTTCTTATATTCGACCGCAGAGCAGGAGGAGACTTTACTGGCATTGCGAGACCCGCTAGAAGAATTGGAGACCGCTGACATCCTGCTCGATTCAGCCAGCAATACATCCGCCGCCCTTGAGACACTACCAGATGACGAGGGCGGCTCGATCATCCATAAGCTAAACATGGCTTGGGCATACTGGGCTCATAATTCTCACGAACACTCCGGTGACCGCAGTAGCCACAGCATCTGGCCGTTCCGGGTCCATGGTAGGACAAAGCGCATTGTCTGACATTGAAATTTGGCTGATGTGGCGTGTAGGGGTACAAATTGGCTCCCTACCATCTCTAGCAGCATTGGCGATTCAAGCTGATGCAGCAATTACCGTATGGGCTTTTGCGAGTGATGGCCGAACCAAAACCTGGCATGGCTAATGTGGATATGCTTGCGTCTATCTAGCTACATTCTGGCAATCTTATTCCTTCGCTGTGAGTGCACATTTGTGAACTGTGTACTTCACGGAGCAGGCTTCCGAGCATACAAGAAAAGATGAGTCTCTGTGTCGATTTCGTCTTCCTTGCACAATCCCGCCTCGACCGCCTTCGGTCTGAACTTGACACTCTCCTCGTGTTCTACGTTGAAGCCTGCGGCCTTGATACTGGCCTTTGCGTCGTCCGCACTCAGCGTAGATGTCACCAGTCTATAGCCTGGAATCAGCACAATCACTTCGATGATGTTTTCGGCAACATTAGCACTCACTTTCTGCCAAGCCAGGTGATCTCGACTTCCTCCCAGTCGAGGGGCACAAGACCGAAAATGAACACGCCCCCAGGGTTGAGCCAGCTGTACGCCCTCTTAAAGAACTTCCGAGCGTCTTCCTGCTTGGTGCCACCCAAGAAAGCGAAGTAAGAAGTGACGGCATCAAAAGGTCGATCCTCTTGTGCTGGTTCCCAGGATAGTGCATCACTCTTCAAGATTCTGGCGGCCGGCACCTGACTTCGAGCTGTCTCGACCATCTTGGGAGAGAAGTCAACTCCGATGACATGATGGCCAGTGTTAGCGAGCATCTCACACACCGGTCTGCCTGTCCCGCAACCAATGTCGACGATCTTCGAGGCTGGATCCAGCTGCGACAGAAGCCATTGCACGGATCGTATTTGTGCTGGTGGGTTGTCAAAAGCGATCTGATATGCAGGGCCGATGCCCTCATATATATCAATGGCTTTCATGGGCGCCGTCATGTCTGGACTGTGATCTTGAGGGAAGACGGACGATGCAAGTCTGTGCACATACATAAGAAGTAAGGGTGCTTTCGAGCTCAACGTTTCTTCGAACAGGACTCGACGTGATCAGGAGTAGTGTAGTACTTTGGGGAGACCGCCCTTATAACGGTCATCGAGCTCGAAGTTACCCATTGACGGACATAACGCAATGCTGTTCGGAGAAATGTGGGGTCGCAGGAAGCGGGAAGGCGCGCACACATGACCAGAGACCCACGCAGCCAGCTGACTGCTTTCTAGTTTCGTTGGGAAAGCCTTCCTCCTGTTCCGCATACATACTCTTCTCAACAAAAACATCATATCAAGGCGGGCGCCTATCACGACCCTCGTCGTCGCCTGCAAGAAGTGATCTCGTGGACAGCAGACCAGCATCAAGGCTACAGCTTGACATCTCCAGCCTCCAACGCCTCCCAATCTTTCCTTTTGAACGGCACATAGCAGGATCCAGATGGAGGTAGCCAGTAAACCACGTCCTTGCTACCGGCCTGCTCGATGAGATCGGGATTGACGCCCTCTCGTTTTGCCTGGCCTTTCTGAATCTTGAACGTGCCTGTATACGCCAACTCAGGAGCTATTCGAAGGAAGACAGGCACGGCGTAGCGAGGCAGCCGACTGCTCACATGCGCAGTCAAACGAGCGAAGTCCATGTTGTCAGGTGAGGTTGATGATGCAGGCACGATAGTGGCACAGCCGCACCGACCATCAGCTCCTGGCACAGCTACGCCGTAGACACTGCATTCGGCGATTTGGTCGAAGGATCCCAGCGTGTCGGAGACTTCGTTGGTGGAAACGTTCTCGCTCTTCCATCTGAAGGTATCGCCTAGTCGATCCACGAAGTATACCCGGCCTTCAGCATCGACCCGCATGACATCGCCGCTTCGAAAGAAGAGATCGCCTGTCTCGAAGATGTCTCGTAGCCAACGCTTCTCTGATGCTGACTCGTTGGCAAAGTAGCCTTTGAACACTGCCTCAGCCATAGCGGGATCGACACGATGCAACACCTCGCCAGCCTCACCCGTCCGAGCCATGACCACGAAGCCATTGGAGTCACGAACCAAGTCCTCGGTATCAGCATCGATTCGCCCTCGAACCTCGTTTCTGCCATTGCGCCAATGCCATATCGAGCCTCTAATACCTATAGCAGCACTGGAGAATCCGCCCCGATTGCGATTGAACATGGCACCTAAGCCATCCGTAGCAGCGTACAACTCATGTATGACTGGGATGGCGAATCTAGTGCGAAAGGTCTCCCACACATCTGGACGTAAACCGTTACCCCAAGCTTCATGCAGATTATGTGCTCGTTCCAGTGGATGTACGGGAGCATTGACGAGATATCGACACAGCTCGCCAACATACTGCAACCTATTGGCGCCAGATTCGCAGACTTCAGGCCAAAACGTCTTATGCGAGAACTTGCGGCCGAGTCGAATTGCCGAGCCAGCGAAGATCGATGGCGTCAAGCATAAGCTCTGCGCGGCGGCGTGGTAGAGTGGGAGGCAGGTGTAGAATTTCTCGTTTGGTTTCAGCTTGAGGTATGTTGAGATTGACCTTGCTGTGTTTACGTGACGTCCTGCCGTGATCATCACACCTTTCGGCAGACCTGTTGTCCCTGATGTATAAATCAACGATGCCAGATCAGTGGGTAGGAGCTCCGCTGTCCTGTCTGGTGGGATGCGTCCAGCTGATGCCAGCGATCCGAAGCAGGCCTCATCGTAGTATACTGGCTTGATCTTGTACTCGGCAAATTGAGCACTGCAAGGATCGACCAGATGCCGCACGTCTCGATCGGCAATGATGTATCTCGACTTGCAAAGCTATCAAGGCATCGTCAGTAACGATCGGCGAACAGCAAAGCAAATTAACCTCACCTTCACAGAATGCACAAGCGGATCACCCGTAAGGTTACAATTGATAAATGCAATGCACGCTCCAACTGCCTCCAATGCAAACCAAAGCATCAAGTACTCCGCACTGTTCGACCCGTCAATAGCAACCCTCTCGCCACTCTGAACACCAAGATCGTTGATCAACCAATTCCCCACCCGCTGCACATCGTCGTAGAACTGTTTGTAAGTCCAAGATCGACCTTCGAATTCCAGGAAGAGGTTGGAAGCTTTTGGACCAAGCGCATTGTCTTCGATAAGGTGGTAGATAGTGAGTCGTTTCTGGAGGTACTTTTCTGTGACGAAGTTCAGAGCTTCAGCGGCGGCGTTGTTGAGACTGCCAGCTTTCAAGTCGTGGGAGATGTGGAATTTGGCATCCAGATATGCAGCGACGGCGCTGACGCCTGCTATGGCTGCTGTCACGGGCACTGCTCATAAAGTTAGCGAGGGGGCGCTGGTGTCAAGGCGTTGCGATCGATCATGCGTGCCTGCCATTCTTGCGACTTCGAACTTTTGAGGTCACACCATCTTGTCGGGCTCAAGGATTCGAAGTAGGTAGAACTGTTGTTACAATTGAAGATATGGCAGCTCGAGCAGTGAATGAGTTCGCAGTCGGAACTGACGGATCTCACATCAGAGCCGATGTACATTCAGCCATCAACCTCGGCTTGAGTATCAGATGACTAGCCTACGACGGGTGGGGTTGAGAGTTCTTGCATATTTACACGACAGTTCGAGGTACTAGTTAATCGTCTGCTCCTCTTTGAGGATTCATGATGTGGAACCACGCGCAAGCTCAGCAATCAGTGCTTGCACGCTTCCTACACTCGGATGCACGTATCTGTGCTGACTTATGTACGCACTCCTACGTCCTCCCACCCTCACCAATGCTGGAGTCTGGTAGCACGGCGAATCATGCCGCAATTGCCTTGAGAATAGCTTCAGCAACACCCGCAGCGCTCGCCGGATTCTGTCCAGTAATCACCTTCCCGTCCTTACCACTGACCACGACTCTGGGACCCCAATTCTGCTCCGCCTTGACAAAGGTGGCTCCTCGCTCCTCGCTCCTTCAGCACTGTCTCAAGCATGAAAGGCATGGCGCTTGACAAATTGATGGAATCCTCTTCGTCGTTGCAGAAACCGGTGACCGTTTGACCCGAGACGATGTACTTATCGTCCGAAAGCTTGACATCAACGAAGGCTGCTGGGCCATGGCAGACTGCTGATGTGACCTTTGGAAGTATTGTCAGCACAGGTTCCAGGATTGATTGGTAGGGTGAATAGGGAGGCAGGTAGGGATCTCACCTTCCCAGCTTCGTAGAACTCCCGCACTAGCTTGATAGACGACTCATCGGTCGCAAGGTCGAACATGGCACAGGGAGAGCGAGTCAACAAGAGGCCCAGAAAGTGACCAAGCAAGCACTCACGTCTATGTCCACCAACATAATAAATCGCATCAAATCCTCCAGCCTTTCCGACCAATCCACTCAACTTCTCCGTCGCACCCCACACCTTCTTTTCCTCTCGAAGGAACTTCTGCGCCTCAACATCATCCTTGAACATTGAGATCGAGATCGGATCTAGCGGTGCCTCGCCGCCTGCAGGCGAGGCGATAGTGATCTGAGCATTGGCTGCCTGAAACTTGTAGTAGGGATGAGCCAGCTCTGGGAGATACCAGCCTGTAGGTTTGCCGGTATTGCCCAATTTTTTGTGGGAGGATCAGACGACGAGGATCTTGGGGCCAGAAGGCGCCATTTTGCATGAACTTTGTGGCACCTGGGTTCGCAATGTTCGAAAATGTAGAGACTGTTGATGTGCGGCTGTCTTCGGATTCGCATAAATGCTGTTATATATTGATATATTGGTGTCGTTGGGTATTGATGTATGGAATCCGTCACAATGCTGAATGACAAATAATTAGCATATTCTTATGGCACTCGCGAATCAGCCCACTCCTTACTGCGCATTCCGTGACGATTGGACTGTAATACTCCCGAGCTATCTTTCTATTGAGCTGCCCTGTCCTGCGGCTGTAATAAGTACGCTTGTATGCGGCATGACTCGTGAAACTCGGGTCGAGATAGCACATTGATGTTAGCTTGGTTAAGAATGGCGTGTTGGGTGATTCTTTACTAACATGTACTCCCTACGCCCTTTCCGACCTGTCAATAGGCTAAGAATGTGAGATGTTGCAACCCACGAAGTACAAAGGTCACGAAGCGTGACAACCTTTGAAGTGCGACGCAAGGTTATGATCATACAGGAAGCTACCCATACTCCCCTCGCTCTTGTGCAGTGAAAAAGGTGTATTGTACATCAGCCTTGTGATGAAACCACTTCCGGCTCGTGATTAGACCATGGTTTGTTGTCTGGCTGAATTCTCAGAGTGTTCCGTTCTAGTCCATCTTGAGTGGCGAGAACACCTCCTCGATCCCATCCTTGGTGATGATCATCATCTGCAACCCGTCACCGACCTCAATATGCCTCTCCACCGCACTCGTGAAAGCATCTCTCACCAACTCTTCTGTAGCAGCCCTCTGCAGTGGCTGCGGCACCAGCTGCGGCTTCTCCAGACCCTGTGGCGCAGCAGGCTCATACTGATTCTTGAGATTGACTTGGTTGTCGAGGAACGGCATGATCAGACTCGCACCCGCACCAGCAGCCCTACAGAACTCCCTCTCATAGCTCCCGACTGGGTCGTACGAGTAAAGAGCTCCCCTACCCTCTTCATCCACCCCACCTAAGATCGCTTGTACATAGTACGGGAAGAACCGCTTGTTGTACAGAATGTGGCTCAACCGCTGCGCACAAGCATTAACACTCATCTCCTTGCCGTGCTGATACCGATACATCTTGACCACTGTATCTAATCGCTCCTTCAACGCATGTCCATCCGCCGCGAAACCCACCACGCTCAGGACAATCTTCGAGCCTTTGTGTTCGGAGCCTTCACCACCTATACGGAAGAGTTTGGGTTCGTAGCGGGTGTTGATGTTGTAGCCGCTTGTGCTGCGAGTGTCGCCGGCGATGATGGTGAAGTTGTCACCGCTGATGCCGAGGGTGGAGCCGCCGTTGTCGGTGTAGGGGTAGAACGAGTGTTGGATGGGTGCACGGGAGGCATGTGATGGGGCGGATTGCTGTTGGGGGAAGGAGTAGGAGGGTTGGCCGGCGGAGGAAACGTAGGAGGTGAAGGCGGCCATCGTGGCCTGTCGTGATGGATTTGATTGCTTGTGTCACTAGCAATAAGTTTGGTTGGCTCTTTGATCTTGGTCAGATGGGTATAATGTATAGGAGGCCAATGCAAGTCGTTGTATGTGTTTGGTTGATGGTATTCGTGAAGGCACCGAGCGTGACGCGAGCTTCGAAGCTCAAAGGTGCACGGGCCACCACGTCTTGACACTTGGGAGAGACATCGCGTGTACACCATGACTTTCCTCTCGAATATCGTGCAGCATCGCAAAGCAGGGGTCAGGCTTATATGGGTAGCATGCCCTCGACATCGCTCGAGATTGAAGCTTGACTTGCAATACTATAATCCAACCTCTCGTGACGAACCATCATCTCAAAAGGCCAGAAGTCGTTCTCGGACACGACTTGAGGTACTACTTGGACAAGCACTGCCATCGCTTCACACCCTTCGCCGGCTCCGAACGAGACCGCTGGATGTTGGTTAGGTCAACATGGCCCGCCCCGAACGATTACCCGGCTCGCCTTCAGCTAGTCTTGCGTTCCGCTTTGTCAGTCCGACGTTCGTGATCAGCTCGAGTACTGCTGTCCTGCTTTGGACTGGCCAACCACTTCCTTGCTGCGCAGAGCGTAGAGTGATCTCCGCATATGCCTGCTGCTTAGAAGAGACCCACCGTAACCAGGAGTTGGCAACACGTGAGCTGACCCGGATTCGGCGCCGCTCCTTTTTCATGCCTCGACATGCACAGCTTCCAGACTGCTAGTGGCAGGGCTCGGCATTGCTCAGTAATAACAGCGAATGAAACTTGTGGTTCGTTACCTTACGATGCAGTAAGACTCGCATACACGACATACCCTGAGCACTCTTTCAAAGCCGCTCCTACGGTCATGTTAACATTCCGACCGCTCTGCCATGGCTGTTCGGGCCTCGGTAGTAGGATCAATCTCTGCGCTCCATGGGACGTCCTCATAGCCCCTTCGTTGAGATGCGATCCCATAAGCCAACACTTCAACTTCAAGTCGGTCAGCTTTGCGTGTCTCAGGTCGAAGCTAGACAGAAATACATGATAATGTGATCATACCTTTCAAGCTTCAGCATAAGCACAACCCACGGCTTGTCCTTGCATATCCTTAGCTGGACGAATAATCTGCTAAGCTAAGCTCGCACCAAGGACTATCCTTGTGCCCTCGCACGACTCCCTAGGACTGGCGTGGTCGACTGTCGTTAAGCCTGCTTGCGTGGCAGTTAGAATGCTGACAGAAATGCAGCTATTTTCGGGAGGATCACTTTTACAGCTCAGTCACGAAGTCCAAGCCCCACACAAAGCCACGCTTCCGTGCGCAGCCAGACGACAAACACAACACCACGCTAATTGTTCGCTGCTATTGACCTAATGCGTGAGCCGGCATACTGACGACTCTACGTGGTAGCCTCCAGAGTGAGCAGATGAGTATATAGCGCCCGTCTTGTCGCTTCCATCCAATTATTTCCTCACACAAAGTCAACAACAGCAAGCAACACAGTAACGCCCATTTCCTACTTTTACCTATTTCCTTATTTTCTTTGTATCAATTCATTTACTTGATATTACTATCACTCAAGAGCATCATGTACAGCACAATCGCTTCCGCCGCCCTTTTGGGCTTTTCCGCCATCGCGGCCGCTCGCCCAGCCATGCCAGCTGGCTACGGAAGTGCTCACTCCTCGTCCACCAGCTCGGCTGCGATATCCTACTCGACCGGCTCCTCTTCCAGCGGTCAAAAGGCCTTTGATTTCCCACTGAGCAACGGCTTCCCGAACATTACCAAGGGCTCGCAGACTCAACAGGATATCGAGACACAGGCGCATGGTCAGATCCCAAACCAGCCACCGCCACCACCGCCTCATGCGGACTCTCTCCTGTCGTAAGTGCAATCATCAAAAAGACCTCCAATGGCCACTAACAACTCCATAGCCTCGGCTTCGTAGCCTTTAACGAGCTTTTTGAGGTCGCCTTCTTCACCGAGCTGATCTACAACATCACAAACAACCTCCCAGGCTACGACAACGTTCCCAACCGCAATAACGTCCTCGAGATCCTGAAGATTTACCAAGCACAAGAGGAGCTGCACGAGCTGAACGCCAACTTCGCCTTTAACGCCTTCACCAAGGAGACGATCTTGCCATGCGAGTACATCTTCCCAGTCGCCAAGTTCGACGACGCTATCGCCTTCGCTGCACAATTCACGGATGTCGTGCTCTCCACACTCCCGGACATCCAGACCATCTTCGCTCAATCCCAAGATAACGGTCTCATCCGTGGCGTGGGTGCTGTCATCGGCCAGGAAGGCGAACAAGATGGCTTCTACCGCACTTTAATCGGCAAGCCTCCAGCTCAACTTCCCTTCCTCACCCAAGGCGCCCGTGACTTCGCTCTCAGCGCCATTGTCCAGAACGCCGTCGTCGATGGCTCTTGCCCGTCGCTCAGCCTCCTCACCAACCCCGATCAGGTCGCTACTCTCAAGGGTGCCCACCCACTCAAGGTCTTCGATGTCTTGACCCCCGTCACTGACAGCAAGGACTTCACGATCGAGAAGGACATCACTGCCACCTTCAAGGCCGTCACCGCTCAGTCCGTTTACAGCACCGCTTTCAAGCCCCAGAGCTTCGCTGTCCAGCAGACTTCCGGCCTGTTCGTTACCTACCTTAATCAGGCTAACGTCCCTGTTGTCGTGGCGCCGACTTCGATCGACATTGATTCGGATGGTGCTTTGATCATTGAGGCTTCTTTTCCCGGCCAGTCGAAGTTCCTCAATGGTCTCACCATCGTCGCTATCACCAACGCCAACGTCACGTCGTCTCCCGACGCCGTGGCTGATGCGACTCTCTTTGGCCCTGCTCTGATCGAGATTGACTAGAGGTGCTGCTGGGAAAGCAGATCTGGTTGGGATTTGGTCTGCTTGCAAGCGTTCGGGAACTGTGTATCACGATTGATGGCGGGATAGAGGAGCATTTGCTGGCGTTGATTATATTCTTGGTGCTTTTCTGCTTCGCGGTAATATATGTATTCTACAATATACTTGCTTCGGCAAGGTTTGCTTTGTACATTGCTACCTTTCGCATGCTACATGCTTGCCAGCATCTCTTACGGTCATTGAGTGAGCTTCTGACATCCTCACCAAGTCGACTTTACGCGTTTTGACGACCCATTCAGCTCGGCCGAGCGTGCTTACTCCACCCGAAGGATTGGGATCGTTTACGGCCCCACTTTTCGCTCCAGGGCAAGCGACACTTGCCAAATACTTCGTACTGCTCTTCGAAGACCTCATCTACTTGCACTACAGGGCCTACAGTGCAATGCTGCTAGCTTATGAGCTGCGCCTGACGGTTTCTGAGTCCGTTAGTACGCTGGGCCAAGACACGACTGTCCAAGCTACATAAGACCCAGGCCCAAGTACCTTCCCTCTTCTACTCATTCATGTCCCCACTTCCTCATCATGGCATCTTCACAAGTCTTGAATACAGCCCCAGCGGACCGCCGTGTCGTCTTAACAAATGAGAAGGTCACCGGACCAGTGGCTGCAGAAATGCTGAGGCTCTCTACCCTCGTAGACACCAGCGTACATAGACAGTCGCTCGAAATCCTGGACAACGCCACGGGTGGAGGCATACTAGTGTCCGAGCTCCTGAAGCTAGTGAGTCAGCACTCGATACAGCCCAAACGCATCATAGCCGGCGACCTGGATGACAAGATGCTCCAAGCCGCCGCTCAGCAGAAAACCGATTGCATAGCCGCAGGCGAGACAGGCTGGCAGAACGTCGAGATCGCAAAAGTGGATCACCAATCCCTACCCTACCTTAGAGAGTCCTTCACCCACCTCTTCTCAAACATGGGCATCTTCTTCTGCGCCGACGACCACAAGGCCCTCACGGAAGCATATCGAGTCCTGAAACACTCCGGCCAAGCGGGATTCAGCAGCTGGAAGTCTATAGCGTGGTGGCCTGAAGTCGCGCAGCCGGCGCTCAAAGCTTACCTCCCTGACACGCCAGAGCTACCGAGTCCAAGCGGCATGTTCCCTGTCCGTGTCTGGTCGGATCCCGAAGCTATCCCTGGCAAGCTAGATGCAGCTGGGTTTGTGGATGTGAAGGTTAGTGAGTATACTTTCACGCCTGTAGCGGAGGCGGAGGAGTTTGCTGAGGCGACTGGGGTGCTCGTGAATATTGTGGCGAAGAGGTTTTGGGCTGAGGAGGTGTATAAGAAGTATGCTGGCGAGGTGGAGCCAGCGTTGCTGAGGTACTTGAAGGAGCATTACGAGGATGGGAGGTGGACTGGTAAGATGATTGCTATTATTAGCTTAGGCCGGAAAGCATCGTAAGTCACAGTGGAGTGTGGTATTCTGGACGACAGAGAACGTCTCATATCATGTTGTTAACAATCGTCTCATTAATCGCGCGCTGTATACGCACGTGCATGCTCATGCAATCATGACTGTCCAAATACTGCGCTGGCTAGTCATAGTCACAAAACAATCAATCGCTAATGGCGTAACTCATCATTCCTTAGAAGCTTCTCTCCCAACCTTCCTGCCTTGGTACTCTCGCGCCAAGGCCAATGAATGACCTTCGTGCGCCTTATTTCAGACCTCCTGCTCTTATCCACATGCACTTCAACGATGATCGCTTACAAAGCCAAGCCGAAGACGGCGAGCATAGCCGCAGCGAGGATGCCAGAGCTGTACTGCATAGCAAGACCGACGGCGGCGCTGGCAGCAGAGGAACTGGCAGCAGCAGCGGAAGAGGTAGCAGACGCGGCACCGCTCGAGGCAGCAGAAGCAGCAGCGCTACCAGTAGCTGAGGCGCTACCAGCAGCACCAGTCGCACTACCGGTCGAGCTGCCAGTGGCGGAGGCGGAGCCGGAAGATGCGGAGGAAGAGCCGGAAGAGCCACCAGCAGCCGAGGCGTTCTTCGCACCACAGACGACCGAGTGGCAGCCGGCTAGACCTTGAAGGTCATTGGGGTGAGCATCGGCGCAGTTGGCCTTCCATTGCTCACAGACGAAGAAGGGGACGGTCTGCGTATAGTCGGAGATGTTGGGGGAGCTGCCGCCGGAGCACGTGCAGGTGTAGTTGAGGGTGTTCTAGAATGCAGTTAGTGGTGATGCTTGGCTGTATGTGTCATGGATGTTGATGGCCTTACCGAGTCGCAAGTGTTGGCAGTAGTGCTACCGCTACAGATCTGTGGGCACGAGGTGGTCTGGGAGACACACCATGCGAGACGTTGCTGAGTGTCTACCTGGCTGACATCGATGCTGAGGGCGCCGGAGGTGGAGTAGTTCTGGGCGCTGACCAGGCCGGTGAAGGCCGTGACGGCGAGGAGGAGGGTTGAGTAGAACATGCTGGTTTTGTGTGTGGTGTTTTGATGCTATAGAAGCTCTGATGGAAGGGAGCAGGATGTCAGCAAATCAAGGACGATGGATAGGTCGATCTGTTTACTGCAGGGAAGCTTATCACTCACTTGCACGATTGCGTTGTAGCTGAGGTATCAATGGTGTTGGAGGTTTGTGTGAAGATCAGTATTGACTGTGGGAGAATGTCTTGAAAATGAGAGGTGAACTGCACAAGTGAACTGCACAAGTGTGGCAGGCGGGATGGGTTATGTACGAGGTTGGATAGTATGTACATACGCGGCCCAAGCTCTCGGGTATCCGCAACAACGAACGCCACCACTTTACACGACTAGCAAAAGTCTAAGTGCAATCTCCAGCAAGTTTTGGGCAGATTGCGAGCGATGGTCCGGCCTGGCCAGCGTCAGTGGAGGATGATAACAGATGTGAATACGGTGTAAATGCACGCCGACAACTACATATGCCTGGTGTCGATGAGCATGAAAACCGAGCAGCGACACCTTGAACTGCATCTTGATCGGCATCACTGTTCCAAGACGGTCCGAAGCGATGAGTGGGAGGTCTGGAGAAAGTGCGCAGCGCAAGCTTTTCTGATTCGTCTGCATTCATGCGGCTCAAGTCGATATCATGCACGACTGCGCGGCCTGCATGAAGGTCCCTGCTTCTTGCTTCGCTTGTCGCCAGTATAGAAATGCACGATTGCACTTCTCTACGACCTTGATGAACCACATACCTATGATCAGGTGCTGTACTCGTACAGCTAGTACGGATGCTCCCAATAGTTTCACCCCTCCACGTCGTGGGTAGACCGCTTGGTGAAGATCGCTCAATCTGTTGTTGGGCGATACACCCACAGCGCTAAGCGCAGCCGCGGTCTTAGCTCACCGATAGCATTCACTTTTCACGCCTTTTTAGACCCACGAACCGTGGCAACGATGTCTTCACATGACTTGCTGACCGGCCCGGTGTGGTCTCAAATCACTATGCCGATTGCTCTGGAAGCTCTCGGCGTTCAAAGTGACGGTCACTTATGCGGCTCCATCAAGGCGTCCAATGAGAAGAGGCTCGATGTCTTTTCCCTCATGCCATTATTCCAGAGTTGCATGCATGTGAATAAATTATTATTCTTTGAGCGAGTTCAGAGGAAAAGTCCTTGTAAATACTGAAAGTGAGAAGGATATATTCGCTTTAGACCTAAAGTGATTCGTTCAGCCTCAGGCACATATTTTGTACTTACAAAGACTTGAGTCAGAAGCATGTCTCGCAAATATGAATAACACTATATCTCGACCAGATAGATAAGAAGACACAGGCGCGGCTGTTACCTGTGATCCGAGTAGCATTCAAGATGACACGAAAGTGTGTCCTAGCCACGTGTCAGTTGAATCAATGGGTGCTCGACTACGACGGCAACAAACAGCGCATAGTCCAAGCCATAAGAGAGGCAAAGTCGAAGAAAGCAACACTGGTCTTGACACCTGAGCTATGCATACCCGGCTACGGCTTGCTCGACCACTGGCTTGAAAATGATGTCTACACGAATTCTTGGGATATCGTGGCTGAAATTATCACACATCGGGACTGCCAGGACATCATCATTGACCTTGGACTGCCTGTCCAGCATCTCGGCTGCCGCTACAATGCGCGTCTAATTGCTTTGAATGGTGAGGTCCTTGCTATCAGGCCGAAGCTGGATTTGTGTAACGATGGAAACTTTCGTGAGATGCGTTACTTCACCCCTTGGCCGAGGGGACGAGTAGACCACTACAAACTACCTGGTGTGATCCGCACATTACCACGAGGGCAGAGGACATGTCGTATTGGCGAGGTAGCATTCGAGACCGAGGATGCAAGCTTCGCGTCGGAGACGTGTGAGGAGCTCTGGACGCCAAATTCGCCGCATACTCTGTACAGTCTGGCTGGGGTCGAAATCATATTGAACTCCAGTGGAAGTCATCACGAGCTCCGAAAACTCGATACGAGGATCAACTTGATACTGGAAGCTACGGCGAAGACTGGCGGGGTGTACATGTACTCCAACCAGAGAGGCTGTGATGGTGATAGGCTATACTACGATGGCTGCAGTCTGATCATGAATTCCGGGAAAGTGGTTGCACAAGGCTCGCAATTCTCATTACGGGATGTAGAGGTGCAGATTGCGATGGTAGATCTGGATGAGATCTGGTCGTATAGGACTTCGCCAAGTCGTGGTATGCAGGCGAATGAGCCTAGCGTACAGAAGTTGGAGCGAGTTCATGTCGACTTTCGGCTGTGTGGCAGGATTGCGGATCCTAGAGCAGCTCTGGCCTCTACTATCGAGCCCCGCTATCATCTACCAGAGGAGGAGATTGCTCTGGGTCCAGCATGCTGGCTGTGGGACTACCTGCGGCGATCGAGAGCAGCCGGCTTCCTTGTGCCGCTCAGTGGAGGTATCGATAGCTGTGCCACAGCGACAATCGTCTTCAGCATGTGCCGACTGGTCATCGCGGAAGCACGAGCTGGCAACGAGGTTGTCCTGGCGGATGCGCAAAGGCTGTACGGCGAAGGCTTCACGAGCAGTACTACGCCGCAACAACTGTGCAACAAGATCTTCACCACCGTCTTTATGGGCATGAAAGTGCAGTCTTCGAAAGAGACTCGCGGCCGCGCCAAAGACCTGGCAGCAGCGATTGGATCGTACCACATCGACACAAACATCGACACCATGGTCTCAGCTCTCCACGGAGTCGTAGCAAGCACACTCAACTTCGAGCCCAAATTCAAAGTTCACGGCGGCACACAGACCGAGAACCTCGCCCTTCAGAACTTCCAATCCCGCTCACGAATGGTTTTAGCCTACGCCCTCGGCCAACTAATCCCACACTCTCGCGGCGTCGCAGGTGGTCTCCTCATCCTCGGTTCCGCCAACGTAGACGAATGCCTACGCGGCTACCTGACCAAATATGACGCCTCATCTGCCGACATCAACCCAATCGGCGGCATCTCCAAGACCGACCTCAAACGCTTCATAGCCTGGGCCGAAACCAACTTCACCCTCCCAATCCTCCACGAATTTCTCGACGCCGTACCTACAGCTGAACTCGAACCCATAACAGAGACATACGTCCAGTCCGATGAAGCAGACATGGGTTTCACGTACGACGAACTCTCCATTCTGGGCCGTCTCCGCAAGACCTTCAAGTTAGGCACTGTTGCGATGTTCGAGCGCCTACTGGTGGAGTGGAACGACCGGGCGCCGCGGGATGTGTATAAGAAGGTGCGAGATTTCATGTATTATTATGCGATTAACAGGCATAAGATGACTACTATGACGCCCGGGTTGTATTTGGAGAGTTATACGCCGGATGATAACCGGTTCGATCTGAGGCCGTTCTTGTATCCGAGGTTTGGGTTCGAGTATAGGAAGATTGAGAATATGCTTAAGAAGGTGAGTCTGACTGACCTCGGTCGCAATTTGATGCTTGGCGGGATTGCTAACAGTCATGTAGATGGAAGAAGGGGAAGCAGGCGTGGATGCTTGAGAAGCTTGGACTGTAGTCGACATGCTAAGCTTACGGACGGCGCCTATTCCACTATGGCTGTGCCGGTCGATCACGACCACCGCACGAAGTCCACGCCATCGACCACAACAAACAACAGCAGGAACAACAGCGTCTATACACGCGACCATCTATGGACATAAACAAGCTTCGGCGTAGTGGTTGGTGTGGCACACTACATAAAGTGTGGTGGTATGCATAGCGTGGTACCTGCATAAGAGCGTGCAAGGGGGAGCGAGATGCTCACGTGAATAGAGTGACTTGGCATGGTTGTAGCATGTGTATTGCTTGCGATTGCCAAAGTGATATGGATGATATGAGCAGAGCATGGTCGCTCTTGTCGTTCTGGTTTAGATATATGAAGTGGAAGTATATTGACCGCCAAAGAGCGGGCTTATTATGTGGGATCTCCATGATTCAACCAGGACGCAGAGTGACAAGACCATATGTGTTCTGTGAATGAATTGACGCTTCGAATCAATGCTTTACATCGTCGTCTGATCGCGCTTCACGGGAGATCCAGTGTCCACGTGAGCGCAGCCGATTGTTCCATGCGAAGGCAATGTTGCCGCATAAGAACCGGACACAAGTGAATTGACTAGACCGGCAAGCAACTAAAGTCGGACGAAGCCAATGCCAACAGAAGTATTCATATGTACGACGGATATCCACTCTCAACAGTACGAAACTGTCGCAGCACTGGGAAGTACCTTACCGGCAGACATTCGTCATGACCAGGTCACCAGTCATCGAGAAGAGCTTCAAGACACAGCCCAGCCAAGATGCCTGAAGGCTGATGTCTAGCTCCAAAGCCGTGATACCAGTGGTACTGCTCTCCCTTATCCCGGAGTCCGCCGGGACAGGGCAAGATTCGAGAATGTCTTGCACCCTGGTGTACAGCGGCGAGATTTGTCTCAGGAACCAAAGTCAGAGTCGAATTTTCGTCCAATGGTGGAGGTGATAGCACGACAGACTTCTTCCAGAGCTGAGGAAGGCTGGCCATTGTACGTTAGCTTTTGACTTTGGCTGTCAGGAACAGCCCCTGAGGAATGCGTGGGTTGGGCTGCTGATGGTGATGAATTAGTGTATTCATAGAAGCACCGCACGAGCGGCTCAGTTGGATGACAGAAATCTGTCGAATGTTAACACAGTAGCGTATGTGGTGGACGACAGAAGCGGATGCTTGTAGTGTGCAAGTGCCTCCGTGCAATAATATCGAGAAGTCATCTCCGTTGTCTTGCAGCGGGTGAAAGTTCCGATTGCGCGTGGAAGTGGTGCCGGCCGTTGGGCGAGACGTTTTGACTCGCCACATAGCATGACTCGACCTATCATCCGTGGCTTTGGGTCAGTTCACTCAATGTCAGCATTGGCATTAGCATTTTCGTAGAGACTTGTAGTCGGACATCGTACCGACATCTCGGGGAGGTCAGGTAAGGGGCGGAAGGACATGTCTACAGCGAGCAAGTCCGCAGCATAGAAACTCATCAACATGAAGCGTGGCAAGTGACAATCCAAGCCACCACCCGCAAAGTGCTTCACACGAGGCGTTGTATGAAACGAGTCTGCTGGTGACGCATGGTAGTGGGTTTCTTTCGAACCCGGTAGAGGTGTCACACCGCAGTGCAGAGGCAAGGCCGCAAGGAGCAGCGACGAAGTGACAAGCAACACTAGACAGAGCTACTGCAAAGCCCATGCTCTGCCTGCAGGCCGACGTCAACAACACGCCGCTTTGATCGTGGGCGATTGGTGCTATTTGAGGAGAGTCTCCTGCTGCAGTCAGGTCCGACGATCGGTCGACGTGTTCCTGTGTTGCTGTGTTGCTGTGTCCCTCCTTGGGCTGCAGTATAGTAGCAGCCTTCCCTTGTGCAGTATTGCCTTTCACTAGGTATACTGGCTTCCAACAACATCTACAGTATCAAGGCAAATGCTTCAAGTTGAAATCATGCAGAATTAACCTTCCTGACCGTTAGATTGTCGCGGCACCCACTTTAGGTTTAGTTGACGCCCATCCGAGGCCTGGTCAAAGCGTTGTGGAAAGGCTGTCAATAATTCGATAAGCAAAGCAGGGCAGACGCTGCGGACGACTCACGCCTAAAGTGACACATCTTAACCACCGAGACGCGACGCAAGCACTTTACTGCATCGCATTCCAAAGCCACTCGGACGACCCGACGGAAAGTCACGACGAACACGAACGAGCACGAACGAGTAGTCTGGCCTCCGAACCAGCTTACCTCCACCGGCTCTCTCCGCATAGGTTGCGTAGCGTCTTCCGCTGTACAGTAGTTGTACATCGACACACCGAAGCACCGTGTCCGTCTAGACATGCGATGACCACTGCTCTACCGGACTACACTATCCTGGTCGAACTAATGGAGCCATGGCCGCCAGCAGCAAATCGCCGCCGCCCGTCATGAGGCCTAGCTTGGACGGACCACCACTCGAGGCATACACCTACACTACACCTTCCACCACCACCGCCGCGTCTTTCCCCGACAACAGTGGCAGGAATAATACATCTGTGGGAGTACCGATGATACAAGCTGCAAACGAGACCAGTGCGAATCTAGCGGCGGGGACCCGATCCTTCTCTCCGTCACCCATACGGACACAAGTGCGATCAGCCTCGAATCCCGTAGGGAACCATGCGCTGAACAGCGTGCGGTCAAACCCAGTGCTACTTCCTTCTCGACAGGCCGGATCAGTCAAGCATATTGCGAACAAATTCGACCAGGGAGCCGCTGCGGCAGGAGCTCCTCCACCACCACTGCGAGTGCAAACAACACAGGAGAGGTATCGGAGGGCGCGGGTGGACAAACCTCGATCACCGACCGGCGCAAAAGGCGAAGCGGGCATGGTAAAGCTGCAGAAAAGGCGGCCAGGCCAGCCCAAGTCTCCTCAGAGATCGCCTGCAACATCTTTCGAGACCAATGGCTCTTCTTTCTGCTCCAATGCGACCCTAACAAGTTCTCGGAGCCAGCCACAAAGTGCGTCAAGTCCAAAGCGAGCCAGATCACCAGTCAAGAAAGCTGCATACCCCAACAATAAGCCACTTTTCGGCGAGTTGACTGCGGATGGCTGGCACGGCAATTTTGCACTCCCGAGCTATGGCGGACCGCCATCTTTCGAAGCGACTCCCCGACGAGGAAGCGATGGAAGTATTGCGCTAGGTCATGTGAGGAGTCAATCGCATCAGAACATCACGCGCAAAGCACTTTCACCTCCCATAAATCACAAACTCCAGCATAAACGGAGTAGAAGCGAGATGGACACACCACAACCACAGACCGCACCGAGCATGCCGAATCTGAGTGCGTATAGATTGCCAGATCTTTATCCTACACCACCGAATTCTGGCACACGAAATGAGCTGCGGAAAGACTCTCCCACATCGCGTCTGCCGGTGAGCAGTAGACGACAATCTCAAGATTCGGCGGGTGGCACATCCTCTGCACCGTATCCACGTTCAGCTTCAGCCATGTCGAATAGAGAAAGATCTAGATTATCAAAGTCGCCTACGAGAATGAGACAAGCATTTGGTAAGGAGAACAATGCTCCTGTGACGACACCACGAAGTCGATACCAGCCAGCGCCATTAAGCTCTGCACAATCTGGTCAGACGCTATCCGCGAAGATTGTAGCACCGCCTGCGAAAACCTCACCTCCACTACGATCCTCTCGTCCACGACAACCTGTAAGTGCAGCCACGACTTCAGCCAGCCGAGCTAGAGCCGCAGAAAGGTTCCAGAACCCACCTCTCAAAGACAGCAGAAGACCGAGCGAACAATGGCTCGGCAAACCGTACGATCCGCAGAAAGAGAGAACAAGACGGAAAATACCGGAGCTTGGGAAGGTAGATTTCGCGGAACGCCGAGCGAGGATACAGAAAGCGATATCGCAGAATTTAGAGGAGAATGAGGCGAAAGAGAGCCTGGTCACACGATCACGGCAAGCATCAGTAGCAAGTGAGCAAGCATCTGCGGGTGCTGATCATGCCGCGCTGAATGCTGTCGACGGAAAGCAAGCTCGAATATTGGATGAAGAAACTGCTCAGATAGAGGAGGTGCAGCCAGTGCCAGAACAAAATCGACCCAGAGGCCTGAGCGTAAATACTAGTGCAGTCCCTTTGCGAGAAGGAGAAGAGCCGGAGCCGAAGACTGCTGCCACAGATGCCACAGAGTTCGAGGTTGATGAGAGTCCCATTCTTGGCAGACTACCGCAACAAGCAGCGCCTGCACCAGAGCTATCGACACGGGTTGAAATCGTGCCGGACGAGCCTGTTCTCCTGTCGGCGGCAACATACCAGCCTCCTGCGAGACCATTCACGCTGCCCTCACAGAGACCTGTTGAAGATGCGGAGCCTCAGCAGGTACAAAGTCCGAGCATACTTGAGAACATCCGGCGTATGCGAGAGCGCAGCGAGTCTTCGTTGAGCAGAGACGAGACAGACTTCCCGGACGACAGCCCTTCTGCTGATGACAGCCCAAGCGGCATAGAGGACCGATGGGGCCTAGCGCATGGCCTTGGAAACGCCGATCAAGGTTCTATTCAGATCATGCTTGATGGCGGTTCAGCGCCAAAAGACATGGAAGGGCCTTGGTCGAAGGGCATGCGACCTGAATACTACGAGCAATCCTCGAAGCTCGCTGATCACGAAGCACTTTATCAGTCAGATGGCTTCGTCGACTCGCCAGTAGAGAATGGTACGGCTCACTCCGTGGACGAAGCATCGGAGGCCACACCTCGTAAACCGCAACGCGATGACACTATCAAGCCTGGCAAGCCTGCATCGGCCATGGCCTTCACGGCTACAAGCCAAGATCTCGAGCACGATGCTGCTTTGGCGCGAGCATTCGACGATTATCAGACCAATGGCCGCGTTGCACCCGAGATCCTGGAGTACATTCAAGGTCATAGTGTGGATCTGCAGCGACTGTCAGCAAATGGAGGATCGGATGCGCACATGGTGCAGAACTTGCTAGACAGTATGCTTGACGCTAGAGCAGCGCCTGTCCCAGCCTTAGAGTCCGCAAATAACCACGACACGTTCGATGGCGAGCTGCTTCTACCGATGCAGTATGAGATCCCACCAGTCACGCCAGATACACCTCCAGATGCCGCCATGGCTGGAGGCACTGCGCTCGTGTACAGCCAGAGCACTAGCCTCGACGAGCCACTGGAACAGAACGACGAAGATTTCCAGGCACGGATCCGTAAGGCAGACGAGAAGTGGGAACGGGAGCAAGGAAGCGAGGACAACACACTACATATAGATACAGGCATGGCGCCTCCACCTCCACCAAAGGACATCGGCTACACGCCACGATCGAGCACTGGGCCACTCAGTGCCACCTTCCCACCGTTCAACGGAGACGCCCTACACATATCGACAAGCAACGACATGAACCGAGAAGTCATGGCTGCGGGTGATAGTGTGGCAAACACTCCACCGGAAGAGCAAAGGGCTTCGCCAAAGATTGCTCCACCTGCGCCAGCCTATGCACCTCCTCCTCCACCACCTACGACTTCCTCACCAAGCATATCACGATCACCCTTCGGCATACCCGAGGTTCCTCAGATACCAGCCTCGTACCGTGAAAGGGAGACGGATTCATCGGAAATGTCTCCCTTGGCTCGCAAGGCCTACTGGCCTGGTACAGCTTCGAGCTCGACCCGCCCGTCTGTGGACAGTGTACGACAGGGTGGTCCGCCTTCGCTTCCAGGTGCGCAGTCGATGTCGTCCGTGGCAGGATCAGCTCGACACAGCTCGATAGATGCCGATGGGGCAGACAGTCAGACGAAATTGGTCAAGACTGTCTCTCCCGGGCCTGAGCAGAAGCGGCTATCGAAGCGAAAGAATATCATCAAGGAGCTGCTTGATACCGAGAATAGTTACCACCAGGATCTCAAGATCATCGAGGACATCTACAAGGCCACTGTTGGCGATCTCGTCAACGCTGATGACAAGCGCATACTGTTCGGTAACTGTGATGAGATCGAGCAGTTCTCTTTGCACTTCTACGATGAGCTGCGAAGGGCTGTAGCGCCTATGTACGTGCCGGCGAAACAAATGCGTTGGGCGAACAAGCGAGGCAGCTACTCTACTATGCAGAGTGATGGCACAGGTCAGACTTCCGTGATGAGCTCAGAGAGCGTCGACGACGAGAAAGATCGTGCCACGAGCATCGGGCGCTGCTTCTTGACCAACCTACATCGAATGGATCTGGTATATGGAGCTTACCTGAAGAATCACGATGCGGCGAATCAGCGGCTTACAGTTCTGAAGGCCATGCCAACAGTGAAGTGCTGGCTCGATGAGTGCCACAACAATGCTAGCGACATAACGTCTGCATGGGATCTGGACTCGCTACTCGTCAAGCCGACCCAGAGAGTCGCGAAGTACCCACTCATGCTACACCAGCTGCTCGAGACGACGCCTTCGGATCACCCTGATCATGATGCGCTGAAGGCTGCTGCCAAGGATGCTGTAGGTATGCTTACTCGCATCAACGAGGCCAAGAAGCGAGCAGATCTTGTCGATCAGATCATCAATGGCAAGAACAAGGACGGAGACGTGCGAAGTGGTATTGCCAAGGCCTTCGGTCGGCGAACTGAGAAGCTCAAGGAGCGCGTGGGCATTGCGGAGGCATTTCAAGATGCAGAGTTTGACGAGCTCTCGCATAAGTTCGGTGGTCATTTTATCCGCCTGCAAATTTGTATGCGAGATGTCCAAGACTATCTGCATCGCATCGACAAGGGTATGGATCAGATTACAAACACCGCTGCAGCACTGGACCTCTACACCGATGTCGCACCAAGCAGTCTGCCGGAGATCGAGAGCAAATGGCGACGCTACGGTCAAGCAGTGCGCGAAATATCTGCCATCGCCTTTCCCGATCACAAAGCAGCTGTCTACAAGCGCGTCGTCCAACCCATGATCACTTGCATCAAGCTGCACGAAGGCCCACAAAACGCCATCAACAAGCGTAAGAAGCGGATAGTGGACTATGCCAAGTGCAAGTCCATCGAAAAGCGTGGCGAGAAACCCGACAAGAAGACCATCGAGGCCGCAGAGATGTACATGGCGATTAACGACCAGCTCAAGATCGACCTGCCGAAGCTGTATTCGCTTACCGCGAGCTTGGTCCAAGCATGTCTGACTTGCTTCTTGGATATCCAGCTAACGTGGTACAACATGTGGGAGCGCAAACTGAAGCCTATTCTCGAGGATTCGCAGATCCCGACGAGCATTGAGCAGATCGAGCCTGCTTTTCGACCGGACTACGATATTGTTAAGAGCAGACTGTTGGAGTTGTCGATATGCAATGGTGCACTTCTGGCGGACTCGGCAAATTTCCTGTCGCCTGCGAATACCATTGTCGCGGATTCGGAGTTGTCGCTGAAGAGGCCGTCTACGCTGGACTCTAAGAGGACACAATCGATTAGCAGTGATCATTCGCCAAATCTGCAGCCGATCAACAAGCGGCACAGTAGCGGTTATGTGCATGGATATGATGGCACGCCTGGTGGACCACGAGATGGAGGACGCATCAGATCAAATTCGTCTCTTTCGACCCGTGGCACACCGTCGCAAACTCCAGCGTCAGGCATCTCGGCAAATCGACCCTGGTCCAACGCCAATACACCTAGCTCGTCCTTCTCGGCCAGCCGCCCCTCAACAGCCAATCCACAATCGGTCGCCCTGTCCGCCTTCCAACGACCCACCCGCCCTAGCCTCGACACTGGACAAAGTCCCCGCCCAGGCTCAGGCCAAACCTACTTCACCGCCAGACCGGAACTCGACACTCAACGCTTCTCCGGCCTCTTCTCCTCCGCCCTGCCTCCTGAGCTCCAGCTCGAAGTCGGTCGTCCCGTGACCCCGACGCCCGAGACGCCGGACATGCAGGTCATGTTCGTCTGCGCCAGTTTGTTCGAGTTCAGCATCGACAAGACGAGGAAGGAGGCGGGGTATCCTTACCTTACATATGTGCAGGGAGAAGTGTTTGATGTTATTGCGCAAAAGGGCGAGCTGTGGTTGGCGAAGAATCAGGATGATGGGGGGAATATGCTGGGGTGGATATGGGAGCAACATTTTGTTATTTTGTCGCAGGAGTCGTGAGGAAGGTGTGATTGATGAGTGTGGAGAGGAAGAGGTGGAGATATGCATTTCTTTATTTGTTTCTGTTCTGGGTGTACATTCGAGCGGCAAAGCGAGCGAGCGAGCAGCGTCTGGGAAGAGCTTCCAGGCCAAGCTCCATAGTACACGAGGTTGTTGGGGGTGGCATGGCACGCACACACTGGATAGATATTAGCGATGGGAACGACGGACTTCCTTTTGTTTGTACGGGCACGAGGCAACGAATACCAGTGGCGTTAATTGAGAAGGTTGATTCTTGGTAGCGGGTCGGACGAGAGATAGTGGACGGCGGCGGTGTGTATAGTATCGAAGGAAAGGAGACTTCCTATTCACCACGATACGTCACTTTGTCACTTCCTCAGTAGTATCAATTCCTCAGCAGTGAAGACGTGCGTCCTTGTGATTGGCCAATCCGCTGGTCGTCGGCTGCAATGACATCGTAGCTTCCTGCACATCGTCTTAGATTTTGATAACCATGTTGTCGCATCGCATTCGAGCCCTGCCACGCCTGCGTGTCCCTTCAGTCCAACAAACTGTCACTCGGCGAGCCTTTTCGAGCTCGTACAAGACTTGCGAAGCTCCACGAACTCAACATACTCCCGCCACACCCTCACCCAGTCGCCGAACAGGGCACAGCGATCAACTGCCTGTATTTCCACTTGTAGCCATCTTTGTGATTGGTAGTGGCGCCTTCTATTTCATGGTCAAGTCTCGTGCCTCAGAGGGAAGCACACACTACATCACACCCGAAGTAGCACCAGCCGAGAAACAGAATTGGCCGCGGAACACCAGGGTCGACCAGACGAGCTCGAGACATTGAAACACCAACTCAGCTCCCCGACCACAATATCTGTCAAACACCGCCGACATGCCGCCAACAGATCTCAAGAACAACCCGGCGCTCCAGGCTCCCAAACGCAGCAAACCCCTCTTCCAACCCGGCACCTCCGAAAACCAAGCCCTGGTGATCTTCGTCCTCGGCGGCCCAGGAGCAGGCAAAGGAACCCAATGCGCCAATATCGTCCGAGACTACGGCTTCAAGCATCTTTCAGCCGGCGACCTGCTTCGTGAGGAACAAGATCGAAAGGGCAGTGAATTCGGGGACATGATAAAGGATTATATCAAGGAAGGGCAGATTGTGCCGATGGAAGTCACGATCCAGTTATTGGAAAATGCCATGACGAGCACAATAGACAAGAACGGGAATCGCAAGTTCCTGATCGATGGTTTCCCACGGAAGATGGACCAAGCGGTTGCGTTTGAGGAGAAGGTCGTCCGGTCCAAATTCACGCTGTTCTTCGATTGTCCTGAGGAGACTATGCGGGAAAGGCTGTTGGATAGAGGGAAGACTTCTGGGAGGGCGGATGATAATGAGGAGAGTATCAAGAAGAGGTTTCGGACTTTTGTGGAGACTAGTATGCCAGTTGTGGAGATGTTCGAGAAGGAGGGGAGGGTGGTGAAGTGTGATGCTAGGAAGTCTCCCGAGGAGGTGTATCAGGGCGTCAGGCAGGAGTTTGAGAAGGAGGGAATCAAGCCCAGTGGGCAGTAGAGATGGTCAGACGATGTCTGAAGCAATGACATGACCTGTGCATGTGAAACTGAATATGCACTGTGCCACTCGATACATACTGAACACCCAAGCTTCCATCACCACTCCGCCTGGTCTCGACAACTCACCCTCCAGTTCACAACCGCTCGCCTCGCAGTCTCGAATGTGATCATAGATATCTGTACCTCTCATCATACTGCAACTTGAACATCTTGTACTCCACGCTCTCCAGTGTTGCTGTAATAGGATCTTGCGGAGCCCAGCAGAAAGCTCGATACTGCTCCAGCTTCTGCACATGTGCGGCCCACACCTCGTGCTCAGGCTTACGCAAGATCGTGTCGCGGACGGCATCGCCAATGGACTGGTGTAAAGAGAGGTAATAATGGCCCCAGCGTTCTTGGATCTCCTCGTGCTGACGTTCGCGAGAAGGGCCCAGGGCTGGATTGAAAGGCGGTAGGGCATCTACGATGTTGAGGTCGCAGTAGAACATGGAGATCATTTCGGAATTGCTTAGGGTACGGATCGTGACCTTGCCGTTCTCTAGCTTCTTGAGCTTGCTAAAGTTGCTGAGGGCTTGAAACCATGGTCGACTGACGTATGATTTGACCGTAAAAGTCCTGTCAGGCTCGCCGAAATGTGGTACGATGTGGTCGGGGAGCTCCTTGAGCTGGATGCCAAGCTCGAGGGTCGTGAGTTTTGGCAAGTTCTGTGCGAGACGAACACATATGTTGTCGAGACCACGATCAGCTTTCTCCTTCATGTGCTTGTCCTGGCTTGTGCTTCCGTAGGCTTTCGTAACGTGTTCTAGCCTCATGGTCGTTATATTATGGAGGTTTGCCTTACCGGCGTTCTCGAGAAACCTGTGAACGAGGTTGGTTGGATGGAAGAAGAATTTGCAGCTTCCGTACATGATGGACGTCGCCTCATGGTGAAGTTGCCTGTTGACGAGCAGCAGACCTGAGAGGGATGTACGCCATTTCGTATTATTGAGGCGGAAGAACGTGTATGTTTTGTGCGTGAACGACTCACATTGCAAGACACGCATATTCTTGGTCGGCTGCGGATTCGTGATAGCACGCCACTCCGGTACTTCACGGGCTTCGTCTGTCCTTGGGCGGCGGTCATAACTTGAACGTGTGGGCATGCTGCGGGTTTCGACGGTGCCTGTAAGAATACCTGTGCGAAAGACCACTGTTACACCAGCGAAGACCAGCTCGTAGATCTTGTTCCGTAGCTCTGGCGGCAAGGCCAGCAGCCTCGATTGATCTTTCTCTGGCGGTGAGGCTTGCAGTCGACGAACCACGAAGCTGCCCTTGGTCTTGTGCGCATCTGCACGATGCACCGTTGCTTTGAGAGGCGACATGTTCGGCAATTCCTTTTGAAATTATCTGTGACGATGTGGTGGATGTACAGAGCAGGGGGTACGTTCATGTGTGGTCGATGTATGTTTTGTTGAGGCGGGCCGCGCGGTTGGCTGACTAGCGCCGCATATATAAGGAAGGCACGAGCGCGGCTGACTGCAAGCGCAATCGCCTCTACCATGCGCCAAGCCGAAATATCGGTCACCGTGTCGCCACCTTGTCCTTCAACTATTGTAGCGTAATATCTACAATCTTCACATCATCCACAGGCTTCTCCTTCCACACCTTGACATTCTCAATCGCATGCACGACCTCCATACCCCTGACGCACCTTCCAAAAATGGTATGCTTGTCATCCAGCCAAGGTGCCTTTTCAGTCGTGATAAAGAACTGACTAGCATTCGTGCCCGGTCCAGCGTTCGCCATCGAGACGATATAGGGCTTGTCGTGCCGCAGCTCAGGTGTGAACTCGTCTGCAAACTCCTTGCCCCAAATGCTCTCGCCTCCTGTGCCGTCGCCAAGCGGATCACCAGTCTGGATCATGAATTTTCGAATGATGCGGTGGAAGATGATGTTGCGGTAGTAGCCGTCTTTGCCGTGGACAGTGAAGTTCTCGACAGCTTTGGGCGCATGTTGCGGGAAGAGGCGGATGTGAATGTCACCAAGGGTTGTATGTATGGTCGCTTCCTTTGCCATCCTTGCATTGCGCTCTTCTGCCTCGCCTTTCTGCTTCCCAGCGAGCAAGTTCTTCGGCTTCTCGTTGTGAACATCACGATCCGACTTTGAGATGTTCGTCTCATTCGTGAACATGTAGAAGCGCACCTTCGCGCTTCCAGTAGTGGCCAGCATGGCATCTCGCGCTTCTGCTTCAGCCAACAGAGGGTTGTCCGATGCAGCCATCTGTACAGTGACAATGTCTTTCTTGTCTGGTTGACCCTGGAAAAGAGCAAGATTGAGTGGTCGATATGGCTCGTCGCGTCCATACAGCTTCACGACACGATTGGTGAGCATATTCAGCACTTTTACGCCCAGTATACTGCCGTAGAGGATGAAGTGTCCGCTTTCGTCAAACACAACATTCTGCCTGCTGCGCGACACGGGATTCTCAAGCTCGCGCTCCACAGCTATTCGCCGACCAAAATCTACAGCTTCCATGGGCTCCTTACTTAATGTTCCAGCTTGCTGCATCTCGCTGATTGTGGCTATACTCTCGTCGTAGGTCCGATACAATTTCCCGGATGCAAATTCAAAGATGCGGACCTTGCGATCCGGGAATGAAATTGTAGCGAAGTGTTTGCCTGTTGGTGATATCGTGATGGATGAAGGGACTGACTTGGACTTTTTGAACTCAAAGAGGGATGTGTTGCTCTTGATGTCGAAGACGATCTCGGGCTTCTCATAGTTGCCCGATGGCTGCCAGTACTCGATCATACCACCTTCATCGGAAGAGATGACGCAATCAAAAGCATTGTTGTACGCCAGGACATGTACTGGCTTCCGATGCAAATTCGATAACGTATGTAACGGCTTCTGGGCCTCGCCTCGGCCATCGTATATAGACTGTATGCAGTATTAGTACGCGCTCATGCTAGAGAGTAATATGTGGCACCTCCAAAGTCAACTTACAATGGATCCATTAACGTCACTCGACACCGCCAGCAATGGATAGGTCGAACCATGCCCATGAACAAAGCATATACATCGAGGCACTACCTCTGGCTCCAGCATGGCCAGTAGATCGAAAGTGACCACATCAAAGATCTTGATTGTGTTGTCTGCTCCAAGCGTAGCATAACTTCTCCCGTCTGCGCTGACCGAGACACCCGTGATCTCACCATCATGCGCCTTGTACTCCTTCACGAACTCTATGCCACCAGTAACCTTTTTCCAAAACTTCACATATCCATCGATCGAGCTTGTGATTAGGAAGTCGGTATGTGGTGTAAAAGTACAGTAGGAGAGTTGATCCTTGTGCATAAGCGACTTTGAGTATCGCGTGGCCGTAGGAAGTGCAGCGACATACTGCTTCTCGTACGGTAGTCTCCTTCGTTTCTTCTTCGGTGCTTCTGCAGATGGTAAAGCTGGACCAATATCGTCGTCCGAGTCGCTGTCGTCTGCTGGTTGGCTTGCAGGTTGTGTATCCCCGAGCTCAAGCTCATCGTGCGAACGTTTGATGCCCTGAGCCGCCTGTTCAGTGTCCGTTGCCATGCTCATCACAATGAAACAGTTAGTTCGTGCGTCTCACTCCTCTACCTCGACTCGTGCATCTTTGTTGCGCCGGGCGCTAGCTATTAGACTTGCCGCCGACCGTTGAGCCGCAGAATCTAATCTGATCTCCAGAAAGGCAGGTGCGATCGATGCAGTGGCGTTCGCTTGAGTCATCATCGAACATTCGAATGAACGACCTCGCCACACACTAGCGAAGACATAATGCTGCATTGCCTGACGCTTGCACTGCACGATTGAGTCACGGATGTGCTGATATCGCAGCGATACAAAAGAATATATTTATCGTTCAATAAGCTGAAACTGTGAAAGCTCGTATTCTCTCTTGATCGATCCCCAATCTATACGGAGAGCATAGAAAACAATCATCCTCGTCGAAGCGGCGCTGCGATTTACGAAATTATAATCAGTCTGGAAATCACAGAACAGACCGACCTGCGAAAGTTCGTCAGTATGGATTCAGCAGCGATTGCGGCACCCCAGCAAGCAGGAACACAACCTGGACAGCCAAATCGCCATCGCCACCGTGGACCCAGACGAGGCAGGGGGAATAGTCGTGGAGGTGCCGCACTTGACTTCAGACCTGCATCGGTTGCGCCAGCATCTCGTCAGCATGCTCCCATTTCTTCTGTTGATGGTTCCAGTGCAGAAAATTCTGCTGCTGAAGGTACACTGTCTGCAAATATTCGTAGAGGGACGGACAGACGACAAGCGCAGAATCGTACAGTGAACGGCCGCCGATTTGGCGGACAGTTGACGAGTGACTGCGAGCAATCGAGCGAGAGTCTGGGTGCTCAGAACTCGTTGCAAGCTGATGCTGCAGTGTTTGTGCCTGGCCAATCTGCGCTACTCAAGCAACAACCAAGACCGTCCAAGCCCCAACAGAAACGAGCGCCAAAATCGCAAGCTCCAGATATTGCTACGAGGACGCACGAAGATATCGATCACGGGTATTACGAATGTCCAATCTGCACAAGCGAAGTGCAGCGTAAATCGAAAGTCTGGTCCTGCCACATCTGCTGGACTGTCTTTCATCTCAGTTGTATCAAGAAGTGGGCCACGAATGAAGGCTCGACAGCAGCACGGCAGCAGGCTGATGGCGAAGCGGCGCCTCCGAGACAGTGGCGATGTCCTGGCTGTAATCTACCCAAGGATGAGCTTCCAGGCAACTACACATGCTGGTGCGAGAAGGAAATGGAGCCTAGAGCGCCAGCTGGTGTGCCGCCACATTCATGCGGGCAGAGTTGCGGCAGAGAGAGGATACGAAAGTGTCCTCATCCTTGCCAGCTGACATGTCATGCTGGCCCATGTCCTCCCTGCACTCATATGGGTCCAACTCACATGTGCTACTGTGGAAGGCACGAGATTACAAAAAGATGTTCCGAGACCGACTATGTCAGTGGCTGGAGCTGTGGAGAAATTTGTGGTGAGCTTATGCCATGCGGCGAGCACACACACGATGAGCCATGTCATGAAGGTCTCTGTGGTGCTTGCGAATTTCGCATGCCTGCTCGATGCTATTGCGGTCAGGGCGAGAAGGAAATATTGTGCTGCGATCGTGGAGAAGAAGTTCAGAGCAGACTGACCCACATAACCGAATCTGGCGAGGATGTCATCGAAGACTGGGTGGGCATCTTCGATTGTGGCAGTACCTGTGGCCGCAAGTTTGATTGTGGTGTTGGAAACCATGTCTGCGAACGACCATGTCATGCCCAAGATCTTGAACCTGGACATTGCCCACGATCTCCAGATGTCGTGACACACTGTTCGTGTGGCAAGACACTGTTGAGTGAGCTCTCAGACAACATCCGCCACTCCTGCTCTGATCCAATATCCAGCTGTCTTCAGCCATGTAACAAGACGCTTGCGTGTGGCCACGAATGTACAGCTATCTGCCACACTGGCGATTGTCCATCCTGCAGGCAAACGGTTGATATCAAATGCCGTTGTGGCCGCACTAGCTCAAGGAGTATTTGCCACCAAGGCCAGACCGAGCCGCCGCAATGCATGCGCGTTTGCAGGACATCTCTCAACTGTGGTCGCCACGCATGCGATGAGCGCTGTTGCACGGGTGAGAGGAAGGCTTTGGAACGCCAGGGCACGAGAAGAAAGCAGCGGCCACTGTCTTCTGCCCCTCGCCCAGCCGAGGAGTGCTTCGAGGCTGAGCACATTTGTACGCGTCAGTGCGGGAGGCTGCTCAAGTGTGGTCAACACTTCTGTCCAGAGCTGTGCCATAAAGGTGCATGCGGCAGCTGTGTGGAAGCAATATTTGACGAGATCAGCTGTCACTGCGGTCGCACTGTGCTTCAGCCTCCCTTGCCTTGCGGTACGAAGCCACCACCATGTCGGTATCCATGTCTGAGACCGAAGACGTGCGGTCATCCTCAAGTTCCTCATAACTGCCACCAGAACCAAGAGGCTTGCCCGAAGTGTCCGTTTTTAGTGGAGAAGCGATGTATGTGCGGCAAGCACACCCTCAAGAATCAGCCTTGTTGGCTCCAGGATGTCCGTTGTGGCGATATATGCGGCCAGAGCCTTCGTTGTGGCTTCCACCACTGCCGTAAGCAGTGCCACAGGCCGGGCCAGTGCGAAGACGCCAATGGGCAAACCTGCTCGCAGCCGTGCGGTAAACCGAAGAAGGTCTGCGGCCATCCTGATGAGGATATCTGCCATTCGCCATTCAGCTGCAAGGAAGACAAGCCTTGCCAGAGTAAGATCTTCATCACGTGTCCATGTCAGGCACAGAAACAAGAGATGAAGTGTGGTGCATCGAAGGATGGTGAAGGCAATAATGACAAGAATTTGGTGTGTAACGAAGAATGTGCAAGACTCGAGCGTAACCGCAAGCTTGCACTGGCTCTCAACATCGATCAATCTACGCATATCGAGGGAGGGGACCACGTTCCTTACTCCGACGAGACCTTGAGCATCTTCGCGAAGCATGTGAAGTGGGGTCAGACACAAGAGCGAGAGTTTAGAGTGTTCGGTACCTCAGACGAGGAGAGGAGGTTGCGCTTCAAGCCTATGAAGCCTCAAGAACGTGCTTTCCTACACGCGCTAGCAAACGACTTCGGCTTCGATTCTGAAAGTATGGATCCTGAACCACACCGCCATGTCATGATTTGGAAGACACCACGCTTCGTGTCTGCGCCTAATAAAACCCTAGCTGAAGCTCTTCGCATGAAGACGAATCAGCGTTCTGCTACCGCAAGCGCCAACGTCTCCGACAACGAGAGCTCGATTAAGAAAATCAAGGCTAGTAATGACGTCGGCGAACCCTTCAACAGCTTCATCATCGACCGACCACGTTTTGGTCTTACAGTCGATGAGCTTCGTGCCGAGCTTTCCAAGCTTGTAGGCCCAGACATGGCTTTGAAAATCGATGTCGACTTTCTACCTAGCAACGAGGTCGTGTTGAGAGCCGTTTCGAAGGCGCTACCGCCATACGACTTAGAGCAGACTCTGCGCAACCTCAAAACCAATATCGTCGCGGCAATCGCAGGTAAAGGCTATGGCATACCGCAGCTATGTGCTGTTGATAACTCGCTAGCTGTCCTCAGACGTGAGTCTGACACAGCGAGCGGAGATGGGTGGTCAAGAGTGGCTGCGAAGAAGGCTGCACCAAGGACGGCGTTGCAGAGCAATAGTGCGAGTAGCAGCACCAACAGCTTTGCTGCTCTCACTGGAGGCCACAAGGTCACATTTGCGAAGAAGAAGCCCGAGAAGATCCGACCTAAGCCTGTCGTGGTGGTAGACGATTGGGAGGTGGCTGAGCAGGCTGAGGAGGCGAAGGAGAAGGTCACCAGTAGTGCTGATGAAGCCAGCCATTTAGTAACTCCAGTTGATGAGCCTGATCTGGACAGCATATCAGAGCCTTCTCCTTCACCGTCTAAGCCGGTGCAAGCACCTCAAGCACCAGCAGATGATGCTACCGTTGCCGTTGAGCAACCTATCGAGGGCATTACTACAACAAAGTCGGATGCGCAGGACTGGGCTTCTCAGGTCGAGGAGGCCGGTCTATAACTACTCCACAGTTCATCACATCAATTCTTGTACGTAAAGATGTCTGTACCTGCATTAGCTGCTCCATAGTTTCGTAACGATCTGAAGCTTGACATGCAGTGACGCCATTCGCAAGGGTTCTGGAACACTAGATGCGAGCTTGCTCACAACTTCACTTCTGATGACCATATCTTCCCTGACCACTGCCCGAGGTATCACAAATCTCAACATGTCTTCCAACCTCAAGCCACTTGTTCTGCACGCCCACGGCACGGTAAGATCACCCGCGTCGTAACGTACGTGGGAGACGGACTGACATCTGGCTAGGGTCCCAATCCTTATAAAGTAGCGGCTTTGCTCGAGTTCCTAGATGTGCCATACGAAGTCAAGCTCTGGCAATTTGGTGATGCAGCCAACGGGGTCAAAGGATCTCAGTTCCTCAAGATCAACCAGAATGGTCGGGTGCCTGCAGTGGAAGACCCCAACACCAATGTTGTGTCTTGGGAGTCTGGTGCCTGCATGAACTACCTGCTACGTGTCTATGACAAAGAGAACAAGTTTGGTCCAAAAGGCGACTCTGAACAGGCCCACGTTGATTTCGACAAGTGGATCTTCTTCTTGGTCTCCTCTCTTGGCCCGTGGGTGTCCAAACTTGCCACTTCTTCACTCGATACTGACGTAATCACAGCATGATGGGCCAAGTGAACTGGTTCCGTCACTATCACTCGCAGAAGAACGATGATGCCCTTAAGCGATATGAGGAGCAGGCATACAGGACTTTTGAAGTTCTGGAAGGCCAGCTGAAAAGTCACGACGGTCAGTACATCTTACCTGGTAGCACTATCTCTGCTGTGGACTTGCATTTCTATCCGTGGGTCTATCAGCATGGATTCGCGCAGCTCAGCATCGAAAATTATCCTACAGTATCCAAGTGGATCCAGACCGTCGGTGGACTAGAGCAAGTCAAGGCTGCGTACAAGAAGCTGCCGGAAGGGAAAGAGATGTAGGATTATGATCTCATGTATATGTACGTATACATAACAAAGTACATAGAGCAACAAGGGTCGGCCCCAGCCAGTCTCTACAGCAGCGTCGTGCCAGCAGGATTCAAACGGAACGAGCGGTGTCATTTGACATCTGTGCGGAATCAAAAGCGGTCGTTTCTCTTCATTCAACTTCACACTAAGTACAGCACATACCCCAATCATGCATCGCTAAATGTAGATCGTTTCAGTACCGTCCTACTTTCTGGGCCGCCACATACTCAGTGAAGAAGACTGGATTTTCATGGGCCTCATCACCCTCGCAGAGGAAGAACATGCTGCACTAACGCACTCTGTCTGCACAAAGGACATATCGGCTGCTCTCGTAACCAGTCTGTAACGCACTGCCAGCAGAATACATGACCGCATGTCGTGGCGGATGGATCCTTCATGGGTTCCAAGCAGAGCGTGCATTTTCGCTGCTGTCGGCCGTCTATCCACTGCATGACTTCGGCGTCCTCCAGATGATAACGATGCGGCTGCGGAAGTGGCGTCTGCGTGATGTGCGAGATCCTTTCCTTTTGTATAGCAGGGTCTGCACCTTGCGGTGCTTCGAAAAGTAAAGGAGCTGTGATACCAGTATCGGCACTGACTTCGACGCCACCATCTATGACTACAGAAGTACCGCCCGCAGCAGAGTTGTTCGAAGGGATATTGAAAGCCTGTGCATGCGAGTATGTTTCCTGCATATGCAAGTAGCCCTGCACGAACATCTGGAGAACGAGCAGCACACCAAGCACCTCATACCCAACGCGCTGCTCGTTCTGCTCAAGCTTGCGAGTAAAGATGTACCGAAGGCCGAAGATGCGCTTACTGAGCTGGTAATACGCTCCACTAAAGTAGAAGACAGCCAAGCTTGCAGCATATACTGATGCAGGTGAGGTGGCAGTATCCAAGTGCTTCAGTATATACTCCTGGATCTTGAATGTCCTAGATGGAGGCTGCTTGCTCCTTGTTGGCGAGGAGGCTCGTCTATGATGAAGTTTGCGCATGGACGACTCCAATTTCACTCGCAGTCGCCTCCGAAGTGCGGGAAGCACACGGTTCAAAGCGTATGGTAGCAAGACTGTCGACAGTATGTAGCCAGATCTTCGGAGGATGGATGGGAGGCGCGAAGTATCGTCTTCGACCTGCACAATATCGCAATACTCTTCGCCAAGAGTCCGGTTGCCAACAAAGGTGGTCAGGCCAAGGTAGAGCAATTCGGTAATCGTACGCGCCTCATTCGTCCAGTTGTGCGCTGTGCGAGCGCCATAGAGACTTCTGATGACACCCGCCAGGTGTGTCAGTAGAACAGATTGGAAGTAGGCGTCCTTTTGATTTGCGCGTATGATGTCTGGTGCGGCCGCCCAGGGGTAAGTGAAGCTGTCTGAGTCCTGTATATTCGGGACATGCTGGTCTCGTACGTGGTCTGACATGGTCACAGCCGTCTTAGAGGCAGATCTCGAAGTGAAGTACTTGCGTTGATGTCTTATTGCTGTGCAGGAGATATGGCGCTAACGAAAAGTACCTCGGCCTACCTGACTTAGTTAGTATACAAACGTGATGAGACGTGGCTGCCCTAATCGACAAAGGAGCACTACATTCGCCAGCTAATAATTCTCAGTAGCACTCGAGATGTGGTCGAATTATGGGGCGGAAGCCATGAGACGAATGAACGACCGCCGTGAGAGTGAAAGTGGGTAGGTAGTGAACAATCCCACTGGCCGTTCATACCTTTCTTGCCGCTTCTTGATGCACTGGAGTGGCACTTTCCTCAAGGACGACGCAGGTTGACAGGTTCCTTCGTCTCAGCCTTCTGCCATCATTCCTCCTGAACAAGCATCACGCAAGTCCCTCCGCGCAAGGATCATGTTTTGCCAAGGACGGCGCGCCGCGGATGAAGCGATCAATTCAGCTCACGCGACATTCGTATTCGCCGTGGTGACGAAGCTTTGCAGGAAAGGAAATCGGGAGGAGATACAGTCTGGCAAGCCGACACGCACACCTATAAATCTCTTTCGCTTCCCACCTAGCAGGAACATGGAAGTGTTACTGCGCTGCCTTCGCACACAGCCTCTTGCCCGTGACATCATTCTCCTTCGAATCTCATCCCCGAGCCAAGCCAATCCACCGAAGCATATTCGCGTCAAGGAGAAAGTCTGTGTGGCGTAATACGCGGCCGTGCCAATAATAATAATGGAGATCCTCATACCAATTTCGTATCCCTTCCTTGCTCACGATTTCTGGACACTTCCTGGCATCTGGAAACTCACCCCGTTATTTCTCATACTGGCGATACTAGGGCTAGACATATATCAAACCAAGTACCGAAGACCAGGACCAACATCAACACCGAAAGTCGAGGTTTAGGATATGCATTTCTCCAAGTCGATACTTCTGGCGCCTGTCGCCATTGCCTCTGCGCAAATCGGATCTATCGTTTCGGGTATCACCTCTGTCGGTGGTGATATCACAAGCGGCGCAGCTTCAGTTTTCACAGATGTGACAAGTGGAGGAGGTTAGTCAAACCTGGTAATCTAATGCTTCGCCGAGGTAGCTGCTGAACTGCGTCTTAGCCTCTGTGGCGACCGTCATCACATCGGGTGCTGGCTCAGTAGCGACAGATATGACGTCGGGTGCAGCATCAGTCTATACCGTCATAACAAGCGAAGGAGGCATGTACATCGTCATCCTTCTCGTACGTCCATATGTGCTTACAAATATTCCAGGCTCGCTTGCCACGGTCGTCACATCAGGAGCCGCGGGAGCGTTCTCGACCGTCACGAACGGCGCCGGATCAGTATACACGGTGGCCACTGGAGCTGGTGGCAGTATCGCGTCCACCATTACAAGTGGAGCTGGAGGCGTCGCCTCCACAGTAACCAGTGGTGCTGGAGGCGCTGCAAGCACAGTGCAATCAGGGGTAACCAGCATGGCGTCAGCGGCATCATCTGGTGCAAGTTCAGTGGCATCTGCTGCCTCAGGTGCTGGCGCGGCACACACAGGGGCTCCAATTGTTGCTGGAGGACTTCTTGGTGCCGGACTTGCCGTGGTGGCGCTCTTGTAGAGGATTGCTTGTCTGCATATACACAAGATACCGCTCGATCATGTCAGGACCTGGAAGACCCGGCGCGTAGCTTGATCCTACTCTACTTTGTATTAGATTGTGTAGATGTATGCATACCCAGATCACTCAGAAGCTCCACAATGCGGTCGAGGCCTGGTGTCCAAAGACATGTCTTGCCCGGGACATGATCGCTTTCCCACCTCTCGATGGCTATAGGGCTAAACACATCGAGACTGAGAGGTTTGAAGACCTCTGCAAACCTCTTTTGGTGGTCACGCTCTGTACAGTCGCAAATCCAGATACCAATATCCGCTGCTCGCAAGCACTCATAGTCCGTAGCAGAGTCACCAACGTAAACCACGATGGGCTGCTCAGCTTGATGTTCTTGGCGCAACGTCGTAACCCGTGCCAGCTTGTGCTGCGCTGTACGAATGCTGCTGTAGAGACGTCCGGACGAGCCTTCGGGCGAGTCTAGCCCGTCGATTTCGTTCGCTTCGATAACCATGTCATTGACCATTGTCACGATATCGTTCTGTTCGGGCCGTGGCGCAGCACCTGACTCGGGCACAGCACACCGCAATGCTGATCGTATAAATGTCGCGCTGAAATTGACGCTCAGAATCGATACACTACTGGTCGGTGCTAGCATACTTTCGTCATGTGAGAACAACCTAAACAGATCCTTCCAGCCAGTGCGCATAGCCAATTGACCGGACAGGAGGGCATCAGATGCTACATCGCGGACATGCTGCGATCTGGAATTTGTGAAGAAGCCCGAATGGCACACTCTTCGCGAGCTAGCAAGCTCGACAGCGTCCAGGCTTTGCAACCATTGACTATACTCTTCATGGCAGGCCTCCTGAGATTGCGGGTAGTGTGCAGCTTTGTGGGCTTTGTAGTCATCAATGTAAGCACTGAAGAAGCTGCCCCATGCCGGATATTCTGCAGTAGCTGGTGTCATTCCACGACCTCGGACTTTGGGTACGTTGCCAAGGAGTGACATAGTGTCTCCGGTAGTGAGAGTGCTATCCCAGTCGAGAACCAGATATATTGGTTTGCGCGAGACATGGGCAGTGGCCATATTCAGGGATCTGCTCATGTGTATTCTATTGATGCACCTTGCCACGTGATGTAGCCACCTTAGCGATCGAAGTCCCATCAACACCTACCGTTCGTCAGATAAGCGGCTAGCAGGCTAGCATTGCATACTGCGTGGTTGATCATATATGGTCAACAATATGCTATTGCTCTTGCTCTTGAGATCTTGATCTGGGAGTGGAGGTAAGTGGAAAGCAGCGGGAATAACTAGCCGAGGATCGAAGGTGGCAATATCAGCCAAGAAGAGGGATCTAAATCTTGCTTAGTGGATCGAAGCCGAGCACTTCCCGTCATAGATTGAATGTCGAGATCGCCTTCACGACTACATTCATATCTCTCCACTCTACCACTCTACATTGTCACCAGTACACACATCATGGCCCTCAGACTAGCAGCACGCCGTATGGCGCTGGCGCCTGCGCCTTTCACGCGAACCTTCAACCGCGCCATGGCAACCACGGTCGAGCACACCAAGGAACCATTGTCTGCAATTTCGGAGGCCACATCAGCTTCACAACCACCAATCCCACCGAGCAAGACCACAACTATCCAGGAGCCCGAACAAGAGGCAAATGCCAAGACGAAGACCTTCCACATCTACCGATGGAACCCAGATCAGCCTAGCGACAAGCCGAAGATGCAGAGCTACACTCTTGACTTGAACAAGACAGGCCCGATGATGCTGGACGCGCTTATTAGGATCAAGAACGAGGTGGATCCGACTCTAACGTTCAGGAGGAGCTGCAGAGAGGGTATCTGTGGCAGCTGTGCAATGAACATTGATGGTGTTAATACATTGGCCTGCTTGTGTATGTACCGCTGAGACATATTCTCTGGATATGCCATACTGACTCAGTAACAGGCCGTATTCCCACAGACACCGCCAAGGAGTCACGCATCTACCCCCTACCGCATACCTACGTCGTTAAGGACCTCGTACCCGACCTCACCCAGTTCTACAAGCAATACAAGTCTATCAAGCCCTACCTCCAGCGCGACACCCCACCACCAGATGGGCGTGAATACCGTCAATCTCGCGACGACCGACGAAAGCTAGATGGCTTGTACGAGTGCATTTTGTGCGCATGCTGCAGCACATCATGCCCAAGCTACTGGTGGAACGCAGAGGAGTATCTTGGTCCAGCTGTACTTTTGCAGAGCTACAGATGGATTGCGGACAGCCGAGACGAGAAGACTGCGGATCGAAAGGAGGCGCTGAACAACAGCATGACGCTTTACAGATGCCACACCATCTTGAACTGCAGCAGGACGTGTCCGAAGGGCCTGAACCCGGCCTTGGCCATTGCGGAGATTAAGAAGAGCTTGGCTTTTGCTTAGAGACTGGTTCTGGGCTCTGTAAGCATGCGGCGTGCTTTCTGTGCTTTTGTCTGGCTCGTGGGCGTTTTGAGGCTGTTTGTACATAGTGCTGTACCTTCACGATCGCACATCCCTTGTGCATGTCATTAGATTCTATGCAGGCGACTGATGTTTGACCCGACACAACGCAAGCCCATATGACGTTGATTGTCAGGCTGAGCGTCACTTGATGCGGCTCTCACCGATACTGTCAATTGATAGTCCGTAGGATCTTGCAAGTGGAACCTGATCACACGTGCTAACCAGGAGATGTTCGACCATGATTACATGTGGTGTAGCCGAGATACAATTGTGCTGCTTCATCGTTTTGTCGTTTTAGGGCCAAGGTTTCTCCATCAACAACAGCCGCCAAGCACATATATTGCACGATCTGCATAAGAACATGGATATGCCGACTTGGGAGGTCATAAGCTTTTGCCACAGAGTGCAATGGCAGCCTTCATAGTGCTTATCTAGACGTACAGATATGCAGAAGTGCCTTGTACGTGTACGCAGCGGTCTGGAATACGGAGCTTGAGGCCTGGTAGTCGTCTATGATCGTGCTATTGAGATACGTTCAAGTCCAGTCGGTCTCAAGATGCGTGTAAGGTCCCACAAAGCAGCGAATTGGTAATGAGCCAGTGACTTAGCCTGCTGTGGAGCACTACGTGTCTTCTCTACTGACCAGGAAGTTGGATGGTCATGCACGGCGAATGCTGCACTGCTGCGTATGCTATGGCCATGCTCGAAGCTGTTCGCCTGACACAAGATACATAATCTAATGGTACGCGTCAGGCGCTATGCATCCAGGAATGCACCTAGCATTTCAGATATGGCAGAAGAGGGCTTGAAAGGTTTACGCAGTCTTGTGACTTGTTGCGTAACATTTCAACTTGCAGAAACGCGCCCCGGCTGCCAGAAATTAAGCTTTAAACAGGCTGAATGGCATGTGGGACCATGCTCAAACATCGTTCAGAAACGATCGCGTCCTCGTTCTCCTTTATATCAAGCCGCGTGTCTAGAGCCATTCATATTACATATGCACTCCACTCGTTCCCCTGCATCAAATCGAGGAGCCGAAGGGCTTCGGTAAATTATGAGACAAGCTTTCAAGCCGCAAAGGACAAGCCACTCGTGTCAGCTTGGCGCAGTCGAGCTATGGAAGTTGTCGAAGACGCTACGATATCGACGGGACTGCTGCTGGAGACGCCGTCGCGTGGCCAATAACACCAAGCAGAGCAATGCCAGCGATCAACAGGACCTTTGGACTGTAACCATGGCCGTCGTACAAATCTCGTATACCTATTGCGTGTCTTCGAAACTCATATAGATGAATTCTGGAACGCCGACGGCGAGCACTGTCACCCGCCGCCACCGGAAGGCGGCATTGGCTGTGCTGAAGATGTCACAGAAGCACACCATCACTCAAGCTGGAACGCCCATCTCCATGCTTGTCCTCTGCTTGTCCAATGCTTGTGCCGGATGCCAAGTCACCTGGCATCCGACACTGACAAACTCATACCGGAGATCCTAGCACCCGTCTTGCCGTGCGACATTATCCAGATTGTAGGCTATCAAAATGTCCGACAGCCACAATAGCGCCATCTCGAAGACGCACAGGCCTTCGGCATGCTCTGCTGAACGACAAGTCTTCTGCCGGCCAAGACCATATAAGTATAGTCATCTCCTCTCAATAACATCTATCCCTCAGCACAAAACATCTTCGTCAGTCTACCAACACCACCACTTTCATTCAATCAACAACAGAGTCTGCGACTCTTCCTTCGACTACAGTCATCATGAAGTTCACCACCGCAGCTGCTGGCCTCTTGGCCGCCGCTGGCGCTCTCGCCGCCCCTGTCGCTCAGCCAGAGGCTGAGATCGAGACCCGCAACCCAGGTGGCATCAACTACGTCCAAAATTACAATGGCAACGTTGCTCAATTTAAGTACAGCGAGAGTGCAGGCACTTTCTCTGCCAAGTGGAGCGGCAACACCGACTTCGTGGTCGGCTTGGGTTGGTCCACTGGCTCTGCTCGGTAAGCATATGTACGACCTTACAGCAGCAGTGAACCTGGCTGATTTGGAGACAGCGCCATCACCTACTCTGGTAGCTACAGCGCCGCCGGCTCGGGATCCTACCTCTCCGTATACGTAAGTGTGAAGACTGCACAGAGTCGAAAGTCATCGACGAGCGCATTCTGATGCTTCTTCTAGGGATGGTTGAACAGCCCCCAGACCGAGTACTATATCACCGTAAGTTGCTATCCACTTGCGAGACGTCGAAACCATTGATCTGACACCTTTGCAGGAGAACTACGGCTCCTACAGTATGCCATGATCGACACCCGCCTCGCAACAACCCTGCTAACAGCACAATAGATCCATGCTCGGGTGCCACCTCCCTGGGTTCTGTCACATCTGATGGCTCCAGCTACCAGGTCTGCACCGACACCCGCACCAACCAGCCTTCCATCACCGGTACCTCGACCTTCAAGCAGTTCTTCTCCGTCCGCGCGAGCAAGCGCACCAGTGGTACCGTCACGACCGGCAACCACTTCAAGTACTGTGAGTATAGAGAAGCACGCGTGACCCTGATATGGATGGATTCTGACAAACATTTCGCAGGGGCCACAAAGGGCTTCGGCAACAGCAACTTCAACTTCCAGGTTTTCGCTGCCGAGGCTTTCTCCGGCTCTGGTTCTGCTTCCATCACCGTCTCCTAAGCATTTCGCCTGGGTACTGGTGAAGGAAGTGTTTGCCGCTCGGATAGTGAGAGCTGGTAGGCGGGCGAGCATGGGGGTGGTGGATGGTGAGAGTAATGGTGATCAAAAAAATTGTTCTTCTGTAGAATGGTTCCTAGCTATTGACTTAGCTGGGAACAAAAGACCCTGCTGAAGCATCAGCGTGGACAGAATTCTCCAGAGTCTTTCACGCTATGTTGCCTCCACACGTCAGGTGCTTGTGCAACGCTTGCTTCTGCATTTTCGCCATCTACGTTTGAAATTCTACGAGACGGGACCAGCTCGGAAGTTTGTCCGCCTCTCGTGAGCTGCTTCTCGTCATTTGACGAGCAGAACTCAACCCGGCCACACCAGGCCAGATACATTCGGTGTTAGGGGATGAAATAGTGGTATGCGAGGACGTTCAGAGCGGCAATCGTATCTAGGAAGCCCATCTAGGACGTAGATACATGTACACCACTTCAATCCAGAGCTCTCGAAAATCCGATGTCGACGCCGTCCAGTCGGAATTGTCGTGCCGTGCTCGAATGTTGGAGGTAGTCTCAATATGAGCTTATAACCTTGAGGTCCGGCACTGATGACAGTGGTCATTGAACTCGCCTGACCTCAAGTTTCACTTCTGCTCCTGCCTCAGCAAACGCAGTGTACTGCCCAGACTCAATCCTCTTGAGCCACTTATTGCTCTCGTACTGCGCCGTGAAGATCGACATCCGCAGTACAGGCGCTCTTGATTCATTGAGCTCGTCACGCGACCATGTCCATCGACCAAAAGACCAGTTCAAGATATATCGCGCTCGCTTTAACTTTGTACCATTGACATCCGTTCCATCAGAGGTCTTAGGAGCAGCTGTAGAGTACAGCACAGCTTTGATGCGATAGACTTCGTCCTTGGGTGCTGATTTGAGTAAGGTGTCAAGTTTTGCCAGATCTATGTTCGAGCCTGGACTCGGAGATGTGAGTGTGATGGACAGACACTCCATTTCCGACATATGACCGTGATCGTGATGGTGGTCGTGAGAACGGGTACTGCTCGCATGTCCGTCTATCCACGCCTTCGCCATCTTCGAGTCGAATCCAAATAACAGATCCGGACTGATCCAACCCTTATCGCTCTTCGTCTGCGGCGTATCAACGTCCAGCTCACCAACTTTGTCGAGGAACAAATCAAATTCTCTCTCGGAAAGACTCTCCCACTTATTGATTATGATCAGGTCAGTCTGCTGAGCCTGCAACTTAGCGGTATATGAAGTATTAGAATAGCCAGACCAATTCTCCGCATCAATGACAGAGATCACACCATCCAATTCAAATCGTCCCGTAAGCTTTGCGATCCTGTTGACCTCTAGAACAAGTTTTAGCGGCTCAGCTGATCCAGAGGTCTCAACAATGATTCTGTCTGGACTGCACTCGCGATCTAGCTGATGTAGTGCATCCTCGATCTGCCCGACGTTCGTACAGCAGATACAGTCTCCCAGAAGTTCTCGACTTCCTGTCATCTCAGCAGAAGCAGCAAGTTGGGTATCGACATTGAGGTCTCCAATTTCATTTTTGATCAAAGCGAGCTTATAGCCTGGGTTTGTGGTCCGCAGTTGAGGTAGTAGGTTGAGGATGAGAGTCGTTTTGCCTGAGCCTGCAAAACCGGTGATGATTGTTATTGGGATTCGGCGGCCATCAGAGTGGTGCGAGCCAGTCATCTTCCACTTATGAGATCACCTTGATGTGTTTTGGCAGATTTTTCTATTGAGCTGTGGTGAATGCAAAGCAATTTTCCGAAAGAGGCAACTGCGGCTGGGCGGTGAAGCTGAGCCCGGCAGAAAAAGTTCCGAAGCACATGCAAATCAGGCTCACGATGCCACAATCACCTTACATTCCGATATACCCTGTTCCTGATGGCGCTCAAGGCAGATGGCAAGACGACCTTTGAGCCGGCTCGGGTCATCCAGCCAATCTATACTGGTGGCGCCGTTGCTCTGAGTGAGGATGGAAGACTGCTGGCTACCACATTGGGCGAGGAAGCGCTGGTCACAGATCTGAATACTGGCGCACACCTCGCTCGCATAGAAGGCGTAAGTGTTTGCCACGGGTAGAAATAACGGCTGGACTGACAGTTGACAAAGGCTATAGGACGGCGAACCACTGACCACCCTGGCATTATCACCTGATGCGAGCTACCTTGTAACATGCTCTCGATCACTTTCCTTGCGGACATATGCGCTACATCCCTCCGAGACTCTTGACGACGCAATCAATGCGAAGCTCCTCCGGACGATCAAACCCCACAGCACACCCGTCATCACAGTCGCCGTTGATGCGACAAGTTCTCTACTAGCCACAGGCGCAGCAGATGGCTCGATCAAAGTCTGGGACTTGCGAGGCGGCTACACGACTCACACGTTCCACGGCCATAGCGGCATTATCTCTGCGCTGCACTTCTTCGAGGTTGACACTATCGACTCCGAGCAAATGGGGAAGGGCAAGAAGAGGAAGAGCAAGCAGCGAAGTGCTGAGGCTGTGGAAGTTCAGCCGGATGGCGCCACCGCTGGGTACAGGCTGGCATCTGGTGGCGAGGATGGCAAGGTCAGAGTTTGGGATCTGCATAAGAGAAAGGGTGTAGCGACGTTGGACGCACATGTCTCCGTTATTCGAAGCCTCAGCTACTCGCCCGAAGCACGGCTGTTACTCTCCGCCAGCAGAGACAAGACTGCGATACTGTGGGATGCTCGGACATGGCAGCAAAATTCTACTGTGGCAGTATTGGAGGTCGTGGAAAGGGCTGGGTTTCTCATGAATGGTCGATTTCTGTTCACGGCAGGCGAAACAGCACGCGTGCGAATATGGAGCACAGAAGGCGGTGCAGAGTTGACCGAGGAGCAAGAATCTGGTGCAGAGAATGAAGCGATAGTGGATGTGCTACATCATAATGGCTTGCCGTTCTTGCTCTCTGTACATGCTGATCAGACACTTTTGCTTTACGACCTCGGATATCTCACCACACTCGAATCGACCACAACTTCTCAGCTTCCAGTTCTACCTGTTCTCAGACGAATCTCTGGAACACACGACGAAGTCATCGACCTTGCATATATCGGCACTGATCGCAAACAATTAGCTCTCGCCACGAATCTCGAAGACATCCGCATAGTATCCCTCGACAGCGTCGACGAGGGCACTGGCTCTTCGTACTTCGGCGCGGATGTGGGACTTCTCAAGGGTCACAGCGACATTATCATCACTCTCTCGATAGACTGGTCTGGCCACTGGCTAGCTACTGGTGCAAAGGACAATACTGCGAAGCTATGGCGATTAGATCCTGCGAATGTCGACTATACCTGTCACAGCACTTTCACTGGTCATGCTGAGAGCATAGGTGCTGTCGCATTGCCGAGTGCGTCTCCACCGTCTGGTTCGAAGGAGTATAATTCTCCGCTAGGTTACCCACCAAAATTTCTGGTCACCGGCAGTCAGGACAAGACTGTGAAGCGATGGGATGTTCCTGCTTCGTCTGGTAAAGCAGCACGAGCGGCTTACACCCGCAAAGCGCACGACAAGGATATCAATGCCATTGCTACGTCATACTCGTCTACTTCGCCTCTCTTCGCATCGGCCAGTCAGGATCGAACGGTCAAAATCTGGGATACCGAGACCGGCGAAGCGGTCGGTGTGCTACGTGGGCACAAGCGAGGAGTCTGGTCCGTCGCCTTCTCGCCACCAGGCATGCCTGCATTGACAACAGGTGAGGGCGGTGGCGCGAGCAGTGCCAAGGGCATGGTCGTCACGGGTAGTGGCGACAAAACGGTCCGGATATGGAGTCTTAGCGACTACAATTGTTTGCGGACCTTCGAAGGACACGCGAATAGTGTGCTGAAAGTGGTGTGGCTACCTGCGCCCCAGGCAGGAAGGAAGGGGGGGAGTGCGAGGAACGTACAGGTTGCCAGTGCGGCTGGCGATGGTTTGGTGAAGGTGTGGGATACGCAGAGTGGCGAGTGCGCTGCTACGCTGGACAACCATATCGATCGGGTGTGGGCCCTTGCTGTGAAGCCGTCGACTGCACTGGAGGAAAAGTCAAAAGATGATTCCGAGGGCGTTCAAATGACGGATGATAACGACGGAGACGAGGACGAGGTTGAGGACGTGCCACAGGAGGCGACCCTCGAATTGGTTTCAGGCTCCGCAGACAGCACCCTTACATTTTGGCACGACACCACTTCCGCCACAGCACTAGCTGTAACACAACAAACGACACAACGCGTAGAACAGGATCAAGAACTACAAAACTACATCCGATCACAGAACTACCGTGAAGCTATCGTCCTTGCCCTGCAACTCAACCACCCGAAACGACTTCTGGACCTCTTCAACGCCGTGGTGAATGGCCCACAAGAGCCAGGTAGCTTCGTGGGGAAGAAAGACGTGGATGGCGTGATCGCTAGTTTAAGCGACAACCAACTCTGGGATCTACTCCGCCGAGTCAGAGACTGGAATGCCAATGGTCGCACACACAACACTGCTCAACATGTCCTACACGCTATCCTTCGACTCGTGCCCAAGGATCGACTTCTACGCTTGCGAAGTCGGAGGAGGAACAAGGCTGCTGACGACGATGCGGAGGATGTGGATGGTGCGTTGGCGAAAGGTATGAAAGATGTGGCATTGAGGGATAAGGAGAGCCTGAAGGATGTTCTCGACGGTCTGAAGGCGTATACGCAGCGGCATTTTGAGAGGTTAGAGAAGGTGGGGGAGGAGAGATTTGTGCTTGTCTGGGCGTTGCAGCAGATGGATGCTGTGGGTGGTGCTGTGGACGGCATTGGCAATGAGAAAGAAAACAATGTGATGTTGTTGGATGGGATGGAATAGTGTATAGCTCGCTCAGAGTGTGATACTGTACAGATCATTAGTTTGCTCCGTCCAATGAGCCACACTTAGACTGTACGAACCCTGCTCCTGCATCTCACCTCGGGCCTGCATGTCTTCCCCGACCCGCCGTACCAAATAATGAATTTGTTCGAAGCGATGCGATCTATCACATATGTTGCACACACGTTGGCCCAAGCTCATATAGACTTTTCACATGCATGGGGTTGCGAACTTCGAGGACTTCCGTCTTCACGAACCTGACGCGCTTCACATCATGCTCTTTTGTACACTACCTGCTGGAGTCTTGGATTTTGCGAATTATCGAATGTGGTGCCCTAGATGTTTTGTATAGTCTGGACATACTTTGAGGCCATTGCGATCCTTCGTCGCCCGGTCCCGCCGCGGTGTTTCGAAGGCCTGGCGTTGGCCACCACGGCAACATTGCTTGAGTACTGGACTTAGACTTTTCGATACGATGGGCCAGAAGCGCAAGTTCAGCTCGCTTGGCGGCGACGTTGTGCGCACGCCTGACCACTCTGGACATGTGGCGAAGGAAGCTAGATCGGGTGCGAAGAAAGCCCATCGACGAAAATCTGGCTCCAATGGAACACCACGGCATTTCCCAACGGCGATGTCGGCAGACAAACCATCACAGACGCAAGTCACACCATCAGCTAAGGTCACCGCTCAGACGCCTGCGAAGGCTGCATCGTCTGTCAAGCAGCCTACGTCTATCTTAAGTGCTGCAGATCCACCAGAGCCGCCTGCTGAAATGGACAAGAAAGCGCGAAATAAGTGGCGGAGAAAGATGAGGCAGTCACTGGCTTCTGTTCAAAACTCGAATGCTTCACAGGCTGCTGAGTCGCCAGATCCGAAGCCTCAAGTGCAGAAGCAGACTGCTAGACCTGTCGATGCTCTGGCTCCGTCTGCTGCTCATGTCGATGCGATAACTCAGACGCCATCTGTGAAGTCCACCCAACACCCACAACACTCAGTGTTTTGGCAGCGAACGGTCGAGCAGCGTGTGAACAACCGCCTGCGCCAAGCGAGTACAACACAACTTGTGCCGACACCACGAAAGCAGTGGAATCCTCCGCCCGGACTAGCTCGAGGCGTTGACACAGTCAAAGAAATTAGGGCTGTCGACAGAGCATGTCAGACCGATATACATGGTCGCCTGCATCTCAATATCATGTTTGAGAAGCCTCATTTGCATAAGCCACAGCTTCACCAGCGGCAAGCGGCCTACATCACTAAGTCTCCACAGAAGCAGAAGTCGGAGCCGTCCCTTACGGCCGCTCAGGAGGATATATCCATGTCGATTGCACACAGCGAGGCCTCGCATACTGGCGAGCAGAAGCAGGTAGGGTCACCACTATGGCCACGCGAAGTCAAGGGAACGGACATGGTTGCCGACGAGCATGTTGATGGGGTCGACGACTTAGTCAGTGACTCCGCAGATGACATGCCTGAAAACGAGGCTCCTTCGACCAAAATATTAGAGGTGGAGGCTGCTACAGACGGGACGTCATCTGCTGCAGTTACGGGTAAAGACGATGAAGCCCGAGAGCATGAAATCATCGAGATCTCTAGCGGCTCCGAATCGTCTTCCGAGTATATATCCAGCGACGACGAGAACGAGGCAGCCAACAAACAAGCCATGCGCTCCAGGCCAAAGACACCTTCACCGACCATCAAGCCACAAGCCCCATCCTCGAGCGCAAAGTTCACAAGCAGGAGTCTACTTGATCACCCTCCATTCTCCCTCATACCTGGTTTCCATCAAACAGGACAAAATGATGCTCTTCCCAGCACGAGCTTCAGCAAGATCAGCCAACCCATGCCCATCAAGAAGGTCGCGCAGCCGGTGAAGCTACGAGACGACTCGCCCTCCTCCTCAGCGCATTCTTCACTTTTCGCTGGCATAAAGGGTGAAGCTACAGTCGCACGGCTTGGCACCCAAGGCTTTGGGCCAATTGCAAAAGCTGCATCTGCCCAGACATCCGAGGCGGCGCGTAAGGCTGCTTCAAACAACGACGCACGGTCAGCTTTCGATCGGTTTAGCTCTTTTGTTGGTGGCGATAAGACTAGCGATGAAAGTGATAGCGATAGCGACTCTGACGAGGAAACCGATGCCAAGCAATCTGGCGCGAGCAGGGCCGAGAAGTCCGCGGCTATGGTCGGGCTCGAGCAACGCGGTCGTTCGTCCCCAGCGAGGACTACACCGTCGAGGCATGCTCAAGCACCGCTGAAGGGCAGCATACGTGAGACAAATGATTTCAGAGCCAGCCAGCAGCTTGAGCAGGAAGCTCAAGCAGTTTCGCAGGAGACTGCATCGGTCGAAAGCGCCCACAACGCAAAGAATAGCGAAGATGAGGAGGTAGACAGCGCGAATTCTGGTACTGAAGAGAACGACCAAGGACGAGAGACAGACTCCGGTGAATCAGAAAGCGAGGACGAGGTTGAGACATCACCACCCCTGCTGGATGTGCAAGCTTCCCAGACTGAAGACAAGATTCAACACAATAGAATCGTGCTCCAGCAGTCTGCACCTCTAGTAGATGGTCACCAAAGCGACAATGAGGCCTCCCAGTACGATAGTGCCGAGGAAATTGATGATGGCTTGGCTTCTGAGGAAGCTGGGGCGCAACTGAATGGCGGTCATTCGACCAAGTCTACTGCGCCAGTAGCTTCCTCCACAAGCGCCGCGGCCGCACGTGCAATATCTCTGTCTTCCCGCGTCGAAGTCCCGGCCTCCCAGGATGACGACGATGCCACTGCTTTGCTTGACGGCTACAGCGAAGACCAGCAAGATCCGACCGATGTGTCGGCCAATCCTTCGCGAACGCCTACAACTTCAGCTGCGACCACTTCTGCACAAGAGCAACCTGACAGTGGGACCTCCATCTCGGTCTTTTCAGAGCATCTCAATTCCACTACGAAGGACAGCAATTCTTTTTTAGGCCAACGGCTTGGTGGAACTGGCTCCAGACAAGCTGCCAACAGTGAGCTTACAGATGCCGCTACACCAAGCAGACAACTGACATTTACGGCTAGTGAGGATGAGGACGACATCTATGACACAATCGACGAAGTGACAGAGGGTGTCTTCAATGCAACGCGACATTTGCCCTCTCTTGACATCTTGAACAAGAGCGAGTTCGCCGTGAGCTCCACAGCACGGCGGCGCCTGGCCAAAGATGTGTACATCCCAAGGGTACCAAAGGAAATCATTGCATGCTACTCTGCACAAGTTTTCGATGTTAGCACCCAGGATGCTTCGCAAACAGACGTAGTGCACGATAGTCTGCCTCTGCCACATCTGACGAACGAGGATCTTTCCAAGCCTTATATGCCCCATGCCGAATCATCCAGCAGTCTCACCGATCTTGGCTCCACACCAACACCACCTGGGAGTCCAATCGTGCGAGACTTCGCTCACGATCCTATACTCGTGGCCAATCATGAAACTTTGCCGCCCCTACCCAAGAAGCGAAGGAAGACGACAGGATCCACAAGCAAGCACTTTTCGCCAGACAAGCGCACGAAGCGAGAACGAGACCGTGAAGACGAGAATAACCAGGTTTGCTCCGATATGCTTGCGGACGATACTCATGGCTCAACAAAAGGTGAACTGCCGACTGGGACACAGACCACAGGTCCCACGTTGACGCCTGTTAAGTCCAAGCCCAAGGCGAAGAGGAAGACCACCGGGAAGAAGTCAGATCACTTCTTACCTACGCACCTACTCGATCGTGTTGACCTGCCTTCTCCGTCCAAGGGCCAAGGTAAAACGCCAGCGGGAGTCTCTCGAGCACCTATCCCACCAATCACATCTACGCGCTTCGGGATTATCCAAGAGAAGCTGTGGGACGAGCCATTCTGGCTGCTCATTGCAACAATCTTTCTGAACCAGACAACAGGCCGGCAGGCAGTACCTGTCTTTTGGGCTGTCAAAGCGCGCTACGACTCACCTGAAGGTCTTGCGAAAGCTGAGTTCCCGGAACTCCTCGAGATGATAGGAAAGCTTGGATTACAGAATCAGAGAGTTAAGCGCTTGATTAAAATAGCAGAAATTTGGGTGGTACAGCCTCCTGTGGCTGGGACACGGTACAGGACTATAAAATATCCCGAGCCCACGGACCATGTCCAGTATAACAGGAGGAAAGTGAAGGCCATTGAAGGGGATGCTGTGGAATGTAAAGGAGCTCTGGAGATCGGGTATCTTCCAGGCCTTGGCCCGTATGCCTGGGATAGCTGGCGTATCTTTTGTCGAGATGCTCTGCGCGGGGTGGCAGAAGACTATAACGGCAAAGGAGCTGCTGATGGTTTTCACCCGGAGTGGCAAAGAGTCGTGCCGTTGGACAAGGAGCTGAGGGCGACTTTGCGGTGGATGTGGTTGCGAGAAGGCTATATCTGGGATCACTTCACTGGCGAAAGAAGGAAGGCTACTGAGGAAGAAATGGAGCGGGCTGTCAAAGGTGAAATGGATGTTGCGGATGAAAAGGAGAAAGTGTTTGCTGCTCAAGCGGCCGGCGTCGTTGAAATGGAAGATGCCACTGAAGAGGGATGTGCCGAGGATAGTGTTGGATACATGTAGCAGGTCATGATCTCTCAGGCAATTGAATCAGGATGAGATAAGTCTGGCGCTCAGTGTCCACTCCCTCCAATCTCATGCGTACCAGCTGCAGCTACAGCATTAGCATGGCTCGCACCATGAGTATCCCAGGTCTCAGCTGGTGCAAAGTCCTTCCCATGCATCGTAAATATACGCTCCCTTTTCACATCCACACTATCAGCTTTCTGTCTCAGCGCCTCGCGAATCTCATCAACACTCTTCGTCTCCTAGACTTTCCACTCGAAACTGCTCATCGGCCACAGGATCTTGGCTCCCCCGTCTTTCATCCATGTCTCGAGACCGATTGGCGGGGGCCGGCTGGTGATAACATCGATGTCGCTTGCCAACTCATGGCAGTATGCGTCTAATGGTAGATCGTTCACATCGTCACCGAAGGGATTCTCCAATTCGCGGCCGATGGCTGCTAGGCCAATGATGATGTAGCCTGCGAGGATGGTACCAGGTATCGCTACCCACTCGAGTGTGTTGACTAGTTGGAAAGGGAGGGAGAGCACGTATGCCCACGTGATCTGTGAGATTGAGATGGAGTAGGCGATTGGCAAGGGCGTGTTGACAACTCGCTCCACGCCCGCGAGGACTTCGCTGAGCATGACGAGCATGTTTAAGCCTTGCGCTTGATGGATACCAGTGGTCAAGGTCTTCTCGACAATGACATGCTCGAAGTACGCTGATAGGTATGTGAGGATCTCGAGAGGTGTGTTGCCGAGATTATGCTTGTCGCGGGCGCGCTTGACCAGCTTGCGTGGATTCGTCTTCGCGAATGCTAGGTCGAGCCATTGACCAATGGACAACCATTTCGGAGGCTTCTCCTCACGCAGGAGATTCTGATCAGCATCGGCAGCGAGGATCTTGAGGTTGCAGACCAGCGGTTCGAGATCGGCATAATTGACCGCTGGCTCGAAACGCACTCGATGCTTCAGCGCAACAGCGAAAGCATTGAGCAAATTGATCGCAGCGACTTTCGCAAGAAGATCTTGCTTCCCAACCTCAGGCGTATCACCGGTATGTCGCTCGGCAACATGCACCCAGATAACACGTGCAATGTTCCGACTAGCGAAGAGTAATTGTGCCCAGTATTTGCGTCCCTCCATATACCTCTCATAAGCCGTCGAAGACCGAAAGGAGAGAGCAAGACCGACCACAAAACCGGTGATTGTCAGGAGCGTGCTGTTGATGCCCAGGGGAGTGACGAGCTTCGAGATGCAGACGACCGCTGAAGCCCACGTTGCGACGAAGGCGAGGGGTAGGATCATGCGTGGGAGGACGCTGCCATGGAGTCGTAGGAAGTAGGGCCATTTCGAGTGACGGTGAATGTCGCGTGGGCCGGTAAAGAGTTGTTCTATACTGTAGGGCGGGTCTTGTGGCGCCATAGTAGGTAGCAGTGGTTGGTTGAGATACTGCTTCTCGGTGAAGAAGATGATGCTGCTATGGTAGGCAGCTAGTAATGGTTGGACTTCATTCATGCCATGCAGGCTCACGTCGAGAAGTCATGTCCTGTAATAGTAATCAGTGGCAGCATGAGGCAAGTTCTCCAGGTGCATAGACCAATGCGTCAGTAGGCTTTTACATGGCAGGAGCTCGTCTTCGAGCTGATGGTGGCTTGTTGGCTACTGCCTGAGACCGGTCTTGGAACTTACGAGCCATAGCAATTGCTTCCGACGTCTGAGCTTCTAGTATGCCTGGCATTGTGACTTACTAACTTACTACCGGATCATAATCATGTTTGCTTCGTATGCTCGTTGCGGGAACCAGCCTTTCCCTCATTTCAAGCCATTTGAAAGGGTGCCCAATGGAGATCAGATTGGATGATAGATGCATATTGTACATTTGCTGCCTTTCCGGGAAACGTCTCATCATCGCCGGTTATGCTATGCTCCTCGAAACGCCAGACGCCGTGCGCTTGCCCATTTCTCCATTCACGCCAATGCCTTCTACGGCGCATACATCTGCTCGCCTTCTGGATACTCCTGCAATGTCACACCGTCCTTGTTCACCACCTTCACAAGCACACCCTTGAAGTCAATCGGTAACCGCCTCTTCAACTCGTCCGTACACATCCTCAACAACTTCATGCCCTGCTCAAAGCTGATATCCGGATGATGATGCTTGTCCAGGATGGATAGACAGTAGTACTGCGCATACCCGTGTGCCGCGTATGGCACTGGTGCTGACGACGCCAGATAATCGATCCAAAACAGCTCCGGCTTCTGCTTGATGGCGTCGTAACCTCCAAGCAGCAGATTCACTGTGTACGGGTTCTTCGACCGCAAGCTCTTGGCCAGCTCACTTCGAATGAAGGATGATACCTCATAGGGCGAGAGCTCAGAGTTGTTGCGCATGCTGTAGAGTTGGATGTTGGCTTGGGCGTAGTCGGCGAATTGAACCGTGTCACCAGCTTCGCCTACGAAGGCCATGAGGGTGTGCTTGTTAAGGGAGCGGGTCTTGTCGTCGTTGGCTTTGAGGATGGAGGCACCGCGCATGGCGGCTTTGGAGGCGGCGATGATGGTGCAGTCTGCGCAGGTGATGCCAAGGAGAACCTCCCTGGGACCATGTTAGTGGGATAACATTGTGGTTGCAGTGGAGGAGCTGCGTTACATGTTTGCGATATTGTTCTGAGTTGGATGAATCGGGTATGTGTAGCTTGGTTTGTGCTGTTATGGAGCGTCGGTAGGCAGCACACTCGACGTAGCAGAGTAAGCTAGTGTTGGCGGCTCTGCGGAGCAACGTAGCGCCGATCCAAGGCAGCAACCTTGCAAGGAAGGCACAACCCGAGCCAGAGCTCCCAAACATTTGCCAGGTTATTCCAGCACCCCAGCTTGGCACTCTCGATCATGTCTTGGCTATTACGCTGGCTGGGACACGCAAGCACCAGCTCTTTCAGCTGCCATTATTATTGAGATGCATGTGGATCCACTCGGAGGTCACGTCATGCCGAGTATCGGGAGCTCCTGCTGTCTTGCTGCTTCAGGTTGAGCACACGACAGCCTATAAGCAATCCCTTCCTTGCTCTCGCACTCCCTTTTCCATCCCCACTCTCCCTCACAAATCCAGACATCACAGTCAAAAACTCCACATCATGGACTTCATCAAGAACGCAATGGGTAATCAAGGCGGTCAGGGCGGCCAGGGAAGCAGCAACCAGATGCCACAAGGTCAAGGCCAACAGCAGCAAGGTGGTGGAGGCGGCTTCATGGACGGTCTCGGCAACAAGTTCAACAATGCCGCCGGCGGTGGAGCCGAAGGCGAGAAGAACGAAGACTACCTTGACAAGGGCGTCGATTTCGTCCAGGAGAAGTTCATGGGCCAGGGTGCACAGAACAACGAAACTGCTGTTGAGCAGGCCAAGGATGGTACGGAACGACCACGCTTTCCGCTATGTATGAACATATGAGTAAGCTAACCAGACCGCAGAGCAAATTAGCGACTTCATCAGGAAGCAGTACAAGAGCACCACTGGCAGCGACATCCCGATCAAGGACAAGCCAACAACTTTCGGCTAGATGGTCCCAATTAGACATTAACTCGACGGCCACGGCGAGGATGTGAGAGAATGAAAATGATTCTCGATACTGTAGTAGCATGTCTTACGATTATATATGCCACGCGATGTGGGTATCATGAAAATTCAATCAGCCGTGCCCATCCCATCAACCTCAACAAAGAAAGGTATTCAGAACGAGCGATCGACTCGTTGGCTGTTAGATCTCCAGCTATGCTGACAAGACCAAGCCGTTACGTTACCGTACATGAACCAAAAGCCGTTACGCCATAGCGCCATATTGCGATGAAACCCCCGTGCACCGAATAGTCGGGTCGAAGATGAATCAGCTCGCCGGCTGATACTCGTGTCATTACGAAATCCAGATGTTATTGACGTGAATCAATGTTCTGGCAGATGATCTACAAGGTGTAGACAGACTGCACACCCTCCTTGATAGCAGCCTCAAGCTCATCGACAGCGCGACGAGCGTGAGTGCAAGCACCATTGGGACCATTGCACTCCTTCTCAGCAGCCTTAATCTTCTCAGTGTTGGCACCGAATGCGACGAGGTGGGCATGAGTTAGCTCAGAACCACCCTCTTGCTCGTGAGCAAGGAGTTGAGCATCACGCTTGTCGGAGCAAGCCTCGCCGGGAACACCACAGAAGTTGATCTGGCCACCACGACGAGCCTCAGCGGAACGGGCCTTGACCTCGTTGAAAGCCTGGTGGGCCTTCAGGATCAAGTTGCAGGGCTGACCGTCCTGGTGGCACTCCTCCTTCTCGATCGAAGGGTCGTACTTGCGGATCGCGGCTTGAGCCTCCTCGACGCCACGCTTGTCGGAGCAGGCCTCGCCTGGGACACCGCAGAAGTTGATGCGGCCGCCACGGCCTGGAGCGGCGTCACGCTTGTCGGAGCAGGCTTCGCCTGGGACACCACAGAAGTTGATTTGGCCTCCACGGCGAGGGAAAGCGTCGCGCTTGTCGGAGCAAGCCTCACCGGGCACACCGCAGAAGTTGATGCGGCCTCCACTGCCGGGGTTGGCATCACGCTTATCGGAGCAAGCTTCACCGGGGACACCACAGAAGTTGATGTTACCGCCACGGCGCGCGTCGGCCTCAGCAGCAGCCTCACGACGAGAGATCTCGCCATGGGCCTTGGCAGCCGCGGCGCCGATCTTGTCGACAGCCGCCCATTTCTGGTTGCAACCCTTGGTGCCCTCGACACTGCAGAAAGCGCTGATGCCGGAGGCGGGAGGGGCGTCCTTGTGCTCAGTCAGGGCACGAGCGACGGCGGCGGCGGCAGACCGGCCTTCGTGGCACTTCTCGCCGACGACACCGCAGTGGGCGACGCTGGAGAGCTTGGCGATCTGGGAGTGGTCTTGGACGGCGGCGGCCTGGCTGGAGGCAAAGGCCAGGACCGTGATGGCGGCTCCGGCGAACTTCATGTTGGTTGATGAAGTCTTGGTGGGATTGTGTTGGGTTGAAGTGGGATGAGTGTGGAAGTGGGATGAGACAGTCTTATGATCGAGACTAGAGAATGTTCGGGAATGTGTAGTCGGATAAAAGAGTGACTTGTGGGTGGGGTGAGGAAAGACGCAAACGGATGGAGCAGTATGAAAGATATAGATATCGATGTTCCGAGGCGAGTGACATGGGCTGGATAGAGTGTTCAATAAGCTGTGACATAAAGAAAACTTACTCAATAAGGCAACTGTTTCTCGACAGCAAGGTCGTGTCTGGCCAATGAGATCCCAAGTCACCTGTCAATAGGAGGCCCTTTCAACAGATCCTATTGAGGTTGACAATGGAGATTGCACCGCAAATGTGTCAGATGGGCACGAGCTGGTCGTGGTAGTCGGTGGTCCTGTCCACCAAGACAGCCGGACAGACGCTGGGTACCGGTCTACAACAGCTCGAAAAGTCCAGGCCATTAGACGATGGTCTTGGGTGGGTTACTCCAGGCTTATGTACTACCTGGTGAGAGACCATGCTCTCCGGATTTCCAGCGTGCGTAAGCCTCTTCACCCGGCGTGGTCTGCGTCCATTCGTGGCACGTACGCGCGGATCGAATACAGTGACCCTTGTGAATTCCATTGTAAGCCCACTGACACGTGGATCGGTGGCGTCGGCATGGTGGCCATACCATACCGCATTCTGGTCTCAATAAGAATTTCGGCTGCTCGCTTGCCTGCGCCGACAGCTTCGTCGATCAGTGTGCCCTCAAGATGTACCGTTCTCGGTGACCCATGTGGCTCAAAAGGCTTGAATTACTATCACTGTCGTGTAAGAACTCATGCTGAAGCAGATCAGATTGTAGCTCTTGAGCATGCTGTGTGAGTATTCCCGACATCAGCTTCTATCACTTGGTACTGTATAAGCGTGCGGGATTGGCCAGAGAACGATCTTAATTGGGACAATAGCGCTGATCAGCATTGCTATCAAATCCTGTTCAACCTTGTCACGGCATTGCGGTACACCTTGTGGTGTGTTTTGAGGTGACCAGATGGTCTGTTGCCATCGTGGAAATGTCGTGGTTGGACTTGTGAGTGCCTAGAATCACACTGCGTCGTGTGAGCTTTCTAGAGACAGCTACATACTTGGGAGTAGCGGTGTTGGTGTCAACATCTGTGTTGCTGTCGCTGTTGATGTTGTTGCACACCCACCTCTTCCGCTCATGGTTGCCGCTTGTCAATCGCACGGACCACCTCGTCTCGCCGCTCGGCGTTACTATAGAACTGTACAAGCAAGCTCGAGGTCAAGTTTGCATGTGTTATCGCAACGAGTAGCCTTCTACCACCATCCGCACGCCTTCAAGATGTTCGCCAAAAGCTCCCAGCGGACGGCTTCGGTACGATATACTCATGTAACAGCCATTGGATATCATACTAACTTGTATCGTTCCTGCAGGCCCTGTTGCGAAGCACACGAACACAATGCACCTCGAATCCTTCTATAGCCGCACGATGTTCGATATCAGAGATCCCGATGCCATTGCGATCTACTAATACTTTATAGCATACGCGACGGTCAACACCGACATCTTCAAGCCCACCAAGTTCGGAGGCAAATATACTGTCACCCTCATCCCAGGTACGAAAGTCGCAAAAGCAAAAAAAGATGGAGATCATCAGGCTGGCATACTAAGACGATTGTTGTACAGGTGACGGTATCGGTGCCGAGGTCTCGGAATCCGTCAAGACCATCTTCAAGGCCGACAACGTACCCGTAGAATGGGAACAGATCGATGTCTCCGGCATGCAAACCGGCGACAAGCACACCGAAGAGCTCTTCCGCGAATCCGTCTCCTCCCTCCGAAGAAACAAGCTCGGGCTCAAGGGCATCCTCCATACCCCCGTCGACCGCTCCGGTCACGCCTCCTTCAACGTCGCCCTCCGCCAGGAACTCGACATCTACGCCTCCATCGTCCTGATCAAGAACATCCCTGGTTACGAAACCCGACACAAGAACGTTGACCTCTGCATTATCCGTGAGAACACCGAGGGCGAGTACTCCGGCCTCGAGCACCAGTCCGTAAGCGGCGTTGTCGAGTCCCTCAAGATCATCACCCGCGCAAAGTCAGAACGCATCGCCAAATTCGCCTTCTCCTTCGCTCTGGCCAATAACCGACGCAAGGTGACTTGCATCCACAAGGCCAACATCATGAAGCTTGCCGATGGTCTCTTCCGCAACACGGTCAAGAAGGTGGGAGAGGAGTACCCCACCATTGAAACAAACGACATGATCGTCGACAACGCCTCAATGCAATGTGTCTCCCGCCCTCAACAATTCGACGTGATGGTCATGCCCAACCTTTACGGCGGTATCCTTTCAAACATTGGCGCTGGTTTGGTCGGTGGACCAGGTATCGTGCCAGGCTGCAACATGGGCCGCGAAGTCGCCGTCTTCGAGCCCGGATGCCGTCACGTTGGTCTCGACATCAAGGGCAAGGATCAAGCTAACCCTACTGCCTTGATTCTGTCCGGAAGCATGATGCTCAGGCATCTGGGGTTGGATGACCATGCGAATAGGATTAGCAAGGCTGTCTACGATGTTATCTCCGAGGGCAAGTCGAGGACGAGGGATATGGGTGGGAATGCTACGACGCATGAGTTCACGCGTGCGATTCTGGATAAGATGGAGACTGCATAGGGAAGTTTAGGTTGTGCTGCGAAGGCTGATTGTGTTGTTTGCGATAGTATTGAGCCTGTAAATACGCCTGGACTGTGGAGTGTGAGCTTAGTACCGTGATACCCGCCACCTCCCGCGCTCAGCCTCACTTTTCACGTCTTCTGGAAGCCATCGACTTGTGGTGGACATGAGCGCAGCTGACAGCAGTATCTGGTGCGAGTGTTGCACTTCCTGTCGTAGAGTCTACCTCGCCTAGGCAGCCTCATCCTCCCGATGTAGGATTCCACTCCCTGTCGCCTCACGAGTAGGATAATCGGAGGCTGCCACCGATATGCAATGGCGAGCTGGAGCGCCTCCATAGGTACAGATTTCTGTACAGGGCATTCTCTTTACTCTCGTGGCACTCACATATTTACAGCCTTTGGCGTAGGCCCTGGATCATTGCTTGCTGATGGAGTACCGCGGACTCCACTTCCGCCTACGTGCTAGCGTGGTGGTATGTATAATTCATACACGTCTTGCGATACGATGAGAAATGTCGGTAGTCCGGTTCAGACAGTGCATTGGAAGGACTGATGCATGGCACATAACGAATGTGCATAATGTTCTTCGTTGCTTGCGTCGTAGAGTCGTGTTGGTTTGTAGTCCCACCTTCATCAGAAAGCCGTCTTCCTTCTCCGGCCAGTATACTTGCTCGAAGTTTTCACCACCTTCCCTTTCGCCTCCATCTGCGACTTCTTTCTCATAATCCATGCCTTGCTTCCCTTCTTCTCAAACTCCTTCCCTCTCTTCCTCTCCTTCCTTCTCGCATCCATAACGTCCACATTCTCCATCCCGCTGACCGCACCCGTCACATCGCCACCGCCCACGCTAAGAACCAGATAGACCTTCACGCTCTTCGTTTCCGGATCATCCTCAAGTATACCAGCACCAAAACCAGCCTTGATAGCCGCATTAGAGATGAGACTCCGCTGTTGAGCATTCTTGGGGTAGAATTGACACACTGCCTTCCCTCCCCGTTTCAAGCTCGCATATAAGCCATCGAAGAATCTCTTTAGTCGTCCTTCCGGCGAGACGTCGGACGTCTCAGCATTGCACAACCATTGTATTGCACTTATACTGATCGCCGCATCGAAACTCCCAGCTCTGAACGGAACCCCCTGTCCGATATCCGCCAACAACATGTCTCCCTCCACATCTCGCTCCAGCGCTTGGGCGAGCATCGAAGACGAGATATCCATCCCGACCCACGTGTGTGGTCCTCCTTCGTCCTCTTCGACGCCCGAGAGGATCTCACCTGACAAACCAGAACCGCAGCCGATGTCGAGGATGAAAGAGGGTTCTTGAAGGTCTAGCAATTCGAGAGCACGGTGGGTCATGTCGGCTTGGATGTTTCTTATGCGGGACGAAGTAGTGTATTGTCGGGCTTCTTTTTCGTTGTAAAAGAGGTCGGGTGGGAGGTTATCCTCGGGGCGAGACATGGTGGCGGTTGTGCGATGGTTTGCTATTGGAGTTGGATGTCTCCCAGAGAAACAGATCGTGTACTCGTTGTAAGTCTCGTGTCTCCATAAATTCGTCCGGTCATAAACTTGTAACAGCGTGAAGGTCGAGACCCAAGAGACCAGAGTGAAGCTTTCATAGTTTTGGATTATCGATAGCGCGCGTGGCACCTGCAGGGATGACGTTGGCGGGCCCGGCAGAGGTTACTGTGGCCTGGTACTTACACTTGTCCTAGCACACGATCATCTTTGATCGGTAGCCAAGAACACATCACATTGTATGCCAACGCTATGTGGATACTTCCTGCACTTGTGAGTCGTAACGATCAATATCGAAGGATTTCCACCATACTGATGTATGCACTTAGGGCTACCTGGGCCTCCTCCTTGGATGTGAGCGTGGGCATAGCTGTACACCACATATCCTGATCTAACGATTATGACAGTCCTCTTCTTGACCTTGGCAATAGCATCGTTGGTCTCTCCATATGACCGGGCATGATGCGAGGACTTCACCCATACTAACGAGTGCGTAGTGGCCTATACTACTTATCCGAACTGGTAGAAGAGCACAGCCGCATAGCAAAAACCACCCTAACCCGCATGATCTACGGCGTCATCGTACTTCAAGTATTCCTGGCCGCCATTGACAGGTTCCCGCTCTACCTCTCAGTCCTGAGCATCTTAAGCCACATCATCTACCTTCAAAACCTCCGCCACTTCCCAATCGTCAAACTTACAGATCCGTTATTCCTCCTGAGCTGTGTGGCGGTACTAGCAAATCATTACCTCTGGTTCCAACACTTCAGCAAACCGCCACCCGCGAGCGAGAGATTCAACTACTATGATCAACCAGATATCCCTACCTTCACGGAGATCGCATCATTCTTTGGTCTCTGCGTATGGCTAGTCCCATTCGCGCTATTCGTCAGCCTAAGTGCGGGCGAGAATGTACTACCCAGTATGGGCTCTGAGTATGCTACAGGGCAGGGTAGCAGTTTCATCAGTCCCGGGCAGGAGCCGCAGGGGATCAGTGTGGGTGGTGGGGTGTCAGGAAGGACTAGACACAAGCGAAGTAACACTCAATCCGGCATGGCTAAGGCGGCTGTGAACGGTGTGAGAGAATGGGTTGGGGAAACGGGCGAGCTCATGGGGTTCTGGACAGGAGATCGCACGAGGCCGTTGTGATGATTTGGCTCTTTTGGGTTATGATTGCGATGTGATTCTTATGTGCTTGTACTATCTTTGGCCTACAGTATGACGATATTCGTGCTTACATGTATGAGCATGCGATCCAGGACATGACGTTGCTCACCGTCCGCAGTCCTTTGGGACTTTAGCGCCCAGACTTCCTTCAACACCACGGCGCCTATTCTGGAACGTATCCTCTAACATCAGGCATGAGGCACGACACTTTTGCACTAAAAGAGGACCAAACGTGAGATTGCTAACTTCGTTTCATGATCACGTCGCTAAGTTATGATAGATGATATATACTGCAGAGGGCCAGCCGCTCGCAAAACCCATCACAAAGCGTTGCCGCCCGAAACCATGTCTCCATTCCATCATTCATCCTAATGCAAACGCTAATAAATGCTCAGAAGCTTGTTGATTGGGTATATGTCATTACTCCTCCGAAAGAAACCGAAGAGCATGCATTGCCCAAACGCCCGTATACCGTGACTTGCACAACCAAGAGTTGAGTCCCTGCAGTCTGAGCAAGCGCTTCATGCCTGCACACCATTCACTTCCACCTCAAACCCATCCTTCTTTGCCTGACGTGCTTTGGCGAGCATCAGCTCCCTCATCCAATCGATTCGGTCATCCTTGGTCTTGACTGCAAAGTGATGAGTCTTGCCTTCTTTCTGCAGCTTTCTCGCGCCCTCGCCATCTTTCTGTGCTGGGGCCGGGACAAGCTGGAAGGCGAATGCCGTGGCGTCCGTCAATTTGTCCTTGTTCTTTGTCTGCTCGTCACGGATTTTGAACGCCTTCATGGCCGCTGTGAGCTTGCTGTTCGAGGCTACGCTTGAGCAGGCCACGCTGTATTCGTCCACGTTGATGTTGTCTGTTGCGGCCTTGGAAAGGGCGTTTGGGTACATGCCCAGGTTAGTACCCTTTAGTCGGAAGTGAGCGTCTTGCCACTCGTGCCGAAGCATCTTGGTCTTGCGCTTTTTCATCCAACCTGCGTGAGTGCAGTTTGAGCCATAGCCTAGTTGCTGTGTGTTTGGGCTGTGGTGAGCTGGGTCACGAACGATAGGTAGCTTCATCTCCTCGCTGGTCATGCTCGAGCGACTGTCTCCATCACTCTTACTGCGGTGAGATGTGCTGGGTCGTGCCATCTGTAGTCCAGAAATGGGTGAGAATACTTCGCCTTCGTTCAGCGCTGGTAGAGCCATGGAAGGACGACGCCAGTAGTCTGTTCGTGAGACCGAACGAGGTGCGTTGTGTTGTTGTTGTTGACGGTACTGCATGTTTGGTGGTACCGATGCTGATGTGTCTCTCGAGATTGGTCCTGCTGGAATGGCTGTGAGTGGGACATCCATTTCTGATGCTGGGGTGCTAAGCCTGTGGACCTGGACAGGGGAAGCAGTGACACTGCGGCATACAGATGTTGCTGCTGACTCTGGTACAGCTGTGGCGAGAGCGGACCCAAGATCGGGACCAGCAGTGGCGGAGCGGGCCGGGATGTCAAGACGTGGCAGTCGTCGAAGCTGTTGGCGAGGGCCTGGAGTCTGTACTGGTAGGTTCAGCGAAGGATAAGCTTGATGATGTTGAGGTGGGAAAAGTGGCGGCACCGACTGAGAACGAGCGATGAGTTCCCGGCGTGTTTGATACAAATCTGCTGGCGGGGTAGGTGGCGAGTCGTCGAGAGGAGGCGCAGGTGATTGTAGATGTTGGAAGCTCAGGAACTGCCTTACGTTGTCCTGAGGATCACGCCTGTCCACATGGTCGAGCACATTAGCGTGGAGAGCAAAGTCAGGCAGCAGGCCAGGTCCCAATAGATCAGATGAGGCAACAATAGATGGGACAGCCTCTGAAATTGGTCGAAGCGGGTCCTCCAGTGGCAGCAGTCGAACATTCGGGATCATGTTGTCAGCTGTGGTGGCATTTCCCGGGTCTCCACGGACAAAGACTCGGCCACCTTTGCCAGGACTGATTGGGAAGCGGCCAATGCCATTCTCGTCTTTCAATTGCTGCAGCTCGCGTTGCTGCTTTCTCCACTTGGCACAAGCTTCGCCTTTGTTGCAAGTGTGTGGCTTGGGTAGGAGCTGCTCGATAGCAACAATGGAAACCGACTCTGCTGGCGTGATGATATCAAGTTTTTTCGATGCTTTACGGCCTCGGCGCTTCTTGCCACCGAGTGGTGTTGTGGGCAGGGCATCGATATCGACAGGTGTCTCGCAGGCGTTCCTGCTGCGACTTGGAGTTCGACGGTTCGCGGTGGTACAAGGTCGGCTGATGTCCTGGAATGGCGTAGGCTGTGGACTTGGCCTCGCCTCGTCGCCTCTCAGCTCGCATATGGCATTCCACACCTGGTGGCGCTTGCCAAACGAGTGGATATCGAGTTCTTTGAGCTCATCAAATTGGATGTCGCTAATCAACGCACCGTCTACATCATGACGCTCGAAACACTCGATGACATGATTGTCAATTCCGGTAGCATACATCCAGTCAACGACCTGTTGCGATGTCCAGCTTCGTACACTATCCGAGGCATCAGTATCATCATCCGAAGATCCATTTAGTGCGTTCTGTAATGCCGTTGCAATGGAAAAGTCTTCCTCCATCTGACTTTGTCGGGTTACTGGCGTAACCGTTGCTTGGGAGAAGGCGGTACCCGTTCGTGGTGGCGGGTACTTTGGTAGCAGCGGCGACATCTGTAACGCGTAGTCGAAGTCCATGTCTGCGGATGATTGAGACACACGGAAAAGATGCGGTCCACGAGGTCCCTCCACGGGCCTGAGTCGGAGCTCAAACGGTCGCTGGCTTTGACTTGAGTCTGGTGTTGGAGCCTCATCATATGACGAAAGTGTTGTTTGACTTGTTCTGCGACCATCCTGAATGCACGTTAACGCGATGATGCGAAAAGTTCTACTCTCGCCTGTACATACTGTATCAAAGCTCGGTTTTGGCGAGTAGTCTTCGAACTCGCTTTCATCTTCGAAGTCAGTGTCATTTATGTCTGACACCTGGGACAGAGGTCTGGTCGATGCTGGCCTAGATTCCATCATGGACGTCGTCTTCACTCGTTGGAACCCATCTCCTCCGCTCTGCAGAGGAGTACTGGGCGTGGCCATGTAGGACATCGTCGGTGACCCGCTTCCTAACGTTGGTCTTGGATGTCAATGCCGGAGTGTCGCCGTTAATCGTCACTGTAATTGCTGGCAAAACATACCACGTAGATGTATGCAAGTATGCGGCGTTGAGGAGATCGCAAGAAGGCCACCGTGCGCGGACAGGAAGCCTCAAGTCTTGTATACCGAGCGTTTCCCACAACGATGGCGCGCTCGTACATACCAATGTGCAGGTGCTTCATGCTTCATACCCGGCGCCAACTGCGGTCGCACCTTCTCACCGTCTGCATTAGACTGCATACTCACCTGTCTAGACCGCCAATCACTTTCACAGGGTCTGCCATTGTCCCTGGATTCGTTACTTTCGGCAACGTATCCCAGTCATGCACATCAACCCTGAGCAACGTTGATTCACGGCGGCTCCATGGCTCTGTTGCTGTCATTGGCGAGATCTTCGAGAGCTAGTAATCTAGCTTGATGTGCTAGATTGGAATTAATGTCAGCTAATTTTGCTGCTCCTTGACAACGGACGGATAGGCAGGCGGACCGAGGCGTACCCTGACAGATCTGCAAGCGAGTACTGGGTTCGGCTGGGAGGTACTTCGAGGCTCCCGTCCAGGATACTCAGGATAGTAGCTATATCATGCCGGTGATGGTACACAATCACCTCAACACAACATCATGTGCTGTGATTATACAATGCAGGCACAAAGTGGTCGCATCCGATAGTGTCTGCATATTGTTGCACAAGAGGCTGGTGTCGCACCGCTGTTTCCCGTGACACATGGCCCAGCGTGGCAGCAGCACGAGACGGCCGTCAACGTGGTCACATGAGACCTTGAAGTGGAACAGCATATGGCATGCACGGGCTCTGTGATCTGATCCCAAGCATTCGCCAGGAGCAGCCCAGCTATTCGCCGTCGATGAGTCGCACTCACGGCCAACGCTTACAGGACCGCAAATGGTGTACGGTCTCGTTCCGCCGCCCAAAGGAGCTCGGCGGAATTTGTTGGTATACTTTAGCGTGACCCGATTGTGTGCAAAAGATCTCGGATCCTCGTTGAGCAACAGAACCTCACACCCGGTAGCCAATCGATCAGCCACAACGGGCCTCTGCGGGACGATTTGCCCTCATAAATTCCAAGCTATGACTTCTTTCAGAACACTAGAGCAAGAGGCTTCTTCTCGTCCTTCTCCCCACAGCAGATCACTATAGACATGGAAGTCGATTTGCCGTCGAGTAACGACATGTGTCATGTTGCTGGCATCGGTGAGCGACGAGTCAAGCCAAAAGAGACTGAGCCACCAAGCACGGCATGATCTTGCCGCTGAGGAAAACGAGGTGTAGTGAAGTCATGCCGAAGCAAGTAAGAAAAGTGGGCTTCTCCTCATCCTCGGGCCTTACCGTCCGCCACGTTGCCATCCGTTCATGGCGGGCGAACTGCTATTCGCTACAACCTCCCGCGCTATCACATTCGCTTATGCACTTCACTTCCAATCGCCGCTCGCAATCGTCTGGTCACGTTGCTCATGCTCTTGGTTTTGGCGCCTGCCCTTGCTTGTTCCCGTCCACTTTAACCATCAGCAGATCGAGCATGGCTTTCGCACCCATTGACTCGGATGGTGGCGAACTTTGAGTCGTTCAGCGAGAACATCACGAAGCTCGAACGGTCTATCAAGGCTCGAATGTGAGGCAGGAAAGGGCACATCTTACTGTTTGATGGAACATGCAGGTCCCACCTGCTGTACACTCAGACCTGGCAGCTAGTGGTCGATTCTGCAGGATGTTGCGTGCTCTGCCTCTAGACGAATTCGGGATACGACACATCGATAGCAGGGTCAAATGGGCTGGGCCATCATCTGCAGCGTAGATCGCCCCATAAAGACGGTTCGCTTCGGGTAGGCATGCGGTAAAATTATTGAAGACTGATGGACCTGGACTCCACCTTGTCCCCAGTGACCGTTGTGCAGCAAGCGAGCACTAGACTCTATCTCCATCACCATACTGAAGATGGCCGCTTGGTGCACGTGCAAAGGGCTGGGAGTGATCTCTGAGACTCTGCCACGATCTAACCCAGTCTGTTTTACGTCCGCATGGCCGGCCCCAAGGAGTGAGTTTAGAAAAATGCACTTTTAACATGGCTACCGACACAGGGTAAATTACTTGCAGACCAGTCGGGATGTCGCACGGCGGTTACGATCTAATCATGAAGCTTGGATCCTAGTGCAGATGACATCGAGAGCAGCCACACGCTTGTGCGCGCCAATCATCAACTACAGTGCCTTCCTGATGCATGCAATTAGTGTGCAATACGCTCCACCCCACCAGCTCACGTACCACATCCAGGCAGCTCTTGGCCACAACTAAGAATAGATGAGGGCATTTTGGGTGCGTTGTCAGTCGACTGGGAGATATAAGGTATGCTCGCTGCCATCTCTTGCGAAGACAGCCATCGTTGACCGACTAATTTGCTCTCTTTCTTTTCCTCGAAGCACTGCTGGTCAGGCTTCACGCTATCGTTAATCTACCTTGACCCTGGTCATCGCCTATCCGTCCTTCCCGTACCTTGTCGCGTCCGGCCACTATCGTGACCCCAGCTCTGGAGCTCGCAGTGCGACCTTGTACATATACTACTGATGTCTACTTCCGCGCCGGCCAGCATGTCCAAACCCAACGTGAAGATGGCAGCCCCAAAGAACATGACCTCAGATGCGAAAGCAGCAGCGGCGGCGGCAAAGATGCATAGGCGATCACGTTCTGGTAAGTCTTCTCGGGTGCAGAGTGGCCGAGCTTGGACAGAATTGACGTGTTTCAGGTTGCTTCACCTGCAGATTAAGACGGAAGAAGTGCGAAGAGGGCAAGCCAGCTTGTAAGGCATGCAAGCATCTGGGTTTGCGATGCGATTATAAGCGACCCATGTGGTGGAGCAATGGCGAGCAGCGACGGCATCAGAAGGAACTGATCAAGAACGCCATCAAGCGAACTCAGCTTTCGAAGAAGAGCACCCAGGTACCGTCCGCGCCGAGTTGTCATTCACCACCGAGTCTGTGCCACTCGATCCCGACGTCCTCAGAGGTTTACCAGGATTCGTTTCCGCAGAGTCGAGCGCCTTCGGTTGGATCACCTTTCTCGTCAGGATGCGATTATCCCTATGCCTCGCCGGAGGGTTACTTCGCAATGCCGCCTCCTCCACAACCAATGATCTCCCATCCACAGTATCCGATGTTTTCGCCTTACGAGGTGGACATCAAGACTGAACGCCAGATATACATCAATGGCGAGCAGACCCGAAGAGATTCGACCGTATCAACCTTCAGCACATATCAGCCGCCGCCATTACCGAATGGCATGCCTGCCTTCCCAGCCGATAGTTGGATCCAGCAGGAATACTTCGAAAGCAACACAGAATCGCTCACGGAAGAGCCGGTGGACTTCAACTTCTTCGAGTACCCTCATGAGCCACCAACCCCGGAGCACGAAACCGTCATCAGTGTAGATGACTGCGACAAGTATCTGCTGAGTCACTTCTTCGACAAGGTCCTGAAGTTGATCTTCCCGATCTTGGAGGTGAATCAGCATGGCTCAGCACGATCCGATGTCATTTTGCCAGCACTCGAGTCGAACAAAGCATATTTGCACTGCTGTTTAAGCATCGCTGCGACACACAAGAAAGCTGCAGAGTCGATAGAAAGCGAGCAGTTGGACAACGATATTGTGAGACATCGCTACGCCGCAATATCGGAGCTTTGCGAAGCACTTGGGCGTGACGAGAAGCATTCCCAGATCCTCGAGGCGACCCTTGGCATGATCTTCTTCCAGTGCTCTGTCGGTCGAGCAGACGATGCGCTTCCAGACATCCCATGGCACCAGCACTTCCAGGCTGCGATCAGTCTGGTGAATAAGCTGAGTCTCCCGGAGGCAGTGATGGATTTGGCAGCCAGCGGCCACGCGCATCCACCGTTCAATATGGCTCTGACTGCGTGGATCGACATCCTTGGTGCCTCGATGATTGGACGATCGCCTGTATTCGCAGACACCTATCGAGAACTCAACATGGGCGGTCGAACAGGTGGACTGGCCGAATTGATGGGCTGCGAGGACAACGTTATGTTTCTCATTTCCGAGATCGCATGCCTCGATGTCCAGAAGTCCGAAGGTCTCGATGAGGTCGTCTTGTGCAAATACGTCGAGGTCTTGGCTCACGAGCTGGGCCAAACCGAGCCTCCACAAGGCACAGTGCAGAACTGCTTCTCTGCCACAGGAGCCATTCGCCCTCGCCAATTGAGCGCAAACATATCCGCAGTTTTCCGAGTCGCTGCTCGCATCTACTTGTGCTCTCTTGTTCCCGGTTACGAGCCACGGCAACCCAGTACATGCCATCTAGTATCACAATTCTCCGACCTCATGAACTTCATCCCAGCCGGACCTGACGGCTTCGACCGCTCGCTCGCATGGCCGCTTCTGATCGCAGGCTCCGCTTCCGTTGCAGCCTCTCCTTTCCGTTCGATGTTCGAAGAGCGCTGCAAGCGTCTTGGTGACGCAGCAGATTTCGGCTCCTTGGGGCGTGTTGGAGGCCTCCTGAAAGACGTTTGGCAAGCAAACAAAGACACCTTTGCGAAGGGCGACCATCGCGGGGTTCGCTGGCGCGACGTGATGCAGCAGAAAGGCTGGGACTACCTGCTCATATGAGCACAGTCGGATCACCACCTTGCATAGTGATGGCGCTCAACATTCACCGGCCATCTCTAGATGGTCGACCTATTAATTATTAGCATGATACCCAACGGCCTACCTTGTTTGTCACCACCAGTCAGCGCAACCTTGATCTAGCGCAGCTCTCAGGTTGAACGCGACTAGGTGGACAGACGAATTCGGCTACTAGCAAGTATACTTGTAGATAGCCCCAAAATCTCCAGATCACATCGATTCGCCATCTCGTGCCTTGCTACCTGCGTCTCTCCTCGTGGCGGGATGCGTGAAGATGCAACTGTCAGTACTAGTAAGACACTCCTTTCATGCAATGCGGCTGATCTTTGCATACGAGAACTCTGAAACGTCCCGTACCTCGGATAGCTGCTACCATAAATACCCGTGCTAAGGCATTGGTAATTCCGATGCTCACTCCTAGTGGTCGATCCCGAAGCAATAAGCAGCAATGCCGGCCAGACCGCGCAGAGCTTGCAATATAGCTTCGTACAAGCTCTTTTGTCCCTCGTCATCTCTATGCCATCTTAAATAATACACAGGCCCTCGTGAACGAGAGTTCGGGTCACAGTGTGGGGGAGGAAACGCGTGGAGAGCAGTCCAGATCCGTCGCCGCTTGATTACGAGACAGCGTGCAAGGATCCAGCCGTGCGCTATTCGAGTGTGACGATGAGCACATCGCGACCCATCTTCGATCCGGTTGATACAACCTTCGATCCTTCGTTACACTCGCAGAAAGACGATGTTGAATCGCCTTCGCTAACGAGTGGAAATGCCCTTGCTCGATTCGAATTCGAGCCAGGAAGGAGTAGAGATGGCACAAAGGTCCTCATGGTGGAGTGGGAGGATGATGCATCGACGCGCGACGTGCAGGGTAGTTGGGAGATCAGCTGGGAGGGCAAGAAGACGGTGCTGCCAGCACAAGAGTCTTCAGGTGAGCCTGGGGAAGAGCTGCCTGTCAACCGGATATACTTTATGCTCGGTCCTGGAGTATCAGTGCCAACATCGGTCAAGCTTCGCAAAGTCACGGTACAGTGGCGGACAAACCCATTGCCAGCCATCTTTTCACCGGAGCTCGGCGCCACTGCAAGGCAAGCCGGCAAGAAGGGTGTCTTGCATACAATCTGGGCAAAGAAGCGGTTACAGGTCCTGCAGAAGGAGATCGATGCAGAGTCAGGGAAGAACATCGAGGGCATTGGTTTGGAGATGGCGGCAGCCGAGAAAGAATGGATCGAAGACAATTTTGGAGTTACCACGAAACCTGCGAGCATTAGCACATCCGCACAACCAGACATGAGCGGCCCAACAAGTCCTCGAAGCCCCGGTGGAGGTAGACTGATGGATAAGCTGAAAGGCCTGAAGCTTGGAACGACCACACATGATCTTGGTGGACGCTCGCAGGAGAACACCACCGCGAACCAAAACCCACTGAGTCCAGAGGGCTCGGATGTCGCGGTAGGCTCATTTGGAGCATTCGCTGCTCTGAAGGGCATGCCGCCATCCTCAGACCTCGCGGCAAAGCCTGCGCAGGTCCCGGAGAATCAACGGAGAATCGCTGCACAACGACCGCCCGATTCGATCGCAGCACTGCAGTCCCAGGGCGCCGAGATGGCTTCGTTGAATGCGTTCGCCAGTGGCGGTACCGGCTTTGCGAGCATGCAGCCAGAAGATGAAAAAGCTGACGGACTTTTTGCGCTACCAATGAGTCCTCGGTCGCCAGAGATGTCGAAATCCCCCTTCTCCTTCGGCGCAGTCGATACCATGAAGTATACACAAGGAATATAACGGAAGCATGAGATACCACGTAGAGATTGAGATTCGGGTGGAGCCATGAGCTGCATCATACAATATGGTTGTAGTTGTAGGTCAAAACGCAACAAAGTTGTCCTCTTCGCAGCTTCCACCTGCCCGCTCTGGACACGAGCACGCGTTCCTTCCTCAGCAGTATACAAAGTTAGCGCCCGCTCGGGTTGCTGCCCGCTTCGCGAGATGTCGATTTTGCCTCCTTCACTCATGAAGCAACATGTAAGCCTTCCATCCTTATACCATTGTTTTGCACCCATTCCGTCCCACCGAACATGACCTGGAGACGCTGAAGGACCCACAGAGCTTGGTTGATATCATGGCCCCACCAAATGGAACTTTTTGGGTCAACACCCCCTGCCAGCACACCCAGCGAAACTTCCTGCCGACGGAATATTACAATGGACGCGTACCGCGCGACGCCGTAGAAGTACACTACGAGTTGTCCGCTGCTTGCCACCTGAAATTCATCAATTGCGGGCATCCGGTTGGATGTGGATGCTTTCCACGTCCACCACATCCAGGATTCTTTCCGGCTCAGCCATTGGTCGTGGCCTCAGATGGAGGCGCCAGGCGGCGCTTTGTTAGTATGTCAAGCATTGGCGTCTTCGTGGGCTGCGGCTCGCAGTACAATGTCTCGGAGCTCATGGCGAGGCGCGAGCACTTTCCGTCATCCGTACGCGCGGAGCTCGCGGCGGCAATCAAAGCACTGCGCGTGGTCATGCGTATGCGCGACGACAGGGTACTCCCCGGTCCCACCAAAGTCGTACTGAAGATGGACTGCCAAGATATCCAGTTGACCATGATATCGCGGATCTTCGAGTGGAAGACAACGTCCTATAAGCGTTGTCGCTCGATGGTGCCTCTCCTCGACCGCGATCTCTACTTCGATCTCGAAGAGGCGGTATGCACACTGTGGAATCAGTATGCAGTGGCTGTCCTTTTCTGGTGGGTTCCAAGAGAGCACAATCGGGACGCGGATGATCTCGCCACAGCAGCGATGAACAGAGAGGACCTGAGGATAGCTACGGCACATGCCACTCTGAAGAGGATGCGAGATCAGAAGAGGAGACGTGACGATGAGGACGAAGGGCAGTCTGCCAGGTTGAAGCGTCCTCGTATCCTGCCAGCCACTCCGGTGCTGCCCCGACCGGCGAACCTTGGGTCAAGCATCGCCCATTCCACCAGGTCAAAGTCGAATGCGATCAAACAATCTAATAACGTCGTGATTGACCTGACTGGTGACTCGGATGTCACATCTGGGCTGCTCGTGCCCACCAAAGGCACAGGTGACCAAACACAACATCACAGTCCATTGCGCCATATAGCTCCGCCGCCAAGCCGCCCAATGATCACCGGCGTGGACCCCAAACATCCAAAGAGGTCCGCTAATCACACATTACCCAGGCCCATCAGTAAGAGCACCGACACGCCAGGGATGGCCTTCACGGATGCTCAAGGGTCAATTCCACTCTGGTTGAAGCCTAGACTGCTTCCCAAAGATTGGAGTATCGGCAAGCTAGAGGCTGTAACAGATAGCCAGAGCAGTCGCCAGAGCCCGTTGCCGGTCACGTCGCTCGCTCCCACCATGAGGACATCTTCTACGGACAGTGGAAACACGATGTCTTCGTTCTGCCTGGCTCGACATGGCTCGCCCCTGACCCTGTCGCCCGTACCCGACATCACGACTGTGAAGTCGGTGATCAAGAGGATCATACCTGCTTGGGCACAATCACGGACAGCAAAGGCCTTGAGTAGATTCCAGGGTCTTGGTAGAGCTGCTGGACCTGCGAAAGCGCAGGAGCTAAAGCCCACTAAGCTTGCTACAGCTTTCTCTGAGTTCGTGGTTTCAGAAGGCGCGCCACCAACGCGGTAGTCGGCTAAGAGTGCTTCTACCTTCTCACCAGCACAGACGATGCCAGCACAAGACTGCTTAGCAGTAACGATTTCGCTAGAGCGTCGTCGATCTGGGCAGTGCACGGATGAAATGGCTGGAGTCATGGAGGTGAAGGTCAGCAGTGGAGGGCGATGCAAGGATGGCAATCATCACAAGCAGGATGAACAGATTGTACGGTTGTACTTATTCTACCGCATCGTCATCGAGTGTCACTAGTCTTTTCTTCTTGCGTTTCGTCTTCGTAGGCGCAGTTTCTGCATCAGTACCTTCATCTTGCTGCGCGGCAATAGGCTCGGCAACATCGTCTTCTTTCCGCTTCTTCTTCTTCTTCTTCTTGGTGGTCACCTCGTCAGCCTCACCTTTAGTAGCCTCAGCTTCATCGCCAAGCAACTCAACCCTTGCCTTCTTTTTCTTCTTTCGCTTGACCATAGTACCTTCTTCTGGCATATCCCGAAGCCGTATCCCTTCTTGAGCACGTTGCATTTCGAGTCTTAGCCGTTCGACTTCCTTGATGGCCTTGGACATTTCGTCCTCCTCTGCTTGCCGACGCTCAATGTCGATTTGGCTAGCACTGTTACGGGTACTATTATCCGAAAGTGACAAAGCGGACAAGCCACTGCTGTCGACTTGAAGCAATGACTTCTGCGAGCGTGATAGCATCGACTTTGATAGACTAGCTGAGAGCGAGGTAGATGTTTGGTCGCCCAATGTCTCATCACCAGCAATCTCGAAATGCTTCTTCGGCTTCCTGGCAGGGGGTGCTCGTTTGGTAGGCACGGGTCGGTTGGCCTCAGATCCACTATCGCCTAGCTTAAGCTCCATGACAGGGATAGCATCGACATCCAGTTCTTCGCCATTGGCGTTACGCAATATGTTATGTATGGGCGTTGACCTCCCCGAAGCACGGTCTGGGTTGATATAGTACGGATCATCCCGGTTGCGGTCTCTTCTTTCTGCTTTCTTTCGTAGCATGGCATCGCGATCCGTTGGCTCGACATCTGGATCTTGCTGGTATGAAGATGATCTGCTTGACCCTGTCGGCTCGCCCAACAATTCTGCAGCAGGTCTCTGTTGACTGCTCACTGCTACCGCAGAAGGCTTCTCGTTGTAGAACTGGTAGACATCATTTGCATCATCATCGAAGTCAGTGTCCAATTCTGCTTGAACCAGGAGCATTTGCAAATTGGAATTAATAGGCGTGTTGAGATCTAGCTCTGCTGGTGTTGGTACGTTTCGTAAAGCTGCAGCAGCTACAGGGTTCAGTTCCATGCCCGTGAACAGAGCCGGGATAGCCTGAGTAAATAGCAGTGGCGGGGCAGTATAGCCACCACTGTCACTCCCAGTCTGTTCTGAAGAAGCAGCTTCCGCCGCCAACCGCATCAAGTCCAGGTATTCTACAGCCCGTTCCTGCACTTCCAAGTTCGCATGATGTACAAGCGGCTCCAGGAAATGTATGACGCGCGCTGTCAGTAATGTTGTATTGTTTTGCTGTGACTCTGTCCACGCGCCTTGATGCTGAGCAACAAGTACTGCGAACACCTTAGGTATAGCCTGTAGGTAGCTCGCTAATGTCGGGGCCGGTAGATTCGCACTCGAGGTATGTGCAAGAGACGTCAGAACAGCGTCTGTGTCTGGGAGCATCGAAGCATACTCTCCTGCTATGAACGCAGCAGCACTTAGCACACCTTGACCAGCACTGCTGCCAGTCGGGTAAATTTGCTCTCGTTGATCGAGCAGTAGCAGTGATTGAGCGGCTGCCGCAGCCTCGGGTCGTACAGCTTTGACACGAACAGCTACATTGAGAAGCTCGTCGCCAACCCGGTCGGCCACGAAAGTAGACGCGTCAGCAAGACCATGTTGATGGTGCGCGCCGAAGCCGCCACTTGCAACAGAGGCAGGACATTGCTTGACCAAGTCCACGAGGACACCTATGTACCATTCGAAGTCGTTCATCCTCGCATATGTATCGCGCGAGCACATCTCGAGTATGCGCTCAATGACAGATGCACGATAGTCATTGGGCAAAGGAGGTGCTTGGGCAGTATTCTGCTGCTTCGACTTGATTGTGGCCTGCATATCTTCATCGTCCTCATCAGCTAGAGGTTCTATGCCTTCGTGCATGCCTCGATCGTGAGAGATATCTGACTCTGTAGGTGCCTTGCCGGCGGTCTTCAATTGTCGTAAGAGACGCTCGACAACACCTTGCAGATTATTCGCGTTGATCATGCCAACCACCAGGTCTAGTGCTCGGGTGCGGATGGATATATCTGCGTCATCAATGCACTCCAGTATCACATCTGAATGCTGGGAGACCAGATCTGCATGCGATGCGGTGATCTTGGCGAAAGCTAGCAGTGCCACATATCTCAAGTTCGGGTCGCCTTCCACTACTAACATAGCTCTCAGCTTGTTGACGCATAGCCTTGCTACTTCGTCGCCCTCTGTGGTACCTTCCGCCGCTTCCATGATGCCGCCTTGTATGATGCCGTTGATACATTCGTACAGCAGACTCATGGCAGGAGTAGTCTTGATGATCGAGGTCAGGGGTGGCAACAATTTCTTGACGAGACGAGGCTCAAGTGGTGTTAGGGTCGAGAAAAGCTTGATGATCTTGATAGCCATCCAGTTGTTCTTATCGGCGGTCAATAGCTCGAACAGTCGGGGTGCGAGTGGTAGGAAGTCCTGTGGTCGTCTCCATCCAAGCTCGCACACAACATTGATTATTGCAGCAGTGACGCTAGCATCCTCGGTTTCGTCCAGTAGTCGGTCCTTGATCTTCGGCCATGCTGGGCGCAGAGTCTCCGGATATACGAGTGCTAGGCGGTACAGAGTGACGATGGTCTTCTTCCGAATGGCGGGATGCGAGTGCGACATTCGTGGTAGCAGATCCGCGAGCAGACTGTTTGCCATCGAAGGATTGATCACATGTGGGATTGTGGTCAACACCAGAGCAATGGTCGCCTTGTCCGGGCTACCAAGATCCTTCTTCAGCATATTCTCAGCCAGCATCAGGACCTCTGTATCGGGCCTAAAGCTTTGCACTGCTGCAAGATATCCCACCCTCTTCTGCACATACTTCGCACTTGACATAACCTCCAGCACATTGAATGAAGCCCAAGACATATCATGTCCGAACATCTCCAGGTAGATCAACTTCAGCAACGCCGTAGCCTTCTGATCCATATCCTGACCTTTGACCTCGATGCGACATTCTTGGAGTGCCTTTTGAATGTACTCTCGCTCATTGCCTTTGTGAGCCCGTAGGCCACGAATGAGCTGGTATATGTCCTTCTCGAACATGATGAATGCCTAACGAGCATGACCTGGCCAAATCTCCTCCTCTGCAGCCTGCTATGCTACTCCAATACGAACTCTTGAATGATGGTCGTTGTATCGCAAGCATGATGCTGTTTCAAGGACCTATGTCTCTGCCATCGTGGAGGGTCGTAGCCTGCGAGACACGAGTTGCTGCAATTTTGCTGGGTTTATTTCGAGGATAGTATGATTGTCTGAACAATCACTGACTCTACATCTCATGCATTCACCTACATCCATCATCTTGAGATCTACATTATGGCGTACTTTATGTTCACTTCCGTAGAATAGTGGGGCTGCAGATCGCCAGCCACGAGCTACGTGTGGCACACTGTGCTCCCATCTGTGACTTCTCGTCATACCTCGCGGCTGGTATCTTGGACATCGAACATGATCCAAGAACAATGGCGATGGAGGTCGACGAGCCAGTACGGGCCACAAGTGCTCGCAAACGCCGGCTGACACAACCTCTCGACGAAGACGAGGACGAAGGTCCAGACTGGTCACACTACGACGCCACAACTGCATCGAGCAAGAGGTCTCGTGCAGGTGCCGGCCATGCTGTCGAGCGACGAAGGGTACGAGTCGATACTCAAGCCTTGATCCGGACTTTTGCTTTTACAAGCCTCAATGTGACATTCAATTATAACTGCTACAACCCAACCACGTCTCCTACCATCATGTTCTTGCTGTCCGGAAGCAGCTACACGACCTATCTGTCGTATTGGTAGGACTCGCGCGACCTAACGTGTAGACGGCACATATGCTTACAGAAGCAGCGATATGATTCTGCGATCGACGACGTACGCTCCAGACTTACAGGCCCTGGCTCTGGTCGTCCACGGCACGCCCGCAGATTCTTGGACGTTCAACAAGCTCCTCACCCAGATCCTGCCAATTCACACAATCGATGCAGTCCAACTTGAGGCAGACGAGAGCCTACAAGACTTTCTGGCAGCATATGCTGGACCATCAGATCTTGTCACCTTGCTCGATGCCGAAGGCAACTGTATATGGGACAGCTGCGAACTGCATGAGCGGCATACGGGCGGCTCTACCGAATCTCGTTTGCATCACATTGAAGCTGCTATAGCATCCAACTTACGCAGTCTGAAGACTGCAGAAGACATGAAAATCGCTATGTACTAAGCATGCGCGACGGGCGGCTTGTGAACAGATTGAATCGAATACTGGGTGGCTTCGCGTTCAGTGACGCACTGCTTTCAATGCTGCAAGCCACCAGATGTGTATGCAGTAATTGGTAGACGGTATCATTACACTGAAGACCATGCACTGCGTACTGTGATTCCGCCAATGACATATAGCGTACAGGACTTATGCTAACCTTCGTGGTTGCCAATGAATGCACGCCGCACAAACACAGCCTGGCAATGTCCATGCCATCTATACACTTCGCCTCACTTAACGCACATTCTGCTGCCTGGCCTTGTGCTTCTCGGCAGCCCTTGACTTCTTCCACATGTCCATCATGTCTGTAAAGTCTGCCTGAAGTTCAGGGTGTATGTAGTTCGGAATGCTAAAGCGGTCCAGATAAGTACTCGCTACTGGCGGTACAAGTCCTTGAACGACGTCGTCGAGTACCGCTTCAGGCCTTTCCTCGTCAAGCGTTCGGACGAACTTGCTTGACCCGTGCAAGTCTTGCGCCTCAAGACCATCTGCCAGAAGGTGTCCAGAGCCCCCATCAGCTTTCGTGGGTGAATGTTCTTCTGACGCCTGTACCACCGACACACTACCTGATGACGACGAGGAAGACGAAGCATCCTAATCATCATCATCGTCCTCCTCCTTACCCTCCTTGCTAGCATCTTTCCGAATAGGAATCTTGATGCCCTGCGCTGCAAACCGCTTGCTGAGCGCAGTGCTCTCAATGACGCCAGGAAACTTCTTCGCCGAGTAGACCTGAAAAGACTCGGAGAAAACATGAGCCAGCACGGGAGCAACACCTCTATTGAGGCCACCGCTGGCTTGTCCGACATCGATGAAGTTCATGCGTAGCCGAAAGTTGCCTTCTGTTCGTACGGACAGGTCTTGGAGCACGAACCACCATGCCGCGTGCCCCTTGTCGTCGGTGAGTTTAGCTGCGTTGACTGTGAGACTCCCGATGAGATTGCGGGTGAACATGGTGTGTTGCTGTGGCATGGCCATCGTGCCCGGGTATTGTCCGGCGGCCATTGGGTAACCTGGAGGTGCTCCATACACTACTGGCTTGTTAGCATGATTGATCTCGCTTGTCAAGAGTGGTAGCGTACTGATTGACTGCCTTTCGGGTATCGGAGGATACGAAGTCGTTGTAGCAGTACTGATGCTAGCGCTTGGAGTAGTATTCGAAGCACGCACAACGTTCACTTCCCGATCTGCATTTTCGTTCCAGAGATCGACTTGCAGTACGAAGAACGACCCATCTACTTCGTCGCAATCCACTTCCTCGCCAGTCTTGAGATCGTAGACGATGAGTCTGATGCATGGTGGCGGCGTAATAGGGCGTCGATCCTTGTCTCCGAAACCACACATCCGAGCACGCTGTGGTTGTTGCATGACTTCCAAGGTAAACTTGTACTTGTCATTCTGCCCACTTCGCGTCAATGGTATGCGAGGAGGCGCGACTGCTACCGGAGGAGGTACATTCTGGGCTTGCATTGGTGGCGGGATATGCATCTGTGGATGTGGATGGCTGAAGTAGTTACCGGTGGGCAGAAAGGACGGAGGCAGAGGTACTGGAGCTTGGTTGTAGTGGGCATGAGCAGGCATCATACCGGGCGCACCCATGGTGCTCATACTATGAATGGGTGGCAATGTTGTTGGCTTCTGGTCCTGCTGTTGTTGTACATGAGGATGTGCTTGCTGCTGATGGTACGGATGTTGCTGTTGAGGCGGAGGTTGGCCATATTGTTGCTGTGGTGGGTAGCCATGCGGTTGCTGCTGTTGCTGGTAGCCCCCATAGTATTGCCCTCCCTGCTGATATGGATGCATGTCCTCGGTACCCGGTTGGTTCACGCCGTTTGAGATGTCACCGTTCGAGTGAAGATGATTGGATTGTACCTGGATTGGATGACCGTGGTAATAGCCTTGCTGCTGGTACTGTACTTGCTGCTGTATCATCGTTGCTCCAGCTCTTTCCCGTTTCTGTGATCCAGTCGAGTGCTTGGTGTGTCACCTCAGGTCGCTGTTACTGTTATCGTGGGTACGGGAAGCTGCAGATGGTACAGACAGGCGGGCGTGGTCCGGGTACTGGCAGTAATGACCCGGATGAAACACGAATGGCGGACGACTTTGCGCTATTGCAGTGGTAAGCAACGGATCACCACTGAGAGGGGACTGCTCCAACCAGGTTCCTGGATCGTATCGAAGTTTAATACCCACAGCCACGAGGCCTCAAGCCACCCGATCACGACACTTTGTCATGCTCGTCTGACAGTATATGGTGATAGTGGCAGGGCATATGGAGAAGGCGCCAGCCCCGACGCAGGATCGCGGAGAATACAAAAAAGGCGAATGCAATGGCGGAGGAGCTTGTTTCAAACTACCAGTCGAGTAGTACAGCGGCGCAGTATCTGCAGCTCGCGTCAGTCGCTGGCTCTCTACAGGCTGTCGCGGCTATCGGACGCTCACGTGTGTTTGCTTGCTGTGTTGCACTGATTTGATTTGATCTGGGCGAGGCCGAAGAATGTCGATCTCCAAACAACCACGTCTGTGGTTGCGACTACAAACAAGACGAGATGCAATCGGATCCCCAGAAACGACTAGCCCACCCACAGCGCCGGTACAGATTAACAAGTGGCAAAGCGCAGATATGTGCAAGCGAAGGCAAGAACGAACGATGAATCACACTGACCGGAAGCGTAATACAAGACATGCGATGCTAGTCGCGAGACAGCCCACCATGCGCCATTGGGCCCGATGACGGGTCTGCCGGACGGTCCCTTGTCCCGCACCTTGAGCTAAACCATCAGATCAACCAGTCGGCGCCGCCACCAGATGTCCGCTGGGAGGCCGGACAAGACATAGCTTACCTAGCGTGCCATCTGCGTGGGCCAGATGTCGACAGCCTGATCGCCCCTAGCCTGCAATGGACATCCTGTTTCAGAGGCAGATCTGCTGTAGGTCGTGGCTGGTCTTTCCAGCCGTCTCCCCTTCGGCGCAGATCTCGAGGAAGAAGACTTGGACGAGATCATGCCGTCTGAAGAATGCAATGCAAGTGAACGCAGCCGGGAAAGCAAGTGAAGTGACAGGTCCCAAAAGCCAGGTACAATAACACGGCAGATCAACCACAAACCCACCCGCAAATCACTTGTTCCGTAGGACATCCCGCCACAATGATGCCTGGCTGTTCATCGCAAACCTGAATCGGGAAGCTCTAATTCAGCCAAAAGCGACAATTTGCGGCGACCTGTTTTACCCGAGCTCCATGCAAAGACCCGACAGAGTGTATCTCAGTCGCAGATCATTCGACAGGTCTCAGAGGTCTCTAGGAATCACCGAGATCGACCGTTGAACACCAGATGTGGTGGGGAAGAGATCTGTCTCACCTGCCTGGAAGGTCATGATCTCCAGCTTTGCATGTAACTCAGTCGAGTCAGTCAGGTGTGGATCTTGATGCCCGAGAGCGATGCGCAAATGGTCCGGGTCCGGCTGGGATCATTAGACCATGTATGGAACATGTCGCATACCTCCAGCGACAGAATACACTTGCCTACTTTCATTACGTGACTCCTACCCCCGTAGATGGGATCTTATAGATCAGTCCATTGGGTGTGGCTGGAGCCGGACAAACAGTCACGCTCTCTGATGCCTGCGACGCATCAGTCTGATAGTATCTGGCACTCCTGGCCGTCCTTCGCCAAATATGCAGGAGCACATGCAACGAGCTTGTTGGAGGGTTTGCGATACCTTCGATATTGACAGTAGTCGTTCGGGAGAGTGCCGACTTGGGAAAAAATCAATCATTTATCTAACATTGGGGTGATTCAGATGAGGCGGAAATTTTTCTCGATGAAGGCTCAGAGTATACATGACCGAACGCAGAAAGCGGTGCCAACTTGATGATGAAATGGGGTGAGGTTAGATGTACATGAAGGGTTTTGCGATGGCATGAAGCAGTGTACAGGCTCTTGAAAAGGATACAGAGGTTACCGTAGCAATCTGATGGGAAGAGATCTTACATAACCAGGTCCAGTGTCCAAGTCAAACATTCTGACTATGCTGCCCTGTGGGTGTTGAGATGGGCGTGCATATAGAAGACGTACCTGCCAGATACGGTCATGGCGGGGCTTTTGTGACGTCAGAGGGGTCAGTGAATTGCAGCCTTTCGCAGCTTCAGCCACAATCAAGGCCAGTTGTTGCTTGCGCCAGTAGATAATCCGAAGCTTCTCAGAGAAAATACTCTATCTGCGGTGAATTAACACTGCCAATTCCAGATCACGACCGTACCGCCACGAACAACGGCACAATGTCTGGTAAGAACGCTCCGCAATCCTCACAAGAACGATGATATCCTAACAAAACCAACCCAGCCCCACCAGTAGACTACTACGCCTCCCTCGAGATCGACTCCAAAGCCACTCAACAACAAGTCCGGGACGCCTACAAAAAAGCCGCTCTCCGCCACCACCCGGACCGCGTCCCCGCCGACTCACCTGAGCGCGCAAGCCGAACTAAGAAATTCCAGCAGATAAATGATGCTTACTATACCCTTTCCGACCCAGGAAGACGTAGAGATTACGATGCCTCGAGGAACATGTTCCATGGTTTCGGTGGAGGAGCGGGAGCGGGCGCAGGAGCAGGAGCTGGTGCAGGAAGACAGGACGCAGATGAGGAGATACCACGACCCGATGCTGGCAGTGGTGGTGCATTTGGAGGGATGCCAGGAGGATTCCCCTGGTCCTTTTTCGGCGGACAGGCGAAGAATGACGAGGACGCGAATCGGTACTCCAACGAACAATTCGGTGGTGTTTTCGAGGAGATGATGCACGACGAAGGTATGACTGAAAATGGGAACCAACCTAACAACAAATTCTGGTCCTTGGTAGGAGGCGCTTCAGGAGGGGCAATGGGTTTCATAGTAGCCAATCTACCCGGTGCGCTGGCCGGAGCTGTGGCGGGAAATAGACTCGGTGCGATCAGGGATAAGAGAGGAAAAAGTGTGTACTCTGTCTATCAGGAGTTGGAGCAGCCGGAGAGGATGAGGTTGCTGAGCGAGCTTGCTAGCAAGGTTTTCGCGCATGCTATCAGTTGAGAGTGTTGCCGAATATGATGCGCATTTTGTATTGGCGGGCGGGCGTTAGGTCATCGAGAGGATACTAGATACCATGGGCATAATAGCGTTGGCAGTCGCAAGAAACATCTTTATCTTTGTATCTTCAGGGTATCTCTGTCTAATGCGTCCCGTGCAGCTTTCAGCTCGATGGCACTATAACCGTCCCAGCCCTTCTCTCCTGCCGTCCCTCTTCGGACAATCTCACCCAACTTAGCCGTCGCCAACTCGTTGAGCTTCCTGACAGAAGCCAACGAAGGAGGCGCCAGATCTCCTGTAGTCGGATCGGAGACTGTGAGCTGGGACTTCTTAGCTCCGTCCAGCGCCGTCAGCAGCCGTCCTGTAGTGATCTTGAGCCCAAGGTATCCTCTCAAATAGTCGTCACAAAGCTCAATACTCCGACAGAACCTCCTCATACTCTCCGAGAGTGCCTTCAGCTGCTCGCCACCCTCCATCTTCTGCGCACTCATGTACGTCACCTCTGCCAACCTGGCATGCATATTCCACGCATTAGGCGTCACAAGCAGAACCTCCTCGAGACAGAAGATAGCCTGCTCATAGGTGCCCTGCTGTGCGTATAGATCTGCGAGTTCCGCCCAAGCCTCAGCATCAGTGGGGCTGGCATCGACGAGACTGACCAGATCTCCGATAGCATCCACAGGCCGACCAACACTCTTCAACAACGCCGCTCGCCGCTTGCGCACACTGAACAACGCCGGATCATCCTTCAGCAACTCATCATACCTCTTCATCACCTCCTCCAATTCATTTGTATCTTTCGCTGTAGCCTCCTGGTAAATACCTTGCAATGCGACTACGTGCTCGTTCGTCTTGCCGAAGCGGTCGGTGAGTTCTTCTAGGCAGAGGTATGCGGCATCGTGATCACCTGTTCGTAGTGTGGCGAGAAAGATGTTCTCGTATGTCGCCCATTTCTCCTGGGATTCGGTGTTGAGGAAGAGAGAGAGTGGGTACGGGAGGGACCAGCCTTTTTGGGAGGTGAAGAAGGATTTGGCGTTTTGGGAGAGGGCGAGAGTTTGCCGGGGAGTGGTGTTTGTTGGTCCTTCGAGGAAGTTGGTCGCCATGATGGCGGTTGTGGCAGGGTTGTGTATTGTTATGGTCGTAAACCCATCGTGGAAATGTTGTCAGTGTAATGGTGCATGTGAATGTCGAGAGCTTGGAGATGTGGCTCCTGGACCCACCTCCGTCGAGGCATCCTTTCCGCTCACTTCACTCTTTCACATGCCTTGCACGAGTCATAGTAAATACAACCATCGAGATCATGCATGACAGGCTCGTACCAGATCTGCTATTCACATCTAACATATCGCTGCGGTGATGCCCGTCCCTTCAGAGCGCATCGCCAATTTACAGACCAAGATATGGAGCGGCTCACTACCTCTCGAGATCAGACTCGCGGCCGCAGACTGTCGTACATATGATCAGTCCGAGCCATACATAATACAGTACCCACGACTGTCATACTTAGCTTTCCTGTTGCCACGACTGTACAGCTTCTTCGCCACCTCGCTCATTCACCCTGACATTTCAGCTCCCGAAGCATGGCTCTCCTTCGAGGATGTGCCCCTAAAGTGGAACCATGCGGCAGGTCTGCTGTATGATCTATACTCTGGAGCCGATCCGGTCAATGTCGAACGCCTTGGCGTTATCCAGTCCAGCTCTCTGCACGGCCAGATACCAAGTACAGTCTCGTCTGGACCTCTGCCGTGGCGGTTGACTGTACATTATTCTGACTTTCCACATGATCAACTGATCCAACTAGACTTGGATGGTAGGACTATGCTCGATGCCTTCATCAATGCCGTGAAGGAAGCAGATTTCATCCGAAATGGTACGGCGAGGACCGTTATGAGCCTGAGCAAAGAAGACTCAGACAGGCTGTGGTTGGCAGTGCGCACACGTATGTCTATCGTTCTATGTCAAGCGCTATACTGACGATAAAACAGATGACCGCACTCTGTTCAACTCCATGAACACAAAGCTTCTCAACCCACCAGGCCTCGAGCTACGCCACGTCCCAATCAAGGTCTACCTCCCGACATCAGCATCTCAACCGGCTTCAGACACGATACCAGAAGAAACGACGATGGCTACAGCAGGTCACATCCGGGTCGTACAGTTCCTTGCACCACTACTTTTGCCATCAAAACACCCGCAGACTCTTGGCACGGCTTTGAATACTGCTCTGCCCACCATCTTTCCGAGCAGACGGAACCCGCTGCTAGCACAGCCTGTACTTCACGGTGCTGCTGTTCCGATGGTGGCGAACCTGGAGGAGCTTAGTCGGGCAGTCGCCTACACCGACGGGTTCTTGCATGTAGCTATTGTTATGCTTGGCTGAACGACCTAAGCAGATGCCAACACGAGAATTGGAACGCTTCTCAATGATGATCCGGATATCAGGCCTGCTCGATTGATCTTGATCTTTTAACGCAGCATAGTAAGCTCCGGTGACCATTATATCCGGTGTGAGTAAGAATCCGTGGCAGGGCGAATCGCACTTCGCGTGCTTGCGCTTGTGCCACATCGCTGTTACCACATCGCCGTTGCTAAAAACGAGCGTCACTTGCAGCTGTGGCAATGGCACTCGAGACACAGAGCTCGCCCACTTCACCTACTCTTGGTTCTTACTATAACTCTTCCAAATCAACATAACTCAACCACGAGCACATTACCTTGTGAATTGTCAACACATCTTAATATGGCACACCAACATCAATCGCCGGCTCTCACTCAACGAGAGTGCGCCTCAAAGCCACTCACGCTACTCACACTACCGCAAGAGCTCCTGGACATAATCTTCGACTACGCTTATCTAGGGCATGGTGCTGCCAAGCATTTAACTCCAGATATGTGGAAGTGTCGAATGGCGCAACGACGTACTGGGGCAGACCTCCCAAGCACGCGCCCGTTTCCCGAAATCGTTGTCGACCGTTTCTTTGTCTCCAAGTTATTCTTCGGAAATGGCCTCAAAAGCCTACGCAAGGAATTGTGAGTTCACAGAGCTCAGTATGATATGCAGTGCACGTCCAGGCAGCATCCTATTTGAGCACACTTCGCATATAAGGACAATTGCGTGCACATGCTTCATAGTCATGAACCTGCCAGATCTCAAGCATCTCACGCTAGAGATCGAGGTCAGGGTGTTCGATGAGTCGTCGGAGCATGACGCTCTCACTCGGTTCTTCTCAAAAGCAGATCTCAAGTCGCTCCCGCTCTTCAGAGCGCTGGTCAAGCATATCGGTCCCCAGCATATCACGGCTGTGTCTGGCTCGAACGGATCCTTTGTATGGCTTCAGAACGTGGCAGCTCTGGAGAGAATCGTCAATCTGACTTTGGAGGTGACTGCTCCCGAGAGAGACAAACGCCGAGTCAAGGCTGACCAAGACAAGCGAAAAAATGGCGTTCCTCGCTTCGCGCACCAACCGGGCAAGCATGGATGGGCGGGAAAGTCCTGGCCGCTGGACTTCGGTCAGGTCGGAGCGGCCAACATCCTCGGAAATGGTGTTCGCTTTTCACAAGCCCCTACCGACCACCACAACTATTTCGAGGCCTCGGCCAAAGGCATCACAGCTGCTAAGGTGGACGAATTGAGGCAGAAGAGGGCTGCTTTAGTATCGCAAGGCAGACGTTCTGTGGCTCCCGGGGTTGATCCAGCAACACAGACACTCACCAAGGACACCGAAAATCATGGCAAGAATTAAGGGCCATTCAAGGAGACGCTGGCTGTGAATATCGAGAAGGCCGCAGTGGTCGCAGAGGCGAGTGATCGTAGGCAGAGCGACACCGCAGCTTGCGCCCGATTCGGTGGAGCCTTTATCCCTTCAGTCAAGCCACATGTCGAGGAGAGTCACTTGTCCCGTTCTCGCAAGTCTGGACACCGATGGCTTCGAGTTCGCTGCCTACTTGCTCGTCTTCCTTTCGTTACTGTATCTGGCGATCGATTGGTAGACAAAGGCTAGGCAAGCTGCGCCGCGCAATGGAGATCCTTCTACTTGGGCTTAATGTGGATGGATTGTCGATGAAGGAAGCAGGTGGAAGAAATGTTATAGCAGAATGTGGCTACCAGTTAGCATACGTGAGCAATGGTGGAGATTCAGGCATTTGTTACCATTGGCCTCAGCGCAAGAGCGGCTGCTTACACGGATCGTTCTACGGGTAGATATCGTTCTCATTGGCTATGGGCACAGACAAGTCAGTACAGGATTCGAGACTCGCCCGCTATTTGAAGACCGCGGCCACCTAGGGTGATGTGCTCAGCAACAGTAGACCTTGTCAGGTGGCGAGGGATGTGGAGACCTGCCTGATATGAATAAAACACGTGAGTGAACCGCACCTTCCTCATTCACGGCCGAAGAACTGCACGTGCCACTCCACGGGTTACTTCACCTCAGGTCACACCTTCGACCACCGCACTTCTGCCTGGAAACACGGACACTAATTTGACCTGCACTTATAAGTGGGTGTCTACGCTAATCAAAGATCAACCATCAAGCAACGGCTGTGCCATCGATCATGGCGACTTCTCGACCACAATCGATGGCCAAGCAAAAGCAAACCACTACATCTCGTTTACCAGTGAAGAGCGGTACAACTTCGCCACCACCAACAATGCAGCGGCCCACAACTCCTCAGCCCCTGACAAGATCCACCACTCCGGTCGTGCCTCATTTGACCAGTGCTCTACCACGGCCTTCTTCGCCCTCAAAAACGAATCCTGCGCTGGCTCCACGACTCGAGCCTCATAATGCGCACGATTCGTGCCGTAATGTACCTCAGAGCCATCGTGCCGAGCGTCTCACGCTACTGTCTTTATCTCAAGAACTTCAGACATCATCCTCCACTACGCCTACCCAGTAACTACGGAGGTTATCTATGTGTCCGCAGCTAATTGGTGCTCTCGACAAGACATACGTTGTGCAGCAGGCAAATGTACCAACGCCAGACCTCTTCCACCGCTCGTGACCATTTTCATGGTCTCCAAGGCTTTCTTCGACGTCGCAGCAAAGGCCTTCGTAACGAACCACGATAGTCAGGTTTTGATCGGATTATGCTTGGTCTCGTCCCCAGACAGCATCGTGTCTAGGTACACCAAAAGCCTGAGATGTCGTTGGGACCTATACACGATCATGGGTAGCCTTCGCAATCTTGAGGTCCTGGCCATCGAGGCCGAGGTACAGCTCTTTGACGACGAATCACCGAAGGATGTGTTACACGAGGAGACCAGCAAGCCGGATCTCCAGTCAATGCTAATCTTCAGGGTATTGAGCGGTCATCCTAAGCTGCAAAATCTTGTACTCAAGCCGGCAGCTCCCGACAGAAATTATCCGACAAGCTTCTTCTGGCTGAGAAATGTGAAAGCCCTGGAGAGCGTGATCAATATGGCGCTGCTCAAGAATAAAAATCCTGGAGACTACGTCAACCAGGACGTCGGGAAAGCACATCCTCAAATCGAGCTCGAAAGCATAGCGAGTGATGCCGATGAAGGAGACATGGACGGACACTCGCCTACAGGGTCGCCTGGGCCAAGCAGCAATGTCGAGAGTATCGAGAATGGTCGCTATGACCCACCAGAGCTTAATAAGAGGGCTCCAGGTTACCACAAGGACTCCAAGGTCGATGCTTCCGTCCAGTCCGCGGAGGAAGAGACTGGTGACAGGGCCGGTGTTCCCACCCGCGATTCTAGCCAGACAGTGGCCGATAGCAAGACGCGTAGAGAAGCTGTGCCTGGAGTAGCACACCTCCCCGTACTTTATGTGGATCCTGAAACGCAGACATGCTCTGACGATGCAGACCAGTCGCATATGCGCAGTGCGACAGATGACGGTGTACTCGCCGAACAGCAGTCTTTCATCGGACCCAAATTGCTGCTCGGCATAGTGATGGGGGAAGCGATCGAGGCCGTAATTGCTGTTGCTGTATTACTTGCGGTGTGGCTGGTGGTCAGCAAGGAGGTATAGGCGCGGAGGGCGGCGGGTCACTTGTCGCGTGCGAGGGATTTGCATGTTGGTCCGGGATTGAGAAGGTGGCAAGGGAGAACTGGATTGCAGATGGACGAAGCCGTCACCTCGACTTGCCGAGAGAGCAGTGGATATGATTGATTGATTTCCTGCCATTGTTGTGGCGACGCATCGATACTCGTCATGTTACTCATAGCACATTGCCTCCATGTTGCCAATCAGGCAGATAACTCCCACGAACTCCTTCGCTATCAGCATCGCAAGATACTGCATTCTTACTGCCAACGCCAACAGATACTATAGCCATCCCGTCCTTTCAAGCATCAGCATTCAACAGCGCCGGAATCTCCTCCGGCTTATGCTTCCCCTCCAAAATCAAATACACAGCCGTAAAAAGCGGAAACTCCTTCTCCTTCCCCACCTTCCTCAAGAAAGAATTGACCTCATACGCCGTCGAAGTCCCCTGCAACTTCTGCCCATTCAACTCCCTCTCCTCAATCTCCCCAATCGGCTTGCCCTCCTTCACCGACATCTTCGCACACCTGAAGTTCCTGCCTCCACTACAGCTCGTAATCAGATCCGCAACGCCACAACTCTGCTCCGTGAATGTCTCAGTCTGGACGCTATCGCCGAAGAACGTCTTGCCGAACTTCACTTCTTCCATAATACCTACTCGCATAACGGCGGCTTTGGCGTTGTCGCCCCAGCCTAGACCGTCTACGAATCCGGCACCGAGGGCTACGATGTTCTTCAGGGCGCCGCCGAGTGAGACGCCTACAACGTCATTCACGAGATGGACGTGGAAGTAAGGGCGGTGGAAGAGCTTCTTCACGTTGGCATGGTGCAGTGAAGGATACTCGCTCGGCAGAGGCGTCAGATTCACCTTCCCCGAGCTCTTCGCCCCTTTCACCCCATCATTAAGTTTCGTGAGATCCAATTGCGAGCCCTTGGGACTCGCGCCCGGCGTCCCAGCCGGCGTAGGTTGCTGTGAATCCTGCGAAGGAGGCGCATACGCCACCGTCGTCTCCGAGAACTTCTCCTGCGCCACTTCCGTAGCAATATTCGCTCCGCTGAGCGCACCACAGTAGATTCCCAATTTCTGCCCGATGCTATCGGAGAATAACTCACAGCCTGACTCCGAGACCGCGACGCCTTTGATACAGGAGATTCCTCTCGCGTAAGGCACGATTTTGCCTTGGAGTTGTTCGCATGTCTTGGCGATGAACTGGTGGGGTAGGTTGAAGACGAGGATGGTGGCATCCTTGACTGCGTCTACGAGATCGGGGTTGGCGACGATGTTCTTGGGGAGTGGGATGCCGGGTAGGTACTTCACATTCTCGTGTAACCCATTGATCAGTTCGGTCAACTTCTGCGGTCCCTTGTCGTTCTTCTCGTCGAAGTGTTTGCTGTCCTTCGGGATCTGGTACTGCTCCTGAAACACCCACATTTGCACTTCCTGCTCGAAGAGATCCGCATGCTGGGCTGTGTTCTCGGCTACGACTTTTGCTATTGTAGTACCCCAGTTGCCTGAGCCGACGATGCAGACTTTGTGCTTCTTTGAGTTGGGTGCTAGGGTCGCCATGGTTTTGTGATTACTACCGTGCTGATTCGATAGATGCTGTAGTATCTCGTTGGCTCGGAGTCTACAGGTCGTCGTCCGCGCGTTGTTCTCTAGCTGTCGGAGCGATTGCATGCGATGGCCTAAGCTAGTGCGCCAGGTACTCGTAGCAGTGCGATAGAAGGAGCGATGTGGTTGGAGCTGCTGCTTGAAGGTCAACGAAGGTGAACAAAGTCCAAGCCTCTTTCCAGCCAAATGTGTAAGGAGCGACGATATCTTAGTGTTCGAACGATAACACACTGCTGCTTTCATTCGATTGCTTCAATCGTTCGATCAATGTAGGTACTTTTTCAACCACTAGGGTTGAGCTGCAAGACACGCGCTCAACCGCGGCCACATGCACGATCGCAACTTTTTGGCGTCCAACTCTGACGTAGCCACCGTTATAACAACTACAAAACGGTCAGGATCGATGGTCATGCGCAAGGATGTCTCAGGCCATGAAGACCGAGACCACCAGTAGTGGGAACGTCACACGAGCACAACAGCAACATCAGGTAGACGTAGTCTCGTGAAGAAGAGACAGCACGACAGCGTGTGCATGCGTGCCCTCGATACAAAGCTAAAGCTACCGCCGAGGTAGGTAGGTAATAAGCACTCTCCACCCATTCCATCCCATCCAATAACCTAAGCAAAGGGCCATTCTGCAGCCACCGTGGTATCATATGCGAGTCTCTCCTCAAAAGCATCAACGCCCTGCGTTTGCGCCCGAAAAGATCGATCCTCGTATTCGTGTATATGTCCAGGCCAGCCAGCCATCCTCATCGAACACCGTGACCGTGATAGTAATGCCATGCCGTGCCGATTAAGCTGTGCCTCTCATCCATAGGTGGGCCGTCGTAGATGGAAGTGATTCTCGCGCCTGATATCCCACCCACGATTCCGTCCCATACCTGCCAAACGCCCATGCCCAGCCCAAACCCATGAATCACATTCCCATCCGTAGAAACAATCCAAGAAATACGCCGCATATGCTTCATAGGCCTCATATGTAGTCCTAGGCCGTGTAGAGAGTCCGAGATCGCGTATCCCGTATGCGCTCATGCGAAAACACTCTGTCGACGCCACAACAACCTTCGCTAACAAAAAAAAAGGAAACAAAACGAACAGCTCGCATCTCTATCGTGGTGGTGTGCCGGCTACGGCGGGCGTAGCGGAGGGTGAAGGGTTACTAGTAGGTTTCGGGGTGATGTTACCGCTCGTCGAAGACCTCTTAGCTACTTGCTGGGCAGCGTGGGCCTTCTTCCTTAGGGCGTTCAGACGGGTTCGTGCGCCGTCGATCACTATCAGGCTGTCAGCGTACCACTCGAAACGTAGCGCCCGTTCCCGAAATCACCTACATTTAATAACCGTCTGTCTGTCCTCCGTCTCCATCCCAGTGACAACCTCATCACCACTTCTATCCTTCTTCTGACTTGGCCTTCGCATCAATGGCTCATTGTCCGCTTCGAGGACAGCTTCGAGAAGAAGTATAGCAGTGTGATAGTTAATCTCGCAGCCAGCGATCTCGTCGTTAACGAGTTCGTTGACTGCCGCAGCTCGACTCATCTCTACCGCGCGCTCGAACATCAGCTTCTCGGCTGTGACTCCACTAGTGATCTGGATGGTTTCGGAGGAAGAAGTGGTGACTGCAGCTGTAGAGCCGGCAGACGCAGTCGTATGATTGCTTGGGTGCGCAGGGTGACTTGGCGGTAACTGTCTTTGGGCGGACTGGAGTTTGCGGCTGACCACTTCGGACTTCTCGAGGCACTCGTTGAAGCGGTTGCGAGTCCACTGGACCACGTTGTTCATGCGTTTTCCGGCCTCGCTCGTGCTGCTGCTCGGCGATTTCGTTGGGTCGGCGACAGTAGTGTCAGACTGCCCTTGTTTCGTCCACCAGTAGCCTGCCAGATCGATCGTCTTAGCCAGTATAGCCAGTGTCTTGACGTACAACACCAATGCCTCTTCCGCCACCCCGACGATCGCTGCAGTAGTCATGTCCTCCTCTTCTTGTCCTTCGTCTTCTATCGCGCCTGAATCGTCCTGGGCTCCAATTTGTTGTATGCCGAGCGGGTCTACAGCCGATGGCGTAGCTGGTAGTAGCTGCTTGTACTTTACTTCCGCAAAGCCGTAAATCACATCGCTTCGATGGGCAGCCTCCTCCATGGTACGCACGATCTTCGTGTCCTCGTCCATGGGCGATTTGGTCTCGCTGCCATCGCCGATCGTGAGCATACCCGCTTGCGATGGGTATGTAGGAAAGGCGCCGTACCCGTGTGGTGGCGAAGCTCCTTTACCGAATGGCGGAGAAGTACCAAGAGCACCAAACAGGCGAACATTGGCAGCGTTGAGTGCTTTCGTCAACATGTTGGTAGCAGATTGTGGCGCTGGAGCATAACGTCTTTCAAAGGAGCCTGCACGCTGATGCGTAGCAGGGGTCCTTCCAGTCATCATTTGCACGGCGCGAGACGGACTCGAGGCTTGCGCTCCTGTGGTAGATGTTGGCTGCCCTTGAGTCGTCGCGCGTCGTATCATAGTGCCTTGATTGTAGGGTAGACTGTGTCCTTGCGCATTCGCTTGTAATTGATCTGCGAACGCATTCACTTCGACCGCTCTCTTCTCAATGACAACATACTCCTTCTCGAAAGCCACCTCCTGGGCGGTCCTTTCGCGTGCTTCTCGTGCCTCTCGTCTGGCAGACTTTGGCTTCGAGCCTTCCCCATCGACAGCAGAGGGTTCACGGATCATAGGCGGGTTGGCGAGAGGTGAAGATCGGCTTGCACGGCGCTCAATTCGTGGTGCGTTGGCTACTTGGGTGTTACCGACATGTAGACCTTCGCGAGCAGGAGCAGTCGCGTGAGCGACAATACTTGGTCGTCGTTGCTGGCGCTGGCTCGATTGACGCTGTATGGGTATGCCTCCAGTCTCTGCAGCTGCAGACATGCGTCTTTCTGACAATCGTGGCTGTGCGACTGGCAGGTCTTGATCCGAGGGCTTCTTCGACACCTTCTGCTGTACGTCTTCCTGTGACGGGCGAGTTCGTGTTTGAGGATCTTCCGTTGTTGCTGTGCTGGTACTACGATCTGAAGGTTGTTTGGCGATGCGCCGACTGATTTCCGACACCTGCGGCTCTGGTACAGCCGCAGGCGCTGAAGACCTATCTTCCTCCACTAGGCCAGGAATGTCACCCGTGACAATGGGATCAAGGAAGAAGTCTTCGTACGAAACACGATCCAGAGGGCTCTTCTTCAACAGCTTCCGAATACAGTCTTTCATGCCCCGGCTGATCGTCATGATCTTGTTGTCGAAAATGATCTGGTCATTAGCCTTTTCGATTCGACGAAGAAGTTCCACGTGATTCTGAGCTCGGAAAGGAGGCTTGCCAACAACCATCTCGTGCAAGACTGTCCCAGTAGACCACAAATCCGCGCGCGCATCGTACTTCTCATATCTCAAGATTTCCGGAGCCATGTAAAGTGGTGATCCACAAAGCGTTTCGGCCATGGATGTTGAAGGGAGGTGGCGAGCGAAGCCAAAGTCTGCAATCTTAAGCATAGGCAGAGTTTGAACGCCAACAGCTGACACCAAGGAGTATTCGCTTGCGGCCAATGGAACGTCCTCTGGAGCTTGTCTGGCCATATATGTCGGAGCCGGGTTGAGTAACAGGTTCTGCGGTTTAATGTCACGGTGTATCAGATTTCTGCTGCGCAGATATTGTAGAGCACTTGCGATCTGCTTCAAGAAGTGCCGTGCTAAAACCTCGTTCAGACCACCAGCCTGAGGATTGGGATATCTCCTAAATATGTCCTGCGTCTCGGGTAGTGTCGCCAAGGTGTGGCGCTTCTTCATGAATTGCGATAGATCTGATAGCTGGCAGTACTCCATGACCAGGTAGATATAAGACGGCGTCTCGTTGCAAGCGAACAGCGCAACGATGTGTGGATGCTGTAGGCTTTGCAAGATGCGAATCTCGGACTCGAGATTCTCCTTGAGCTTCCTGGTGAGCTTATGCATCTGCACAGCCTTGACAGCTGCATAAGACTTCTTCTTCTGTATTGCATATCAGCTCTGTCACTAGCTCAACATATCGTTGGTAGCACACGACGTCAATGTGTTGTGTACGAAGGGATGGACATACCCTATGCTGAGCAAGATAAACGGCCGCAAAGCTACCTTTACCAATCTCCTTGCCCCTACGGAAGTCACCAATAATCTCATCCGGTTCCTCCTCAGGCATCGACTGTACCGGCCGCTTCGATGAGCCAGCCTGAGCTGACGGTCGTGGAGCTGCCATACTCACTATCCCAACACTCTTCCTCCTTCTATCACTTTCACCTCCACTTCTTCTCGTCTCCTAGGGTCCAAAGCGTCGGGGAAGCTGCGCGGAATGCTGCATGAGTGTGGAGAGAAATGACTGGCTGCGGCAAACCACTTGGAAGGTGGTACGGGTTGTTCCTAGGTTTGGTGAAGATGGCAGATCAAGCGCCCATGTTTACTAGGGAGGATTACGGAAGCGATCGCGTGGGTGTGGGTGGTGAATGGCGTGTTGTTGAAGGAACGAAGATCGCTTGATGGATTGACGGAGAGTGACTGGGCAGGCTAATGATGCCTTAGGTGGCCGTGACCGCGTGCTTGTGCCTGATGATGACTCGGCCTGGCTCCGGAAGCGCCTCGACTGCAGCCGATTGGTCTAATGCGGAAGGGCAGCAGGTTTCAGGAGCGATGCGGTGTGTTTATAAAGGGCAAATAGCAATAGCAAAGAGGTCAAAGTGAAAAAGCGAAGATGATGGGAAGGTATCACAACACGGGGCTGGTGTAGGTGTGGTGACTTGCGATCATGGGCAGTGTACGGTAGTAGGTTGGTCAGGTGTTGATCGCTCACCAATTACCCCGGTCTACGGCAGCTCCAGATGGTACTAGCGTTATCCATTAGCGCTCGATAAGAGCTCGCCGCAATTGGTGCTGATAGCGATACCATACTTCGTCTTTACACGTGCACCTATCTACAACACAAAGAAGGCCATGTCGAGCGAATTCCATCCAGTCCGAACACGCGACCAAGCTGACGGGAGGCCGCATCTGGATGACTATACATGGTCACCGTGTATGATTACGTTCTGGTTTCTGCCATCTATTCTCCGAGGTACTAGTACATATGGTGACCTCCGTCACGACTTGACGCACACCTCACGCGTCACTGTGGTCTTCGTAGCCGCGAGCTATGCAGGGCGCATGTGATGCGAGTCACCATAGAAATACGGAGCAATCCCGATACACACGTACCTTAAATAGGGTTAATAGATGTACCGACAACATGCTCTCACGATATAGTGGCGTCAACGAGTACATTATTGTTCTGCCTCGTTCACAGGGAGCAAATCCTCACTGCCTTAATGCCCGAGCACGCCATTGCCTGGTGAACACAGTTTGGCGACGATGCAGTGCCGGTCGGATCGAGCTCTGTTTCGACTCAGCCTTCGAGGTCGCCAAGCGCTAGTAAGCTTGCTGTGCTATGTCGTGGTGGGTGTAACGTCCCAACGCAATCCGCGAAGCACGATAAGGGCTGAGGCAACCTTTACTGACAGTACCTGCATGGCAGGGTAGCATTGGCAGTCAGTCCATTCGCATCGACATCGTATCCCCTGTTGAGATTGGTTGCGGAGTGGCAGAGCTAGTTTGAGTGGTGAGGCCTCCCCTGAGTACGTACATTTATACCTCGCGCTGTGTGCCTAAAACCTCGACCCTTTGACAAGTAGCCAAAGCGCAACAGGCACGACCACATTATCGTTCGCTCCGGTCAACACAGCCTCCATGAAACTCGCTCCACAAGCACAGAATCCAGCTTTCAGGGCGCTGACCATCCAAGCAAGCACACACGCTGCACTGCCCAAACTACCAGTATGCGCATGTAGAGGCTTGACAGTATCATTCCATCCACCAAGAACCTGCCAGACCTTGCCAGCCAAAAGCCCAATCGTGACCGCGACAACAAACGCCGCACTACCCTCCAAACTCTTGCCACCCACCCAAATCCATTTATGTCGGCCGTACCGGCGACCTATAAGACTAGCGGCTGCGTCACCCATGCCTACGCAAATAACGCCGGCAATCATTGCACCTTCTCGTTTATTACTTTGCAATTCCCAGTCGATCCAGGGATAATCGCCTTCTCTCTGTATCGAAGCAAGCGAGAACCACAACGGGACCGCACACCCAATAAGCAAGAAAATGTGACTGATGACAACCGGACCCCTAAGATCTCTACCATCTACATAAGGCGCCACAAATCGTCCTATTGCGACGCCTAAAGGTGGTACCTGTCCAGCTCGAATAGCTTCAAGAAGCAAGAAGACTGCTAGGACGAGGGCGAGGCCGAGAGCGCAGTAGCATGGGTCGATGAAGACCGTAGGCAGTAGGACTGCAACCATGACACCATGGAAGACTTTGCGGCGGGTGTCGACTTCGACAAAGGCGGTCAGGGTGAAGACGGCCAGTAGACCGCATGCGATGACCGCGGCCCAGTAGGCGAACAGGGCGAGGCGAGTGTTTGCCGGGCCGAGGATGGTGCGCAGGAGATTGGCGTCGAGTGGGATTGTAAGGTACGAATTGTTCCAGGTCAGGCTGGCTGGTGGTGGTAGTGGGACCCATGCTTGCAGATCCATCAGGTGGATGATGTCGCGCACGAAAGGCAGTTGGCCGATGAGGTAGCTGAGTGCCCAGCCGAAAGGCTCAGCACCGTGGAGCGCTTTGCGTTGGACATAGACGCGGACTCCACCAATACCGATAAGGAGGATTGCGCAGTAAATGTATGCAGCATACAACCACTTCCAGCGTTCTGCCTGCCGTGGCGTAAGCTGCAAACACCACAGTAGCTTGGCCTTGGGTCTGCGCCTGCTACTCGGCGCCCGTTGCTGCAGCTGTGGCGAGACTAAGCTGTGTTCAGGTAGAGTATTGCGTCTTGCTCGTGGATGCGCAGCCGCGCCATCGACCGCGAAGCCATTGACCTCGATCTGTCGTGGCTCTACAGCAGACTGCGGCGCGAAAAGGGGTGATCCGAAAGACGTCCTCCGTAGCTTCGTAAAGAGTTTTGGTACACCATGGATCTTCTCCTTAATTGAGACTGTAGGCTCGTCCTCATCTGCGTCACTATCCACAGCTTCGGTGCCTCTGAATGCCGCCGTGGCTCGCTGGAGGTTGATAAGCTCAGATACTGCATCAATGAGCGATTTGCGTTCCTCCGCCGTATGTCCTGATCGCCTGAGCTTCCAGCGGGGTACGCGAGCCAGCGTGACACTCCAGTGCAGTACTGGTCCGCAAAGCACGAAGAGCGCCACGCCGCCGATCCATAAACAAGCTTTGAGAATCATCATCTGCGGTGAGGTCGCGAGTAGAAGAAGGTTGATCAGAGCAACAGAGCACAGATGCAGTTCCGAGATCAGTAAACTCGTAGTCGTCAGGTAGTGCAGAGGCACTAGTAGAGCGTGATGTAGCGGATACAGTGAGACTAGTGTCTCGGGCGTCAGACCAGAAGGTGGGCCACTCTTAAGCATGTACGGCTTCAGGGGCGATCGGCTGAATGACAGAAGCGCGCTGTGCTGCGAGAGTACGAGCGGCACAATCGATACGAGCCAATGCACCGCATTGAAACCCCCCAAGCGACTCGACCTCGGAAACAGTCTTTGCGGCAGCGAAGCCAGTCCAAGAATGATATTCGGCAGCACGACCGCCTCGTTCGCGGGCGAAACCAACAGAGCGACCAAGACGGGTAGAAGCGGTGGATAGAGCACCGTAGCCGGGTCGAAGCTGGCCGGGACCCGGAAGCGCTGCCAGAGTTTGGTTGTGATGTGCTGAGCCTGGTTGTCCACGATCGATAGCTTGATTGGATATGCTACGATCAATACCACTATGATCACCACATGGCTTAAGAGCTCTCTCTTCCACTGCATAGCTGTCTCCATGACACCATGCCCACACAGCACAGTCCCCAGAATCACCCCCATAAGCGCAACCTCAGACGTCCTTCGCACGAATTCGCCAAAGCGGACCTGCATCAACTTCTCCTCCTCTTCTCGCGTCTCCTGGCGAGATAGTCCTTTGCCTTGTTCCGATGTGTCTTTGGCCTTGAAGTATCCCTCTCCAGGCAGTCTCCTCCCTTCATCGTCCAGCTGCGAAGGGGTGAGTAGCACATCATCGCTCTTCTCGCCCGTCTTCAGCCCTTTGCGAGGTCGTAAAGTACTGCTCGGTAGTAACTTGACGAAAGCCGGCCGTTCATCATCAGCTTCTGTGCCGCTTTCGCTAGGCACTAGGGAGCCTTGTCCGCTACGGCCTTGACCTCGCTGCTGCTGTTGCTGCTGCTGTTGACCTTTGGACTGTGCTGGTTGCTGAAGCTCTTGTCGTCCATCATGATCATCGTATTCTTCCCAGAAATGTCGTCCTTGTTGATCCACCACATCGCCGCCGCCGATCCCACCCCCATCGTCGCGATCCCCACAATCCTGGCGAACCTTGAGTCCATCTTTATGATAAGGTCGTGGTGTTCTAGGCCTCACTGCCTCGGCTTCTGAGGTGATGGAGGTTGGCTGGAGTTGCGATTGCTGGGATTCTGCAGGCGATTTCACGTGGGACATGCTGATGCGCTCCCGCGCATTGTAGACCGTCTACTCGTCGATGCTGGATTGTTGAGAGGATCAAACATGGCTGGTGAAACTGACGAGAATATTGAAAGCATGTCTTGTCTCAACCGCAGCTCAGGTGCGTCAGCCGTGCTCCATACGTAAGCCGACTTCCAATGCCACTTGGCATTAATCCTCCGAGGAGCAGTGAAGAAAGACAGAATCAAGGTGATATAAGGTATGCTCATAGCTACTTACCGAGTTGTTCTAGCTGTATTCACACTGTAATTGCTCGATCTACAGATACTTGTTCTCCTTCAGCCACTGCTTCACATCCTCGCCATCCCGCTCCAACCACCCCGTCTTCGCCTTAATAGCATCCACACTCTGCGCCAAATTCCTCTCGAAACCCTTCGTCCCAACTTTGTCGAAGAAGGCCTCAATATCCTTCCTTTGATCGTCGTGTGTGAAACTGCTCGTACCCATACTCACGACCGAGCCCATCATCGACAGCGAAGGCGGCAGCTTCTTCTTCAAAGTCTCCCAGTTCTCCTTCATCCACGCCCAGAGCGCTATGATACCTTCCTGGTGTGCGCGCAGACCGGCGAGTGGAAGGTAGATATCCTGGTCCTTCACTTCCTTGCTCAAGGAGTAAGCCAGTGAGCGCTTGATGAGCTGGGGTTCCTTCGCGCGCCCAATCGCACGCAGTGCTGTGTTGCGCTCCTCGGCGTTCTTCGCAGTCTCGTACTCCTTCACGATGGCATTATACTCCTTCTCGCCACCGTACTGCAGCACGACCGAGTACACACCACCTCGAAGGTTGGGATGTATCGCTTGCCTGTCGCCCGCCACAAACTTCTCAAACATGTCAAAGGCGGCTTTCTTGGTCTTCTCATCACCAGCCGATGCTGCACTGCCGAAGAGGAGAGACTTGAACTGCTGCTCAATATGTCCGTCCTTATCCGTAAACTCCCAGCCGACTTCATGAGCCTTGTGACTGACCAGATCGCGCTGGAACTGCTTAAGCGCATCTCTGGTCTTCTCATCCTCGAAGATCCATGCAGCACGGACCGCGCCAATACGGGCCGTGATCTCGTCCCACACCACATACTCGGACTCAGTATTGAAGCCCTTGAGCAGTGATAACAGCCCAGAAGTCTTCTGATAGCCAGCAGCTGTCAAAGCGCCAGCATCGGCAAGCATACCGGCGCGATCCTCCACGCTCAGCAGACCAGCCTTGGCATTCTCGCCTAGCTTCTTCAGACGCTCGGGTGTGTAGTTCGTGCGGTAGATGCCAGAGTGATCAGCGTTCAGCTTGAAGAAATCCATGTCGGGGACGGAGAACTTGGCCTCGCGCTTGTTGAGCGTGACTTCTTCATCGATACCCTTGTTTGTGCGCAGACCAAGGAATACAGGCCAGATCGTCTTGTCCTCCTCGGCTTTGACATCAGCTGTTCGAAGGAAGCGGTTCTGCTTGAGGTTGATCGAGCTGTTCTTCGCATCCTCCTCGACGGTAACCACGGGGAAGCCGACGTACTTGGTCCACGTATCTGCAACACTGACGACATCCTTGCCGCTTGCATCGCTCAACGCCGCCCACAGATCGCCAGTAGTCGTGTTGCCGTAAGCATGCTTCTTCAAGTATCGTCGAATGCCCTCCATGAAGACATCTTCGCCCAGGTGCTTCGAGATCATGCGAATGACACACGAGCCCTTGGAGTATGAGATAGCATCGAAAATCTGGTTGACCTCGTCGGCACGCTTGACAGGCACTTCGATAGGGTGAGAGCTTCGTAGACTGTCCAGACCAAGAGCAGATTGCAGGTTGTCTGTCACATATCCTTGCCACACCTTCCATTCTGGATAGAACTTGTTGCACGAGTACCATGACATCCATGTCGCAAAACCCTCGTTGAGCCACAGACCGTCCCAGAAGTCCATCGTTACAAGGTTACCGAACCATTGGTGAGCGAGTTCGTGTTGGACGACCTCCGCCACACGCTGCCTCGTCGATGCACTAGCCGTCTTCTCGTCCAGCAGGAGATCCACAACACGGTAAGTGACAAGACCCCAGTTCTCCATAGCACCAGCCGAGAAGTCAGGAATAGCGACCATGTCCATCTTTGGCAGAGGGAATGGAGACGCAAATTCCTTCTCATAAAACTCCAGTGTCCGCGCACCGAGCTCAGCAGAGAACTTGCCGTGGTCGAGCGTCTTGTCTGGAGTCATGAAGACACGAACAGGTATCCGGAAGCTGTGGTCCTCGTACACCTTCAGCTCGCCAATGATGAAAGCAAGAAGGTATGTCGACATGAGTGGTGTTTTGTTAAATGTCACTGCCTTACGCTTGGAGCTGCTGAACTCCGACTGGACGTCGTTCGTGCTGGCTTCGTCCATATTGCTCAGGCAAGTCAGGTTGTGGTCCGCTACCAATGTCACAGTAAAGCTCGCCTTCAACGCAGGCTCGTCAAAGCAAGGGAATGCTCGTCGTGCATCTGTGGCCTCCATCTGTGTCGTAGCCATCCACTTCTCACTGCCCTTCTCGTCCTTGTACGATGATCGGTAGAACCCAGCCATGTTGTCATTGAGGTTGCCAGTGAACTTGTGGAAGAGCTTCGCTTTCGATCCTGCAGGAATGGTCTGGTCGAACTCGACTTTGGTGGTCTGCGAGTCGGTATCGTAGGAGATGTTGGGCGAAGAGCTGATGGTTCTATCACCAGCCGTGAACTTGGTCTCCTTGATCTCAATGTCGTAGGTGTTGAGCGAGACAAACTTGGTGTCCTCCAATACATCCAGCTCAATCGTGACCGTGCCATGGTACTTGAAGGTCTCGAAGTTCGGCTCGAGGGTGAGGTCGTAGTGAAGCGGCTTTACATTTTTCGGCAGCACTTCTCGCCCAGCGGAGACATCCATGTTGGACGACTCCACCGCATTGTCTCTTCTGCACATGTTGCGGCGGTGAGAGCAGTGGCGAACGGCGGCAGGCAAACGGCGACTGATGAGGGGTTTGGGCTGCTTATGTGGTATCGATGTATTATTCGAGGCAAGCTGAAGATGTGGCTCAAAGCGATGTGAATACGATCGTGTGAATGAAGGAGGGGTCGCTGTTGATAGCTGAGGGAGGAATCTCGAGGCACGTGAGCGGTTCGTCAAGCTTCGAACAGACCAGCTGCAATGCGTAAGTGTTGAGAGAGTGTTTGGCCGCATCTAAGTAGCAATAGGAAGGAGCGACTGGAAAACAATAATGGATACGGAGCTTCATGCATCGAATCGAGCTGTTTCTGCCTATGGTGATGATGTCGAGGGGTCGTGCGGAGTTCTGACCTCCACCGAACTCCGAGCGAAATCGAAATCGAAATCGAAATCGAAATCGAAATCAATTCTTCTCCCCTACAGTTCTCTACTGCAAAATTGTCAATGAGAAGAACCCAATCTCCAGTCCCCGCCGTCTCAGCGACATACAAGCTGTCCCTGTAGCAAGTCTGTCGCCAGCTAATGCAAAGCAGCACAGCACGGCGGAGACACACACAATCTCCCACTGCTCGTGCCTACAGCAGCAGGCCCACTGTCGTCCACTATACAACCCTGAGTATACGAAAGCAAGTCAGTCCTCGCAGCAGACATCATCGCCCCATATGTCTCCTGGTGTTCGACCACTGGTCGTTCTTGCAAGACCAAAGCAAAATCACGGATGTTTGAGGTGCCCATGACCGGCTGATTGGGTGGCCATAAATTCTGTGACACACCTATTACAAGATACATGTACATAATAATGTCCATCATGTCCATGTGCAGTTGAGAATTATCTATCACAACTTCGCGGATGCTTTATCTACTGTACGCCGCGCCGCAGTATTCCGCGAAGAGTCTACGGCGAGTACGACATGATGGCTTAGAGCCACTAAGTCGCCCTCGGCATCTTTCACGATGAGCTCCAAATCGTACCGACCATTCTTGATCATCTTCGCTTGAAGCCGGACGAAGAGGAATCTCACACCCTCCTTAGGCAGAGCTTTCTTGACGTCGAGATTCAGCAGAAGTGTGGGATACCACATCCTCGCCTTTCCCTTCATCAACCTATTCTGCTCCTCCACCCCATGCTTTCGCTCCATCTCGACACTATAGGGATCCAGTGGAGCTAGCAAGTAGTTCTCCAGGATCTGCGGGAAGACGTCCACGAGAAAGCCTAGCGTGTCGTTTGTCCATCGATCGTCTGGCTCGCGGAATGAAAGCCATTGGTCTACGATAGCCTTGCTGTGCTGACCCTTGCGAGGGAACCAGGACCGTATCCGCTCACTGGCGAGTCGGAAGTCACTAAAAGGCCACAGCTTGCGCTCGCCCCAAATCTCATCGGTGTCTGAGTCGAACTTGGCGATGTCGGCTCGTGGTGGCGGTGGATTTATGACCCAACCAGTTGGTGCTGTGATTCCAGTCTCGGTATCGAGATTGCTGTTCGTGATATAGCCCACAACTTCCTCGCGATCACCCTGTGAGAGTGTGATGTGGACTACAGATGTCTGGCGTCCGAGCTTGATGTCCTTGACTTTGAAGTGCGTTGGCCCGAGTTCTGTTCGACGCAGGAAGTCGAGGTGGAGGGTGATTGTGTGAGGTTGGTTCTGCTTCTTCAGAGTCGTGGAGAAGTGCTTTTGTATGACGCTTTGGATACAGGCTGTTACATAGCCACCGTGGGGGACTGTCCCGATGGTCCAGCCTTTGACGAATTCGCCTTCGTATGTGTGGGAGTCGATCTGTCGTACTTCTATCGCTGGCCCGATCCTTGCAACTGCCATGCTTACAGAAGACTCACCTGAAGTCATCCAATGATGGTGAGAGGATGTCGCTTGACACGTCGATCTGGTCTTGATGCTCTAGCCTAGGATATATGTACGCTTGGCTGAGCTTTTGTCGTTATCTTATGAGACTTCTCTGAAATCTGTGCCGTCAAGTCGAGGAGCATGCTTCGTACGGACACCCAGCTATAGGTCAATCCTCATATTGACTTGAAGATGATGAATGATCATGGGCATTTTATTGTCGTACCTCGGTCCATTCCTGTACACCCGGCGTTTGACTTGCATGATCGGGCCATTGGGCGTGGGTCTGAGTTTAGTTAATTAAGCTCATCAAAGTGCCTATACTCCGGACTCCACAGTCATCCATGCAGGTGTCCGTGTTGCGAGACATGACATGTGAGCACTTCGCTGTGTTGATTTCCTATGCCGCATTGCCATCTTGAATCTTACAACTATCGTCTTTTCCTGCCAGGGCGTCAACGATATCACCCAAGGTACAAGCGACCCTGTAGAACTAGTGGCGTTGATTCGCAACCTTGAAAGGACCCTGAGACCAGAGACGCAAGCAGTACGTCGGTTCCCCTTGCTCGCTGCCTACCACTACAGGACACCTATCCCACCAGCACAATCTTCCCACACGGCTTGATGGTCGACAATCCCTACAAAACATAGTCGAGCGCCCAGCAGGCTGCGCGCATTATCATGGGCACAGTCTCCAGCAAGATCGAGGACAATCCGGGTCTGCTTCTGCTGAACCAAGCAAAGCGTGAGTTTGTCGCAGGGCACGGGAGGCAACTTTGCCCGAAGCTGATATGGTATAGTAACGATCTCGAGCGTCCACATTACGAACTCGCGTGGGCAGACACTGCTACGAGTATCACCAAATGCCTATCCAGTGACGAGATACAGCGCTCAGAAAGATACGGGAGACGATGCGCCTACGGAGTATGTTCAAGACCCGGACAGTGTTGCGGCCGGCCTTCCACCATCCTTCCTCGTACGCCTGAGCAATAGCGACGAGCTCAACTTCACATTCACATTTGTGCTTCGACAGCAGGGGCCAATTAGCTCGGCCGCTGCCAATGGAGCACCCGTATCGAGTATTGGCACAGATACTCATGTCTCGGGGTTGACTTTTGTTCATGGATCGAATGCAAGAGAGGTGGAGAATCTGGTGGTGAGGGAGTTTCACACGGATCCAAACCTACACAAGAACACCAATGTGGAATTGTTGGGCGATTACTCGACAAGCGGCAGTCCAAGCGTTCAATTTACTTGGGCATGGAAGTGGCGGCCTCCGAAGCCAGCAGAAGACCGGGGAGGAGGGTGGCGTAACAGTTGCAGTTTTGTGGAATATGATCAGAGGGCGCATAAACTGAGCACTCTTGCGAGCTTCACCTTTTGGGTCCAGAATACACAACGATTCCTGATACCGCGTTCGCCGAGACTGGAGATTGTGCCACGGCTTAGAGTGCCGTCCGCACAATCGATTGAGTCACGCGTGAGCAATATCAGCGACTCGGAGGGAGAAGGCAGCTACAAGGACTACAAGGAGCCTCAGTCACCCATGTTCCAACCTATACCAGAGGATGGCATCGGTCTAGGTCTGGCACCTTCCATCACACCACATTCCGCGGAGACGCCAGTGAAGGTAGACGTTGCGACGTGTAAGCCTGGCGATGATCCCGCGAGCAATGATGACGGGCCGGTGTTTCGTGCGACTATGCGGTCCCTTGAGCAGAAGACAGGCCATATGCGGATGCGCATGAAGAAAGTCCTGCGCACAGCTGTGGCTGCGGAAGAAGCTCAGCGAGCTTGCAACCAGGCTGTTGGTGACTTTACAGATGCCTTGAAAGAAGCGTCGACTTCGAACGTGAACGCCGTCAAGCCAGCACTGGATCACTATTTCGAGAAGATCGCAAAGCAAATTCTGGCATACGAGCGGCAGAATACTGTCAACCTGCAGAAGCTTATTATCGATCCGATCAGCAGACTCTACAACCTCGAAATCAAGCAAGCAGATTACAAGAAACGGGAATTTGATGAAGAAAGCAAGGAGTACTATGCATATGTTGGCAAGTACTTGGGCCAAAGGAGTGAATCCGTGAAGGAGAAGAAACAGAAGCACAGCGACGAGAAGTACCAAGCGAAGCGACGAACCTTCGAGCTCAAGCGCTTCGATTACTCCAGCTTCATGCACGACTTGCATGGTGGGCGCAAGGATCAGGAAGTGCTGTCGCAGCTCACCAAGTATGCTGATGCACAGGCCAAAGGCTATCTCAGTACCGCCAAGAAAGTCGAGGAGATGATGCCGCAGCTTGACGCGCTGGTCGCGGAAGTCAAGGCTGCGGATCAAGATTTTCAGCTGCAACGATCGGAACGTGAGGAGAAGCGTCGAACACTAGAGAAGAGCAGCAAGTCGCCGAGTGATGAGAGTGCCGTAGTACCGCCTGGACTCGGCTATCCACTTTCGGTCTCGGCTGGATCGCGGCTTGCTGAACAGGATCAGACGAGGATTCCTAGCTATGGCGGTGGCAATGTAATGTCGCAATCGCCTCCTACCACCAGCACTCTTGCTATGCAGGCCACCTCGAACGGCATGCTGAGGACTGCTAACAGCGGACAACCTTTTATCGGCAGCAGTCCAAACGCGAGGTTCAAGGGCATTCGAGATCTGGAGGAGGGCGCGAGCAGTATGCTCAATGGCGGCGCCAATCGCAAAGAAGGTTTGCTATGGTCTTTGAGCAGACCTGGCAGTCATGTTGATCCGAAAGTGGTCGTCAAGCCTGGTTGGCATAAGTTCTGGATCGTGCTGGATGGAGGCCGACTGTCGGAATATGTCAATTGGAAGGACAAGCTTGACCTGCACATGGATCCGATCGATCTCCGAACTGCATCTGTTCGAGAAGCGAGGAACTCAGATCGTCGTTTTTGCTTCGAAGTCATCACGCCACAGTTCACAAGGGTCTATCAAGCGCCATCGGAGGAAGATGTAAAGGCGTGGATCGCAGCCGTCAACAATGCCATGCAATCGGCATTCGAGACTAGGGATCCCGTGCAGCCAAGCGCGCCGTCACCATCGCCCGGACAAAGTGGCTCGACACGAAAGGACATCGCAGCGGTGCTGACTGGCAAGAGCTCATCCTTTTCTGGACACCGGCAAGTCTCCAACCCTAACAGGTCCGAGGCTGCGAAGGCCGTAAACAGATTCGCCTCCACGGGAGAACGGCCGCAGAACAAGCGCGGTGACAGCGGTGAGCATGAACCCTCGGCATTACTGTTGCGGATACGAAATGCAGACGAAGGCAACAAGCTCTGTGCCGATTGCGGCTCCGAGAGTAAAGTCGATTGGTGTTCTATCAATCTCGGTATTCTACTGTGTATCGAATGCAGCGGCATCCACCGTTCACTCGGCACTCACATCTCGAAAGTGCGGTCACTCACTCTGGACACCTCCGCATTCACACCAGACATCGTCGAAGTACTTCTTCTTATCGGAAACCGCGTCAGCAACATGATATGGGAAGCGAAACTGGATAGATTCCTGAAGCCGTCAATGCATTCGACTCGCGAGCAGCGACTACATTTCATTACCGACAAGTACAGCGACCGCATGTATGTGCAAGCGGCCGTCTCGACACAGACACCGGACGAACATTTGTTGACGAGTATCAAGCGGAATGATATACAGAATGTTCTACATGCATTAGCATTGCGAGCTAACCCCAATGCTCACGACCGCATGCGGTCGATACATGCGCTGTTCTTGGCTCTGGCGGCTGCAGATCCTGCTGCACCTGGTGGGACATCTTTCTCGCACTCGCACAGCTCGTCGTCCTCAAGCATTGTACGGAAGCCTGTGAACGGCACAGCTTCATCCGTACCGCCCGCAGCACCGACTAGGAAGCCCTTCGCGGTAGCTGAGGTACTGCTACAGAACGGAGCAGAGATACCGACAGAACCTGCTCCGATACCATTATCCGAGGCAGCGAAAGTCTACATCGAATTCAAGAATGAGCAGCGCATGGGCAAGACCTTACCGAGCGCAGGCGCTAGAGACGCTAATGGCGACTCCCTGTCTGCTCTGCCTTCAATGCTTGGAGCGGGTCTATCGCCTAATGAGCGAGCCGCCCGTGAGCGAGAGAGGTTGTCGAAGAGGAGTAGTGCTGGTAGCACTTTGGGCAGTCGGACGGGAAGGCAGAGTTTCGCGAGCGATGCTATTGAGAGTTTTGTGAAGAAGTAGAGAAGATGCCCAGCTTCCTCATTATGGTTTTGATATGGCTTGACGCTGACACACATGCGCAAGACCTTATAGGCATGTTCGCGAGCGATCGCATGAGCTTAAGGATCGGTTACGAAAGGCTGATAGTCGCTTCTTTGACGTCGTGACGCTGGATAGTGCGCGTGATGTCCTCGCCGTCCACGATATAGCCGCGCCGAGTATAGCCGGCAGAGGCATTACGAGGAGATTGATGGCTGCGGCTGCGGTCAGACGAGCCGCGGACAGAAGGAGACGGGCGAACACTGCGCCGGGAAGGATTGAGACGGACTTGGTTGTGTTGTACTAAGAAACGATGCTCTGGAGAGTTGAAGGCACCTTGATCCCTTCATTGATATAGGCGTCGGCGCCAAGGGAGAGGGTATATCCGGTAGGATAATAATGCTTAATGGATAATGATAAGCTGGGCTTGATGGCCTTTGTAAGTATACAGCCAGGCAGGCAGGCAGAAAGCTGTCCTCGATAGCCATGAATCTAGAGATTACCAGTCGCACAGACCAATGTCGCATGGTCTCGACTCTCCCGATGATGGGGCCGCACGGTGATCGTACTGTACAGAATCGATGCGAGGGCACTGTAAAATGAGTCTCGGTGCGCAAAAACGTGGCTCGCTATGAACGCTTTGTCTAACAGATGCTATCGTAGATGCAACATAGTCAAGATATCATGCCGCGCAAAGAACGATCGGTTCTTCTTGCCAAACACATCTGCGGAACAAGTCAGCTCACTCCTATATTGTATGATAAATAGCTAGCACTTACACATAAACACTGTCAAGCAGCATATCACAACCTGCACACTACTGATAGCCAAGAATACGGGCTTGATGCCGCTCTTGACCAACCAATTGTATCCACTGAACGTCAGACCAAACGAGAAGATATTCTTGAACACGAGCAAGCACGTGAATCCTTCAACAGCAATATCTCGATGTGCGTCCACGATGTAGAGGGCGGAAGCCACGGCTCCAAGGACCATCCCCATGACTTCGAGCGCGAAGAAGAAGTCCGGCCAGAACCAGCCGTATTTATATGTGTTCGCACTCGTGATGCCGAAACCATAAAGGCCTGCGCAGCCAAAGATGAGCTGCGGAATGACGAGCAGGAGGCGGAATTCTGGTTCATAAATCCCACGATTTCGTTTCGTCATCCATTTCACGCTTGAGTCACTCAGTACACCAGCCAGCACAAAGCCCAGTAGAGCGCCGATGAAGGCACCGGTGTACATATACCCCGTCTTCACCTCGTCGAACCACAGGGGTGGGCCAAGCATGATGGCTGCGAGCACGATACCGATCAGCACCGTCCAGCCGATAAGCGTTCCTTGGATTAGACAGGCCCAGAGGATGCCAGGGTGGAAGAAGAGCGGGAAGGGGCGGGCGAGGAGTTTGAAGAAGTTTTCGTTGGTGTGGCGGCCGTTAAAGGGGGAAAGGGTTGCTTTGGAGAACATGCTGCTACTTCCCGAATGTGGTTCGACGGCATGGACGGAGCTGGTGGAGGAGGGTTGTTGGAGTTCGATCTCAGCGGTCTTGGTGTATTCGGTTTGGTTATGCACGCCGAGGTCCGTGTTGAAGTGATCGGCTCTTACGAAAGTCGTTTCCGGGACGAAGAGGATGACTAATGGTAGCATGGCGGCCGTGAAGATGGCGAGGAGGTAGAAGGACCATTGCCAGCCTAGCGTGTCCGTCAATTTACCCACAATGACAGGGGTGAAGAATGCGCCACCGAAGAGACTTAAATTGCTCAGTGCCATTCTCTTGCCGCGCTCGTGGACGTAATAGAGGTCTCCCACGCTAGCATTGACTAGGGCCTCGAAGGGCGCGAGGCCGACTCCTTGGAAGAATCGTGCGGCGAGAAGGGATCTGTAGTTCTTCCCGCTTCCGCCTCCCCATGCTGAGCTGATGATTATGACAATTGTGCCAATAAGGTAGAGATGTCTCTTGCCCCACACTCTTGCACTGGCGACGAAGATGAAGCCTGCTAGTCCTACGCCAAGTAAATGGTAGCCTGTCAGAAGTGCGATGTCCGTGAAGCTACGCTCGAAGTACAGCGTCAAGGTCAGGGTGTTGGCGGCGAGAAGGGGTGAGAGTGTCGAGGCGATGACGGAGAGGAGACAGAGGATACTGGTTATGAGGTCGCGGCGCCATAGTGGCCAGTTCAGTGGGTCGCGGGGATCGTCGCTGGGCTGTGGGACGAGGATCGTGCCGTCCTTACTTCTCTTTGCGTTGGCATGGCGAGGAGCACCGGCTGTCAGTTCGTCGAGGTCGTCGAGTGTTGCTGTACCTGTATGATGGAGAGAGATTAGTGTATGCGCTTGTGTCGTCTCGTCTCGCGTCGTCTAGTGTGGGATGAGACGGAATGCTCACCAGGGACATGCTGCAGCTTATGGTCTTCCAACACGCCGAGACCCATGTTCACGGAGGTGAGGGTGGTGTCGCGACACCCGTGACTATGCTACCCTCCACTCAATAATACCGTTCAGATCTCGTGGTGAGGAAGTGGTTGCATTCAGCTTCCAGATCCGCGCAAGCCACTGTGCCGATCGTCCCGACAAATCGTCCCGATTTAGACTTCGATACTAGACGTTGTTGACTACTTCGATATTCCTTCCACCAACGGCGACACCCCCAGGACACTCTCTTCAACTGAGCTATCACTCGTGTGCTCGAGGAACTCGAACCAAGCCTATCTAGACCCGGATCGCTGCTAGAGGATATCCCGGTAACACCATCAAGGAACCATCTACCAATTTGCACGACGACATCTAAAGAGTGTACTCAAAAGTGATTGCCGGGAGTACAGTAAGAAACGCATCAACTACATGCTACAAACCCTCCGGACGTCCCTTGGCGCTCGCACTCTCACCACTACCCTCCGGCCCATCTTAGCCATGTCCACCCAACCCAGCTCACAACAACCGGACCGTCGCATCCTCAAACCAAGCGGCACGAACGACTCGCCCCGAGCCCAACAATACACCAAAGGCCAACTAACCATCGACCAGCTGAATGCGGACCCAACTACCCAATTCCAGATCTGGTTCGACCACGCCCAAGCGGAGAAAGTGCACCAGCCGGAAACCGTAACATTATCCACCGCGGAACTGCCCTCAGGTCGCGTAAGCGCCCGGATGGTGTACCTCAAGGAGGCCGATTCGAAGGGCTTCGTAATCTACTCCAACTGGGAAACCTCCCGCAAAGCCTCAGACGTGTCGTCGAACCCGCAAGCAGCCCTGACGTTCTGGTGGCAAGAACTGGAGCGGCAAGTCCGGGTCGAAGGGCCCTGTCATCGACTCACGGACGAGGAAAGTCAGGTCTATTACGATACGCGGATCCGGGGTTCGCGATTAGGTGCGTGGGCTAGTAGGCAGAGTGCGGTGCTTGAGGATCGAGGGGTTTTGGAGCGGCAGGTGGAGGATGTGGAGAGGAGGTTTGAGGGGGGGGAGAAGATTCCCGTGCCGGGGTTTTGGGGCGGGTTGAGGGTTGTGCCGGAGATGGTAGAGTTCTGGCAGGGGAGGCCGAGTCGGTTGCATGATCGGTTTAGGTATTGTAAGGATGGGAGTGGGGAGTGGAAAATTGATAGACTTAGTCCGTAGGAAGTTCACGCATTATGCGCTATGTCAGGATCCTTGGCGCCCTGCTGTTCTCTGCGCCACCTTTGTCATACATATTCGTGCAATAGAGCGTCGGCTCACATTGTATCATACGTAATGGAATTGATTTCTACAATCACGTCTGCCGTATAACATCCTCATACGCCGTACTAGGCGTCGGCGGCCCCCTCATACTAGCCAACGACCTCACATCATGCGGTCGCTGCGACAAGTCTCCACGAGCGTACATCATATTCTGCCCAGCATACCCGGCCATTTCATTCTCGGAATGAACAGCTTCTCGCATCTTCTCCACAGGTTCTGGCCTCGGAGTTCCCGTGCCCGACTGCCACCCAGCAGCTGGTTTGCCATCCGGTGTTCCGGGCAGCGGCCCGTTGTAGTACGGTAGTGTAGGAGTAGAAAGTTCTTGCATGGGCTGTTCGGGCTGAGGTGGCACGAAGGGCATACTTTGCGGCAGCCTCTCGGTCTGTGCTTTACGGCGTCGTCGGCGCTCGAGGAAGAATCCGACGCCTAGGAGGAGGAGACATGCAGCTGATGCGATTCCGATACCAATGCCGGCTTTGTCGCCTTTAGTGAGACCGCCTCCTGCTGTTGCTGCCGACGGGGAAGAAGCTGATGATGAGATCGACGGCGAGGCGGTGGCTGGCGAGATGTCTGTCGTTGTTGGCGTGGTAGAGGATGGTACATCTGTGATCACCGCTGTAGAGCCTCCCGCTGGAGTCGATCCGGAAGGCACTGTTGTCGTGCTCGCCGAGCTACTCGTCCCTGAACCTGTCGTCGAAGCTGCCGTCGTAGAAGACGGAGAAGTCGGCGAAGTCGAAGACGTGGGCGAAGTCGATGAGATCCCGCCCACCGCCCCCCCACCAGCCCTCACAGCCGAACTCGGCCCGTCTCGATACGTAGTCAACCCCCTAACAGGATTAGGCGTATACCCACTGATGGGGCCAGCCCACGAACTCGGCCCCCCCAATCATCGTCGAGCGCCAATACCCCGTTGATCCACCATTAGAAGTCGGTAGCTGGACCCAAGGTGCTAAGGATAGAGGGGCGTAGAGTGCCACGCGAGCCTCATCGCCTATGTCTTTGCAGTCGCGCGGTGGTAGGACTCGGAGGGATGTGGAAGGGGAGCCCCAGTCGCAGCCGCAGGATTCGGGGGAGAGGCAGACCCAGGTGTTGGAGATGTTTTGGTGGGGAGTGTTGGGGTCGGGGATGTCGGAGCAGTAGATCAGGGTTGTGTAAGGGGATAGAGCTGCAGGTCAAACTTTGACAGAACATGCTCCGTTGCATCATGCCCGTAGTTGTGATCGCATGTAGCAGACTTACCGGTGTCCCAGCCACATTTGTACGGACATGTGGAGTCCTGATACTTGCTGTCCGTGCAGCCATACTGGTATGTATCGCCTGTCGTGACGTCGTAGCAGGCGTTTCCTGATAAACATGTATCGCCTAGGAGACAGCATGCGGATTGCCCGGAAGGATTGCAGGGGACGAGGTTCGAGGGACCTTTGGCGCCGGGTGCGTAGTAGCATTGGTTTTGAGCGAAGGTCTGGATGGCAAGTGAGAGGATTAGGGAGGGAAAGAGAAGTCGCATTCGGGGTAGCATGGTGGTGGAAGGTGAACGCCAATGATCCTACCCCAGACAACGGAATGGGGTGATGCGAAGAGAGTGGAGAGATGAAGAGCAGATCAGTGGTCATTCAAGAGTGGGACGAGAAATGAGGAGCAGGAGAAGGACGATGCGGGTGGTATTACCACAGCCTCAGCCTGATGGTCGGCATTGGACCTCGTCAGGCTCGCAAGGCTGGCGGTCTCCGGACTCTCGACTTTGATAGGAAGGCTGGGCCAAGGCTGCATACGAAGGTTGGATTTGACGAAGATTTGTTCTTGGGGCGAGCCTGCGGTAGGACTAGTGCGCATGTCGAAGGGTGAGACGGGATACGGTGGATTATGCCACGACATCGAAGATGGCTGTGGACTCTGCATCTAGCAGCAGTGATAACCGTCGGTCAGTGGCAAATTCCAGCCTGGTCTTGTACTCCATGCAGCTGGCTCATGGCACGGAGAGGAGAGACGGTGATAGCAGCCTGGGGTGCGGCACGGAGCATTCTTATACCATGTCTGTATGCGGACGAGGGCCTGACCAGTGTTATGGGAAGCACCTCTGCAGACGACAGGATACATATTATCAGAGGTGAGATGAGAGGCAAGCTGAAGCATGCAAGTAGGCAAGTAGGCAAGTAGGCAGGTAGGGGGTGTTTGGTAGATCAGGCATGACTAAGCACAAACATACCTTACGCATCCGTCAACCGAGCCCCACTATGCCCAGGCATTATTATTGAACAAACACATCCACGCAACTCTCTCCTTTCCCACCACCACCAACCAACCGAACAGTCGAGCCCCCACCGCTCCTGTTTTCTCCCCTTCCATCACTACCACCATGTCCGCCCCAGAAGTCCACCACCTCTTCCACGCCCCGATAGCCGACCACTCCTTCTCCGCCGACCGCAGCACCCTGGCTGTCGCCCGTGAGAACAACATCGAGTTATACTCGCGCTCAGGAAACTCCTTCCGCCTCGAAGACGAACTCCGCGGCCACGACAAAACCGTCACCGGCGTCGACATCGCTCCTCACAGCGGCCGGATCGTAACTTGTAGCCAAGACCGCAACGCCTATGTCTGGGAACCTACGGGGAAAGCTGGAGCCTGGAAACCAACCCTAGTCCTGCTCAGGATCAATCGAGCAGCGACATGTGTGCGATGGGCGCCCAACGAGACCAAGTTTGCCGTCGGCAGTGGGGCGAGAATCATCGCCGTGTGTTATTTCGAGCAGGAGAACGATTGGTGGGTTTCCAAGCATGTGAAGAAGCCCTTGAGGAGTACGGTCACGTGTGTGGACTGGCATCCTAACTCCGTGCTCCTGGCTGCTGGGTCGACGGACGGGCATGCACGCGTCTTCTCCTCCTTCGTCAAGGGCACGGATGAACGACCGGAAGCCTCGGTGTGGGGGGAACGCCTCCCCTTCAATACCGTCTGCGGGGAGTACCTCAACCCCACGGCGGGATGGGTCCACGATGTAGCTTTCTCCCCCTCTGGCAATGCTCTGGCATTCTGCTCCCACGACAGCACCGTCACTGTCGTCTACCCCTCGGGTCCGGAACAACCGCCTCAAGCCGTGCTGTCCATCACAACACAATTACTACCCTTCACCTCCCTCCTCTGGACCACGGAATCCGAACTCGTGGCCGCCGGTTACGATTGCGGCGTCTACCGCTTGTCGGGTGACAGCAATGGCTGGCAGTTGACAGGCTCGCTGGAGAAAACCGAGGCGTCGAGGCCCGGGTTAGAGCAGAGGGAGGAGTCGGCGTTGAATATGTTCCGGTCGATGGATTTGCGCGGGCAGAGGGGTGGGGTGCAGGAAGATACCAAGTTGAAGACTACGCATCAGAATAGTATTAATACGCTTCGAGCGTATCAGGGAGGGAATGGAGGGGAGGTCGGGCAGATTAGTACGAGTGGGGTTGATGGACGGGTTGTGGTGTGGAAGTTGTGAATGAATGAGATACTTGCAGGATGAGACGAGAAAGGCATGCAGGCAAGTGTACTGCTCAAACCGGGATATCAATCAACGCTCCTACATAGACGCAAGCTACACAAAATAGTTTTCACAAAAACATGACTCCGATCATCATCCAGTTCTCCCAAAGCTTCCCTCCCTGTCTCCCCTCCTTCCTCATCATCTCACTCAGATCCACAATCAAGCCGCCCATTCCATCCGTCCTTGCTCACTCCCTCCCCCTCCCAACCCTCTTCCCCCAATCCTCCCCAATCCGCCCTGCATCCACAATCTCCACCCCCTTCCCCAACCCCACCATCTCACTCCGCTCCCACCACTGCTCCCTCTTCCTCCCCTCCGCCCCATGCACCCCACCCTCATCCTCCGTCTCCGTATCCGCCAACCCCCCCGTCCCATCATCCCCGACCACCAGAATCGCTTGCCCAACCCACCCCTTCAAATCCCTCAAGTTATCCCCTTCGGACCCGGCGAGCAGGTCGGAGACGTAGGTCAGTGAAGGGGATAAGTGGCGGAGGATGGGGATATAGCCTGCGATGGTGGTGAAACATAAGATCTGGCTCGGAGTCGAGACTAAGGTGAGGGCCGTGGTGTAGAGGGCGTCGAATTGGCGGCCGGGGGATTTGAAGTCTGCTGCGCCTCCTGCGTTTGCACCGGGTTGTTGCGAGGAACTGTCTGTAGCGTCGATTCGGGGGCTGACGGATTGTAACTCCGACCCTGGCGTTTGTGCCGGAGTGTTGATTTGGGAGTAGGAGGAGCCGAGGTTGGAGGCGGTGTCGATTTCCATTGTACTGGGGCGGTAATTCAGGGGTGGGAGGGTAGTGAGGCCCGGGGCGTAGATCAGGACGAAGATGTCTGTTGTTGCTGGGTTGTGGTGTTCGGGGAGGTGGGAGAGGATGGACTAGATCGTCATCAAACATGTCATGTTAGCCCGGAAGTTTGGATGCGAGGCTTGGGGAGGTCATTGGTAGTGCTGTGCTTACCGCATGCTCAGCATAAACGACATCCTCCTCGTCCATCTTGCCATCCATGTTCGTGTCCGCGCTCACGACCACCGCAACCATCGTTTTGCCCTGACCAGCCCGGCCCTTCCCCTTACTGCTGTCGACTTCCCTCGCGGACCTCGCACTCTCCGCTCTCCGTCCGCTCTCCACCTCCACTCCCCCCACAGGCCCGACCCTCCTCTTCTCATCCGCCTCCTCACTCCACCTCTCATGATCACTAAAACCCTCCCTCTCCTCCCTCCTCACATCAACCTCACCCCTCCTCTCGCGACTGACTCGCTCATCCCTGCTCACACGGCCTGAGTTGGGGCCAGATCCATTCTCCGGATCCTCCATTATACTCCCCAGCGCTGAGCCGGCGGCTGCAATCCCGGCGGAGACTTGTTTGCTAGCGTGATCGAAGAATTGTTGGGGCGAGGGCGTGCGGCGCATAGCTCCTCGGACTTGGCCGAAGAAGGTTCCCTGGTCCTGAGTTTCTTCATGGTGGTCATCACCTTCGCCGTAGGAGCGGGAAGTGGAGTTGTAATAGCTCGCTGCCTCACCTCCTCCTACACTAGTACCAGGTGCGGGTGGAGGCTGGCCTTGCGGTCCTGAAGACTGGTTTGGTATGGGACCTTGATACGACGGAACACCACCCTGCGAGCCTCCACCACCATAATCCTGCCCTCCTCCCGGTCCACCAAGTCCTCCTTGCTGCGGTCCCGGATACGGCCCTCCAGGTCCAGACGGCGGTGGTCGTCCCTGCGGCGGCTTGCTATCCGGCCGTCCATAATGCTGGTCCTCGTCGTCGTGGCTACTCCGCTCAGACCAGATCCATGCTGCTAGACCTCCAATTGCGATCGTTCCCGTTACGAGGAGGGGCACCCAGTACCCGAGGACGGAGTGTTGGCGGTTGTTGCGACCCGGGGGTGGTGGGGGAGCGTAGAGGGGGCGGCGTTGGCGATTGCGGTCCATGGTTGCTGTGTCTGTCCGTAGAGTCTACATGTGGTGCTTGATGGGTTAAGACGACGCGTGGAAGGGCCTCGCGACGACGTTTTTGATTGTTGTTGTCTCGGCCTTGTTTGGATCAGCTGTTGACACTTCCGTCCCGCTTAAGCTGAGCTGTGGCTGGGGTCGTGACCGGGGTCTGAAGCTTGTTTTGGTCGTCAGCCTTACGAACGTTTTGCGCCTGAGGCTCAATATATACAAAAGTTCGACAACATATGAATCACAAGTATATATTTTGGATATATCTGCTGGCAAAGGTAGGATGCAGTGACTTCATCCTATAGACACCTACAATTCGACTACTGATACCGGTATTGGCTGGCGCCTACCATACTAGCCTCTTGTATGGAAGATCTATAGAAGAACGACACTCGTCTGGGCGGATCGCCATCAAATTACTATACCACGGATGACACCATAGAATAATTGAACCTGAAAGTCTTCACCATCAAGGCTCGATCTCGGGATACACTCTAACCACCCGCGACCATGCCCCACGCAACCCACCCCTCCCCTGGCCTCCAAGCCCTCATCCTCTGCGGCCCAGGCATAAGTCTCAACACCTTCACGTCCAAGCCCTCCGACTTTCCCAAAGCCCTAGTCCCCATAGCCAACCGTCCCATGGTCTGGTATGCCTTGGAATGGTGCTACCGGATGGGGATCACAGACATTACTCTCATCACACCCCCCGAAGCCGCGCCTCCATTGCAAGCAGCGTTGTCCACCAATCCGGCATTGACAAGTCTTCCGAATCCGAAACCTGAGATCTTGGCTCCCGAGGGGTTGGATATGACGACCGGGACTGCGGAGCTCTTGAGGTTATCGGAGGTGCGAAAGGTGCTGGAACGGGATTTCGTTGTATTACCTTGTGATCTCGTCTCCGAGATGGAAGGGGCCAAATTCCTGCAGCAATGGATGGTGCTGAATCCGAGCCAGAGTAGTCCGAAGAAGAATTCGAAAGGCAAGGGAGGCCTAGCGGTGTACTATCCCACTTTCGGCCGAGAAGGCGTGAGTAACAAGAAAGATGAGACGGATTTCGTCGCCACGGTGCCCATCGCACGACCCACTGTGCCACCTCCACAGGGATCTTTGAGGGGTGAGGTGGAGGAGGTCGTGCTGGCTATGCCGACTGATACTGTCAATGATATTGTTAAGGAGAATAAGTCGACGTTGCCTATCCGGCACGCATTACTGCGGAAACATGGACGGGCGAAGATCAAGACGCAGCATAGAGATGCACATATCTATTTCTTCCCGCTGTGGGTCAAGGATTTCGTCGAGCCTAATGAGAAGTTCGAGAGCATTGGGGAGGATGTTGTGGGCTGGTGGGCGAAGGCAGGGTGGCAGAGTGGTCTGGCAGAGAAGCTGGGGTTGGGTGAAGTGCTAGGCGAGAAGGCTGTGACGGAAGATGGTGGGGAGGAGAGCTTTTCGCAAGACGATGAGGAAGATGTGGACGCCATGGCTCTGTCCAGCACGAATGCCGCGGCGCCTCAATATCAGGATATCACCACAGCGCTATCTTTCGCCTCGCGAGTCGGCGATGATACCATACTCCCAAAAACACCAAACCCACAGCGACCCCAGCTACCACCATTGCTAGCTTACATTCAACCCTCGCCACCCCCACTCCCAGCCAGTACGGGAACAACCCCAAACAACCAAAACACATCCACGCCCACCATCTCATCACTCCCTTTGATCCGCCGGATAGACACAACCCCCCAACTCCTCTCCCTCTCCCTCTACCTCGCCCGTCAAACCCCACCTCACCCCTATGCACCCGAGCACAAAAGCCACCCAACCGCTCAAATCGGCCAACAATCCCGCATCAGTCAGGAAGATTGCTTGATAGCGGAAAATGTGACGATGGGGATGAGATGTAATCTCAAAGAGACAATTGTTGGCGCTAATTGTGAGATTGGGGCAAATGTCAGGTTAACCAAATGTGTGCTTATGGACGGCGTCACTGTGGGAGACGGCGTGGTAATGACGGGTTGTGTAGTCGGCCGACGAGCGAAGGTCGAAGGCTTGAAGTCCGCGGTTTCTGCTTCTGCTTCTGAGCCTCCTCCGCCTGCAGGGGCTGGAGCGGATGGTACCGCTACTGCCGCCCAAGAAGGCAAGGGCAAAGGCAAGAAGAAGGTCAGCACTGGTGATGATGAGGACGAGAAGACCAGATTAACGGATTGTGAGATTGCGCCTTACTTTGTTGTTGAGGCGGGGACGGAGGCCAAGGGGGAGACGTTGAAGGGGTTTGATGATGAGGATGATGGGTTGGGGGATGAGGGAGGTGTGGATGATGAGGAGGAAGAGGATGATTCGTGACGCGGATTTACGTACATACGTCTATGCTACCACGATCGCCTCGGAACCTTCACACGCCCGCGCAAGCCATTCTTGCTTTGCTTTTCCACTGCTACCCATGTAGTCCCACCCCCCCTCCCCCTCAAACCTTCTACTCATCAGACGCTTGACTTCAAACTCGCCCTCCTCGTCACTCGGCTTGCTTATGTTTACCTCAAATCGGCGAAGCAGGGTTGATGTTGAGAACGAACTCCAGCTTCCCACCCTCCAGCGTATACGTCCCACCCGGCTTATTACTGTCGCCCTTACCCAAGCTACAATCATCGACCAGCTTCTCAAACACCTCGAGACATAGTCCCGTATCGAGGTAGTACCAGTCTCCGATCGGCTGATAATTTGACAGGCCTACCCAGCTGGGACCGCTACTACTTGCTGTGGCATAAGTCTCCAAGGTGGCTTTCTGGCTTGCGATATACTTGTTGCCGTAGCGGTGGCAGAAGTCGGTAATCATGGGTGTGATCTCGTCTGACTGGGCGCCGAAGTTGGAGGTATAGCATTTCGTGGTTCCTGTAGGGGTTGTGCGGAGTTCGTTCTGCTGCAGCGAGTTGGCTTGTACAATATTTGTCTTGACAGCCGCGAGATCGCGACGGCGACGACCGACTGAACTCTGGCCCGTTGCATCGGAATTGCCCTCGATATGCAGGACAAGCTCGATGGAGCCGACACCTGTACCTTCAACACCGCCTTGGAAGGGATCGTCACCGATGCCACCATCCGAGCACTTCGCAATGAGGACGCCGAAGTTGAGAAGGCAGATGTCGTTGCCGATGCTCTGTTGCTCGCCTGTTCCTGCATGTATCTGCACCTCCAGGACGAGTCCGCCGACAGTATACCAATTGATGTAGACTTGGGATGGAGTCAAGGGTTGCTCGTCAATCATGGCGCAGAAGTGAGCAACAGCATCGTTGGCGTTCCGGACGGTGATGTTCTGGCCGCTCTAGGGGCAGTAGTAGCCAGTGGGTAGAGTGGGCCTGACGCTAGCTATGGCGCGGAGCTCGGTCTCTTGGAATTTATTGACTTGTATGATAGTGGTATCTGCTGGGAGCCCTGGGAGGCCAAGTGTCAAGTCGTCACGCTTGTCAGCGATAGTGTTGCCTTCGACATAAACTACGATTTCCAGCGAGTCGACTCCAAAGGACAAGGTACCGCCATATAGCGTATCCTTGTTGACCGCACATCTCGAGATGAGCTCGGCGAAATTGAGCGCGCAGGTGTCTGTGTCGATGCTGCCACTATATCCGACTGCTGTGCGGACCTGGATCTGCAGTGTGATCTGGTTCAACTGAGTGTAGTAGTTGAGGTAAACGTGGTTCCCTTCGAGTGTTTGCCCACCGACCAGATCACATGTGAGTGCTGCGGCTTGACTTGCATGCTCGATCGTGACAGTCTGGCCACTACTGGCACGATAGTAGTTCTCGGGCAGGATTCGCTCCACAATACTGCTCTCCACAGCACTAATCTTCGGCAAGCTGTGCTCCCGGAGACCACGCTTGCTTGTGATGGTGTTGCCTTCGATGTCCAGGATGAACTCGCCTGCGTCAGATCCAGACGAGTAGACCCCTCCATAGAAAGTGCCAAACAACAGATTTGTGCAGTGAGCCATCACAGTCGTGAAAGAATCGATGCAGTCCTGAGCAGTCGCTATTTCTTCGCCGGCGCTGGGAGGTGTCTTGATCCCAACGACAAGATTCACTCCAACACTGGATGGGAATGTGTTGTAGACAAACGTGTCCTGTGCCAGCACCTGACCGTATGCCCTGTTGCAGAAGTCCGTGAAATGCAAAGTAACTTCAGGCCCAGGGAGGCTGCGAGCGCCAGATTTGGTACAGTAGAAGTTCTCCGGAAGGCTACGTGCCATAAGACTGCCGTCTGAACGAACAGTCTCATCTGGCAGACGCTTCTCTGGAGGAGGCGGTGGAGGAGGAATGTCTTCAGTCCGAATAATGTTCGTCACGGAGTGTGGCGGGTAGTACACAGCACCGCCATTGATCGTGTGTGCAGTACTGTCATCACAGTTGTTGAGCACATCCGCGAATGCGAGACCGCAGATGTCCGCTGTGATGGTGTAAGAGGTATCATCGACTGCCAAGACTTGCAAGATGAGGTGACTGCTACCGAAGCCATACATGTTGGTCTGATTACAGCCGGCCTCCACGGTCAAGCCGCAGTTGTGCCAACAGAAGGAATTGATGGCGAGTTGCGCCTGGTCTTGAGGATATGATTGGCCCTTGTTCGTGCAGATGTAGAAAGGATCCTGATCAATCTTGTCCAGCCTGCCAGTGCTCTCAAGTTGCTGCTTTGACGGCAAGTTGTTGTCGTTGACGGTGATGACATACTCAAGCGAGTTTGCAGGCACCTTGAGTGATCCACCAGTGAAGCTACCTCCACCCGGAGCGTTCGCGTCAGCGCAGCTTGAAAGAATGGTGTCGAAGGCCATGGTGCATGCAGCAATGGAGGATATATTCGCCGGCTGAGAATTGGCCGACTTAATCTGAGGCACAATATGGCCGCCATCGATGTCCCACGGCATGTAGACGTTCTCGTCAGGATATACCGGGAAAGCCACGGCGACATTACAATAGGACTGGATTATGACCTTCACATCGCGTATGTCGACAGATGGACCTCCGGTAGCAGCACAAGCCGGCGTATCTGGCTGGGAGGCGACGGTGGCGAGTGCGCGCTTTGGTGGTACTACATTGGTGTCAAGTCCCATCACATACTCCGTCTCTCCCTCGCCCCAGGACCAAGTACCGCCGGGAGTGTTGCCTTGGCCGTTGATGCACTCCTGCAGAATACCTTGGAAGCTGGTCCGGCAGTAGGTCCGATCGACAACCATGTCAGATCCCATCGGCGCTAGGATCGACATGATGAACACATGATTGGAGGAGGGCAATGGTACGGCGTCCGTGATGTGATAACCAGCACTGATCGGGTAGCCGGCAAATTCGTCGCAGGCCTGCAAGATGGCGCTCTTCACATCATTGATTGAGGCGGAGTTTGAGCTGTCGAGGGCAGCACAGTTGGGTCCGTGAGGAAGCTGTTCCCGCTTCGAGAATGGTGCATCATATTTCGAATCGCGCTTCGTGGGTACATTATTATTGCCAATTTCCAAGATAAACTCCTTCGCATTCGGTCCCTCTGAGTAAGTCCTGCCAAAAAATTGGTTGTCGGGAGACTTACACATGCTGATTAGTGTCTTGAAGTTTGTCATGATCTCGCCGTAGTCAAAAAAGGAATCAGCGTCTGGAGAGGCCTTTAGCTTTATTGTGACTTCGACCTCGTTCACATATTCTCCCTGCGACCATTCACTGCCCACGGGCTCCCACTTTGGACGCTCAAGGAATAGCGAGACAGCCCGATTGATGAAGTCCTGAGCGAGCTGTATATCTAATGGGTAGCCATCATGTGCACACTGTACACCAGCAGGTAGGTTTCGCCGAGTGTCGACGGCGTTGACCTCAACCTCGCGCTTGTCGTACCCCTGATCGGCATTCGTAAGCAGCAGAAACTGCTTCTCGCCTGAGCCATACGAGTAGATTCCTCCGAGGGTCTGTTCGAGTGGCCCGACACATTGGTCAAGCAGGATACCAAAGATCTCGAGGCATTCTCCATAGTCAAACACATCGTGAGTCTTGGGTGATGCTTCCAAATCCACATCAATCTCGAATGGACCAGATGTGTCTCTATAGGACCAGTAGCTCCCAGGGTTGACGACTACCGCCTGAACTTGCATTTGCGAACAAGCATTGCTGACAATGTCTTGAGCGGTGCTTATGCTGAATGGCGGGCCGGTCTTAGCGCAATGGACACCGACAGGCAGACCTCGCTTCTCCAGCGTCGTACCACGGCTGGGCCTTACGAATACTGCGTCGACCTCACTGTCGCGCTTTGAGTTGAAGTTGTCATCAACAATGATGGAAAATTGAGGAACGTCGTCAGGACCCATTTTGATAGTCCCACCACTGACCATGTATGCAAATGGGCATTGCGCCATAAGCTGGTCGAATGCAGCCGTGCAGATAGTTTTGTCGACTTTGTAGGGCGCACCACGTGGAGCCCAGATTTTTGACAAGATCGTATGATGCAGCTTACCACTGACTTCGTAATCCGAGCCATAGCTGGATCCAGCATCGATGGTATAGCCGTCAAACTCGTCACAGGCTATGGCGTACGCAGTTATTGCTTCGCCAGGAAAGACCTGGTTGCCCTTGGTGACGCAATAGACTGGATCGGTGTCATCGCGCTTTGTGAACGGGTTGCTGACAATTTCAAGGCTGAAGCTGAGACCGCGATCGCCGACGGACCAGCTGCCACCATGTGTAGTACCCGAGGAGGCATCACTGCAGCTTGACACTAGCTTATCGTAGCTGGACGAGCAGAAGTCTGCGTTGAGAACACAGGGAACAAATTGACCGGTGTGAATCTCCATCTTGATCGTGATGCCAGAAACATCGAACGTCGAGTTGAAGCTAGATGCTGCCTCATTCTTGTGACCACTGGCGGAGTTGCAGAAAGAGCTGTACGCTTCGCGTGCCTGGTCGTCGGTGACAGTCATGCCGTCAGGATCAGCGCAGGTCGCAGCAGCAGGATCGTTGCGCGGCGCCTTGATCGTGCGACTTGGCAACGAGGCAGCGCCTTCGTGTGGCGTGGCGATGGTATGTGGAACACCGTCTAGGGACTCCGCGACTTCGATATTGCGACGCTCGACGGTGGGGCCAAGCTGCGTAGGCGGATTGACAGTCATGAAGAACGCGCCAGCAGGATGATCAGTAACGACAGAGCCACTCTGCGAGGAGGCGCATTGAATCTGGACGCTGGTCAAATAGTCCACGCAATGATAGGTCGTGATGTTGAAAGGGCCACCAGCTTCAGTGATGTCCGAGCCGATATAGATACTGTTGCCATTGTACTGGTATGTCTCGCCCGCGCTGTGAGGACCCATTTCGAAGAGGTTGTCCTTGAACAGCCGGCAGAATTCGTTGATGACGGCGGTGATGTCAGACTTCGGCGCAAGGTCACCGCCATGGAAGCAGGAGACGGCGCCGGCTGCTTGGGGGCTCGCGAGTGGAGCTGCAGTGGTAGCGAGAAGGCTGATGGCCATGATGGCCAGAAGTGTGCTGATGAAGCCCATCTTGCTCAGAGCAGCTTTGCTGCGAGCAAGGAGACGCTGGCCGGTCCTGCCCTGCAGCAGTGAGAGCGTGGCTACGAGCCCTTGTGTAGAGGGGTTTGTCAATGTGCTTGTGTGAGATGTTGATGAAAGGTCTTGTGTTGTACTGGGTCGGGGGGTGATGAGTGGGGGGGAGGTGTGTGCTGGAAGCAGCTTAAACTCGAGGATGGAAAGAATCTTATAACGATCCGAGAGCCCACGCGGACTGCTCACGCGCTAGTGGTGAAGGGATGGTGGGAGTAGTGAGGTGGGGCAGTGAACTATAAACCACAAATGGAAGGTACGATGGATCGTGTGAAATGATTCTGCTGCGGATTCACTTACTTGACTCACTTACTGAGTTACCTTATTCCCTATTGTAGACTCATTCTATCTTCTACTTCACTGTTTGCAGCGTCGGCTGATTCATGGTTGGAGGCTATTGCTAGGTTCAGTCTGGGTGGCAAGAACGAAATATCAAGGTACTCACGTCTCGCCAACAGCCCGCCGGCATCTCCCGACTGTCAGAACTCGATCGGGGCCTGATCCATCCCGATCGAAACCTCGCCATCGCATTCTCGAGTTTGAAGCAAGCCGAGATATCTGGGCACGTGGCGCGCAAAGTGGGAGATGCAAATTATGGTCATGCTCACAAATCAGGGCTGAAGTGTGCTTTCACCTTCTTATTCGCTCGATCCGGCGCCCTGTTCTCGAATTGACTGCCATGGATTTCGAACACCAGCGGCCTAGGCTGTACCGCACCTTCCGCAGCATCCTCAAACGGTATCTCAAACCTGAAGATCGAGTGCTCCTTCGGCAGGATCTTCAATTCGTCCTGCTGCGTCACGACCTCGAACGTAAACTTCGTGTCCTTGACCACGATACCTCTCCTACCAACCCTGCTGTCACATCTGCTTCGCACGACCTCGACCAGTGCGCCATGATAGTCTGCGCTGACCAGTAACGGCCCAGCTGAGTTCGCATCCACGAAAGCTCGTGTGCTTTCCTTCAAGCCGAGTATGTCGCGCATGTACTCGCACCACATACGATGCAGAGGCTCGTAGATCGCATACTTTCGCTGCTTCTTGGGGATCTCGTAGACGCACAATGCACGCTTCTGCTTCGCCGACAGAGGCTTCGGCTTATTTGACTTGCGAGCTTTCTCCGCCTTCTGTAGCCTCTCGTACTGACGCTTCGACCGCGCGTTTGCAGTGGGATCTGGTGACGTTGGCCTGAGGAGCAGTGGTCGTTGCTTTACTTTCTCCTTGAATATCGTGTTTGCAGTGCCGGGAGAGTGAGCGCGCTTGAGTAGCGACTCGGCGATGTGTTCTTTAAGCTGCGTAGCCATGGCTGTCCGTACTGTCACATGCTTGGTGCTTAATGTTGAAAAGAGAAGGTTCACTTGAGGTGGAAATGCATGTGAAGCTTGACGCAATGTGGTCCGAGCGTTAACTTCAACTTGAGTCGTGAAAACTTATGGACCAGTCGTGCCTTGTCTTCCATGCGAGTAGGCATATGCCCTCTAAAGAACACACATGATAGCAGGTCAACATGGCGACGACCGTAATCACCACAAAGAACGCTTCGACCAGCCAACTAGCAACCACTGTTCCTCCAAACCAGTCGCTATACATCCAGAACCTACCCGAAAAGCTGCAAAAGGACGACTTGAGACGTGAGCTGTATATGCTGTTTTCGACCTATGGCCCAGTATTCGACGTTGTGGCGTTGAAAACAAAGAGCATGAGAGGTCAGGCGCATGTGCTATTCCGAGATGTGCAGAGTGCGACACAAGCCATTAGGGCATGTCAAGGCTTCGAGTTCAGTGGCAGAGAGATGGTAAGCTATGGGACATGATATATAATGCTACGAGTCGAGCTGATACAAGTTGCACCAGAGGATATCATACTCCAAAAATCGATCACACACCTTAGCAAAGATGACAGGGAAATTCAATCAACCAACAGCAGCAGCCGAGAAGCCAAATGCTGCATCTGCAGCGCCTGGAGCGCCTGCCACTTTTGCCGCAATTCCTGGCGCAGCGCCTGCACAAGCTACATCTGGTACACCGGCTGCTCAGATCACGAACGGTGACAGGGCACCACCGCAAGGCATTAAGAGGCCGCGAGACGATGACGAGGATGAGGTGGAGGAGGCTGAGATGGAGGTCGATGATGATGATGAAATGGAGATGAGTGACGACGATTGATTGAATCATATCTACTCGGATTCCGGGCTCATTGCAGCTATCTTGAACTTAGCGAGGCGTCACGGGTCAAAGACACGGCAGGTCCTGAACAGAAAGCACACTTCCGATCATTAATCATTACCCAATGGTTTGACAAAAGTAGTAAGTATACATTACCAGAGAAGACGCCCTCTCATATCCTGACCCTTTTAAAGCTTCTACTCGCCACATTTATCCCTCGCTACCAGCATGCGATGACATCGCTGTTGCAAGCTCGACCGGGAGACTCAGTCCAACACTCGGACCAACTAGACCCAGCCAGAGAGTGACATATTCGAGCGGCAACAGTTGTCGTCCACCAGCGACAGCCGCCATAGCTTCCTGAGTCCTGCAAGGATGTATGAAGTATGCAGGCAGGCCAGTCACCGGATGTTCTGTCATGCTCAAAGATCCCATCAGACCGAGACTACGCAGTTGCTCTCGCTGAATGGTAGGGACGAGCGCGGTGTATAATTCCTCCAGCGACATTCGAGGCTGGTTGAGCGGTTGCTTGATCGTCAAATGTAGTACGGGTACCATATACGTTAGCGAATAGACGATGTCGTACACAACTGTGCACCGACTGTCCAGTGGCGCGTGATTCATCAAGGCCTCATCGTCCCGATCGGCAGTTTCGTCCTCGTGAACACTGAGGGGGCCTTGCTTGGTGTCATGAGTTCTTGGCTCGAGATCTCTCCGAATACGAAGCATGTACGACTTCGAGCCCAGGACGTCCTACTCGAGTCTTCTTAGCAGATCGGCGAGAGACATCCTGCTATTCGACGTACGCATGTCTGAATGATCACATCATCCCACTTTGTTTTGCTTTGAAGACGAGATAGATGTTGGTATAAGTTTTCAATTGCCAGATTGTGGAGGTCTGCTGCGATCGATAGCTGCCGTGGTATCATCACATATGACTATTCCTAGCCCCCCGAAAATTACCGGCGTAGTAGGTTATAATGAGCATACCTGATCTTAGTCTGCGCGTTGAAGCGTAGAGCGCTGCGGTACGAGCGGTGCGAAGCAAGGCAGAAGCGGGATGCTCCCGCCCCGTCTGCTTCGTTACGGTTCGTCCTTAGACTCGCCTAAAGACATTGACATGTAGAGACTGATAGAAGGACTGTCTAGCATTTCATGTAGCGTACAATATACACGCCCTTCGATGCTTCGTGGTGGACTGCTCGGTCTGCCACTACTGAGGGTAATTAGACTACAGCCACTGAGTGAATTTCCGTGGACACGATCACCATGTCATGGTGTTTCGCTCAATCGACCACCTGGTTCTACGCGTCTGGACAGCACACGGGCTCACGGGCGTCACTACAGTCAGCGGATCTTTCCTGCGCGCAAGTCGGCCGCAGAAGTCATCACTAGGCTTGAGACTAGCCTGTCCGTCCCAACGACTGCTCTTCGCGAAGTGTTGATCCAATTGCACTCTATAAGAAACGAGATCGGGAAGCTGTCCGATCTCGAACGGCTCAGCTGGATGCGAAAGCATCAACCAGGTGGCAAAGTTCTCAAATGGCTGTAGGATAATGAGCTGCACACAACAGTTGGATTCGTAGAATATCTCGATTTTCACCAGGAGCTGTGCTTCTTCGTCGTAGCAGAGTCGCTTGACGACATTCTTCACGAGTAACTTCTGGTTGCTCTAGGTTCGACTACCAGACAACAGCTCGGCGACAAACGCAACAGCCTCTGGCGACAAACTCTGGCTAGATCCATGGTGAAAGCCGATCTTGATCTTGCCAACCAAACACGATGCCCTGATGCAGCAATCAAGCGTGTGCTTGGCCCTTCGTCTCGTATTGGGAAGCAGCTCACTGCGCTCGATAGGAAAGGGAACGGCCGCGGGTTCATGTCACTCTTGCCTTGCATGCAGGTCATCGTGGGCCACATCATGATCGACGACGGGCATGATCAACCTAAGTGTGTTGCGAGTCATGACAGTTTTATTCGTCTGTGCAAGACCTATGTCCACAAGTCGGAGAGCTTAGAGCTCGGCGTTGAGGCGTTGAATCTCTGGCATCCCGCGCAAGCAGATCCGCAGCCTCTATACGGTCACTTGCGTGTGCTGACGAAGGATGGTCGAGAGCCATTATTGAACGTATTGGCGAAAAGTATGTCTGCCAGCAGATTCTGTCGATTCTTGCTCGAGCGCGCCATATATTTACTGCGGAAACACGGTCGAGAAAACGATGCCAAGTGGATGCAGAGTGTTTACGACGGACTCGATCAACGACTGGCAGAAATGTATAGTCGACAGTTGCATGAGCAGTGCATAGTCGGAAGATCTTACCGGACCTATCGTGATGGCAAGTTGGATCGTGACGCTAGCCAGGTAGGAAGGAAAGTACGGTTTGTCGGGATCAACAAGGTTGACCAGCAATGAGTAAAAATTCGACGCATTACGCTGCTACAGCTTGAATGCTCCCCGGTCGGGAGTAGATTTTACAAAGCATGCTCAACCGTGGATGCGATCAGTTCCATAGTCCACGGATACCCTCCCGCGCATCACCAAGTACTGGGTCCAGCTGAGGCTTCTCGACATCCCACACACTCTGCATCTGATCCGCATGCTCGCCGCCCGAGCAAGAGTCCCAGGCGCTGCCCTTTGGATAAGCGCCAAGCATGGTGAAACCGGACAGTTCAATCTCCGACAGTGCTTTTTTTGGATCGTCCGCAGCGATATGATGGCCATCCCCAGGCGTCATCAGCTTAAACTCAGCTGGAGGATTAGTACGATATGTCTTGTGCGAGACACCAGCAGGAAGCAGGAAAACATCTCCAGCTTTTGCTTCTATCTCGACACCGCCATCTTCGTGCGCCGCGCCGTTTGTGCTAGCTTCGAGGTCATCGCTAGTGTCTGCTACGCCAAAACGAATGGTAGCGTGTCCAGTGAGCACAGCCATGCATTCGTGTGCATGGCTGTGATAATGTGAGACTTGCGTCGGTCCGTAGCGGTAGATCCACTGTGGTTCCCAACCATTGCCAGTGAAAAGTTCGTAGACTTCGCCAGCGTTGCAGTCTGCTATGTCTGCTAGGAGACCTGGGTAGTGTAGTAGCGGGTATGGTGAGTTTGGGATGAGCTTTGTTGGGTTGAGTTTGTAAGTCTGGACTTGTGGCATGACGGTGTCCGACCTGAATGTCTGGTCGCGAATACTGACACGTCCGCGCCTGATGCAGGGTATGGCGACAGGATCCTCTTTGACTTCGAGATTCCCGCTGGGGTTGAGAAGGAGTTGGGAGAGTGATGCATACCTCGGAAACGGTCTCCTTCGATACCCCGCTCAAAGGAGCTGAAGTTGGACGCAAAATCAATGCAGGAACAGTCCACCACCAGACATGATATGTAGGAGGCATCGATCACTTTGATCATACTCGAGCAACATGGTTGGGACGTACTTCATTGGGAAGTGACGGCAGCTCACATATTTGGCAATACCTATAATATGGACCCGAACCACTCAGACTCCTCTGCCGTACACTAGAAGCACCACAAGCGCCATGCATCAATTGTCATCGTAGAGATCGTGGGTCGACTAAGATAGTGGGCTCAAATCCGCCACCCGTCTCACTGGCCCACGTGAGTATAGCCATCTTCGCCTTGCCATCGATGCAACAAAGATAGACACGTCTCTCGTCTTCCACATTCCTTCCTTTGACCAGTGCCGGCTCATGCTCGAGGCCGGCGGCCCTCTGAACATCACTACGTGTGGCCAGAGGCCCGCTCAGCTCAACAAGGTATGTCATCCTATCATCTGCTGGACCTCCAGCGACAGACATGAGATCTGGCAGGAGAGCTCTCTTCTTCTGTAGCTCAAGCTCGTACTCGTAAGACTCTCGATCATGGCCATGGCTTTCCGCCTCGTTGCGGACTGTTTCCCAATGGTCGTCGGACATCCGCATACGAGTAAGATCCTGGCGGTGTTCCATGATCCGCTCAACAGCATCGTCTGGCTCTAGCTTGAACAGCTTCTGCCAGCGAGCCATTGTCTTTCCGATGCCTTCTGCAGTCTGGCCTTCGTCGTTCGTCATCGACATGCCAGCGTTACCAGCCATGGCCTCCAGCTCGCTTTGCAGCGCGTAGTCGTCCATGCTTTCGTTCGCTTCAGTTCGTGAGCAGGCGAATGGATGCTTGATAGTACTTAGAACACGAGGCTACAGCCATGTCCTGTCTGGAAAAAGACCTATTTGGACGCAGATTCGGTGTGTCGAATTATGCCATTCCTGGTCTACTCTATGAGTCCAACGAACGAGTCATACTTAGCCCACAGATGTTGAGGCACCGCGGTGGACGTGCTGTCGACCTTCCAGACCGCTAGTTCGCGTCTCTGGATCGCTACACACTGAATGCACTGTAAGTACAGTGTACATGCTCTGACAGTGGCAACAACCTCATCGTCCTTCCGCCCAAATCTTGCGTTGCGGAATGCTTCCGACACATTTTTCCCGATTGGGAAGGTACTTCCTCGCATGATCCGATCTTTTGGACACCGCGCCATTGCTAAAACTATTACAGGCGCGCTAGATATACACGATGGCTCGGGCCTGCTCTTGTCGGGCATCCTGGTTGCGGAAAGATCGAGCAACACGCCTATCGTAGCCCTCCAGCATTCTCTATCAACAGACACAATCGCTTGTTCCACTCCAGTCGGAAGATCACAATGCCTCTCGAGTTGCTTCCAATGACCGAGGCCGACGTGCCGGATTACACAGACATCATGTGGGAGTCTTTCGGCCCTGGTGTCATGGGTCTGATGTATCCCGATGGCTACTCGAAAGAAGCAAGAGAGCATTCGACCCAGGGTTCCTTGAAAGCATGGCGGAAGCGTCCCGACAGGATCAAGAAGATGAAGGTGGTCGATACGGACCTACCAGATTCTGCAGCACATCACAATATCGTCGGCGTGGCGGAATGGCTGTTCTATCCGAAGGAGCGGACTCAGGAGCAGATGGATCAAGAGTCTGCAGAAGCCCGGGAAGGCGGTATGCCACCAGGCGCCAATGCTGGAATGATGAAGGATTTCTTCGGGGCAATTGGCCATGTCAAGAAAGTGCACCACGGGACGAAGGCGCATGTGCGCTTGCACATCCTCGCCACGCTACCAGACCATCATCGGCGGGGTGTTGGTGCCATGCACATGAAGTGGGGATTCGAGGAGGCGGACAAGCTGGGCCTTGAGGTGTGGCTGGAGGGCTCACCCATGGGGACGCCATTATATACGCGATCTGGCTTTGAGACTGTGGCGATGATGGATTTCGACGCAAGGAAATGGGGTAGTAAGGTGGATATTCCTCACGCCATCATGGTGAGACCTGCCAGGAAGCTATAGATATCGTGGTAAGCCTTGCTTGTGGAACCTCTCAAAGCTCTCATGATCTATGGATCATTGTGTCGCTCCTTCCTTTTTAAAAGCTTGCCGCACTGAGCTGAACTTAGCTCTCCTGCTTGCCCCACTCGTCCTACTCAAACCAGACATCATCTGCACTGCAGTGATCGACACCCACGAACTCAAAACTTCGAGGAGATGGAACTCGAAGCCTTGATCGCAGCGGCACTTAATCAATCGCATGATGGTGAGGAGGCGGTTTCTATGCTCGTTCAACTTGCCGAGCAGTCCTATCAAAAGCATGGCACATATGCGCTTTCGGATATTTGGATCCAACGGCTGCTTCCCAATCATCAGATGCTTACTCCACCCGGTACATTGTTGCCCTTGTCGCCCGAGAACCAAATCAGTGGAGCACGCACGGCGACGACCGGTCCTCTGTACACGCATCAGTCTCGGTTTCTACAAAGCAACGACATCACTCCATTCGAGCAAGCTAGGAAAGGTCTGACCGCAGATTCAGTCGGCGACAATGGAGGCCCGCCAGCCATCGACTTCGATCGGCTAAAGTCACTGTTTGATTTCTCAACGATCGAGCCACATTTCACATCTACTAAATCTGATCGACCGCAGAAACAACAAGATCGCCTGCAGAAACCGCCGACAGAGCCTTTCGGCAGAAGCATGCTTCGTAGTGCATCTCTGGGCAACCCAAGGACTCATCTAGACCTGCTTGAGCGCGATGGGCTGGTGCTGCAGCGTCCGCTGCAGCTCCAAGCAGGCCGTGACGCAGCTATAGATGCCATCTTTGAAGCCGTAAGGAGACGGGTATTGCTGCTGGTGGGGCTTATTCCGATTCAGCCACTGGCAACCAACTTACTGACATTCGTACAGGCACCTCACAGCTTGCTGCTCAAGTGGCCTCTGCAAGATCAGGACATCATAGAACTCTAATCGATTGACCCGGCCATCAATATCCATGTCAAGCTCAGCGCAAATGTCACATCGAGAGCTTTGTACGCAACTACGAAATTTATGCTCGTCGCACGTGGAGAACAAGGACCTATCACAGACTTTCGCAATACCCTAAAGGAGTTCTGGGGCAGTCATCTACAAGAGCGGCGTATCGAAGAATCTATCGAGCGCGCATTGGTGAAGCTGGCTCGTTTTGTCCCGGAGGTTTGGCAAGAGGTGCGGCTGGGCCAAGGCAATTCGAAATGCAGCGCGGGCCAAGCACATGTTGAAGGTATCGCAGGCCGGACGCTGTCTAGGACGAGGCCTTGGGGGCGACCAGAATCCGAGAACCCGCCTCAAGCCCAAGCGATGGCTGATATCGTCGTTGCACAACAGCGCTGAGGCAGTCTGCTGGTGAATCAATTTCTGGAACGGCTTGAGTCAAGTAGATTTGAACACGGTATGTGCTGTGCAGTGCTCTTTCCATTCGTGCTTTGGTGCCTCCATTCGTACCTTCCTTCATAGATACGCTATGAAGAGGGAAGGTGGGCAGCATGTTGTCAACAACAGCCTGTGTGAAGTGGCACCTTCCAAATCTTCATGAAAGTTTCTCCATTGCTTGTTGTTATCCGCTGCACGCCTCAAATACACCACACTGAAGGCCTCCACCAAATCCCGTCCTCACTGCAACCCTCGGGACTTCGCGATGGGGCACCAGCCAACGCCTGTCCTCGACATGCAAGAGGACATGAAGCAGGTCCCTAGCGGCGCCCAACCTGTGCTCACTACACTCGTCAAGAAGGTGAACAGTCCGGAAGAAGTCGAAAATCTGTTACAGCGCTTCGCTCGACAGCCGTATGATCGATACGGTGCAGCTGTGTGCCAGATTGCTGCGGTCCGCGATCTGCTCGCGGATGGCATGCTGGCCAGTATCGATCCTAACCTGGCCGTGCGGCAGCCAAGTGAGGAAGGCGAAATTAGGGAGTCAACGAATGGAGATGTCGTTGTGATGACAGAGTGCTTCACTGACGATCACGTTTCGACTGCTGCCTCATATCAAGGTGGCGACGTGGAACGCAGCGCGCAGCACGATCACGAACTCGTGCAGCCAGCCTCAGAGCCGTCGATCTCGCTTCACCTGCAATCACAATCGCCGCTGAGTGTCGGAGCTGATATCCAATCCGACAGTGCTGGCGCAGTCAATGCTCATCATGGGCTGCCTGCGGCGCATGATACCTCTCAACACCGCGAGGTGCCTCAATTCGGCCAGGTCTCGCGTCTGACCTCGAAGTATTTCGAGATACTTGGGGACAGTCTTGGAGATCGGCGCGACTGGTCTCATTTTCAGCTCATCCCAACCCTGTACACCACTACTGCCAGCTCTTCTGCCGGGTGCGTGTCTGCCAACTTACGATTTGGAGGGCAAGGGCAGTCGCTCTCTACCCCACACAGCCAGGGGCAGACCGAGCGTGCAGCTCTCTCTAGCCCGGTTGATGATCTGACAACACCAGCACAAACCGCAATTGCTACACAAGTTGATGCCATTGAAACACCACCAACTTTCGCTCAAATCAATCCAGCGAGAGCCAACCTGATGCAGTCTCAATCTACGGAAGAGTTTGTACCATGGTTCAGGGAGGAAGAGCATCAGCCTTTCCAGCCGACAGGCGCCAATTTCGTGCCACTGAACAGCGCACTAGAGACCGGACAGATGGAACACAGACACGGGATGGGTACGAGCGGTCGGCCCACCACCTTCGGCTCGCAGCCAAGTAGCATCGATCAGAGTCAAGCCGCCAAAGGCAGTAAGCATGAGCCGCCACATGCGCGGAGACGAAAGCGCAAGCGTGCGCCAAGTCGCGAAGAGACGCCTACTGACACCAACTTCGAGCCAAAAGAAGACAAGACCGTGGTCTTGAACCTGCTAGATCCAACTGGGCCTTACGAAAACCCAGCCCATCAGAAGCGCATCGTAAAAGGTCTTGCGGCGAAGCTGGCTGAACGTATTAATTCGTACCTGATGTTGGGCGGCGTGCCGGGTGTCACCCTCCCGCGGCTGAACTTACAAGGTCGTATGCCTGACGGCGCTCGCATAGACTTCGATTGTCGCGCGAGAGTCGAGAACGCAAACGATGTCAGGGAACTCCTGACATCGATTCTCCTTCGGTCTGGCACAGCGAAGCAGAAGCGTGTCGAGTGCGACAAGATCCTCCGCCATGTAGCTCGATGGAATCCTGCCTTGTTCCCTGAATTCTCATCGAGCTTGAGTAATAATAAAGTGTGCCTACGAGCAGCCTCGCCCGACACGTACAAGTCGTTTCTTGACGTACTGACAACGACCGAAGACCTGCGACTAAACCGGCCTTTGCGTGCCATCAATGGCTACAGCATCGCCTCACGGATCTTCGACGCCGCCAGGCAGCATGTTCGCAGACATGCTCCTGGCTCGAGCCTACTTCAGGACCCAGCTGCCAAGACTCTCTTCGCTGGGGCAGGCTACAACGCAGCTGCTCTTGGTCCAGTGCCTGCGAAGTTCTCCTTGGTCAGAGGTGGCATTGGAACGCCAAGGAGGAGCTTTTTGGACGCGCTCGAGACTAGCTTCATGCTCCAGACGACCAGATCCGAGGAGTTTGAAGCTGAGCTTGAGCGTCTCCTGTACTGTCTTGCTGAGCAGGACAAGACTGCTTGGCCGGAGCTCTTTGCCTGAGTGAGTGTTTCGGCGAGGACCTCGCTCGGGCATTGGCGAGTCCAACCTGTGTGACATGGGCTGTGGCGCGCGGCCTGCTTGGAGACTGTGCGAGAGGAGATCTGGCGGAGCATCCTATACCCGCGTGTTTCTGCTTCACCAGATACGACTGGGCATGGGTCATGGCGTATCCGTCTGAAGCTGGGCAGCATCAAGTGAGAATCATAGTAGATAGCGCATAGGCTAGCAATGCATTCGCAAGGGTATCATGCTCCAGTGAGCAGTGAACGGAGATGCGCTGATGGAGGTCGAGGAGTTGTTGAGCCGGCTAATGTGAAGGCTCTGTTCGAATAGCTCTTGCCAGTAGCGTACATAGCATCTGGAACAATCACATGTTTTACACCATCCCATCCACTGCCCCTTCGAAGACCTCTCACCGCTTCTTGGTATTCAGAGTGCCAGCGTTTGCGCGATAGTAAATAGACGAGGCAGTAACTTCAGGCGGACCACGAGCTCGTAATAGTCAAGGACTAATTGAGCGGGCAAAGTGTACAATCGTAGGTATCTAAGGTGTATCATGTACAAGCACATCCTGCTCCATCTAATAATGAGTCTCAGGTGAAGTCGTCCTCCCAAACATTCTATGCCACGGTCTACCACCATCATATCATCGTCCAGTCATGCCTCATGTAGTCACATCAGGAATCGAGAAGCCAGAACGTCGCAACAATTCGCGAGGTCGGATGAAGCAAGCTCAAGACGTGCTAGGTGCCTGGCCGCCATTGAGAAGCTCGATGCTGTACTTGCTCGCGTCGTCGTAGAGATCTATTATGCACCCTGCGGACCACGCTTGCGTGGGACACTATTCGCATTGTCAGCACAACACGAAAATGGGATGAAGGGGGAGGTAGGGGGCTTACCGAATCATGGCACATCGAGCCGTTGCGGTTCGTCAGCTCCGTCAAGCCAGCCCAAGGACTATCGTGAATCATCTGCATACACCCATGTAACCTCTGCGTCACCTGCTGGAACGCCTCGACCTTCTCCTCTCTCGTCGTACATCTCATCAGATCGAACTTCAGCAGCGCGCGGAGGAAGAATCCACGAGGCCAGCACCATTCAGGTCCTTGGTGATAATTCCTCCCCTTGGCCGTCTGGAAATTGTCGCTGTCGTCCGAGTTGATGTAATCGGGGTGGTACTCCTGGTCCGAAGGATCAAGGGTGGCCATTCCTATGGGACCCATAAGAGCCTTGTCCGCGATTTCCAGCGCACCGAGAGCATGAGCTGGGTCGAAGAGGTCCGGAGCGACTGTCATGGCGATCGGGAAGTTGGGACGGAGTTGGTAGTCCCTGTATTCCTTCTTGCCACGGTGGACATCCTTGTAGATACCCATGCGGTTGACGATCTTCGGGTTGACGTCGTATTTGGACCATTCGTCGGGGTTGGTGGGGATGTAATAGGCGTGTTCGAAGCTGTCCTTCAGCTTCTGAGCCCATTGCGCGTAGGTAATGAGTTTGCCTTCGTGGGTCGTGACGCCGTCGTACTTGAAGTGGCTGGCGGCTTTGAGCTCGGCGACCCATTTTAGGGTGCTGTACAGCAGACCGGTTATCTCCACTGGTGCACCATCACGGGACGTGCCGGGCTCGCCTTTGCTGCCCGCCTTCTGGGACTCGCCCATCTTGTCCATCCATGTGCCGCAATTGTGCTCGTTGCCGCCGTAGATGATGCCGGAGTTCCAGTCAACTTCGATGTCAATGTTGAAGCCGTCATCCTTCATCTGACTGTCGATGCCAGGGCCAGCGTTGTACTCGCGGAAGTGCATGCCAGAAGCATGGCGCTGGAGACATTCCTGGATGACGTCCTCGATGCTACTGGTCTGTGAATAGGCTTTGGCGTCATCCCAGGCGAACCACTCATCATTGTATGGCAAGAAGCGGCGTTGCACACGCTCTTGGAGGATCGAGTGGCCATCAGTCGCGAGCACGTAGTAGTCCTGGATGTTCTGAAGGAAGAACCAGACCGAGTCACGACTATTGTATCGCGGAAGCTTGCACGATCCGAGCAAGTTGGGAATCATACCATGCTTCACCACGCTGGCAAAGCATCGAATGTGCTCCTTGGCATCGGCGAAACGACCTGTCCCGAGCAAGAGACCACGCATGGCAATCATGATATCGCGACCCCAGCATCGAGCCCAGTCTTGAGCGAAATGAGGCAGACCAGCCGCAAGCGAGGGCACGAGCGTCTTTGGCCAAAGCGACGCGTTCGTCATATAGCCCTGCATCTGACACGATACTATCGCAAGCTTCTTGAGGAAGTGCTGACCGCCCTGGACGTTATGGTTCATCTGCTCGATCCCGCGGTTAAAGCCAGCACGGTGTGCAGTGCCAATGACCATGGCAAAGTATCGGGGAAGGAGAAAGCTAGGCACCTTCCGGATAGCATCGAAGCGCGATCGGAGCCACTGAGCTGGTCCAGTGAGGTTCTTGTAGATGTCTTGCTGAGCAAATTTGTCGAGGCGGTTGACGATATAGTCCATGGCCCATGGTCCGTCACGAAGGTGGTTGCAAAGAGGGTGGCCAAGGTCATTGTGGGCTACTATGTCGCGAAGGACAGACCACCAACCCTGAAGACCGCAGTAGACGAGAGCGCCGTGGCCTGGGATGGTATATGCTCCATCGCCACTCATTGCGTGCTCCTCGGCATCGGCGCGGTACAGAATGGCGTTCAAGTCGGTGAGATTGACGTTCTGGAATGCTTCGCGAGCTCCAGAAGTAACATACTTGTCTAAACCCTCGCTATGCTCTGCGCCTGGAATCCAGGTCTCGAAGACGGCGATCGAGCCAGGTGGGAATTGCGACGGGACAGTGATGATAGTATCCTCACCGCGGCTTTCGCACTGAACACCCTTGATATCCTTGGTCTTGCTGGGCACACCGCGCAAAACCTTGTCCTTGATAGCAGCCTGCTTAGCTTCGTAGCTCTGATCGCACTCCAAACTGTAAGCGCCTAGAAGCTTCGCCTTGGTCCCAGTAAGACGTTGAGGTCCGAAGCCTGCATTGCTGTTGCCGTAGCCTGGAAACGCTGTGTGCGCGATGAGATAGTAGCCTTTGCGAGACTTGGGGTGCATGCGGTGCACAGTGATATACTCGCCGTCATGGTGCACGAAGCACTCGTCGTAACCGTCCATGCCCATGATGCTGTGGAGCTGATTCATCAGGCGCTTGACTCCGCCGGTGCCTTCGGTTGGTCCGATGCGTAGACTCTCGCCAGGCTTGAGGTTGCTGTAGGGAGAAGAGTACAGACGAGTCTCGTGCACCAATTCCACCAGTTGCGGGTACAGCTCGTCCATGCCAAAGACCGATCCAGACGCAGAGGCGCACATGGCCACAAGAGCGGAGTTGGTCAACGTATCGCGACCATCGCGGCGCTGCACAGGTGTCTCATTGTCGTGGGTGCAGTCCATGAGCAGCGCATGGATCTTGGACGGCACGATCCTGTGGGCGATCTCCTTGCCTTGTGGCACACCATTGGAAGCGCCATTCGCCTGAGGCTTCGCATCCGCGCTAGAGATGTCGTCGACCTCGAAAGATCCAATAGGTCGTCCGCAGTTGATGTGCACCAAGCGAGAAACTTCTGCGGTGGACCAGCATTGCATTGCCTCACGAATGAGGAAACTGATGCCAAGCCGCTGGCAGTAGACGAAGTCCATCTTCTCGTCTCCGGAGAACAACTCAGCGGCAACGACAAGGTTTGGCTGAACTTCTCGAGCAGCGTCGAGCATAGCTTCTGCAACGTGAAGGGGAGTGGAGTGGCAGTTGTCGATACGGAATCCCACAAAGTGCTTGGCCATCAGCTGGACATAGTCGGTCATGAACTTCCACAAGAAAGGACTGTCTTCCGGACCGGTACCAAAGCGAAGCTTGACACAGTCGCCCCAGACGATCAGCTCGCGGCGAAGGTAAACCTTGGACTTTGGACCAGCATTATCACGCATGACATCTGCTGCCCACACCCAGCCATTGTTGGCCAGCGCAAGCGAATCAGGGTCGTGCTTCGATGTGATGTCGTTGACAGGTAGCCGGGTGAAGTAAGACTCGATGAGTGGGTTCTCGATGGTAATGTCGCCAACTTGTGGGCCATGCTCATCAAGACGCATATACTTCGTGCGGTTGAAGACCTGCTCAACGATGGCAGCAACATCGGCGTCGTACTCGCGATACCAGTCAAGATTGACTTCGTTCATAAAAGCACGCATCGAGCCGAAAGCAGTGCGAGTGTCGGCCTCGCTGTTGATTTTTGTGTTGTACTTGCCGAAGAGTGCTTGCAGCAGCGTAGCAGCACGTTCAGGAACAGTATTGCGACGGAAGCGCTCGCCCATGCGATCCTTGCCTGGACATGCGTATTCTCGAAGCCAGTCCGCCTTCTGCTTCAGCGACCAGCTTGTAGCGTCCTGCGGGATCGACACGTTCAGATCAGCCCTCCCTTCCTGCCATGCAGCAACCGCTGTTTGAGCACACTTGTCGACGTCGCAGACATAGAACTCCCAAAGCTTGATGGTGCCGAGAACATGCACTTTCAAGGCTTCCATGATGCGGAGGAGATCACCCTCGTTGCTGAGATGAGTTGGCAAGCCGAGATTCTTGAGGTTGGCGGAGAACTTGAGCATAGCACTGTCGAGCTCATACGCAGATCTGAGATGGGGCGAAGTCGTAATATTGTACCCAGCATCTGGGTGAGCCTCCAGCCATTTGCTGTTGTTCGCGGTATGATTCAGGACCACGTCGGTCATAGCCAAGAGTCCGTAGTCGTGATTCATCCTGCTGATCAAGCTCTCGATGTCCTTCTCACCATTCGGGAACACGTCCTTGTCGAAAGTGTGTTGGTCGTAGATCGAGTAGGGCGAGTTGCTGTCACCACGCATCATGAGAGGTGTGAAATGTACCATGTTGTACCCACGTTCGCTGATGCCGTGAAGATGACGGTCCCAGTCTTCTGAGTACTTGCCCATGAACTTGGAGAGTGTTGAGATCATGGAGATGGCATCGAGTGGTACACGCTGCTTCTGAATGTGCAGGCTGGGCGAGACATCGATATAGTGTGTCTGAGTCTGGGTTGGTTTCGGTGCCTCTACCTTTGCTGTACTAAAGGGCGGTAGTGGCGTGTATGAGCAGTAAAAGGAGAAAGCTCCAGCGAAGTGGACGGGAATATCAATCTTGATCACATCGTTGAAGCTCGGTCGAAGCCTGCGTACAAAGTCAGTCGACAGCGACCACGTGAATGGAAAAGTAATACTCACTTGTACTCCTTAAAGTTCTTCCGGTCGAAGTGCTCGCCCTCGCCGGGTATGTTGACCCACAAGCTGCCTTGTCGACATATCGAGCTCGTGCCATCGATCTCGAACCGTATGCTGTAAGCAGGTGTGGTGGGAGGCTTGAGGTAGATGTATGGAGGCTCGCCGGGCAGATCGGGAGAGCCATCGTCTTTCAGAGGTAGGAGATAGACCTCGTTGTTATGGACCTGCTGAGGAGCCATGGTGTCCTGCCTCTGGGGTGACTGAGAGCTGTTGAGGCGGCTGAGGTAGGCGTCGTAACGTTCGGCTTGGGCTTTGAGTGAGGTGGCTCGATCTGAGGGCGTGGTAATGGAGGATGGACGGTGCTTTCAGAGACGTGGTACTGTAGGCCGTAGAGTCGTGATTGTGTAGAGTTATGCAGATATACGCTGGCAACGAATATTTCCAATACCTCTGCTTCGCGAAGCTATCGATATTGATGTGGAGGAACTGCTGTACACTGTACGCGGTGGAGGATGTGACGATATATTCGAGCAGCAGGAGGAGGAGGATGATGTATTGTTTTTACCTGCTGCTCTGCGACTGCCCTCAAGCTCAACAATGGAATGGCAATGGCAATGGCAAGAGGTGTGCAGAGTAAAAAGCACGAATTCACATGAAAGCCCACAATTTTAATTGAGCCTCATCTGTACCTGCCTCTCCGCCGGCCTTGTTGGGAAAGTCGCGTGGCAGATCATGTGGGGCAGGAACGAGATGGATCTGCAATTATTAAGCCGCTGCACGTGTGATGTGGGTCCCCGAGCTACTGTATTGTATAGCACAAAGCGGCGTGGCGACTACAGTATCTACGGTCGAAGGCACTCAGTTGGAGACAAGGCTTACACCAGATCATACCCACACATCATGCAGCACAGAACAACGATGATAGTATGAGAGAACGAATGTATTGACACTGAGTACTACGTATGAGTCTCATCCATGGTATCATAACCAACACCAATTGTGAACGCCACCGCTTTACCCTAACCCTAACCCTAAGCCATGCCAAGAAAACTCATCAATGTTGAGGGCCAAAGCCGGGACTCATAGGCGCCTCGTACGCCCCGGGAATCGGCACGTTATCATAGACCTGCTCGCCAGGTGCCGCAGAAAAGTGCTCCTGCTGTAGCTGTCGAGGAATCTCACTCATGAGCGGTGATCGTTGATCGGTCTCCACCGGTGGCGTAATCGTTGGATCTCGCCCGCCGGTTGCTACAGCTGCGAAACCAGTCTGTTCCATCCGTGGTGTCGCACCTTGTATCCTGATGGGCGGTGCTTGTAGCTTGAAAGGTTTCGTCGGGGAGCTCTGGTTGGCCGTGGGCTCGACATACTGGACGCCGTCTTCGAGGTCCGGACCCGCGCCGTAGTAGTCTACTGGTTCTTTGTAGCCGCCATCCCGGGGGCTGAGATACCCGGGTGCGAAGCCGGGCGTGTTCGGGGCGGATTGGCTGCGCAGTTGGGCGAGGTAGAGATCGCTTCGTGCGCGGTCGCGAGTAGCCATGGATTTGCGTAGTTGACGTTTCGAGTAGAAGCGGTAGAAGACGACACCGTAGACTGCGATCGTGATCGTCTCCACGACGATTTCGATGATACAGCAGACCAGGCTCCAGTTCTGCAATCGACAAATGAGATCGTAGCCCACGTCGTTCTGGAAGAGCTGGTGTCGCTGATTATTCACGCATGACCAGCCCCACATATCTTTATTGTTGCCGTTGTTCTTCGATCCTTGCAAGACACCGGCTCCAATGCCCCACATGACTATGCTGAAGACGAAGAAGGCGACTGCGAAAGCTGTGTAGTAGATTGCCGCCTTTTCTGCTCGCTTGTGGCCACCTTTTGAGTAGGCGTAGAAGATGATCAGAGAGAAAGCTAGCGAGACGCAGGCAATGACGAGAAGGACTATCTGCGGCCATGTCTTTTGATTCTGGGCCCAGGGAGGCAGACTGTTTCGTGGTGGTATGTGCTTGGTGGCGTTGAAGATTGTGAAGGTGGTCGAAAGCATCGCCAGGACGATCAGAGAGCATGAGAAATTTACACCTCTTAGCATCATCTTGGCCATCCGCACTCGTGTTTTCACTTTCTGCATAAATCATTAGCATTTGATACTACTCTCCATGTATGGTCTTCTTCTTACCAGATCCTGTGCTTGTCGTTTGTCGTTATGTGTCTCATGCTTGTCTAGTATCTCCTCTTCTCGGAACGTTGCACTCCTCAGTGCTCCAAAGTCTTTCGGTGCATGGCCGGGTGTCTTCAATGCACTCTTGAGCGGGCTCCTGGGTGTCTTTGGCATCGAGGGGTACGGGTTCTCGTCTGTGTCGGGCATCTCGACGGACTCATGTCGGTTCACATAGCCGAAGCCAACGTCCGATACCTGAGGCTGCGCCATAAAATACTTCGAGGTCGACTCGCTGAAAGGCGTCTTCTTCGGTTCGATGGGAGAGTTGACGGCGGTAGCCTCAGCGAAGCGAGCAGTCCTTGGCGACTTCAACGAAGGCGGCTTGAGAGAGTTGGCAGAGGAGTCGTCGGACTCCGCCCGTGGCCGCGTGGCTATCGCGATCGTTGGTGTTCTTTTCTCGAGGTCTGACATATCGTCAGATGAATGGTAGTCGGACCCGCGGTCTCTTGGCTGCGTATGCGGCTGATTAGGTGAGACCGGCAAGCGGTTCCTCTGGTCCTGCAGGAAGCGGAGAAGAGGCCTGCTCTTGGGTCGCTGATGCAGTTGCGATAGTGCAGCGGATTATGGATAGTGATACACAAGAAATGAGAAGTGCAGAAACCCGCTGCGTGCGCAAGAATGAGAGTGAAGTAGTTGCTGGGCTTCGAGAGGACAGGAAGTGGTCTTCTTGGAGCTGGGCGCTTCGCACAGACAGCTATATGTTGACTAGGTGGACGTCCAGCGCGCGTACGTAGGTTCGGCAGAGGGCTGTAAAGATGGATACAGAGATGGTGGGTGCATAAAGGGTAAGAGACGCTCACGGCGTGTACGCACCACTATGAGCCAGAGAGTGGCAGCTGAGCGGTGGGTGTACCGCAGCTGTGATAGGTGGTCGTGAAGCAGCTCTCTGAATAGCCGCCCGGCCTGGATGCGGGTGTAAAGCTTCTGCAAAGCCGGTAAGAATAAGGCCAGCACCTGCAGCTTAACGTTTGCCGTACCGCTCCGTCAGATGGTCGAGAGGATTGTGGGGTGCTCGAAGGAGTAGAATGGCGTATGTGGGTTGTCAGCGTCCGTCTGATATGCTGTTAATCAAAGGATCTCAAGGCGGGAATGTAGAGAATGAGCATGTCTCGTTCGCAAGCCCAGGAAGGACTCGAACTTGCCTGACCCTCGAGGCCACAGCCACGCAAATGGCAAGCAGCATAGTGCCGCCCAGGCTACTGTCACAGAACATGCGTGGATGCAGGTTAATTGGGTGAGATGGAGGAGATGGCGTGCATTGGCGCTTACTGAGGATATAGCCGAGCCAATCATACTGCTTCACAAACAAGGCTATTCTTGGCACTATCCTTCCTCGATTGCCGTCTCGCACGACTCACGTGCCTTATGTATATTGCATGGAATGCTGACCATGAACGCCAAATATAGGTCGTTGCGCGACCTACGCATGCTGATCCATGGCCCTCTACGGTGATACCAACACTCTGACGAAGCGTTGTCGTCAGCGATGCCCCTCGTGGTGCTCGGCAGATCATATGTCAGCAGATCGTTCCACCGACCAGGATGGCCATGCCTATGCATGATCCTTTGCATCCTCCATGTCTCTCAGATACTGATGACAATGGTACAGCGACGTCGGCAATGGCTCAAACAGCGTACATGCTCATCGCCTGGCTCCCGAGAGACTATCCCGCTTACCCTGGTAATCCGAGAAGATATCATTATAGAAGCCGTAGAACTGCGTGTTACGCACATCGCGCTCACGTACACGCGAAGTAGTCGGAGAACCAGGAATGAGAGACCTCGGATGAGCTTGCCAACTTGAGCGTGGCGAAGCCTCTTGTAGTTCAGCTATTGCGCGTTGCGAGGTATGGCGATCAGCTTTCATCAGAGTCGGCGTGCTTTGGAGTCCTGGCGTAGGCGGCAGCGGGAGCAAGTCATCTGGATGGCTGCCGAAGGGGACTCGGCCATCTGCGGGTGATTCTGATGCATCGTCGAATGGTTGGCCGTTGAGTAGACAGGTGACTTCTGGACTGTCTGGCTGCTGGCCAGGTCTTAAACCGGCGAAGGTGGTATCTACGACGACGGACTTGAATGGCAGCAAAGTGAATTCTACACTATCACGATCGTCATCGGCGGCAAAGCTTGGCACTCCTATCAGTTTTTTGGTAAAGTACAAGCTTGCAGAACACTTACGGGTTTCCAGGGTCTGACAAAAAAATCAGCGCTTGATCTTGCAACATGTCTACCGAACTTACATACCTGCATATACCGTCCGGCGGACTCGGCGCATCTTCCTCTGCGCAGCAACACGCATCCAAGGCGGACTATCCGGATCAGCTTGCTGAAGCACGTTCTGTGCACCCACAAATCGGTCGATGGATGGCTCTGCTATACGGTTAGCAGCAGCTCTTGCACGTGGGGACAGATGAAACATAACCGAAAAAGGGGAAGCAGTGTATACTCACAACGCGTATCCAGTACGATTACATCCGAAGGTTATTATATACTTACCAGCCATACCCGGATTCACTAGACGCCTACGATGCGAGAGAGATAGGGGCGGTAAAACAAAAGAGAAAACAAGGATTAGTCCTCACTAACCTTTCATCGCCGACTTAGCCGCCTGATGCGTATCAATCTTCTTCTGCGTCCGACAACGCGTACACAATCCATCGCGCAGAACACCCTTAGGCGGCTCGCCGCAGTACGAGCACTTCTCCATACCTGCTGGAACAGCAATGTCAGCAAACGACATCTCGGACTCCAGCGTATTCGATCGCTCGCGATGCTGCAGGTATAGCTTATCGAATGTCTTGCCTAGTCGGACAGCCACTTTGTCGCTGGTGGTGAGCTCAGGCTTGCTGGTCTTGACTTCCTCCTTGTAGATCCCGGCACTCACCCTGGCAGATGAGCGTTGACTGGGCGAGAGGGCCAGTTCGGCTGTGGGCATACGACGGGGAAGATTGGGAACATTCTCACCTTTCAGAAGAGCCTCAGCCTTGCGTCGCTCGTAGTCTGTCGCATAGGCCTCGTTGATCTTCCTGTTAGCCTCGGTCGTGGCGACCATATTCTCATAATCGGCATCAACCATGGCTGATCCGGTATCTGCGACAACATCTCTAAGATGTCTATTCTTCTCCAACAATGCCCGCTTCTGCTCGAATGGTCTGGATCGCGGATCCTCCTGTCGCTCAAGCTCCCAATCATCAGAGCTCTCGCTGAGGGGCTTGGCGTATCTGGCGCAGAACTCATCGCGCTGGGACGAGTCCATGCGGACAATGTCGGCCTTTTCTTTCATGGACTGCGAGGCTCGGCGGGCTCGGGTGGCTATGCCGCTGAAGACTTTGTCTGTGAGACTACCGGCTCGCGAACGTGGTCGTTGGGGTAGACTGGAGTCAATGGAATCTGTGTCAGCATGGTCTTTTCTGGCGCCGAAGGACCAGCGGGAGGTTGAGGAGGATGGGCGAGCTGGGGCAGGGGGTGTGGGTGAGGAGGTTACAGCAGGGATAAAGGCTTGCTCGATTGGTGACTGAAGAAGAGGGCGGTTATCGTACGCTTTCTCATGGTACTTGCCGTCTCGGTCGCGGTGTGTGAGCGGGATCGTTTGTTTTGTCCGCTCACCACTGCTCAGAGGGGACTGAACAGTGGCGCCCTGCTGATCGTACGTGGCATTAGAGAGGTCTAGTTTGGGACGAAGAGTAGAACCCACTGCTTTTCTTGTTGGAGCCTGAGAACTAGCTGTGCGGTTACTGGTAGGCAGGGCAGGATACGCGGCGGACTGATTTCTGTTGTGGCTCGCTGGAGGATGTGCAGTCAGTCCGCCCTGAGTGTACTTCCGGTCCTTTGGAGGCACTGAAGGCGGAGTGTTAGCTCGAGTCTTGGAAGCTCTTCTGGCCTTCTGGATGTAATACGTCTCCTGCTCATCGCACTGTTTCGGGTCAAATGGGCTTTGCTCGAAGTTGGACATGGTGGGTGTACTCACTTTCTTGCTCTCCTTGGGTTGAGGTGTGTCGGTTCTGGTGGTTTAGCTGATTGCTTGGGTTTCTGTTGATGGGTGTAGGCCTGCTAGCACCGGAAGTGGAACAATGAACAAAAAGGTTTGGTCAGCCTCGCGTGTCTACACTTTGGGGGCACATTAATAACGTCCGTCATGCTGAGCACAAAGACTTTTGTTTTGTGGTGTTCGACAAAGGACATCAATGGCCTTGTGCCGCGTCGCAGGACTGGATGGCGACAACGTGAGTGTCAACTGACCGTGAGACAAAGGAGCGAGGCATCAGCAGCACAAAGCAACTGGATGTTTGACAATGACATACGCATGCTATGTAGACGACGATGAAAGAAGCCGCCATACGATGTGCCTGTCACCTTGCTTCCAAGGCCGGATCTTTTCGTGAATAAAGAGGATTACAAGCGGAATAGATTGTCATGTGACCAAGCCCAACGCCTAAGATGATGTAAGTGAATGGTCAAACGTAGCGCGAGTACGGATGAAACTCACCTTCGCCATAGAATATGCATATTAGAGATTACCACGCTAGAGCATGAATGCCAAGGCAGAGACGATGACAGCCATGGATGTCATCGCCACCAGACCAAAACTGCTGAGGCTGGAGGCAGCACCCGGTGATGCCGCTACACCCTTAGGCGAGCCACCGGTCTGGCAAGCTGGACCCGGGCAAGATTGAATGGCGGTAGTGGCCAATGGTGCTGCTGGGGCACTGTCGTTACTGCCGGCGCCTGGTGCAGCTGGAGCAGGATATGCGCCTGGAGCGTTAGCGGGACGGCCTGCACCACCTGGAGTCCCTGAGCCTGGCACTGCGTTGCCGGCTGGTGCGGAGCCCGAGCCGGCAGGAGAAGATCCAGCGGGAGACGAGCCTGAGCCGGCAGGTGTGCTGCCGCTCGAGCCCGAACCAGCTGGCGATGAGCCGGCGGGGGAAGAACCAGATTCAGCAGGCGAGCTGCCGCCTGATGGAGCAGCGGCGGGTGAGCCAGACCCAGCAGGCGATGAGCCGCCACTGCCGCTGCCGCCAGCAGGCGTGGTCTCAGCAGGCGTGTTACCAGCGGGCGAGCCCGATCCCGCATTACTCGAGGGTGTGGCAATAGGAGTACCATGCTCAGCCTTGCAGCCACATGGCTCAGTGATAGTGACGGCAGTAGTGGACTCGCCACAGACGGTGCAAGCCTTGGTCGTGACGGTAAAGTCTTGCGGTACATGGCTTGGGCCAGGAGTCCAGGTAGGCGTTGCCTCGCTGCAGCTCTCCGTGATCGTGTAGGTAGCTGGGACCAGACCAGTCGGGCACAGAGACTGGAAGACGGTGGTGTAGACGGTGGTGTGGCCGGGCGATGGAGCGGCGGATGAGGACATCATCTCGCACTCTGGGCAGTAAGTGACTGTTACACCAGCTGTGATGGTGATGAGAGTAGCAGGAGACATGCTGGGGCAGTCGTCGTATGTCACCGTCGTGTAGAAGGTTGAGGGCGTCGCTGTAGGGCTACTCGAGGGCACCAAGCTGGTAGTGCTATTGCTGGGAGCAGCACCGCCATATCCGCCCTGTGCATAAGCACTTGTCGCCGCCAACGCCAACACAGCACCTTGTCTTCTGACCTTCATCCTGTCTATGAAAGATGTCGGAATGACGCGTCTGGACGATAGTAACGCAATTCGAAAGCTCCCTAGAGCTCGTGTCGAAAAGTCTGAGGCGTATGGTATTTGGTCGATTAGTGCTTACTCAAGACCGAACGAGTGGAGGTCAGAAAGCAAGAAATTAAGGTGGACAGGTTACTATAGAAGAAAAAGAGAGAGAGTACGAGACCAGCCATACCTTATACAGATCACCTGTTCGTAGCCGTGGTGTTGTTGATACCAGCGGCATTCCAGAAGCAGATTGTGCGGCTTGGCCCGTTCATCCATTCCGTCACTGGGCAACAAACATCTGGATGCGGACCATGGAAATGCTGACCGAGATTGAGATGCTAGATCTTGCCGTTCGCCTCATCGTCGCCACTGTACGGAGTATTGAACAAGGCCTTGTAGTTCGCCTCCTTGGCTGGCTTGAGCGGACGAAGACGGTGTGCTTGCCTGAGCAAACCTAAACAGGAATCGAAGATCTACAAGGACTTGTAAGGAAGGTATCTCAAGGTGTTGTCTCCGAAATAGCACTACGGCATCGTCTGCACTCCAACATTCGTCTTGCATATAGCTTGGACTGCTCCCTTACATTCTGGCCGAGGTAGCGAATTTGGGCACCCGATCCAGAAACTTCTTCGTGACAGATCAGTCAGCTTTGATATCTGACGCAGGCTTCATCAACCGTGTCCTAGAGTTCGAGCGACGGGCTATGCCTGCAGTAATCACATGTACTCGCAGAGTCAGTAGGCTACCAGGCCTGATCCCTGTTCATCGATCAATTCGACTTCAACGGCCACAGAACCGACTTCACTTGCGCCAATAGCACGCGGCCCATCCATCCGGCCGGTGTGTTAATGAAATTGCATTGCATGCCAGTGGAAATGTGAAAAGGGAAGATGTTGTTTGCGGAGCTGAAATCCAGACGACCGACGCTCGGACCATGCAGCTCGCGGACGCAACGTCGGAAGTGTCCATATTCTTCTCATCTACATCAACACCATCTGGGCCTATATTGTGTCAAATGTTTGGCATTTGAGAACGCTAAGCTGAAGAAGCTATGGGGAAGTATCATCGCTAAATCACACTTTTTCATCATCGTCATCAGCAGGAATCACGTCTATGCCATCCGGCTTCGCGCCATGGATATCACCATATCATTCATCTCCGCGCATTGTTTGTTGGGCATACTTGATCACGCTTACATGTTCACTGCAATGCGGAACTGGGTGCCAGCGAACACAGCCTTATCACCAAGCTCCTCCTCGATACGCAGGATCTGGTTCAGCTTGGCCAAACGCTCAGATCGCGCCGGCGCACCACACTTGATTTGGCCGGCGCGGAGACCGACAACGATATCCGAGATGGTGACATCCTCCGTCTCGCCCGAGCGGTGGGAAACCATGACACCCCAGCCCGCGCCGAAAGCATCCTTGGCAGCCTGAATAGCCTCGCTGATGGTACCGATCTGGTTGACCTTGAGAAGCAGCGCGTTGCAAGCCTTGGTATCGATAGCCTTCTTAATGAATTGCGGGTTCGTGACCGTCAAATCATCTCCGACGATCTGGAAGTCCGAGTTCTTGTAGAAATAGCTCCACGCCTCCCAGTCGTCCTCGGCAAAGGGATCCTCGATGGAGACGATCGGGTACTTGCTCGCGAGGTCCTTGTACTGCTGAGCCAGCTGCTCGTATGTCACCCACTTGCTCTTGTCGCTGTCGGGGTTCTTGAAGTCGAGGTCGTACTTCTTCTCCTCGGTCTTGTAGAATTCGGAGGAGGCGACGTCCATGGCGATGTTCATCTTGCCCGTGTAGCCGGCTTGCTCGATGGCCTCGGTGATGAGCTCGAGGGCTTCGTCCGCGGTCTGGATATCGGGTGCGACACCGCCCTCATCACCGACGTTGCCGGCAGATTGGCCGTACTTCTTCTTGGCCAGAGACTTGAGCTTCTGGTAAGTCTCGGCACCCCAGCGCAGACCCTCGGAGAAGGTTGGTGCGTCGCTGCAGACATACTGTTAGCTGACATTGCTGCAGGATAGACTGTGTAAGACTCACGAAGGCACGATCATGAACTCCTGGAAAGCAAGACGTCCACCAGCGTGGGAGCCACCATTGAGCACGTTCATGAAGGGAACAGGCAGAACGTATGGCTTTTTCGTGCCAGCAAGGTCGGAGATGTGAGCGTAGAGAGGAACCTTCTTCTCAGCAGCAGCGGCCTTGGCCACAGCCATGGAGACACCAAGAATGGCATTGGCGCCGAGCTTGGTCTTGTTCTGAGTGCCATCGAGCTTGTTCATGAAGTCGTCAACCGCCTTCTGGTCCTTGACGTCAAGCTTCTCCTTGATGAGAGCTGGTGCAATCACATCGTTGACATTGGCGACAGCCTTGGTGACACCTGAGCTATGTCAATAGACTGCTCTGGTTGCCTCACTGACGCGGTGTACTTGGACTCACCCTTGCCAGCCCACTTGCTCTTGTCGCCATCGCGAAGCTCGCACGCCTCGTGGGAGCCGGTCGACGCGCCGGAGGGCACAATGGCACGGTGAAGGCCGGTCTCGGTGACGATGTCGACCTCGACGGTGGGGTTGCCACGAGAGTCGTAGACGTAGCGGGCGTGGATCTTCGAGATACCCATGATTGCTGTGGTGATTGCTGTCAGAGGTGGTTGTACAAGGGAAGTGTTTGTTTGCCAGAAAAAGTTAAGACAACAGACAACAGAAAACAGCTCCAACGTCCCGTCACCGCAAAGCTCAGAGCGTTGAGGGCGTTTCGGTCGGGCCTTTTGACCTTGCTTTGCTTTCCACCGGACTTCCTCGGAAGAGCTCACTTACCCAGCTGGATTGGTTGTGTTGTCGATATAAATGGTGATCAAATGCTTGACTACAATGCCGTAATCTCTCTAGCTGCTATCTTCACAGACGCAACAAAAAAGAAATGTTTTGGTCGTGTTCCTATCACCCCCACCATTAACATTTGAAGACCTGGCGGGGCACTGTGAGCCTTGACTAAGCTGCTGCGTTGCTAAATGGGGGTACTATTTCCGTACAAGGATTTTCCTCGGAGCTGGACTATCAAGTCACGTGAGCTGTCTTACCTTGAATGTACTCCAGCGGCTCTGCGGGATCATCCGAAGCTAGTCGTGTGTGTCTACTGCCTGCGACTTGGACATGCTATTTGTGCTATCATCGACCTACACCATCACCACCCTTCTCACAACCCCGCCACCGTTCGCACAAACCATCTGCATCTAAAGTTACAGCTTGCAATCTATAATCGATCCAGCGTTCATACTATACCCATATCCGACGCTGCGCCACATACAAAACATGGACCCCAGCGACCCTGAGAGGTCGGATGCATTGGACAGCTTCAGAACAAAGTTGCTGGAGTCGCGAGAGTGGGAGGCAAAGTTGAAGGTATGTCAGGTGATTATGAGATTGATGATGATGTACTGACACTGTTCAAAGGCACTTCGGTTAGAGATCAAGGGACTCCAACATGACTTTGATGTATCAGAGGACAACATCAAGGCGTTACAAAGCGTGGGACAGATCATCGGTGAGGTGTTGAAGCAGCTAGATGAAGAGAGATGTGAGGCAAACAATGGAAATAGCTTCACCAATGCTCCTGCTAATAAATATCCACGCAGTCATCGTCAAGGCCTCCTCCGGCCCTCGATATGTCGTCGGCTGCCGCAGCAAAGTCGACAAGGCGAAGATGAAGCAAGGCACTCGCGTCGCCCTCGACATGACCACACTCACCATCATGCGCATGCTACCCCGCGAAGTCGATCCACTTGTGTACAACATGTCACTCGAAGACCCAGGGCAGGTGTCGTTTGCAGGTATCGGAGGCTTGAACGAGCAGATCCGAGAGCTAAGAGAAGTCATTGAATTACCGTTGAAGAATCCGGAGCTGTTCATGCGAGTGGGTATCAAGCCGCCAAAGGGTGTGCTGTTGTATGGGCCTCCTGGTACGGGTAAGACACTGTTGGCAAGAGCTGTGGCGAGTAGTCTGGAAACGAATTTCTTGAAGGGTGAGAAAGCATACAAACATCAGCCTAAATCGCTCGATACTGACTGATATTGTCTAGTCGTATCCTCGGCAATCGTAGACAAATACATCGGCGAATCCGCTCGCCTGATCCGCGAAATGTTCGGCTACGCCAAAGAACACGAACCCTGCATCATCTTCATGGACGAAATCGATGCCATCGGTGGCCGTCGCTTCAGCGAAGGAACGAGTGCTGATCGTGAGATCCAACGTACACTTATGGAACTTCTGAACCAGTTGGACGGCTTCGACTACCTGGGGAAGACGAAGATCATTATGGCTACAAATCGACCCGACACTCTTGACCCGGCATTGTTGAGAGCAGGGAGACTGGACCGCAAGATCGAGATTCCGCTGCCGAACGAGGCTGGGCGATTGGAGGTGTTGAAGATCCACGGAGAGGGTGTGCAGAAGGAGGGGGAGATCGATTACGAAAGTGTGGTCAAGATGAGTGATGGACTGAACGGTGCTGATCTGAGGAACGTCATTACTGAAGCTGGCCTCTTCGCCATCAAGGACTATCGCGATGCGGTCAATCAGGACGATTTCAACAAAGCTGTGAGGAAAGTGGCTGAATCAAAGAAATTAGAAGGGAAGATTGAGTACACTAAGCTTTAGTAGGACGACGATGAGATGGTTCTTGAGGTGGAGGTCATGGTGGTGCTGCAGAAGTGTGGTAGAGGCTGCGGCGCTTGTATTATATGTTACATGTCTCGATAGCGGAAGTGCGGAATGAGAGCCGCATATGCCAAGCAGTCACAAAATCTCTCCTGTGCTCTCCAGGGGCTGAGAGACAAGTAAAGCTATGCTATCGTCTGTTGGCTCGCCGAGGATGAGAGTGTGTGGCGGGAAAGGATAGGTGAGGCCGGCGGTACTGTTCACTAAAATTCCGCTTGAACATCCTTCCGTTGAAAAATCCTGATGCTCCATTTCATTCCCGGTCATATCCAGGACCTCGCAAGCTCGTATAGCGGCCCCTGGACGCACAACACTGTCCTACATGACGGGGACAATGTACTCGGCCCGAGCTCCCCTCCACTCGCAGGGAAAGACTCAGATCGCGCATTTCGAATGCATCCCAGCTAGAAGTCGTACTTCGCAAGCTCATAGAGCGGCCGCTGGGTATGTAGCTTGGTGCTACGATGACCGGGGAGGAGATGAATGCTTATCGGAAGCCGCTCTTGCTGTCCGCGTTCGGTCTTGGGTGGGATAGGTTCATGTGTCGTGCCACGAGCTATCTTGAGCAGCTACCGCTTCTCCAATTCAAGTCATCTAGCATAAGCTGGCATGTCGGACTATGTACCGCCTAGATCCCGACCAGCTGGCGGGGAATGGTCCTGGATAGGCAAGCCGAAAGCTCTGCCTGTCGCACGTGAATCTTTTCGATGACAGCAGGCCATCGACAGATCAGTGGTCCGCGGGTCACATAGCGCTCTCGTCGTACCTTAGCATCCTCGATGGTTCGCGATGAGCCTTCAAATCGTCAGACAAGGGCTCAGTACCATCCCAATGCCATCTCAGCTCAAGCTCGCCGAAGTAATTGGGCTCACCAGTCCCGACCGGCTTGAAGTCTATGCTTTCGAAGAGGGCTATGCTGCCGACATTCGTCTGCTGGATCTTGGCTCGTAGGTATGCCAGACTTGGACGCCGTCCACCATCGGCCTGATCTGTGAACTCTTCATATATGGCCGGCCAATTCATGGTGATATATATCATGAACGTTTCTAGAGCTGCGCGGCCGAAGCCTTGTCTATGCATTTCTTTTCGCGCTATCATGAGTTCGATTTCGCCGATCACGGCTTTCCTCGCTGATGCTGTATGGGATCGGTTGGTCCTGTTGTCGTCTTCGTACTCGTCCTCGTCATCGTCATCAGGTTCGAAAAGGAAGAGATTGATATCGCCCATCATCCTCTCAGGTGCATCGTCCACTTTCGCCCGCACGCACTCAGTAGACGCCTCGTGAACTCTAGGTCGACATACGATGAAAGTCAACTTGTCCTTGTCTTCGCGCCAGGATCTTTGCATGGCATATTCTTCTCCTAGCGTTAGTGGCTCAGAGGCGGTGGCGGCTTGCAGGTCTGGGTCTTGCATCCAGGTGTGGTATGTCGGGACATGATGAGCACTGTACGGAACTAGTAGGAGCTTTGGTGTGCTGATGGCCTGGGTTGCATTGAGTCTCATCTTGCTTGTCGTTCTTGAAAAATCGTGATCTTCGTGGAACCTTCCGAAAACTGGTGGCAAGGAAAGAGGTGATGGGCTTCGTGAAAGTCCCATTTCCTACCTTGACACATTATGTACCACAACTTCGCTCCCATCTTGCAGACATCTCATCTCATCTTCGATAGTGATGCACGTTGTGATGCAGGATGCCAAGTGAAGCAAATGCATTGGCATCAATACTCGGACTCGGGACCTGACGATGCCGAACGATGAGTCGTTTGTCAAGCGAGTCTTAACGCCGTCGCCTCTTCATCGAAGATTCATAGAGGTTATTGCGGCTATCAGTCGAAATGCCATGCAAGACATTTCCCTCCCTCAGATACAAGTCAATGTGAAGTCTTGATACTACCGACAAATGCAGCTCTCCGACGACCTTCGGATCCTAGTGACTGGCGGCAGCGGCTTCCTCGGCGCCAGCATAGTCGCAGCTCTGCTCGAAAGGCATACGGGATGGAGAGTGTCAATACTAGATCTTCGTCGTCCATCCGAGAAGATCTTGATACGGCTTGAGCGCTATCTACAAGCTGACATTGCAGACGAATCCAGCGTAAAAGCGGCCTTCAAGGACTACCATCCGGATCTGGTCATCCATACTGCTGGCATTATACCTGCCCGACAGCTCCGATATAGCACGCGTACCGAGGATTGGGAGCGTGTGAAGAGCATTAATTACGATGGGACGAGACATGTCCTTGCTGCCACGCTGACATCCGGCTGTCGCCGCTTCGTCTACACGAGCAGCTGCACTACCGTGATCGACGACCTCGACCACGACTACTACAATGTAGACGAGACTGTACCATTAGGACTCGCCACTCTACATTATGGCAAATCCAAAACGCTTGCTGAGCAGCACGTCCTCGATCCTTCTCATGCTAAAGAATACGGCCTCCTCGCTTGCGCCCTGAGACCCTGCACGATCATTGGACCAGGCGACCCAGCAGTGATAGCTCTCATCCACGACCTCATAGTCAAGCGCGAAACAAATTTCATCATCGGGGACGGCGATAATCTATACGACTGGATGTACATCGACAACGCCGTGCTCGCTCATATCTTGGCCGCAGAGAACTTGCTCACCAGCCAGACAGCGGCGGGCGAAGCTTTCTTCATCAGTAATCAGGAGCCCGCTTATTTCTGGGACTTCCTGGCCGCGATCTGGGCGGAGTTTGATCATGTGCCGAGAAGGCGGTGGTATATTCCTGTTGGGTTGGCTTGGGTGGCGGGATGGGCGGCGGAGTGGGTTACGTGGGCTACTGGTGGTGCGGCCACGCTTGATCGTGGGAGTATCAAAGATGGTATCAGGACGGTTTTCTTGAATAATGATAAAGCGAGGAGTGTCTTGGGGTATGTGCCGGTCGTGGGACTGGCGGAGGGCGTGAGGTTGGCGTGCGACGTACGTGCAGTCTTCTCGCTGTTATGTTTCGTGTGTGCTGATATTGCGACAGGACTTCAAGAAGCAGATGGCTACGAGGAACACAGCAAATGGCATTCTGAACGAGAAGACCAAGGGTTAACCGCGAAAGTGCTGGCTTTGCTGCTGACACTTTGGATAACGAGTCGCGAGCACACGAGGGCTGATGGGCAGCGATCGCGCCTCATTAAACCATATCGTCCGGTCTCTACCGCAGTATCGAAGGACTCTATGTTTCGCGCGGTATTGTGTCGCGTCGCTCTTGCCTTCGCCGTGTCTACCTGGATGCGAGCACACCACACTTCAACCTCATGTCTCGTCACTCGAGACCCACCTTCCGCAATCCTCCTGTATCAACATCGTTCCTACATAAATCTGCCCACTCGACACAGCATGCAGCCACACACGAAGGCGGCGCCAGTATGCAACATGGACCCGTCTTTTGGAATCGTCCGGGATGCATCAACTCTACTCACACTACTGGCTGAGATTCAGGAGATGATCTTCATCTACGCATACGCACCCGATCACGAGATCAAACTTGAGAGCACTGCAGCCGTAGGGCGTAGCAAGATTATGCGTCGGAATCGAGCCATTGCTGTGCAGCCTCTGCCCGACCCTCATATTCTAATGTTTCTGGTGTCCAAATGCTTCTTTACTGGCGCGACAACAGCTTATACAAATCACAGTAAAGTTAATATGGTGATTCCATCACTCTGGCTCTAGAAGTGCCAGGAAACGTCCATCTGGATTGCAGGCCTCCTGATGCTGACGATGACAATTTATGATGTATTCTTGTTCACGGTTCGCTTCGGTCGTCCTTCACTGCGAGACCTCATAATCATCGTCCCGAGTAGTGAACTTGACATCGACGGCAAGGATCCTTGCGTGGAATATTATAACAACGAGGACTCTCTCCAGATCCATCAGGCGAAAATTGTCGTGCGGCTGCGTGGACTTCAGCATATCCGAATTCAAGCGGATGAGCCGGGCGATTACTGCATTTTTGACGAGCGCGCCACGTGGAAGGACGACACCATGCGCTTCGAGATGTTCATCAGGGTGTTTATTTTGCAAGCCCCGCTCGAAGTTGGATCCAATCGCGCCACTGAAGGTCAACAGAGGCCGCTGTATCCGGGACCGCGCGTCTGTGCCGGTCCGTCGAACATTTTGCTGCCAGATCTCGGCGCCATGAGTGGCGAGAGTCTGTACGGCCGGCTGATGAAGGAAGTGAAGATGAGTGCTAATGGGAAGGGAGTGACCGACTCGGATGTTCCGAGTAGCGAGGCAGGACTGTGGTCGTTCATGGCGTCCAACCCAGTAGGTCTTCTGGAGTGGATACGGGATGCGAAGAAGCGCTTGCAGGGGGTGCACGGCGGCGAATGGCATGGTGTCCTCGTGGGAAACGGCTAGCTCAAATGGCTGAAGCAGTGTCAAAGGACACTGCTGCTCGTGACGGTGACAGAGGCATATTCGGCGGCTCAAGTAGCTTTCTTGGAGGTTCAGGCAAAGACTCCACTTCCATGCTCGGCTGCTTACTCGGGCTGAGAGGGTAGCTGGCAAGCGCGTACATGTCAAGGGTCTAGCATTACAGCATCACATCTTCATATCTACATCGAAATTGCCAAAAATCGCTCACAAGCCCGCACAAAAGTAACGCCACACTCAAAACGCTCCACCCAATCCTTTTGACCCACTGCAATGCAAACCAGTTACTACCGCACAAAAGCAAACTCCATTAATACCTCTCCCTAGGCCCATACCCATGCTCCTCAAGCACATCCTCAAAATAAGCACTAGGCGCCCGACTAACCGTCTGCTGCCCCGTCCCAAGCCCATCAGGACTATGTCTCGACATCCTCGCGCCCTCATGCCCGCCTACACCCACCATGAGTGAACTATTGCTCGGCTGCGCATACAACGCACTCGACCGCGCGGCGTTCCCACTACCATCGTAGTAGCTATTCCGTGTATTTCCCGCAGTCTCTCTACTCGGCGCTCGGAGACCATCTCTCGAAGTATTGCGGTATGTAGCCGAGGAGCGGGAGTCCCGGGAATTCGGAATTCCGGGTGAGGATGGGGGTGAGGGCGCGATGGTGCTATTTCTCGCGTACGGAGCCAGGGAGCCTCCGATCGTTGTTGCGCCAGCACCGCCAGCGGGCTGCGCAGAGGGGGAGGCGTAGTACCCCGCGGGGAGGTATGAGGAGGCACGGTTATTCTGGACTTGGGTTCCGGCTTGCGCTGTAGGGGAGAAGAAGAGGCCGGCTGGAGGCGTGGATTCGCGTTTGATGTCGTGGCCGGCTAGGTGTTGTTTGCCTAGCGGTTTGCCGGATTTTGTTAGAGCGTCGAGGGACATTGCGCTGCCGTTGTAGTCTTTGTAATGCCCGCCTCCTCTTCCTCCTCCTCCGCCTCCGTGTACCGGATTGTAGCCTGTGCTTGTTCCACCACCCCATTTGCTGCTTTTCTCGGATCCACGGATGGATGCTAGAGCAGACTTCTTGACTGAGCGGTTTATACTCCATGCTATCAGGCCGCGCCAGAGGAGGACGCACGCGCCTAGGAAAGCGAGGACGGCGCCGACGGCTATGAAGACTGTGCCTTCTGGTAGTTTGCTCTTTTGCATGAACGGTGCCGCTGCTGTGTACGGTATCACTAGTGTGGGTATTCCAGCACCAGCGATCGTTGGAACATCGGAGAGGTGGAAGATGCTTGTCGCGCCTGTCGCTGTTGCTGTGAATGAGGCCCCGGATGTTGTGGACGCGGCGGAGGAGGTGGCTGATGTGGCTGCGGATGAAGAGGTGGACTTCGCAGTTGTTTGGGTCGCGGTGGAGAGGTCGGGGAGGTTGCTCAGTTGTGCTTGCGCAAAAGGCGCGGCGGAAAGCAATGATAGTGATAGGAGGACCAGGGCCTGCAGTCGTCGTGACGGTCGTGCCATGGTGGTTGCAGAGGTGTAACGGGACACTGCAGCAGGCTGTGTTCTTCTGTCTCGCCTCTCAATCGTTGTTGTCCCCCTCCCGTCTGCGCCGTGTAAATATGGCCTTTGGTGATGCTGGTGTCCTCCTAGCAATATCCAGATGAGTGTACAGTCTACGCGTGGCTGTCGGAATGCAGATGCACGATCGGAGTTGTTGCAGAGGTGATGGTAGTGCAAATGGCAAGCATGTTGCAGCAAACAGCCTGAGCACGTCGCCGAAGCGTCGCACATGGGTCTTTTTTGGGAACCGGTTGACGGGGTGCGGCCCGCCACCACTAGCTCGACGCCACACGATCCTGCATGGAAAGTCGAAAGTCTAATTGCAATCGATAAAGTGTCTTACAGAATTGATTTCGCGGTCAACTTCTGGGTTGAGATTCTAGTATAATAGAAATACACGCAAGATGGGTGTGCAGAAGAAGACGCGCAAGTTCGCGCAGACGAAGCGAGTCATTGGACAACGCGACGCACGACTGAAGAAGAACATTGTCGCAGAGGCTGAGAAGCAGCGCGAGAAAAAGACCAAACCTGATGGGGTAGTGCGAGAAGTGTACGTCCTCCAACCATAATTATACCAGCCAGATTCAGTGCTTACAAGACTGCAGCCCCCAAATGCCCTCCAACATGTTCTTCCATCACAACACCGCCCTCCAACCCCCTTACCACGTCCTAATCGACACCAACTTCCTCTCCCACACCGTCCACCACAAACTGCCCCTCCTCTCCACCCTCATGGACACCCTCTACGCCACCTGCATCCCCATCATCACCTCCTGCGTCATGGCGGAGCTGGAGAAACTCGGCCCGAAATACAGAATCGCGTTGCAGATTGCCAGGGACGAGAGGTGGGAGAGGTTGGAGTGCGATCACAAGGGCACTTATGCGGATGACTGTATCGTTGATCGGGTGATGAAGTCGAGGATTTATCTGGTGGGGACTAACGATAGGGATTTGAAGAGGAGGGTGAGGAAAGTTCCGGGGGTGCCGATTGTGAGTGTGGCAAGGGGAAAGTATGTTATTGAGAGGTATGGTTTTGCCATGTTCTTTTCTGTTTTGATTGTGCGCAATTATACTGATGGAACGATTATAGACTTCCTTCGGCTCCCGAAAAGTAATCGAGGGTTCGAGGATGAAACCTTCTACTCTATGTGGTATATCATTTCCGGACGACTGCACGTTTGTTGAAGGCTATGATACATCAACTAATGTTGAGGGGGAATGCATTGCCGAGATGCTGTAGCTGGGGGGCTACATTATCATCACGCTGGTGCTGCGGGTACTGTTGGAACAAGAGAAAGCCGCATTCATGCGATGCTGGTCGTACCTTCCACACGCACTGCAGTAAGCTTGATTCTTGGCACATAAGTTCCTCTCCGGGGACTTCCTTTCGCATTCCTCCTCCACAGCTTCGTTCTCGACAACACAGGACGATACTATGGAGATCGAAGGTGGCCAATAACCGGTGGTCGCTACTTAAGCTTGCCACACGAGCTTCGCAATCGGTTATATCATCTTGCCCTGCCCTCGGTTACGTAAGATATACGGCTGAGCCCGAACATATTCGCCCAGTCCCGCCACTACTACATGTCAGCTCTCTCTTTCGACGGGAGGCCCACAGAGCCGTAACAGGCTGCATGTGATATCGCAGGAAGGGCGCGATGTTGTTGTGACGATCTTACGCCAGGAGATGCAAGATATTGATTGAGTAGTCAATCGGAGGGAAAGCGGAAGGCGGTTATGAGAGTGGACGAAACCCAATCTGATCGCGGGAGCTAGTGTACTCAGCACGCAACGACCGATCAGCACGAGAAGCCCAAGCTAGACAAGTTCATAGGTCTTCTGACTGACACCAGGGCAGTCTGGCCAGCATATGCTTTGAGTATGTGCTTTGAGTATGTGCTGGCAGAGCGTCTGGGCAAGTCACCACACATGTAGCTCTTCCTGATGGTCCCAAATGTCTCTTCCGAAACACATAACAACAACCCCGATCGACAGACATTGACCAAAAGCCCAGCCCGTACTCTTGCGCCGTCTAGCAACGATGCTGTTAGCCAATACTGTTCTCCTCTCCGGATTGCTAGTGGCCGTAGCCTCTGCGCCAGTAGGACTATCACCATGGGAGAACGGGACATATGTGCTCTCTTCCTCTAGCAACACCCTCAGCCTTACCATCTCACCTAAGCGGTCCGACTACGTTCCTCCAGAAGAAAGCAGCGATGATAGCATGCTCGATGTAGAAAGTAGTGAGGATGAGGTGGAAAAGGACATGGTGATCACTGAAGCCATCGAGCAGGATCTAGTCAGGAAGGGTACCAATCTCCTGCGATGGATCTCACAGTCTGCCACACAGGCGACGCAGGACATGCAACAACAGAACAACCAGGTGACCTCTTCTCAGAGCCAGTTCTCACACTACGCAGACCTTCGTGCCAATGGCTGGGTCGTCGTCGACATTTCGAATAATGACCGCTTCAACTGGGCGCAAGATCTCTCCATTGAGCAAGAGGTCGCCTCCTTGGGTTTCGACACGACATACGAGGTTCTATTGTCAACGAACAAGGAGATCCGTAATGGCCCTGGCAAAGGGTTTTATGGCCTCGAACGAGCAGCTCCAGGTCCTGCGGCAAATTTGGTGGTTCAACGGGAGAATTATCTCGGGTCTGGCCCAGCCGATGATCGACATGAGGTGAGTACGAGACGCGCTCGAATGACCATACCTTTGCTCACTGTATTCAGCCTACCGGCGCATCATAAATCGAGGTGTACAGCCCCAGAAACGGCGCGATCCTCGGCGTCAGCAACGACTCCCCTCAAGCTTTAATCAAGCAGAACAAAGCTCAAGGCGCCGCTAGACCTCCAGCCCTGAATCACTGGTCTGATGTGGCTTTCCTAGAGTACTCACATCTCTGCGAGCAGCAAGGCCATCCGGTCCAGAACCTCCGCTACATGTTCCGGTTCAGGATCACAAATATCTACACCAGACCCCTAATCTTCAAGATCCTGGACAGTCAGACTCCACGCCGCAAGGCGAAAGATCTTACCTGGCAGCATCGACTCGTCTTCGATATGACGGTAAGGCATTACTCGGATCTCCAAACGGCGGTAGTGTGGCGTGGTTCCTTATCAATCACAAAGTTGTGCTGGGCGACAAGAGGGTCCGGAGTGTAACGGTGTTCTTTGATCGGGAGACTTTGAAGGAAGAGGATTCGGCGTACCAGCATCCCACTCTGCCTTTCGAGTTCGAGGATGTGGTGAGGAGCGATAGGCAGGTTTCAAAGTGGTATGTTGATGCGAAAGGGAAGGTGCAGAAGCCGCCAAAGAAGGATCCGGGTGGTGCGGGTGGCTCGAGGCAAAGTGCTAGGCTGAAGGGGCAGCAAGCTGGTCAGTGATGGTACAAACCTCGGGCTACGTTGCAACCGGAGTGGTATGCTGGTCAGTAATGGCACAAAGCTTGGGCTTATCTACGACAAGTATAGCACGCCGTCGAGAAAGGCGTAGGTACTGCTCGACTAATAACTTGACGTCGACTCTACCCATATCATCATGTAACGAAAGCCATGTAGCTGACATTCAATCTACCATGTTGAATGTCCCCTCTTCCATCACTTGAGCATCTGAGTCTTCTGACTGATACTCCCGCTGCTAGTAGCACTGCTGGTGTCCATCAGTAAGACCTCCACGCTACTGAGTACTTCGAGCTTACTGAGCACAATGACGTTGCATGCGTGGTATCGTGTTTCGGAACCTACTGTTGGTCAGACAGAGTGGCTCTTGGGCTACCGTCGTCTCTGCTCACCTTCTGGAGGCCACATGACCGGCAAAGGCGCCATCGACTTGCAAGGCGCCTATGGTATCCGGGACAGTAGGCACCGGTCTGTATACATCTACTGCAGTATGGCTTGGCTCCGTCGCAGCATAATTGCCGCTGTTCACAACGAACACAAGGCAGGGCCCTCTTACGAACGGGAATGGAGGGTCGATCTTGTGCCTTGATCGACTTCGTCGACGTAGACGACCGCGTGCAGTGCTGGCTGAGTGGGGACCATGGGGTAGTGCATGGCTGTATCCCCTTGTCGTCCGGTGTGGTTGTGTCGTTGCCGTGGCTGAGCTCCTGGAAGTCTTGATCTGCCATCATCGAGCAAGGATACTGCAAGCAACTGATGCCACGAAGAAATCTCAGCAGGATGGGCACAAGCGGGCATGGCAGGAAATCCATCTTTACATCATTCCGCCCCTCACCTCGTGGAACGTTGTGTGTACCCCAAGAGCACGAGATCTGTGGTGTGAGTGCGCTGCCAATCCTCAGCTCGCACGAGTGTACTGCTTGCTTATTTGTTGTCGACGCTGAAAATTGTGAGGTTTTCTCACGGTGGCATTTGCCAGCAGAGCGCCACATGTCCGGAGCAGAAGCGTAGAGTTGGCCGGCCACGTACACGGCTGTGCTGGCATCGCCTGACAGACTGGGCATATCTACGTTCCGGATCTCCTCACTAGCTTCGATTCAACACTAGGCTTGCACTTCCCAAGTGTGGAGTGTTTGAACTACTTCCTCAAGACTGGTAGGATGCGTTTCTCACACCCAAGCATGTCTAACGTGACGGGCAGAGCTGCACGTCGACGCAGACTGATCTCGATCTGTCTTTCCACAGCTTTGATGCTGTTGTTGCTGACGGTATTCATCTTCACAGCCGGGCTTCATCGAACGTTGCCTCCCGGCCAGAAAGTCGATAACGGCTTGAACAGGAGGTTCAATAGCTCCGACATCACCAGACGCTATCCAGGGGCTGATGAGACGCATGGCTCCGCGAGCGAACATAGCAGCACCAATTACCACGAATGGGAATCAATCACGGAGGCGAATATTGAGACCTACGCTGAAAAAGGCCGGAACTTGCTCGAATTGATCGCGTCGTCCGCGGAGCAAGCGTCAGAAGCAATGAGTCGAGCTAGGAATCGTCGAGAAAGCTCCCAGAGTCCCTACACAAGTAAGAAAGACCTCCTCGATAATGGATGGAGCTCTGAATATGTAGCACCAGGGTGGAAGCCATTCACTTGGGCTGGCGATGCTCCGATCGATGAGGCATTGGAGCAAATGCATATCTCGACTCATGTCACCACCGTTGGCAGGCATCCGCCGGCAGCCGTCTTCGCACACGGTGGCGATGTAAATATGCCAGACATGGGCTCGCAACATCAAACGTCCCCAAGCGTCGACATCTCCGAGGGATCCCATAATCCAAACGATGGACCAAACTTCGCCGTCAACTGGGTGCACAGCCACGAGACCAAGCATGGGGAATCGCAGCAAATTTATCATGTGAGTGCTCTCGAAAGCAACATCCTTGTACCGGTCGCTAACCAGAATGTGGCCTACCCAGGCAACAGGAGGAGTATACGGGGCAGTATACAATGTCAAGGATGGACTCATCATGGCAGCATACAGCACGTCTCCCGAAGATCGAATTATAGACTCAGAATCGGCTGTACACCATCTTCATCCTGATGCTGTGGCACCCCCACTACACTTCTGGTCAGACGTGGCGTATATCGAGTACCTTGATCGGGCCAAATCAGAAGAAGTTGATGTGAGTCGGCTTACGTCTGTCTTCCAGGTCAAAGTCAATAACGTCTATACGAGACCATTGGTACTATTCCTCCTGCAGAAACACCTCGGGAAAGCCGTCACAGACTTCCCAAACTTGCAAAATCGAGTAATCTGGAGTATGGACTCCGAGGCTGGAAGGGCTCTACTCGGGAGTCCGAATGGTGCTGGTGTCGCATGGCTGCTGATACAACACAAGGAAACTCTTGGACAGAAGAGGATCAAGAACGTGATTGTGTACGTTGACAAGTGGCAACGAGAAGAAGCGCCGCGCTCGCATAATCATCTGCCAAACTTGATATTTGAGCTCGAGGATGTGCAAGCTGAAATGGCCACTCCCAAATCGAAGAAGCCAAAGCCAAATACGGGCGCTGGGGTCAGCAAACCGCAGAAGAAGCCTCCAGGTGGTAGTGGTGGTCCATCTGGCGGATCCGGTAGTTGGACCGGAAGGTTGAGGCCACCACCACCGGCGAAAGGGTCATGAATCTGCTGAGTCGACGGTTTGTCCATATAGTAATGAGTGTGGGTAACGGCCTCTGGTGATGACCAACATAGATTCTGAAAGCTTGAGAGCGTGACCGTTGGGACTGGTCACTGGGACGTTATTGCCGTCCAGATGTGTATATGGCTGCTGACTTGTAGATATATCGGTCAAAACAAGGACATTGGACACACAGTCACACGACCCTGGATCGTTGTTGATGTTTCTGCCAGTGACAAAGAAACCATGATCGCCTTCGTAGCCCGCCTGCCGTGACCATCTGTTCATCTCCAGGCTTGGAATCCAGGATCATCCAGTCGTACTCAGCTGAGTCGTGGTCGTGAGGTCCGGAACGCGACCGTGCCATGCGGCTAGCATGGTTCGACTTGAAAGCCTTGTTAGGTGGTCCGTCTTGCCTTTGTGAACAGTCTCCTGGGTGAGCGTGTCGTACATCATCTCTCTCTGCAGGCTGTCGCACTGGAGAAGCTTCTCTGCAAGCCCGTTAAGCAGCATAGAAGTCGTAACGTGGTTGCAGGAATGTCATGACGACTCATGCACACGGCAGATGGGCACCTAAAGTTCGACCAGATGAACTCTATCCGGCTTCTACGACTCGGTCACGCAACACAAACCAACCACAACCCGCACCACACTATCGGGCGCGCGGCAAAATCACTCCTTCATAAAACCGTTTGAACATTCGACGTTCATCCGGTACACGAAACGCTCGGGAAATCACTGATTCATGCTCACACCGTGCCCAAAGCGGCAAGAAATACAAGAATCGTACTGTACAAACATCTTCTCTAGTCCAAAAGGGTATCGAGACACACAGACCCCAAAAGTCATGAAACAACCATGTGAGATACCAGACGCCCTTGGCATTGCTGCCCGAGTCGCTGTCAAAACAAAATTCCCGCAACGCCACCGTCCTGCCTCTTGCGTATAACAAACAACTGCCGTCGCGGTGTCGTGCTTCGTGCACACTCTGATTCCATTCTTGTTCCCTCCTGCATCATCGACCCCCAACATGATCCAGGCATCCATGTCTAGCCCGCTGTGAAGAGACCAGGTTTTGAACGCCAATCGCGAGCATCAGCGCGCTTCTCCGAGTTATTGGATCCTTGCAGTAAACAAGCAGGACGAAGGATTATATGAGACATCACTTCTGCCCATTCTTACATCAGACTTTGATTCCTTCGACAGGAAATTGCTCGAGAGCATCAGCGTCCGCTGGCTTGGGAGGTCCTGGATTTCTGGCTCTTCCATAACGGTATCCCTCTTCACACGCAGACTTCCACGGTCGCCTGTATACACATGGCCGCTCTCGACTTTCTCTTGGATCATCTGGTCCAGCAGCATGGTCATCTCATCGACGCTCTTGCGACGGGAAGTCTTCGACGTCACAGAGCCTGTATCCAAGATCGCGATGGAGTCATCAGAGCTAGATCTTGAAGGTCGAAGAATAGCCATTGGACTCAGCGGTGTCTTGGAGAAATTGATAGCGCCATTGCTGGACCGACTCGCGGAAGAAGGATTGCTCCTGTGGCTTATGCTGGTGGTGCTCGGGAAGCGTGCACTTCGCGCGGATGTGCGAGAGCTCACCCGGACAGTCTTCTCGAGTACTCCGCCCGAGCTCGCAGGGCGCTCTGTCATGGCGCTAGCGTGACTGTACCGATTGTCAAGCAGATCACGCTTGCGCGCGGCACTTCGCAGTGCTGTCACCATACGCATCTGGTCATCGAGTTTGGCCCTCATCTCCTCCAGCTCGCGGTCCTTCTCGCGAAGCAAGGCCTCAGGCGACCCAGCCTCCTCAAGAGGACTGAACCCGTTTCCGAAGTGCGAGCTAACACGACTCCGACTCGTCCGCCGTGCCTGCAACAGTCGCTTTTCGAGTGTGGCGATATACCGATTCTTGTCGGCCAAATCAGCTTGCAACATCCGATTCTGCTGAGCAAGAGAAGCATTTCCGACCACATCGACTTCGCCAGAATCGTCGTCCTCTTCTACGGCTGCATCCTCTTCGGACATCATATGCGAGACTTGCGCTACCGGAAGCGTGCCCATCGTGATGGAACCACTCGAAAGTGCTCGGCCCAGGGGTGGCATTTCCATCGGACTCGGTACTTCCAGCGTCGCAGCGCTGTCTCGCAAGCTGTTCCTTTGGCTGCTGTGTACACTCTCGCGACTCCGCACGCTCACTGGCCGGCCGAACTCGGTGTTGCTGTATACACTCGCCCTTCCAACTGGAATACTGGCACTCGAAATCCGTCCAGAATTGACACCAAGAGACTTCGAAGACAGGATCAAGCGGTTGAGATGACTTATTCGCTCTTTCAAGGCCGTCCGTGCAAGTTGCATTTCCAACATTTGCTCCTCATGCCGAGTCTGCTCCTCACGCTCAAGCTTCTCCTCCAATTGGCGATCCTGCGCATCCTGCTCAACCTTCTCTGCCTCATCCTTGTCCTTCGTCTGCTGTTCTAGTTGGCCGCGCAGCTCTTGGATTTCCAGCCTATAGCGGTCGAGCAGAGCACGACTACCCGCATCGCCGCCGTTCGGATTCGACTCGTTGCGCTTGGCGTGGCTGACGATGTTGTTCTTGGCTCTGCTGGCGAACTTCAAGGTATTCAGTGTTTCACCAGTATGCGACGAACTTGCGGCAGCACTCGTGCCAGCCGAAGAAAGCTGGATTGTGCAAAGGATCGAAACGAGCGAGTTTCCGGAGAGTGCCGGTTGGAGTAATCGAGTGAGCTTGCTGTCCCTATATGGCAAGTGCTTGAGACTCTTCTCCTTCTCCGCAGCACTCTTTGCGCCATCCTCCTTCTCCTTGTCATCTTCACCTGACAAGCGTCCAATGACGGTGCCCAGAGTGAGCAATGATTTGTTGATGTGCGAGCCTTCCGTCCTGCGCTCCTTACTGTCCGCGGCCTTTTCGGAACCAGCCAAATCGATCAAAGACAAGGTCGACACCAGAACGCCACCAGGTAGGATCCGGTCAGTTCTTCGTGTGTCTTTATCGAAGTATGCACCATGGCTCGGTGTCCGTTCTCTGGACTCGACGACTATCTGCACGACCGCATGTGATCGAGATGATCGCGCGTTGAATTGCGTACTGCTCGTTCTTCGTGCAACATCACCGCGCGCTATCACTCGCAACAGCTGATTTGGCGACTGGACAATTTCTTCCTTGAGTGGCGTCGCATATACGCCTCGTTTACTATCCTCTCGAAGCTTGATCTCCTCGGTCTGTTGCTGTTGCCCTGGAGTGCTCTGGTTGAGCAGGTCGTAAATCTTCTCGTTGTAGATCTCGAGATAACTGACTCGAAGCAGAAATTCGCGGGCCGGATTCTCACGGATATATGAGAAGATGTCCGTGATCGCAAGAGGTATAACACCAGGTGAGGAAGCAGTACCCTGCATCGAGAACGTCTTACCGGTTCCAGTCATGCCGTATGCGAAGACCGTGCCATTATATCCTTCCATCACGCGGCGCACTAGTCGTCGAGCTGCATTGTCGTATACTCGTGTATTGTTGTCGTACGGCGAGAAGACATTATCGTACTTGTAGTCGCCACCCTCTTTACCTTTATACGCTATGAACGATCGTCTCCCATCAACCATCCATTCTCCTTCCACGCTATTGCCATCGCCTCCTCCAGCGTCTGGTCGTACTCGAACACTGACCAGCACGTTGCCTTTGTTGTCCTTGTCCTTCGTGCCCGAATTGCGCTTGCTATCTGAGATTGTCTCCGAGCTCTTCGGTCGTCCTCGCTCATCAATGTCTTCTCCAATGTCCTCGAAAGCTGTGCCATCTGTCATGTACGAACCGTCCATTGATGAGCTCCGGCTTTGTGGTGGTGAAGGCGGCGTAAGCAGATTATCCGAGGCTCTAGTACTGGAGACGACATTATCCTCGCCAGTGCCATTGAGCAAACTTGGCGTTCTAGAAACCCCTGCTATTGACGATGTTGACTGCCTCGAGCGGATGCCATATCCTGAGCTTCGTGGCTTCTTTTTGATAACACTCTCAGCACTACGATGCTTGGATGAGTCGCGGCGCTTGGCTGGGTTCGCCGCAGCATGGACATCAGAAGATGAGGTTGCTGTAGATAGTGGACTTGGCGGCAGACTTGACACTCTTGGAGCGCCTTTCGGAGGAAGAGGAAACGCGCCAATGCTAGTGGTCTTGCGCAGCGTCTTTCCAGAAGTCGATATGCCAGAAGAGGGAATATTGGAAGATAATGGAGAAGCCGCATTAATTAACGCAACATCCGCTGTGTTTAGTGTTGGTACTGCAGGTGTAGATCGAGATTTAGCGGGTGTCGGCAGACCAGATGAGGTGACAGCTCGAGTAAGTCTAGCTGGAGGCCGGCCGAAAGGTGATGTGGCTATCTCCTGGTCGTCGGGTATGTCTGGCAGCGGCTTCCTCGACTTCGCAATGGGCAGCGCTGGAAGCGGTCCTGATGGTGGTGATAATGGTGATGTCGAGGGTCGTCGTATTCCAGATGTAGTCATGGTTGCGGTAGCGGATAGTGACATTTTCGTTTGCGTCCTGCACTCGTCCGCACTCCCACCCAAGAAGCTGGCCCTTGGTGTCCTCCGCTCCGTCGCACTTAGGGCAGCAGGCAGCCAGACGGCATATCTCTCCCAATTCCGCACGCCAGACTGCGATCAAGTATGCAAAGTCGACGAGGAGGCAATCGTTCCTCTAGTCTTGCAACGGGATTGATGGCCGTGCCGTAGAAGTCCCGCCAATCTCTGCTTGTACTGAGTCCTCGAAAGAACAAAACCCCGGTGATGAGGGAGGATTCTGCTCGCGAGTGAGTCTCGTCCGTGCGGAGACAGGGTTCGATATTGAAGCACAAGGACAACTCTGTAGAGGCGAGACGGGAGGACCTAAATGCGGCGACAATCAATGGCAAGCGAGTCGCAAGCTTGACTCGTGTGCTGTGATGTGAGCCTGGTTGTTGACGCGGCTGGAGAGGACACAAGAATGTTGTTCGTGAGTACGCGACAGTGAAGCGTCGTCCCGTCCAGTTGCACCTGAAACGTCGATGTAAGTGAAGAGTGCCTTTCCCGTCCGCACACTGATTGATCGTCTAGACGGCAGTCCACGAAAGCAATCAAGCAGTGGTAGCCCCAGGGGAAAGGTAATGCTCGTGCGTTTACACTGTGCCTGTGTGATCCGAGTGCCTTAGTGGCTCGCTTGCAAAAGACGCCCCTACCCCAATAGGCACAGGGGGATTGCCGGCGGGCATTAATTTTCGAGGCTACCGTCAACCTTGAGCCAAACAGAAGTTCGGAAATAGACGCTAACTTTTCCATTGGCTCTGTCTGCTATTACATTGTATCGATCCCTCCAGCTTGAACAAACAAATAGTGTGGGTGGCACACGCAGTTCATGTTCTCTAGCCGTCGGGTGTGACCCGGGCCACGAAGGGCACAGCAACGACAAGGATATCATCGCGGCACTTTTCGTCCCCACGGAAGGACGCTTGGATCCAGCCGTTCGTGCAGGAGTGCTTGGATCAGACAGAGTTCAAGCCTCATGATCTGAGCAGCAAGCCGAACTGTTGGTGATGACCAAAATTGCTCGCCCATCGCTAACCGTAATCCACATATATAGCCTGTGCAACCGCCACACAGCGGTCAGCAAGACAATCGCAGTGGTCGTTCGCTGAGAGAAGATTACTACAGTACTGGAAGTTCAAGTGGCGTGCAGAGCGAAACACGATGCTCTGGAGATCTAGCTTGTCATTGGACCGTGGATCACAAAATGGGCTTGAACGATTGGACCACTGCCAGGTCGTATCGTCCTCTTCATCTGACAATCCAACATCACACCGAGCCATGCAACACCTGCAGGGCGGCGCTCGACAGTAGCACGGAAAGAACCGGTTTTCATACTCATGATGGTTGAACAACATCATGAGCATGACTTTCATCCTAGCACAGCTAATCTTGACGGTATCGAGTAAGGATCAGCATCCTAGCAGCCGCACATCTCAAACGCTAACAGTGAGGTCGTGTGCATGAACATGTCAGTGAGCGTGTCTTGCGTTCGTGGCGGAGTATCGCCCGTAAGGTTGATTTGTTTTCTTTGCTGAGAAACGCATTGCGAGCATGCTATAGACTTTTATATATCTCTAGAGGAGAGAAGCAAAATAGCACCCAACCTCCAACAACCATCGTCCAGCGAACGGTCTAGTGTCCATTGACACCGTTCGTGCCATTGGCTGCATGACCATTCGTGGCAACGCTATCAGAGTCCACACCAGCAGCATGCTTAAGAGCGTGCTTGGGCTCGCCAGTCTTGCCATCAATGTTCGTGGCTCCGAGCCCGCCGTTGGCCTGGCCATTGGAGGCATCATCGTTGATGACAGCCTTCTTGAGCGAGGCACTAACATCACCAGAGTTTCCCTCTACAGGCGCCTGGTTCATGGTGTATCCAGTGTCCGAAGCATCGACGGAAGCCTCAAGACCAGCACCCTCACGAGGGTAGTTCTTTACGAACTGCTTGTGCTTGTGCAGGACAGTCATCAGCTCTTCGTTCCCGACATCGTTGACGAACTCGCAAGAGCCGAGTGGGTGTGGCACGGCGAGACGAAGCTTGCCGTCACGGGTCTTGAGGATGGCCTTGGTGCCTTTATCGAGGATGTCCTCGTTGAAGTCTGGGTGGTCAATGGAAAGACCAACGCGGGAGAAGAGGTCCAAGAGGCGCTTGTGCTCCTCATCGCTGAGAAGGCCGCGGTGATTGGCGAGGGTGGCGGAGTAAGCCATATCGATGGAGATGGCGTGGCCGTGGCGGAGAGGCACCTCAGGTACCAACTCGTGGAGAGGCGACCATCTAGCAAAAGTCAGCATCGTACCACTTTATGGATAATGGTATTCAACCCACGTATGGCCGTATGCAATAACTCTGTCCAAACCAATCTCATGCAAGTTAGGCGTCTCGAGCTTCAGCATCTCATGAATACCAGCCCTGTTGATCTTGTCGGCAGCCTCCTTCACCTCAGGCTTCGCACCATCAGCACGACCGAAAGCAGTATTCACCAGATCCTCAGAGTATTTGTCCAGAAGATCAAAGGTGGGCAAATGGGCGCAGCTGGAGATCTTGATCAACTCAGCGAAGCCGTTACGGGTCTGAGCCACTGGCAGGGTTCGGAGGAAGCTGAAGTCGAGGAAGGTGTGCATGGGAGCGTGATATGCACCCAGACGGTTCTTATAGTTGCCATAGTTGACGGCAACCTTGATGGAAACCGAGGCATCGATCAAGCCGATCACGGTGGTCGGGATGCGGACGTAGTTGGTGTTTCGTCGGTAGGAGGCACAAGCGAAACTGTCACCATGTTAGTCCCATCCATCTTGAGCAAATCGCTTTGGGTAGATAATCAGCCAGAGTGCCTTGAAGTCATCTTTGGCGGTCGGCTTTGTGTCTTTACCCAACAACGTCGGTAACCAGTCCGCCTCCGACAACTAGGACAGGTTCCTTCCGAATGATGCCTTTGGGAGCTATGTTAGCCGAGCTGCAAGCTGCCCATAGCCACTGCTCAGAGCTTCTGCCTACCGAAATCGTTCATGGAGTCGACGATGCTGAGGTAGGTCTCAATGGACTTGGCCTTCTCGCCGATCATGGTCTTGTGGATCTTGAGCTCGATGCCGTGGTGGTCAAAGTACTCTTGCATCTGTTTGCCGTAGACATTGAAGATGTTGACGTCCATGACAGCCAGGCAGCGCTGCCAGCGCTCAAAGAGCTTCGCCAGGTCCTTGTGCTCTTTGTCGAACACGCCGTCCACGAAGCTGAAGTCATACTCAATCTTCTCGTAGCCCTCGACGTGGAAACCAGCCTTGGTCTCCTCGACCTTTGCACTCATGTCAGACATCTTGGGCAGGTGGTGCTGTTGAAATGCACTGGTAGAAAGTGGTGAACGGTGGGAGTGGTGAGTAGAGAGGAAGGAGTGGTTGGGAGGAACGTGAGAGTAGTACAGCAAGTTGGAAACTTTGTGGTGGAGCCTAGCTGTTATAATGCCTCAACACGACACCAACAGGCGGATAATGCTCGCGGTGATCTACCGAAGCATGGCAGTATCCGGCCAAGAGGTCGATGAGGTGTACGTCAACAGTGTCCAAGGTGCATCTCTGAACCACTGCGGCAATAAGTCATGGCGGAAGCATCTAGGCGACGCCAGTCAAGCCGCTTAGGTCAACGACGTGATCGCCAGTCCTCTTCGCGTATGTACATACGTGTTGCCCAGCACGTCCAAAACACTTTTTTGTGCAGATGACCGTCTGCCATGTAGCTTGTATTGCCCACGACAGGGATTGGCCACGCCGTGATACGTCGGACTTGACACTTGTGGCTCTTCGAATCTCGCCGGTGCTGGACCTGCAGATACTAGTAGCGCAGCTTGCTTGGGCCTAGTAAGGCGTGGAGCAAAAGAAGCAGGCCAATGGGCCAAGTCGAGTGTGTATGGCGTCAGGGAAAGACGAAATTCAAACTCGCGCTAGGATCTTGCATATGAGATCGTAGCCGAAAGTCTAATTCCCCACCGCAATGGCGTGAGCGATTTTGCTGGCAGACCTGGCCGATGCCGGCCAGCAGTAATGGCTTGTCGGGATTCATAGAAATCGCTGTCCAAGTTTGTGATGGGCGTTAGGATTGTGGTGAGTATTTTGGCAAGTAAGCAGAATCAAGACGTGGTCTTCGAAGCTCAAAGCAGAGCCTCGAGTCTTAACAAGTCAACGGGCTGCCAACCTGACACACGTGGGGCTCGAAGTGAGGGGCACGCCTTAATTAAGCCGGACAAAATTTTGGGCTCGATCGCTTTCCAAGGCCCATCGGAGAAGGTTGAAGATGACGGCAAAATGATAGTAGCCTACAGGTATTAGCGCTCGGTTGAAGACCAAAGGGTGGTGAGGACTGGTCATCGATTGGTAGGATGACTTTCCCTGCCGATCACTCGTCCTGGCCCTGGCATCTGCATGGTGGGAGAATCCTGTTGCCCTCCCGACGGGCAATGTGTCCTGATTTCACATGCAAGAGGATGTTGTGTAACGTCATTGGGGCTTGTGTGTGGTGATTGTACGGTGTTCGTGTTGCCCGTGTGGTCGCGTCCCCCTCTGTTGACAGTTCCAACTTTTTCTTGTTCCTTTGTCGACCGTGAAGCCAGCTCCCAATCCGAACCACCTGTCAGGTCTCCAAGATGCCTGAGTTCGACAAAAGCAAAGCGTACTCCCAGCAGGAGAAGGTCTTCTTCGATGACGGCCGCGAGGTAGAGCTTCTTCATTATGTCTACGGCAAGGACAATCTCGAGGAAATCCGCGGCAGCCCTGAGAAAGTCCTGGCAGCAATCGATGAATTCGGCCGTACCAAAAAGTATCTGATGAACGTTGGCGAGGACAAAGGCAAGATCGTGAGCGACCTTATCGCAGATGTTAAGCCGCAAACAATGGTACCGTTTCCCAACAAGCAGCTGTAGAGATACTCCGTCTCAGCCCGGCAGTGGCTGATTGCTAGGGTAGGTCGAGCTCGGTGGATACATTGGCTATTCCTGCCTACTCTTCGGTAATGCTGTTAGAAAAGCTGGCGGCAAGCGCTATTACAGCTTAGAACGCAATCCAGAGTTCGGTGCAGTCATCTCTTCTCTCGCAGACCTAGCAGGATTGAGCGATGTGGTAAAAGTCATCATTGGCTCCAGTGACGCCTCCTTGAAGAGACTGCACGACAACGGCACTCTTAAGCACATTGATCTGATGTTCCTGGATCACTACAAGCCAGCCTACAAGACTGACTTGAAGCTTTGCGAAGAGCTGAAGCTGATCTCGCCGGGTTCAGTCTTGGCTGCCGACAACGTGATCTCGCCGGGTAACCCATCATACCTGGAGTATGTGCGAGCGAGCCCGCAGCAGAAGAAGGAGTGGACGCAACAGGCCAACGGCCAGGGCGCGCCTGACGTGAGGTTCCAGGACAAGACAGTCCAGCAATATGCAAATCGTGGCGAGTCGACCGCACTCAATGCGAGCCTTGGCACCCCAGGGCTGGTGTACGACAGCAAGTTGGTACATAGCTTCGAGCCGACTGGTGATCCTGTGAGTTCAGCCCGTGGTATATTCTGCTGGCCCTTGCTGACATGTTCACAGGACGGTATTGAGATCTCGAGATGCACAGGCGAAGAGTAAAGACAAGGTAGTGGTGGCGTGCCCGACTAGAGCATCATGAGTTTTGCCTAGACATGAAGATGCAGGAGGCAGAGATGAGATTTGGACAAGGAGAGACGATGTTCGTGCTCAAGGGTGATCGAGAGAGTCTTGGAGTGGTGTAAGGAGTGGACGCCTTGACGCGCAGACCACCTCAGCGGCGTTCCCCAATCTGGCTATCGCAGATCAACAAGCATCGCATCTCCCATCTAAATGTTCTATCGCTGTTGATGACACTTATGTTATTGCCCTGCAAGCCAGATTCATCATGCCTCAGTACGTGCGCTGGACACACGCACCTCGTCTTTGCCGAACCATTGCAAGCCTCGTGGGGCAATGGGTTGAGCGAACGACCATCGTGATGTAATCGGGCATGGCGCAGATCATTATTGTTTGTCTCATTTGCATGTGAAAGTCCTCGCTTCCCACCTTTGATTTCGGCTGATATCCTTACACTATTGGTGACCTGTAGCATATCTCACATACAGTCACGCCGATGCAGACAGGATGCTCGACGCCAACAGCTCCTTCTTGGCACATGCTGCTCAGGATGTCGCCCTCATAGCATTGAGCATCGCCCTGCTGCCGCTGGACACTTTTGTCGTTTGCTTGAGTTATATTATTACCTATTCCTACCCGATACGAGCTATACAGCACCGCCGACATGTCCGTTCGACCAACACGCCGTACTTCGAGCCCAAGAACATCCTCGTTACTGGCGTGGGCATGACCAAAGGTCTAGTACTAGCACGACTTTTCTATGCGGCCGGCCATAATGTCATCGGTGCAGACTTCGAGCCAGCATACTTGCCAACGACCTCTGGGAGGCTGTCTCGGGCTCTGAAAGCCTTTCACAAGCTGTCGAAGCCAGACGGAAGCAGAGACAAGGCTGCAAGGTACACGCAGGAGCTCTTGCAAATTTTACAGGCAGAAAAGGTCGATATATGGGTATCGTGCTCCGGCGTAGCATCTGCAGTCGAGGACGGTCAAGCTAAGGAGATGGTGGAGCTGGTCACGAAGTGCAAATGTGTGCAGTACGATGTTGCGACTACCAAGAGGCTGCACGAAAAGCACTCGTTCATGGACTACACACAAAGCATTGGCCTCGCGATACCAGAGACACTTACTGTGACCTCCAAAGCCGCAGCGTTACACTTCCTTGACGACGCTAGTGCCAAGCAGCAAAAGAAATACGTGCTGAAGTATATCGGCACAGACGACGCTGTAAGAGGCGACATGACATTACTGCCACTCAGCTCGCCCGCTCAAACGAAAGCACATATCTCGCGGATGGAAATATCGGAAGAGCGACCATGGATCTTGCAACAATTCATACGCGGACCAGAATACTGCACGCATGCATTGGTGGTCAAGGGTGAGGTGAAGGCCTTCGTCGCTTGCCCATCGTCTGAACTGCTGATGCACTACGAAGCTCTCCCTTCCGATTCTGGTCTTAGTATGAATATGCTGCGCTTCACGCAGGAATTTGCTGCCGCCGGTGGACCATCTTTTACTGGTCATCTCTCTTTCGACTTCTTGGTCGAGATGGCTGATGCAGAGAAGGCACTGCGGGATCCTGCTGCAAACATTACCTTGTATCCTATCGAATGCAACCCGCGCGCACACACTGCTGTGTGTCTGTTCAATGATACGCCAGAGATGGTCGATGGCTATCTTAGTCTGCTCGGATCCAAGACCGCCATCGCCAGCTCCGCGAATAAGACGACATCGTCGTCCACGCCAAACGGCCTCGCACCTCCACCGGTCTTCCCAAACAAACAACACAAGAAGTACTACTGGATTGGGCACGACCTCATCGAGCTTGTACTCTCACCTCTGCTTTCGTTGACTTCCGTAGAAGGACCATCTTTCGTCGAGGTCTTCGAGCACATGGCCACCTTCATCGAGCACCTGCTCTGGTGGCATGATGGCACGTTTGAGTTCTGGGATCCATTGCCAGCATGGTGGCTATATCATGTGTACTGGCCGTATCAGATCTTGGTGGCGCTAGTCGGGCGGCGCAAGTGGAGTCGGATGAATGTTAGCACTTGCAAGATGTTCATGTGCGAGTAGCCTGCGTAGATGGCGCCGGTATAACAAAGCAAGAAGCTGGGCTTGTTGGTGAGCTACCTCTCATGGCATTGCACCTAGGAGTAGTGTTTGCGATATTCTGGATACTTTGTATGGCGTTTTGAGCGACCTTACGGTTTGAGCCTGTTCAAATACTTTGGAAACGCAATCTCAAACCAGTCCACTATTCACAAGAAAGGAGATGGAGAAGCTGATAGGCCCGCAGGGAGTTGAGGCCAGTCACCTGCCACGCGACTGGGACGCCTCCGCCTGCGCAAGTGTGCTGGCAGACCATGCTCTTCAGCTGCCTCAGCTCTACATCAACACATTTGAAGAGGTTAATCCTCGTCGCCTCCTTGAAAATACTTCTTTCGGTCTCACAGATCGGACTGAAAGCCAATGGCTAAGCTAACATTGCCACGCTTCTGCTACTGCGCTCTCCTAGCGTTTATCCTAGCATCGATCATCGTACTACGCAGAACACCATCAATCATCTGTTTATCGGTCATTTGACAGCCTCGAATCGTGACCGACCAACCGTAAACCCGGCTCATGTGCTGGTTGCGATGAATGGTGTCTGTTACCCAAACCCTAACCCTAATACTTCGATTAGCTGTAGCAGGCGGGAGGGCAGTTGCGCGCACGTGACTTTGAAGCATCTACTTTCATCCATTCCATTTCCTCAGACACCACGGATCCGCGTACAACAAAGCGCCCAGAATGCATACTCTTGAGCACACTTGCAGGTGACATATTGGGGATGATGCTAAGACAGGTGTTAAACATCCCTCTGTCCTGTCAGCACAACACACTGCGAGGCTGAAGGTGATGACATATCAAAGAAGAGACGGCGACGTGTCTTTAGCACGCTTGCTCGAGCTCACCGGTGCCATGGACCAGCCGATCAATGCCAAGTATGAAGTGATACATGGTCTCACAGGAGGGAACGCATGGAGGGGTTTACGAGAGAATCGAGCCACAATCACCATCTGCTATTACCAGTGTGCCTCACCCTGGCGCAGAGCAATACTTTGGGCATCTCCTGGCAAGACATATCCTCCTCATAATGCCGGTTATGTTCAATCTCAAACAGCTCTCATCATCTGGACGTCAAGGATCGTCCAGCTCGGAAGACTGTCCGGCGTCATTCCAAGCAACCGTATTGAAAAGACCGGATTGCTGCTATCACTCAGGAAGGCACCAGTGTTTCGAAACCGGCGGCTCAACCAATTGCCGCGGGCACTTCGCTCAAGCAGTGTTCCTCATGCAGGAAAGACGACAGCACCCTGACTCATAGCCCACACGTCTTGGCCCTTCGAAAATGGTCCACAAGAGAAATCCTGCAAGGTGGGAGGACTGGAGAACAAGACGGTCGAGGACCAGGCGATCAACCTATTGTGACTGCTTCGCAGTACATATCTGACCGCATTCCCGTCCTTTGCTGCTATCACACCAGCACACTGCAGTGCCCGAAGTGTAGTCATTCGGACACAACAAACGTGGGGAAGACATCGAGCATTTGGTAGCAATCAATGAGCCATGACTGGGGATAGAAGAGAGCGTCCTCGAGCAGCGCCGGCTTATCCCAGCGAAGTTCCAACCGGCAACATGATAGCATGGATCGAAGAAGCGTCTCAAAACGTAAGTGACTGCACCACTGATCAGGAGATGACACCAAGATATAGCCTCAGATCATACGCAGGCTTATTTGACAACCTTTACACGATGCTCTTGCATTCGTGACCTTCGAAACTGGCAATATTTGTCTTAGCTTGGCTCGACTCCATGGCCGGAACCCCTTCCGGCCACACCACTCATGTTAAAGCATGAACAAGCCATGAAACCCACAATGGCCGCAAACATTCCGGCCACTGCGATATAAGCGACAGTCTTCCCCAGAAGTTAAGAAGTTGTTCCTTCGTCCTCTCCTCAACATCAACCATATCATTGTCACGCTCACGTGACCACCGAAACATATCTCTTCATCACTCCATCATGTCTCCTTACATGTCAGACAAGGTCGTGAGACCACAGCATGCTGGTAGAATACATGGTGTTGCTCCACACCTGGACGAAGATCCTGCCCTGGCCCCCAACGGTGCCGATCCATTCACCATCACAACGTCCACTGGCTTTATGCCATTGCAGGCACCGATGTATGACCTTCCGGCGGCCTTCAAGGCAGTATCAGAGCTAGCCAACGCGATGCCGGTGACCAAGCTCGACGGGACCCCGGGCTTGCTTTCCACATTTGAGCTGGGTCCTCGCATCGACAATGGTGCTCTGCTGAACCTTACTAGCGAGATTGACAATCTTGTCACAAGCGACGGTAAGCCCGACCTACCCATTATCACAGCAGTGTTCCGAGACTACGCTTTCTTGGCTTCGGCATACATCCTTGAACCGTGCTGGCAGAAATATAGTACAGGCTTGGAGGGCTACGGCTTGGGCAGACAGATTATGCCAGCGTGCTTGGCTGGACCACTTGTCAAGACTGCCAACCTGTAAGGACATCTAACACTACTGTGCCGACCATTCGATACTGACGTGATATATTCACAGGCTTGGCATACACCCCTTCATGGCATATGCGGCAGCTTACAGCCTATACAACTTTCGCTATGCCGATCCTGACGTCGGAACAGCAGAGTATGACAACCTCCGTCTCATCCGTGCTTTCGAGCACGGACTAGATCCTAAATCGTCCGAGGCTGGCTTCATCCTCACTCACGTCGATATGGTCAAGCATTCGTCAGGTCTTGTGGACGGGAGCGTACAACTGCTTGATGCAGTAGCTACAGGGGATGACAGCAAGGTCGCGAATGCCTTTGAGCTCCTGCTCGACACCATGCACGTTATCGAGGAATCGATGGAGACCATGTGGACGAACTCCCGTCCCAAGGACTACATCTCGTACCGCACGTTCATCTTCGGCATCACGAACCAGTCTATGTTCCCAGACGGTGTCATCTACGAAGGTGAGAACGACAACAAGCCAATGTCTTTCCGTGGAGAATCAGGTGCAAATGATAGCATCATACCGCTACTCGACAGCCTGCTGCAGATTCCTATGCCGTCAAACCCGCTCACTGAGATCCTCAAGGACTTCCGCAGCTATCGACCGAAGCCGCATCGTGAGTTCCTGGCTGCTGTTCGTCAGGAGGCAGAAGACGTTGGGGTACGAAGCTACTGCTCGCGCAGTGTGGAGAATGCCGTCAGCTATTTGAAGTTGCTGGATCACGTCCGCAGCTTCCGTTGGCGACATTGGATGTTCACGCGCGAGTACATCATCCGCCGTAGCAGCCATCCCACAGCAACAGGCGGCAGTCCAATCATCAGGTGGCTCCCCAACCAACTTTTTGCGGTCATGGACCTGATGGACGAGACTTGGCAAGGACTGAGCGAGAAGGATCGTGAGGACGCAGGCACGTATGTCAATACTGTGATGCAGAACGTGAAGGAACAGCATGGCAAGTTGCAGACAGAGGTCGAGCGATGGTGTGCTGAGCGAGCACAGTGACGGCTTCGTTGACGGTATGGTTCGTACGTGGGTAGATCACGGAGCGCTGTCCATGGGGCTCCGCAAAGCACGTTGGCACCCTGAACAGAAGCGTTACATGTCCCGAAATCTCCGATACGAGCGAAACCTCATTCAGCAGTTGCTTCCTTCGCGTATCGATTCAAAATACTGCGGCGCGGGGTGTCCGACGATCTTTGTAATGCCATTGTGGTAAGTACTGTTGTACCAGGCCTTTGAAAACGACCCATCCAAGTCAGCATAAGATCCAATTAGTGGATTCCCCTGGCGATACCATGAGGCTCGAAGATCGAAGCTGGCGGGCGGCACCTGCGAAGACACAGGTGTTCGTATGAGGTGGAATTCACTACATGTACAATCAGCCACTTCCATGTCCAGTAGCGGCGCGGTCCGCTAGTTGTTTGCTGCACTTGCCCTCGCGAGGACCTCGTATGTCATGCAATTTGCAAACTCTCGTGTTCATCAAGTGCACAAGCACATCCCTGACTGATCGCGGTTGTGACTCCATTTCGGGTGGAGATCAGACGAGAGATTTCATCGGAGATGGTTCGAGATGATTGCCGAGAAACAGCCGTAACAGCCTAAAGATCCCTTCTTGCACCTCTGTCAGACTTAATGGGACTTTGTGTCCACACATTGCTGATTCGGAGGCATTTCACACGTCAACGTCAAAGGCCTTGCACCAACACAAGCACAAGAAGCAGTACCAAGCCGCATAAGACTGTGCCGGCCAAGAAGGTCCATTCGGATCCCGGGCGAACGATGCAACCACTTCGACCTGGCGTTGCATTATGAAAGCTTGTCTTTCCTGAAGTCTTGGCCTGATGCTCCACCGCGCTGCTGTTCGACTTTTCTCATTTGCTCAGGATCCATGATGATCTGCTGGCCATAGGACTTTGCTCCACTGTCGCGTGTTCCCAGAATGTATGCCAAGTGATAAGAGATGCAGCGGACGGAGCAAATGCCTCAAGTAGAGGGCTAGAAAGTAGGTGGTGGAGGCGTTGATCGACCAGATCCGTATATCTATCAGTCCTCTCGCCCGGTGTCTCTTTTACGTTCTGCTTGATCTCGTCCGTCTCTGTTCCGCTCTCCCAAGCTTCAGCCAAGTTGGCTTCGTTCTACAAGCTCTACCACCATGGCACAGAATCATGAGGAGACCATCGCCGAGCTCCACGCCACACTCGAGCAACGTACCGACCAGAAGCACACCACAGATCTAACCGGTGGTTCCTTGCCTGTGGCCGAGAAGGGAGATATCACAGATGTCGAGCTCCAGCCTACAGCGGAAGGCGAAGAGCCGAACGAGCAAGAGAAGCACACCTTACGACGCATCGGTGAGAATCTGCCAAGTGCAGCATATCTTATCGCGATTGTAGAGCTGTGCGAACGGTTCACATGTGAGAGCTTTCCGTATCAGCAGTGGTCTCTCTAAAGTATCGGCTGACCACGTAGTTAAGACTATGGGTGCCAAGGATTGTTCCAGAACTACATCAACAACAGTCCCCAGGGCTACGACGGACCACGAGGTCTTGGTCTAGGACACGCAGGTGCCACGGGTCTAAACATATTCTTTCAGTTCTTCTGCTGTGAGTGCAACCGCCTGGACTCATCCTGGAGCCATTTACGAATCCATACTGACTCTTTGTGAAGATATTACACCGATCTTGGGCGCGATCATCTCCGATCAATACCTTGGCAAATACAAGACCATTCTCATCTTCGCTTTCGTCTACTGGATCGGCTTGCTAATCCTCTGGACCACTGCTCTACCGACTTCGATCGAACACGGAGCTAGTCTGGGCGGATATGTCGCGGCCATCATTGTCATCGGCTTCGGCACTGGCGGTATCAAGTCCAACATCGCACCTCTGATCGCCGACCAATATACCCGCAAAGTGATGGCCATCAAGACGGAGAAGAATGGCGAGCGAGTTATCATCGATCCTGCGATCACCTACCAGCGCATCTACATGATCTTCTACTGGTGTATCAACGTTGGCTGCTTGTCACTACTGGCCACGCCTTTCATGGAGAAGTATAAGGGCTTTTGGAGCGCATACATCCTCTGTTTCTGCATGTTCACAATAGGTGTCGTGGTCCTTATCGTATGCCGCAAGTTCTACATAGTCCGGCCACCGCAGGGATCGATTATCACAGACGCCTTCAAGGCTATCGGCATGATGATTGCTGGACGAAGCTATAACGCTGCCAAACCTACTTGGCGCGCGGCAAACGGCAAGAACAAGACTGTGCCCTGGAATGACCACTTCGTGGATGAGCTTGTCCGTGCTCTTCGAGCCTGCAAAGTCTTCGCATTCTATCCCATCTTCTGGGTCTGCTACGGTCAATTCAGCTCCAACTTCGTCAGCCAGGCTGCTCAGATGCAGGGACACGGCATGCCCAACGATCTGATGCAGAACTTCGACCCTATCAGTATCATCGTCGTTATCCCGATCCTAGATCGTCTGGTTTACCCGGCGCTGCGAAGAGCGCACATCGAGCTCAAGCCAATCATGCGCATTACCATCGGCTTCTTCCTTGCTGGTTTGTGCTTGGCATACGCCGCTATCGTTCAGCATATCATTTACTCCAGCGGTCCTTGCTATGGCAGCCCAGGCGCCTGCCCCGCGGGGATGGACGGCAAGACACCGCTCCCGAACAACGTCCACATCGCCGTGCAAACGCCAGCCTACGTCTTCATTGGTGTAGCCGAGATCTTCATCTCCGTCACTGGTCTCGAATACGCCTATACCAAATCACCACCTTCCATGAAGTCATTCGTGCAGTCACTCTACCTCTTCACCAACGCCATCGGCTCCGCCCTGAGCGAAGCCCTCGTCCCCGCTACCAGCGACCCAGCAATCATGTGGATGTACACTGGTGTCGGCGTGGCTTCCGTGGCAACATCGGCCATCTTCTGGTTCATCTTCCATCACTACGATGCTCAGGAGGAGGAGATGAATAAGCTTGATCAGCACGACACTTGGGACGGGAAGGCAGGAGAGGAGAGTGATGAGGATGGTGCGGCGAGGAGTGCAAGAGGTGCCCCTGCGCAGGAGGTGACCGAGAAGATATAGAGGTGGGCATATAGATGCGTCGTGTAGTATGAATCGCGCCTCTCTTCACTTTCTCGTGTGTGCATCACGCGCTCGGCATCCCTGACCTCTGTGCAGTAGTCAAGCAGTATAGTAGACCATTTAATTGGATGATTATACGCGAGACGAAGAGGATTTTTCTGGGGAGCAGGTATTGAATGCACATAGTGTTGTTTCGAGAAGAACAAGGTCGGCAACAAAGCATCGAACAGAGCACGAAGTTCATCTTGAGTTCACCAGAATGACAAATCTTTGCAGGCACATTGTCATTGGTTCCGGGAATTAGTCTATCATATGCTGTTCTTCCATCTCAGTGGTATCAGATGGCTCCTTCAGCTTCCGGAGCTGTTCCGCCTCGACTCTGAAAAAGGTCCAGAGGAATCTGCGCACGATCTCTAGAACCTCCACCACGAAGATGCCGTGCTCGGTTCCATTGAAGTGCGGCGCAAGGAAGCGTACTGTCCACATGAAGCGTAGCACCAAGTCCAGAGCGATAATGGCGTAGTATTTCCACGTACTGAACAGTAATCTTTGTCGAAGGCCAATGGGGTCTGCAGGACGATTGTTAGCATACATTTCGTACCAGATGATGACCTCAGTCTGCTTACAACTCGGCCTCGGATACTCCTCCATGAAGAACAGATTCAAATCCCAATCGTGCGCCACGTCCCAGTAAAAAGAATAGCATGTATTCACCACAGCCGCTACTGGCAATCCCCAAGCAGCCCACGGATCTGACGGATCCTGCGAGTAGATCATCGACATGGCCAGGACAGCGATCGAGGTCGCATACTTGAGCAGATTAGCCGGCTGGTTCGCAATATGGCATTGTCGCATGCGGATCAGAAACGGCCAGCTGAAAAGTAAGAGCAGGAACCATGGATGCACTTCTCGATTCACTTTTCCCTTTGCCGTGATGGGAAGGTCGGCGGAAGTGAAGAGTAAGCGGAAGGATAGATAGATCTCTGTTATTGGCCGGGCATAGGATGTCAAGGCATCAGCGAGCAGGATGTCGCCGAAGCGGCCAGAGCCCTCGGGCGCGAGACCACCAATGCCTATACGGAGCAGAGTGTGGCGGAGGCGGGTACGACCCGTCGGCCAGATTTGTTTGGGCCAGAGGATGCGGTTGGGTAGCACGAATACTAGGAGTAGGATGAGGAGGAGGGTGATGTTGGGGAGGACGAGGTAGTATTGAGCTAAATCGACATCGCCTAGACCTGTTACTGTCCAGAATGTTGCTGTTGAGATGCCGAGGATTAAGGATAGAATTGCAGCTAGTCGGAAGACTGATCGATGATTTGGTGATGTTGGGTAGGAAAGGAGGGTGGCTGTGTCCAGGTTCATGTCATGAAAGATGCGGAGGTTTATTCCATAGAGCCATATTCCTAGGATTACCAGGGAGGACAGGCGGACTGGGAGTGGAAAGAGTGGGAGGTATGGATCCAGATATGATATGGGCTCGGTATCCAGATCAGCCATTGTGGAGGGGGTGTCGTCAACTCATATTTGGTCAGACGGTAGGGAGAAAGCCGCGAACATGTTGAGCCTCAGGTATGAGTGCAGACGAAACGGGCGTGGCGCAAGGCACAAGTCTTAGAGTTCAGGGTTGATGCTAGCTGCATATGCCTATCGATTGTGCATCTCGAAATGTTTGTCGTGCTACAACGTGGCTATATACACATGCACAAGCATTATCTCACGTGGTGTCCTCGACTATGGCTGTACACAGTCCCCACCCAGTCTGTGATATCTCGCCACGACTAAGTTGCAGAACGACTCGAGCCTCGCAGCCTGATATGACAAGTTCTGATTTACTGAGTGACGTATCTCGCTAGTTCCAGTGCCAGTGCCAGTGCCAGTGGCCCAGTGCCCTGAGCCACGACGGGCGAAAAAGGGACCGACACGAAAGTTTGCAATTAATGCCTCAAGAAATACTTTCACCTTCACCTGTGCCTTTGTCTTTCCTACTTGCAAACATACCACTCCTCCCAACACTTTTACTTGCTGTCAGCAACCTCGCCGACAAAGACCACATCACCCCCACACCCGCCTTCGACGGACTCGAAGGCACCTTCCAAACTTGAACGCACCTCGTGGCTTCAGTCCTTGAACTCGAACTCCTGCTCTTCTCGCCCGACGCCATTCCCTCGCTCGCCGACGACTCTCAGCTGCCGCATAAGAGCCTATTTGGAGTCCTTCCCTTGACTGGGGAAGACTCTGCGAGCTCTCGCCACCAAGGATTGTTGGCTTTGGGCTTCGCGCCTTTCAAGCCACCTTAAGACCCACCCCCGAGACCCAAGGATTTCAACCATATATATCTGTCATAACCGGGAATGGTTATGGCACCAAGCGCTGTCGACGCTTTCAACAACGATCATCAGTATGGACCGGTGAAGATTGAGCAAGAGATCAACTGTATCTCTGACCATGATTTTGGAAGGAACGACTATGTGCCCAACAATGCCGCCAAGATTGCCAAGGAGATGATTGGTGCTGCTCTGCAGAAGCATATCAAGAGTGTCAACCCAAGCGAGTGCGAGGCGGGAGAAGAGGATGCCTTCTTTGTGGCGGACATCGGTGAGGTCTACCGTCAGCATATGCGCTGGAAGAAGAACCTGCCTCGAGTCACGCCGCACTACGCCATCAAGTGCAACCCTGATCCAGTTGTTCTGCAACTGCTGGCAACTCTCGGTGCAGGCTTCGATTGTGCCAGCAAGGCCGAGATCGAGCAGGTGCTGAAGATCGGTGTCGACCCCTCTCGGATCATCTACGCCCAGCCGTGCAAGACCAAAAGCTACCTTCGCTACACGGCGAAGCAAAACGTCAGACAGATGACGTTCGACAACACCGATGAGCTGTACAAAGTCAAGGAGTTGTGTCCGGAGGCTGAACTCTACCTGCGCATCCTGACCGATGACTCGGCCAGCTTGTGTCGTCTGAGCAATAAGTTCGGCGCTAGCATGGAGAACACGCAAGAACTTCTTGAGCTCGCTAAGGAACTGGATCTGAACATCGCAGGCGTAGCCTTCCACGTCGGATCCGGTGCCACAGATACTGCGGCCTTCGTCAAAGCGGTAACAGATGCCCGCGACGTCTTCGACCGCGCCAAAGCTCTCGGCTTCGCTCCACACACCCTAGACGTGGGCGGGGGTTTCGTCTCCGAGACTTTCGAAGAAACGGCAGACGTCCTCAACATGGCTTTGGAAGCCCACATGCCCTCCAGCATCCGCATCATCGCCGAGCCAGGCCGCTACTACACCAGCAGCGCCTTCACACTCGCCTGTAACGTCATCGCGCGTCGTACAGTGGAGGATCGAGAGACGGGAGAGAAGAGCTACATGCTCTACCTCAACGACGGCGTCTACGGCAACTTCTCGAGCATCATTTTTGACCATCAACACCCCATCCCTCAAATCCTCAGCACGTCCCGCAAGCAGAACAACTACAACTACGACCTCAGTTCCAGCACCGAGTCCCTGACCGACTCGGGCTATACCTCCGCCTCCGAAGACACCAACTCCACGGATCCTAGTATCGGAGGCAAAGCAATCACCTACTCCATCTGGGGCCCGACCTGCGACGGCATCGACTGCATCTCCGAGCAGTGGAAGTCCGCTCAGACGGTCGATGTGGGCGATTGGTTGTACTTTGAGGACATGGGTGCGTATACCAAGTGCTCGGCTACGAAGTTCAATGGGTTCACGGATAAGCATGAGACGATTTATGTTAGTTCGGAGGCTGGGGCTAGTGCTGTTCTTGGGTTTTGAGTTTTGTGATGAGGGAGGGTTGGGTTGCATGAGTGGGTGTGCGTGGTGGGGTTAAGTGAGCGAATGGTACAGTCGAAGTCAAGGGATTTCTTTCGCGGTTGCATGGGTTAGGTTGGGTGGAATCGTAAAAAGTCTTTGGTGTTTTCATCTTATAGCGTGGGTGGGTTTTCGTCTTAGTTGAGTAGTGGCACTAATACTACTTGTCCTGTCCTGTGCCGCCATAGCCCCTCACCAACAATGGACTTGATGAGTCGATACCTATACTGTCATCCCAGAGTTCTGAAGTGCCTGCCCTGGCTCGCACTATGATAAGCAGAGTCGAGGCCCCCTCACCCTCAAACTCTCCTTTCTCCACCTCGATCAGAAGATCTAGTACAAGTAGTCCTCCCGACTGAACAACCCCCGAGATCCAGAAGGATTGCCACGGTCCCCCCCCAGTGCCTTCCTGCGCCTCTCCCTGACTGGTGAATCAGGCCTTCCAGCCGTGCGACTACTGCTGCTGGACGCCCTGCCGCCACTTTCCCGAGAGGAGCCGACTTCCACGCCGCCTGGACTGCTGTAGGAGCTTGTTGCAGAAGCGCTGCGTGTGACGTTGTTGTTATGGTTGGTATTGCTGGAAGCTTGTCGGCGGGTATTGATGCCTGCTAGTGTGTTTGAGAGCTGGAAGGGATGGCTGGATGGGTTTTGTGTTGTGCGCGCGCTGTGGTTGGGACGGTGGGTGGTGGGGAGGCTGCTATTGCGGTCGTTGAAGGCGGAGGCGAACATGCCGCCGCGGCGGGTTGTGGTTGATGGTCCTGCTAGGGTCGAAGGAGAGGGTGAGTGGCGGCGTGGATTATTAGGGAGCGGCGCGTTGGCGTGGCGACTGCGACGAGAAGTGTTCGTCTCGAGCCGGTGAGTGTTGCGCGTGGAGGCTGGAGGATTAGGGCTAGTATCTGCGATGTTTGTTAGCAGATGGGTGTCAACTTTCAGACATGAGATTCATGCGGACCCAAAGCGTACCCATTCGCCACATCATCGTCGTCTTCGTCATCCTCATCACTATCATGGTCATCGTTGGAATCGTCGTCCTCCTCGTCGTCATCGTGTGTGTAGTCGTGATAATCGTGCCGGATCGAGCCCTGGCTTGCGGGCTCGGAGTCTTCGTCATAATTCGTGGACGGTGCTCTCCCGCCATTCTCTGAGCCTTGATACTCAACTGATCGTGCTCTGCCAAAACTTGCTGGGTTTGGTCTTGCGTTGTGTTCGTTCCCATCATCAGATTCTGACTCATCGTCATCTGAAATGAGCACTGGACCTCGTCTTGGTACCACGTGGCTGCGCTTGTTCTGGCCGCCAGTAGATCCGCGAACAGGAGCATCATCCTCGGAGTCATCAATCGGTATCGCTGCGTCTGCTGCACGGCCGGGTTCTTCCTCGTCGTCCAACACAACCACCTGCGCTCGGCCTCGACGTCTGATCGGCTGTGCCGAACCATGGACAGCGGAGTCTCTGTCAGATGACCCGTCCATATGTGCCTCCTGCTCACTGGCCGACTCTTCAGCTTCGTCGTCGATGAACGCGTCTAATTCGGAGTCATGCTCATCGTCGTCCTCATCCGAGTCGTCCACGTCAGAGCTGACAGGTATAGGTATAGGACCGCCGGCTCTGCGTCGTCTACCAGCTGGCGTGGGAACCCCCTGAGGGTCATGGTACGTGTTTGGAGGACCGAACGCTGCATCAATCAGTGCCGGATCCAAATCGTCCATGCCCATGGAGTCCCCATCGGAGTCAAAGTCTCGACCAGCACGCGCAATCATATCCAAGTCATCAGCGTCGCCGTCGTAGTCGCCAAAATCATGATCCACCTCGTCATCCGTGTCCGGCTCTTCCACTGAGAAATCGCTTGCTCCGTCGCCCACCGGCAGACCGCACCTTTCGCACATCCCATGCTCCACCTCCCAATGACATCGCGGACACCTGTCTACACCGTCGCCAGGATCATGCATAGGCATGAGTCTGCGACCACGGCCAAAAACGCCCTTGAACAGCCCACCAGTCCTCGGATCCTGGTCAGCCTTGTCCTTAGCCACGATCGCTGCCTCGTCTTTCGCCAAGCCGCTGTGTTCTTCCGCAGTTTCGCCATCAGGCAGCAGCTGCTTACGACTCGCGAACATCAGCACCAATTCGCGAAGCACGTAAGAGGGTGTAGGCTGTTGTGTGATGACTGTCCTGCAGTCGGGACACGTCTTCTTCTGATTGCCGCCTAGCCACTGTGCCAGGCAGCTGTAGCAGTAGGTATGCCCACATGCCAGACCGTACGGTTCGTACATCCAGCGACTGCAGATCGCGCAGCGCAGCGTCTCTGATATTGAGTGGACATCTTCGCGAAGTGTTTTGACGTCGGCTTGGTGTGGACACGTCTCCTCGTGGTCGCCTCGAAGCTGGGCTGTCGTGGAACTCTCGCCGTTTGTGGTGATTGGCAGTGACATGGTTGCCATGTTTGTGTTATCGACCGGTGATTGTGAAGCCTTGGCACCACTTCTCGACATCTTGATGCGTTTGCGGGGATTACCAGCAGGCAGGTGATCCATATCGTGCGCGTCGATGAGTTGGTGAGAAGACGCTGGGGTCGACTCATCACACACACGAGTGGCGAAGGAACTTGGTGTTTGCTGTCAGTGAAGTGTAAAGGTAAAGCTTCAAGCTGGGCAGCCTTTCGAACCGAATCACGCCCTGACGCGTGAGGGCCCAGTAGCGTCGCACTAAGCCCTGCCGAGTGACTAAGCGACGAAGCCTCAGGCACGACTTTTGCAAATCACAGTATATGAAAGATCGCGATGGAAACATCTTCTCCTCTCCTCAAATGCCTTCACCGGCCTCAATAAGTAGTGCGTTCACAGCTCATACTCGATCGTCATCCTGTGGTGGATAGATCGCATCTCCCACGAATCAAGGACAATCAGTGCTGTAGCACGAAGCATGATTGAGCATGGAACGTCGTTCGGCAAGCCGTATATCACGAAGCATGCTACGAGGCCACGAAGACGATCGTGCTAGGTCCTGACGAGTCACACGGGCAGCTATGTAGCTACCTAGTGGAGTAGTGATAGATACTTATCGCCAAAATCCTACTCTTTCTCCGAGCACCCACTCCGAAACGACGAAAATGCCAAAGAGCAGGAATGCTAGGCATTTCTTGGAACAGAAATCTCGCCAATTCGACCATGGACGGACGATGAGCCAGAAGATCAGGAGCCGGTTTGATCTCTTGTCAAGCGATCGCCTTCCAGGTCGTCCCCATGGGGCCATGGCATGCCGTCATGTCCGGAGTAGTCGAGCCTTCGGAGCCTACAGTGGCAAGCCATGTAAGTGAAGGATAGCAGACGAATGACATCTCCAACCACAAAAGATGTTCACTCCGATCAAACTGTTCCCCTGCTCGGCCTCTTCGGCTCCGTTCTCGCTCAGCTGGACGCTCTGCCCGCCGGGTTTGACTCTGATCGCTGGGTGTGGTGGTCGAATAAAGACCCTCTATTAGCAGTCAAACCGGACATTTCAACAGGACGATCTGGGAAGCTCCATCCGCTGCGAACGTCTCGGATATCAGAGTAGAAGCAATGTAGGCAGGCTCAGCGTATTTCATGCCAGCCAAATATTGATGACTGTATCCTAGCAATGAGCGTGTCATCCAAAGCAGCTTCGTAGCCTATGATGAACGCTTTTTCGACATTATTGGATCAAACACCACAGTCGAGCAGCTCCAAGGTCTCCCTTTTCAAATCCACGAAGCTTCCTGCTATATACCCGAAACGGGCCAGCTCTTCTTCGTGGAGTGGGGCCCGCCTGGAGGCATCAACGGCTCACACAACTGGCAGTACCTGCTCGATGTCAGGACCAACAATCTAAGCAGGATTCTCACCGTGCCTCCAACGTACAATGTGCATGGTTGTGTGTACCAGCAAGGCAAGTTGCATTTCGTCACCGACGGCAGTCTCAACGAGACAGGCTACCTTGCCACCATCGACCCCTACACTTTAGAACAAACGCTCGGGCTCAACAATTACTTCAAGAGGCCATTCATCAGCTTTAACGACCTTGAGATGGATCGGGAGGGGAATTACTACATGACTGACTCGTCGTCAGGCATGTAAGTATCAGCCGAAACGCACGATTCACCACACTGACAGACATATACAGGGCCGCTCGCTTCATCCTTACAACGCCCCAACTTCGCCGACAGTCTACTTCGTCAACGGCACCACGAGACGCATCAAACCACTCACCTTCCTCAACCCAGGCAACCCAAACGGCATCACGCTCTCTCACGATGGGAGACCGCTCTAGCTCTCCGATACCGGCGCCTCAGATGCCTCTACGAAAATGTTCCTTCGTAACAATCAAGGCGGCCGCGACATGTGGGCTTGGGACTTTGCTGCTTCATGGGTTGGTGATAAGCTGCCGCTGCTACTGAATTAGCGACTCATGAGCCGAGCGATCCAGTACTTCTGGGACGGCATCAGGGCGTTTGGGGAAGGACGGGTTTTCGGGGCTGCTGGCGAGGCTGTTGATGTGCTGGACCCGGAATCGGCCTGGACGCTGGGGTCTATTCGGGTTGGTGGTGGTGGGAAAGATCCCGTGAATTTTGCTTTTCGCCAGCACGAGATGTGGAGTATTGGGAAGGGCGGGGTGTGGCATGTCAAGGATGCCAAGGCGAGGCTGAGTAGGAACTACTAGGGTATATAAAGATACCATGTTGTTTAGAAACTTTTGAGCCTCAGGCACGAATTTTATCGAGTTTGTCCAGTGACGTGCATGGCTTTTCGAGATAAGATCAATTCCTCCTTCCACGAACGGACATAGGATCATGGTGAAGTGGGGTTTGTTGTGCAAATGTAACCTTGTTTCTGTCGATGAGGGTCTGGAGTGAGGGGCCATGATAGAACCTGCATGCCGAAGAGATTGATTCTGTAGGGAGGATGTAATGTCTAGGTATCCTATCTTCCCTTGGTCACTTGACTACACCATTCACCTACACTACTATCGAACATGCGGACCCACGCTTGCCTTTCTCTTTCGCTACTGACCACTGGCATTGCACTTGCATTACCATCGTGGCCTTCTCACGGCGGTTATGGCGGCAGTGGCGGCGATGACTGCGACGACAATAAACTCGGTGCTGTGGCCTCCGAGAGCTCGATATGCAGCAACATCGGCATCGACGTGCTGAAGGCTGGTGGCAACGCCGCTGATAGTATGGTGGCTACTGTCTTTTGCGTCGGCGTTATAGGCATGTACCACAGGTAGGTGACGCCAAGCCAGCCAGCACACCTCTTCCATCATATCCTGACCTTAAGCAGCGGCGTTGGCGGAGGCGGCTTCATGTTGGCTCGCCACAGTAACGGGAGCTACGAGTTCATCGACTTCCGTGAGACTGCTCCAGCGGCTGCGACTCAGGATATGTACAACAACAACACCAATAGCTCCATCTACACCGGTCTAGCTAGTGGTGTGCCAGGCGAGGTCAGAGGTCTCCAGCATCTGCATGAGAACTTTGGCGTGCTACCTTGGGTTGATCTTGTCATGCCTGCTGTGCAAGTCGCTCGCAACGGATTCACAGTTACACCGGATCTGGTACGCTACATGGCATCTGCAATCGTAGGTATTGATAATTTCCTGGTCAATGAGCCAACATGGGCGATTGACTTCGCACCAAATGGGACTTTGCTTGGCCTTGGCGATACAATTACAAGACGACGATATGCCGATACACTGGAGTCAATAGCGAAACGTGGTCCCGACGCCTTCTACACTGGCCCGATAGCGGAAGCTACGATCGATACAATCAATACTACGGGCGGAATCATGACCTTGGCCGATCTGAAGAATTACACTGTTGCTATTCGACCGCCTTCAGCCATCAGCTACCGCGACTACAAGATTACGAGCGGTAGTGCACCTTCTTCTGGTACCGTCTTAGCCAGCGTGATGAAGATCATTGAGGGCTATACGACAATCGGGGAAGCCTCCACAGTGGACGAGAGCACGCATCTATTTGACGAAGCTATCCGCTTTGCATACGGCCAACGATCTGAGTTAGGGGATCCATCGTTCGTGAAAGGTATGGACGCGTACCAGGCCGATATGCTATCTGAGACTACTGCCGCTGCTGTCCGAGCCAAGATCAACCCAGAACATACTCTGAACGTCTCGGCCTACGACCCTTCTGGCTTCGAGTCTTTGGTGACACCAGGAACCTCCGCCGTAGTAACAAGTGACAAATCAGGTATGACGATCTCCATCACCACGACCGTAAACTTGCTGTTTGGAAGCCACATCATGGTGCCCGAGACAGGTGTAATCTTGAACGATGAAATGAACGATTTCTCCATCCCCGGCTCCAGCAACGCCTTCGGCTACATTCCCAGTCCCTCGAACTACATCCGTCCTGGCAAACGACCTTTGTCCTCCATCACACCCACCATAGTCGAGCACGCGAACGGAAGCGTCTACTTCGCCGTAGCAGCGGCAGGCGGCAGTCGTATCATCACAGCTACTCTGCAGAATCTCTGGCACGTATTAGACCAGAACATGACTGCCCCTCAAGCGCTGGCGAAGCCAAGATTCCACGACCAGCTTGTACCGAACCAGATCTCGTTCGAGTGGGCTTATGATAATGAGACGGTGAGTTTTATGAAGGCGAGGGGGCATAATGTTACTTGGATTGCTCCTGGGCAGTCTACTGCGCAGTCGTTGAGACGGTTGGAGAATGGCACTTTTGAGGCGGCCGGGGAGCCTAGGCAGTTGAACAGTGGTGGGTTTGCTGTGTGAAGGGGCGGGAAGACTTGTCATCTGAGACGAGTTGGTAGAGTAGATCATATATCATAATTTATTGACGAACATTGAGTTCAAATATTGACATCACAATGGTTTCAACGGTTCCCATCCCTTCATATCTCCCCCATCACCTCCTTGATCCATGAGGCCGCTCGTATCTCGTCGAGAAGGTAGCGAGGGCGTGCTATCCGGGACGGCTTTCTTCAGTGTTCTGGATGGAGGAGGCTGAGGCGGCTGTTGGCTTCTCGCTGACACGAAACTCGCACCTGAAGCGACTCGAGACGGCTGTGCGTCACCAGTTCCAGGCATTGTTGGAGCCTTACTTAGGACTCTCCTCGGCTCTGGGGCGGGTGGCGGAGCACGCGAGGAGCCCACAGAAGAAGCCGTGGACTCGCCGGTCTCGGAACGCAAAAGTGCCGGTTTCGATGGCTTGGGCGGCGGAGCAGGTTTGCGCAGTGTCTGCTTCATATGCACTTTTCCATCGTCATTGTTGAACGTGGCAGGTCGCGGTGGTCTAGGCGGCGGCGCCATTTCCTCGTTAGACAGGCCAGATGTACCAGGCGAAGGGGCAAGCTTCCTTGCTGGAATCGCCTCACCTCCTGCCCGGGATGTTTGCGAGATATTGCTCGCTCTCGAGGCGGTCCTCGAAGGCGGCGCACTGGGCTTCTCGACTTTCACCCAGTCGGGCTCCGTAGCAGGCGAGAAGGGATTCGATGGCCGAGCAGGGTTGGGCACATATCCGTTCTCTGCTGGTGGCTTGACGGTCGATCGAGCTGGCATACCATTGTCGAGCCACCATTTCCTCTTGTCAGAGCTAGCAGGTGGTAGGCCGGGTTCGATCGACTCGTAACCTATTAGCGACTCGACATCGCTCTCGTCTCCTTGTGTCGCACTTCTGTTGCCGATGTCTGCTCTTCTTTTTGCATAGAGTTCAGCGCTGATTTTGTCCTTCGTGTTGCGGTCGCTGACGTTGATTGTACACTGGAAGTAGCCGTATACTGGACGATGATCTGAGAAGCGTAAGGTGGCTGTATCATAGTGCATTTGCCGTAGGTTGTCGCCCTTTGTCACAATCCGATCACACCAAGCAGGTATTCGAGCCTTCTCCGAGCTATCGTACTCGTCCGTGTATAAGTTGTACTTGTATGTTGGCAAGAACTTCGGTGTCTTTTCCGTGTAGAACGGGAATGTCTTGCCATGCACCATCTGCAAGTTGAGCTGATCATTCTCATATAGCTGGCCAAGATCGCCCTTCTTGATCAGCAATCTGGCTCGCTCGTTGTCCATACCTATGCGGTAATTGAAGTCGCCAGCCCAGATAATGGTATCGTGGTCTTCTATCGTCCTGTTCCGCTGGAAATGTAAGCCAGCAGAAATTGTGCGATAGTCTTGGTTTCGCTCCTCGTAGTTGGCAAATCCAGCAGCCAAGTGCGCAGTAACAAGACAGATCGAGGTCTCGGCATACTCCATCCGTATAGCAACCGCGCCTTTGTTACCAGCCATACCACTCATCCCAGTCTTCTTCACTGCACCTTCAACATTCTTGACCAGAGGTAGCACGTTCGCCTTGACGTAGACAGCCAAAGACGCACCTACGAGCTGCCCCCCTCTCAACATAACGTACTCATCCGAGCCACGATGCCGAGAATTGACGTTCAACGTCTTGCGTACTGCTTCTTCCCATACCTGGCGCCTGTGAGGATCAGTCGACATGATCTGCTGCACATCCAGCTCCACGATCTCTTGAAACGCTATAGCTACTATATCAGCCAGTGGTGACGACTGCACAGCATCCGGACAAAGCCATAGCGAGAGATCGTCCTCGGGTCCGGCGGTCTTGCCGTTGAGATTAAACGTGCCGACAAAGATGCTGATCTGCTCCGAAGACGAATACTCGCTTTGTCGTTTCGCCAACTCAGCAGTCACCCAATCATTGATCGGATCATACAGATGTACCGGGATCTGTCCAATAAGCCGACCGAGTAACATATCGATCGTGTTCTGTCGGCCCTTGTCCTCAAAGTTGTTGATGTATAGTCGCTGTGCAGACTTCCGCACATCTGCCAGAGCACCCGCAAAAGACATCTTCCCAGACCTCGTGAAAGACGACTTGAGCGCTCCAGTGCCAGCATAGATCTTTGATAGCGCATCTCCGCAATCGGCCCAGAGGGTACCATGCCGTGCCCAGAAATCTGATGTCGGGCTTCGTTCGTCCTGCTGCCGCAAGAAGATTTCAACTGCCATTTGGGAAATTATGGTCTGGATGAGATTTGTGCGGTCTAAACAGTCCAAGCAATTCGTTCGAAACACACCCGACTGTTCAAGGACAACATTCTGTCCCACGATAGACTGCTTGCGACCATCGCGTTGGACAATCTCCTGTGCCTCCTCAGACAAGAAATGCTCGAAGGAGACGGCTGACTGCTCGATCCAGCGCCTGATACCACTGGCCGCTTCGTACCCATTTGGCCCACGAGTCTGCGCGTGGAAGTCGTAGTTGAAGTGCTTGAGGTGTAGATGCTCACTTGAGTCTCCAAGATGCTTCGCGTTCTGGTTGAGCAGACTATGCTCGATGTGGTAGAGATACTGCCGTGTAATCTGCACTTCTTGAGACTTCTCATCGCTGAGCAGATTAACCACAAATATATCGCCGTACGCTTTAGATATATGTTCGAAGTGCTTGTCAAAGGCTGGTTGGGTGGCATCTGCAGACCTCGTGATCGTGATCTTCTGCTGGCCAGGTAGTCCGCTAGCTTGCTCCCAGAACATCGGGACACTGCCTCGGATCTGCACATAGGAGAAGCAGATCGTGTCAGTGCAGAAGATTGTCTCTGTCTCCACGAAATTGGCGACGTTGCCATCATCGTCGATACCACGGGCATTGAAGCGGGTGCCTGCTCGACGGCAAGACAGTCGTGAGATGAGCGTCATGTTTGACGGGAAGCCAGCAGCTCGCATCCTTGCTGGTGAAGAAGATGCAGGTACAGTAACGGTCGAAGCAAAACCTCGAATAGCAGACGTCAATATCTTCGACTGATCAAGTGCCTCTTTCTCCCGCTCGGAAAGCCTTGATCGGAATTCGACCAGTGGTTGAATCATGAAAGTGTTCCACAAGAACCCGGCATCAAGACTATCAATAGCGACCGTGCTGCCTTCGGGCGGTCGATCCTGCAGCCTTTTTGTAAGGTCAAAGTCGGCACTGTAATAGAAGCTGCCACCACTCAACAACTTTTTCAAAGCCATACAAGGATGCTCAAGCAACGGCTCCTGATTCCTTCCATGATCGTGCCCACCTGCATCCAGATCATCCGTTGGGAAAGGATTGATTTGCTCATTAAGCAAATGATCAAAATCAGACCGAGTCAAGCAATGAAACTCCACGCTCAGGATCCTCTGCACCGTTTCTCCTGGTCGGACAGTAGCAACGTGCGAGCTCCCATTAACCACACACAGAAATACGTCCCGCTCGAGAGTCACCAAGCCCAGCGTGCCTTGGACTTTGAGGGAAGATAGAGAACGGTATTCGCTCATGTCCTGGGCCTCCCATGGTGAGAACTCGACTATACATCGTGGCGTGCCACTCTCGCCAACAGAAGTCGAAGAAGCAGTTTTGTGGAGTGTGAGAGCTGAATTAGAGGGACTATGTCGTAGGATGAGGACATGTGTGTCTGTCGCAAGAGCCAGTGCGCGAGGCTGATCGCGAATGAATAATTTCATGGTGCAAGGCGCTCATGCTGGCGCTGATCCTTCCTTCGCTCGTGGTCCTGTCGTACCTAATCCGGATATCACTGCAAGTATTAATCCTACCTCTCAGGGTCGATCACAGCAGACGAAGAGTGCCCTCAAGCCGATATGTTGATAAGATGGAGGCCGTGGAGGAGGGATTGAATGTCAGACAGATATGCAAGGTGCTGTCAACGAGGCAGTGCACGCGCCACCCAGAAATTCAGCGCCACGATTTATCGTCGTCACACGCAATACGGAAGAGATTTGGATGATGATGAAACCCGAAGTACAATTGACATGCTGTTGAGCGATCTCGTAGCTCGCTACATATGGATCGAGTAGATGACATGGTTGCGAAGGGCCGCAAACTCTCACAATCGTTTCGAACGCTGAACGAAAAAGCTCCAGTAAACCGTTTAACGCCATCGCTCATAACATCACTCGCGTAAGCTCAACCCATATCACAAGTCCTATCACAGCACCAGTCAAGCATGGTCTCACCGCCTAACCTCCACCCTTGTCCGATTCCCACCATGCTTATCCTCAATCGTAATCCTCTCCCTCTCCCTCGGATCCCTAGGATAACTATCCCGACTCTGCCTCTCCGGCGGCGCATTCACATACCGATACGTCTCATACTCCTCCCTCGGCCTCGACACCGCACGCTCCCTTCTCACCTCTCTCTCCCGCTCATGAATACTGTACTCGCTCGCCGGCGGCTTACGAGTTCGATGCGATGTCGCTCGCGACCTGACGTCCGAGACGGAACTCGCTGAGCTGGGGGATGTAGAGCGCGAGGGTGCTTCTTCGTCTACTTCTACGTAGTGCGAGCGTGTTACGCTGGGTGCGCGGACGGTTGTTGGTGCGCGGGAGGTCCGTCGTGACTTGACGGTTTCTGCGACGTAGGTCGGTGGTGCGGGAGGCGGTGCGATGATGGCTGGTGGAGGTGGCGCGCGGTGTTCTTCTCTGTAGTATGATGATCGTTCGACTCGTGGGGGCGGGTCGTCTTCGTATCGTCGGACTCTTGTTACGCGCTTGTATCGAGCAGGCGTTGGGTACTCTTCCTCTTCTTTCACTTTGACCAGACACATGATGGAGTATTTCTTTTGTCGTAGATGTATGTCAAGATGCCGGACCTTACGCGTCCCTGTGTATCAATGGTTGTATGTTGTATGCTGTAGAAGTGACAGGCATAACGATAGGTGTGAGAAGGAACGACAAGATGAAATTAGATATCGTGCCAACCTACGCTTGTACGCGCAATATAGATATCGCTTATACCTTGGATCCCGTACGAGATGATGGAATGGCTGGGCGAGTAGAAGACGCCATCCTGCATTGGCTAGGCCTTGGAAAGCAGCTTGACCTTGGTCGGGCACCAATCGGCACAGACTGGCCAACTCGTATCCCATGGCGGCACTATCGGGTGTCGCATTAGTCTTGCTCGTGATATGTGCCGGGGCTATGCTGGTAAGGAAAGTGTCGCATGTACCTCGCGTGGTGACAGCCGGGCAGCGATGGACGATTGCTGACAGTCAACTTGTGCTCGTATGTCCAAGTAGGGAGTCGGAGAAGGTCGGCTGTTTGTGCCACAGCTGAAGCCACGGCGGTTGAAGTTTGGGTGATCTTGGTATGACGAAGGCAGCCACATTATTGATGCTTACCACGAGCTTCATCTGGCCCGGATGTGTGTTGTACGAGGGTTGAAGCTACGAGTATCCATTTTGACTACAGAGGGTAGAGCTTATTGTGTGCCATGAGCGGCAGATCGACTCCGGCGCAGAATGGCAGCCAGCGAAGATCACAGAACCTCTCCCAAATACGGAAGGCACAGATGAACGATGCCAGACCCCAGAGCAGAAACAGCAACAATGTGCTCACTTCCTTACGAGCGACACAGATCGTGGCTTCGAAGCCGGTCTTGCCAGCCGAGCTCATCGCCACGATATTGGACTACCTACCAGTACCAGATCTCATGAGATTTGCTTTGGTGTCGAGGAGACTCAATGAAATGGTATATGATGATACACGATGGACACAGAAGCTTCGGAATATGGGCTTGTGGAATGAGAATGAAGCTAGGCAACGATTTGACGAGGCGGTGAAGAGGAAAGCAGATGCTCAGAGGGCGAAGGAGATGGATGAGGCACGGCGGACTGGCGCGAATCTGCCTGGGAGTGTCAATGGCGTAGCTGGTGGAGGTGGGAGACCGCATGCAGGTAGTGAGACGCTGTTCGATGCTGGTGTGGAGGAGGAACGGCACAGGAAGTCTATAGAGCGGGCTGCTGTGAAGCGGCGAGCAACGTTTTCAGATGGTTTCGATGAGTCGACGACCTCGCCTGGGATGTTGAAAGCTGCCTGGGATCCGTCTATCGCTTTAAATGTTCTGAAAACGTTCAAGTCCATTCGAGGAAAGGCGCGACTAGAGTTCGGTAGAGTGTATGGCGCACTGAATCCATTGTACACCGATCTAGCTCGCTGCAAAGGCCACTCGGACGCACTCGTCTTCCGCAGCTATCGAGACCCGGAGGAACAGGCGCAAATACTCGCCAACCTCAAGCGCTTTGCACAATGCGACAGTGCTCAAGGATGGCAGTCACGGGAGCAGAAGCTCGATAGCATGATCGGTGTTTTCGAGAACGCCGTCCTGCGCGAGTTCGAGCAAGGCTATGCAGCTGGTGATGTCGATGGCCGGATGCAGCGATATGCTCACGTTCTGGTGACGATCAATGGTGGGAATGCGGCGATCGATGCTTTTATCTCGAATCACCCAGTCATGGCTCGTAATATTCGCGCGGGCAATCCACTCGACTGCCTCGAAGCTGTCGCCCCTGGCCATGTCGATCTAGGTGCATCGCAAGCATTCTTTGAGAAGCTTGCAAGCATGATGGTCGAGCAAGCTGGCATTGCTGATCGTGTCTTCCCTCGAGACGTCGATATTCTGACTCCTTTTCTTACGCAATTGTGCGAGGAGATCATCGCCGACTACCTCACTGCGCTATTTGATGAAGCTCATCTTAAAGGCATCGAGACGTATGTCAAAGCTGTCTCTGGTACATTCGAGCAGTCCCTACGATTTGTCGCATCATTAGTGCCGACCAAAGCGTCGCCAAGAGACTTCCGACATGCGGCAAAAGTATCAGTGACACAATGCTACGAGAAGCATATCGATCTATACCTACTCGAAGAAATGTCAGTTTTCAGATCTAAGTCAGAGGCAGAGGTTGGACACTGGGAGAAAGAGCAGATGGACCAGGAAGCCTCGAGCGAAGCATTCTTTATGTCGAACATTAATCGACAAGCTGCCAAACGAGACTTCCTATCTTCGTTCAAGAAAGTGGTAATGATGCCTGTGAACGTGCTACCAGCGTTTCCATTGTCATCGCCTTTCGCTTCAGCGAGGCCAGCGGCAGCGGCCAACAATACTACTGCAGCCCTGGCTGGTGTCGACACTGCATATTCGCGTCCGCGGACACCAACGCTGAGCGATTCAGCTACACCTAACAGGATCTCCACTCCTGCTCCCGAGCCACCATCCACAGAACTGGCCGCGAAAGCTGCAATCATGAATTCGCGACTGGAAGGCATCAAATCTCTATTCAGCATCGAAGTAGCTCTGAACCTCACTCACTTTGCGAAGACTTCGCTTGAGCGAGCTGCGAACATGGTGCGCATGGGCGGTAAGCAGGGCGAAGAAGCTAGACAACAGTGTGAGATCATCTTCGTCACTATGCTTGGCATTCTTGGTGACCGACATATCAAGAATGGCTTTGACAAGGCAGTCGGACACCTTGGCGCATACAACCCACGACAAGTCCGAGAATTTCGAGCGAAGGCCATGGCAGGCGAAGATCTCGAAGGCGAAGCTATCGGCGTGGAACCATTGGTCACTTTTCTCGAGCTGGTCAATGTTGGGGATCTGATCCAGCAGATGGTAGACGTCTTCTACGCGCAAGAACTCGTGGCGACCAAACTCACCGATCGCGATGACTTCCTCGACCCAGCAGTCAAAGAGAAAAAGCGCTTCGAGCAAATGCTAGACGAACGTGTCGCAGCTGGTCTGAATAAAGGCATAGATGTTCTGATGGACGAAGTCGAATACATTTGTGCCTCGACCCAACAAGCTACAGACTTCAATCCAGGTATCGACAAAGCAGGCGAGAAGAACAGCAGCACCAACTCCGGCGTCGTCGACATTGGACCGAGCAACACCGCTAAGCAAGTCATTACCATGATCGGTGGCCATACCAGCATGCTAGTAGGCAGTACAGACAAGAACATGCTAGACATCTTCATGCAAGAAGTCGGGCTGCGACTCTTCGGTGTGCTGTGCAAGCACTTCAAGCGCCAACGCATTAGTGTTGATGGAGCTATCAAGATCATCTCGGATATCAACCACTACAGCGCTTTCATCTCAACGTTACGCCAGAAACCACTTATGCCGTATTTCCAGGCTTTGCGGGAGCTAGGGCAGATATACCTTGTGCAGATCGATCCGCCAGCGGCTTATTTTGGTGGTCCGAAGAATGGGAAGAGGGTTAGTGTGTTCTCTACCAAGCTCTCGAAGACCGCGATGCAAGCTAAGGAGTTGGCGGCGATTATTGCGGATACGCAACGCTATTGTGGTGTGCTTACCACGGAGGAAGTTTTCGAGTTTGCGACACGAAGGGCTGATTGGTTGGTCGTGAAGGGTGATGTCGAAGGAGCTATGTATGGTGTCGGCTGCTCTGTCATGTGATTGATGTGACCGAGTACTCAAGATCGTATCTATACTGAAGACTTCTCAACCACAGTACTCCATAGCTGGGCATCCGATAGCAGTGCCATAGTAGTTCCCGGACACATGAGCCACCTGCAGAATTGCTCCAACAATACCGCCAAGCCCTTCGCCGGCGATCATACCGGCTGCTGTCGCCTTTGAAGGTGTTAGCATCTACACTGACAGAAGCGGAACATGGCTAGTTACTCACATAACAATACATCCCAAAAGCCGCCGGATAATTTCTCTTCCAGAAATACGCAATCGTCGCTCCGGTAGCCATGGCAGTCGGGTAAGTAGTCGTATTCAAAATGAACGCGATCCCCATGCCCACCAAATTCGGCACATAGATGTGGTATTTGGCAGGCACGAAACGGTACTTCAGGAATGTCTGGACGAAACACCAGACCAAGATGACGATGGAGAAAATCCCGCTGGAGGTTGGCACAGGAAGCGAGGTGCTAGTGACGGCGACGGCGATGGCGCGATATGCTCCGACGTCTGGGATGCCGAAGCTGCATTTTTCGATCGTGATGTCGTTGATGCATGGGTAGGCTTCGCTGAAGAGGACGTACTGAGAAGGAAGTCAGTACAGTAACCTCGTCATCGAAGGGAAGGATACTCACCATGGCCACCGACATGAAGACCGAGACGATAGCTCCGCAGCATTGCGCATAGAATTGTACTCTTGGCGAAGCACGCAGCAGGTGAGTCGTCTTGAGATCACCCAACATATCTGCCGATTGCTCTGAGGCACCGAGAGCCAGTAGTCCGCCAGTGATGTTCAAGATCTGCTGATTGGCGATGGTGCCATGCCCGTGAGTAGCGCCGCCAATGACCAGCTGCGAGGCGTTACCAATCGATGTAACGGGCGTGATATTCGTCCTGCCAGTCGACTCGGCGCCGATGAAGGAGAAGAGGAAGGCGAAAACGATTGCCAGGATTGTCACGCCAACGCTCTGCTTCCATTGGACGGCCATGATGATGCATGTGAAGATGATGGACAACACGATGCCACCAGCCCACATCCAAGTTGGCACCAGCTCGTCTTTAGAGCACGGCTCCTCAATTACAGCATCTTCGTCGTACTTGAGACCGCCCTTTCGGATCTTCCTCCAGATCGGTTCAGTAAGCTGGATCATACTGGCAGTGATGGGTCGCCACTGAGCTGCTACTTCGGCAAATGCACCAGCTAGAAGCAACATCGTTCCGGGCCACACGAGCCAGTATCTTGGCGAAGGCTTGTTGACGGGATCGTCCAGCACCATGCTCATGTAGTTCATGTAGCCAGGAAACTGCTCGGGAGCTACGGCTGTACCAAATGCCCTTCCGGTCGCTACTAGAGATGGACCAACAATCCCCCATGCCAAGATTGAGCCGCCGAAGAAGGAATAAGAGGCATTGCAGCCGGCGAGGAAGCCTACGCCGATGAAGGCTGGGGTAAACTCGAAAATCCAGGACCAGTTCTCGACTCTCACCGCCGACTTCCATCCTATACTGTAGAGTGTCCAGCCCCAGTGCCAGTCCCACAACAGACCGGGAGCGTACTCGCTGACGCAGCGCCAGATGATAGCGACCGAGAAAGCGACGATCAGAGTACGAGTCTTCTTCTTAGCATTGGCCTCCGCGTTCTTACCTGTGTGTAAGGAGCGGATGGTATATGCTGCCGCTACTGCCGACGGGAAAGCCAACTTTTGCTTTAGGATGTATAGTTTGCGTAGTGGGATGGCGAAGAACATGCCGTAGTAGGCACAGGCTAGAGTGAAGGTGCACAGCTTGCCGAAATCTTCTTTGGGCGTGTTGAGAAGACCTAGCTGGTAGGCTGCTGGTATGCCGGAGGTGAAGATCAGGCCGAGAGACCCGGCCGCTGTGGCTGCGCTCTGCACGCATACGTTCTCCTTGGGTCTGAACACGGTGATTGTCAGCTGGGTGCTCGTACAATGCAGGCCCGAGCACATCCGATCGATAACATACCCGAAATATCCTCCACCACACCAAGTAGGCAATGCTCGCGACATCGGCTTGAGGATCGCGAAACCGAAAATCGATCCGAAGAGACTGGCGCCGAACGTCCATCCGGTCTTCAGACCAAGATACACATTCGACGCCGCAATCACACCGCCAAGACAGCAGCCGACGAAGACAGCCCGGAATGTGAGCTGCTGTGTCTCTTCTTCGTAATTGGGGTCGATGGGGAATTGTTCTTCGTGCGTGAACTCGTAGGTATTCTCGTCTGCTTCGTCTTCTTCGACACCGACGTCGCCCTTTTCCATGCGTACGCTCGGGTCGGAGGACGTTTTGCGGTCTAGTGAGTCTTTCTCGATCTCGATGACAGTGGCATGCTCGAGTGCGTGGCTCTCGGAGCCGATGCCCATGGCACCGCCTTGATTGCTCATGGTTGCTGATAGGGGAGAAGAGGAAGACCGTTGGTCGTGATCGTTATGAAGAGAACGGCTTCCATACCTTTCGTGACGTGAAGGGACATATATACAGATCAGCGTCTCGCAAGCCACTTACGGTGGCAAAAGATCTGGTATCTCTGTAGCTCTGTACAACGGACTACACGGCATCGATGTCGCATCACTCCCCATGCAGGACCGTAGATACCACAAACGTTGGTATCTGAATTCCCACACACTGCCATGTGCCATTGACGTGCGACCTGCCTGTTGCAGCAGTGATCGACAGGCGATCCATTGAGGATCGCAAGGAGAAAGGTTGTGAGGTGCGGATTGACGCAGCAGAGCTCATCGGCACGTATCCGGATAGCTTGATCTGACTTCAGTGGACCGGCTATCATGTCCAACAGAGCATGTCGATCGTTTGCCCGCTTGTACTGCTGATATGTACCCTCCACACCTTCCCGATCGAGACAGCTTGGCAGACAAACCTTCCTGAAGTCAGCGTGGGGTTCGCGAGCAAGAGAACACGCTCTCTGAAGGTCGTGGACACGGCAGATGTCGGGTATGTCACCATGAGGCATGTTCCACTGCTATGATCACGTGATATAATATATGTCATGCTGTCGTCTATCTGCAAATGGCGTAAGCTCAGCGCCATCATGAGCTGCCCATAGCCCATATGCAAAACGGCCGGGCCATCGCCTCTACTCCTCATCATGAACATCCCATCTCTTCCACAACAGCGGCAACCGCTCCCTCGCCTCCCGACTCAAACACATCCCCCCCTCCAACACCTTAACACCCTCGCACCCCGACAACCCCAACGCCGCCAACCCAAGATACCCATGCAACAGATCCGGCACGTCCCCGGGAAATTTCCCGAACCCGCCGAGGACAGGATGCTGCGTCTTACCCAGCATATACCTCCTCATGGCCGCATGGTCGTACAAAGTAGGTTGTTTCATGAGATGTAGCGAGGCGCCGACCCAGAAGCCATAGCAGGTATCTGCGACTTTATTCGTGCGGCCGGACATCCCGGCGCCGTCGACTAGGAGGTCGAAGATGGAGATGCCGACGCTGTGTTCCGCGGTCTGGTGGGCCGGGGTCACGGCTTTCTGTTGGATCTTGGCGATTTTGCCCACGCCGGGTTTCTGGCTCGGATCGTTGTCCGTGGTGTCATCAGGGGCGGTAAATTCCGAGTCGATGCCAGCGTCCGGGTCTGTGAGTTCGGTTTGACGGTAGGCTAGCCAGGAGATGACTGCTGATGGATTTGTGGGGGCGGTCGCTACGGAACGCTTGGAATGCGCGTGGTCGCCAACTTCGAGGCGGTCGATGAAGGCGAGTGCACCGAGTGAGCAGAATGTATAGCCTGCGTGTGGTTCGTGGAAGCCAAGATCTGCTATGCCGCCGTCATATGCCTGCGAACCATTAGAACTTGCCGCTTGGCGAAGGCGCAGGGGAGAGTCGTCAGAGTACCTACTTCAGCCAACTGCACACATTTCACGAACGAATCCACATCAATATCCCCTACACTCCGCCCCTCGATCTCGAGCGGACCACTCATCGTCCCTCTCAGGATAAATCTGATCCCAGTAGCACAATACCCAAACCGCGGATCCATCCCCCCCTCCACCACTCCATTCACGCAAGTCTCCCCAAAACTCCCATCCCCCCTCTGCATGCGTGGCAACCACTCCAAACACCCCCTCCGCCTCACCCTCGAAAAATCATCCTTCAACAGCAACAGACTCGCCAACGCAAAGTACGTCGCGGGGATATTAGCAGGATCCCACATCGCATTGTCTTTGCTCGCCCGCACGCCAAAGTCCGTGCCGGGCCACATCCGGAACCCTCCATCCGGGTGTTGACAGTGGTAGATCCAGTTGATATGGTCTTCGCGTTCCTCCTTCGACGGCACCGATTCCAGGACGCCGAGGAGGTCGAGGGCGGAGATGATGAAGAAGGCGAGGTAGAGTCTATTGCTGTCGTTGCTGGTATATTGGTGCGGGAGCAGAGTTTTGAGGCAGCGGGTCCAGTATTTTATGTGGCGGGCCTGTATTATATATCTCATCAACATTATCGTTCGTTGCTCGAGGGGGAACAATACTTTGAAAGCGATATATTTCCTACCTTGTCAAGCCTGGGCTCCTCACTAGCGCCATTCTCGCTCAAAATCGCCATAGGCTCGGCCAGGGCTGCAGCGCTGTATAGACGGTTCGTGACGGTGCGGCACGCCCATTGGGACCGGCCCACTCAGCTCGCAGGATATCGAATGGAAAAAGACTTGCAAGATACGTGTACGGGAAGGAGATGTTCATGGGATATGGACGGTCTTATTGCCACAGACGACACATGATTTTCGTGCGACGGAGGCGTGGTGGAGTTCTAGGGTTCGGACCGGCGGCATTTGAAATTCCGATGACGCTCTGGATGTGGCGGTGCGTGGAAGGGAAGGCACGGCGTCGAAAACAATCCATATCGCAAGATAGATCATATAATAACCACTGGCGGCAAGCTAGAGAGCCAGTACAGTAGGATATGATCACGCAGTTAAGAACAGTGGTACGGTATACACCAAGGACTTTCCCAGCGAGATATAAACATGCCATAACTCACATTCATCGGGAGCATGGTGCATTATCTGTACAAGGAATACACTAAGCCCAAGACTTGCCACCCAAGATCATCTCCAAGATCGTCCAAACTAAGCCCAAGAGAAACTTCCAAAAAAATCATTACCTCATATCCTACAGTGCACCCCTCACCATCCCATGCCACACCAACCCTCATGCCATCAAAGTCACTCCACAATCCTCAACTCCCCCTTCCGCCGCCTCGCAAACGTATCCTTCCAATCCTCCCACAACCGCTCCAACTCCCTTACATACTCCTCATGAATACGATCCACCTCCCTCGGATCCGGCGTCTTGCTCTGCTGAATCCTAATAGGCTTCCCCACGACGATATTGATAGGACGACGGTAAGGCATGAGTCCTATATCGTAGTTGAAGACGCCTGTAACGTACGAAGAAAATATAGGTCAGCAAGGTGGCGTCAGGAGAAATGGGGGACAAAGTAGGAGACCCAAGCATACCCCTAGCATGAAACAACGGCACCGTAAACCCCAACAATTTCTTTACCCCCATCTGCCCCCTATGCACCCATGGATGCTCCCCCGCCTCAACCTGATCATAAAGATCATTCTCCCCAAAAGCCAAAACCGGCACCAAATCCGCCCCCGTGCGCACCGCCAACTTCACAAACCCCTTCCTCCGCTTCAACACCAACCGCAAAGTCCCGGGCTTCGCATCCAGTGACTCCCTCGCACCGCCCACGACGATGGTGATGGCGCGGCCCATTCCTTCGTTGTTGGGGCCGCCGCGGGATAGGATATTTTCGCAGCTTTCGCGCGAGACGGAGGCGAGGCCCATGCGGAGTGCGTAGTCGCGGTAGACGGGGATGCGGAAGTTGGAGTCGAGGGTCAGGAGGGTGTTCGTGATGCCCGGGAACAATTGGCCGAACCCCAGGGCCTCGGTGGCGAAAGCGGCGAAGGCGCCGTGGGAAATGATGCCGTGGGGATGATAGCCGAAAATGTATTTCCGGCCGGGTTCAAGCACTTGACTCCTATGTAGGCGCGCGGGGAAGTACCCGGCGAAAAGCGACCAGATTTTGGATCTTCGAAACCATTCGGAGCGTTGGGAGAGTGCGCCGTCGGTGCTGGCTCTACTTAGTAAGCAGTACAGGAGGTACGGGACTAGCAGGGGCCAGAGGAGCGGGATGGTGCAGGCGAGGAAGAATAAGGCGAGGCCGCCAGCTATGCTGAGGGTGTGGAGGAGTATCATCATGGTTTGTAATCTTCGTTGTAGGGGCACGTTGAGCGGGGCCCAGCGGATGGCGGAGGTGGACCAGCCGGCGCCGGCGTGGCGGCCGGAGGTGAAGTTTGTGTTGCGGTCGGAGTGGCATTGGAGGGGGTTGGGTGCGTTGGGTTTGGTGAGGGCGGTTGTGGTTGTCGAGTTGGAGTCGGGGTTCGTGGTTGGTGGTTCGGAAGTCGTGGATTTGTTCTCCCTTTGCGAGAGGCTGAGGTCGTAGTTCTCTGCTTCGGGTTTGATGGAGGCGAGGTTCGTGCCGCCGGCGGAGCGGAGGTTTTCGTAGATCAGATCGCCTGGATTGCCGTTGGCTTCATCTGCGGACAGGGTTGTGGTTGTGTTGGTATTGGCATCGGTGTTGGAGGAGGAGACGGGCTGGTGGCTTGTTCCATCCTGGGCTGAAACATCCTTCTCGCCCGTAGCATTGGGACTCAGGGATGTAGCACCACTTTCGCCGGTCTCAAGTCCATTTCGCGATGAACCACCATTCTCGCCACCGGCATCATCATTATTCAACCCCCCAGCCCTCCCCTCACCCCCACCACTCCCCGTATCCGGCGTGGAAAACACCGGCTCCAGAGAAGCATTCCAGTCCCCTCGCGCGCCCCGAACAGGTGTATGTGGCTCCTCCTGCAAACGAGACGGTTCACGCTCATGCTCCTGCTTCTGCTGTTTCGCCGCCATCCCATTCAGCGAACGCGACGAAACCCGCTTATGTGCCTTGCGGACCGGACTCCTCGGACTTTCATCTTCACCCACTGCTTCGTAGGTTCCCGATTCTGGGGTGCGGGTGTGGGTGGGCGTGTTGGCTAGGGCGTGTTTGGCTACGAAGCCGGACGCTGCTGCTGCTGCTGCTGCTGCTGTGGTACTGTTGGTGATGCCGTTGCCGATGCTGTGCGGACTACTATAGGGACTCCCGTTCGTCTTCACCCCCAACCCGGACTCCTCCCCCGTAGCCCCATGCCCATAAGCAGGAACCTCTCTCACCGCCCCTTCCGGCACTCCATTCCCATCCCCACCCACAACCGCATTCCCCTCCTCACCAGCCGCAAGCGCATGTTCTCTAACAGCCTCCAAATGAGAACCCGAGCTCGCATGACTGACCCTCCTGTATTCATTCCCATTCCCACTCCCCGTCGGACTCTCCCCCCTCTCCTCCAACCTGCCCTTCACGTGCCGCAACCCTGGACTCGCACTCCCCGCCCGCTCCACCTCATCCATCATCTCGCCCAACGGCCTCGGCTCGGACGTCTGTCGCACGTGTCCCGGGGGGCCATTGAGGCCTAGGAGGGAGCTTTGGCGGGAGGAGGAGCGGGGTGGGGATTCTTTGATGCTGTCTTCGTCGATCTCGTTGCCGAATTTCTTGATCGAGGTTGGAGTGTTGGGTTCGACGGCAGCATCGGCATAACTCTTCGCCTCCAGACCCTCGTCCTCCCTGGTCTGCGGATCTGCTGGCTCGGGGTTCAAGCTCATGATGCCTGATTTGGGACGGATCAGGCCGTGGTTGGTCTTGTCGCGGATGCGGAGGGAGGGGGGGCGGAAGCGGTCGCCGTTGACGATCATTTGTTGGGCGTAGAGACTTGCGTCCATGTGGTATTGTTAGAAGTAGTGATGATAATGGAGGTGAAGGAGTGCATGGCGGTGGCAGGTGGGTCTGGCACGTGAAGATGGGGCACGGGGGTGGTTGAGATACGGTAAATTGGGAGAGCGGGTGGTGAATAGAGTTCGGCGGTGGATGGATCATTGGGAGATTCCAGGTTCGCGGGACGCGTGATGGCGTCAGAGCTCTTGGATTGGGTTTTGATACTTGAGGAGAAGGGTGAGTGAAGGAAGTCGTGGTGTGGTGCTTTGTTCTAGCATTATCATGTGACCCACGACGAAAGGCGATATGAGTATGAGTAAGGACGTATTAGGATAATCGAGATACATGCGCAGCGCAGCGCATCTCACACTATATAGACACATGAGCAGCGCTCGTCAATCACCGCATGAGTCACACAACCACAACACCATGATCAGGCGGAAGGAAGACCAGAATGTCCCGACGAGGACAAGGCTGAGCAACAACCACATTACAACCACACAACCATCACCAGCATACAAAACATAACAGAATGCCCAAACTAAAGAACCCCCTCCTCCGCCGCAAATCCTCCTCTTCCTCCCCCTTCTCCTCCCTCCCCCGCAAAAACCCCTCCATCTCCCGCTCCTCCAGCAGCAGCACCTTAGCCAAAGACTCCTGCACAGCAACAGCACAAGACCGTCTCAGCGACACCGGCATCCCGCCCTCCCTGTCTCCTCGCGGCGTAAACCAAGACGTCCTAACCCTGATGAAATATATCCAAGAAAACACCTGGAACCCCATCCCCTTAGTCTCGGGAATGGGAAGCGAAAGAATCAGCGAAACCCTCCGTTTCCGCTCCAGTCTGCCTCCGATAGTCAGTACGGCACATCTCTTCGCTTTAAGTGTTAGCCCTACAGAGATTGAAAGGGAGATGGCGGGCTTGATACAGGCCGGTGTTCTCCGGAAAATTGTTATCCCTGGTCGGGGGAAGGGCGGAGGGGTGGTGGGGGAGGGTGTAGTCTTAGTTGAGGAATGGAAGGAGTTGGTCAGATCCTGTGCGGGTTTGAGCGAGGGGGTGAAGATGGAGTATTTGAGGCTGATGGAGGAGGCGCCGACGGGATGCGCGACGACTTCTGTTAGGACGTTGAAGGGGGAGGAGGTGAGGGAGTTGGTACAGGCCGGGTTTTTAACGAATCCTTCTGCGTCGGCTGGTCTGTCTAGTCCTATGGATCTCTTCGCCTCGCCTTCTTCGTCTTCGGGGCTGCTGAATGCGGGCTATACAGCACCTTCGGGGTCCCTAGCAGCAATAGGTGGAGCCGGCGCCGTGCATGACAAGGGCGGGGGCGGCAGTACCCTCGCCACGCAACCCCATCGCCCAAACCACACGGGTGTGACACAACCCATGACTTTCTCCCTCCCCAACACTGGCCCTTACCTCCGCCTCCTCACCTCCTCCCGCTCCCACCTCTTAACCCTCCTCAAACAGTTATCGCCTCGGCATAGAGAATGTACAGTAGATGTGTTAAGGGAGAAATGGGAGGGGAATGTGCTGGGGGATGCGGTTAGTGTGGCTAAGAGGGGGAGGGGGGAGTGGAGGGGGGTTTTACCTGGGAAGACGAGGGCGTGGAGGGAGTTTTGGGGGGTTAGATTTGGGTGGGTTTGGGAGGAGGGGGTGGGTGGGGGGGTAGTGGAGGTTTTTGAGACGGGGGTTGGGGGGTGGGGGGTTAGGGGGAGGTGAGAGGTGGTTTTGGGAGTGATTGGTGGTCGAGGTGGTTTGGCCTGATATAGGCTGACGCTCGATCGATTGCTTGATGACACGATGAGCCCATTGATTGGGAGGCTTGAGCTCGTGGCTAACTTTGGGAACGCCTGCCCAAGCGCTCACGACCAAACAGAACGCCAAACTCTGGTAAATTCGTTCAATCGTTACAGGGAAAAAGATGCTGATGCTTGTCATTCGCTTGATGCCGAGCCCCGTTACAACAAAAAACTCGGAAATGCAACATCGGTGACCAGCCATGCCTTTGAGAGACAGCCACGGACATCACTCCTTCCGATACCCACACCTTCCACCTTGCACAAACTGCCAACCTGGCATCTCCCCTCCGATCAACCAACAGGATGATGATCCTCCTCTCTCCAATGCCAAGCCCGACCGAGCAGCAAGGCTCGACGACTCAATCATCGTTCTTCACCTGCAGGAACCAGATTAGGAGACCACTCCCACTCCGGCGCATCCTCGATACGAAACAAGAACAGCAACTTCGAATTCTCCACCCGGTCGTCGAAGAACAGGATGATGCTCGTGATCCGCTTCACCCCCCACAACTCCTTCTGCCTATACAGCAACATCGCCGCATCCTGCCCGATAGGACTCCCCCACCACCGCCCGCCCCTCCCGACTACCCGCTGCCACCGTCATGCGTGCATCCCACTTACCCAAAACCCGTCTCGGGTTCGTCTGACCCTCCTTCTGTCTCGTCTCAGCCATCGAGTTCAGGATCTCCTGCACCAGGCCCTGCATCCATTCTTCATCATCGACATCGAGCCGGAAGATCCATCGGATTCGGGGCTTGTATGTGTACAGGTCTAAGGTTTCCCTACTGCTGGGTGGGCTTCCGACGAGGCGGCGCATTGTTCAGTACGGTTATGATGTCCCAGGCTTCGAGTGGAGGCGCGGCCGGAGTCGAAGCGCCGAGGATAGAGTTCTGGCGGACTGTATCTTCCGGGCTGATTTGCCGGCCGTTTCGGATGATGGTGCCTTCGGTGGGGTTGAGGACGAAGGTGGAAGGGGCGTGGGTTGGCTGATGGGCGCGGGTGACAGGTTGAGTCAGCAGAGGGACCGGGAAGGGGACAGAAATGGAGCGTTCCGCGTTCGTTTGCCGCGTCTTTTTGGTGGGGGTTGGGGAGGGGGATTAGTGGACTTACGAGGTGGTTTTGCCCATTCATCTCATAAGATTGGTCATGTCTGCATTCGATCGCGTGGAAGCGCCCAGCTTCGGGATTAGTGGGATGCTCTTCTTTCGTCACAATGAGGGAGAGGCCTAAGCCCGCTAGTGCACTCTGGACTGGAACGCGGCTGCTCCTGTCGAAGTTACGCACGCGTGGGTCGGTGCTGCAGGTCCAGCCGTTGTCGCTTAGTGCTGCTGGATCGACCCGGTGGGTCGCGATTGAGTAGCCTGCAGGTTGACGGCCAGCCTTTTTGAGCAGGGCGTCGGCGTGCTCGGTGGTGGAGGTCTGTAGGGCTAGCGACATGGCACCTTCTCTTTCCGTGGAGGCGATGGTCAGAGGCTCGGTGGGAGGTGCTCGTGCATGGATATCTGGTTTGCCCTGGGTGTCGGCAATGACTTCATTATTGTCATGAAGCATGGCACTGTGGTTAGCAGACACATCCCACGCATTCTGCGCCGATTGCCGAGGATCTGGAACGCGCTGCAGTAGTTTCTGTCTACTGAGAAGAACGAGTGCAGCGGCTAAGACCAGTGCCGTCAGCACTGCGAACCTTGCTCGATACGGGGGAGCTGGCATCATGGTGTGCATGCCAGAGTTGAGGAGAGTAAGAATCTGAGGTGTGAGGCTGCAAGGTGCGAGGGTGATCACCGCACGTACCACGTCGATGCATGCCGCTGCTTGTGAAGGTCCGGTGACAGCATATGGTGTTCACGGCCTCCGGTGCGCATGCTCTCACGATAGGGTCTTCGAGTGTTCGCGGAAGCAGAACAAGGTCTTCACACGATCACATCCCATGGCAGAATTGTCACACGCAGCATGCAGGTCAAATCTGGGTGTCGGGAGAAGATGTTGGCAGGTGTGGTGGAAAGGTTTCTATTTGAGCTGTTTCACGAAGGAATCAGAAGATGAGAAGAATAGCGGATGATGGAGGATACCGAGAAATAAGCTACAGCTGACCTCAAGAACTACCGATTTGTACCTAATCTATAACTTCTAAGCCAACCCCCAAGAACAAGGCCTTTCCATATCACCGCACCCGCATTGGACCACAGAAAGAAACGCCGGACACCAGCCATTCCCTAGATGAGACATCAATCGACAGGACCAGTCATCGGCTGATCCACACTCTCAACTTCAAAGAGAAAAGCAACTCTCGGCTGGGTCCTATGATCATCATTAAACATCGTCACAATCTTAACCCGTTTCACACCAAACCACTCCTTATGCGAAATCAACAACATCGACACCGAAAGTCCCACCGTACTTCCCACGATCGTCCGGCCCGCTCGACTATCAGCTTTGAAGTTTAGCCTGCTCGACCATCTGCCAAACTTGGCTGGCTTGGCGTTCTTGAGCGCTTGTTTGACAATGGCTGGCATGGGGGCGAAGTCGGCGTCGATGCGGAAGATGTAGGTCAGTTTCAGCTTACCAGTGGTCTGGTTTTTGTTGTCGGTAGAGTTCCCAGCCAGATCGTGCAGGTTGAGGCCGACGATATCGCTCCAGACGCCCAGCGGAGTTAGCTTCGTCTTCGGCCCGTACTTTATCGCCAGCGCTAGCAGGACGTAGCGCTTGCGGTTTGCCATACTATTCCTTCAGCAGATGTGGGCTGGAAGATAAATCGTTGTTCTCCCTTAAAGGACTTGCATGGAAGCTGTGCTAACGGGCTTTATACCACAGTGATGTTTGTGATGCGCTGGCTATGGCCTTTGTAGGACAGCGCAGTAATGCATGAGACGTACTGTCCCGAGCAGGCGTGAGAAGGGAAGAAGCTTGTGTGTCTCATGCATTACTGCGAGCCACATGGAAGTAGTACGGGACTAACAAAATCAGCTACTGCAAAGTGGGCATAAGGAGTGTAGTCTCGTATGGATTTGAGAAACCCAAGTGGTTGTCCAAAGCTCGTAGCAGTCCGAGCCGGCAGGCCTCATGGCTGACAAGGGTCGATCGTTGTAGATGTCTATTGTCCCCAGGTATCGGCATCATGCCAGGCAGAGAGATAGAGAGAAGTGATGGCTGATGCTCGTTGTCACACTCGCGGCGTATATCTGGAGGAGCTTCAATCATTTCTGCAGTCGTCTTGCTGTCCCACCTGACAAGGCCGCCTCTCGGGCAGGACTATGGCACCAGTCGTGTGCATCATCAAATCCCCTGCCTACCTTGTGAGACTGTCACCATGTTCTAGAGGTCTGCTTGTATCAATCAGCAATTGTGATATGAAGTAAGACTGTAGGTAGGGAAAAGAAATAAAGACGATTGCGACCAAAGATCCATGAATTGGCAGAACTTCACTTGACCTCGGCTGCCTTCTCGCGCGCGTCTGCACGTCCTTTCGACGGCATGTCTTCCTAATGATACGACCGGTCTATGTACCATAGAAATATAATACATCGAGCATAATTCACTCGCCTCTCCCACTCATCCATTCATCAGACTTCCATCATGCCAGACAAGTCCGTGACCAAAACCGCCACCTGCCTCTGCGGCTCAGTATCCTTCACAACCACCGGCATCGACAAAGGAACCGTCATCTGCCATTGCTCAAACTGCCAGAGATACTCAGGAAGCCCCTTCATGCACAATACTCGACTCGTGAACTCGGAGACTACGTTCCAGAAAGGCCAAGACGTGATCAAGAAGTACGAGGACCGTGATACGAAGAATGGGAATTTGCTTGAGAGATGGTTTTGCTCGAATTGTGTACGTGCTGTCTACCATGATGGTCACTTTGATTCTACACGCCTCTGACTGTTGGTCTGCAGGGCTCGCCGATGATGTTCAAGAGCCCGACGGGGTCGGCGGGTTTCATTGGATTGCAGTCTGGAACGCTGCAGGAGCGTGAGAAGCCCTTTCGCGAATTGTATGGCGAGAACAAACATGCCTGGTTGGGTGACTTGGTCGGCAAGGCTAAGCTGTAGCAATGTTTTTGCTAAAGTTGTTGCCATCAAATGTGCAAAGGGCAGACAATGCTCGCATTCAGGTTTGGGCTCCAATTTCTTGTCGTACGGTAGTGACTGAAGCACATCTTGACTCAAGCCAGGCCAATGCAATCGGGCTGCCTCTGATGGAAAGCTTTGATTGTTCTGCAGTTTGATCAGATCGCAGTCAATCAAAGCTGGAGCTGGAAGTCGGCAAGCTCATCATCAACGCCAATCCGTGGCAATGGCTCCTGGTCCTCCTCTCCTTCCTCCTCCGCCTCGCGCAAGCCCAGCAGCTCAGTGAAAGTCATGCCGCCAGCCATATGCGTCTTGTCGATGGAAGACTGCTTCGTGACTCCAGAAGCAATCGGTTTCTCGTGGATGCTAGACAGTGGAGCACGAGCAGTGGCAGACACAGCCCTGCCCTTCGAGTAGCCGAGAGTGGTGTTCGAAACTGCCTTTGCCACGGTATGTCGAGTGTTGCCTGATGTCGAAGTCGCACCCGTCTTCTTGCCTGCTAGCATAGATGGCATTCTCGCTCTTGCCGCTGCTGTGGGAGCAGCAAAATTCGGTACTACCTTCTGCCTCGCTTGCCCATCCACCTTGGCCAAAGCAGAAGCAGCGCTCTTTGATTTCACGGTTCCAGGCCTCCTCTCTTGCTCCTCACGCTTCTTCTTGCCCGCCTCTGCTTTGGCACACTTCTCTTCGAAATCGCTAAGCTCATCATCACTTCCCTTGTCTTTCGGTCCGAACTCCTCCCATACACCCTTGGTCAAGTTGTTACCGTCGAATTGAGGGAATGTACGGTCGAGTGGCCAATCTTCCTCGGGATAGTCTGCCAAAGGCACCTCGCGAGGGGGCATATACTCGATATCGGGTACTCCATCGTCGTCGAGTGGGTCGGATGTGGCAGTGTGAATCTTGACCTTGGCACGGCGAAGTCGAGGACTCGCGGGTTTTGTGGCCGATCCTTTCGTTGCAGACGGCAGAGCTGGCGTCTGAAGAAGGTTCGCCTTCGCGTTGGTCGTCTTTGCACCTAGAGGAGCGCGAGTACGTGGTCCAGCTGGAGTGACGAAAGTAGTACTCTTGTCTGCCTTCACGGTTTTGATGTCTCCAAACAGACCTCCATCCTTGCCTTTGCCTCCAGTCTTACCGAACGCGGCATTCTCATCGTTCTTCGCGGCCTTGAAGGGTGTCTTGGGAGCCCTGTTGCCAGGGGTCTTTGGCGCAAGTCCTTTGATGCCCTGGTTCAGCGGCTTCGAAGCTGCAGCGGTCTGCTGTTGGTGTATCGCATTCTCATCGTGATTCCGTGTCGCGAACATTCTGCTCGATTACTTTCGTCTTCACATTTGTGATCAGTAGTGTGTATGTCGTTGTGCGAGCAAGTGCTCAGAAAGTCAATAGTTTGTTGTTGATGGACTACTTCCTCTTACGGTTAGCAGGACCCTGAATCGCTCAGCGTGGGGGAGGTGCGTTTGTTGGCCGCGAAAGAGCACGAGGAAACACTCACTCAATAATAATTCGTTGTCAGAACAAGGATACTACACAGCTGCTCAATCATTCAACCACTTCAAGCACATTAACTCGCTCACTTCGCCCACCCACAAGCCTCTACTTCGAACACAGCTTCGCCAACATGGACGCAATCAAGCAGGTAAGCAAGCCCCAGCAGCTGCAATTCGACACACACTGATGTCTACGACAGAGAATGAACGCTCTACGCGTGGAGGCCGACGAGTCCGCGGGCAAAGTAGAAGACTTGAAGTCCAAGGTCAAGACCCTCGAACAGGAGACTATGCAAAACGAACAGGAGATCACTTCCTTACGACACAAGGTGCAATTACTGGAGACGGAGAACGAGAAGCTCGAGGGTATGCACAAGGATGCCAAGGCGGCGGTGGACGAGAGCGCACAGCACGGTACTCAGAATGAGAGCTTGACAAGGAAGATTCAAATACTTGAGGAGGAGGCCGAGGAGGCGGACAAGAATCTGAGGGAGACTACCGAGAAGTATGCTGGTCATGATGGATGTGGATGATGAAGACGCCGAGCTGACACTGATATTCTAGGCTCCGTCAAACCGATGTCAAGGCCGGTCACTACGAGCGTAAGGTCGCGGCACTCGAGCAGACGAGCGAGCAGTGGGAGAAGAAGTACGAGGAGATGGCGGCCAAGTACTCTCTGACCAAGAAGGAGCTCGACGACTTTGTCGCCGAGATTGGCAACATCTAGGTTTTTGGGGCCAGAACAGGCTGTGCCTGTGTACTCCAGCGACATGACGAGCGTGCTATACCACGACCCAGCATAATCATCAAAGTTCACTGACATGCAAATCTCGCTTACATTGTCGTCTTTCAGCTAGATCACAGTCACTTTGGTCGACGGTACATGTCTCGAAATACACCGCCACATGTGAGAAGCATACTGATCATGACTTGCTGCAAAACGCACATCGCCACTAAATGATATTGGCAGAGTAACACTCCGCATCTGCCAGAGTTACCTCTCCCGCTGCCGCCCTGCCTAGATCCTTCAGCCCCTTGCATGTGTTGCCATGAGCATCACAGCATCAACCTGGCGACTCTTACTTAAGCAGGCTGGGCGGTTCCGATCACATCAAACTTATCGGGCGATCTCGGCTTGCATATCACCTAGGCGGTGTCACAGTGATGCTGCGTTGATGCTATCCTGATTTCTATGATTAACCGAGATCGTTTTGTTGATATCGCCACCCTTCGGCCTGCCGATGATCACCGTCCATCGTGCCCGATCCTCTCGGGTTGTGGGTCGATATCAACGAGTCCAATGTATTGTCAAATTGAAGCGTGATATTATTGTCGAGCTACCGAGGCGCAATATATGTGCTTTCTCTCAGAAACTATAGATCGTAATGAACATGTTGCTGGGTCCACCTACCAGTGTAGATAAAGAGCACGCGGCATGGAGAGTTCTAGCAACGTGAATGTCACATGGCTGGTAGTCAAAACACCAGCGGCCCGCGGACTAGCGCGGTTCTACAGGTGACGTTGAACATTCGAGATTCTTGCTGCAAGTTACGCAAGTATGAGATTGTCTTCGCGCGGGCAAGTACGACCCGCAACCATACACATTCTCGGCAAGAACAGGTGATCAGCAAATTTCTTATCGGTGCACTTCCTTCCTCTCCTTGACACAAATATCATCACACAGACAAGAAAAACTTTCCTTCTCATACACAACCTGCAAGCTTCGATATTTGGAAAGCTAACGCAGGTCGACCACCCGCCGGCTACGTGCATGCACGTAAGGCTGAAGATCCGCCCGCCGAGAGCTTGAAGCCATGGCGACTCATAACGTGTCTCTGTAAGTTCATGCTACACATCTAGTTGACGTGCCACTACTGACCACAGATCAGCTTCCTACCACACACAGTCGCGTTCACTGACACGAGATCTACTGCGGCGTCTTCGAGGCGCCAAAGTCCGCCTCCGATCTCAAAACGCCAAGCTTCGACCACCGACCTGCCAACTCATAGAAGTTTTGCGAGTCTCTTCAATGGACCCGATCCACCGGAGACCCCGAGCATTGCGCTCAACGAGGAGTTCTTCTCGTCCAAAAAGGTAAGCACGCGAGCAAAATCAGGTGATCTGCACGGGCTGGTATCGAGCGAGGCGCAAGTGGCAGAATGGGGTAAGCAGGCTATCTTCAACCAGCCGAAGTCGAGAGCAGGACCACTGCCGTCTTCCTCAGTGCTCGATTTCGCAAAGGTCCATCAGGAGGCAGAGAGGAAGCGTCTTCAGAAGGCGAAGCGAAGCAAGAGATCTCCTCCGAGTAGAGGTTCAAGGGCCGTGAGTCGTGATCGCACTCTAGATGGCAAGTCATGGGACGTGCAGCCTGCGGTGCAGGGCAATGGCGGTCTGACCAACGCTGTTCGTGCCGCGGCCGATGCTGGTGACATCGATACTAATTTCATTGGCACCGTTGGTTTTCCAACAGACTCGCTCTCAGAAGACTTCAAGGAAGAGATCCACGACCGCCTCCTTTCGGACCACGAGTCCCAGGTTGTCTGGATCAGTGACAAGGATATGGACGGCCATTACACTCACTACTGCAAGACTATCCTGTGGCCCATCTTCCACTATCAAGTCCCGGATCATCCCAAGAGCAAAGCTTACGCTGATCACTCCTGGGAGTTCTACCGTAATGTTAACCAGGCATTTGCCGAAAAGGTTGTGGAGAGCTACAAGCGCGGTGATACCATCTGGATCCACGACTATCACCTCCTACTGGTTCCGGCCATGGTCCGCCAGAAACTGCCCGAGGCTCAAATTGGCTTCTTCCTGCACACCGCCTTCCCGTCGTCTGAGGTCTTTCGCTGTCTATCAACTCGCAAGGCGCTGCTTGAGGGCATGCTCGGTGCCAACCTCGTCGCCTTCCAGACAGAGGAGTATGCTCAGCATTTCCTGCAGACTTGCAGCCGCTTGTTGACGGTCGAGGCAACTGGCGAAGGTGTGCAGCTGGAGAATCACTTTGTCAATGTCACATGCCAGCCGATCGGTCTCAACCTTGAGGCTATTGGAGAAGCCCGCAAGGACGATGAGGTGGGTAATTGGATGAAGATCATTAATGAGCTCTTTCCGAACAAGAAGATCATTGTCGCTCGAGACAAGCTCGACAATGTCCGCGGAGTCCGACAGAAGTTGCTCGCATATGAGCTATTCCTGAACAAGTACCCTGAGTGGCGTGAGAGAGTCGTGCTCATCCAGGTCGTTGGCTCCACTAGCAAGGAGAGCGAGCTTATGGCGACTGTCGGCGATATCTGCAGACGCATCGACTCGATTCATTCATCTCTGGCCAATCGGCCTCTGGTATTCCTGCAACAAGACATGGATCTTCCAAACTACTTGGCAATGTTGACGGTCGCCGATGCATTCATGATCACCGCACTGCGCGATGGCATGAACCTTGCAGCACACGAATATATTTGCTGCCAGGATGGCACCTCGCCTTTCAAAGGCGGTAAGAAGTATTCCCCCCTCATTCTGAGCGAGTTTACGGGCAGCTCTGCGGTGCTGGGCGATGGTCAGCTCATGATTAATCCATGGGACTACCAGCAACAAGCAAGAGCGATCAGGCAGGCTCTTGAGATGGGCGATGGTGAGAAGTACGAACGCTGGAGTAAGATGCACAAGATCGTCACTACACAGACGGGCGGACGATGGGCCCATCAGCTCAAGGATACCCTTGACAAGGTCTACGCTGAGCACCACGAGCGTGCTTCCACATCTGTGCCGCGCATGTCCATCACCAAGGTCACCGACAAGTACAAAGCAGCCAGTCGTCGTGTCTTCATCATCGACTACGAGGGCACTTTAGCCCCTCATCGCACGAGCACCGGCATTCCTCTATCCTCGCCACAGCGTGTGCTCGACGGTCTCGAATCACTGATGGCGGACTCGAAAAACATCGTCTACGTAATGTCTGGTCGTGGTCCAGAGGAGCTCGAAAGCACGTTCCGCACCCTCCCCTCGCTCGGTCTCATTGCGGAGAATGGCTGCTTTCTTCGCGAGTACGGCGCCCAGCATAGCGAGTGGCAGGTCTTCGTTGATCAAGACGAGACTGCCAAGTGGAAAGATCAAGCTCGTGGTATACTCGACTACTTCCAGACTCGCCTCGAAGGCAGCGACATCGAGGAGCGGCACTGCAGTCTTTTCTTCCGCTATGGGAAGACTGGCGACCAAGAGGCCGCCGTCCGCTTTGCGGGCGAGTGTGCAGATCAGATCAACACTTCTTGCCGCAGTATGGGCATTCATGCTGTGCCCATCTCAAAGGCTGTCCTGATCGAGCAAGTCCACTTCAGCAAGCGCAGTGCCGCGACTCACATCTTCGACATCCTTCGTGCGAAGGCTACTGCGCGTGGCCACCCGGTGCCGGAGTTCCTGCTCGTGGCTGGTGACGATCGTGAAGATGAAATCATCTTTCAGTGGGCGAATGAGCTGGGTGAGAAGGGCACGATCAGAGATGTCTTTACTGTTTCGGTCGGCCGGAGGAACACGGTGGCTGGTAGCACGATTACGCAGGGCGCGACGGGGTTGTTGAACGCGCTGTTGAAGTTGGGCAAGTCTTCGAGTGAGGGTATGGAGGGTGATTATGTCAATCGTGGTACTGGAACGATGTGAGACGGGCGATGATGAGGAACAACGTATCAGGTGAGCGCCTTCTAGGCTGTCATGCATTTGAGCGCAGGCGCTCGGAGCATTGCTGTGGAATGGGTCTATGCTGACGAGTATGATGATCGTGCTGCTCCTCAGCCTCAAGCTCACATGGAGGCCACGTAGTACTAGTAGGTAGTACTACCAGATGTCTACAAGTGCATCCTACGAAACGACCCAATGCCGGCCTGCTTGTTATCTATAGGAACAGGTAGCAAGACACAGCCGTCTGTCTTGCGCCTGAATCTCATCTATCAGTGTCAGGACACCCGTGCACAGCTGTAGCCATGATAGGACATGATTTACGAGGCGCAATTTTGGAGTGAGTCGGCCAGGCAGTCCGAAGGCAGCGTTCGGCGTGCATGCGTGGGAGCTTGTTAATGTCGTAGAAAGGTACGCGAGATATGAGCACGTCTTCTCGACGGCGCTGCGTGGGACCCGAATAGGTTAGCTCGAGTGGCTTGGCGTGGATGATCGAAGGAATGCCGAAGACTTCGCTGTACCACTCCTTCACGCACTCCGATTGACTTCATGTTCAAATTTACACAGATAGAGCCTGCCGACGTGCCACATGCTGCGCCTGCCAAATGAGCGCTGTACAGGACCACGAACGGCTACTCCATCGAGGCTCGGCTTGCAGAGACGCAAGTTGTCGTCGGCATGGATGCAGCTCATCTCGTTACGAACATCGAGCGTAGACGTACAGCCAAGTATTGCCAGCAGCAACTTTGGGGCCAGAATGTTGGATGTCGTCTGGTTTTCAGGCATATGACGGTCGCCTCCCAGCTTCGCGATCTACCTCTGTCTATAAAGCTGAACCTCCTTCCAGGTAGGTCACCTAGCTCAGTTCCACGCATTTCTCAACCCTACACTTTCAGACTTTCCCCATCGTCACAATGCGATACACCTCTAGCCTACCTATTTTAGGCTTTGCCCTGCGCGTTGGTGCTGCAATCAACTTCACTCCCTGCCCAGAGCTCAATGCTGCCATCGCGGCCAACTTCTCTCCAGCAGCAGCTTTGCCGACTTTTGACTGTGCCACCCTGCCAGTTCCGCTGGACTATACCGATGATAGTTCACCATCACTCGACCTCAGCCTCTTCCGCATCAATGCCACTCAACAGCCAGTGCTGGGCAGCGTCCTGATGAACTTTGGAGGTCCCGGAGGTACAGCTCCAGACAATTTGGCTGTCTTGGCCGAGAAGGCCCATAGCGTGATAGGACCGGAATGGAACCTCATCTCATGGGACCCTAGAGGCACTGGCTTCACTATACCATTCCAGTGTGATGTTTCAGAGCTTGGGTCTACGGCTACACCTTCAAATTCGAAGCGATCTTTAGGAGAGCTGGTAAACGTCAACATTACGGACATTTTTTCCAACGGCGGATGGGTAAGTGAAAGTGTGTGAGATATAGTTAGCTGTCTGACTGATACTTTACAGGATTATGCTGGCCAAAATGCTGATCTGTGCTATGCACAAGCGAACAAGACTGGCAGTCTCATCGGCACCGCTTTTGTGGCTCGTGACATGATGCACATCGTGGACGCATTAGGTGAAGACGGACTGCTCAGATACTACGGCTGGTCCTACGGTACAGCTTTAGGCGCATATGTCGTCGCTATGTTTCCCGATCGTATCGGTCGAATCGTACTCGATGCCAACGTCAACCCTCATACATACCAGGACGGCACATACATCACCACAACCGCTGATCTGAAGCCTGATTTCGACGGATTCTTACAGACATGCTTTGAAGCCAAAGACGACTGTGCTCTGTACACTCTGTTGCAGCCGAACACTACGGAGGACTTTATCACAGCCTTGAATGAAGCTCTAGCACCATTGGCCAAGAACGCTACGGAAAGCATACAGGGCTATCTGACCTACATCGGGCTGAAAGCAACAATACAGCAGAACCTGTACTTTCCTAGTGGATGGCCGAAATTTGCACAGACATTAGCAGCGGTATTTACCGGTTCATCTCCAGCTCCAAAGCCTGCAGTACAATACGGCGTTGCCGAAAACGCTGTGGTGGGTATTCGCGCAAGTGATGCAACTTTTCACGCCAACTCTAGCGATGAGTACCTACCTACCTTGAGAGCGCAACAGGCAGTCAGCCCCAGTTTCAGCGACGCCATGTACGTCTCCTTCTGGGTCTCGGCACAGTGGAAGATGGTGAGTCCAACCGTTGCGGAAGTTCATGTTTCAGCCCCACTAACGAGGATGTCATGTCTAGCCGGCAAAGGAACGATATTGGGGTGACTTTCACGTCAAGACCAAGACTCCAGTCCTCTTTATCAACGGCCAACACGACCCCGTGACACCTCTCGAGAACGCTTATAATGCTAGTGCCTCATTCGAGGGCAGCGCGGTATTGTCACATTCTGGTTACGGCCATGGTCTCTTCGCCAGTCCCTCTCAATGCGCGGCCGATTATGTTCAAGCCTACTTCAAAAATGCTACCCTGCCGCCCAATGGCACTCACTGCGAACCAGATCTTACGCTGCTGCAGATGTGGGTGCAGAGTCTGCCTGCTGGTGTGGCGACGAATGGCACCACAAACGGGACCGCGAATGCGACGACCGGCAATGGAAATGGTAGTCAGAGTTCCAGCACCCCAGTGCCCTACGCCAATGATGCGCCAGGTCACGGCGCCACTGGAAGCTTTCTTTACATGGTAGTAATGCTAGGGCTGATGCTACAAATGCTTGCTTGAACGAAAAGCTGCGGCAAGATTGAGACTGAACCCTGTTTTGCCACATTCTTTCCACACACCAGATAGAAGCTCATGCAGCAAGAATCCTACTCACTTTCGACTCTTGCTTTTCCGAGCGCGTGACGCGAAGCAGCTAAATATATTCGCCAGAGTATTGACTGTACCGCGGGCAATCCCTCCTGCAATTGCACGTAGATGGAAGAGTATGCCATGGTCCGCATTGTCAGGCATCTGTGTGCTTTCGAGGAGAGGAGTCGCTTCACCAACCCTCTTTCTGCTGACCGAGGCAGAATTCTTCGCGGCCATTTCATTATGCTTTGTGTGCTTCCCGCCAAACTTCTTGTTCTTCGGGTGGACGGAGCCTGGACAGTTCGGCGCTTGGTTTGTCACTTCGGGGTCGGTTGTCTCATCATCTGGAGCTTCTTCATCCAACAACTCTCCGTCAGTCGTGTCTTGGTCATAGATGAAGGATGATGAAGGCGACAGTCCATCTGGAATTGTTCTAGGGAGGTGAGGTACATCTAGGTGCGAGTCCTCAAACTCGATCGTTGTCTTGAGTTGTAAGCGCTTCTGTTGACTAGGATCAGGATCGCTTGGATGGTCTCTCCGTCTCCTGATGGGTCTCATGAAGTTGTGAATCGCGCTGACTACGTGTGGAGTAGTCAGTACGAGGGGATCCCCGACGATGTCCGGGCGAGGAAGGCCTTGGCCCAAGAACTCGATCTGGCGCCAGCCGCCATCACCAGAGTCGAAGTGATCCTTCAGGTACGAAGCTGTCTGCTCAAGGTGGTTGGGCTTGATCGGAACACTGTAATGGAAGCGAAGGTCGAAGAAATCTTGGAAGGGTTTGGCGCTTGTCTCACGATCCTTGCGTGCCTTTTGTGCCGAGCCTGGACCGACACCTTTATGAGAGATGACAATGTGCTCTCCGGGTCGCCGTTCTATCAGCACTGGGGTCTGTTCATCACCCGGAAAGTTGGGATGCTCCATGATGAGTTGCCAAAGTTCGAAGGTGCTGAACGCTCTGTCTCTCTTGGATAGTTCTCTAAGAGCCGAAGTCAGAGCCGCGGTGAACGACTCTTCACCAGGTGCTCTGGTTGTTTCTCCTTGGGAACAAGCACCAAGGAATTCGAAAAAACTTCGTGCTGTCCGCCGCTTTGGGTGTACCAGACGACCAGCTTCACAGCAATCCAGAATCAGCAGGACGTCTGCTGCACTATTGCTAATGATGGGTTCGACCTGGGACCATACTATACTGTTCCTCTCGAGGTGCTCATTATTCGAAACTCGATCATCATTGGTTCCACTCTGTGGCGGACGTAGCTTGCCAACCCATCTGACGTCGCCTTGCTCGCCAGGAATGCCATGACCACCATAGTAGATAATGAGGAGGCCACGATGGCAGCCCTCCTCGTAGACGAATTTCGACAAACAAAGAGTAACCTGCTGCTGTGGCGTTCTCTCCCCATTAGGTGAAGCCTCTACAAGCTTTTCTTCTTTGACCTTAAAGCCATAGGTATCGTCGAGTACTGATCTGAGCTTGTCGATCTCCTCCTTCACTTTTAAATCGTCGTAGCGGTCTTCCCAGTACAACAACTGCACTGCAGTCTTATCATAGCGTCTGGTTCTTGGCGTATAACCCATACATTCCTGCCACTTCATACTAAGCCGGCTATTGGCAGCCTGAGATATGCTTGTGGTGTTCATGTCGGTCCCGGGAGTCGCTTCATCAGCAAGGGTGCCTGGCCCGGTGCTGTTAGTACCAGCGGTCGCTTTTGGTGGCTTCTGAGCTGGCGCCATGGCTCTGTGAGCTGTCAGGCAAGGCGTGACTGGGCAACGGTACACAGCAGTAGTCGATTGAGACAGGCAGGGCTATATACATTTGTTTGTGCAAAGTTCGCTCGAGATGATCACGCGGGCATATCGTATCGCCTCAATGCATCGCCTAAAGAGGCTATCACGATGTTCAGGCGCGGCCAGTCAGCAGAAGCTTGCAGTATGATACGCCACCACGACACTATCTGAGCTTCTCCTGGCGGTAGGTGAGGCAGACCGACTGCCTCAGGTCAATGGGGCGGAGTGGAGCCGACCAGCGTCCGTGCGCTAAAAGTTCATGGTCATGTACACAAGGCTGGCTATATATGGTTTCTTTCACACCACAAGGTACATCAGGCTATCGAAGATAAGTGGCTAGGCTAGGCATCTGCCTAACCGCTCTCGGTCCCTTTTGACACTTCTTCCTGCTACCCTGGGGTCCCACCGTTACCAACGTTACCCAGAAAAACAACCAAGACAGCGCAGTACCTACGGTGAGGTCAGTACCAAATATTCACATTTCTAGAGCTCATAACATACGCAGCTGCAGCACCCAGAATCTCGTGTTTCTTTGCGGATGTGAAGAGCGACATGACCGCCGAGAAGATTAGCGTAAAGACAAGCAGTATTGCAAAACAGACTGCGTTCGCCTGTCCGCTAATCAGGCTGTGACCGCTTTCGACGAGGTGGAACAGCAGGTATATTGGCACGATAAGTAGGAACAGGATCATGGCCGTAATGACTCCCACAGAACATGCGTTGATGCGATCCTTACAGTAGTAGACTTGGTCCTTGTCGAATGCCTTGCGAGCTAGATCCTGGGAGTCCATTAGCCATCTCGTCACGGTAACAGAGGAACGACGCAAACCTTGGAGCAAAAAATATGCTGCTTATCGTATCAGTACATTAGCCACGAGTCTAGAGGTGAGATCTTGACCGACCTGCAGTGGAGGGCAATGGAAGATCCGAAGCAACCGCTCAATGCAACGATCGAGCCAGGCATTCTCGCGACCCGGCCGAAGTGTGACGAGATCTTCCTTACACCAAACGTATGCCGATTCAGCTTCGTCCACTGGACATCTTCCCGTCATATAATTGACTACACTTCGATGCTCGCTCGTCGAAGGACGATTCATGGCCATGAGGTCCTTGGCAACCAGGAGAAGTGAAGCTTTTTGAGGTTAGCGAAGATGGAGACCACCGTGGAACTAGCGTACCATATTCGCGGAAAGCGGTTTCTGCAGTTTGCAGGATCCTTCTGCGTTTCTCACCTTGGAATTGCCTGCTAAATAGATTGTCGGCATCGTCGAATTGTTCAGCATTATCGAGTTCGTCGAGTTCTGCCTCAATGCACCGCAATTGATCCTGTTTATCGAGCAGGATCCTGGTCTGAATATAGCCGTGCCTGCGGTATAGCGCGAAGCTCTCATCACTGTCCAAGAATATTGCGAGGTTGGGGTATGCACTGGCGAAATCCTTTACTGCGCTTGGTCAGTCTGTGCCCTGGTGTCCCTGGGTAACGGGACCAAGGGCTTACAGGATCTGATGACGGTACGTGGAGCCACTGGCTGTTGACTAGAAGTCTTGCTCGGATTCGATCTTGGCAACGTCATGCTCTCCTGACACGCTTCAGGAGCGCGCTTTCCACGCAAAAGATTCCACGCTCGACACCATGCATCACGGTCAGGAAGCCATGCGATGCTGCGTAGGCTCCAGCAACCAGGACGCATGACGCCTGGAGCTTCTGTAAGCGTAGGCGAAGATTGTGCCGAGTCAATGGCAAGCTCCTTCGCTTGACCTAATTCTAGCATGGAAGCTTGCTTCTCGTGACCGTCCATATTCAAGCCTGACGACATAAAGAAGGCTTCGAGGATGAGGAGAAACGAAGATCCGCATGAAATCAATACTCGACACCCAGATAGTGAGAAAGAAAACGAATAATAGCAGATGCGAAGATGTGTTGTACAACGTCGAACCAGCCTTATCCTCCAAAGCACACAGCCACAGTCGTCCAATGAGGGGTCATACCGGTCTTGCATGTACATCGCTCACCCTACCTTCGCTTCAGAGAGCTTTCGGGCAGCCATTCGCCCTGATTGTATGGCACCCCATCCATGGTCAATTGGTACTCCTTTGAACCCGAGCCATCAGTCAGCATTCGAGACTTGGCGACTACCATCTCGTACGGCTTGTCATCGTTGGGAAGGAACAAGTAGACCAGGTCACTCTTTTTGAACGAGATCTAACGATATGGTCTGTCAGACTGCTCAAGTTCGATCAGATTACTGATTCTGTTACCTTTGGAGCCTTCGGACCCTTGACGTGAGATCTCGTCGGAGGTCTACTGTCCTCGCCCTGATGCAGCGTGAGCTTCATGCCTCAGGTTTTGCAGCGGCACCGATCGTGGCGAAGCACATACATCCTGCTGTTGCGTCTGATCTTCCTCAACCATTGATTCGCGCTAGCTTCAGGTCCGGTGTGTGAGGCGCCCAGGACACAGCGTCGAGATTCCAGTTTGCGTGCCTCTGATATCGTCGCAGCTCAGCCTGGCACTGCAGATGCCTTAATAAATGCCTGGCACGAGGCTCAGCTACTTATCCCATCCACAAGGAGGCCACACACAATGCAAGTACATGCAGTCGAGCTGCGCGCCCTGGCCCAAGGCAATGGCTGCGCCAATCACGAGCATTTGACATGGCAAGGTTGTGCCTCATGGATGGCTGCCACATCCGTAGGACTCTTACACCTTCGTGCACTCTCGTCCCTCTCGATTGCATCCACACTTATTCGGCCTGCATTTATGCTTGTATAGAGGCCGCCTCAGCGTATCGCTAGCCAATAACGGAGCTCCGCCCGGACGTGTACAGCCTTGCTGTGCCGTGTCTGGAAGCCCGGCCAGTAGTGTGATGGCGGTTGACGCGAGGCAGGCGTGATGGCTTGCAGCTACAGTCTCTGGGAAGAACGGATGGAACCCCTGTCAAACGCACGGTGTCGGTGCCGACTTGTGCACTGATGAGGTGACGCTCTTACTGGCAGATCCTCCAACGGAAACTAGTAGGGGTTCCACCCGTTCTTCCCTAAGACTGTATACAAGATCACTACTTACTGCCGCTTCGATCTTACCCAGTTTGCGACAGCCTGCATCGTAACAAACGCAGATCTTGGAATCCTATTGCAGCGAGCCCGGCGTCGTAAGCATAAGGGATCGAGTCCATGAAATTAGAGATCGAGTAGGCAACATCATTTCCAAAGCTGAAATCAACGGGGACCCTACAACATTCCATGTCCACCTACCCGTCTAAAGCTAATGCCGCTAGGGAATTGCCGAATTGCTCGAGCCGTCTCATGGCACATTAGCGGGCCGTGGCATTCCGGTCGAGCGCGAAGCACAACCGCGAAGCACACAACAATGCGCTTCTTCCATGCTGACCTCACAGTCTGTGCATGCTCGTTGCTATCCAGACGTGTACCACTACCGCCCGTATAGCTGCGTTCGCAGAAAATATGAAGAATCTCGCTGACGCAACGAACGCGATAAAAGCAGTCCAATGGCTTAGAACAGGCTAGCCGACTCAACACAGTGCTGTAGAAGCAGATGGTAAAACTTGGCAATAGCACATCGGCCTTTCTTGCGAGTAACGGTAAGTGGCAGAGGGCAGAAGTACAGGCGCACGTAGCCTGAATCTGCTGCTTCACATCTAAAAGTCAACCTTTATTGTGTTGGAATACATACTCACAACAGCAAGGTCTCCGACCGTAAAACATAAGCAATACCTTGCGGTCCAGTTGAGAGTCTCGATGGAGCTCGCGCGGATAACCTACGCTGCTTACGAGGCATTGACCTATTCTAGTGTCAACCTCAAAGACCTCACACTCGACGAGAACGGCCTGGACAAATCCTGCCCTCGAGATAATGGTCGCCATTCGGGGGTGTGCCGTAGCGACCTTGGATCTTTGGAGCATTTACCGCTCTAGCTGATCTCGCACGTCCTCTCGCAGCTGGAGTTGCTCTCGCTGGCTGTGTTCAGGCGCCTCAACGCTCGGTCAATGCAGGTCGTAGATTCGGTGCCCTCATACCGTACGATCATGCGCAAGTGTCCTGACGTGCTACGAGGTCTCTACAGCATACAGTATGGATCTCACGTCTCCGTGGTGCAGCTCTGGGAGACGCTTAGAAGGGCGAAGTGTTAGGACCGCGGTGATTTTAGTGGTTACATATATCTGCTGACGTGCCGCCGCGTTTGCTTCCGATGCTTCTAGACAGAATCTCGTTACTACCCGTTGCGAGTATCGGAGGCATCTAGACAGTACGGTGTGAGCAAGCACTCTCTTGAAGATCTTCCAGCCATGAAGAGTGTTCCTGGCTACTACAGTCCGGCAGAGAAAGCCGAAGTCACCCAAACAACCCTGCTAGACAGAGAAACAGTTCGTTCTCGGGCTATCGCGATTCATGGTTCACTGAACCTCATGCTGTCATATGCCAAGCAAAAGACGGCCACGTGGAATGCGAGATATCACAGCAAAGTCAGCGCAACGAGACCTGGACAGACAGCCGCACAGCCACGAAGGTCGTCACCAGCAGGACCCACGGATGGTCCTGAGGGCGATGTGAGACGGTATATGGCTGTTGTCAACGCACCATACATTGATCACAAAACCCAGCTCGTTGAATCAGGAAGGTACTGCAAGGGCCGCGAGCGCTTATATCGCGACCATATCTGGAGGCGAAGGAACACCTTAGACACCTTTGTTGAGCATCTACGGGAGCTGGGCGACATTGTTGATGGCATTCATGAGCCCTTATAAACGCATGATGCGCGTTGCAGGAGTCCGGGTCAGAAAGTCTTCTCCACGCCCGACCCACACCTTGGCCTGACATAACCTGGGATTTGTTCGTGTCATGCAGCCCGTTAATATCTCCATGTCGATCAAGACCGGGCCTTTGGCGCACACCGACGAGCTCTCGTGGACCGTGTATGCAAAGATGGATCTCGACCCTCACGTATTGCAGACAAGTGTTGACGGAAAAAGATAATAAGCACTTTCGAGTATGCAAGAGCAACTCAGTAAAGAATCAGGTCGAGGAGGATCTACGACAACGGAAGGCTAATGGCATTAGACGTAGCAGTAGCAGGGGCATGCGACGAATGCACATGTATGCACTTGTAAGAACAGGCCTACCGGGGCAGGACTTGGACTACAACCACTGTTGCCGATGCTACCTCCCGCGGCAGTCAAGAAAGTTACCACAAGGTGACCGAGCACCGATTCATGTCAGCAGTCTAGTCCAGTGATAACATTGATTCTACATGCTTCAACCACTGCGCCGCCATAGAGGACAACCCGGGCGAAGCTCGCATTCAGCCGCATCTCTTTCGCCTCTTCTGGACATATTCCACGAGCGTGTTCCCAACTCGCGCAGCCACATCTGGTCGTGGCCAAAGGACAATCCGTGCAGTTGTAGTCAAGTATGATACATCATGCTCAGTGGCCAGCTTACGCATATGTTGTTCATGGACCAACAAAAATAGTTGGCCGCGCTCTTGCCAAGAGTTTCACAGCTGTGATTCCAAAGCCTGAGCGATCAGTCGGGTCAGCATGAAGAAGAGCCCGATTGAGATTTGCGTTCAACAGCTCAGTGAACCATGCCTGATGAGCCCCTTCTCTAATACTGAAGGTGGATATATAAAGCCCTGCGGCCCATAGCAAGCTGGTGGTGATCACGCAACTGTGCCTCTATTGATTCGCCCTCCCTCCACATACCTGTCTCGTCGCAGTTATAATCGCCACTCCAACACTTTTTACCCCTCACTTTCTCAGTGTCGTCTAAGAAATATGGCGCAAGTCCTTCGAGCGCTCCGCAAGGCATTCAAACGGAAGAAGGCACCACCTCTCGCCTGCCATCTATCTCTCGACCAAGACGACGAGCATATCCACACCGCTGCTTGCTTCCTTGATGTCCAGCCTCTAGCACTAGTAGAGCTCTTTCAGTCTCAAAGCTGCCAGTCCTGCCCGCCTGCCATTCCAGGCATTCTCGAATCGACACAACATCCGAATCTGCAGCATGTCACGTACGACGTCACCTACTTCGACCATACCGGCTGGAAAGACACGCACTCCAACCCGCGCTGGGATCAGCGGCAGAAGAATTATGTCAGGAAGTGGGGCCGCAGTACATTGTACACTCCCATGGTCGTCGTCAACGGTGTCGCCGATGCGGGATCCGGTGGCGGCACCAAGGCCGAGATCGACGGTGTAGTCCAGCGCGCTCGCGAGATGCAGCACCAGATGGACTGGCACATCTTTCTCGACACCAACGACACTCACGTCAAACTGGACACCGATAAGTTGGAGATTGAGCCGCATGACGTGAATGTCATTGTGTACAGGGCCACCACTGAGGTTGTGAAGATCGTGAGTCCAGAGCTGGTGCTACGATCTTGAAAAGGGTACTGACTGCTTATCAGGGCAAAGGGCCGAATAAAGGCAAGAAAGTCCCACACAAGAATGTCGTCGACCAGATCGTCAACATCGGTACCTGGAACGGAGGTGATAATCTGTATGAGTTGCCCATGACTCCAGCGCAGATGGCGCCCGGTATGGGTGCCGTGGCTGTCGTGCAAGGAGCCCAGGGCGGACCAATTGTCGCGGTCGCAAAGATTGTCTGAGGATGTGACGCGAGGAACGATGTCTGTTATGTGACCGGCGAGTTAGAAGTAGCCGTTGCATCGAGTACCGATCGCTCTGGGACTGTATAGGTAGTGGTTTGTGTCTGTTCTGAGGAATATCGAGGGTCAAGAAACGAACCGTCGAGTAGGCCAAGTGTGCATTACACTGTTTTCCTCATGATACATGTAGTGTTGGCCAAGGTTCCCAGCAGACATCATCGCCAAGGCTCCGTGGGATAGTTCCACCAGAGAGACATTGCCCGCACCCAGCGCGCGGCAATCACTAGAGTGACGCGAAGCACACGATCAATGCTGGACTCACACGAGCTCTCCCTTTAGCGTTCCGTAAGCTCTCCCGCGAGCAACCCTGGAAATGACATGATTCTCATTCGAGGGAAAGATGAGTTCCAGATGATCACCTACCGCCTCGAACATGTCAGCCGCTATAGGAGCTTGACCTAGTCCGCCCGAGGTCGCCGCAATACGAACTCGGTGCTCGAAAGCTGCGATGGTTCCAATACCTGCACACGTGTTCTGCAGCTCCGTCGCTGAACGAGAGGCCAGGGCAAGTGCTACAGCCTCACTGACTGTCGTCCATGAGTCCAAGCTGAGTCCAGTCCATAGCAAAAATATGGTGTGTGCGATAGCTATCGTGCAGTAGAGGAGCAGAATTGCGACCGAGATCTGAACTACAAGCTCGTTTGTGCCCCAGCCGTATCCTTGTAACGTCCATTGGATAGGGAATTGAGAAGACAACTCCCGGCCATCCGGTGCAAAATCGGTCCCTTTGCAGGACGGTACTCCAGTGTTCAGTCTGGCGCCGGAGTACGCGACCATGGAGCATATATGGGCCACTGGCGCCATCCGTGCAAGTGAAACCGTCATGAGAATTGAGAGCGCGGCCGGAATGCTGTCCAGCGCGGCAGGCAATAGAAGGCGCATGGGCGTAGTGCCTAGGTCTGGAAAGTTGGCATTGATGCTTTCGAGCCATTCCTGCGTAGCCTTCACTGCGATAATCCTAGGGTCCCCTCGCTGACGTAGGCTGACGCTAGAAGCGGCGTATGCTTGGATGTGTATGCTGGAAGGGAACCAGCCAAGCTCGATGGTGCAAGGCACTAGCTGGATACGAATTCGTCACTAGAACTCGTCAATCATCAGCGACTGCCTTATCATCGGATGAGAGTGGAGGTATTCCAACTCCGTTCACGTACACATCTCCCACGGTCTGCAGTGACGCCTTCACGAGTTGCGCAAGCGCATACCTGTCTTGGTTGTCTCTGACCCTGGAGCGCCTCATGGTGATATCGCTGGCGAGGTGGATGTAGGAGGCCTCGATCGAATTAATCGATTGGCAAATGGCCTAATCATCGTCGTCGAAGAGGACATCAGTTACAAGGCGACGAGCGCAGCAACAGCCAGGAAATGGAGGCACTCGGTGTGCGCAAGGCTGTGTATATACAGAACAGTTTGCGAGCCTGCCGTGTCCAGGCCATCGATATGCGCAATGGGTGAACGCCATCGCTTGCGCTAGGCCAATCGAAATGCTAAGTGTCGATACGAGTCTATGATCTTGCCCTCCCCTGATCCTTGATGACTTCAAGTCGGCCATGCTGACTACTCTATACGATCGAAAACTTGGGATGGCCGAGAGATGTTGTAGCTCTCATCTCGACGCTCGGGCCATGTCACTCGTTCTCGATATTACGCCGGTCCGTCTTTGCTTCCGGGAGCGTGTGCTCCAACATTTAAGGTTCAGCATCTTACCTGCTCCTCACAAATGTATTCTAGCTAAACAGACCTTGCCTCTTAAGCATAGCCGCAGAGTGCGACATCCTATAGGCAGGTACTCATATGCTCCAGAAGATTTCGTTCCGGCCCTACTATCAGTCACGATTCCAGCGAAATTGACATAGGCGATCACATCGATGTTCTTGCACCCTTTAGGAACCAGGTCCACTGCGCAATGCCACTGCGCAATCGGAAGACGAATGGTGTCTGATTCAAGAGCTTAAGCAGTCCATTTTAGTCGTTTTGCCGCCGTGCGGCGACCTCAGTAACACCGCCTCCGGACCTGAGTCTACAGGCTGAAGCAAGCCTTCAGGCGTCCTGCCAAGCTTGAGGAACAAGTTCTGGTTGGCTCTCATTTCACGAGTCTAGCATGCGACGCACCAGACTTGTCAAAAGTAATAAGCTCCTCCACGCTAATCAAGGCCTACTCACACAATAGACTCTCTCAGGCCACCCAGGGGCTCCCGCGCCTAGGTGCCAGGTACAAGTCCACAAACAAACTTATGTCCTATCATGGAACAATTCAAGATCCTCTACGTCGTTCACGAAAGCCCTGCCCGAGCGCATCTCTCTTCTCATTTCAAATTGACTTATGGCGTTCTCATATTCGTTACTGCTACTGACGTGCGTCAACTTAGCATTTGCAGCACTGTACGGCAATGATACCATATCTGCTGTCAATGCGACGCACATAACCAATACCACGATCAGCAGCAGCAGCTCCTCGGCAAACACTTCCACCTCATCTTTGACACCGTCTTTGTCAACTTCACATAGCGAGTCATCTTCCTTGACGCTCACGTTGGCTACGTCTGCTCCCGGAGGCTCATCATTTACAGGTCTTCCGCGTCCAGACCTGCCATCTGTAAACAGCTCGGCTACGGTCCAGCACAGCTCTTCTTCACAAAATGCGTCGGTATTACGAACAGCGTTCCTGACCGCCGAAGTCGCAGGAAATGCCACGGCATTTCAAAGTTCACTTGTCTCCGCGCAATCATCTGGACAGAGTCTGTCGAGTACTTTACGCGGCCTGGGCAACACCACGGCCTCTTTGCACAATAGCTCGAGCATTACTGGAGCTTCGACCAGATCAGCATCATCTGGTTCCCCAGCCTACATCAACTCGACCGCCACCAAGGCCTCAAATGCATCGTTACCAGCCATCAGCAGTGGAAGCGCTTACGCCAGTCAATGTAACGCCAAGTTGATTGGTTGGTCTAGCAGTTCACAGTCTGCACCTGTTGTCAGCTACTCCACGATCTCCACGTGGACATATACCAACTGGTCTGCCGTGATCACCACCCTGGCAGGCTGCGATACTCATGCACGACTGGATGGGTCGTATACACCGATTGTGAGTTTTGACCGTCATGCCAGCTGCTCTTTGCTTATGTATCGACGCATAGGCATCCGCTAGCACCACAGTAGCCTATATGGACTATACACAGACTGGAATACTAGCGAAACCATCTTGTAGTATCAATCCATCTGACTGCGAGAATCTCTCCGTCGCCTCCTCGGCATACTCCTCGTCATACAATGCTGCACTCACACAAGGCCAGCTGACTCTCATTCTGGCCTCTCAGGCGACCGCATTCACAATACAAGACAATACCACGACCATCGTCACCACGTATGGCAGCACAGCTATGACTCCGCCTCCTGTCATCACATTCCAGGGGAAAGCATATACTGGATCAGCGTACAGCAGGTATGACAATGCAGGGTCGGACACTGTCTATCGTATATCTGCTATCGCCCAGCCATTGTTCCAGACAAATCTCAAGGACGGCTCCTCTGTGGTTTCAAACCGAGATTTTGGTTTCCCTTACCGCGACATCCCAAAGCCACAATGCACCCGAGCGGCGAACGGAACTGGGTGCGGTGCCTGCACGATTCATGGCGGAGAGGTAAGTGAGAGTCTCACGTGCCATGGAGCAGGGGTCGAAGCTGATTTCTGTGGACAGGTCCAGTTGCTCTACTTCCCTGTGCCGACAACCGCCTCCCGTAACATGTGTGCCACTAAGATCGGCGCACCAACGACTTGTCCACTGGGTCCGACTACAGCACCTTACGTGCCGGGATCAATTTATGCTCCTCCAGGGATGGCTAGAGGGATTTGTACGAATTACATCAATTGTCCGTACCTGCTCGGCAACGCAACGAAGACGACTGATAGCGGTACGTATGTTGTCGGTGCCCGGCGCGGAATGACATCGAAGCTTAAGGGCTTGAGCTGACCTTGGCGTGTCATAGGACCTTTTACCGTGTCCGCTGGCACCACGCTCTACCAGAACCGCGCATACATCTCCTTACAGACAGCGTACGCGATGAATAGCTGCGGATACGTCGGCGGAAAGCATACCGGCGCTCTCCTGACCCTCGCTTCGACACAGGTCTACTCCATCGGCAATGAACTCGGTGCGTGTGTAGACGATGGCCATTTGGTAAGCATTACAACATGGGAGAGTACGTTCAAAGCAGAGACTTATTGACTCTGGCCCCAGTTCAACTTCGCAGACTTGCTTCCAAACCTACCGCAGAGCGCCTTCAGCGCTGTGCTTTTCGGCGGTGGCGATAGCTGCGCTCATCCAAATGGCGTACCGTGGCCTGATTCCTTCAACGGTGACTTCATGAATGGAGTTCCTCTGGAGGGTGACCCTTGTTATGATACTATCGCCGATTATGCCTATCGACCCACACTAGTGGTACCGACTCAGATTAGACAGCTGGACCCTGCGTGGGCCACTTGTGCCGTTGCTTTGGAAGGTCTTGTACGTGGTAATAAAAAGGATACTGTGTGTCACTCTTACTGATATATGGAGCGTAGTATGATCCACCCAAGGCACTCACGCCACAGGCTGCGGTAGCCACGCCTATTGTATCTTCAGTAGCAACACCAACGTCAGCAAGTCCCGCGAGCGGCCAAGTCACTCCTGGACCGACGCAGACGGCAGATCCTGTAGTGTCGAAAGCGACCACCCAGCCATCACCGGCGAGCAGTGTCGACCCTGGAGACCCTACTGCATCTGCTTCTCAAACAGCGTCGAATGCGCCAGAAGGTCCTTCTGCAGTAGCAAGCAGTGCAGGTAGTGCTGCACAAGGGGTTTCAGCAAGTGGTTCTGGTGGCAGTAGTGCTGATCTTGGAGCCGCCGGCTCAATCCTGAGTCAAGCTCTTGCAACAAGCTCGAACAATGTTGGTGCGGGTGTAGGAGGTGCCGTGGCATCAGTCATTGGTGCAACCAAAATTATCTCAAATGCCGACCCATCGGACCCTGGCAGTACTAACGGAGCTGGAAGCGATCCGAAAAGCAACAATGGCGGGAATACTGCAATTGTCGAGGTGGGATCATCAAGCTTTAGCGTCATCGCTACCATTCAAGCCAGCGGCTCATCTGCCGTCATCATTGTTGGCGGCGGAACGACCGTTACCCTTTCGCCTGGCCAAACAAGCTCTATCGCCGAGGTGACTGTAAGTGCTGGGTCCAATGGCGGTGCTGTCGTTGGGACGGGTGCGGCTGCGGCTACAGTCGGAGTGTCTACAAACCAAGGTGCTGGAGGTAGCTTGGCTGTGGTGCAAAGCGCCGCGGGAGCGAACAATGGCGCTATCTTGACCATCGGCAGCAATACCTTGACCGCTATAGCAACCACGTTCACTGTTCTGGACGGTAAAGTGACCGCCGCTGCAGTCCTCGCTGGCAGCACCTTGTTACAGGGCGGCGCGCCGGCAACTATAGATGGCCAGGCTGTGTCCCTTGAGTCTGCTGGACTTGTGGTTGGCAGTTCGACTACACTCAAGCTATCACCTCTACCTTCAGCTTCCGCAATCATAACCGGAGCAGCTGTGACGCTTGGGTCGACGACTTTGACGGCATCCGAGAGGGTCGTCGAGGGTGCCGATGGACAGCTGACAACCGAAGCGGTCATAGCCGGGACCACGCTGCAATTGAATGGCGCAACATCGAGTGTATCTGGACATATCTTGTCGCTGGGTGCCAAGGGAATCGTGGTCGACGGCTCTACAGCAGGACTCTCCGCCCTACCCGCCCCCACCCCTGCCACGATTTCAGGTGCGCTCGTCACTTTGGGATCGAGCATCCAAACAGCCTCGGAGACGGTCGTGACTGGCAGCAACGGCCAGCTGACAACCTTGGCGGTGCTTGACGGTACGACGCTTCGGTCCGGCGGTCCTCCCTTTACCATCTCTGGGCACGTCGTGTCACTCGGCGCTCAAGGTATCGTCGTAGATGGTACGCAGACGGACCACATATCAGAATTACCTGTTTGCGTGACTGGAAATGCACTAGCGACTTTCACCGAGCATGGTCAAGTCTTTACCGCCACATCGATATCTGGTCGGCTGGGATGGTACATCGTAGATGGGCAGACGGTTTCTGTTGGTGGCCTGCCGGTGACCGTGGACGGGTTGTCGCTTACGGCGCAGGCCTCGGGTCTGATCATAGATGGGACGCAGACGGTATCGTCGTTCACTAGCAACAGCGGTTCGCCGGCTCATCTGACGGCTGCAAAGGGTCCTTTGATGACCAGTAGCAGTCAGCGAGGGCAGGTCACTGGCGAGGCGACAGCAACCTCGACAAGGAAGTCGGCAGCCCCATCCGATCGACGGTGGGATGGAAGCAGTGCGACATGGCTTACTACGGCCCTGATATGCTTCCTGGCGTGGAGATCGTAGCAAAGTACAGCCACCAAGCACGTCTAGTGGACGTATTGCAGGCGCTGGTCGTAGTACCAGCTAACTTTTCTACACAAAGGAACAGGGATATATGAAGGTTATACACAGCATGTAAGCCCAGCGATGTACATCAGGTATGGGTGTTCCGTATAACTGCAGCTTGCAGCAAGGCGCTTCAAGCCTTCCTGCAAAAACCTGCTGCAGATCCCCACATAATCTTGCACGAATCACATATACTCCGATGCACTTGAATGGTAGGACGGCATTATTCTTGGCAAAAGCTAGAGGATTCCGAGGCCAGCCAGTGGACTTTCGAAAGAGTCTCTCGTAACAATGTGACATTGGGGAAGTCATCTTGCCTCCCCTCCACCGCTTCGCCGTCCATGACACCATGCACATATACTTCGCCGACAAACGCATAGCCGTGTCCAGCCGGTCTTAACACAAAGGCGACTTTAGCGCCCGCTACAATGCAGATTTGATCCCCGAGTCTCACAGACGATGGGCCGAATCTGACATTGGGCCAGGGTGTCATGTGGTGCGCCACCTGTGGTGTAAGAGGTAGCCTTCAGCATATCATCTTGTAGGAGACGTCTGATGACTGGTAGTGCCCCAACCAGGAAAACTCTCCGTCGTGGAGCTGACTTGGTCGATCAGAAGCCCTCGCACTGAGAGCAAAGACTTTCGTCAGGCCGACTTCCCAACACTTGTTCCAGCCTTACTTTTCGACTGCCCGTGCCGGTCTCGAGAGATTGGGCCTCAATCGACAAGTAATGCCCGGAAATCACAACCTGCCTGAGGATCCAGTGCATCTGGCGTAGCAGAGTCGGACGCGAGTGTCAACTTTGGCGACGACAATCTCACTCTTGCTGGCGTCTGTGCCTCCGGTGTGTCTGCAGGAAGCAACGCAGCTGCAGACACTTCAAGAGTAAGGAACTCCTTGCCGTGGCCAGCCAATGAGCATGTCCGAAAGGGTTCAAGGCGAGGACGTGAAGGCATGAACGCCTTGTCAACTTCTGAATCCCATCAGGGGTCCAACGACGCCGCTTCTCGTGGAAGTCACCATGTACAGACGTTATGACCCTATGCTGATCACGGACGACATTCATCCGTTTACAATAACCGACATGATAGATGCTCCCTTGAGTCCCGAGAGGTCATTGCCAAGCGTCGGTCATGCGCCATTCCCTGAAGTGATGTCGGGTGAGCAGGGACCTAGCAGCACCGAATCGCCATCCACACCAGAAGGCGGATCTGAGTACGCCGGAGGGTGAGTGTAAGTTGGGCATCCCAGCATCGAAAGAAACGGAACTGCATAAATTCACTGACCCGGCTTAAAGCCATACCACACTGTGATGCACCCTTCGGAATTCGCTAGTCAGTTGACGTGAGCATGCTCCCGACAAATGTTGAACAACATGGTTGCAGAAATCTTGCACGGAAAATGCTCAAGGTGCGTGGGCGAACAAAGGTGAGTCGTCATCGATCCTTTCGTAGCTCCACACCTCGCTTCATACCTCCTACGGGTTGGGTCCTTACACCGGCTGCTTTATGTCACCAGCCCAACGCTCGGTTATATGCTTGTACGGCCTTCTCATGATCGATATTCCTCTTCGGTGGTCGTGTTGCGGTGCGCGGAAGTCCAAACCCATCAGGCAATCCTCGGGATCATTTCTCAAGCATTGTTTGTACAAACATATCCAGTATCGCAACCCGAGACCTCCACGTACGGCCAGAGAGAACAGAGGATCCCGTCCGCTCTCCTGTACTCAAGCTGCGAACCGGTAGAGTAGTAGTCAGGTCGGTGACGACTGGCGAATGCCTGCTGCTGTACGTTTTGCCGGTTGCTTTTGCTCCTCAGACTAGTTGCGACAGAGCGTCCCCAAAAGCTTGCGATGGTATGCTCGTTTACAAAGGACAAAGGCGGTGCGATACGGCACTTGTAAGCACACCTCCGGACATAAGAATATTGCCGTGGTCGGTCCGGTTACGCTTCTGGGATTACGCAAGCTAGAAACAAGACTTCCCCTTTCCCCGAAGGACGTTCGATGGTCTCTGATCTTCTCACCGTTGGACTGGCGCCTCCGTGGGCGGTTTTGCGGAGCAGCCGTAACCAGCATCCGATGTTCGTGATCGAAAGGGCGCAGATATGTGCCAAATAAGGTTGTAGGCGTAATAAATTCCGTCACGTTCTACAACGAACTAGCAAGCTCCATCATCGCCAATCTCCCACTCCAAGACCTCTCCTTCTCACTACGCAACCCCTCAGTCGAAGCTCCCTCACATCAACAACCTCCACACACCCAAAATAATCGCCGCCGTCCCCGTACAAACCCCCATCAACCACTGCAACGTGGAAAACTTGACCGCCTCCAACCTCTCCCTCAACGCCGCACTCTCCTGCTCAATCCGCGTCTCCGTCTCCCGGATCTTCAACTCCTGACTATTCGCCTCCTCCCTTATCCTCCCTTTCTCCAAATTCAAATCCAACCTAACACTCGCCTGCGTCCTTTGTGTCTCGTCCCGGAGCCGATTATTCAGTTTAGCCAGATCGTTCGTTAGGCGTTCGTGACTGGCGCGTGTCAAAGTACTCTCGCTGCTGTCACCGCTTAGCAACTCGGAGCGGAGTTTGGCGAAGTCGACTTTTTGCGTGTAGGTTGCTTTTTCCTGGTCTTCGCGGAGGACCATTGTGCGGGTTAGGTTTTGGATGCTTTCTTCGATTACGTCGGATAGGACTCTCATCATGGCGACGGCTTGGGGTTCGGTGAAGCCTTCGGTGCGGAGGCGTTGGACGAATTTGAGCGTGTCGAAGTGGTGGTCGCGGGGGCGGGGGCTCGTGGTGGTGAAGATGCGGGTGGAGTGGGGTGGTGTGAGGGGGGCGCGGCGTTGTGCCCATTGTGCGCGGGCGCGGGAGGAGATTGCTGAGGGGCGGTGGTGGTGGTGGTGATGGTCATGGTGTTGGCGGGTTGGGGTTGGGGTTGAGGTGGTGGCTGCTAGGACTGATCGTCTGATGGTGGCTGATGTCCATACCGGGCGTGCGACAGTGCGTGCGATAGCTGCAGATACTGGAGCGGCCATGTTGGGTTCGATTGCTGTATTGACAGTGTACAAGTTCACTGTATGGCTTGAGGTATGGTATGAATGCAGCGAGCTCACGTTATTATTCCCGTTGCACAAGCGCCTTCCAAAGCGGCAGCCAATCAGGTGTGCAGTGCGTTATCAGGACGACTACCTACTCCCTTTCTTTCGCGTGCCTTCCTCTCCTACACCCTTCTCACCTTACATATTTCATCGGCCTCGCAAGCATCAATTCTCTCGGTGTTCCTTGCTATGAAAGTGGCTCCCCATCTGCAACATTGCCAAGCGAAGTCACGATCAAGCACGTGAGAGAGTGATTGGATTACGTCAAGGAAACTCTCCCCACCCATGGACCAAAAATTGAGTCCCGCCAACGCTTGGCGCCATGTGAGTCCTTGGTGGGCATAAGGTAATCAGCTTTCCGGGTGAGAGATGAGAGACATAGAGACCATTTGGGAAGAGACAGTGGTAGGGACTCCCCTTCACTTGGTCACATTACTCACATAATATCATCCTTCGTTCTTTCCTACACTGAATTTGCCCCACCTTCCGCAGTCGCATAGTAGACGTCAGCCAGACGAAACAAGCAATCAGTACAATCAGCGCAACCTCACCTCAGCCTCACTCCAGCAGAATGGCAGACCGACTCAAAGACGCCCTCCGTCCCGGAACCACAGACCGCAGCACGAGCCATGGTCGCGGCGGCGCAGGCAACATCAAGAACAGCTCCAAGACAACGGTAGAAGCCGGCGATCTCGCCACACCAACCATTAAAACAGATCTCTACACCACAGGACGAGGAGGACAAGGTAAGCAATCGCACCTTCCTTCTAGCTACGCGATCGCCCCTTCCCATACTGATGTGAGATGACGCGACAGGCAACATGGCAACAAATCTCCACTCGCACCCCGAATTCGCCCGCGCAGCCCAAGATGTCGAACAGCACGACTCCGCTCCGCGGGAACCAGCCAAGGGCACTTTCCACTGGGGTCGTGGGGGCCAGGGGAATATGGTTACGTTGAAGCAGGAAGGGGATGGGAAGGTCGTTCCGGCTAGTGGGAGCGGGAATGGCAATGGGAACGGGAGTGGAAGTGGGAAGAAGGAAAGGACGAGCAGTAAAGGTGCGGGGGAGATGGGGGAGAAGCCGGTGGGGAGACGGGGGAGTTTTCAGGGGGTTAAGAGTATGCTGGGGATTGGGAAGGAGAAAGAGAAGAAGGAGGAGAAGGTGGCGGCCGTGGACAGGGATGGGACGGGGACGGTGGGTGGGAGTGCTGTTCAGGAGTAGACGAAGCGTGCACGTCTTCCGTGTGCTTTCCGCTTCTTTGAGCTCATGTGTCAAGCTGGCGAGCATTACGATGCAACCTCTGGATACCCTGCCCACTTACTGTAAGAAGCGAGACTCCGGCCCGAATGCCCGCAGCGCTGTGGGTGATGCGCTCTTGAGATGAGATGACTTGCAGTCCTTTCCCTCGTTCCGACTTGGGCAGACACCATCACGTCGTCTTACTTCTAACCTTTTCCCTCCATCCTCTGCTTCCAATTTCTCTCGCGTACTCTGTCCTATCTGGCCTCTCCTCTCTCCTACGTCTCTGGCCCATACGACTCTCATCAACCCGCCCGCAAAGATGGTGACCTCGACCCCTGAGATCCCGATCCCCCAACCCTCGCCTCACTGGCTCCTGGGCAATATCCCCGACATCGACTCGAGTCAGGCTATGCTCTCCACCATGAAACTGGCCAAGCTCTACGGACCGATCGTGCGGACGGACATCAACGGGGTGAGGTACATCCGTATCGGGTCGCAAGCCTTGGCGCATGAGATCTGTGACGATGAGAGGTTTGAGAAGAAGTAGGTCCGGCCCTTCTTCTCTTCTTCCGTTGGAGGCCTTGCTTGAGAGCGGGAGGAGGGCGGTGAGGACGAGATACCAGCGGTTCCATAATAAGCCCTTTCCACTGGCGCCACAGCTGACCTGTGATAACCCACCCCAGCGTCGAAACCAACCTCCGTTTCCGCTCCCAAAAGCAATACGACGAACACATCCACTTCTGCTGGAAACTCTGTGATGAGATCGTCGCAGATCGCAAAGCCCACCCCAAGGACGTCAACGACCTGCTAAACGTCACGCTCCAGTCCTCCGACCCGGACACAGGCGAGAAGACGCGCGATGAATTGATCCGGTTCGAAATGATGACTTTCCTGCTCGCGGGCCACGATACCACCAGCGGATTACTGAACTTTGCTTTCCTGCTCATGCTCAAGAATCCAAGGACGCTGGAGCGGACGCAGAAGGAGGTCGATGGGGTGTTGGGGGATGGAGCGGTGGAGGTCAGACATTATGCTAAGCTACCTTATATCGAAGCCGTGTTGCGGGAGAAGTTGCGATTGTATCCCACCGCACCTTCGATTACGAGGATGTCGAAGGGGAAGGAGGATACGTTCATTGGTGGCGGCAAATATCGGATTCATGCGGAAGATGCGCTGGTGATTTACCGGTTGTGCAGCGGGATCCGAAGGTATGGGGGGAGGATGCGGAGGAGTTCAGGCCGGAGAGAATGTTGGGGCCGGAGGGGTTCGATGCGAAGCCGCCGGATTCGTGGAAGCCGTTTGGGAGTTCTTTCCGGATGTGTATTGGAAGGAGTCTGGCTTGGTATGATCTCGAATGCATCTACCTATATACTGGTGGCCGGGGTTTGTGCTGATGAAGGCGATGGGACCTTACTGCAAGGCGTTCGCTACGCTGTCCTCGGAGTTGGGAATTCGGACTGGGTCTCCACCTTCCATCGCCAACCGAAACTCATCGACTCCCTTATGGAAGCAATGGGTGCCATCAAGATCATCCCCACCGTGCTCGGTGACGTGTCGAGAGATATTTGTGGCGCTTACGATGAATTTACAGATACTCTCTGGAAAGCACTGGACTCGGACGCAGATGCAGCAGCAGCCGCAGCAGGATTGAAGCTCGAGTTGACACTTGATAGGCTTGAGCTGCTGGGGGAAAAGGAGATGAGTCTGGGGACTGTGAAGCAGCATTTGCAGCTCGCTGATACGAGTGTTGGACCGGAGAAGAGACTGATGGAGGTCGAGCTACCTGGGGAGGCCTCGTATGTATGTGGCGACTATCTGGTCGTGCTGCCGACGAACCACAGCGAGGATGTGAAGCGTGTCCTTTTGCGCTTCGGCCTGCCGACGGATGCGATGGTGAAGATGTCGAACACGCACAAGACCTTCCAGGTATGCTAAAGCAGTGGTGTCTGCGACCAATGCTGGGTTGGTTGCTGATATGTTTGTTAGCCGAGCGATCGAGCAGAGTACGCTTTCAGTCTCGTGGCGGCGTACCTGGAGATCGGCACACCGATCTCACGCAAACAGCTCAGTATTCTGGCTGCCGCCACAACGGATACGAGCCAGCAAGAGGAGATTCAAAGCTTCGCTGCTGAAGATGTGTACGAAGAGAGCATATTGGCCAAGCGAGCCTCCATCATCGACATCCTGGAAAAGTACCCAGCGTGCAAGATAACGTTCGCAGAATACGTCGATATGCTGCAGCCAATGCTCCCGCGACAGTACTCGATCGCCTCCTCGCCTCTAGCCTCCCCGCCAGGCCACGCAACCATCCTCTACGATGTCCTCAGCAGCCCATCTCACTTTGACTCGAAGCGCCCCTTCCACGGCACAGGCAGCACATATCTCTCCAGCATCCCCGTCAGCGGCAAAGTCCACTGCTACGTCCGATCGACAAACGCCAACTTCCGGCTCCCGTTGACCCAGTCAACACCCATGATCATGGTCTGTGCCGGCACGGGCTTCGCTCCCATGCGCGGCTTCGTTGAAGAACGCGCTGCCATTATCGAAGCACAGAAGATCACTCCGGGCAAAGCACTCCTGTATTTCGAGTGCCGCGACCGGGAGAAGGACTTCCTCTGCCGTTCCGAGCTCGAGGCCTGGGAGGAGCAAGGCATTGTGGAGCTTCGTCCGACATTCTCCAAAGCTGGATCGGCGGGGATCGGGTACAAGTACGTCCCCGATCGCTTATGGGCGGAGCGAGAGGAGATTGTGGAGCTCTTCCGAGCAGGCGCCAAGGTGTTCTTGTGTGGGAGTGCATCGAAGCTTGCTAGGAGTACTAACGAGGTGTTTGAGAAGATCGTCAGGGAAGCTAAAGGCTGCGGGCTTCATGAGGCGAAGGCGTTCCTGGACACGATCAAGCAGGATCGATATGTCACTGATATCTTTGGCTGAGGATGCTGCTATGGGCGGGACTCATGCGAGGTACCTGGTCGCGTAAAGCCGGCATCTTAACCATTCGCACCTTCCGACTTGTGGGCAGAGATACAGCAGGAACCATACAATGTTGAAGAGTGGAAGACCAGCCAGCCGACATCAACTCATTGACAACCCACTACCTTACCTCAGTTCCACCCACCCTTCCCTCCAAACCCACCACTCTCCTCACTCTTCCCACCCCCACCAACCCCACCTCCCCTCCCACTCCTCTTCGACTGCGCCGCCTCATGCTTCCTCAACTCCTCCGGCACACGGGAAAGCTCACTCTTCCCCATCATCTGCTTCAAATCAAACAAAACATCCTGATCCTCCTGCCCCAAGAACGTAATCGCCGTCCCCGTCTTCCCCGCCCTGCCCGTCCGCCCAATCCGATGCGTATAACTCTCAATATTCGTCGCCATATTGAAATTCACCACCAGACTCACATCCGGGACATCGATACCACGACCCGCCAGATCAGTAGCGACGAGGACATTGGTGCTGCCGGAGCGGAGGGATGCCAAGGCTGCTTCACGCTGTTCTTGCGTTTTGCTGCCGTGGAGCGTGACGGAGGAGTAGCCCATGCGTTGGATGTCGCGGGCCACGGCGTCGCAGTTGCGTTTGATGTTCACGAAGACGATGATGGGCGGGGCAAAATTGCCACTATTCAGGATCTCGGCCAGGCGCTTCTTCCGCTTGTCCTCGCCGCCGACGAATTCGGCGCGTTGTTCTACCGTCTCGACCGCTTCGCCTACGTTGCCGATGGTGACGATCGCCGGCCGACGCAGATACTTCCTTGCGATTCGCTCCACGGCACTGGGCATAGTAGCCGTATACATCATCGTCTGCCTATACCTATCCTTCCCTCCAAAAGCCCTGCGACTCCCCATCGCCAGCGCATCCTCCGCCTCATCCGTGTCCGGTTTCTCGTTTGAAGCAGGCAGAGCGTCGAGAATCTTATTCACCGGCTCCTCGAACCCCAAGTCGATCATCCGGTCCGCTTCGTCCATGATGATGTAGCAGCATTGACTTAGCACCAGTACGCGTCGCTCGATACAGTCGATTAGACGACCCGGGGTGGCGATGATGATTTCGGCGCCGTCGCGCATGTTGTAGGATTGTTCGGCTATGGAGTGGCCACCTACAAGGGAGACACATTTGAATCCCAGAGGCGTGGCGAACTTCTTAGCTTCCAGCTCGATTTGTTGCGCTAATTCGCGGGTGGGGGCAAGGATAATGGCGTACGGCCCATCATTCTTCGTGTACTCATTCAGCGGAGGGAGCTCAGTAATATAGACGAGCAAAGGCAGCAAGAAAGCAGCCGTCTTACCCGAACCGGTGACAGCAACACCGATCAAATCCCGGCTCTGCAGCGCAATCGGTATAGCTGCTTGCTGCACAGCCGAAGGTTCTTTATAGCCCACCGCATCCACGATATCCATCAATCGTCTTGGCAACCCACTCTCCTCCCAATTGCGCATGGGATTCGGGATCCCGCCTCCTTTGGTGGCGATGTTGAAGTCCTCCTTGAAGATACGCCAGTCGCGCTCCCGCATCTGATCGAGTCGCTTATCAGACCAGTGTTTATCGATGCCGTTCCTGCCGCCCTCCTCTCGTCTTCTTCGCTCCATCTCCAGTATCTCCGCCGCACGCTGCCGGCCGGCCTCCGGATCCCGCTCCTCGATAGCTTTAGCATATTGTCGGGCCACAGCCAGATCCTCATCATCCGCAAACCCACCTAGCTTACCACGGCCAAAGAAATTCGTTTCTGTCCTCGTCGCGTACAGAGGATTATAGTCAATACTCGTATCCTCCTCGGTATTCCACTCGAAATTGAATTTCTTCTCCGTCGTCCGCTTTCGTTTCTTCTTGGCGGAGAACGTGCTCGTGTTCGTGTCGGCGCCCATGTAGCGGTTTCGAGTCATCTCGGCCACGACATCGTCTTCCGATGCTTTCTTGCCTCGTGACTGTGGCCCATCGACTATAGCGACGGCCTTGGGTGGAGGTGGAGGCGCCATATCGTAGCCTTTATTTGGCAGTGAATGGCGCATCGCTGCTGGTCCGGACGGAACATGGCCATTAGTTCTCTCCGATCTCGGTCCTGTCGGTGGTGGGCCACGAGGAGGATGCCCGTTGGTAGATCCGTTGGCATGGTCCTTCGCATTCCCATGCATCTTGGCCGGACCCTCCCTCTGCTGACTAGCCTCATACTCCTTCTGTCGCTTCTCCAATGCAATCCGCTCTCGCTCCTTCTTACTTAAGAACTTCGGCTTCGCAGCCGCTTCATCCTGAGCTTTCTTCTTCGCGAGCAGTTGCTCTATGCTCAAGGGCTGTGCTTTAGGTTCAAGCTTACGCTTTTTCACTACCGATTCGCTTGGGGGTGGAGGGGGCGCTATACCTGAGCTCGGTGGAGGTGGTGGCACATCACTTGATGGTGGAGGTGGGGGAGGCGGCGCATCGCTGTTTGGAGGGGGTGGAGGAGGCACTTCTAACGATGATAGAGGAGGCGGCGGTAGTATGATGAAGTCGTTCATTGTCTGTCGTACGTCTAAATGACTAGAAGGACAATTGGAACCCTTGCTACTTTTGCAAGACGGTCCACGCTCCACACGAAAGCCACGAACGAAGCTCTTTGGCATGTGCTCTGCATGACTCGCTAGCGCAGATCTTGCCGCAGGTCGACGACAATACAGCAGTCAACCGAGCATCCACGGTGATATACAGCACCTTACTGTCTTCACGAGCGGAGGACTCCAACCCTCACCAGATCATCATGTGGTATCGTAAACGCTACCAAGTATACCAGGCAAGACGTGGCATAAGTAGTCTCCCGACCAGCTTTTCGGGTAGATAAGATCTATATAATACAAGTCCGAGAACATCATCCTCGTAGCGAACGGTGGTGCGAACCAACGCAAGTGCAGCATCGTCAGGCTTCGAATCATTCGAACATGCGCGACGCTGCTCGAAATCGCTAACAGAATATGATACAAGAAGGGGCAGGGTAATCACTGCGGCTTGGCGTTCCAATCTTTCATTGTCCTTCCTTCTTCTACTTCTTCTTCTCTCTTTGTCGGTGATGGTAGTATCGTGTCGTTGTATGTTGTACGTGCATGTCGTAGTCGGTACACCGACCGATCTCTTAGGCCGCCCGAGCTTGTTGAGCAAACCATGGGTCGAGCTCTAGTGGCGGTAGTCGTAGTGGCAAATCTTCATGGTATATCGTTGGATGTGTCGGCTGCGCTGCATGATTCGCAGGGTTGCCCGCGAGTCAATAACCACGCTGCATGTCGCTGCTATAACTCGCCGCCTGGCTGGCCGACACCTGGCCCTTCAACGCCACAACCTCATCCTGCAGGTTCCGAATCCGCAACTCGTACTCCTCCTGCATCTTCCCCATCCTTTGCTCTAATCCCCTCACATAAGCCCAGATATCGCCATCGTGGCCCATGATGTCCCGAGTACTGCTTCCCGACGACCGCCCATGACTAGACAAGCTCCCAGGATTCGACCCTTGACCTCCCCCATGAGCCACACCCACATTGTGAGGCGGGAGCTGCTGATGATGGAGAGAGCTCGGACCAGGTAAAGCGGCCGAGGACCGTGCTTGTGGCTGACCGGTGGGGAGAGGTGGCAGTACAGGTCCGGGTAAAGAATGCTGAATCGGAGGCGGTGCAAGAGGCTGAGGAGGAGTGGCTCGACCGCTACCTCGTCCAAAATGCTGCTGCTGGAATTGCGTGGTCAGACTCGGACTCCTATTGCGGTTCTGCGCGCCCATTGCTGCGTCTACGCTTAAGCGGTGCTGGTCTGGTGGTTGGCCCGGTGAGAGAGGTTTTGGTGATTCGGTCATCATGACTGGCTGCGCGAAGGGCATGCCTTGAGAGGTCGCTGGGTACGGTGGATAGTACGAGGAAGAGGCGCCCATGGAACCTGCTGCAGGACTGGGGTGGCCTGACATCTCGCGTGGCGATGTCGCCGTGCTCGAACCGGGATGTATGACCTGCGGCGGGCCCATACTGCTCACACTCGAGCCATGAGGCCGGTTTTGCATTTGCGGTGGTGGATATGTGCTGGAGTGTTGTCGGTAAACTTGTCTGTTCGAGTCCTGTGGCGTTTCCAGCTGCGTCCGCTTTCGGCTAGGCTCGCTCACGCGCCTGCCATGCGCTGCGTCATCGCCATCCTCGTCGTCGTCGTCGCCAGTGTACTCCACTCCATCCATGCCTTCGTTTGCGCCGTCAAAGTCGTCGTCGCCGCCGAAACTAGATCTCCGCCCTGCGCAGCCGCCTGGTCCTTTGTTGTGTCGAGCCAAGGCGTCGCCACGTGCAAACCTTCTCCCACATTTGTCGCAGGTATGTGGCCGCTCGCCTGTATGTAATTTGGTGTGACGTTTCAGATCATGCAGTCTGCGGAAGCGCGACTGGCAGGTTTGGCAGACATATGGCTTCTCTTGGCTGTGCGTTAGCAGATGGCTCTTCAGGTTGTGATGTCGTGTAAAGTCGGTCGAGCAATAAGGGCACTTGTGCCGTTTGTTGGATGAAGGTGATTTCGGACTTCCTTGGATGCCCGGATAGCTCATACCTCGCGAGGGACCAGCTTCGTGGTTGTCTGACGGCTGTGGTGGCGGGCCGGGGTACGAGAACGCTTTGTTGCCGTCGTCACCTGCTACTGCGAGGTGGCCGTTGCTAAGGTAGCTCCCACCTTCGGACATTTGCGCTGGCTCGTCCACGTACTGCACACTTGAAGACCCGTTGTTCGCAGTTGCCGTCATGGCAGACGTGGAGCCGCTTGTGTCAATCGTGCCAGCCGTGCCAAAGCTGCCCAGGCTGCCCATGCTGACTGGACTGACTTGTAACGAATCGTCCTGCGTAATCTGTGGTATGTGGATCTTCTCGGCTGCTTTCCGAAGCGGCTCGGATAGCTTGTTCGGCGCCGGCGCATCTGCTGGCGTGCTGACACCGGCTCCGCCCATCAGTGAATGCATGGCTTCTACCGCTGGGTTGGGGCTAGTCTGCCTCGAATCTGGCGAGGATCGTTGTTGCCGGCGTCTTTTCAGATCTGCCATGGCAGCCTGGCCAGTGAGGGCGATAGGCGTAGAGCGAGGCGAGAGGCCAGCCTTGTCGGACCGCGAAAGAAAACCTGTACCAGACGCCGACGACTTCTGCGAATGAGGTCGCAATAGGTTTGGGTTTTCGGCGCTCAAATGGCCGCTTGCTATGTTTGACGCGCCCGCGAGAGAGGTGGGTGTATGAGGGTGGGCGTCGAGGGGTGGAAAGGGTTCGGCGGGCGGTGTGGTCGCTCGAGTTGTGGCTGCCATGTGCTTGGTATTGCTCTACGAAACTCTCGTCATGGCAGTTGGAGATGTGTATTCTGCGCAGTGCTATTAGCACCTTGCATGAAAAGCATACTGCTCGTCCCAGGGTAGGGTCAAGCATCTCGCGCATGCTCAAGCCGCGTGGCGACTTACAGGTTCTTGCGCGTGGCTAGTTAATTGTTTCAGAAGCGAGCGTGGGTCGAGGCAGCATCGCACTGAGGAGCTGTATGTACGTCTAACCCCAAGCGTTGGGTGGCAAATGGTCGCAAGAGTCCGTATCGCACAATCTGATTCGTATACCACGCCGTCTGATCTGTGTACTGGCGCCGATGGTCACAGTAAAAGACGAAAGAGAGACGGCCGCAGAGCGCAAAGGTGGCAGGCTGGTGCGTTAGAGCGTCTCACTTCAGCTATCCGTCTGGGGCTGTGTCGAAAGAGGCGTTTTATCGCCGATGGGACAGCGGGGATTGAGGCTGACGGGAAGCCTTGGCACTTGTAATCGTACGGTAGAGTTTGGCACGATTGCCTTCGTGGTAATCGCGTTCGGTACGTCGCCGAGCAGTTCTACCGAATAATGATTGGGAGGTGTATCGGCAAAGAGGTTGGACGGTAAGTTGAACAGCAACGCGGACGTGGATGGCGCAGATATCCAATCCCGCAGATGACGCAGCCTCTCGCAGCGTGGCTGGAAAATGCTCGCCCTTGGCACGCGCCTCGAGCCCTCTGATCAGCAACCGTTTCTGAGATGCAGAGACCCTGCCGCATGCGCCCGCTAGCAGCAGATCGAGCTATACGACACCATCTACCGTCCATGCTTTGGCGTCTTCCCTACTCCCGAACTTGGCCATACTACTGTGGCAACCTGCAGGCTATACAAGGCACAAAGGGTTTGGCCACAGGGTTTGGCCACACCAAGGCTAACGAAGCAAGCTTTCGAAGCCTCAACCTGGCGGGAAAGCGACAACGAGACGAAACATCCATGAATGTCTCAGTATAGCGGGCCTAGCCGCTGCATAAAATCCGCGACATGGCCGAGGTTGGGCCTTGTCTTCAGCTGCAGGGCAACAAAGGTCGGCAGCTCGAAGAAACGATCTTCAAAGTGCTTCCTCCAGTGCGGATGAGACTTTACTTCGCTCTTGTGGCGCTCAAGATCGACCTAAATCCTAATTCTCCGACACACTTTCTCGATTCAACAGGCACGTGCATACGTAACTGTAGTATTGCTCTAGCTTGATCAATGTACCAGCAAAGTCCTCTACGGCGACTGCGCTCGATTGTGAAGCTTGAGAGTAGTGAAATGTCGCTCGTGTCTGTCTTCCCTGGTGCTTCCGCTCGGGATACGCCACCTCAGACAAGACGAGACGGCAGACGATGATCGACCTCACATGCCGTCACTCGAGAGGAATTGCCGCCGCGAGAGTTTTGTGATGGGCATGACGTATATTGTATATCGCTCCATGAGCAGACAGTCAATAGCCTATCTTGCTTTTTGTTGATCTCTTTCACCCTTTATCATGTCATCACGAGGATCGCGAAATGAGAAACTGCAGAGTGGAGAGGTCCATATCCACGTGGTCTGTAGAACTCCATCCCATGTGTGGCAGGGAGAACAGTGACAAGGATGGCTTGTCTTTCACGATAGATTACGACTTCAATTTTCCTCACACATGCTCTATGAATGGCTTTGTTGGACAAGGGACTTCGGACCGTGTAGTTGCCATGCAGCGAACAGTGGCTATGACCCGATATCTGGGGAGACAAGCACGCAAGATGAATTTAAACGTCGTTCCAGCTCTTGCCGTCCTACAGCTCGGCTCGACGAACATCCGTTCGACACCGCCACGTCGACAGCCAACGAATTCAAAGCCGGAAGGCGAAGGAAAATTCCGGACTTCCTGCGTCAAGGGTTAGAACAGAGATCCAACCACTGCCACGTTCACCCGATGTCTACAAACCAATATCGTATTCAGTTTTCTGCGCGTAATCTATGGACACGTCGTGGTCTTTGTGGATGATCGGGCCTCCTACCACGGTTTGGAACATGCCGGCCGCTACATTCCTAAATGCAATCTGCACCGCCCTGATCTCTCCGCCCTTGGCTGCTCTGCGCGGCTCACACTTCGACCGTGTCTCCACCCTCAAGCACAAGCTGTAGCACGGAATATACCTTAACAAGGGTCCCACACGAGCTGTGCACTGGGAAGGAACAAGTGGTAGCAAAACACGAACACAACAAGCTGTCGCCGTAGTGCCTGCAGACGCGTTGCACTTGATACTCTGCTCATCCGCTCTACCCGCCTCCCAAAAACGGTGCATCCGCCTTCTCGTGCTCAATGGGTAACTCTGTTAAGCCTTCCTGCGTCCATCACGAGGCACAGAATGTTCAATCCCAACCACGACCCCTCTCCACGGAATTGCGGCGATCGGTCCAGTCCTCGTACTCAGAGCAGTCACACACCCAGCCAGGACGAACGGAGGCCTTATGAGGGCGCACCAGAATCTCGGTGCCGTTGAAGACGCCACACTGACGAGACAGGAATTAGCACGATCGACAACAGATGAACGTCAAGTCTTCAAGCAGGCACATACCATATCTAATGTCTGGCCGGTCCAGCTCATCGAGTTGCTCTGGAAAACTTCGCCGTGGACTTCGTACTGCAGCGAGCCGAACTTGCTGCCGGTCTTGTGGCTGTACATTTCATCCAGATCGGCCATATCGATGTAGCGGTCTGCTTCAAAGTGATTGACCTTGTCCATCGCATCACGGATCGTGAACGAGAAGTTGATTGACGAGAGAGGTTTGGGCTTGACCAAGATCAGTTCGCCGTCGGAGAAGTGCTGTCGCAGCTGTTAGCCCATTGACACCGTTGAGCATCCCGAGGTTGCGCATACTTGATCAAGACTCCCCTGCGGCCATTCGGTGGCGATCTTGTCATCCTCCACACCGTTTAGGGTGTAGAAGAAATCGAGCTTACGTGTGTCACGACCAGTACGCTGCGAATATAGTTGAATGAGGTCCTGGAAAGTGCTAGAGCCGTCAACCGGAATAACTACTTCGTTGCGCATCGAGTCACGGAAGGTGATGGAGACTCTAGTCGCTTCACCAGTGAGAATACCGCCAACCTTTTCTACGTTGATGGTGGTGCCGTTGCGGATGCCCAGCTGAAGTTCCATGTCAGTCAATAATGATTGGCAGAATAGGATATCACTTACCCAGAGCAAATTCGCACTGTACTGGCCTTTCCCGATCACTTCACCGCTTTCAGCCATGGTGAATACCAGGTCGTCTGCTTCGGACCCGGTCCACCAAGAGTATTCGTGGATGAGGTCGCGAAAGCAACTATATGTCTCAACAACGAAGCTGTGGCGACCATCGTCTGACTCGATGGTGACAGTGATGCTTGCCGACGTGCTGTACACGGGATGCGAATCAGACACCGACGGACCCCAGCCTCCGCATGGCGAGACTGGGGAGGGGGGCGTAGTGATAGGTGAAGACGTGTCCCAGCCATTGTATACCGGGCTCTGAAGGCGCGATCGCGGCTTTGGCGGGCCGAAGGAAGGAGACCGGGAGCGACTCGAGTTCACCGTACGCCTGGCGTCGCCGAACACAGACTCGACATCGAATGAAGCAGCTGAAGCCTTCGATGGATGTGCCGTCTTTGCCTTGACCATATAGGGCAGCTCCTCGACAGCCTTAATGACGGCGGCGGCAATGTTGTGGATGACCTTGGATGAGGAACTGGGATTTACCGCAAGCTTTTGCAGTGCCTGGGTGATGCCTTCGTTCTCCTGAATGGCCTCAAGGGTGTCGAAGGGGATCTGGATGTTGATGGAGGCAGCCATTGTGGGTGGCACTTCTGTCTCTGTGTATCGAAGTGTAAGTTGTGTTTGGATTGGTGTATGGAAAGGAAGGGGTGTTGAAGGAGGTTGGGAAAAGTATGTTGTTGGCCAAAAAAGGGCCTGAGCTGGAAAGTAAATAGATTCGACGGCGCTGTCATATGCCAATGCAGCGTCCAAACGATTGAGGAAGTGACGAAGGTGGGACTCAAGTGAAGGAGAAGCTTAACGAGGTGATGGACCTTTCATGATGGAGCAGCAGCCTGTGGTCTCGTGCTTCACTTTCACGACTTCAACCGCACACAGGGGCACAAAGTAGCGCCATGAGGGCAGTGAGGGAGTTTCTAGCGATACCGTCAGTAGCATTCGTTGAATTTCAAGGAACAGATCTCTCACCTTGAGTATTACCCTTTCTGCTGGTCAGTCAAATTCTCCCCTCTGTGTCTTTGTGAAGCTGTCATGCACCTGTCCTGAATATGCTACGTCAATTAGTGAACAGATGGATGATTGAAGGAACGAGAGCAGTATCGGTAAAGGTTTTTCTTAGTCTGCTGGTAGCTAAACGCAGCTATGCTCATTACCCAGACCAATGTCGAGTACATCTCGACTCTCATCGCCAGAACGCCGTGCTTCAAGAACGCTCCCAAATCCATATGATCCTCCACGCCTTTAGCGCCGGGCTATGAGACGCTGCCAACGCAAACAAAGTGGTATCCTCTTCGTGACTCGTCAAAAACTCCCTATTGCCAGCCGATATGGCATGGGAGTGTTATGTCGTCAAGCGTGCCGCCGTTGTGAATCGAAAGTGCTCGAAACGCTCATACTTCAAGAGCAAGGTGCATTGATCGTGCCTAGGCGTCCTTCAGTGCTGGGTCGATATTTGCTTCATCGGCAGCACCGCTGCCCGTTTTCCTCTCCGCCTCAGGAATGACTGTCCTGATTTCCGCAGTTCCCTCACTATCCGTCCCTTCCTCCTTGATCGTCGGCTCATACTCCTCAAGTCCTTTTAGTGTACCTTCGTGCTCAACTTTTCTTCTCTTCCATAGATTGCCGTCTGGGATGGCCTCCAATGGCGTCCGGCAGTATGTCACCGTCCTGGTGACTACTTGCTTCACAGTAACTTTCCCGGGCTTTCCAGTCGTCTCAACATCGACGTCACGGGACGAGAACGATGCGCTCCATGGCGCAGCGCTGAGTGGAGTTGATGTGTAGGGTGTGCCGACTGATCGGGCGGAGGGCATGCCTGCTGATGGCAAGCCTGTAGAGTATGGTGATTGCGGGATCGTTAGCTTTCGCGGTGTCCGTGCTGATCGTAGTGCTGGCTTCGCAAATGGCGAGGGTGGGATGGTAACGCGAGGTGACTCTGGTCGTTGTCGTCGAGTGCCAGTAGCACTGGGAACAGAGGAGGCGATGCTTTGTGTCGAGGATGAAGTAGCAGTAGAAGTGTTCGAGTCATACGATGTATTGCGAGACAAAGCGGGTTGCGAGGTTGGGGGGCTGATCGATGGCTTCTCGGTTGCTGTCTCGGAGGCTTTGTCGGACCATCTATCGGTCTTGTCGCCGTGGAAGCTGAAGCGAGCACTTGTGCTCGTTGGTGCCGGGCTCATCAGAGCAGGGGACATGTTCTTCAGGAAGTCCAAGTACGCAGAAGGTGGAGTGATAGGCGTCTTTAATTCGTCATTTCTTTGCTTGAGGAAGCTGGGCGATCCGGCAAGTGGGCTACGCATTTCAGATGGTAGACCACCAGACCTGGGCGTTTGCAGCGAAGAAGATCCAGTGCTAGGTCGTACATCGAAGCCGGCAGCAGCCATAGTGGCGGTAGCAGTAGCAGATGCCATCGTTGCGTATCGTCGTTTGAGAGATGAACGAGTGACCGAGTGATCAAACGAATGAATCGGCAACGACGACACCCAAGTCCTGCGGGCTCTGGTAAGCAACGCCGGTGAAGAGAAAGCAAGAGAAGAGGACGTGATCGAGATGGGCAAGGCTTAAGGTAATGGGGTGTGCAGCCATGCATGCAGGCATGCAGGCATGGCAAGGCCAGAGGAGCTTACCTGATGTTGCCAACAGCAGGCTTCGGCGTCTCACAGCACAGTCCTGCTGCTGCTGCTTGAGCTGGCCCGCGACGATACATGCAACAGCGCTTGCGTCGCAGAATGTACGCGCCGACCAGATTTAGGACAGTGAGCCGCCGCAGCGAAATGCTGCGTTTGCAGCGCTGCAGGTGAGCGGTCGAAGTCGTCCAATTGACGTCGAGACGGAGAGGCCTGGGTTGACGCTAACGGATTGCCGGGATGCGCGATAGGCCAAATGCTGGAGCGGCGCTTAAATCCCTGTCAGCTCTGCACGAGCTTTTCGAATCCTTTGATTGGCAGGATGTTGCTTTGAGCAGATCCAAATCACGGCAGAGCTGATGATGGGTGTTGAAGAAAAGAGCTGTTGCTGTTGTGCCGTAAAATTGCGTCGTTAGCACTCCCGTTGGTGTGATGTTGTCGTGCCTCGAACGAAACGTGGATGATGATCACAATTGCAGATCAGCAGCGACCCGAAGCCTCGGATGTGGTGTAGGTTTGGAGTAGAAGCTTTCTGGAAGAGTGATAGAAGACACCACTGCATGTCACCTGGACGCCAATCTATATATGCTCTTCACACGAGCAAGCAAGCGCTGGGGAGTAAACGCTCACAGCAGTGGATACGTTGCAAAGGCGACAGTGCTGTCCTCCTCACTGGCAGCAACGTCGACCATGTCGAGCATTGCAGTCTTACGAACGTTGGAAGCAGAGACTGTAGGCGCGCGTCATGCTTCCTCGATACAGATAGGCGAGACGCCTGCCCGAAATAACAAGACCGAGGTGTCGCGCTCTGATGTGGGCATACCTGCGTACAACCATGTGCCGCATCCGTCGTCAAGCTATTCGAGCAGTAGTTTTACTCAGATCCTGGTAGTGGCAGCCGCTGAGTACAACAATATCTCTACTGCCGCTTTTATGTACATCGTACAGCCGCGCGCCCGGTGTCTTTTGTGAGCGCGTCCAGGGTTTGGCCAGTCGTGCTGCAAGGAGACGTCTTGTTCTCGAAGCATTGCTTCATCACTCCGAGTCCTCAGTTGGTGATAGTGCTGCAAATCCCCATGTGTGCGCTTACGATTGCGCAGGCCTCTACCTTCTGTCTGCTTCGGCTCTCTGAGAGGCCATCTACCTGATGCGATGGCTGCTTCTATCTGAGCATCTGCTTCGACCCGCAATCGTTTCTCAGCGCTCTGGTACTCGGTCGAGTACGACTCGTTTACGTGCGTCAAGTCATTGTCCGCTAGCTCCGTGTGTGGTCCTTCGAGCTTGAGTCGTAGAATCGTCTTTCGCCACTGCCGATACTTCTCGTCGCCCCCACTACCACCATCTGCGGTAGCGAGCTTGCACCACAAAGCATACCAATCCATACGATGTGTTGCGAATTCATCCGTTTCCCAAACCCAGGGCATATCATTCAACACTTGATCCTTGAAATAGTGTTGTGGGAGCTGGCTGAACGCCCTCGAAGCAAGAAGAAGATTTGCAAGGTCGCGGCGGTCCAGATGTCCAATGATAATATCATTTAGCTCGACCGGCAGCTCTCCGAAAACATCGTCTCTACTCCCAACCCTCGGCTCGAAGATGGTATGAGTCGTGGTACCGTCGGGTAGTTGGCAGGATACAATAAGCTCAATTAACCCATCGACGTCAATCGGGTTGCTGGCTAAATACTCCGTTCCTGGCTCACAGTAGTACCATTGATCGACAACAATACTAAGATCTGGTGACTCTGGGAAGTCCTCAAATCTGTTCTCGTAAGCCCCGTGTGTCTGTGCATATCATCAGCATGAACATTAATTTTGTAACACGGTCGGCGCTGACCTCTCTAAGCATCCACAGACCATCGATGTTGATGCATCCGAAGCGCTGTAGACTTGCTTGCTTGAACATGTCGAAGCACCCCGGATGCATAGGGAGCGCGAGGCGGTCGTCATATGACTTTGCTCCAATTAGCCGCTGGAGAGACTCGTCGTTCTTATGCTCGCCTTACGTCCTCCTTACGGTTGTTGCCAACCATCGTCTCAGATAGCCCATGTCTAGCTGGTGTCAATCCTTCTACGTCGAAGTCGTCTACAGCACGCGAGGTGACGCCGGTGACGAAGCAATATTTTGAGAGGGTCTCGTATGGCTTGTCGTCTGTTTCTGGGCTCCAACCTTCATGCTTCGGAGCCAGACAAATGCACCTAAGCCGGTCCTGAATGTTCTCAGCGGGCTTGTTTCGTGCACGATGTGCACTCGGCTAGTACATAGTTGCATCTCCTTTGTGGTGACACGCCAGCCTGAGTAGCCAAGAGTGTATGTGCAATGAGGTCCGGCAAGATGCTCTGGCTCAGCCTCAGCATCGTGGGGAACCCGAGTCTTGTCAGTGCAACCCTCTGCCTCACAGGGTTCAATCGTGTCTTCCTGCGTCACGTAGTCGTAGTGATAGCTCTGCCAGCCGGCCTCTTCAGGTTCATCTGCGACTTGTGAGATAACGAAGGTCGTAGTTCAACACACCATGCTTCCTGATACGAGCAATATTGAATGGTATGCCACATATTTGGCAGACTTGCTCAGCATATCCCATTATGAGAGAACGACTCAATGTCTGGATGAAGTGAAGTGGATTGGATGAAGTCAGGTGGGTATAATATTACCTTTATACTTCTCTGGTCAGGCAGCAGGACGCCTCCACGAAAGTTCAACTTGTCCTATCGCCAAAGGATTGCTCTCCTAGTCATGATGCTGGGCTATGGGAGTATTACCAAATGTCGTCTGGTTGTGTGCCGTGAAACGCGGTACATCTCCCGAGGACGTGATGATGGACCTGTATCAGCGTCGGATCTCGAGGCGAAGCTCGATGGGCCCCACTTTTGGCCGATTCGGGTTAGCGCATCAACACGAAAGCGACGCGTCGCGCGACTCTCAGTGATCTTCGTCTCGTCCAGAAAGTACCCATACCAGCCGTTACATTGACGTTGACCTGCGCAGGATTCAGAGCGTAGCACTCGATACGAGATATTCGGCCCACCACTCCTGAGATATCCAAGAACTCCGAACAGCCGCAATGGCGCTCCTGACGCACAAAGCGCTTGCAAACTACGAGGAGCAGCAAGGTATAATTCAGAACAAACACGGTTGAGCATACCACTGATAGAGTATAGCTGCCTTCGAGGACTTCTTGCGCAACTTCAAGTCTTCCACCGCAGAGACAGAAGATGCTCTCGACGATTTGCGGCTGGACGGCGACAGCGATGAGTACGACTTCATGGACGCCGACGATGCGGCGCGAGAACAGCGACGTGGGACACGATCGAAGACAAAGTACATGAACGTGCTGCAAGATGTAGCTGAACGGACAAAGTCGCAGGTGCTGATAGATCTGGACGACCTGGAGCAATACGAGAGGACGTTGGACGAGGATACTGCCCTGTCTATGAACCTTGTGCATTCTGTCGAGAAGAACGCACATCACTACATTGAGATCTTCTCCCGCGCCGTCGACAAAGTCATGCCTGCGCCTACAAAGGAGCCGAACTTCAAGGACGACGTGATAGATATAATCATGACCCAGCGATCGAAGCGCAACGACAATGTGCGGCAGCAGCAGGAGAACAACATTGACGGAGCAATACCCGAATCGATCTTCCCTCCCGAGCTTACTCGACGATACACACTCAATTTCAAACCGATCACCCCTTCTGGCTCAAGTAGCGACAAAGGCAACAAAGCACTGGCAGTACGACAAGTGCGAGGCGAGCATCTTGGTCAGCTAATCACAGTGCGAGGTATCACGACTAGAGTGTCAGACGTGAAGCCTGCGGTACTGGTCAATGCGTACTCTTGCGACCGCTGTGGCCATGAGATCTTCCAGCCTGTCACCGCAAAGCAGTTCACACCACTGGTGGAGTGTCAGTCAGAAGACTGCGTGAAGAATGGCGCCAAAGGACAGCTCTTCTTATCAACACGTGCGTCGAAGTTCTTGCCATTTCAGGAAGTCAAGATCCAGGAGATGGCAGATCAGGTACCCGTTGGCCACATTCCACGACAGCTCACGATACATTGTCACGGCGCTCTTGCCAGACAGATCAATCCTGGCGATGTCGTGGATATCGCTGGCATTTTCTTACCCACGCCATACACTGGCTTCAAGGCGATTAAGGCTGGCCTGCTTACGGACACATACCTCGAGGCGCAGTATGTCAACCAGCACAAGAAGGCTTATGACAATATGGTGCTTGCACCAACCACGATCCGACGGATGACCGAGCTCGAACAGTCAGGCCAGCTATACGAATACCTCAGCAGATCAATCGCGCCAGAAATCTTTGGCCATCTGGATGTGAAAAAAGCACTACTTCTTCAGCTCATTGGCGGTGTTACGAAGGAGATGGGTGATGGCATGCGCATTCGTGGCGATATCAACGTCTGTCTTATGGGTGATCCTGGTGTGGCTAAATCTCAATTACTGAAGTACATCACGAAAGTCGCGCCTCGTGGAGTGTACACTACCGGACGAGGTAGCAGTGGTGTTGGTCTTACAGCTGCTGTGATGCGCGACCCTGTTACAGATGAGATGGTGCTCGAAGGCGGTGCGCTTGTGCTTGCAGACAACGGTACTTGCTGCATCGATGAATTCGACAAGATGGACGATTCGGACAGGACTGCCATCCATGAAGTCATGGAGCAGCAGACTATTTCGATATCGAAAGCCGGCATAACCACGACGTTGAACGCTCGAACAGCGATTCTTGCTGCTGCTAATCCTCTATACGGTCGATACAACCCGCGCATCTCCCCTGTGGAAAATATCAATCTGCCTGCGGCCTTGCTTAGTAGATTCGATATCCTCTTCCTGATCCTCGACACGCCTTCACGAGATGCGGACGAAGAACTTGCTCGGCACGTGACATTTGTGCACATCAACAACAAACATCCTGAGCCACAAGGTGGTGGGCTGATCTTCACGCCAAACGAAGTTCGACAGTGGGTGGCCCGCGCGCGATCCTTTCGCCCTGTCGTCTCAAAGCAAGTCTCCGACTATCTTGTTGGTGCTTACGTACGCCTACGCCAACAACAGAAGCGAGATGAAGCCGGCAAGAAGACATTCACGCACACTTCTCCACGTACTCTGCTCGGTATTTTGCGTGTCTCCCAAGCTCTAGCACGTCTGCGATTCGCAGAAGAGGTCATCACAGATGATGTGGATGAAGCTCTCCGACTAATCGAGGTGAGCAAAGCAAGTCTGTACGAGGACCAACGGGATCGCAGAGGCGATCAGTCTGCCAGCTCGAAGATCTACAACCTCATCCGCGGCATGCGTGATAGTGGTGCGGCGGCCACGGGCGAAGGTCGCGGCGAGATGGATATGCGGAGAGTACGTGAACGAGTACTGGCGAAGGGTTTCACTGTGCAGCAATTAGAGAGCTGCTTGGAGGAGTATGCTGATCTGGATGTAAGTTTTGCCGTGGCATCCAACGTCCTTGAGAAACACCATTTGTTGACACCGAAGTCTAGATCTGGCAAACGGCTGCTGAGGGTACGAGGCTGGTCTTTATTGAGACTGGGGATGAGGATGCGGATATGGGTGACGAGGACTTTTGATGATTGCGGATGGATGATTTGGTGTACCGAGCCAGCACGGCATCGACGAAGCGCAATTTCTTTGTGACTGGGCTCTTGTTCAGCATTATCCATGGCGTAAATGATTCCTCCATCGTCTTGAATCTCAGTTCTGAACTATGGAACACCCTGATCTCGATTCATGATGCTTTACTCGTCTCGAACCATGACGCTGATCTCATTCATCGGACATGACCTTACGCCATGGGTCTAAATATGGTTTAGCTTGCTCGGCACGGCTTTGCCCGCTCGGGGTCGCCTTTCCAGATCCTCCATCTACCTAACAATCACGAAACCATGTCCATACCAGGAAAAAGGTCATGGCTTCCGATCGACGACACTTTTCGGAGAGGGCATCGCGGTGCTCTTGCTGACGAGATCCTAACACAGATGGACCTGATGCTTTCGGCCGATTCCTCATGCTCATGGTTTGTGGCACTAGACAGGGCTGTGCAAGCCAGCTGAGCGTATCTGCCTCATGACTCCACGGCGACAGAAAGACGGACCTGACAGACTACTCTCCGATCGGCGGGCGAGCCAATGATGTACTGGTCATGGCGCAATTGCAATGACAGTACCGTTAGCTCAAAGGAGGTGCGGCCTCACTCGAGGCTGAACTTGGCTTCGACGTGCCAACACGTGGTACTTTGGTTCCTCCGACCGCTACCAGGCCTGCCACTAGCCACTAGAATGAGGCTGTGATGATCTCCCATGTTCTTAGGAGTGCATGGTGCTGGTCTGACGTCTTAGAACGCTTCCCAGATCACCAAGCTAGGACCAGATGTTCTCGTGGCTGCCGGCATTATCGACTCCAGCCCGGCCGGTGCGGCCGACGCACGGAATACACTCGAAGACGATGCCGACCTTCGTCTCTACGACATCTCAAATGTCCTCCATGAGTCTGAATTAAGGATGCCTTATTCCTCACGCATCGCGGACTACGAGCATGGCCCTGCATTAGCTCTCTACTTCAACCATCACTCATAACAGTGCGCTCAGCCTGCTATTGGTCGGTACCTGTATTTCATTTGCACGCGAGGATCACCTACGATCGTGTTCAAGGCCTGTCCGAACACCTTCTCCTTGTGACAGAAGTCGGCCGCGGCCTCCCACACGATGCCGCGCTGACTGAAGAATGTAGAGGTAGTCTACAGAGCTGTAGGTTCATCTCTCACTATATCTGTTGTTATTGGCTTCTGCTTCAGCCTCCTGTTCAGCGGTGTTAGGCTTTACCGTTGAGCAACCACTCACTGTCTCTATCGACGACCAAGCCTCAATCAGGGTTCCACCAGAATTGGAAAGAGGTATCGCTGCTACGACTCACCGCAAAGGCTGTTAATTCGTGCTGCTTGTCATCTATTCTGGACCTGATCTTTGGGGGGGCCATATGTTGGAGTCTCTGATCCTGTAACCGCGTTCTCGTCCTTTGCACGGCCAACACTACAAGAGGACCGGGCTGGAGGGACTCGACCTTCGACCCTCGACCGTGCCATGCCCCGACAGCATTTGCGATCCTTGTCGGCGAAGCCTCATCATGTCACAAGCAGACTCGAACTCTTCGGGTTCGGCCAGTATTCCGGACGACGATTGGAGCGCTATAAAGGATCCGAAGGAGCGACGACGAGTACAGAGCCGAATTGCGCAACGGAAGTTTCGTAGGTGATTGACTGAAGATGCGATGATATGCGCTAACACGTGTCCAGGCGAAAAAGTCCGATGGCAGAAAGAGGAGACGGACAGGGTTCGAGAGAATGAAGAGAAGGCCGGTGGTGCGTATTGCGCCCCTGAGGCAGAAGATCTCGGGTCTGGCGAGCTATCGGGTCTACCCTGGGGTGGTGTCTCCCTTCGACATGTGCTTGTGACTGGCAAAGCCAAGGAGCAAAGCTCAAGAGAAACGTCGCTCTACGCCGAGTCGTCGAAGGCAGGAGGAAGCTCGAGGTAAGCTGGTGGGTTACAACGGGCAGCGAAATCGGGGAGGATAGTACAACAACTGATCATGCGCAGACTCGGACTACGCCTTCTCGATCGCTACGCGAGAGGCAGTCCGGCATGGACAGCTTGGAGAGGCGGCACGGTAGCTTTTGCACCATACCGGCCGCCATGACTGTGGAAACTATCGTTTTTCGCTTCGTTGATTGTCCTCGCATGGCCGCAGGCGGCCTGCGAACAGCCAGGGACACTTTTCATCCATACATTTGTACTCTGGGAGGCTCAGCTTAGGCATCGTTGCAGGCAGACGTACAATTTTTGGTCTCCAACGGTCTCCGCTTCTGTACGCCGCACCCAGCTCCGCCGTTGTCGATTGTGTTATGTCGCCAAGTCTACTGTCAGTCCATAGTTGCACAGATCTTCGTTTACCCGATGAGGAAAATCCAACTTGGTGATGCGCCTCATTTGTTGGTCTTTAGTCAATTTCAGCCAATCAGAATGGCCTAAATTCAGGCTGCACAGCCTCCCGTGTGCGGCTTTGTACTAACCTTCACGACTTCACTTCTCGCAGACCACAACTTCATCTCCAACCGACATGCACAACGCCGCCCGTATCACATCCACCATACGATCGCACTCATACCAGGCTAGAATTTGCGACCATGACGGTATCTCGAGGCTTGCGCCACAATGTGATTGGGCATTGTCACCTCACGAACTCTTTTTACATTTCGAGCCCGGTACTGCTAGTGTCCACCGCGCCGGATCTTGATTAGCTTCGCAGCCCGCCCGCATCAGATGGAGGTCAGCTGGATGGCTCTCGGTTGTGAATGAAGATGGTCTTGCTGGGCCATGCAAAGCCGTTGCACTATGCTGCAACTCCATTTCGACGGCAGTGTTATATGCGCATCGCCATGACGCTGCAGGATCACCGAGCCGCATCAGGGATCACCACGATGCCTTGCAGTACAGCACGATCCTCTGTGATGCCCCACGACATGTCTGCGCTATCTGCGCCTGCCGAGCTATGTGGCGTCAGAGGTACTTCAAACCCTCCTTCATGACAGTTTTTCGGTATGGTGCCGAGCGGCCCAAACGACCGACCCACCTTAAGGACCAACACGACGCCGCCTCCATGCCTCGAGTCAGGAGGTGTGCAAGCAGTCTCAAGGACTGCCGTCAACCACTCGATCTTTTCAGCTTGTGGCCTAAGTGACCTTGAGCGGGTCTTTCCCGGATCGCCGTCAGGTCGCGATCGCAGTTTTCGCTCCTTATCCCTGCTGATTGTATAGCTCTGTAGATGATGTTGCTTTCCCTCAACGATTTGAAGGTGGGTTTGCATTATCGTTTCATCCAGTCTGCCGGTGACTCCGAGGGCTTCGAAGGCTGCCTCTCATCTGCCTTGAGTTTAGCAGTCATAAGTCAATATGAAGGTGACTTGCAAGCCAACGTTGTGTGTGGCAAAGCAGAGTATACAAATTGCGCAGACTCGACCCGTAGGATTTGGCTTCACTTCTTCAACTTACCTTTGTCGCTCTGGTCATTGGCTGGAGGATAGGTAAGCTCATATGTCAAGATACAGCACACCCGATTTAGACAAGCTCAGGCTTCGCGACTCTGACTCCGGTATGCCGGCCACCACACGGGCTATGCGCCGGACGAGCAGAAACTTACAAGCCTCTCATGCAGCATCTTCAAGGCCCGCCATGGCAAGCTCCTCCCGAGCACGTTCGAGTCGACAAGCTGCTGAACGGTCGCGGGCTGCAGTGTCGGCCAGTACACGCCAGGGCGCCGATGACGATGATTCCGACGATGGCGGGGGCGATGGCGATGACGATGAGGAAGACAGTTCTGATGAAGAAGTCGACCGAAGACCCGGAATCCTGCAGACGGTGGCCGTGTTCCACCCGGAGCATCTGACACCGGACGAAATCATCTCCAATGGTAATGCAAGGACCAGCGGCCACGAACTCATACACCGATTAGCAGATGTACTTTCACAACTGGTCCGTACCGACGATGACCTTCGCATCTTACAACAGGCCATACCTGTAGCAGGCCAGCTGTGGTCAGCACAGCTGGTCTCAAACATGGACAGACGGTTCTATGCAATCGAAAATGGTCTCCGACAGAACATTAACAATTTGCGGGAAGGTCAGGACGTCGTACGTACCATCGGCTTGCTTCGTGACCTGTTCAAAGCCCTGGACGGCATCCGAGCCAGGTACTTTGGAAGACTCTCGAACGTCAACCGTGGCACACTGGTCAGCCAGGTCGTTAGAATGCTGCTCTGGATGTTTGAGACCAACCGAGACTTGTATGCCAACACAGCCCGACCTGCGTCTGCAGGAGCGGCCATACATGGCGAACAGCGACTTTTGTCTTGCTTCCTATCTGCTCAAAGCCAGCCGCAAGTGATTTTTGGTGTCATCAATCGCTTCGACGGCCACTACCAACACGAGGCGCTAAGACTCCGGCAGCTCTTCCAAACGGTCGATCGGCACTTCAACACTGGACTGGAGGGCGATCCAGAGAATGTTCATCGGCAGAATCTGTGGCAGTTGCGACTCCAATTAGCGCGTTTGGCTGACAGTCAGTACTAGTTGCATCCCAATGATTTGTACATTGCTGACAATGTGATAGATGCTCGACCGTAGGCAGTACACGCGCTCAATACCGATCACTCTTGGACAATCTCATTCTGTAAATCTCTCCTTTGTGATCTGTTCCGAAATCAACTACTACGGGCCTTCCTTTGCAATCGGGATGGGCGTCTGCTTTATTCTCGCGCATGGGATTAGTGAGAGAGCTGATCTGGCGGCTGCCAACACCGGCATTATTATTTAGCACTTTCGATTCATCCACGTAATTATTGCCAAGCTTTCAGGCGAGCTCCACTGTACGCCCTCCTGAACAGCTATCATGATGGTACCTGACACAAAGCAGTGGTGGATAAGTGGTCACGAGCCTGATCGGCAGCAGCACAAGGACTAGCTCTTCGGTCCGTCTACGGTACGATAACATCATGCTCAATTGTGGTCGCCCCTGTACAGTACAAGCTTCTGTGGAGCGTGGGGTACAGTTGCAGATCACGGCGGATGCGTATTGATCCTGTTGACGACTTTGGAACGGTCTTAAGCGCTCTGATTCAGTGGTGACGGCTTGTTGCACGCAGAACCACGTGCAGTCTCCTGACCACGAGGAGCTCTTGACAAAGGAACAATGTCAATCGAGAGGGCTGATAAGTGACAGGGCCGAGTCTCCACGCCATTGGCTGATAGTGGGGTCAATCTTCCCCGCAATCCGCGTCTTAGCGGCATGACCTAAACCAAACAAAGAAGGGCTGGCCAGAGCTTGTGTCGTGCTCGTGTTTCGGGGGAGCATATAGTAATACATCTTCTTCTTCCCACAACCCCTTGGTCTCTTCCTGCTTACAATTGTACTGGACCTTGTCATTATACTACTCAGTTTCTGACCACAGCACTCAATCGCCGACTCGGGAGTCATACAGCTTACTGGTCCCCGGAACGAAGGCCGCATCACGCGATACTGTGACGTACACTGGGGTTTGGGCGGATACACACGGGATATACTTAATCAGGAGTACTTCTTGAGCTGCTCCCCTCGTACAAGAGCTTAGGCAGCTGCGATACAACGCTCAGACCTGGTACACAACTGAGCACGCGACCTGTTGTCGGCCCCTTGGCCCACTACTCTGCCCCACGAATCACTTTGTTCCGAGCATAACTGCTTCCGCCCGCACGACTTCGCACACCGCTCAGACCATGGCGGAGGAGAACAACACCCCACCAGAGGCTTCTCGCCAACGTCGATCGTCTTTTGCAGGACAGACGTTCGCTGGTCTGTTCGGCACTGGCCGCGGTAGGCCCTCCTTCGACAATGGCAACAATTCACCGCCTCAGCAACAGTATGCCGGGCCCATTTCACAAGCAGCCGCCCAGGCCCAGCGTAGGCGGATGTCCATAACCACACTCGGGCTTTCTGGATCGCCCACCGGCACACCATACGGCTCTTATCGCGGCCGTCATGATAGCATCAGCTCCTCGAACGCAACTTCCATCGACGAGTCCGCCATCGAAGACGATTCCAGTGCTCGTGAGCCTGCCACAACTCCCGTCACACCCTTTGCCAGACGCATGAGCTTCGGCGCTCAAGCATTACGAGACGTGAGGTCCACGTCGGGTAGCGGAGGAGGTGGAGGCACTGTGCAGAATGGTACTAAATCACCGCCTGCTACTTCTGCAAACCCAGCATCTGTTAAAGCTCAGAACGGGACGATCTCTTCCCGAGATTCGAAGGGTCGAGGTTTGTCTTCGCTGCAACATCCTCCTTCTCGTCGCTGCTCGATTTCATAGCCCCTATCGTATAATATGCTGACGATGAGTGAACGGGCAGGCTCTGCCGATTTCTGGAACGAGAATATGCGTAATCGTGCTCAACGGACTTCAATCATTGGACAAAGTCCAGAGGCGCCAGTCCAGGTGCCGCAGCCTGCGGCCACGACGCATAACCGTGCCAAGAGCGTCGCAATGATGGAGTCGCCGCCGCGAGAGATCCCGAAAGCTCAGCAGAGGCCAGATCATTTCCAAGAGAGGATACTGAAGGGTGACTTCTACATGGACTGAGTCGAGGGGCTGGAGTATGGGCAAGAACGATGGATGCGAGTAAAGGCAGGAAGAAGAAGTTCGATCTATGCTGGTCACGGCCGATGTGGAAGGCTTGAAATTGAGAAATACGACATTCGCAAGTGTTTGATCTCGGAGCTATGCTCGAGAATGCAAGGAGCTATGGAGTTACTATGGCGCAAAGAACAATCTCTCATTTGCTACCATCAACTAATGCGTGAGGAACCGCAGAAGGACAATGTAAAATTCCCATGACGGATATGAATCAATGAAACGTAAGGAATGAAATTGATCTACAGATTTCTGACTTGGGAAAGGAAATCTTATCTTCCGCTCCTATCTCTTCATTTGCCTTCATGAGGTTACAGGGCTGCACGCCTCGCAAGTCTTTGTTTGCAGAGCGCTAGCTTCGTCCCTTCACGCTCGATGAAGAGCTGGCTTGCAGCATACACCACATATGAGAGAAGTGTATCGAGGTCAGCGGATCGACCATTCTTGTCACCGCCATGGGAGTGGGATAGGGTGAAGAACACCGATTCATCGACTGCGAAGCTGGACACCTCGAGATCATCGGCCAGCATTAGCTTCAGATCTCTGGACAGACCTTTGGTTGGTAGGAGAGCGTTGTGTTGCTTTGTGATGAGTGCGCACAGGTTATTGGAGATGGTGCTCCAGTCTTTGCGCTCGGCAGCAGTGTATGCTGGTGCAGCTGACTTGGGAATCAGATTAGCGATAGCGAGGACATGGGCCTTGAGATACTTACGATCGAGTAGTGCCGGCGTGTCACGTTCAGTCGGGGACAGCGGACTTTGCAGCCATTGAGCTGCGAGTTCAGTCGTCGTCATAATCGTCATAGGCTGGGTCGAGTGGCTTCCTGATGATGCGGTCGAGGGACTGACTTCACGAGAATTGCATGAGGTCGACTGTGAGTTGGCGGAAGATGCTCGTCTGGCGCTGCTGCTACTACTAACGTTGTTGCCGAGGATCGCAGAGATCGGACCGGCCGATAACAGTGTTGAGAGCATGTTGGTAGTTGTCAGGGGCGAGACCGGCTCGCTTGAGGACTAACCTGTGCTTTGATTGTTCCCGCGTAGCAGAAGAAGCACAATTATTTCTACCCTAGCTGCCTTGTGTCTGGATGGCGATAGAGACTCCATGGCAGCTTCTCAAGATTGAGCAACTATATCGACTTCCTTGCTACAATCAAATTGTTGGCTGGCTGTACTATTGAGGCATCGAACCAAGAAATCGTGGAAGTTCAATAATCGATTGTACGACAGTCTGACACCGCACAGTACTGGTCATGCTCACACCCTTAGCAAATATGAAAGTAATTGGCTTGTCTGAGCTCGCCAGCAAGCTCGACTTACCTGCAGCATACCTTCTACATAACGTTACATTGGTCAGGCATCTGTGTCAAGCGTGCCGCACGAGGATGCCTTTGACGCCACAGAGCTCGTTGTCGAGCTTCCCACTCTGCTTGGACACGCAGGCGATAGTCCTGCTCGCGTCGATTGTCAGCGCAGCATCTAGCAATTTACACCAGTAGCGTACTAAGGTCTTGAGTCAGTAGACTGACCTCAGCAGCTGCGAAGGGGTCCTGTCGCCAGTCCAATCTAGCCTCTTTCAACTCTCGTCGAATAGCAGCGCGCAGTTGACGTGGTAAGAAGATTGCATCGAGCATGTCACCTTCTCTGTCGTCGATGTCCTCTCGCAGAATATCGATGATGCTTGACCAGCGAGCAAGCTGCATAGAACTGTATCCACGTCCACTTAGGGCCGCCAGGGCTGGGATCAGATTAGCCATCGCTACGATTCTCGGTGCCAGGTAGTCAGACCGAACGATAGCTGGACCGATCGCTTGCCCATTTGCCGGATCTGGTGTATGCACAAGGTACACTCGAGCGTTAGCAATACCGCGAGCCAGACCGGATTCTGTCGGCTCATCGAAACCTAAAGCACGATACATTGAACTTCCCTGGTCCACATTAGCAAAGACTCTCTGCACGGCCTGCCCGACTAGAGCCTGTCTGCCGGCGTTAGGACGCAAGGACTCATCCATAGGCAAAGCAAACAGTTCTTTCCTGCACAGTGGACATTTGTTTACCCGACGCTGGTTGAGATTCTGTACGATACAGACTTTATCGAAGATATGCCCACAAGGTATTTTCACGGGCTCATCGGGGTTGCAGAGGGATATGGAGCATTCGAAGTCCTCGTCTACTGTCGTTGGGACCAGCCCATTTGCAAGGCACTCGGCTCGCGTTCGCAATTGCGGTTGGGCATTGCTGCTCGTGCTTACGGTGCTGTCCGTCATGATGTCAACATTCGTTGCCGCTGTGAGAGTTAAACCGCAGGAGCGACGGCGCCAAGAATGCTTCTCGTCGAGCACATTATTAACGTGCGTGAAAGGAATAGGATACAAAGGACAAAGATAAGGACTTGTACAATGGAGATACCTTTCGATTGCCCTTTACCACCGTCTCTTTCCCGGATGCCCGTGCTAATCCTCATGGCTTTCGATTATCCGCAGGCGAAGATTCGTACGTAATATCTGTACCCTTTTCGGTATCGGAATAGGCAGTAGCTGAGATTGCGTCCTTGGTTCACCTTATTATGCAATGATTCTGCCGTAGACGTCCCTTTGTTGCTGCTTATAATAAGCATCAAAGAGCTCCCGCCAGTCACAGTAGACCCCATCCGCGTCGGCTATCACCTTGCGTAGCTTAACCAGCTTCGTGCTGTCTATACTATGTTGCAATCGCCAATCCTGCCGCTCGCCAGGGCCTCCACTACTGATACGGCGCCACTGCTCGATTCCGCGATCAAACATTCGCTGTGGGTGAACTAGGCAACGTGCGAATCGCGCATAGTCGTGATTATGCTTGTTCAATGCCACAAAGCTGAACGTGATGGTCCCTCTGACATCGTACCATCTGTGATGCGGGCCCGCTGCTAACGAGAACGCAAGTCCTATGGTGAAGTCCTCGAGCATACCAGGGGCCTTGGAGACGTAGTCCTCTACGCAGCGGAGTAGTTGTTTCGAGGCCAGACGCATGTTATTCCAAAGGTCTGCGGCTGGTACGTAGTCGATGATCTGAAGCCATATCTCATCTGGAATATGAGGCATGTTAAATTGTGTTGTACCTGGTGATGGTGATGTGTGGTATGTTCATCTTTGAGAGACCACGGTTCATCCGGTCTTGGCATTCGGACAACGATGCTAGCTTCCCAGCTATTATCCGACCTCTCTTCCACGCCCGAAGACGAAGCAAGGGAGATCGATCATGGTTGTGACGAAGACTTATGGACCGCTAAGCAATCAATTAGGTTTCTGGCTCACGAGAGCAAGAATCTGTTGGAACAGATTTAGTCGCTCTCTCTATCTTTCTCAAATAATACACAGCGTGAATAATGACACAATGAGCTTTGCCAAGTGGCAGACTGTGTAATGCTCGCAGCGCTGATACACGCTGTTGGTACTGTGAATGCACGATTCGGGTCTGCTTCCCATACTGCTGTCCCGTCGGATCCCATCTTGGCTTACCAGGATCTTTTTCCACAGCACATGATACTGCTCATGTTACCTCCTATTTGACGACTTACCTACCACCATCTCTCCCCGGCCCCAAACCCACAAACATACCCCGGATAGATCCTCTCCTCATCATCCCTCCACCGCGCCATATCGGTGTCCGCCTCCAGAAACCTCTCAATTCCCTCCTTGACACCCTCACTCCCAACGTTCCACATCCCAGTCTCAACATATCCTCGAAAGTGCCCCAGAACGGCCAACAGTGGTGTAGGATGTGCAGGCATGAAAGGATTCACGTGGCCCAGGTGGTAGAGGTCACAGTTCCGCTGTATGGGCCGGCCATCGCTTGTGGTGGCGTATCCAATGCCGCCTAGGTTGTATGGTAAGATGAGTCGACAGCCGTCTTCGAATGGAAAGAGGCCGGAGGCGTTGCAGGCGTCGAGGTAGAGACCTGCAGGGAGGGTCGGTACGTCTGTCCAGCCGTGCCACTGGTTCCTGGCTCGTTGCTCGCTAGTGAGAATTTGTATCGGGTTCAAAGGATAGTCGTTGTCCACGAAACTCTGGAAGGGCTGCTGGAGAAATTCTTCGACTGCTGGGAGTCGGAGACCAGGTCCTAGGTAGGTACATCGTGGCTTGCGAGCTTCGGTGAAGAATTTCCATGCAAAACGATCCTCATTCAGGCCCACCTGGCGCAGTACGTCTGCAGTGTATAGCCCACGCTCAAGCGTAGACAAGACTGCTAGATCCATCTTAAGCTCGATATTCTCGGCAAGCATGTTCCAAGCTGTTAATGTCTCGTCGACATCCCTCTTCGTGTACGATTGCATCTTCCACGGATTAAAGACCTCACCGACACGCCTGAGACCAGTCACAGGGTCCTCCTGAACGATACCTTCTGGTGCTGGCATGCCTACCATCTTAATACTGCCATCGGGCTGAGGTACAGCGAATTGCATTGGTGGCTCGCAAACACTCTTATGTAGAGCCACCACCTTACGGCGTTCAATCATGTCAATGTACACGCTCAACACGGTTTCGAGAGGTTGCCACGGCAGTGGCTTGCCGTATTGTGCGTCACCCGGCAGGTCAAACTCAGATTCGTAAAAGAGGCAGAGGTGCGTGTCCTGATTGTATCTGTGTACACAATTAGCGTATTCGTGGTCACTCCATAACCGCCGATCGCGAATCGTACACGATCCCATCCCTCAGCTTGGATTTGAATTCTGGACGAGTAACATAGAGCGTCACCAGGGATCTCAAGCCTGACTGATCCCACGCAAACATATCAGGTGGCAGATGCATATTTGGCAGGAAGTAGAAAAAGTTGTACTCCGGAGAATCCTCTGGGAACCCATCCAGGCATAGTACTGCTCTCTTCAAGAATTCTATGAGTGAGGGGTGAAGCCTTTTGCTGTAGCATCTGGTGGTAAGGTGGGACTTGTGGCGTGGTCCAGAATTTACTTGTCGGCAACGTCGAAGCGTCGTATCCGCTTGCAACCCAACAATGCCGAATTATTGCATTATGGAGTGCACTGCAGCGCTCGTAGTCTAGGCCATTGACACTGCTCGTGGGAGGCTGCGCCTCATTGACCAGATGTTGACTAATAGCCTCAAGAACGGAGAGGTCGCTGGAAGTGCTTGCGGGTTGCTGAGCATCATCGTTCATACTTGCTGTTCTGATGGCCCAGTGGTACTCTCGCGACGAATCCAGTGGGTGGTACAGATGACAGACATGACGGAAGGGTCTTGCTGCTGCAGCGCACAAATTATCATATCAATCCCTGCAGGCCGTGCTCTTTAGCGCTTGTAGAAGGCCTTACGGCAGATGGAAGGCGTCATTTCATGGCGGGCAGAGAGTCGAAGAACAAATATGGAGTCACATGGTGGCTTGGTGATGGTAGGGGGTCGTATTTGGGACGGTATCAATCGAAGAATGTGTACCTTTACTACCTTAGTAAAAGAGTGGTCTGTGCTTGTCGAACCTAAGCTCTAGACGTGTGATGCTGTCGCGTCTTCAACCAGACGAACGATGCGCGTCCCCATCAACGCTGCATCAACGCAGCCCACGCCTTTGCAATCGCTGATATCACGAAGATGGCGTCCACAATGGGTATGCGTCAGCTGTCGTCACCAGCAGCGACGGCAGCAAGGCTCCAACACTGCCCAGAAAGCACTGGACAAACCATACTATGTCACTACGCCCATCTTCTACGTCAATGCCGCGCCTCATGTCGGACATATGTACACTATGGTCCTGACCGACGTCATGAAACGATGGCAAGTGCTCAAGGGTCGGAAGGCGATTTTGATGACCGGGACGGATGAGCATGGCATGAAGATACAGCAAGCAGCCGCCAAAGCCAATACGCAGCCGAAGGAGTTCTGTGACAAAGGTTCCGATACGTTCAAAGATCTTGCCAAGAAGATTGACATCAGCAATGAGGTCTTTATAAGGACGACAGATCAACGGCATAAGGAAGCCGTAGAATATGCGTGGTTGCGATTATGGGATAAAGGGTATATATACGAGAGCAAGCATGAGGGCTGGTATAGCGTCAGTGATGAGACGTTCTACCCTCCAACCCAAGTACAGCTTATAGTAGATCCACCGACTGGACGAAAGATCATGGCTAGCATAGAGACAGGGAAGGAAGTGGAGTGGACCAGTGAGCGAAACTATCATTTCCGACTTACTGCTTTCAAGGAAAAGCTACTCGGTTTCTACAAGTCGAATCCAGACTTTGTCGTGCCCAGGACGAGAATGGAAGACGTTGCGAACCATGTTAACACAGCCCTGACTGATCTGTCTGTGTCGCGGCCAGTCGAGCGTCTGACCTGGGGTATACGGGTACCAACAGATGAGAGCCAGACCATATACGTCTGGCTGGATGCGCTGCTCAACTACGCAACAGTCGCTGGCTACCCTTTCACACCCGGACAAGAACATGCAGGAGGTTGGCCGGCTGACATTCACGTCGTTGGCAAGGACATCGTTCGCTTCCACTGTATCTATTGGCCAGCATTCCTGATGGCTCTCGACCTCCCACTACCGAAGCAGATCCTGACACACGCCCACTGGACATTAGGACGGCAGAAAATGGCCAAGAGCACAGGGAACGTCGTCAATCCGTTCTGGGCACTCGAACGCTTCGGTATCGATACCATGCGATGGTACCTTATACACGAAGGAGGCATATCAGATGATGCAGACTACGACAACCGCTTCATAATAGAAAAGTACAAGAAGCATCTGCAAGGCGGTCTTGGAAATCTCACTTCACGGATCATGCGTGGGAAAGGGTGGGATGTCCAGCGAGCTGTCAAGCGCTATGCACACCCTGATCATAGTAGTGAGCTCGAAACTTATCCTGCTGTCTCTGAAGAGGCTTCTCGAGACGGACGGCGAGCATTAGGTCGAGTGCGAGAGCTACCTGAGCGAGTCGATAGTCACATGCGCGACTTGCATCCTAATCGTGCGCTCCAAGCTCTATCCAAAGCTGTGGCAGATATCAACGGCTACCTGCAACAAGCTTCACCTTGGACAGTCGTGACAAGGCTGCAGCAGATTGCCTCTGATACCACTGGCACCGAGCTGCATGAAGCAATGCGAGCTGGGCAAGGCCCTGACGAGCTCGAGGCAGAGATCGACAGGACGATTTACCTTGCTGCTGAGACGCTACGCATGGTAGGTATCATGTTGCAGCCATTCACACCAGACGCTTCGAAGCGATTGCTTGATATGGTTGGCGTGGCCGCTGAGCGAAGATCGTGGGAGTGGTGTGTGCTGGGTAAAGATGATGAGTATGGTCAACCACTAGTCGAGATTGGAAAGGGTGAGAAAGGTGTTCTGTTCCCTAGTCTGGTGAGCGAGTACTAGACCGTATATTATCCTGTACAAGTAGCGCCCATGTACGCTATAAATACTTGTTCTCATACCTCGCATCTCCTCGTGCCTCAGGCATTCCACACTAGCGCCCGCCTCCGCCGAACCTCCATCCCCCAAAATTTGCACTTCTCGCCCTCGCTCTTCTTCCCTTCCACATTTATGAACAACGCAAAAAAACCAACACTGCCGTAAAAGCATTTTCGAATCGAGAGCCCGCCCTTACGAGGGTGCGCATGGCTCCATGACGACGAAAACCGTCTGTGCTAGTGGAGAGCGATACATTTTCAGAGGATCTTGGGTGCCGTTTGCCTTTTCTTTTATGGAAGCCCTCTGGGGTTGTGAGGTCGAGGGCAATGATCAGCTGTACATCTTTTCTTCCGTCCTTATTGGTTGACCGTGGGATACGGTGGTGCTTCGAAGGAGGTTCATGGCTGCGCGGCCTTTAGGAAACTGGCCTCCTTGACAACCGCCTCAATACAGTCTCTGGCTTATGCCGTCTAATGAGCGATGACCTCTTGTTCAGACAGCATAAAAGATGCTCAATCGAGGAAATGGTCAACTGCTTATCAGGTTTAAAATTCACATGCACGACTGAAGAAGTTGATGAATAAGTATACACTATATATGTCGACATCATCTTATTTACAGCCCGCACGTATAAGCGCTCAGCAGAGGAATTTGTAGACCTGTTGTCGACAGTCAGCAGATGCGTATGTCGTATGATGAGCGGAATTCTTACCTTTTTCCACCTTGGCCACGCAGCTCTGTCCATCCTCTCTTCCGCTATCAGTTCTGCCACGTTCAGATCACGAATGCCAGTATGCAGGTCCATGTTATGCGAACGAATGATTGGCGTCTTCCGCCATATCTTGTACACGACATAACTCAAGACAACGATCGGAGCAGCGAGGTAAGCCTGGAAGAACGAATTCACTTGGCCTGCCACGCCTAGCTCCCCGTAGTGGATCGGCCATGCGCCAGTCCAGAACTGAGCAGGTAGGATGATGATGTTGATAGTGAGGCCGAGCCATGAGCCCCAAACGCCAGGTTGGCTCCGGAATGCAAGTTCGTCAAGTGTATGGCCTTGCTTCTTCCAACCATGTCGGAAGCGGATGTGTGCCAGGCAGATCGAGCCCCATGTGAAGATGGAAGAGAGACCGGAGAGCGCCAACATCCAGTTGAAGGCATCATTCCACTTGTTCGAGCCGGCGAAGAAGGCAAGGAAGCCGAGAGCAGAAGCCAAGCCAATAGCCACTATTGGTCGGCCTTTGCGATCAATGTAAGCAAGAATCTTGGGCGCTTGGTTCTGTTCTGCAAGTGCCGCGAGTGTGCGCGAGCTACCGTAGATCGACGAGTTACCAACGGACAACACCGCGATCATGATGACCACGTTGATGACGGAAGGCAGGCCGGCGATCCCTGCGTCGCTGATAGCTATCACGAATGGCGAGGCTTTGGCATCCACACTGCTGCTCCCGTTCAACAGCTGTCCGTTTGTGTACGGGACCAGTAGGCCCACCAGTAGCAGGGAGACAATGTAAAACATGGTAATTCTCCAGAACACTTGCTTGATTGCTGTCGGTAAAGACTTTCTCGGATTAGCGGTCTCTGCAGCGGCAAGTCCTACAAGCTCAGTGCCAGCGAAGGAGAAGGCAGCCGTAACAAATGTGGAGCAAAGTCCTTTGAAGCCGTTGTTGAAAGCACCAGGGTCACGCCAGTATCTGCCGCCTACATACGTACCTCCCGGACCGCCACCAATGTTGATGATGATGCCGAGTATAATAAAGCCTATGATGGCAATGACTTTGATAATGGCAAAGACGAATTCTGCTTCGCCGTAGCCTTTCACGCCGAACAAATTGATGGTGATGATCAGCACCAAGAAGATGGCCACGAAAGCGTCATTATTGATGTTGCTGTTCCAGAAATTGATGGTGATGGTTGCAGAGACGATTTCCAAGGGTAGCACGACTAGCCATTGCATGGCGTAGCTAGGACTGTCAGTAATGATCTTCCTTCGAGACACGATCTCTGACTTACTTCCAACCCATCGCGAAGCCCCATGCTGGGTCTAAGAAGCGAGTCGAGTACGCAGAGAATGAGCCAGCAACGGGGAAGAGCACTGCCATTTCGCCCAGAGCATGGACAGTGCAGTACATCATGATGCCAACGATGAGCCAGGCAAGCAAGACTGAGGCTGGGCCACCATGCGCCAAAGCGCTGCCGCTACCGACAAACAGACCGGTACCAATGGAGCCTCCAATGGCGATCATCTGTAGATGGCGACCTTTGAGAGATCGTTGAAGAGGGGAGTTTGCTGTCGCCGCTGCGGCACTTTCGACATCGTAGATTCTGCCGTCTGCTCCAACGGCGCCCTTGGGTGTCGCGTGGGCATTCGGATCGCGTCTGAAGCTGTCTACCACCCGTGCTGACCAAGGGCGGTTGTGGTGCTCTGCGACGCCATATTCTGGTAGTGGAGCAGAGCTGTCCGTGGAGTAGTCGGCCTTCAGAACATGTTCCGAGTCTTCCATCGTGAACTGCGAGGTGACAAATGAGGATTGGGCGTTTCGCTGACTTCCTACATCCCAAGCAATCCAGGTTGCCTAAGTCGGAGCACGCGTGAGGCGCGCACGATGATGTATTACAGCCGCGACCACATCGCGTACAGCAGGAAGACTGCGTGAGGCCACACACGGCAAAGATCTGCGCGGTTGTGCGACAGCAGAGAAGTGGACATGATTGGGACTAACTAGGTGAGGTTCTTCCTGATAAGCGGCATGGCGAAGACAAGGGTCGAGGTGTGGTGGGACGAGAGCTCGGTTCAAGGCGGCAGTGGCGTGCGCTAGAAGTATTGCTTACGCCGCTCTGCGATTGCTCTTCGAGTCTTCACACGCGATGTGAGATTCAAACGACTTGTCGAATCATGTTATTAGTGCGACTTTTAGGACGAACCGCGTTTAGGTGGGCCGGTCTGTCCGTGCTCTGATATAGATCGGGGAACATACTTGGTGGGAAAGAGGATCGATATCTGCGGCTGGCGCACTCCTTGCGCATTGGGGACCCCACGATACTCCTCCACCCTACTGAACAGAAATCATAGCAGAATCCTAGAGGCCGTGGACATGACGTAATGGGCGAGGTGTGCGGTTTGAGAAATACACCTTGTAACCAATGATCTATCTCAACGCAGCGCACAAGAGAGATTTGGTTTCACCAACACTATACGAGATGAACGACCGAACGGAGTGGGAGTGGGAGAAGAGTCGACAATCCTCTCAAAAACTTTGCGATCCGTCTCCTGTAGCTTCACTGTTTAATGTTTGATGTGTATGATATGCTTAGGAAGTGGGCAGAATTAAGACCTGAAATCATCAATCTGACAATCCTTATGCCACATGGCTGCTAACGCTAGTCTAGCGTGCCACCTTCATGGACTTGCGAATCTCCCTTGCTTCCTCTTCCATTTCAAAAGAGACACGACCTGCAAGAACATCATGGCTGCGACCATTTACCCGTGGATGACGACGGCAGTATACGTCTGGGGTCTTCCGATGCCGTTATAGCCGCCGTACCAATCCCTGGACAGTAGTGTCTAATGATGCGGTGCAACCGACTTGCATGTGGCCGTACTCGATCCCTGGACACGTTCACCGCATAACCAGATCTTCCGAGCGTGGCACACGGAACAACGATGCCAAATCACATCCATGTTGTCGACAGTGCTTGGCTGGCCACGTCGTAATGCAATCATCGACTTCGCGACTGGGACGTGTTGAGGACTTTATCACTTCCGATAGACGACTTCGTACCACACGACTTTCGCGTGCCGGTGGAGCCAGTGGCAAGCAATACTGTAGCAAGCCATTCCGGATGCCGAACGCAGCAAGCCATCGGAAGTCTTGTACGGTCGTTTAGCTGCGTTGGTGTCCTTCAACGAATCAGTGCCAATCCTTGTCTACCATGCGCGATCCTGCAGTTCATCTCCGAGCAAGCACTTCACGACTGTCAAATGCCTGGCTCCAATGGTTCTCCACGCTCCTGAACGAATGCCGGATGCACCCCTGCTCGCGTCTGCTGAAATCGAAGCAATCAATCTTTCCTCCCTCGGCTTATGTGAGCTGAGAGGTACTGGCTTCACGACGACTATTCCCCGAGGGTTGCTAGTAAGATGGAGCATACCAACTCGTGATACTGAGCTCGATGAGTGAGCTGATCTGACCAATATAGAATCAAATGCGGCCGCATAGTGAGTAACTTCACAGCACGATACTGACCTCGACATCAGCGTCCGGCTGGCAAAACAGCCGGGAAATTTTCCTGTTTCTTAGCAATGGTACACGAGTAGAATGGGATAGTAGAACATCTTTCTCGCAAGGGTTACATCAGTGGCTCTTAGATTGTTGCCCTCTTATATACCGCAGGGATCCATAAGTCATGTGAGTGTACCAGTATCCGTTATGCAGAAGCTTCCCAAATTCCAGCTAGTTTTGTAAGTTACGCCACATTTCCGCCGTAGGGCTGACTAAAAATGGACCGCGGCCGTTGGACTAGTCAAAGCTTGTTGGCGACGAAATCTTGTACAGCAGGTAGGGCTGCCAATTACGTGAACCGGCGCGTCCTCCGTCACCGCAGCATAGGACAGGGGATTGCGTGTTGGCATTATGGTTCGCAGCTACGACCCATACACGAATGTAGATTACAATAGATGAGGGCGAAGAGAGAGAAAGAGAGTTTGCTTCATCATATACTCGGACCAACACATATACCATTGTCGAAGCAACCCGAGCAAGTCCGCGATTGCATACAGTTGCACGAGGGGAGGTGAAGTGGTGGAGTAGTGAGGTGCGAGGCATTGGTCGTGTGCGCAAGCCTTCATGCCACCGATCAGATCGCATGGCGAATATGAGCAGCAGGAGCAGCGTAGCAAAGTATGGGACACATTACTCGGTTGAGCATGTCTTAAGGCGCATTTGAGCTATTATGCTGACACGTCATACAGCTAGCCAACTCCTACCAGTCCCTTCTGAACGAGTTCTCCTCGAAAGAACTCCATACAGTCGGCAACTACACACTCGGGCGACTCATCGGCAAAGGGAGCTTCGGCAAGGTCTACCTCGCCTCCCACAAGCTCACAAATGGCTCAAAGGTCGTGCTCAAGTCGGCCAAGAAGGACGATGCGAACCTGGCGCGCGAGATACACCACCATCGACAATTTTTGCACCCTCACATCGCACGACTTTACGAGGTGATTGTTACGGAGAACTTGGTATGGCTGGTGTTGGAGTGGTGTCCGGGAGATGAGCTTTACAACCATCTGCTCAACCATGGCCGCATGGAGCCGAGCAAGGTCCAGAAGATTTTCACGCAATTAGTTGGAGCGGTTAGTTATGTGCATGGGAAGAGTTGCGTGCATCGGGACTTGAAGCTGGAGAACATCTTGTTGGACAAGCATGAGAATGTCAAGTTGGTCGACTTTGGCTTCACGAGGGAATATCAGGGGTCTACGAGCTATCTGCAGACGTGGTGTGGCACAGTATGCTACAGTGCTCCGGAGATGCTGAAGGGCGAGAAGTATGCTGGAGAGAAGGTAGATGTCTGGAGTTTGGGCATCATATTGCACGCTCTACTTTGTGGAGAGCTGCCGTGGGATGAGGACGACGAGGCAGCGACAAAACAGCTGATTTTGAAGGAGGAGCCCAAGTTCCCGGATTACGTACCCGAGCAGGCTAAGGAACTCATCAAGAAGCTTTTGGCGAAGCGTCCCATCCTACGGCCTTCGCTGGGTGACATACTGAAGGATCCGTGGCTGGCAGAGCACTCGCCGCAGCAGCACGAAATACTCAAGGTGCAACAGCCGCCAGCTTTCAGCACTCAGGTTGAAAAGGACACCTTGCAGCGTATGAAAAGTGCAGGCGTTGACATCGATGTGGTAATTGAGAATGTCCTTTCTCAACGCTGTGATGCGCTGGCAGGATGGTGGGCGTTGTTGATCGAGAAGGAGCAGCGGAAGGAGCGACGAAAAGAACGTAAGCGAAAGGAACGTGAAGCCGAGGCCAAGAGCATACGACGATTGAGTGCTGCAAGTAGCAGACTCCTGGCACAAAGTGCGCTCGGTGAAATCCAAGAAGGTGAGGAGGCGGCTATCCTAGGTTCGCCGAGTGCGCGAGGGCGGCGGATGGCAAGGCCGAATGGTAGTCTGAACAAAAGGTCTATGGATTTGCCACGAGTGCTGGAGACGAATTCTCCTACATCAGAACGAGCACCGCGCGACGAGACGGTAAAAGATAGTGTGATGCGAGATCCGAGCAGATCGAGGAGTAGGCCACCGCCGCCACCAAAGGATCCGACGATTGTGCTCCCACGGCCGAGACCACGCAATGTACCACGGAGCAACAGTATGCTTCGCTACTCGACCGTCAACCCAGACCTACTGTCCCCAGCATACGTGCCACCACCACAGCGTAAGCGGCGAACGTTCTATCCGCAGCCATTGAAAGAACAGCTTGCCTGGGTCAAGCACTGGTTCAAAGAAGGCGCTAAGCGCGCAAAGTCACCTAGCAATGCTGAAGGCAAGAAGGGCAAGACGAGTCCGCAATTGGGCTCTGATGGCACGACCGTCTCACCAAGCCGAGACGGCGTTCCTGAGATTCAGCGCGTACTCACTGGACCTCTGACACAGCATAGAAAAGCCAGTGTGGGTAGCAGACCTGAGCTTCAGCAGCGTGCGACTATGCCTGCACGACCGCGCATCAACACCATGTCTTCGACCGAGAGTCGGAGTAGTCTCCAGCGCAAGCGCACTAGCCTCAGCCCGCACACCATCACACCGCACTCTTCTTACCGAAGATCATCTGCCGGCTTGCGGGGACGGAAGTCAACTTCTTCTTCAGTGTCATCTATACGGAGTGCCTATCATTCCGTCGGAGGTCATCAACACACCCAAAGCAAAGCCTCAAGCACAAGTAGCAACTCCGTTGCCTCACCATCAAACTTGTCACAGGCTTCCGGATCCAGGATGGCACGCTCACCACATGCTTCAGTCAAAGTCCTCCCTGCCACACCTACGAATGGCACTTTCCCGTCTGGGATGCGTGTGAGCAGACGACCGCTACCCGGTGCGTTAGGCAGTCTGCCCACCTTCGCTGAGGCCAGCAAGAATACTTTCAACAATCTCGCTCCTGGCTCACCAAGTCTACCTGTTTTCGCAAGAAGAAAACGCAGCGTCTTCAAGGGACCACTCAGCGGCTCGCCCTCCGGTTTCGCCAGGACAGCCACTGTTGGCAACTCGAGTCGATCAGGTTCTGTGCAAGGACGACGCAGTGGCGAGATGATCATGGGCATCACGGAGGAAGACGAAGAGGAAGCCGAGCTGGATGCGGAGTTCGAGGACGAAGATGTGGAGGAGGTGGATCAATTCGGTCCCGAACTAGTTGCTGCTTCCCGAATCCAGCTTCATCAAGTCGGACCAGTCGTGGCAGTGGGAGAGGATATACCGGAGCCTGTCACGCCGGTCAGCGTTGCTCCTCCTGAAGACTTGGCAAGTGGTGCTGTCAGTCCACGCACCGTTCCGCTGCTGCCTAATGGCGGTGCTGGACCCATACCTCTCACGGCGGCTGCTTTAGCCAAGATGGAAGAGGTTCAGGAGCACCAGGAGGCAGAGGATGAGTTGGCGACGCTACCAGTGTCCATCAAGTGATGTGTTATTTCACGATATTCTCTTCATTCGACGTTCGAGCGATTAGCGACTTCTTGTAGCATTATGGTTTCGTGTACGTAGAAATTATTGACGACTAAGAGGTACGGCTACATTGCAATGTTGCTTGTATATCAGCACCGACTCCTCCTCCTCATGAATCTTGCCTGGCAATCTGTTACACTGAACTCCTTGCCGTCCGAAAACAGTACGGTGCACTGCCACGGCCTACTCGTTCCTGCCATTTCACCCTACCACTCCTGAACAGCCCGACCATACCCATAGGCAACAACCCAGCATCCACAATCTCGAATCCACCAAATCGCTCTATCATCTCCGGCCCGTACAGCTCCGCCACCCACTTCCAGTATGGTTCCATGCCGTACCAGCTTCGAAGTTGCGTCGACTTGCCGCCAAGCTCATTGACGGCTTTCGCGACACTGCCAGTCTGCAAGGTGTCGATACTCTGCTGCTGCGGCTTTTCTAGAAGCTTCGTATAGAGATCCACTAGTTGGTTTTCGTTCATGCTCCCGTTGTCGCTGTAGCGGAGTTCTTCCCGGAAACGGATATACTTTTCGTAAGATAGGAAGGTATCCGGATCTTCGGGAACGAAGTCGGGATCGAGTACCCTTCGACGATTCTTGCGGGTCTTGCCATTCTCGAAGGCCTGCTTGCGAAGACGGTACTCGTTCTTGTAAGAGGCCTCTGAGTCCTTGAACAGCTTGTCGAAGTCGCCGACCACGGCGTCACGGACCTGCAGGAGCGAGATGAAGGGGCTGTTGATATCGAGCCCGCCGAGTGATGTTGGAAAGTAGAAGTAGCCGTCTGGAATGTCCTCGACACCATGACGTGAGGCGATGAGCTGCTTGAGATGCTCCACGAAACTGCCACCGGACTCGTCAGCGAAGACCTGTTCTTGGATGCGACGGTGCGTGGCAAGCATGTTGTCCACGTGCTGTCTGCCGAAACAATTGGCAGGCTTGCCAAAGTTGGATGTGAAGAAGCGAGTAGCGTAAGAGTTCCAGACTTGGATCCAGGCGAAGACGCTATTGCCTTTGTCCTCTAGCTGCTTCTCCAGCTCATCGATATGCTTGTCGAGCATATTTTGATCGATCTCAAACCGCCCAGAAGATGGCTGGAGACACAACATGCCCCATCGGATCTGGCCTTGAGGCAGCTTATGGGACACCGTCGCAGCCTTGACGCCGCTCTTGCTGTTGGCATCTCGCTGGACCTTGACACCGCCAGTACGGAGGTCGTTGATCTTGAGACCCATTGTCCTCACAAAGTCGTTGACACCGGACCACGCCTTGATGCAGACTTCCTCTCGGGCAGACCAGAACCAGAAGTCATCATGCAGCCGCCACAAGATCTCGCCATCAGTCTTCTGGTTGATCATAAAGTCGAGACCAAACAGAATGACCTCTCCGAACACCTCGCTGAGCACGTGAGATCCAGGCGTACCATTCTTTCGCTGGCGAGGTGCAGACGACTTTTCATCTGCGAACTTCAATGGAGCCTCCAAGAATTTCGTGAAGAAATGTATCCATTTCCGGGAGACACCGAAGTACTCCAGCACAGTCTTGATACCGGCATGCGGTAGCGACGGATAGAGATTGTCGATCTGGGAGCGGAAGCAAGCCAGCTCACCATGAAGTCTGGTCTGCACCAGGATATCAGTGGACAATAAGTGTAGCAGACCCTGCTTCGCCGCCATGGGATTCCTCGGACGATCATCGTCGTAGTCATCATCATCATCTTCTTCCTCCTCTTCCTCCTCCTCCTCGTCGCAGCACTCTCCCTCAACAGGCTCGTAGGACTCCCGCTGATTGGCTCCGGCACTGGGTGCTGAGCGCCGAGCAGCTTTGCTAGCTAGCTGCTTACGAGGTGCAGCACCACCGACGCTCCTTCTCGCGGTCTGTAAGGTTCTGCCCTGGGCCTGGGCATAGGCTGCTGGCTGCTGTGGAGCTTGCTGCAACATATTTGCCCCCTCGAAGTCGGCCTCCTCGTCACCTTCCTCGGCTTCAGTCTTTTGGTAGAGAGAGGACAGGAGCTGAGAGATGAAGTAGTCCTGTCTGTACAACTTCTGCTTTGTAGAGATGACGGTGGCTCCCTTGGGTGTTGGACCTAGGTAGAACTCCCTGCGCTTCTTCTCCGCCAGTGTGATGGGCTTGCCAGCGGTCTTCCACACATCCTTGGTCTTGCGGAAATCATGGAATGCAGCCTTCCAGAACACAGACCACTTGACTCCGATATATTGCAGAAACAAGGCCTGGAGCAGATCTTCATGCATATAGATGTTGAAGCCGCCACTGAGCTGTCGACGCTCCTCCAGCGGGACTTCTTCACCCCAAGACCACTCCTTGAGAGCAGCAAGGCGCATGTTGAGCACATCAGCGACCTCGGACAAGATGACTGAGTTGCTTTGGAAGTCACGTAGAGCATCTCGCTTCTCATTGGTGAGGAGATCAGAGTCCAGGAGGCCGCTGATAACCCATCTCAAGGTAGTGGCACTGAAGCTCCCCGGTGCCTGCAGTCTACTCTCGAAGGCAGCGACCGCTTCCCGCATAACTTGGAGAGCCTTAGGCAACACAGTAGACTCATCCGGCGTGGCTTCGAACAGACCACTCAGCATCTCCTTGATGGCACCAGTATCGATCGACGGTCCACTGAACACATTCTCCTCCCACTTAGCCCTGGACTCGAGCTTCTTGGCAGAGGAGACGTGCTCGTAATCCGTCATCTCAGCATCCTCGCCACTCACCTTCTTCGGGCCAGCCTTGGCGGTAAGCCACTCCGTGGTCAGCTGACCATAGAGTGAAGCATACGTATACTTCAACGACTGGATCTCGACATGACGCAGCAGGCCCCGTTGCCACCTCTGCAGCATCTGGGCCGAGATGGTCGGATCGTACTTGGCCTGAGCCAGGAAGCGGTCAAGGTTCTGGAGATCGATCTCGAGATCGGCGTGCTTGCCATTGCGGATCACTTGACCATCGCGGACAGTAATTCCGAAGCTGGCCTTGATAATGTCGGAGAGGACGACAAGGTTGCTGGTAGCGTCCCCTTCCTTCTCAGCGACAGCGACGACACGTTTGTGGTAGTGCTCGAAAGTCTCCCTCCGCTTGGCCAGCTCATCGAGCTTGGTGTTGGTGATGTCCTGCAACGTCTGTGAGTAAAGACTACCAGTGGAAGCCATGTTGCCTTGTCCAGTTTGCTAGCCCTAGTAGTGATGTCAAGTCTTGTGTGACAACAGAGGTTGCTATCAGGAAGAAGGTCTTGAAGTGCGGGGAGCTAGACTTATATATGCATTGTACCTTCCAAGGCTGGGGGCGGTTGCCTGGAAGAAGAAACGACGGTCAAAGCTTCAGGATCGTTCTTAATCACGTGATATATGTGACTCACTTTACCACTATGATCTGGTCAACACTGCGCTTTCTGTGGACATCTTGTACGGCGCTCGGTGGGAAAGGTGCATATGTGGTACTCGTTTTGAAGTTTTTGTGTTCATTTCTGCTTGCTCATGTGTTTCGGTAGAGACCGTGTGTGTGACCGCCTCGCATGCACCAGCCGATTAGGCCAATTTGCTAGTCATTTCCGTGCAACCGCTACAATAACACCAATACTTGCTAAAATCAACCAAGGTCAGGGTCGCTAAGGCGCCTATGAGGAGGTTTGAGGGGTGGTTGGATTTGTTGGGAAATGTCTGATTTTACTGTGGTATACTCTGTTCATGCACGCCACTGCTCCAATTCGCAGCAGTGTCTCCCTTCTCTCCTTCAAGATCTCATGACGTGCGTGCGACTGATGTATCCGCCTCAACGCCGGATGAGTCAACGCTTACGCTTGCTAGGGGATTGATGGCTGAAAGAGTTAGGTGGCGGCGGCCGGCTCGGCCTCCGTAGCAGGCTTCTCCTCGGTCGGGAGCGCAGCTGGTGCCTCCTTGTCGGCCTTTGGCTCGCCAGAAGCAGCCTCGGGCTCACCACCATCGGAAGATGTCCACAGGGTAAGGTTGTCACGGAGAAGTTGCATGATGAGAGTGCTGTCGCGGTAGGACTCCTCAGACAGGCTGTCAAGCTCAGCAATCGCATCGTCGAAGGCCTGCTTGGCGAGGTGGCACGCGCGGTCGGGCGAGTTGAGGATCTCGTAGTAGAACACGGAGAAGTTGAGGGCCAGGCCAAGACGGATCGGGTGGGTGGGGGTGAGCTCGGTCTGAGCAACGTCGGTGGCGCTCTATAAATTGCGTTAGCTTGGTTGCTGCCTAGAGTGTGGGTGGAACAATGATACCTTGTAAGCTTCATGCGCAGCGGTCGCAGCACCCTTACGCTTCTCGCCGGAAGCGAACTCGGCAAGGTAACGGTGGTAGTCGCCCTTCCTGTGAGCATTTCGTCAGCATCCACAATTCCAACCCATTTGATTTGTCCTCGTATTCTGGGCCTACGTACATCTTGTGATAGAAGACCTTGCTCTCGCCGCTCTCAGCCTTGGGGATCAAGCTGTCGTCGAGGACATCGAGGACATCCTGGCACACCTTCTCGAGCTCGAGCTCAATCTTCTGGCGGTACTCGCGGATGATGCCGACATGCTTGTCCGAGCCCTTGGCCTCCTCCTTCTGCTCGATGCTGGAGATGATTCGCCAGGAGGCACGGCGGGTGCCGACCACGTTCTTGTAGGCGACGGAGAGGAGGTTGCGCTCGTCGACGGAGAGCTCGCCCTCAAGCTGTGATACCGGCGTTAGCTCTCTGCATACCAGCTCTTGCATTTCCATCGCTGCGAATCCTTATCGCAGTCTCGTGGGGTCGTCGTACCTTGGCAACTTCCTAATCACATGTCAGCTGTCGGTCCTGGTATACAGACACGAGATATCTGGGATGATGTCTGCTCACCTTCATGAAGCTGACCATCTCTGCGAACAAGATTAGCTGTAATCCTCCTCAACGGTATCAGACGGCCATGACGTACCATCGTAGCGCTCAGCCTGCTCGCACAGTCTGGCGAGGAACGTCTTGCTGCATGTATTGTTAGATTGTGTCTTGGTCAATGTCGCAACGGCGTCTTTCATCCATACCTCTCGCGCTGCAGAAGAAATGAGTCAGCAGATCGTTCATAGTAACCTTACAGCCATCACGACCAAACGTTGAGGACAAGAAACACGCGCGATATGCAATCACCGCAAAACAGCTTCTCTTGCGCAAAGTGACTCACCTCGGTGGCCATAGTTCTGATTGATTGTGTATGTGTTTGACGGTATTGGGGTAATGTGAGAGGATTTCTGGTATCGTGTAGTGAAGGTGGATTGTTCTTTGTTTACAGTAGGTACTTGGAGGTGGAGTGTTAAGTGGGATTGAGGGCGCAAACATCCGCGCTAGAAGTTGAGCCTGAGGCAATAAAAAGGTCCGTGCGCATCGACTTCGAAACGCAACGAAGCCTGCGCCTCACATTCGTGGCCCCAGCATTCATTGACGTGTGATGATGAGACAAAATGCAAGGCAGTCTGGCGCTGGCGACTCAGAAGCCTCATCACAAGCTATACGTGTCCTCTTAACATCCGCCTCCATACTTCAAGACAATAGGCTGACGCATCGCTATTGATGAGGCACGAAAGCATTCTTGATAAGCTGAATACTTTGACATAGGTAAAAGTCATGCTTCTGAAGGTGTCATTACAAGCCCACCTTCTGTAATCTAGCAAATTCTATTCCAAGATCTTCCTTGAGAGTGGTGGTATCCTAGTACAATCCCTCATAAGCGCCGACGCTGTGTCCGATGAAACAACAAGTACGAAACTAGTCTCTGCAGCACAAAACTAAGCAGCAGCCATCTCAATCTTCTTGCCCTTCACGCTCTTCCACTCAAGCGCCGCAGCGCCAAAGATCGAGACCACTGACATCGCCACGGCGACGTAGAAAGTCGCCATCACGGAAGTGTTGTAGGCAGTCTGCACACCAGGCAAGAATTGACTCGGGATAGCAGTCTTGAGTGATGTGGCGCCGGTGGCCAGGACGAATGCTGGGTCGAGGCCGGGTACAACCTTCTTGAGGTTGGTGAGTAGCTGGTTCGTGAACACGTTCTGCGCGACGGAGATGAAGAGAGCACCACCCAAAGTCTGCGAGAACATGACAATGGCCGTTCCGATAGGAATGTCCTGCTTGGGCAGCACAGTCTGCACAGCCACGAGTGTTTGTTGCATGCCGAAACCAACGCCAGCACCAAAGAGGATCTGGTAGCCAATCCAGGCGCCGGAGGCAGTGTTGGAGTGGAAGGTGGAGAGCATGCCAGCACCGACGGACATCAGAACGGAAGAGGCAATGACGAAGGGAGCATATTGCCCGATCTTGGTGACGGCGATACCGGAGATCATGGAGAAGACCACTAAGCTGAGGATCATGGGGATGTTGCGGATACCAGAGCCGACAGCTGAGACGCCCTTGATCGCTTGGAACCAGATAGGGAGGTAGTAGACGAAGACCTGGCAGTTATTAGTATGGATTCGAGCCGCCTGTTGTGTTTTGTACTTACGAAGAAAGCTGCGCCAAGAGTGGCACCAAACCAGGCTGCAGCGGCGACAGATCGCTGGCCGAGCACACGCGGAGGCACGGTCGCATTGTCCTGCTTCCAAAATTGGACACCGCCGAAGATGATAGCAAGCACACCAAAGACAACGAAGAGGCCGATAATACGGCCATCGTGCCACGGGTACTTGGAGCCACCCCACTGCAGAGCGAGAAGCAGGCAGACAATCATGGGCAGGAAGATGATCGTGCCGAAGATGTCGAACTGCTCCAACTTCTCCTTCCAGCCGCCGGTGAGAACCTTGACGCGCTTGCCAGGCTTGTAGAAAAGAGCGATGAACGCGATGGTGACGGCACCAATAGGAAGATTGATGTAGAAGCACCTGCGAGATATATTAGTTTGAAGTCGTCAATGTATCATGTATGAATCCATACCATCTCCAAGAGACCTTGTCGGTGAAAGCACCACCCATAAGAGGTCCAGCGACAGAGGCAAGACCGTACATGCCTCCAATGCCACCCATGTAGGTAGGACGCTTGGCGAGAGGGACGGTCTGAGTGACAATCAAGATGGCGCCAGAGAAGATACCAGCAGATCCCAGACCAGCGATAGCACGACCGATGATCAGGCTTGTAGAGTTGGGAGCGGCACCGCAGATGGCACTGCCGACTTCAAAGATGAAGATGGCGATCAGGTAGATCCATTTGATAGACAAGAAGGTATACAGCTTGCCGAAGAAAAGCTGGAAGGCGCAGGTGGTGAGGAGGTAGGCAGAACCGTACCAGCCCACATCATCGATCGATTTGAATTGATCTGTTATCCGTGGGATAGCGGTACTGATGATTGTGTTGTCCAGCGCCATGCAGAAGACGGAGAGACATAGCGCAACGGTGATGAGTGTGAGTTGGAGCGCCTTCGGGTATTCGATATCGTCGTCTTCCTCTTCTGAATCCTCTGCTGATTTTGCGGCTTCCTTCTCTGATGCGACAACGTCCGTGTCTCGTGATTGGGAGCGCACTTCTGCGGCATTGACGTCCACATCGTGCCTCTCGGTCTTCTCTTGGTTGTCGAGTACTGATGGTGCTACGCTGGGCATGGGTGTAGTTTCCTGCGAAAGTGGTCGCGTTGTCTCCGCCGTCGGTAGTGCTGAAGCATCTTGCTTCTTCTTGGAGAAGAGACCCATGATGGGTGGATGTCTGGAGCAAGTCGTAAGAGTAAAATGGAGTATTGTTGTCTTGGTATGTTTGCTTGTTCCGGATCAACAATCCACAAGCTTCCAACGTCTTGGAATGTCAACTATTCACGAAGATTCAGACGCCGGCGACCATTGCCTACTTATATCGCCTCGCGACCAAGACTCGGAGCAATATCTAAAGGGAGACCGCAATGCGGGTAGTGGAGTCACCACCATCTCCATCGTTAGCGCTGTCGAACGAGTGGTTTGCGCCGGGCAATTCTTACTCGGGTGCGGCTTCTATTACTTTCCGATTTCTGCTTGGAGTCTAGTGTCTCTACCACCGGGCGAGACCGAATTGTCGGCAGGACTCGCTTCCGACGTAGTATCATTCAACCTCCGACTTTCTACGATACGGATAGAGATGAGAGTCATGTGTCTGTCGTGCGTCTCCGTCAATGGCACCTGACACTGCAGCTGACACTCGATGCGGCTATTCGAATAACATGTTCTGACCATTATTACTGGCAACGATCGATCAAGCTGAGCCATTCCTTAAAGCCGCCTAGCTCCAGCTTCGGATGAGTGTGGTCTACCCTTCCGAGAGCGTTGTTGAGATTGGCTTTCGTCTCGCTTGCGATGGTGCCAGGTGAATGGTAGCTTTTCAAACCACGTGAAAGCAGGAGTGACGATGCTATGTCAGCGGGGGACGGCAATCCAATGGTTCGGAGGCGGACGATGCTGCTGTATGCCGCCTCCTGGCAAGGCAGCGATTATTCTGCGTCTTCTGGACGGATACTGGAACAATCAATGGGAGTGCGACTACCCGAGTCCGAACCCAAATCGGATCATCTTGCGAATGGGATCATGGCGCCATACTAGAGCATTGTATAATTGCTTTGCCAAGTCATGACTCACTTCGTATCGTTCCATCGTCCATGAACTACGGTCTGACCTCATCAGACCACAGCTGGCTCGAGCTGACGTAGGATCCCTTAGTAACTCACCTTGCGGTCACGAACTAGCGGTGGGTTGCGATTAGAGGCAGCAAGCATGCAACAGTACGGCTCTGTCGCTGACCTGCATCGAATGCTGTAGGTGGTGAGACGCCGAGATCGCAGGCACCACCGGGGAAGATCCGCTCCCACATTGAAGCATTGGCTTCAAACTTGAATTGATTCTGTATGAGGTGCGGAGCAGTGCAAAAATGAAGTGGAAAGAAAACATTGCTGATGGATTCAGGTGAGATGAGACGAGGTGGAAGCTCAAGCTGATGGACCAAGAAGGTGCGACGCAGACGATGCAGATAGTCGACCTCGCCACTCTGCGGAAGTAGTCTCCTCCGACAACAGCCTTTCCCTCCATATTTGAGAGGCCAACGAAGAGCGTTGATAGGCCGGCACCCATGCGAAACCATCCGAAGAGAAATGAAGGCTACAAGGCATGACGCTGTGCTCTGATCAACATTACCAGAAAGATGTTTAAGGTGCAAGCTAGCGGCGCAGATATGTTCGTTATTGCGGGCGACAGTTCCATCATCGGATTGTTGCAGGCTTGACACCAGCACAACCATGCTTGCTTCCTCACGAACAAAGAACGTGCGTCAGCACAATGCATTGAGAAGGAGCAACAAAACCTCAATGCCTATCGTTCGAGCGGTTCTTTGTGCGATTCTCTTTCGTGGTCGTGAACAATGGCATCTACTCGCATGTACATAAGCAGCACTCGCTCCTACCATGGGCTCTGTTCTGGTCAGGCGCAGGGTTCCTGGCGTACCGGAAGACAGCATTAAAACGCTGCAGCGGATCATTCGAAAGGTACATCAACAGCTTGCAGGTCAAGCTCACCGACATCCGCTCAGCACAAGCCCGGCACAATCTACTCAGGTCCCTCCCTCCGTCCTCGAAAGAGGAGGACGTAAAACTTAATCCTCTTAAGGACAAAAGGCAAGGTAAGTATGCTGAGCTGTTTTACCCTATCCTCATCTCCCTTCCCCTACACCCCCTCCCCTGCTTCTAACCCCCACGAACCACTGCCCTCAGGTGTTGTGAGCGTCGTTCTACAGAGCTACGACAACCATGACTGGCAGCAGAGCTCTGACGCTCTGACTGACTGGCTGAACGCTAGGTGGAAGAAGTCTGGGTACCAAGTCTCCCACCAGACCGTCAACTTCACACTCCGCCTACATGGCCGTAATGCGAAGATGGGTCTTGGTGATCATCTTAGTGGTGCATTCTGTAGGTGATTACCGCTGTTTGGAACGAGAAGGTGGACCGTGCTCTGTGCGTCCTCCTACGTGGAAGAGTTTCTCCAGAATGTTCGGCAATCCATGGGGCTAACATAGTTGTACATATATGCCGTTTACACAGCTACTGCGCAAGAGTGTTGTGACTCACAGTACATAAAGGCAACTTTGAACGCTTGGACCAATCGTTCAAGACATCATTCAAAAGTGACGTCTACCCAAGCATAGTGTCAAGATCCTTTTCATTTCATATTGTACCAGACCACCGAACTTGAAAACAGCTCCTCGCACTCTGATGCTTCCGTTTCCGAGCTCATCATGACTACAGAAATTGAGAGTGAACTTTTGTTCTTCGATGGGCTACCAGTAGTCGACCAAGCATATCAGCCATCACTTCGACGATTCATACTGCATAAACTGCGAACTCAGGGGGGCGATACGCCAACAAGTATTTATGTACCTGTAAATGGAGTCAACATGAGCCTCGGGTATGAGAAATCTGTCCTCTGGTTGCAATGTGTGCTTATTCTGATGCTACAGGCTTGCCATCGTTAGCATCAACGATTCCCAGGCGGTCGATCAATTGATATCAGTTTTGGACAACAGTCCCATCGATAGGAACCATACTATGCTCCTGGCACGAGTGGCGGGATCTGCACGGTTCAGCGACGTGGTTACCCATGGGATCATTAATCAAGCAGCAATGCAAGCGCTCACGCCTCTGGACATCCGTCCACTATGCGCCGGACCACAGGCACCAAATGCGACTGAAATTGGCGATTGACCATGCGAAGCATAAGTCGAGCCATGGACACTATCAACATCTAGCAGCGCTTTGAGCCATTCTTAGATGAGCAATTTCTTGGGATCAGGCACGAGCATCCAACTGATGGCCATTGCAAAAAGTAGGCCGACCAGGATCGGCTGCAGAGTACTGACCCCGGCGCTGTCAGCGATTACACCAGTGATGGCCGGAAATATAGCCCCTGGCATCGACGCACGAGAGAATTAGCGGATGTCTCAGGCAAGAGTAGTGGGCTTGCAGCCATGTGCTTCTTACCGCCAGCTTGTGCCATGACGAAGATCATAGCTACTACACAGTCAGTACAACAGTAACAGCCTGTATGGAATAGCACTTCCCACGTACCGAGACCAGATGGTTGGAGTTCAACAGGAATGAGCTTTGATCCAACGCTTATACCTGTGGCAAATGCCGGGCCAAGTAGAAATCCCATCAAGCTGATCATGACCTGTGTCTGTAAGCACAAAATTGAGCTTCATCCGAAAATGGCAGCGACGTACCGAGTCTACTATCACGTTTGGCACCCTCCAAAAAATAATTTGCAGAACCAACGACATAATCGCGTAGACCAGAAACATCCTCTTCTCGCCGAATCGAAAGGTTGGCTCAGCGAGTGCAAAACGACCAGCGGCGAGCCCTCCGTAGAACGCTGCCGATATGAAGCCCACTCTGGATAGAGAGCCATGACGGACCGTGGCAAGATACTCTACCACCCAGCCTCCTGCTGTGATTGCGGCGCCTAGGTACAGGAAGAAGAAGATGCTGAGCAACCATACACTCTTTTGCTTGATAGTCGCTTTGAACTCTACCAGCGCAGCGGCTGACCGACGCTGTGATGATGAGGACCCTGCATTGCTCGGGCGAGGGCCTCGCTTCTGATAGTATGTGGTCTCGTCTCGGAATGTGTAGCAAGATAGACCAAGGTTCACCACACCGAATCCCATTGGCACGAGGTAGAAGTACGCCCAGTCAGCGGGCGAATGCGATGCAATGGCTGCCGCTACGAGAGGACCAGTCAACCCACCTATCGCATAGCAGCCGTGTAGCAGACCAAGCCAGCGGTGTGCATTCTTCAACCTCGAAACGAAGGTATTGCATTGAGGTTCCTGACTCGCTTGACCGAGAGCGACAAGGAAGAACGTAACGGAAAAAAGACTGAAAGGCGGGACCCATGGTCGAAAGCACTGTGCAAGTAGCTGTACTGCTCCTCCAAATATGATCATGCCGCCACTGCCAAGGACGATACGTCCATACCCGCCCAAGAAGGCTGCAATCAGCCACCCAAGAAAGGTAACGCCGTAGGGTATAGCCATCCATCCCGTAGATATGTTGTACGTCCTGAGAATGTACGGAATGAGGGCGCCGAGGCTCCCATCGTTGACACCACAATTGAAGAAGCAGAGCAGGGCACTGATGAGCTTGAGCTTGCGTGCGAAAGTCAGCTCCAGTGGAATAGCTGCAGAGGCAGTGCTATGCCCGGGGTTTACATCCGTGTTCGGGTCGCTCAATGAGTTGCCGAGTTCGTGGGATCCTGTGGTGTGCAACTCAATGAGTGCGGGAGCTTGTGCGTGGTTGGGAGAGGAGGTGGCCATGCGTGGAGAGTGGAGCTTTTTTCTCGACGGGCTATGAAGCGCAGTGGACCACAGGGAAATCAGTGAAATGGTCGACGCACAGCTTTAATGGACCTGAGAGACTAGTAGTCAACAGGTGTGGATTTGCCGTTTATATTGTGCTGGTATTCAGATCGGCACTGTGTTAGGCCGTGGTGACGACGTGCTCTTCTCCCTATAAGCAGCTGCCTTTCCTTTCTCTATACAATTATGCGCAAAATAACTATCGTATACTAAGACCTAAAGTTAGGAAAAGTATAGTATCCTCGAGGAGGGCCTATACCTAAGTAGTTATTATAATATCTAATTATTATCCTAATAAAGCCTTAAATAGAGTAAGGAAGATAACAAAAGTTAAGTTAAAGATATAATTACTTTTAGTATACGTTATAACGCAGCGTAAGGAGCGTTAGGTAGCTTCCTAGGTATAGGCACTCCTCGGAGATACTATATTTTCCCTTATTTTAGGTCTTAGCATGCGATAGTTATTTGGCGCATAAATATATCGCTCGCACTACATCCTCCACCATGTTTGTAATAGCGACTCGCAATGCACGATAAGTAAGCCGGCTGAATAGGGCGCTCTGTATTGAAAGCTCGCGAGATCCGTGGGAGAGATGGCGTCCCGATGCTCCTCACCAGTCCCCGCACGCCTGCAGAGTTTAAAAACAGCCTCTGCTCCAGCAACGCCAGAGACATCCTTCGTCGCCGAGACTGGCAGAGTCCTGCCGTCCATTTTCGATAGTCCGGCATGTGCTGCAACTGCTTCCAGCAGCGATCGACCGACGAATGCTTCTCAGGGTTACATCATGCCTCACCTCACCTCACCTCCACGTCCCGGGTCTCTGGAGGATGGCAACCAACCTCATGCTGTAATAAGACCGTTGGATGGAGTACGGTATACCTATATGTAGGCGAGCTGTCGTCAAAATGAACATGGACTTTCTTTCACACTTCTCAGCATCATCACAATGCCCTCTATTAGATCTGCTCTTTTCGCTGTCGTAGCATCGACATGCACGACTCAAGCCGTCACTGTTCAAAACGCCGAAGCAGCATATCAACAGCTTCAGGGCTGGTACAACCAGTCCATAGGTCTCTGGATACCATCGACCGGCTGGTGGAATTCGGCAAACTGCATAACGGTCATCGCGGACCTAGCTGCTATCGATGACTCCATCAAAGTTCGATCCCAGGGCGTGTTCCAGAACACATACTACAGGGCTCAACAGTACAATCTAGACATGCAAAAGACCGTTGGACCTGACTGGCTCCCTTGGACTTACTATGGTAATCATTGGCCACATTACCCACCAGGCTGGCACCATCCCGCTCCCGTGCAGACCAACGGCTTTCTCAACGACTACTACGACGATGAAGGATGGTGGGGACTTGCGTGGGTCGCTGCCTATGATGTGACTGGTAACCCGCAATATCTGCAAGAAGCTCAATCGATTTTCGAGAATATCAAGGCTGCTTGGGGCACAACGCCATGTTCAGGCGTCTGGTGGGACAAGGCACACACTTATGTCAATGCCATTGCAAACGAGCTCTTTCTCGATCTAGCTGCACATCTAGCCAATCGTGGTGGTAGCCAGTCAGCATACTATCGGTCATGGGCAGTCCGTCAATGGAATTGGTTCCAGAATAGTGGGATGATCAATGCCCAGCACACCATCAACGACGGCCTGGACAACACGACATGCAAAAACAACGGCGGGACGGTGTGGTCGTACAACCAGGGTGTCATTCTCGGTGGCTTGTCCGAGCTCAGTCGTGCCACTAACGATCAGTCTTATATCACCATTGCGAAGCAGATCGCAGATGCCGCAATTACGAATCTGACTGACAGTAACGGTATCCTGCACGACGTGTGCGAGCCTAACTGCGGTATGTTGCCACAAGAGAAGCCTTCTACGATGGACGAGCTGACAGAATTTCTAGGAGCTGATGGAAGTCAATTCAAGGGAGTGTTTGCTAGAAATCTCCAGATCTTGCAGAAGGCGAGTCCAGAGGGCCGCTATGCTACGTTCCTGCAAAAGAACGCAAACAGTATATGGGCGAATGATCGGCAAGGCAGTGCCCTGAGTGTGGTGTGGTCAGGTCCGTTCGTATCGCCGGCCAATGCCTCAACTCAGAGCTCGGCTATGGACGCCATCGTTGCCGCATTGGCAACATCATGATGATAAGAGGGTCGACTGACGTGAAAAGTATGGTATCGTCCTGCCGTCCGGGCCCACCTAAGATTCGCTGGATCTGTGGCTCGGATCCTATGGAATAGCTGTCATTGTGGTAGTCGCAGATCTCTGTACCGAGGTGGTGATCAAGAGAGTTTGATGATAAAAAGTGCTATCTTGTCTGGCTTGTATATCTCCTCAGCATCCGTCTATCATCGAATGGAATTGGCAATTTCAACCCGCTACAAGGCACCGCGACCTTCTTATTTGCAAGTGTATCAATATAACCAGGAACAGTCAGCAAAGCTGAAGGAGGCCACTGACCTGCTAGATGACCACTTGTTCTCACCTGCTGATCCCGGGGAGAGGAGAGGAGAGGTGCTTTCGATCTTCCGGGCCGCGCCATCCATACCAAGATAGGCTTAGATTGCGCGATACTGCAACTAAAATATGAGCCTCGGCTGGCTTGATTTATACATACATATATATATCTTCGCCGTACTTCCACCAATCTCATTGCTAACAGCTTGAGCATCATCATCAATCCCGAAGTTGATTGTGAAAGTTTTCAAATCCATTTCGCTCTGTTCAAAATCTACCCTTTGCTTGCTGTATCATTACCGCAATTTCGTGGTTGACAAAGGTCAAAGATGACGGAGAAGCTAGATTTCGATGTAGTGCTGGTCAGGCGCCCAGTGCCACCGCCATTGGACACTACAGATTGCTGACTATGTTGCTACTGTAGGTGGGAGCAGGTATTTCGGGTATCAACTTTGCGTAAGTCCCCAGGAATCCATGGTGTGCATATTCAAGACTGACGCCACCCGCAGATATCGTTTGCAAGAACGCTGCCCGAGCCTCTCATATGCGGTCCTCGAAGGCCGCCATGAGATTGGTGGTACCTGGTCTCTCTTCAAGTATCCTGGCATCCGCTCAGATTCAGACCTGTACACTTTCGGCTTTCCATGGCGGCCATGGACGGAGCAGAGTTCCATCGCAGAGGGTTCGCTGATCATCAACTACATGAAGGAGTCTGCTGCGATGTACGGCATCGATCAGCACATCAAATTCCATCACCATGTCGACGCAGCAGACTTCTCGAGCACATCGAAGACATGGACTCTTGACGTCACAGCCAATGGGAAGGAGAAGAAGACCATCCGTAGCAAGTTCTTCCTGCTGTGCAGTGGCTACTACGACTACGACCAACCACTCAAAACCCTCATACCTGGTATCGAGGATTTCGAGGGCACCGTAGCCCATCCACAGTTCTGGCCACAAGACATGGACTACACCGACAAGAAAGTGGTGATCATCGGATCCGGCGCCACCGCAATCACCCTCATGCCTAACCTTGCTAAGAAAGCTGAAAACGTAACAATCTTGCAAAGATCTCCCAGTTACATCTTGTCCCAGCCTTCCGAGGACGGCATGGAGAAAGCTATCCGCTGGTTGACCTGGTGGAATAAGCCTCTCGAGCATACTCTTATCCGCTGGAAATGGGTGCTGGTGCCATTCTTGCTCACCCGCTTCGCTTACAACTTTCCCAATGCCGCACGAAAGATGTTCCAGAATATCACCCAATCTCAACTGCCACCCACCATCCAGCGAGATCCCCACTTCAATCCGTCTTACAACCCTTTCGAACAGCGAGTCTGTTTCTGTCCCGATGGCGACTTCTATAAGGCTTTGCGGACTGGTAAAGGATCTGTTGAGACTGGGGTCATAGAAAAGGTCACCAAGAACAGTATCAAGCTTACATCCGGTAAAGAGCTCAATCCCGATATCATCGTGACAGCTACTGGGCTTCAACTACGAGTCGGCGGCGGCATCGCCATCTCCGTCGACAAGGCACCGTACAATGTTGGTGGAAAATTCCTCTGGAAAGGCGTCATGCTTGAGGATCTGCCAAACGCAGCCTATGTGATCGGCTATGTTGATGCCAGCTGGACACTTGGTGCTGACGCCACTGCGCAACTCATCTGCCGCATGCTCAACACCATGCAGAAAGAAGGTGTGGTGGAGGTTGTTCCAAGACTTAGTGACAAAGAGAGGAACAGCATGAAGGAGGAGCCTGTCTTGAGACTGACGAGCACATATGTCAAGAAGGCTAAAGATATCATGCCCAAGGCTGGAGCTAGTGGGCAGTGGAGGGCGAGAAGCTACTACTTCAAGGATATACTGATGGCTTGGTTTGGAGACATCAAGACTGGGACTGAGTGGATTAGAGGAGTGTAGGACGACGGTCTGGATGGATGGTATGCTGTGAATGAACGATACGATATAGATGCATTCAGAGCAAGCCATTCAAATGTAACAGAGCTTTGTTAGTAGCATATCTACCACTACTGTCGCTAAAGTCGAACAGCAGTGTCCTTCAGGAGGCTCGACGCACGAGCACGCATTTAACTCTATCAATTCGTATGGCCACTTTGGTGCTCGTGTTTACCGACACAGCTTTGCGAGGAAGATGACTTTGACCTCAGAGCTAAGCTTGCCGACATTTCCTTACAGCATGACATTAGCAGTCGTGTTCCGTGGTATTCGAGGATGTTCATGGTGCAGACATTATCGAGACGCACTCAATGGCAGATCGTGCTCTGGGCATATGGAAGGATCATTGCCACAAGCGCCGGCGTCGTAGGTGGCAGTGTGCAAGGCGGCTCGCACGTTCACCGACTGCGATATCCAGCAGGGATGTTACCGAACTATAGATGCGGAAATCACAGGGAGCCACTGACTATTGCTGCCAAGCGCCACAGGATTGATTGCTGCCGCTTCAATATCCAAGCGGGAGGAAACATGTTTGCGGTGTCGCACGACGTTCGGGCTGAAGCTGAGGAGGGTCGTCGTGTACAGACCGCAGCAAGGCAGATGATTGCGGTCGTTCGGCTTCCAATACTTCGGATCCTAGCCTCGTCCATATCCTTGCAGGCTGGACGAGTGATGCGACCGCACAGCCACAGCATTACGCCTCGCCCCGGTTTGTGATTTGGCGCCAGTGCAGAAGGGGAACGACAGCTGTGTTGTGAGTGGCCGGTAGCCATGGATCGATAGACAGAGTTCGCTTTTGACTCGATTCGGTGCTTAGATGTGGCGTCGTGCCCTGGCAACTACCCATGTCAAACGTCCTAGCTTAGAAGAGCGTACAGGAAACCTGCCTTTTCATTTCCTTGCAATTGATGATGCCGCGACTGATCAAGTAACAATCACGGGCGGTATCTCTGCGACCGTCGCTTAGTTTCAGCACTTTCTGATCAGAAGGCGCTTGTATCCTTGAAAAAGTGGTGTTTACAGCGGCACTGGTACTTCTGCTTCCTGTCAGTGTGAAAGCTACAAGCACAACGTTCACAGCAATGGCGCAGTCCCCGTGAAACGACTAGTTCCACAGGCCCGACCATGGCAACGGTTTAACCTCGCCCCACCAGCATCCCTCGACATCATCTCAGCATTATTGTCTTTGCTCAGTTCCCAGCACCCAGGCAAGAAGCCTGTGACCCGAATTTGACCTTCGTTTGGCTGGATTGTCTGGATCATCCGTTTCTGAACCAGCCGCCTTGCCTCGGAATCTGGCCGGCATGGTGTAGTACAGGGCCACCGACCCATCGTACAGACGTCCTTCGCTTTGGTACGTTACATGCTGTCAACGCACAGCGACTGAAATGGCTGATCGGCTACATAGCTTGACCCTCGGCATGCGAGGCATGCCCAACGCCAACAATAACAGGTCGTCAAAGTCACGAGCTTACGACTCTGTTCGATCGCCAGTCTCGCCTCTATCGCCGGCATATCCAGTCCAGACGTCCTACGAAGATCTACGTCGGCCTGAAGCACGAAAGCTGCTGAGAGAGCAACTCGAAGGCACATTCCCGGAAGTTGGTCGCCGAGCTTCAGAGGACACAGTCAGAAGCTCCTCCAAGATGCAGCTCATGGACAAGTTCACTCGGAGGACCTCGAACATGGATATCGCGGTCAACGCTAGTGCGAAGTCGTCGTCCTCAACCGTCGACAGCCTTGCACCGACTACTACCTTGGCATCGTCGACAGGGCCGAGTGCCGAGCTCGATATTGCTAGAGCGATACAGTTACTACAAGAACTGAAGAAGACGGCATCGCCAGATGATCTAGTAGCACTGCATAGGGCACTGCTTCCCACGAAAGAAGTTGAGGTGGTCTCGAGTCCTCAACAGGCTTCATTCGAGGAGAGCAAGCCGACTAGCACCGCACCCACCTACCATCGAAGGTCTGCCCTACCGCCAGGTCTTGCGACACGAGGAGGACTATCTGCGGACATTCTTAGGAAGCCAGAAGATGCGACACCACGGAACCGTGCAAGCGATCGACCGACAGGCTGGCTCAAACATAGTATGTCGATGGGTGCCCAGACTGTCGCGCCGCCTGCGCCAGTACACATACCTTCGCCGTCAGTAAGCAGCCTTGCCGCTCTTGATTTAGCAGACGATGTGACGAATCCAGTCGGCTCACGTGCCGTCACTCCAGGCGACTACCCATGGTCTCCAAGTGGTGGCTACCGGCCAGGCACGCTTCACATCACGAATGGCGCAGCATCACCGGAGCCGAGTATTAAGGCTGGGCGGAGTGCAGACCACACTGTCGCTGGCCAGCATCGACTCGAAGATGGCTACTTTCCATCATTACGAGCAGACAGCAGAGCAAGCTTTGTTGTGAGTCCTATGCCCGGGAGCGAGACATTGTCGCGTCGCATTAGCGACGACAGCATCTCGATCCGCGACCGTATCATGAGCTCGGACAGAGCAGTGCAGCAGCGCAAGCAGCGCGCAAGCAGACTGTCAGGCATCTCCACACCATCCAAAGAGTCTTTGAGGTCGTCAAAAGCAGCGTCCCTACGCATCACGCCTAATATGGGACGGCAAAGCTTCGACGATGGCAGTGTTTCACCTGTTTCCGATGCCCCCACGCCGCGTTTCAAACAGAGATGGAGCCACCGAGCTTCTCATATACCTGCGGAACCCACGAGCGATAACGAGCCTTCGTCCAATAATACACACGAACAGAACGTACTACGGGACTTCGCCATGCGGTTATCCACTGTATATGATAGCGACGGAGATGACGGGGTTAATGAAGTGAACGGCACCCCAGAAGCTGCTCTTTCTCGACTGACAGGCGATGCAAAGTCGACCACCAGCGTCAGTACTGTCATCGACCGCTCCAGCGAAGAGACTCTACCGAGTCCCAGACTGCAGACGCAAGGTCCTCGTCCCATGCCAGCGCACAAAGACAGTGGCTACGGATCAGGCGACTCTTGGCGAGTGTCTTCGACCAAGCTATACTACGAGCGCCGTGAGAGCCACACGGGAGTGGCGCCCTCCGCCTCAAGTCAGATGGTCGTCTCCAACTACGCTGCTTTTCTAGGTAACGCCTTCGACGACGAACAGGCTACCAGCCCGATGGAGATAAAGTCAGTCAAGACTCTCATCCCGCAGAAGATCAAAGACACTACCGATGTCGAGAGTCTGTACACTTTCAAGGAATTCCTCACCTCGCCAGCTCGAAATGCTGCGGTGACGAAGCCAAAGAAGATGCTACCAGCTCCACTTCTCAGACTACATACACTGAAAACTGACAAGCGCTCGAGCTTGCCGACCTTGCCTAGCCCGACCAAGCTGGACTCGACTGACTCTGTACCTACCATAGCTTCTCTACAAATCTCCCCAGCTGGCCACGTATTGCCGTCCACCGTGGCCAAGCAGCAGAAGAAGCTACAGAAAGCCATCCCACCACATATCAAGAAGCAGCGGAGAGAAGAAGCTCAAAAGCTGAAGGCATGCCAAGCTTCTGCGCCTGAGCTTCCTGCTCTCCCTGACTCGGTCTTGTCTGGTTTCGCTGATCGCTTTTCGCACTTGCCTTCTGATGCGGATCTGCATCTAGCTGCCGAAGATCACCATCTCGAGAATACTGGCCGCGTTGTTCAAGCCACTGCTCCTCAAGAGATGGCTGCCACTGATAGTACCGAGATTGGCGCTTTTGAGCGTGGCCGTGGCCGAAGCAAAAGTGTTCACAACACCGTCATGCGCTCAGCCTCGCCCGACACAGGTCGTGGGTGGAGCCTGATGAAACTGCGAAGCAAGAGTGCTGGCCGCCACCGAAACCAGAACATGAAGAACCCAGGTTTTGACATGGTCACCAAGAAGGATGATTTGCACGAACTGGCAGCTTCAAGCCCTGGCGACGAGACACCACCGGCATTTTCTGATTTTAGTTCAGTGGCGCAGACTCTCGGATCCGGATCTTACGACATCGCAACGAACCAGGTGAAGCGTAGGACAGCTCCGGCACGTGGTGCGACGCTTCATCAGCTCCAAACGCCGTCTTTAATTACCACCGGGTTACACAAGATTAAAGCTACGAAGGGTATGGACAGCACGGCAGCGTCGGAACTTGCACGCATGAAGAGCAAAGATTTCGCGAAAGGAGACACGGTGCCAATACAGGACCGCCCACGAATGGCTACACCCAAGAGTGGCAAGTCCAGTACGCCCACCACACCTACACGCCGTGTTGAGGATCGATTCCCGGATTGGACGAGTAAAGCATCATCTCAATCGCCATCGTTGGAGCGCTCGCCGATCAGTGCAAAGAAAGACTACGCAGAGAGCATTCCACCTATGCCAGAGTTGCCCGCTGATATGGTCTTCAAAGCCTCGAAGTCTGATGACCTTGTGGCGAAGAGACTCAAAGATAGCACTGTCTCGTCGCCGGACGCCTCAGCGCGCAACAGCAACGAGACCAGAGATCGGGCTGAGATGCAACGCCTTGCAGAAGTGGAACTCATCGGGCACGGCAAAGCTGAGATGGGTCCACAAGTCATCCACGACATACCTGCTGGGCTATCGCGCGCAGAACGTGCAGCCGCCAAACAAGCTGCTATCAACTTCCACGTTCGCGAGCTCGCAGGCTCCAGCTCCGAGAACTCCAGCTTCGTCGAGCCTGCTCACGAGGCTACGATTGTTGAGCCAGTCGCGGAAGTCACGACGCCGAGTCACGATTCTCAGCACGCAGGTTGGCCAGGCTGGGAAGAACAAGCCAAGCTCTGGCGTAAGCGTCGCGAATCGTTAAACCAGAGATTGGGCATGCCCGCTGGCGACGAGATCTCGGTCATTACTGCCGAGTCACCACCTGTCTCGCGCAAGACTTCAGCTGCTACTACTGCTCTGCAGCGCGAGCCATCCAAGGGTCCATCGATCGTGGTATCAAGATATATCACACCACTCGCAGCCGAGACAGTCGCCCGAGCAAATGCGCGCAAACGACCCACGGATATGGCATCGCAGCACTCGGATCTCTACCGTGAGCTGATCCAGACAGAAGACAAAGAGAATCGACCGACCAAGGAGGATGTGCCGAGGACAGACAGTGCCATCACTACAGCATCGACTTCGACCTTCGTCACGCTGAAGTCTTGGGATCCGCGACCCGTGAAACCGGATGTTCCTCGGACAGGCACTGCGGGTACCATGAAGAGCTATACCAGTACCACAACTACCACCACCATCAACCGAGCCAGGAGTCCGGGCGGCAGAGTCAGGACACCGAGCGGGAACTACTTCCCTTATGTCCCACCACAGCAGAACTATAATTCCACACCCAACATCACCTCACCAACCAGCCCAGCCATGTCGTCGATACAGGCCTCTCGCGCTGCGGCATTCGCGAGGATAAACGAGGCCGCCAATAGTATGCCCTCTCTAATTTCCACCAAGAAGACGTCCAGCACGAACGTCCCGACTGCCGCTTCCCAGTCCACGCTCACGTTGAACAGCAACCGTAGCTCGGAGAAGGTAGTGGATCGGTACTCCGGTGGTCTACAGTATGGTTGGGATCGAGGAGAAGGGTTCTCGGGTAGTGCGGGCACGAGGGATAGTGGGAGTGATTTTGCCGGGAAGAGGAGGAGCAAGCAGATGGGGGAGCAGTGGGGGTTGGATTTGAGTGATGTGCCTGTGTTTTTGCAGAAGAGGGTTGTGTAGGTGTTGGGGTATTAGAGAGGACTTTGATATGGTGGAGCAGTGAGGTCGCGGCTGGGAATGTTCCTTTGCATCTTTAGGAGGATGTTAGGAGGGGTTTGGGGCGACAATACAGTATGTATAGCACGGGCATAGCGTAGCATAGCGGGAGGATGTGGTTAGTATACATACTCCGGCATTCTGTAGACATCGATGGCACCCATACTTCGGCTGGTCATGGGTCCGATATATCTTTGTTGCCACGGTCTTTACAATTGTCGCCTCCTATCTCATTACATCTGAAGTCAAACCTAGCAAGAATAACAGGAGTGTGCACCCCGCCAAGACGCCCAGTTGTGTCGTCGCTTTCCACTGGCGGCAAAAGGTGACGTTTTGCGTTTTGATTGGCCAGAGGATCGTGGTATTGCAGCGCTTACAGGCAGTCACTTTGGGCTGGCATGAGCTGGAAGGTCGCTAGACGGCGGCCCTACGAAGTAGCTTGAGAAGGTAGGTCGAATGACTACTAAGTCGATGTTCTTGCCACTTTGCGATTCCCACAGTCTTGAATATATACACGAGGATCACAAGTGACATCAGCCTGCACATAACAGAATAGCGTGGTGCGACGACGCAGTGATCGACGAGCGCGCATAAGCTGTGCAGCTCCTCCTTACCCAAGTGAAACAGCCTGCTTCTGGCGACATATATAATTGGAGAAGGCACGATCGATCATGGCGAACCACGAGGAACTGTTCCTCAGTTCCGAACCAACACGACCGACCCAGTCCGAGACCCCCAAACCACTGCGGATCAACAAGCAGTCGAGTCCGAACGGTCTAGCGGCCGGTGTAGACAAGCCTACAGCCCAGTGGGCGAACTATATCGTACCACAACCGGGCTCAGCAGCTTATGGTGCACCTACCAGCCCCCCGCCAACAGGACCGCTCCCATACCCGGATGAGAGACAGCGACGGGGTGAGCGACGGGCTCCAGGTCGAACAGCGACACCACAGGAAGCAGCAGCAGAGGAAGGTCGAGCGGGAGGCCCGCCCGGTGCGAGGAGACAGAGCATGGCCTCCGATGCTTCATCAGGAGCCGGCAGCGCCAACAGCAGAAGAGCGAGGTTCGACGCAGGCGATCCGAACAGACCCACAGCAGGTGGATACGGTGCCTCGCCTCCTCTCTCCGCAGGCAGGATAGCGGAGAGGAGAGGTGCGGCACCGAAGAGTATCGTTCCGCCTGATTCTCCTGGTGGGCCGGAGCCGCCGCATAAGAGTAATGAGGACGATGATGAGGGTGGGACACTGTTCAGCATACCTGTGCTTGGGAAGACTAAGACAGGTGCTGTGACGCCTGGACTGGGAAGCATGAGTCCGCCTACTATACAGACTACAGCTGCCACGCCATCGGATAGTGGAGATTACCAGCATTACTATCCTCCTCCGCTTGCTGCAGCGCCGAGTCCGGCAGCAGGTGTGCCACAGGGCATACCCACTGATAGGATACATATTCCGAATCCTGCTGGAGTGAACAGGCTGAGTAGTACAGCTTCCACATCGACGACAAGAGCGAGCAGGGGTAGTCCGCCACCTCCCGAAACTCCTATCGACCCAACGCCACAATCTGGACTTAGCGGTATCGAGGCGCGATACGCGGCTTCTGGCATACCAGGACAGGACACTCTCAATGAAATGCAAGCTCAGAGTGCGGCTGCGGCGGCAAGAAGAGCAGAATATGCTGCGCCAAGAGCACAGCGAGGCACGCCTCCAGTCACTCAGCAAGCAGTAGCTGGTGCACCAAGTGGTGGGCGTTGGAGCCCGACTGAACGGCCAGGCTCACAACCTCATGGCTCGCAACCTGTCACATTCCAGGGCACAGAAGAGATCAGCTCGAGAGGATCCAATGTTCCCTCTCAGTTCAGACCTCGACAAACAAGTCAGCCTACTTATCCTACGCCTCCTCAGCCTTCTACTGGTGGTGGCGGTGCAGCAGAGGGTCTGAATCAGCGTATGGGTAGTCTGAGCGTACATGAAGAGCCGCCGCCAGCTTATTCGCCTCCGGCGCCTGGTACTGTGCATTCGCCATATCCTAATGAGAAGGGACTTCGAGCGAATAATGGCTCACCTGCGGTGGGCATTGCAAATACTCCAGTAGCACAGCCGAAGCCTTCCACGCAGGATCCGAACTTGAGACAGCATCCAGCATTCGCAAACAGTACGCAGCCTGGGTCAAGCTCTTCACCACAACCTCAGCATCAACAAAATGGTGCAGCGCAAATACTGTCTCCTGTCAATACTGCGCAGGCCAATGCTCAGAGTGCTTCTCCTGGTCCCTCTGGCACCGGTCCAGCTTCGCCGCCACCATTACCAGAGGGTTGGATAGCACATCTGGACAACAATTCGGGTCAGTACTATTATATCCATCTACCATCGCAGAGTACGCAATGGGAGTTTCCAAAAGGTCCAACGCCGCTCAATATGCAGGAGCCTATGAGTCCGGTCTCGACCTTCAATAATCCTATAGCCTCGCCTGTTTCATCTGTGTTCAAGCAGCCTTTGGCCTCGCCTGGATTTGGTCCTGTACCACAGTCTGCAACGTTCGACCCAAGAAACAGTATGCTCAGTATGAACTCGCTCGCATCACCGACCGCCACAGGAGGTTTCACGGGTCCGCCACCTAGTGCAGGCGTAGACATGTACAAGATCCAGCCCGCGAACGGTGTCTACTTCGGCCCTTATCTCCGCTACACAAACATGGACCTCGAGCGTGGACTCTGGCTAGGCAGTATCATGGTCGTCACGGATGCCGCTCAACCACCCACTATCCACATCCACCAAAGCACCGATCTCTCACCCAACCCACGACAACTCAAAGCTCACCCTATCCACAGCCACCAACGCTGGATCTTCTACCGTTACGACGTCGACCTTCGGATGGAAGATGACCGCTCCGCCAAATGGACATACGCCATTACATCACATCTCGGCTGTACACGATACGAGTTCCTGGTTGCTGGCCGGCACGAAGTAAGTTGGCGGTTCGTAGCTCACAGCGGGAACGACTTTGCGCTGAACGTCAATGCCAACGAGCGGACGAAGTTGGGCGGAGTGGGATTAATGTGGCGAGACGTCCTACTGAAACACCAAGAATGCGGTGGGTTCCACACTCAAGTCGGGCTCGGCGGGCAGATCTACGCGGATAGATTGTGGAAGGATATCCCAGCTCTACGACAATGGACGCAGATCAGCGGGAAGGAGAATCGGAAAAACACTCCCTGGAGTCCCAAGATGGAGGAGGATGTCAGCCACGCTTATTTCCACTACTACACCTCCCACTTCGACCAGCCCGCGATCCGAGAAGCGTTCGCCCAGATCCCGCAGGTCTGCTGTCTGGACGATCATGACATCTTTGATGGCTATGGCAGTTATCCCGAGTATATGCAACAGAGCCATATTTTCAAGGGACTGGGTCGGTTGGGAATCGAGATGTATCTTCTCTTCCAACATCATACTACGCATGAGATCCTGCGAGCGGTGAATAACGATATTGATCTCTTCACTATTACTGGTACGGGCTGGCATTTTATCAAGTATTTCGGTCCGAGTGTGGTTCTTGTGGGGCCGGACACGAGGAGTGAGCGTGGTACTGGGCAGGTTATGGCGGGTCCGACGTATCAAGGTCTTTTCCCGAAGATTGCGGTGTTGCCGCCGAGTGTCCAGCATTGTCTTTGGCTTATTCCTGTGCCGGTCATTTATCCGAGGTTGGAGGCCGTGGAGCAAGTGGCGCAGGTTGCTACGACGGGGAAGAAGATGGTAACTGGTGGCTTTAATATGCTTGGGAAAGTTGCTGGTGGTGTGGCGGGTGTGGTGGGTGCGAAGGATATGGTTCACTCTGGATTTGCTGGCGTGAAGAAGGCAGTAGGGAAGTCCGGTCTGATGCAGAATGTGCTTAGCCCATTCGGCGAGGTGGAGGTCCTGGATGAGTTGCGAGATATGTGGACGCATGAGTCAAAGGTTAGTGCTTTCCCACCAAGTCCGGTACAATGTGCGAAGAATACTAACAATACTCTCCCCAGGACCTCGAACGCACATATCTCATCCGCACCCTCCAAGGCATCTCCCACAACAAATCCATGCGCATGACCTTCCTCTCCGGCTCCGTCAACGTCTCCGGCGCCGGCCTCGTGCACGACCCAGCTCATCCTTCGGACCACAAAACAATGTATCAACTCATCAGTTCCCCGATCGTCAACGCGCCCTCACCGGCATATGTAATCAAATTCTTGCATAACAACAAACCCCTCTACATCCCCGCCAACGGCCACCGATCCACCCCCTCCGTGCCTACGGATACGAAAGAAGATATGATGGAGATATTCGCCGCGGATGTTGATGGACGACCGAGGGAATTGAGGCGATTAATGGGCAGGAGGAGTTATCTTGCTATGGTTGCTTATGATCCCGAGGTCGTGCAGGGGAGTTTTGGGAATGTGACGCCGGGGCAAGGGAGCGGGAGGTTGAGTTTAGCGGCGGATTTCATGATTCAGGGGGTTGATGGTATGAGTGGCGGTGGACAGCCGCTTAAGTATGGGCCTGTGGTTATTCCTAGTCTTGATTATGGGCGGTGATAAGCTAGAAACTCGACGAAGCGGTGGGATGAAGCTGTTGTTCCAGAAGCGTTCGGCATATTGAGAGTTGGAAGTTAGATGATGTGAACATGAATTACGGCAGGCGCAGACTTCCCACGTTACATTTTCACTGTTCAGTAGGCCAGCTGGCAACCCAATCCGTATTGCATGCGCAATTCTTCTGTGACCTCATCGGCCTCAGTTAGCACAAGCATATGGCCCGGCCCAGCCCTTAGCATCTTCCCTCAACCTCTCTTCCCTCCTAACCTAGTAACTCAGCCCTCCACTCCTCTCTAGTCTTCTTCGCATGGACGGCAGTGAACTTGCGCACATCCTCAGCATACTCAACCTGATCGTGATGATAGGCGAGCGTGGCACTGGTGCTGACTGGATCTTGGGTCTCAGGTTGGTACAGCAGGCCATAGATGGTGTCCATGATTGTCGTCATCATCGTGTCCGAAGTCCAGTCGCGATTGAAGATCGAATGGCAGATACGACCATGGGCGTTGACGTTCGGGTGCTTGATCTTCGTGATGAAGCGAGCCTTCGGGGCAAATGTCGGGTACGTGTCATCGGCATCGAGGTAGAGGACGAATGTGCCGGCCTCGTATGGAGAGCCTGCTGGACCAGAGACGACAGCTTTCATGAAGGACATGTCGCTCTCGGACACGTAGATGTCGTACGTTGGCGACGGACGAGAGCTCAGAAGGTTGACTTCGCGCAGCAGACGTGATTGTCGAAGATTCGAACGGTTACCGGTACTGCTTGTCGCTACACTTCTCCAAGCCATGGGCGTGGCAGTCGTCAACAGCACAAAGTCATCATGCAGGTTCGGGTGCTCCTACTCCACATTAGCTCGACTCTATATTGATATAATGAAGAGAAGACTTACCTTGCGCGGCGGCATGTTCTCCTCATTCGCAGTCGTGTAAGTCGCCAGATACTTTGCCAGTTTGAACTTCTGCGCAAGCTGAGCCTGATTACGTGGTACACCAGGGAAAGGCATGACCGGAGGACGCTCCGACAGACTGAGGAAAGGCTCCATTCGGTCATCGTCAAAGCGTGCTCCATTGACAGAGGGTGCAAACTGTAGCAGCCGAGCAGGTAAGATGCTGCCATAAGGTCCTTGTTGTCTTCGTCGCCAAGAGTAATAATATCAAGAGCGGTGTCGGCCTGCATACTACGATCAGTAAAACATTTCTATCTGAGAAAGAATTAACCATAGCATACCTCCTTCAACAGCCAGTATGCGCCACTTGCAGTCTGACTCTTCGATGTCGTGTCACAGCCGTCACTAATCACAATAATGCGCTTCTTGGCCTCGGGATACTTCTTGCTATACTCTTTGAGCTGGTCGTGGGCCAAAGCCAGGGAGTCCCACAGGGCGGTGTCACCTGTCTTCCGTTAGCAGGAACATCGTCTGTCGAATACATGCGTGACTCGTACGTACCAGAAGCAGACATGGTGTCAACAGCACGCCTGAAGTTCTCAATCACGCCATCAAGCTGCTTGACCAGCTGAGCATTGGTACCGACTGTGACAAGGCCGATATGAGTCTTGTAGCTGTACGCGAGGATACGATTAATCAGAGCCTAAAATAAGTATTAGCCATAGAAATGCAGCTGTGACAGGTCTGAGTAGCCATACCTGGAAGATCTGCTTGAGCGCATCCAGCCTGGAGATCTTACGATCGCGCTTCGTCTCCGCGCGCTGCTTCTTCATCGAGATAGCCACTTTGAACACGAGTGGCTGATCATGAGGCCTCGCCGTCCTTGTTTGGTCTCGAAACACCTTCTCCTCGCCCAGATGGCCGAAACAGTGCTGGGCGTCAAGGTAGGCAGAGAGGTTCTCGGGGCCGTGCACGTAGTTGCCAGACAGCCTGCCATCACCAGAGTTCTCGAGATTCATCCAGCAAAGCCTCGCCTCTTCTAGATTGTGCGCCCGTGCTTCGGAATAGATATGCCGCCAGTACTTCCAGAAGATGGAGCCGATCGTCAACACGGTATCCCTACGTACCCAGTAGGCGAAAAGCATGTCGCCATGGAGCTCAAAGACCTTCACGAGGCATAAATTGCCGCGAGCTTGAGTTCGCTGGGTAGAACCAGCTCCCAAGTCGGCCTCATCGGCGATGCGTATACTGAGGAGATCTCTATCCTGCAAGTTTTGCTGTGCAATCGTGCGTATCGGCGAAGTGGAGATGGCAATGTTGTCCTTGGCGAGCTGGAAGATTGTGTGTCGGCCTTTCATCGCCCGGAAAGCGATCTTGTAAAGAGTCTCCAAGGACGCAGACTGGACCATGCGGCGCTCAAAGCGGTCGAAAGGGCCCGAGAACTGGATTGTCACTGTGCTAGGAGTATTGTCTTGCGCAATAAGATCAACGCCAGATACCCATGCAGCTACTTGCTCGTTCGTGACCATGTTGGCGTCGGTGGACGTATCACTCGAAGGAAGACCGGTCATGGGGGAGTTGTCAGAGATTTCGAACCACGTCTCCAATCTCCAATGCGTTGCGAGAGTAGGTATGGCCATCGGCCAACACGGTGACTGCATCCTCCATCAACGTGTGCGAGATTGGGCACATAACGTCATGGGGAAGATCTGTGATCGCGGCAGGTAGTGGCAGGATCCGATTGTGCTGGTTCGCGGGGATCGTATCTCCTAGCGACCAAGTCCATCGCTGCGATGGCGAGTTACTTTCGAGCGTCTCAGCGCGGAAGAGCAGGAATTCTGTTATAGCTTCCTCGTGCGTCTGCAATCCAGCATAGAATATTTTGAGAGCTGCGAGCTTCTTCTCTGCTTCCTGCATTGAGTGCCTGTAGTACCGAATGATACGCGCACGCTCCTGATTTTTCTCGTAGTCCTTATGCTTCCGCACGATTTCATGGCCCAAGGTCGCACGGAGAAGATTGATGATCTCACTCGCCGTAGTCCTGCTGACTTCTTGATCGTACTCATATGGGTCGACTTCGGCAACAATGGCAGCCATATCTGGAAAGCTCTCGTGTTTGCAAAGAAGCTCTTTCATCTCTTCGAAGGTCGCCTTGTTGTAGTATCGTGGCTCAGTCAATTCCGTAGCGGTCAAAGGCTGGCTCATAAGGATGTCATCGTCGTTGACTTCATTGAAGTCGGTAGCGTCCCGCATACTCGCACTTGTGTCGACGACGAACATGAGAAGCTCGTCTGGAGTTTGCAACCGACGCACAGCAGCGCCGCCAAGAGCATCGAAGATAGCAGTCCCATCAGCTTCATGCTGCTTGAGTATTGTGCTTATGAGCTGCTCAATGACGGCGGTATCTATACGCGCGATACCGGATAGCGGGCGGAATATGAGACTAGCTTTTGATGGATCGGCAGAACAAGCCTCTTGACCGGTGTATACAGCCAAGTCTGCCTTGCGATCAAAGGTCAAGCAGGGAGCCACGGCGCCGGCAAGCTGACTTGGCTTGTGGACGGCCAGCTTCATGTCGTTGCGGCTACACATCTCAGCCAGATGCTGCATTTCTGAGAGCTCTGCAGGGTCCCATGCCGCGTCGACATCGCCATTATCTGGGTAGGAAATCTTGTCGGTAAGCACAGCCCGTGAGAACGTCAGAAGTTGTGCAGTGGAGCCAGCGGTCAGCACTGCAACTCGGCGAATGTCTGAATTGGCTTCAGCAACCTCGGTACGTAAGTGCTGAGGACCGATTTCCCCCAGGACGCCTCCAGACGCAAGCCCATCGGATAGCGCCCTCTCCACAATGCTGGGGCCAGCCTGTAAAACGTGCATGACTGCCTCACCCGTCCTGCGGTCGCTCAAATCAAGCTCGTGCAAAGCGGTCAGATAAGGGGTGCCCTGCTCAACTTCTGACAGCTTCAATGATCGAGCCTTGTCAAGAACGAATCAACATAGCAATCTAGCGCTCTCGAAGACACGGGTGTGGTCTATACCAATCAGAGCAGTCGGGATGATGCGGTCCAGGACTTCATAGAAGCCGTGGGAGAGAGCAGCGCACTCTGCCAGAGTTGGCGTCTTGCCATGAATCAGCACGTGAAGAGCGCGGACAGCTGGCGGATGCTGTGTGAGTAGATGGAAGGTATGAAGTGTCGCATCCTTCTGGGCTGGCTCATGCTCCTCGACCATCGATGTAAAGACTCTCAAGGAGGACAGGAACATAGCCATGGCACGATCACCCTGCACCGTTGGTGGCTCCCAATGTGGCTGAGCACGATAGATACTATCCCTGCCACGTGGAGGCAAGTTCATCTTTTCTGTGGTACTTCTCATAATTGGGAAGATATCGATGGCGCCATCAATTACCAGAGCAGCAAGGCCTGACTCCTCAATTGTGACGTGCATGCAACCAGAATGTATAGGAGCCTCGTAGGTATGGAGATCCATGACGTGCGATCGAGATTGGGAGGTTTGCTCACCGTCCTCGAGCACTCGAGCATGAGCAGGTGTGTGTCGAAGCTTGCTGCAGATCGCAACCACTGGAGGCTTTGTGTAAGCGGTAATGTTCTCAGCGTGCATCTCAGCCCCGAAAAAGTGAGCTTTCTTGGCCGATTCGTAGTATTGCCCGAAGCGCTGCCGAAGGGTGGCCTTGAGCGCATCTTCGGACGCAGTGGCCAAATCGAGACGTTCGACTGCGCTCTTGCCATGAATAACCAGGAAGCTCGACGGTCCGCAGGCGGTGTCGGCGAGTTGACGAGAAAGGTTACAGTTGCATTCGTTGCCGTCATCTTCGTTGGTGTAGTCGCCACGGACTTGGAGATGCTCTGCGATGAGCTCGTGCAGCTGCTTGATAGTGGCAGAGACTGGCACGCTCAAGATAGGGGCAGCCTCTTTGCTCTGTGCAAGCGCTACTGTGATCACCCGCACGTTGAGAGTGTCGGTGTTGGTTTTTGGGGCGAGCTTGGTGGGCTACTGACTGGTGCGTAAACACTGCGAAAATTTTCTCGCTCTCGGCAGTCACGACATCGCCAAGAACATCCTCAACATCAATCAGAGCGCCACTCTCCGAGTCAATGTGCAGGGTGGCGAGATGTGTGTTGGGAGCGAGAGGAAGACCGCGACGGGCCACGCGTGTGAAAAGCCTAGAGAATGGTTAGCGGGTAAGTGCAAATAGGAGGCGAAAGCTTCGCGTACTCGTCAACAAACGCTGTCACGATAGCGGACGGCTCGAATGGCACCAACAGAGTCGGTCGCTCGCCAGACGTGGCGCCGGACACGATGGTCACGATGTATCGCTTCATCGCGGTGACCGCCGCGGCCGTTTGCTGGCTGTATGGCCAGGATACTGTGCGAGATGTGTGCGTGTAGTGCTGTTAGCTTGCTCCTGATGCACCTTCGATGGAAATGATTGTGTGGTCGATGTTTGGGAAAGCGAGTGGCGACGTGTTATTGTAAGGTTGAGTGTTAATATGACCATTAAATGTCGTTTGTAGGCAGCTTGGTAGCTCAATGAAGTGACGTTGGATCTCGCGGTTCACGCGTCTCCTACGTGCAAAGTCCAGGCGACAGCTACACTGAGCTCAGATCGTTCTAGAGACCACCGAAATGGACTTTAGCTGATAGATCGGCCTTTGTGTGTTTCTGCTGCTCCTATCTGATGGACATGGCGAATGGTTCATCTTCTTCGTGGTACAAGGCTGCCAAGGCTGGACAGCTCCAAACGCTGATTGATGGGTGGCTGCGGCTCTCGTTCACTCCGCCTCCACAAGAGCCCTCCTGGCAACGGTGCAGCCTCGTACTGCTCACTATAAAGCTGGATCTTGGTCTCGACTTCATTATGCTACACCCAGTCTGCATTATGAGTTTTACGGGAGGAACGGCCAGGTGACAAGAGGTGTTCCCAACAGTGTAAGGGCTTCATGAGTACGGGGCGCGCTGCTGGCATCGAAGTCGCACAAACTGGTTTCCGAGATACGGCTTGTTTCTGCTGTAGGGTTGGTTGCGAGTCTCTATCTTGATGTTGCAACTGGCGGATGGGCCATCCTTTTGGTAATGCTGCTATACTTTCGGGCGGTCGCATGGCCACCTTATCGCGTTCTTCAGGCACATGCCGTGCTTCAGCCATACGGAGTTGTACTGCTAGGAACTGTGCTTCTTGCCACACCTATGTCGATCACGAGAAGACTAAACGCCGTGTTCGCGAAGAAAGACAAGGAGGATTCGAAGGACACGGAAGCTGCCAAGTCTGCTTCATACCGATTCTATTTCGAGGACGAGTTTGAGCCTCAGACCCTTGAAGGAAAGGACCGTGCCTTGCAGACGCCACATTCAATCCACGTTTCCTAGCAACCTAACGGCCGTTCGTGTCGTCGTCAGTAGTGGGTCGTGAGGCTGTGTACCATAACGATGGTCTGGCACTGGATGCCATTGATAGAATACGTAGTTCCGAGTGTCATGTGAAGCAACGTGAGAGATGAAAGGGGCAGAAAGGTGTGCTCGAGAGCTGAGCTGAGGAGCATCAGCCATTTCCAGAATTCTGAAACACTTGGATACGTATTGGTGGTCGAGCTCGGGCGTGTGCGTTTGACAGCTGCTCCAACAAAACATCATCCCTCTCGTGATCCTGCTTACTTCTCTCTCACACATTCGCTGCTACTTGACCACGACACTTACGACTTCCATCATTGATCTTGCCTCACGAACACTCACTGCCAATTGGGATTGTGTGACTGCGAATAACACCCATAAACTTTCTTTACCTCTCTCTCACCGCGAATATGTGGTATGTCAATAGCAATTGTGCGTCGGCAAACACCAGCACTAATGCAATGGCAGTGGTATCTTCGGATACATCAACTACTTCGTGGAGAAGGACCGCAAGTACATCATCGACACATTGGTCAATGGTAAGCAAATGAATCACAGTATTGGGTTGCAAGGCATGTGGGACTAACAACATCTACACCCAGGCCTCTCCCGTCTAGAGTACCGCGGCTACGACTCCGCCGGTCTCGCCGTCGACGGCGACAAGAAGAATGAAGTCCTCGCCTTTAAAGAGGTGGGCAAAGTCGCCAAGCTTAAGGCCCTCATCGAGGAGGAGAAGCCGGACCTCACAAAAGTCTTCGACAATCACGCCGGTATCGCACACACTCGCTGGGCCACCCACGGCCCTCCATCGCGAGTCAACTGCCATCCTCACCGCTCCGACCCCAAATGGCAGTTCGCCGTGGTGCACAATGGCATCATCACCAACTACAAAGAGCTGAAGGCGTTCTTGGAGACCAAAGGTTTCCGATTCGAGACTGAGACGGATACGGAGGCTATTGCGAAGTTGGCCAAGTATATCTACGATGAGCACTCGTCCATCGATTTCACGACTTTGGTCAAGGCGGTCATCAAGGAACTGCAGGGCGCTTTCGGTCTGTTGATGAAGAGTGTGCACTTCCCGGGCGAGGTCGTGGCCGCGAGGAAAGGATCTCCCCTCGTCATCGGCGTACGAACAGCGAAGAAGATGAAGGTCGACTTCGTGGACGTCGAGTTCGCCGAGGACGGTGCCGCCCTGCCAGCCGAGCGCGCCAGCCAGAACGTCGCCCTCAAGAAGCAGAGCGGGCTTAGCGCCGGTCTTGGTGCCGGCCTCCTCGCCCCGCCCGACAAGTCGCTCCTCCACCGCTCCCAATCCCGCGCCTTCCTCTCCGACGACGGCCTCCCTCAAGCCGCCGAATTCTTCCTCTCCTCTGACCCCTCCGCCATCATCGAACACACCAAGAAAGTGCTCTACCTCGAAGACGATGACATCGCCCACATCCACGAGGGTCAGCTCAACATCCACCGTGTGGGCAAGACCGACGGCATCAGCAATGTGCGTGCCATCCAGACGCTGGAGATTGAGCTGCAAGAGATCATGAAGGGACGTTTCGATCACTTCATGCAGAAGGAGATTTTCGAGCAGCCCGAGTCTGTTATCAACGCTATGCGTGGACGTCTCAATGCGAAGGAGAAGACGGTCACGCTGGGTGGACTGAGGCAATACATCACCACGATCCGTCGTTGCCGGAGGCTGATATTCATCGCTTGTGGTACTTCCTTCCACTCGTGTATGGCGGTGCGCGGCGCCTTTGAGGAGTTGACGGAACTCCCCATCTCGGTCGAGCTGGCGTCGGACTTCCTGGATCGTCAGGCTCCAGTCTTCCGTGACGATACTTGCGTGTTCGTCTCGCAATCTGGTGAGACGGCTGATTCACTCATGGCGCTGCGATACTGCTTGGAGCGCGGTGCTCTGACAGTCGGTTTCGTCAACGTGGTCGGCTCGTCGATCTCGCTCATGACACACTGCGGTGTCCACATCAACGCTGGTCCCGAGATCGGTGTGGCTTCCACCAAGGCTTACACCTCGCAGTTCGTCTGCATGATCATGTTTGCTTTGTCGCTTTCCGAGGACCGTGCAAGCAAGACTCAGAGGAGGCTGGAGATTATGGATGGGTTGGCCAAGGTGTCGGATCAGTTCAAGGAGATCTTGAAGCTGGACCAGAGCATCAAGGAGTTGTGCTTGAAGTTCAAGGATCAGAAGTCGTTGTTGCTTCTGGGCCGTGGTGCTCAGCACGCGACTGCTTTGGAGGGTGAGTTTACATTTTCCACCAATGATACGTTCTTCCTCGTTAACATGAATATCTTAGGCGCCCTCAAAATCAAAGAAATCTCCTACCTCCACTGCGAAGCCGTCATGTCCGGCGAATTGAAACACGGCGTCCTGGCCCTCGTCGACGAGAACCTCCCCATCGTCATGATCCTGACCCGAGATGACATCTTCGCCAAGTCACTCAATGCCTATCAGCAGGTCATTGCCCGCAGCGGTCGTCCCATCGTCATCTGCAATACGGGGGACAAGGAGTTCCCGGGCGAGAAGACGGATAAGATTGAGGTGCCGCATACGGTGGATATTCTGCAGGGACTGTTGAATGTGATTCCTTTGCAATTGATGGCTTATTGGTTGGCGGTTGCGGAGGGGTTGAATGTGGATTTCCCAAGGAATTTGGCGAAGAGTGTTACGGTCGAGTAGGTGATCTTGGTGGTGATAGTTTTGGGGAAACGGGTGTGGCTACAGCTGGTTCTGGGCTTTGAGGGGGCGGTTTGTGCGAGTAGAATGGATTGGGGTTAGGGCTAGAGTAGAGTACGATAGGATACTGCAATGTGATTTATGGGTAGATGAATGATTGTCGGTTTCGCTGCAAATGGGACAATGGCCTTATGTGCCGCCAGTGACATGTGATGATTGATCATGCTACTCCATACTGCACATGTTGCATATTGCTTCCGCGGCACGTGTTCCCCACCTATTCCCGCGCATCCGGAAATGTGGCTGGTGTACCTGCATGATTCGATCGATCTCTTGGGATTTTTCTAAGGTGAACAACTGGCCTTATTAGTGGCTGCGGGGCGACATCATTTCTTTGCTGCGGTAGTACAACACCCCACCTACGTACACATATCATTGCCTACCTTGACAACAGGTGGTTTGATCGTAGTAGTCTGCGTGGTAATCAAGACATGCTGACACCACACTCTTTCCTGCCTATATAAGTTTCACTTCGAGGGAAGGCCAGGAACACCTGACAATCGACTGGACACAGTCTCGATATTTTTGGTCTGATTGACCTGCGACTTCGATATGGACAACGCCTTTGTCCGCTCCTCGTCCGAGGTCCTTGAGCATTTTCACGTGAGCGAGCAGAGTGGATTGGCGGATATCAGTGTCCAGGCTGCGCTACAGAAATATGGCAAGAATGGTTCGTACATACGAGCACGTGCTACTAGAGGTTGAATGCTAATGAGCTCTCCACAGCCATCCCAGAAGAACCACCGACTCCCCTCTGGGAACTCGTCCTCGAACAATTCAAAGACCAACTCGTCATCATTCTCCTCGCCTCAGCCGCCATCTCCTTCGTCCTCGCCTTGTTTGAAGAGCAAGAAGGCTGGACCGCTTTCGTCGACCCGGCCGTCATCTTGACGATCCTCATCCTTAATGCGATCGTGGGCGTGAGTCAGGAGTCTAGCGCTGAGAAAGCCATCGCTGCCTTGCAAGAATACAGTGCCAATAAGGCCAAGGTACTGAGGAATGGACGATTATCGGAGGTGAAGGCCGACGAGCTGGTACCGGGCGATATCGTGCATGTGGCTGTCGGCGACAGAATCCCGGCGGATTGCAGGTTGCTTAGTATCCAGAGCAACAGTTTCCGCGTCGATCAGTCGATTTTGACGGGCGAGAGCGAGAGCGTGGGGAAGGATGTCCAGGCTATCAAGGATACGCAGGCTGTCAAGCAGGATCAGATCAATATGTTATTTTCTGGCACGACTGTCGCCACGGGGACGGCACATGCGGTGGTGGTGTTGACGGGTTCGCAGACGGCGATTGGTGATATCCACGAGTCGATCACTTCGCAGATCTCGCAGCCGACGCCGTTGAAGGAGAAGCTGAATGATTTCGGGGATGTGTTGGCCAAGGTTATTAGCGGGATCTGTGTGCTGGTTTGGTTGATTAACATTCAACATTTCAACGATCCTTCGCATGGCAGTTCGTGGACCAAGGGCGCGATATACTACCTCAAGATTGCCGTCTCGCTCGGTGTGGCGGCGATTCCGGAGGGTTTGGCCGTGGTGATCACGACGTGTTTGGCGCTGGGGACGCGGAAGATGGCGGCGAAGAATGCAATTGTTAGGTCTTTGCCTTCGGTCGAGACCTTGGGGAGTTGCAGTGTCATCTGCTCGGACAAAACTGGCACGCTTACGACGAATCAGATGAGTGTTAACAAGGTGGTGTATATCGATGCGAGTGGCACTGGGCTGGAGGAGCTGGATGTCTCGGGTACGAGCTTTGCGCCTGAAGGCTCCGTCTCGAAGAATGGCAAGGTCCTCGATAACCCAGCCGTGAGCTCGAATACGATCAAGCAGATGACTGAGGTCGCTGCTTTATGCAATGGAGCTACGCTTTCGTACGACAGCACGCACCGCACTTTCAACAAAGTTGGCGAGGCTACTGAGGGTGCTTTGCGAGTGTTGGTCGAGAAGATTGGAACAGTCGATGCTTCTTATAACGCCCAGCGCGCCGGCCTGACGCCAAACTCCAAGCTCCACCACGTCAGCAAGCGCTACGAACAGCAGTATCCTGTCCAGTCAATCTACGAGTTCTCGCGCGACCGCAAGAGCATGTCTGTGCGAGTTAACGACGGCAATTCAGAGAAATTGCTGGTCAAAGGTGCGCCAGAGTCGATCCTAGCTCGTTGCACGCACTGCCTTGTTGGCAGCGATGGGAAACGCCAGCAGCTGAATAGCAAGCTTGCATCCATCCTCCAGAACGAAGTCACAGACTACGGCAACCGTGGACTCCGCGTCATGGCACTCGCAAGTCTAGACAATGTCGATACCAAGCGTGCTAGTAAAGCCAAGACGACGCAGGAATATGAACAGCTGGAGCAGGGCATGACTTTACTAGGACTGGTCGGTATGCTGGATCCTCCTCGACCAGAAGTTGCTGAGAGTATACGCAAGTGCCGCTCAGCAGGCATCCGTGTGGTAGTGATCACAGGTGACAATCAGAACACGGCCGAAACCATCTGCCGCCAAATCGGCGTCTTCGGTCCTAACGAAGACTTGACGGGCAAGAGCTACACAGGCCGCCAATTCGACGACTTAAGCGATAGCGAGAAGCTGAAGGCGGCCAGACGCGCCTCCTTGTTCTCCCGTACCGAGCCAACACACAAGTCTAAACTAGTCGACCTCCTGCAATCCTCGGGTGAAGTCGTAGCCATGACTGGTGATGGCGTGAACGACGCCCCTGCGCTGAAGAAGAGCGACATCGGTGTAGCAATGGGAACGGGTACCGACGTGGCTAAACTCGCCGCCGACATGGTGCTTGCGGACGACAATTTCGCCACGATCGAGACGGCTGTTGAGGAAGGCCGAAGCATCTACAACAACACGCAGCAATTCATCCGATACCTCATCTCGTCCAACATCGGCGAAGTGGTGTCCATATTCCTCACGGCTGCATTGGGTATGCCCGAGGCCTTGATCCCGGTGCAATTGCTTTGGGTGAATCTGGTCACGGATGGTCTGCCCGCTACGGCGTTGAGTTTCAATCCTCCGGATCATGATGTTATGAAGCGCCCGCCTCGCAAGAGGGATGAGCCATTGGTGGGGGGGTGGTTGTTCTTTCGGTATATGGTTATCGGGACGTATGTTGGTCTCGCTACGGTGGGAGGGTATGCGTGGTGGTTTATGTTCTTTGAGGGGGGGCCGCGGATTAGCTTCTATCAGCTCGTGAGTTACACATCTCCCCTCGATTGCACAAGAGGGTGGTCTTGCTAATGCGGGTTCTATGACAGACGCACTTCCATCACTGCACCACCTCCTTCCCGGAAATCGGCTGCCAAATCTTCGGCGACCATCACGCCCGCACCGCTTCCACCATCTCCCTCTCCATCTTGGTCGTGATCGAAATGCTCAACGCCATGAACGCGCTTTCGTCCTCGGAATCCTTACTCACGCTCCCGCTCTGGAACAACATGATCCTCGTCTACGCCATCACTCTCTCCATGGTCCTCCACTTCGGACTCCTGTACACGCCTGTCTTACAGGGAATCTTCGGTATCGTGCCGTTGGGGTGGCCTGAGTGGTATATTGTGCTGGGGTGGTCGGCACCGATTATTTTGATTGATGAGGGGCTGAAGTTTGTGGAGAGGGGGTGGTTTATGCCAGTCGCTGGTAGGGAAGAAGGGGGGGAGAGGAGGAAGTTGAAGTAGGGAGTATGCAATTGGTGTCTCAAAGGGGGGTTGAGTCGGGGGCACAAGGGTAGAGGTAGACCTGAGATGGTTCTTGGATTTGGCTGCTTGGTAGATTAGATGATAGAATCCTCTGCTATTACTAAGATTACGATTCTGATCGAACTCCCATTGGCTTCCTTTTTGAGTATTCAGTCTCTGAAGGCACTTCATGCACTGCCAACATGCTCGCTTCCCAACCAGCTCGTGAGGTGAATGTTCTCATGCACACATGCCTCAGGCACAAGACGATCGCGTGCCCCCCAACGCGGAAGCTACGTAGCCAAACAAAAGTTACCGGAAGCACCAAATACCTCCAACACAACACCAACATTGGAGGTGAACAACAAAAATCATGGACCTCCTCCGCCGCTTCATCGGCACCGCGGCCGCCACCCTCGACAACCCGGCCATCCCCTGGAAAGTCCTCATCACCACCTTTGCCGTCGGCGAGTACGCACTGGAAACCTACCTCTCCTACCGTCAATACCAGGTCCTCCAGCGGAAGAAGATCCCGGTGCAATTAAAAGAGGAAATCGACCAGAAGACTTTCGATAAGAGTCAGGCGTATGGACGGGCGAAATTCAAGTTCGGATTGGTGAGTGGGGTGTTTAATATGGTTAAGAGTTTGGCCGTGTTGAGGTGGAATGGCTATGCTTGGTTGTGGTCTCTTACGGGGATCTGGTTGGCGAAAGCCACGGGTGGTCCAATGGGGAGTATCGGGCTTCTGGCGCAGGGAACGAAATGGTACAACGGCACGATCGCCCATTCCCTCCTGTGGACCTTCGCCTTCTCCTTCGCCGAGACGCTCCTGAGTCTCCCCTTCTCCTACTACCACCACTTCGTGCTCGAAGAAACCTACGGCTTTAACAAACAAACCCTCGCCCTCTTCTTCACCGACTTATTAAAATCTCAAGCCTTAGCTCTAGGTCTCGGGATCCCCATCGGAAGCGCCTTCCTCTACATCATCGACCGCACGGGGGAATCCTTCTTCCTGTACCTCTGGCTCTTCACCCTCGCCTTACAATTAGGCGCCATAACCATCTACCCCATCCTCATCGTGCCCCTTTTCAACAAACTCACCCCGCTGGAACCCGGCACCTTGCGCGATCGCGTGCACGCTCTAGCAGACAAGTTGAAATTCCCATTGGGTGAACTCCAAGTCATCGACGGCTCCAAGCGCTCCGCCCACTCGAACGCCTATTTCACCGGTTTGCCCTGGAAGAAAAAGATCGTCATCTACGACACGCTGATCGAGAAGTCCGAGGTCAAGGAAGTCGAGGCTATACTGGCACACGAACTGGGGCATTGGAAGATGGGACATACGACGCAGCTACTCGGGATCAGTGCAGGGTATTTGTTCTTCGTGTTCATGCTGTTTAGCGTGTTTGTGAGGAATGGGAGTTTATACGAGGCGTTTGGGTTTTGGTCACAGCAGCCGACGATCATTGGGTTTATTTTGTTCAATGAGGTGTTGAGTCCGACGGACGCGGTGGTCAAGTTGGGGATGAATGTTTGGACGAGGCGGATGGAGTTTCAGGCTGGTATGTCCTCACCACGAACTCCCTCATTTGTCTATCTCTCTGTCTTATGTGAATGCTTTGCTAATCTATCATCTTCAGATGAGTTCTCACTCAAACAGGGCTACGCGGCCGAACTCGCCACCAGCCTTATCAAGCTCCAGATCCAGAATTTGTCGGCTATGGATGCCGATTGGATGTACTCGACTTACAACTATTCGCATCCTATCCTGACTGAGCGGCTGAAGGCTATCGGATGGACTTCGGATCGTAAGGTTGGGAATTATGAGGAAAAGAAGGCCGCTGGTGCTGTTGCTGCTAATGGTGGTGCTGGACACAAGGAGTTGTGATCCTTCGCGGTACGCGTGGGGGCGTTGAGTGGCGTTACAGCATTTGATGGCCATAGCATGGAGGACGGTGTGTAGCAGCTATCCCGATTCTGGCTGATCTTACGTCTCCGTATCTGGCCATTCGGGCATGTCCTATAGTATCGGCTTGCTCGTCGGCGCGGCGGACGCAGACAACAGAGGCGTGGCATCATCTCTGCTGATAGAAGCGAAGACTAGAGCAGATAGCAGCTTGACGACATGAGCTGCATCGAGAGACGCACTTCCCTCATGCCCTTTCGTCCATCGTAACTCATTGTCGGGATATCATCCTCACCCTTTCGCCTGGTCATTAGCACTCTTCTCCGCCTTGCGTCTCGCCTTCTTCGCTTCCTTCCGCGCCAACTTGGGATCCAGTGGCCGCTGTCCTTTACCCTCGTTGGCCTTGCCCTTGCCCTTGCCTTTGTCCCTCACATGCTGAATTGGCGGCGGTGCACCACCGGCTTGCGATACAGGTGCGGCGGCATCACGCTCGCCCACTTCACCTTTCATTGGCTGTTGGGAGATTTCGTAGGATATCTGATCTTGTGCGTCTGGATCGTCGTCTAGCGGTCTTTGTTGGTGTTGGGTTGAGCCGTAGGCTGCTTCCGAGGTTGTTTCGGCCCAGTATACTATTGATGCTGTCTATATCCCCAAATGCTCGTATTAGCCTTTTGCTGAATGCTTTATGAAGCGGATTTGAACATGTCTTACCTTGTTGGCTTTCCCACCATCAATCAGCCGATCCAGAGTCCCATCATCGCCCTCCGGTAGCTCATCCGCACCAGTACCACCGAATTGCAGCGCCAGATCCTCGAAACTTTCCACAGCTAGATTCTCGCCCCGAAGTCCGGCTTCTATGCGTCGAAGATGGTGCACCGCTATCCCGCCTTTCGACCCACTTTGTGCGGCGAAGGCTATACCGCTGCTGGAGAGCTGGGCATCGGGGTGGAGGTAGGCGTGTTGTTCTAGGTTGGCTAGGAAGGATGATAGGGTTTCTTGTGCCTGAGATGGGTTTAGATGGGTTGTTTTGGTTAGGTGGAGCTGTGTCGGGGGGTAGGCCGTTCGGGGGACCATGTTGAGTGGCTTTTCGTCGGCTCGGACAATCTATATTCAGTCATGTCATTGTGTAGAAAAGGCCCAAGGTGCAAGAGAGCTTTGTCGCACATCCCCAGAAAAATGTTTGAGCTTGGACCTCAATGCGACGTGGAAGGGGAAGGTGCGGCGAGGACTTCCGATCATATGCCTTTGCAATGAACGATACAGCTCGATCCATAGATTTCGTACCATCGACATTTACCCGTAGTTTTTACACTCAGCATGCTGTGTCTACGATGTCTCCGGGCGTCTCTGCCGACCACAAAATCCTCGCGAAGCCTAGGACATATCCCACAACGACCCCCTCAAACTAGTACAGCAGTTCAGCAAAGGTATATGCAGCAGGCAATACCCTACATCACGATCGCGACCCCCGTGCTTACCTCCCGCTACAGATCCCTCTCGCTCTTCTCCCGTCCATCCATCAGACCCCACCTCCCACCAACCTCAAGTCCAACGGAATCAGCCACAGCCCTCGACATACCTCCATCGAGTCTACGATCGCTCTCCCATCCTTCTGGGTCACTTATGCTGGTCCGAGGAGCAAAGAGAGATACCTTCAACCCGTCACATTTGGTTCGGAAGCGGAGACATGGGTTCTTGGCGCGGTTGAGAAGTCGGACGGGGAGGAAGGTGTTGGCGAGACGGAAGGCTAAGGGGAGGAATACGTTGAGTCATTGAGGCTGCGACTGGTCATGGAATTGGAGCGGGATGGAGTATAAGGCGAGCGTTAAAGCAGGTTGAGGTGAGGATGCCTTTGATGATTGCGGTGGAGTGCAAGTGAGGACTATGTTGCTCAGATCTCGGTCTCTGCAACGGGAAAAGGGACCCGAGCGAGCTCATTGAACGGGTCGGCTCGGAGCATTTCCAAGTCCATGTCGAGCCACTATATCGTGATTTCGCCACATGTTTTCACTCTGTCAGATAAGATAGACCGTGGACATTCTTTGGCTATCGACCTCTAAGTGGAGAGACGCCGACAAAGCTGGGCAGTCCAGGCTGGTAGAGTGGACGCGAAGGATAGTCGAGATCCTGCCCTGCTGCTGTTTCTATACGATATCCCATGGAGGAAGGTTGGCTGGGCAGGCACGAGATCGCTATGGATGACATGGGCAGTGTCTGTACTTGGAAAGGAATACGGACGCTGCATAAAGGGCTTATTTCTTCGCGAAAGGATCAATCTGTGCTTCCCACAATAGTGATAACTAAAGTCGATGGCTACAGATATGATAGCGCCGACTGCTTTCGCCATTCGTATGCTGGAGCGACGGCGGCCACGAGGTAAGACATACGTCTCTCGTTTCTCATTTCTCGTCGCACGTGGCGCAGGCGTGCCACTGACTAGTGTCACGAGACAAGTCTCCGATATCTTCCTCGTGTACCGAGTATTCTCGTCTTTGCTGATACAACATAGTCGACATGTAGTGAGATGGTGATGAATGGCTGATGTGATGGGTTATATTCGGAGTCTTGGCGGAGATCTTCAGCCCCTGCAATCGACTCCGCTCTCCTCTCGACTTCCCGGTTGCTCACACGCCAGCCGCGCGCCATGACATCGACGCCTCTTCCGTCTTGACCTACACCTACCCTCTTCCACCCTACTCTGTTTTTTGCATCGCATCATGTCGGCGTTCTTGTAGTATATTCTTACCTATTATATCTCACACGACTCATCTTCGCCCAATTGAGGTCGCGTCGCAGAAGCGCGCGCCGAAGAAGCATCTTCACCTCACATCGATATCCACACCAACACACAATCAACCATGGCGTCGGCAATATCGAAACGCCAACAAGCGCGCAATGAGCGCATGCTCCAAGACCTCCTCCGCAACGTCCCCGGCAACGACCGCTGCGCAGACTGCACCGCCAAGAACCCAACCTGGGCGTCATGGAATCTAGGTATGTTCTTATGCGAGCGCTGCGGCGGCCTGCACCGCAAATTAGGCACCCACGTCTCCAAAGTGAAGAGTTTGAGCATGGACAGCTGGAGTGGCGATCAGGTCGAGCATATGAAGAAAGTGGGGAATGCCGAGGGGAATCAGCGGTGGAATCCTAAAGGTGTGCGGCCGGATATCCCTGTTGATGTGGATGAGGTTGATGGCGCGATTGAGAGGTTCATCCGCCAGAAGTACGAGCAGAGGGCTTTTGTGCCGGGTGGCATGGGTGCGGCTGCTGCGAGGGCGCCGGTGAGGCAGAATACGGGGAGTACGGAGACGGGGTCGTGGAGCGAGGAGCCCCCGCCTTTGCCACCTAAGCCGGGCAAGAGGTTTGGATTCTCCTTGAGGTCGGCGAGTTCGACCCTGCCAAAGGCGAGCAAGCATGATCGGAACTTTACGCCACCTCTATCACCAACCTTTAGCGGGAATGGGAATGATCGGTTTGATCCGCCGAGTCCGCGGAATGTCAAGGCTGGTAATAAGCCGTCTCAGATGTTTGGGATGAAGATTATGGGCGTGGGAAATAATTTCGATGCCAAGTTGGCGACGTTGAGAGATATGGGATTCAGTGATAGTAGACAAAACTCAGCGGTGCTGAAAGGTGCCAATGGGAATTTGGACAGGGCGGTCGAGACGCTTGTGCGGCAGGGTGAGGACAGTAAGCCTGCTACGCCCGGGCCGAGGAGCTTGACGCCTCTCAGTATGGGTAGTCAGGGTGCGGCGGGGATCACGTTTGAGAAGACGAGACAGGCGGAGAAGAAGGCCAATAGTAATCCTTGGGAGATACGCGAGGAAGTGCCGCAGAGATCGGCTACCCAGCCTGCACCTGAGCCGCCACGATCACAGTCCGCTCAGCCGCAATCGAACTCGTGGAATCCTTTCCTGGCTCAAACGCAGCAGGCTCAACCACAGCAGCTCGTGGATAGCTTCCAGAACCTGCAAATGTCGCAAACTGGGCCTGCGCCACAGCAATATGCTCAATCTGCTATTTACGGACAGCAGGCGCAAAACAACCCCTTTCAGGCCGTCCAGGCGCCAAACCCATGGGATACATCGAACATGTCTCAGCAAATACCGCAGCACTCGGCCACGGATCCGACGTACGGACAACAGTACCAGCAGACACAGCAATATCAACAGCAACCAGCACAGCCACTTCGACCTCAACAGACCAGCAATCCCTTCTTGCGACGAGCGGCGTCTCAGACATTCGCGCCGAGTAATCCTTGGGGTCAGATACCGGCGCAGCCTCAGCAGCACCAAGTGGCGCCTGCTCAGCAGAGTGGTAACCCGTTCGGGCTTCCGCCTCTTCCACAGCAGCAGCAGCAGCAGCAGGTGCAGAATGTGCTTCAGCAACCCGCAATGCAGAGTCCGGCGCCTATATACGGAGGGCAGGAGTATTTTGCCGGACAGCAAGCGCAGGCGCAATCGCCGTGGCAACCCCAGCAGGTGCAGCCGCAGCAGACGGGCGTGAATCCTTTCTTTCAACAGCAGCAGCCTCAGCAGTCTCAGCAGCAGATGATGATGCCGCAGCAGACGGGCATGCCACAGCAACACCAGTACCTTCAGCAACCACAGCAGCAGCCCGTAGCTCTTGCACAACAAGCAATGGAACAACCTTGGACCTATCACGAAGTCACTCCGCAACCTCAGCAGCGTATGCAGATGGATAAGTCGTCGATTCTCGGTTTGTATGGTATGCAATCTTCTCTGCCACAGCAACAGCAGTCACTCCAGTCTATCTCTGAGCATGGAGGGATGCAGGCCCCACAGCAGCAGCAGCAGGAGCAGCAGCAACAGCAGGGATATCTACCTCAGCAACCGCAGCAGCCGCAACAGCAACAGGCGTTCCAGCAACAGCCACAGCCACAACAGCAGCAGCAAGTACAACGCAGTGTTACAATGCCCGCCACCATGCAGCAGCAGCAAGTAAATGGAGGTAACCCTTTCGGAGCCTTTGGCCAACAGCCACAGCAAGCTTTCCCGCAAGGACCGAGGCATGTGAGTAATGAGAGTGCGGCGTTTGTTGGGCTTGGTGGTGGTGGTGGGGTGGATGGGAGGAATAGTCCCGATGCTTTTCGTGGGTTGAGTAGTATGTATGCGCGATGAGGGTGAGTTTTTGCCGGAGGTGGGTTGGGTGGGATGGTCAGGGGCGGCTGTGGTTGATGGGTTGCGGTGGATGCGAGGTAGGGTGGAGGCGGTGTAGTTGGGGATTGAGCTGGTGTATGAGGGGACGAAATGGGCCAAGATGAGGTGGACGCGGCTGGAACGAGGGATGGGATAAGATGAGGCAATTCGCGCGGGTCCAGATGGGCGAGTGTTCCGTTCTGGCAGTGGTTTGCACCAGATTGTATGAAATGAGATGAGATGGACTGGGACGAGATGAGATGAGATGCATGTACGAACAGCATGAAGTGTCTGTGTCGCAAAGAATGCAAGAGATCGAAATGTTGGAAGCGTCTTGAGGTGCCGTGCTCATATGGCAGTAGGCACCTGGTGTAAGTATATCGAACTGTTTGTACGAAGAAAAGTACGAGATGAATGCCGAAGTTAAATTGGCACGCACAATCGCGTTCGTGATGCGGCTCGGAACCTTAGCTGGGGGATTATACGCGTATGATCTCACTCTCACAGTTCGAGGATACTGATCTGCTTGAGTGTCAAGGTCATTCGTATTCATCATTACAACTACGAAGCGCGGAATGCACCACAACCAACATCATGACCCGCAACAATCTAAGAAGGAAACCATCATGATGACAAAATCACCCCAGCTTCGCCCTCTTCGTCACCCGCTGACTCCTATCTTCCTCAACAACCACGACCTCATCGACCTTGACCTCCGGCTGCTTGCCCCTGACCACCTCCTCATAAGGCAAGATCTCCTCGTCCGTCCTTTCAAGCAAAGACTTCTGCTGCGCGAGAAAAGCCTTCATACCTTTCTCATCTGTCTTCTTCCCCGCCGCATGAGCTTCACGAAGACTTTTCAGCTGGACCCGGGTCCTTTCCTCCAGCATCTCCAGGCGGTAACGAGCGTATTCGTAGTACAGTTCCGAGATATCTGAGATTCCGCGGACGGTGCTCAGGACGCTGTCGTCGGGGAGATGAGGGGATTTGGGTCGGAAGGAGGTGACCATTGTGATGCGCTCTTTGGATCCGAGAGCGCGGAGGGCTTGGTGCGTGATGTAGCGGCCTTGCATTACTACTGCGCAGCCCTGGATTATATTAGATCGATCATGCGGCAGCGATGAGGGAGTTAAGGGGGGGGGCGGGCGAATGAAAGACATACCATCTCCGGGCCCCTGACTTTCATAACATCTCCGAACCCGGTCCTCAATGCCGTCTCCCCACCCACCATGCCCTCGCAATCACTTAACATGGTCACGCACACAAACGGATAACTATCCGTATGCCAGCCGACGACCGGCTTGTCATCTTCCCACGGACATCCGGCAATCCCTTCATCTTGGTCGTAGTTCTTGCGTTCGCGCTCGATTTCCGCTCGTTCGGAAGCTGCTTGCGCGGAGGATTTGACGCTGATGTTGATGTGCCCGATCTCGAGGTTCATGTTGGGGATGAGATCTACGCCGGCGATCTTGGAGATGTGGGAGAGGAGGGTGGGGTTGTGCCAGGCGTCGTAGACGAAGGGGGCGTGTCTGTGGTGCCTGTTAGTTGGTTGATCAAGGCTTGGTGTGACGTGGTGATGATGTCGGTCGAGGTGTTCGACTTACTTCGCCGCATAGCCCCTGATTTGGCAGGCGGCAAGATTGCTTTTCACGGTGCATTCGCTCATGACGGCCTCGCTCAGGACTTCGTCGCGGAATTTCTGGATACATTCTGGGGTGAAGAGGCGGAAAGGCTGGGAGACAGCGACGGGAGAGACGCCGGTGTCTTTGCTGAAGCCGATGTCCTCCATCATCAAGATGGACTCTGGTTGTTCGAAAGCCAGATGTTGTGTGGGGTCGAAGGTCTTGGTAGTCTCAAGTTTCCGCTTGGTGGCGGTGCCTTTGATGATGGGTGCGAAATGTTGTTTGGGTAGGCCGGGTTGGGCCAAGACGTCCGCGGTGGCCATGATTGGCACTGTGATGGATCGACTCGTCTTGTTGTCGTTGTCTAATTAGTGTCAGTATGCGTGAGACTATCGTGGTCTGGTGAACAAGCAGATCTGGCACAAGGGTCAAGCAATCGAACATATTAGGTGCGAGGTGAAGTGGTTTGGACATTACGAGACGAGTAGCGGAGAATGTTGGGGCACCAATATGAAAGATCACAAAGCTTACATCAATGGTTGAGCGATTTGATATGCTTCGGCTTGACCGGTCCTGTAGCAATTGAGTGTATTCAAGATATGCCAAGGGAGGAACAAGGAGGTCGGAGTGAGTTTGAGTCGAGATAGTTATGATTACGACAATGATCATGTCAAGACAGAGGCCGACAAGCAATAGTCATACTTATGTATACCACCCACTGGAAAGCTCTCGACTCGTGAAGTAGATACCGTTCTCGGAGTATGAACACGAGACAGGTGCTACCCAGGTGCGCTGATATCAGTAGCCTGACAGGATGGTGGCGACTAATCCAGGCCTCCTGATATCGGAACCGTTGGCGTGCGGGCGTGCGGCCTTCACATGTCCTCTCCAGCCTAGCAGTAAGCAGGTCTAGTGCGATCAGCATCCGTCGATGGGTATCAGCATCAGGGTTATCTCGTCTGCCAACATGGCATCGGCTTATCGTACCGATAGTGCTACTCATTCTCGCCATTGGTCGTCTCAGCGTCGTCATTATCTGAGGAGAGCAGGGCCAGATTATCGGTAAACACTTCTGTGTTGTGGAGCAGATTCTGGGGTGTGTAGCAGAGTCCAGTATTTTATGCTCCCGATGACCATTTCAGGTATCCGGACTGGAAGCTTAGAGGTAGGCCGTCGTCATCTTTACCGCCACTTGCCGTGTTCTCAAGTAGTCGCGCTGGTGGCCGCTGCCTCTACAATGCGTGCGTTACGCAGGGAAGGCGACACGTGGGCCTGCGACATCGTGATATAGAGCGCCATCGAAGTGCGGTCATGTATGAACTCGCATGTATCGTTGTACAGCCATGGGAGGAGGCAGTATCCGCGACTGTCAACAGGCTTCCGGTAGATAGGGTTGCAGTGGCATGGAAAATGCTTGACTTCCGGGTTGTATGCCTCGATTGGGAAGTTTGCTTCTCTCCTGACACGATGCGCATACGTGAAAGGAGGAGATTGCTAGAACCTTTGCCTCTTCGCGAGACATGACTCGTCTCGAGACTGATGTAGATAGGCTAGAGTGTTGCGCTTTTGTGCTTGCAACAGAGGGCGCAGAAGACTTCAACTAAACACATAACGGTTGTCGTACGCTAAGACCTAGGGTTCTTACTAGTTTTTAGTAAGGGAACTAGGCGTACAAGTATTATATACGCGATAGCTACTTGTTAACCTCGCCGTCGACCCTAATTAGGAAGCTATAAAGTAAATCTAAGGTTATAGTCGCTATAGAGCTAGTTCGATAATGTATATATAAGCGTTTAGCGCTAGCGCTATTTAATTAATTACCTTCGCTAAGCTAGTTAACTAAGAGGAAGAAGGTTATAATTAAGCTACTAAAGTAGTAGTAGCTACTACTAGATAATAGTAATAGCGAAGATCCTAAAGATAAAGATTAACTTAAAGTAAAAAATTATAAAGAGCCTACTAAAATTAGCTTAACTATAAAGTCCTTACTACTATTAGATTACTTATCCTCGCTACTTATACTAACGTAGCTACTATATAGTTAAAAGCGTACTAGCTTAATACTACCTACTATATTAAAGAGCTTTAAAGATAAAGCTAAAAACAATAAGGTAGCTAATCTATTTAAGGCTAACGAGCTACTAAAGCTAAAGGACCTTACTTTTAAGTTATAGCTAAATATAATAATAGTAGTTAGAGAAGTTACCTATAGCAAGGCTATTAGAATAGTAAAAAGTAATAATATTATTATATAAGTTAATATAGGTTTATAGGCCTAAAGTAAGTACGCTAGTAGTAGTTTAGGGCTTTTTTAAGTAGTTGCTTATACTTATTATAGCTTACTTAAAGGTACTACTGGTATTACTACTAATATTAAGAATAAAAAGGACTTTAATAAGCTAAAGAGGTAGTATTTATAATAGCTCCGCGACTATAAGAAGAAGCTATAAATCAATATAACCTAGTAGCTTAAGAAGGCGCTAGTAATAGCGCTAGTAATACTAGCTATAATACTACCCCTTTAAGCTTAAGCTTAAGCTTAAAGCGTAACTATATAGTAGTACGTAGCGCTACTAGCTAGTATAGTATAGGTTAAGGCTACTAGTAACTAGCTAGTTAATATCTATTTATAATAGACCTATAGTTAAAATAGCTATAGTAACTTTTAGAAGTAGTATTACTAAATTAGAATAGACTCTAAGAATAACTACTATTTAATTACTAAAGATATTATAATACTCTAGTCTTATAACTAAAAAGGCTAGCTTAACTATAATATAAAGAAGATAAATACAAACGTATTATACTACTTAATAATAGTAAAGATAGTAGTTAAGATATAGTTATACTAGTTATAACGTAGTACGCCTTAAGCTACTATTAACTAGTAAGGTATAGTTAGTAGCGTAGGTCCTATAGTAGTATAGCTTTTCTTTAGTAATAATATAGTACTATAGATAGCTAGTTCTAAAAGGTCTAAGTAAGGCTCTAGAAGTCGTATATTACTACGACTATAATCTTCTAATATAGTAAGTAGTTCTACTACGCTACTTTTAAAGCTATAAGACTTCTTCTTATAGCTAAAAGCGAGGCTAGATTAGAGTAAGAAGATTAAAAAGATTAAGAAACTTAAGAATAAGCTATATAATAAGCGTTATAACCTATACGCTATTAGTATTATAGAGTTAGTAAAGTAGTATAAGATATAGTTAAAAAAGACTTATTTATAAAGATTAAAGAAGATATTAGCTAAATACCGCTTAGCTATTATAAGAGAGTAATATATATATAAGAGCTTATATAGTATTTAGTAAGTTTAATAAAAGAGTAAGAATCTAATTTAAGTCTATATAAAAGAAGAAGGAAAGTAACTACTATAGAAGTAGCCGCTAGTACTAGTACGCTAGTACTTACTTTAAGAGCTCGCTCTTTATATTATCTTCTTCCTTTACTTACTTTTAAGTAAAGACTATCTATTAGAGCGATTAGTTAACTTCTATAGCTTTTAACTAGACTTTACTTTAACTTTAGATCTTTTTTACTTTTATAATACTTTTTTTTAATTTAATATATATATACTTTACTTTACTATTAAATAATAGTATTATATATTTTACTTTACTTTTTTAGATAATACCTTTATTTATACTTTCTTTTATATTTTTATAAAAGTAAATATAATATTATTTTTAATAAGCTATAGTAAAGTAATAATAGTAATATATATCTTAATATCTAATATCTTTAGTTTAGTATTTATTATATACTATATAAAATTATACTTTAACTATTTTTTACTTCTATAGTTTACTTTATAGTTTACTTTACTTATTATAAAGTAGTTTACTATTACGGATATAGAATTCAATTATTAGTAACAAGTTAGGAACTAAGGCCTAAGGCTAGTAGACTAACTCTAGAGCTAGATATAGAATTACTTTATTACTAGGTAATCGAGTAATCTAGATTATAATTACTATAGATAACTATAATTAGGTCGTAATTACTATTAGTAATTATTACGGATATAGAATTTAATTATTAGTAACGAGTTAGAAACTAAGGCCTAAGGCTAGTAGACTAACTCTAGAGCTAGATATAGGATTACTTTATTACTAGGTAATCGAGTAATCCGGATTATAATTACTATAGGTAACTATAATTAGGTCGCAATTACTATTAGTAATTGCGACTATATACGAATCTCCTATATATATAGAATAGACGTTTCCTATATAGGTAGTTCGTATTTAACCTAAGTTACT